CTTAAATACCGCATCCTTAGCCAAGCGTTTAAACCGTTTATCCTAAGCCAGGGGGGCCTACTAGGAAAGGAAACCTCACAAACCTATAAGGAATTCCAGAAGTCCCTTACCCCTAGCACCTCGGATTAGCTAGATAAATACATCTCAACTACCCTAGTAAGGCTCCGAGCAAGAACCTGGCTAGGGTATGGGATAGACTAGTATACGTCTAACTTTCCTATGTTACCTCTTTTCTTCTCTCCTTTGTATAATCCAAAGACCCTAGGTAATTAGATGAGCAAGTATAGCTTAAGTAGAGCCAGAATAGAAGTCTTTTCTAACCCTAATAACCCGGACATCGAGCCGATCTGCCGATGGCCGAGGCGAGGCGTGACAGGGGACGCAACTAGTGATTGCGACGAGTGCTATCGCTGCTGCTCCTGGCGGGTGCTCAAGCCGGGCCAGTCGTCCATGCAGACCTTATGCCAGGCTAGGCTGACCCTGCGAAACTCCCCGAGCCCGGGTGGTAAGTGCCTGCCGATGGATCGCGTCAGGCACAAGTGCTGTGGCCTCGTCCCTTGGTGCACGCTGTCGATCGGAGGAGGTGTGTACGACATCGCCGTCCAGCTGCATGTTCAAGGGTTCGAACAAGTCAAGGGTGATTCCGGTGGTCATCTGGTGCCAAACCTGCACCCCGATGGTCACTCCTGTGTACCGAGTGCTCAGAGCATTTATATTTGTGGTCATGCGATCTTGCCGCAACGGCTTGCCGGATGGTCCCGACCAGAGGTATGCGGAAACATCGGCGAGAATCCCGGTTTCCTTGCTGAACCACCGGCGAAAAGGTTGGACCGGAGGCAGATAGCGCAGCAAGAGTTCTGCCACCACCGGCATTACAAATCGGAATGGCCAGCAACTGCCGTTTGTGATGTTGAGCGACTTGTGATAGGTAAGAATGAAGACCGAGAAGCCATCATGGATGGGTGCGCTTGTCCTTGGTCAACCTCTCGGACCTGAGACCAAGATACTCGGACTTTCGAGTTGGGCATACCAGACGTCATGTGCATGAGCACCATAAGGTGAGCGAGAAAACGCTCTACGGACCCTTGGTACTTCGCCGCAGAGTCAGAACTTACTGCAGCAGCTCCATGTCTTGAGAATACAGCAGCCTGGGCGGACGGACCCTGTATGGTCGACTTTACCAGCTATCTGCGTCCTTGGGAGACCGACGCGCTATTCCTGACGTCCGTGAGGAAGCTATCACCGGGTCGCGCGGTGGACCAGTTGTCCTCAAAGCCGGAAGCCCGGCAGCAAGGTATGTCTGGCACACCGAGACAGAGATCATGCTCCATCAGACGACCTGTCTCGAGAAAAGTCCCATCGACAAACATGCGCAGATGGCCGATGCTAAAGTCGATGTGCTTATATGTGAAAGCACCGGGGATGGTTGGGTTACAATAGAAATGTGCATTTTCGACAGTGCTCTTTCAAACACCCATGCCGGACGCGAGGACGCTGAGCAGCTCGGCCACAGGGCCGTGACCGTTGTTGTGCAGCTTTAACTTCGTCCAGGATAACAGCAAAGATAACAATAATTGCATAGCCACGAAGGCGGTCCGGAACAACAGACCGTCAGACGAAATGAATGGATCGATGGTGGTCTGGCTAGAGACGAGAAAAGTAGCGGCATATCTGCTTCAGAAACTGACAGTCATCTCCGGCCTCACAGCAGGTCTTGCAGCCCCATACTACCTCAAGGGGGACAGCGACCCCTGCTTCAACTGCAACTTGCACGGACACTACCAAGCTACGTGCACTAAACTAGTGAAGTGCGGACACTGCTTCGTCAATCATCAGAGCAGAGAATGTATGAATAGAGATAATGCTCACTGTCCAGCCTGTGATGCAGCGCACTCTGGCATAGACAGGCGATGCATGGTCGAGCCAACGAACACTCTAAAAAGACCAGAGGGCTGGGTTGAGTGAATGGAAGCCAACAAACGCAGAGACGCAGGAATCTGACTTCTCCTCGAGGCCACTGCCGAGTAGTCTTGCGGTGGCTCATCAAAAACGAATCCATAAGCGAGGGCGGTGATGCAAGTGTCGTTGTTAGATGCATTATCAGCATTAAAGAAACCAATGTTCAGATTAGAGGAGTTGTGAAGTTTTTACCAAATTGCACTTGGGACAGAGCAGCGAAGGCAGCGACGAAGCAATCTTTAGGATAGCTCATACAGACGATAGAACTGTAAACAGCCCACAAAAATCAACCAACCAACTAGCCAATCCAACTGGATATGTACCCACTGCCGTCCCTGAATAATACATATATAACAGAATCCCAGCTAGACTGAGTCCAGCAAGAGAGACCAAGTCGGTTTGCATAGAGGTCGATGGACACGGTAAAGGATGTATTGATCTGGCAGCTGGATCCCTGATTCCAGTCTTGACTGCTGTTCCTGTCCATTTATTGAGAAGAACAATCACCTGTGACGGCCAGCTCGATGAATCTAGTCCTTCTTGTTGGCATGTTCCTTGATACCCTGCTTCTTTTCATCCAACGCATTACCCATCCTCTGTACGCCGACCCCCTTACCATACACCAATTCTCCTCCCAGTGCGGCGCTTAAAGCAACTCCAGGAAGTGTAAGCACACTAAGCAGTATGCTGACCTTGCCTGGCGTAAAGCCAGGAACCTTTCTTCTCGTCCATACCGCGTATGTTGACACGCCAGCAGCGACAAAGTTCAATGCACCATGTGCAAGGCCAATTTTGATACTGAGGTTGTTGATATTCTCGTGGGATCTCGGGTGTGTGAGTTCCTTGTCCTTCTTATTGATCCCGCCTCTCTTGTAGAGTTCCCACAACTCCGCCGAGCCGCTGGTGAAGCTGGGCAGCGAAGTCACAAGGCCAGCGACATGGCAGAGATAGCCGAGCCGCGAGATATCCTTAAGGAAGGGCCTAAGGACTGCCAGCGCCTTGAATCTGTTTGCGGTGCCGTAGAGGGTATCGAGAGTGTAGGCCGCGGAGAAGAATGCGAGAGGAAAATGAACGGTCGCTGGATGCACGGGATGACTTTTACGGAAGCATTAGTCGACTAATATCTTAGATCCTTCTCTATATGAGCCTAACCTGTTGCGGAATGGCCAATCGAAGTGGCCTAGTTCGACTGTGTCATAAAGGTTGCTCAGGAGACCCATCTCGGCGATAATTATGTGCAAATTCCAGGAGGTAGGCAGGAGTGAAAGGATGATTTGTTCGAGACGAAGAGTTAACAGTGGAGATGTAATCTTCACTCGAAAACGGAGATGTCAGTATGACACAAGTGCGATGTGTATAGGTTGACGTCGTTATTACTATGGTATTTCCTCATCGGACCAACCCGCCCGCTAGCCAAGCTGGGGTAAACCTGCTGGAGCGTAACATGGTCGACCCCCCAACGACAGACGCAAAACAATCATATATTCAGAGCAATAGCTTCACCTACGTCAAGAGCACTTCTGTACTGCTTGAACGTATGTCCAGATACGCTATGCAAATCTCCGAGAAATTAAATCCTGTCACCTTTTTTTATATATCTGAACAAGACTACCTTGCTCGAAAGAGAACAAGGGTTCGCCAGACTCCTGGACATCGATTCCAAGAAATCGTCTGCGCCTAGGATTACGTGAATGAGTTTCGCATCATCTCATCACCCTTGCTGCCACCACCTGAATTAACCATGTCAGTGTTTATTTACAATGATTCGACACATCTCGGAACCTACCAGTTCTGGAAGTGCTTTACAGTGTGATAATCAGGCGAGTCGGTGACACCAAGCACATCGAGCCTGTCCTCATCATCTTGATCCAACCTCCAGCCTAGAGCTTGCAAGCAATCAACGACCTGCTCTCGGTTCTTGACTGTGGGAATAGGGATGGCTCCCTTGCAAATGACCCAATTCATGGCAACAGCTGCAGGACTCTTGTTGACTTTCGCACCGATACGCTTAAGCTCATCTACGATCGGCTGGATTTTGTCCCAGTCAATGTCGCCGAAGTTTCGGTTGCCGCGTGGTCTGTTGGACCGGTCGTATTTGCCGGTTAGACGGCCCAAGGCGATGGGGCTGTATGCGATGACGGCAATCGACGTGGTTGTCAGCTAGATCAAGAAGATATGAGGCGTTGAAAGACTGACTCCCAACTTGTGGCATTTTTCGATCATGCCCTCTGTCCAGGGATCTTGCCTCACCAAAGAAAATTCAACTTGGTTAGAGACGAGAGGAACATCGTTCTGTCAAGGTCAGCAGTCCGTATGATCGGAAGCAATATTCTCCCCTACCCTCTTCAGGTGAGTGTATACGAGTTTCACCTGCTGGAAACTCAAATTGCAAACGCCGATGGCCCTGCACTTTCCCGTTTTGTACGCAGAAACAAGTGAATCACAAAGTGTCTCCAGACGAGGCCAGTAACCAGCATGACTAGGTCCATGCAGCTGATATATATCAATGCCACCAAGCCGAGTCCTCTGGATCGAACCATGGAACGAGTCAAGGACGATGTTTGGATATCTCCAGGGATGTCTCCAAGGAGTAGGGAGATACTTTGTCGCAAGCACGACACGGCTGCGGTCCAAAGAACCAGCGTCCTGGTCTTCACAGAAGAAGTCGCCGACCTTTTTCTCAGAGTATCCGTCAGTGTAGCCATAGTGTTCTGCCGTGTCAAGAAGGACATTTGTAGAGCGCTGAAAGATGGCTTTCCAGGCGCCGTGAATGCTTTCGTCGTTGAGCTTTTGATCGTAGCCACCACTTGGACCCCAACCATAGCTCAGCACGTCACCCCACCCCCAAAGCCCGAATCCAAGAGGCTGGACTTTGATCAATTCTTCGCCTGTTGTTGGTGCGAGGGTGATGAGAGTATTGGTAGTCGGTACGACATCTCTTGGTATGGCCAACCAGTAGTCTCTGATCTCCTCAGAGCCACCAGAGATGTCGGCAGGCTTGAGGTCATATTCGGCCTTATATATTTCAGAACACAGACCTTCGCCGGGCCCATAGTGTGGAGGAATATAACCAGACATCGTCGTTGTCAGACAGTGGGAAGCTATCTGCGCTTCTTTGAAGGATGAGAAGGGGAAAACAATCATGCAGAGACATGGCAGATGAGTGACAGATCTCGTGAGAAGACGAGCGAAGATGATGCAGGGATGACGTCCAGTCTCTGGGAAGTCGCTGCCACTTGTATGCACACGAATCCATGTCGACATGATTGTTCGCAAGAATCCACGTCACAATTACCATCACGCTGCTACTACGGTGCCACTGTCATGCCTGAACATATAACAACGTCGCGAGAGGGGTATGCTACCCAGAAGATACTGACGATTTGCGCGCAGTCATGCTCAGTGGGAATCGCATGGGCAGCGAAGACATGCTATGGAGTATAGTAGCGATGATGTTTGTGTCTCAGTCGTCGTGAGCGTTGGAGGCGAAACGTGCTGCCCGGTGGCCAAAAGTCTTGTCTTCTCGAGACAGAAATTACTCTGAAGACCTCGGGCTTCACGTTACGATCCTGCCACTTGATGAGACTGTGAGATTTGATGCTCGCAACTCAATGAGGCAACTGAATAGCACATACAATTCCACGCTTATCGACTCGCGACTTGATTAGTGAAGCGACTGCTCACGATATGCTAAGATTCTTGGGAGGTAAGAACAAAAGACGAAGCCACCCCGTACGGTGGCCTTTAGTGCCAGGCTTTGCAAAGCTGAGCTTCCAGTTCAAAGGTCCAGGTCCGGACGCAAAACGTTTTCCTACCCAAATCATGACAAGGCTTGCGCACTTTCCTCCTTGCATTTAGGACATAGGCATACCTCCTCGAACCACGGCCATAACAGCTCCGTCCTTTCTTCCAGCGACATACCTTGCACATTCACGTAGCTGATGAACATCTCCTCTCCTGTCTTCAGACCTCTCTTTGCGAAAAACTGAATCGTTGTGCTGTCGCTGTTACGTTTGAAATCAACATTAGGTTCGCAGCTATGATTGAAGAGAGGCAGGAATGGAGTGACCTCGTCGATGAAGCCATGTATTGGATCCCAGGAGCCGGCTTTGTTGTTTGCAAGACGAGTCCACGTGGTATGTAGGATCATTGTGTCAAAATTCAAGTTGCGAAAGACGTCAACGCCCAGCTGCTCAAGGATCTTCATGGGCATGATGACGGACTCAGCCATCGTGAACACATCGACATGGTTGTTCCTGGCGAGTGGTTGGAGGCGTGCGACACGCGAGTGATCGAGCGGGTGTGTCTCAGGGCCAGATTGAATACAACTTGCGAGGATGCGCAGCATCAGTAGTGGACGCAATGGCGATGCATTATGCTGTAGTCCTTGTGCAGGCCGAAAGAGCCAGGTAAAGTCTTGTCCGCAGACTACTTTGTGATAGGTGTTCAGGCTCAATTCGAGGCATGCATGGGAGCAGTATGATCCTGAGCAACATGAAACTTGTAAGGGTAGACCTCGAATACGAGCAAAGCAGTTCATGCAATCGAGAGCTCCGACGTGACTGCACGTTGCTGTCGCTGTACGGTCGACAAGCATGCACTCGCCAGACTCGATGTCTCGAGCTGTGAACATGCCGAGCATGTCGTCTCTGGTCGCTAGGGTGCTTGTGCCTAAATAACATGCTGGAGATTGCTTAGTGACTTGCTTTAGCTCACTGTTCACATTCTCCACAAGCTTCTGCGTCCGTCGGAGGTGATGATCCTGTATCCAAGGATAATGAACAGTGGTAGTACATCCATCGCGAAGTCGGTCTATCTGTTCCCACCAAGTGCCGCCCATCATAGCCGCACTCTCTTGCTTGCTTTGCAAAAGCATTCGAAGAGCCACAGCCTTTTCAGAAGCATGGCTAGCTGGGAATTCTTCTGCGACTTCCTCCCACAGACCGGCCGCTTCCCAATGGCAATGGCAGTCGTAGAGCGCTTGGCCGAGAACATCATACATTCGCAACATAGCACTACAATCTTTGCCTTCCTTGCGATCGAGGCTACGATGGAAGAGGATCCGGCTTTTGCATGCGTCTCCTACCGCCAGCTCTGGATAGTTGAGTGCAAGGAAAAAGCTTGCTCGCTTAGCCCACAAATGAGGGTTATAGGGCTCTTTCCGTATGCGTTCAGTGCAGTTCTCCACTGCTTCCATCAGATCCTCGATTGTAGCGGTGCTTGGCGGAGCTGTCTGAGCGGCATTGGTACGAAGGATTGAACCCGTGTGAGTCAGTTGTGTTGTTGCCATCTTATGGGATCCTTTTGTTGCATCGTGGAACAATCGCTGATACGCAAGGTTGGAGATCGCATCTGAAAAGGTTTTCGGAACCAAGGATCGGTGTCAATTACCGAATGATGACGTATACCGGTCAGGATTTGCGTGCACATCATTGCATCATTGTCACAACGATAAGTGAGACATCTTAGAAAGAAAGCATCCAGAATATGGAGAATCAAAATAGTGGAGGAGATACAAGATAGGCGATCTGGATTCGATCCTGAGCCTGACGACCTCTGACTTTTTACAAGTGTTGCCTTTCATCTCGTTCGTCATTCTCTTGCAAGCGTTGATTCCGAGTCTAATATGTTAGGTGTAGAAACAAGATTTCGTATTCTAACCAGTGTATCAGAAAGCGCTTTCAGATTTTGAGCACTTTACAATCGACAGCGCCGGTTCCAGCGAGAGAAGATTTCGCACCAAGATTGGCGTTGCTAACGCAGTTTTGAGGTGAGTACACAGAACTCACCCTGATTTGCATGTGCAATCTGGGTGCAGAAGACGATGATACAGTACATTCGCATAACGGGATTATGAGCACTCTGACGCCCAAACGGTCATATTGGAATGTGACTAACGCCAACCACAAGATTTTTCCAAGATAGAGCACGGCTGTAGACACAATACAGAGGGTACCCATTTGCAATCGAGGAAAGGTGTGTGCTCGAGCAGTCAACCAAGCGTAGTCCATGATCACTGTGCCATGTGTCTGTCAAGTTGAGGAGGAGCTCGACCATATTGGGTTCAGCGTCGTTGTGTCCTTGTATTTCCTCCTTTTGTTTCCGCCTCCGATTTCGTGGGTCGAGTGAGAGCGTGCGTGGTTCAGGATCGCTTCGTTCTTCAAATAAGCGTGCGCATTAGACGAGAAGACCGTAGGAAACCAGTTCGCGATTTTATCTGTGTCGAGTTCGTGTCCAGGCTCAGCGTGTGGTGAGAGATGTTAAGAGGTACTGAAAGTGCCTCTACGTTGCCGAGACACGTCGAGTTACTGATGGCAAGTTGTTCGTAGTAGAGCATCTTCCCCTCGCTTTATAGTACTATGATCGGCGTAGTGACACTCAAGGCTGACAGGTTCGCAAGCATTGAGAATGTATGAAGCGGACATGAAGAAAAAAGCGGGGAGTAATTGGCGACAAAGACACTGATGTCGGCACGGGGCTGAAGTGTATATGTGAAAGTATCAAGGATACCTGGGGAACAAGAAGTCGGAGAAGGTCCTGGCGTGGACTGTCAGCTGCCCTTGCGACCAAGGTCCGACGGGATGCCCGATTTCGCGATCGCTTAACATCAAACATACGGAACCTAGGATAGCGTGATATCGTTGGTCTCTTCTAAGGGGATTCGACCCCGCAGTGAGGAATCGAGATTGCCGTGTAGATCCGGTCACGGTAACCCTAGGCACTGATGGAACGTTTGACGGGCCTACAGTCCTTCGCTCTACAACACTAACAGGTTGTTCACACACGCCAGCCATCGCAGCTCTATTATAGACACCCCCATACAGCTCTCGCTGCTGGCATTGCGTGATCTACCAGCAGGCAATTGTGACTACCACCTCACAATGACCATGTAGGCATTCACGGCTTATGGCAGGATGGTTGACCGGGCGGTAAGAAACAAAACGTCAGGTAGGAATGCTTGACCGCCGCTGGGGAATCCGTGCCGCACGTAGTTCAGTGCGATCGCAGCTCCGATACTTTAAAGCCTCTAGAAATCAGGGTTATTCATGCCTAAACAAGATTGGCCGTTTACTCCCCGACAATTAACATACATCTCTGCTTATCTTAAGAGTTTAGCAGAGCTAACAAGGTGTGAGACTTACTAAATTCAACGATTACAATTAGTTAGAAAGCGGGTTAAGTGGGGACAGCTCATACCCCTTGCGGTGTCAATAGCTTAAGAAAACAATACCGAATCAACTCAAAACAAGGCGTACTAACAAAGCAACTATATTAATGATGGTGTGTCCCGTGCAGATTCGATCCAACAGCACCAAAGTCGCATGTTCTTTAGGTGTTTTTACTTCTTACGGCTAAACAATGATCTGACCACTTACGGATAAGCGTGGAATTGGCTCGTAACATGTTTACCACCATCTGCTCATATAGCCAAGCGAAGCATTACTATCTGCCGATATATCCTGCACGTATGAGGCTGGCGAAAGGTACGACTTTTTCTGACCTAGATTCTTGTTAAGTGGAATGCCGTGAACGAGGGATCCCTAAGACCAGTTGTCACTCATTTGAAGATGTGTTGTGCGTTTGACAGCTCCCAAATGCATTCGAGAAGGACAGCATAGGTTAGTGCACTCAGACTGAGAATTTGTGAGGTCTACAATAGCCGGACATTGCATATAGACCGCAACACTAGGGCACAGAATCCGCACCGTACTCGGGACAACTTACTGCTTGCAGAAATTCTATGCACACTTGCACAGATCACATGCGTAATGAACCTGCCCACTCTTGACTTGAGGTCATGTCGCGTCAACACCATGTCGCGTTGTGCATCGTGTTGGCCAAGTTGGCGGTGGAGTTCTGGTAGGAAGCTTTAAGTGTGCGGCTTTCGAATACAGCATCATTCCAAAAACCGAGTCGTCCACGATTTTCTATCAGTACCAGGACAGCGAGAATTTACACTGATGAGGCAAGGTAGACGTCATCAACGACTAGCCTGCTGAACTAGGCAAACTCGATCCATCGTGTCATCAATGGCAACATGCTCTAGTGACAGCTGCCTGAACATCTTTCTCAAGCTCGAGCTGCTCTGGAAGACAGCCTCCGAGTTTCAAGTTGTTCAACGCTTGGATTGGAAAAGACCAGTCGGCGAAGAAGGAGTATACCGGTCGGCATCTGGCGAGCGCCGAAAAACATATCTGACAATGAACATGCCTCGAGTGTGTGATTCTCTCGATCAATCGGCTGGTGTGAGACAAATCCGTTGGTCTTTGTCATTTCCCTCCTTGTCTCCAAAGTACGGAACAAAACATACACCTTAGCTTGGAGCAAAAGAACAGGAAACAATCAAGTGACCCTGTCTCAACCATCATACATGGAAATAGCCGCCAGCTCCGTCCAAGCGCATCAACGCATTCGCAACCATATCCATGAGAGCCCGCTCATCCCTGCCCGATCGACCGACAAGCTCACCGACGCGACCGTCCCCTTCAAGGCCGAGAACTTCCAGATCACGGGGTCTTTCAAACTTCGTGGCGCTGTGTCCAAGATGTCCGCCACTGCGACCTCATGTGCAGAAAGGGTGGGGGCGCGATTGATTACCGCCTCGTCGGGCAACCATGGTATTGGTGCAGCTTTCGCAGCTCGATGTCTGGAAAAGGATTTGACCGTCGTGCTTCCGGAATCCGTGGTACCGTCTGAATTGGAGAAAATCAAGGCATTAGGCGTAGAGATCATTCTGCATGGAGCTGAGACTGGATTGGCCGAGCAGTATGCACGGCAGTTGGCAGCAACAGGGCAATATACCTATATCTCGCCCTACAACGACGCTGATGTGATAGCCGGACAAGGAACCATCGGACTGGAGATACTCGAGCAGTGCGAGAGTGTGGACAATGTGTTTATCTCCATGGGCGGAGGTGGACGGACCAGTGGTATCGGGTCCGTCCTGAAGGCCTTCAGCCCAGAGACAAAGGTTTGGGGTGTAGCTGCAGCACACTCGATGGCTCTAGCTGCATTGATGGATGCTAGGCGGGTTGTCGAAACTGAACATCTCGCTACGCTAGCTGATGCTGTAGCTGCAGGAACTGAGATGGATACGATCACGCTGTCGTTGGCCATGTCTACCATCGATGAGGCTGCGGATTGTGACGAAGATTCCATTGTCGACGCTTTGAGAACCCTCGCGCTTGTTGGAAACATGATCGTTGAGGGTGCGGCAGCGCTCGCGCTCGCTGACTACAACAAGGTCGCGGACCGAGTGTCAGGTCAAACCAGTGTCATCCTACTCTGTGGTGCTAATCAAAACCAAGATCTGATCCTTGGAGCAATCTGCAGCAAGAATTGAGGTAGTCACATCTCATATATCGGGAATTCCATGATAGATATACCCTCTCTCAATGTAGTCATACTGTGCTCTAGAACCACGATTGATCGAGGGACTAGTCTGTTGTCCAAGATTGCGGATCGTGCCTCTTTATCAGTCGCTCCATCGAGTGTGAGCAGCATCTGAATCCCGCGTACTATATCAGCAGCTGTCTGAAGCATCTGGCGCGCCCTGAATACACAACGTCACAAAAGCGTTTTGCGGAAGCATCTAGCTTTTTTGGCCCTGATGTTTGGCACGCAAACCCTTCCTAATGATAGCGACTGGCGGAATACACAAGGCCCTAAGTGTCAAGATCAGAAGTGTAAAGCAGGTATCGGGAAAGGGAAGCCAAATCATCTTCCTCCATATCTGTGGTCAGACTATGCGTATACTTCCTGACGGAGCAGGGTAAATATGATAGATCCATCCCGCGCAGACCAAGCTGATCGAAATCGCTGCAAGAAGGGCGGAGGTCAATAATATAGTCGAGACTAAACTGAGTTTAGAAGATTCCGACACAATCCAGAGGCCGTTGATGGTGCGAATGGAAGTTCGAGATGATGCTTTGACATAACAGAGCAACTTGCTCGGCGGGGAACTTCTTGAAGTCGAGGTAATGACACATCGAGTGAGAATTGCTGTACTGATGAACCTCACCAAGAGTTTTGCGGATCAACGCTAATCATCTGCATCTTGGGCGAGTATTGGAGCGAAGGACGATGACGTATGGCAAATGATCCGGCAGCCGACCTGCAGGATAAAGTCGCGGAGAAACACAGGATACTATCTCTTGTCGGTATGTATGCCAAAATCATCTAGAATCGAGGAGGGTGGACATAGGCAAGCAAAGTGGAAGTATAATTCATCGTAGTGTTAGCAGTATGGAACGCAGTTGGCGAGAAATCTATGAATATGTAATTGCCGTGCTTCATCCCCACACGTCCTCCTGGAACTTTCTCGTCTTCTTCTTGGTTTCGTTCCAATCTTTCATCTCTCCATCTGTCCATCCCTTTACGTTCTGGATCATACTGCTAATAGTATTGTTAACCTCTCTTGCCATCGCCGCCGAGCCACAGATATAAAGATTCGCATTGCCTTCGATCAGCATGCTAGAAATCCTCTCACTGTCCTCCAGGATGCGTTCCTGGACATATATCTTCTTGCCTTCGTGGCGGGAGAAAGCGGTTACAATGCTAAGCTGGTCTTCTAGCACTCTCTGCAATTGCGCCAATTCTTCACGGTAGATAAAGTCTTCCTCAAGACTCCGGCATCCAAAGTAGAGGATCATCTTCCCACAAGCCTTACCTACTCGCTGCATACGAGCGCGTTCCTGTATGAAGCCTCTAAATGGTGCAATACCAGTTCCCGCCGCGACCATGATGATGGCTTGGCTTGCAAGTGCTGGAAGCTTGAACTTGGACTTCCGGATTTGCGCGTACACTCTGCGGCCTTCCAGAGCGGCGTCAGGACCCAGAAGGGAATATCCATTCTTGTCCTTGACATGATGAGCCAGTAAGTAGTTCGTCGCAAGGCCAGGAATCGTGATTTGACCTCCAATTGAGTCCGGGATGGTCGCTTGTGAGACGACTGCAGTGATGCTGGGTGTGCGTGGAGAAACAACTGAGGAAGAGGAAATCGAGTAGTGTCTCGGTCTCATCACTGGAAAAACGTCAAGTAGGAAAGCTAGAGGCAAAGATGACCAAGTTGTGGGTTCAGAGCGGGTCGATATTTCCAATAATCTGCCAACAGTTATGTGCGTCGCTGCGAGGAAAGCTGAGTATCTCGAGCGATTCCGTGATACATCCTCCAGAAACAGGCGAGATGTCTTTGTAGGTGCAAACCGGGCGAGTTGGGCAGCCGTTTCGCGAGAGACAGGTGCGCATATCTCCAAATAGTATTGCAACAGTGCTGATAAGGTTGTTGGTGTAGGGATCTTGACCTTTGATCCATCTAGGCTTTTGATCAATACAGGCACGTCGGCTTCATGTAGGCGGCCAAGCTGGTCGAGCACCCTCTCGACTTCAGCGTTGGGATTGCTTGGCCAGATACTGAGGTGATCGCCTGTCTTGTAGCCGATCTCGGGAAAGTCAGAGAGATCCAGTTCTACATGTAAGCAATTTCGATCAGCCGTGGTGTCGAACAGGTCTCGCATATCCTTGATGAGCAACGGTCTAATGGCTGATGACCCGGCCAAAGCTTTGGCTTCAAGTACGGGCTCTCCTTGGTGAAGATCGATAAGTTCGAGCGATGTGTCTGGTTCAACTAGTAGTGATGGTTCGTACACCATATCGTACTCCTGGTGGCCGAGGTTCCGCTTGAAATAGTCGAATAGATTTTCCTTCCACGTAATGAAATCTTCCTCGGTTGCACCTTTGGCATCGTCCGCCTTCCCAATTGGCATGAGCTGCTGCGCCCCATGGGCATTCAGTGACTCTGCGACCACATCAACGACTTTGTTATAATACTTGTAGTTGCTATTGCCGAGTCCAAAGGCAATGTAGCGCATATTGTTCAGAGATGCTTTGGCAGACCGAATCCAATGCCAGAGTCCAGCTGTGTTATCACTAGGATCGCCCTCGCCAAAAGTTGAGACGATGAATACTACTAATGTCTCTTTCGTGATGTGCTCGATAGTCTCCATGTCGTAATCAGACAGATCTGCTACCAGGGCATGAAGCCGGAATCGCGAGTGACATTCCCGTCCTAGGCGGTGGGCAAAGCCCTCTGCTGTTCCAGATTGAGAACCCCAAAAAATCACAATCTGATTGTTCTGCGACTGTGTCAGTAACTGGCTTGAGATCGCTCCCAGTCCTCAGGCACGTCTTACTGTTTCCTGAAGCTTCTGTGAGATATCTCGAGTCTCTTTGACTCCATCACTGGCTGCAGCATCTGAAACCTGAGGCTTCTCGAACCAAACATGGTGGTAGGGGTCAGGCCTGTCCCAAGCTTTTCCTTTGAGAAGATATGTGCCCCATGCAAGACTGAAGGCCGTAATGGCAGCATAGTCGGCGTAGCCAGATGGCTTGTTTAGCATGGAGAAAAGTGGATCAAGCGAAGTCATCATGGCAGGCTCGACTTGGGGAAGCGGGGTTTGGAAATGCGATCTTGTTAAATTATTAGAGCGAGAGTCTTCAGACATTAAGTAAAAACCGCTTCAGCCATCACAAGACGTTTCCAGGAGAAGCGAGACCATTTGCTGTTTATTAGCCCGTTGAGAAAGGAAGCTCCCATCGCCGAGCATTACGGAACCACACATCTAACCTCTCCGTTTAACCCTTCTCGTTACGTCCGGTCTCATGTCATGTAACATGCAGCGAAGTGGAGATCCAGCCTGGAAAAGTCAGGCAGCGGAATCGTGGTACTTTTCTCATTGCTTTTGGCAACGCAGTCCGCACGACATTTGACTTCCAACATCTGAACCAGGAACCCCGCCTCATGCCATGCGGCACATGCAGACCATGGCGGGGTAAGCCACGAAACGCTCCGCGTTCCTACTCATCGAGTCATTCTGAGGTAGCATTTTCCGGGGAACACAGCCTTCGGTCGCTTCTCCAGCCGATGTTATGGCAAGATCTTCCGCTAGTGAAATTCAGGCTCGGGTCAAGTAGCACGGGTCGCGATGCATCCAGGTAGTCACCCGGTGGGAACACCCAAGTCGTCTCCATCTGAGTAAGCGGAATATAGTGTTCATAATCCCCAAACGACTTCTCCTATAATCTCGATACTCAGCCGACATTAATCTTCTGCTATCAAATCTTCCAAACTTTGCTCATCATGTACACCACACTGCTATCACTCTTTTCTATCGTCGTTTTGTTGTCGTACTTCATTGTCAGGCCAATATGGGAGTATCTGAGAGATCCGAAAGGACTGCGCAATTACCCCTGTATTAATCCCCTAGCTGGTGTCACAAACCTAGGCTTCATGTGGGAAGCTTACACTGGTATCCGGTCGAAGAAACTCTATGAGATGCACAAGACACACCCAGTCATCCGAATCGGCCCAAATTCGCTCTCTTACGGAAGCGTGAATGCTATCAAGGACATATATGGGCATAACTCGAGATGCACCAAGGATGTCTTTTACGAAGCACTGTCCGGATCGCATTTCCATCTGGCAGACGTCGTTGACAAGGGCGAACATGCTCGAAAGAGAAAGATGATGTCTAGCGCATATGCCTTGAAGAATCTAGAGGGATGGGAGTACAAGGTTGCCGACAAGACAGAACGATTCATCAAAGCCTGCGATGCCCACTGCACTACGTCTCTTCCTGAGGGCCGTGTTCTTCCAGACCCACAAGATCTCAAATTCGACTATCGAGCATATAGTAACTTCTTCACTCTGGACGCAATCGCTGACATTGGTCTCTCGGAACGACTGGGTTTCTTGGATGCCGGTAGCGACAAAGTCGTAGGCGAAAAGATGGATGGCACGATGTACGAAGTGGAGTCGTACCGTGCAGGTCTTCACGCTACCGCCAAAGCACAAGCCCTTATTGTTTGGGCTACCGAATGGTACGACTTTAACAGCAAATATGTTTCCAAGATCTTCCCAAGCTTCCGTAAGATGTGGAAGCTCAACGAGGGCTGGAACGATCTGGTCTACCACAGGGCTACCAAACGCCTGGCTCGCTATCGTGCTGGTGAGAAACTTGACGATTTCTTCCAGGCACTGATGGAGGACAAGAACGGCAACCCAAACAACTTGGAGTGGGGTGAAGTCATCGCAGAAGTCAGCATCATGCTTAACGCAGGTTCCGACACCACTGCCCTCGCCATGAACAACGTCATGGTCTGGTTGCTGAAGAATCCGGAATGTCTTTCACGCCTCCGCGAGGAAGTCGACGCTGTTCTCGAACCTGAAGAAATTGTTGCCCCGTATGACAAGGTCAAGCACCTTCCTTACCTTCGCGCCTGCCTTGATGAGTCACTGCGTGTCACACCATCGACGACCTTTGGTCTGCCAAGGCGCACACCTCCTGAGGGCTCGAAAATCCTCGATGAATGGGTCGAGGGCAACACCACAGTGTCCATCTCAGCATACGTCGCACACCGTGATCCAGTCATCTTCCCCGAGCCGGAAAGATTCAACCCAGATCGTTGGTTGGGAGAAAAAGGCAAGGAGTTGCAACCGTACTTCATCAGTTTCAGTACTGGCTCTCGGGGCTGCATTGGTCGCAATATTAGCTATCTCGAACAGACTGTGCTCCTTGCCAGTGTTGTCCACAGATATGGCTTCGCTTTGCCTCATCCTGGGTGGGAGCAGGACAGATGGGAGACCACAAATCTAATGGCAGGCCCGTTGCCCTTGAAAGTTTGGAGAAGGGATATCAGTGTAGCTAAGCCTTGATAGCGCAATCGTAGACAAATTAACCGGAAATCACATGTGTGAGTAAACCCATTGTAAGCAATTCCCTTTGCCGTGATCCTCCACTTATCTTAATAATATACGCTGGTGTCTTCGTCCATGCACTTCTGATATCGATGACACTCGATTTATGGGTTACCAGAAAATAGTCAAGGAATCAAACGACGGCGTTCAGATGAACAGACGTGTTGCCGTCTAAAAATGCTCGCCACTAATGGATCTCGGTGCTTTGTGGAATGTTTGTTGGCATCTGGTTTTTTGGTCGCATCCAGGGTTGCTTCCTCGACCCATGTATAGCCAGTAAACTTCCCGTCCCGCTGATAGGAATCCCGCCAGAGTGGGCTGCGCCGAGCACCTCCTCAGTCGGAGTCTTGGCTGAGACAAGCGGCGGTTATCCTTTTGCCCCACGTCAAATGCGGGGTAGCTTGCCTATCTTGTCCGGGGATGACGGAAAGTGTTGCCTCAATCAGAAGACGCGCGATGTTGTTCGTGTAGAGCTCCGTAAGCTCTCTCTGTGTTGAAATTTGTCAACTACGAAGCAAAATTCAGGATGTGATAAGAAACACGAAGCTCGCTCGCAGCAGCGGGAAGTCACTTGCATATCCTCTACGCAGGCCTCCAATTTAGTATCGTCGCATAAACGTCAAAATGATCCAAAAGCTCAATGTCGCATGTGCGGGACTTGGCCGAATGGGCGCGAGACACGCTCTGCATTTTCTAGAGAGTAAGAAGACACACCCACATCTCCAACCGACATGTACGAGCTGATCCATTGCACAGAAACTCCTCGAGCAGAGCTGGTAGCCGCATATTGCCCCGCTGAGGCTGAATCTGAAATCACATGGTTCAATCAACGTCTTGCTCCATTTGGAGTGAAGCTCTACAATGATTATGACGAGATGCTCAAGCACCCCAAGCTCCAGGCTGTCGTAGTGGCAACTGTCACGACTGTTCACGCCGAGCAAGCTATCAAGGCCATCGAGGCAGACAAGCATGTCCTTTGCGAGAAGCCGTTGAGCACAAGCGTAGAGATTGTATGTTGACGAGCTGCATGAGTCCGTCGAGAAGACACCGACACTGACTTCCGATGCAGTCACAATCTGTGGTCGACGCCGCAAACAAGAAGCCTCACCTCAAAGTCATGTGTGGCTTTTCTCGCCGATTTGACGCTTCTTACCGCGATGCATGGAACAGGATGGACAACGGATCCATAGGCCGAGCTTCTGTCCTCCGATCTCAGACATGTGATAAACTCGACCCTTCCGGATTCTTTGTCGAATACGCACAATTTTCGGGCGGCATCTTTGTCGACTGCAACATCCACGATATCGATCTCGCGCTGTGGTACTTTGGGCAGGACAGTATTGTCAAGAGCACATATGCAGTAGGAATCACCGCCGTCCAGCCCGATCTCCGCAAGTACAAGGACGTGGACAATGGTGTCGGCGTTGTCGAGTTCTGGGGAGGCAAGATCGCATACTTTTACAGTAGTAGGATCATGGCAGCTGGTCAGCATGATATGACCGAGATCATCGGCACAGAAGGGAAACTGACGGTCAATGCCAATCCCCTAGGGACTTTGGTTGAGATGTCGGAGGCAAGTGGTGTCAGAAGAGAAATCCCACCGCATTACTACGGTCGTTTCGCCGAAGCTTTCGTCACGGAGGCCACCGAGTTCACTGCCGCTTGTTTGGACAGTACCAAGCTGCCATTCAAGCTTACCGGAGCTGTTCAAGCGGTGAAGATTGGCTGTGCTCTGCAAGAAAGTCTGAACAGTGGCAAGAAGATCGAATTCGATGAGACCGGAAGACGCATCGAGAAGGCTGCTCTTTGATCTAGAAATACAGATAGACTGCAGTCTCACACATAGACGAATATCATCACTGCTGCTCATATGCATGACTTGTCGGTCCTTTGTCAAGATGACTGACTTCTGAAGTCGCCAATGGCAGATGGCTTACTCGAGCTAGCGTTTAGCGACACTTATTGCGGTTCCTGTATATACGCTTGTTCGTATGATGGGAAAATCTGGCGGGTCTGTGCCCGCGCCGCCGTGAACCTTTGTGGGTCAAGATCGCACATCATAAGCAGGATTGAAATTGGAGAGGGCGGTCTCAAGATGACTCAAGTATAGAGGCTGTTCTTGTCGTTTTGGTGAAGATCATCATCTCAGTAACATGTGAGTGATATTGGGAGATCAAGCATCAGATGAACACACACTAGTTTAGAACAACTTTCGCCGGTCATGGCAACACCTAGAAGACTTCATTTCCAACCCCATGCTGCTTTGAGATCCTCCTGAGCGGTCATAGTCGACCATCCATGCTCGGCTTCGCACGTTTCCAGTATTCGAATGCACGCTTGCTGCTCTTTCGCCTCGGTGAACTTATCGCCGGCCATTGTCACTGCCATTGAAGCGGTCACAAAGTTCGGTGGGGTGCTACTATTGCTCAACGCGAGTCCGCAAAGCATTTTGGTGTGATGCTTGATCTCATCGTCCATCTTCCTCAATACCGTCGCTCGTCGAGACCCGAGCTTAGGAATCGTGGGGTCATACGCTGTCAACAGAATGATAGTGAGGTGATAGTGTTGTATGCCTGTGACAGCAGCATCAGAGAGATACATGACTTCTGGAAATACAGCGTCAGAGATGGCATCAGCGTTGCGGTAGTAGATCGGGGTATAGCACGGAGGAATGAGCTTTAGCCAGTCCACAGCGTAACTAAGAAGCTCTTGAAATCGGGTTGTCGATCGTTCATGCTCAAGGAGTCCAAAGCACCACTGTATGGTCTCCGCACAATGGAAGATGATTCGATTTGCCCACATGCCTTCACCTGTAGCCCCAAATGAGCGATCGACATTGCAGTGCTGCAGGGGAAAAGTAATCGGTCTCTGGTTGACGAAGGCGACGTAGATCTCCTGCCGCAGACCAACCCAGAAGGCGGCAAGTCGCAGGCCACCCGAGACCGCGGAAATTTCTTGCGCACTTACAAAGGCATGGGCTCCGATTAGATGACCTGCGCCGTCCAAGTGAACTTTTCCTGAGAGTGGCACATCGATCTCTTCCAGGAAGCGCAGAATGACAGTGCTAGCCAGGAGGTTCTCATCCAGTACTGCGGCTTCATCGCTGAGCATCGGAATAAGATGCTGGAGACACCTCTGGTGGTATTTATCTGCGACATAAGGGTCCCCGCCACTGACGCGGCTGAGATGACGGGCAGAGGCGGCGAGGATCGCGTTCATCAAGATGGGATCGTTCATAGCCCGTTGAGGTACAACGTTATGGAAATGGCATGAGGAATCGGTGAGATCGAATGAAATAGCTAGATGGTTAACAAAATGGCGTAAGAGACTGGCTTCGTGGGGGTCGCTGAGTAGGCCCGTTTCTGTACGGGGACGAGGAATGGATGTGACAAAGGAGTCAGAAGTCCTGGACGTTTCTCTCTCGTGTCGCGTGTTCACCCTTCCGACACCAGCGATGCCGACACTAAAACTCGGTCTTGATAGTAGAGAGTGCGTTGGTGAATTCTGATCGTCAAAACCAGGATATGAGTGAGGAGAATAAAGGCTGCAAGATGGCGGCGCAACGTCGCAAAGAGACGAAATATCGTCGATCATGCCTCCAGGTTTGCGCGACACAAATTCGTACGCGCTGTCGAATGCGGAACTTTCAGGAAGCGCGGATACAGTGTGATGACCCAAGTCCAAGCGAGAGTCGCTTTCGTGGTCAAAATCATGTCGAGTAGCCAGATCCTTGTCCGCATCGTCTTCCTCCGGAGTCTCGGCATGTAAGTTGTGATCATGTTCCATAGACTGTCGAACCACCCCCTCGGGAGATTCCAGTGAGACATTCGGTCGCGATCGAGGGATTCCTGCAGCAACCTCGCCATCCGGCTGGGCTGAAATCTGAGTGGGATCCTCGTTCCCAAGTAGTGTGTCGTCGACGTGTGTACCGTATATTGCTATTGTGTCCCGTGTCTCGTCCACGAAGCTTAAGGCTCCTCTAGTCGAAACCCATGGCTGACTATCGATAAATGATTCCTCTGAGCCTCTTGTCGCGCGAACACTTAGAAGGTTAGTACCTCGTCCGTCTTGGTCTTCAAGTAGTCTGGGTGGACGTACGTGGGATTGAGATTATGACAGAAACGGATGTTTAGAAGCCGGACACACTCTATTCCTGACTGGCTGCACCTCACACAACTCGGACGCTCGTCGTCACCTAGAACGAAGAAAAGTAAGTAAGCGTGACAAAGTGCTGTATCAACTACAGTTCGACGCGTTCAGCAAGCCAACAGTCTAAGCTCCTGATCGATTAGCCGCCAGGACTTTGCGTCTTTCGGCCTTGCTCGTAGACAGTTGCTATTGAAGCAGATTTGAGATGTCGGATGTCTTGGGCCAGCATATCCAGTTTCTACCAGACTGCCACCCCAACTAACTGCTGGAGATTCATCTGCTGCTCGGTTCGTGGAACATACATTTTACATGACGGAGTTTGCAGTTCTAACACATTGTCAGCAGCTGTCCGGCTCTCGGCTCTGACGCACGATTGACTCGCCTGACAACCAGTCTTGGCTCGGGTTGGTGCGCTGGGAGGAGACATGGCAAGCCGCCTATGTCACATCTGCCCTTGTACTTGCACAAACCGATCTACGACCTTCCAGTGGTCAACAACATTGAATCGATGCGGTAGAGTTAGAAGGAGGATGAGGCAGGAGTGAGCGGACGGCAATGCCTTTTTAGACACCATCGGGAAAGGACCGGCGCGGGATTGGACTGGCGCCGAGATTCACGTCCAAGCGCTGTCTGCTGATCATGCAGCCACCCGTTCATGACGAGCAAAGCGAGTGTGGGGGCAGCTTGCCCTTGTTGCATTGTTTAGGAATGTTGGCCCGGTCGTGCCAATACCCCGGGATTCATGGCTCAGACTCATGCGCATGAACGACATGGCGCCTCTTCCCAGCCATCTCACCGAGCAGTGGCACTAACCGGCATAATTACTCCAGAATCAGACACAACGTTTGGCAAACTCTGGGGTACCCCATGCGGGGTCGCATGCGCGTTCAGCTATTGTGGCGGCGAGTCGTCCCGATGATGTCTGGGCATGCCCTAACGCAATGAACGTTGAGGTATAAGACTGGAATCGTGTCCTTCGTGACAGTTGGCTTATCGAAATTCGTCAAAGCACACTCCCACCCTCAGACTCACTCCAATATTTACCTCCATCCATACATTCAACCTTCTCGACGGTCAAGATGGGCATCACTAGCAAGATTGACGGGAAGACTGGCACAGACCATGTTGAACATATCGACTCGCAGCAGAGCGTGCTCGACGATCTCGACACCATCGAAGAAACTAAGACTGGCAAGTTCGCATGGCTTGTTTCCATCACAGCAGCCATTGGCGGTATGCTTTTCGGATACGACACTGGAATCATTAGGTCAGTGAGACAGGTAGCCATGGGTCTCACACCCCTTGACTGACCATTATAAAGCGCTGTCCTAGTATACATCGGAACGTCCCTTGATCACAAAGTCTTGAGCTCGGGTGAAAAGGAGCTCATCACGTCTATCACGTCAGGCGCAGCTTTCTTTGGTGCTATATTCGCCGGCCTTACGGCTGACAAGTATGGACGCAAGCCAGCTATTTACGTTGGCTGCGTTCTATTCATTATTGGCGCAGTCTTACAAGCTGCATCATTTGGGATTGCTCAGATGACTGTTGGACGCCTTGTTGTAGGGTTCGGTGTCGGAAGTGCAGCCATGATCGGTACGTCAAGCCACTTGTTCCAAAGTGATATTATCTGATCGTAAAACAGTACCCATGTACATCGCCGAGGTGTCACCAGCGAAGTACAGAGGCCGCATGATCGGACTAGACAACATGTCAATTACTGGCGGTCAACTCATATCGTATGGGATCGGGGCTGCGTTTGCCAGCACTCCTGGAGGTTGGCGATACATGGTAGGAGGCGGTGCGATTCCTGCGATTGTACTTTGTGCCCTTCTACCTTTCTGTCCCGAATCGCCCCGTCAGCTCATCTATCACGGCAAGGAAGACGAGGCCAAGGACGTTATTCGCAAAATCTACCCCAATGGTACCGAAGATCAGGTTAACCAGAAATGCGAACACATCAGGATGCACATCGAGGTCTCGAAGCAGATGACTGAGGGCAAGAGTCAATGGTGGGTCTTCAAACAACTCTACGTTGTCCCAGCGAACTTCCGTGCTTTGGTCTCGGCATGTGGTCTTATGGCCATCTCTCAGCTTGGTGGATTCAACTCTCTGATGTACTATTCTTCGACGCTTTTCGCACTTGTTGGCTTTTCCAACCCGGTCGCAGTTGGAACCGTCATTGCTGGAACAAACTTCTTCTTCACCTGGGTTAATCTTATGCTCGTCGACCGTGTCGGACGCCGCCGAATTCTACTTATCACCATGCCGTTCATGGGTTTGGCTTTGATCCTTGCCGCCATCGCCTTTCACTGGATCCCAGTCAACCACGACTTGACCCTCAAGGCTGGTGTCAGTGTCGGCGTCCCAGCCAAGTTGGTCCTCGTCTGCATGGTCGTCTATGTTGGCTTCTATTCCTCAGGAATGGGAAACACTGCATGGCTCAGCTCTGAGTTCTTCCCTATGGAGATTCGAGCCATGGGAACGATGATGTTGACCATGACATGCTGGGGCTCCAACGTCATTGTGGCTAGTACTTTCCTCACTCAGATGGAAAACACCACACCTTCTGGTGCATTCGGATTCTACGCCGCAATCTGCATTCTGGGCTGCTTCCCCTGCGTTTACTTCTGCTACCCCGAGGTCAAAGGCATGACTCTCGAGGATATCAGAGAGATCTTCTCCCACGGATTCGGCGTTCAGAAGGCGCGAGAGCTCCAGAAGGCACAGAAGCAAGCCTCTAGCTATGGAACAGAAGTAGATGGATTAGCCTAGATACATTGGGGCGAACACTCCACCATGAATCTGCCGCCCTCTCTTGTGCCATCATCTTTCTATATATCAGTAACGGAATGTTGACGTTTGTCACATCCAAGACCTGGAGCGCAACCATCTCATCCCCTCGCGATCTTGTCTTTGTAGTAGCTGCAATCCTCGGGTACCTATACCACCGCTGTATATCATGATTCAGCTCTATCGCTTGCGAAGTATTCGAGCACTTGAGGATAAAGTGATACGCTTCCATAAGCATTCCCGTTGAAGTCCAGATAACCAGTAACGTTGCTGAAAGGTATACTTGTGATCTCAGCGGCAGAGTTACCAAAGACCCAGCCAGTAGACATGCCTATGCAGTCCAATCAGTATGCGGAATCATCAGAAAATCAAGGCTAAACTTATCCATGACCATGTGCTGCAAGATGTGGCAGTGTATGATATACACACCAGGATCACTAACACGCAGTCGCCATCCTCTCCAACTCATTGTCTGACCTGGGACACCAGCAGTACCATAACGATAGACCATCGTAGTATCACGCAGGACAGGTCTATAGCCTTGCAACTTCAGCTCGTTGGCAGTTGGGTCATAGCTCCCGTTACCCCCGCCGATATCATAGTAATGGCCAGCGTGAGCATGAAACGGGTGGATATCAAGAGCACCAGCATTCTTGACCAAAGAACCGGTATTCTGAATGATGATCTCCGGTACTTCACCGGTCTTTGCTGACCATAGCCTTGTCTCTCGATCCCAACCATTGTTCTTCAATGCTCGAGTATGATTGGGCATAGCTGCATCTCCTCTTCTGTATAGATCAATCAACGTGGGCGTCCTTCCTGAGGTATCCGTCCAGTTGTTTCCATTCTGAGCCCAGTAGATACTGCCATTCTTGAACTGCTGAACAGTCATATAGACACGGCGGGTGATTTCCGAAGCTTTCGGAAATCTGTTTGGACGCAGAGGTCGTAGGGCATACTCGAGCCAGTTATATGTGATGTTTGGAAGGCTCAAGGGCGGTGAAGTCGGTATGGGTGGCAATTGATTTACTCCAGTTCGTAGCCCAGCATCTCCTTCGATTCTTGGCATAGGATCGTCCTTATCCTTTGGCGCAGAGTCCCTCTTACTCTTTGGCATGGTATATCGGAGGAAACCGTAGCCACGATAGACGGTTGGCCGATCTCGCGTCTCAAATTGCAGCTAGAACTGTGTTCGCTTGAGCTCTGCTAGCTCTGCCAACGTCTTAGTCCTGAGGACCACATCAAACCGTTGACCACTACCCAGCTGAATGTGGTAAGGCTGCGTGTAGCGAGCGTCAGCTGCGATGATGGTCAGATTGGCGTGCCCCTCGCAAAGCCAGTAACACATGTGAAAGAGCGGTAGCGCCTATGAAACGCAGACGATAAGTCTTGCCGGGCAAGACATCGATCACAGGAAGCTCGCACCTTGTATCGTTCTGTTTGCCAACACCTACGCCGACACCATTGACGAGTAGGCCCATTGTCTCGCATGGCCAGACAAAGGGGGAAGATGTCAGATCCATCTCGATAGCTTGATCCGATTTGTTAAAGTAGTCAGTCACATGAACCAGGCGCTTTTCATCGTACGCGTATGGTGGTTCGCAGATGTCTTCGATAACAAGAGCGCCGTTTGCAGTCATAGCTTGGACACCAATATGAGAATGGTAGAAAGAGGTACCAACGTGGTTTTCCCGTGGAAGAATCTCGTAGTCAAAAAAATGTTGTGGTGCAATGGGCCATTGTGAGAGTGGTGTACCATCGGAAAAGACTGCCATGCGTTGTGAAAGACCATGCCAGTGCTATAACAGTAATCAATTCTCGGTGTGACAGTGTCAATAACGCTGCGCAACGAAGCTTTACCATGGTAAGATTCTGATCCGCCATGTCGTTATATACTCTGATCCAAGTCACCCTGTTTGGTTTGATACGTAATGTTGGGCCTGGAGAGGTGCCATTAACGACAACGGACTCTCGTGTGAAACATCCTTGTGTGATGTTCTTGACAGACACCCGTAGAGAGAAATCAGGCGTGAATGAAGCGTCATGTCCACTAACTACCGCAGCTTGTACAGTGAAGCAAGAACATAGACAGATGATGGCAATAGAAAGAAAGAGCATGATATATGGCTGATTTTGTCTCTGTTAAAAGGTGTCACACACGGGTATCATCTTTATATCATTCCTTGTCGCGTGTTGGAGCCGGGAATTCCTCCAATGCTCGGTGACTATCGATCGCCACTATGCCCAGATACCGACAAAGTCCTCAAGTCAGTAGGGGTATGCTAAGTGATTGCCTCTCCAGATGCGGAGTAAGTATGGGGCCCCGTGGTGTCCCCCACAACCGCATCGCCGTGACCAAAAGATACGGCCGTCGGATATCGATGGGCTTCAGGTTAACGTATGGGAATTGTCGAACGCCTAATTACGCGGATACGAGATGAGACTGCCAACCTGAGCAGATTTGGCCAGAGCTTCAGAGCATGTGGCCACTCTGCTAAGTAGGCAGTCGGTGTAGTCGCCGACCGACGGCGGCAACTGACGGCATGTACCTCGGTGTCGCTCCATTCCCGAATGCGACCAAAAAGGCCGACGCTTGTTCCTATGATCCCGAGCCCTACTTTCTACAACCCTACGTGGTACGCAATGGTGTCTTCCATCTCTCCATCTTCCCGAGTGCTCTCTTCTGCTGGATCTGAAACCTGGCTGACAAGGAGTCCGCTGGCGGTGATGTCCATTGCAACTAATCCAAGATTGTGTCCATCGAGGTATACGATTTCCTGGCGTGGGGTCTTTCCAACGTAGTTGATGCGAAAAGCTCTGGAAGTTCCGAACAAAGCAACTGGGACGGTGTTTATGCCGATATAGAAAAGTAACAACTGGACGACACAGATGTAAATGAGATTGGGGCGTATCCGAGGCTCTGGTCTAAAGGGCTTCCCTGGACAGGCGGCTTGCTGCTGCTGATCACTCGAGACGAGTGAGAAACCCACGGAAATCACATTGAGGATTGGCAGAGCAGTGCGGCACGCCAGTGAACAAACCATCTCGACAGTAGAGATCCATGGATATACCTAACTGGAATTCTTGTCAGGGTTACCTTTACAAAGAGCACAAAAAGTGTACGATATATGCATAAAGTGAGCATATAAATGCGGTCTACCACCTACGGTATGCTTAGCATTTGTGCATGGACCCACTGGACATCCGGCTGAACAGGCCTCTGTCCAAGTCTAGTGAAACCTTTTGCAGACAAACCTCTATACAAGTCCAATCGATGATGTCTAGATACCAACTGGATATCCAGGTCCAGTCTGTCCAGTGCCATCACTACGATTGACGGAAGGCGCGCATTCCACAAGAGAGTCTTTCCCCAGTTTCTCTGGAAGAAGGATTCCAAGGCCGTTGCGCTAGTTGAATTAGCCGTTCTCAACAAGACGACGGCGAGCGCGTCCCGCGCGTTCCTCAACCCGCTGGCATCGCCATTGCCATCCTTCGTTGCGTTTCCATCGCCCTGCCTTCACGGCCTGCTGCCCTGCGGACCTCGCACTCCTGTCGTATCTCTTTCATCATGTCCGACCCCGAAGACAAGCTCGAGGAATCATCGAAGGTACACATCGGTCGCGCCGTGAGTATCCCGCACCCGCCACGATTGTCATCGTTGAGTAAATTCTGAGATGTAGTGCGATAATTGTCGCTCGCGCAAGGTACGTATACTGTGGAGCTTGAGCATGCTCGACAACGAAGTACCGACGCAGACAGATTCGTTGCGACCGAGCGACCCCGTGTGCAAATTGTGTTGCCACTAGCATACACTGCAGGATCACCAAAGACAGACCTCAAATTCCAAGGCAGAGGGTGTTGATATGTGGGCAATAGTGAGTGAAGTAGACCCCGCATCTCAAGAGGATCCCGCTGATTTGGTCCAGTGAGCGCAAAATTGATGCAATGGAAGAGCGTCTGCAAAGCGTCGAAACCTTGTTGGCGGAGACCAACAGCATGTTGCGTACTCTGCTGAACAGGGATCATCCAGTAGCGCTTTCACCAACGCTCCGCTCAGGCTCTCGGGACATCAATGCCGGTATTGCCTTCGATATGGGCATTGACAGGAATGCTGGTAGCATGGTCGATGGCGAGACATCCCTCATGGCTCATTCGAGAAAAGCTCGTCGTGTCATCGAGCACCTGCTGCAATCGACACCCTCAATGTCTAGTGACCCTGAAGTGATCGATGCTCTCAAAGCATTGCATACTGCTATGCAGGGTCCTTCGGAGACAGGCACTTGTCTCCTGCGGCCCGTACCGAGCGGGCGACACCAAGAGTATTCTCGAGAGACTCTGCCGCCCCAGGAAGCCGTTCTGAACATTCTTCGGGGTGCGCAGGCTGCAGACTGTCTATTCTTCTCCATCTGGCTGCCTTTCTTTACGGCAGCGGAGTTCGAGCGACTTTGCAACCAATTGTACTCCGACTTTGACTCATGCTCACCGGCGATCAAAACTATAGTGTATGGTGGCATACATTACATGTTTGTTGAGTATCTGTCAGCTTGCAAGATCCCATACGACTCTGCCTATTGGTCGTACGCGCAAAGCTTCAAGGTCCATTTCGAGAGCTGTTTGCGACACTACAGTGTCTTGTCCATGATCACGTTCGACAATATTCTGGCTCTGGTATTTGGTGCTGGTCATGCTATTCAAGTATCTGAGTTTGCTTCCGCCTGGCCGCTGGTGTCAGCTGCAGCAAACATGTGTCAGGCTTTGGGCTGGCACCGGACACCAGACAGTCACTCACCCGTTCCCGGAGCTCAAATCATTCTGTTCTGGTTGATATATCATCTTGACAAGTGCCTCTCTTTGCGGCTTGGGAGATCGTCCAATATACAAGATTTCGATCTGACACTTGGCTATCCCAAAGAACCCGTTGAGACGCAATATCAATCATGGCACCTGTGGTTCACGACCCTTATCGACATTGCCGCCGCTCACGGCTTGATATATGAGCATCTCTTTAGCCCTGGATCAATGAGATATTCTCCAAAACAACGATCGCAACGTGTTCTGGAGCTCGCAATCCGTTTGGACAACATTGCTTCAAAGAACAATGGCATCGTAGGCGTGACTGTGTACCGACGACAGTACATGATTTACCTTGTCAAGTCTAATGCAGTAGTCATAGGCTGTCTTCGTACCTTGGTCTATCTAGCCGCCTCACCATCAGGCGACAGTGCTGACTTCCATGTCGACCCTCGATGCTTGTTGGCTGCACGATCGACGCTCCACTACCATCAAGACGTTGTTGATTTCGTACGAGACAAAGAAGACGGCAGCGCTAATGATTATGCCAGCTGGACCATTTTGAATTGTCCCTTCACGCCATTCATAGTACTGTTCTGTCACGTCATTGTTAGCTTCGGCCTGGAAGACTTGAAACTCATGGAGGCATTCACCACCTCTCTCCAAAGCCTCAACATGCGGAATGCCAGACCCATGCTCAACTTTCGCGTACTTTGCGAGGCTTTTTTGTTACTCGCGACGCGGTACATCCGTATGTCCACCAAGCGACTGCATGACCAGAACCTGTCGCTCGGTCGAAGCTTAGATGGTGGTCATGCGACTCCTTTATCATCACATGCTCGGACCATTCATAATCCCATTAATGAAGCCGATGCCTCCTACAAGAACGATAGCAGCGGTAGCTTCAATTTCTTGCCTCCAGTTGCCTTTGATGATTGGCTTTCGGGAAGGCAAGAATTTCATAGTCTTGGGTCTCCCTTTTGAGTATCTAGTATGAGAGAGATCATGATCACTAGATGATCACCAGCCCAATCAGAGACATACTCACATCTTGTTTCAGCCACCCCTCATGCTCTCAAGTACTTCTGCCGCGAAGTCAGATCGCTCCAGCAGCGTTCAACGCGACCGTCTGTGTGGACAGCGTGCCCGAATTCTTGATGTTCCATGTACCAGACGTCGTATCTCCATGTGCGTCGCTAAACCATTCCAAATATCATGTCGCAAGTGCTGACTATGACCTTTGCAACCTGCAATGGTTCGGAAGCTTTTGCCAAGCCCGATCGAGGGTCGTGGTCAGACACACCCGAGCGGGATGCGCGGCGCGCGTTAGCCGGCTGTCTCTCACACTACCTTTGGTACTAGTGTGCTTTCTATCTGGGAGCCTAACCCGCATCTCTAGACTTTGATGATGCATAATCGAATGTCTTCTGACCCGTCATCAGCAGAGCATCGTACACAAGATGGTAGACTGCAGCTGCCCTTCCGTGTTTATAACCAGCTCCTCCTCCAAGCTTCTGGCATTTCTCACTCAACATGACCAACCTACACTCAGTCCTAGTTGTTGGAGGCTGTGGCTTTTTGGGACATCACATCGTAGATTTCCTGTTAGCGAAAAACGAGAACATTCAAATTTCCGTCATGGGACGTTCGAATACCCGTCACCGGAGACCTCAAGTCCAATATCTGGAGGGCGACCTGCTGTCTGAAAGCTCTGTACAATCGATATTCCACCAAGCCAACCCTCAGGTCGTGATCAACACAGTCGCTCCGATCACTTTTCCCCGGAATGGAACACCGGATTCCCATTACCGGATCAACGTGGATGGAACGTCGAACTTGCTGAGAGCTGCTGCCGCTTGCCCTTCCACTGCAGCATTCATATACACTTCATCTGCTCATACTGTCCTCGCGACTGACTATACCGATGCCAAAGAGTCGGATTCTGTCGATGATCATCGTGACAGTCGGCGTTTTCCGACGTCCACGAAAGCTCTCGCCGATGCAGCAACACTCGCAGCGAACAATGCTTTGCCCATCAAGGCCGGTGGTCTGCGCACAGCGACCATCAGACCTTGTGCTATATTCGGCGAAGACGACTCGCAGCTTCTGCCAACAATACTTTCACAGTTGGATCATGGTCAACAGAATTATCAGATCGGACACAACACTGCCATGTACGACTTTGTCTACGTCGGAAACGTCGCTGAAGCTCACATACTGGCTGCTGAAGCGCTTGTGCGAGAATCGGCTGGGGCAGCAGAGGAAGGCAAGCAAGTCAGCGGCGAGTCGTTTTTGATCACGAACGACGATCCGCAACACTTCTACGACTTCATGAGAAAGGTCTGGTCTGCAAGTGGGTACGGGGTGTCAGAGCTGAAGCCGTGGATCATACCTTCAAAGCTCGCGCTTGAGCTGGGAAGTGCAGGTAATCTAGCAACTTGGGCTTCTACACTCGGCGGCAAGTCTTCCTCCACGTTGTCCCGAGAAAGCATTGAGCACTTGTGCCTCAATCGTATCCACGATATCTCGAAAGCAAAGACCCGTCTGTATTATACTCCGTTGGTCTCGGTTGATGAGGGAATCCTGCGTGGAGTCAAGAGCTTATCGTGACTACTGCCTACTTGTTCACATCGAATAAATGGTCCAACTGGTGTTATAGCTGCGTCGACCTTTCCTTCAAATACTTATGTCTTCTCTGAACCCGTCCCCACATTCTGGCATCGATCAGCTACTGTTCAACAGACTATAGTCAAGTCTTCTTATCGACATTCTTCGTCCGGCCCTACAGCCGACGGGAAATACAGAGTTGGTGTATTAGGAGGCAGATCGATCTTTTTGTGCAAGGTATTCGAGGGCTAACATACTATAGCCGTGGGGATAATTTCTCGGGTGTGGCATCGATGAAATTCATATTATCTGGCTCCACGAAGCTCCTATTCCTCTTCCTAAGTTGTGTACCTTCTCCATGACTCATGTTCCTCGAACGTCGTTCATTTTTACTCGTGTAGGCTAATGACTACCTCCATCTCACCTATCGGTAACTCTGGGGTTCTGAATACACAGCACCTGGTAATGTCTCATGTATCGATACAGCCTTGTTCTTTTCTGTCGCTGACATTTCGACGTCGCTATATTGCTCATCCTGATTCCATGTGACCTGAAGTTGGCTCTTCAGCTCAGACAGCGGGTTCTATCAATTTGCATCTTCATGCTCGGAGGCTTGTAAGTCTCACACCATCAGCCTCGCCAGCGTGATGCGGATATACTACCTTCAAGACCCTCGTACGAGTATGGGTGTTACGTACTGATGGGAAACGTCTTCATCTGGCGCTCAGTAGGACCTGCGATTGATATTGTCTCGTCGTGCCCGATTCCCATTCGTCTAATCTCGCAAAGGGTATTGTCATCCGTCACTACTACAATGTTCACACAATACATAGATCAAACACAATCTGACGAGCAACCATCCTCCGCTCATGATGGCCGCTCGCCAGGGCTTTCTAGGTATGGTGAAACCCACGCGCATCTGTCGTACATCAGAGCTCTCTTAGGTCATATCTTGGATTGTGCCATTTCGATCTATCTTGGCGAGGTTGAGACTTTCATATGCCGGCTCACAATTCGAAGACGGCCTGGTCGCCGTGATTAGCTTAACAACGACTGCCACCACTAGATTTCGCCACGATCAAGCTTCTATGGCCCCGCGTGCCTCCCATGAGCTGGGGGCGCTCTAATTGATACAGCCATAAAAGCCGACGTGTATCTATCTCTGTCAGCTCCCTCGACCGCCCATCGAACGCGTTGTAGCCCCACATTGTCCTCCTCAGGACTCCGGAATTTATACAAGTCTCCGCCCCATATTCCATCCCTCTTCCAGGTCAGTCTGAAACTTGCTTCAAAGCGACCATGGGATTCTTTTCTCAACTCTCCAAGTCAGCGACTGTCAAGCAGCCTGACTGTCGTTGAGTTGCAGAACTGTTCTATGGCCTATGAGGTGATCGGGTATACTTCGGATTCTGCGATGGCGAGCTCTCACGCCATGCAGGATAGATACATCTGCCACTATGTTGACGAACCACAGCAATGTATGCAATCAAAGTTTACAGCTGGAGCGATGGCGAGCTTTCGCATCATGTTTTCGACGCATTCCTGACTCAACGAAATTTCCGGCCACGATTTCGGCTAGCAAAACAGATTACTATATGATCAAGAAGAGAGGACGCGTTTTGCAGATCTCAAGTCCTCAGTAAGACCGAAACAGACTCATGTCGAACGATAAATCCTCTGGCATATTGTCAGCCCAGTCCTTGGAAAGTCCAAGCGAGCATGGCTCTCTGGAAGCGATTCGCAGGCGTCAGTAACGCTAGCATCTGCAGCACCACTTTGCTGACATGATATCCCATAGCGAAATGGTACCGGTCCACCTTCTGGAACGCCTTCATCCTAGGAATTTGTAACTTCTTAGCACCCGGTATCTGGGGTGCCATGAACTCACTCGGTGGAGGTGGTCAACAATCACCATCACTTGTCAACTCAGCGAATGCTTTGACCTTTTGTCTCATGGTCTTGACATGCTTCTTTTCGTCTGTCATCGTTCGATGGGTTGGCGTCAAGTGGGCACTTATCATCGGTACCTTGGGATACTGCCCATATGCCGCAGGCCTCTATGTCAACAACCGCTATGGAGATGGCTGGTTCGTGCTCCTCGGTGCCGCACTGTGTGGTCTTTCTGCTGGCATATTCTGGTCTGTTGAGGCAGCTATTGCACTTGCCTATCCGGAACCTCACAATCAAGGTCGCTTTCTCGGTTTCTGGCTCAGCTTCCGTCTTGGTGGTCAGATCGTCGGAGGCGCCATCAACCTAGGTGTCAATGTTCACAATAACAAGGCCGGCTCAGTCTCATACCATGTCTTCGAAGCCTTCATCGCACTCCAAGCTCTTGCACCCTTTGCAGGTCTACTCTTGAGTCCACCTGAGAAGGTCCAGAGGACTGATGGCTTGCCTGTCCGTCTGAGCATCGGGAACAGTATCTCGTACGAGTTGAAAGCCATGTCCAAGCTCTTCTTTAGCAAGCATTTCCTTCTGATCGTGCCACTCATCGCACAAGCTGTGTATGCCGAATCGGTCTTCTTTACCTTCCAGGCACTCTGGTTCAGTGTACGCGCTCGCGCTCTGGGCTCTTTCCTCTCTGGTGTTGTTGCCGTCACTCTCGGCAATGTGCTCGGCAAGTTCCTCGATCATACCAAGTTCAGCCTCAAGTCTCGGTCTCGAGGTGCCTTTTTCACGATCTTGGGATTGCAAGGCGCATGGTGGATCTGGGCGACTATTCTGGTCACCGAGTTTAACAAAACCAACCCAACCTATGACTGGGTAGATGCAGGCTTTGGTAAAGGATTTGCCCTGTTTTTGTTCTGGGTTGCCGGGTTCCAGCTGAACTACATGTTCCTGTAAGTCACACTTCATTGACCATGATGGAGCGATTGGACTGACTCGTGTAGTTACTTTGTCGTCGGCAATCTTGCAGAGACACAAGACGAGATCATTCGTATCTGCAGTCTTCTTCGTGGTACCGAGTCAGCTGTCCAGGCGGTCAGTGTAAGTCTTGAACACTTTCTCCACTGACTCAACGGCAATTGGGTTGACTTGTTTGTACAGTATGGTCTCGGAAGCGTGTCAGTCATGGCAAGAACTGGAAGCATCTATCTCAATTTCGGCCTCTGGGCGGTATCACTCTATCCAGCATGGTTGGTAATCTCCAAATTCGGTGACTCGTTGGGTGACAAGAAGTTGGCTCGTGAGGAGGCCGTACAAGAAAGCGTGCTCAACAGTCTTCAGTCAAGTCAACAGGAAGAAAAGTAAAAGGGTTTGGAGGCTTGAGAAGGTCTGGTGTGTCTGCGATAGCGACTATCTCAGTCAGGATGTATTGACCACAAAAGTGAAACCTGATCAAGGCGAAGATCAAATCAAAGCAGCAGCAAACAGTGCCACAGCCCCGCCTACCAAAGCTAATGCATTACTCCTTCCGACGCTGTCCCCAGCATCACCTATAGAAGCAACCCAACACTTCCCACTGCCTCCGTTGACCTTTGACGCGCTAACAACCAAGAAACTCTGGATCGTATAATTTGTCTGATAGCAACTCCCATTCTCAGGACTCTGACACGACCACCCCAAGATCGGATACAAAGCTTCTGCCGAAAAATTGATTTGCACACAATCGCGCCCGGAAAAGACTTCGAGCAATCTAGCAGCATCCTGTCCTTCCTGCGGCTGGGTGACATTTTGCTGTCGATAAAGAATTCGGGAGTAGTTGGCAGAAGCATCAAAGGTACCGGCGTTCAACACATTTCAGGTAATTAACGTGAGGTTATTAGATGAGTATGGTGTTATGGCATTCCTCGAGTTGTAAATACGCGATGGATTTGAGAAGATGTCGTCAAAATTGAAGCATTCATGTTGAGACGGGGTGAATGATGTCGTGAAAGTTATCGCTGAGGAAGAACCAGGCCCTTCGCATGTAGATTTTATAGATGGGGTCAGGGAGATGGTGAGATTGCTGGCGCTTGAGTGATCAGGTTCTCGTCTGGGAAGATGAGGCTTTCTGAGGTAGGTGCCTACTTTGATTGCGCAGCAGCGTGTATAACGAGGAGGAAGCTGGACAGCAATGAGAGAGTTGACATGTTTATGAGTGTCACCTGGGTAGAAGCACTGGGTTGTTATTGTTCACAGATCGATCGTCGAGTGTATATGTCTCGAGTAGAGTGTCAGCTGAAACGGAGGATACAAAGATTAAAAGTGCTGCGAATTCGATTACCCACGAGGCCCTTCCCAGCATCTGAGATTTTATGATGCTAGCCAAGGATGAAAGGAGTCGATCGTCTCGAAAGCCAAGAAATACAGGTTAGGCAGTCTTGGCTCCTCTGCGTCGATCAGATAGGCAAGGCATCAAACCAGCAGTCCCACGTGAGTATGCGATCCTCTACGTGCGTATGAATGGGATATAGCGCTGGAAGAGGATGCCATCGCTGATATATCGCCGAGATCCGTTATTCCGCCAAGACGATCAGTGTCCCAGAGACCGTTGAAATGCTGCGGGGTATGTGATCTGATAGCCGAAGGATGATAAGGGCCTCTGGTAGAGAGGGCAGGAATATCTTGAAGCCAAGGAGGTATGTGTTAAAAGACTCGGAATTCTCATACATTGACGTCAGCATCAGTATTCTACGATGGGGTAAAGATATCGGCAGAGAAGAGCGATTCAACACACAAGAGCCGATATGCAGCCGTCCGAGTGCATGTATCACTGCCATCGCTTTTTCGTTGTTGGCGCCAGCGAGCAGTCTACACCAATCCAGGTACAGGAAGAGGGTTCGAGCTTGCAGCAACCTTGCTCGGTGAGTTCAGACACAAAGGCACGCTCTTCGAATTGAATCTGTCGTAAGTGTTGGTACCGGGCGAACACTGATCAACACCATTCTGCATCCTGTTCAGAGTGCAAGGGCTGGGCTTGGGGTAGCCAGGGAAAGTGGTGTCTGCTTGAGCTGCGGGAGCTCCATTGGGGACAGGACATCCATAGGTGCCAAAGACAGAAGTGACGGTGTTCAAAGCACCAACCGCTGTTGACAGGATGCTACTGAACTCATTGACAAAGTTGGCGTAGAGTGTGCCTTCCAGGGCGCAGATCGTGCCATTGACGGTAGTGCCACCGTAGCTACCACTTCCACCGTATGACGAGAGACTGGTTTGACCATTGAAGTCGCCTGCTGTTCCTGTGTTTGCGCCGAACAGCTCAGGCTCTCCAAGAATCTCGGCTATGCCAGTGTACATGGTGATGATACCGTCGATACCCTCAGAGAGGAACATGGGGAAGCCTCTACGGTACCATCCTTGAGGAGGAATCTGCTCGGGCTGATAGGAAACAGTTCCGTTTGCGTTGAAGTACGCGCCATCAAATGATGCGATCGATGCTTCGTTTGCAACGCCACCAAAGCCAATGGTGCCGTTAGAGAAGAAGCCAGCTTGGAAGTAAGTTGCGCCGATTGTGAGAGCAGAAGATGGAGGCAAGAAGTAGAAGTTGGGGTTCTTGCTGCGCGAGTTGTTGTATTGAGCAGCAGAATGGTGAATCAAGGCTTTGACGTTGTATTGACCTCCGCCATATGTCCTTGCCTTGTCTTGTAGGTCCAGGAAGATACTGCCGTTCAGATTGTGGTTGTCACCATCGCAGAGATAGAAGTCGCATCGTGTACCTGAAGCATCTCCCTCCTTGAAGCGGAGGTGCCCGGAAAGTCCAGTCTCGGTACCTAGCGCACTGCCGAGAGCACCAGCCGAATTGGTGCGAGAGTCTGCGCCACCAATGGAGTATCGCATCGATGGAATGTCACCAGCAAACAGCACGGACCCACCAGCGAGGAACGTTGTCAGATCTCTGTGTCGGAAAGTCAGTGGCTCGTGGTTTCAAAAGCGGCTACAGTTGAACATACGCTCCCATATTGAAGACTCGTGCGGCTGCGATGACCGTCTGAGCTACGGTAGTGATACCGTTGCGAGGAATGTAGCCATGGTCTAAGCGATGAGTTAGCATGTTTCTAGAGGATAGTTCAAGTACAGATGACAGTCAAAACCCCGTCCGGTGGCTTCTAAACTGTGCCACCTGCGCCCTCGTCGTACGTACTAGCAAGAGTATTCATGCCTGGGCATGGTCCTCTCTGATCCGAAGGTGTGGGATCTTTGTAAGGGTACGCAGCTTCAGGAAACTTCTTTAAACCGGTGATGTTGGAAGGCAGGAAGTCTGGAAGGGTGTGAGACAAGCAGTTTGTTGTGGTACGCTTCTCAAGTGGCGAATCTGAGGCGTCATCGTCGCCTTCGATATAGCTGAACATAGAGGCGAAGAAGTCATCTCGTTCCTGCAGCTGATCCTTATAGAGGGTTTGAAGAAGAGAGACCAGCTCTGGATCCTTCTTTACGACTTCCAGTCCACGCTTGGCATGATCTGAGAAGTCCTCACGAAGCCATGGAAAGGACGCAGCACTGGATGCGAGACCGAGTACGAAAACAAGAGACGACTTCATATTAGCCAGATTCTTGTATCTTGTGTGATTACAGAATTTGCCGGGAACTGGGTCTCTTTTGTGCTGCTGCGATGAACTTGACACGGCTGGCGTATGCACTTGTTCCATGCAAGTTCTGGAATAGCGTTGTTGACATGCTGTCATGTCTGATCATCCGAAATGTGACGTCGAAGTCAGTCAGGCCTATACCAGACCTTTGTTATGTCTCTCGACCAAGATTTAACGATGAATGATTGGGCAGAGTTTGTTTGACACCGACCTGAGCTCGCTTCGGAGGCCCAACTGACATATCACGCAGTGCGGATTGGACTGCAGCAGTATCGATGCATACAAAAGGAGTCAAACTCTGGTAAGCGCTTGCCCAATATAGGTGTGTGACGCAATGGCTATATTAGACGTGCCTGAATTGCTGCCGTGGATGCAGAAAGCCATGACCACCTTTGGTCCCGAGGGGCGGAGAAGATGTGCTATGACATCCGTCAACATGAAGAAGCGGCTGGTTGGCGTGAAATTCGCACTGCAAGTCCTGCTTTTCGCAGATGAAAGCGTGCGACGACGATTCGCTCAGATCTGGGTGACCAAGCGTTCCAAGACAGTGAGATACACGAGTCGTACTTGTATACATATTGGAGCTCTTGAGTGCTCAAGGACTAGTTCGTGAAGATGGGATGTTGAGATGATGAGAGATGACCAGCGGCAGAGGCATGAAGCACTTTTATATCGACGGGGTCTTTTATAGTTCGAATGCTGAGAACAAAGAGCAGAATACTCTAATGCCCTGTTGTCCTCTTGAGTCGGCTCTGTAGGCACTAGCTGGTTGGTCCTGATAAGATACGACCATCTGACCGATATGCTCTGGCAGAATACGAAGAGTTGGCCGAGCTGACCGAGCCGACTGAGCTGTATACAATGAAGATCAACATTGGAGGAGCTATTTGCTTCGTCTACCTTCCTTCACGAGTCGATTCATCCGGAGGCTCGGGTTTTGATATCGCCGGAGCTCAGAGTGGTTGATGGCATGGTTCACAGAGCATTCCATGAGCAAAGTAGACTGTTTGCGCAGGGCAACGATGAAGCGCGACCCAGCGGGCATGTCAATCAAGACATGAGTCGATTGTGAGAGGTTGGCACCATCGACCTAAGCAGCATACTCAGTCAAGCGTCAGTCGCACCGCTTCGTGATATGATTTTTTATGAGGCAGATCAGCGACATAATTCTGTATGTCTGGTTGATAGTGCAGTCTTCGGGGGCTGCAAAGGGTCAAACGGGAGACGGCGTGTCGGTAGTGTCGACAGTCCGTGTCGAGTCGGCATCACGAAGGCACCGCTCGATCATAGTATGGACTGCGGACTGGTGTCTGTGGATTGTAGGGTGTTCCAGACTCGTGCACCCGCCAGAGCGACGGACGGAGTGTCGGAGGGAAAGAGCAGGTGAACAAAGCAGAAAGAGGGGAAAATCCAGCTCCGGAGGCCCAAGCGTTGGTGGCTGAGCGCGGCCGAGATGGCCAGCAGGCAAAAGCCCGCCCACCGAACCGACCGAGCCGAACCTCTCGTCCTCCATCCTCGTCCTCCACACAATCCGGGGGACACGCCACCAAGTCATGCGACCAACGACAGAGACATCATTGGTCACAAAGTACCACCACCGATATAAGACCCTAAAAGCCCGAGGTCAAGCAAAGAAGATCCACTCAACAGTAATTCGATCAAATATTAACAACCAGCCATACCCCTCATGTCTTGCACTTCAATCTCCTTTAGACTCATTGTCCAAGACTATCACAAATGGCGATCCGGTCAGAAGTAGAACATTGGGACATTGTCATTGTCGGTGCCGGCATTGCTGGACTGGCTTCCGTACGTGTGCAGCTTCCAAAAGCTTTCATTTAGCAAGCTAACAGATATTCAGGCAATCGCCCTTCGTCAAAATGGCCGCAGCATCCTCGTCCTCGAGAAATCAAGCATGAACAAAGAAGTCGGTGCACTCATCTCCCTTCAGCCCAATGCTTCCAAAATCGTCGATGGCTGGAACATGTCACCCTTTCTCTCCGAAAAGAAACCAATGGTCGATGAAGCTTTCCGCCTTCTCAACGTCAAGGGAGAACTCCAAGTTGAGATGAAACTCAACACTTCACAATTCGGTGCCGATAGAATGCTGTACCATCGTCAAGATCTGCATGATGCGCTGAGACAGGCGGCTACGTCAAAGGAAATGCCCGGCGAGCCTGCCGTCATCCGCACTTCCTCTGGTGTCACTGGTTGTGATTGCGACTCTGGAATTGTCTATCTCAGCAATGGAAGCTCGGTCCGTGGAAGCGTTATTGTCGGAGCAGATGGCATTCGCAGTGCAATCAGAGATGAAGTCATCAAGGGCTCAAAGAGCGAAGGATCAAAAGCCATCCCCACCGGCCTCTCAGCATACCGCGTTCTTGTCGAAACAGACAAACTACCTAAACTCGATGTCTCAGAAGACGTGTTTGATCTCAAGCGCTCAGCAACCACCATGATAGTCGGTCATGACAAGCGAGTCATCATGGGCCCCGGTAGAGGAGGCGAGATGTTCGGTCTTGTCTGTCTTGTACCTGATCCCAACCCCGAAGGCGAAGGCACATCATGGAATAACCCAGCTCCACTGGAAGAAGTACTCGATGCATTCCAAGCTTTCCCGCAATGGGTTCGCGACATCATATCTCATGCCCCCGAAGCGGCACTTTGGCAACTCAGGGACATCGATCCCCTGACAACATGGACAAAAGGACGCGCCATCATCATCGGTGACGCAGCTCATGCCATGTTACCCACACAAGGACAAGGCGCGAGTCAAAGCATCGAGGATGCTGAAGCTCTACAGGCTTTCCTCTCCACCATTGACTCAAAGTCATCCGCCGATGATATCCACGAGCAGCTCCTCGCCATCGTCAACGCGAGATACGAGAGAGCGTCGTTGATCCAGGCATACAGCAGGCTCCAGGCAAAGCCAGCGGCGTCACAGGACAACAAGACTGTTCAACTCAACCCACAAGAGTTCATGCAGTACAACTGCAATTACTCGGGAGCGAAGGATTGGGTCAAGAGACAACGGGATGCGGAGGAGTTGGCGTATAAGCAGACTGCGGCTAGGGCTTAGGTTTTAGTCTCGTGATGTTCTTTTTAGCTACAATACCAGTTCTTCGTCAATCGTACTTCTGCTCATGTTTCAATTCATGCCATCCTTTTCACGTGAATCCATTCACACCTTCCTTGAACCTCTGGAAGACAGCCAAATCAAAGTTATTGGCGATGACTTGGTATCCTGCTTCATTAGGATGCAAAAAGTCTCCACTGTCATATATCGGGTTCAACTGCGTCGGCATATTCGGATCCGCCAGCCAAGCGTTGAAGTCAAATACTGCATCGAAGGTCCCGGAAGTGCGGATGAAGTCGTTTACACGCTGTACCGTTGCTACTCGCTCTGGTTGTGTGTATGTGCCTGCTGTTGCGTTTTGGGCGCCGACTGTAGGTATCAGTATGCTGAGTCAAAGGAAGGCATGGAGGGAAGGAGACATACTTGGTGTGATAGTTGCGGCAAAGACTGGGATGCCGAACGTGTGCATGCGAGTGACCATTTGCTTGTAAGCCTGAACAAGACGCTGCCGCAATTTGTCAGTTCGTGGGCTGAGAGTTTTAATAAGCTTGATTCTTACCTGATACACTAGCTCTTGGCTAGCAGCATCCAAACCAGCAGTACCGACATCATTCACACCCTCGAAGATCATCGCATACTTGGCTGCACTCTGTGCAATAACATCTCTTTCAACCCGCCCGGCAGCGTTTGGACCATTGCCATCAGACAGCACACGATTACCGCCAGCGGCTTGGTTGCAAACAGCAATGTTCGACGTAGCGGGATTCTTCTGCATGCGCGCAATGAGATTATCGGTCCACTTATTATTGCCATTGTTCCAAGATCCACGGCCATCTGTAATGGAGTCGCCGATGATGTAGAAAGCGCTGGTGGAGGGAGGGCTCCATACTTCGACACCAGAGATGAAGAACCAGTGTTGCTGCATGACCAGGTTATCGCCGGTGATGTTGTAGTTATTGACTTGGTTGCCCGTGCCATAGTATGAACTCCTGCGGGCACTGGGGTGAGAAGTTATGATGCTCGAGTTCTGACCGTCTTTGAGATAGATTGAGATGGCAAGTTCAGATTGGGCGGCGATGGGGAAATCTATGGGATCGGAGACGGCGATGGAACCGTCGGGAATGATGATAGAGCTGTTGCCGCTGAAGGTGACTTGTCTGATTGTCTTGGTGTCGATGAGCTCCGATCCAGTGCCCACAGGGTAAGGTGCACCGAGCACTGTGCCATTGAGCGTGGTTTGCACGGCATTGGGGTCCTGGAGTGGTACGCTGTCTTGGTCAGTCGAGTCGTCCTCTTTCTTTCCAGTATCTTCACTCACGCGACGGTCACAGCAGTGATGGGTAAATTCACTGCTCCAAATTGATTGCTGATTCTTAATCTGATCTGTTGACCGCCAATCGAGGTGTGGATCGTCTGACGAAGAGTCGTGTTCGGAAAGACGAGATTCGACTGATTGTAGTAGCCTGGACCGGGCAGATTGGTATATTCCGGAATCTGCGGCATTGCAACCCAAGAGTTGACCCAATGATAGTTCTCTGTGCCGTGGTGTGGTCCGACCAGGCAAGACGCAAGACCAGTGTAAGCTGCAAACAGCGACAAAGTTCGACCGGGCATGTTGAGACAGAGGGCGGTGTTGGGATAGGTTTTGAAGGAGACCTACATTGTTATATATCCTCCGCGATCTGACAATAGGCTATAGGACTGATCGTCGTGTCGGGAAAGGAACGGAGACCATCGACTACCGCACAACGCCATGATCAGGTACAGGTACGGGGCAATCCCGAGCCAGATTTCACTCTAAGCAATGACACCGCGTGTGCAGTCCTGGCAAATAGCCCGTTTGGTGCGATTTTTATGGTCGTGGTTGATGAAAAGGTAGGAAGAATGAGCCTGGCACCGCTGGGTAAACTGTTCGACGAGCGGGGTCCGGGCCGACCAACGCCAACTCGAGGAAGCTTGGCTAAATCCATCATCAGTCCAGGGTGTAACGCTCAGCATACATTTCTTGCTCTGTTTCTCGCAACACAAGCTCTGGTGACGATCTAGGATTCTTCTAACTCTTGAGATCATAGTCCTGTAATACAAGCGATGGGAGCATACCACTGAAAGTGACCGTGTGAGTCTGGACGTGATGCACGAGGCTTAATGTGAGGGAACAAAAACATCTCCAGCAGGCCATCGAAAACCAGGTGTTATGTCACATTGACTGTTTCCCTGAAAGACTACATGACTGAGGAATGGTCTTGAACCATCAAAACATTGTTACTATTCGTAAGGTGAAATTAGTCGCAAGCTTTTCTTGTTCGTCAAGCTGAGTACAAATCAATTGCACTCTGCAGTGCATCATCAATCACGGCAACAGCAGCATATCCATTCTCTTTATCCGCCGTAATCTTCGAAACCAGGGCAGCTGAAAACGTGTCGTGGTCATTCTTCAACAACTTCAGTCCAGCAAGAATGACGACTTTCTGGTCCTCAAAAACGTCATACTTGGCTTTGAGCACATCAACAGAATTCGGAATGTCCACGCCGACGCTGGAAGCTGTGTACTGGACGATGGCGGTCGAGTCTTCCGCATTGAAGGGTGTCGCCCGGAGGTTTGCGTCAACATAGCCCTTGCGGTTGGCAATGTGGATAGCGGCGATATCTGCGCCGATGGGTAATTCGTCGATGAGGCCGCCGTTGTAGGCTTCGATGGATGCGGTCAAGGCATTGACTCCGTCGTCGATGCCTTTGATGTCGGAGAGGAGTGTCTCGGCAGTGATGATGTCGCGAGATTGAAGTGGTGCAGCAGCAGCAGCGCAAGCCAGGACAGAAGAGATGAGGAGCTGGAAACGCATGATGGATGTTGATTGAATATGTGCTTGGGGTTGTAGAGCTTGAAAGGGTCAAATGTGAGCAGCCTGGGGTATCTTTATATCATCCTCACAACTCTTGGACTCGTTCGAAATTTGAGGCGTCCTTCTTCGTCGAAAGCGCCGAGGTGGAACCTCGTTGCTCGTGCCTGTTGCGGCTTGGTCTGCAATGATCGGCGCTGCTGTAAACGTCGACTTCGCACGTATTCTCAAGCCCTGCCGAGGCAGATGATAGACTCTCCGTGTATAGCACAGTGTTGCAAGAAGATTGACTGGAACAATGTGCAATCCAGGAACTGTCGCACGTAACTTGACTTGTCGCAGTCGGTACGAGCAAGCCAAAAGCGCTCGTGCCTGGCCAGCCGTTGGAGAACGAGGAAAATCAAACGCGACGCGAGCGGGGTCGTTCGCCGTATACCAGGTGTGGGGTTGTTGATCGCTTCAAAGTCAAAGATCTTCTCGGCCGAGTGATCCAGCGTCACGGTCGCTCCAGCAGTCCTATAGCAGATCGCCCGAGGGCTTTGATGTTCTCACTGGAAACATAAGTAGTGTTGGTTACGCAGACGAACCTTCAAGTCTCACATATCCATCTTCTTCATATCTGAACTCTTCAAAGACGGCCAAAAATCAACATGCGCCTTCTCTCAACCATCAGCACTTTGTTGCTTTCTGTGTCGACAGTCATCTCGGCATCGGTTGACGATGTAGTCAACGACATCACCGTTCTCGACCAAGACGTCCAGGACCTGACGTCGATGGTGCGCGGGTATCAGGGCGGGCTCATCGCTCAGGGCCCCCTCCTCCTTCAGTTGACAAAAGTGCACATCGCAACGCGCAAAGGCGGATACGACGCATCAACTCTGCCTACCACACCACTCTCCGAGAGCGACGCGCTCAGACTTATCGAGCACGTCAACACGACTCTTGCCGTCGACAACCCAATCGCGGTGGACGTTCTGAAGTCGAAGAAGGCATTGTTTGATGCCAGTGGTACGGACCCATTCATCAAGGCAGGACTGCAAATCTTGCTCGACGACCATTTGTACTTTAGCAACGAGGTGCTGGAGAGGACTCCTCAGGATCTAATCGCAGAGGCCAATCAGGTCGTGGATGTCATCAGCAATGCCCTGCAGGGAGGCATTGCAGCTTTCTCATAGATGTTGAATCTGAAAAAATACAGTTTTACTGAGACGCCGGTCTAGACGTGTAATCTGGCTTGCGCGTGCTTGGTTGTCTGTTCCAATCTCTTGCATCGTGTCTAGGATCGTGTTTTCGAGTATGGGTTCCATCGTCTCGGGAAGGCAAAGCAATCTCTGCAACTCGAGACATAGTCAGGAGCTCGCCCTAGCTAGGCATCGAGACTGCTAGTCGGCATGTCTGCCTTCGGAACGTGAGTCGCGTTATTTCGAGGCGCCATTTAAGGTCACCGGACAGTCGGCGACCCAGGACAGGAGAAACTTGGCGCAATCGCTGGGTGAACGAACGGTGAAGGACAATATAGGTCGCTTGTCGCAAGAGCGAGGGCGATGCTTCAAGGGTCGAAGCGCGGTACTTATGGCGAGCGCTGCTACACGTCAGATTCACGACGGCATCTACCTAGTTGACGACAAGGCTCTCAAGCTTCATGACGTGCTCTGTTGTAGACGGATCAAAGCGAAGAGCGGCGCGAAGATGGACCTCGTAAGGATTGCGCGTCTTCACCAGCAAAGAAGACAAAAGGCCAGACGGCTTGGCGTTGTGGAGGGGCCGCGAGGTTCTCGTTGCTGACCCTCACGACCCGCCCGAGGGGTTCATCATCTTCGGGTCTATCTTGTCCGCCAGCCGCCAGCCGTCAGATCGCATACACTGTCGACTACCGCAAGGGTTTAGGGAGCTTGTGCTGAGACGTCTGGCGTTTTGAATGAGTCGCGCTACGCCTGTCTGTCCACACACGTACGACACGCATAGCTATACAGACGCGACATCCAACCCCCGCCATGCAATACAACCAGTCGCGCCGAAGGACCCCCACCAAGAATCACCACTGCACTTGACCAATCTGGAACATACCGAAAACCGGAAATCCAAAATCTGGCATTTTGTTCCCACAAAAATGAATCCGCCTCCTGCGAAAAAGGCTCGTCTGACGACAGCTTGCAATGAATGCCGCCGGCGGAAGGTCAAATGCGATGCCAACCATCCAAAATGTTCGAACTGCTGCACCAGAAACTCGGAATGCTTCACAAGCGATCCTAAAAGGCCCGATGTCCCTGTAGTGAGAGAATGGGTAGAAGTTCCTGAAAAGACACATCCCTCTCAGCCTCCAATACCAGCACAAATTCAACTCTCGACAATTCTTCCCGAGCCGGATGGACCCACTCACGACATACCTGAAACCTCTCATCTACTATCAGCCGCAACTCGACATCACCCAGTCTCTCCTACGTTACACCACAATCGGTCGCCATCTGTCAATGGCAACCTGGGCACGCCTGTCGTCGCGGAGACGACCGATGTTTCGCCCATGCAGCAACCTCATGATATGTCGTTCAACCTGGATTTTGTCAACAACAGATTCAAAATGCTGGGAGCCAGTAGCGCTCAATGCTTGACCAAGTCTCTGGACATCTACCTCCGATCTTATAATGTGGACCCAGCCTCTGCATTGTTTCGGCACGGAATGCAACACGCCGAGGAGATGGATCTGCCTTTATCGCTAGATCTAATACCCTTTCCAGAACACAGCACAAGGCAAGCTTATCTGGATGCCTATTTCACTCGGATACACGTATATTACCCCATCACCGATATCGATGACACTAGAGCCATGGTTCACAAGATTGCGCCACTACCTGATATCAAGTCCGTCTCCTACACAAAGGTTCCACTTCTGGCAACAGCATATCTGTTAATGAGTTTGGGAGCTGATGAGGTTCACGGTGCTGCATCAGAGATTGGCATGCAATACCTCAAGGTGGGCGCTGCACTCGCGGGCCATGCCATCAACTTTCCATACTTGACCACAGTGCAGTGTCTACTCCTACTTGCTGTGTGCTATAGAGGCCGCAACAAGGATGGCCTGGGTTGGGGTGCCACGGGTACAGCAGTCAGGATAGCCCATTCGATGGGACTACACAGACATTCCGCTGTAAGACCCTCAAATCAGCACGGCATTCAACGGCGGGACCAACAACTATTTCATGCTCGTATCTGGGCCATTTGCTGTTGTCTGGAGAAGACTGCGCAGCTCGAATGCGGTAGACCATCCGCCATCTTCGTGGTCAACACTGATCAAATGATGGCAGCAGATCAAAAGGCGCCCGGTCACGACTATCTGATGTGGAACATGGCGCTCGCAGAAGTACAACATGACATTTCTACTCATCTCTATGGACACCAGCCTGGCGAAAGGACAGCAAAGCAAATCCTGCTTGATACTGCTAGACTGGATAAAAAGCTTCTGCACTGGCCCAATCTTGTACCTGCTGAGATCCGCCCTGGCAATGACATCTTGTGCGGAGACGACCAATTTCATCTTGCGGCCATTCTGTCTTTCCAATACCACCAAGCTGTGATAGCGGTGCATCGCGCTGCACTGATCCAACCTCTTGCGGCATTGCAGCAAGAGATCGATAGAGTTTTGCCTGACAACGACGCTCGCTATAGACTTAAGGGAGGTGAAGCGATTTGTGTCAGCAGCGCTCGAGCGGTGGCAAGGATCACCATTGAACTCCTGGAGCGAAGAATTGATTCGCGGCTTCTTAGTGGTGGTCCCACTCTTCTGGCTTGCGTTGTGCTGGCTACATATATCGTCAAGAATCCCGCTGGCAGGATGCAGCTTTCGGACTTGGAGGTAAATGCCGCTAGCCTACCCTGTCAAAACATCCATGCTGACTTTGATACACAGCTGCTCAAAGCCGTCACCGAATGGACCACCCAATGCTTCCGCAAGACTGGTATGAACGAGCACTTTTCTAAAGGTACGTCTGTTCCAGTCACTTTGTAGTCATCTGTTGATCATCCGTCAGGCGCAACCGGCATCTGCGACAGAGTAATTGAATGTCTGTCACGCCTAAAATCAGCCCAAAACGGAGCAATCCAACGCCTAAAGCCAAATGACCCACGCATCCCTAGAAACACCAGCAGTACCACAAGCCTTAACAGCCAAATCATGGTCGACAACAATAGCCTACCCAAGCCGTCGCCGATCAATCACCTCACTTCGAGCAGCAGTGGAAACAGCCATCAAGCAGGTCTATCAGGAGCATCCAATTCATCGCCAGCGTCGAATGCGATGAACAGAGAACACTCGACCATGCAGATTGCGAACATTTTGCTGGACAATGCGAGTCATACTACTGCGATGGGAAGTATGGATGACATCGTTCCTGATGTCAATGTTTTGCCGTTTGAAGGATACAATCTTGAAGAATTGTGGGATTGGATGGATTCAGGTGGTGACATCGGTGGGTTTGAAAAGATCGATTGGACGACTGAGACTGGATTCGAGGACCATTGAGTCCGATTTCATACTCTCGGCATACCACTCTCGACGCGCAGACCATCGAACACAATCACACATCCTACAGTTGCGGTATGAAACAAAGAGTGGAAAGAGGAGCTTGGCGTTTTGACGAGGCAGAAGCTGCTCAGAACGATGACGCGACAACACCTTGATGGGGCGCGTCCTGCAACTCGTTGTTCCGAATGCACCGCTCGCGAGTCGGAGTATCTCTGTCCGCGACTTGTCCGCTTTGTTGACCCACTCCTATGGTGGACTGTCCGGTTCAGCGCCCGAGATGTTCGAGTTGGTAGTTGGACTGAAAGAGTCGAAGGATCCACCGGATCCACCGTCGGGATGAGCCAAAGCCTTCAGAACAGTTCGGCCGAGTTCGTCTCCGGACTCTTGTTCTCGGCGCCTTCGGTCGCTGCCACGGAGCAACATCCCCGCGCCTTCGGCCAGTTCGGGCGCTAGGGATGAACGAAGCCCGCTCCACTTTTCTCTCCTTAAAACGACCTGGCCCTTTCGGCGTTCGCGATCAATGCGTCTGAGACCTCGAACGAGCAGTGTCAGTGTGTCACATGCAATTCAAGCTCGGCCGACGGAAATGACCTGTTCTTCTGCACCAGCCATGGTTCGATGAATATAAACATCTAGCCTCTCCTCCGCGAGCAGCAATGGACGATGAAGCTTCTTCGAATCCAGGCCCGAAACGCCTCTCTCTCTCACAAGTAGCAGTCCCGCCTTCAAGTCCTTTTGACATCTCCTCGCCCGAACCTAATCTCATATTGGGCTCTCGAAGACGGCCCAGCCAAGGTCTTCCACGAGTGTTTCGCCAACAGGAACGAGAATCGACAGGCCTCGACAAGAGCGGTCACATCCGGAGCCGATTCCGTTGGTTCGGCGAGTTGCCACTGAGATGCGACCAGAACATGGACTTCCTGTCGTCATTTGGTATTGACGATGAACGACCCAAATGAGAGCAGTATTCAACGGTAGGGCCCTTTTGGACCTTGGTAACTTGAGATATCCCGGAGGACTCGAACTGTCCCGCGTCCTGGATGTCGTGTTTTACAGCGTACGGGAGTCATGTTTGGTTGGCGTTGAAGAACCTTGTTGTGACCACGTCCATCAAGCTAGCGAGATGGCTTTTCACGATTTGTTCGCTGTCACCGTTGACCCAAGCTGTACATTTGGTCCATGCCAGGATAAACGTTGAGAGCTGAAGGCATCAATCCCCAATCGGGGAAGGACATTCCAGCAAGCCTGAGTTGACAGAATCTTTGCTATGACTTGCATGGTTGTTTGGGAATGTAGCAGATAGGATCAGATATTGGGGATCAAGTACTTATCTTTCCAAACTTGTCAGAACCTTGCTTGCATCATGTGCGTGATCTGTGACCGACTCGAGATCTCGCTCGAGGGTACATCACAACACTGGTTTACCAGAACACAATCAGAAGTCGAGTTTGAGAGATGGAAATTCTCACGACAGGACTACGATCACAAGACGATTTTCCAGCACACCCACAGTCCATCGATACGAAAGCAGATCGCAGCTTGCACTCAGGCAGCGACTGCACGTTCACGGAAGACGATCAAAGTCCACGCGTTATCACAAGACTTCCACGTACTCACCAACGACACAATCGTCCCCGATGAGTTACTCAGACTCTGAGCCATTGCGAATGAACTACTCAGGATGGACGTCGATCGACTGACACGACTCTTCTCATCATGACTTTGATCGGGTTTTCTCTCCACATTGCCAGGCCTGCGATTCTTGGATAGCATCTTCCGCCCACCTTTACAACACGATATCCTGTCCACAATACCGACAGAGGCGTAAGAAGTCTCAGCGTCGTATCACGATTGCTCGATCATCAAGGATGACCCCTCAATTTGCCCCGAGTCCCCAGGTTGTAGATCGCCGAAACTCCATATGGGCCCCCACAATCTGGAACCCGGCTGTGGGGGTAGGTGCGTTAGTGCCCTTCGGTCGGTGCATCTGACGAATCGGAGGACTTCAATTGACACTGGAACGAGCGCACGAGGTAGCGAATTTGGATTCTCCGCAGCTGGCAAGCCACAATTACCGGCCAGAGCTTCGAGCTGACTTGCAACTGTTGGCCTTCGCCTCGCTCCTCCACATTTGGCAGAGCAGCATTGCCGAGACGTCGCGGACTCCAAAGTCTCGCGCGAAGTGTATAAGATATGCCTGTGGATCGACAGACCCACCCATCATCTCCTCATCACCACCGAACAACATCACCACAGCACCGACGACCTCGCCATAATCAGCACCTGCCTCTCTAGTTGACTCATCCAGTCTTCTGAACGCATCTCGCTATCATGGGCGACACCAAATCCAACAATGTCGAGCTCATCGAGGAGCTCGAGCACACAAAGACCCTCGAGCAGGTCGGCACCATGGGAACTGTCAAGTTGACCGATGGAGACATTGTCTACATCCCGACGCCGACTGCTGATCCCCAAGATCCTCGTACGTCGCAACCAGCTCAAACCAACATACATCCGAGATGTCTTGTTCGCGATGGCTCCTCGAACATTTCGCGTTCCGCATCAAAATACTGACAAGATCGCACAGTCAATTGCCCAACCTGGCAGAAATGGGTCATCCTGGTCATCATCTCGTGCTGTAAGACCAATACTCTATCGCGAAGCTTACTCAGAGACTAACTCATCTAGTCTCGGCCGTCGGTCTCTCCGTTGTCAGTGGATTTGGTGGTCTGTTGGGATTCTACATTCCCGGATATGTGAAGCTGGGCAAGGACTACGCCGACATCACTCATCTCATGACTTTTCCTACTCTTTTCATGTAAGAATCGGGAAGATTTCTATCGACATCGTTCTGAAGCTAACACTCTCATAGGGGCATTGGTAACATCATCGGTATGCCTTTCGCTCTTGGAGTTGGCCGCCGTTCCATCATCCTCATCTCGAGTATCATCCTGGTCGTCGGTTCAGTCATGTGCGCTACAGCCAAGACTTATGAATTCCACCTTGCCGCTCGCTGCATCGTCGGTCTTGCCGCCGGACAAAGCGAGGCCCTCGTTCCCATGATCACTCAGGAGATGTACTTCCTCCACGAGCGTAGCAAGTACCTGATGACCCAGCAAGCCATTCAGGTTATCATCACCACCATCTACACGGTTTTCGCCAGCCCTATCGCTGGTAAGATCACTCCCGAGGGTTGGTACGGTCTTGGTGCTGGTCTCGCTGGCGCTGTGTTCGTCGCTGCTTTCTTGTTCCTGCCCGAGACCAAGTACGAGCGTCCCCTTTCGTCCTACCAGGAGGCTGCCGAACACCACTTCGATATCGAAGAGACCGTCACTAAGGCCTCTCCTTCGGTCACTCTTTGCACCGTTAGACCCGAGTTGGACTTTGTCCGTTACGCCCCTCGCACCTTCCGCTCTGACCTCCGCCTGTGGGTTGGCAGACCCGACATGAAGGAGGTTCTGAACGTGTACAAGCAAATGTTTGGCCTTCTGGTCTTCCCCAACGTCCTCTGGGCTCTTTGCCTCAACGGTTTGACTCTCGGTGCCAACATCGCCATCGGCACGACATATGGTGGTATCGTCACTGCTCCTCCTTACAACTGGAAGCAGGACAAGGCCAGTTATGTCAACATTGGTCAAATCGTCGTTGCCATCATCGCTCTGCCCCTTCTCGGCTCTGGTTCCGACAAGCTTGTCAAGTGGCGTGCTCAGCGCAACGGTGGCATCCACGAGCCCGAGAACCGTATCCTTCCCCTTATCTTGCCCTTGGTCGTCGGTGTCTTCAGCTGTGTTCTCTACGGTCTTGCTGCTGCCCACCCCACCCACTACCACTGGTTCACCTACGTCTGGGTCGTGGCCGCCTACTACTTCGCCTTTGTCGGTGCCAACATCGTCGCCATCACCTATCTCCTCGACAGCTACCCCGCTCGCGCTGGTCCTCTGCTTGTCATTGTCTGTGCCATGAGAGGTATCATGAGTTTCGGTGTCAGCTACGGTATCCAGCCGATGATTCAAGCCAAGGGCTACGATGGTGCTTTCGGCATCTTTGCCGCTCTCACCGCCGCCTTCGGTCTCATTGGTGTTCCGATCTTCATCTGGGGCAAGAACATCAGAGCCTTCACTGGAAAGTGGGCCAAGAACAAGGACGAGTAGAGTAGGATGGATGAGCTGTATATATGGGATCAAAGAAGGTTGAGACCTCAGACTTGTGTATAGTTAAATGATTTATGTATGTGTTACGAACGAGAATCTGTTACTGTTACTGAACATCCCTTTAATGCTTGAAATGTTCTGTAACTACTCTTTAAGTGTGTAGGTACAGCATCAAGCACGAATCGACGCTGACACTTCCTATTAGGCAAATGGCACATTGAAACGAGGCAGCCTAAACTCACTCAACTCAAGACAATGCTGCAAACAAGCCCAACAATCCCGCAGTCAAATGCAGCGACCCTCGGAAGTAGTTCTGCTTCACCCAAGTCTTCAGAAGCGTGGTAACCTCAGTATCAACAACCCCCTTGCTTTGCAACGCCGCACTCCTTCCAATATCCACCAATCTCTGAATGCCCGGCATCATCACAAACTTGGTCAATGGCAACGACGCCAACACCAGAATTGCAGCACTTCCGTACAACTTTCTCGTGGTGCCATCACTGTTGTATGCCAGATAGCAGTTTGCAGCAATTGCGACGGTGGCAATGGGCATGATGGTCGCACCACCTTTGTGGAAGATCTTGTCGAAGAGGGGCGTGGAGATGGAAGAGGGAAGGTTGTAGAGGTGAGGAATCACATTTTGAGAGAATGTGGTATTGTAGCTGCCCAGGAAGAAGGCGCCGGAGATTGAGATGATCTGGGCAGTGAGGGTGGAGTCCATCGTGATATGAGTCGTTGATGCGACAATGGTTTGCGTGAGACAAGACAAGCGGATGAGTCTTGAAATACAGATTGTGAGCTGTGGGTGATGTGTTTGTAAGAAGTTGATATTGTGGTCTTTGTAGTCATCTGGATGTCCTCATGCAGCCCACAACGCATCGAACGGTGTACTTGACTGATCCGGGCTCGGGACAACTCCTCTTATCGAGGGCTTTCTGAACCCTAAGAAGCTTGTCTAGAATGATCGCATCTGGAAAGCTTATAACACTTGAATACGAAGCTTAGCAGTTAAACCGAATTTCAGACTATGCCTTCACAAATCAAGTAGAGTGTGGCTTGACTCAGTGGTCAGCAAACACGCAAGCGCTGACCGTAGGATCGTGTTACCTTGATGATGGCGTTTGGTATCGCACCCCACTTTGAGCTGAAGATAACGAGTGCGCGGCTCTTGCGAAGGATCAGATCTCGTGCGATGTCCGACCAATCGAATGTTGTCTGCCCTAGAGATGCTGAAAGCCACAGACATTAAGCTCGGGAACACGTTCTGCCGCTTGTGTCTTGGCTGCCTATCAAAGCTTAGCTTGGTCCCCAGCCGCTATCACATGCATCTCCATCTCTTGCTATAACATCTGAACAGCGCGTCAGACATAGCCTCAAGACCAGCGCAGACCTACCCAGCAGACATGTCTTGTCCGGAATGCTTCTCTGGCCATGTGAGCCTTGACGAACCCCTCGGCAATATCGAGCAAGTCTACGGGCGACGTACTTATGTCGCCAAACCACCTTCCGGCAAGCAGCCGCTTGGCATCGTCGTGATCATCGCTGATGCCTTCGGTATGCCCTTTGTCAACAATCAGATCTTAGCAGACCACTACGCTGCACTTGGACAATACACCGTCTATCTGCCCGACTTCATGGATGGTAAGATCCACGATGGTCCTTCATTTGCATGGCTGACACTTTCACAAAGGCGGCGAAGCCCCCGTCAGAATGATGTATAACATCGCCTACTTCTCCGAGTCCTCGTGGTTGTGGAAGCCGTAAGTACAAATCGAAAAAGTGTGCACTTGCGCGAAGTATTAAGTAAACACATAGCTACTATGCAGTGGCCTTTGCCATGGACCTCATGCCGCATCTATGGCGCAATAGGATGGGTGTTTGCTGGCCACGAATGACATCCTGGTTCAGCGCTCTTCGCTCAGACGTGTCCCTGCCTATCGCAGCTGCGGGTTTTTGTTGGGGCGGCCTCCATGCCGTCATGCTCACTCATGATCGCGCAGATACCAAGCTTCCATCAGGCCGGCCTTTGATTGATGCGAGCTTTGTTGCACATCCAAGCAACCTCGTTGTTCCAGGGGACATTGAAAAAGTCAAGCTACCACTCTCCATCGCGATTGGTGACGACGATTTCGTCATGCCGCTTCATCAAGCCAGGCAGGCAGAGCAAATGCTGGAAAAGAGTGGTGATGCTCAAGCGGAGGTCGTTTTCTATTCGGGCGCAAGACATGGGTTTGCTGTTCGTGCCAGTAGGTCGACACCAGACAGCAAGGAGACTCGGCAGGCGAAGGAGGCAGAAGAGCAGGCAATCGCCTGGTTCAAGAAGCAGTTCGCTGCTGTCGGTCATCAATAGTAGTGTCAAGTGTACGTAGACCCTCGTCCTTGTCTTGATCAGAGAATTAGCCAATCGATACCTCTTTGCCTCAAATACTGGACCCAGTCTCCGTCTCGTATCTGATCATCGTCCATGGCCGGTATACAGTTCTTTGCGTTCCAGATGGTCTGCAAAATATCTGCAGCCTTGCGATACAATCCCCACGGCTCGAGTTCCCATTGACGTTCCAACCTCGTCCAGACGAACCGTTGATGTAAAGTTGAGTTCGTCTCCGCACCTGCGATGAATGCTGGCCAGGTGATTGCCGTGTAGAGGCTATTCTCATCAGTGACCATCGAAAGGTTTTCCACAATCTCCGTGACCAGAGATTCGAAGTCACATGTTGGTTTGGAGCCGGTATACATCGAGACTAGCAGTCGGGAGAGATAGATGATAACAGCTGCTTTGTGTGCGCTAGCCACATGAATACGCTCCTCGAGGTCAGGGGATGGACATGGTGACCGCAGATCTGTAGCCCAGGCGCGTGGGTCGAATGTTTTGGCGGTACATACGAGCATCAAGACCCTGTCTCGTTTGTTGCGTAGAGAGATCGAGCTTACAGATTGGCTCAGTCGAACACCATTTCGTAGGAGCTGTAAGAGGATTGTTGGGAAAGACGAGCAGTGATTGCCTTCCGCATCACGTATCAATGATTCGACAGCGCGTTCCGTGTTGTCACTAGATACATCGTCTGGCAAGTCATGCACCGCGTTAGAGGAGACGAAACCAAGAGCACTGGATCTATATACCGATGTCAACACATGCGGAGCCAGAGGGCACCAAGAAAAGAGACTTTGCTTACATCATCCAGCTCGATACCAAGAAGCGGCGCAACGGGCTTGCGGTGGTAATTTGCAGCCGCTCAGACTTGCCCAACGCTTCTATAATCTTTCTCCCGCCATTGATGTGATGGATCCAGTCAGCTGCTTTAGCATCCATAAGCTCCAAGTTGATGAACATGATCACGACTGCTAAAGTTACGTCGATATCCTTGGGAGCCTGCTGAGCGAGGACTTGCCTGAGCATAGTCAGTGCTCGCTGCTTTGCCGCCAAAGCGTCGGAGTACAGGTTGCCAGGCTTGTTTCGCGGAGAGGCGAAAACCTGCCCATCATCAGAACTCCCTGGAATAAGAAACGGCTGAGTTGCATTGTACATGTGGATTGCTGCATTGGCAATGATTATCTGCAGGAGAATCGGGTGATTATGTGTCAGTGGTATGATATCACGGAATGGATTGTGCTCTGAGTCGTAGACAACAAAATCTCGGCAGACAACACTGGCGACTGTAGCGCTTATGTCAATCATGTTGAAGGTTAAGACAGTACCGGAGTCGACGTACAGTAGGATAGATACGATCTTGTTACATCGTTCAGGTCTTGTGTCAATGGATCCGTCAAAGGCCTCGATAACGGCAACTGATTTCGTACGGTTGCGACTCTGGCCCTCTGCCACTCTTGAGCGGAAGAAGATTTGGCGTAAGGTTCTCGACGAGATTCAGGCTGCTGCTTCGCGCCATACTTTTGACCGACGAGTTTTCCGCGACTTGCGACGCCATCTTGCCAGAGCAACAGGCGCTGGTAGCCCAAACAGTCCTGACCGCGCTCTATGCATTTTGAGCATTGCGGCATGGATCGGTCACATTTCAGACGCTGGCGGCGACAATTGTGACATGGCTGCTGGGACGTCATGACGATGAGAGATGCCACCAGTTCGTCGCTTCTCCGATCTGATCTGACCTTGACATATCCCAGAGAAGCAGGAGTGCGACATTCATTTGGAAGGACAGTCCATCAGGAGTATCCGGATACTCAGGACGTGGACGCGCAAAGGTTGGGACGAGGTGATTACGCGTTGGACGGAGGATGCGCGTGGAAAGCACAGACGTCTTCCTCACGAAGCCGCCAAGTCTTGATCCCACGCTATTAGCCGCACGAACAGGGTCGTACCCTCATCGATGGATTCGATCAACGACAGCGATATCTCACGTTCTCAATTTCGTATCAAGTCAAACTTATGGCTTATGACTCTTGGGTCTAGACTGAATATGTCCTGAGTTCTTTGTCCAAATTGAAAGGGAGCATCAGGTGTAGTATATCATTTTGCATTTTCGAGTCGCTACTTTCAGATCACCACGGTGAAACACATCGGCTTATACACCACGTTCGCTCGACGCTCGCGGTCTTCCGCCGAACCTGCATTAGGTTCTCCAACGAGCAATACTTAATTCTGCGTACTACAGCTTAAATCTCAAACATCATTCGTAGCCGTAATGGAAAATGTTTTAGACAGCATTACAAGGACGATATCTCGACAAGCCGAATCATGTCCGTGCACAGCAGAGCACATGCGCCATGGGACTTTCGATTCTACGCAGACATGTTGCTCCGTGTATCCCTCAGGTTTGGTCTACGTGTAGCACAGCATCTAGATGCTCTTACACAATTGTTTCCGCCAGCCAACGCTTGTTCACATGTTACTCCAAAGCAGTGATTATGGTTCTTGTGGCGACCGAAGTGCGGAGACCCCAGACGTGCTCGGGATGTGGGCCCGAAGTCACAGTGGGTCTCGGTCGAGTGCGGAGGCCTTCGTGCCTGAAAGGTTCCGTTGGTGCATCTTCCTTTTTTTGCTTTGCATACCTTTCTGGCCTGGCTCGTCGGTGGAACGGCGATTATACTATGCCGTGCCGTTATCTGGTGTGTTGTGCAACAATCATGACCTTGTTGTCAATGCCCACGATGTGTGATCGTTCGTTCCTCAGCATTCGCCATGAAGTCGGATAGCCAAGCCACAACCATGGAGGACCGCAGAGAAGACCAGCAGGATCTGGAGTTGCACCGTGTCGAGACCAACATGTCGGGAGTGGTCAACACTATGGGAACCACAAGAAGAAGACTCGTCATGCTTTCGCTCTGCCTGTCTCAGTTCCTCGCTGCCATCGATATCACCATCGTCGCGACCGCACTTCCGACCATCGCCAGCAGCTTGCATGCGACCTCAGCACAATACACGTGGGTTGGCTCAGCATACAACCTTGCAAGTACGGCATCGACACCACTTTGGGCCAAGCTGTCCGATGTCATCGGAAGGAAATCCGCGCTTCTCGCGGCCAACGCTATATTCCTGGCTGGTAGCTTGCTAGCTGCCCTTGCCCATTCAATTTTGGTTCTCATTGGAGGTCGCTGTCTGCAGGGTATCGGAGGTGGAGGTATGATGATTCTCAACACCATAATCATCAGCGATATCTTTCCACTGGAAGATCGAGCAAAGTACTATGGTCTATCCGCCATTGTCTGGGCTATCGCAAGTGCCCTTGGTCCGATGCTGGGAGGTGTTTTCACTTCGACGATTGGTTGGAGGTGGTGCTGTGAGTAGAAAATGATCTCCATTGATGACCTTAAGCTGACACTTCGACCAACAGTCTACATCAATCTGCCTCTCGACGGCATCTCCCTTGTTCTGGCAGTCCTCGCCCTGAAGCTCAACATCAAGAGAGCCCCAGCCAAGGAGACACTTGCAAGCTTGGACTACGTCGGATGCATTAGCATTGCGGGTGGCGCCATACTTTTCCTGCTCGGATTGGAAAGCGGAGCTAGCCATCAACATTCTTGGACTTCAGCCTACACTCTTGGTATGCTCATCTCTGGCATCGGCCTGCTGGCAGGATTCATGATCTGGGAGTGGAAAGGTGCTAAGAACCCTCTGATCCCGATCCAAGTCTTCGCATCCCGCACAAGCAGGGCTGCTCTCACCGTCGCTTGCTGTCACAGCTTTGTCTTTATCGGCTTCGACTTCTACCTTGCCTTGTACTTCCAGGCAGTACTTGGTCGCACTCCAATAATCTCCGGTGTACTTCTCTTTGCATTGATTCTGCCGCTTTCATTCGCAACATTCTTGACCGGGATGTTCATGCGCAAAACTGGTAAAGTCAGTCCTTTCATCTGGTTCGGAGTATTCTTCATGACTCTCGGAACTGGACTATTCATCGACTTTGGCTCCAAGATGGTACTGTGGAAACTCATTGTGTTCCAAATTATTGCAGGTATCGGTGTCGGACCACTGTTCCAGGCTCCGATGATTGCGCTTCAGAGTGTGGTCAAGCAGAGGGATGTTGCAGCCGCCAACTCCGCTTTCACTTTCCTTCGCAGTCTGGTCACTTCTTTGTCTCCGGTCATCGGCGGTGTTGTGCTCCAGCGTGGGCTTGGGTCCAGCTCATTGACAGGCAATGGACATGTCTCTGCCGGTGGTGGTCAGAATTCGGTGAAGTATGCGAGTGCGTTGAGCAACATGTGGATCTTCTACACTGCATTCTGCGCAATCATGCTTGTTGCGACGGTTTGGATCGGCAAGGTCGACTTGAATTCGAAGAAAGCAAAGACCGAGAATGATGACACAGTGGTTGAGGAAACAGTGACGGTGCCAAAGGTCACAGACCCGAGCACACTGGGAACAGAGATGACTGAGAAGAAGACAGAGAGCTAAGCATACATTATATAACGTCGTGATACTGTACTACGACTGGAATGACAGAACAGTTCAGGGACTTCGATGACCGCTTGCATTCCGATGCTTATCCATATGTACAGTTGTTTATTGATGATGAGGCTCGGTCTAGCGTTCTATTGCGGTAAACCCCATACCTAGTTCGTGTATAACACGATATAGATGCATCCATATGCATACTATGCTCCGCTCTGACCCCTCCCACGCCAACCTTTTCACTTATGGATGCCTCAATCCACGTACACGTGATATGCATATCAAAACAGTCTAGCAACACTACAGCAGAGAGGAAGTAAATAGGTTTCTTTAAATCGTTATGATGTCCTATAGAGATGATGCAGAGCAAAAGCAGAGGGCTTGCGCACCGACACGACGCTCGTATCGCCGGAGACCGTATCTCTAGATCCCCGTCCTGTGCGTTCCAGATTTTCCGTACTCCGGTCTCTCTCGTTGCCAATTGATCCACTTCCATCTCCGCACAGTCTGGGTGAAGTGGGTTTCAACATCCTCCACATTTCCGCCGACCCCCGGACGATTCGGTCGCTTCGGCTGTCCAAGCTCTCGGTTCGGCGACGGGCAAGGCGAGGCAGTACCCCGCACTCCACCCACCCTCCTCCGATCATCTGGGCTCCTGGAACATCGAATCAGCCAGCTAGATGCTTGCGCCTCCGTGCCGCTCCTGAAACAGGCGCAAAGGTTCTCCGGACCGTCTGGGCACCCCAGAAACTCAGGTATAATAGGAACTTTCTCCTGGCTGAGAGCATTCACTTTGTCTTTTTTCACAACACAAAAACATCACATCACAACATCACAATGGGTTTCTCAGAAGTTCACACCGAGGTTCCCAGAACTGCCATTCACCTCGTCGGCACCAATGACTGGCAGGCTGACCTGGCCAAGAACGGCTATGCTGTCGTCAAGGGAGCTGTTCCCAAGGAACGTGCTGAGGATTATGCCAACCGCATGCACCAGTACCTAGAAGACTTGTATGTTCTTTAATCTGTATCGCGAGTAAGATCGACTGCTAACACTGACCAGTGGTCTTGGATACGACCGCAACGACCGCAGCACCTGGAACTCGAAGCACCTTCCCGAGATCAACAACAAAGGCATGTGCCTCGACTATGCCGTCACACACGAGGATTTTGTCTGGGAGATCCGATCAGAGCCTGGTGTTCTGTCTGTCTTCGAGACTGTTCTTGACACTGAGGACCTGATTGTTTCGTTCGACGCCGTCAACTTCGGTCTTGCCGGAAGAACAGATCTACCACCAAACAAGCCCTGGCCCCACCAAGATCAGGACCCCACCAAGAACGGATTCAGATGTCTGCAGGGCTTGGTCAATCTATTGCCCAACGGTCCCAACGACGGTGGCTTGATTGTCTGCTCGGGAGCTCATCTGTTGAGCGAGAGATTTCACAAGGAGATGGCCTGGTACGTTTCGACCTCAACTTGTTCGAAGCATTGGAAACACACACTGATACTCGATATAGGGAGACCGAGCAAGGCTTGAACATCCCCGCATGGAACCCCGAATGGTACGGCCTCACAAATGAAGGTATGAAGTGGCTGGAGAAGGAAGGTTGCACATGGACAAAGGTCTGCGCCGAACCCGGTGACCTCCTTCTCTGGGACTCACGCACACCGCACTACAACCTCTCTTCGACCACAGACCAGAGCAGATTCTGCGTTTACACATGTTATATGCCCGTCACCGAAGCCTCCGAGGAGGAGCTGCAAAGGAAAAAGGTCGCCTTCGAAGGCTGGTTCGGCACTACGCATTGGCCGAACTGCAAAGTGATGGTTTGTGCCTAGTTCTCGTGTATAATGATGGTGAATCTATGCTGATATCAATTAGGGAAGAAACAAGGCGACGAGAGATGGCGAGCCGGACCCTCACAACAGGACCGAGCCAGTCAAGAAGCCACAGCTATCTGAGCGTGTCTACAAGCTGACGGGCATCCCTTACATCAAGGCGCAAGCTTAAGTGTTGAAAGAGAGTAGAGGTTGATGGAATTTTTGGGCTAGCAAAGTTGGAAAGCTTATGATTGACAATACCATTTTTTTCTTCCCCGCATGAACAGCACATTGATCCCGAGTCCGGGCTCATGCCAAAGTGTCTTGCATCTGCTTTCTCAAAAGCCCTTGTCGCAATGAGGGAGTGGTGAGATATGTGGTGGTTTAGGGGCCTTCCCGTTTCGGAAGTCACTACGGGGAGTAGCCAACAACACCTCCTCAACGATGGGAGCAAATCGCTCTCATGAACCTTTAACGCCTCTGGCACACTGCCAATCAGACGAAGATGAATGGTGAATTGTGTGAAGTGTATAGATTGTCGTACAAGTATAGAGTCAGCCGCGCTCCGCTACATACATCATGCCCCGATTATTGTCAGCTTGTCCGCTGCCTTTTCGAAGTGACACCTCCAGAAAACTTCGAAATCCCAACACTCACCGTCGTCATGATCAAGTCTAACAGTAAGTAGTATCGCACTTGATGACTTCCTGTGCATAGCCGCCGGTATCCGCATTTCCACATGTCTTAGAAGCTTGACCGAAGTTCCAAGTGCAGGTGCCGACCAGATTAGACTGGTCAGTGCCGGCATAGAGATTGGCGTAGAAGTCGCCACGGCCGACTTCGGTGCAAGGGCCATTGGCCAAGTTGACAACATTGCCATTGTTGCAGGTGATCTGGCCACAGTAGTCGTTGTTTTGGTTGGAGTTCAGGGGAATGCCAGGCTGTTATTTTCCGTCGCAGACATTAGTCTGGCTTTGGTCGCTGACCTGAGTGAGATCGTAGCCGGTGTCACCGGTTGGTCCGAATGCCTCATACTGAATGTCGTAGATGTCTAGATAGGCGTAGGCGGATGATGCCAGGAGTGCGAGAATGGCTATGGTGCGCATCTTGGTAGAGAGACAGGAAGTGAGAGATCGGTATTGGCAACGAAAGGTTCTGTTGATGTTGATGTAGCTGATTTCTTCTCAGGATGGAATGACACTGATGAACTGAACAGGGCGATGTCCTGTGATATTTATGTCTCAGAAGGTTCGACTTGGACTCGAGGATCCAAGCCAGCTATGAATGTGCGTCATGTTTTCAGACGTTCTGAGGTCGTGAATACGAGATGCACATCATTCCATACAGCATCTCTTCCTCAAAAGGTAGGCCGAAATCCTTCGACTTGTTTATGTTCGTATGTTGCCGAACGAATGGTGATCAATTACTCTAAACAGTCATCCGATATCTCGAAAAGCGCCTCGTGGTTCTGAAGATCCTGTGCAGCGATCTGGGCCACATGGTAAGTGGCTCATCCACCGGGTTGTCAGATCTCGCAATGATTGTCACGGCTTACCAACTCCACGCGATCGTCCATGAATAAGCTTTCCCTAAGACAAGGCAAGCTTCTCCATGCGGGGTTATGCAGGCACGTAAGAACAATTTCCTGGGGATTGCCCCCATCGGACGAACAGAATGTTCGCTGGACTCTTCATTGCTTGAGACTGAACAGTGCATGACCGAGAGCGAATCCCACAAACGTTTTGTTTCGCAGCAGAAAACAAGATAAGAGCTATCTGAGATGGGTTGGTTTCCCTCACCCGATGACGCAGCACGTTAGAGATTTGAAAGGGTCTTCAACTCAATTTCTAAATCAGTCCGGTTAAAACAGCCATGGACGTAATGATGGCCGCGGTAGTTTATACGCGGTCCATTCTGCACGTCTGTGGTTTATCAGCGCGGTAGCATTTGGTGCGATTGGTCGGTCAGACAGCACGTGTTACCTTCGGATTGTCAGTATTGCGGCATGCTCGTTTTCACGACTAAGAAAGATGCACCATCCATGATCACCCTATGAGGAACATTTCTGGCGATGGTGACTGCAGCTCACCCGCAATGGGTCACTGAGAAACGGCCAGGCAAGGGACTCAAAAGTAGAAAGATCAAACCGATTGCATCCACAAGAGGAAACAGGCAACGATATGTAATGGTTGCTCTCTCCCATGATGGTTCATGGGATTCCCAGACTATGGCTCCAAGTCAGCTGCATCTCCACCCATCCACGAGATCCAGACTGATAGCTATAGCCATGCTATGGCCCATGCTATTGCTCACAGTAATGGATTCCAAGCAGCACACTTGGTCTCTAGTCATAGTCGGGTCAATCGGGTCGATCTGGCAAACACACATCGCCGCGAGATCTTACAGACCCGAAAAGTCTGACATCAGGTTGAAACCGTGGATTGAGCGTCCAGTCATTAATGAATACCAATATCTATGGAAGAAAAAGCAAGAGCTCAAAGAAGGGCTCTGGAAACAGTACACAGAGCCTGATGCTTTGGAAGAGTATCTAGAAAACGAGAACCAGCCGTCCGACACGTCATGGGAGCTTTGATCGAAGTGGAAAAATGTATACCAGGAGCGGCGGCGGCTTTGTTGACAGTGTTTCTTCCAGGCGGCCTCGATCACGAACCTATGTCGTTAAAATCCGAGCGGGAGAGAAAGATTCTGGAAGCTTGCAAGGACGAAAAGATCATCGGCAAACTCAGCCAGTGCTATGCCTGAATGATGATGATAGATATGCTCCGAGGCGAATCATCGCAAAACTGTATCTGAGCTCGAATTCCTCTCATTGGCGCCCCCACGATAATTAATGATATGCATGTATATGACGTATCAACGGTCATCCAATCAGGTTCGGCAACATAAAGCCACTTCGTCAAAGGTGCGTAGGAAATAGATTGGATTTTCGACTATTTCAGGCAGCAGCATCCAGGCTCAGTTGTATAATAGTGAGTGACAGTCGCGCTCACGTTTCATTCCCATACCTTTTGTTGCTTCTCGACATCCAAAATCGTGGAAACCTTGTTCAAGCGTCAAACTTCAAAACTATCAAACAACTGTCAGCAAGTCGTACATCCGCACTCCACAGTCTGTGGGAGTTCACAAGCGAATCAAGCACAATGGACCCACAAACGCAGAAGACCATTATAACATCCAGAGAGGAAGCCGCTGATTTCACCACCGGTGGCCATCTCAATCTCGCAGAAGAAAATTACCGATACGTAGTCGATACCGTCCAGCAACACGAAGGAACAAAAGCCACATATGCCGACCGCTACAACTTGTCGAGCGTACTCGTCATGCAGCACAAGTATGCGGAAGCAGAGCCTACTCTGAGGGATATGCTTAAGTATCTTGCCAAAAGACCTGTGGATAACGACTCAGGCCACTTCCTTAAGCAAGAAGAAGGCACAATACGAATGCTGGTGAAAAGTGTTAAGGGCCAGGGGAGAGACGAGGAAGCGGATAATTTGAGGGCGGGTGCAGCTTACTCTAGCCGTGAAGAACAGCTTGAAGTGAGGAAGCAAGTGTATGGTTTGGATATCTGATGGAAGGGAAAGGTATATACATTATAGTTCATTACTTATATCTCGACTGGTTGCTGATTCTTCTTCATCAATAGTGATCGACTGGTGTTTCTTCCCAGTCATAGCTACCGAGGGTCTACTGCTGTCGAATGTGAGACCTTGCATCATTGCTCCTTTCTTGCTAGATGTTACAATGAGTGCCTTGATGACTGTTTCGAACCTCATGTTAGCGAATCATTTCTTCCATTGCGTGGTTCAAGAAGCTTACCTGGACCAGAAGTACACAGCATGCCGAGATTGACTTCTACAAATGACCAAAGATTGATCGGTGCGGCTTCCCGAACGGGCTCAGTAGACAACGTATATACTCTGATCGAGTATAACCGTACACCAGCGACGATGGTGGATACGAAGCCCACCATGAATGCTGCAAGCACAGCATACCTGTCCCTCTTGGTTGTCTTCTTGAGAGACCAGAGCAGTGGTAAGGGTAGCGCGAAGATCAGGATGTCCGAGGCAACTGTGAATGCATTCGTCGCTGTTCCCTTTGTTAGACGTCTGTCATGTTTGGAGAGAGCTTCTCTTATGGTTCTGGCTTACAGTAAAAGAACGCATTGATGTTGATACAAGTTCCGGCTAAGCTCTGGTCCCAGTACTTGGGTATTGGACGACATTGGAGAAGCGTGACAAGGATAGTCGAGAAGAATTGAGCGACCAGCAAAACTATTGTGGCAATGCTTGCTTTCCAGAACCATGTGCGTAGAGCTTGCGCTGTGGAGAAAGGTATCAGCCAGCTCTCGAAAGAAATCATGAGGGATGGCGATGGCATACATATGCGGAGATAAAGACACATGATGCTCATCTTGATACAAAACACGCTCAGGTAGTAGAAGATCTGTATCGCGTAGATGGACTAGATGTTTCCCGCTGTCAGCAACAGAGCAATGTACTCGGAGAAGCAAGCAGAACTACCTTCATGGCTAGTATCTCAGCTGAAGCCGGAAGCTGCTCGGTCTTCAAGCCGACCCCATACCTGACGGACAAGAATGAGGCGATCGCAAAGCCGATGGAGAAGATCTGTAGTTCACCCAATGTCATCAGTAAGTGCCGTATTATCAGGATGGAGGCTCGGATGCTACTGCAAAGCATCGACGTACCCATGCAATACCCATGAACAGATCATCCAATCCTTGTTTCCTCCTTCGCGTAATCCAGACATAACCACGGAGCAATATCACCAAAGCTTTTGAAAGTCTAGATCAGTCCACTGTTCGAGGATCCTAGATCATGCAAAAACTTACCTCCTAGAACCGTGGACAAGATCCCGACGATAATCAGGGCTTCGCGTTGGGTGTGTCGCATACTTTAGATTGATTTGTGGTATCCACAACCCGTGAGGGTATGTGAGAATAGAGCAGCATGAATGTGGGTCAAGGACCGGTATATGACTGTTTCTGGTGATCCCCCGCCTTGATCTACATGAATCATACCGGCGATGGGCGCCGGCGACCCCGGGCACGACGTTGGGGCTGTTCCGCCGATTGTCAGATCCTTCTCCAGTTGAGCGGTTGTTGTCTCACGGCCGTGGGCTCGATCAAGTTACCTGGCTATGCGAGCAGGATGGGAAGACGATTTTAGTGGCCGTGTTGTGTGACTTGTGTCCAAGACTGGTAATCGCTGTGTTTGTTTGGAAGAATGTTGCGTCGGGCTGGATGTGGGGTTGATTGATGCACATGCAAGGGGCTAGAATGTTGATTAGGACCCGATAAAGATACAAAAGAGTTATCCTGCCATCACCATTCTCTGCGCATCTTCCAGTCTTTGCGAGAACACTGACTCTCGCAAACAGTGTCAAGGGCCCTGGTGCTTTCATCGTACGCCATGCCCTGTATATTGAAGATAGATCTCTGCTGACTCACAAAGCCGTGCTTTGGACCAAGTAGGAAGGAGCATCTCGAACCCCGCCAGATTGCCCTTGGAACGCCGTCTATAAGCGGCTTGCGCAATAATAAAAGCTAAAGGCCGACGGAACCCGTGAGACAGGTCATCAATAACGGCTGCAACGGTTTCGATGGGCTGAACGGTGCTGACGCTCAGCTGAGGGTCTCTTCAACACACAGCCTGCGCCTTTCTCTTGGGTACAAACAGATCAAGTATGATGTGCTAAGGTTGTGTCTGAAGATGTGGGAGGCTGAGTATTGAAAAGCTTCAAGCCAGCCTTAACATCAGCAGCTCTTGAATGCTCAGACGTTCTGGCTATTGAATCTGAAACAGAAAACCTTCTGACTATCTGGTCTCGGTCCTCTCAATGTGCTCTTCGTGAACGGGGTGCTTGTCCATGCTGTCTCTTGCCTCTTCGATATCCTTGGTGTGCGTCATATCAATCTGGGCTGGAATCTCAAAGCTTCTCCCTCTGTTCTCAGGTCCGAACGCAGTCGTGACCGCAATGCCAAACGCAATGATTGCAGTCGCAATGCCCATGGTCGGTCCATAGGCTTCTGCCCTTTTGCCGTTAGCTCCCTTGACGAAGTTCGATTCCGCGATAGCGTTGATGATCTGGGCAGAAGGCGAGGAAATCATGTTGCCGAGTTGGTAGGTAATACCAGGGAAAGAAGAACGGAAAGCAGGAGGTGCGAGTTCGTTGAGGTGAATGGGAATGACACCCCAAGCGCCCTGTACGAAGAATTGCATCATAAAACCAGAAGCAGAGAGAGGACCTTCACCTTGGGGAAGGATCCAGGCTGGAATGAGACACATGCTGATCACTAACGAGGAGGTTAGCACTATTCATGTACAAGTCTGATCGATCAACAACTTACAAGCAGCACAGATGATAGCGCGACGACGACCAACGAATTGTGAGAGGTAGCCGATGACTGAGGCAGATTGTTAGCACGCATCCGACCAACGTTCGCTATCAATAGCACGTACTTGTACCGCCGACACAGGCACCGGTCTTCATCAGGATGGAAGCGCGACTAGCACCATCGTTCTTCAGACCCTTCTGAGTAAGCATGAAAGTGGTGTAGCTGTCTTGAGACGAGTGACTGTAATCTGTGAAGCTGTTAGGAACCGCACAGCCTTTGATAATGCTCTTGACTTACAGTTGAACCAAGTCATCAGGATGATACAGTATATACACATCTTCCACTGTTGAGCAAGCATAATCTTGGTCTCTTGCCAGAACGCTCCGGGTGCCTTCTTGTCGCCACGTTTCTTAGCCTCGAGGAACTGCTTGGACTCGGGGAAGCAGCAGCGGATGAGACCAACGCCGATAGAAAGACCAGCAGCGATCCAGAAAACGGTCTTCCAGGTTTCGACAGCACCTCCGACACCCAAATTGGCGCAAGCGGCGAACACGTAACCCATGGAATAACCTTGTTGCAGAATACCAGACATAAGACCACGGGCATCAGTGGGACAGTTCTCGAGAGCCATTGCAACGGCATTTCCGTACCTATGATGATGTTAGCCTTGGACAAGAATGGACAGGTGCAAGATGACATACACTCCTCCCATGAAGAGACCGAACAGACTACGAACTGCCAGGAACTGGTTGAACGTCTTGGAATAGATGGTCGCAATCTGCAGGAGACCCAAGATGATCATGTTGGCGACCATTGGCCATTTACGACCCCATTTGTCACCTGCGAAACCGAACATGGCAGCTCCGACAGATCTCAACAGCAGAGTAAGAGTGATCGCTTCCGAGATGTCGGTCTTGGTGACTTTGTAATACTTTGCCAGCTTGACAGTCTGAATAGAAAGAGCATGGAAATCGAATGCATCGGCAGTCCAGGCGGCAAGACCAACAAGGAAGAAGACCCAGTTCATCGCGGTGAGTTGAGCCATCAAGCTGAAAGGATTTCTGAGCTTGGGAGGAGCCTGCCACTCCGTTGAGGTCTCGCCACTCTCACTGTAGACAACTACTCTCTGCTTCCATTTGAAGAGGTCGGACCATGATTGTTTCGCTGTTGGCAAGACGCCTTGCGCAATGGGGTCGGCAGGTTCGTTGAATGTCGCCATGAGGGATGGGTCGCGATGTAGTATCAAGGAACAGGATGGGTAATGATCAAGGAGTGAAGTGATGGTACGAGGCATGAGTGCTGCATGCTCACCCTTTTATCATCAGGGATCTCTCGCTCTTCTTCCCCGAACATGCCAGCAGTCAATTCTCTGCCGCACCCCCATTCCCGCCAGCCAAGACAGCAATCAAGAACGATATAACCACAGTCGGCTCGACCCCGCAGACGTTTGGTCAATTATCGGTATGGCTCCATGCGCCATGCACTCGCCAAGTCCACTTGCCATGGTGATTGTCTTGGCCCGGGGAAGAAAAAACATGGAGGATCGCATCCCCCACGGGGATAGTTTGGTAGATCTGGAGGCAACTTGCTATACGGTACCATCTATGAGGGACGAAGGACAATCTTTCCGGTTTGTTCTCTTATTCATAGAACGGCAATGGTCATGATAGGAGCTGAGAAACTTTGATGAAGCCTGTGGAGTACTTGGCGAACGTGGTGGCTTTCTGGCAACGATCTTCTTGACAGTCTTGTTTGCCACTTGTCAAGAGTAAGGCCTGTCAAGACTTTTTCTTGACCTTCGCAAGACTTCTTGTCGCTGTGCTTGTTCATCGCGGCTGTTTGGAGGATGTCATGCACACGTATATTTCCAATATTGTGTTTGATGCAAGTCTATGCAGTGATGTGACCTCGAGCTTCTGGCAACTCAAGATTGGAGAATAATCTTGCAGTCGTCTGATTATGGTTCGACCTCGTTCGACACGAGCGGTTCCGTGTCGTGTGGTCACTCGAGCGTGCTCTGCCAAGAGCGAGCCGCGAGAAATTGTCGGGAAGCAGGCGATAATGCGTCGGACTGTGGTGCAGCGAGAGCCACAGGAAAGCATATATCCCTTGGATCGTGTTCCAAGGAGGTCATTGAAACCGATCCAATCATGGCGAAGGGTCGTGGCTTGACAAGAAAAATGCCTCCGGAATTCGTTCGTCGTATTGCTTCCATGCTACGAGTACGATCGCGTACTACTGAACTCCTGAGCGTCGAGTAAGGCGTCCTTTTCGTCGTGCGAGTCTACTCGCGAGTCTCCGCGGAACCCTCTACGACTTATGATCTCCGCCAGCTGGCTTTTTTCACAAGAATGGTCAGAGGGTTCAACACCGATGGCTGCCGTGATTCTCGTGGGTGATCGGCTACATGTTAATGCTCACAACAGATCGATGATCAATTGCTTGTCTATTCGCGTGCGAGGAAAGGCATGCTGCGGCACGCCGGCTCCATCACGAGCCTCTGCAAGCGTAAACAGATGGCACAACGACTCCTGGCAAGTCGGCCCTCTAAATTTTGGACTGCTACCCTCAGCGATGCCTTGAGACAAATCAAACCGAAAACAACGAGCAATGTGGGCGCAAGACCATCGGCCTCGACAAATATCGGGTCAGCCTCTGCGACGCAAGGTAATTATGGCTTGTCCCCAATGGTCATCGAAGCTTTGCGCGAGCGAAGGCTGCCAGCTTGCTGACTAGGACTTCTGACCGATGGGAAACAACTTTCGCCCTCTCCGCAAAGCGCAATCTTCATGAGGCGTCCATACCTCTGAGCTCAGAACTTCAGTCTTCTGTCTGCGCAGTGTATACATAGAAAGCACAGGTTCTGCATGCTGTCTCGTCCTACCCATCACTCGAGTCACCTATCGTATGCGGCTCCTGCCGCCTGCGTATTGGTGCACTGGCGAAGTCGTGGCTCAGAAAATTTTAGACTTTAAGCTTCGACTACACGGAGCTGTACTACTATAGGCATGCAAATCCGTTTTGAGGTCTCCAGAGCCCGGGCGCACCGACAGTCCAGCGCCACTGAATTTCCAATTCATATTGCAGTTACAAGGCATTGGGGATGGTTCTCGAGATGACGAGAGTGCATCTCTTGATGCCTCTCTGGTAAGTCAGGGTGAGGGCGTCAAGGAGTGTCAGGACAGATGGGCGCCAAGATCTCAGGTACCTCTACGTCACCTGAACGGGTCGGTCGCGGTCCAGAACGAGCCGGCATCACGTTGCGGCGACACAGACGGTCGCAGGGAAATCGCTGTCTTCCTTCCACACCTTCTCTTCTGTACAGTCGAACGCCTAATACTACGCCTAGTGATTGCATCAGACAACCCGGGGATCACTCCGGCTTGATCAACCTCACCTCAGTATGGCAAGGGACCATCACCCCACGATGCTGTCGTTGTTACAACAAGTCGAGACTGGAGACGCAAAGACTGACAGAGACCTCCGATTGTTGTGTAATGCAGACTGGTCTTCGACATCGCTTGGTCCTCTGTCCTCTTGGCCCCAGGACCTTTTGACTCTCGTCTATCTGTCAATGCTCTCCCCTCTACCACAATTCTTCTTCTTGGGACCGGATAACATTTTCTTGTACAACACCGCTGCGAGTCAACTACTCCGAGACCATCACCCTGCATATTTTGCAAGGCCTGTCGCATCCCTGGAACGCCTTCAATCCCAAGCAGAATCGATTGCCCAGATCATAAGAGATGCCACAGAAGGCCGGCGGCCTGCTGTGCAAAGAGACTTGCCTTTCTTTTTCAGCAAGAATAATAACCTTGAAGAGCTGCTCATCTCGACCACCATGGTCTGCCTGCCACCGCATTTGTCCGGATACCAGGCCACCGTCGAAGACACGACGCTTGCGGTCATCACAAGGCGACGGGATCAGTTTCTTACCAAACTCAAAAGTCGTTGCGGGTCGACCAATGACTTACCTCTGCTCCTGCAATCCATTCTCCAGAGTATTTCTTCGGCTGAGGCAGATTTTCCATTTGGCATTGTGTATGGAATCGAGGAGCCAACATTCACAGCGATTCCTTACGACAGCCCTCAGCGCGATGAAAGCGCTGTCACATTACATCTGGCAGGAAGCGTAGGAGATTTTGACTACTCTTTACCGGAGGACCTGAATCTTGGGACAGAATGCGGCATATTGGCGCAACATGCACGCAAAGCAATCACATCTCGCGAGCCTGTCAAAATTTGGATTGAGGGTGACGACACTTTGGCCTACTGGTGCCAGGCGTCGAGAAATCGTGGCTACAGAGACAATTGCAAAGAGGCAATCATCTTTCCGGCAAGCTGTACGCCTTTCCAGCATGTGAGGGCAGTCGTGATAGTTGGTATAGCACCTCGCAGACCCTTTGACGAGGCTTACCAAGGCTTCATTCGAGACGTCCAGAAACACATGGCCGATCAAGCTTTTGCGATCTCGTGTATGGAGGCCAAACAAATCGAAAAACGAAAGGCATCTGACCGAGCCCGAGAGGAAGCCGTGATTCATAAGAGAGAACTTGAGCTTCGTAGGAAAGAGGCAATGACTGCTAATGGTAAGTTGGAAGGTGTTGTGACAATGGCCGAAACGATCGACGTAGGATTCTTCGACTATTGGCCCACAGGCGAACTCATACAAGGCAATGTACATCGCTCCTTCTGCCAACCAGGGGCCGGAAGCTGACTTGTGACAGAACGCATTCTATGAACTGAGTGGTTACCCAAAAGATCCAAATCTGAATAAAGCATACACTTTCCTGGACTACTGCATGGAAGAAGATGCTCCTACGGTTATGGAGAAGTGGAACGTGCTCATGAGCGGGCAGCCAGTGACCTTTGAGATGAGGAATGCTTGGGATTACCTTATCAGCTGCTGTTACTAACTTTCTTTCAGGTGGAAGAACAATACACCGACTGGTCAATGGGTCCAAGCCGCATGTACACCAATCTTCGACGAAGCTGGTAATATCGCTAGTATCTCTGGCTGCACGACAGACATCTCAGGGCAAAAGCGCGCCCAGGAAGACGCCCTCAAAAAAGCAGAAGCTCTTGAGCAGGTGCGAATAAGCCAAGCAAGATTATTACAGTTTACAGATAATGCACCCATGGGCATTGTGATATTGGGCTCAGATGGCCACCCCATCTACATCAACCGAAGCTGGTTCAGTATCACCGACCATCCTGAAACTCTGGCATCCAAGGTAGATCTCATGTCCGTCTGCTATCCGGACGATCTTCCTCAGGCCGTGCGAAAACGAGAAGAGGCCATCAATACCAGAAAGACTGTAGAGTTTCGAACTCGACTCAAGAAAAAGTGGACGTGCGTGGACGGCTCTTTCCAGGGTCAAGCATGGGTTTCCATCATGTACTTGCCAGAGTATGACGAGAACGGAGCTCTGAGCCGAATCATGTCGACCTGTACTGATATTTCACATTCACAATTCTCGGAACACCTACAGCGGAAGAGACTGGAGGAAGCCATCGAAGCGAAACGAAGGACCGAAGCTTTCATCGACATCACTAGTCACGAGATCCGGAACCCACTTGGAGCAATAGTGCATTGCGCCGATCTGTTGCAAGATTCTTTCGTGGATATGAAGAAGCTCGTCGACACGCTGGCAAAAACCTGCAAACACGATGAGGGTCAGCAGAGCACGATAGCACGACTACAGGAGCATCTCACCAGCGGCGTTGACGCGGTCGAGACCATTCTCTCCTGCTCCATGCACCAGAAACGTGTCACTGATGACATCCTGTCGCTGTCCAAGCTCGACTCCAATCTTCTTCAAGTATCACCATCGACAGTTCGGGCAACGGAAATGTTAAACAACGTGTCAAACTTTTTCGCGGTGGAAGCTGGACGTGAGAAGATTGCCCTCGAAACCCAACTGGACGAATCGCTGAAGGAATGCAACATCGAGTGGGTTGTAGTTGACCCTGGGCGAATCACGCAAGTCCTAGTCAACCTCGTAACAAACGCTCTCAAATTTACAAAGACTTCAAAAAACAAGCGCAACGTCAATGTACGGCTCGGAGCGTCGAAAGGACCACCTACCGATCTGTCGGTCAAATACGCCGCTCTAGAAAATCCAAGCACCAAAGCGCAGACAAAGCCGGACACTGATGACGCATTGTATCTCTGGTTCTCGGTCACTGATAGTGGCTGTGGTATGACCGAGGAGGAGCAGACACGCATGTTCAATCGCTTCTCTCAAGCTTCGCCAAAGACCTACAATACCTACGGAGGCAGCGGACTCGGCCTCTTCATAAGCAAGAGACTTGTGGAGCTGCAGGGCGGACAGATTGGTCTCGCCTCTCAGATCGATGTCGGATCCAGATTTGCTTTCTATGTTCCTGCAAGGCAAACGACAAAAGCGATGGATCTACCAAAGCCAGATCTTTCTTTGCGTACGAAGGCCGACGCTCTTACTCAGGATTTCACCGTGGCAACCCCGGCAAGCAAGGATCAAAACTCTTCAGATTACTCGATCCTAGTGGTAGAGGTAAGTCCTGGTATCCTTCATTCTCAAGTTCCCATGACTAAACATTCTAGGACAACGCTGTGAATCAAAAAGTTCTCGAAAAGCGACTGACCAAGCTCGGATATAAGGTACAGATCGCCAATCATGGACAGGAGGCACTGGATTATTTGACAACCACGACTACCTGGAAACAACAAAATCGAGAAGAGACAACGCCATTGCAAGATGTACATGTGATTCTCATGGACATCGAGATGCCAGTCATGGATGGGCTGACTTGCTCCAAAAAGATTCGAGATCTACAAAGTTCTGGCGACATTGTGAAGCACATTCCGATTGTCGCAGTATCAGCAAACGCTCGTGCCGAACAGATGAAACAGGCAATCGATGCGGGAGTAGATGGTTTCATCACAAAGCCGTTCAGGATGCCCGAGCTGACATCGGTCATCTCAAGATTGCTGAAGACTCCATGAACTCGCACCATAAGCGGACCTTCCAGTTATCTTCTCGACTCTATTCAACAATTCCTGGTACGGTCTTAGACGAGGGCTCGAGATTGAGGTGACCCGACCTTATCATTGATCACCATATTTTGTCAGGTTGGCAGACAATCAGAGCTGCCCACCTTTCAGATGATTTGAGAGAAGCCACAATTGGGTCACAGACAGACGCATGATCCTTATCCGAGACACGAGTATCCGAGAGCAGTCCAGACCTGTTGCACAAAACAGATAGCGTATAGATGGACGCGTTTGTTTGTGCTCTGACAGCCCAGTTTGTGATCTAGCAGCTTGGACTCAAGCTTCGGTTGAGAATGCATTGTCCGAGATTTCAGGATGAGTGCCTGATACTCTGTTTACTTGCACCTTGGGTGTATTTCTCTATATGCTCAATGATGCAGATGTGCTCTTGGCTTGGCTCATGATTATGTTAGTCCTTTGAACTTGTATTCAGACTTGCAGAAATGGCTATCACGTGCGATGCAGTCTGCGGACGTCGACGCCGGAAGTCCACCTCGGTTGAGTCTGGATGAGTTTCAGGCTCCCTTCTATCAATACCCCACGCTTTCTGCCAGGTCATGTTGACTCCGTATATTTACCCTTGATATCCCCGCATTTCAACCCCACATACCGGAACGTATACACCGGCTAATGGTGACAGGATAAGAATAATATCGACTGCCGACAATGTAGGAGACTTGGAAAGAGATGCATATATATGACACAGATGCCTCGATCTTCTCCGCCATCCAATTTGTTCAGCAAGCATGGTCTTTCTCAAGAGTTTGTGTCTACTGGTATCCACCTTTGCATCTACCCTGGCCAGTGCAACAAGCGTTTCCAACAGAAACGTCTCTTACACAAATCCCATCTTGTCAGGATGGAATAGCGACCCGAGTTGTGTCTTTGTGGCCGAACTTGACAATACTACCTTTTGCAGTACTTCATCTTTCCTTGCATATCCTGGTGCACCAGTCTACGCCTCGAAGGACCTCATCAACTGGAAACTAGCAAGCAATGTGATCAATCGCCCTGAGCAGCTTCCAACTCTCCAGACCAGCAACAATATCCAGGGAGGTGGTATATTTGCTTCTACCCTTCGCTATCACAATAGCACCTTTTACCTCATCACCACCTACATTCTGAGTCCCTTGCCTCCCACCTTCTATATCTTCACCTCCAAGGATGCAACAAATGACTCGGCTTGGTCAATGCCATTCGCTATCGAGACTCCGTACATCATCGATCCTGATATCTTCTTCGACGATGATGGCAGTGTTGTTGTCGCATATGCTGGTCACCCGATCAAGGCGCAGATCATTGATATGAAGACTGGTAACGCCACTGAGACATTCGACATGTGGAATGGCACTGGCAATGGCTTCACTGAGGGACCTCATATTTACAAGAAGGATGGGTACTACTACTTGTTGGTTGCAGAAGGCGGAACGGAGCTTGGTCACTCAGCTGCCATCGCTCGATCGAAATCACTCAGGGGACCTTGGGAAGGGTCGCCATCCAACCCTCTGGTCAGCAACCGCAGGACAAATGATTACTTCCAATCAGTTGGACATGCCGACCTCTTCCAAGATGCTTCTGGCAATTGGTGGGGATGCGCTTTGGGTGTGCGAGGTGGACCTACACTCTACAATCAGACCGTCTTCCCGATGGGTAGAGAAACATCGCTCTTTCCTGTTACCTGGCCCAAGGGGGGATGGCCGGTTGCCAGTCAGGTTCGTGGCAGGATGACTGGACCTTTGCCCTCTCCGACCCGTAACGTGAGCGGTGAGGGTTTGTTTGCAGGAGAAGCCGATGTCGTTGACTTTGTGCCTGGCTCAGCTATACCCAAGCATTTCAATTTCTGGCGTACTCCTGCAAGGCTCGAATCATTCACCATCTCCCCAAAGAATAGGCCCAACACGCTGAGATTGACTGCCTCAAGAGCAAATTTGACTGGACGGGCTGACTTCAATGCTACTGACGGTTTGACACTGGTGATGCGCCGTCAAGCACATACACTCTTCAACTACACTGTCGACGTAGAACTTCTTAGCAATGTTGCTCAAGATGGCGATGAAGTCGGCGTGACAAGCTTCCTGGACCAGTACCAACATGTTGACCTCGGTGTTGTCTATCTGTCTAAGAACAAGAAGGTGTCTCCATATCTACGCTTCAGAGCCACGACGTTTGGCAAGACCAACTTTACTGGAATCGTTCCGGAAACCAAAATTATTGCCTTGCCTTCCGACTGGTCGAACGACTTGGTAAGACTTGGTATCTCATCGATCAACGCCACATTCTTTGCTTTTATCGCTGCACCAGCAGCTAGGCCTTCTTGTAGTATCGTTGTTGGTGTTGCAAATACGACGCTCGTGTCTGGTCCTGGAAACGCTGGTGGTAAGTTTCGACCTGTTATGTGTCAACAGAGGTTCGAAAGCTAATTTGCGTTAATTCTACAGGTGGTCTCCTAGGTGCTTACGCTACAACTAATGGACCCAACCGTACTGTTCAGGCGTACATTAGTCGCTGGAGATACACGCCGGTCGCACAGCAGATCGACTACAATGACTTTGTATATTCGAAATGATCTTTCTTCGTTCAAGTGTGATGTGCGTCTATCAAGATCCTTGTCCTTGTGCAGAGACTGCTGGAGACTGTAGCCCGAGAGAGGTGGATGTGCGATGTGGTAGACATGTATCCCGAGCCCGTCTCAAGTTCTTCGCGAAACTCAAGAGATCATTGAGCGACCGTCGGTTTATCAGCCAAAAGACCGTAAATCAAGGAGTCCCTTATCCCGATATGTGTTTCCCACTCTGCACGCAGACGTCCCTCCAACTTGAACCCTGACGTCTCAAGCAACTTGATAGAACCCCGATTGTCAGGATCTACATCAGCAAAGACACGCCGTTGTCCCTGGCCAAACAACTGGCTGATCAACAATCCCACAGCTTCCCTGCCATACCCCTTGCCTAGCTCTTCTCGAGCAATAAGATAACCGATTTCAGAAACACCCCTACGTTTTGAGCTCGCAGCTACGAAACCAATGGCGGTGTCTGAGTCGAGTTTGGTGATGGCCCAGATTTTCCAAGTGCAAGTAGGTGACTCTGTGGAAGCAAAGTCTTTGCGTAGATCTGCGACAGATGTAAAGGGTGCGCGGGACCAGTAGCGCATGGAGTCTGAGTGCGACATTGTTGGGAACAAAGCTTCGGCGTCGGATTCGCGTCGCGGGCGAAGACAGAGACGCTGGGGTTTGGATGAGCTGTTGGGGTTTGATTCCGCCATTGTTTGGTCCTGGAAAAGATTTTGATGTTTGTTGATGCGAAAATCGATGGTGCTTGTCCCTGAGGTATAAAGCCTTATAAGGTAACGTGTTCGAGGTCACCGCGCTTGAAACCCGGCGTTTCCGAATGGGGACACCGGCAAAGCTTTTCCTGGCTTGCGACCATGAACAAGGAACAAATATGCAGACCTCTCTAGAGAAGTCACTGATATACACCGCAGACAGTGGGAATTGCGTCGACCTGTATTGTGTGAAGACGAGAGGTCGAGGTGCTGTTGGTTGAATTTCTGTTTTTTGCCAGCACATCATCCGGAAGGTGATGGACGCTCTGTCGCTCCATCCGGGACCACGACATGATCCTCCAAATTCGCTTAGCATTACAATTCAGCTAGCTGGGAAGGCACAGACTGCGACGCGCATACCGTTCTGCATGGCCGACACGAGAAGGATGCAACCAAGTGCGGAGGCGCAGTGCAGCCGCGTGTACCTGCATATCTCAAGCCATTGGCGATAGAACAATAATCCTCATATGACTAGAATCTCTGATATATGGCCTATCTTTGGTAGTTCTGTATATGCAGCTGGACACGTCACATAGGAGGTAAGGTGCAGTGCCACATCTGGAACAGTGATACCAGATCCATACTCGATCTAGATCTTGTGTGACACTACGACCACCTTGACCTCTTGTGACACAAAGGGCACACATGCAAATACACGATCAATACGATGCAGGTCAATGAAAACTATCAAAGCCATCATTTGTCACGATATCGCGCAGCTGTGACCAAACGATGCGCACGCTGATTCAACTTGTGGGGAAATCAATTCTAAGCGAACGACGACAATCCTCCAGGATCTGGCAACTTCAACGTCAGTCAGCACCTTCCTTCTAGGAACAAGACCGCGTACGACGACTGCGCATTCAACTCCATATACTCGCTGGTCTTGTGGCTATGCTTCGAGTCAGCACTCTTCGGCTCACGCTCATTGGCCTGAGACATGTTCCTGGCTCAAGCAAGGAGGCGTGATTTGATGACCACAAATGGGGCTGAATACAGATTCTGGTGCATATTGATGTTATCCGGGATTCAGCTTGTTGACAGATGAATGGTGAGGTTCTGAATCGCTCTGGATTTATAGCTCGTTGCACTCGCCCTTCGAACATGGATTTTGACTCGTCGAGATCTTCACCAGCGTCGATATGATGACTCTCGCACTCTTCACACTTGCATCTCTGCTCGCCAGCGTCTGCGTGGCAGATTGTCATCGTTCCAAGTCAGCTTCTCCATACAAAGGACTGAACGTCACCTACAAGAAGGTGCTTGTGATTGGAGGGACAACTTTGTTCTTAACGCTAATTTCTCGAAGAGCCATATTTGCGAAACAACCCCCGGTGTCAACTCCTTCTCCGGCTACGTCCATCTTCCTTCCACCCTTCTCGCAGAAACTCAAGATCCTTTAGACCCCTACAACATCTCAACCTTCTTCTGGTACTTCGAGGTCAGCATCCCTGATTGCCCGTGAATTGGCATATCCTGATATCCCAACAGTCTCGCAACAACCCCAGGAATGCTCCACTCACTGTCTGGCTCGCTGGTGGACCGGGCGAAGCATCCTCATTCAGCGCCATGACTGAGAATGGTCCATGTTATGTGAACGAGTTTTCCAACGACACAATCCTGAACCCGTTTTCACTGAACCAGCACTCGAATGTCTTGTACATTGATCAACCTGTTCAAGCCGGCTTCTCCTACTCTACTTTCATGAACAGCACATTCGACTTCCTCAATCCTAATCCATACGTCTCGTCGATCACGCCCATGGAAGCTTACAACGGCGATATTCCTGCGCAGAATGCGACTTTCAAGTATGGAGTTTGGGCTGATCAGAGTCCGAGTCGCACGGCCAATACTACTGAAAATGCTATCAAACCATTGTGGCAGTTTCTCCAGGGGTGGCTTGAGAAGTGAGAAGTCCTAACCTTTGGAGCCACAAGAAGACACTGACACCCAATTCTAGCTTCCCGGAGTACAAAACTCACGATTCCCGCGTGAACATTTGGGGCAACTCTGTACGTGTTTCCTTTGCTATCTTTCTCGACATATCTCTGACTTCAATCTAGTATGGCGGCTTCTGGACCACAGGCTTAACAAGCTACATCCTAGACCAAAACACACGCATCAACAACAACACGCTGCCAGGAAAAGCGATAAACATCAACGCCTTCGGCATAACCAATGGCTGCATAGACGCACATGCCACAGCCGAATCCATCGGCAGAATCATCTACAACAACACCTACAACACCTCTTTCCTCCCCAACGCCATCAACCTCGAAGTCCAGAACAACCTCACAAAACCCAATGGCTGCTACGATCAAATCTACCAATGCCGTCTTCTAGTCGCTGAATCCGATGCAGAAGGCAAAGGCACAAACGATACAGTCAACGCCGTTTGTGCCACAGCAACAGCATATTGCTTTACCTACGGTGGCAGTGGAGCTTACTCTGCACTTTCCGGCCGCAGTGTGTTCGACATGGCACAGACAGCTTTGGCGCCCTATCCACCTTACTATGCAGTAGGGTATCTCAATCGCCCCGAAGTCCGCAGAGAACTCGGTGTACCGGTAATGTTCAATCAGAACTCCGCAGTCGTGACTACAAACTTTGTGTTAGTTACTGGCGATACAGCACGTTGGGATGGCATGAGCAAACTCGACAAAATCCTGTCCTCGGGCGTCAGAGTGGCGTTCGCATTCGGCGATCGCGATACCAGATGTAATTGGCTGCAAGGCGAAAATGTAGCCAGTACCGCTCAATGGTCAGGCGCAAACCAATTCTCCACTGCCGGCTACGAGCAGACCAAGATAAACGCAACATACATTGGCGGTTTGACCAAACAATTCTCCACCCTCAGCTTCACCAGAATCTTCCAAGCTGGACATGCAGCAGGATACTTTCAACCTCAGACCGTACTGCAGATTTTCGAGCGCAGTAGCATTTGGGATCGCGATGTTGCTAGTGGAACAAGGCGTGTGGGTGCTCAAGGTCGATACACCACGAAAGGATCTACCAGTGCTTGGAGTCATTTTGAGGTGTTACCAGAGGTACCAGAGCCGATCTGCAATATCTGGGAAGCGGCGATTGCGTGTACAGATGAGCAATTTGAGGCTTTGGTGGATGGGAGCGCGGTGATCGAGCATGGTATTGTAATTTCTCCGAATGCCTAGTGGAGAAGCAGGAGCAAAAGGTCGAGGTCAACGGCATGACCGTCATCAAGTCATATGAACTTGCTGTTCCCATTCCAACACATGCTCGATCGTTCTCTTCCCAACTTTCGAGCTTCATGCGGTGTATATCGGCTCCTTTGACTGTAATAGTATCTCGGATCTTGAGAACGTCGATTCATACAGATATCTTCTAAGGCAACATGATCGAGTCTCCACCAAGTACAACACTTTCTCCAGTATGCACACTAAGACCCTTCCAAGCCTGCTCGACATTCACATCTCCGCGAATACCATGCACTCTATTCACGCCAACATCTCTCTTAGTCTTGTTACCATAGAACTCATTGCTTCCAGCCACACAAGCATCACCTTGACCCCACACAGTATCAGCAACAGTACGCCAGACAGCACTCTGATCCACAACCATAGCAGGTGTGTAGAAGATTCTGCAATCGCTAGGCTCATACACGAACTGCAGAGGAGTTTCTGTGACGTCGCCTTCACGTATACCGTCTCTTGAGTTCACAACAGGGCCAGACGAACTACGGTAGAGAGGCAGTTGCGAGTAAGTGCCTAGAGCAGTGCTGTTCAGTTCCTCCTGGTGAGAAGCGTTGGCGAACGTGAATGGCACTTCCACAGATTCGAGGATGTAAGACCAGGGGAAATCGTTGGTGCCCTTGACACCGCCAACTGCCTGGATCTCATTGTAGTTAGGGCGACCACCAAGAGCGATGGTCTTGACACCGGCTTGTTGGCGCATCAATTCTGAGAAGATGGTACAAGTAGAAGCGCAGTAGCCATCATAGACTATGATAATGTTCTCCGCGGCGAAAGGTTGTGTAGTGACATTTGAACGGTTCAAGTAGCCAGATACGTAGATGCCACCGGAGTTGTCGGGAGTAAGCACGTCTGATAGATTCCACCGAATAATGGAAGTGAAAGTGTCATTACCGGGACCGAACTCATGAGGGCCGTACTTTTCGGCCCAACTGGTGAAAGGCTCATAATTGACGTCGAGGTCAGTACGGTAGTCCCACGATGAAGACTGAATGTTCTGAATGGTATCGCTCTGGTTCAAGCTTCGTGTGTAGTTGGCAGAGATTGCCGAGTATTCTTGACCGAGAATATCAAAAGCTTCGTGGGCACGGAAGCGAGTTGCACCATAGGGCAAAATAGAAGGGAAGAGCTGTTTGAACAGGTCATAGCCTTGCAGGATCGTGCCACCGCCGTTTGCAGATACATCAATGATCAGCTTGGTCTTGTTGGCGGCAAGGGCAGCAGCGATCAATTCACTGTTGACATTTTGAAACTCCACTTCCGCAGTATCAAGGCCGACGAATGAAGGTACTGCCAGGACCGCGACATCCTCATAGCCGGGCTGATCAAGGAAATAGCCACTGTTGAGGTTGTTGGACTGACGCACAATAGGGGACGGATAGCCTGGGGCAGGAGTTGATGTTGTGGACGTGGTGGACGAAGCGGTTGATGAAGTGCCATTAGTAGCAGAACTAGTGGCACTGCTAGTGGTAGATGTAGCAAGACTCAAAGCGTTGTCATAGGCCTCTGGGGGTATCGCAAAGAGCTCTCGGTAAATGTCTGCGCCAGTTGTGATGTTGCTGAAATTCGCCAAAACTCGAGCAAAGTTCTGGTTCGTGACAGTAGAGCCGTTCGCGAAAGTGAATGTGGTTGTTGCTCCAGGATACACGTAGCGACCACGACCACTTCCAGAGAACGTGCCAGTCCCAGTGCCAGATGATCCAAGCGAGACTTGAGCGGGGATGTAGAACAAGTTGTTCCAGAGAGCGTCTCTATCCTGGAGAGAACCAAACTGAGACCAGGCAAGCAAGTAGTCGGTGGCGTTTTGGCCGTCGATCTCGACGATGTGAGAAGGTGTGAAAGACGCATTGCCAAACGACGCGGCGAGAATATCGCCATACGCGTAGACGACCGGCAGACTTTTGCCATCCTCAGATACGGACGCCAGGGCGACTTTCCTGCCAAAAGTGAAGACGCTTCCCACACTGTCCGGCGTGAAGCCGAAGTGACCGTCATGTGTCTTTTGGAAGGCCTCATATACATCCCATCCAAATTCATATTCACTGGCATAAGCTTCAGCAGCGACATTAGCCTCGATGGCGTCGAAAACGCCCCAGAAGTCATACGGTGGCTGGATCTTGTCCGCATAATCCTTAGGAGGATCCTTGAGGTAAGAGATTGTTGTTTGCCAGTTGAGATAAGGTCTCATTGACTCCAACAGATCAGAAGCAGCAGTCTGATTGAATGGGATGGAATGAAGACATTCATACGCAATATCAGCCGGAACAGTTGGTGTGGCTTTAGGCGAAGCAGACGTGAAGGATGCCACGAGTTTGGCCACACTTGCACAAGCATCTAAGCCAGCGGATGCTGATAGGGAAGAGCCGGCGACGGACGAACTGACGCCACTAGGAGGTGTGAAGGCAGTTGTCGCTGGCACGGACTCGGTTGTAGCAGGTACAGACTCGGTTTTAGTAGGCACAGACTCGGTTGTGTAAACAGTCGTCGACAAGGTTTGCGTAGAAGGAGGAGCGACAACAGTCGAGACAGCACCAGTACCGGGGCTCGAAAAGTTACCAGTAGGACCTATCCAATGAAAACTGTGCGAGGGTCCGATGGGATGAGGACGATACCATGAAGGCTTCGGCTGAGCGGGTGTAACAATACTCGCTGAAGACCAACCAGGATGGGGGAAAGCTGACGATTGCTGCCATGGAGCCGCTTGCACGACCCCTACCACGGGCAAGATGAGCAACAGAGTCTCCAGCATGTTCGCTGAGAGGGGAGACAGATTGGAGAATGTTGAAGAGATAAGTCCAGATAGAGGGGTCGAAATGTCAAGGAGCGAAAAACTACAGTATTTAAGCAATTACGTCCGGAAGATCACGATTGCGATGCCGCTGGACAGGATCAGTCGCGATATCAGTGGTAAAGTTCGTCATGTTGCAATGGCGGACTGCTCATTGGAGCTCTGATACGGGCTGCATATGGTAGACAGTTTATGCGGCATACGGTTAGTGTGCGGCCACCTTCATGGCAGAGCTTGTCAGTAGATCATGCATACTAGCACGATGGCAGATGCCAGAGAGGAAGGTCGCGAGGATGTTTACGAGATAGCGGTTGCGACCCTGGAAGATCGACAGGCATTGGAGAGTTGACGGACTTTTGGTTGGGACCTGCTTATTCGGGCAAGTGAGCGGCAGGCTTTGATGCGGCGCTGATAGAGCTCCAGAAAGTCGACGATATGGTAGTCGATGTGTATACACGTTTTGGCATGGCGAGAAGCAGTGTTTGGTGTCTCCGGAGATGTGAAACGGACCTGTCAACTGTCGACGAAACCGCATCGAAGAAGGAAGGAGGATGTAGCCAAGAGGATTAAGGTTTGTGGCATCTGTTACGCCAAGCTGCGGAGTACAAGAGGGACACCACCTCCGAGGGTTCTCGGCTCAAATTGTTATAAGGATTAAAACGGACTCGATTGGCAGAGGTCTTTACGAACGGTTGTTTCGATACACAGACTTGCGTTGAAAGTCAAGGTCTATCTCAGCGATATGTGGAGAATATCGGTCTTGTCAAGTGGTGGATGTTGACGGAAAGACCCTGCTTGGATGATTATGAATAATCGTCAGGTCAGTTCATGTTCGCTGTCAAACGATATGCTGTTGTAACCTGTACGGTTGTGCAAGGTGAATAAGCTTTATCGATGAACTTATGTTCATGAGTGACACAGAATTGCCAATTTGCTATGATAGGTGAACAATCCATTGGACGAAAAATGCCGCCATCTAGAATCCGCCTCGAAGAACACTGCAGTCAAAAGTCGATATCCCGAATCACATAACAACACATTTTTTTCCTTGCGCCTCATGATGCATCAGATCCTCTCTAACGCCCCTTCCAATCGTAGGTAAAATCTCCCCTCCAATCCTATCTTCCAACTGTTTCTTCTTTGCAAACCAAGCTTTGCGTCCCGTACCCACTGACTTCGATCTTCGTATTCTTGGCGAGGCAAATTCCTCCGGTGTGCCTTGTCGAGCAATACCAGAGGAAGTAGCTCTAGCACTAGTAGGAGGGAACCCTGCACTTCTTGACCTCGAGGCAAGTGTTGGACGGATTTCATCGAGAGGAGTGGGTGGAGCGGGCGGGAACCAGCCGGTGACCTGATAGCCGACGGCGCCTGCAGAGGTGGCAGGACGAGGCGGTATATTGCTATCCCCAGAAACTGTGCTGATAGCCGAGACCGCGCCAATGGAAGTTCTGCTTGTGGAAGCCATTGCCGGTGTCAGTGTATTCGCAGAAGCAAAATTGACTGCTTGTAGGGCATTGACATGTGGCGGTCGATGTTGAATAGCACCTGTTCTCTCATCTCCGAATCGCGAATTCGCAGCCATTGTACGCGGTCGTTCATCGATATGCCGATCTTGAGGTATCAACATGGAGTGGCGGAAATCTTGGAGACCTAGACCCTGCATCATCTGAGGTGGACGCATGTGTTCAGGACTTGTCGGTACGGTGTTGGTGCTTTGGCGTAGGTCCGGCGAAAAGAAGCTCATTGCTCTGCGACTTTCTCCACTCGGCTGCGATCGCAGTGTTGCGGGACCGCGTGGTGTAGTCTGCGCTGTTGTACTGATTGTCTCCCAAGATGGCTGAGTGCGTAGAATTGTATGTGTGCCAGATCGAGTGGTCACTGCATTTGGATTAAACTCGCTTCTTGAAACTGGATTGGCATAAGAGCCAATGGGACTATCAGAATGAGTCATGTTTTGAGGGATAGCATGTGCAGGAGACAGTGTCGAGGTTGGTGGCAGAAATTGATGTCCTGGTAATATTGGAGGTGCAGTGTTGATTGTAGACGGAGGATTGTTAGTCTGCTGTACAAACCGTGCATGTGTTGGTATCTCCAGACCCGCAAGAGCTCGGTACTTTCCAGGTAATGGTTGATTTGGATGTTCGGTGTAAGCTGGTAACGGCAAGTCCCCTGGATGTTCTGATTCTGCTTCATGCTCCTCAAGTGTCTGGAAACGATGTGTGTTTGCAGCAGTAGTTGCGCGCTCGATGGACATGTATGAGCGAGGCGCTCCTTGCGAGTATGGTTGCTCAAGTGACTCGGCGGCTACTTCGCTTGCTTCGAGTAGATCCGGTAGTGATCGGGTCGCATCGGCAGACAAAGAGATGAGAGATGAGCTCACTCGTCGACTCCTCCATGGCGAAGTGTTCAACGACAGCTGTTGTATTGATCCAGACGGGCTTCCATTCCGATATGCAGAGTTGTCCTGCCGTCTTGACACAGTCGTCGCAGCTCTTCCAAGCGAAGGCGTCCTCTTTCCAAGGGTGTTGCTGCGACTCGAGGTTACTGTGCGTCGTCGCACCAATGCAATCTCGTCTGCAACATCCATCGTCTCTTCCTCGAGCGTCATTGGCGGAGCCTTTCCAACATGAAAGACAAAAGTCTGACCCGGTTGACTAGCGAATTGCGGATCGAAGTCGAAGAGAATGATGCGACCACCTTCGATATCTTGTACACCCGACCCTGCTTGTTCCGCATCGACCAAGGATCCAGGGCTTGTGACGACCAACCTGCCTCTGATCTGGTGCGGGGATTGTGATGCAGCTGGTAGATTGAGGCGTGAATGTACCCATCTCAGATCAGTGAAAGGACACCCGTACTCTTCGTCCAATTCATGGTCGATGCTGTGTGCTTCCACTTTGGTGTGGCCGTCTTCAGCTTCCTGAGGAACAAGATACAGGCGAACCGTACGATCATTGACAATCATGGCCACAATCTTTCCATGTTCATCGATGGACGGACAATGGTGGATGGCCGCTCCGAGCCCTCCACAAGTAGAAAGTGGAGGGGATATTGCTACCGGGAAGTCGACCTGACTGTAGGCCATGTCATGTGCGTTGAGCACTCCAAACGTATCTTCGAGGCCGTTCCAGGCAAAAAGTTTGTCATTCGTCATATTTCCATCCTCGCGCATAAAGGTGGCATGACTGCTGTTCTTGATATTCTGAGGCTCCAGCATACCAGTGCACCAGGCTTCCTGAAGCTCTCTGTGTGAAGGCTGAGCAGAGGAGTCCTCTGCAAAGATCGGCACCGAGACAACCAGTGTGGCAGAAGCAAAGATGCGAGTGGTTGTACCGAGCAGTGACGAGTCGTCCTGAGAAAAGACCAATTTGTCCATCTTGGGAGCTCTCACAGCACGGCGGTCAGTGATGAGAGCATTTTGAGCCAGAGAGAAGACCTCTACACCTCCTTCATATGCAGTGGCAAGTAGACCACCAGTCGAAGACAAGGCGATCGTTGAAGTCGGCAGGTCGGTACGTACAGTCCTCACGCGACGAGCATTATTGCGCGACAAGTCGTAGATGTTTACGGTGTGAGCGTCCACGAGTACGGCAAGGACATTTGCATCGTCGCAGATCTCTACTGCTAGTGGTCGTCTCCGTAAAGCATACTCATGCGACACATTCACGGGCAAGGCAGCAGTCTGAAAGACGAACAGCCTGGCCGAGTTGTAAGCGGCAATCCTCTTCCCGGCAGGCGACAAGGAGAAGGCCAGAGCCTCGCCCTGGGGAGATGCTGCCGAAGCTGTTGCAGTATTCGAAACAATCTTGACAATGTGTATCCTTGGCCTGTTGGGCTCATCCTCGTGAATGCTCTGCCAGCTATATCTCACTCTGTCCTTGTTGCCAGACACGTGTGTCGCTGGAGTTTGTGCTTGTGCTGAGCGTATTGATGTTTGTCGTGAGAGAGGCGTCGTCGGTCTCTCGTTCTTGTAGGTCGAATTTGATACGTGCGAGTCTGCTGGACCATCATCCGAGGACGAAGCTGACGACTTCATACCGGCGCTTCTGACACTGGCTTGGTCTCCTCGGCGGCTGACGCTGTCGTCGGGTCGTAACTCGTGAGTATCGTAAGTGTATGCATCTTGGTAGGCCATGATCTGGACATGTCGGTCATATATGGTTGTCTCAGCTTATCATGGTGTTGTCGATGAGGCTTCAGTGATGTGCAGCGATGCAATGCGACACAAGCTGATGATGAAGCGTCTGACAGTAGTACCGTGTGTACGTGCGATGATACCCGAAGCCTTTACACATTAACAGAATGCACGCTAATCTGCACGAGAAATGACAGTAGCGTAGAAGGTATATATCGAACCATCAGAAACACATGCAAGTGTTAAAGGAGAAACACGACCGAGTCTATCGACCCCATGTCATAACCAAGAACCTTGTTTCCTCCGCTCCCGCTTTCGCCGGCCGTCGGCACGCTCCGTCTGCCGAGACCCATCACTCATCCACGCTAACGAGTGTTTCCGCAACTCTTCGCGTCGCTGTATCCGCATTCATACGGGCAGTAGAACAGTGTCTTCCTTTTTACTCAATTAGTAAGTCTCTATACTGATCCGCTGCAATAATGATGCGAGACACATCGCTGAATATACATGGTTGATCGTAGCTGAATCTCAGCCTTGCCACGGGAACCACTCACTCCGCATACACATGAAACATGCCTCTCATCTCTAGCCTTCCTTTTTGCTTCTGGAAGACGAGGCTTCATTGGCTCCGACCGACTCTGTGGAAATGACATGCATGAGCCTTGATGTTTGGACGTCATTGAAGAAAGCTGCTCTGTACTATGTAGGATAATGCACACGTCGTCGTCAGCTCAGCTGCTCGAGTGCAATGCACCCCTGTCGAGCCACCTGATATCTGCATTGCTTCGCACTGCATCAATACCCCTCAGGCTTCTTGGCTGTGGCCACGCCGAATCGCTGTCCCAGAACAACCCATTCGGCCACGACAATGGCATATCTCATAGCCATGGGATCGCCATTCTCACCAAACGCCTTTGTTGTCAGACTCTGGCATCTCTCCCAGTCTACAAAGCCTAGCTGCTTGATATTGTCTTCACTGATCAGTTTGTCCAATAGCTTGTTCAAGTGACCACCCTTGGGCCAGGTTGTTGGTGCAGAGTACGGGTGCTTCTTACGTTCATACAACTCCTTTGTGATAAAAGGCTTCGATGCTTCACGAAGTACCCACTTCTCGGTGAACGTCTTTGCTTCTGGGTCCCACCTGAGTTTGGCTGATGGTGGTAGATGGTTGACATACTCTGTCAGCGGATGGTCAAGGAAGGGAGTGCGTGCTTCAATGCTGTGTGCCATCTCTGTACGATCACCGAGACATGTCAGGAAGATGTTGGCCAGGTGGCCTTTGGACCAAACATATTGTGCCGAATGCAGAGGATGCCAAGAGTCGGTGATCAAATTACGAACACGACCGTCGGCGTTGTTGGCGATCGTGACCTGAGGATCGCATCTACCATAGCAATTCGTCCAAGGAGCGAAGATGTCAAGCTGGAAAGCAGCCATACTACTGACAGTAGTAATGTCGTTGAGCATGCGGCGAGCAACTGACGGTCCTCGGTTTGTTACATCAGCGCCGACTGAGGTGTAGTAGTCGACAGCTGCCGTCTCTGCAAGATCGAGTTGATGCTCTCTTTCACTTTCCGGCAAGGTGTTGTACTTTTCCCAACTCGGGTCGGGTTCGCGGAGGTAGTCTGGGAGATACAGAGGGTAGCCAGCAAAATTCTCATCAGCTCCCTCACCAGTCAAGACGACCTTGAAGCCGACCTCCTGAGGGACTTCGGACAGAGCATACTTGCCAACGAAATTGAAGTCGGGATTGTGGTGTTCGCAGTGCCAGGTTGCATCCTCGAAACGCTTGGCAAGCTCTTCCTCGTTCATGTGCTTCTTGATATAACGCACTCCGAGCCACTCAGCGGTGCGGTTGGCGATCGAGGATTCATCGAAACCAGATTCTTCGTCAAATGCAATACTGAAACACGAGACGCGGTCGGTTGCGTCCGCACTGCCCATGGCTATTCCCTGCTCTTTGACAAGATGCGTGACCATCCCAGCAATGACTGACGAGTCAATGCCGCCACTGAGGTAGATTCCAACGGGAACATCGGCTCGGAGTCGTAGCTTGATGGCCTCGAGCATACGCTGGCGGACACCTTGGATCATGTCTTCGGGAGTGCGAACATCGACAGCGTGCTTGTCGGGGTAGCTGATGTCCCAGTAAGGGCGTTGCTCGATGTGATCAAATGACTGGCAGGTGAGGTAGTGGCCAGGGCGAACCTGGGTATGTGTTAGAGGACACCTTCGACCGTGCTTCTACCCAGCATACCTTGGCAATGCCTTTGAAGAGAGTCCTCTCGTCGTGGTTCCACCCAGCGTCGAGTAGACTCTTGACATCCCACTCAGGCTTCCATCCCAGGGGCAGGAAGGCCTTGATTTCGGCAGCGATCAACAATCTTCCCTCTTGGACTGTCCAGAACAAGGGCTTGATGCCAAAGCGGTCTCTTGCTGCGATCAGGAGTTGCTGTGACTCGTCGAAAAGGACACAGGCGAATTCTCCTCTCAGGTGATGCAGGAAGTTGAGGCCGTGGTACTTGTAAAGAGCAATGGCGAGCTCAGAGTCGGAACGACCGCGAAACTTGTAGTCGGTCTTGGCTTCGAGGTCTTTTCGGATGTTATCGTAATCGTAGAACTCGCCATTGACGACAGCGTGGACGGTGCGTTCGTGGTCATGGAATGGCTGGATGCCGTCGGGAGAAAGGTCATTGATGGCTAGACGGACATGACCAAAAGCTGCATGGGTAGAGTTGTTAGTAGGGAGTCATCGAGGGTAGAGACAGGGTCAAAGAGATCAGAGGACCAACGCGCTTGTCATTGCTGATCCACTGGCCGCGGGAGTCGGGCCCACGGTGTTTGATCTGGTCAAGAGAAGCATCAAGCTCGACGGCGAGCTTTGTGTGATCTGCGTCACCGTTTGTCTGAACTCCAGGGACGGGCTTCTTGAGATTGGCGAGATCTGGAAGCTTATGATGCGAATGCTGCAGGGCAAGGATGCAAGAGATGCCACACATGATGGTCTAAAGAATGAGCCGTAGGTGCAGGTACGAAGAACTGACCAGGATGCCGTGAACGCAGATCAAAAGAATGGCCAGGATGCAGTTGAAGTAGGTTGCTGGGCAAAGGAAAGCAGAAACGGCGAAACAGGAACGGGGACAGGAACAGGAAAGATGGGACAGCCGATGATGAGTGGTGCTGATGCAAGCAGAGGGTGACGTTTGGATTGGGACGGGTTGAAGCTACCGTTATCGCGATTGCCTAACTTTGGCAACCCGAGGGACATGTTTCAGCAGCGGCATGCTATCGCGAGGTTGCTGACCAGTCGTGAGATGAGCAAAGTTTGCAAAGTTTGGGTCTGCAAGAAACGTGGCACTGTTGAGAAGTCACATGTACGCGCAGCAGGAACCGCAAACAAGATGCGAGGATAGCTTCATGCAGGAAACAAGATGGCGCACAAGAGCGAGATACAGGATGGAGGGGTCTGGAAGATTCCGCGTGGTTGCCAATCCGGAGGTCGAAGCGGACGGCATTTCGTCATGCCGAGGGCGCGTAAGAAGGAAGTTGCGGCTCAAAAGCAAAGCGGCGGCGACGTGATGAAGCTGTTCCTGCCTCGTTGAAGACTGTGAACATCGCACAACCACCTCATCACACACACACACACACACACACACACAGCACGATGGCCTTCCTCATGCGCCGACCGTTCGCCGTGACGGCTGCGCTCAAGCAGACACCCATCACATCCACCGCCTTCCGCGCCTTCCACCAAGGTCCCATCAAGAAGGCGCCCACACCATCCACCTTCAGCACCAAGTTTGCCTCATCGCGAGCAACCTTCCGCTCCGCTTTCCAAACCTCGTTCCGTCGCGGATACCAACAACCTGCCGCCTTCCCTAACCCTACCGCCTCTGGAAACCTCACACAGCGTCTTCTCTATGGCGGTGCCATCTTCGGTGGAACTCTTCTTGCTATCAAGTGAGCGTTATCGAATCCATACAACTAAGAGCAATGCTGACTCTTTTACAGCCTCGTCTTCAACCGTGAAACCAGAGAAGATGGCGGTATGCCTCCGTTTGAACGTTCCTACCTGAACGACACTTTCCTCCACACTGGTCTCGGTATCGGAATCATCGGTATTGCTGCTCGCGCCCTCCACGCAAACGGATGGAGTTATCGTCTTATGGCTGCCAACCCCTGGTTGATCCTCGGTATTGGTCTTGTCGGTTCCATCGGCACCATGATGGGTACTCGCATGTGTCCTCCTGAGAAGTGAGTCGTCCCGGATATACCATGCTCAAATTTTGTACTAACACACGTCTGCAGTTACGTCGCCAAGTACGCCCTCTGGACCGCCTTCAACCTGACCCAAGCCGCCCTTCTGTCTCCTCTCATGTTTTACAACCCCGCCATCCTTGCGCGTGCCGGTCTCTATACTGTCGGTCTGATGGGTAGCATTGCCTTTGTTGGTGCCACCGCCAAGACTGACAAGTACCTTTATATCGGTGGCCCTCTCCTCGCTGGTGTCGCTGTTGTCGCTCTCTCCGGTCTCGCTCCTCTGGTCCTTCCTGCAACCGCCACCCGCGCTCTCATGTTCACCGAGAACCTCTGGCTCTACGGTGGTCTCGTCGTCTTTGGTGGCTTCACCCTCTACGACGTCCAGAAGGTCCTGCACCACGCCCGTCTCAGTGAGCGCGGTCTGATCAAGCGTGATCCCGTTAACGAGGCCATCAGCCTTGAGCTTGACTTCATCAACATTTTCGTCCGTATGGTCCAGATCCTTGCCATGCAGCAGAACAGAAGAAAGTAGGCTTCTTTGTTCTTCCATCGTTGAGCATTCTGCTTCTTTTATCTTCCTTCTGTAATACCTGCATCGCTCACATGCGTCCTATCTCCTGTATTCTAGCCTCCCTACTCTTGTCTGGTTTCGATCAGTCATAAGAATGATACACATGTCACATCAAGTATGTATTTTCTCTTCACCGCTCTACCACCGTTGTTGCGCTGCGATGCAAAAGAGACAGACTCAAGGAACATAGAACACCAAGCACGGCTGCCTTTCAACGCCCTGAAAGGAGGAGGTTTGTGAAACAGCAGAAGAAGTATCGCGTCCCTAACGGCAAGCCTACAAATACACAGCACGCTTGCAGAAATAATACCTGCGTTCAAGCTGCACAATATTTACTTCGTTGTAAATTATCCCAGCAACCTCGGCAGACCGATTCCTGATATCAGCCGTGCTTCCCCCTAGCATGCAGATCTCGCTTGCGAGGAATAGTCTTCTATGTCAGCGCGCCAATCCGCAATACGGGATACGCAACATTCGAAAGAGTATCCGGGTGAGTGTGGTCGAGAAAATGGTATGAGACACGAACATGTGGAGGAAGTCCGGGGCGGTTGATGCGGGGTGGCCAACCACCCTAATACTGACATTTTGGTGTATTGGTTTGTCACAGATATAAAAGGTGCCATGCCTGCGCACAGAATTCTCATCACTCTGAATCCTGGGAGCGGCCATGATTTTCCCACTCCTAACCCTTGCTGCTTTGAGCACTCTTCTAAGCCATTCTGCTGCCCTCCCTTCTCCACCTGGCCCTCCTGGCCCCCCTGGCCCCCCTGGCACTCCTCCTGGCACTCCTCCTGGTCCTCCTGGCCACGGTGGCCCACCTGGGCCCAGTTCAAACTACGTCGATTGGAGAAATTTTCGTGCGAATGGCGTGAACCTTGGCGGTTGGCTGGTTCAGGAATATTTCATTGACACAACATGGTGGAACGCCAATTCTGGTGGTGCATCAGACGAATGGGGTCTCTGCGCACACCTAGGCTCTCAATGCGGCCCCGTACTGGAGAGAAGATATGCCACTTGGATTACTCGTGCCGACATTGACAAATTGGCTACCGCCAACATCAACGTCCTGCGCATCCCTACCACCTATGCCGCCTGGACGAAGCTCCCCGGCAGTCAGCTGTACTCTGGAAACCAGCAAAAGTATCTCAAGGATATTGCGACCTATGCCATCACGAAATACAACATGCACGTCATCATCGACATCCACTCTCTGCCCGGCGGTGTCAACGGCCAAGGTATCGGCGAAGCAGATGGTCATTACGGCTGGTTCCACAACCAAACCGCTCTGTCCTACTCCTACAAAGCCGTCGACTCGGTCATCTCCTTCATCCAATCCTCTGGTTTCCCTTCCCATTTCACCATCGCCCCCATCAACGAACCCGTCGACAATCACGATCCGGCTGCCTTTGGGTCTCCCTACGCTCTCTCGGACTCCGCAGCCGACTATCTGACAAACTTCACCAAAGGCGTACTCCAACGTGTGGGTAACGTCAACGCCAGAATACCAGTCATGTTGCAAGATGGCTTTAAAGGCGCTCACTACTTCTCTCCTTCCTTCCCCGCAACCACAAACCTCGTCTTCGACATCCACAGTTATTACTTTGCTGGCCGAAACGCTTATGCATCGAATGTGACTTCTTACATCTGCACTGATGCCACTGAGGCAGTCAGCGATACCAAATTCCCTGTGTTCATCGGCGAGTGGGCGATTGAGGCTCAATATAACAACACTTTTGCTGCTAGACAGGGGTTGCTTGCTGCTGGACTATATGCGTTTGGCAAGAAGACAGCGGGAAGTGCTTATTGGACTGCCAAGGTTGGCGCGCCTAGTGCTTATGATGTTGATGGTCAAGGAGACAGAAGTGATTATTGGAGCTATGAGAATTTTATTGATCTCGGGTTCTTCAAAAATTCGAAGGTCGCGTCTGGATATTGCAAGTAGAGCTCCCTGACATATTATTCATTTCTATGGTTGGTTGCATCAACCCTTAGCCTTCAAAAGACTTGCTAATCCCGTCGAGTCTCTTTTTCCCTTCCGCTCACAATCTCAAGGCACAAAGATCTCAAGAACACATTTGTGGCCATGGAAACACTTCTCAGATGTTATAATGAGATAGGGAAAATAAAGCAGCAGGACGCCGAGTCCAGAACTGAGGCTTGTGGTCGCAAGAGGGGAGCGCGGCTGAGTTGCTGTGCCGCTGGCTCAGCTCACCCCGCCCATTTTCCGAAAGCATTCACCGGAGGCAGATATGGCGTTTGAACCCGCAGATATCTGCCGTGCGGAACACCAGCGACAGCCAATTGTGACTCGCGCCGCCAATGCCGCAGGCTCTAGATGTCCAGAGATCTTCAACCGTCCTCAGCTCAGAGCTGAGCCGTGCGTAGCATCAAGATTGAGGCGCTCACCATGTCACAGGATGCTTACCCTTGCTCTCTCCTTTCCTCATTCTTCCTCCTTTCTCTCCGATCAGATCAAGGCCTTTTCTGTTTCTTCGTTGTTTTTCGACTGATTGATCTGCTTGGAGTCGAACATCGCAGAACGCTTTTAAATTTGCGGTCAGTCTCCAGCTAGTCGTTGCATCGTCTATATCAACTGAACTTTCTTGGAAGGAATGCCACGTGCTCCTATATCAGAGCCTGCAGAGGCTAGAAAGCCGAAGCGTGGCAAGTACGCAAAGCTGCAGGATATCCAGTATCTCGCCGCCGTCATCAGAGACCAGGAGCTGGATCTGCAGAGTCCATCGAGTCGACCGACATTCTGGTTCGATGGGAAGGTGTATCACTACAGCGAAGTGGCGCGGCGAATCCGGAGAGCAAGAAAATCGGGCAGACTTCCAATCCAGGAGTCAAGTCACTCACTCGCACAGCCTGAATGCCTCCAAGTGGTTCCCCCGTCAGTGTATGAAGCGCAATGGACCATTCCTACCCGATTTGCCGACTATGCGGCGGATGATAGGCATGAATTCTCGTATTCGGCCCCGTCAGAAGACTATTCAGTCTTGATTGATCCCATGAAAAATGTATCTCGAGCGTGCCACCATCAGTTGGTGTCCTTGGATAATGGCGTGAAGATCCGTGTCCCGCCGCCTTGTCCTGACGAGCTACTCGTACCCACAAAATTCTGCGCCAGCATCATTAGATACTTTCAAGGCGCCAACGAGAATGGTCTCTTCGTCTTCAACCATGTTGGGAGTCTGGTGAATCGCACTTCGACAGGCGGTTACGCCAACATAAGCGACTTCCACAAATGTGCCGTCGTTGCCATCGACCTTCTGGAACGAGGCTATGCCAATCAAGGTTTCGTGTTGGTCTCTCAGGCTTTGGTGCTCGTCGAGCAGATTCTGAAGGATCAAGATCCGAAGCTTCTCGATGTTCTCTGCGATGTGTCTATACTCCTCCTAAGCAAAGGTATGGGATCGCTGTACGACATATTAAAGGACAAGATCTGCGGCATGGTCAAGATCATTGCGGCCAAACATGGCGGAGAACACCAACCATGGGCACAAATATTTGCCTACATAGACCAGATGCCTAGATCGCAGGTGGTAGACAACATGCAGAGAGGCTGGATCTGTGGATTCGACCAACTCGAGAGCGCACTCCAAGAGCAACCATGGGAAGGACTTAACATTTCCTGCTCAGTCGATCACTCGTTACGGATGGGCCAGAATGCGCAGCGTCTTTGGGATGTCTTGGTGGAGCGAACAGCCCAACTTTCGGTCAGCGAGCCCGAGAAGATGCGGCAGCGACTCGCATATGCCAAAGTTTCCTACTTACAATGCGACTATAGCAAAGCTTTGGAGACACTGCAAACCATTCTCTCTCAGTGTCGAAAGGCAAGACAACATGATGACCTGAGGTGGCTTGCAATTGAGATTGATGCCCTCGAAGTTTCGGCACGCTGCTATTTCGCTCGCAGCAAACTGACTACGGATCGCGACGATGCTTCCACGGCTGAAGTCCTGCTCGAGACTGCTGTCGGAAGGAGTACTAGAACAGAAGGAATCAAATCCCCCACAACGATAGCGCTGCAACACACTCTATGGCTCTGGCTGATGGAACAAGGCCGAGTTGATGAAGCGGCATTGTTGAGAAAGTCCATGGACGATGTTGTGGGTGGATCTTTGTCTCCGGATGAATGAGCAAAATTGGCAGCTCTCCGACACCTTGATATGTCGAGGGTTGGAGCGGCGTCCGGTGGATGTCCTGACCAGGAGTGAATCAATATGGATGAGTTTGCGTCATTATCATCATCATCATCGTTTGTATCTCACGACGAGGCCTTAGGTTTTCTACAGCGACAAGTCAGCATGGGTAGAGCAGCTATAGAGTGGCAATATCTTGGGCTCCTCATTCAAATGGCGTTGTTATGGGCTTTAACCATGAATGTGGAGCGACAATCAATTCCCATTTGTATGAAGCTGCAAGTCATTTCCAAGCACTCGAAGAGAAACAAGACAGAACGTGTCAACTTGATATCAATAGCTACCTGGGGGGTGCGCGTACATGCGAAATATCTTCAGTCACACCAGAACATAAACAGGTTCTCGTGACAATTAGGATCAAACAGACTGCGAGATTGATAAAGAAGATCTGGGTGTGAAGCCATGGTATTGTCACTGCATCGCTCTACATTGGACGTATTAGCTGCTTGTCCTAGTACATGAGATCCAGACAGGGACATTTGACATACCGGATCCTAAAGCGCTCGTCTATGCCTCCTTGGTCATTTTCTGTGCTCCATGATCGACAGTCTGGACTATGGCCTCCTTAATGGCGGAAGATGCGGCGTGAATTCCGACTTGATATCCAGTGGTAAAGGCGTACACATCGGAGGTTGTTGTGCAATTCGCAGCAGATCCAAAGACATGAGTGTCGAGCACCGAATCGGCTTGATCGCGTGCACCATCGGTAATTCCGTGCACGGCTGCACTCGGCTCCAACATGGCATGCTGTACAGCAGCAGAGCTGATGTCATGAGTCGGGATGTGACTCGACACGTCAATGGCAATCGAAGAGCCACAGCTAACGCCCATCGTGACCACGCCAATGGCCATGGGGATCAAAAAGTCTCGTTTCCTCTCCTTGTAGAGGGCCAGCTCGCGGTTCTTGAGTTCTTCTTGCACGATAGCGAGCTTCTGTTCCGCTATGGATATTCTCCTCAGTCCGTATGCCGAGCCGGCGAGACTGATGCCGGCCGTGAAAAAGGCCAAGCCGATACCGGCGCCGAGGGACCACGAACCGGAATAGATCTGGCGCGTCTTGTAGACCTCGCGCTGGCGTAGTTCTGCGGCGTCCATCTTGCGGACCTTTGCTGTGTACGCGCCGGCGTCAAAACCCATAATGTCGTCGAGACCCATGGTGGCTTTGTTGTGACTTTCGATGCTAATGCTCACTGGTAGGTTCTTGGTTGACGGCAGAAGAAGGTATGGGAAAGAGGGTTGGAGAAGAAATTGCTGTAATGTGTGATGCTGGATTCCAAGGAACATGTATGTTCTTGTGCTGACGTCTTGCCATTTCTTGTCGGGTCGGCAGGTGCTTATATAGTTGTTAAGACCCTTGCCACGAGCACACACAGAGCCACCAGACAGATCATACCGCGCCACGAGGACCGACGATTCCCATAGGTCGAGTCCAAAGATCCAGGTTCATGAGGTGGTGAACAACTCGGATGTATGCATACCGCTGGCCAAATCTCAAAGCCAAAGACCAAATCCGGGAACTAGCCAAAGTCGCCGCATTTACGGTTGCGTGTACAATAGCACACACAAGCCATCGTCTCCAGGAAGCCATTATCTCAGGGCGACTGATCGTATCATAGCGTCGAGGTTGCGGGGCGGATCTGGCAGTCGACGAAACATTCGATTTGTGCATGATTTGAGATGGACAAGTCGTGCATTAAGACGCGGTATACCGGCGCTTGACCTGATATGATAAGTTTGGCGATACACTCTCCCCCTCAGAGCGCTAGCCAAGATGTACTGCATTATCGAGTCTCCGGAAGACGTCCAAGAACGTTTTGAATGCTAGCCAATTTTCGTGGCGCACATTTGCAGCCTTGACGATACCAGCCACATCCAAAGCGCTAGCCAATGTTAATTCCGTCCGCTAAAGTAGCAGCGCCCACGATGCATTGTAAGCAAGACGCTTCGCCGAAAAGACCTTTGACGCAGACGATTGAGCATCATGGATCATCTCTATATTCCGTTTGGGAGGGCTTTCATTTTTAGTAGCTTGTAATACAAAGTCGTTTCTGGGCCTCAGGATCACTCATCGTCCTGTGCATTTAGCCGGAGATTGAGCTAGGACGCCAAGCTTTTTACACCGCGGTTGCTGCCTGGCACGACAGATTCTTATCAACACATCATCAGCCTTCACCCGTTCATCTCTCGACCAGTCCCATCGTCATATCAAAGACAGACCGGACTGACCCTCTCGTGTGCTTGTCTTTGTACCCGCGATCCGCTCTAAGTCGTCACGCACGCCCGCTCTAAACAAGCCGACGCGCTGGCCGCGACGACCGATCGCGCATATAAAGGGTCACTTGCTGCTAGGCTCTACGCATTTAGCAAATAGGCTCTAGAGAGTGTTTATTAGACTACTAAGGTAGAAAGACCTAGTGCTTATGATGTTGGTAGTTAAGGAAACAGAAGTGATTATTAGAGTTATAAGAATTTTATTAATCTTAGGTTCTCTAAGAATTCGAAGGTCGCGCCTAGGTATTATAAGTAGGATTATCCATATTTCCTATGCTGGTCCCACAGATTTTATGTTTACCGCTATGGAAGGCAGAGAATACCTTGGACTAGAGATGTATCCACAGAAAGTGTAGAGCATATCGTATCTCTATGGACACTACCTTATCCTGCTTCTCAAACATTTTGTGCATTCCTTACAGCTATACATGTTGTGATGTTGCAAGATAAGCAGATATCCTCTACACTAAACAACGACACCATTCACCCACACAAAGCAGTCCTGCCATAGCTCAACCCATGTCCAAACCCAAACAGCGGATCCACAGTATCAAACGGCACATCGGCAACCTGCGCCTCTACAGCGCCCATACTCCTCGGCATATCAAACGGCAATTTACCCTCCGGCTCCCATCCATCCTTGTTAAACACCACATCCAAAAACGCATCAGCGCTAGCTCCATAATGTCCAAACAGCGCTGCTGCCTCTGCAGCAACTTCCGGGATCACGGCAGGGCGATCGAGGAGAACATCAACGATGGTGGGACAAGAGTTGAACAGCGCAGAATGTGCAGCAATCTCCGAAGTGTTGAAATCAAGACGGCCTTCGTGGTATCGTTGGCGGAAAGGCGAGCCCCTTGCTTCCCAGGGTGTACTCAGACGCAAGAAACAGAAATCTGCTTTTTCTGGTGAGTCGACGACAGTGAGGTTTCGCGCTGAGAGGTAAGTAGCGTTGAAGCCACGTGCATAGAATTTTGTGCCGTCTGTGGGACGCAGGGGTAGGATATCGTTTTGGTTGGTGAGTAGAGTGTAAGCACGTCTCTGTGTTTCATTGCCAATGCGTGCGAAATAGGCGTTTCCGACTACTGTATCAGCGGCCTCTGGATCCACGAATCTGTTGTCGAAGAGACCGAGCAAGAATTTTTCTTCGAGGAGTTTGCGGACTGAAATATCCAAGCGGGATTCAGGGATCTGGCCAGAGGAGACGAGTTCAATGAGAAGCTCGGTACAGATCTCGCCGCCGAATTGATCGACTCCTGCATCCAAGACGAGTTTTGCGCGCTCGAGTTCAGTGGTGTTTTCGAGTCCCCAGGCGCGCGCTGGCTCTATGACTCCTAGGATGGCTTGATCGGTGATTAGACCCCAGTCACTCACCACTATACCATCAAAGCCAAGTTTTTCTCTGAGTAAACCAGTAATGACAGGTTTGTTGAAGCCAAAAGCTACTTCGGGATACTTTGTGCCAATGGGTCTGGCGTAGGAAGGCATGATCTGACGTCCCCCAGCGGCAATGGCAGCTTTGAAGGGGATCAAATGGTAGTCGAGGAAATCGCCGAAATATGTGTTGTCCTTGCCAGTGGCAAAATGAGAATCATTGCCATTTCTCGCAGGTCCTGCGCCGGGGAAATGTTTGGTGACTGTTGTTACTGACTTCAAGCCTAGCTCGGTGCCCTGGAAACCTTTGATCAATGCAACAACCATTGAAGCAGTCAAATTCGCGTCTTCGCCAAAGGTTTGCCCGCTTCTTGCCATACGAGGCTCAGTGACTACATCGATTTGAGGTTGCAGTGCTGATCGAATGCCAACAGCCAGATACTCTTCTCTGATAATCGTAGCGTAGAGTTCAGCCAACACGGGATCCCTCAATGCCGCAATACCCAAACTCTCCGGGAACTTGGAGAACTGGCCACTTGCAATGGAAGAACCCACAGTATCTGCAAACGCATGTCTGGGATCACTAGCAATGGTTACAGGAATCTTGAGGCGTGTCTGCAAAGCCAATTCTTGAATTGCATTGTGCCACTCAGCCATTTGTTTTGCAGATCTAGCATTGTTGACGTTGAAATGCGAGAGCAGTATTTCGGTGATCAGGGGTGCAGTGGTGAGGTTGCGGTTGCCATCGAGGACGAAAGTGGTGTTGTCGATTGTGCCGTTTATGCCGGCGGGAATCTGTTTGATAAAGAGTTGGCCTGCTTTTTCCTCGAGGGTCATGCGAGAAAGCAAGTCGTCGAGACGGTCTTGAATGCAGAGCTGAGGGTTGAGATAAGGAAGGATTGTCGAGTTGGAGGTAGCGAGGTGAGTGCTACATGACGAGCATGGGATTGCGGAGGCAAGCGGGATAAGAGCAAGAGCGGACATGAGCAGATTGCTCCATGAGGGAATTGGTGTATACATCTTGCTTGTTCCAGTGTCTGGCAAGCAAGGCGTACCTGACCGCGTGGAAGACCACCTTTTTATACTTGTCTCATCTACCAAGTCTCAATACCCACTGCCGCAGCATCTGCCGTGCTTTTCTGATACTCCAAGATCTTCGTCAGGTGCTATGACAGCCAAGGGTACTCAACTCACAAAAAAGGCTGTATTCCCCAGCCATTTTCTCCACAAATGTCTATACCAACCCTCATGTTCCCCACAGACTGAAGGAATTTCGGTGCGGTTTGCCGTGGCTGAGCAAGAACAAGTGCTGTACGACTACGCACGCCAATGCTATACACGAGGGGTTGCAGATCTTGGCGGTGGGGACGTGTATACCACAACCCTTGGCAGCACCGCCGTTCATCAGCGGGAGCTTCCGTTGATGCCCCGAAGAAACCTGAGAAGGTTGGAGGAAACAGCTTATGCGAAGCTTTTTGAACATGAAGTCGCCTGGATTCCGGCTGGTGTTGTACCGAGACACCCGGCTCTCCCGTGGGAGCACTCGCTAGATCGATCGCAGTCTAAATGGAGAGAGAGGCATGCCCCTCCCCGTGTGCCAAAATTGGTAACTTTCACAGCCCTACCACAGTTCTCCTACGAAGGCTTATAGTATGGTAGTCACTATCGAAATGCACAACTATCTCTAAATGGTAAGAGAAGTCCACAGAGAGCCATGCAGCTGCGCACATTACAAACTTTAGCACATGGGAAGCACAGAAGCCGCGTGCGAATATCTCTTGGTGATCAAGCCATGGGCTTTGTAGATCATTCGTGTCGTCATCTTGAAGCATCATAAGCAGGCTTTGATAATTGTATTGATCTGTACGAGTGCAAGCTCAACAGGAAGTCGTGGCCGTGAGAGAGTAAGAGTGGTCGCCGAGGTTTAGACGGTACACATTTAATGCTTCAATTATGCAAAAATCATGCATTCGCTAGCACCCTGTCCGAATTATAAGAGACATTACTGGTCGGCGTGTCAGCCACCACTCCTGCCTACCTCCATGCATCTCATGTTGGCTTTCTCACTACTGATCCTCTGTGCTATCGCCTCCGCTTCCAATGTCCCACAGGACTGGGTTGTAGGACTAAGAGACAATTACACGCTTGAAGAACACCTTGCCACAGTCAGCCAGCACATCAACATTAACATCAAGCAATACATACCAAAAATCAACGGATACGCCATCGCTCCTTCCGCAGACGATGAGAGTATAGTATCGTCAATTCGTCAAGACCCTGGTGTCGGCTTCATAGTCCAAAAGCCTCAAGGTTACTTCTCTGAAGAGTACCGCCTTGGGCTCGAAGACTATGACCTCGAAGCGTACGAAGATGAGAGATTCTGGTTGACACTACAAGACCAAGATCCTGAAGTTATGATCACCGATGATGGTGCCCTGTGAGTCTGTCTCGGACTTCCATCGGACATACCAATTAACATCAACAGCAAAACCCCATTGGTCTGGCGAATCTTCTTCACGAATGAAGATGCGCTGGAAGAGCACATCGCGGCTGTTGGAAGGAATTTGCAGATGTACGATGTTATGAACCACTCCTATTGGGTAGTGTTCATCGATGATGCACAAGAAAAAGAGTACCTGTCGATGTTCAAGAGTGACCCTAGAGTCACGACGGTGTATCCGGAGCGCGATAGACAAGGTATCTTCTATGACGACGATGAGAGGACTCATACAGAGGCACATGTGGATGAGGTTATTGTCCACGAGGTTAGTATTTGATTCGTGCCTACAACGACAGACGTCTGACTGCTTTAGGACCTGTGAGCCGGCCCGATCTTCGCATGACCGTAGCACTCTGTCCAATCCCTAGTTGATCATTCCGCAAGTGGAACTACTGCTATGAATCTCCACAGTATCTGGCAGGAACCGACCGTGGACATAAAGAAACAGTGCAATACCCACTCTCCGTAGATATCGCTCGGATGTTAGAAGCACCATGCATTTCTATGCATACCTACCCAGTGACAATCAATGCACACGAAAAATGCGATAAAATCAAGTTTGGTAGCGACGATAGACGTTACTTGCCCAGCAATGAGACGACAGGCGCAAGCTCAGAGGTCGATCGTTCAGAGGAAGCACATTCCAGTGCCGCATACGCACTTGTTGAAAGGAGCGGTCGCTCTGCTTCGACGCGCAGGTCCTTAATGTGCGACAAAAAGACTTATACGCTGGGACGAACGAGTGTTCTACGTCACGCAATGCCGACGGCATGCAACGCTTGAGATGACGAGATGGCACTTGAATAATGTTCATGATCATTGAAATATATAGAAGCGACTCGATGACGCCGTACTGCCGCCCAGCCTGCATCTTGCTCCGACAAGTCACTCCTCTAGTAACAACACCAATCAGCTCTTGAGGAACTCGTAATCGGAATTCGATCGCAAGTACGACATCTAGGCAGTATCAGTACAATGCAGCAGTGAAGCCATGATATACTTGATTGCCCCCTTCTCACGATGTCAAGTCGTAAGGAAGGGTTGCCCACCCACCCGGGCTTTCTGTGAAAAAGCAGCCCTGACTTTTCAAAAGTAAGGAGAGAAGAGAGCGCTCCAAATCGCAGACACAACAGGACTGGCACGCGTCAGGCTCGGAGAGGTACACGGAGAATTCAGTCGTCGCTGAGCGCGTGGTAGGGACACGCGACGTCAGCTCAGAACAGAAATCTGGGTACGAAAGCAAGCACATGAGGGGGTCTGTCGGTGCGTCGTGGACATGGAGTTGGCTCTGACGGGTTTGATAATGTGATGAAGGGAGATGGTTTGAAGAATGGTCGTTGACGCGAAGTTCTGCGTCTAGGCAGCCATCACGCGCCGCGCCAAGGACCCGGCTTAGTCAGCAAAACCTGCCATCTTCTGTGCCGCCAACCACCATGTTCCACATCTCATCATTTCGTGTCTTGGTAGTCACATATTTGGAACTCTGCTGTTTGATACGAGAACAGTGACTTCTCATGATGTCGAATTAAGCGCCTTGTGGTAGTAACCTCTGCCCACTGCAGTCGACGAGCGCTTGGTGAAACGCCAACCACTTTGACCGCATGCCCCCTCCAGTTCTTTGTCTCACATAGCCGGATCGTCAAAACTACCAAGCATGCCACATACCGTCTGACGAGAAACTATTTACTTCTACTGTAATAACAAAGTCTATCACCCGAATCATATCCAACTATGGAAAACTACGGTCTTGTTTCCTCGGATCCGTCGTGGACCTGGATCGTGGAGAAGCAATGCTATGTCTCCTGGTCAGACAATGAGGAAGATTTGAAAGAGCTGGGAGAGACCTCGCCCAGGAACTGTACATCGAGACTCACTCTCAACATCGGCCGGCGTCCGGAGAGCGATGAGTTACTAATCGCTCTGCATCTTCCAATATTGGAGCGGGGCAAAAAGAACGCTCGAGATATGTTCATGATCATACCAAACACTTTCGACAAATCTCAGCTGGACAAGACCTTTCCGTCCGTGCAAAAACCTGGACGGGCAAAATTGAACAGTGCCGGATTTGCGTATTGTAATCTGTTCCACATTCCGGTTACTGTGGCCGAACCATGTACCGTCATCATGCCTCAGAGGAAACGTCAAAAGTCCATGGAAGGCACAGCACACGTCTTGGTGTCAAAGTTGAAATCACTGTCAGAGTCCTTGTCATTCGACATATACACCAGGTTCGACACATTCGCACAGGTGCAGCTTCGCAAGGCATTTACAGAAATCGATCAGCTCAACATGCCTTCGCTGCTACTGGAAAGCATGTACAACGGATGTGGAGGTAGGGTCAACGAGTGGCAATACCAAGGGCTCAATCTCGAACCTCAGAGCACGAGAAACTCGTTCAATCCTGAAGCACCTCAACGAGCATCGCCACAGCCGCCTCCTTATACTCGAGACAACATTACATCACTTGATTCGAACGCGTCTCAGCCCCCTGAGCCACTGCGAGAGTTCCAAGTGCCCTTCAGTGATGCCGATGTTGCTCCCATATCAATGCACAAAGACAGTGACGGTGAAGGGATACCAGAGACACCTTTCTACGCCCGCATGCAACGGATATTGGATTATCGATCTCCAGACATCAACTACCGCCGTGAGGACTGTTCAAAGCGTGCCGCAATTGTCGATCTGCTGCCTGATGCACGCCGTGTAAAGCAGATTCGCGCCCGTCACTCGCCTCTGATCAGACCCTCCAAACGGGAAGCTTCTGCCCCAGTCATTGTCGGCGCTTCAACTGCTGTCGGACCTGATGATGTGGCGGTTGCCACAGGGCATGGTGTAACTTCACCTACGGGCCCATCGGCCGACAAGTTGGAGGAGAATTCGTGGCAGTTGTTCGCATCAACCCCAGCTTCTCTCTCCATAGACCGGGACGCAGAGAAGACGGTTGCTGTGCATCGCGATGCCAGTCTGCCGTTCGACAAAGCCGAAGAGATAGCACGCTGGCTACATGGTGCTTGGAATGTTTTGCCAGACGCCCACCATGTACTCCGTTCCGAGCTTCTCGCTCTTGGGGCCGCAGAGGACGCAAGTTGTTTTGCAGAGCTCCGCATCGACTGCTCGACAAACCTCGCTTTCGCCACCGCCCGAATCACCAAGCAAACCTTGGTCGAAGCGGCGACGGACGCGTCAGAAGTGCAGCAAGTCAGAGAAGTCGTGCAGTGGGTGAACGGAGTGAAATCTGGCACCGATATTGCATTGCTGCATGACCTTGTGACTCTAGCAGGGGCCGCGATAGACGTGGCAGATTGTGTTTTTCAGGAGAAGCGACAGAATCAGCAAAGATTCTCGGTGCTCAAAGCGAGGTGTATCGCCTCTGCGTGCGTTTTATGAAGTCGCTACCAAAAATACACAGTCCCCTCGACAAATCAACAGCACCGCCCACGAGAGCGGTGATATCTTCGGCTCTCCAGGGATTTGTCTACCATTTGGCAAAACATCATGCAGTTTCATGCCTTATATTATCCTATGAGTATGCCGAGATTCTCGTCTCCTGCCCTCTCTGGTGAAGCTCAAGGCTCCATGCAACAGCACAGTCATTTCCAAATTTGAAAATGTCTCCGGTGAGAGTCCAGTCTGGGAAAGGGACTTTTCACTGCAACATACCCCTGTTTCCCATGAACTTTGTGCATGCTTATAAATGCCTAGGACCTTTTTTCTGCCCCTTGCGCAAAGACAATCACGGAGAGAAAAAGGTATGCTGGAGACGGTCATAACCCCCAGAGCAATTTTACATTTCCCGTCATCTTGACTTCAAAAGATTAGAAAGTGAGGATGGACGAAACTCGTATTCTTTTTGACTTTGTGCTGCACTTTTTGTTGTGGTGGTATATGAAGAAAGAACAAAACACTTCCTCTTCTCTTTTCTCCTGCAGACCCCCTGTCTAATCCTTATCGAGTCTAACAGCAGCATTGCTCTCGATAAAGTTCAAATCAACCTTGTGACCCAGCAGATCCCTGATATTCGACACCTTGTACTTGATCATCGTCGGCCTCTCCAAACTCAATCCAAAGCCATAAACCCTCAAATCCTTGGGCAGACCCATGGCCTCCAACATTTCCGGCCTGAACATTCCCGAGTTGCCAATCTCCACCCATTTACCCAATCCTTGGTGGTAACCAAAGACTTCCATCGAGGGCTCGGTGTAAGGGTTGTACGCGGGCTTGAAGCGAAGATTCGAAATGCCGAGTTTGGCAAAGAAGCCCTCGAGGAAGGCCATGAGGCCGCCGAGAGTGAGGTCGTAGTCGGCGATGACGCCTTCGACCTGGTGGAATTCCGCCAGGTGGGTGGCGTCGACGGTTTCGTTTCTGAAGACGCGGTCGATGGAGAAGTAGCGGCAAGGGCGGGGGTTGGCTGCCAGGCGGTGCAGGACGTATGTGGAGACGGCGGTGGTGTGGGTGCGCAAGACGAGTTTCGTGGTCTCCGAGTCGTTGTAAGGGTAGCGGTAGCCGATCGAGCCGAAAGCGCCGTCTTGGTGTACTTTGCGGACGTTGTCGTAGTATTGCTGGTAGTCGAGTTTGGGGGACGAGGAAGAAGCGAGACGGGGGTCGTAGAGTTTGGCGTCCTTTTCCATGGCTTCCATGGCGGCGTCTGCGATGGGGTCGGCGCGCGGGAAGTCGGCGGACACGGGGTCGGAGACGTAGAAGGTGTCTTGGAGATCGCGGGCGGGGTGTTGCTGGGGCACGAAGAGGGCGTCGAAGTTCCAGAAGCCAGTGTCGACGAATCTGTAAAGGACATTGTTAGTGGGTGAGAGCGAGAAGTACATGTCAAGAGGCAATCTCACCTGCCAGTGGGCATCTCAATGAAGCCCTGGTGGAAGAAGATCTTGCGGAACTCCTCGCGGACCTTCATGAGCGGGTGCAGAGCACCAGCCTGCTGCTGAGCACCCTTGGCAGCAAAGTTGTAGGGCTTGAAGTTTGCAGTCTTCCACTCGCCAGACTCGAGCATCTCGGGCGTGAGATCGGTGTGCTCGACGGGCATTTGCTTTGCGTACTTGTCGCCCTTGGTAACCTTGTAGCTGATGACTTTTGTGACGGTGACCAACTTGCGCTTCTTGAGGTCGGCGAGCAGCTTGTTGTCTGAGAGGGATTTGGTGCTCTGGATGGCAGCGAGGGTGTCGCGGGTTGTGTCCTTGGGAGAGTCGACCAGCGACACGAGGACGTCGCCGTCCTTTTTGATCCACTTGAGCTTGAAGGCGTTGCCTTGTCCGACCTTGGCCGAGTCTGCGCCAACCTCGTTCTTTTGGAGTCTACATCAGCAACAGCCTCAACTACTGTCCGAGTGTGTAGAGTGTTACCTGGAGCTCCTTTATGGTGATCTGACCTCTTCTCTTGACAGCCTCCCACACCTTGAACTCGTGGCTGCCCTCGTTGGCAATCTGTTCGCCCTCGTTGGTGAGAATGACTTGTTCCTGGTCGTTGGTCTCGTAGACGACCATGTTTCTCGAGGCCAGTCTGTCCAGGGCGGCCTTGATTTCGGCTTGTGCAACATCGGGGAGGTCGCTCTCGGTCGCTACGCTTTGCTTGGTGTCGAGGAGGTCCAGCACTTCCTGAGTGAGGTCGCGCCCAGCGTACACCGGTACGGGTCCACGTTGTCCGGCCATTGTGAGATGTGGGTTGGTGTGTGTGTCGAGTGACGGGCAAACAATTGGGCGCTTGGATGACTCTTGACAAAGTCGGGCGCTGACCAATGACTCGTGGCGGGGTCCGTCAGCGCTTGCACGAGTCATGCACGCAGCTTTTCACTGTTTTTCTCCTTTTTTTCTTCCTCGGTCGCTCCCACTGTCAATTCATCTTTACACTGCTCGTCCATTCTTCTACGTGTCTAAGATATCTAAGCTAGCCTTTTTCTCATGCAACTTGCCATCATGCTCATGCAGCCATCAAACATGCTCACTCAAACCACTCACCACGCTATGCAGAAAATAAAATGCAAATATATTCATCATCCCTCTCAAATCTTCCGCCTCAATTGAAACACCTTGTTGGTCGTTGCTGCCGGCAGCCCTTCCGAGAAGCCATCGCGTGCTACCAGTCTTGTTAGCATCTTGTCTTGGTCACAGATCATCGGTTCCGTCTTACCTTCTTCCGTCTCGAACCCAATGGTGATATCGTCATGCTCTCCTGCATATTCAAACCCTTCGAGATTGATGTACTTGCGACGGACTCCCTTGCCCCAAGTCTGCGAGTCCGATGGCGCTTCATCTTCTCCACCTTCGTTCTCCTTCTCTTTCTTTGGCAAGCTGAACTTGGCATCCACAAACTTGACGCAGTACTTGGCCTGTTTGTCTCCCTTGGCCTTTTCGAATGTATCCGCCGCCTTGATCTGGAACACCATGGCATCTGCATGGCTGAAGTCTTCGAAGAAAGCTGCGATTTTGGTCACGTGGCCCAGTGTCAAGATCTGAATCCGGACCTTGGTTGCTTCCCACTTCTTGTAGATCGGAACAACCATTCTTCGTCGAGAGATGGCGAACAGTGTAGCCATGCCATCGAACTTGACAGTATATCTCGTGAGCGCTCTTTGGAATGTGTGTAGCTCTTCCACCGAAGGGAATGTCAAGGTGCGTGTCGTAGGCGTTATTGATGCGGTCTGTACAAACCTCTTCATTCCCTCACGTCCATGCTGGACTTTGCTGATGTCGAGCGAGGCCGTCAAGTCCTCTTGTGGTGCTCGCAGGAGCGTCAAACTTGGCGTATTGGAAGCTGGAAGACGCAGCAAGAGCTCACCGGGTCCTATCGATCATATTAGAAGAGATCATTTTCAAAAATTGCTCAAGCTTACCAAGATTGAGGCGGTCAGTCACAGCACCACTATCGTGCACTGCAATTAATCGGAAGTGCTCCGACAGCGTCATGTCTCCTTGATCCTGTCCTACCGCAGCATTCGCGTCGGTCACTACTCGCACGTCTTTCCACGCAAGCCCTTGAAAAGCGCCTGCAACCGTATCTTGACCCATTGACGACTCGGCGACCATGCTCCTAAGTCCAACTCTAGCCACAACTTGCTCGTCTTGGTCCGTAGAAATGCCTTGGAGCGTCTCGTAGAAGTCCTGTCTTTCGCGACCACTTTTGAACATCAGTGTAGTCCGACATTGCCGCTTGGTATCTTGCGTGTGTAGATGCATGACTGGCGGTTCGTTTCCTGGCGACATCTCATACAGCAGTGGCGAGTTCCTGCAGAGAGGGATACCAGCCATCGTCAGAGACTTGTTGACAGGATTTGCCATCAACAACAGTCGGTAGCCACGATGCAGATTAGTCTCGCCAAGGCCAGTACGGACGTGAACTCTTTTCTCGAACACGAATGCCGTACACGATCGAACCTTGTCTTTCGAGAACGCGCTGGGGTTGGTAGAGTCGGTGTGTGCCAGTTCAGCTAGATGTGCTTCATGGACCAAGCGTTCATCTGCCTCTGGCTTCATGCTACCGTAGATCTTGTTGGTATAATCAACCATACTCCACAAAGATCGAAAGTCTGGCTCGGCGAAAGCAAGATTGAGAGTGAAGCCTCTGGGAAGACGAATGTAGAGACCATGCTCTTTGGACTTCCAACTGACATCATGCCAGGTTGGACCTTTGTTGTAACCTCCATCACCAGGTCGAATTGCCAAATTCACCAGATCTGCTTGACTCGATATGACTACCGAGGTCTGGAACTCTGACCTACCTCTAATCATGGTGAGGACGCACGGTAGCACCACACGGTCTGTATCTGCTTCCTCCGTGTTGATGGAAGCGTTGACAAACATCCGACTGTAACAGAAAGTGTCTCTGGTATCACCGAGTGGCAAGGCATCGAGCGGATTTGCTTCCTCGAGGTTATCCTGAGCAATCAACGCTTGAGAAGTGCTGCCGCGGAGAAGAGATGCCACATCCGAGGCAAATCTTGGGTACTCGACCCACATGGTGGTATCTTGACCTTGAATCAGAGATTGGTGAGGAGGCATAACGTTGTTCCGACTCATCGAAAGAGTGAATGTACGCAGACTCGCGCGCACAATTTCCATATCCCGTAGAAGTGTGTCCTGTGGAGAGTCGACCTTAGAGTGCGGCGAGTCTGTTCCAGACAGGACATCGGTAAGGATCCACCATGTTTTGGCAACATCAACATGTGCCTGTGTGAGAGACTCTGGTCTGTCTGCTCCTTTGGGGGTGTCGCGGATTTGAACAGTCAGACCTGCACGGCCCTTGTGTAGCCACCAGATAGCAGCACGAAGCCAATCTCGGATAGTACAACTCTGGATAGGTCTTTCACGTTCAGCAGTCAATCGGAAGACACCTCTCATGTGTGCGACACGCATGCCGAAATCGAACAGAGCATCATGCTCAGCAGTGCCTTGAACATGCTCGGGCGGAGAGATGTCGCGATGAGAAAAGGCTGATCCAGATCTGCCAGTTACATCGAACGAGGGTCTATGATGAAGTCCAGGAGTAATTCCAGGGGTGAGACCCGGGGTGATCCCTGGAGTGAGACCATTGAAGTTTGATGCTTGAGGTGCCAACGATCGTTGTGAAAAGTAGCTCGGACTCGGGCCACGACTTGGGGGTTGAGGTAGAGGATGTGCATTCGATGAGTGCTGTGGTCGCGAATAATTTCCAGGCTGCAAAGAAGCAGAGCGAACGGAAGAAGAGGGTGAAGGAGAGATGACGAACTCGGATGGGAGTCTTTGCCGATTGCTTGATGCTGAGTGTGCCGAGTCGTTGGTATGGTGAGACGAGGAGAAAGATGGTTGCATATTTCTTGTTGTGATAGGTGGTACCGAAGCAAGATCTGAATCCTGGTGTTGGCCGGGGATATCCGGCAGTGGATGTGTTCGATGAGGTAGGACTATTGGCGGAGCTGGCTGTTCAGGAGAAGCAGAACGACGGAGGTCAGGGGAGCTGAAATCAGTGGGGGTTATTGAAGGCAGCTGTGGACTGCGAGAATCGCTGATCGGTCGAGGAGGTGAGCTTGGAGTCAGCGATCTACGCGGGTCCAGCACGTTTGGATTGACCTGATCATAGTCGAGTTTGGACAAGCGACGCAAGACTCTGCCTTCTTCCTCGCGGATCATGCTTTGTCGTTTGGCGACTACTGGTGGCAGAGAACGAGGTTGTGGTGGAGAATCTTGCAAGAAGTTGGACAGCTCATTGTTGTCGATTATTGGGGGCGAGATAGGAGAGTCGAGGAATTGTGATGTGTTCATAGTGAGCTCGAGGTGTGGCGGGATGGGCGGTACGCCAGCATCAGACATGGGAGAGAGTTCGTCATTTTCGGTGTTGAAGGTGGTGGGAGTACGCTTCAGCATGCCTGGTCGCGGAGAAGCTTGGGCAGGGGCATGCTCTGGTACAGGAGGAGGGATTGGTTGAGGTTGCGAGTCGAAGAAGGGATGATTCACAGGATGCGTTGGATCGGCTAGCGAGTTCTTGCGCTGATAGGCATTGCGAACAGCAGGACCAGTCATGGGATAATCTGAGGGGCGACCAGCTGGAGCACTCATCGGATAGTCTGAAGGCTGAGCATGTCTCTCTGCCGCCTGCGTGTCCAGCACTGGGGCTACAGGTCTCCTTTCTGGTTGTGATCTTGCCAACTTTTGCTTTGCTCTTGACACCTCTAACACTGGCACTTCCGAGTCATCACCCCCTTCTCCTATAATCTCTGGTGGACTCCTCACGAATGAGACGTTCAGATTCTTCTTCCTCTTTGGCTTCGGGATGTAAATTCCAAGAGGACTCGTGACAGCCCTCGTCATATCAGAGGCTTCAGGCCATCTCTGTGCGGCAAATGTGTCGATTCGCGGAGCAGGCAGCTGTCGCGTGCCCTCGCCAGGGATTCTCTCCTTGTCCGTCGATGGTTTGAGGAAGTCGACGACGTCTTGATTGAGGTTGAAGTTCTTGTCCGACGACTCGCCCTTGCGTAGTAGCTTGCCCCATTTCGAAGAGCCTCGAAGACTCATGTCGTCGTTGTTTGTATCCTGCTCTTTTGGATCGCTACAGGGTCGGGGATGGAAATTGCGGGGAACAAGGGAAGGGTTGTTTGTTTGTCTGGACCGTCCTGTTGTTTCGTGTTGATCGTGGTGATGGATATTGCTGATTCTCTGGGCGCACGACCAGCTTGGCCCATTGACAGACTGCTCACAACGTACAGAGGTGAACAACGAACAGGCAGCAAAGCGTCCAAGGGGGACTGTCTCAAGAATACATGCCAAGCCCACTTTGATACATAACACATCTATATGCAGCAGGGATCAGCCACATCCAGGGTCTAAATCCCCCGCTGGTCTCCCTCCGTGCTCAGAGCGTCAACTTTTGCTCTTCCCACTCGCATCCTTCGACCTCTGCTATCTCCTCTTATCCAACGTTCTGATTGAGATTCGCATGCCATGAGGTGCCATGCCTGCCTAATCGATTGTCACAAGCTGCGTCATGTCTCGGTACATGTTTTTGTTGTTGTCTGAAGCCTCAAGTTCGTTGCTGTATCTTCGATATCCATACACCGGTGTAACACTACAAGAGCCGCGGCTATTTTGAGCTCTGACACGAGACACCCCACCACAAGATTCGCTCATAAGGCCGCCCACCTTCCTGACCAGACTGTCCTCTGCCATGCCCTGTATCGCATAAGATACAGGACACACCACGCCACTTCTCATACCCGAAAAATCCATGTTGCCTTCACCGTATCGACGATAGGCAGAGCGGTAGAAACTGCAATCTTCACGAATCCGTTGCAATTTCTTTCGACCCACTTCCTTCCTGTTTGGTACATCAAGCGCTCGCATGAGTATAGACGTCTTTGGCGATATATCTTGTACTGCTATAGCTTTGCGGTACGCGTCTCTGCTGACATTAAAGACAGCAAGCACCTGGCTGCGGCGTTTTGTTCGAATCGAAGGAAATGAAAGCAAGACCTGGTCCAGTCGCATTCACATTCTAGCCAACATCTTTGGTAGCTTTTTACTATAACAACAGTCAGCGCTTCTGTGAGGTATGAATTCTCGAATAAAAGAACAAACTTACAGCACCTTTGGCGCAATAGTCATGATGCGCCTAGCGAGTTTCTGATTCAAGGCGCGGTTTTTGGCATCGTTGGCGGGATCCTTGAATCTTTGGCCACCGAACTTGTGCTCCAGTTTATCAAGAACTGTTATTTTCGAGGTTGATCAGCTCGCTAGGGTTCTCTGGCTGTTGGGTCTGGGGGAAAGAGGTCAAAGACTTACTCTTGCAAATCATGTCAGGACCTTTGCCTGTGGCGCCCGTTCTTTGGCCTTGGAAGCCTGCTGTGTTCTGGCCCTGCTTTCCCGAAGTGTTCATGTTCGCGTAGCTCATCGTTCTTGTCGGACGGAAAATGTCAGGATATGGAGAGGGTTCGAGCACAAGATTATGATGAATGGTTAGAGACTGGATTTCTTTGCGAAGCAGAGGCAAAATGTCTCATGGAATGAAAATTGATTGTTCTCTATGGGACGAAGATCGACGTCCGAAGATGGACGACCTTCTTGTACATGTGGTTGGTTGACAAATAATGATTCAGAGTCGCAAAATTCAGGTTTGCGGATACCATAAGGTTGTCGAGGCAGAAACTCGATCGGAGAGGAAATCTATGGTATGATGTAGCCATTCCCCAAGTTACGAAAGATTATATTTGGGAGGATCGAAAAAGCTAGCACATACGGCCACAGTCAGCTGAAAACTGGGCATCCCGTCCGCTCTGCCATACATAAGCAGTTGAACGGCAGATTAGTACTACGGTGGGTGACCACGTGGGAATCCCTGCTGCTGTATGTTTTGTTTTGCGTCTTTCTTCTGGACTGGTCGACCTGCTCGGCGAACTCAAGGAAGTCCATTTTTGCGCTTGGCTCGAAGAGGGACGGGCGGGCTCCAGGACGCTCTTGCGTTTCTTCCCAATGTCCTTGCCTCGATCATTTTTGAACAAAACCGACTTGATTCTCGGTATTCTGCGTGATTTCGGAACGCCCGCTGTGCCTTGTGTCGCCAAATTCAGATCTCTTCCCCATAACGAGGTAGCGTGCCTGCACGATTTAAAATGGCGTCCAGTCACAACGCGAGTGATATGTACAGACGAGACTCGTCAGCACGCTACAGGAATGAAATGATAAGATGAGCGCAGCCGCCGACTCTGGAAGCTGTCTCGACTCCTCGCTCACCTCTACCACGTACACACTTGCACAGACTACTCATTGTTTTTCGCACTTCGATCGGATAACGTCGTCACCGTTCACATCGTCTCTTACTCTATGGATCAGAAAAAGCTTAAGCACGATGACTACACGGTGGCTTGCATCTGCCCTATCGTGGTAGAACAGTTCGCGGCTTTGGCAAATGCTAGACGAAAGGCATCAAAGACTTCCTCAGCCAGAGTAAGATCATAACACTTACAACCTTGGAAGCATATGCGGCCACAATGTTGTCATTGTCCGGCCACCTATGGCAGGCAATTGTTTCGCAGCAACAGTCGTTGCTCAGATGCGCAGGACCTACCCTCGACTTCGTTTCGGTCTCCTTGTTGGAATTGGAGGAGGTGTGCCCACCAAAACAGACGAGGGACTGATCCATCTTGGTCACGTCGTAGTCAGTCAGCCAGTGGGTCAGCACTCAGGTGCCGTGCAGTATGATCATGGTGAAGCAGAAGCGGACAAGTTCGTCCGAACAGGCTTTCTGGCACCGCCACCCCACGTCCTGCTAAATGCCGCTCTGGAGGCGCAAGTGAACCGCCTCGGCATGCCAACAGATCCATTGATCGCTCATCCCAATTCTATCGATGTCACCAAACCTCGTCTTCGACAATATAGACGACCTGAAGCAGATCAGGATCAGTTGTACGAACCCGGTTACGTTCACTTGGACAGAGAATTGTCATGCACAGATTGTGGTTGCGACACAACTAAGCGCATCAATCGAGACGCTAATGACGATGACTGGGTCGTAATCCATCGAGGCACAATAGCCTCAGGAGAAGCAGTCATGAGAGATGGACTACAAAGGGATGCATTAGCACAAGAGCAAAAGATTCTCTGTTTTGAGATGGAAGCCGCTGGAGTACTGAACGACTTTCCGAGCTTGGTCGTTAGAGGCATATCTGACTACTCGGACTCTCACAAGAATGACAAGTGGCACGGATATGCTGCAGCAGTCGCGGCGGCATACACCAGAGAACTTTTCTATCACATGCCTGTGGAGGAAGTGAAGCAATGCAAGATTGCAGAGAAAGGTGACGCCATGCTTACTTGGAAGTAGTCACGACAGTCAAGTTGACAGATCACAGTCATCGAGGAATTGGTCCAAAGCACACGACACTTTGCGGACAACAGTGAGAACTCGCGCGTAAGAGCCTGGCTCAAACCCATGGACGCTTCAATCAATTACGTTGATGCGTTAAAGTTGCGCCATCCGAATACTGGCCGCTGGTTCCTCGAAAGTGATCGATTCCTCTGGTTCAAGAGTACTCCACGTGCCCGTTTGTGGCTACGCGGCACTCCTGGAAGCGGGAAGACTGTGCTTGCCTCTACGATCATTGAGGACCTTAAACTTGATGACAGCCCCGAGACTGCTATTATCTATTTCTTTTTCTCATTCAGCGATCCGTCGACGCAGAAGCTGGACGATATGCTGAGATCCTCGATCTTTCAACTCGCCGCAACTCACCATCCGACAAAGATTCGTTTGATGGAGCTCTATAAGAGATGCGCTCTTGCCCAGCAGCAACCGCAGATGGAGGAGCTCGCCAAAGTCTTCGAGCAAATGACAAGCGAGCTTCAAAATGTTACTGTGGTTCTCGACGCACTCGACGAGTCTAAAGACAGACGTGATCTCTTGAGATGGATCACTTCTCCTCCACATCAACACTGCAAATTTGTGCTCGTCAGTCGATAGGAATTGGACATTGCGGAAGCTCTTGTCTCGTGGCTACCCCCCGATCGTGTAGTCACGTTGGAGAACGAGCCTACAGGCACAGATCTCAAAGCGTACATCCATCACAGACTCGAGGTCGAGAGCAATCTATACCGTATGAGATATATGCACGATGAGATCTCCGACGTTCTGGTTGCAAAGGCTGGTGGAATGTATGTATCCCCTCATGGGTCACTGGGATCAGGTTACCGACCTATTATCAGGTTCCGGTGGGTTTATTGTCAGCTGGAAGAGCTCTCCACATGCATGGACAAGCCCTCCGTGCGGCGAGTACTGCAGACACTTCCCAAAGATCTCAACGAGACATATGATCGCATTTTGAAGAACATACCTCACACCCGTGTCCATAACGCCATCAAACTCCTCCAACTTCTGATCTTCTCGAAACGGCCATTATCGCTTGCAGAAGCCGTGGACGCAGTCGCAATAGACCCAGACGTCGAACCACCGTTTACTTTCGGGAACCGCGTTGATCCTGCCAAAGCTATTATCGGGTACTGCCCAGGTCTTGTTGTGCTCACAACCACGACTAAAAGGACATACGATAGGTACGGAATAGAACTCAAAATCACCTTACAGCCGGCACATTTCTCGGTGCAAGAATATCTGCTTATGGATTGCAAGGAGAACCCTTACCAGCTGGCGTTCACAAAAGAAGTCGCAAACGCCAGAATTGCTCAGGTTTGTCTGGCATATACGTGCACAGCGGCAAGAGCCTCGGAAGCTCAACCAAATGCTCCTGGATTTCACTTCTTCGACTATGCCGTGGGCAAATGGCCGGAACATGCAAAGATAGCTGGCGATAGTGAAGAGATGACTTTCGAATGGGTCAGAGAACTCTTCACAAATGAAAAGATCCTCCGATACTGGCTCGAAGATTACACTTTCGGCAGCTCTTTGGTGGTTTCTCTCTCAGGGCAAACTCTGTATTACGCATCGGAGTTCGACCTGTGCCGATCTGTCAAACATCTGCTCGAAGTACATGCTGACGTCGGCGGCAGTAGATATGAGCTTGCTCTGATGGCTCTGGTGACCGCTTGCGAATTCGACAGCATCGAGACGGTACGGTTTTTGTTGCTTGACTGTCTTGTCAATCTTAATCATCAATATCGGGGGCAAAGCGCACTACATATAGCAGCAAATGCTGGGCACGTCGGGATACTGCGCCTACTCCTTGACCATAATGCCGATGTCAACGCTCAGGCTGGGGACTATGGCTTCGTTCTTACATCAGCGTGTCTTCGCGCACCGAGGCATATCAGTCGCGAGATTGTACAGTGCCTACTCGATAACGGCGCGAAGGTGAACGTTCGCGGAGGTAGATATGGTACTGCCCTCTGCGCTGCGTCTACTTGTGGTGATGTGGGAGTGGTAGAGATGCTTATCCGAGCGGGTGCTGATGTTAACGATGCTGGCGATAAGCATGGCGATGCACTCACCAATTCTGGTTCCGTTGAGGTCTTGCAGATGCTCCTCAAGAACGGGGCCATGTCAAGGAAGCAACGCAAGATGGTCAGCAGCCCAGGAGGCATTCTTTTCGACTAGAGATAGTTTCTTGTCGAGGCTTTCCTGAGCCTCGTATATTTTCCCAGACCATTCCAACGGCCTCCTTGTCCTCTTGACAACAGCCACGAAGATCTGCTTCGTAGTCGTTGAAGACAGAAAGCACAGAAAGTTCCAACCGAGTGTGAAAAGTGGTCGATAGGAGATGCAATCCCGTTGATTCTTTTTACCTGCCGCTCCGCTCTCACAATAACATACAGGCGATGCTAGAGCCATCGAAATGCACAGTCCTTTCTACACGACACCCCAGGCCAAACAGAGATAGTGATCTTGCGACTTTCGATGGATACTTCCTGCTCCCTGAAGACACTGTGCATTTCTATAAATCCGCGGGACATCAATTTGCAATTAAGGAGGAATGGAAATCGCGAGACACGCTCAAGTCTTCGATCGATCCTACGCATCGAGATGGCAGAAGTACAGCCCTTTCCAGATGCCGACATTGGCTGCAGCCACCGGTATCTGCCACGCAGCTCTGCGAGATTCTCGCCAAAACAACCCTGAGTCGAAAATTGTACGCGTATGTCTGTTTGAGTTGCCGTTCGGTGGATGATCATTGTTGCCAAAGTCGGCGGCGTGTAACGGCATGTGACGGCCAGACGAAATTCCAACGTACGGAACGGGCCTCTGATGAGCTTAAATAACGACTTCGGCTTCTACGGCCCGAGGCCGGGAATACACTGACACTCTATTCTAAGTATACCATCGTTGCAGTCTCTGACACTTGAGGCAGGAGGCTTCGATATTCATGGTCCCGCGTGGTACTCTGTCTTTGGTCGCTCGTGTCGAAGTCGAGTTGAACGATTCCAAGTCTCCTTATCTGCTGTGTCGACAACGACCTCTTGTGCAAAGATGATGGTTCAGAAAGGGATCCGCTGGAAACCTTCGCGGAACCAATCAAGACCCGAGGAAATGCAGTGACATAATCCAACAGAGACAGTGACATTCTATCGACGACAAAGTCGTTCCGGATATGCGGTCGCGCAAATCGCGCTCTTGTATAAAAGATTGGTCCATCTGGCTGGACCATAGACACGACCTCGATACATCTTCACCATTCTCTCAAATGCCTATTCAACTTATTCCTCTATTCTTACTCACCCTCCGCGCACTTTGTGCTTCGGCTGCTCCTCCACCGCCTGGAATCCCTGGGCCACCAGGAGAGAATGGACCTGCTCTTGTCGGGCATGCTATTCCACCAACAGTTTCGATGGCGGACTGGCCAACAAGTACTGAGACTGAATGGATGAGTGCATCGCCTTGCACTAGCTCTCTAGTCACATCTGCGGTCACTAGTGTCTGTTCCACCACCACTACTACTACATCCGTCACAGCTTTCAGCACCACAGTGTCATACAGCAATGGCACCACCAGATCGTTGAGTTCCTGCTCTGCCAGCATGAATGAAATCATTCCTTCTGCTTTCCGCTCCGACTTCAAAGGTACCATCAGACGTTATTATGTGGCCGCTGAAGAGATTGAGTGGGACTATGCACCTTCTGGATGGGACAACTGGCTCGGAGTAAGTTGAGATTGTCTCTATACTGCTCATCATACTCATACTATCTCAACAGGTGCCTCTTAACGACTCAGTCAGAGCCAAGAAAGCTGGCTATCTCGAATATGGCACTGTCTGGACTAAAGCGTTGTACAGAGGCTATACCGATGCAACATTCTCTCAACGAACGGAGCAACCAGCTTGGCAGGGTACTCAAGGTATGCAAGGATTCTATCCGACCTTCTTGATCCGTGTCTGACATCTACAGGCCCCATCATCCGCGCAGAAGTCGGCGACTTGATCGAAATTTTGTTTGTCAACAACCTTACCAAGCACTATGCAACCATGCACTCCATGGGTCTCGCATACGAGAAATCCAGCGAAGGCGCTGACTATCCTGATGCTGAACCAGGAGTCAACTTTGAAATCCCAGAGGAAGACGCCGTGCCCCCTGTTGAGCCCGGAGTTGCACCAGGCGGCTGCGTTGTCTACAAGTGGATGGTCACCGAGCTCGCCGGTCCTGACTACGGCGAGCCAGCTAGAATTCACAGCTACCACTCTTACGTTTCACTGTACGAGGATGCAAACGCGGGACTCATTGGTCCTACCGTCATCTATGCAAAGGGCACCATGGATGCAGTCATGTCTGGTTACCGCGAGATACCCTTCTTGTTTATGATTTACGCGGAAAGCACTTCATTCTTGTCAGGGGTTAACGCAGAGAAATTGACTAATCAGACCATCGAGGCAGACGTCACACAGCTCTACAGCGCCAACAGTTCCGTCTGGTATCCTCAAGAGCTTAACATCGCTGGAGCTGAACACTTTTCCTCTGCTCCCGCCTTCCGTAAGTGGTATCTGCCCTAACATTACAACCCTGAATGTCTACTGACTCAATATCACCTGACAGACGCCATCAATGGCTACACCTTCTCCAACAATCCCGTCTTTGAGATGTGCCAGGGCGACAAAGTACTCTGGTACGTCATGGCTTATGGCAGCGGGTCCCACGTATTCCACATGCACGGCAATGGCTACAAGTATGCAAATGCTGGGCAATACGCTACCTCGATCAACGACGGTGTCGGCAAGACTTTTGTGATGGACGCTACTGGTGCTGGTTTGTGGCAAGTTATCTGCCATGTTGATCATCATTTGAGTCGCGGCATGGTCGCCAACTACAAGGTTTACTCTAAGAATTGTCCGCTCGAGCCGTTGGCTTCGTCCTCGTCCTAGATCACATTGGCTGTCGTGGCGATTTGTTGAGCAAGGTCATATATACGATGAGGGAGGGTGATAATAACAGGAGATTGACATATGGAACATTTCAAGTAGCAGAACAATAATGCAATAACTACCATGATAGACTACACGATAGTTCATCCAGTCTCAGCACGTGGAGAGTATCAATGTTCCCTCTGTCCGCTCTTCAGATCTTGCCAATGCCAGCCCCCTTGACAACAACATCCTCCACATCCCCCAATCTCGTCAACTGATACCTATACGGCGCCTTCTTGAAAGTCCCCCATTGCGTAACATTAACGCCCGCCCCACCCCAATCATTCCTCGCCCCAAAGTTCACGTAGCCGTCAATCTCGAAGTCGCCACAAACACATGTATTCGGCGAATCTTCAGGGATTACAAGACCATACGAGGATACTGCTTCTCTAGTGTTGCCGCGAAATACATTGCCTTCGATCAGCATTTGGTTGTCGGAGCGCGAGTGGATGGCTTGGTAGAGGAAGGAGGTGTAGAGATTGTTGTAGATGTGTTGGTGACCGAAGCGTCCTGCGGGTCCACGAGTACCGATGTTGGACCAGTGGTTGTGGTGGTAGGTTATGTGTAGATGGCCTGTATCGACCTCGCGGAGGGCGTCGCTGTTGCCGACGAGGGAGGACTGTTGCTTACATCAGTATCATGTGCTGATGCTCAGGGGTATGAGGGACGAGTATACCTTCCAGTGATCATGGAAGTAGTTCCAGGACACAGTCACCCAGTCAGTCGCTCTCACCAAATCAACCTGCCCGTCATAGAAATCAGGACCGTGTTCCAAGTCAGAGAAAAACTCGTTATGGTCTATCCAAGCACGAGTGGTGTTTTGCAATGTAATGCAATCATTGTCATACGCAAAGCTGATCTGTACGTTGCGAATGATGATGTTAGTCTGGTTGATAGCAGAGATACCGCCGCCGACGAATTTTGCGCCTTTCTTGTGACCGAGCAAAGATTTGTTGCTGCCGAGACGGAGGCGTGGTTGGTTGGTTAGGTTGAAGATGCCTTTGGCAACGATGGTCAAGGGGTTTGTGCCGGCGATTACGGTACGTAGGGCGGGTAAGGTTGATACGGTGGTTGTAGGGCCGCCTTTTCCGCCGGTTGTTTCGCCTAGAGGGTTGTCCTTTGCGAACCCTTGGATGGAGAAGTCGAGGTGGGAGTGCTGGAAAGGGGTCGCGTGGACTGATACCAGGCTGCTGAGCCAGCAAAACAGGGGAACAAGCTTCATGCCGAGCGTTTCTTGTCTAAGTGGTTGAAGAGAGGAAAGTGCTGTTCTGTTGAAGTACCTACCTTCCGCATCTGATTTATACTCACCTTTGGAACGCGGCATCTACACCAAGGGCTCTACAAAACTCCGTGACAAGACATGTATACTGATTCTTCCGTCATGAATCCGCCTAGTCCACGCAACCGTACATTTCGTAGCTGTAAGGTGGAGGGTCGGGAGACATTCAGTGGTGGAAAGAGGGGTGGACCAAGGCCGACCAAGAAGTCCAAGACGGAAAGAGCTGGCGGTCGTGTTCGTGGCTTCTGCGGGCAAGCACACGAAGACAGCAGAGAACGAGGTCCTCCAAAGCAAGAGCCATATACTGCATCACAGACAGGATGAGGCATGTGGTCTTCATGCAGCCAAGCAGAGGAAACATGCACCCCTCCTCTTGCCCCGGACACCAAGACCTGCACTGCACACCAGGGCGAGATTTTTCCGTCCAGGTCGATCAATCCTCCCTGTCCCCAAAGTGTGTGACTTTCTACACTCCTCTCAAGAAGATGTAGGGCGAGGTTGTCGCTATGAAAATGCAAAACCTATTCCGAAGGAGAGATGTGTCCGATGAAATTCGATCTAGTCTCGCGTCTCGATGGAAAACGTTCGTTCTTCAAGACCACTGTGCATTGCTACAGCTACATGTGTCACAAAGTCTGACCATGAGAAGATACAGCAAACTTGTCCGTCGATAGGAAGACTAGTGGAGGGAAGGTAAAGAAGATGACGATGAGCAGAGAAGGGATGTGTTGGCGTTTAGCCGAGGCACCAAGATTTTTGGCCATTCAGTATTGTCGAAGTTCCTTCCGCCGTCACGCTTGTCATGTTTTTGCAATAGCAATAGCAGGATGTTATGAGAGAAAAAGAAGACACAGGAATCCTTGAGAGGACGCACTCACTCTGTGATTATATGTGATTGACTTGAGTGACATGCCGCGTGAGGTTCGGTGCAGCTTCAAGTGATCTCCACATAGACATCAAGCTCGAGATTTGGCACACGTTTAATACTTGAAGTAGAGTGGAATTATTTCATTGATTCATTACAATTTAAAGCCTAGGGGGGTAATTCTGTCTTTGCAGATCTGTTCTTTTACTTGGGGACGACACCGGTTGCCTCGCTGTGAGTCTCGGTTTGTACGCCGTCAACCTTGGTCTTTGTGACTGTCTCGCCATCCAGACGGCCCTGGAAGTCGTTGACCGAGATAGGCTTCGCGGTTGTGACGCCGTGGTCGATGGTCTGTTCCTTTACTACCTCGTGGACGGGCTTGATCTTGTGAGTGAGCTCGGGGACGATGTGCTCCTTCTCAATGACGGGCTGGATGGTCTCGTGGAGGTGGTGGTGGACAGAAGTAGCCGATGCGGTCTTGTCGGCGGTCTTGGTCTCGTGGGTCTCGGTGTCGTGAGTGTTCTTGAACTCTGCTTGTTCGGCAGCGACCTGAGCCTTGACTTTCTCGCCCTCCTTGTCCTTGTTGATCTTGCGCTCTTCCGTTGCCTCGACCTCAGTGTTCTCCTTCACTGCATCGACCTGGCGGTCCTGGAGAGGCTGAACGGTGGTGTGGTAGTGGTCTTGGTGGACTTCGCGATCGACGACCTTCTGCTCTCTGGTCTCGTGCTCCACCTTGGTATGCTCATGTTCGACAGCAGGGGCAATGGTCTGCTCCACGGTAGTATCCTTTTCTCCTGTAGCAGCAGTGTCAACGACTGGAGCTACCTCCTCGGTCTTGGAAGCCACCTCGACCTGAGGGGCCTTGACTTGCTCAGTCGAGACTTGTTCGGTCTTGACTTCATTCGTCTTGGTCTCCTCAGTCTTGGCGGCGTGGAAGTGCTCACCTGCACCGGCGCTGAAGTCTTGTTAGTGTGAGGCCAATTGGGTAGGAAAGGTAGATATTCTTACAGGAGCTTGCTAACTGCGCTTGCTGCGGCGTCCATGTTGATTGATGTGAAGTTGGTGATTAAAGGTAGTGTTGGAAAAGAAGTGACTTGGTTTTTTCGGTTCGAAAATGTGATTGTGGTTGTATTGGGGCTTGCAAGAGCTCCTTGGTTGCTTCTTAAGGAACCGTTCCCAAGTGCATGACGAGCTGAACACTGCACGCCAGTGACCTCATCCGCATCGAGTGGGGAAGCACGAAACACCAGCTTCAGCAGCTGAAAGTGGATGCACGTCAGAGAACCGTCAACCACGCAGTAGACCGTCTTCCCGACGTATTAGACGAGCCACCCAGACGAAGAGCTCCACCTGATAGGCTGTGTTCAACCACACATACCCAATGCAGTAAGGTCTCTCATGTTATGATTTAGATCATCGGACGGCTATAGCTGGCCAGGCACGCAAAGTCGTCATATCTGGGCATTTCATTCCAGGTTTTTAGAGGAAGTTGACACGTGAAAGAACGATGGCTTTTCAAATTCCCAGGTTTGAGCCAACGGGCAGAATGCTAATGAACTCTTTTTCACGTGCTGGAGGTTGGAGGATCGGGGTCGACCGAGTTGAACGTAGCGGGGTCGACTGCGCCACGAGATCGACAGATCGATAGCCCTATGGTGGCTACGATGACATCCCATGGACCATACCAATTCTTTTGCAGAGCGATGCGTGCAAAGACATCTTTGGTTTGCAATCAAGGGCAAAGAAGTGCTCACACTTACCAATCCCAACATGCACGAACTTGAAGCTGTGCGACAGACGTTGGGCAGCTCGAAGGAGCGGAGTGAGGTTCAAATGACAGGTTGCGAGCATACCAGCATGCCAGGTCATGGTTGCTACTCTATCGGAGCATCACGGAGGATACACGACGGCGAGTCCGTGTGTGTTCATGCTAGCCGGAGTGAGCACCATCCGGTGGAAGATTCCTGCGTGATTATTGACATCTGAATGCAGAGACACTTGCAAGTTGCAACGTATGTCGCGATGTAGGACGAGGTGGAAGGATATGGAATACTCGAGGAACCGGCAGTTCGATCATCGAGAAATGGGGGCTCGAGTTTTGTGACCAAGCGAGTACTCATATTGTCTCAAGGCAAACACGTCATAATGTCGAAAAGTCCGTATTGCATCTCAACCACGAAGATGGCCGTGCAGGTGCTGCGTTTATTTGCAAGTCTGATACGCTCATTGTCGCGAACAGATTTTACTCGGTGACATAAAAGAAGAGGTTCATCGCGATGGAGATTCCAACATCAATCTTGAGAGAAACAGAATGGGCATGCGACAGGGGAATATAGGAAGGTAGAATGAGTGAATGTGTCAGAAGTCAGAGCATTGGACCACGACTTATGACAAAACATTGAATGTCACGGGTACCACCCTGTCAGAATATACGGCAGCATTATTCTCGACCGACGTCCCCTTTTACAAGCAGAAGATACATGGAGACGACAGTAAATACTTTGTTCTCGTAATCAAACAACTTGGATCAAGTCTTAAGCTCACTGTTCGAGTCAAGATGTTGCGACAAACCTTTGTCGGATGGCGCAATTGATGGAAGCTTTGCAACCACTCGTTTCATGCCACAACGATCTGGTGTGCTCGAGCAATTCGCAATCCTGTGTTATGATTTCGTCAATAATTTCAAGATGGACATAAGAGAGTTGTCATGGCTTGACTGTGTTTGTCTGACAATCCTCAATTGATGTCTCGTGTCAGCAAAGAAATAGAGAACTTCTTCACGCAGCATCGGAGCCTGAAATTTTACCACGTCGCCATTTTCGAAGACCTCACTGATTCACGATGGCCGCTGCTGTTACTGCACTACAGTCAACACACCCGCATCGTCTGTTCGAAGACCGAAAAGATGTTGCGACGACCGAAGAGACGGAATTGAATAGAGAATCACTCCTCGTCGTATCACCATATACCTCAACCCCACATCTTCTCGACCTTGACAGATACGACACCTCGAGCCAACTCTTCGCAAAAGCCTTGACAATATTCCAGCCCACTCGAGACGACTATGCCACAGCAGGGTACACAGAGTCATTCAACTTCCAGGAGGTCATCGAGGCTCTAAGATCACTGGCAAAAGCCGAAGGATACAGATGGACTGCTACAGACTTTTACGTCGTCAGCTTTCGATCACAGCTCACACCTGATGCTGACCCGGAGCAATTGTTTGAACTAGATGCTTCCTCGCATCAGGAAGCCATGGCCAGTGGAGGACTGTTGAAATATTGGTATGGAGTAAAAGACCAAAATCGGCGGAACCTGGCGACTTGTACGTTAATCTCTCGATCCGAAGAAACACGACTGACATGATTTCAGGCTTTTGGGAGAGCAGACAGCATGCAAGAGATGGTGGTCGGGGACCATGGCATGCAAAAGCACGAGCTGCAGCGGGGGTGTGGTATGAGAGTATCGTGTTCAAGACGTATGTTTTGACAATTGCAGATGATGTTGAAGATTGGGAAATTAGAGACTTCGAAGAGACGAGATAGAGATGCATTCGTTCATTGCGGCCATCAAGGTATTCGAGAAAGACGGCCCGTGCAAGACCTTGTTGTCAACGGCAGGAGAATGCCAAATCAAGTGCTACGCAGCACAAAACTCGATGTCAGTTGCCATCGACTTTCATCGAAGACTGCCAATATCTGCCAGATGCACAGCCTGGAGTTTGTCGACGAGGCCAAGACTGTTCGTAGGCGAGGTGCACACACTGGCCAAGCTGCTAGCTGTCAAGCTTGTTGGAAGCTTGTCGCGAAAACCGTGCGCTCTGGTGAAGACGCAATCTTGGGACAGCATGTGTCAGTCAAGTTTGACATGATTCCAGTCGCAAACTGTATAGTTTTGCCCAGCAGCAACAAGTGTGATATATGAGCGATGCCACAGATTCGCAAATTGGATGGAAGTCGGAAGGAGTTGGCGAGGGTCAGGCATAAAGTGCTCTCGCTCAACGGATTGAGCTCGGCGGATCAGATAAGATTGTGCCTCGGGATACGCACAGACTTTGACAGCTGCGCGACTCAGCGAATCGGCTCTCCTCAACCTTCGACTCCAACGACATCCATGAACGTTTTTTCAGTGGAGCGCAGGATGGTGCTATTGCTGAATGTCAATACTGGACCGCTGCTTTATTTGCTTGGTATCTATGAGTGAGTGAACTGAAGAAGAAACATATCTTGCAGATCATACCTCAACCCTTGAGATCCGATGAGCAATACCCAAAACACGTTCCTCGGCTGTCTATCCCATCGCCGTCGCCAAGCTATACCCAAGAAACCTAAGACGTCGTTTGCTGCGGTCTCCATGACCAACCCTGGTACCTTGCAGCAAAGAGATGAGTCGAGGCGTCTTCGGCTTTGCAATCAATCGTTGTTAAGATGTCTCTTTTGCCGATGAGAAGTCGAGGCTATGTTCTTGAAGGAGCTTAGTCTGCAAGAGACTGTATCTCATCAAGGTTTCAAAACACATGGCTTGCTGTAGTCTGCCAAGTATGGGAGCATGGCGTGTCATACTGATTGAGTGTGGTTGTCGCAGAGTTTGCCAATCGAGCCGCAACTGTTATTCTGCCGTCCGGCTGTGCAGTTGGGCGGGACTTCATAGCTAACATATAAGACGCGCCAGAGCTGCTCTTGTTCGACCGCTGGTCTCTGTAATTTGAAGACTTACAACAATGAAGTCCATCATCTTTGCTACCTTGACAAGCTTGGCTCTTGCAGCCAGGCCTTACCTCAACGAGCCTGATACCGGGTAAGTAACCTTCCAGCTCCACAAGTCTAAGCATGGTCTGATTGTCATGCAGCATCGACGAAGCTCTGGGAAATACACCAGATGGTACCCTGCCGCCTCTGGAGAGCATAGTTGGACTCCCCGATTTCGAATGGGCAGCTCGTAAATACATGAACGCGAGTGCCTACACCTACTACCGCAATGGGGCCGCTGGCGAATGGTCTTACCGTAACAACTTGGAAGTGTTCCAACGCTACACTGCTCGTCCGCGTGTATTAAGGGACAACTCCAAGATCGAGTCGACATTCACTACATCAATTCTTGGTCACAACTTCTCAGCACCTTTCTACATTAGCCCATGTGCAAGAGGAGCCCTTGCCAACGACAGAGCTGAACTTGGACTTGTCGAAGGTGCTTACCAAGGCGATATCCTGTACATTCCTTCAGACTTTAGCTCTCTGCCTCTGGAGGAGCTGGCCGCGGCAAGACCTTCGAACGGTTCCCAAGTCATGTGGCAGCAGGTCTACCTCGATGCTTCCAATGACACTGCCACCAAGGCATCTTTCAAGGCAATTGAAGACTCTGGTGCTCGCGCAATCGTCTTTACTGTCGACAGTGCTGGACCCGGTGTGCGTCACCGCGCTCAACGCTACTCTGCCGGCTCGGCAGATGTGGACTACTCCGCCTTCACATGGCAGTACTACCAGAAGCTGCAGAATTTCACCAGACTGCCTGTTGTCATCAAGGGAATCCAGACAGTGGAAGACGCCAAGATGGCAGTCGAGTACAAGGCACCCGCCATCGTCTTGTCCAACCACGGCGGACGCAATCTCGATGGCAGTCCTTCTGGCTTCGAGGTCGCTCTCGAGATTCACCAAGAGGCACCCGAGATCTTCAAGCAGATTGAAGTTTATGCTGATGGTGGTGTCAGATATGGAAGCGATGTGCTCAAGATGCTTGCTCTTGGTGTTCGCGCCGTCGGACTCGGTAGACCATTCATGTATGCCAATGCCTACAGCACCGAAGGAGTTGCCAAGGCTGTCGAGTTGTTGAAGGCTGAGATGGCTAGCGATGCTGCTCACCTGGGATTGAAGTCGATCAAGGACATTGGACCGGAGTACTACAAGTGGACACCGAACAACTGGTACAGCTAGATGATAGAATTGCATGCTACAGGTCATAGCTCGGTCAATCAATCGTGTCGATGGATGTATCCATAACTGTGTAGCGTCTGTTTGTCTGCCTGCGGCCTCCTCTGCGTATCTGTGTGCTAAGTATGGTGACGCTCATCCTTTCTCAGAAAACACATAAGCAGCAGTGTATCTGCAGGGAGGTAGTTCGAGCTGGCGGAGATAGTGGAGCTCAAAAAAAAAGAGGCGAATTGAGTTTGGCGGGCTGCAGTCAGTCAAAGCATGAGCGTATCACATAGAATTTGAACCGATTCCACCGCCGTGGGAGATCATGTAGGTCAAATCGAGTTGGCAGTGAGGTCGATATTGATCCAAGGCGTGGAATATGAGGTGGATGGATATATGCCAGAGTCTGGTACCTAGCTATAAGCAAAATGCAATAGGCGGAGTTTCGTCCGGCAAACGACGGCAATGCAGCGAGCGGTGCAAGGGTCCATTCAGGGTCCACGCTGCCGCGTCGTCCGCGGTTGCCCTCTTTCTTCGCCTTCTTCAAGCCGTGGGATCCGGTGGGTGTTTGATTGCACACGCGCATGCTGTTTCGGCCATGAACGGCCCCAAAGACCATGTGCCTGCCTCGTCAGCAAGGCCATCGACAAGCACCACGGCCGCGCCTTCCTCGACTGCCACCCGAGGGCCTACAGACGGCCTCCTCAACATGAATGTCAATGACATGACACCTGAACAGCGCACGCGCTTCGAGATCAAGCGAGAACACGAATTCTACAGCTACTACGAGCCCGTCCGCGCCCTCGCGACGAGAGAGATGGACTGGACCGATCTCAACTCGGACGAAGCTGTCGCCAGACATCAACCAGTCCAATCCACCGACAAGGCTCTGACTGCCTTCTGCCAGCTCGCTGCCATCCGTCTCAAGATGCGTCGTGCCATGATCTTCTTCTTCGACAGCACCCACGCCTACGTCCTCGCCGAAGCCACCCGCACCCTCTCTCTGCAAGATGACACCTCTTTCGACGACGAGGGCGATGCTCTATGGCTGGGTACGACGAAGATACCCAGAGGATTCAGTATTTGCGAGCACACGGTCTGCTTGCCGTCCAATGAGGGTACCAATGCGCAGGACAAAGACTCGTCTCACATCATCCACATCATCAACAATATCACAGAGGATACGCGCTTCTGCAACCGCCCATATGTCACTGGTGGCCCGCGAGCGAGATTTTACGCCGGTGTGCCAATCACCACTCCCAAAGGCCTGAAGATTGGCGCTTTCTGCGTCCTGGACGATAAGCCACACGAAGGACTAGCCAAGAAGGAGATCGATTTTATGCAAGAGATGGGAGCCGCCGTCATGAGCCACCTCGACATGATCAAGGCAAAGGTCGAGCAGAAACGCGGCACCGACATGGTCGCCGCTCTAGGTGCCTTTACCGCCAGCGAGGCCAGTTCCCGCAGAGAGACAACCACCGATGCCGAACGCCCACAATTACCCCACGACGTCTCGGCCTCTTCATCTTTATTGACAATCGGCAACCTCGATTCTTCCACCCCCAGAAAGAGACCTGTTATGCGCAGGCAGTCTTCGAGCAACAAGAAGCGCCAATCCTTGGACGACACTGATCAAATGACGAACATCAGAGAAAGATCTCCTCGGGGCCAGAGGCCCTCGTGGTTTGCAAAGAACAGATCTCGCTCAGACATGTCCGTATACACCGAATCGAACGCCGTCGAAGACTCGACCCCCGCCGAATGTTCTTCCGAAGATCATAAACCCCACTCTGCCGAGCAATCTCCTAACCAAGTCATGCAATCCGCCTCTGCTCTGATCCAGAAAGCTGTCGAAGCTGACGGTGTCTTGTTCCTAGATGCCTCCGTTTCTGGCTTCGGTAGTCTTGTCAGCAGTTCCTTCCTGGATAAGACACCTGATGGCGATCCTGATACCGCGACCAGCGGCACTGACGGTCACCAGACCAGCGAGGGCGAAGATGCGCCGTCTCATGCTATGGATGCTGACGACCAACCATGCCCTATCCTCGGTGCCTCATATGCAGCACGCACTGGAGCTGTGCCCGATCCAGAAACTCGTCGCGAGGTTTATTCTCAGCTAACTCCCAAATTTCTTCGTTCTGTTCTCCGACGCTTCAGAGGTGCTAAAGTGTGGAACTTCAACGAGCACGGTGACGACTATCTCGACGAACAGACCACTGAGAGTGCATCAGATGGTGGCCCTGTACGCTCAAGCTCCATAGCCAGCGACGCTTCTCGGGCCCGCAAAGCGCGGAAGCGTTCTCTGAGACATGCTCCTGGTAAACAACTCGCTGCTGTTTTTCCTGGAGTCCGCAGCTTGATGATTCTTGGGTTGTGGGACCCTCAGCGCAATCAATGGCGTGCCGGCTGCGTCATCTGGTCATGTACGCCGATGCGCATGTTCTCTACCGAGGGAGAAATGCACTACCTTACTGCATTCTGCGATGTCATCATGGCAAAACTAGCTCGCTTGGAGGTAGATGTGGCCAACAACATCAAGTCTGACTTCATTTCGTCCATCAGCCACGAGTTGAGATCGCCCCTGCACGGGATTCTCGGAACTGTTGAAGTACTGCAAGATCAACGCGTTGACCACGAAACTGCAGAGATGATCACACAGATTGACACCTGCGGACGAACGTTGCTAGATATCGTGGACCATCTTCTGGAATTCTCGCGCATCAACGTGCTCACCAAGCACACTGGCTCGAATTCGCGGCTGCCTCAAACTTCTGCTGGTAAGCAGAACGGTGGCGGGGAAGCATCCACTCTCGATGCAGACATCTCGCTGGATGTTGTTACCGAGGAGGTCGTCGAATCAGCCGTCTATTCGTTCTGTTGTTCCAAGGATCAGCGCACTCTGAACGAAAGAAATGTCACGGTCTCCGTCGATATCGAGAAACATCCAAATATCTCATGGGACTGCAAGGTCACTGTGGGCGCCTGGAAGCGCGTCTGTGTCAATCTGGTCAACAACGCCCTCAAATACACATCCGAAGGCTCCATCAACGTGTCATTGAGGATTCTGCCTCCACACAACAAAACGGGTCGTCCTACCGCCCAGCTCTCGGTCACCGATACGGGTAGAGGAATGTCCAAAGATTTCTTGCGCACAAAGCTATTCCGCGCATTCAGCCAGGAAGACGACTTGACGGAAGGTACTGGTCTCGGTATGAGTATGGTCGCGCGTATCGTAAAAGGTTGGAGAGGCAAAGTCGACGTGCGAAGCAGTAAAGGACAAGGAAGCGTCGTCAGTGTCACTATGCCCATGAAGCTGACACAGTCATTGAAGCGCGCGCATTCCGATGGCACGTCCCCTATATCACCAGTCGATGTCTGGTCTGGGCTCTCAGTACATGTCATGGGCTCGCCTGAAGTTGATGATCGCAATGCCATATCTACAGGTCGCCACCAACAACTTGTAGCCTTCAGGAAAACGTGCTCGGGTATGGGCATGCACACGTCCGGTCCAACCTGGCAACCTTCTGATCGAACAGACTTTGCTGTCGTTGCAGAGTATGACCTATCGCATCTCACGGAAATGCTGGTATCTCCTCGGATTAGCCAAAGCACGGAAGACAAAACAGCAATCACTTCACTGCGGAGTAAGCCAATCGTTGTCCTATGCAAAGATTACATATCGGCCAGATACTTGAAAGGTTCTCGCATTGAGCAGCTGGTTCGCGGAAGAGTGGAATATATCGCTCAGCCTTGCGGACCCAACAGACTTGCTTCCATCATCAGCCGTATACTCGAGCAATCTCCGGCAGGACATATCTGGACATCTCGCCCTCACAGCCCGGCGACACCCAACACACCTTACGAATCAGCAACGCCTCGCTTTGACACCTGGCGAGAATCTCACACGTGGTCTGGTGCATCGTCACCCAATGAAACAGAGAGCACAAGAAGACTCACTCTTCGAAGTCGCCGACCATCTGGCAGCAACAATCATCAACCCGTGAGCATAGTCCCCAGCTCAGGCAGACCATCGGTATTTGAACCCGAGTCAAACGGTCTGGGCGTCGAGACAGCAGCACCAAACGTACTTGAAGTAGCGGATGGTGCCCTGACAGCCTTAAGTCTGGCAGATCTGGAGAGGAACGAATCCATGCGGATCCGCAACCAAAGCGTTGTTGATATGACGAGTGCCGCACCACCTCTGAACATAACCAAACCCTGTCTCCTTCTTGTAGATGACAACCCAGTCAACCTCAAACTGCTCGTCACCTACGCCAGGAAGAACGGACACGCTATGCTGCAGGCATCCAATGGCCAGCAAGCCGTCGACGCTTACAAAAACGCCCACTCGGATTCAGTCACCTCTTCACAAACGAATGTACCAGAAGTCATTCTCATGGATATTAGTATGCCCGTCATGGATGGCTTTGAGGCTTCGAGACACATCCGTGCGTTTGAGAGGAAGATGGGCTTGAAACCTGTGGTCATCATCGCGTTGACAGGGTTGGGAAGTTCAGAGGCGCAGCACGAGGCTTTTGTGTCGGGGATTAATTTGTTCTTGACCAAGCCGGTGAGGCTGAAGGAGCTGACGAAGTTGCTGGGGACTATCAAGGATACTTTCGGGTGATGGTGATGACAAACGAGGATGAAAACTAATGATTGTAACGATACGTGATGTCAAGATAGAACGCGGGACACCATAGGAGTTCTCAGGATGCGGAAAGGCAAGCGGCCTTACGAAAACGGTACCAATAAGCATTTGCATCTGTTTTCTCCAAAAAAATAAAAAATGGCCAAAATATGGGTAGCAAAAGCTTCGAGCAAATGATTAGTTTTACCCCTCCAGTCCTCTATCAATAGAAAAAGTCCGAAAGTACCACGGTACACCCAGCTCTATCACCGGACACTGAGCTTCTGGATCTTGCTCAAGGACTTTCCACTTTGTGGCCAAGACTTCTCCGATCAGTTCATAAGGCGCGTATTCATCTATGGATTCCACGGCCGGATCTTTGCGAATCTTGTAGAGCTGCGTTGTGGTGTTGCAATTAGCGTAAAATCCTGAGGGCGGGGTTTTTGAGGCGCTGAGACGTACCCAATCACTTGTAATGTTGGTGGCATAATAAGAATCGGCAACATCCCACCACTTGAAAGCAGTAGTCTCATCAGCTTCTAGATTTCTTCCGATGGTTTTGAAGTGGTCGTGGTAGGTATAATCGATGTCTCTGTAGAGAGTGACGATGTAGGTGTCTGGGCTTTTGTCTTTGGAGATTGCTTCGTAGAGAGGTGCCAGGTCATTGTCGCTCCTCAGTCTTGGTTTGTTGGTGATCTCAAGGGTTGAAACTTTTGACTTGTCGACGGCCGACTTTGCAGCACAGGTTCTTCTTTCCTCATGGAAAATCGAGAGTTGTGAACTAGTGCTTTTAGCAGTCAGACTTCCATCGCGACAGAAGCGCTGTTGTGCCTCCGAGAGTTTTGGACTGTCGCATGGTGCAGCGTGACTTGCATCGAGACAAGACTGCTCCTCGACCTCCGACCACATTGGCGGCAGACACCACAAAAACGTGTTTGTCTGAATGCATTCCTGTCTTTTCCCTCTCGAGAGACTCGGTCGTTCGCACTGTGGAAGGTCCCCTTCTTCATAGCAAATCCTTCTTTCCTCTTCCGAGAGGTGTGTGTTCCTGCATATGTCGAGTTCGGGCACTGAGAACCAATAACCCTGTTCGACTTCCCCGACTCCAGGGTCTCGACGAATAATATCGAGTGAGTCTGCCGAAACGTTCTTGACCAAGTAGAACTCGTCGAAAGACCATCGTATCTTCCAGTCCTTTACCGGATCCACGTTGATGTGTTCAGCAATGTAGGAGAGGTGGGATGACGGTGTGTGGCCTTGGCGGAGTGTGACCATGTATGAGCCTTCTACTACACCACAACTTCGGTCTGTTGGAAGGCAGCTCTCGATTAGCGGAGCGAGGTAGATGGCATTGTTATTGTCAGAGATGGCCGTCGCTGACGAAGTCGATGCAAGGGTGGTGCCAATGAATACGAACGCAATGACAGCAACGATGAGCAGTTTGTGCCAAGGTTGCATGATGAGACGAGAATATCCAGCGATAAATTATTTGAGAAAGGGACGTCTGTCGAAGTAAAAGGACTTGACTACATCATCAGGCGGATGCATACGCGCCTGAAACGTGTCGTGCAGACTGACGAGTCAGCGCTTCTTCATGGCCTCAACACACGCTGTCGAAAGACCGTCAATCCTCACCAGTCGCAGACATTACTTTTATCTGTTGTGTCAGTAGTTGCTCTGAGTTGGTGGAAGCGCGAGTAGCACGGCAAGAGCGAAAAGCAAGCGCTTAATTTGATGTTGCTTCGATGAGAGCTTGTTGCCAACAAATCGATTGGAAAGTGTCGGCCGCCCCTCTAGCTCCTTCCACCTTCCAATGTGCAGAGTCATGTTTTGCGGACAGCTATGAAAATGCACAACTCCTTTAGTAACCAAGAAGTGTCCGTTGAAAGTCGTGATGTTTATCGGCTCTCTGTGGCCTCTGCTCCAATCTACAAGAAACTGTGCATTCTGATGGCTTGAGCTTCACCTGGTAGTTGACGCGAGAGATGCAATAGAGAGGAACAGCACTGGGAGGCAGCGCAACATCTTACGAAATCAAAGTAGCAACAGTTCTTTTGTCATTCGAGTAGGTAAGTCGTAAGAACATTTCGTTCGCTCTTTCCGATACAAGAAAAGAGTTGTATCATCATCCACCATATCATCTCCAGATGCTCTTTCATCCTTTTCATCTACAATCAACATGAACAACCATCAGATTCTCAACCAGATCATCAAAAATCAAACTTTTCTAACGACCGCTGTTGTTGTAAACAATACGGTTGGGGCTGCCGCTCTTGAGGTCAGTACCCTGACCAGTAGTAGACAAAGCAATAATTCTGCTAGTGATAGCAGAAGGGCTGGTAAGACCAGACTCGAGACCCTTGAGGTAAAGAGCAAGACCAACGACGTGAGGGCAAGCCATGGAAGTGCCAGAGATGGTGTTGGTGGCGGTGGTAGAGCCAATCCAGGCAGAAAGGACGTTGAGACCAGGGGCGAAGACATCAACAGTGCTGCCGAAGTTGGAGAAGTAGGCGCGGGCGTTGTTGCTGCCGATGGCGCCGACAGTGATGGCGGAAGAGGCCGAGGCGGGCGAGGTGCGAGAGGCGTCAATGGCTTCGACAAAGGCGCCGGTTTGAGGGTCGCTGACACCGTTTCCGGCAGCGACAACGGACAGAACACCTTGCTGAGTAGCGGCGTTGACAAGGTTGTTGAAGGAGGTAGAGACTGAGTCTTCAGATCCAAGAGACATGTTGATGACGGCTTTGCCAGCACGACCCTTGTTGATGATATCGTTGGCAGCCCACTCGAAGCCCTTCATGATGGTGGAAGTGGCACTGGACTGTATGGTGATTAGCTTGTTTTCATGATTTCAGGAGGAAGACGACTTACTCCGGAAGAACCAAAGACCTTGACGGAGATGAGGTTAGCCTTCTTGGCGACACCGTAAGTAGCACCACCGATAGTACCAGCGACGTGAGTACCGTGACCAGCATCGTCAATGTGAGAACCACCAACAAAGTTCGAGCCAAGAGAAGCGCGGCCCTCGAACTCTCTGTGGTTGATGTTGATGCCAGAGTCAATGACATAGCCGTAAGTACCAGCGCCAGCGGTGGTGTCGTAGTAGTAAGTGTTGGCGGCGTAGTTGCGCTGCGAGATACGGCCAAGGCCCCAAGTGCTGCCGGTCTGAGAGGTGATGGCACTCATGTAGATAGGAAGATCCTCCTCGATAGCGGCGACCTGAGAAATATGTTAAAGGCTGATTTTATGATTCACAGCTTGAACAAAACTCACCTCGTCGCTAGCTCTGAGCTCAGCAATAGTCTCCTCATCGAAAGAACCAGCATAAGCATTGAAGTCTGCAACCTTGATGACCTTCAGATCTTCCTCGACGGTACCATTCTCCTGACGGCGGTAGATACCACGACGGTGGAGATCACTAGCGTAGTTGATGTGCGAGATGCCGATTTCAGGATCAATGCCAGGCTTGAGGGTGATGATGTATTTGGTAGTAGCAGGAGCGGCGACAGCGTCTTGAGGGACAGGAGCAGCCATTGCCAAACCGGCAATAGCGCTGAGGACGGCAACACTCTTCTTCCACATGTTGGAGATTGATGGTCGAGATTGAAAGTGGTGGAGCTTGAAGGACTGGAGATGAGAGATGGGATGGTTTCATTGAGATTGGCCATGAGGTCCCCTTTATACAAATTCCCTGAGCAGTAATCATGGCCGGCCTCATGATTGTGTGCTCAAGCAGCCGTCTTGCCAATGTCGGTTGTATGGCCAAAACATGATTTCCTCAGCTGCTAGTCCAACAGTGCTATACGAAAAGAGGAGGTGGCAAGGCCTACAAGGTTCAGGTATGCAGTGTCACCTTCTCCATCAGTATATGCTTGACGAAGATTTCTATCAGAAGCCAATAGGGCAAGACCGTTTGATTCGGAAGACAACCCTTGAGAGCAGTCAATTGATCCCTAGTCGATTGTTGAAACTCTTGACACACGATGGTGTCGAACCTTCAAGATACCGCTGGGCAGGGGCGCGAGATTGACAGATCAATACTAACCCTTTCGAGAAGCTCATTAGGCAGGAAGTCGAGATATCACGGTCGGGTAAGATGCGAGCTTGGTGTAACAAAATTGCCAAGCTATACCAAGAGCATTGGCACTGTTTAACACGGCGCGGGGTTCGTGGATTCCATCTCCTCGTTTTCTCGGCACTCTAAGCAAAAGGACAAGCTTGCATTAGAGTATTCGCATGTCTGACTCGTCGCCGTGATTTGCCAGATGACTCCGAGATGTCCTTGATTTGGGAACGTGGATGCGGCTCGGCCCTCGCCTACCGTGAGGAGGCATGCCTTCAGCCAGCGTCGTCGAAGTAAGGTACCCGCATAGTCAACGACCTACTCTGATGATCCTGAGCTATACAGCAGATCTTTTCTTGGGAGCGGAAAGGAAGTGTTGCTCTCGGCCGTAGAATATCAAGTCGTTGGTGAAATGGTAGTAGCTTCAGCACAGCCATATTTTGCCAAGTCGTATCTGTCGATCACATCGCTCGCAATGTTCTCGACTGAGGACTGAGCTTCCAAGCTGATAAGAGCGCGAGCAATAACCTGCAGCACACAATTCGAGGCTTCAGGTGCGTGCTGATCATGTGCAGTGTTGCTGCGGCCAAGTCGCTTGTTTACTGCATGACCCCGAGGGGCAAAGAACTCGCATTCGGCATGGAACATTTGGAAGCCATGCGCTTGCAACGTTTCAAGCGGATGTCAATGTCTGGGAGCATCTCACATGTGCGGCAAAGTCTTGCAAGTTGCTGCAGCCGAAGGCATGGCGGCGTGATAGAGGATGAGACGGCAGAGAGGATACTGTGCTAGGTTCCTTGCTGACTCGACATTGATGGCTCCTCTCAAGACAACAGTGAACCCTCGGTCCTTGAGAAAGGTCAGCACTGTACATACTCGTCGCCAACGCAGTCTAAGACGTTGCGGGATTCAGGTGTTGAGCCGAAGACGATAGAGCTGATCATTCAATGTTCGACATGTGCGCATCGATGTCGATCAAATTGTATCTAGTCATCGACGCGAGGTGCTTTGAGCCGCAAAGTCGTTGTAGGCAGAAAATACGCGACAACTTTGGCGACTGGAGGCAGTTGACAATGCGTGGCCAAAAGTCGTGACCAGAGATGATGGTGTTGCGATGGCTATTTGATGCCAACAAAATTGACTCCGTTCACGCGCCCGAGCACTCCTTCCTCCGCACACTTCTCGGTCCTCTCCAACCAGTACAAGGCATCCTTAGATCGCTCTCATCGTCCCGATCAGTAACGATAACCCGACTCCAAGCCCACCGCAGACTCCTAACAATGTTGCCATGGACCAACACACGGCCAGATAGATCGAGGGTGCAGTAGTGAACCCCTTCACGTCGTGGGATGTGTATGCCCAACACAAAAAGAGATGTGCAAAGCCTAGGGTCACGGAGGCCACGACCAGCAAGGCGATTTGGTCGTTGGTCAGCGCGCCCCGGTAGTTGGCTGTCGTGAACCGAACGAACACGCGTGAGAGCACGATGAGGAGACCCAAAGAGATGAAAAAAGCGGAGCTCTTAGCAAACGCAGTCTGGAAGACTTCCATCGTGCTGTCGACCGGTCCGAGATTATCGAAGAACTGGGAGGTCATGTTGATAATTGTTACAGATGCGAGTGTTGTCGTAAGCTAAACTTGCGTGGAACAAGACGATATTTGTATCTGCCAAGACTAAGTTTCGGTGATTAGAAATGACTCCGAGGAAAGGATCATTTGACTTCCTCTGTACTTATTCATGGACAGATGAATCGCGTCTTATCCCGCAGCACCAGATAACAGAAGAGAAGTTTGATTGCAAGACGACAAGATTGATGGTCGAAGAAGACACCCAGCTCCGTATCTCGGCGAGAATTAAAGTGTTGAAGATGGAAACAGTAAACGGTCCGAATATCTATGCTCCAAGTTCTGCCATAGCTTTTACCGCAGTCTCTTTCCAACCCATCACACTCCCCTGCGCCTGACCCCTCGGACATACCTCCACGATCGCTCTCATGAAATTCGCAACAGTCTGCATTTCCTCCTGTTCCTTTGACGTGAACTTTGCATCATCGATCAGATACCCAAGTCCCCTGTCTCTGGCTTTCTTTTCATATCTCTCCATCAAGCTTGTCTTCTCAACTATAGAAGTATCGTTCTCTTGAGCATTCCACAGAAATGCTCGACTGGGATTCCAGCGGGTGAAAGGGACTACGCCTGCAAACTCCCAGTCTATGATTGAGGTTATACGTGCAGTAGTGGGATCGACAAGGATATTTGCAAAATGTAAGTCTTTATGTGCAAGACGCAGAGAAACATTGTCGAGGTTAGATCGCATTGGCTCAGAAGTTATGATGGCCAGGAAGCAATCGAGGTGAGGCAGAATGTCCTGCATGAATTCCAGGGACGGATGTACCTCGATGGCATGTTTGTACTTCAACAAGTGCGCATATATATACTCGGTGTACGAAGCGAAAGCACCAGAGATGTTAAGAGAGTTGAAAGTTTCACCAGCTGGCCACAAAGCAAGAATGTCTGGCTCGAACCAGAATGTCTCCTCGAGTACCGGACCAGGAATGATGTTGTCGTTATCATCGAAGGACAGACCACCGATATGAGACCATCTATGCTCATGCAACTCGACGTTGATGTCTATCAATTGATCGAGGATGATGTCCATCTGCGTGGAGTCGAAGGAACTATACACATCTGCTAGGCTCTCTCCTGGGTCCCGGGTCATCAAGATATACTCATGGTGGAGTACGTTCTCAACAGAAGAGTCATAAGCAACAACTCGAGGAACCGGTATGTTTGTGCTCTTGTCAATCCATGATAAGACCGCGGCCTCGTTCTCGGTCTTGATCTTTGAAATATGATTACCAGACACGCGTAAGATCAAGTCAGTGACGTTGACAGCCGGTATTTGGACATCCTTGATGCGTGACCAAAACTCAAGATCCGCTGTGGCATAAGTGATCACAAAGATGATATGGAACTCGGCTGTGACTTTGAGCTGGCGAATACTTTGTGGTGTAGGCGACGACAAAATCTCGAGAAGGGCTCGCACATGATCCTGCGTGAGGGCTTGAGGGAGATGGACTTTCGGAGAACCCATTCATGTAGAGATTGATTGACTGTTGGGTTATATCGATGAGATGTGTTAGGATGTTGGAGCCGAGGTAAGATAATCGCAGCCTGAAATCTTATCAAGCCGTATTAGGAAGGTGCAACGTGTCATGAATCAACGACTTCAATACGCTCCATTACCAACGTTCAAAGGCAACGCTTCTTCCCCCGTCGGTGTCGATATATTGATCTTCCTTTGGCGAGGACGCAACTCGCTCATCATGTTTCTGGTGTCTCCTTTTCACCCACTGCATAATCCATGGTTTTCCTTAGCAGATCGGCTTCATCACTTCGACCCTGTTCCGTGAACCAGAGCCACAAGGTGTGCTGCAACGCGATTGTGGTCGCGGATTGGATGCCGTGGAGTTCTTTACTCTTCTTGATGGCCTCCTCAAGCACATCTTCCGCAGTCGCCATCTCCACAGTCGCCATCTTCACAGATCTTGGTGTTGTCTTGTGAATGGCATAGTGGCAGCGAGCCGACACTTCGAGAGCCTCGATCTCCATCGGCTTCCACTTGTTTTCACCCTCTTGTTTTGCCTGATCGCATTGCAAAAAAATCTTCTCCATGATGTTCAAGGCTCCACGATGGTTGCCTTGCAAGTGAAAGATCTTGCCACATGCAAATTGCCGCTGCATGTCGCTGGCATCGCTGTGCTGCAACTGAGTCGATCGTGTCAATAGCATATCCCAATGCTGTTGCACGTTCTCGCCAATGCGCAACTGATAGTTCGAATGACAGGATATGTTCATGGCGTCCCACGGGTCTTCTGGGAGCAGTTCCGTTATATGATCGTAACCACATTTCCAGCTTTGCTGCAAGGTCGCGACTACCTCTGTGCTGGGCAATTTTTTGATGACAGCAAATATCTGCGCCCAGGGATGTTGTTGTTCGAGCTCTCTTCGAGCTCTCCGCTCAACCAAGCTGCATAGCTTGTGCTGCAATATCTCATACAGTTGTCCGTACCCCCTGGTCGGAAGCAGGATGCACAAATCGCAGAGAACGTCCAGCATCTTAGGGTCTTGCTCCTTCAACACTATCTCGACAAGCTCCAGAGCTCGAACAAGTAGAGCAGTTCCCTGGCGCCAGTATTGCCTATCCCAAAGATCGATTGCAACGATACAGTATTTGTAGAAGTTGTTGAGATTGATTAAACTTCTGGCGGAAGAACGACTGATCAATTCTCCTGCGTCGTTGCTGACGAAGAGTTTTTTGTCCTGAGCTCCTTTGAGATATCTTGAGATGTGGTAGCAAAGTCTCGCGGTCTTCTGCATCGCGTCCGGATCAGATGGTGTGGTGAGAATTCTCATGTTGTTCTGGTAGGCCAGCAGATGAGCGCAGTAGTCAAACACGTATTCCGTTTGTCCTTCCCGATCAATGACACTCACGGTGGAGATATCATCATGTGCATGTTGGCAGTTGTTTGTCGAAGACACATCGACGTTGGTGGCGTTGGTTCGAGCAGGTATAATCTGGATGTGGGCAGGTGGTGGTTTGGCACCAAATGATTTCTGGATCCAAGTGCCTGACTTCTTCGCTCTTTGCACACGTCGTGCTATCTCATGATAAGGATATTCTCTGTCATGAATCAAGAATCTCGGCCGGCTTGACGGGCTCAGGCGATCCAAGCCGAGATCCCGTATCATGGCAGCAGCGAATTGAACATCCTCGAGCTTCGCATATTTTCCACGCGTGGAGCGTCCGGCTTCTGTCATTTGGAAGTCTTGCAGTGTTGGTTTTCCGGACCTGGCTCCGTAGATCTGTCAGGACGAGAAGGCGGGGCTCTGATGTCGCGGGAGTATAGTCGCCTTCCTACGAAACCAAAAAAATGACATTCGTCGAGTGGTCGCGAGCGCCTGGATATAATATTTGGAGAGCATAGAATCGAGTCGAGTAAGGCGGAGGCTCTGCATATAGGAAGAGTACACGGACCGGGTCGAGACCGTCGAGTGTAGCGGGGATATGCAGATAAAGAGTACATATTGGATGTATACACGGGCGAGTGCGGGTGATGTTCCCATGTGGTTACTCGCTATGCATAATTCACAACCTATAGGTTTAAGCCGAAGTACAACATTCTTCTTTTGGTATTCGCATACAAGCAGGGCGGTAACTGCGTTTCAAATGATGCTTCCGAGTGTGCAGAATCACGGAAACCAGCCTTATATTCGAGAAAAGTGTGTCGATCAATTTTACATTTCTCCGACAGCTATTGAAGCTTCGATCATTAATACTGCTCAACTCTGACAAAGGAAACTATCCTCACATCCATCGTATTCACCATCTAAACTGTGACACCAAAAGGTGCGACATTGGGATCCAGTCCCTGCCACACAAACGGCATACCCTGCGACAAACCCTTGGAGTCAAACTTTCTAGCCTTGACTGTGGAGCTGAAGGCATCCATGGTCTTCTTGAATGCCGCAGCTGCATTTCTAGTGTTGACATTCATGCGCTTGAGCATTGCGTCATCGGCAAACTGGTAGCTCACTGGTTCAAGTCAGTACACAGATAATCAAGACAAGATGTTAGGCTTCGCTCACAGGTTCTGTTGGTGCCAGCGATGTATTGACGTGAGAACAGGGCATCCACACCAATCTGCTCTTGGGCGTTGTTGAAGGGAGGCAAGAAGGTTGCAGGGTTTGAGACTGTACCCTTCTTCTGGGGGACGGGTTGCCAAAGAGACATTGGGTGGAAGGGAAGAGTGGCTGATGCAGACATGAGCTCGTTGGTGTTGACAGTGTGGTGAGCAGTCGAGGAAAGATGAGCCTGTTACGTTCGTAAGTCAGCATGTCTGAGTATCAGAGCACGTTCTAGGTAGTTACCATGTGAGTCAGAACATCAATGAGTGTGTTCTTCGTATTGATAGTAGCCGGGAAGTCCTGAACCTTGGCAGGGCCGTTGGCCTCCTTGACCCAAGCTTGAATCTCTTTGTCCGCAGCCACTACTGAATCTGCTGAGTAGTACGAGTTGACAAATGAGGTCATGAATGTACGCTGAGCGTTGTAGATGACAGAAGCGTCCTCGTAATAGGGCAAAGACTTGAGCTGAGGGCCGGTGGTAGAATTAATCAATCCGCGGTTCTGCAGGTTAGTAAGGAAGTAGCCAGACTGGAAGAAACCACTGCGGGTGAAGTAGTAGTTGCTGCTGTAGTTGAGTGCAGACTGGTAGGTGTAGGGGAAGGCAATGTCGACAACACCACCGGGGGAGAACAACGTCTGCTGTGCCAGAGGCTGAATGGCGAAGACTTGGTACATCACTGTAAAATCGCGAGATCAGTTAATTGTTCGGAAGACAGTGATGGACCAACTTACGTCTGTCAAGAACAGCCTTCACAGGATGGTAATCACTCAGAGATCGAATAGCTGACATGTAAACAATGTGGACAACCTCATGAGTTCTAGGCAAGTGCTCCCACTGAGCGAACCAGATGTCACAGACGTTGTACATGATCTTGGCGAGCATCCAGTCACTGGCGCTGTCTGCAGGTGTATAGATGACACTTGCTCCTTGGTTAGTTCGAATAGCGAGAGGCAAGAAGTTTCCAGAAGTCTGGTTGATGTAGAAATAAGCATCCACAGCTGCGGAATAACGAGCTTTTGTGGTAGCTTCAAGCTTTGCCTGATCTCTGTAGTCGGAGTAGAATAGACGGCCAGAGGTGAGCAGCTGCTGCTGTGTCATGCCGGTGATCTTCTTTGCAGTTGCATCATCGACCTTGAAGTTGAGAGTGCTCGAGGAGTTCAGTCTACGGACCTGGTAAGGACTGAGAGAGAGACGTTCCATGGAGAATAGCAAATCCTGGGTGTAGTTTGTGAGGATACCAGGAATGGGACCGGCAGGCAATGTCTTGAGCCACTCATCATCGTAAAGCAAAGTATAGTCGTTCAATGTCTTCAAACCGTTGTACTTGCTGGTGTCGGCAGTAGCGGCTTGGGCGTCTGCGTTCAAGTCGTTCATCTGAGTCTCGGCTTCGGCTTGAAGACTCGCTACGTCATTGTTGATCAGAGTGTTACCGAGAGAACCGTTAGGGAAGAAAGGTCCACCAGCGACGGCGGGTCCATAGCCAAAGTTCTTTTGCTTAGTCGCGATGGCATCTGCTCTGTTGGCAGGGATGCCCTTTTGAGGGATAGCATACCAGCCGGTGGCATCAGCTGAAGCAATCGAGGTAGTTGAGCCAGTTCTTGGGTTGGAGATGCTAGCGCCAGATGCGAGCTTGCTGACAGCTGAAGATGAGACCTTGCTGGAAGTAGAGGCCTTAGTGGAAGACGAGACCTTGCCAGAAGACAAAGTTTTCGACACACTCGAGGAGGTCGCTCGCTTTTGGATGATTGCAGAATGAACAACTGCAACGTAAAAGAGTAGAGTAAGCAGTGTCACCACTGAGAATCGATGCTGTGCCATCATCGTAGGTAAGTCAGGCCAAGGAGAAGGCTATACGAGAGCTTGTGGTCTCCAGAGTTTGGCCTGCATTGTGTATATATTCATTCATCCTTATTCACTATCGTGGCCTGATGTCACCGTTGTCTTGAATTTCGATATCAACCGTTGTAGCTGGAGGATGTCCGGGACGCCGGCAGGATGCAATCGTTGCCAAATCTGCCTCTCATGGTGCAATTCCCATTCGAGACGTCAACATATCCACTCCCAAGAGCAGGAATGTGAGCGTCAATGTCTGATCGCCCAGCTCATGATCTCAGAATTATTCCTATAATGGCTGAAGATCACGGTTAGCGGGTGGACCCTTTGTATCGAATTGTTATAGCACCGTTTCGGCACCGTTCGATATATAAAAACGGCGCGAGCTGATGGAACAAGCTTGCAGGGTCCAGAACTCTCACGGAAAGAGTTAATCTGGGGAAGGAATGGAGCCAATTGTATAACAAATTCTTCAATACTCTCCGGTCGTCGGTCGTGTCATATGCCCAAGTCGTTATTATAGAATGAAGCTTTCCGGCTGTCGGGGCAATGTAAAAACCAAAATTGCAGGCATCGTCTGGCAGTCAGAGGTGCTGAATATCTCTCGGACATACGTTCAACCGTCCAAATACAGACAGACGTGCCTTCCTCGCGGCGAAGAAGCAGCAAGGCCAAGACAATGGTTGCTTGCTTTTGCGCGTAAGTATATTGTCGAGTATCTCCGCCGGCAAGCGTCATAGAAACTCCGTCCTCTACAACACCACGCTGATTAGGCGGAAACACATTCCTCAAGATTACCAACTTCCATAATCAGGCCACGAGTCCTTTGCTGCCGACGTTCTGCTGAGTCCGTCAAACAGACCCGTCAAAGCTATGTATGTTTCCAGAGGTCTCTGGAAGTGCTGTTGGACCGTAATGCTTGTTGACATGCTCGTACAAAGATTGGTCCGAGTATCAAAATATCAGCACTGCTCTTTTCGTTAGGTTCCGAAGGTGTTGGTAGACTGTGCTGTCTGTGAGTTTGTCTGCTGTGATATCCACACTTTCTTGCCGCTTCGTGAGATCTACAGGCAATTGTTCTCCAGAGATTTGTCTCAGCTTCTCCTGAGCTTCAGCCAGTTTTTCTTGGGTAAACTTCAAATCTTCCGGATTGGCATGCAAAGTATCTTGCCCCTTTTCTATCACCTCTTCAAGTAATAGCACGGCCTCTTTGACCTTCTCGCAAGTTCCCAACTTTGTGTAAGCCTGTGCTAGATTGCTCATAGTCACGAGGCGCCCTACGTCGTCTTCCGCCAGATGACCTCTGTCCCAAGCAACGATACGTTCCAGCAATGGGACCGCCTGTTTAGGCCTACCAAGTTCCTTAAAGGCCTTTGCTAGCAGCTCCATAATGGGGACAACTTCTTCTGGAAAGTCATCAGGAAGACTCTTGACTGCTTCTTCGAGCAATGCGACTACCTGATTCGGTTTGTCAAGCATGAGATAAGCATCTGCCAGCATGTGCATACGAGCCAACCGATCTGGAGCGTCTGCTGGAAGATACTCAGCTAGCTCTTCGAGTAGTTTCACTGTCTGAGATGGTTTGCCGAGCCTAAGATATGCCTCTGCCAGCAGACTTGTACTGTGAGGTCGTCCTGCTGTGTCTGCTAGAAGACTTTCGACCAGCTCCTCGAGCAGCGCAACTGTCTGATCTGGTTTACCAAGCATGAGATAGGCCTCTGCTAGCAAGTTAATATCGAACAATCGTCCTGAATAGTCCTCTGGAAGACCTTTGATGTGCTCTTCGAGCAATGTGACTGTCTGATCTGGTTTGTCAAGTCTGATGTAGGTATATGCTAGCGAGTTTATGCTGAAGAGTCGTCCTGTATCGTCCTCAGAAAGACCTTCGACGAGCTTTTCGAGCAATGTGACTGCCTGAGATGGTTTGCCAACCTTAACATATGCATTTGCCAGCCTATCCGCACTCGAAGGTCGTTCTGAATTGTCTGCTGGAAGACTTTCGACCAACTCTTCGAGCAATGTGACTGCGTGATCCGGCTTGTCAAGCATGAAATAAGCATCTGCTAATATCTTCACCCTGATGGAGTGTCCCTCTGAGCTGTGGGTCAGAGGATCCTTGACCACGTCTTCTAGCAATGTGACTGCCTGACTTGGTCTGTCGAGATTGAGATAGTTCTTTGCTAGCAGCTCAATACTGAACACTAAGTCTTCATCATTCAGAGGAAGACTTGACCTTCGACACTTGACCAGCTCTTCAAGATATTCTAGTGCTAGACCCGGTTGCTTGAGATTGATATGGGCCTGTGCAAGCAGATATAGAGTGGCTAGTCGGTCTGTGTCATCCGAGGGAACACTTGATCTTTCGATCTCAACCACTTCTTGGAGCAATCCTCGTGCTTCACTCGATTGCATGAGTTTGAGATAGGCCTTGCCGAGCAGAACTAGAGGCGCTAATCGTTCTGGATCATCTGGGGCAAGACTTGATCGTTGGATCTCAACCACTTCGTCGAGCAATAAGACTGTCTGGTCGGGTTTGTTAAGATTGAAGTATACCAATGCGAGGTTTATCATAGACCCTAAAAGTCCTGCCTCATCTGGAGGTAGGCTTGACTTTTCGAATTTGACAACTTCTTCGAAGAGTGGGGCTGCTTGACTCCGATTGTCAGTTTCGATGAAGGCAGTCGCTAGCCTTTTAATAGCTGCATGAAGTTGCAGAGAACTGAGAGGAAGCCATAACCTGTTCAACTCGATCACCTCTTCGAGCAATGGAACTGCCCGACTTGGCTCCTCAGTTCCGAGATAGGCAATTGCTAGTTTATGCATGATATCAGCTCGGGCGAATTTATCTTCCGGATTCATCCTCGAATACTGCAGATGCATCTCTTCGAGAATCGGCATTGCTTGATCGTACTTCTCGAGATGCAAATAGGCCTTTACTAAGCTTGTCGTGGTCCAGAACCACGTATGATCTGGCGGGTCCTGTTTGGAATCCAGTTTGAAAGCATCCTCGAGCAATGTCACAATCTTTTCGGCTTGTCCTACAGTGAGGTACAACTCTGATAACCTGTATAGAACATCACGTACAGCGGGAGTTCCAGGTGGAGACGCTCTCTTGACGACCTCAAGCTCCTCGATCAATAGATTTATGGCCCGTTCGTTGTTGCCGAGGCTTTCGTACGCCTGGGCTCGTTTTGACAGCAATTCTTGAATCATGTGGTCGTTCATCCCAGGAGTTTGTAAGTCACGTTCGTGGAGTGACTCCAACAGATCAATTTCGTCTTGGAAGCTGCCAGCTGCATAATGGAAACCAGCGAGCAGCATCTGAGAAATACGTACCTCCGGACTGTCAGGCCCGAACCAACTGGCTGTAGACTGCACAACTTGCTACACGCAAATCTGCATCTGTTCGTATCTTCCCAAATCTCCTAGACGTTCTGCCTTTCCACGCAGGATTACACTGTTCTTGACAGAGTGTGTATGAGGTTGAAGCTCACATGAGATGGACAAGGCTTCGAAGATCGCTAGTGATATCTCGGGGTCAGAATTATTGAGTTCGCAAAAATGCGTCAGATGGTAAAGCGCGCGTGCAACGTGCAGGGATAACTGCGGCTGGGTTCTGTGGCCTAGGTCACGGATGCAGGTTTTCGTGTGCAACACTATTTTTCCAATAAGTGGTATCTAATGCGCATCATCGGCGGATGAGGCAAGAATTGACAGAGCTTGTTCCCAAGCGTCCTGTCGAGCGACTTCGCCCAGTCGAGTACGCGCCCATTCATGAACGACGGGGTGCATCGACATCTTGTTGTTGGTGAATTTGATGAGTTAGAGGTCAGCAAGACGTATGGAGGCGGCACGGAGTCTCTTGCTTTTCTGACCCTCGATAAGACCGCTAATTCGGCTTTTTTCCTGGTGCCAGATACCGAGATGATAGATCTTACCATCATCAGGACTAAACATCTTTTCGAACGGGCAGCTTGGTAAATGATCAGTGACATCTCGAGCGGTGTTGGGAAGAGAACTTGACTTCGGGACGGAAGTCGCTGGTTCATACGTTGCAGAGCGGGATTCGATCGGCTGGCGCTCTTGTGCTCCACACCCGGTTGCGCAACGATAGCGTCCTTTTGAAGTGCAGGACAACTCCGTCATAATTTGGGAGCTATTACGCTCTCCTGGTTCACCACTATACCTAACGAACGAGTCGTCTGCAGCGTCTGAGACGGCGAAGCAGTGAGGCCATTCGGTCCGATACTCCTCCCAAACAAGTCCATATAAACGCTCGAGTCTGAGGCTTTCATCGAAAGCTCTATTCAGGATTTCTTCTTCAACTCCTTCGCGGTCGAAGAACGCAAGTATGTTGAGCAGTTGAAGAGCAAGATGGCTGTCGTGTTTATCAGAACAAGCAAGAGCTGCTGCAGAGACTTCGAAAGTTGTGTAGACACTTCCATGTCGTGAAGCTTGTTGGTTAGGTCTGAATTTCATAAGTCGAACCTGTTCGTCTCTGAAGGAGTTTACATATTCAGTCAAGGTACAGTATCCTCGCTTAATGTAAGCGCCAGCATGGACAAGAGCGAGCGCGTGCTGTCCGAGGATAGAAACGACAGATTTCGCGACAGAAACGAGTGCGGTTTGATCACCATGTTCGAGACCGCTTGCTTTCAAAAGCAATTGCGTAGCGTCTTCTTTCCCGAGCTCATCAATGTTTTCCCATGTTCCGTGGATCCGGCACTCTGTCAGGCGAGTGGTGATAATCACACTACCACCACGAGACGGTATGTATTTTGCAAAGTCGATCCGATCATCATCACAATTATCCAGAATAATTAGCCATGACTCCTTGGTAGTCGCAAGCCACTGCAGCACGTCTCTAGGTCTCGTACCCTCCAAAGGAGGTACTTGCATCTTGGCAATGTCGGCAAATCCTTCTTCGATATTTTGTCTGTCGTCGGCATCTATCCAGAAGACGCCCCAGAAGCTTATTCGGTCAGTAGATGTTGTTAGTAATTACTGGCTGGAACAAACCTGTCTTGGTTCTCAGTCGCGAACTTGATAGCCGCTTCACTCTTTCCGGCACCACCAATGCCTTGGAGCACGAATACTGAAAGATTCCCCGTATCACGCTCTACGATCAAGTGCTTCTTCATCTTCTCGAGGAGGGACCGACGTCCGGTGAACAATGTATTGGGTCCGCGGGGGACGTTCCAATATGTATTGCCTGGTAAAGATACATCAGCGACCGTTGATATGGTCTCGTTACTTTCTTTTGGAAGAAGCGACGCAGACACATCGGATTTGTACGAAGGTAGATTGACTAACCAAGCTGTGGAAGCTGCGCTACTGCGGTTGGTGGAATCACACTTAGTAGCTCTTTCGCATATGCTGCAGCCGCGACAGCTGCGTACTGATGCCATTCGTCGTTCTTGTGTGTATCACAATAGTCGGAAATGCCTCGGATCGTGAGCGAAGGAAAGTCGTCGAGTCCTGCAGCTTCCATCTCGAAACACATATTGCCGTATATTTTCCTGACCTCCTCCGCAAAGACGGCATCACGAACGAGTCGATTGCCAGAAGCGATAGGCCCATAGTGTACTTTGGGTATCGTCGCATATTCGCGTACGACTCTTTCGCGCATCTGTTTTTCGTCGCAGTCGTCACACGATCCAGATGAATGTAGATATGTAGCATTGTAGAGCCTGTCTTGAGCGGGGCGTTTCGAAAACTTCTTGGCCTTAGTCCGTTCAAGGTGAATAACGTAGGCCATATCTGGCGCGTCGAGACCCAGATGATCTGCTTGAACTGCGGCCGCGGCGTTCAGGAGGATTGCTGGAGCTTTGTTCATAACACCTGTCTTGATGAAGGCTTCGTCTTGGACTTGCTTGCCGTAATCATATTGAATGACACCAGCTTCACCCTTGGGATGAACTCCAACTACTATGTCTCCAAGACGAACGTCGGTGTCAGGGTGCCAGACGCCTCCTGCGATACCAACCATCAAACCGATGCGAAGCCAGGGGAATGCCCTCCGCATGTCATTGGCGACGGTCGCAGCGGTTGTTGTTCCGGGACGGCCAGAAGCGATCACGACATTGTGTCCGCTGTTCGTTGTCCCGTTACCAGAGTTGGTATGGCCGAAGGTGTAGATATTAGAATCATGATCAGGTGTTGGTAATCGGTCATGGACGGTGTCGAGCATTGACTTTGCCGCTGCCGCTTCGATCGGAAGAGCAGTAATCCATCCTACTTTGTAGTCTTCGAGCTTGTGTGCCATCTTCGAATGTTGACGAGTTATTGAGCAGGCCAGGTCCTCCTAATAGTAACAGCAGGCCGCCTGAAGTGATAGGCAGCCTGAGGGGGGGAGAAATAATGGAGGTGCATATTCCGACATAAGCAAGCGTACAGAGCCCATCTTTATCGTCTCCTCGAGTCCGTCGATCCGTCCCGCTCACCACGACCGTACACAGATCACGGCTGAGATTATGCGACTTCGTGGGAGTCTCTGCTGCATCCCATTTGCTGCAATTGCATGCTAAAATCCTCGAAGCATGCCTTGGGAGTCCAAGTTCCGGGCTGCGGTCTGCAGCAAGGCTGGACTAATGCAACGAGATGCAGGCAGAATATCACGTGCTGTCAGCCACCATGAGAACCAGGCATCTCAGCTCGCAACCTCAAAAACAAGATCCATCGCGTTTCGAGGCCGGATATGATTTTGGAGGGATGCGTCACGAATTATCGTGGTGGAAAAGTATATCAAGATGAAGAATGTCGTGTGGAAAGCAAGACAGAGCTCCATGTTTGGACGGCGGGTCGGGGAAAGCGCGAGCGGAAGCAAGCCTCAGCTGGCGCGGACATCACCGACGACGAAAAGAGGAGGCGCCTTCCATGAACAAAACGAGCAACAACGGAACGTAACTTATGCATGCTGTCATTTGATGAATCGTCAACGTAGGTAGATCCAGCCTAGGCAACCATCTCTACTGCAATCTGACACCAGCCTGCCTGTTCTTCTTCGCCGTAGCGCCCACAGCCTCGTTCGTACCAGTGAATCCCAGCAATGATTTTCTCTGCCTATCATCCTCTTCCTGCTTCTTCTTCATACGCTTTTCAGTCTTCTGCTTACCACTACCCTTGCCATGGAACCTGTGACTAAGATGCTTGAACGCCTCTTTCTGGTTCATCTCACGACCGTCTTCATCATTGTAGCGAAGCTGAACATTAGGTTTGTATGAACGCTTGAAGTGCTCAGCTTGGAGCTGCGCAAGATAGGCATCTCTTTGCTCGTTCTGCTGGCGTTGGTAGTTCTCGCGTTCGCGGTGAGACATGCGATCCCAGCGGCCAGAGTTGCGGTCTTTCTCACGCTCTTCTCTGGTTTTGCGATCGTATTCGTCAACCAGGGCTTGGTTCTCCTGAAGGAACTGTTGTTGGGCGCGGACGGCTGCGTTGGCTTTTTCGGCATCGTTGTCTTGGACTAGACCACGTTTGCGGAGCATATTGAGGATACCTCCGGCTCCTAACGTAGTGTCTTCTTCGTCTTCGAAACCTGTAGATGTCATTGCTGCTGGGCCGGCAGACTCTCGTTCTTCTGCTTCCTGACGAGCACGAGCGTCTTCTTCGTCTTCTACCGCAGCGTACGATTCTTGCATTTGTTCGTCCTCGTCCTTTACATCTCCAGCAGCAGGTGTTGATGCGGCCCTTGCACGCTCGTCGTCTGAATCTGGTGACTGTGGGCGTCTCAGGTTGGCTACAAACTCGGTGGTCTCGTCGATGACAAGACCGGGTTCATCGCCGTCTTCGGCAATTTCCATGGCGGCTGCAGATTCTTCTTCGCGAATGCGGCGAGCCAGCTCAGCAGCATCGGTCTTCTTACGCTTTTTCAATGCTTGACGGCGTTGCTCCGCCAATTTGGCCTGCAAATCATCATCGTCGAAGGTCTCAAAAGTACGTTTCTTAACAGCTCCATTTGACGTTGGTTGACCGTCAATTTCCATTGGATCTGCAGAAGGTTGTTGTGTAGGCAGAGGGAAAATGTCATCCTCGTCGGCGGCCTTTGTGCGTGTAGTTTTGGCCTTCTTCGGCTTCTTGGGCTTGCGAATCTTCGCTGTCGAGGCATCTAGGTAATCTGAGATGGGCGTGTCGTCTTTCAACTCGTCCAAGCTGATTTTGATGCCCTTGACGCCTATGCGCTCGGCTTCTGCAGCTTCTCGTTGGGCCGTGAGAGCGGCTTGGTCGATTGCACCAGATGTGTCCAAAGTGAAAGCCTTCTTTTTCTTGCCGTCGATCTCTTCGTCGTAATGCGCAAGAATCGAACGGTTGCCATCGTCCATGTCGTTGGGATTGTAGACAGGCTTGTTCTTCTTGCGCTCCAGCTTTTCTTGCAGTTGTTCCTTTGCGCGTAGATCCAGATTCTCAAGCTCGTCGTCTTCGCTCTCATCACCGATGGCGGCATCTTTCAGAGTCAGGATCTGCTCGCCTTCAGCATCAAACTGATCCAGCTCGTGTGCGACCTTGACACCAGCCAAGTCCTTCGACGAGTACTCTGCTTGTGCCTGACGCTCTAGCTCAGCCTGCTCTTCCTCGTATCTCCTTGCAGCCTCGATCTTCTTTTGACGCTTCTTGAACTGCAGGGCCCAGGTCTTTGCATCCATGTCGGCCTCATCTGCGTCTCCCAAGCCCTTTCCTTCCAACTTTGCATTCCGTAGAGCCATGTCGCGTGCCCTCTTTGCCTCTTCCTTGCGAGCCTGACGGGCTTGTCGTGCCTTTTCCTCATCTTGCAGTTTCTTCCAGTTGTCACCAGCAGCTGCTTGTCGCTTTTCGAGCGTGCTCATGTCGTCGGGGTCTGACTCTTCTCCATCGTCTTTTGACTTGAACTGCAGACCATCTTCGCCGGGTACGGGCAAGGGCGCAAGGCCCATGGCGACTCTGATCTTGTTGGCATCTTGAATCGCAACGGCGTCCATGGTGGGTGGCGGGTGAGAGAGCTGTCGCAAGGCGGGTACGAAATGTTTCCGCGATTGATAAGCGATGTCGACTCGTGCTGAAGAAGTGAATCACAGCAGAACGATGAGAAGGCGAGAGATCAGAGATGAGAGCTGCCTCGAGTGAATGTTCACGAAAGCGCGACGGACTTTGGTGGAGCTAAGAACCCGCGGCGTGTCCCGGCTTGGCGTCATCTGCAAAAAGTTCTATATCAAGGTCGCAAAGTTTCCCTCTTCCTCTTCTCTTCTCACAACAAAACCTGTGTTCAGCGATCCTGGCGTCTCCTTCGGGGGTCTGTCCGGTTGATTGCTGTCCAGCTCGACTTTTATGGAGCCATCAGATTATTGTGATGTCAATTTTCCGGTCGACAGATTTGAGAAGAATGTGGCCCTGGGACAGCATCTGAGCTCGCTCCGGCTGAGCTCGATGTGTAACCTTGGTCAAGAGCGTCATATTCCTGATCCCTTCGCTGAGGCCGTCGGCTTGTGAAGTTGGGGAAAAACCATGACTTGCTTACATATCGTGATTTGAGAATCCTCGCATTCATGCTATACTCTATGTATGCGCGGGTCTACGTGAAGTATGCCAAACACGCCTGTCAACACCAGTTGTAGGGGACGACCCATCCACCCATCTGTTGATCTGTCTGCCTCTCTTGTCGCGTGCTGTCTTGAACATTTTCTTGCTACAAACAACGCGCCGGGTATAAGCAGAGGCATATCTCCCTCTGTCGCAGTCACATGCAAATGCTTGTTGTCGGCAGTGATCTGCAAAGCAGATCTTGAGTTCCCTAGACGGCAGGAACGATTCAAGTTTGAGCAGGCGTTCTGGCGTGACTTCCGGAGCATGTCTCTCTCATGACGTTTGTCGTTGTTCCTGCCACCAATGTAGACTTGGACATGGCCGTTTAACACTGCTTTCCAACGCGTCTGTTCTCGTCAACTTCGTACCATGCGCATATTCTTCCCTGGTCATCGCCGCACAAAGTGAAGCGGCATTATTGTCGGTGTCATTCTTCTCCAACTTGCACTCGTCCCAACTGTGTCACGCAGGAAAAAAGACTTTACAAGCCCCGCACGCTGTGTCTAGACCATCGCACCGGCTCTTCACACTCTCTCGCTTCTCGACTCTCGTATTCAGACAATCAGTCATGGTCACTCTCCCAGGTCGTGCTTCCAACGAGCAAACGGCACAGCTGAGAAGCGCTCGTGCCTGGCTACTCGACAACATCCGCAATGACTGGTCATACCCCAACGCTCCTCATGTCCTTCCCTCCTACTACGACGAGTTGCAAGCTGCACCCGGCGCTTCCGCTACACCTGAGGCCTCCTCCAGAACAGATACAAGAATCCATGTCAACCAGCACATCAGACAGAATATCACCGCTTCGGCTGTGGGTTTAGCAGAGAATCCGCCAATCGACTCGCGCGAACGCTATTACAGCGACGGGGAAGACTCCGCTTCGGACAACGAGAACGACAAAGCGACACCAACATTCGACACTCCCGACTCGGTTGGTACTGTCCTCGAAGATCGCAAAGCACGAAGACGCAGACGCCGACAGAAGAGATTCGAGGATGAGATGAAAGAGAACATTGGTCTTGCTCATTGGAGTGCACAAAGGAATACTTGGACTGGCGCCCAACCTCGGACACCTGTCATACAAGAAGCACCACCGATACAGTCTGCTCCTTTGCGATCGGAATCTCCCGGGGCTCCGTCATCAGTGGCTTCCACTATCACGCCGCCAGTCGTGATAGCTGCACTCCCAGACACGGATCTGATGGTTCCCGTGGCGCCTCCGCTCCTTCCCGACAACACCGTCCGCAGCCGCATAACGACCAATACCTACTCTGATATCTACACCAAGATCGTTCTCCAGAGCCGCACTCCCTCAATCCCCATCAACCTCACAGATGTCACCCGGAGTCTGGTCCATGGCTGGAAAGAGGAAGGTCAATGGCCACCGAAACCTACACCTGCAGAGCCAAGTCTGGTCAAGAAACATGGTCATCCCAACATAAAAGGCGGCTTGAACAAGATAGGCAGAGTACTCGGTCTCAGAGGACAAGGAGTTCCTATTGAGAAGAGCTCAGCGCAGGGTCAGGTTTAGGACGACCATCCCAAGGCAGATCCGAGTTGTAAACATATACATTCCGTCTACGATGCTCTTGCAAGGGCGAGTCCTGGTTCGTCGGACGAAACCAGGGTCGGCTTCGATCACAATCGTAGTCAACTTCGGGTCAAGACATCCGAGACGGTATCTGGACAGGTCAAACATCGTGAGTCCATCGATGACTACCAGGATCAGAAGAGACCTGCCTATACTCGCCGAATAATACGCCAAGCCAGGATTCATGCTCAGGATCCTCGACACGCTGAGGAAATCAGGCGTGCAGCGCTAGATGCGGTAGATCCCAAACAGGCTGTACCCAGCCATAAGCCATGGCAGGAGAGGATGACCAAGGCTGTAAAGTGCTGGTTCAAGAACAAATATCGCGAGAAGAAATTGAAGTGTCGGTGGAAGCTTTCTATGGAGAGATTCCTGTTGTGGCATGGCGGTTGGTTAGACCTCCCGCATCCGTACATTGAGGTTTTCAGCACACAGAATGTATTTTTGACAGGACGGGGAGGGCAGCAAGCGCAGGAAGGCCAGCAAGAACAGGAAGGACAGAAAGGACAGAAAGGACAGAAAGGACAGGAAGGGCAGGGAGACGGTCAAGACGCTGCGGAATGACATTTTATCATGTCTAGCAATTTGCGATCTTTCATTCTCTTGGATGACCATCATTGATGATGGCACAGAAGGCATAACGTTCTTTCATACAGCCTTTCGAGCGGGAAGATACGGATGTTCTGTCATTTGTGAAATTAGCCATATTCTTGATACCACCATCTCTGTATACTCACCTTCATTCCTCTCTATAAAGAAGTCCGCTCGAGTACGTGACTCATTTGATCAAACTCGATACTGTTGCCGTGGTCCAGACTCTCATGAAAAGCAGCACGGTCAACTCAGATGGTCACGCGAGTGGCTCACGGCCTCCTTGATGTGAAATACAGATATGTCGGTAACTGAAGGCTCTGGGAAGGAAGTCATGTTCAGATGCCGACGCGGGGCAGTGTGACATTCGTCATTGTTCACGGAAACCACTTCTCGGCTTTTTTCTGAGCGACTTTTGGGTTGCCGACAAACAAATTCGATGCGTGACAATGTTGCGAGGTGTTTAGTGGAAGCATTTATTATGGAGATCCGTCTGAATAAACCCAGCACGAACGACATTGACCAAGATATCAACACTAGACAAGAATGAAACATGCAATTAAACAAAGAATTCATCCTCTACCTAGCCATCCAACTGCCATCCACCGTCAAAATCTCACCACTCACATATCCACTAGCCCTGGATGCCAGAAACACCACCGGACCTTTAAAGTCCTCAGGAGCACCCCATCGTCCAGCAGGTATCCTGGCCATAATCTGTTCACTGCGCGTCTTGTCCTTCATCAGCGCATCATTCATCTCCGTCGCAATGTAACCCGGTGCAATGCCATTGACATTGATACCCTTTGATGCCCACTCATTACTCAGCGCTTTTGTGAGTTGAGCTACGCCACCCTTGGAAGCAGCATAAGCGGGCACTGTAAACCCGCCTTGGAAGGAGAGGAGGGAAGCGATGTTGATAATCGCACCTCTGCGACCATGGACATCTGCCTCGCGAGACAGCATGTGAGCGCCCACATCTCTGCAGAGAGTAAACACTGAATTCAGGTTTACATTCAACACTTCATCCCAGTCGTTGTCGGGGAACTGGTGGGCGGGATGGCGGCGTTGGATGCCGCCGCAGTTTAGGAGAATGTGGATTTGGTAGCCGTCGGAGATTACTTTTTTGACGAGCGAGGAGACGGAGTCGCGGGAGGCGAGGTCGGCGGTGTAAATTTGGGCTTTGCGGCCGAGGGATCGGATTTGTTGGAGGGTGGATTGGTTGGACTCGTCGCGCTAGAGGGCAAGAGGTTAGAGGGGTGGGAGGGAGAGAGAGGTAGAGGCAAAGGTACCTGGACTAGGAGGATGTCTGCGCCGGCTTCAGCGAGGGCGATGGCCATTGCTTGACCGATTCCTGGTTGTGGTGTTAGTGCTTGACTGCAGGGTGGCTCTTTGAGATGGACATACCACGGGTGCCGCCAGTGACCAGAGCGGTCTGGCCTTGGAGGGAGAAGAGCTGCTGTACAGAAGCCATGATGTCGTATGTGGTGTTCAATGTCTACAGAGGGTAAAGAGAAGATGTACAGGAACAATGGAATGGACCAAGTATGTATATCGAAATCAATAACCGACGGAAGAATCAAGGGTCGTCGTCACCCTCGCGTTTTCCCCCTCTTCAATTGCCGACAAGATGGAGATTTGTGGGTTGGAGTGGGGGAAGTTCAAATGCCGACGCTTCCTTCAGCCGATGACTTTGGATGATTATTATCTAGTCGATCTTCTCTCTTTCTTGTTTCTTGTCTCTACTATCTGAAAGCCTTTTGTTCTTCTCGTTCACCTCATACATTCCAATCATGTCGTCGACACAAGTCCAAGCCAGTGTTTTGCACGGCGCAAAAGACCTCCGCATTGTGAGTCTCTCATCATCTCCACACCCGTCAATATCACTTGATTCAATGCACCAAACATGCGACTACATGTGATACTACAAGATGCTGATTGCATCTAGGAATCCCGCGACCTGCCTGCCCCCTCAGCCAACGAAATCCAAGTGGCAATCCACAGCACCGGCCTCTGCGGCAGCGACCTGCACTACTACACCCACAACCGCAACGGCGACATCCTCGTCCGCGAGCCTTTAACCCTCGGCCACGAATCCTCCGGCATCGTCACCGCCCTCGGCTCCTCCATCTCCAACTTCTCCATCGGCGACCGCGTCGCCCTCGAAGTCGGCGTCCCCTGCGATTCCTGCCACCGCTGCGATCAAGGCCGCTACAATATCTGCAAGGACATGAAGTTTAGGTCTTCTGCAAAAAGTTTCCCCCATTTCCAGGGCACATTGCAAGAGAGGATCAATCATCCTGCTAAGTGGTGTCATAAGTTGCCTGATTCTATGAGTTTTGAGTTGGGTGCGTTGCTGGAGCCGCTGGGTGTGGCTATTCACGCTTATCGCCGCAGCAACATGCAAGAAGGCCAAACTGCTTTGGTGCTAGGAGCAGGTGCAGTGGGACTCTTAGCTGCGGCGGTTGCAAAGGCAAAGGGAGCCAAAACAGTCATCATTGCTGACATCGATGCCGGAAGAGTGGACTTTGCAGTCAAGAACGGGTTTGCACACAAGGGTTATTTGGTACCGATGAAGAGAGGAAAAGATATAGAGGAAAACCTTGCTATTGCGAGGGAGACGGCCGATGGCATTGCTGCTGTTGCGGATGACAGTGGTGCAAAGATTGGAGAGGTGGATGTCGTGTTTGAGTGTACCGGTGTGCCTACTTGTGTGCAGGCTGCCATTTACGTAAGTCTTTTGTCTCTTTCCCTTCCTTTCCTCTTCACTCCACTCCTAACATGCAACCCACAGTCCACCAAACCCGGCGGCCGCGTCCTCCTGATCGGCATGGGCGTCCCCATCCAAACCCTCGCCATCTCCTCGGCCGCTCTCCGCGAAGTCGACCTCGTCGGAGTCTTCCGCTACGCAAACACATACCCTGAAGGCATTTCTCTTGCTTCCTCTCCTTCATGTCCCGATTTGAGTAAACTTGTCACGCACACGTTCAAAGGACTCGACAGCGCGGACAAGGCGTTTGGGATGGCGGGAAAGACCAAAGATGAAGAGGGGAAGCTGGTGTTGAAGGTTGTTATTCAGAATTGAGTTTTCTGCTTTCTCTATTGCAAAGAAGGGTTTAGCTGATTTCTTGCTCTGGAGAGAAGGTCATCATCGAGACTGCTGTTGATGAGAAAGCGAGGTTGTAAATGATGATTTGGTCAAAGAACAATTTGGAAATGAAAAAGAACGCGGTTTTTTTTTTTTTGGCTTCTATAAAAAAAGTCTGAACATGAATAATATACTCTGAATGAAAAAATTGCTCAATGAACGCGGGAAGAGCAACGCGAAATCTGACTCTGGCGAAATGGAGATGTGATTCAAACAGGCCATTCATTACTCGGCTACAAAAACAGGAAAGGCAAGGTTCAAAAGATGCAAGGGATGTTGGAAAAAAATGCGATTTCTAGAATATATCAAAAGTCCGGATCGATCGTAAACAAACAAAAATGTACGTTGTGGCATATTGCAACGAACGTGTCTTCGGAAATCTCAAGAGACTCCTATCAATACTGCAAAAGGGTCAGTTTTGTAGGTACTAGGCTTGGTCACGAGCACCATTGGGAGCGGAGTTTTCGAGGTCTTGGAAAGAATGCGATCTTGCTTGTGATGAAGTCCTGATCTATACATGTACAAGATTGATGCTTGATGCAAAAAGAGGGAAACAAAAATGCGGGTGTGGTATATAGCGAATGTGTGTAAAGCAAAAAAACCGCTTATGATGCAAATGCAAATGCAGGTGGAAGGAAGGCCAGATCAATCAATGATCATATGCTAAATTCCCCTTCCCATTGGAGATGATGCAAAGAGACTCGATCAATCTAAGAGTACTCCCAAGCAGCAGGAGCAGAGCTGTCGGCGACTCTGAAAGCGAATCCAGTGCAAGCAGAAGCGTCCTTGGCGATGGCAGCAGCGTAGATGGCGTAGTGACCATCGATAGGGCAAGCCAACCAATCCTGACCCTGGAACTGAATGTGTTGACCCTCCTGAGCGACACTGAAACCAGTGCTGGTGGCATCAGGACCAGTGTAAGCAGAGTGAGGAGCGGTGAAGCTCAAGGATCCATCAACGGCAACAAAAACCTGCTGGCCGCCAGGAACGACAGTATCGAGGGAAAGAGTGTTGTCGCCACCGAGGAACTGAGTAGAGGTAGTGTTGGAGCAGACAAGGCCGGACACATCAGGGCAGTAAGTGGCAGAGTCCTTGAGCAGCCAGAACTTGGATTCGGCGGCGTTGACAGAGGCGTATTGGATCTCAGAGCCGGAATGGATGGCGACACCGCCAAAGGCAGAGGCAGGGGCTGAGCGCTTGTCGAAAGGGTTCTCGCCGAGGCAGCCGGCGTACTCAGAAGCACACTGGGCCATGTTGGCTGAGAGGCCGTCGGGTCCACGGGTGGTTCTGCATGTGTTGTAAGACTCCTCGCAAGCACCCTTGCAGGCAGCGTTGTCGGCAGAGCATTGAGCCTGGTTGGCGGAAAGGCCGGTGACGGGGTCGGAGGCACGGCAGGCATTGTCCTTGGCAACGCAGTCGGTAGCGGTGGCTGAAGGAGCAGCGGTGGCAGTGGCAGTACCGCTGGTGAGGGTAGAGGTCTTGCTGGCACACCACTCACGGAGGCGAGCAGCGTCTTCGCCCAGGCAGGCGGTCATGTCGCAGGAGCACATGACCTCAGGAGTACCGATGGCGAGGCAGTTGTTGTAGTCGACCTGGCATTGGTTCTGAGGAGTAGCAATGGGCTTTGCTGATGTGGTTGCAGCAGGGGCAGCGAAGGCAGGAAGAGCCAGGGCCAGGGAGGAGATGATGACTGAAGACTTCATATTGATTGTTGTTGTATTGTGTATTTGGTAAAGTTGAGAAGAGTGTTGTGATGAAGATGGTATTGATGAAAGATGTTGTGATGATACAGATTATAGCGAGGTCGAGCAAGACACTTATATATCTATCGAGAGCGTGCTCATCTTATGTGACGACACGAATGTCACATACCTCTGCACTTACAATCACATAGAGATCTACATTAGATACGAAGGTTGTTCTAACATCAGAGGATGAAAATAGAAAGTCATGTGGCAAGATAGATGATGTGCAAACCGTCACAGGTCTTTGCAGAGCCGGTTCGGCATCGGTCAAGAGTTTAAATGATGTCGGCCAAGGAGACAAGGCCGTTCGATGGGGCCCGCCTGAGCTTATTGAGCCTGCCGGAGAGATGGTCCTGAATCTGCGACGCTGTTCAGAATATGGCCAGCCATCGGTTCTTGCAAGCCGGAAGCAGATGAATGAGACATACCAGCTGCTATATTCGCTGTATTGCAGTGGCAAGAGGATTAGAGTCAGTATGACTGACGATAACTTCTTCCGAAGCAGTCTTTTTTTGCGAACATCCGAATTATCCAGAAATTGACTTTTGCAAGAGCTTGGCATCTTGTAGGTGAAACCTGGGGGTCCATCTCTATTCTTAGCACGCTAATGGCCTCCACCTTTTGCGGGCCTATGTTCGTCCACCTACGTGATGAGAGTCGTCTGGCATGAAGATCCTCGTAAAATGTGCTCCTGTTATGTAACGTGGTACTGGTCTTGTTGAGGGACGTGGCCTGATAGGGGAGCACAAGATGCTGTCGAAGGCGGGGTCAGCATCGTATCGAACGAAAGCGTCTCAAGGGGTATCGTTCGAGATTGAGGTCGCAATGTAAGGCAAGACAAAGCAATCCGCGTGAGTGGTCCTGGTTGACGATCCTCCTTGGAGTGATCACAAGGAAGAGCAGTGTCAGTGAAAGCCTTCATAGAATGCAAGCAATTGCACCCAGGAGACTGCGGCGTGAAGAGCTGTTGTTTGATAACGGGCCTAAGTTTGCTACGTGCGTAATATGCGAGCAATCATGAAAAATTGGAGTGGAGTCGCACTGCAAGTGACACGCTCATCGGTCACCTCCCATATTGAAGATACGAGGGACAAGTGCTAGTCTAACCTGGCATCTCCGTCGAGTGTATTCACGAGATTGTGCGACATGCATAGTCAATCAAGTCTACACGCTAATGTGAGCCAACTAGGAGCCATATCAGAGACACTCGAGATTGCCGACAGGTCTTCAGGTCAGCATGAAGCTCGTCGAATTGACAATGGTCGTTGCGAGTACCGAATGAAAACAGCAGCTCGACATGGTGCCAAGGAGGAGAATTGTCGCAAGCAAGTCCTCTCTGAACCTGGAAGTTGAGATGATCGAGGTCCGCGAAAGTACAGGATCATACCGACTTTCGAAATACGAAGGCACGGTCGACAGACATCAGAGAGATAGATGCAGTGTTCGAGGCCAGACGATGGAGGTCTCCATAGAGTGCGAAGGAGGGAGAAGCTGGTGGCGGGGATAATGGCGGACTTTAGCACCGCCAAGGTATTTTCCTCTTTGCGGCAAGAAATTCTGGGAAAGCGCGACCAAAAAAGTTCCCAATCCTGTCAATCAAGCACTTGCCATCGCGCCTGCCGGAATGTCTGTATAAGAGCAGAGAAGAGAATAAACACGTACCTGCGATCAAACATGGCCACCTCAGCAAACCGTACCGTCCTCGCCGAACGACCGACCACAGCACCCACGAAAGCACGAGGCCCGACAGCACCCATCGACCCAGATGCCACAGAGATCAAGAGACGCGCTCTCGTAGCACAGAAGCAATATGGCAGAGGCGACAAGATTTCGACTCGCGGTGTGCAAGATAGAAAGCTGCGCGGCAATCTGAGAGCGCTGGAGAACAAGTACAAAGACGCCGCCATCAAGGCAAAAGATGCCGAGATTCTGCTCGAGAACACTTCTGGGTTTCTGGAGACCGAGGGCGAGTTGGAAAGGACCTACAAAGTCAGGCAGGATGAGATCCAATCTGAGGTCGGCATCGAGACGGCAAAGAAGGGCTTCGAGTTGAGGCTGGATGGCATGGGCCCTTACAATGTCGACTACACACGTAACGGTGTGCACATGCTGCTTTCTGGTCGCAAAGGTCATGTTGCCACTATGGACTGGAGAAAGGGAAAGCTGGGCTGCGAGCTGCAACTAGGCGAAACAGTGCGCGACGCAAAGTGGCTACACAACAACCAGTTCTTCGCCGTCGCCCAGAAGAAGTACGTCTACGTCTACGATCACCAGGGTGTCGAGATTCAGACGCTGCAAGATCACATCGACGTCACGCACATGGAGTTCCTGCCCTTCCATTTCCTTCTCACCACCATTGGAAATGCTGGCTGGTTGAAGTACCAAGACACCAGCACTGGTAAACTCGTCGCTCAGATTCCCACAAAGCAAGGTGCCCCGACTGCATTTGGTCAAAACCCTCACAACGCCATCCTACATGTCGGACACCAGAACGGCACAGTCAGCATGTGGTCTCCCAACGATCAAAAGCCCCTCGTCAAAGTTCTCGCACACAGAGGTCCCGTGCGCTCATTAGCCTGCGACAGAGAAGGTCGATACATGGTCTCCACCGGCCAAGACTCCAAAATGTCAGTCTGGGATGTGCGCATGTTCAAGGAAGTCAACAACTATTTCCTGCGCTCTCCCGGCTCCTCAGTCGCCATCTCAGACACAAATCTCACAGCTGTCGGCTGGGGTACTCAAACAACAATCTGGCGCGACCTGTTCAAGAAAAATGCAGCCGACCAGCAAAAAGTCCAATCGCCCTACATGGCCTGGGGAGGTGAGGGCGACCGCATCGAACGCGTGCGCTGGTGCCCTTACGAAGATATCCTCGGCATCTCACACAACAAAGGTTTCTCCTCTGTGATCGTGCCCGGTGCCGGAGAAGCCAACCCAGATTCTCTCGAGGTGCTCCTCTACGAAAACCCCAAGCAGAGACAAGAACGCGAAGTCAAGAGTCTGCTCAACAAGCTGAAGCCGGAGATGATCTCACTGGACCCCGAATTCATCGGCCAATTGGATCGTGCATCGCACGCTCAGCGTGAACAAGAAAGAGACTTGGATAGAAAACCCGAAGATCCGCTTGCCAAGATCAAGAACAGGGGCAGAGGCAAGAACAGCAGTCTTCGCAAGTATCTGCGTAAGCAAGGCTCTAAGAATATTATCGATGAGAGAAAGGTCAGGATCCAAGAGCTCAGGAAGGAGCAGGCCAAGAGGAATAACAAGGCTCGTCAAGGCGAGGTGGAGTTGGGTCCTGCGCTTGCAAGATTCGCCAGAAAGGCTTGAGTGTGAGATGTGCAAAGCATTGGTGTGGTGTTGCAGTTAGCATTCATGGCGTATATTGGAGTTTCGGGCGGCGAAAGGGGAAAAGTGCAAGATATCATGGCGTTTTAGTTGATAGCTGCAAGACATTGCAAGAAGATCGAATCATCAAAGTACCTGCTACCATCCATACTTTCCAGACATTTTACTGGACTTGCATGATTACTCGAGAATGCCCGTGTCTTTGACTTGATTCTTGTTCACCTCTGTGATTCGGCCTACAGTCAGCGCAAACCCATCTCGCGTTTTCCAAGTCAACGAAGCTTTATCAAAAAAGCTCTATGCCCGCGCCAGTATTAATTTGCGTGGTATGTGACCCTTACAGTACACGCGTAGCAATACTATAGACGCATCTCACTACTCAGAACAGTGTCTGCATCTGCTTGTCGTCGTCGACATCATAATGTTTGTCCGAGACCATGGCTGCCGTTACCACCCTGCTCGTGTCAAGCATAAGGTTGTGCAAGCTTGACCCGTGAATGTGTACAACTGTGCACAACGCGTCGGCGACTCTGGGCAAGAATGCCTCGCGATCACTTGCACTTTGATGGCATTACAAGACAACACCATACAAACAACGACAGAGAGAATTGAGAACGAAGTAGAAGCATGGCGGACACAGATGCCGATGACAAAGTCGATGTAAGTGTGTTTGTGGAAGGAGAGCTGCATCTACAACCACGCTTCGCCTCACCATCGCATATCTGCATTCATCACCTCACGATCGCTTTCCTATCACATTTCCACTGTTGAACAACCATATCTGCCTTCTCTTTTCTCGATCATTTTCTTTCTCCCGCTCTTGCAATCGATCGAAGACCGCCATCTCCATATCACCATCGTCTCAAACTCATTCTGACTCTCCATCTCACAGCGTCTCAAATCCTCCCTCTGGTACAGCATCGGCACCATCATCGATGCAATTTCCCTCGACTCAGACTTGAATGCAACGCCCCAATTCATTGCTTCCCTCACCGAGCTAGTCTGGTCTCAAATTCTTACTTCTGGTGCTGATCTAGAGGCTTTTGCTAAGCATAGGGGTGGAAGTGTTGTGGATGTCAAGGATGTACTGTTGTTGGTGAGGAGGAACGAGGAGTTGAGGGGCGTGCTTGAGGAGGCGAGTAAGGGTATTGGGAAGTGAGAGGGGTACAAAGACTATGCGGTATACGACACGACATCGGACTGATTGAAAGGGAAGGAAGGGGGGGAGACAGTCACTGAGATGGCTTGATTATCCATGGCTATTATGGTGGCTATATCCTTCTTCAGTGGCTTTGGGTTCCCTTCTATTCCTCGTCCGTGGCTCTAAACTCTATCCATTGCCTCACCATCATCAGGTCCGTCAAAATCTTCGCAAAGTCTATTGCTTATCAGGGAATCCGAGATTGACCTTGAAGAACAGAATCAGCAACTGCAGAGATACGGACAAAGAGTAAGAAAACTTACGCCAAAGGCAGGGTACACAAAGCGGTTGGGAGGATGTGTCTTTGCGATATTGTCCAGCGCCTTCACATCGCCAGAGTCGAGCTTGATCAACTTCATGTTCTCCTCGATACGCGACGGCGTCACCGATTTGGGGATGACGGAACTTCCACGAGCGACTATGAGAAACATTAGCTATGCTCTGCCAAGAATACGGATGGCACTGGACGGTGGAACTGTGTCTTACCATGATAACTCAACAACACTGTTCCAGGCGAAACATCATGCTTCTTCGCAACCTCTTGAATCTCCTTTTCCTGGAACAGCGGCGACCCAGTACTTCCCAAAGGACTATACGCAGTAATCAAAATTCCCTTGTCTTTACAATAATCCACAATCTCCTGTTGAGGCAGATAAGGGTGGTTTTCGATCTGGTTGGCTGCGGGAGTGACTTTGGCTTCCTTCATCAGTTCCTCGAGGAAGGGAACAGAGAAGTTTGCGACTCCAATGGCTCTTGTCTTTCCGGTTGCGAGGACGGCTTCCATTTCTTTCCAGGTTTGGGTGTAGGACCAGGTGGTGTCGAGGTCGCGGCTGCCGTCGGGGTGTTTGGGGAATTTCGGGTCGTTGCCTTTGGGGTTCATGGGGACTTGGAGAGGTTAGTGGTGAGAGAGACGAGATGAAGTGGGATGTGATTACCTGGCCAGTGCATGAGATACAGGTCGACTGTTGCTGTGTGTCAGCTCATGTTTTGTAGATTAGAGGAGGTTCATGATATGGCATACCATAATCAAGACCCAGGGATTTTAGACTAAGGTCCAAGTTCTCCTCTACTCTGCTGTGGTAGGTACACCAGAGCTCTGCAATGTATTGTCAGCTCCGTTGTAATTTTCCGGATGCTTTCGAGAGACTTGCTGGTTGTTACGAAAACATCTTCGCGCTTGATGCCCGACTTGAAGCCCTCGGCGAGACCCTCACCAACTTCATCCTCGTTGCCATAGACGTATGCAGCATCAATGTGCTTGTAGCCGACCTTGAGAGCATGAGAGACGGCATTCTTGACCTCACCAGGAGCAGATTGCCATGTTCCCAGACCTGTATCCCTGTCAGTCTTCGCCGGACGACGGTCTAGCTACAGCATTTATCACATACCCAGAGCGGGGATCTTAGCGCCGGTGTTGAGGGTGAATTCAGTATCAGACATGGTCTTGGGGTGCAGTATAAAGTCCGGAGTCTTTTCGAGAATGAAGTTTGCAAGTTGAGGATTCATGGTAGACGGAGAAATAATGTTATTGTTTCGTATCTATCTTCCTTCATCGGCCTTTGAAGCTCACAGACAGCTTGAACCAACCCCTCCCCCACTTTCTTCCCTGATTCGTGCCTTTGTTGTTGCACCTGCATTGGACTTCGGTGGAAGACTGGCCCGAAGGACAAGAACGTGGGGATCGGCGACTGCTGAGACGCTTCTCCTGCTTTTCGCTGATACCTTTTTCCGATCGGCTGCGGAAGCCTGCACCATTTTGCATCGAAAGAGGAAAGTCGCAGCCCGAGCACGAGTACCGGAAGAACCTGCTCCTGGGACATGCAAGTGTGACCAATCGGAGATCATATAGCCACCCACACCTTCGTCATGAGACCTGTTTTCGCTCCGATAGTTTTGCCGTTGGGGCTGCTAGCTTCAACACTAGGAGGCAAGATGATCCGTCGATGCAGATGCCCCAGCATCCAACTCCAGGCAAGTCCTCAGACGCCTCATCCGTTGTTCCATGGGGAGACAGAAGCAACCCTGTGTGATCCTCGCAGACCATCGCGAGTCTGCTTACGGAATTCGGTCTTACCTTCCACGCGCCCTGGAATCTCTGGGGATGTGACGGGCGGTTGTGGGGCGCTTGATTGCTGGCAAGTCACATGAAAAATAAAGGGTCAGGTAGGGTGGTAGTAGTAGTGAAAGCCGAAGGTAGGAAACAAGTCCCCGAGAAAAGGTAGATATAAGAGAGTCGCTCCTGTCTGCCTTTTGGTTCTGATTATCATCGCTATCAATCTTCACTCTTGCTCTCACAGTTGTTTCTTTCCCACAAAACATAGAAACATTGCAAGCAAACACATCGTCTCTCCAACAACACATCTCATAAACATCAGCCACAATGGCACCCATCGCACTCGAGGAACCCAATGTTGCCGAGAACTTCAACGACCACAAAGACGGTCTCGCCCTTGAGGCAACCTCCGACGACATCGACAACGTCAACGTCCTCAAAGCCGCTTTGAAAGTAAAGAATGGCACCGCCACCCAAGAAGAAAAGGACATTTACGAATCCTCCAAATTCGACGCCGAAAAGGACAAGGCGCAATTCCGCAACTACGAAGACGCCTGTGACCGCGTCAAGAATTTCTACAGAGAGCAGCATGAGAAGCAAACGGTTGCTTACAATTTGAGAGCCCGTAACCGTTTCCACAGCAAGACTCGTGCCGAGATGAGCATCTGGGAGGCTATGGAGAGACTTAACACCTTGATTGATGAGTCTGATCCTGATACTTCATTGTCGCAGATCGAGCATTTGCTTCAATCTGCCGAGGCCATTCGCCGCGATGGCAAACCCCGCTGGTTCCAACTCACAGGTCTGATCCACGATCTGGGCAAATTGCTCTTCTTCTTCGACGCAGAGGGTCAGTGGGATGTCGTCGGCGACACCTTTGTCGTGGGCTGCAAATTCGACGAGCGCATCATTTACCCAGGCACTTTTGCCAACAACCCGGACAGCAAAGATCCCATCTACAGCACTGAGCACGGCATCTACACTCCCGGCTGTGGACTCGACAATGTAATGATCAGCTGGGGCCACGACGAATACCTTTATCACGTCGTCAAGGATCAAAGCACTCTTCCCGACGAAGCTCTGGCTATGATCCGCTACCACAGCTTCTACCCTTGGCACAAGGAAGGTGCTTACCGCTGGATGATGAACGAAAAAGATGAAAAGATGTTGGCTGCCGTCAAGGCATTCAACCCTTATGATCTTTACTCCAAGTCTGACGATGTGCCCAAGGTTGAGGACTTGAAGGAGTACTATCTCGAGTTGATAGATGAATTCTTCCCCAAGAGAGTCATCAGATGGTAGAAGAGACTGCAGACTATAGCAGTACCTACTTTTCACGAAAATTTGTCGGGGTTTAGCGGAAATGAATGACCACTTTGGAGCTAGAAACATGGATGTAGACTCGGTGGTTGGCGTTTTTTATTTTATTGTCTCATATCTCTATCGAAATTAATGACTTTTTCTCAACTTCGGCCATGCTCTTTCTATTTCCCAGATGCCGTGTCACAGTATGTCTCTTCTTCATCGGCTAAGACTATCGACAAGATTTGTCACTCTGAGTACCAGTATCCCGATTCATGTTACCACGACTCCTGTGATACCCTAGGCACAGCATGGTTGACGATTGTCCTGAAGATTGTTGTTTGTTCTGCGTCGTGGTACGACCACATCTGCAGTCCTGAGAATTGCCGCTAAAGATACAAGTCAAGGCGGATTGCGTACAAGTATTCTCTTATTTGTGATGGTTTGATTGGCTAAAAACGCTATGCAACATGAGAGCCGACCAGATGTGAAGTCACGATGGACGTGGAACCGATCACAGAGGAAGGGCAGGCTGCTCGTGGCCGCCACAAAGTTTGGCTTGAGACTTGAGAGCCTCGCCAAAGGCAGCATCGAGGATCTCCAGTCCCTCTTCAATCTCGTCAGCAGATACTGTCACGGGAGGCGCCAGTCTGAAGACACCGCCCATACCAGGCAGATTTACAATGTTGCACGAAAGACCCATAGCCATGGCCTTGTCAGAAACTGCTTGGCCCAGGTCTAAACCAGGCGCCTTGGTCTCAGGATCGGAGATGATCTCGATGCCTTGGAACAATCCACGTCCACGTACATCTCCGATACACCAGTACTTCTTTTGGAGTTTCTCAAGACCAGCGCGAAGTTGGGCACCACGTTCCGAAGCGCGCTGGCAGATGTTATCACGCACTACAATCTCCAGGACCTTGTCGCCGACGGCCGCTGTCAAAGGATCGTTGAGATGAGTAGTGAGCCACAAGAAGCGCGCTTCTCGGCAACCTCTCTCAATCTCTGCTGTTGTGGATACAGAGGCCAGAGGCAAACCACACCCTAGCGTCTTGGATAGCGCAAGAATGTCGGGTACGATGCCGTCTCTTTCGAAAGCAAACATCTGTCCAGTACGTCCGACGCCAGTTTGTGCTTCGTCCAGGATAAGGAGCATGCCTCGCTTCTTGCATTCTTCTGCCATGCGCTTGAGATACCCGAGAGGAGGCTCGAGGAGTCCACCGGTGGAAAGGATGGGCTCCATGATGAAAGCAGCTAGTGAGCCGACACTTTGTCTGTCGATCATTGCCCAGCCATACTCCAACTCGGTCTCCCAGTCATACGAGCCATCGGCCTTCTTGAAGGGAGAGCGATAGGGATATGGAGCAGGGAAAGCGAGCTGGCCAGGCATTGTCGGGCCACCAAATTTGCGACCAGCCGAGTAAGTGGCGGATCCAGAGCCTGAAGTAAGTCCGTGATAACTAGCAGTGAAAGCGACAATCTCGAACTTTCCAGTATAGCATTTGGCCATCTTGATAGCAGCTTCAGTGGACTCGGAGCCTGTGTTGAGGAAGAAAGACTTTTCCAAAGGTGCTGGTAAAAGACTGGCCAAGCGAACCGCAAGATTGACGACAGGTTGTGTGATCATGTTACTGAGCAGATGATCGAGCTCGCCGACACACTTTCGCACGACTTCAACAATCTCAGGATGGGAGTGGCCGAGGAGAGAGCTCATCTGACCGGAGGTGAAGTCTAAGATTGATCTACCATCTGCGTCGTAGAGTCTGGTACCTTGAGCTTTGGTAATGATGACTGGTGAGAATGGAACTCCAGTATGCATAAGATGCTTGTCAGCATTGTCCCAAAAAGTGCTTTCGTCGGAGGGCTCTGTCTTGAAAATCATTTATGGGATGGAAGTAGTTGTCTGAGGTAAAGATAGCAATCTCCTGTTGAGCTGGACAGTGTTATAACAGAATAGAGCTCACAGAACCAGACCCCTTTGAAGATAAGGTCCTCTCCATCGCCGCGGTGTCTGCCAGTTTCCCGCGGCAAACTTCGCGCGGAGAACTCAACGTTGCCCGTCCGTCAATCAAGACACGGAAAACGAACTTCAGCTTATCATAGCAGATAAGTCGAGATGTTGTTGGAGATAGCAAAGTAGCGCATACTCGAGGCCGCTCATCTCGATCATTGTCATAGTGGAGGAAGAGTGTGGAAAGGTTTTCGAGGCAGAACGCGTGATAGTCGCAAAACCCGACGTCGTGCCGAACAGGATGTTGTTATCTTCGAGGACACTCCAGTAGATGCCATGAGTGCACGAGATTGTGACCAGAGTATGGAAGTCGCGCTTGACCCTCTGAATCATCTTCACCGCTGACGCGGGCTCTGGAGTCGAATTCTCTGCATACAAGCTGTCATGCAAACCTCAAATCAGGGTCGGCCCTACCGTTCGCATCTTAGACCTGCGTGCGATGCTTGTAGACGCCGCAAATCTCGCTGTACGACAACGGAAGGGTCTGATCAGTGTTTGTTGTGTCAAATCCATGGCTCGCGATGTGTCTTCGTCCATAGCGAACAGTCGCGTCGTCGGAAAGTGCCCGCATCGCAAGGCCGTACCTCAAGCTATGCAGATAGCTTTGAGAGCAACATCGACCCTGACAACAGCTCCATGTCCATGACATGCAATGAGGAGACCCAAATCGCGGATACTGTTCTATCCGATGGTCAGACCTACCGCAGCGATTCAGCACCTGTGGTAAACTCGGCTCGTCCACACGCTCCGGCAATCGAGGAAGCCAGCATGAGCGCAATGCTCGCTGAATCCGGAGACTCTAGTACACACATCATCAGTCCTGCGATAGTCGACGATAACGAAGAGCTTGATAGCTATCTATCGAGTGACCCGGCAGTCGGCATACGAAGAATCACGCGTACCTCGTCAACGAGTACGAACATGGGCCCACCTTCGAGACGCGTCCTCTTCAACACAGTCCTCAAGAAGCCACTTGGTATTCACGCAAGGCAAACACTTGCCGCCAGCAAGCTCGAAGTCATCGAGAAGCTACTTGAGCCACATGTCATGGACTTGATTGATCTGCATGTCACTCATGCCCTGCAAGCACCCAGGCAGACTGCTAACGTATCTCAGATTCTTCGAACACGCCAACATCTGCTTCCCCGTTCTAGACGAGACTTCGTTCCGACGGACGTATTTTGAACATAAAGACCACCTTTCTCCCGCTCTTCTAGCCAATTTGTACGCCAACGCCATGTCCTACTGGAATAATTCACCACGACTACGCAACCGTCAACCACCAGATCACCGCTACATATGGGTACAAGCTAACGAGGCCCTTCACTCCGAGCTCTTCCTGTCTCCTGGCATTTCAACTGTCATATCCATCATACTCAACGTTCACGGTAGACCAAGCACCTCGATGTTTGGCAATGGAGGCATGGTGGGAACGGCGGTAGCGCTTTCAAATTCGCTGGGTCTCAATCGTGATTGTTCAGCATGGGAGATTAGTCCGGGCGAGAAAGCTCTGCGATCTCGCATCTGGTCAATTGTCGTGCTGATGGACCGCTGGTACGCAGCACCAGGAACAACCAGATTGATCTTCTATACTGATCCAATGACAGGACAAGTCTTGCTTACGGCACCCCGCTGTTGATTCATCGCGCTCAGTATGATGTGCCTGTGCCCAGTATAGAGCTGCTAGCACCATCTAATGCTTCGGCCCTGCAACTTGCTGGTCTATCGGTCTTCACAGCACTTCTAACCCTCACAATTGTCTTGTCGCATTATCTCGAGCACGTATACAGCATCGCGCGAGTTGCAATCAACATCCGGCAATCAGTCTCCCAGCTCGATCTAGAGACGCTCCTGACAGACTGGGAAGACACTCTGGATGATGACATACGTCGTCTTGTCATTCGAGGGAATGATCTCGACCGTGCAGGCGCAGGCAACCTCAGACTTTCTTACCTCGCTGTCAAGCTCCTGCTACGTCGTATTGGTTGCGACACCGCCAATCACGATAGTGCCGTTCAAGCTCGTCTTCAGACGCAGAGAGTTGCGGAAGAAATAGTCTTGCATGTACAAGAACTGAAACAGCCTTACCTTAGAGGATTCTGGTTGCCGACGAACGGCTTCACTCTCACTTCCGCGACATTATTCCTGCTGCGAGACGCATTGAAAACCACTACCAAAACGCGCAATACATCGCTAAAGCTGGCCAAGGATATGATCTCGAGTCTACAAACCCATCGTGAAACCGACGCTTGGGATCTAGCAGATGATTGTTTGTCAAATTGCACAGACATGACCGACAGAGTTGAGGCCGGCAGGACTTTTGAATCACCTGGGATGATCGAGACTCAGTACTTTGTTGACAACAACTCCCTCATGTTCAACGATCCAGTCTTGGGATTTGCAAGCGCATTTGATTTCGATCTCGAGAATTTCCAATGGAACGAAACTACATAACAAAGAACTAGATGATCATGCGTCATCTTACTGAAAACCAAACTCATGAATTCGTTCCGGCGAACACTACCACATCTACAGTACCAGACTCTCTTCGACAGGTTTCACTTCAATACACATACTGTCAGAAAATCTGATTAGCACAGTTCTTCTCCAAAACATCACGACACGAAATTACCTTGAAGTTAGGGTTCTGAAGATCAGTTTCATCGCTGAGTCCTCTCATCTGTCCTTCGGCAACGTGCTCAGCCGATGATGCATTCTTAGCAGCACGCTTACGATTGCGAGTGAGGAACAGCAAATACAAGCTCCCAATACTGAGCATCTGTATGCCGATACAAGTCAACATCATACCTACGCCTAGCTCATATCTTGGTGCCTGGGGCTTCTTGAAGAAGAAAGGCCCGATGAGGTTTCCGAGACAGTAGCCGATGAGAAGCATGGCAGCAGTTGTGGACTTCTTGGTTGATCCGGCAGTGTTGGCTGTCACCACAGACATGGACAGCGTCCACGTAGCCGTGTAAGTGAATGTGATCCACAAGCATACCATACGACCCCAAGGCACGCTTCTGGGCAAGGTCCACATTCCAATGACACCAGCTAATGTGGGCAGCAGACACAAGAACATGGTGAGCAATCTTGCGTTCTCGAAGCGCGAGGCGAAGAAGGTTGCGCCTGTACACACCACGAACTGTATGGCACCCGAGGGCATTTGAATCAGCGTGGTGCGCAGTTTCGAGAAGCCGAGACCACGAATAATGAGACCTTGGAAAGTAGTCAATCCGCCGTTGGGAGCGTTGCTGCTCACCGCAAAGATAAAGAGCAACCAAGTCTTGGTGTCTGTCAGCGTCTCCCACATCTGATCCATCTTGAAGGTCTTTCCTTCTAGTCCAGTACCGTTGGCTTTAACGCGTTCGGTCACGCCAATCTTCTCATCCTCGGAGAGAAATTTGGCCGTTGCGGGGCTATCAGGCAGGAAAAGAAGTACCACCACACCCCAAGCGATAGTGATGCATCCCCAGATGAGGAAAGTGTAGCGCCAACTAGACAAGTCACCATGGATGTGTCCAATGCCGAAGCTCGTGATACCAGCAACAACATAACCAAGTCCGGCGCAACCAATCCAGATGCCCAAGCGTAGAGGTTGTTCCATACGTGTATACCAGATACTGAACATCATCATCGTTACTGGCTGTATGCACGCTTCGAAGACGCCCAAGAAGAATCTTGCGGTTGCCAGTCCGGCGAAGTTGTGACCTGCTGCGTGACAGGCGAGAGCGACGCCCCAGAGGATGACCTGGCTCGTGTTAGCAATTGATGAGTACTAGCTTTCGTTTGACCATCACTGACCGATGTTCCCAGGAATTTTCCAAGTGGAAATCTCTGCAGGAGGTACGAGGTTGGCCATTCCCAGAACATGTACCCGAGGTAGAAGATGGCTCCAAGCCATGAGAACTCGACTCCTGAGACATGGGTCTCGTTGGCCAGTCCAAAGACGGCAGCGTAGGACAAAGTCGTCTTATCGATTGATTGCAGTGCGTAAGTGATACATCTGAGTCCGTGTCAGTGATTGTTGAATCAAGACTGCATCGGAAGAGCGACGCACAGTATTGGCATCAATCGAAAGTCGATCTTGCGTACAAGCTTCTTGTCATCGAAGACAGCCAGAATCTCGCCTGTTTGAGTGGGATCGTATGTAGTCGTCTCGCGCTGAAGGTTCTTCATGTCGAGGTCTACAGCCTCTTCTTTGGTGCTGCGGCGAGACAATTGGGTGGCCATTGTGTCTAAATATCTGCAAGGCTAATGTATGGTTGAGCATCATGCAGAGTCTCAATTCTTATATCTTTGTGAGAACCGAGTCAATCCTTACGCGCACTCCTCGAGTCCGTCTTTCCGCGGACAAAAGAGTCTCCTTATCATCGGAGAACTACTCCAGGACATGGTGATAGTGGCTATGACCTATCGCCAGAGTTCGTGTGCAGATTGCTGAAGGTACGACCCCGCAGATTAGCTACATGGAGATAGACGGGGGCAGATAAGAGGTGCGGGGGGTGGTGGCCTATCTACCCGATCTAGAGTTTCCCGCGGGCATTTCATTTGCCGACGATGCAACACTTGATAGAGATAGGCAATGTCTAGAGATATCCAGGTACTTATCGTCTGCAGTCAGTTTCTCGTTCGTTGCAACTGAATTCCACAAAAAACAGAAGATGTCAGAGAACAAACAAGTTCACCCTTACCAGCTGCTGGACATTGATGAACGGGTCAAACGTGTTCTGCTCAACACGCCGCTCGCAGATGGACACAACGATCTTCCACAGCAGCCACGATGCTGTTTCCAAGGCCAAATCCACAACAACCCCAAATTTGATCTCGACAAAGGTTTCCAGCGTGGCATGACGGACCTGCCTCGTCTCAAGAAAGGAGCCGTAGGACTGCAATTCTGGTCAATTTGTGTGCCTCATCTACGTGGCTCCGAAGACTTTGCGTTGCCCACATACAATGACATGTGTCGTGATGCGATTGAACAAATTGATCTATCTATCCGAATGGTCAAGCAGTATCCTAGAGACTTTGAGCTCGTTTTTGGACCAGAAAATGTCAGGGAGATATACCAAAAGGGCAAGATCGCTTGCTCGATTGGACTGGAAGGTCTTCATCAAGCTGGAAACTCCATCAGCGTCATTAGAGCTTACCATCAGCTGGGTGTGAGATATGTAAGTATACTCCCATTCTCAGAATGCGCACGACTAATTAGAGGTCAGTGCACCATGACCCATGTCGAGAACAATGCTTTTGCCGACTCTTCGACGTCCAAGGTTGGGCCTGTCCACGGAGGACTATCAAGTCTCGGCAAAGCGGCAGTCAAAGAGATGAACCGGATAGGTCAGACATCACTCTCTTCCAGACAGATACAGAACGAGCACTGACGCAACCCCAGGCATGATGGTGGATCTGTCTCACGTCTCGCCAGAAGCTGCAGAACAGGCCCTCAAGTGTACAGTTGCGCCAGTGATGTTCTCCCACAGCAATGCTCGCGGTGTCTTTGACTGTCCTCGTAATGTGCCCGACTCTATCCTTGACCTCGTACCTGCCAACAAGGGCATCGTCATGGTCACTTTTGTGCCCGAGCACCTCGCAGCCAGGAGGTCTAAAGCCACGATGGACATGCTTCTGGATCATCTCTTCTACATTGCGAACCGCATCGGGTGGGAGCACGTAGGTCTTGGGTCAGACTTTGATGGTGAGTTTCAAGGGTGCTCCTGTTCGTCCGTTCATAATGGTTCTAACACCTCTGTAGGTATCGCATCCGTCATCCCTGGCCTTGAGGACTGCTCGACCTTCCCTCATCTGCTGAAAGCCATTCTGGATCGTGGCGCGACTGAGCAACAACTCGCCCTGGTAGCCGGAGAGAACATCCTTCGAGTATGGACGGCGGTCGCGCAGGTTTCTCAGCACATGCAGGAGGAAGGTGTGACTCCCGTAGAGGACGTATGGGAAGGCAGAAAGTTTTGGCGGTATGATGGATTTTACCAGATGCCGGACCCAGATCCAGAGGATAGGCTTGGTCTTGATTGGTATGGGGTCAAGCCTCCGGAGGAGGGCTTGTATCATGATAAGTGAGAGGCAGTTTCTAAATGTGAGCTTGGAGGACGCTGGTGGTGTTGAGTAGTAGTCGGACGGTACATTATCGCTTACAGATTGTTTTACGAAGAAATTTAGTATCATTCAACGAGGAGCGTAAGCCTGGTTGTATCTTCTGGCATTTCTTGGGCCTTGTAAGTAGTGATCAGATGTGACAAGACTGAGTCAAGGGGTGCGCTGAAGACGTACGAGCGAGCCAGAGTCTCGGCGGACTATGTATCGAGGACGGAGGCCCCTGGGATTTCCTTCTCTCACATCGCATGCGTGTATCACATTACCGCATCAGTACAACTGCATTATACAACGACATCACATGAAGCGAGAGGGCACTTCTTCCTAGTCTACAGTCGGCTGGGAACTTGGACCAGAGCGCTATACCCGGCGCTTAACCGCAACAACAACAACCACAGAGCGCTTTGTCTTAGTACAGTTTTGCGTCATTCACTTCTATATAATTACATATCTAGCTAAGCTAAGATAAATTCTCGAAGACGAGAATTATAATTACCTTTTTTAAGATAGTAAAGAACCTCGTCCTAACTAGGTCTAAAGGCCTCCTATACTACTAGATTAACATTATTCTAGTTATAGCTACTATATAGTATAGAAGACTCTTCTATTAGAGGGTTATTACCTATTAGCATATATAGCGCAATTTAGTCTTATAAGTAGATATAGGCTTTTAGATAAAGACGATATCTATTAGTATTAATGTCTTTAAGCTTAACTATTTAAACTTCGCTAGAGTAATAAACAAGAGTAGGAAACTATTATATAAGCGTTACTTTACACTAGTTAAGGACATATATAGGTAGGTACTCATCTATATCAAAGTCCTAAAAACGATTCTAAAAAAGGCGTAAAAACTCCTTAAGCACCTTAACTCCTTAGTTAGTCCTACCTTTAGTCTCTAGATATTAATAAAGCTTACTAGGCTAACCTAATATAATCTAAGGGTAATAGGGTTGCTTCTTAATCTTATAAATAGACTAGAGCTTAATAAAAAGTAGTATCTTAACGTAGAGAATAGGAAGGTATATAGTAAGGATTATAATCTAGTTAGTAATAACACTAGACGTAAATAGGCCTTATATAGCTAAGTTATTAAAGACAACTTTAAACTTACCTAGGTAGCTCTTCGTAAGCTATCCCTACTAGCTCTTAATCCTCTAATTCTCTTTACTTATTCTATACTAAAAGGTGTTTATAAACGTAAGGTTCTAACTAATAAGTTCCTTACTAAGCGTAAAGTATGCGTTAGTAGCTATGATTATTTTGCCTCCTTAGTTAGTACGAAGAATGTAAGGTATAATACTACCTAAAGAGAAATAGTTAAGATACTAATAGCAAATAGATATAGTAGTTCGAGCTATAATACTAATATATACCTACATAATCTATTAAGACTACGCATTAATAGCTACATAAATCTATATGCCATACTTCTTAAACTTATAATGCGCGTCTATATACTGTATATAGTTTAGGCTAGAGTTGTTAGCTAGAAGACCTTAAGCTCTTAATTTCTTTTATCTCTATTAATAAGCCTTAGAGTTAAGCTTTATAGTAACGCTATAGACTCTATTCTAGCTAACGATACTAAGATAGGTATATTTAGTATAAAGGTAGGTATATAGATGGCTTTATCTAAGGTCTTTAATATAGCCTATATCGTACTTAGTAGTTAGGATTATATATAGGACAATCTCTAACTTCTCTCTTAATAGGTAATAGGCGCTTATAAAGACTAGGCTCTCTCTAAATGTCCTTAACTCGTTAGGTAGTAACATAGTAGAAACCGTTATGCTAAAGCATCTCTATAAGCTCTTAATTAGTTACTTAGAAGCGACTAAATATAGTATAAACTTAGAGGTAGAGCGCATCCTTATTTAGTGTAGATAATATATTACCCTAAGCTTTAAGATAATAAGTAAGTGTTATCTAACTAATTATAACTCCTTACTCTTATAATAGGCCTAGTATAGCATCTAGTTCGTAACTAATAGTTAATCTCTAATAGATAATACATTCTTTCTAGGGCTTAAAGTTAATAGGAGAGGTTATAGCAAATAACGAAAAAGAAAAAAAAGGAAAAAGTAAGTATACTAGGAGGTAGTAAAGAAGGACGGCCTAGTCTAGTAATGGGGGTAGAAGAAGGAGAATAAGAAGAAAAAGGAGAAGAAGAAGAATAGCTAGATCTAGTAGCAAAAGTAGAAGAAAGATAAGAAAAAGAAGAGGTAAAAGAGACGGCGAGCTTTTATACCTCTAAGAGGTGTTTCCTTCCCTTTTAAGTTAATATGGCGAATTGCTAATAATTCTAAAAGGTAAAGAAAGCGTAAAAAGGAAGGCGTAAAGGAAGGAAAAAGTAATAAGAGACGAGAGATTAAAGTTAGATTAAGTAGCTAAATTAGGTAACATTAAAGCCTTCTTTACTCTTTCTCATTTATATGGCGATTCCCTTATGATTCCGAAAGAGCGCGAAAGACGACTGTGTTAACTGTTTGTTAACAATTCGGAAGGTCGGAAGCGTGAAACTTGGCACTGATACGCCGCGTACTTAGGGCGCGTCGTCGTTGGCCGCGTCATAGGAAAGGATTAACACGTACCCTCCGGTTTCTCATCTTCCCTAACATTACACCGAAAATCTGTCCTTTGGTCTATTTGCTCGAGCAAAACCACAAAACAAAGACCAAATGGAAACTGTCACAAGATCGCCCGACGGTAGCGTCGGCTCGAGAATCACCTTTCTTTCTCTCGCGCCTGATACACGAAACAGGATATACGAATTGATTTATCCCAAACACACCCATCAAGCTGTCATCGTGTCTTCGGAAAAGGGTCACCGCGAAGTTCCAGCAGCAATCTCTCGGACGTGTCGCCAGATACGAACAGAAACATTGCCATATTTCCTGGACATGCCGCTTGTAATATTCGTTGTCAGACATCCTCAGGACTTGGCCGCTTGTAGAGAATGGCTAAGCTTCATTCCAGATCATGGATGGAAATTTATCAGAGGCATAAGGATCAAGCATTCTCATTGCAGGGCAAAATGTTCACGGTCTTGCCATCTTCATTTTGAACTTGCCCTGGACACTGCCTTGTCGCCAGTGTCGTTCTGGGGCGATCGACGAACAGAGTGCCCAATATGTGGTCCCGAGGAAGTTCAACAGGACTGCATAGCAACGATTGATCTGGTTCTCAAGGAAATGTGTGGGTTAGGCCACATCACTCCTGCCGGGACGAATCTTGTGCTTGAACTTCTTGCGCCATTGACCGCATGAAAGTGCTCTTCGTACTATCGAGTAAATACAATACAGGCGCCACCTCCCAAGCAATTGGAACGCTTCACGTTCTTCATCAAGAGTCTCCACATTTGTTCCTATCACATTCGATTCCAAGCACCATGACGAGTCTTCCAGACATCGAAGGCTCGGCTTCCACCGCACTCGTGAATGGTGGATCTTCTAGTATTGGGCGTGCCATTGTAAGTCAAGAGGTTGATGAGTGCTTCTGATCAAGAGCTGAGATCCATTGAAAGCTATATGGGGGTTATGATCAGGACTTGACATCGTCCGAGAAGAGGGCGATACACTTCAAGTAGTTAAGATTGCTTTGCGTGTATGAGCCAGATGAATTGAATGGTTGAGCGGTTATGTTCCGCGTCTGTTCTGCCAGCCCAATCGCGCAATGCGTCGCATGATAAAGGCCCGCCACACGACTATCGACCCATTTTCTTCGAGCACTTGTAGCAAGGGCGAGCTTCCTCCAATCATACGTACAATGCTCCTGGTGGGAGTTCGCGACATATAGTGTAGAATATTCGCCCTCACGCAAAAGCGCCAGATCTGTGGGTAGACTCAGGAGACTGTCCAAAAACCACAGTCGATCCCCAAAAGGATCATATTCGCTAAAGCCAGCCCCGTCTTCTTCCGTTCCAAGCGGTTCCCTCTAGTACTCCAACTCCAACCACACACCGAGATAACTGTGCTTGCGTTCGATCTCAAGACTCGCGAATGGTTCAGCCTCATCGGTAATGAGCGCATCAACGCCTTTCGTCATGTTGTCTTCCAGTTTGCGCCTATCGAGCAAGCAATCTTCGCAGCCGGTGGCTATAGCATTGACCTTTCGTGCGGTGATGCCAGCAACTGGGAGTACCATGTTAAGATTGACGACAAGTGGGTGCATGGTTCACTGAAGCGAGAACTCGCGTTGATCAAGAAGCATGTGTTACCTCTATTCAAGGAGCGACCTTTGCTTGCTTGCTGCTGAGTTCAGAGAGGAACATATCAGAATGTGCAAGGCGGCTATTGAACTTGCACGGGATGCTCTCGACAACTTCACTAATACATATGTCCTCGGCAAGCACATTCAGACGACTGCCGACGCCCTTGGAGAACTGGGTGGTGCTCTGGTGGCTGTAGAAAAGGCACGCTTCCAGCACACCTCTCCTTAAAGTAGATGGAGGAGACTTCTGAGAGCGAGATTTCGAAAACGGAACTGTTGATCAGGGACAGTCAGGAGCAAGGGCGTTCGATGCTGTCGTCATCCGTAGCTGACAAGGGGACCTCTTGTTGATAGCTAGACAAGAGATGACAGTTCAAGCTAACGGAGGTGGGAGAAGTAGCCACAGTCGGATCTGCACAACAGACGCAGTACGAAAGAGGGACTCGTATCATGAGATTGAATACCGAACAAGATCTGGAGACATTACTGCGTGCCTTTCTTGGTGAACAATTCATGTAGCTCGGACCATCGACACATCAAGCTACTCTTTCCTTCCGACGAAGACATGACTGTAGACTGGCGTCCGTCCACTGCACGTCGTCAGACTGCGAATCATGTCTTGCAGAGCTATCAGATGCCCGGAAGGACCGAAACACAAGCACGTAGCATGTCCGCGCACAAGATGAGGTCAAAACGTCGGGAGAGTCCAAATGTGCACTATGACCCCGCTTTCAACTCCAGCCATCGCGCCAACCTTGTCTTGACCACAACTCTTCCCCCCGCATCCTCTTTGCAGCTCGCCAATGTTCGCCCAGACAAGTATGACTTGTTGGCGGCACGTTAAACGTCGGAATCCTCCGTCGGATGCCTTGATATGGCATAACCGCATCGGCGGCGTGAGGCGCGAGGACGGACGGATGTCTTTGAAGAGTAACCCACACGACCATCCGATAACAAGGACGTTTGATCAACACTAGCCAATGCCATTTGCATGGAGAAAACCTGGAGTGCCAACCTGGGGACCCCAGAGTGTTCCCGCTAGGCCACCTCGTGTTCCGTTCGACATATAAGAAGGTCGATCCCACACCCCACCTTTCGTATACCATCGAGTCATCCAGCTCGTCGACAATCCTCCCAAACACATTTCCAACATGGCTATCGAACTCAGAGGCAATGCCCTCATCTCCATCATTCTCCTTGCCTCAGGCCTTGACTTCCTCCTGTTTGGTTTCGATCAAGGCCTTTTCGGTGGCGTCCTGGCCGGCGAGGGCTTCAAAGAGATGCTCGGCAATCCATCAGCTACTCGAACTGGCCTGGTAACTGCCATCTATGACATCGGATGCGCTCTCGGGGCTGTCATGGCCTTTCTCATCGGCGACAAGGTCGGCCGCAAGAAGAGTATCGTTTATGCCAACATCATCGTGATCATCGGAGCCGCCATTCAGACAGCCAGCTACTCGTACGCTCAGATGAGTGTTGCCAGAGTTATCGCTGGTGTTGGAGTTGGCTTTTCCACCGTCGCTGTACCAATTCTACAGAGCGAGACACTGCCTAGCCGTAACCGTGGCGCTGTGAGTATTGACGTCCTTGTGATACTGATCAAAAGTAACTGACACAAATCATAGCTTCTCGTCGTCCAGTCAGCCCTCATCATCATCGGCGTCGCTATCGCTTCTTGGTTGTGCTTTGCCACTCTCTATTCGAACACGAGTTTTCAATGGCGCTTTCCCATTGCTTGCCAGATGCTGTTCTCCGGTCTCGTTCTTTGTCTTACTCCATTCCTTCCTGAGACTCCTCGCTGGCTAGCAGAGAACGGTCGCACAGAAGAGGCTCGCCAGATTCTAGCTCGTCTCGGAGACAAGCCTCTAGACCACGAAGACGTCACGAACCAACTCAACGAGATCTGCGAAGTCGTTGCTATCGAGCAAGAGGCAGGTGACGCGACATGGGGTGAAGTCTTTACCAACTCGACCAAGTCAAGGAACTTGCACCGCGTCCTCCTCGGTATGGGTCCGTACATGATGAACCAGTGGTCGGGCATCAGTAAGTCGCAAGACAAGCATGCAAGAGTAAGAGCAATCTCTAACATCTCCTACAGATGCTCTCTGCTACTACCTCGCATACATCCTTGAGAACTACCTCGGCTACAGCCCAAGCATGGCTTTGATCCTCGCCTCGGTCGCCTTTACTCAGTATGCCATCTTCTCTTGGCCTCCGTACTTCTACATCGATCGCCTCGGTCGCCGCTGGACGGTCATTCTCTCCAGCATCGGCTGTGCAGCATGTATGGCCATCATCGCCGGCGCACTCGTCAATCCCACCCACACCAATTCCATCGTCGCCGTCGCCTTCATGTTCCTCTTCATGGACTGCTTCACCCTCGGCATCCTCCCCGTCAGCTGGTCGTACAGCGCCGAGATTCAACCTCTCCGCGTGCGAAATAAGGCAACGGCCGTCGGCGTGTTCGGCCACTGGATGAGCAACTTTGTGGTCGTCATGGTAACACCCATCGGTCTCTCAAACATTGGCGGCAACTACTTCTGGGTATGGGCGATCGTGAACGCATCGTTCGTGCCTTTGACGTGGTTCTTCGGTGTCGAAACTTCGGGTAGAAGCTTGGAGAAGATTGACTTTATGTTCTATGACGAGCCCAGAGTTTGTATGGGACTAAACAAGAATCACACGAGGGTCATCAGCAAGGAGACATACGATGAGGAGAGAAGATTGAGCCTCGCTAGAGACGAGAAGAAGCTCAATGTCGACCAGATCTCTGTAGTAAGCAAGTGATGGAGTTCTTGATCGCTAGAGAAAAATACGTAGAGTACGATACTCCCACGAAGATGCAGAGTGTATTCCTAGCTATAGAAATGCACGATTACTCCTGAGATAGAAGCAAATTCAAAGAGAATCGAAGTCATTCTCGAACCAATGTTTTCTCTCCGCGTGCAAAGGTTGGAACGCGTGTAGCTATGATAATGCACAATGTTTCCGAGAACTGAATACTATCCGTCGAAATGTGGTGATTTCCAGGCTGTCCCTGGATGCATCACTAATTGAAAAATCGCTGTGCCTTTCTATAGCACCTACTCTGTCGATCTTCGCTAAAGAAAGATGAGGAAAAGAGTGCTTATGTGTGTCTCCTGTCCTCCTTCTACACAAGTTCATGGGGCGTACGCTATGAGAAGGCACAGTAGCCTCGAGAAACAGAACGTTGTCCATAGAAATGCGGTCCTCTCTATGCTCTCTTTGGGTGTATCCCTGATCATGAAGTCACTGTGCCTTTTTATAGTGAGCACTACACTCTATGGCTCTGTGAGAGAGAGGAGTGTAGGAGACTAGGGGTTACAACTTTGAGCATACGGAGAGGACCAAGTGAGTGAGAGTGGCCGAGTCGGGTCCTCGTCGTGTGCAGCTGTTTGCATCACTGCGCGTACGCACTCACTTCTCGTGCATGCGTTCAGTGCCTTTTCTTCAACCTTTGACCCCTTACGCATCACCCAGTAACACCTCTTCGTCCCTCTCTCTCTGCTTGCAACTCGACTGACCGGACGCATAGAGATGGATTTCCAGCCTGGAAGCGGCCTATCGGCCTCGGATATGGTGTTTTTCGACACCATCACGCCCCTTTCGCCTTCCAAGCGAATCGAGTACGAGGTAGGCGTGCACATCACCCAAAAGTGCTTAGGACTACGCTGACACGAAGCAAGCCCTCGAGTCTCGACAGCGAGAGAAGAATCCAGGAGCTGGACTCCTGGCATACCCTGTCAGAGAAGAAGCGTAAGACCCGCATCAAGTTCGAGAACCTCTTGCGCGAATGCTGCGCTAGACGCTCGATCTGTAAAGGTCTTCTAGGAGATGCGGTCGTAAAGTACTCCACCATCTACACCAAGCTCTTGCCCAGCAGCAAGTCTGTGACTAAGCTGCAGCGCTTGTTGCGTTGGCACAACGACGAAGATCCCCCCTATCTCAAATGGAGCCGTCAGGTCTGCCTAGCCGCACTGTCTTCTCGTGGCATCGTCCTGGACGATCCAGACAGCATGAGCAGATTCCACTGCCGCGCCGCCCTAGACGAAGCTGATGAGAACGCCTCGTTGCGCTTTATGGACCTACCTAGAGAGGTCCGCGACAGCATCTACGGTCACGCCCTTTATCAGCCCGCCGTGATAAAGAGAGTTGCCACTACCACGCCAGCCCTGCTTCAGGTTAGCTCACAGGTGCGCAAGGAAAGCCAGCCAGTTTACCTCAGCATCAACCGCTTCCAGCTGCACTCTCGCTTCCGCATCCCAGCTAGACGCCAGGAGAACAACTTCCTCACCCACTACGCCTACGACCTGAACCGCGAGGACTACGACTGGCTGCTCTACATTGGCAAAGAGAATGTAGCAAAGATTCGCCGCGTTGCCATCACGATTCTCGGCGACTGCACCGACTGGCCAGACACCCTTCACCCCGACCTCAAATCCCCCTATGTGGGCAAGTGGATGCGTTTCAACTCCTGCCAACATGACGGATGTGAGGAACGTGATCAACAGACTATGAGCGAGTGGGCAGAGTCTTGTTCAATCAAAGCAAAGCAGACCGCAGCCGAGGCAGAGAACGATGATGTTGATCCTGAAGATTCGGCTGCAAAGGCTGCTTGGGCCGCTAAACGTGACAAGGACCTCCAGACTTGTCTTGCAAAGGCTCAGCTCAGATTGAACGTATTCAACAAGCATTGCGGAAAGGGCAAGACTGTTGCGCCTACCATTGAAGGTCTTACACTGCTTGCCAACGCAGTTCATGAGATTTTGAAGAAAATGCAGCCTCGCGAGTGAGGAAAGGGATCGAGTCTGATGGGGAATATGCAAGCGAGAGTGAAGATGAGAAATGCAAGCGAGAGAGCTTGCCTTGATTAAGAGAAATGAGAACGCTGTTCCACAATCACCTGCTCTCAAGTCAACTCATGAGCAGGACTGACACTATAGAAATGCACAGTTGTCTCGAGATGATGAGGGAGTCCATTGAGAGCCCTTAATTTTGGATCTCTCAATGGATGCTTCCTGTTTTCCAAAGAAACTGTGCATTTCTATAACTCGTTCCTAAGTGGTAGCAAAGGCCATAGAGAGCTGATCATATCACGACTCTCTCTGGATGATAGCCATCTGCCAAAAGAACTGTGCAAGTTTATAGTTCTCTTCTAGGGAATCGCAAAGTCCAGAGAGATTCGGTCGTTTCACGTATTTCGATGGATGCTTCCTACATGCCAAAAGAACTGTGCATTTTCATAGCTGTCTGGATGACGATGAGAAGGTAGGAAAGCTGACGAAGGCAGGAGCGATGGAGGTTGAAGAACACGGACAGCACGGACCAATGTCTCACAAAGAAGAACTCGTCCATCATCTTCGACGCATACCATCATCTCGTATCGCTTTGCCCACTGACAACCTAGACGAACGCAAGTTTGCATTGCCGCGACGACAGAATATCCGGAAGCTCTATCACGACCTGAAATAGTCAAAGCCGTTTGGCTTCGACGATAACGGTTGAGCAATGAAGCCGCCCATCGCTGTTGCGCTGCGTGGCAGAGCAACGACTGCAACCGTCTATCGAAGCATCGACATTGCCGTCGCCTGTGATACACCAAGTTCGCTATCGTCTATTGCCGTCACCGTCGTCGTCTAGAATACTCGTCATTCTTGCTGTAAAGCCGTTCTTGTCGATTGCAGGGGGCAAGCTGTGGAGACGAAAAGCCTATCGATGAGCAAGCCTGCCGGAAACAATGTGCCGGATGGACACAAAGGAGACAATTGTCGCATCAGACAAAGATTCAACATGGAACAAAGGAAGGACAACTCGAGGGATGTCAAGCGCAAGGAACGCATCGAGGATGTGATATGAAGGACCCGAAGCCGAGGCACTGGATCTAGAGCCTTCCAGGTTAGGAGCATGTTCGAAGGCATGTAGAAGCATCATGCTCCGGCATCATGATGTAGAAATGCTCAGAGCCGGACACAAGCATTGACAGACACCACAGGTAAGTCGCCTGATTACTCCGACTTTCAAGGCTCGCTTGGATATCGATTGCGCATCGCGATTGTCACTCGACTTCTTGATCATCCTTGCTCATGCTTTCTATTCACGTTTTTACCTTTGCTCCCTATACGCGTCAGAGCGCATAGAAAAAAACATCCCTTGCAGCAGTATCGCGCAACGGTTGCACAGCATAGAGTCGACCGTTGAAACTTCTGACCGGGTCTTTGCTCCTGAGAACATCATCCACCCCCTTTGAAACACGCCTCTTTTCTTCTTGTTTTTGCGCGCAGAAAGAACAATCCATCATGTGAATGACAGGCATAGGAAAATGATTCAAAAGTGTTTGTGACGAGATTCATGGTCATGGATGATTGGACGGCAATGCAAGAGTCGCCAGCAACGGCTTCGTTGGTCACGGCTTTTATCTGGACTCCCTCTGACAACCATCGGTTGCGTATTGGGAAAGCCGTTTTTCCGTGACCCTTTAACGTACCTTGCTTGAGCGAACGTGTGAGGGAAGAGGAAAAAGTGGCTGGATCCAATAAGGAGTATCGATATATGGTATAAGTAAATGCCAGCCATCGCAGTTTCTTGGCCTCTTTTCTTTGGTCGTCCATCCACTCTCTTCTCGTTTTTTGGGTCAACACTCTCTCACTTGACACTTTGCGCGCATACACATTCGCTTGATTTCCAACTCTGCACTCTCTTATTTGACAATACGCGCGCAACACACACACACACACACACACACACACACACACAACATCAATCATGCCTGGTTCGAAATCATCGCGGTCTGTCCTGGTGACGGGCACGCTTCTTTCGCTCGCATCGCAGGCGCTGGGACACATGGAGATGAGCTGGCCTTATCCCCTCCACAGCAAATACAACCCTGCAAACAGCTACACTATTATTGACTACAGCATGACATCGCCATTGAACAAGGACGGCTCAAACTTCCCCTGCAAAGGATACCAGAACGATCGTCCTTTTGTTCCTGTTGCTACTTACTCTGCTGGTTCCACTTACAACATGACCATTGCCGGTAGTGCCGTCCATGGTGGTGGTTCGTGTCAGCTTTCGCTCTCTTATGACAATGGCGCAACGTTCAGAGTCATCAAGTCGATGATTGGAGGATGTCCCTTGACATCGACTTACGACTTTACCATTCCTTCTTATGCGCCTGACGGAAATGCTCTTTTCGCTTGGACCTGGCAAAACGAGATGGGCAACCGCGAGTACTACATGAACTGCGCGACCGTCTCCATCGAAGGCTCGACTGCATCTAAGCGCGACACATCTAGTTTCGAGGCTCTTCCTTTCATCTGGAAGGCCAACCTACCTGGAATCAATACCTGCGTTACTACCGAAGGTGAAGACCCTGTGTACCCTCTGCCCGGACCTGATGTTCTTTACGGCGGCAAGATGACCCGTTCGAGCCCTGCAGACTCACAGGCTGGCGTCTGTGACGCACCCACACCTTTTGGAGTGACTTACAAGGATCTTGGTGACACTGCTGAGCCTCAGACTGCAACTGTGGGTGGAGACTCTGGATCCTCACCCACGACCTACAAATCCTCTGCTGCTGCTTCGTCATCCACCCAAGTTCCAACCACTTTGAAGACAACAGCCAAGTCTTCTGCTGCTTCGTCTGCTGCCTCGAGCATCAAGCAATCTTCCACCTCTGTCGCTGCCCAGAGCAGTGCCAGTAGCAAGAATACCGCGTCGACCGCGATCACCTTGTCCTCGGTGAAGAACGCTGGCAAGACATCAGTAGCCACCACACCTCTGCCCACGCCCTCATCCACTTCTGGCTCAGAGGACTGCCCCTCGGACGTGACTCTCACCGTCTACACCACCGCCGGCTCCACAGCAAAGACCTCGGTCATTTCTGCCTCGGCCTCCGCAGCCGCCTCCTCAACTCCCATCGACCCCGACACCGAGTTCGCCACAGGAGACCTAACCACCTACCTCCCTTGCGTGCCCGGCACCTTCATCTGCACATCCGCCAACACCTGGGTAACCTGCGACTCCGCCATGTACTCGGACGGCAGCACATCCTGGGTGTACCGCGACGCCCGCAACCTCAACAACGGCGCCTCCTGCGTGCCCTCCTTCTCCCCTTACTCCTCATCCACAAAAGCCTACGCCCAGCAAGCCGATTCACCCGCTGGCTTCTACCGCGACGACCGCATCGCTTATCCCAGCGGTGCAGGCGCTTGCGCCGAAAACGGCGATATCCAATGTCAGGGCACTGGAGGTTTCAGCATGTGCAATGATTTGGTGTGGTTTGGCATGGGGGGCACCGCGCCCGGAACGACTTGCCAGGGCCAAGGCGTGTTGGTCGCTTCTTCGTAGAACGAAGAGGACTATGATGCGTCTTTTGGTTTTGCTCTTGCTGTGCGAGCTTGTTCTGGTTCGCAGGGGTTGGTGTGCGAAGTTGCTATTTGAGCATGGCGTTGTTTTCTTTTTTCTCTTTCTTTTCACGGCAAAGCAAATTATAGATGCAAAGGGAATGGACCCCCCTGATACATCTTTGCTATACCGACACAACATACCCTTCTTTTTTTTTTCGTTCGGTTGCTGAGCATGGGAAAAATGGGAATGGACAGCATGCACTACATTCAGGAATTACCGTATATAGATTATACCAACACAACAAGTATGTAGACACACATAGCAAAGGCTGTTTGCTTTGATCAGAAGGAAGACAGAGTTCTCTTTTCGATCAAAAGCAACAGTATTGCGGAAGGAAAAAATATATCAAAAATCATTCACACACACACACACACATGAAAACTTGGCTGCTGCCATCTTGTGATCCAAATCTTCAGTCTTCGTAGAACTATCTTCCTTCACACTCGCTCTGACAACACCGAAGGAAAGAAACTCACAAATTCAAAAAGAACATTTTTTTACGAACATATACGCGTGGTTTTCCAGCCGTTTTGGAAGAGAGGGGGAAGTCAAGTGACACGCCTGATGGTTTTAGAAAAGACCGTTGCTTGGTTGCACTGTGCTGCAAGCCACAGGGCAGAAGAACCGTTGTGGCAGTCGCGTCACTGGTCTCTCCTACCCCTCTCGAAGTCTGGAAAGCGCGTTTGAAAAAGGAGGTCTTGAAGAGGAAACGGACGATGGGATTGCTGCTCAGTATGGAAAGAAAGTCGGAGGATGTGCAAAGGAGCGTGGGTGTTTTGCTTGAAGGGAAAGGCACGACGAACATGTAAGCAACATTAACGTGCTGATTAAGAGAATGGAAGTAATTCTTTTCGTGATGCAAACTACATACAGTCAACAACAGCGTGACCAATCATGCCAACAAAAAAAGAAAGCAAGAAGCCAGACATCAAGTCAGCTTTCTGCCATTGAGAAGAAGAAAAAAGAACAAAAGCGAAAATAATCCTATGCATTACATCTTATACAAAGGTCCAGGCTCTCGAGAACCCATTATGGTGTATCTTTGTACAAAAGAAACACGCTGTCGGTCATAAAAGCAGAAAGTCGCTAATTTACAAAACCATAGCGACAACACCAGCAGCGAATGCGAGGCTGCCGAATCCAGCGCCAACGACAGCGGCACCGCCGGTCGAGGCAGCAGGGCTGGAAGTGGCACTCTTGGAAGCCGAAGAGGCAGAGCTGGCGGCTGACTTGGTGGCAGTGCTCATGGAGCTGGCAGCGCTGGATGCGGCACCAGTGGCAGAACTGTGCTTGCTGGAAGCCACGGATGACATTGAACCCTGCGACGAAAGTCAGATGAATCCAAATGTACGGGAGATAAAGATATGACTTACAGAAGCAGAGGTCATGGCTGCAGAACCAGTAGATGCGACGGAAGAAGCAATAGACGAGATCTGAGATGCGGCGGAGCTTGACACGCTTGCAGCAACGGAAGCGGCAGAAGATGCAGCAGACGAAACAGCGTCCGAGGCACTGACTGCTTGAGCAGAGACGGGGCCCTTGATATTGATCATAGGAGTTGTGGTGGCAGAAGCGGTGGATGCGCCGGCGCTGGAGCTTTCTGCCTGGTAGTTGTCGTTCGAGATGCCGAATTGAGTCGAGTCTGTGTATCGTGTAAGTATCATGTTGTGTATCCTCCATATCATCTTTGCATACATTGGTATTGTCCAGTGCCATCGACAATCAACTCAATGCCGTAGTATGTCTTGTTGGGTGCGAGATGGGTGTCGGGAGTCCAGTCATAGCTGCCAGTGTTGTCGATGCTCTCGACGATGGTCTGGATAGGCACGACATTGGTGGAAGGGCCGTGAAGAAGAACAAGCGAGACCTTGCCCTTGGTGTCGGGTTGCCAGGTGATTGTGAAAGGCTTGCCGACGGGGACGATGCTGTTAAGACCGGGCTCGTAGATGGCATTGCCAGTAGGATCACCCTTGGGAGTGGTGTATGCTGAGGCCAAAGGAGCAAAGGCAGCAAGGCCGGCGGTGAAGAGGGCGCGGAAAGACATTGGCGTGGTTGTAAAGTTCTTCTCTTTCTGAGGTTTGGATATGATGATGCTTGGTAGTCCCGGGGTTTTAAAACACGAAGGTACGGGACACAGAGAGTGACGGATCTACTAAGAAAACGATTGACTGGTTGTTGATGAAACGAGTGACTGATAGGCGGTGATAGTCCCTTTTAATGAAACGAGCGTGAGGAAGGGAAGTTGATGTCGCAACGATGTGTGGTAGAAACGGATTGAAGAGTGTAAAAGTGGCAACGGGACCTATTCCTGAAAAGAGGGTGTTGCACTACTGACTTACATGAAGAAGGCAGCTAGAGGTATAAACGCCGTGCAGGCTGCCTAGAGTTTATTACCCAGCTGACAATCAAGCCGAACGTCGACCATCGTCGCAGCCCCCAGTTGCTCAGGCATCAATACGACCATAGCTAAGCCTTGCTCTAACCACGATTAACGTCTCTCCCGTGGTTCGTCTCCAATCAAATGGAGGAAATATGCGCCCGAGATGAGGTTGTCGACGAGTGCTAGACAGCAAAAGGGATGGCGTCCCCTGTTTTGGCTTTGCCTGACCCTGGGCGCAATTTCCACCCGTCCAAGCCGAAAACCCGACACCTCCACGACTCGCTGCCGCCTTGCACCTTCTGGATTCTCACGTCTTGCACTTTACGCGCTTTCCTTGTCAAGAGTGCCTGGATCGCTTTGTTTGTGTGCGAAGGATTCGAACTTGCAAGCGAGCCAGACATCGCGACCGGGGACCTTGCAGCAGTGGTATTAGCAGATGCAGCCGAAGCACTTTGGAACACTTGACATCTCTATCACCATGCACAGGGAATTGGTCACTCTTCACAGTTGCAGCAACAAAACAATCACGGAAATTATCTGTACGAGAAGCGCAGCTGGGTAGATGTACATTGACATTCGAGAGAGATACATATAACTACATGCTCAACCTTGATGCTTGAGAGTTCTCCTTGAATCCTTTCAACGCTTGCTGTGCCGCAGTAGAGAGTAATTCCCAAACGCTCGCTGATCGAAATATCATTTCGGTCATAACACATAGAGTGTACACTATACTTGAGTCCAGCTCCAGGCCGAGTCAAGAGGAAGGATGAGAATCATGAAAGTCGTCATAAACACATGTGCGTTTCGTCTTCTTTCTGTCGGTGGGTGTCGTGGTGCGAAAACAAAATGGACATAAATATGGTAGCGTTTCATCGTAATATTCGTGACGAGTGATGCCAGGTTTAGAAAAAGGTGTTTCCAGTTTCGTCCGGCAGGGTCGTGTGCATACAAAATGCGTGTGAGGTACTTGACCGATCAAGAGTCATGACCGAAGAGTATTTCGGAATCTTTAGTTGCATTGGCCAGGGTCTGTTGAAAATACAGTCAGCCAAGTGTTACTCCGCCTCAAGAAGTATACATCAAAAATAGACTTACGGTTTCTGTTGGTGACGGGGTTGGGGAAAACTCCGTTCTGAAGCAGCTGCTGCATGTCCCACTCGGGAGCGCCCTCTGCATATGTCCGTTAGCTTCTTTTTCTGCAAGGTCCAAAATAGATCTGCTGCGACACATACCAGTCTTCCATGTCCAGAAGATCCAACCGGCAGCCTTCTCGTAGCCGTCGAGTTGAGCTTCGATGAATTTGCCGATGTTGTCTCTGTAGGTGCTGTCGAGGCCGCCAACTGAACCGCTGTACTTGCCGTCGCAGCTACCAATGTAGGACGAGGATGCGCCGTTGTAGTTGTATGTGCCGTCGTATCTGGCTCCGACACCTCTACCGTTGAGCCTAAGGCAAAATCAGTATATTTCTTTCCTTGAGCTCAATTTTCTGTCGACTTACCACTTGGCGCAATCAGTCATAGCACCGGTCCACTCGCCGCTGATTGTCCATTTATTGTTGGTCGCCATGGATCCACCGAAACCACAAGCGCTCGAGATATGGGTACCGATGTCGTTGTGCAGGACTCCGTTGTCGAAGATCTCGTAGTGGTGCTGTTTGAATAGTGTCAGTACAGTACGGTAAAGGAAGGCGTCTAGGACAGTACTCACAGTGTCGAGCATCAAGTTCCACATGCCGCTGCCCCAGTCATTCCAAGCGTTGACTCCAGCAAAGGCATCGTGGAAGGTAACGACCAAGTTGGTGTTTCTGAGGTTGCCCCAGCCATCCATGTAAAACTGGCGAACCTTGTCCATGCCAATGGAAGAGCCCATAGGCTCGTTCAGAAGCTCAATAGTCGAAACAGCGGGATGGTTGCCCATATCGTCGCGGATCTTATTGAGTGCCTCGATGGTTCTGCTGATCGAGTCGCCTTGACCCCAACCGACGCCACCTCTTTGTCCGGAATTGTCGAAGCCGTTCTGCGAGTAGGGAGCTAGGTGGTTGTCAGAGTAGGTCGCATGTACAAAAGTCAAGTCACTTACCTCCGTGAAGGTCAATCATCACCTTCAGGCCGGCGCCTTCAGCCCAGTCCAATGCTCGGCCGAGGAATTGGTATGCGCCTTGAACGTAGGGAGCGTTGTCGTCCTTGATAACCGACCAGTAGCCGATGGGGATACGGATGTGGTTCATGCCTGCTGCTGCGATTTGGTGCAAGTCATCCTCGGAGATCCAAGTATCCCAGTGCTTTGAGAGTCTGTTGTATGCTTCACCAGAGCCGAGAGTTTGGCAGTAGGTGTATTCTTTGGACTTTGTCAGTCGCTGCTATCTGTTCCCTGATTTGTTGTGACATACCGTCCACCACATTATCGGGTGTTGCTTCGAAGATGCTGGGTGTGATCCAAGGCTCTAGCACAAACCAGCCGCCAAGGTTGACACCACGAACTTTCTCGCCGCCATAGTTGAACTTGAGGTCGCGTTTGTTAAATTGCTCACTGTGCAGAAGGGTCAATAAGATTACCAGCAGCAGGCTTCAAGTCGAGTGCTTACAGTGGTGCCGCTAGACCAGTAGATGGTAGTAGTGAGAGTGCCGCAAGGGCAGAGGATAGTAATGTCTTGGTAAACATGTTGTAGATTGTGTACAAGGTATGGAGGGGAAGAGATGATCTTCCAGAGGATTGGGAAGCAGTTAAAGATGATCTTGATGTGCAGAATACGAGCTCAATCACGGGGAGATTCCTACCTTTTGTATGTCTTACCTCGATGCTGCTCAGCTCTGACCGTTGCAACCAACAGACAGCGTAAACATGCGTAAACCAACTCCGCTGAAGATCCTCCACAAATCATGACTCTACCGGGTGCTACACCAGACCACGAGACCGCTGTTGCAGCAGGTGAGCGGTCAGTCTTTCAGCCAACAGTCAAGATGACGAGAGCGATCGTCTCCACTCTACACTTTTTTTCCTCGCTGCGGCCTGAAGCTCAGTAACGACAAAAAAGTTGTATAGCAACGGCGATTGGTCGCCCCACAACCCCAGGGTCCACAGCTTGAGCAAGGATGACGGTGCGGAGAGCCAGGCACGCGTTGTGAATGGTCAGGTTTGCAAACTCAATACAGCTCACGAAAGGTGGAAGCTCGTGCGGAAGTGGCTTGTAGAGGGCGCGAGCAGGCGCGCGGGCCGGACACAAGGCGAAAGTGTCACAAGGTCTCTCGGCGCAAATCTGACCGCATCAAAAAACCGATTGCCCAAGTCCCTTGGAGGAAGGGATTGTCGCATAGAGTCGAGCTTCTGACTTGGTTGGAGGGACTAGAGTTCAAGATACGTCACAGATCAAGCTTTTCTCCACAGCTTTTCTCCACGATTCAAACGCGCTTAGACTTTAACCAGAGTGGGCCAGCCTTTGGGAGAGGTTTCGCACCGCCTCGGTTGATTGTTCCAACGACCTTCACGTGCCGTGTGACCTTGATATGACCCATATCATGAATCAGTGGCTAGTCTTGTGCTCGGGAGATGGTCTTTCGGCGGGACGAGAAGAGGGAGATGCCGAGAAAAGATGACTGTCCTCGTGAGTTGCCGAGTTCGCCAGTCAGATGTACGCACGTATGTCGGAATGCTAAGACTGCAGTGCTACACACCAAGCATACCAAGTCCCGCTAGGTGAATAGGAGAAAAGGGAACGGAAGGTCGAAACAAGTGACAAGAAGCGGCGATCTTTTGATGACTGCATTGCCGGCAAATTTTCGAGCCTGTACAAGAAGACTGTACAGCAACCACTGACGTGAATGGCGAAGATGATATTGCGAACATCTCCGGCAGACAAACAGTGGTGTGTAGCATTTGGTTAAGGTCGAAGGCGCAACGCTCTCATGCCTAGTTAGAACAATGCTGGTCAGAGATCGGCCTCGGTACAGGTCATAAGGCATGGTGACAACGGTATGTTTGGGCGATCATGGCAAGTGGCATAACAAATGCTTTGTTTTGCTTGACTCGAAGGTCATAGTTTGTCAGTACTGCTACTGATCTTCTCAGAGAGACTGTTACATCGTAGATGCGTCGCTTTGCCTGACCAACAAGTGCAGCAAGAGAGAAGAAATCTTCAGACGAATTCTCCAAAAACGCGACTCCCTTCTGGAAAGTATCGTGGAAGTTCAGCAGCTACAACGTGACAGTATCTAGATCACGGGGAGGGAGGATCAGCAGTATGCGACATCGGTGTGGCTTGCAGACACGGAGAGATGGGCCATGGAAGGGCAGCTGATGCCTTTCCGGAAAGCGTTGACACGTGATTGGCTCGTGGCTGCGTAGGCCGAGAAGCCGAGAAGCCGACAGGGAGGCCAAGGATTGCCAACAAATTATGCATGCGATGCATCTCAAACAACAAATTGTGCCTAAACTTTCAGACAATGACCTGTGATGGGTCGGACGAAGAAGGAGGTGCATGATGGGAAGCAGACGCTGAAGCAGGCAAAGGCAGCTTTCAAGGCGCGCGGTTCTACCCTTGTCACCGACACCGAGAAGCGACAACTCGAGCGTGGCGCCATCTTACTGCAGCGAGCTGAACGCATCAAGGAGGCCGAGACGCGGAAGAAGGAGGTTCTGAAGAAGAAGACTCTCCAAGACACAAAAGCAACAAAGGCCTGCCTCTTGGGCACTCAACGCGTCAATGACAAGTTCGGCTACCAGAGGAGTCAGTTCCATCTGGGCGCATTTCTGAAGCCCAAGGCTGCTGTTCCAGCTGCGCCGTTGCCAGATGTGCAAGAAGAAGACCCACCAGAAGAGCCATGGGAAGACGACGGTGTAGACGACGATACTCTGCTCGACCTGGCTGGAGAGTCACCAGTCACGACTACCAAAGCACAACCCGCCCACACCCAAGCGCCTGCGCCTTCACAGCAGACGCCTAGTAAGACTCATGGCCATGCAAAGAACCAACTCGGTTCACCCTCGACGACCGACGAGTTTGGAAGCTTCGACGACCTCTTCGACCGTAGCTCTCAGATAAACCTCTCGACCCCCCAGAAGCCTGCAAACGCTCCGTCAACGACACGTTCGTTCGATCGTATACCATCCTTTACCTCCGGCGATTTCGATCTGTCCGCAGACGACCTTGAAGAGCTAGACTGGTCGGTCGATAATCTGCCGAACAACAACATCTCGTCGCCACAAGCATTGCGACACCTCAACAAGAACGGCGGCGACATGAGAAACTGGCTGGATGGGAAAGAGATGGGCCATGACCTCGACCGAAAGTTGATGCCTCCTCCGCCTGCCATACCCAAAAAATGCATACCGGCTCGTGTTGACTCTGCGGCACAAACATCTGTGCCACCACACGGGATCAGTTTCGCCGAGCTTGAGCATTTGGCTGCCGAAGAAATACAGCTGAGCCAGTTTGGGGACTGGTGATGTGAGCCATTTGATCTGTCGATAGCGAAGACATCCTGGTTGGATATTGGCGTGTTTTGTATTGATCAACGTCAATCTTGCAGCATGATCCGCGCAGCCTTTTGTGCAAACCGGGTTTTGGGGTGCATTGGGTATCACAGGATCTGATGGCGACGGATGACAGCAGAAATCTTTACATTTGCAGCTGTTCAATACCACTGTCTTGCAAACAACTATCGTAATGTCTTGAGAAGACGGAACAGTCGGTATTGGCATTGAAACTGGTGAGTCAAGGGTCAATAGGCGCCCAAGCTGCATGTGAGAGGTCAGTTTTGCGGCAAAGCAAAGCATGCGCTGTCACGCCGCATCAACCCGCATGTCCAAGCTAAGTGATTGCATGTGCTTTCGTCCGTTCTTTTCCCTGAACACTCACACTTCACCTTGATAAATCTCTCTCAATTCAGGAATTCGCACATTCAGTTGTAAGCTCTAACATCTCTTACGTACCATCGACCAATTTTTAGAACTCATTATCATCCATTCAGTATCTGTCAAAGCGGCCCTAGCTGTTCGACCGCTTTCCTGGAGATTGGTTCTCACTGGATTGCACCTTGTCTGAAAGCTGCCATCGACCATAGACGCCAGGTTTATTGAGTCACCCCGTACTATCACAACCAACTCAACAACCCGAATCGAGTGTGGCACCGAGCAATTGCGGGGCCCGTCTCTCACAGCGGCTGGCAACATCAAGATCAAACCTCACTCCGACCATCTCAAAGATAACTTTCTGCGCTCAAAACAGCCATCAGTCTCCTCCGCAACCAAACCACCAATCCTCATCATCCCACCTCCGTCAATACAGCCTCTTGTCCTACTCGACCATTTCACACCGCCACACACGTCCTCATCGCCAAACATACATCAACTCATCTAAGCCTTCTCCGTCTCTTCTTTCTGGTCAACATGAACCCCCTCGCACGTAACCATGATTCTGAAATGGCTTTGTGGCTCCACCGGAAACGGCTCGCGGCGATTCATGCTAGACACAACGAACATGCCGAACAGCTGCTCGAAGAGGATGATGAAGACTACGACAGTGAACGGTCTGAACTCGAGGCCCTAGCAATGGGCACGTCAACACCTTTGCCGATCTTGGTTCAGGATCCTACCAAGCCAATCGAGCCAAAGGAGAAGCCGCTGGACCCAAAGTTGGTCGGCATGTCTGTTGGGTACAAGAGTCTCTACGCTGGCAAGGAGGATCGCAGAGGTCGCTTCCAATGGCAGGAGACGATACCCGAAGATCTCGTACCACCTGCTGAGAATGCTGAGACGCAGAAATGGGCTTTCATCGCCAGACATGTCAAGGTCTATGGCGACCCTCGTAAAACGCTGGCATTGCACTCGATCGTCATCCAGTCACCACTGCTGAAGAGGATTCTTCAATCCGTGCTGGCTGACTATCCAGGTGTCACTGTGGGTCTGCAGAGATTGGAGTTTAGTGGCAAGTTTGAATGTCTGATCCATCGTTTCCCTGACCTCGACTACGCTATCGAAGCGCTCCAAACACTGCACGAGCATTACAAGGATTGTACCATATGCGAGGACCCCACTAAGGATTGCAGCTTCGACTTAGACGGAGCTACCGGCGAACGCCAGTCAATCGGCGACATGTTGACTCTGATCAAGGCTAAGGATCTTGTCAAAGACATTGCAGCAACGGCTGTGAAGGATCAGATCTCTGCAAAATCTTCTGAGGGTAAGAATGAGGACGCCGAGGATGACACTACTCTACCATCACGGCTCGACACCACAGAACTGAGTTTAAAGCATACACAAATCCTGCGCGATCTCCTGTACGAAGAGTTCCACGTCTTGATTGAGTCTTCGCGCGACATGAAGGCACAAGGTGTCATCACCTACGAAACTCTTTGGACAATCTTCGAGCCAGGTACCATGGTGTATGCCCGCGAGGAGGGCCAGGACCGTGCCTTCAACATGCTGTCTGGCAGATATGGCTTTGACAAAGACGAGAGACCAGTCTATTCACTCAAAATACGCTTCGTTGACTTTGACGGCACCAGGTTTGGTTGGACAATTGCCAAGATTGATGTTCACGAGTTCCAAGGCACTTGTCCTATCGCTTCGCTCACCGCGTATCCTATCGAGTACCATTCTGATGAAACCGCCCTGCGCAAGAACCTTGTTGACAGAGGCTCGGTTATCGAAAGCCTTGTCGGCACTCATTACCGCGCATACGACGGCATCGGCCACCGACTGGACATGTATGGTCAGAAGGAGCGTCACAGCGTCAAGGGCAGAATCATCATCGACACTGTTGGCTGGAACCGCTATAATCCCAATCAAGCCATTTACACCTCGGCGCTGGGTAGCAAAGGCACAGAGAGAACGACTCGCAGCTCCCGTGCCTTGTATCTCCCGACTCTCGGAGAGTCTCTCGATGAAGGCTTCGGCGGTGGCATGCCACTCGACGGTCACTTTGGAGAGGAAGGTGACTACAAGAAGCTCCCACCTCTTACCGACGAACAAAAACTTCTTTGCAATCACTTGATTCGTGGTTTCGCCTTGAAGGAGAAGATGTGGCTCAACCTGTTTATCGGATCTGTGCAAGATGTCTCTTTCAACAAGGACGCCTTCGACTCTCTCGTGCTGCCCGCAGACACAAAGGAGCTCATTCTCGGCTTCACCTGCACACAACAAGCTACTCGTATTGCGTACGACGACGTCATTGAGGGCAAAGGGCGAGGCATCATCCTGTTGCTATGCGGTCCACCAGGAGTTGGCAAGACTCTGACTGCTGAAAGTGTGGCCGAGCACCTTGGGGCCCCCTTGTTCATAATGAGCGCCGGGGACTTGGGTATGGACAGCAAGCATATCGAGACTCGCTTGCTCTCCGTACTCGGTATGTGCACCCGCTGGAACGCCATTCTCCTATTGGACGAAGCCGACATCTTCCTCGAAGAGCGTAGTCGGCATGAGGTCGAACGCAATAAACTTGTCAGCATCTTCTTGCGTGTGCTTGAATACCATGAGGGCATCATGTTCCTCACCACCAACCGTGTCTCGACTTTCGATCCAGCTTTTCAATCAAGAATCCACATCAGTATCGACTATCCCGACCTGTCACCCGACAGTCGTCGTAAGACCTGGGAGAACTTCCTCGGCCGCCACAACGATGCTCAAGCAGCTGCCCGTTTGAAGCCACCCCAGAATCCTGCCTCGTCAATCAGATCAATCAACGGAAGTCACGAAACACCTGCAAATTCCCAACATGAGGCCATGACCCAGCCCCATGCCATCACCACACAGGAGATCCGCCAGCTCTCTCTGCTCAGACTCAATGGTCGCCAGATCAAGAATATGCTCAAGACTGCTCAGCTGTTGGCTAGTTTCAAGGCTGAACCTCTTGCTCACAAGCACATTAAGACAGTGCTGGACGCTACCCAACATCTTCACAATGCTAACAAGGTTACCGAGGATGCTCGTAGCAGTATTTTCAATTGAGGTTGGCAATTCGCTGATGCATCTTTGCAAGTTTGTACAAGGTCAGAATCTTGATTTCCTTCGGATTCTAGAGAAAGCATAGGATATGAGGGCAATCCAGGCTAGAGAGGAGCGAAGCATCGGGTAGGGAAAGTTCTTTCCTTTTTGTTTTTATTTTTTAACCCAGTATAAGAAAAACAGCTATATCAATCATTGAGCCACGAAGAATCCGACTTCTCACCTCGTCAATCATATACAATTGGATAGTCTTCTACACTCCTCTCTCTCTCTCTCCCACGGAGCTGTCAACGCAGTACTCGGCTATCAAAAGACACAGTGACTTTGAGATTAGAATTGGTATCCATTGAGATGCGATAAATGACGGGCTCTCTTTGAATGCCATTTCTAAGCTTAAAGTCACTGTGCATTTATACAGCTAGTTACTTTTTCTCTTCAGGGAGGTAGAGGTAGTTTTTGGTGACAAGACCCTGAGCTCCTTTCTCTTGCCCATTCGTGATTGTCGACATTGATTCATAATGACGTCATGCTTGCTGTGGATACGACCCTGTTTCTATCTCGAAAGGTCTATCAAAGTGCGTCTAGACGACAAAATCTAGGTCACTCGGATCTAAACAACTTCTGCTGTCCATAACCAAGCATTTTGATGGGGGGGAAAATACAACCCTTAACGTTGCCCAAAGCAAAAGAAGACTAGTCGCTGGGTTCCCCGGTGCGAAAGCCATTACCAACATCGTCTGAACATCAAGTGCAATCTGAAGAGAACGCAGAACATAATTCAGGAACATCAGAGACTCCAGGGAGATGGTAGAAACTAGAATCCTCCTTTGTGGTTCCAGAAGATGTCCGTCGACTGCTCGGTTCACAGCTGTATCAATTCACGTAGTGGTTTGGCAGTTGTCCATGTCAAATATCGAGCCCAAGAGAAACAATCGGCAGAGAATGCACAGATTCTGACAGAACAGACTCGAAGGTAAAAGATGCAAGCTTTCATATGCAGAGATGGAAAAGAAAGAGTAGAATATGCCATTTCGTATCAGACGCTCTTCCAATCTATGATAATAGTGATGAAAAACATAAAAACCCGCCAATCTGCCCTGGCGCGTTTCCTTCATGATGTCGCCCGCATGTCGTTATCCTAGTCGAGAAAAAGCAAAGGTAAAAGCAGTAAAAATGGATGGACAAGGAGAAAGAGCGAATCTTTTGTATCCCATCCCAATGCGCAATGTTCGGTCATTCGTAGACGGAAAAGAAGTGTATAAACGTCAAAGGAAAATCGTCGTTCTCAAAGCTCTCTACTGCACAGACTGCTCTCTCAGCTTGCTGGGCTCGGGCTTCTTGCGGCGACCCAATAGCGTGGCGTTGTCCAGACTCAGCTCGAAGGCACCGCGGTTCTTGACCTGGCGCTTGGCTGCAGCGGCTACGGCAGCACTGTGTTGACCGTATCCCTTCTCTTGCGGCTGTGTGCGAGGAGCCTCACGCTGGCGAGCTTGGGCGGCGGTTGACAATGAGGTGTTGCGCATTTGACGTTCGACACCGGCGACGTCTTGTGCACCAGCCTTGGGAACCTTGGCCGGTGGGTTTGCTGATGAGGCGTCGTAGCCCTGCGATTGGCCGTATTCGTCGTCATCCTCATCCTCGTCAAGTGCGTTAAGCGAGTTGAGGCCGTTGGCACCACGATATCCTTGCTTGAAGTTCTTGCGACGCTTGCCCTCCTCTTCTTGACGGTGGACGGCGTATGAGACATCGAAGACCTCACGCAAGTTGACGGCACCAGGCGAACGGAAGTCGGAGCGTTTGCCAGCACCAGGAGTCTCGAGGAGATGGTCGAAGTTTGGTTGCAGAGGAGTCTTAGAGTCGAGACCAGCAGAGTGAGCTCCACGGTAGAGGGGAGTAGCGAGAGGAGGAGCATCGGCAGCAGCGTTGGTCTCCTCGCCAGATTCACGGATCCAGGGATGATCGAGGAACTGGTTGATGTCGTAACGCTTGTCGGGGTCGACGGTCAAGAGGTGAGAAACAAGATCTTGGGCAGACTTGGAGATGTCGTCCCACCAAGGAGACAAGAAGGTGTATTGACCCTTGGCGACCTTCTCGGTCAGGACTTGAATGCTCTCGTCGTAGAATGGAGGGAAACCGCAGAGAAGGGTGTAGAGAACGCAACCAAGAGCCCACATGTCGACACTCTTAGAGTAACGCTCATCCTTGACAATCTCGGGAGCAGTGTAGCCGACAGTTCCGCAAGGAGTCATGGTTTGACTGTCCCAGATGACCTTGGAGAGACCGAAATCGGCAACCTTGATCAGACCAATACCACCGGAACCAACGCCCTTGATGAATTCACCCTCGTCGGCCTTGTCCTCATCGTCGGGGCCTCTGGGCTTGGGGTTTCTGGTGGGGATGAAAGGTGTAGGGTAGAAGAGCAAGTTCTCGGGCTTGATGTCACGGTGGACGACGCCGGCCTCTTCGTGCATGTACTGGAGAGCCTTTGCGACCTGGACGATGACGTGTCTTGACAAGTCCTCGCTGAAGTAGGTGAGACGGACGATCTGGTGGAAGAGCTCACCACCAGGGCAGAGCTCGAGGACGATGTAGTAGTATTGACGAGCCTCGGAGAACTCAACAAGCTTGACGATGTTGGGGTGGTCGAGTTGACGCATGATCTGAACCTCCTTGAGGATGTTGGCACGCTGTCAAGTACAAGTCAGTGTCTGTCGAACAGATATCATCTTGTTTGCGGTTGCAAGAGATAGGAAAGCAATAAGAAAAGGGATATGCGCACCTCCACTCCCTTGGGCGTCTTCTTGAAATCCGGATGAAGAACCTTGTCGCCCTATACCACAATAACGGTTGGCGGCTGCATGTACGGCAGGTTGAAAGAGAGAACAGAAGAAAAGCAAGCCAAGGAAAAGCAAGGAAGGATCGCAGATACATACCTGGGTTGAGTTCATCTCAAACTTTCTCACAACCTTGATGGCGACCTCATTGTAGACACCTTGGCTGTCTCTGGCGCGGTAGACGTTACTGAAGGCGCCGTCACCCATCTTCTCGACCAGGTTCCATCGCTCCAATCCAGGGTATCTGGGAAGCTTGCCCTTGGCCTCACGCTCTTCGGCGACGATGCGCTCGAGCACTTCGGGGTCGACATCCTTTCTCTGCTGCTCCTTCTTTTGTTGCTTGTCGACAGCGGCACCGGCGGCAGCACCGGCCTTGGCAGCGACGTTGCGGTTGTCGAGGGCAGCTGCTGAGAAGTCACCCTGGGGGGCGTTTGCTTGCAGAGGTTGGTGGGCGTAAACGTTGGGATCACTCATGGCATATTGGTCGTGATGCCTTTGTTCTTGCTGCCTTGGCGAGGCATGTTGTGTGTTGTGATGACGCTGGGCGTGGACATTGGACACGGCGGGTTGGTCAGGCGGCGACTTTGGGTTCTGGTCGCGCGCCTGCTTGCCGTGACGGATGAAGTTCTTGAGGTTCTGTATCGTTGACATGGTTGATTAGTTTGGGGTTGTTGTATCGTGGTGGTGACGCAATCGGGGGGTTGAGTCGCTTTTTTGAAAAAAAGAGGACAACAGTGATTGAGAGGCTGCAGCGTGGGTGAAAGCGAGAGATGTAAAGATGTGTCGAGTGCCTGTAAACGGCTAATGCTTGGAAATAGCACAAGCAACGTGACAGTCGGAGAGGGGAAGATGATTATCAAGCGGGAAGGGTAGCGTGGATGGGAGGATGAGGGATGGATGGGATGGATGGGAAGTCGGGGTGGATGCAGGGTTGAGCAGGAGCAAGAGTTAGACGAACGCTGGCATCATAGGATTTGATGACGTCGGATCGCTCTCCCTCCGGGGTCAAGGCTGTCATGTCATGCACGCAAAGAGTGCTTTGTTTTTTGACCTGAAGGAATGACACACGAGCCCCCATTGCCTCGCGAGCATGGGCCAATCATGCTGTCAACCAACCTCATGACGACCTCGATGATGGCCAGGACGACCTCTGTCTTTGCAGGGGCAGCGACGCTCTGGGGAGGGAAGGAACGAGGGGACTTGCAACACCAGCTGAACCACTAACCTCGATTTTCCACATGGTATCAACTCCCGCCGATCGACGACTTGTTCAATCTCGAAACCTTGCAAGGGCTTGCTTGTGCGTCGCGAGGAGCTGTCAATCTGGAGGTGAAATCCTGTTGCCCCGTCGTGTTGCACAGCGAAGAAAGCGACTGAGGCAAGTGTCCTTTCAGATGGCTGGCGATTGTCTTTTCTCTCCCCCGTTTCGTTCGTTTCGTATTTCGTCGTTCGTAATTATTGCCGGGGCGGTGTCTCTCGATTTCCTTGACTAGCCGGAGGCTGGACGATGAGGCGGAAACGGATGTTTTATGAGCGAAGTTTGAGGACACTAGGCAAAGAGAGGACGAACAGCCACAGCAGTTGAGGTCATATACATGGACCGAGTAGCTCTACAGTATGATGTCGAGAAAGACAGTTGGCGCCCGCTGCGCGCCGGCCGTTTTTTGCTTTCCTTTCCCAAAAAGCTGCCTCTTCTCCGGGAACAGTGGGCTCCGCTTTTTCCATAACAGACCCAGCCACGGTCAAGCGCTGGATTTGCTGCTTGACATGTCGCCAAAGACACCTATTTTACTCCACTTCCAACCTGCTTTTGCGGCAAGACCCTGATGGTGTGTTTGTAAGGCAAGTGAGCCCTTGATATCGACCGACCTCCTTGACCTACTCTGTAATATCACAACCATATATAGGGATACGAGATCTTGGTTGCTAAGCATTGATATGCCGACTGTCAAGCCAGATGAACGCCATCTTGCTTTCGGAGCCCTTCGCTTTGTCCTCCTGGAAAGCCGGCAGCTCCAGGGAAAAAATGACGTTGACCCTGCATTTTCATGACGTGTCTGGGCGTCTGCCACTTGGCAATTGCATCATCCCGCATTCGATAGCCGCGTTTCTCAGCCAAGCGACCACTCTTTCGGCTCTGGTTCCTCTCGTCTTTCATTCGGCCGTTCGAACCAGACACACAAAAGAATGTCATGTTCATGCACGAGCAGACATACAAAGTGATCGCCCTGTGCCCTTGCGATAACCTCGGGGCGTGTTTGTTGATGCAGCCGTCTTAGTCAGGCCTCTTCAACATCAGAGTAAACAATCCCAAAATGCGGCTTGCTGTGAGTTTGCAACATCCTGGTAACTCCTCAACGGGCTGCTTGGAATGCCGACTCAACTCGTCGTTGAGAGTGGGACTTACAAAGCCACCACCACTTAATCATGGTCTGGACGCGCAGCCGTGTTTACCGTGCTCAACTATTGATCCAAAGTGCCTCAGACAGACATGGCTTTGTCTGCCGAAGGACCAAACATCTAGAAAACCTCCTGGCACAAAGAGGAGATATTGGCCTGTAACCAGTTCGGCCAAGGAAATGCACAGTGGCCTCGAATGATAGGATAGTGAACATCGAAAATCGATTTCATCTCGGCTCTCTTTGGTCACATCTCTCTGATACAGAAAGAACCGTGCCTTTCTATAGCGAGTACATTGCTGTAGACATTCGTGTGAGGAAGGCGCATCTCAAAGCTGGTTCCCCGTGACGATCTACAGCCCTCCTCACGACTTACACCGCTCTCAATGGATACTTTCTGTTTGGGAAAGCAACTGTGCATTTCTATAGCTACTCATGTAACATAGCTCAGCACAGAGGAGGCTATTTTCTACAAGGTAAGCAACCAGCATAGCCTTTCAAAGCTCGAAAGCATCGGCTTTGTTGTCAGCAATCTTGTCTTCCAATATCATCTCTACTGCCATCTACCCCGTTGTAGCTCATTGTCATAGCAAACCGAATTGTCATTCAGGAGTCTGATATAAGAGCCCTGAATCACCCGGCATACATCCTAATTCTCAAGACATCTCATCCACAACTTCAATATACATCTGCCCTCCGCGCAGTCCAAGACGTACACCTGATGCGCTTCCACCACAACACCCGTGCACTCTACCTCAAGCCATACCTCAAACAATTCGAAGCAGTGGTCCTGCGCGGCGGTGTCGGAGATTACGTCCAGTTCGACATGTACAACGAAGAATCTCTCGGCTACTTCCTCAGAAGCGGTGTTACCCACTTTGGCCTGTACACATGCGACTGCGAGACTGGCGACTACGATGATGGCGCTGCAAAGTTCGCTTCCGGCAAGATTGAGGTCTGGGTCGGGGATGACGGAAAAGTCGGCGTGTCGGGCAAGGCTACCTGCGATGATGTCTCGATGGACAACACCTTTCGCCAGTGATGGATCAACTTCAAGAGAGAAGTCAAGAAATTGGTCAAGGCAGATACTGTGGAACTCATCAGTTGGGAGTTGATGGAGCGCATCAACAACGAGCTGGAGAGTATCGCAACCCATGACGATCGCCCAGTAGCTTGTATCCGGCTGCAACATTACGCACCAGCTCTTTCCCGACCAAGAACAATTTTCAAGTCCGAACAGCCGTTCAAGTGGTTCGGAAAACGGTATCTGGTTTTGATACGATCGGTCCCATCAACAACACACCATCAGACCCTGTTCAAACGATGTTCAGTACCCTCCAACTCGCCCCAGCTGTCATCTGAGATTGACAAATCAAGTGCCTCTTTCACTTCTGCACCATCTACACCCGGGCAGCATGTCCTCACTGCCACTGGACCCTCAAATGCTTTTCTGGTGTTTTACGAATTCGAGAGACCGAAGTCTGGAACGCTGAATACAAGCCCACTGGCCATGCAACGGAGATTTGGTTATCAGGGCTGCAGAAGCTCGAGCTCCGGATGGTTGTGATGTGACGACCACGAACATCAAGGTCTCGTACCCAACCGCAATAAACGTACAAGAGACATCACAGTTCATGCACAAACCATGCCAATATCATGGAACACGTCTCAAGCTGCTGCTCACCGCGTCGAGATCGGCAGGATAACTGCATCAAAGCATTCATATACCACTCGAAGGTCGTTTTATATATACCATCCCACAATCACACACGATACGGATGTCCACTTTGACTGCGTGTCTGAGAGACGAGAGCACGTCAGTGTCGTTCTTGACGGACTGGGCCGCTGAGAACTCCGAGACCTCGGTTGCTTCATCAAAGACGTCAGGTTGTCGCGGTTGCTCAGCAGGGTGTCAAATATCTCGACGTTCATCGGCGAAGAGATCGTAGTGACGCTACACTCAAACACTGACGTCTGGACTTGTTTTTAACTCGCGACGTCCGGAACAGTCTCTATATACTGATATCTGGACCAGTCTCACGTCTCCAAAATGCCGTAGATGGCTTGATCTCCCTAGACTTAGCTCAACACAGATATGTCGGAGGATGTATGTAGAACCAACGGAGCTTTCGTCAGCCGCCTACGATGAGAGGATTTGCCATGCTACCACCAGAATCGCCAGCGTAGCACCAAACCCATCCAAGCCAACCAACAAGAAACCAAAGAGCGGCGAAGAGTGGCTAAAAGTAATCCCAAAGCGGTACAAGGATGGCAGTATCCGGTCCACGGGTGATAAAGTGGTATACGACGAATACTAGGGATCTGCGCAGAATGAAATCTTGAGAAGCTGGAGCGCCACTTCGTCAAGTGTTAAAGAAAACTCAACGACACCTTCAACTTCCTATATGCCATGCAACGAGCACGACATGATTTCGATCCCCGCACAGCATCTTTTGCGAGAGCGTAAAGCGCTACCATCAATTGACATAGTCATCATGTCACTTCTACCACGACCCAGAAAAAGAAGGCCGGGATGTCGATGTAACACGACAAATCTTTCTGCGGCCTCCATTATCATCCAATGCGAGGTCTGGTGGAACAACAACGACGAAAGGCAGGCCTGGCTCAGGGTGAAGCGACTCGGTCAGGAGAAGGCTGTTACCATTTACAGACTCTTCGCCCAGAATTCCTTGGCATTCATCACATCCAGACAGTGAGAGACGCGAGGGCAGAGGTCAGGGAGGCGACCAGGTCCGTGACGCTCTCTTCTCTCTCCGATGAGGCGTGCAGCACGTCAAAAAGAGGTAGAAGAAGCGCCAAGCGACAATGAGAGACATCATCAACTCCCTAGAACACGAACCTAATCACTCCTGCAGCCCTTAACCCTGATGATCTGGACGCTGTTATTTCCGACAAGGTCGAGGGTGACTATCAGGTCTGTGATTCCCATACTTTATATAAGTTGTCCCCTGGGTTCATATTCGCCGCCACAGCTGCCGATATTTCACAATGACTCACTCAATGAATATTCACGAGGAAACGCGCGACTTGAGCTATAAAAGCGATAGCGAGCATCTCACTTGCTTCCTGGTCCTCCATGCAGCATCGTCAGATGGAGCTTCCCGGTTCCTCAGACTCTCGGCCTCAGGAGTCGACAGAAGACTCTGAACAGAATCACATACCTCTCGAGTTCAGCTCGACAGTCTCAGCCGCCAACGTTCTCGCCAACCATTGCAGGGAGAACGGGCACCACAGCCAACCCCGAGACCGTGACCCTCACAACTACGATTTCGACTTGAAGAACTTCAAGCCACGCCCGGGCGACATCATAGTCGACGATGCAGGTAAGGAAACAATCATCGTTATCTCTAGATCCCACGTCGCTCCTAAAAAGATTCTAGATGCCGTGAAAAGGCACGGTGGGTTGAGAAACTCGAGATGTTCCCAAGGCGAGCCGAGCACGAAATTACTCTCAGTGTACATTATCTCCTTTCCCATGAACTTTGTGCATTCTTACAATGACCCCTGCGACATGTCTTTGCACAGGAGATAATCAAGCCTGTGAGTCTCTGCAGTTATACTCACTCATCTTGATACTCTCTCATCTTGTGCGCCGAAGCCCCTGCCATGGTTTTTGCTTCCTCATCAATCATGTTGCTCTCTGCCAATTCATGTAGCCTTTTTGCCCACCAGAGCCATCGAGCCGGTGTAACCGAGTTATGCGCATCGCTCCCTTCGTCGTCAGACCCTTGCCTCTCCCACTCTTCATACCACAACGGTCCTGCCACCGTCCAACCCCCATTTGTCCTTGTCCTTTCCCAGACCTCGTCTCCCGCAATTTCAATCCATCTCATAGCCGCTCGCAAAGAATGTAAAGAATCCATTCCTTCCACAGTCCTAGCATCCCACTCTAATGAATCCGCAATGACGCGAAAGGCGAATTGATACAGAAAGTCAAAGCTGCAGGGAGAGTCGCTGCTGCTGTGGATGAGATTAGCGGCAAAAGTGTTTTGGTTCGTCCATTGTTGTTCAGCGATGTGTTCGGGAACCCCGTCGTTAATGTAGGCTGTAGGACCTAGACAGAGATTAGGCAATAAGATGAAGTGAGGTCAGCGAATGTGATATACCTCGCATACAGTCGCCAAGATCAGTGGCAAACCCAGGTAATTGTGACCAGATTTTACCATCGTCGACTTTGAGGACTTGACCAGGTGCTATGTCATGTGCCTTGAGGTTGAAGCATAGATGAAGCGTCTCAGAGCTTTGATTTCGTACATCGAGTAACCTCGAAAGTGCTAGCACAAGATTGGCGAGTTTTTCGAGATTGCCAGTTTCTGAAAGTTCTTGTGCTGCGCCGATGATTGTTGAGAGGACTCCAGAGTATAGAGACGAAACATCATCGTCCAAGAAGATGAATGAAGATAACCGAGTTGCTGCCTCGTCAGGTTGTATAGTGTCTTGGAAGAGCTCCTTGAGAATGTCGAAGAGGGGTATATGTCGTCCTCCTGTCTCCTTCTGGTGTGCGTAAGTTGCTTCGAGATACTCTTCGTGTGAACAACGAGTGCTGGTAATGTTCATGGTGGTGCAAAAGCGAAGGCCGAAAGGTAAGTTGTAGATGGAGGTTGGACAGCAATAGCCCCGCATCTATTAGCTCCAAGGAAGGATTTCGCCAAGGTTGGTGAACGTCGTCGTAACATTCTAGGTCGTGAGTGATCTTGGCTGCCTGAGATTGCGATGTGGTTTCGCTCAATGAGCTGTCGAGTACATCGACTTCTGGCAACGACCCTTCCAGCTCTGTGCACTACCAGACTTAGGTGGCTCCACTGGCAGGATCAGATGGCAACTCATCTTTACGAGTTACCGTCTCGGACGCCGTCGACGACTGTATCTGATGTTTTGGCTCAGGCGATGACTTTGCGCCTTGTTTGAAATCATATGGTTTCGGCCATTTCCCAGAACCCATGACAAAGTCCTCGTGGCCCTTGGGCATCGCCGCTGCTATACCATTCTTTGTATAGCAGATCTGACAGACGAACTTGTCCGGATCGTGCAGATCTTGCCACCTACAACATAGAATCAGGTCAGCATCTACATCTAGAGAGAACGTGAAGGGGCTTCCAGATCAGGCATCCACATCTAGCGCATCGCAGAGTTTGTCCATGTGAGACCGTGGACTCGGACAAAATGTCAAGCGGATTCGACACAATAACCGCATGTCATTGAACTTTGATGTGTGAACTTCAAATATCAGCAGTCTCCTACTTGCAATCCTCGAATTGAAAGAACTTACCAAAGTCTTGCACCGTGCGCATGATAGGCATGACACGTGCTGCATGTTTTCCGAACTCGTTCGGGGTATACCACAGGCAGGTGGGTCTTCCACTCAAAGGCTTCCTATACATTTACTGACAGTCGGAAAAGCCACGAATTCATGCATCTGGTGAATCTATGCTCGAGTTTTTGGTGGTAGCGAACCCTCTTGTTTGCCAATCCGGTTTCTTTGAGTTGCGCATATCTCCCTGTTCGCTTCATGTTGTCAAGGTACTCCTTCGTCCGCGGTCTCTTACTGTCCAGATATTCTCTCCACCAGATAGGATCATCCCGTTTTTTGTAGTACCATCGCTGGTAGGCACTCATTGTTGATAACTCCTCTTCCGTAGGAATTCGCCGGGCAGCACGTATCTCGCAGGAAGAGAATGCTCGAGGTAATCCATGTCCTGACCAGAGATGTTGTGCGGAATCGAAGATGCCCTGCAAGAGACCTTTTTGAGATGTTGAAAACATGACGGAAACCGCTCGGTCGGGCTCGGGCTATGCTCCCCTCAGTAGTGATACACACAAGCAAGTTGATTTGATGAGCAAAGTCGATCTTCCACAGTCGAAACAGTCAAGGAAGATGATGGAAGAGTGATATGTAGCGCAAATTCGAGACGTCGTTTGGGGAGTACGGAGTTGATAAGAATTAGATTAAAATGAAATAGGAAGAAGTTGACAGCACGGTGCAGGTTGCCAAGAACATGCCCGTGAGAGTCCGTGAGCCACCGCAGAGTGCATTATTACCTATATCATTGTTCTTATACTAGAAGAGCAGCAGAACGGCGGGAGCATCTGTAGATGATAGAATCTGGGCTCGCACCCGTCTGGTGTTCCTATCCCGAGATATGAAGCTGAGGTGTGAGCTCATGTTGTTCCGCGGGTGATCGAAGTCCTTTCTCCATAGAGATGCACTCAATCTGCCTAGTATGGCTTGTACGGCTTGGGCTTCTTCTTACCCGGCCCAGGGACATGGTTTTCGAATTCCACCGGGTAAATCTTGAACGAATCTTGGTCCATGTAACAAGAATGGCAGGTATATTCTTGCGCGTCGGACGTCGCAGGAGCGGTATGGCCGTCCAGTCGCTTCCACCAGACCCTCGAATTCGCAGGGTAATCCGCGCAGACAATACATGTAAAGCGCTGCTTCTCCGGAAACACAACAGACAGGTGAGTTTTCCAGGCGTAAGCTTCCCTTTGTGATGCCGGTATCTCTGTTAGCCACCTACGGAGGCTTCCAAGAAGGCGATGATCTTCATTTTTTGACTTGTTCCTCCAGCGACTCAACACCTTCAGGTTGTATTCGGGATCGTCTTGGCGTCGTTGCTTCACCCTTTCGTGTACAAGTTTTTGGTGCATGTTTCTTCTCCTGCGGGATTCGGGATCCTCCCTCGTTTTGTAGTACCATGGCGAACTCGGTGACATTTCAAGAAGCTCGGCTTCGGTAGGATGTCGCCGGAACTTGATTCGTGGGTGGGATGATGAGAAAAGGCGCACGAGACCATAGCCCGATCTCGGTTGCCGGTTAGTGATGCTGAGCGCCCTCGCCAGAGAGAGAGTATCTTTGAGTAGAGCGAGCATGATAAGTTGTCGATCTTGAGCACTGATGTAAAACAAACAGTCTCTCAGGTGTTCGTTGTTTATCCTTGCAGACTTGCTGCGAGATCTTGACTAGTGTTGGGAAGAGATGGACCACGAATGTTCCTCCGCTGCAGCTCGATAGGTAGCCGAGTCCGGTCTTTCGTGGTGAGATATGGCGACTTGTGAATGTCGTCGCGACAAAGAATGATAGGTCACGACTCGGAATCGAAGTCCGCTTTGATCGCTGACGTCCGTGCACCATGGCGCTGATGATGTTTCGTGGGAGTTGCGACCTTGAACGGAGATTGTCACCGCATGATTTGTGGTTACCTTTTTGTATACCGTATCTTGCTTTTACGACGTTGGTGAATTGCGAAGCTAAACATCGTGCATTTTGATAGTCGCATTACCTCCTCTGTGTCAGCGTGAGAGTGATTCGAGGTGTGAGAGACGGTATTCGAGCCTCTGTCTTAGCTGATATAGAACTATAAAATTGCAGCATCGTTTGCAATCAATCGCGGAAGCCAGTGAGGGGGTGTATCTACGATGCGTTTCTCTAGCTGTTGCCATGATTCAGACTTCTTTGTGCATCTTCATAGTATTGTTTGAGCCTGCTGTCAGATCCTGCCTATCTGAGGTCGTAAAAGTGGGTATGAGCAAGGGCGAGAGGACAGATAGAGTATTGAGAGAAGGTTGTGGTTAAAAGTATGTTTCTTTCAATATTAAATACGTGCGTCAGTCCGAATGCCTGTATCTTCATCCTTTGCATATACGCAAAGCCTCGGCGCGGTGGAGTGCGTGTTGGTGTCCCATATGTACAGATCAGAACAGAGCCAAAGAGAGAAGAAAGGAGGACACAGCAAAGACCAGAACCGATCAGAAGCGACTAAAAGCATACGAAAACTCCAGTCCAAAGATGCAACAAAGACCAGCTCCACTTGCAAACGCCCATACCGAAACAGGCAGTAACGGAAAAATCAACCAAAATCGAAGACGCTCTGATGGGAGGAAGAAAGCAGAAAACAGAGAGTGATGGCGCTTTTTGCTCTTCCCAGGGAATGATAGACGTGAAATGAAAACAGGAAAAAAGATAAACCCTCGAGGATACCCCATATAAACATGTAAAACTCCTTCCCAGAAGCCTGGACACCTTCTAGTTTTTGCCGAAACTTATGCATTAGTCGTCGAAACACTTCTCATCCAGACAAGATCAATTATTCTCCCCCAATTCTCCTTTGACAGGGTGGGACAGCGACGGTAATAGACACATGCGTCCAGTGCCAATCTCTTCTTCTCGGGTACCACCCTCCTTGTTTTCACGGAGACCAAGCCAGCGGCGCCAGAGAGCACCGCTGAATTGAGAGTTGTAGTAGAAAGAACTGCCGATAAAGTTGTGTTCACCCCATCCGAAGGGACTGTCAACATCAATACGAGGACGGTTGAACATTCTGTCCATGTACTCAAGATCCCAGTCACGATCGAAGTAAACTGGTTGAGGAGCATAGACAGCCTTGAGACCATGTTGCAAGGCACATGAGGCGGGCCACATCTCTGGGAACATGGTGTGGCGGTACTTCCAGGTCTCTTCGTGCATAATATCCATCAGACGCTTGGAAAGACGAGAGACGGTAATGATGGCGCAACGACGAGGTGGAGGAGGCATCTTGAGACTGTAACCAGTTGCGTCGAGACGGAATACCCAGTTAGTCCTGCTGGGATCGAAAAGAGGGTTGAAAGTGATGAGATCAGCCTCTTCGCCGACTCCCCATTTGAAATCATCCTTGTCGTAGGGCATGGGAGGGGTAGTATCAGCGGGAGAGGTGGAGAGGCCATCGTTCTGGAAAGCAGGAGGGCCCCAGACAGGAGTCTTGCCGTTCTCACGAGTTTCACGCTCAACCATGTCAGTGAAGTTTTGGTATGAACCGTGAAGCTCGGGTATCCAGAATCTCTCAGCTCTCTCCCACATTCCCTTGCGAGGTTGCTTGCGAGCCCAGTCACCGAGAGCAGTATTGAATTCGTAGTAGTGGCCATTGTAACGGAGATCCATTTCCCAGTTCCAGTAAAAGTCGTAGTCGGGATATTGTTGGCCAAACCATTGAAGAGCAAAGTGGGCCGAGCGGTACACACCGTGGACACTTTGTTGGGAGGGGTTCTCGAAAGGCTCGGCGAAAGGAGGAGGGTAGTAGTTAAGCAGCTGAGACTCGGACCAGAGCACAGTCATGTTCCAGAACTCCTTGGGCATGTTCTGCTCGATGACCTTCTGGTAAACACCCTTGTCGGCCCAGATGGGAAGAGTCTCATCCTTGACGTGCAGAAGGAACCAGACATCGTACTCACCGCCAGATTTGAGCGAAAGTTCGGCGATCATGGCGCGAAGAGAGTAGAGCTGGTTATAGTTGAAGTTGTAGCCAGTCCAGATGCGGAGAATGTAGGCATGACGAGCGATCTTGCGGTGTGCATCCTTGTTCTCGAAACGAGCCTTGTTCTTGCTGTGACACTTCTTCATGGCCTTGCCCCAGTTGACGTTTGAATAATCAACTGTGCCCATCTTTTCGAAAAGCTTGTCCGTGCCGACATTCTCCGAGTCAAGACCAGGACCAAGACCACCTGCTGTAGCATTGTAGCCATAACCATAAGGACCGAGTCTTCCAAATCTATCATAACAGACATCATCTCTGATACCGAGTTCCTTGTGTGTGCCGAAGAAGGGAGCAGTCATGTTTCTGGGAAGACCGGGGTAGACATAGACATCAGGAACTTCGACCTTGTCTTCTTCATCCATGTAGCAGGTCTCAACTTTTCCATGCTTTTGCGTGTACTCGTACGAGTTGTAATCGGGGTAAGGGGTGAGCTTGATGGGATCTAAAGCGGGTTGCTTGGCAAGGCCACGGGCTTCGTTGCTGTCGACAGCACCCTCGGGCGCGGATTTGTTGTAGCGATTTTCCGGAACCCATTCTTTGGCGGGAGTCAAAGTACGAATGCCGTTGTAGAAGGCCTTCAATCTATCGGTGCGTGTTAGCGTTTCGGCAGACGTTGCGTGTCAGGACCAGTTCTTACTGTGGGTATTCCTCCCATGGATAACCCGGAGGCTTTTCTTGTGCTGGGTCCGGATTTGAAGGCGACGGAGACTCGCGGAATCTATGATGGCGGGTCGCAATAAGCATCAACAGAACGAGAAGCGACGTCAATGCCCAGAGTAGGATGCGAAGAGGAGACCAGCGGACTGAACGCATTGCCTCACCGGCGCGCTTCGGTGACGGCCATCGCACTCGCTTCAGAGGCTGCAGTGTGAATGGCGAAGTGTTGCGGCTGTCCGAGGGGAGCTCCTGGTATGAAAAGTTGCCGTGAAACAGCCTGAGCGGGTTCAAGTGTCGCAGACGCGCACCGCCTTGTTGCTGTTGTTGCATTGTGGGAAGACCTTCGCCAGCATCACTGGAGAGGCTGCTCTCCGACTTGCGTTCCTTGTAGTCGTCCAGATTGGCGGTGTTGAGAAAAAATTGCGAGTAGCGAGCGACGAGAGTTGGATTGGTTGGTTATTTGGCCAAGATGTGCAGACGTGGAAGCCGAGACCCAGCCGTTGGTTTAACGCCGGGGTTGCCGGGAGAGGTTGGGGGACAGAGTCGACGGCGAGCACAAGGTTGATGTAGGCTGGCTGAGAGACGCTCTGGTTGCTGCAAGCCGGAAGGGTATGTCCGGAGCAGGTTGCGGTGCAAGAGGATGGGAGGAGGAGGGGAACAAGTTGGACAGGAGGAAGAGGTGGTGGAACAATTTCCAAACAGCGTCCAGAAGGTCTTTGGGGGGGAGTGGGAGCATAAACGGGCCGCTTCCAAGCACCAGATCAAACACTTGGAACAGCGATGATTGGAGGCTCGAACGGCGGCGAGGTCCGTGTGCAAATAACAGAAAAGCCTCCTCAACGAGTCAACTCTGCCGGAGCTGAAGCTGATTGGATGGGCGACTAGCTACGAACTTGGAAACACACTTCGACGCTGGAGTCGTTATCGTGTCTTTGACTCTTGTTCCAGCGCGCTGGCAGGCTTGTGGTTTTCCGTTGGGTTAGTGCCTGTTTGCTTGGGACTGCGAGGAGTCCAGAGACGCTGCACTCTTGCGTGGTGTTCAACTCATCTTGTGTCTCTGACTCTCTTTTGCCGCGGAAGGTGCAATCGCAGCCACGCAGTCCCCCCAGTCTCTTGAATCTGGAGATCTCTCCTGCATGGCCGATGCGCCACACCCTGACTCTGCTTTCTCCACCTTCGGCCTCTTTTCGTCATGCATTTCCAAACACTCCGGGGAGCATGTCCTGCTTTTTCCTGGTGCTGTCCAGTGTCCACCTCTCCTGATTGCATAGACAGCTCATCCATATTGCGCCTGTCCTGCGTGACGGCCGATGCTCCACCAACATGCCGTCTGCCGAGTGCTTAACGTGTTGCGCCGTACAACCAAAACTTGACAGCCGGAACTCTCTGTTTTGATCGGCGGAAAAGAGTCGCAACCACTGTGAAACACACATCCATATCGAATCCCTATCCACATCAACCCTTCTACACATCATTCATCAAGACTCCTCACAGCCTCACTCTGCAGAACGCGCAATCCCCCAAATGCTGCCGTCCGTCTCTCGTCAGTCTCATCGTTCACTCCATGTAAACACAAGCTCCCGCTGCTCCGGTCGAGTGTAAGGATATGCATGAAACTCGGCTACGCTATAGAGTCTCGTTGTCATCCCCTCGTCTTGGCTGCCGTGAGAACCATACAACCCATGTCACCTCCTTGAGGTGATCTCTTCATCATGACCGCCTCCGTAAAGTCCGTCCCCTATTTGCAAGCCGATTTACCTGCACGAGTGCGAGAAGCCTCATGGCGTTGCATGCGTCCTGCATTGTACGCGCAATTTGATGGCGATCCACCATCTACCATAGCTCATGACCAGACATCAAGCCTTTGTTTTCCGAAAGATTCGTAATGGCCATGGTCACCATCACTGTTGTGTCGACGGCAGATGGCGAGGTTCACACCAAACTCTTGTCACACAACCCCAGTCAAATGAGCCTCAATATGATATGCACATCTCTGCAAGATGAAGTGCGGACATGGCTTGCTGCTTCTCGCGGATGTGCGCGCGTCCATCACGAATGTCACTCCCGTCGGTTTCTCGCTTTCTGCCGCACACGACTTTTTGCTTTTTTGCTTGCCAGAAGACTTTGGTCACCATCTTGCAAGGAAGCGGGATGTTGCAACATTCGGTCAAGCCGCTCTCGCGCAACACTTGCTGCGACGTGCAGCAAACATTTAAACATTAATCCAACTGGTACATGACCCGCCTATTTTTGGACGATTCAGCTATTGGATGCACGAACGCCTCCAATAAACAACATCAACCACCAATCACATCATCACATGTTTTGATAGGTCTGTCTCCTTTACTTCATTCTGACTTGTATATCAGCTCCCGTCTATCTCTTCGCATTCGTCTATGGTGTCTTGACGGGTAAATTGCAGTCAGATTTATACTTTACGATTCTCATGCACAGCCAGAATCAAGCCTCGGCAATACGAGACGGCAACTTTAACCACAAGACATGTCTTCAAAACCGCCTCCGAACAAAACCACGTTCCTGGCCATTAAACTTCGATATACCGCAGAAGCAAGTTTTTGCCCAGAGGAGGTTGGAGATACGGTTCGGTTTTGAGCTTGCGTTCGTATACCACACAGCGGCACAGCCTGTTCTGTTCGAACGCCGCGGCTGGAGTAATCGTTCGCCACGAAACTCTCTTGACAGCAGCATTTAGAGAACATTGGCGCGTCGCGTCCACCGCGGTCGAAAGCGGGCAAGTATCCTCGAGGTACAAAAGCATAAAGGTATGGAAAGCTTGATAGAACGTCGACTTCAAATCGCGATGGCTGGGTCGACAGCATGCATTCAACATCTCATCGCTGGCGGCGCGTCGCAAGCATATTCAACACGTTTGCTTTGACAGCTGGTGAGCGACTGGAAGGAGGCAAGCATCCACCAATCTCAACACCATCTATACCAGCCTTGTGATGTGCATGACTGACTGGATATCGTGACTCGCATTCCGCGATAGTAGCCATCGCTATGAAGAGCAGACCAGAACCACTCTCACAGCAGTCTGATTCGGGTAGCTCTCTAACACTAACACCAATAAGCAGTTGCCAACGATCGTTCTGGCGATGAGTGAGCCATTCCTTGCGGCATAGTCTTAGATGGATGCCCTTTCTCAGAATTCTCTTGATGCTCACGCGTCATCAATATACTTAAGACCCCCGCAGCTGCCCGGACTACACTCTCGGGGCAAGAGAGTCAATTCAATGAATTTCCCAACGATCAGGATCGATGCCGTTACTGGAGCCTCATGACAACATCTGAATGTTGTGCTTTGCAGGACTGTGTCCCACGCTCGCTGGAAGCTTTCGTACATTATATCTTTTGCGATAAGACTGATCGTCATCGAGTCTTCTGCTCTATCCTTATGGCTCAGAGTCGAGAAATGTCACTGAGCGCTTAGGGGCCGATAGAGAAGGATTTCTTACTTCTTCAAGGACCTCAAGACGAAGAGTCTATGCTATGTGATGCAAGCTTGCTTTCCAACAATCTTACGCCTGCACATGGAACCAAAGATCCGTCAGTCAGGACTCGGTACATAAGAAAGACTGGTTCTTGCTGGGAAAGCGATGGAACTCCAACTTCTTGCACATGACTAGCAGCTGATTCACATGTGACTATACATTTCCACCAAAGTCGCGGAAAAGTAGTCATGCAGATGCAAACAATCTGAGCGTTTCAAGGTCACCCTGACCTCAACGTTAGTGGACGAATCGAATTGAGATGATCATGCTATCTTGAGATAATCCCGAAACGGATTGGACGAGAGTGATGTCAAAAACGGCATCTGCGACAGTTATCCAGGGACAGATTTGCACATGCATGCATTGATCATGTGAAGAAGATTTGGTGCTTGTGACAGTGCAGTCACTGTTTGTTGACATGGGTAGAACAGCAAACATGTTGTACAAGTGGAGCGAGATGGAAGAGATAGTCCGACGAAGCTCCAGGGCTCAGATGTATCTCGGTGTTTGAGATGGGAAAATAGGTGGATTATAAGGGCGGTGTGTACAGAGCTTGGCAGGGCGGTGTGGAGGGGCAGCAGGTGCAAGTCATGAGCGTCCAGCTATTTGTGTCAGCAGAATGTCTATCTCTCACATGTCGAAGAAAGGAAATTTGAGCCAGTTGTAACGGGCGGCCTGAATGACAATGCTCTGCAGTTCAGTAGGTAGCAAGTGGGAAGCAAGCACGTTTTCAAACAAAGGGAAATTAGACTTTGGCAGGGCAGAGTCGACGACAGCCGAGAGGCCGAGACGGGGCATAAACATCCAAACAACAGCTTGTATCACTGACCGTCTCCACTCTGAACGACTCGCACTTTCTCCTCTCTTCTCCAGACTACGTGAGACAAGTTTCGACAACGACTTTGCACGCCTACTACAGAAAGAAAAGACACGAAACAGAACACCGGCGGCCTCGAGTCTAGTCAAACACAGATCATCAAGGTGTCTTTTCACCATGGCCATGCAGTAATCCCTGAAACGACAATACACGCTGTGCATAACCAATTCACCCCTGCATATGGAATCACAACTACCCTCGAACATGGAAGAGGTCGAGCAGAGATCGTCACCGCTCGCCGGCCCCGGAACAACGCGAGCAAATCGACGACTCCAACTACGAAAGAATGGCTTCCGCGGTCGAGTTCTGCCCAACCGCAACATCACTCCCAAGCGCAGGACCTCGGGCGCTTGGTCATCTCCCGCACAACAAGATGACACACCAACTTCAGATCTACCACAGCAACCCGAGTCGACCAAGACATATCTGAGTGCAAGAGGAAGGTCGTCTAGCATACTTCAAGAAGTCAGCAACTCGAGTCTACGGAGAAAAGACAAGAACAAGAACAAGCACGACTCGGTCCTGTCCGTCTTTGCAGACGAGAATGGAGACGACAAGGCCTGGAACTTTGAGTCGTCGCCAGCATGGTAACACAATCCTGCCCCACCTTGTATTGACTGTAGACGCTTACACAACCCCTCCCAGTCTTCCACCAGAAGCCCCGAACCTCACAAAGTCGAGAAAGAAGCATCAACGCACTCAGTCCTACAAAAGCAACCCTGACTCGGATCAACAAGATCAACACATTGCTTATCTCGAATCAGAACTCGCTGCCTACCAGACACAGCTAGCCTCATTGAGCTCCCCAACGGCCACGAAAGAGAAGGGCCAAAAGATACGTCAGTTGAACCAAGACATTCGAAGATTGGAACAGGAGAACACTCGCTGGGAGGCCGAGTTTGATGAGAGGGTGCTACAGGTCATGGAAGAGCACGATGGTGTCGAGAACAACCTGCGCGCGAGGATCAACATGTTGGAAGCAGACGGCGACAAGTACTTGCAAAAGGTCAAGGAACTCCAAGCTCAACTTGACGCTACGAGAAAGGCTTTGGACATTGCCGAAGCTGCGAATGTCGAGTTTGAGAAGAGATTGGAGACGTTTGCACACTTGCTTGTCACTTCGCCTATCAAGACCGAGACACCGCTCGCTCAGCCGCCTTTTACCAAGGAGTCCAGAAGTACGAGACAGAAGAGACTGTCATTCCATCGCTTTCCCACGGCTGGCTCTTTGCACCAAGCGAGTATGCTCGAACACCATGAAGGCGACGAGCCCAGACCACAATGCGAGGGCGCTGTACAGGATTACTTCGACAACCCCATAAGCGACACTGAAGGGGATGCCTCTAAGCGAGAGTCCTTCATCAGTGACGCCTCACGCAACAGCATCGACTTTAGTCTCCTTATGAACCAGGAACCTCCGCCATCTTCCTCCCGAGCTCGACCAAATCGACGAATGCGAAGATTCCATGGTGGATCACATCTTCCCAAACCTTTGATCCTGTCGGCTGCTCAATTAGCTCCCATACTGGCTTCGGCACCTGTTTACGAGCCACACGACTCACCTCGTGCATTTCCGTTCCCAGATGTACCTGTTGTGCCGAGAAGAGCCAGTTGCCATGAATTCAGCCCAATCGCTGGACGCAGACGAGCAAAGACGAATACAGATGGACTTCAATCGACGTTACTCCCACCTTTTGTCGCTACAGAGTCTTCCTCAACAATTCCCTCAAACGAGGAAGATAAAACACCGACCCCTCAACATACCATCGCCTCGCACGACACAGCAGCAGAGTATCCCTCCATAGGTCCCAACACTGGAAGAAACCTACTCGAAGAGCTAGATGCCGCTAGACACGACGAGGACTCTCAAACCACTTCTTCGGGACCCACTCCCTTCGCAACTCTCAACGCCAAACCTGCAGACTTGTCGTCTCACAGCACTAGCATTCAAAGAAATGTGTCTGGAGCCATGCGTCTACGCCATCAACGCAGCATGTCCGAAGCGACAGGTTTGTCGATGTACCCACCTTCTTCTCGGACTACATCTTCTGCTCTTCCAGCCCCTGTACCAAAACCCAACGGCGTGGTAGAGTTGGTCAAAGAGCTGCTGCGTCAACCTTTCAAGATTGCCAGGAGATGTGTGGCTCGAGCTCATCAAGCATTCTTGCTATCGAGAACATTGAATCGCTTCCAGTGGATGTTGTTGCATGTTTTACTCGGTCCTATGGCAACGAGAAGGTTGATGGCTTGCTCTCTACACGAAAATGCCATTTTGATGCAAACTCCTTATCGTCAATCTTCTCCTTCTCCATCAGAGAGATCTCAAGCCGAAGATACAGATTCTGAAGCTGATTCCTCAGATGTTGAGCTTTCACCTTGTCCATCACGACAATTACGCCGAAGAGCATCGCCTTCAACATGTGTCTTTGAGACACGACGCAAAGTCCATAAACGAAGGAGCACACAAGCACTGCGGAACGAGAGACAAAGAAGAGAAGATGCACCCATGTTGAGTAGACATTCGCCTTGGCTGTGGGTGAGATTTTCATTGACGTTGGCATTTGCCGTCGCGGCGGCTGTGAAAGAGGGACCTGGAGCTCTGATGGTCGAATGTGCGAGGGGCGTCGATGAAGATGAAGAGGGCACCAAATGTGGATGTTTAAAGTGTCTTGGAAGAGAAATGGCAAAGTGTAGATAGATCATAATGATGGGTGTTTTTGTATACAAGGTTATAGATATGCATAGGGATAGGGAGTTCTGGTGTACATAGAGATGACAGTGGATATGCTCAATGTTGTATATGGCAGGGGTATTGCAGGACTTGGCTTTTGCTCTCCATCCTTTCGTTGCCGTTGCCTCATTGGCCTCTATTCCGAATTGCTACAAGGAGGCTTGTGATATCCCCCTTTTCCCTCCGGGCTGTTTCCCTCATTACTACTTTGGTTCTCCGTCTTTTTCCTGTTTCATAGCCTAGATTTGGAGTTTGCGACAGCACACCCAGACGAGAAACACGAGTACTGGGTGTGTATTATGTATAGGACGAAGGGAGAGGCAAGTGTCAAGAGAAGGAGAAGGAGGCACTCAGATCTGTAAACCTTCTACGGGTTTCTTCCTATCGAGGAGATCTCTGGTCCATGCACCTGGTTCTGCTCTCTTCCTCTTTCTCCTCCAATCCATATCCCTGTTCTTGTAGGTCCAGCCACTCCACAGGCAGGATTCTCGTAGTTCTGCTTAACAATGTAGCAAAGAAAGCAGGAGTGAGCGTGAAGGACACGAGATCGAAACGAGCTAGACGATTTGTCTCGAATGGTGAGATGCCTCGTGGTGAGCTGTAGTCAAAACATACCGGCGGCTTAGTCAGCCAGAACGACCGCATGTTCTTCACCTATAATTCTTTCCATCGCAACGCGACAACGAGGCAGTTCCGTCACCATCAAACCACGATCCCCTAGAGCCCCGGGAATTGCACTTCTGGTTGCTACAGACCGCCAACCATGTGATCGATATCATTCTACCTCCCCCGGACTCCGAAGGGGTCCCGAAGAAGGTGCAGACAACCGGCATCAATATTCTTAATCTGCAGCTCCTTCCGAATAAGCTATAAGACTAGAAGCGGGGTAAAGAGAAGCGACTGCATATATCATGACCTTGATGGTCCTTCCTGAACACAAATGCAAAATCTCATTGTTTGGGAAAGAGCCCGCAAGACGAACCCACCTTCCATCTCAAGCACTTCCCTGATAGTCCAGCATCAATCATGCCTTCCCAACAACCCCAAATCTCGGACCTGCCAGCAATAACCACATACCTAACTGGCCACAACCACACTGGCAAAGCAATCGTTGAAGAAACCCGGCCTGCAAACTGGACCGTCTACGATAACGAAGAAATGGCCTTCAATGTCGCCTACACAACCTCTCAATTCCCAGCAAACCTCAATGGAAACACAGATATCAAAACCCACGACAAAGTAACCTCGTCAGGCAAACTCGGTCTTGTGAACCCAAACGGCACAGTTTGTCGTACCGTTGACTTTGCACCTGGCTTTGAATGTATGATGCACAGAACCCAATCGCTTGACTACGGTATCGTGATTGCTGGGGAGATTGAATTGGTGTTGGATTCTGGAGAGAGGCAGTTGATGAAGCCGGGAGATATCGCAGTGCAGAGGGCAACGATGCACTCGTGGAAGAATCCGAGTGAGAGCATGTGGGCGAGGATGACGTTTGTGTTGCAGGATTGTGAGAAGTTGGTTGTGGGTGGTGAGGTGCTGGGTGAGGATCATGGAAGAGGAACTGAAGGGCTGCCTATGAGCGGCAACTGAGGGCGAGGGGATATATCTTACTTCTTGTGTTACATTGCATTGGACATACTGTAGTTGTTGATTGAGCATAGGCCTTCATTGTATCTCCCGTGTAAGCAACAAGCTGGTATAAGTACTTCACCACTTACTTCGCAACCTTCCTTACTGATAATACTGATAAGCCACCTTCATGATTGATCTGGCATGGCCTGAAGGCCATGCAGACAGAGCCTGACTCCGCAATCACAACGGTAGCATCACTTTATCCAAGTATAGCAGATTACCAGGTCCATGAGTCTTCACGTCCTCTCGCTCGCTTTCTCCTAGTGATCGCACACAAACAGGTCCACTTCGTGCTGTTTCGTTCTGGGGGATCAACATGGGTTGCCCTGCTTTGCGGACCTGTGCCCCTGACTACCGCGTGAAGACAGGTCTGGTCTTTTCTCCCAGCCGCAGCGAGTATGTTCGGTGCTAACACCATGCATGTGCGTCTTGACGGCGCTTTAGTGGCGAGCATGAGTTAGTGGATAAGTCTGCCGCGAACAACCATGGCCTTTTCTTCTGCGGATTCTGTAACGAACGGTGTCATACCATGGCATGAGAATGTAGTGACTCCTACATGTCAAAGTTTGGAATCTGGCAAGGCGATTTTGGAACATTCTTCTTTTTGTAAAATCAAATTCTGATTCTGTACAATCTAAAACTCCAGAGCTGAGATTGCCTATGTACATTTCTAACCCATCTTGTACGGCGAATTGTCTCTTATTATGTATATCTCCCCGATCAAGACTGCACAGCCGACCACCATCGAAGTTGCGATGATAGGGATGTTTTCTCGTGCAAAGTCAAGTCGCCGGACGTGGATGTGCTTGCGAGCAAGAATATCGCGCCACAAGAGACCAGCCAACGATGCACTAAATGCCGTGCTGAACGCTCCGTAGTTGACACCCAGAGCCATGGAATACACGGTGGCCCAGAACGTGCGATCGCTGATGGGGATGCCGTTGTTGATATGGATTTGCTGCCAAGCTTGAACGACTCGAGCAAGCAGAATAGCTGTGCCAATGTTTGTGCCTGCGAACTGTGATTGAAAATGTTAGAGTGTTCTCGAGTCCGCTGGGATGAGTCTCACTTACGTTGCAAAGGATTACAGCGAGGAAACCCATTCCACCTATCGCACCAATAGTGCCGGTCTTGGTGACCCAATGATCCCAGCCATAGGCGAATACGGGGATCCATCCTTTGGTGACAAGCCCTTGAATCAACACGAACATTGATAGGGCAAAGGGTACAAGCTTAAGCGGAAGATGACTCAAGACTGCCATGACAGTAGGGAAAGTTTCCTGCAGCCACCTGTACTTTGCTGAAATCCATGTAGTGAGATTCCATCGCTGGGGTTCTTGTGAGGGGTGCGTGTCCTCGCTGCAAGATCGAGTTTTCTCTTCATCGATAGCTTTGTCCAGGGCTGCATCTAGTTTTCTGGTGTGCAAGTTGTTCGTGGTTGGCAACGATAATTGGGTAGAGGAGTATTTTGGTTCCTCTTTGTTGAGCAAAATACCATCTCCTGAGTCTCTCTCCGCTCCAGAAATGGTCTGGTCGGTATTGGGACTTGTATTGGACAATGATCGAATGCTCTTCTCAGACCCTGCAGGCTCTGGCGTGGGAGGCACTACATGAACAAACGAGCTTGAGGCGCCTGGCGTTTGGAACATGGCGCTGGCGGGTCTGCTGCTGCTGGCACGCTCGTCCTGCTCTGCTTGACGTGTCTTTGCAATCTTGCGAGTTTCTTTTCTGTGTTTCCATCCATAGGTAAGATCCCAGCAGAACATGATGAATGCGGCTGGTAGTGTGATCCAGAACACGGGATGTTCACCGATTTCCGAACTGGCTGCGTTGAGTCCAAGAAGCGTGATGAGTGCAACTGCCATAACGACAGCTCCAAATATTGCACCTCCCTTATCCAGGAATGGGTTCATGATTTCCGCAAGTGCAGCCTCTTTGTCCTCGGCAGACTCTTCGTCGTCCTCGTCTTTCTTTCCTTTCGCTTGGGGGATGTTGGGGTTGACTGGCTTCTTGTTTTTGGCTTCGTCTGATAGGGATTCCATCTCGATGGAGAGCGGAATAAGCTGTGGACTCGCGAAAACAACGTACAGCAAGAAAGGGAACAGAACGACCGCAGTGACCACAACAGGCACGATCATGTTCGCAGTATAGACGATAAACTTGATCTGGAAGGCTCCAGCAAGCACCAGATTCGCCGGATTCGATGACACGAGAATGGCCGAGGCGATGTTCGCAATTGAGAACTGTGAGTACATCCATGCTCTGGGATTATCGATGTTGCTCGAGACTCTGGTCATATATGCCAGAAAAGCCGTGCCAGAGAGAATGATAGGATCGTTTCCGATAAAAGTGCCCAGACTGAAGAAGAATGCGTATAGGTAGAAGAAGAGCAAATGGCCCACTTTACCTCCTTTTTGCAACACTTTGAATGCCAAAAATCTGATGAGTCCAGATGCATCGATGGAAATGGCAATGTAAGCCAGAGTGACGAAAAATACCATGATGTCGATGGGACTGACGTTGTCGGCTCCGACTGTACCATCATGCACTTCTTGTCGTCCAATAGCTGAGATTGCTAGCAAAAAGAGGTCGGCAATCAACGGTGCGGTCGATAAACTCATCGAAAAGTTCATCCGCACAAATCTTGAGGCTCTGTCGCTGCCTTTGTTGTGCGAATGTCCATGACGCCTTGAGGGTATTATGCGACACGCACTGAGTATGTTCAGGAACCCATTGTAGATGACCCTTGGAATGTAAATCGGGATCTTGAAGGGGAAGAGAACCACGATATCTATGTTCGAGTCAGGATGAGTTCCTACTGAGATGTAGACAAGGCGCCGACTTACTGGTCAGCAGGAAAACAATCAGTGTCACAATCGACCGCCATTCCTTGATCTTGTTGGTGTCCAAATCTTCGGCCATCTTGGTCGTCTTGTCGGAAGAGCGCAACACACTCTGCAGGTCTGTGGAGTCGGAGGTCTTCTTGTCTTACTCACGTCGTCGCGACGACATTATTCGGTGCGACGCGAAAGAAATATTTTAAACGACGTCGTACTCTGTTGACAGTGGCAAGGGAGTTGAGAGCGCCGTATGACGGCAAGAGCGTGCGCAGCCAGCCTCGTATGCTGTTTATTAGGCAGGCGGTCTACAAACTCAATCCCTCTTTCTCAAAAGTCGCTTGTAGCGATTGCAGTTGCACGTGGTGTTGCAGAAAACCGGTCAAGGATCGACTGTTGACCCCGCCGCCTCAGCCTCACTCGACAAGCAGCGAGGCACCATGATCCTTCCCAGCCCAAGAGAAAAGGGCAGCCACAAAAATGCCTAGGTACCCGGGAATGTCTTGCACGCCCCGAAGGCGCAGCGCCTCATTCGAAGATGGCATTCAGACATCGTTACGAACATAATCTTCTTTCTGTTTTCCAAGTCCTTGGGGGACGACATCAAGCTTTGAGATTAAGGTAACAGCTTTCTGTCATAGGCGGCGCAATTATCCGACATTCAACCACACCTTATCGGCCTTCCTTCGGCGGCGACACCCTTCTTGGACATGCCGCCCGTCACACCGACACTCTCGATTGGGTCGCTACTTGCACGAAACGTGACAACAGCAGACGGCTCGGATCTTGGATTGCATGTTGTATGTGCGTGGCCAGTCAGTGGACAGTATGGACCAGGCTCAAGAGTGCTGTAAGTTTCGTGAACTGATCCATCAGGAGCTCAACACTAATTAATCCAGTTACTATGTCCTCGTTGTTCTATGTGTGTTTGGTAAAAAGGCAGATTGGATAAAGAATGCGTGTCTAGCTGCTGTATTGCTCTTTCCTGCGGTCGCTGCTCTCCATGGCATCACACTCGCAGCTCTGCATGTAGATGGTGAGTTTAAGAGACGTCAAGTCCACAATGACTCGTCACTAATGCTGTTTTCAGGCGCTGTAGATATGGACATCTACGGAGCATTCCAATTATGCTCTCTGGGTATTTTAGCAGCTCCGGCGACCGTCAAAAACTCAAAGACGTATTTTCTGGACCCTGGCCGAAATATCATCTTCTTATGGACAGGTCTTATCCTTTCTGGTAGGAGATGGTCATCCCATATTTGACCTGAATACTGACACTCGCCTAGGTCTGCTGAGCTTGGCTGTTGAGTTCTTCCGCACCAAGACTCATGTCTGCAAGTCAGATAACGGGAGTCTACTATCTCTCGCAAACTTCGACTACGGAAACACTACCTGCGGTTTAGTCTGTACGGAAGAATTGGGTCCATTCTCTCCAATGCGTCAAGACGCAGCAAATAACATCTATGTGATACCAGCTCCGACTCGACTAACATTCGGCACTGTGACACTTCTATGTGCAGCGTGTTGCATCCCAGCTATTCTTACACTCATTTCCATGTGGAACAAAATTCTCGAGATCAATTGGAGATCACGATATGGCGTACCGACTGAGAAGGATCCAGAAGAGAAGAAGGTCAAGGATATCAACAACTTGATCAAACGCTTCTTGAATGTCATCGAAGCACCGATATTTGGTATCGCCGTAGTGGTTATTCTCATTCTCGGCGAGATCAACCTCTTCAGCAATCAAGTGAGGTATCAGACGGAACCCATAGCTAGCATTGGTAAGCAACCTGTTCTTGAACCCTGACATCTAGACGGTCTCTGACAATCAATTCAGGTCAATGGGCGCCGATAGTGGGAACCGGAATTGCCATGGCTGGAAGTCTTGTCGTATATCTGACTTCTACGTCTGCCAACCCGGAGACTGATGGTATAGACTCGGGATCCATCTCTAACTCGTCTTGCCATTGTAGCGTCCGACCGGAGACACACAATTCCAACCACAGCAGGACAAAATCCAATGCCCTTACACATGTCAACACCCAACGAAGCATGGCTAGCACTGTCCCAGCCGACAGAGGAGGTCGACGCAAAGTGGCCGAATTCATGCACAAGGTCGGAGACTACATGGGTACTCCTGGTCAAAGTCGATTTGACAACCCTTCTTATCGACGCGATTACCACAACTACCCCACCATTCCTGGTCAGGAGTTCCGAGACGCAGCATTGACGAATACAGAACGACTGTACAGCTCAGGACGCTTATCAAGATCTGCCAGTCGCGCTTCGAGTATGCGGGTAGCCATCCCATCCTCGCAAGGTCACGCGCTGCAAAGGCCACGGTCGGATTCTATAGGAGCAAGATCTGTCGACAGTCAGGATGCAATATCTCCCACTACAGTTGCTGGTCCGAGTATGACGACGCGAGCACGCAGAGATACTCTGGAAGTGCCATCTCCTGCTCACGTCTCCTCACGAGATGCTTTGGACAGATCGACAAGTTCGACCGGCCCAACCGCATCAGGCTGATTCCGCCATACGGGAATGGTCTCTGAGCGGTATTTTGAACACCCTATCAACTCACAGAATCATCCAAGATCTTGCAGCTGTACGACGAAACGTGCAAACTTCTGCAATGTCATTGGTCATATGTTGTTGCATTACATTCTGGGCGCCAAAAATCTTGGTATCTCGGCATCAGAACACACCCTTGGTATGCCTGATAGAATCCATGAGCCATTCGAACTCGATGACATTTCGCCGAGAGTATCATGGCACACTATCTGCTTGGCGAAGATACAGACATCATCAATCATGTGCATCATCCTGTCACGCTTTGTCTGATGCCAAGCCTGGGATACTCTCTATCAGGCTCACTCCATGACGCAGAGCACTCTTCAGTAACAGCCGAGGATAACAATACGATATGTAGAAGCTTCCACCTTATCTGTCTATTATCTATGATTCTGCCAAATATAGGCTCTATAATCTATGAAGTCTACATCTATCTCTATCCTACATCTAGTATCGGGAAAGAGCCGGAGAGAAACTACGCTTTCTGCTCCACCTGTTCTTGCCCCTTCTTCTTCCTCGCCAGCCTTCCTTTGAAAGGCCTACTCAACCTCTTCGCCCACTTCTTCTTCGCCTTGTGACCAGCCCTCCAAACTCTCTTCCTCGGATAATTGACCGGCGACTCTCCTCCTTCGAAGATACAAATATCATACATTGCCGCTCCCACGAGTCCTCCAGGAATACATGCCAGCCACGGACCCCAGAGCCACCAATTACCCTTCCAGAGTAGGTCCACTGGATACCCCAATATCCATAACGCTATCCTGGGGCCGAGGTCGCGAGTGGGGTTTATAGCTGCGCCGGTGTTGGATCCAAAGGCTTGCAATATGACACAGATGACGAAACCAAGGATGAGAGCAGTAGTGCCGGCGCCAGGGGGTGCATTCGTATCGTCACCGAGTGCAAGAACGATCAGCGCCAGAAACGCTGTCGCCACAAACTCCGAAAAGTATCCGCAAGCCAATGTGACATTGTCGTTTCTCAGACCAGTGACAAACGCATTCAAAACCGTCTGCGTCGCTTCCTTCTCCGTAGTTCCTCGCGCCGGACTTGCTATGTATGTATCGATCTGTGACGAAAAGACCGCCCAACTCACAAAGCCCGCCGCCAACGCACCCAAAAACTGCGCAGCAACATAACTTCCAATATGCTTTTTCGGAAACCCGCGGTAGATGTACAACACAATCGTAATCACTGGATTCAAATGTGCACCCGAGGGCCCACCGGCAATATAAATGCCAGTCATGGTTGCGAAGCCCCAAGCCAGAGATCCATAGATTGCATTGTTCGCTGAGGCACCCCCGAGGGTGATTGCTAGGTCTGCGGAAAATCCAAGAGTGAGTTGAACAAAGCAAGCTAGAGATTCTGCTAGCGAGTGGCGGAAGCGGTGGCGGAGGACGCTCCAGTGGGTGTGGGCGTTGTAGACTTCTTCTTCGAGGGCGGCGTTGTGGGTTAGTGTCAATTCGTCGTCCGAGGGTGGGTTGTCCAGAGCTGTTTTTGCGGAGAAGGAGTCGTCGAATTCGTAGGTTGGGCGGTAGGAGGGGGTTGCATCGAAGGGTGCGTCCTGCTCGGTGTATTCTGGGAATTGCTCGTGATCGGTGGGTTCGTGCTCTTCGGCTACATCAGGGAGGACGTCGACGGTGCTTCCTTGTTGCGCGCTATTCTCCCGTCGTAGTTGCTGGGTTTGCGATTGCAGAGAGGATGAAGAATCTGCTCTTGCTCGTCCGATCTTCTTAGACCCAGATCTGCCTTCCACAAACCTTCTTTCGCGTTCTGCTCTCACAGCTTGGAGTTTTGACGATACACGATTGAGGCGTAGAGTAGGTTCTGGCCCTTGCTCCACATCCCCCTCCGTGATCTCGGTATCTCCTTGTTGATTGTGGATGGTATCGATTTCGCTGGCTGTGGGCACCATGCCCGGTCTCACCACTCTGGGTAAAGGTTTCGCTAAACTCCATACTGGCTTTGCATGCATTGGCTGCGTGTACGCTGGATTCAGTTGCGCATAGCCAGGGTCGACATATGGCAAATGCTGACTTGCAACAGCGACCATGTCCTGAGGTCCGGCAAGACTGAATTGCTCGTCATTTCCTAAGCTCAATCCAGTGGCTCTGCGGACTAGAGAACGGTTCTGGGGTCGGAAGGAAGTTGTGGTGCCGCGACGACGAATGCCGCCGTTCGGAGACTGCTCGGCCAGGTTCCAGGTTCGGGCTCGGTTGACGAATTGATTAGGAAGAGGTTCTTCATTGCTGTTTTCTGCACTTGGAGATGTCACGTCAAAGGTATCTTGTTGGATGGAGGACTATTCGATGTTAGCAATTGCATGAGAGAGACTACCATGGACGTACAGTAGCTCGCCCACGACGGCCTTGATCAGCAGACGTGCGATCCATGGTTACCGATCGGAATAGTTCTCATCAAACGAAGCCCTGAACACGGATCTAGGAAAAAGAGATACCAGTGCCTAGATTCAAGAGAATGTGGCAGCAGAAAGCGTAGCATGAAAGAAACATCAGGGAAGAAGGAGATAGGAAGATACTATACACGAAGTTGCCCTAATCACGTATGCAATATCGCCTTCGATAGGTTGAGCCCCTTCATCCTTTCGGACGCGTGTATAACGGATCCGCCCCATCCGAACATAAATAGCAGAAGGAAGAAGCCAAAACTCCGCTATCAATCAGGAGATTTCTGATCCTTTGGCATTTTCATCTCATGATGTGCGACCAGTGTATCACCACTTCAACTTATAGGTAGGTTCTTGTTCGATTTTGCTGTTCAAGCAGAACAACTTCAAGAACTCAAACAGGAGTCATAGAAGATGACACCGCTCAATATCGGTTTGAAGACAGTGCGAGTTGCGAAAGCAAGAAGCCCGTGTGGACCCTGATCGGCAGGAACAAGCTTTGATGACGTAGAGACGATCTTTTCTCGAACATGTTCGCCGAAATATCAACAACCTGTCAAACCCTATAGAATTGTTTCTGTGCGTGATACTCATGTAGCAAGGACGAATGAGATCGTAGAGAGGTATCATCGTTGCTTGCTCGCATCGACATTACTCTCTGCAGTCGTCCTCACTCTTCATAGCTCGTGTCAATCAGCCCGGCTATCTCGGAGATAGAAAAATGTCTACTTGATTGCACAAATGTTGATCACGGCTGTCACGGCTAGAGATAAATAGAACATCTGAAACACACGGGTCTCTAATATACTGTATGACTTTTGTGAGAAAAAGAGAATCACTATTTTGTAAACGCCTTGTACGGCTTTTCTGTGTCGAAGCCTCCTAAACTGCCTCTGCAGCAAGCTCCCTTGATATCATTGAGAACCCTCCGGGGAAACTGAAACTCCATGCTAATAGAACATTACTGAGAAAGAAACAAAGGAAAATCATGAGAAAGTAGGTTATGACCAGGTACTCTAGGCACCGACATCGATCATGCGACCCAAAGCCTCAGCAACGTCGATACCGGTACCAATCTGCTCGATGGCATCTTGAGCCTTTGGTGCTCCGATGAGTGCAATACCACGAGGCACGACGACATCAGTGACATCGAAGCATCCGAATGTGATGACCCTCTTGATGGAAGGACAACTCTGGAAGATGCCGGCAACCACAGATGTATCAGCGGCGCTGCAGAAACTGATATTGATCGTCTCGAGATTGGAGTACTTGGTGCCGCTGCCAAACACATCGAGGAAGGCTTCCAGACTGATGTGGCGGCAAGAGGCGATGTCTAGAGTACGAAGAGCTGATCCAGAGTGTGCCATCAGAGCCTTGAAACCGGCAGAAGCGAGCCCGATAGCTTCTTCAGGTCCTTTGGGGTTGTTGTTGTCGACATCGCGAGTTCCGCTGAAGTCAGCAAAGGTGAGAGGTGGGTTCTTCCAATTGGTGAAGAGGTTGGCGTAGGCAGCATCACTAGCGACATCGTTCATTTGCAGACGGAACTTCTCCAGCTGGTTACAAGACTCCTTGATTTGTGCGAGAACTGCATCGTCGAGATCAAGGAAGTCTTCGAAAGAGAGAGTACGCAACTTAGGACCGACAGACTTGATGAGATTGATGACAGACTCGGGAGATGGCTGGACACCAGTCTGCAACGAAAGACGTTCCAGATTGGTCAGACCAGCAAGAGCGATGATGGACTCTTCAGTGAGCTTGCGGCATAGCTTGAGCTTGAGACGGACAAGATCAGGGCAGTTCTCAACCAGTTCCTTGACAGTGTCGTCGTTGAACGAAGCATCCAGCCATGATAGTTTGACTGCTCTGAGCTGCTTGCCGTATCGCTGGAAGAGCTTGCGCCACATGTCATCCGACACCAAGTTGGCGGCATAGAACTGGATGAAGTTGATCGAGTCGCACTTCTCCATCATGTACTCAATAACCTCATCCTTGAGCTGACAAGCATTGCGGATGACGAGCTTCTGGAGTCCAGGAGCCACGGCGCAGATGCCCTGGTAATCTTCGACTTCCAGGTATGCAGCGTCGTGGATGCACACAGCATCCGAGTCTGGTCGTACGAAGAGCTTGAGCGTCTTTGGGTTTAGGACACGCTTCTTTGCGAAGATCTCAGCCAGTCGCAGCATGACAGGCTCTGGCAATTCGCCGAGCTCATCGACGTCTTCGTGATACTGTGCGACCTTTTCAATGCAAAGCTGCTGCAACGACTTTGCTCCACCAACAGCGATACCGTTCAAGCGCTCACTCTCGACCTGACGTCTCTTTCTTCCAGCTGGGGGCTTTCTTGCCTTCTTTCCTGCTGCTGCATCTCCGTCTTTGGCTAGCTCTTTACCACAAGGTGTGCAGACCAGACCTCCTTCAGGACCGCTCTTGCTGTATGGCGTGACAGTAAAACGCTTGCTGCAGATCTCGCAGTTCTCGAATTGACCAGGCATGGGAGGAGCCTTGACATACATGGCATTGCCAATGTCAAAGTCCTCGTCGTCCTCGTCATCGCTGTTGACCGGCTTCTTCTTTTTCTTTCCACCCTTGGCTCCTCTTGCTTTCTTGATCTTCTCAATGGCAGCCTCTTCCTTTCTCTTGCGCTTCCTGGACTTTTCCTCTGCTGCTTCTGCGGCTTCTGTTGCGGCTAGGGCGGCTGCGGCGTCGGCGTCTGGGTCGGTGGGTGGTAGAGGGGTGTTGGAGGTGCCTTCGCCGGCATTTTCTTGCTGAGCGGCTTCGCGCACGCGGCGTTCGTAGTCATCGCGGATTTGTTGTGCTGAGATGTTGTGTGAAGATAAGAAGTCGGTCAAGGCAGATTGTCTGAGCATAGTTAGTTGCCGAATTAAAGGACTGTATTCGCAGTAATACTGACGGGCCACGGATGCGGTTGCCATTGCGTCTTCCGGACATGGTGTTGTGTGCTGTATGAGAGAAGAGTGGTGTGAGAGGCGTGTGTGATGGTCGATCGATTGGAAAGGACAAAGAGTGTGAGAGCTGAAGCGTGAAAGGTGAAAGAGTTGTGGACCGAGAGACCAGAGCAGCCAGCTGTCAGGAAGTGAAAGAGAGTGTTGTGACACAGGACTTGCTTCCGTACGCGAACAGAAAAGAAAGCTGTACCTGCCAGGCAGACGCGAGGGTGGCGTCGGGGTTCTTCTGTTAACTCCGCGTTTTCGTCGAGCGGGGGACCTTGTCTTTGTGTCAATGAGACAGATCTTTTGCGACCAGCTCTGTTTAATGGCGACAATGAACACGGCATATTGTCCTTACGATACGTTCCCTCATAGTACGATATTACATGCATAGATGTACTGGAACAGGCTGCACATTGCCGCTCGTGATTTTACGAAGTAAGGTTTTATCGTAACGCCAGCATCACTACACGACATTCATCCCGATATATCACATTCAATATTTGGTTCACATCATCTCGTCTGTGGAAGATGGCTTGACTTCACGTGCAGTATATCAGTATTCACAACTGTCTGCCAAGCATGGTTGGTTCCATAGAAGCCCATCAACAATGCACAAAAACGGAAAGCAAGAAAAGATAATCTGATCGAGAGCCAATGCAATTCGTAGCGTACTACTGTCTATAAGTCTATGATGTAGGGGTATTCGTTAAACAGGACTTTTTCATAAGGGTACCAAGCAAGCAAGCTCCAAACAACAGAGAACATCCTTAGTTCTCAAGGACGAATCTGTAACGGGGCAGACCCTTCTCGAAGTCGATGATGGCCTGGTTGGCATCAGACATCCTGCGCACCTCAATCCATGGCTTGATCGACTTGGAAGCCGCAAGCTCAAGCATTTCCTCGATCTCCTGAGGGGTACCAATGAGAGATCCACCAACCTTGATGCCATTGGTGATGAGGGTGAAGGCGTTGATTGGGGGAAGGTTGCCACCGTCGGGAGCACCGACCTGGATGAAAGTACCACCAACCTTCAAGAGGGAAAGGTACTCGGTCATGGGCATCTTCTCGCTGGAAACAGTGCAGATGATCAGGTCGAGGGTACGGGCGTTCTCAGCGGCCCAGTCCTTGTCCTCAGCAGTGGCGATGTACTTGTCGGCACCGAGCTTGAGGACGTCGTCGCGCTTGTCGTTCTTGCGGGAAATACCAACAACGCGGTCAGCACCGAGAGCCTTGGCGAAGAGGACACCGAAGTGGCCGAGACCACCAACACCGACGATACCAACAGTCTTGCCGGGACCACAGCCGTTGCGGACTAGAGGAGAGTAGACGGTGACACCACCGCAGAGCATGGGAGCAGCATCGGCAGATTCGATCCCCTCGGGAATCTTGACGACGAAAGCACCGTGGGTGCGGTTGTAGTTGGAGTAACCACCGTACGACTTGTCCTTGCCGTTGGGGTAGACGGAGCCGTAGGTGTTGACGGCCTTCTTGCAGTAGGTCATGTTGCCAGCCTTGCAGTCAACGCACTCGAGGCAAGACTGGGCCTGGGCACCGACACCGACACGGTCGCCGACCTTGATGTTCTTGACCTCCTTGCCAACACGGACAGCCTTGCCGACAATCTCGTGGCCAACGCAGCAAGGGTAGGGAGTAGGGCCCCATCCGGAGGAAAGCATGTGAATGTCGGAACCGCAGATACCGCAGTGAGAAATCTTGATATCGACGTCGGTCTCCTCGAAGGTCTGTCATGGTGTGTTAGTCCATGTTATCAAGCATCAATATTGGAATTGACCAAAACTCACCTTGGGCTCGAACTCGCCCCAGACCATCTTGCCCTTGGCGGCCTCAGGCTCGTGGCCCAACCAGCCAGAGAACTTCTCGGGGATCTGCTCAGTAGACATGATGTGTGATGTGTGGTGTTGTTGTTTGAGAGAGGGAAATAGATGGAGGAATAAAGAGGAAGTAGGAGAGGAGTAAAGAACAACAAGTAACTGAGGGAAACAGCGATTGCTATATATTGACAGGCAACCGATTCGAGATTAGAAAGTTTATCTTGCTCCATGCTCCATGCCCTTCCAAATGCCATCTTTTTCGAATTTCGGCCGGCGGTTGTAGCATGTTTCAAGACTTAACTCCGGCCTGACATCATGTTTGGTATTTTCTGCTTATCTGGCTGACAAAGGCTTTTTCGCTGTAGCAAACTGCCGCAGGCTCTCACTGGATAGTGACTACGTTCCAGTCCTCTTTGGCCATGCCATTGCGCGACTGATGTGCAACACAATGAGACAGACATGAGGAATGAAGGCGTTCTCTCGAAATGTGGCGATAGGCGCACGGTGTCCATGACGTTCACCGCTTGCCGTTGTGTCACTCACGACTCGCGAAAAATGCCCAACAGCTTTGTAAGCCGTGTCTGCTCGTATCTGGGATAAGGTCGTTGCCGGTGCCGGACACTGTTTGGAGAAACACTGGGGCTGGCTGTCATGGTTTGGCAAGAGCGAATGTGGACCGATTGATTGACTAGAATGCTGTGGATGCTAATGCCGTTGATGATGATGATGATGATGAGAATTATGCCCATTCGCCTTACGCCTGTCGCTGTCTCAAACCCATATGCTCAGCATCAGTATGTGCTGCTTCGTTCACTTCCTATGACCATGGCCGTCATGAGGTCCTCCAGCTCGTCCAAAGATTGCATCCCACATGATACACCCCAGCGCGCCTTGTGTAGCCTCTGCTTCTCAATCTCCTTCAGTCTGTCAGGACCCCAGCTCAACTTTTTGTCGGCGCTGAGAACAACCGTAGCGAGTGCATTGAGCATTGGTGAATCGAGGGCTACTCCTTCCCATGCGTCAATCTCGACATTGCAAATGCTGGGCGCTTGCTCCAGAATGTCCTTCAACCAGCCAACGCAGAGGTTCATGTATGTGTATTGGTCATTGCCTTTTCCATGATGTCCCTTGAAGTACGCATCGGTTGGATCTACTTGAACGTTGATTTTGAGCGTGCGGACGGAGACGCAATCGGTGAGACCTAGTGAAGGGCCGGTATGCCAGCATTTGGGGACCTGAGACAGATGGTTGTTAGCACTCTGCACCGACATACGAGCTCGAGTATAGAATTATAGGCATTGCACAAGGCACTTCATACTGTTTCAACACAAAGAAGGAGATGGGGTTCTTTCACAAGGTGCGAGGGGTCGCGCTGGACTTACTCTTTCCCATCCTGGTCCCAGGCGCAACTCAATTGTGTTGATGACGGCGCGGTAAGTTGGCGTAAGAAGCTCAAGCAAAGGCTTCTTGGTCTTGTACACATTTCCACCGATTGGGAACAGTCTGAAAGGCTGCTGTGGCGAGCCATAGAAGATTGGGTAGGCCTCATCATGCATGCGCCGAGATGCGCGGAAGCATGTCAAACGTGGGGCAATTCTTCTGTCATTATCTCGTTCCAGATCTACGACACCCTTTCCGTGCTCAATGAACAGCACGTATTGGTATATCTTGATGCGCAGTTCCGAGGGTAGTTCGAAGAAGGGAAAAGGCTTTTTAGTAGGCGGGTCCGAAGACGACGATGACGACGCGACTGAGTCCATGAGTGGCAAGTAGTGTTTAGGTGACAACGTGTTCTTCGTTTTCGATATCGTAGGTAGGTATGTACAATGAGGGAGGGAGTATCCAGGGTCTCTGAACGTCTGGCAGAAATGAAGCCATCGTCACGTGGACTCGGCCTCACAATCAGTTCATCGCGACGAACTGAAGAGACAAGAGTGGAATTGATGAGTTGTCGAACAATAACGGGAGACAAAGCCCAATAGGTTGGAGCGTCGCTTCTTAATATGTCCAGAAATTTCCTCTCACCAGATGTTCAGCTCAATAACCCACGGTGTATAGGGTGATCAAGTCAAATTTTCTGGTTGTTATAAACTTTCATGGAGAGAAAAAGGCTGGGTTGAACGCACCGGGTGGCGAGCTTTATAGATTCTGAAGCCCCGCCTGCAAACAGAGCAAACCCGACGCGTGCATCCACCAGGGTCGGCATGAAAAGCTATCAACGCTGCATCGTGTAAAGAGCTCGTATGGCAGGAAGCCTCCTCAACTCGCATATATTCGACATGTATCATTGTACCATGGTCGCGAGATGATGTATGCATCAAAGAGTTCTGGCCGTACCTGGAAGCAACCTCCGAGTCTTATTGCTTTGTGAGATACATCGAGGAGCACGAATGGTACGAGATGTTCGCCGATGCAGCTTCCGTGTCGTTACACTCAAGAGCATTAGCGCAGGAGTCAGAGACCAGAGCAAACGACCGACCTTCTTCAATCAAGAAGTTCAAGAGAAACCAGAAGAAGCAAGCACCCAAACAACGAAAAGCTGCGCTCGTCAAAGAGCATTATAAAAGTCCAATTTGATGACCAAAAAGACAATATCATGACACACAGCAGGTCCGCCAGGATCCGTAAATAATTGAGAATCGAGCCATTGCGTGTAAGGACATTCAACAATGGATGAGATACTACAAGTCCTCAAAGGCAGCCTCATCTGTGCTCGAGTTTGTAACGTGGTCAGCTATAAAAGTGCACAGCAGTCCCGAGGGATTTATAGTCTCCATCGAGATGCGATGTATTGTAGGATCTATCTCGTCATAGCCTTCAACTCAGCAAATGCTGTTTTCTTCTATAACGAGGTTGTTCTCTTCCCCTGTGGGATACATGTCTGTTCCATTGTCTATCTGGTGGTTCTGGATAGGTAGCTTCGGCAATTGAAAGTTTTATACCGAGCAGCAGATAATTCCCATCCCGGCAAATCAAGCAACGAACACACTCCAAGTTCATAGAACCGTCTCTCGTAGCTGTCCTATCCCTCTGCCGCGGTTTACATGAACGAAAAGCATAATCACATCGTCTGACCATTCCCCATCTCCGCATGCCCCTCCCTAAGCAGCCACCTTTCAGCCATCTTACCCCGCAACTTGCCCCACTATCGAACTTATCTCCATAACAGCCAAACAACAGATCAACCTCGTCTTGCGATTGTGCCTCGGCGAAGGATGCAAAGAATGAGGAGAAGGCAGTCGTCACCCAAAAGAGACAAGGATCGTTGATGCTTGGAGCTCATGCTTATCTACCTGCAGTAGTTCGCTCGCATTTGACAGCCATCTCGACTTCTTTTCTCTATACCTCGAGAGCTCAAGCATACTTCTCACAGCTTTTCAAGCACCCTGTATACCTAGACCCACAATCTCACAGTCAAAGATCTCAGCAACATCCTCAAAAATGTCCTCTCCCGAAATCCCCAAGAAGTACAAAGCAGTCATCTACGACAACCCAGGCTCGATCAGCACAAAAATCGTCGAACTCGACACACCCACCCCAGGACCCGGCGAAGTCCTTATCAACCTCACCCATTCAGGCGTTTGTCACAGCGACATGGGCATCATGACAAACTCCTGGAAAGCACTCCCTCATCCCACCCAACCAGGCCAAGTCGGTGGTCACGAGGGCGTAGGCAAAATCGTTGCCATGGGTCCTGGCACTGAAAATGCTGCGGTGAAAGTAGGTCAGAGGGTTGGTGTCAAGTGGATCAGTGGGATTTGTGGTGGGTGTCCTGCTTGTTTGAGTGGGCATGATGGTGTGTGTTTCAATCAGAAGGTGTCGGGTTACTATACGCCAGGTACTTATCAGCAATATGTGCTGGGACCTGCGGATTACGTTACTCCCATCCCTGATGAGCTTGACTCTGCAGCTGCTGCCCCCATGTAAGTTCCCTCCCTCTGCTCCCTCTTGCCGTTTCACCTTCGAGTCAGGTACTGACGTTTGGCAAAACAAAGGCTCTGCGCAGGCGTAACAGTCTACTCCGCCTTCCGCAAATCCACCGCTCAGTCAGGCGATTTTGTCGTTCTCCTCGGTGCAGGTGGCGGCCTCGGCCACATTGCCACACAAATGGGTGCTCGCGGCATGGGCATGCGCATCATCGGCATCGACCACGGCAGCAAGAAAGACCTGGTTCTCGAATCCGGCGCCGAGCACTTCATCGATCACACTACCTCCAAAGACGTTGCTGCTGATGTACAAGCACTGACCGGTGGGCTTGGTGCTCAAGCCGTTTTGGTGTTGACGGCGGCGAATGGTGCGTATGCTTCTGGCATGCAGTTGCTCAAGTTTGGTGGTACGTTGGTTTGTGTGGGGTTGCCTGAGGGTGAGTTGCAGCCTATTGCTACTTGTTTCCCGCAGGTGATGGTGGCAAAGGAACAGAGAGTGGTCGGGTCAGCGGTTGGAAACAGGAAGGAGGCTATCGAGACGCTGGATTTGGCTGCCAGAGGAATCATCAAGACGCATTTCAGAACTGCAAAGATGGAGGATTTGACTGGTATCTTTGAAGAGATGGACAAGGGTAAGATCCAGGGAAGAGTTGTATTGGACTTGCAGTAGGTGTGGTGATGCTGATGTTGTAATGAACCTTTTGGATGAACGAATTGGTATCTATTGTAGCTTGATCAGCTAGGCACTTGGAACGCACACCTCAACAAGACAATCGCTGCCTTCATGATCAGACTTCGTGAACACTGCAACTTGTGTGTATGCGTACCTCGATACGAAAATTGAGCTGAATGCTGTCAAGTCAGTGGCTGGAATGAATACAAGTCACTCAGTGAACATGCAACAGGAAAGTGGACAAAAAAGCAAATGTCGTTCTGGCCGGTATACCCACAGCCAAATGTTAGTATACAGAGCCGTCCCTCGTCAATGTGTAGAAAAATTTGATATAAAACGCCAGGCCAGTGCATGCTACCGTCTACAAACTCGTCAGGTAATCCTCAATCTCTTGCGAGCTGAGCTTTCTGAAACGAGGACCTTGAGCGCCCTCGACACCCTCAACGCCGAGCAGGTGATCAGCAGGAGCACCAACGATACCAATCTCGATGGTGTCACCGTTCATCTCACCCTCGATAGTCTCCTTGAGTGTGAGCAGAGCAATGTGAATGGCGTCTTCAAGCTCGAGACCGTCTGTGTAGCGCTTCTCCAAGAAAGTCTTTGCCGAGGTGGCGCTCTTGCCGATGGCGGTGGCCTTCCAGGGGAAGTAGGAACCGCTGGGATCGACTTGGTACAACGAAGGACCACCCTTGAGGATACCGCCAGTCTTTCCCTTGATGGCCTTCTTTTCCGCATCATCACCAGCATCGGCAGCCTCAGTCTCGGGCTCAATACCGTCGTCCCATCCGGCAACCAACAAACTGACACCATATGGCCGCACGCCACCTGACTGGGTAGCCTCTTGCATGACACGAGCAACGTCCTGGACTAGAATGCGAGTAGGGGGATATTCGTTGTAGACACGCTTGTAGTTTGTGTGTGAGACCTTGCGAGCCTTGTCGACGAGGATGCGGTAGTCGGGACCCATGCCGGCGTAGACGGTTCCGATGTTGGGGGTGATGAGGGAGATCTTGCTTCCGGAGGCGGCATCGATGAGGGGCGAGGATGATTTCTTTTCGGTAGCGAGGACGATACCGTTGGTGGCTAAGAGGGGGAGTCATTATTGAGATGGGATGATAGAGTGCTCAAGTGTGCGGACCTTTGATGCCTAGGGCGGTGACACCTTGGTTGACGGCGTTGAGAGCATATTCTGAGCGAATGTGAGCGAGGATCTTGTTGGCTGCGAGCTACTTGGGCGTACCAATCTGTACCAGCTTTCCGCTAGACGAAAGTCAGCATAAGGCTTGCGCAAGCGGTATAGGGTGAACAGTACCTGGGGGAGAAGGTGGTGAGCGAGAACGAGTAGCGATCGGCCATGATGTGAGAAGATGTGTGGCGAAGATGGAAGAGTGAGGGGACGAGACTGCAGAGAGATGGATGGAGCTGCAATCAGAGAGAGGATGGACGGCGAAACGACAGGAACAGATGCGACTGTGCTTGGATGGTTTGTATGGAGCTGCTGCTGCTGCTCTCTGGCCCATAGCGCAGGCGCTCGCTCAGTGACGCGCTACCCGAAGGAAGCTCGGGCCCACCAAAACCGCCAAGGCCTGGTTCTTTCCTCTTCTTCCGCAAACATTGGTGCCTCGACAGAAGAAGAAGCTTTTCCCTCTGACAAGCCGTCACAAGCGCATAAACACCAGCTGGCCTCTTCAACTCCTCTATTTGATCATGACCGCTGGCGCCCCTGCCTTGCACTGCAGCCCAAACACCACTGGCACCTGAGTATCCTTTGAGCACCATGGCTTCATCCTCGTCGATTGACCCTGCATCATGGACTTGGTCCGAGGACTTGCCCGGTGCCTGGGACAACCATCATGTTGAAGAAGAGACCAAACCGGATTCCTCTCAGACCTATTCTTACTCCGACAAGGAAGCACAGCATCACTCAGACCAAGAGGACCACCAAACCCCGCCCCAACCACCACCACCATCCTCGACAGCTTCTGGCGGACAACAACAGCGCGAACGTCATTACAACCCACGCACTTGTCGCATCTGTCTGGAGACTGTATTACCCACATACCACCCGCCATCAGATTCATTACCAGGCTTCTTACGCTCTAGGCCAAGCGTCACATACGAGGACGCAGACGGCGGTCGTCTACTTCGCCCTTGCCTGTGCAAGGGCAGTCAGAAATATGTCCACGAGCATTGTCTGCAAGCCTGGCGTCTGCAGAATCCTGCCGCAAAACGTAACTACTGGCAGTGCCCAACATGTAGGTACAAATATCGTCTAGAACGAATGAACTGGGCACACTGGATCAGTAGTACGGCCGCCCAGATTCTGCTTACCGTGGCCATCTTTATCGTCGCCTCATTCACTCTAGGTTATGTGGCTGATCCCATCATCAATCTCTATCTCGATCCTTACGACACGATCGCTCATGGTTCTCAACCCTTGCTGCCTACAGACGAGCCTGTTACATGGACCGAGCATTTCATCAAAGGGTTTGCCTCCTTGGGCTTGGTTGGATTTGCAAAGTTTCTGTTCACGCTGAGTCCATGGCAAATGTACAATATGCGCACCTCGGTCGGGGGTCGCACCACTGGTCGAGACAGGATGGCTCAGATCAGCTGGATCGCTGTAGCTGTCGGAATTTTCACCTTTATCTGGGTATGTTCACCATTCTTCGCTGTCCATGATCTTTACTAACCCTTATATCAGGCCGTCTGGAAAGGTGTCCGAGCTTGGAGTCGTCGTGCTCTTGCCGCTGCATCAGAACGTGTCATGGACGTTCCTGGTGTAGACGACGATGGGGATGATGATGATCAGTAATTTTGATGTTGAGAACCCGCACTTCTTTAAAGTTGTCATGCCTCCGATTTCACCTCTTGGTGAAAACGATTCAGTGGCGTGGTGATCGAGTCTACTTGCGGAGATTGAACGCTTTTCAGGTCGTATACTACCCGAACCGAACGTCTTGTTCACTCGGGTGGTGACTTGTGGGCAATTGTCAACTTGTTTAAAAGGTAGCTGATCCGCCGTCGGCAACGAAATATCATGGCGGGATGGCTTCGACGAGATTGATACATCTCTTGACACTTCACTCATTGCAATATTACAATCTTCACAAAACTCCTGATCGTTTGTTTCCCTCAGTGGCTCGTTTGACGTGGTGGTCGCTCCTGCCTCTTTGTCGTCCTCCGCAACAGGAAAGCGCAACCTTTCGTTTTGATCTCTTTGTCCACCACTTGCTCTGCTCTTCCACAGCAGCAGACCTGCGCATGCAAAAGAGATGCCACGCTCCATCTCATCATTGCACTCGCGTACTGGCACAACCTCGTCGTCTCCGCTCAGCTCGGTCTTTCCTCCAATCAGGACTCCTTCAAGCAGTACCACAGGATCTATCTCGACCATCAGCAGTGGGCCTTTCATTCATGCAGACGCACTCGACTCGACCATCCAATGGATCCCTTCCTACTATCTTGACGACTCTGCAAGACAGGACTCAACCACTCGCATTCCTCGACGCAATGCACTGGTCGTCCTCACACCAACTTCATCTGTCTCCTCTTCGAAAGTCGATCTTCTGCCTGATAGATTGATGCGTTTGATTCGTACTTCCGACCTTGACCAGTTCTTGAAAGGCAGGCTGTTGGCCATGGTGAGAATGTTCCTTTACATCTCGCGTCAGCTCTTTCCCTCTTCGCACATTCTCAGAGGCGATGTCGCGCGCGATGTCGAAAACATTGCGCTGGACATCTGCGATTTCCTGGATGTGGTCCTTGAGAAGCTTGCACAGAAACTCGATACTGCAATCTCAGCAAAAGAGCAGCTCTCCGGCCACGATCTGGCAGATGGGGTTGCCTTGGAGGAAGTCGTCAGATGGGTCGACATCATCGAGTGAGCAGCGCATCGACATACTATCAAACAACACAGGCTGACATAAACAACAGTGGACTACACAAACCAACTGATGTCGAATCGAAGATCTTCCGTCGCATGGCTACGCTCTACGATGAATACGTCTACATGCCTTTCATCCAACTTCATCGTCAGGAGCCAGAGCACAACATGTATCTTCTCCTTGACATCTTCCTTGATGCTATATTCATCCGCCTCCGCTCCATCGTAGCAGACGCTACCAGCGCCGACAATCTTGTGCTCGAGGCCGAGAAGACTCTTGACACTGCTGCCCTAGCACATGCAAAGAAAGTACCCAAACGCCATGTACCCTCGTACTCCACGCCTGTCGCTCGTAACCCAAGAATGGTGGGCCTGCGCCAGAGGGAAAACACCTTGTAAGGCTGGAAACACCAGAAGCTCAGTCCACGGGACTGTCATCGTCCAAGTCTTCTTCAACACAAATGACTTTGGCTTTGACGAGAACGTTCTCCACTTCCATCTGCCCACCAGAGTCAGCAAACTTCATTTTAGTAACACAGTAGGGCCGCCTCACCTTTTCGCCTCTTTCGCCTCCTTGCTTGATCAAAGCTGGAGATACTACGCATCTAACATCCTTTGCAACATCTTCGCTCCCCCGCTCGTCCATCAGATTCTCCATCGCGCTGATCTCGAACTTGAGAACGCCTTGTTCGTTAGCTTGTGGCAGAAAACACCGATACATAGCCCGCTGGCTCCCCAAAAGCTGGGATAATGTGACAGCATGCTCAACTAGTGCATCCAGAGTGCGTTTCTGCTCTTCCAAGATGACTGTTCCGGTCAGTGCTGACATCGTCTTGCAGATTTGCTCTACTATTTGTGTCTGCGCTTTCGCTTGAGAGGCTTGACATCGCTTTTTCATCTCTTCATCGCCGTTCCGTAAAAGGTCGTATGTCATTGCTCTCCATTCATTGAAGGCTGTAGTCAGTGCTAGGAGACAACCAGTCAGCGAGGGTAGACAGAAATATCAATCGAGAAAACATACATTCCATTTCCCAAGCGGCAGAGTCTAACCCTCTCAGTTCTTCCGGTAGTCCAAAGAAATGCGCGTCGAAGATTGGCATAAGAAGGTGTAATACTGTAGCTTGGAAGGTGAAGATCTTGATGCTTGTGTCGAAGGTAGCATAAAGTTTTCGTAAGGACTTTGCTTTCTGCAGAGCCGCTATCTTTTCGAACCTACAGACCATCCTGCGTGGATCTGGAACATGTCAGCATATACTCGGATACAAAGTTTCCGGGCACACATACCAATCTTTATCTTCCGAAAGCTGCTAACACACCAATTTTGAACGAGGTGGTTAAGTTTGTTCATCATATCAAGGATATCCCGATCGCTGACATCCGCTGAAGTCCCAGATCGAGCAGCAGTATCCTTCTTGAGTTCCAGTAACTGCTTCCGTAATGTCAATATCCGATTACTGGCGATCTGCGCCTTCTCATCCGCGATCCTGGCTCTCTCGTCTGCTGTCTCGACAACCTCTTGCAAGACCCGAGCTCGTTCAACACTTGCGTCGGCCATCCGTAGTTTTGAGGCCAGCATATCGCGTTCGTTCGCTACTGCTACTATCCTGCGCTCATACTCTGCCTTCTGAATTTTATCTCTTCTGGCAAGTTTGTCTGCCAATCTATCGACTTTTGTCTGCAAACCTGACGTCTGGATGTGCAGGGATGCTTGCAGCTCAGTGCCTTCCTCCAGCCGCTGAGATAGTATACTCAACACATCGTCGCTTTCTGTGCACCGACTTCGCAGTTCTTCAATCTCGATGCGCAGTTTTGCGTTGCGAGTGAGTTCTCGTTCTAGTTTTACGGAGAGACAGGGTGCACTGGGCATTGAAGACAGAGATAGCGTTCTTCGATCGTAGGATAGCCATTTCTTGTCGATGTGGTGGGATGGTGCAAGTGGTGATGTTGGCGATGCTCGATTGGAAAGTTCTTGGACTGGTGATGATTGGGCTAGTTGTTCGAAGCGGCCGACGAGATTGGAAACTCGCTTTTTGGGGGTTTCTGTTCGTGCCATGGTGGATGTGTTGTTGATTGAAGAGGCAGTAAGCTCGAAGACGAGCGAGAGGGACGGTAACGTTCACATGTATTGGAGTAAGGCACGAAGTGGCAGATGTACAAGGGGAAAAGCTTACATTCCTGATGCCTCTGATGGGCAGCCTTAGCTCGGGCGCGACCACTCAGCCGCTTCTCCCGCTTGTTCACTGATATACTCGACTCCTAAAAGTATTTTCGGGTGCTGTTTCCAAATCATAGCCGCGTGAGGCGACCATAGTGAGGCAAGTTTCAGCCAGACTCGAGTGGTATGAGCTGAAACATCGAAGCTTCTTGCTTGTCTCGACAGTAACTCCCCATTGTCTCGAGTCATTGATCTTTCGAACACGGACAGCTTCTGTTGCAAGCGCATGTAAGATATGACCATCTACATGCACAACACATCAGGCTATAGATGAAGAGGACCACGCAGCCAAGAATTGATGATGCTGTCGACAGAAAGACGAATCCGAAAGCTGCGGCTCTCCTCCAGGAAAGCCGAAAGCAGCAATGATCGACGACAAAATGTCCGAGACAAGCCAATCTGACTGCGGGGCAAGTCCGGATGGGAAGAGCTGTCTGACCACGACGGGACGAGGCCATATGTTTGTATCAACCTTGAGTTTCGGACTCGGACAAGGGGGTAAAGTTTGTCGTTGACCCGAATGGCACTCTTTGCAAACACTGCTGGCGCTGCTTGAGTTGGATGAGGCGCTGGACAGTGCAGCCTCGACCGCAGCTCTCTTTCAGCTCTGCCGAGTCGGGCTTCTCTGGATGCAGGGCTCTGGCCTGTCACTGACTGTACCGCGGGTTTGCAGCTGACATTGGGCTGGCTGCATGTGTTCGGGCGGCTCCTTGTCTCTTTCGTGGAGCTTCTGACAATTGAGGTAGTCTCCTTCTCCGACAGTGCTTGTCATAATACCAACTTTACCTCCACTCTTCCCGTCGTCTTTCTCGCTGATCCTAGCTCTTGCCGACTGACTTGTTGACTTGTCTCTTATTCTCCTCCGCTGCTACTGGATATCTACCATCTGTGACTGACTGCCAGTGACACTCACCCTCCTCAACTAGATCATAGAAGCACCTTCACCTCAATGGCTGGACCCAAGGTCAACTTCTCAGCTCCGACGCCGGTAGTCAATGGCGATCCGAACAACCACATCCAAGTCACGTCAGATAGAATCATCGTTGGAGTGGACTTTGGCACTACATACTCCGGGTGAGTCGAGACCTCCTGCATCATCTGCATCGCCAGACGCTGCTAACAAGCTTCAGTGTAGCAGCAGCATACAGCGCGACCCCAGACGACATCGAAATCATCAAGACGTGAGCAAGATACGACCACAATTTCATTCCACTAGCGAAGCAAATCTGACAAGAGCACGAAAAAAAAAGATGGCCTGGAGGCAATGGCATAACCTCCGACAAAGTCCCCACCGAAATCGCCTACGAAGTCGCCGACTCACCTGCTACCGCAAACACCACACTCACCCCCGAGCAAGGCGGCGGCTCCAAACCCACCATCTCCCGCATAAAATGGGGCTTCCAATTCAAACCCGAAGAACCCCGTCTCCGCTGCATAAAGCTCTTCCTCGACCGAAACCAAAAACTGCCGCATTTCGTCAGTCCACTGGACACAGCCGCCCATCTACGATCCTGTGATCGCACAGTCATGGATGCAGTGAGCGATTATCTGCAACAAATATACACACATACCATGGAAACGCTAAACAGACGATACGGAGAGACTTTTATGGCAATCACAAAAGTGGAATTCGTACTCACGGTTCCCGCTGTATGGTCTGATTCTGCGAAAAACGCAACGTTGCAGGCAGCGGAAAAGGCGGGTATGGGGAGTAAACATGAACTGAGATTGATCAGTGAGCCCGAAGCTGCTATGTTGCATGCACTCAAAACCGTGCAACCGCAAAATCTCAAGGTTGGGGATAACTTTGTCATCTGCGATGCTGGAGGCGGTACTGTGGATTTGATCGCCTAGTTTGTTCTGCCTTTAATAATCGAGAACAAAGATCATATGCTAACATGCAGAAAACAGCAAAATCACCAATCTCTCTCCCTTACGAGTTGAAGAAAGCGCAGTAGGCACCGGCGGCCTCTGCGGATCAGCATTCCTGAACTATCGCTTCGAAGAACACGTCAAGGATCGACTAGGGTCAGACGCCTACACCCTCATGCGCACCAAAAAGCCAAAAACCTGGATGATGGGACTAAAATACTTTGAAGAATTCGTCAAACGCAATTACAACGAAGACGAGGATACAGAAGTCAATGTGCCGTTTCCGGGCTTACCTGATGATGAGGAAGCGGGTGTAGATTCAGGCTTTATGGTTCTGGAAGCTGAGCAGGTCAAGCAGATTTTCGAACCCGTGATTCAGGAGGTGGTCAAGTTGTTGGAGGGGCAAGTCAATGGGATTAGAGCAAAGGGCGATGTGGTCTCGGGCATTATTCTGGTTGGCGGCTTTGGACAGTCAAATCATCTTTACAATAGGTTGAAGGTGCATTTCAACAGTCCGAGGCCGATAGCGCCGCCTGAGTATTCAGAGACTGAGGAGGCGTTGGTGCAGGGGCGGCATGTCGAGTTTCCGCCTGTGGAAGTCATTCAACCATTGTATGCCTGGACGGCTGTAGTCAGGGGTGCGGTGATCAGAGGCTTGGACGACAGCATGGTTTCCTCTCGCCGCAGCAGATTGCACTATGGTACTTCATACGCCACGGTCTACGACGAGACGAAACACGACATCGCCGATCGCTATTGGTCGCCATTGTGGGAGCGCTGGATGGTGTCGGATCGCATGCAATGGCACATTTCAAAGGTAATTCTCTCTCTCTCTCTCTCTGCTCTACCCTCTTTTGCCAACTCACTGACTTCTCGTCATAGGGCACTGCTATATCCCCCTCCACCCCGATATCCTTCCACTACACACGCAACTTCCGACCCCAACAATCTCTGCTTGTCGAAGACGAACTCATCGCCTGTGGTTCTGATTCTGCTCCCTCTTCGCGCACAAAAACTCTGTCTACAGTGTGTACATTGCGCACTGATCTTGCTGCAGTCCCTGAAGAGCTGTTTACGAAGCTCAAAACGAGCAAAGGGCAGGAGTTTTTGAATCTGGACTTTGAGTTGGTCATGAGGATACTCAGTGCGGATTTGGTGTTTGAGTTGAGGGTGGGGGGCGTGGGGTATGGGGTTGTGCAGGCGGAGTTCCATTGATGATGATGATGATAGAAGAGGAGAGGAAAAAAGGAGGCGGAGATGATGGTAGATGATACTCCTGAATTCTTTCTGTGTCAAAATGGCAGGGCCCATCTGGGTCGGTCTCGATTCTGGGACTTTGGCTCGCAGTGGTTTCAACAAGGTTGTCTGCTCAATGGTTTCTGGGATCAGAGTTGACGGAGAGCACTATCAAACAAATACTCGGTGCTGAACTGATTCCTCATATCTAAGACGTGTACGTGGTGGGCGTGACTCGGAGGCGAGGACCTTTACGATTCGAGCCTGCAGGATCACAAACAAGGTGCAGTCATCTTCCAGTGGCGTTATACCAAGAACCGGCTTGACGAAAAGTTGTCAGCCAAGATGTGACGGCCCAGGATGTACTCATCGACATCCAAGTGTGCTGACGGTCGGCTCTAGGCAGATGATAAGAAGACTGACGCGAGCCGCACATCTGAGATCCTACTCAATCGTGAGATCACGACCACAGATGATTGACATACCAAGTGATCAACATCATGAACAATAGAGGATCCGACAAAAGCAAGTGAGCCCAGAGGTGAACGTGGCCTTTTCCAGCGCTGAAAGAGGCAGTGCTCCATGAACCAAAACACGAGGGGGGGCTTCCGAAAAGCTAGATCATTGTCCGCAATCAGTATCCAACTGCCAAGTGTTCGAGGTGGTGGAAGAATTTCCGCTGATACTTACTTTATCCGGAGGATCCGTCTTTCGATACGTGGGGTTCCAGAAACGACGAGGCATGGCATTGAGTTCGGCATGCTCGTGGCTGCAATTGATGAGCAATCATCTTGGAAGTCCTTAGGGGTGGTTCAAGAAAAAGCATGCTCTCGATTTTCTCGTCCCATCCATCCGGGACTTGCTCAGGAACCTAACGTTGATTGTACGATGGCGATGGTTGATGCAAAGGTAAAATGATGGTCACTCGTTCATGCCGTCCGAAGATGGCTAATGCCAAGTAGGGCATGTTGTTGATGACCGTTGTTTGACGCGACCTTGTACGCCCTCAGGTTCGTGAAGGGATGCGGGTATCAGCAGTCACCATCTAGAGACTGAATCTCATCAGCTCATGGTGAGACCGCTGAATACAACCGGATAACGACAGGTGGGAGGATTATTCTCCATCGTGATTACTTTGCAGGAGATACGATCGTGTCAAGCTGCAGCGTCGTTGACCGAGGCCTAACGATCATCAGCAATCATTAGCGACTTGGCAGTTCGGACACACCGAAGGCAATCCCAAGCGCATCCAAGGTTCGCCCATCCCCCTTCTCCACACTTTCATTCAACTTCATCTCCCTTTATCTTCGAACAATTCTGTGACCTTTCATTTGTCAGCAGCAAGATATACCGGACGGTAAGCATTGTCGTTTGTGTGTGGCTCACAGCCTCTTGCTGGGCAGGGCGAAGGGAAACACATCGCTTAGACCAAGTCAAGGCGGATAAAAAACACTCAGGTCAACCTTCCAAGATCCAGCCTCCGCCACGACGTCCTTGGCACAGCGGCTCCCCTTTGATGCGTCTTGCAAGGTTCGAGACTCTTGAGAGTCCAAGTGTCGAATCACGCACGTGGATCTCGCGAGCAGCCTGCAGTATCAAACTCTATTGCCTTTTCTCGCCTACGCTACCGTTATCGAATATCAAATGGACAGCTTCCAAGACCGTGGCTTTGCTTGGCCTTTCATCCGACAGTGTTGGCTGGCTCGATAGACCTGAATTGAATGCTGGGCACCGCTGGCAAGGTTCCAATATGTTCAACGGCATTCACACGGTCCTCACAGATGCAATACCCCGGTCTGGAGAAGTCCGGGGGTGGTGGTCTGGGGTCTGGGGTACGGGGTACGGGGTACCTGTAGAGCAGAGACAATGGCATATATAATATGGTCTCCGGCCGTATCACTCTGCAAGGTAGATCTCATCTCACTTTGATAGCGCTGATCAAAGGACGTTCGCGTTTCCTACCCACTATCGCTCATCTCAACGCCAACTCTCACTACATCTCCTTCTTTCAAACTTGATCTTTCCTCACCATGGCAATCATGACAGAGGAAAAGCACAACCCTCCTGTCCAGGAGAAGGGCACCGTCGATCTCTACGAGACTGTGTCGACCTCTTCGGACTCGGAGCAAGAACATCTTTTCGATGAAAAGGCAACTGCTCGTCTTGTACGAAAGATCGACTTGCGACTGTTGCCCTTCCTTGCCCTGTTGTACCTCCTATCTTTCCTCGATCGTACCAACATCGGCAATGCTCGTCTTGCTGGTCTCGAGAAGAGTCTCAAGATGACTGGTCTCGATTACAACGTGAGTAGAACAACGTCCTGACATCTGATTACGCAAAAGACTAATCATGATTAGATTGCTTTGGCCATCTTCTTCCCCTTCTACGTGCTCGCTGAAATTCCGAGTAACATGATGATGAAGCGTACTCGCCCCGCACTTTGGATCCCCTTCATCATGGTTGTCTGGGGTATTTGCACCACTCTTCTTGGTGTTGTAAAGAACTACCACGGACTTCTCGCTGCTCGTGCCGCTCTTGGTCTCGCCGAGGGTGGTCTCTTCCCTGGTGTCACTTTCTGTAAGTCCCAACCTTTCAAAGATGTTTTGAATCATATACTGACTTCATATCAAGACATCACCATGTGGTACCGTCGTCACGAGTGTGGTCTCCGCATGGCCATCTTCTTCTCTGCTGCAACCTGCGCTGGTGCTTTCGGTGGTCTTCTCGCCCGTGGTATCATCGAGATGGAAGGTGTCGGTGGTCTTCCCGGCTGGGCCTGGATCTTCATCCTCGAAGGTCTTCTCACCTTCATCGTCGCCATTGTTGCCTTCTTCTACATGAACGACTACCCCCAGACCGCCAAGTTCTTGACCGAGACCGAAAAGAAGGAAATTTCTCGCCGCCTCGAAGAGGACCGCAGCTCGCTCGCCGACGAGTACGGTACCAAATACTTCAAACATGCCATGTCAGACTGGAAGATTTGGTGCCACATGTTCATTACCTTCGGCATTTACACCCCTCTTTACAGTTTCTCGCTTTTCCTGCCAACTATCGTCAAGACTCTCGGCTACAGCAACGAAAAGGCTCAACTTATGAGTGTCCCTCCCTACATTGTTGCTTGCTTCTGCTGTATCACCGGCGGATACTTTGCCGATAAGCTGCGCACTCGCGGTGTCTTCATGATCGGTTTCACCCTCACCGCCATGCTCGGTGTCATCCTCCAGATCGCTTCCAACAACCCTCACGTCAAGTACGCCGGTGTCTTCCTCTTCGCTTGCGGTATCTACCCCAACGTTCCTCAAGGTGTCGCCTGGAACGGCAACAACATCGGTGGTTCCACCAAGCGCGGTGTCGGTATCGCCATGCACGTCGGTTTCGGTAACCTCGGAGGTATCCTTGCTTCTTTCGTCTACCTCAAGAAGGACTCGCCCAAGTTCCACACTGGTCACTTCATCCTTCTTGGCTTGATGAGCATGTCTCTCATCCTTCAGATCCTCATGACCATCTACCTCCGTCGCGAGAACGCTCGCAGAGATGCCGAGTACAAGCGTCCAGAGGAGTACACCGTTGCTGAGAAGGAGCTTGAGCGCGAGCGTGGCGACAATGCCAGTTTCTTCCGCTACACTGTTTAAGATACCCAATAAGGAATGAGAGTTTGGTTTTGGGTAAGGACATGGGGTTGGATATGGGATACTTGACACGAATTTGTATGACTCTTTTTTATATCACATGTAGACTTCTTATCTTGCAACAGACGAAGACTTGATCTGCAATCAACTACTTTTCAAAACAAGTATCTGTTTCTCGTTTCGATTGTACCTCGCGATCGCCTCCCTTAGGCATCTGCCTGTTGCGCCTGCCCCTCGGGTGTCAAGTGCCGCATTGTGCCACAAGCAAAACGTGATCGGCATTCTGGTCGGGCTTGACAAAACACCTTGATGTGCAGACTTGACGACCTGCCTTTGCCTCATAAAAGCGTACTCCCTACAATCAGTTCCCCAGACACTCTTTGCTTCTTCTTACAATGCATCATCGCCCATACCGCCACCTCAGACTTCTTGCTTGCGATGAAGAGCTGAAGTAGACTAGCCTTCATCTGAAGAGGTGCCATTCACGAATATCAATATCGCAACATGAGGAGGCCAGACCTCGATGTCCTACTCCATTCGACCGGGCAACAAGGACCTTGCACAGCTATGCGGAGGCAGGTCCAACATATTCCAAATGGTACGAGCTTTCAACGGGTGCAAAGCTGACATGGCAACGTATTTGGTGCCTCACCGCCGTGCTGCAACTCGAGAGCGCGATGCCTGCAGATATACCCAACGAAGCCTCACGAGCATTGATCAGTGCTGCAAGACGTGCTCAGTACGAGTAGATTTCTCGACACTTCTTTGATGGTCCTTCACCGCCTGGACGGGGAGTGCGACCTCCACATCCAAAAGAAGCTCTGGCCAGGCCCGCAACGTCATCACCACCCCCGCTTCGATGACAGATGAACGCATTCTTTGTATTTGGAATTGAATTCACCTTCCTACGAAATGACAATGGGTATTTCGATGATGGATGACTATACCATGACAGAAGATCTGAAGATAGCAGCAAGCACGAGAGTGGCTGCTTGAAATGACGAATCAAGCAAAGCAGAGCGTGGATTGCGAGCTGTCATGGAGGGTCAACACAGGAGAAGCTAGGAAGTAAAAGAAGTGAAAAGGCCGAACAAACTCCAGAACAAGTCCCATGAGCTCTGACATCAAGCTTCGAGACTCAAATAGCTCCATCCGGGTATAACTGACACTTCGTATCTCCCTCTGCTTTCCCATCTCTCCCTCTCCATCTTCCCTCTCATCACCACATCTTTACTCAAAAAACCAATCCCCAAACATCAAACATGTCTACCTACAATGGAGCCTGCCACTGTGGCGCCACCGAATGGACCGCCTCCCTCGACAAGGACACCTCCAGCCACATTCTCTGTCACTGCAACACCTGCAAGATCCTGTCTGGAGGCGCCTACACCCTGAACCAAATCATCCCCAAGGACTCACTCAAGATTACAAAGGGTGGTGATGCCCTCAAGAACTACACTTACAAGGGTGACTCTGGAAACCCCGTTCACTGCTACTACTGCCCCGAGTGCACCGTAAGTGTTGATTTCTCTGCTGAGAAAGGGAAGTGATGTGGTCGCAGAAGGGCAAGGGCTAATGAGAGATGCGACTACAGACTCACGTATACCACCACCAAACCGCCCTCGGCGATGACAAGATCATCCTGCGCACAGGTCTCCTCTCAGAGGGACGCAAGAACTTCGAGCCCGCTGCCGAGATCTACGGCAAGGACCGTTTCTCCTGGGAGAAGGAGGTTGCCAACACCTTTGAGGTTTTGCCTCCTCAGTAGATGTGTCTTCTTTTTCTCACATGAGCTGTTGATGAATCGAGATGATTGGAGGAAGAGAAACTCTTGGAAGTTGCTGGGAATGAGAGAAATATACAATACAGCAATGAAGTCTCGCACAGAGCTATGAATTCAAAGGATTTGCTGAAACATAAACATCTCGTTGCGTCATTAAGTGATATAGACTGGCTCGAGTGCACACGGCAGGTGAGATATTGTGGCCTGAGACGTCATTATCCACTAATTAGTTCATCTCACTGTTTACACATTTTCAACTTGTAATGGTCTTGTCGGATTGATCAACGCGATGTTTCTGAGAGTAATGTTAATGACTGGAAATACACCTCAAGCTGCTGTTCACCAGGCCATGAAATATGCAAGAGAGTTCAAAGAATGGTCGTTATTCTGAATATGCTAACCCCCCCCCCCCACCAACCCTACCAAAAACGCCTGTCGTGCAAGGTGATCAAATAGCTCTGGCAGCCTCACCAGCAGCATCCGTCTCTTCGGCTCTCTGTCTCTGTTTACCCTTTCCAATGCCGCCTTCACCGACGCCCATTCTCTTAGCAACATACCTCTGAGCTACAACACCAATGGCTAGGTTCAGAGTATCCTGGATCCACTCCGAGACCCACTCGCGAGGATCAATACCTCCAGACTCGACAATATCGCGGATGCTGTCAGGGAGGGTTTCGGGGTCTTCAGGGTTGGGTGATGAGGCATCGAGCCATTGTGCCCACTGAGCGGGGAAAGATTGAGATAGAGAGGAGAAGGAGAGGGAGTGGATGGGATCGTGAAGATAGATGGCGAAGAGAGTCGTTTCCTCGTCTGCTGCCTCTGGTTCCACGACGTCACTCTTGGATTGATCGGGCGAGGGGCCTGCTGCGAAGAGTTCTTTGGCAGAAGCTTGAGTGAGGGGTTGGATGGCGAGGAAAATGTCAGAGCTGCGTACGGGATTCGACTCTGATAGTGTTTGTGTGGCTTGCTTTGCGACTTCTTCGATGCCGCCGCATGAGGAGAAGAAGTCTGTTGCGTAGGCTTCGGCGTTGGCGCGGCAGAGCTTGGTGCCTTCGGTCAAACCTTTGACGGCACCTAGACTGCGCTGAGTCGAGTGTTCGCGCCACCAAGGGCCATCGGTCCATGCACCACTTCCTGATCCGAGGAGGTTGCCGCGGTAGGCAACGTCAGAGGTGCTGCGGTCTCGTTGGCGAGATTCTGAACCACGTTGGATGACGAGCAGGTCGCCGCCTTCGACTTGTTGCATGACGCGCGAAAAGACTTGGTAGATGATGGGATCCAGGGACGGGTATGCTTGTAGATCGTGTGTGGTGTGGATGATCAGGCGCTCGTGCTGAGCGATGGGAGGAGCGATGGTCTCAAGCAGTGAGGTGAAGGTGGGCAGAGCCATGTTGCGAACATTGCCGCCGTATGCCTTCAAGCTCTCGACATTGACATTGTGACGCAGCTGCTCGGCGTACTTGAGGACTTCAGGATTGCCGCGCACCTCCTTGACGGCGGCTTCTGCTTGCTTGACGGCTGCACTGGCGGCGCTGAAGACGGTGGCTCCCCAGCCGCCAAAGCCCCAACCACCGGTTTGTGCCTTTTGCCCTTGCTGTCTTTCTTCCTGTTGGCGAGGAGGGTCATTGGGTGTCTGGCTTTGATGATAGTTGCGAGCGCTTTCGGTGCTTTGGCGTGTCTTGGAACGGTCTTCGCTGGTGCGGCCGCTAGGTGGACCAGAGCTCTGAGGCGTGTGTTCGGGTTTTGACTTTGTTCCCGAGGCTGTAGAGGTCGTGGATAGGCGTGGGGTTTCTGGACGGGAGACAGGGCGAGCAGCTGCCAGGGCACTGAGCTCTGCTAGCGGGTCGTCATCGTCGGCTGCTCCAGACGCGCCTTTGGTTGATGAAGGTGTCGTGCTGTCGGCCGAGGGAATGTCCTCGAACTGAGCGAGGAGCTCTTCGTCTGTCAGCTTCTTGGACATGGCTTGTTTGTATTGTATTTTGGAGAGGAGAGAGACGGTCTGATTGTTCCAAAGGCCAAAGCTGGGGAACAGGCGCTAACGTAGACTCGGGCTAGTGGCCGTCGCTAGCCGCCCGCGCTGTCATTGGCTGTCGTCAGGCCGTGTGGAACCCGCCTTGGGACTACGAGTCCGGAAATCAATCACACAACTCGAAAAAAGACCATTACTCTCGCTATATCACTTCTCTGCTCTTGCAACTTCCTCTGCTCGACTCTGAGAACTTGTCGACACGTTCGGCAAAAGTCAAAAGTCTCGTGCACCATAATTTTCTTTCTCCTGGCCCATCCACAAACTTCGCACTTCGATTCTGCTCGCTTAAACTTATTCTCCTTTGCTTTCTTCACCATATCATTCAAAACTTGCACTATTGCTTGTCTCTCGAGTCCTTTGAGACTCGTCTAGCATCCGCATTGCTTTCTAACCATATTTGCAACTTTTTGGTTGTATACAGAAGCTCTTTCGCGCTTCATGTTCCTGGCTTGCCACGACAATAGTGTCTTTGGCTGAATTGGCTTTTGACAATATCGACTACAATGCGAACAAGGACACACAGCAAACCTCAACTACCCCAAGTCAGTCCATCTCTCACTCGCGCCACCCGATCAACCAACAACTTCTCTCCCGACAAGATGAACTCGACAAATATGCCAAAAGGCCCCAACTATGCCGAAACAGATCCTGTCTCTCTGAGATGGATCAACGACCGCACCTTTGCTGTCTCTGGTATCGATCAGGAAATACTCGAAACTTATGAAGCAGAGGACCAAGCGAGAAGCTTCAACAAACCTCAAAGTCCTGAAAATCGTCGTGCTGCCCGAAGGGCTCGTCGTGAAAGTGCACATGCAGCTATCTTTTTCACTGGATTGTCGTCTAGCCAGAATGGACAGACAAAAAAGAAGCCCGAGTCCAACGAGAGCACAGGCCAGCTTGTAGCCGAATCACAGGAGACTGCCTCTTTCAATCGTCCTCAGACCGTCTCTTTCAATGGTAACGGAGACAACACGGCATCAGATATTGACGATATCGACAAGGATGATGATGATGCCGATGACGATGATCATATCTCGAACAACTTCCAGCCCCTTCCTCGAGGCATCACGTTGTCGAAACGCGGAGGCACTGTGAAGCGACGACGACGAGGTGGTGCTCAGTCAGCATCACGACAGCCTTCTCGTGAGCCTTCACCAGAGCGGCCTCTTCTAGCGCCAGAGGATGATGTTGTCAGTGATACCGATCTACCGTCACCATTCACCGATGAGATATTCGAAGATCCGAATCTACCAGACGATGAAGCTCAAGCTCTGTACAATAAACTCTTCGAACCAATGACACAACCCGAAGCCTTCATCGGGCCCCTAACCAAATTTCTGCCTGGCCAACGAACTACCGACAACTTGTATGTACTGGCCGCAAACACAGCAGCGGCATTACGTGCATGGCAAGACGAATATCTCGAGCTTGAAAAGATCACTGCGCCTCATGCCGCCATCCCCCGAAAAGCCGCAACTGGTCAGCGCAATCCCATTGACTATATGATATACGAAGACCAGAAGGAAGCCGAGTTGTACGACTATGTGTTTGATGCGAAGAAAGTCGGTATGCAAGATCCGATCGCGCAGAAAGTCGTTAGAGATGCTGCTGGCAGAGAACTACGTACTCGACAACCTCGTGGTCAAGCCAACAAAGAGGCTTCTGCGGCTGCAGCGGCCGTTGTTCCAGAAGAGATTGTCACCGGTCGACGAGCTAGGAAACCGGTTGCCAAGTATGACGGTGTTGTTTCTACTGATCAGGTCATGGGAAGGAAGAGAGGCGCAAATGCTATGAGCGAGACTCCAGAAGCAGACGAACCATCAGCCAAGCGAGGTAAAACGACCGGTCGTGGTAGGGGAGGTGCCAGAGGTGGTCGGGGAGGTAGAGGTAGAGGTGGACGTGGCGGAGGACGAGGCGGGCTTGTTGCAAAGCGTCTGCAAGAGCTGCGTGAAGAGAGTGCAGCAGTTTCGGTCACGGCATCTGAAGATGAATTTTCAGGCTCAGACGCAGGTAGTATGCCACCAGACACGCGCGAAAACAGTCCCGTACTGGAACTTCAGCCTGCTACGGGGACGACCACTCCAGGTCTGGCGGACGAGTCGCAGATTGATCCACAGAGCGAGGATGGACCATCACTCACGGCTAGCGGGAAAAAGAAGGGACGACCGAAGGGCAGCAAGAACCATCACAAAAGATCGGACGCTGGAATTCCCAAAGGCCCTCGTGTACCAAAAGCTCAGGGCAACGGTACACCTGTTTTTGGGAGCGTCAATTCTGATGTACCCATAAGTGCAGAGACGAGTCTCACGCCTGGCTCTGCTGACATGACGCCCTTTGCACCGATCGCCACAGATGGAGGCCCAATCGATCCTAAGCGCAAAATTCCCCGCAGCGAGAAGCGGTCGAAGAGCATGGTTGAATGGTGGGCACGTCGTAAAGCAAAAGAAGCCGAAGACAAAGCTCGCGAGCAAGAGGCGCAAGCTGCAGAACGCCATCGTGCTGCCGAAGCCCATGCTCGATATATGTCACAGCACGGTGGTCTAATTGCTGCACAACAACAAGCTCAGCAGCAGCAACATCATCAACATCAGCAGCAGCAGCAGCACGCACACCAACAACAACAACAACAACAGGCTCAGCAACATCAGCAGCAGCAATTCGGTGGTTACACGGGTCCTTATCCACCAACCGGTGTATTACCTCCACCAGGTCCACCTCAGCAGATACCGCAACATGTACCACAGCACTGGGGATCCGGTTTCGCGCTACCCGGTCTGCAAGGACCTGGTGGCCTCGTATGGCATCAACCAGTCCATCATCCAAACCAGAGTCTACCTCCAATGCAACAACAACCTCCTCCGCCACAGCAACAGCAACAAGGACCGCCACCAGGGCCACATGGACCACAAGGACCTGAAGGGCATAGAAGAGATCAACACGGGTTCGTCAGGAGCTTTTGACGGTGATGAGAGGTGCCTCGAAAACATCTCTCCTTGATCATATGAAGTTTGTTAGAGTAGTAGCATAGCAACAATCCCGATGGGTTAATCTGCCTGCACCAGTTGGCAGGTGTCAATCATACATTTGTACCAACACAAATTTTTCTCCTCTGAAAATTGTAAATACGAGGACAATGCGGGCTGCTGTTGGCATGCATCATTGTGAGAAATAGCAGACATTGGGTTGAGCTGGATCTGGTAAACACACAATACGTTAAGAATATCTCCACATGAAATTTCTAGATATTAACATCAACTTCAAGTCATGAGATGTATGTTACGGAATGAAAAGAGCCATGTTGCACTAGTTGACCATCTCCGTCCACTTTGTAGAGCAGGAACATGGTATGGTTTGCAGAAGCAGGGTCACTCGCGAAGCAATGAGAGATCAGCATCGGAAGCCACAAGCTCCGACCAAAACTTCCCTCCCGCAGATCCAAAGTCACAAAGTTTCACATGCAAGCAACCCTCGACTTTTCTTTTTAGCTCACTGTCGCAAACACTCTGACGCATCATGGCGGCAAAGCTAGAAGACTCGAGCTCCGAGCTCTACGAACGCTGCACAACTGCTGCCCTCAGCTCACCAGAAGGACGCGCCAAAATCTTCGGACAGGATGAATTGCTCAAGATGGGAGTGGTGGATAGTGCACAAGCGTTGTTGGAGCTGTTGCAAGGCTTGATGGATGCACAGTTGGTGCGCTTGATGCAGATGGATGGAAAGATCTGCTATGCGCTGCGCACAAAGGATGATGCCACAAAGTGCGTAGGCGCAACCGGGAGATCAAGACTCAGAAGCTGACTGGAATCAGAATCGTCACCCTTAACGATGATGAACGCATGGTCTACAATCAAATCGAAAACAGCGGTACCAACGGCACCTGGACAAAGACGATCAAGCAACGCACAAACATCCACCAAACCACCGTCACCAAAGCCATGAAGACTCTCGAGAGCAAGAAACTCGTCAAACCCGTCAAGTCCATCAAGAACCCCGCCCAGAAGATTTACATGCTCTATCACCTGAGTCCAAACGAAGATGTCACCGGAGGCCCTTGGTTCAGCGACGGCGAACTCGATGTCGAATTGATTGCCATCACCGCAGATGCCGTAATCCACTTTATCGCCCAAAACAGCTGGAAGACAGTCTACATCAAGCGTGAAGTTACCCCCGAAGCCGACGGCCTGTCCAAAAAGAGAAAGAGAAACGACACTGCAGACATCGAAGGCTCGCATCCAAAGTCACGCAGAGCAGGCGGCTACGAAACACAAATCTCCTACCCGGCAGGCTGGCGTGGCTATCCTACAGTCTCTGCCATTCATCACTTCATCACCGAAGCAGGATTCCTGAAAGACAGTTCTGCACTTGCCGAATCAGATCTTCAGAATTTGCTCGACGTGCTGGTCTTTGATGAACGTATCGAAAGAATAGGAAATGGATACAGGACTTGCAAGGGTGTGTTTGGAGCAACAGAGGCCATGAAGAATATCATGCAAGGAAGACAGGTGGGAGATGCTGTTGAAGAGGTGGAGGGCAATGGGCTGAGTCAGGCTCCTTGTGGAAGGTGTCCTGTCTTTAACCTCTGTGAAGATGGTGGACCCGTCAATGCGAAGAACTGCGAGTATTTCCAGACCTGGTTGAGAGCTTGATTGCTCTTTGACTGGGTTCTGCCATGCTCTTGCTGGAAAAGCTGGCGTTTCATGGTTGCATGGTTCTGGCGTCTCTGGGATTTTCTCATGTCCTTGTTTTCTACGCGCTGCTCAAGTGCTGACAGCGTAGCGTATTGTATTTTTATTCTCTACATCTCGTATCCAAGCTCGAAGATCATCCATTTTCCTTCATCACGCGAAATATGCCAAGGGCGCAGCCAAGAGTTTGAGCGAGAACTGGGCCCGTGTAGCCAATTCGTGATAAGGCATCTTCCAAGCGATTTGAAGCACTGCCAACGCTCCTTCTACATACAGCTATCGTCTTGACCATCATTCAAGCAGCCAAGGCGGAATGATATGAGATGTACTCGAAACTTTGCCGTACGTGCTTATAGGTGGAGACTGCCCAGAGATCACCACTGCAGGTAGAATGGCGGAACACTTGAACACCTTCTATAAGAGGTGTGGTTGCCCAGATGCGTCCTGTATGCAAGACGTCCTTGGCTTGCCTCGGGGATGAGCGATGCTTGCCCTGCTTTTCATGTGGATTGGAGTCTGGCTGGTAACTAGTATGCTACACCATGAGACATGACAGTGTCCAGTCGTTAGAGCAAGACTGATCAACTACAGATGGATTCAAGATATGAGATCTGGTAACGATGAGTGGAAGTCTAAGATTGGATGTAGATGGTGGTCAAGCATGACCTGTTATCGGCTTGGGACCGTGACCAATCTCGGCAGTGATCGGCAAGAAGGTACGAGCGTCCTGCATGACAACCTTATCTAAAGCATACCCGTGACTTTCTTCCTCAGACACAGACACCCTCTCATGTGCTCGGGAATATAAGTATTGCCCTTCTCATCACAAATCATCCCCATCAATTATCACTCCATCATCATGGCTATTCTTCGGACTTGTACTGCACTTGCATGCGTTGCTGTTGCCGCATCGGCCAGACAACTTCCTCTTGTTGCAGATGATTCATACAACCCAGCACCTTCATCACCGATAGTCGTCAGCAATGGAACCAGCAATGGGACTGTCATCGATACCAAGAAACTTCAAGCAGATATCGACATCAACAAGCTGGTTGCTCGTGCTGAAGCACTTTCCAAAATTGCCGACCTCAGTCTCTCAGAGTATAACCACCCCACAAGAGTCATTGGCAGTCAAGGTGAGCATGGAACTATCAGTCTGCCATCAATATACTAAATTCACTCAGGACACCTTGGAACGGTCGACTACATCTACTCTGAACTATCCAAATTGGGCGACTACTACAACGTCACGAACCAGACTTTCCCAGCAGTTAGTGGTAACGTCTTCGAGTCTCGTCTCGTGGTCGGTTATGAAGTCCCCAAGTCGGCATCACCCATGTCTTTGACTCCACCAACCAAGCAACATGAACCTGTCTATGGAAAACTCCTTCTGGTTCCTAACGGAGGATGCTCGGCCAGCGACTTTTCTCGCAACATGACCGGCCACATTGCCTTGATCAAGCGTGGTACATGTTCTTTCGGTGACAAGTCAGCCAACGCTGGTAAAGCCGGAGCTGATGCTGCCATCATCTACAACAATGACAACAGCACACTCTCTGGTACCCTCGGCAGCCCCTCCCCGTATCACATTGCCACTTTTGGTGTCTCTGCCGCAGAAGCTGCACCTTGGGTCGCTGCGCTCCAGAACGGTACTACCGGACTTGACGCCATTGCTTACATTGACTCGACAGTTGACGAAATCATGACAACCAACGTCATTGCTCAGACAACTGCTGGAGATCCTGAGAATTGTGTTATGCTTGGTGGCCACAGTGACAGCGTTGCTGCCGGTCCTGGTATCAACGATGATGGCTCTGGTACCATCTCACTTCTTGAGATTGCCACTCAGCTCACCAAGTACGAGGTCAACAACTGTGTTCGCTTTGGTTGGTGGGCTGGAGAAGAGGAAGGTCTGCTCGGGTCAACCTACTATGCCGAACAGCTTTCTGCTGCTGAGAATCAGAAAATCCGCCTTTTCATGGATTACGATGCAAGTCCTCTCATGTCCTCCTTCAATCTGAAATGACTAACATGTGTCCAAAAGATGATGGCCAGCCCAAACGGTGTGTTCCAAATTTACAATAGTACCAATGGTCAGAATCCCGCTGGCTCCGGTGAGCTTCGCGTTCTCTACGAAGATTGGTACAAGGAGCAAGGTCTCAACTACACTTACATCGTTTTCGATGGTAGAAGTGATTACGTTGGCTTCCTCGACGCCGGTATTCCTAGCGGTGGTATTGCCACTGGTGCAGAGGGCATCAAGACCAAGGAAGAAGCAAGCATTTTCGGTGGTGAAGCTGGATCACAGTATGATCCTTGCTATCACGAGCTTTGCGACGACATTCACAACCTCGACTTGACTGAATGGGAAGCCAACACCAAGGTAAGCTAAAACCCGTGCTCTGAAGTTCTGTCTCCAACTGACAAAACTCTCAGCTCATCGCCCATTCTGTCGCCACCTATGCCAAGTCCTTCGATGGCTTCCCCAAGCGTGTCGCTGCTGTCGAGGAAAGATCGCTGTCGGGCTCGAAGAAGAGCACCCCTCAGTTCAAGTACAGAGGCAACGAGCTCATCATGTAGATTTCCGTTGTTTGACTTGACAGAAACCTAAAATACATTGCTTATGCTAAGCCAGCTTCATTCTTCTCATTCTCCCGGTCAAACATACTTTCCTTTTGTTCATCGGCAAGAGCATTGTAGCTATCAAGATATACAGGTGGGGAAGTTGTGGTATGACGCTGTAGGGTTGTTACTACCTTGTTACTATCATCCGCTATTGGTTGAATAATAAACAGCTTCACAAATCAAGAGAGCCATAACCTCATTCATACCCATCGTCCCGTATTGTTCTTCTCGTATTCATTCCAGGCTTATCTGGTGTTTCGTGCTCTGCCTGTTCATCGTCGCAATGGCTTTAATACTTATCGTGGGTTCGCCTTGATCATCTCGCCAAGCCATGAGTCATCTATCTCATCTCGTACTCAACTATACTTTAACTGTCAGATAAACCTCCCTGGAACCGAGGAGTTGACAAAGATGTCGAGCTACACGGAATCAGTAACGGCCATGAACCGCAGTATCGCGAGGGCTCAAAGCATACATCGCGAGCGCCAATTACTAGCACTACAAACCCTGTATCCCGGTCAAGGCTACTCGGTCGAAAACATAGCAGGATCGACCACAATCTTGTCGCCTCCAGCATTCGGTCGGAAACTCAATCACACTTACGAATTTGCTTTGGACGGAAAAGTCACGATCAAAGACCTGCGTAGAATCGAGGCAGCATGCGAGCGGAACGGCGGAACACCAGAATTGGACATGTGCGACTTTGCCGACAAGTCAGGGTTCGATTTGTTCTCGAATCATTACACAGTCACTGGGTCACAGTGCGAGTATCAGCAATCTCTTGCCGACTTCCAGCGTCTACCCTCATCCGGAGACACTATCAAGATTGATATAGTCGGCCCCGACGATCACGACACATTTGTCCAAGCATCTGTAGACGGATTTCGCAGTGGCGGTCGTCCAGAGGAGCTTCTCAAAGTTTGCGCAGAGAGTGCTGCCGCCCGTTCAGATACTATCTTGTTCTCAGCTTCGATAGCTGGTGAGATTGTCGGCACTGCCGCAATGGCCATGATCGAGACGGCAATTAGCAAGATTGTCGTTCTGTATTGCGATAGTTGTCTGCCGAGCGCCAGAGGTAGAGGTGTTCACAAAACCTTGCTTTTGGAAAGGCTTCGGGTTGCCAGAGACTGCGGGTTCGACCTGGCGTCCGCTACGGCAAGAGAGGGCTCGATCAGTGGAAGAAATATGGAGAAAGTCGGGTTCAAGATGGCATACTTCTGCAAGACCTATACTAAAACTTGTTGATCTCCACATTCCAAGCCCTCAACAGCGCGCTTCAGCTAAGCAACGAAGAACGCAATGAGCTTGATGTCCTCCGCCGCGAGAACCGAAGCCTCCGCAAAATCTTCTATAGCGAAACCGTTCTGTGCGATCTCCTCAATGTTCAGCAAACTATCGACAGCATCGCCAACCAAAACCTAGACAAATTCGCCCAGATGCAACTGCAACTCAAACAAATCGAGGATCTTTTGCTCAACCCTAGAGGCCAAACCATCGGTTCAGAGCAAGGAAAGCCCACCAAAGAGTCCCCCCTTCTCAATCAGGAACTCGGCAACAGGGAGTACATTGATTTCAACGAGGCAATCTCATCACTATCACCTCACCATGGAGTCAGACGATTCGTCTCCCGTGCTGCCAGCAAGATCTCGCACACTGCCTCCAACCTGATTCGTCCTACCAAGAAGACTGCCAACGAACCAGCCCCAGTATTTCCCAGCCATCCTGCTCTCTGCCGCGATATATGACCGGCGAAATTCACAACCACGCTCGACTAACGACATGTTCACAACCGGCAATCCTCCACTCATCAATTCCGCAAGACTCAATCTGCGGTGACGATCAAAAACGGCCCCTCGCAGCTCCAGTCACGGCGTATCAGGCACCTGCAGCAATTCATACACACTCCCACTTTCCTCGAGTGCCGACTCCACTCTCTCCATGATAGCAAGAACCTTTTCCTCTTCCAATCTTCTTCCCACAATCTGTACTGCAACAGGCAAGCCATGCAATTTGATCGCATTATAATGCTTGTAAGCTCCCCTCGCTACTCCATTATCGTCCACTACGAAATCCTCGGGAAGTAAATCCTCGCGAGCATTCACCTTGGTAACGGGCAAAACACCACAAGTGTAGTCCAGCAGATTGAACAAGAACGTGTATCCGCAAGAAGCAACTGCATCTTTCATACCTCCATGCGGAACAGCTGGTGTAGCGTTAGGAGGAGTAAGCATAAAATCCATGCCCTCTTGCTCATTCCACCAGTCGAACCAGAAGTTCTTGAAGGACTCGCGTTGATAGACCAATTGCCAGTTCCCGTATGCGGATTTTTCGTGTAGAGATTCAAGCAGACGAGCCCAGACTGTATCGCGGCGGATGTAACGGACATATTTGACGTATAGCCAGCGCAGGGGAGAAGGTAGACCCATCCAGAATGACAGTTGAGCGGCTCCGGCATCGTTGGTCTCGCCTCGGGAGAAGAAGCGGGAGTAGGTTCGTGTGCCTTCTGCGTTGAGGAGCTGCGATGCGATGGCTAGAGCATCGAGAGGTGCGTATGGTGCAGTGGGGAGAGTGAGGTCGAATACATCGTGATCTTGCTGTTTGAGCGCATCGACGGTGGTCTGTAGAGCTCGGGCACAAGCAGGGGAGGGCTTGACAACACCATCAGTTCTCATGACACCAATTCTGAATCTTTTCTTCTCCTTGAATTTCTCATAGGCATCCTGTCTCCAAGCAAGTCGATGCACACTCTGATCATATTTCCAAGGCTTACATTGGATCAGGCTCTTCGTGAAGTAAACCAGATCGCCCAGTGTGCGTGCCATAGGTGAGAATACAGAGGGAATCCCTTCTTGACCAGGCATCGAAGTGTCCACACCGTACTTGGGCCAACGTCCAGTCGAGCATCTGAGAGAAAAGCAGCCAGAAAAATGGGCAGGCGCACGCACAGATCCAGCAACATCAGATCCAATACCGATCCTCGAGCCGCCGAACGCAAGTATGGCACCTTCACCTCCAGTACTGCCACCAGGACTGTAATCTTTGTTGTGAGGATTCGTGCAGCGACCCCAGACATCGTTCGTGCTCTCAAAACTCAACAGAGTAATTGGTAGAGCGGTTTTGACATGAGGCACGGCTCCAGCATCCTTGAGTAAACGCACAATAGCACCATCCTTGGCATGAGGCTTGAAACACTTGCCCGAGTACCCCACAGAAGCGTCAAAGCCATTGACGATGATAGAATCCTTGAGTGAGACCGGTATACCAGCCAGTGGACCCTCGAGATTCACATTGCCATCGTTGATCCAGTCTTCGGCTTCCGGAAACATGATTTCAGTAACACAATTCGTGGCATGTTGTGCTCTGACAGCAGCTTTGCCATAAGCACGGAGAATGTCGATGGGCGATTTGACCGAGTTCTGCACATCCTCGACCAATTCCTCGATGGGTGCATTCAGAATTGAGCGTTCCGAGGATGAGATGGCTGATTTATATACACTTGGTAGATTCGCTATGCGAGAAGCACGTTCATCTTGCTTCCGTTGACTGGAAGATATATCTTCAGCTAGACTCTGTAGGCCTGGATGATGGTGACTTACCATATCTGTCGATGCTTGGAAGACCCAAAAGACCACATGGTGTTTGGGAATATGATTCGAGAACGAACTACTTGACTTTAAAATATTCAAGAAGCAAACTGTCAATGTCCAGCTGTCTGTGAGGTATATGAAGGAAGATAAGAGGACTCAAGACACCCTTGTACTCCGAGGTCGACAGGCTATCATCAAGGCGGGGTTCGGATAGACTTGCCGCGTTTGGCTTGGTCTCGATAACGGCTTAAGCTTCCATTTTGAGGAGCATACACCTCGAAGCAGTAGGTATATCGAGCAGACGGTACAGCGTGTATTGCGCAAATTTGAACGTGATTAAACATGTCTACGTCTCAATCGTAGTCTATTCGTAACATTTGAGGATGTAGCAGGAACCGACAACCCCATTCTCCAAGCTCAGCCACATCAAGTTGGCCAGCAAACTCCTTGCCTGCCCCAGAATAAAAATATGGTTTTCCAGTCCAGGCGATACTCCAGACTCGCAGCTCGCCAACTATGCTCAGTTTCTGACTCAGGCGAGAAGCCCGAACAATAGTAGGAGACGCCGCTCATGGTCATCAACTTTTCATCCCATTGAGATGGATAGACTTGACGGCCAGGACGAACAAAACTCTCTGGGTATGGAGTCGTGTCCCACCACTCAGGAGAGACCACTGGATGACGGGGACGACTTTGAGTAATATCCTCCATGGCAGAGAGGAGACTGTCAGACATGGTAGTAAAATGAAAAAGCGGTGAGTCGTCATAGTCCTAGTTGATACCACCAGCCTCACCCTCACGCTTCATCTCGCCTTCCACGTCTTCTGCCTCGCGTTCTTGACGACCCTCTTCTTTTGCTTCGGCAGTGGAGTCACCCATCTCTACATCTTCAGTGGCTGCTGCGGTTGTTGTTTCAGCGACTGCAGGTTCTGGTGGTGGTGTGGCGGTAGGTCCTGCGCCCGCTTGTGTGTTGTTTGCGTTGGGAGCATTTGCCGGTGGTTCGACAGCAGCGTCATCATCACCCATCTCGACATCCTCAGGCTCAGCTACAGGAGCTTGTGCAGTAGTTGACGCTGCCTTAGGTGGCGAACGTGCTCGTTGTGTTCCGTTGCTGGCGACCTCCTCACCAAGAGCAGGCTGTACTGCATGGGGATCTTCAGATGCCTTGGCAGCCATGATTGCTTCACCTACAGCAGCGTTGGCCTCCTGTGCTTTTTCAACAACCATTTGGTCGGCTTGGGCTGCTACGGGTGGAAGTGTCGTGTCAATAGGAGTGGCGGCCCCCGACTCAATAGGACCTTCAGCTGTATCTGCAAAGGGATTTTTGTGGTCGGTAATCTTCATTCGCTGCCGATCTGCGCCAGGTTGTTTCTTGACACCAAGCAACGCATCCATCTCTTCATCATCAGAATCTTCAAACTCATCATCACGCTCAATACGAGCGTCCCACTTACGTTCGGTGTATCGAGAATCGGGGTTTTCGTCGTCATCCTTGTCGTCGAGGCGTTGTTCGCGTTCGTCTAGATCCTCAGTATCTCCTTCGTTGTCTGGGTCATTCTCGTTTGGTTGCACAACAAGTGGTGAGCGTGGTACGTCGGTCATTTGAACACTAGGAGCAAATCTCGTGCGTGACAAATTCTCAAAGACTTGCAGCTTGATCTTCTCGAGGTATTCCGGGCTGTTTGCGTTGTCCATGTTGGAAGGACGGACATCAAGTTCGAAATCGGGCGAATAATATTCGTAGTAGTCGGTGTAGGGTAGCTCGGGACCCATTTCTTGACCAACCAGTTGACCAGTCTCATAAGCCCACGTACGAGCGACGTTACGCATTGTGTAACCACCACCTCCAAGAACCAAGGTAGGAAGGTTGAAGCTCTTGACGTATTTCACGCAGTTAGCGTGACCGCGCATGGACAAGTTGAAGCAACCAAGACGATCTCCACTCAGCGAGTCACCACCGCACTGCAGAACGACAGCATCAGGACGGAAGAACTCCATGATTTTGGCAATGATGGGCTCGAAGACGCTCTTGTATGCGACATCGTCCATACCGTCGCGTAGGGGGAAGTTGACAGCGTAGTTTTTGCCGTTGCCGACACCGATATCGCGCAGTTCACCAGTACCAGGAAAGTACTCTCCGTATTTGTGGAAGGAGGCGGTCATGACGCGGTCGGTAGAGTAAAAGGCTTCTTCGACACCATCACCGTGGTGGACATCGATATCGATGTAGAGAACGCGCGACTTGAATCTGAGAAGCTCGATGATGCCGAGAACAATGTCGTTGATGTAACAGAAACCACTGGCTTCACTCTTCTTTGCGTGATGCAAACCTCCAGCCCAGTTGACAGCGACGTCGCATTTTTGACGGTTGAGACGAGCGGCACCTTCCATACTGCCACCAGCACTGATACCGCAGTATTCGAATAGACCATCAAAGACGGGACAATCATCACCGACGTTGTATTTTCCTTGCTCTTTCGCGTAGCTGTCCATGTTGTCCGGGGTGACTTTTGAAAGGAAGTCGACGTATTCATCTGTGTGGAATTGGGTCATTTCGTATTTAGAGGCAGGCTTGGCTCGCTGGGACATGGTTAGTATGTTGGAGTTGTGACGCGACAAGTATGGTGATGGCGCACGTAGATTTCCATCTTTTTGTACAAGCCGTAATTCATAATCAGACTGTGGGCCATTCGAATACGGTGAGGCTTCATGGGATGACCAGCGTTGTAGGCATAGTTTCCGACATCAGAGTCGTAGAAGTAGGCGACTTTTTTGGGTTGAGCACCATTGGCGGCGCGAGGAGGGTCCAGAGGAGGACCATACTGGGCCGAGTTGGCCATGGCTTCGATTCGGTGCTAGTGTAAAGCGATTCTGCCGAGCGTGTATCTGGAGAAAAATGTAGATCGTATCGATTGAGTGGTGCGCAGATGGTATGAGTAGAAGAATGAGACGTGATCGATCTAGGCGAAGTGGATTGGTATAGAAGGTGGACGGAGCAGGGTGATCTTCGACTTCCGAAGCTTGGGGAAGGTGCAAACACCTCAAACAGCAGAAAGTTGCAGCGAGAGAGCAGGAGCAAACAAGCCAAACATTTCGAGGAACTCACGGTCGGAGGTCGGGGGTCGGCGTTGAGTTGGAGCTCCCGTCGCTGGCGCATCATCGTGAACAGTCGCCGTCCGAGCTGCTTCCATCACTCGCAATCAACAATTCCATCTTCCTGTCGCCATCCACCAATCCATCACCCCATCTCGCGCTTGCCTCACATCCATCTGCTGCGCACACACTGAAAGAGAAGGAACAAAAACACACACTCACAACACACAACCATGGACCGACTCTCGCGAATGCTGGCCGCCGCCCAAGGCATGGGAGGCGGTGCTGGTATGCAGCAAGACGGCAACGTCGTCGACAACTCTGAAACCGTCTACATCTCATCTCTCGCCCTCCTCAAGATGTTGCGTCACGGAAGAGCTGGTGTGCCTATGGAAGTCATGGGTCTGATGTTGGGTGAATTCGTCGATGACTACACCGTCCGCGTCGTTGATGTCTTTGCCATGCCTCAAAGCGGTACTGGTGTCTCGGTCGAAGCTGTCGACCCTGTCTTTCAAACAAAGATGATGGATATGCTGCGTCAGACTGGTCGTCCCGAAACTGTCGTCGGCTGGTACCACTCACATCCTGGTTTCGGCTGTTGGTTGTCTAGCGTCGATATCAACACTCAACAATCCTTCGAACAACTCACTCCCCGCGCCGTCGCCGTTGTCATCGATCCCATCCAATCCGTCAAGGGCAAGGTCGTCATCGATGCCTTCCGCCTGATCAACCCTCAAACGCTTATGCTAGGTCAAGAGCCTCGCCAAACCACTTCGAACGTTGGTCACCTCAACAAGCCTTCCATCCAAGCCTTGATTCACGGCCTCAATCGCCACTACTACAGTATTGCTGTCGGTTACCTCAAGGGTCGTGGTGGTGCTTCTGGAAACGGTGCTTCATCAGCCGTCGCTGGTGGCTCGCAAGTCGGTGGAGAAGAAGCTATGCTAATGAACCTACACAAGAGCGTCTGGACAGAAGCCCTGACCATGCCTGACTTCAAGGCCGAGGGAGACCGCACATTGGAGAAGCTCAACAAACTCGTCAGCTTGGCAGAGGGTTACGAGAAGCGTGTCAAGGAAGAGACGGAGCTGACTAAGGATCAACTACGCACAAGATACGTCGGCAAGGTTGACCCCAAGAAGCGTATGTTAATTCATCAGCCAACTCCAGCTCGCAGACTAACAAAACCACAGACATTGAAACTCTCGGCCAAGATCTCCTCGAAGACAACATCGTCTCAGTGTCGCGTCAAATGATTGACAAGGAGGCCTCGGTACCATCAGCCTGCCGCATAGAGGCTGTTGATGATGACGTCGATGGTATGGCTGTCGATCAAACCGCATAGATTGCGGAGCGTCTCAGAGGCCAATTGAATCAATCGCCTATCCCCAAGACAAAACAATGTCTTTGACAAGCACGCCGACAGAGTTAGTCAAACCGCCCATCAAAGTTTGCCACTTCTAGGATGAGGACCACTGAGTCGACGACCAACCTTGCAAGCATATCACAAAGCAGTCGTGAGATGAATAGGCATGAAGGTCAAGATGCCGGAAATGAGCAGGTGTACAATTAACATGCGCAACGAATGCAAAGAACAATTTCGACCCCTTTTCTCCATATTCCTCTTTTTGAACTATCTTGACAAGCTATCCTGCCGATGCACTGATAACAACACGATAGAGCTCCAAGCTACCCTTACCAAGCATACAGATCATCACCTTGCTCTTGCCGTTCATCTAGAACCACATTTACACGCACAACTGTATTTCTCCAAACACTCGATGAAACAAGTCATTACCCGAATCTGCACAACAACACCATCAATACTTCACTTTATACACTACTCCCTTCCAGCTGCTTCCCAACAATCACAGGCTTCTGACGGTTAGTGTAGCAGAATGCCACACCAGATTCAGCGAGAGCGAAATGAAGTCTTATTGAGTCGTGGGATCGCTGTTCGTGTCACTAACGAAATTCAATCATTCTGCTAAGGATGCGTCAACTTTTTGCAGGTATGTGCTATCAGAGAAATATCAGGGCAAGACGATGAACGACTAGATTACAACTCGGTAGTTAACAATGGCTGGGATCATAATCCTCCTCTTTCTATTTTTGGACACTCTGCTCCTTCCAGTACTGAGTTCGTCAAGGCTATGCAGCGCCATATGTCTGGTGACCATGCTCTCTCATTGTGTTGTTTGCATCGGCACCAGGCATCAACACCTCTCTGGCCTCCTCGGCCTCTTCCTCCAAGTCATCCCTCTCGATAGACCTAGACTGATACCAGACGTAGCCAACCAGCAAAACACCAACCGCGAATGCAGTAGAGAGCAGAATGATGTTAACAGGGACTGGGTTGTTGTTGAAAGCATGATGGGTAAGTGCATCCAATCCTTGAGCCGAAAAGTTGAACAGACCAGCGAGACAAATGATGAGACCGTAAACCTTGCCAAAGGTAGCAAACCCAAAGACCTTGGCAGAGTAGTCCGATACAGCTGTGTAGTACAGGGGACGGTAGATGACGAAGAGAATGATATTAGCATATGCGGATGCAGTGTTGGGAATAACTCCGAGGACTCCAATCGTTGTCGCAATGGTTACCAGAAGGGTGAGTGTGAACACTGTGCTCGTGTGATCAAGAACAAGACCGATGAAAGGAACGGCAACAACACCGCCGAGAGGGAGCGCAATATCGAAGAAGGCGTTGATGTTCTCGGCTTTTCCAGGACCAACCAGATAGGAATATTGAGTGCGGATGGTGGCGACGAAGTAGTTGATTCTGGTCATCTGGATGATAGTGAACAGAGCAATGAGGATGAACCATGGTGTCATGATCTGCTTCAGCGCAGGCTTTCCATGCAAAACACCCCAGACACCGCTTATCGTTTCGACTTGTTGTTGCTGAGCTTGCTGATCCTCGGCGCCCTTCGTGCCCAATAATTCGGTAATCTCGCTGACTATGGACTCGCGACGTTCTTGACGAAGCTGAGCACGTTCCTCATTACTGATTTCGAGATCTGAGTCTGAGTCTGCTAATGGTTCCTCGGCTTGCTGAACCAATTCACCAACGGTTTTGTAGCTGTTGGATGGCATGAGGAAAATTTGAGCTATGAGGATCAAGGCGGGTACAGCCAGGTAAATCAAGAAGAATTTCTTGGTGCTGAAGCTTCTGTCGGTGGCTTGAAAAATGAGGCGATAGACAAGAAAGACGGCAGAGCTGGTATCAAAGGCACCAGTCAACAGCGCGAGAATCGTGCCCGAATGCTTGGGGAAAGTGTTCGAAAGTTGGAAGCTTGAGATGAAGATGAAAGGTCCACCAAGAGCGAGGAAGAAGTAACCAGGAATCCAAAGGTCGACACTTCCACGATGGTCCCAAGCAAAGGCCAGAAGAGCAGATCCGATAGCAAGAAGAAAGCAGCCGATGATACCAGCAACTCTGGGTCCATAGCGATCCAAGATGGTTCCAACAGGTAAAGCGCAAACGTTTGTGCTGACAGCGGCGACAGTGAACATCAAGTTGAGTCTCAACTCTTGTTCGTAGCAAACCCATACGCCCTCTTCAATCTCTTTAGGTGTGCATCGCTCGGCATAGACACCTTGTTCTGCAAGGGATTAGCTGAAGTCGACAAAATCGTTCATACAGATCACATACCTATCAGAACAGGCTTGATAGCAGCATATCCAAATACTACTCCAGCAGCGAACAAGCAATACACACAAGCAACAGCAACTTGAGCTATCCTCTTGATCTTGCTGACCTCAAACGCGGCAACGGGTTCCTCATGTGCAACGTTCGGAACCCAGCTACCGACAGGATTAAAACTCAGTTTTCGACGTTCGGAACCTGTAGGTGAAGACGCTCTAGCAGCCAAGTCATTCGGAGTAGTCGTATTCCAGTGATCTCGTAAGGTCTCCATACTGCTTCTTCGTTCGAATAGCGACATCTTTTCGAGCAATCCAGGACTTTTGTATCGATGGCTGGTACAATATATGCTGACGTAAAACTATCGCAATGGTTCGTTTCCCCGCAAAGGATGAGAGCACGCGATCAATTCGTCGTTGTTTAGCGAGTCAGGTTAGGCGCGTAGGATGATGGACAGATGACCACAGGTCGAGATGCGAAGATGGAGGAATTGTTTGCGCAAAGGCTGCGACTACATGTTTATGAGATGGTTTATTGAAAGGGAATTTTTCGGCAACGGATCCTGCAAGCTGAATCCACAGTTGTGGTTCTACAAATGGATAGAGCGCGATAAGAAGCAGTTTCCCAGCTGCATGAGCAATTTCAACCAATCGGATCTCGCCGACGCTTAACAGTTTGACTCGATAGAAACTCGTGGGGCTTTTTGTTCTTGTACAATCGACAACAATTCGTGGTTTCTATTAGGAGTTGTCTTGTATATGCGCCTATCTGCTTCATCATTGTCCGTACTGACCCGTCGCAATGCGAGAATGATGATAACGACTGTGAAGCGATGATCGCTCTATACCGAGAGAAAGAATGAAGGAAAGAACAGTGCACACAAAAAAGAAGAAATCACATCTCCGCGCGCAAAGCGCCCATCTCCGACTCAACAAAGTATGCCGTCGCAGCAATTTTTTCACAAGGGAGATATACGGGGTCTGGCCCTCCATTCGATTCGCGCCTTGTGGATCGTATCTCCGGTTGATGTGACCTTAGTCGATGAGGTCGCTCAAGCAGCTTCGATCTTCTTAGGAAGCAGACCAGCTCTCTTGCTCTTGAACCACAAAGTTGGCAGCAAGATGCATGAGCATGAGAAAAGAATGCTAAAAGATCGACTGTTAACCGAAGGGTCATCGTTTTAGGAATGAGCAAAGACTTACCAAAGTGCAATGCACAATCCCCAGATTGCCTTGGTCTCGAGACAATTGAGTTTAGTGGAGCCAGCCCAGACATACAGACCGATACTGCCACCTTGCTTGACATTCTGCACCAGACTTTGCAGCCAGGAAGCAGCGCCTGCGGCATCGATCTTGCTGTCTGCAGTGGCAATGGCAAAACAGTTCAGCAGACTAAGTGGTTTGCCGAGAGTGACTGAAACAATGACGAAGGCAAGGAGAAGAAGACTGTCAATACCAGTCATGATAAACAAGCCCAAGTTTGCTTGAGCCATATAGAATGGGACGCTGATCAGAGTGTACAGCGTTGCGATGCAGGTCTATGTCTGGATTAGCGCTGCTCGAAGAAATATCAAAGGATCGGATCACATACGATACTCAAAGTTCCGACAATTTCTCTTGGAGGCTCAATGCCCACACTGTTGATTGCGGCCACGAAGTTTGCAGTCAAACCGACGATGCCGACCATTGCAACCAGACTCAATCCTCTGATGCAGAGAAAGGTCTCGCTGAGCGGGAGAGCACCGTAGCTTGGAACGGGCATCTTGATCAAGTTCGTTGACGAAGTAGGGTGATAAAGGTAGGAAGCAGTGCAAATGACCGACCGGCGGCTGTCAAAAGGTCGAATCGAGGATGCCGCAAGAGATGAAACTCCAAGAGAAATGCAGGAAGAGCAGAGATGATATGCTGAGAAAACAGAAGCAGAAGAAGAGAATATGCTGTTGTTGTTGGATTGTCTGAGACCGAGAACAAAGACAGCAAAACAAAGGTCTTAAGTACTGCCTTTTTCCACAACACAGCCCACTCGACCTGCAAATCTCAGACATGCTATCCTTGTCTCTTGTTATCTTGATTCATCTCGTCTGAAGAGGTGTAACACGCTGTCTCTCTTCAGTTAACGCTGTCTCGTCCAATAGGGTGTGGTCTTGGCACGGCGCGTAAATATAGCGACTTCCTTTTTGCTTGCGACAAAAAATGGACACGCCATTCGAACAACCTGGACACCTGCATTCCAGGTTTCTTGCATGTCGAAAAGATCTGCTGCAGTTGTGGTGGAAGGTTGTAGACGGGTGGATGTTTCGGAAGTCGATCCCAGTCGAGGCGCTGGACGGATGTTTGCTATGTACCTGGACTATTGACAACCGACTGGCAGTGCGCCAATCGAATCCTAAATTTCCCCAGCGTCCGAGAATAGGACACTCTTCGGTTGAGATCGCGATCATCTTTGATTCTTTTGTTTCGAATCGAATCCGGAACCATGAAGCTATACTGAGCCAGGGTAACCCAGACAACAGAACTGCATCATCTCCTGACGGTCAGTATGAGCTGATCTGGTTGTTTCTTGTGTATGAGCTTATGTTTCGATGCCTCTCAGATGCTCAACAGAGCGCCGTCTGGGTAGTTTGCAGATGTTGAGGTTTTGGACTTGTTCCTCGTCAGATTTTATGTTCTGGGTTAGAACTTAAAAGTCTCACGTCTTCGTTGTCTGTTATCGAGCCAGGTATGTTAGGCGCCAAGTGACAGAAAAATGCATCTCATTTATCAAATCATGCCGAGAGTAGAAAAGTAACTCGCAGACTACGGCCGTTATGGAAACCCAGTAACTAGCAGAGCAAAAAAGCAATGACCCAGCATTTCTCCCCAACAGCACCCCTTGAACGCCCTCAAACAAACAAGCTACCCTCGCTATCAACATCAGTCTCTGGTCTCATCGTGAACTTGCGCCAGTCGATTGCCTTTATCGAAACTGCAACCATCCATCACTGAACCAGGGACGAGCAAACCCGCTCGTCTACTATCATTGTCAATAACCAGTATGACTGCTGACAGGTCCATACGTCGTCAATGGCCAGAGTCCATCGCCGATCAAGGGCAAAGGTGCACTACCGTCTCCTACAGGCATGACGCTGCTAGGATCCACACCAGGAGGCTTCTGACCCAGTGCCAACAATGCAGTTGCGTTCTGCATGTCGAAATTGGGATAGCCAGTGCCCATGATACCAAGCATGTCATGGGTGAAGTGACGCCAAGCGACAGGACCCATCATCATCTGCTGGGGTTGTTGTTGAGGCGTGATTGCTGCTGCAGTAGTCACGGTGGTGGTAGGAGAAGCGTAGCTATTGTTTGGCGAAGGAGATGTGAAGGCTTGGAAGAGTTGTTGAGTCGTCTGATCGTGAGGAGCCATCTGTTGGGGCACGTTCTGGTTGTGATTGTGGTTTGTTTGATGCAAAGCGTGGCCAGCATTGTGGGCGGCGAGCTGAGCAGTAAGGTCGGACTTGATGTCGTCGCCATTGGTGTAAGCACTGCTGTCGACGAAGCCGGGATACGCGGGTGCTGAGGCACCTGATGGATCAGGGTATGCGAAGCCGTTGGTCTGATAAGGTTGCTGGGTCTGTAGACCGTTCTCATCTGGACCAAGGTACGATGCGCCGGCAGTGGTGTCGGTGGGAGGAGCACCGGTGGGATCAGCAGGAACATACGCCGGAGCGTAGCCTGCAGGGGCATTGTAACCATTGACACCATCTTGTTGGCCATCTGTAAGAGCTGGCGACGAGTGAGCAATGTTTGCTGAAGCAACAGCAGCACTTGCAGTCTTCGCAGCAAGGTGACGGTGGATGTTGTCGATAGAGGCGTTGACGATGTGACGGACGGCATTTTGGAGCTTAGCACCACTACCCATCAACTGACCAATGTCGCCGATGATGCTCAACCACTGCTCCATGGTGTCCTTGAGAGCATTGAGATCAGTGGATGTGATGTGATCCTTGCGCTGGTTGTAGGCAAAAAGCGTAACAAACATGGCAGATAACCAGACGGTTGCATTGAGCCAAGTAGTGTCGAGAGCTCTCAAGGCACGCATGCTCTGTGCAATGTGTAGCAACTTGGCGCTAGCATCCAAACAGACATCCAAGTTCTTGTTGTTCACATCGGTGTTTTGTGTGCGACACACAGCAGGGTGATGGACGAGCAAGTTCAACTCCTGTGCACCGAACTGTAGATACAGCGAACAGGCCCTATCATCTTGAGCAGTCTCGGGACCACCGGATAGCTCGATCGGAATGCTCTTCAAGAAGTAATCAAGATCGCGCTCGAGTTTCTGGATGGTGAGCTCATATGAATGAGGAGGAGCGCGGACCGAGTAGATCGAAGTCTGAACTTGGATGACAAGCAACACCCACTTGAAGTTGTGACATGCGACACGGTACGAGCACTTGTGCCATTCATCAATGCAAGATGCTTCGTTGCCAGTGTTGTCGTCAAGAGCTTTGGGAAACTCCACATCAAAGTCTTCGAGACGCATAGCCAGTGGTCGACCAAGCTTGTTGCTGATAGATGTGTGGATGACCAGAACACTCCAAAAGACACGCTTGCGCATTTCGATCTCATGTTCGCTGAACTCGGGGCTGGACTTTCCCCAAGCACTAACAGATCTGTGAAGACCCATTTCAGCACAAAGATTGAGTGTCAGGGTTGACATGAACCAAGCAGCACCAGGCTTGGTAAAGTTCCTCAGATGTAGACAGATCAAAGCAATAGCCTGAATGTTAGGCAGGGTACGCTTAGCCATCAGATCAGGAAGGAAGCTGGCAGCATAACGGTAGTGGTCGGCCCACTCAGTCGGACGGCTGTTTCTGACCGAAGACTGGAACAACATCATGGCGATGATCATATGCAGCTGTACAGTCTCACTAATATCTGGCTGGTAGACCTCGTCCGAGTTGAGGCGGTCGACCATGTCCAAAACATCGGGCTTGTGGACGATTGGCGCATGGCAGTTGACCGAGATGAAGTACCACTCGCAAAGGGCCTTGCACTCGCGGTACGAAGGGAATGACGGTGGTGGTGGACGTTCTTGCGACGACTTGAAAGCGATACTGAGGAAGTTCTCATATGATGTGGGCGAGAAGGCTTCATCATTGTCGTTGGTGACGAAGTCGACGAGATCCAGCTCCATGCCGAAGAGAGCGACAGAGGTACCCTTGATGGGAGACAGCCATTCGTTTGCGCCAGAGATACCGAGATAGTTGTCGCCAAGGGAGTTGTTGCGATAATCGGGCAGGGCAGCGGTGCGGGCGCGAGACTTTGCCGGATCAAGGTGGGTATCGGCTCCGAGGATGGTCGAGAGGTCGAACATTTGCTGGGGCCAAGCGTAGGCAGGCTGTCCACCACTGCCGACGAAGCCTAGAGGCATGATTGGCGCAGGGCGAGGATCATGTCCCGAGTCAATGAGCTGCTGTCGCAAGTCGTTAATGTGTTGCTTCAAGGCCATGTTCTCGGTTTCGATGTGCTCGGTATGACCTCGTGAGGTGGCGCGTCCAGTGATACGGTCCGTCGTCTTGCATTCGAGATTGTTGGCGATGCATGGTGAGCATCCACCCGGGCGGGCATCACATCGTATCTTTCTGACCTTCACACGCTGTCAGTGATGGACGACGGTGATGACGATGATGATGGTCGAGTCTTACCTTGCATCGGTCGCAGGCTTGACCAGTCCTCGACGTCGTCGTCAACTTTTTGCGGACAGAGCGTGAAAAGTCGCCATTCTCAGACTTGGTAAGCTTGGCCGGAGTACCATCTGGACTGCCTTCAGATGGGCGTTTGCTGGTCATGCTGTCTCTGGACACTCGCAGACGGTATTCGCCGTGAGCAACAAGGTCGCGGTACAAGCCGTGAATGCGAACTCGAAGCTGCGACTAAACTTGTCAGAACAAGAAACTCGAGCAATTCAAAGCCTGCAATGTCGGGGAAAAGGAGTGTTGCAATGGCGGTGTGATCTTGCGCGTCTGTATTACGATGATATCGCCTCCCGAAGATGACATGAATTTTCTCTCTACCAACTTCACCTAGCAAGACCGCCAGCCTGCCGATTGCCGCACGTGATAGTGCACGGGCCATGCTGCCTCCATTACTCTTTCCTTGCAGCACCATATATCATCAAATGCCATAGAACTTCCACTTCTTATCAGAATGTCGACTCTCGAGACTATTGCTCTTCCTCACTTTCCACAGTACCCTCTGTGCGTTGGGCTGTACAAAAACGTGAAGAATGCTTCTTTTCTCCGTCAGCAGCTTCTGGCTGGCAACGCCGACTTCGAATATGCTTTCCTCGATGCTTCTGTTGTATGTCGCTCATTCCCTCAAATCTGAACCTTTCTGACTCGGTAGGTCGTCTCTCGTATGCAGTTCCTCGCTGCTTCTTTCCGAGGCATCAACGACTTTGCAAGTGATCGCATGAAGAGTCACAACGTTCATTCTGAGATTGTCTTTTCTTTCTCACCAAACAACAATGTGTGTCTCTATTGATATACAATGTTATCCTTGTATGCTAATGATCTCTCAGATCGCTGAGTCGTTCCGTCGCTTTGGTATCTCCGACACGACCCAACATGTTCTGGCTATCAAAGTTCTCTCTTCGGGGATCACTGCCGAGTCCGTCAGCCAACACCTCCAGCAGAACATCGAAGGCGATCAAGTAGATGTCTCGGATACGAACTTTGCCGAGCTTGTTGATCAAGCAAGACTCCGCAAAATCTACAAGCTCAATGTTCAGGCAAGGAAAGGCTCCGCAAATGGTACTTCTTCCAAGGAAGCTGAGATCAAGGAGCTCGAGACTTCTATTCTCGGTGTCATGGCTCTTAGAGGCTCATGAAATTCCATTCTCTGTCCACGACAATGTCAAATCCGCTGACCCTACTGGTCGGCTACGGACACTTGTGCTACGCATCTGACTAAGACTGCTGCTTATGCACTACGCTCTGGTCAGCGACACTTCTCTGCATATATGACCGCCACATCAGCTTCGCAAGGAGCCTTGGCAGAATCACGACGATATTCGAAATCAAGGTGTTACCAACTTTGCGGCTGGTTTGCGCAGAACATCAAAATGCAGCTCTCTCAGCTTCGCTTATACCATCTGATGCCCACTCATGCAACGACAGAGACGCGCATCGAACTGTTGAGCAGTACTCGCATGTTCACGTCACAGAAACACCCATCGGATAGTCATGTCTACGATATCACGATCGCAAGATATACAAGCTTTTGTCTGCTCACTACTTCCATTGTCCTCGATAGTATCAGTCATGTGATCTTATCGAATGGAGACAACTCGGGATTACCGGGTAATCTCTCATGTGATGTTTTCGTCTTACACCAGGATTCTATTCTCGAACGCTGTCCTCGAATGTTATACCAGAGTATATAAGCAGATTTACATGCGAAACCTTTTCATCTGTTCTGCATGCCGTCGGGGCCTTGACAATGAGTCTGTTGCCGCAGTCGAACAAAATCTCCACCCTGGAGGCTCTGGATGAAGATCTCTTTATCCTAAATGCTCAAGTGAGCGAAGGACCAGGTCAGTGAAAGTCGATACTTACTGCTTCTCTCCTGGTACCCGTTCTCGTATCTCGGATCTCAAGCGTACAGAGGAGATAGGGGCATAAACGCATACTATCATGAACTTGTGGTCTGCAGATGGTCCCAGACTAACGTCAAGAGATCAATCCGTCGTGGAAAGATTACGTTGCATGTTTCGAGTGCATGGAAAGCATCAATGATAGATCAATGAGAGGTAGGTCGATGATACACTGCTGACAGCATCTCTCTCCAGTCGCTGTAGATCTGCTTTTGAACCAACAGTGAATGGCGTGGAGCAACAATCATGGTACAGAATTGACACAAATGCGGCGCCCGAGATACGAGTGTCGACGAATCAAATCTTTCGACTGCGTATCAGATGATTGCCAGAGCCAAGGACATCGTATGTGTTGTCATGGAGAAAGGCAGGTAAGGCCACCAAAGGATCGATTTCTCTCTTGACCTACGTAATGGTCAAGGATGTCAAACGACTTGGCATGACTGGAATTCGAGTTTCGAAGCATGACAGTCACGAAACAACGACTGATGTCGAGTCTCATAAACTCGTGTGAGAGCACTGAAAGCTGTTTCGTTTCTCCCTGAAATGAAAGCGTGCGACTTGAGCTGAACCCGATCAGCCGTGGTATGCACGTTATGCATGACGGCGTTAAGGAGCTTAGCAAACTCAAACCAAATTCCTCGGCTCGATTCAGGCTGTGCGCTGACAGCCAAAGAGTAGCTACTGGCCATGTAGGCGTGGGGATCCTTTCGCTCTCCTCTCCTGAGGCCACGCAACCCTCATGTGTCGCAGCCAAACGGTCCAGGAGCGGCAAACAAAACGAAAGCCGCTTCGGATTCGTTTCTTCTGTGCGTGAAATGACATTCAGCTGAGTCGGCAAGCCACTTTCAATAATGGTATATCGGCTTGCCAGATTCGAGGTCTAGATAATGTCTCGTAAAAGTCTGTCACCTGCCGAACGTGGCTTGCACACAAGACGCAGCCAAGGCGAACCAAAGGCTTGTCTAAAGCTTAGCTTTCTCGGCCGATTCAATGGTTTCACCGGCGTCATTTTCAGGTCAAGAATCATGCAAGGGGTTATCAGTGTCGTGTCTGTCTGAGGATTGTGATGTGTGATACAGAAAGACGAGACCAAATTCCCGACACCCCAAATCTTGACACCAGTCTTTCTATATGTGTCTTGTGTGTCAAAGGATGATGCAGGAGATTGTTCGGAAGGGCAGGAAGCACGGTTGCAGCTTCCTCCCGAAACAGGGCTGGTGCGCACACCGTTGGCCAGGTTTCCCGGGGGTGTCGCTCTCCGATGACGCCGAAGGAAGAAGAATTCGATGCAGGACTACGCGGCCACCTCAGAACGGTTTCGAGGGGCTGGCTCGGCCGCGACAGCAAGTGTGAGCCATTGAATCGAAGCGAGGTGTTGTATTGGATTTTCTCACAACTTTGCGCGACTTTTTAGCTTTTGATAGGGTAGTTGTTTGTACTTTGACGCGCGATAAAGTCTTCTTGTCCTGCACGTCGTGCCTCGTAATCGCCCAACCCTTGTCCATCCAACAAACAACCAGGATCATTTGATAGGCCAAGAGGAAGAATCGTCGATCATCTGCCATCTTTGGTCGATTCTCACACGACATCAAGTTACGGAGTAAAGCACTTCTCCACCAAACAGGTTCAGGCACACGATCACTTTCCCAGCGTGGTCGTTTCTTATACTTCAGTCTCTCCCGCCTTCCGGAGTGCCCTAGTCTATTTTTCTTGCAACTTCTGGTTCACTCACGCACCTCATCAGAAACCATGCGTCTAATCAAGTTCCTCCTGGCTGCAACGGCACTCGTAACTGGATCTGATGCTCGTCCTATGAAGATCCCCACAGACAACATTGCTCGCAAAAGAGATGCAGATTTCCTCAGTGTGCGAACTCGCCTCACCAAGGACTACAGTGGAAAAGCCGGTGACCCAAAGGACAAGTACTTTCACGAATCAACATTCCACCCTCACATGGACGGACGTTTTGGTGACAGAGTTTTGAGTTATGATGATCGCCGCTCAAACCTCACCACACTCATGCAAACATATCTTTCTACAATGAACGACATTGGAGCAGAAACCTGGATCATGCACGGTAGTCTTCTTGGATGGTTCTGGAACAGAAAGATCATGCCTTGGGATTCGGATGTCGATGTTCAAATGACCGAAAAGTCAATGGAGCACTTGAGCGACTTTTACAACATGACCGTTCACCACTACAAGCTTCCCGCCTTCCCTGAAGGCCGCGATTACATGCTTGAAATCAACCCACATTGGAGAAACAGCAGTACGACTGATAGACTCAATGTTATTGACGCTCGCTGGATTGATATGAGCAATGGCTTGTTTATCGACATCACCACACTCCATCGCAACACAACTGCGGAAGCTCTAGGCATCGAAGGAGCCATGATGTGCAAGGACAAGCATCACTTCAATTTCACCGACATCTTCCCACTCCGTGAGAGTGTTTTCGAGAACACTCCCGTCAAAGTTCCATACGCCTACACCGATCTTCTTGCTGAAGAGTATGGCTCCAAAGCATTGGTCAAGACAACCTTTGAGAACCACCACTTCGATCAGCAAACAATGGAATGGATTCCACTTTCGTAAGTCTTCTGCCACACAGGCATCTTCAAACAAGTCCTAACACTTCTTGTGTCATAGAAATCCTTCAAACATGAATGGAGTGACTGGTGGTGGCAGACCTAAGCACAAGGTCATCTACGCACACAATGGAGTTCCTGTCAAGAACATAGCGAACACAGCATCAGCAGGCACTCAACCAGCACAACCTGCCGCAGTCGACGCTTCCGCTGTACAAGGCCAACCTCGACTCGACAGACCGATCACACATGCCTCCGATCTGGCCCAGTCATGATGATTCTGTACACATTCTTTGCTTTGTACATTCTGGCTCTCTATGAGCCCTCACGATTATTGCGCTTTTCCAGCGATGGCGTTTGGAGCCTCTTCTCTTTTGCACCAAAGCATTTGCATACTTGCATCTTGCCCGTTTTTCTTTCTCTACAACGATACCACACGACGCGCATGTTCAATAGCATTCCTGTATATTCCCAAAGTCGTGTCTTTTGCATTAAAGCGCAGCATAGTATAGACACCATAAACGTACGGAATTCACTTTCCTACTCTATCACCTATCCAAGTCTGATCCATACTTTTCATTCACACTTTTTGCAATGATAGAACTTTTGGTACGTACAACGCCACCGGCATCTCTTATCCGTTTTTCCCTATGCTACCACCCGCGCCAGGCCACGCAATGCGATGTCCGTTGTTCTGCGGGATGCAGCTGATCATTGTCGCGTGCTCGATTTGAGGCTCGCCCCCTTGCATGCTTGAGTTTTTCCAGAATCGATTCCACAAAGCTTACGAAATTATAGATACAGACCTTATCTGTTCATGCCTTCGGAGTCTCGGGCTCTCTACAGTGACCGTTGTGTATATATATCTCGGACTTTTGATTGTTTGCTTCAGAAGTGCCCCAGAGTGACCCTTTTTTTCAATTCGACATCGCTTCTCCATCGTTCCTTCCATTCTCGTTGTAAACATCGCAAATCACAAATCACAAATACCGAGACAGTTTGTGAGAATCCAGAACCCCAAAAGGTTTCAGGTACGCCTCCCCGCGGGGGAAGAGGAAGAGAGAGAGAATTATTGCCGGATTCGACGGGTGCGGCTGTTTTGGACAAACGGCTTTTTGTCTCTGCACGAGCTGAAAAGTGCTTGTTTGGGACAGACAAGCAATTTAGGGGCGTGGACAAGCCTTTTAGGGGAACGGTTGGTCATTTTGATTGTTTTGATGATGATTATGATGATGGGGAAGATAGGCTTCATGCAGCGAGTATCGGGGAATGACTCGTTTTAGGATGCTGGATGGCAGTCTGCACGATGAAGATTGTATGGTGAGATAGGAAGGTATGGTATGGGGAGCCGAGTTGAGGAGATGCCAGACGGTAAGCTCCTTTGACCGGCACTTGCCTGATTTGCGGTGTCGAGTGAGAAGCATCGTTCACATCTCCTACACTCGAGTCGTCTTGTAAAAGTTCACATCCACAAGATTTCACCATCGCTGCCCCCGCTCCAGACTTTGTGGCTAGAGAACAAGGTCAATTGCGTTCTGTGATCTCCATGCTATGCATCTGGTATTCGATAAGCCATCAACCTTCAGATACATAATCCACTGCATCTTCGGACACCGCTTGTTTCACGGCTCACATAGCGGTTTACACCCTTGACTGGACCCAACACGTTGCAAATACCATCGAACAGACCATCAATTAACCTAGGGGACCTTTTCCGACCAACAAAGGAGCAAACACGCCGCCCAATACCGGCCTGGCCGCAAAGTTCAAGCCTGGAGGATAATCTCCACTATCAGTCTCATACAGATCCGTGAATGGTCTGTTCGTGGTAGTCTTGCCAATCCAAGCGGCAATCTTGGAAATGAAGAGTTGTTTCGTGGACGGCGAAGCAACGGCTGCGGCGAAGATCTCCCAGTCGAGTTTTGTATAGCTGTGACGGGTATCGAGAGGGACTGAGATTGTGTCAGTATAAGCTTCGAAGGGAGCACGGAATGTGACTTACCTCCGTATTGCATGGCGATGGTTGGGTAGAAGGACGACTGCATCTTGTACACACTGCGAGGTACAATGTTCGTTTTCACCCAAGTATCGGCGAAGAGATTGTAGAGCAAGCCGTGAGTGTTTGGCATACCATATGCGAGTGTTGTATGTGCGAGTGATCCATTCGTGGCTTGTGCAATGCCCAACTGCTGCCATTCGTTGATGTAGTCATGGGCAATGTTGGTGAAGTTTTTGGCATCGTCGGCGTGACCTGTGATATTTGCGATTATAGCCATGGCTTCGATGCCGATGATTCCTTTGAGAGCCAAGTTTGTTTGATTTGCTAGTGAGCCGGCGAAGTCATCGGTGGAAATTTGGTTCGAGGGGATCAAAGAGTCAAGGATAAGATAGTCGTTCCATTGCTTGAGGATGGTGTAGTGTTGATTCAAGTAGTCAGCACCGCCTGAGATCTTCTGGGCCACAGCAAGAGCCATGATGATCATGTTGCCACACTCCTCTAGTGGCTGATTTTCAGCATTCCCGTCATCGTGGCCGGTTGCGTTTGGGAAAACTCCTAGATCATGGATGGCATATGCAGCAGGCCAGTTACCGGCTTCCTGATTGATGAATAGTGGTTCGAGTAGTAGACGACCAAGATCGGGATTGAAGTAGATGAACAGTGGGAAGGCAGGGAAGATGACATCGACAGTCTGCATGTCACCGTTGCTACTAATCTCCTTCAGGAAGAGGTGGTAAGAATCTTGTGAGCCAGCAAGCTGTGTAGTGGCAAAGACTTGACGGACAGCAAGGCTGGTAATGGTGAGGTAGTCTTGTCCTGCATTGGCCAAAGAATCGGTGGCGACCTTTGTGTCGATACTGGTTGCACTAGTCTGAGCGTTCGACCAGTCATTGTAAAAGAACGAGATCAAATCGAGTTCACTCGAGAAGTAGCTGGTCCATAGCGGAGGTAGTTGTTGGACCTTGTTGGTATCGTACTCGAATTGAATGGCTTGCTCTTGTGATAAGGTCAGTGTAAACAATGCTGACGCTGGGCTGCTCCCAACAGATCCAAGGTTGAGAGCGAAAGCAAAAACAGGCCACTGGTTGCTGATGGCTCTGAAATTGGTGTTCAGATCATTGTCGAGCACGCCGTTGCTCATGAATGCTCCACGGACGTCTGTATCAACACCACCGTTTGAGTAGGTCAAGCCGTCATGCTCACATGCATAGATCCAGTTACCCCAACTTGCTTGATCCGAGTTCTCGACGAAGACTTGCTGATCACGGCGGTAGAAGCGATGATAAGTAACACCACTAGACGACAGAGCCCCGATGACTGTAGTAGATGGTGAAGCTGGAGATGCTGTGGTCTCTTCAGTCTGAGAAGACGCAACCGCAGTTGACGAGAGGTTAGACGAAGCAGTCGATGAACTTGGGACTGTCATTGTCTGCATCGTTGATGTATCTGCACGCTTCGACGGGGCAGTCTTGATAGTACCAAAGTTCCACTCTGCAACGGCAGATCTGTCTCCCGATGCCCATTCAGCAGAGACATCTGAGTAGAGCTGGACCTTATGTTCAGCACCATCTAGGGAGAAGACCTCAACGTTCATGTAAGATGCTGGAATCGACTGGCGCCTGAGATCGGTAGGTTCAACTGGAGAGAGGAATGTCACGTTCATACCAACCTTGCCATCAACTGAAAATGTGAAGACAGATCTGGTTGATGTGTATTCAAAGTGGGTTTGATTGGCGACAGCTGGTCCGCTGGGTGCTCCCATCCAAGTAACTGCAGCGCCTCCATCAATTTTGACGAGACCTGAGATAGTTCAATGAGCATTCTCACAAGAGCTTGCTCGGAGGAACTACCTGTCCAGCCTGTTACTTGACCTCTGTGCAACGTCAGCATCTAGTCACCAGAAGCGTACCATTGAACTAACGCCCAGAACTTTGGCCATTGACCAGCAAGCTGTCAAGCATTAGTAAAGAGCATATATTCCCTGCTCGATGTGCTTACATATCCACCGTTGCCTTCATCACTACCGGCTTGCTGCCAGGTGTTGAGATATGGGTTCGAGACAGCAAGGGGTATCGCTGGTGGTCTTGTTGGAGAGAAGGATGATTGGGCCCAAACTATTGGTACCAGCAGGGACAAGTAAGTAAGAGGCAACATCTTGTCTCTCGAATAATGATACAATGAGATAGGAAGTGGTATGGATGGTAAGGACAAGCCTGGCTTTTTGTATTCGCTCTTCTACAGGTTGAGATGAAGTTCGAACCAGCGTAGAAGATCGACACAGGGCATGACCAGTGATCAGAAGGGTGCGGAATGTAACATCCAATGAGTTTCGCATTTTCTTCAACGGTCATACTTGTGTGCTGTCATCAGGCGGTGTTTCTCTGTGTAGCTGCCAAGCTAGTTCATCTACCTCTTGAAAGTGCCGCCCAGGAATTGGCGAAGGCCATGTCCATATGACAGTCACATCGAAGGTCTCAATAGTCGAGGTACAGGAGTAGTCATTGTTGTAGCGTCTCAACTGACTGATTGTCTGAGTATTAGATGATCTCGGACGAAAGCTTGTGGCCGGGGAAAAGAGCTTGTCCCGATCTAGCGGTGTCGAGTGCCAAGTGATGGCATTTTGTTAGGAATGAGGTGCCGTCTGCACTTTAATTTCACGACGAATGACTCGAGTCAGGAGCTCAAGTGGAAGCCGTCTGAGAATCATGGCTCAATGGCGGCGAATCAGAGTTTTGACTGATCGACGACATGGCAGATGTAGAGCGGAGTAACGAGCATGCATAGATGCATGTGATCAGTGTAAATCAACGACAGGCGATCAATGGTGGAGACCGAGTGATGATTACTCTCCGATGTTGCACTGCAGCACGCCAGTGGAATACCTGGCTGAAGACGGATTGCAAAGAGTGGTGTTGATGTAGGAGCAGACGTCTTGGATGTCTTGGAAATGTGGGTTTGGTCGGGCAGGGTCACAAGAAAGCTTGGAAATTCTGCGGTCAAGACTTTTGGCCAGCCGAGGCTTCCAACCACCAAGTGACAAGTCGATCTCTCCAAGGTCTTTCTATCACTGCACGTGCAAACATCCCACATCATGGCAAGCCGCGGAGAGTTGCTCTATCCTGAGGTCGATCGGGTGTTCCTGGAACCTTATCTTCCTGTGAACGACTCTCAGTCAGCAAAATCAGGCTTGCCCTTTGTTACACTCACTTTTGCAACATCACTGGATTCGGCACTGTCTCTGGCTCCTGGTGTACAGACAGCATTGTCAGGCCCACAGTCGAAAGCCATGACCCATTATCTCCGCTGTAGGCATGATGCTATCATGGTCGGTGTAGGCACTGCGATTGCAGACAACCCCAGCTTGAATTGCAGAATACAAGGCATCGGTGGTTACGGTAGTGAAGGCTTGGATGGCCAGCCTCGGCCTGTTGTTGTCGACCCTCAGGGAAGATGGCAGCTGACTTCAGAGACCAAGATTCTCAATCTTGCCAGACAGGGACGAGGTAAAGCGCCATGGATTGTGACTTCAAAGACGCCAAGTGCAGACAATGCGAAATTGCTGGAAGAAGTTGGCGGATGTTACATTGTGCTCGAGCCACAAGTATCTAAGAACAAGACTTCTATCGCTTGGCTCGATATACTGGAGACTATCAAGGCGAGAGGCATTCAAAGTATCATGATCGAGGGCGGTGGGGTCATCATCAACTCGCTTCTATCGACAGAGAATGCAGACTTGATCAACTCGGTCATTGTGACCATCGCACCTACCTGGCTTGGTCAAGGTGGCGTTGTCGTGTCTCCGCCCAGATCAGAAGGTAGCACTCTGCCGGTCGCTCGCCTTCAGCAGACAAAGTGGCAGCAACTCGGTGATGATGTCGTTCTTTGCGGAACTTTGAGGGCTTGAAACATTGTCTTCCTACTCAGTTCACATTCACAATCAGTTGCGTTGTCTTCAATCTGACTCTTCGACTATCAAACGGAGTCAGTTTGAATCAATCACGCAGGCAGTCCAATCACACTTCATCAACATACGCTTGCGCACGTTGTCGCGGCTGCCTGCAGCTTCGCGTTGCCAGTCGCACCTGCATCACTTCCAGCGCCTCCCAGAACCTGCTCATCGTCCAAGCCAACCCATCCGCACATCAACACGATCTTAACTTCACTATGGCCGCGAACGATGCCATTGCCGAGGATACGCAGACCAGAACACAGAAGATTGATAGATGGGGCACTGGTAAGCACTCGTCTCAGCAAAGTCTGGAGATTATTTAACAAGTTCAGGTCTCTTTGAAAACGATGCAGACACACATGTCATCCACAACTTCACCCAGGAACTGGATTTCAAAGAGCAAGAAGTGACCAACTTTCTCTATCTGGAAAACGCGACGGCACTCCACTATCGCAAAAAGCTTGACGCTGGGATGATAGACACACTACTCAAGAAACGCCTGCCTATCGACGATGCCACGGTCTTTGTAGGCCAGGGCGACAAGACCACAATGTGGACATGGCCTCCGAGGAGATGTCCCGGTTATCAGCTCTGCTTGCTTGGAGCCGCCGTGATGCGTTTCGGCTGCGTGATCCGCCCGGACTTTCGCCAGGCGTTGGAAGGACTTCACACTAGAGTCGGCTTCTCTCGCAATGCCCAAGTGCGACTCCGACACGCGCTCAACATCTATGTAGACGGCACACCCTACAACTTTCGCAACAAGTCTCGTCCGATTGGCCTCGACTCAGACGATGCCTTCGGCGATCATATCTGGGGCGACATCAGCGAATGTATGATCGATCTGGGCGACGACATCGAACCAGCAGTGAAGATGTTTTCAAGATTGGTCTTTGGCCCTCTTTTGAAGTGTGCGGCTGCTGGCGACAATGAGCACCCTCAAAATGCTTGTGGTAACTGTGGCAAGAAGAAGGCGGCAGATGGCTCGCCTTGTCGTCCCTGTTCGGACTGCGGCCAGCGACTCTACTGCAGTCGCAAATGGTATGATTCCCATGTCTGAGTTGATTCTAGCGTGATTTGCTGACTGTGCTGAAGCGAACTCGCACACCGTTCCCAGCACAAGTTGATCTGTAAGGATCCGTTCTATCGTGTCATGGGCAACTCATGGGCCAGGTCTAAGGATGCAGTCAATGCAGCGAATGCACAGAGAGCACTTCCGACCAAGCACCGGGATGATCAGGGCACAGATGAGGACAGTAACACGAAGGGCTCGAACTTCACAGCGCCGACAATCCCTGCTCTTGCTTTCGCCTTGCGCGAGACCGAACGCGCCCGCCAGCGTGGCCTGCCAGTTTTGTCAGGAGAGTCCACTTCAACTTCTATCTCGTCTGACTGTAGCAGTGACGAGGAGTATAGTCTGCTCGACTGTGGCAACTGTGGTACCGAAGCAACAATCGACAAAAATCTTTTACTGTGCGGAAAGTGCTTTCAACAGCACTATTGCAGCAAAGAGTGCCAGAAGGCACACTGGTCTAAACATAAAAAGCGTTGCCCGGCCTTGACCTCCGCATGAGACAGTCGACTAGATAAATGCTGACCTAAGGGCGATTGCACACTGTCGGGGATGTTGAAGAGAGCCAGCTGCACGTCTCTACATTAATCATGAGCACAGTTGTCTTTGACAGCTATGATAGCTCTCATGTCTCAGACATCCAGAGATCCTCGAGCACCCGACTTTGCTCGAACAAATCACGCTTTATGTGGATCAAGAACACAACATCTCGCAGTCTAGTTCTAAAGCATTTTGACTCTTATTCTGTCGTCTCAAACTCCATATCTAGCTATACTTGAATGTGAGAATCCTAGTCAGACATGAAAGAATCAATATCTGAGATTCGTATGTCTTGTTTCCCTGATGTCTTGCTTAGGAATAAAACACTTGTCTTATTCTCATCGAATACCAGTTTCTTACCCTCCTGTATATATAAAAGTGATGGGTCGTCCTGTTCAACCATCATCTTACAACCACAGTCAAACAACTCGAGCAACCCAACCAACCACAATCAAACCAACTCTTCTGCCAACTCCCATCGACCAAGACGACCAAGTCCAAATTCAACCCACCAACACCAAAAATCAACAACAATGTCTCATTTCCCCTACTCTGGAAACTCCACCCCCTCCGGCAACTCTTCCTCCTCTTCCTCCTCTTACTCCTCCTCAGGCTCTTCGACTCCCGCCAGCTCACCCGACAGCGTGATCTGGATCACCAGCCACCCCAACTCGCCTTTCAGCCCAAGAACTCCTCCTGGCACACCTGGTCCCACTACCCCCGAAATCCTGGCTATGCTTATGCATAAGCAAGCTGGGTATTGGCCAAACTCTTACGAGGGTGGGAATTAGAAGGAGACAGGATATACTCAGGAAAGGGATGAGGGAATGACTCCCAGCATGATTAGTGAGCAATTTGGAAGAAACGGGATAGAGCTTGGAGAATGTGGATGGGGGCTAGCAGACGGATGGGTGGTCTTTTCCTTTTGTGTTTCCGGAGGAAACGGATGGGGTAGCAGGTGCATAGTGGTGTTTTCCTTTCTTTCTTTTGTTCGTGATTTTGGACAGAACTCGAAAAGGAATCAAAGGAGTAAGAAAGTGATATACATTTTTATACACCGAAAACGCAAAAGACAGAAAAAAGCAAGCAGTCATTCTCATGCAAGCCGTAATAGAAATACATATGTGTTTTGTGTCGAGGAGAGAAAGAAACTCCAAATGCTCACACGAAAAAATAATGAGGACTCATGGATTCCCTCGTGCAACAACGCGAAAAGGCAGACAACAGCGAATCAAGGACATTCTACTCCTGTCTCGCTGCAGTCTCGCTGGCCGCAGGGGCTCCTGATGCCGAGCCCCAGCCAAACCAACTCTTCTTCATGTCCTTGCTCATGTTGTCCATGAACTTCTTCTCTTCCTCTTCCATCTCCTTGAGCCACTTCTCGCCGTTCTTTTGGATCTCGGCTTCGAGACGTTGGTACTCGCGTTGACCGCGCTCGCGAATCTGGTCGGAAAGCATCTTGCCTTGGGCCAAGCCTTCGGCGACGGTAGATTCGTTGTCTAGAGACAGACCACCGGGCTGGGCCTTGATGCCGAGGGCTTTGTTGAGGAGACCGCCGATCGAGCGTTGAGGACGGCGCGATTGCTCGTCAGCCAATTGCTTCTGGAAGGCCTCGCGAGCCTTGGCTTCACGGGCGGCGAACTCGGTGGGGATGTCGGTGCCGGCGAACGACTCAAGAACCTTGCGAGTGTCTTCAACACCCATAGTGGCGACGTACTCGAGGAAAGGAATGAGGGCGACGAGATCTTTGCCGTGAGGGTCGGTGGGCTTGCCCTCCCACTTGGGCAGAACGATGCTGGAGATCAAAGTCAGTACGAGATGATCGTATGAGATGATCCAAAAACTTACGCGTTGTTGGGGTTGTTCTTGACATGTGCGGCCTTGGTGTCGATCATGATGACCTTGTCGAGGGGACGGTTCAGGTAGTTCAAGTCCTTGACGTATTCACCATTCTCGTACTTGGTGGCTTCGCGGAACAGAGGCCATTGGATGATGTGGAAGGGGTCGAGCTTCTTGATGACAGGATCGGCCATTGCAACGGGTACCGAGGTGAAGAGAACCAGCTCGTAGTATTGACTCAAGTACTTGAGGAAGTAGTCGACACCGGGACGCTTGGCTGTACGCCAGCCGTGCTCGCGGGACCACTCGCTGTGGATAAGCAAGTCTTCGAGCGAGAGAACCAGGGTGAAGGGAGGACGCTGAGTCTCTGGTACTTCGGGCAACAACTTCTGGAAGGTGGGTTCGGTGTAGTAGGCGGCCTGGCTGCTCATGCGGTTCTTGACACGAGCGTACATGCTTTGGGGTGCCCATCCGGTGATGTGCTCAGGCTCGAGACCTTGAGGGGTCTCGTCGGCTCCGTATGGTCTTGTAAAGTATGCGGTACCGGCGGCGGCGAAAGCCAACAATGAGAGATAACCGTAGTTGGCCATTCTGGCACGACGCTTGTCGATTGATGTCTCGTAATCCTCGCGGCGGTATTGCTCATCCTCGCCCTCGTTTCCACGTCTTCCACCGAAACCAGCAGCTTCAGAAGTGGACTCGGGAGTCTCTTCACCAGTAACCTTCTGCTCGGTAGGGTTTTGTGCGCTAGCCTCTTTCTTCATGAACTCGAAATCGAAGGTCGATGGAATGCCTTGGCGCAAATCAGGCAGAGGACCAGAAGGCTGCGACTCGGCCTCGATGGGCTGCTCTGTAGGAGTGGTGTTTACATCTGCGGACTTGGGGCCTGAGAAGGCAGGATTGCTAGCTTCTGAGGCCTGGCTTGGGGAGGTGGTTTTGGCGTTAGGACCGGGCTGTTGTGTAGGTGTGGTGTTTGCGGCAGGAGAAGCATTTGTGCTGGCAGAAGCATCCGGTGCTACGGGACCATCGGCGGCAGGACGAATGGGTTGCGAAGCAGCTGCGGCAGGAGCAGCGAACTTGATGCTATCGGTGGGCTTCCATGTCTTGTCATTGGGAAGGCTGGTGCCTGGTGAGGTTTGACGGGAGGAGGCAGGAGGAGATTGCTTTGGTGGCCTGGGAGCTTTAGAGCCGGCAGGGACGAAGCGGCCTTTGGCTGCAAAGCGAGCGGATGTCGAGAAGTGGGCAATTGGCGCCTTTGCCGCACGTTGCGCCGCGCGCGAAAGCATGCTGTGTCGAGGTTATGCGCGAATGTGCAAGATGGGGTCTTGTTGTTGGAGAGATGCGAGTAGAACGATGCGACTCGCCGAGTCTGGTGGTGGGAAGGCGCGACCAAGGAACTGTGGAAAATAATAATGGCTCTGACGACAGAAGTGGAAGGAACGGCAAAGTCTTGAAAGCTCGACTTGTCGGCGTCTCCAAAGCACCGATGACTTCATCCAGCATCAAGGACAACTATCTCGATTGTATACGACAAAGTCCAAGAATGCTCTGATTTTCTCTATGCAGCCCTGGGAATGCTTGTCCACCCTTGGCCGCGATCTCAGGCCTCAACCAAGTCATGGCCGACTTTGCTATGCTTGCTGATCTTCTGTGCCGCCTTTGGCCAGGCAATGACCAAGTCTGAGATCGATGCCTTGAGGTACTACACATGTCAATGTTTCATCTGATCCTGTCACAATTGCTTATTCAGTATTCAGAAAGGAAACACGATCCGTCTTCTACCATGGTCTGACCAACTACCGCCACTTCGCCTACCCGGAGGACGAACTGCGACCACTTTCGTGCGGGCCTCTGACACGCGACCGAGCCAACCCTGCCCATATCGATGTCAACGATGTGCTGGGTAACTACTCGCTCTCAGTTGTAGACAGTCTATCCACCCTTGCCATCCTCGCATCTGATCCCATTTCCGATACCGACGACTACAATGCCCTGGATGACTTTCTACATTACGTGCGACTGGTGACAGAAGAGTATGGAGATGGCTCACCCGGTCCTGCTGGTCAGGGCCGACGTGCAAGAGGCTTCGACTTGGACAGCAAAGTTCAAGTCTTCGAGACGACAATCCGTGGCTTGGGTGGTCTTCTGAGTGCCCATCTGTTTGCCATTGGTGAACTACCCATTCGTGGCTATGAACCCGACATTCAGGAGGATGGAATACACTGGCCGAACGGTTTTGTGTATGACGGACAATTGCTGCGACTTGCTCAAGACCTGGGTGAACGACTTCTGCCTGCCTTCCATACCCCAACTGGACTGCCTTATCCTAGGGTGAATCTCCGTTACGGTATCCCGTTCTACGAGAACTCGCCTCTCAACAACGATCCCGAACACGGACAGTGCCATAAAACACAAAAGCCGAAGGAGTCTCGTGAGATTACAGAGACCTGCAGCGCTGGTGCCGGCAGTCTTGTGCTCGAGTTTACCACTCTGTCCCGCCTGACCGATGACGATCGTTTCGAACGTCTGGCCAAGCGGGCCTTCTGGGCTGTCTGGGAACGACGAAGTGCTTCTGGTCTCATCGGTGCTGGCATTGATGCAGAGACTGGTGCATGGATCGGCCCTTGGACTGGCATAGGCGCTGGCATTGACAGTTTCTTCGAGTATGCTTTCAAATCGCATGTCTTGTTGTCTGCTCTGGAAGGTGATTCGTACAATGCTACAGAAGACTCTCCGGACGCCTTCCTCCAGACATGGAAAGACGCCCACGCTGCCATCATGCGACACGTGTATCGAGATGCCTATTTTACACATCCGCATTACGCTCAGAATGATCTGTACACTGGCGGGCCACGACTTACCTGGATAGACAGTCTGAGTGCTTACTATCCTGGTCTACTGGTTCTCGCTGGTGAGCTGGACGAGGCTGTGACTGCCCACCTTCTGTACACTGCCCTATGGTCAAGGTATGGTGCTTTGCCTGAGAGGTGGGATGCAACTACTGGCGCTATCCATGGTGGTCTGAGATGGTGGGGCGGTCGACCTGAATTCATCGAGTCCACATGGTACCTCTATCAAGCCACGAAAGATCCATGGTATCTACATATCGGCGAAATGACATTGCGCGATATCAAACGCAGATGCTATACTAAGTGTGGGTGGGCTGGCCTGCAAGACGTCCGCACTGGCGAGCAGACTGATCGTATGGAGAGCTTCTTTCTGGGTGAAACTGCGAAATACATGTATTTGTTGTTTGACCCGGACCACCCTCTTAACACGATTGATGCGCCTTGGGTCTTTACGACAGAAGGTCATCCGCTGATCATCCCCAAAGCCAACAAAACAAGCCCGGGGCAGCATCACAAGCGAAAAGAACACTCGGCCAACACAGCACCAGCACCTCAAGCTGAACAGTGCCCGCGACCTCCAGCATTATTGCCCTTGACAGTGTCTTCGACTGCTGCTAGATCGGATGTCTTCCATGCCGCTTCTCTGGCCAGGCTTCATCTCATGCCTATTGGAAACAAGCCTGGTGCTCCTTCATTGGACTGGGCTTCTGATCACCCTAGCGTGACTATGCTTGGCCCTGAATCTCCAACTAACTTCACTTTTTACCCATGGACTCTGCCTCTGAACCTGATTCCTACGGATGGTTATAGTACTAAGTTGTCCAACAAGCCAACCTTCGACCTCACGTTCCCCACAACACCTGGTACCGGTCTGGAGATCGGCACACTGCAGAAGATTGATGGAGGTGTTCTTGTCAACTCAATCTCTGGATTGAGATTTGGCATGGTCCTGGAATCGCCAGCGCCGCAGGAGCACGAATACAGAATCTACACGCTAGGCAATTTTGCCCTTGGTCGAGACGAACATATTGCGTTGAGTCGAGATACACTGTCACAGATCAACCCTACAGATCCTCACTTCACACGGATGCGCGATGTCGAAGCTATGGACCTGATCATCGACGTTCCGCATCCCAAGGAGCCTGTCGTTGAAGATCTGGTGTACAACAATTCTATCTTGAATGATCATGTCTTTGACTTTGATCTCGACATCGACCTTGAAGCTCTCGATGCCACCTCCAGCCCTGGCGATATGGTTCTAGAGTCCTTGCCCAAAGCTCTATTCGCCGACGTCCATCGCCTCGCCGAACAACTCGATGGCCTAGTCGGAGTACTTCCTGATGCCGAAAGCATCGATGACGCCCTTCGCGATGCAGCAAAACAACTTCGCTCAAAGTCCCCTGCAGCCCTACCTTCATCCTCTACCGCCCCTCCCAAGCAAAAGCAAGGACTCCAGCGATTCACCACACCCGCCATGCTTCCTATTGGACCTGGTGCCGCACCTCTTCCCGCCACCATCGATTCCTCACCCGACCCCCGCAGTCTATCTATCGGCAACCTGCCTTACACAACCATCCTCATCATCGACTCCGATCTCTGCTCTGCCTCTCCACTCCCTCTCTCCCTCGTAACCACCCACACGATCCTCATCATCCGCCGCGGCGGCTGCAGTTTCAGCAAAAAGTTATCTGCCATCCCATCATTTCCTCCTTCTGCTAAATCACTGCAATTGGTTCTGGTGGTCAGCTTTGGAACAGATGATGCAACGAGACCATTGGTTGATGAAGTGCAAATGACTCCCAAAGGGTTGCTGAGACGCCATCCCATCTGTTTGGCTTTGGTGCCTGGAGGGCAAAACGTTTGGGATACCTTTTTGAGGGGCGCAAGTACATTGGCTGTTGTCGATGACTCCGGCGCTGTCGTCGTGTCTGAAAGCAGAGATGGTGATTCCGTACAGGCAGAGGCAGCAGCGGCGGCGGCGGCGGCAGGAGCTACAGAAACACAAGCTAAAGAAACAGGAAGCAAGAAGAAAAAGAAGACGACGACGAAAGCAAAGACGAAAGGGAAAAGGGAAGATATAGAGGTATCTGGTATGGGCGTTAGGAGGAGGTATTATTTTACTAGCAAAGGAGTGAGGATCAGCAATTTGATTGTTACGTAGTTGCGTTGTATCTGACAAAGTGTTTGCATTTTCTATGAAACGCGTTACGTTTCTCCTGGATTCTGTTTCTTGTTTTGTTCTGATGAATAGACTAGTATTACACTAAAAAAAGACCTCGAACTCGACGGGTATCCTCAGCAGCAGCAACTCCCCAAACGCCAGCCCAGACATGATGCACCCATCTTTTCTAACCATCCTGTTACGCCTTGTCCGCCCCTCTCGGACGCCATCCACTCATCTCAGCTCTCCTCTTGTGCCGGTGCCTCTTTCGCGCCTACGTCGTTCGCGCTCACCCCTGCCGCTTTCAGCTGCCCTATCAGCCTCCAACTCATCATCGACCTGGCGTCTCGCCGCATCCATCTGCGCCCTCCCCGGTAGCGCTGCCATAACAACACTAGGCGCATGCTGAATATACCTCAATTCTTCATGACAATGCTCAACCAGCAAATCCAATTCCTTCTGCGTGACGTTATTCTTATGAAAGCCCGCGAGTTCAGGATATAGCTTTCCATCGCCGTGGTCTTTGCCCATGAAGGCTTGCGGGCGGGGAACAATGTGCATGGGTAGTTCTTCGTTGAGGGTGGCACCGACGGCGAGGGCGGTCTCGTGTGTCCATGCGCGGGCGACGTTGCGGGCTGTGTAGCCGCCTCCGCCGAGGATGAGGAGAGGCACGCCGGCTTTTTTGACAAAGGCGAGACATTCGCCGTGGGCGCGGATGTTGAGATTGAATTGGCCGAGACGGTCGCCGCCGAGAGAATCAGCGCCGCATTGGAGTACAATGGCTTGAGGACGGAAGTGCTCTAGTGTACGGCCGGTGATCATCTCGAATAGATACAGAAATTGTTCATCGTCGATACCTTTGGGGATGGGCACGTTGAGGGCAAAGTGGTTGCCGATGCTGTTTTCGTTGCCATTGCTGTTCAAGGCGCCGGTGCCCGGGAAGAAGAGGTGTTTTTCTTTTGAATCCTCGTCGATGATGCCGTAGCGGTGGAAGGAGAGAGTCATTACTCTGTCGCTGCTGGCAAAGGCTTCCTCGACGCCGTCACCGTGATGGACGTCAATATCGATATATAGGACACGTTGATGGCATCTTAGCAGTTCTAGAATTCCTAGAACAATGTCGTTGATATAGCAGAAGCCTGAAGCTTCGGACTTGTGTGCATGATGCAGACCACCAGACCAGTTGATGGCGATGTCAGACTGGTGGTTTGTCAGAGCTGATACAGCTTCCATGGTGGCACCAGTGTATAAGAAGAGGTACTCCTGCATACCGTCGAAAACAGGACAATCAGCACCAGGCGAGGGTGACAGGTTGAAAGGACCCAGCTTGACCATATCTCCGGGATAACTCTGCGGAGTTCTATCCTCGTAAATCAGGGAGAGTTCTTGGAAGGTTTGGGGTGAGACTTTTGAGAGGAAGTCGACGTAATCTTCGTCGTGGAAGGCAGCAACAGTCTCCTTTGTTGCAGGAAGAGCATCGTAGTTGTCCATGGCGAATTGTAAACCATAACCCATGACGAGATGTTTTGTTAGAGTCAAGCGCCATGGCTTCATGGGATGTGTACGACCAAAATGCATATTCTCGACGCGACGGTTGTAATGGTATGAGACATTGTAGCCTTGAGGACGCTCTATACCATTCTCCTCGACCTGCTGCATGATCTTGTCGCGCAAAGTCCTCTGTCTTTCTGCATGTTCCTCTTCGCTGTCGTTCAAGGGCGGTGTTGGCGGAGCTCCCGTAGGCTGTGCTGATCGTGCCTGAGGATTTGGTCGTCGCGAGGGGTCCCATTGCTGGACTATGGCGTCGCGCATGTTCTGGCGAGGGATGCCATTGTTCTGCCGTGCCGACATGGGTCTGGCTCTGACTGGAATCCGTGTATAGATGTTTCGATAGTTGGGATCCCTGTAATTTGCTGGCGCAACTTTGAGCGGTAGTCTTGTAGATGTTCTGGCCGGGAGGGTTTGTGGAGTGTTGGTTCTGCGCGAGGAAGAGTCGTCTCTTAGGGTGTAGGGGTGATGATCATCGTATTCGTCTTGATCGTCGTCAGAATCTTGGTCGCTGTCGTCTAGCGAGTCGTAGCCATCATCATCATCGTCTTCCTCATGGCTGTCGCTGGACAGAGCGTCTGGGGCTTCCAGAAGGTCGTGATGGCTCTCGTCCTCGGCCCCACATGACTCGGCGCGAACCTGGGCGCTGATGCGCAACTGTGCTTGGCGTGCTGCTGCTCGCATTTCGCTTCTTCCAAAGATGCTCTTTTGATAATACTGCTCAGATATCCAAACCTGGTTTTAGCTCGATAAGTCTGTTGGAAGACTGGAGTAATTGAATTAATTCTATACGGACTTTTGATGCCAGCGGGATTTGTTTGTTGCGCTCTTGCATTCACTTCCAGGCTCCGTTTGCGAGGTCGCGACTTCTTCCATCACCTTCACTCGACCACCACTCCGACAACAAGTCGCAAACTTATCAGAAAACATCACTTTGTCTTTGATCAACCCTCGAAATGGCAGCAATCGGTACCGACGATGCTGCCACCGTTTTGGATCAATTTTGCCACGATGGTATCGACATGCTTAATTCGCTTTCTGCCGAACCGCAAAACTGACATGTTGCCCAGTCGCAAACTTGCCCGCTGAGATAGCTCATTTACTGGAAGAAATACAAGCAAAGGACCAACACATTCAAGACTTGCGCGATGTCATCAACACCCGTGACAGATCGATACAAAACTTCGTCAGAGCCCAGGGCGGGCACGTCAAGAATCCCAAGGAAGATGGCCTCACAAAAGTCATCATGGCAAATTTTGACCGCATCGAAATTCTACAGGCTGAGAAACTGGGTCTGAGTGAAAAAGCCATGAGATTGGTATTTTCAAATCTAGACATCTTGGTATTTGACCAGATACTGACAATTCCCAGCTCGACCGAAATGTTAGAAGATTCGACGTCAAGCTGCGTGATCTGGTCAACAGCGAGCAGATGCCTCCAGATCCGACTCTGCCATCTCTATTGCTGCCTGAGGCTGGCAGTGTTGCTGCAAGCAATGCTCCCTCGGCTGCCGCAGCCATCAACTCAGCCCAATCCGGTGGTGCACCTAATGTTGCCAATGCAGCTATTGCTCGTCTACACGCTACCAATCAACGCACATCCTCACCTTTGAATGCCCAAAACGCCCTTCTCAACCAAGCACATCTAAACAGTCCCTCAGCAAGATCACAGCGTGAAAGCAGCGCAGACGCGTCAAAGCGACGTCGCCTAAACACCTCCCTAAGCGGCACCGTCCCCACCACTGCCTCATCCCTCAGACAATCATCCCTAGGCCCCTCATCAGGAACCCCCAAAGCAGGTACTCCAAATCCAGCTTCCAGTCGTGCAGGATCAGCTCAACCCAACAAAAAAGCACCGCACAACAAGAGAATCGCCCCTCACCAAGCCTCAGCCTCTGCATCAAACAGAAAACGCATACGATCCTCCAACGCAGCAGCTCTCAAAAAAGGCGGTGGTGCAGACCGCAAACGCCACCTTACCTCCCCAACACCTTCTTCATCACGAGGCAGCGTATCTCCCACTCCCTCCACTTTGCCTCTCGGTGTGGACGGCACCGTCGACTCTCGCTCGCGATTACGAGGCACGAGAGCAGCATCAGCAGCTTCAGACGACGAAAACGACGATGCAGAGCCAGATGCTGAGGGCGAGGAAGACGATACACAGGTCTATTGTGTGTGCCAGCGCGTGTCCTTTGGCGATATGGTTGCCTGCGATAACGACGACTGTCCGCATCAATGGTTCCATTGGGGTTGTGTGGATCTCAAAGCTGAGCCAAAGGGCGAGTGGCTGTGTCCACATTGTCGCGAGTTGCCGAGGAGTAAGATTGTAAAGACATCAGACAAGTGATTATTGTTTTCTTTCTTGCTGTTGCGGGAAGAGAGGGATCAAGTCAAGAGGAGTATATTCCTGATGTTGGCAACACAATGCATGAGTCAAGAACGTCGTCTCAAAGTGTCAAGAACGAGAACGACGCATCCATCGATCATTACGAATCTGCGATCAACGTCTGTCGCGCTCGGAACAGCACCTTGTTTTGTAAGCAGAAGGCAGCCCTGCATTTCTCTAGTAGCAAGTATGGAAACATGGTCACGTTTAGGAGACATGACGATTTGAAAGTGTGTGTTTGATCAGTCCGTCATATAGCTTTTTATAGCTTGTGCGGGCGACAAAATCAGGAGCGTTCTTGGTGTGTTTGAAATTGATTCTATGGCTCGTCATTGGAGGGACGGTCTTCTGGCTCTTTTGCCAATCTTTAGTACTCGATTCAAACTCGCTTGTGATGTGCAATGCAGCCCACACTGACTGTGTACGGCGAGCGTCATGGCTCTAGCCGCTGATGATGAGATGGCTGATGAAAGATCCCACATCAAGTAACGTGAGAATCGGTGGTTCGTCTGGTGGCTCGTCTGTATATTGGCGTGTCGAAGATGGCTTTTTTACATGTCATCCAGCATGCCATGAGGGCCAAGCTTCAGGTTCGTAGCAGAATAGTGAGAGCGGTGCTCTTGTTCAAGTCACGGTCTTTTGCAGCAAAGAGTTGCCGTGCTGGCGCACAATGCCATCGAGAGTGTTTCTGATTTGCTTGCAGCCGTCGACGCCAACAGCAATCATGGCCTCAAGACGAGTGAGTTGTACTCTGGTCTCCATCATGAGAACGCTGATCTTGTCGTCTGTTCCCAGAGTGGCGACAGTCAGGAAAGGCAGCTCTTGCTCCTCCATGCCGTTGAGATCGAGCAAAGGATCGGCTTGTTCATCGTTGGAAGCGTATGATGCAGTGCTGCCAGCGGTGCAGGCTGAGATGTAGTCGGTCATGGGGATACCAGCGTCGATGAGGGCGAGAGTGGAAGCGTTGATGCAGGCAGCCAGTAATGAGCCATCTTGAGAGAGGATGTGCAGGTTGATGGTGATTGTGCTGTGAGGGTACAGTTGTGTCGAGAGGGTGTCTGCGAAAGCCGAGGCAATTGTGTGCTGCATCTCGCTCGTACGCCTGTGGGTGTCATCAGCTCTCCGCTGTGCAGTAGCAGTGTATGAACAAGGCCAACTCACTTGTCACCTTTTGCACGTCTCTTGCGCTCGACACCGCTGAAACCGGCCAGGCCAATCTCAACCTCAATCTTTGCTTCAGCATTGCCGGTACCTCCTGAGCGTCGTGATTCGGTGGGACCAGTGACTGTGCAAATGACCTTGGTGTTGCCCATCTCGAGGTAGCTAGATCCATCGGCGGCCGCTTGTGTCGACATCTGTCCATGGCATCGTCGCAGCTCGTTCCACCTTCTTCCATCCAGGCGCAGGTGCGCAAGCGTGTATGATGATGTGTCTAGAGGCATTGCTGTGTGTGTATGAGCTGTGTAAGGTGTATATCACGGCAATGCGACAGGTCCTCAGGATAATTGATCACTAGTTTTTTTGTCGTCATTGATCATTCAGCTTTCGGATCAATGTCGGCAGTCGCGTCTTTCGCGCTTCTTTGGTGTTTCCCTCGGTGTTGGCTGCTTTGATCTTTGTCCAACTCGTTCTTTCCAACACTTTCACGAGTTGACGAGGCATGTTTGCATCATGTTGACGCGACTCTGCTGTGTTTCAACTCCAGTGATATACCACATTCCGCCTTGAAACATTCTACCTTCTCTCCTCACTCACAACTACCACAATGTCTACATACAAGAGCGCCACTCGCTCTCACATGCGTGACTACCGACTCGATCGTCAAATCGAAGTACTCGACGAGGGCGAGGCCAGTGACCCTAGTGATCTCGACATTGTCAAACATACTGCCAAACAAGTCAATCTACTCGACACCTTCCAGAACTCGGATGCAACAGACAGTGATATCCTGAACTCAGACGACTCTAAGCACGCTGCCAGGAAGCGTCCGAGAGACGATGATGGTGATCGTATTGCCTTTGATGACGAAGAAGATGGCACAGAGGTTTTCAAAAAGTTCAAGTCCCGAAAGTCTGATCAACGCAAGGCTGCCGCTGCTCGCACTAGGAAGACCAAAGCAAAGGCCAATTCTATGGTCGGCAAGAAGAAGAACCCTCTCCTCGACTCAAACAAACCCAACCAACGCAAGCTGAAGAATGATATCTACAGCACCGACTCGGAGGATGAGCCACCTGAAACCATTCTACCTGAGTTTTTGCGAGCGAGAAAGTCCAAATGGAACCAAGATCGTGCCAAACACGGCGAAGCTGTCCTTTCTGTTCCTCCGGACTTTGATGGAGTCGACTTCAGTGACGATGAGAGACTTGAAGAGCTGCAGGAACGTCCCGTGCTTGGCGATGCTGAGCCCTCCCAAGAGTACAAGGATATCGAATTGACCAAGTCCGAAGGAATCATCCCGGCACCCATCGCTCAATGGCTACGTGACTACCAAATCGACGGTGTCAGATTCCTGCACGAGCTCTTCGTCTTCCAAGAGGGTGGTATCCTCGGTGATGATATGGGCCTGGGCAAGACCATTCAGGTCATTGCATTCTTAACGGCCGCTTTTGGCAAGACCGGAGATGAGCGAGACCTCAAGCGTATGCGCAAGATGCGCCGTGCCCGTCACTGGTATCCGAAAATCCTTCTCATCTGTCCTGGATCTCTGATGGACAACTGGAAGGCCGAATTCAATCGTTGGGGCTTTTGGCATCATGACACCTACCATGGAAGCAATGCAAGTCGTTCTTCTGTTCTCTCTGCAGCCAAGCAAGGCATGCTTGAGGTCATGATCACCACATATGTCACGTATCGCAACCATCGAGGCGAGATCAACATGATTGAGTGGGACTGTGTTATTGCAGACGAGTGTCATCAAATCAAGGAGCGGAGGTCAGAGACCAGCAAGGCCATGAACGAAGTCAATGCTCTTTGCAGAATCGGACTCACTGGCACTGCCGTCCAAAACAAGTACGACGAATTCTGGACTTTGCTCAACTGGACCAATCCTGGAAAGTTTGGAACCATGGCTGAATGGAAGCAGAGCGTCAGTGGTCCGCTCAAAGACGGGCAATCACATGATACTACATACGCACAGTTGGCCAGGTGCAGAAGAGTTGCCTTGAAGCTTGTGACAAATCTATTGCCTCCATACTTCAAACGTCGAATGAAGTCTTTGATTGCTCACCAACTCCCAAAGAAGACCGATCGCGTAGTCTTCTGTCCGCTGTCAGACGCTCAATCAGAAGCTTACATGAATCTTGTTGACAGCGACAAGATTGACTATATTCGACGTTCCTCCGATCCTTGCGACTGCTCTTCTGGGAAGAAACGAGGTTGGTGTTGTTATACGGAGATCCCAGATCGTGGCAAGTGGCAGCATCATGTCTTTCCCATGCTCATGACACTACAAAAGCTGTCAAACCATCTTGCTCTTCTCTGTCCACAGAGCAAAGACTCGGAAGAGATGCACCAAAAGGAGGTGGAAAATCTTCAGCTTGCTCTACCCGACGATTGGCTCGAGATGTATCACAACCGTGACCAGATTACCAACTACGCCAATGCAGAGTACTGTGGAAAGTGGAAGGTGCTCAGGAAGCTTCTCAAGTTCTGGCATTCGAACGGCGACAAAGTACTTGTCTTCAGCCACTCGGTCAGACTTCTGAAAATGCTGCAGATGCTCTTCAAGTCGACTACAAGTTACAATGTCTCATATCTTGATGGGAGTATGAAGTACGAAGATCGCACACACGCCGTTGATGATTTCAACGCCAACGAGACCCAATTTGTCTTCCTCATCAGTACAAGAGCTGGCGGTGTGGGTCTCAACATCACTTCTGCAAACAAGGTCGTGATCTTCGATCCAAACTGGAACCCAAGTTGGGATCTTCAAGCTCAAGATCGTGCTTATCGAATGGGTCAGATCCGTGACGTCGAAGTATTCCGTCTGATATCTGCCGGAACTATGGAAGAGATTGTCTATGCCCGTCAAATCTACAAGCAGCAGCAAGCCAATATCGCTTACAATGCATCTACCGAGCGTCGCTACTTCCGCGGTGTACAGGATACAGCAGACAAGAAGGGCGAAATCTTTGGTCTGTCGAACATCTTCAGCTACGAAGGCGAAATTCTCGTGCTTCGAGACATCGTCAACAAGACCAATATTGCCGAGTCCAAAGCTGGCGTCAGTGTCATTGGTCTGGATACCTCACAAGACTCTGACGGTGATGATGACCCTAGCGATCCCACCCAGGATCGCGATAACGATGCAGCACTGTCACTTTTGGCTGCTCAAATCACTGGCGAAGGAGGCAAGAAGAAACACGACGAGGAACAGGACACAGAAACCAAACGACAAGCCCGCGCCGTGCAAGCCATCCTCAACAAGGCAGGCGTAGAGTATACACACGACAACAACGACGTAATCGGCTCCTCCAAGATGGAAGCTCAACTCTCCAAACGCGCAATGGCTACCGGCACAGATTTTGACCTTTCCAACGAGTATGCCTTTGAAAAGGCTCAAGATGCGAGAAACCGCAGCTTCGGAGAGGACAGGATCAAGTACAAATATCAACCTCCAGAGTTTGTGAGGAAGAGATTGTTTTGCTCGATGGCCGAGTATTTTGGCTTTGAAGATGCGACGGAGTTTGCGCTTGTGATGGAGAGTTGGAGCGAGCAGAGGAAGACAGATGCGCTGGATAGGTTTTATAGGCATCGGAGAAGGGTTCTCGAGGGCGAGCCAAGTTCGGGAGATGAAGAGGTTGGTGAGAAGTGAGATGGCTGGAAGTGAGCAAGATCTTCGAGCAGAGTCGGCTAGCTAGAGGATGAGGCTTGGCGCCTGAGGCTTGTGATATCTTGGAATTCAAGTCTTTCGTTTTGCATGATGTTCATACTCTGCTCGAAGTCGTGCTCGTGGGTTGCTCCTTTCTTTTTTTTTTTTCTCCAAAATCGGTGTATCCATGCCTATGGATCACACTTCTCACTGCTGTAAAATCACTTTTGAACGAATAATCAAAAGAGCATGTGATTTCGCAACGGGGGGGTATACTCCTGAGAGAAAAAGATAGCGAGAGAAAAAAACACCATAAAGGCTGCAAGATGACAACAACGCTAACGACGAAAGATGGAAACAACGCCAAAGGTTGCAAGAATCGATGCTTGTGTGTGATGATGTGGTGGGTGAGAGGGCTACCGCACATCCTTCTCCTCTCGTACTGGTAAATCCTTCTGATGTCCCGCAGCAGCAGCAGCAGCAGCAGCAGCCTTGATGTTCGTATCCCTCGCTTGACTCTCCTTGTGCACTTCTTCAGCCAGCTCATCCTCGAAGCTGGCACTATCTTCATCTGCGTCTTCCTCTTCTTCCACACCTTCGAGATGCTCATGTTCACCCCACCCCTCAATCTCACTGAGCAAACGCACATATTCCTCGGGCACCAATCCCTGCTCTCCGCTCTCCAGATCCATGGCTACCAACCAGCCCTGCCCGTGTCTATATCCTACTTGGATGATCTGTCCCTCGCGCAAAGCCAATTCGTTGCTGTTCTCCGGTACGAAGTTGTAGAGAGCGAGACTGGGTCCTGCGAACGATTCGTCTAGAGAGGTAGAGGTGGGACGGTGGGAATGGCCGTCGTGGAGATGGTGCAGGGGGCCGCTGAGGGCGTCGGCAGGATCGGAGGAATCTGAGAAGGGGGGTTCGAGGCCGGACAGGCGGGCTTGATGACGATGAGAGAGGTTTTCGGGGGAGTGTGTGTATCGATGGGGAGCAAGTGTGCTGTTGCCGGTGCTTTTGTTGTGGTGGACGCTTTCGTCTTCTTCTGTGTCTTGTTCCTCTTCGTCATCGTCGTCTGCGGGTGCGGCAAAGAAGCCTTGGTTGTCGAGGCCTGGTACCTGATTGCGCGGCCCGCGTTTCGTGGTGCTTCTACCCCTCGACTCCTCGTGTGCTGACTTGCTCTTTCTGTGGTTCTTTGCCAATTTTCCGGTCCCACTCGTCATCGGGTCGTCATCGCCAGCAGCGTCGTCGAAACTCGTAGAGGGCAATTGATCCCCTGCAGCAAAGTTTGCGCCACCATCACCACCCCAGGGGCCAGCACCCCAACCGCGAGGATCCCAGCTGCCAGGCGGGGGATCACTCAAACGCCTGCTATTGGAAAAGGAAGAAGCGTCATCTGAAGCGCGGCTCTGGGGCTCTGGCGAGGGACCGAAGTGGAGAGGGTGGAATTGAGGATAGGCAAAGTCGCGGACCAGGGCGTAGGAGAGTGATGAAGGGAAGATGGGGAAGACGGAGGATGCAGGTCTGGAGCGCTGTGATGTGTGGCTGCGCGTCGACATGAGACTGCGACGCAGACTTTGACGGTTGTTGGGTTGAGATGTGCTGTTGGTGGTGGTGGAGGCGGTATTCAGAGTGGGGTTGTTTGTGCTGGCAGTAGTGGAGGATGACGGAGGTGTCTGCTGTGTCGTGTCTGGTTGTAGCAGGTCGTGTGGTTGGTGCGACTGCGGCTGTGCACTCATATTCGTGTCGCTTGACGACGACGACGACGACGACGACGACGACAAGACCTTGGTCGTCATTGTGTTGGCTTGTCGAGAAACGCCCTGCAGTCCCCTGCTCTTTTGCGCTTAATTCTCCGAAAGCTTTGAGGAGGGGGTCGTCTGCTTCAATGGCGTGCTGATGGTTCAAGCAACAAAGCTCTGCTCTGACGGTGCCGCAAGGAAGAAGGCGTCTCGTCCTGGGCCAGGACAGACGTGTACCGTGGATGCGTCTTGTTTGGCAGGGTTGCGCGAGATGCGGAAGGCGCGTGTCCAGCAAGCCGTGACTGCTCTCCCCCGAGTACCCGACCCTCGTTGAACCTTCAAAAGCGCCCCCACGATGCAGGAGCCGAACAGAGCGACAAGAGGGAGGTTAAAGATGCAAAACGCGACGCTCCAAGTCAAAGATGCAAGCACGCAATGTGTGAGAAGAAGACGAACAAAAGGACAGTTGACAACGAGGATGCCCAAGTCGAATCAAAGCATCGAGAGAGACCCAAAGGGAGCAGCGTTGTTGTTGTTGAAGACTGCGCAGAGCATGAACCACCAAGCGCCAAAACTGACGGCCGACCAAAATAGCCACAAGCCCTGTCAAACAGACGACTCCACATGACAACACAGTCCCCCAGCACTACTGACCATGACTCTTCATCCCTCGACACGTCTACCCTTGACATTGCCGTCCCTTCTGTCTGCTCTGCATTTCTCATCAGTTCCTCATTCTGCGTCTCACTGCTCTTGCATAACCACATCTTGATATAGCATCAATCGCTACGAGCACACGTGTTTCATATCATTATCTACATCTTATAATATCTTGACTGCACCTCGGACCCGAAGGTGCATGCGATAGAAGAAAGGAGAAGGTCCACGGTCTTTCACCGCTCCCTATCATCTGATATCGTCCATTCTTCTGCAGTCCCTACATAAGCGTGCATCTGGAACATCTGCTTTCCCGTGTCTAGACCTGCCACTGTTGGTTGATATGCTAGCAGTCGGCAAGAATCTGTCATGACTGGGCCGGGCATTATCTAGGTGCTCGTGTAGATACGTTCAAGGCTACAAGGTACATGGGCACATCTGCTTCACAACATCGAACTGCACGATCAAGAAAACAACATGGTGATCCGTAAGCAAGGCCAGAGTGAGAGATATTGATGAACGTCAAGTGTGTTTTTTTGGTGAAAGTTTGTTTGCTTTTCTCATGAACCCATGCTTCCACTCTCTTGGTTTTCAAGAGCAGAACGGGTGGTTGTAAAGAAAGACATGCCGCATTGCCTTGAAAAGAACAGTTCGCAGTGCCCTGACATGTTGCTTCCTTCTTTTGGTGTGTTGATCCGACACAGTTCTCGTGCGCTTCTTCTTCCTTTGACCGTGGCAAGTTCACATCAACGCCCAGCAGAAAAAAATTCGAATGCAAAAGTCGTGTCGAAATCAGTTCAGAAATCCCTCAACCGTGAAACCATTGTCTAGTAGAACCCTCTTTTGATTGATATGAGAATTTACATGACAACACCGGAGTTGGAGGCGATACGCTGCAGTCTGTGTTAGTCTTGAGTGTTCCTTGCATGTCCAGGATAGGATATCTCTTACGGGCCAAAGTTCAGCAGCCTCCTTTCCGACGGGACCAGTGATGGCGGAACCCTTCATCTCACCCTTGGGGTTGACAATGACACCGGCGTTGTCCTCGAAGTAGAGGAACATACCGTCAGCGCGTCTCCAGGGCTTTGACTGTCTGACAATGACGGCAGGCATGACCTTCTTGCGGAGCTCAGGCTTTCCCTTCTTGACGGTGGCCATAACCATGTCACCAACACCACCGGCGGGGAGACGGTTGAGGCGAGCACCAATACCCTTGACGGAGATGATGTAGAGGTTACGGGCGCCAGAGTTGTCGGCGCAGTTCATGACGGCACCGCTGTAAAGAAATTCGTGTTAGCCGCATGTTTCTTTTTCCTGGAGTGTCGGAGCGGGTGCAATGATCGGGCGGGTCATGTGGTGATTGTTCGAGATGTTCAAAAAGTGTTCGGAGGGGGATTGCGAGAGCGTTCGGATGGCATGTCGATGCGCTGAAGTGGGAGAAGGTGAAGGGTTTTCTTTTCGACGTACACAGGCAGACCCAAGGTCATTCTCAGCTTGTTACCGGAGGTGGAACCACGGCTAGAAGACACAAACTCGTCAGTATTTCTTCAGCGGTTTCGCAGTCGCCGTAGCTCGTTGCACACATACCCGCGACCCATTTTGACTGTTTATTAGTATGAACGGTGGGGAGTTGAAGAAGAGGGTGTCGCTTCGTTGCTGGTCGAACGAGTCTGCGCCAAATGCGCATCGAGAAATCGCCAGCCCGCCAAATTCTGTGCGCCAACGGAATAAGCCGCGCTTCTCCCGACCAACCCCAGTCCGCTTTGGGAAACTACTTTTACTCTTGCAACATCATCAACAATATCACTTCACTTCATTTCACACGTAGAGATTATATGCAAATACTTGTTGTCTTTGTCATGTCGAAAAGTCGCAGTCTGTTGGATTCCCTTTTCTGCTCCTCCCCTCTGGCTATAACGCATTTCAATCATCCATCTCCACACTTTCTTAACCAAGCAAGTCGTCCATGGCTCCTCCAGTCTTTTGACCGCCGTTCTGAGGAGCAGATGCTGCTGCAGGGCTAGTTGTCCCCCAGATACCAGCGCTAGCCTTTTGCTTGGCCATATCTGCCATGGTAGGTCCCTTGTTGCCGGGCGTGCCTGCCTTCTTGATGTTGGTACCGGAAAGCAGAGCAGCAAAGGCATCACCACTAGCCTTGGGCTTGGGAGCACCTCCGATGGGCGACTTGATGCTAGGAGATGCCACTGTAGATGCCGGCTGTGATTGGGTCGCACTGACGGATGTGAAGTAGTTGGGCTGTGCAGCCTGGAAGCCTCCTGCACGTGGTTGGGTTGCCGACATTGGTGATGCAATGTTTTGTGGCGGCGGTGCTGCTGCTGCGCCAGTGACGGGAGATGTGGTGGAGAAGAGAGTGCTGAAGGCAGCATTGTTGGTGCCCTGTCTTGGCTGGGGCTGTGCGAATTGAGTGTTGGGTGTGGCGGTAGAAACAGGAGGTGCAATAGATGTGTAGTTGGGCGTGTAGTTGGGCTTGGGGACTGCTGCAACTGCCGGAGCGGGAGCAGCAGCTGGGGCAGCGGACTGGAAGTCGTCAAAGTCGTCGTCATCTGCACCGCCTGACTGGAGAGCACCGAATCCGTCATCCGCAGGCTGCTTGCCGTTGGAAGACACGGCAGACATGGCGGGAGCGGCGAGCGAAGCTGGCTCATCACCAAAATCGAAGAGGTCAACCTCTGGCTCCTTTGGCTTTGGAGGTTCGGGCTTCTTTGCTGCTGCTGTTGATGTCTTGGTTCCGGTCCTTGAGGACTCTGCCTTTCTTCTCGGTGGTGCCGCTGCTGAGCCCTCGTCGTACTCGTCGTATTCATCGAACCTGTCCTGACCTCTGCTGCGGCTCTGACTGCGCTCCTCCCAGTCGTCTTGCACAGTCTCACCTCCGAAGCCACCACCATCACCGTAGACTTGTCTTGTAGCTCCACCGTAGCCTCCAGGTGCAGACTCACTGCCAAAGCCACCGTATCTGCTGGTGGAGGTGGACATTGAACCTCCAAGACCAGCTCCACCCTCGACACCGCTGTACTTGTTCTTGTTCTGTCTTGCCTTCTTACGCTCAGACCGAATCCTGTCGACGTCGCTGAGAAGTTCGGTAAGTTCCTTTGATCGGTTGCGGACATTGATGCCCTGGTCCTTGCCGTTCGGGTCGATGTAATGGAATTGGCGCAGCATCTTGATGAGGGAAAGGTGGGATCGCACATCGTCGATGACCCTCTCGGAGCCGTTCTTGATCAGGAATTCGAGTAGTTGGAGAGCCTGTCATATCTTAGACACGTCCTCAAAAGGGTGTCAGTCGAACTCACCTTGTAGATCTGTCGCCATTCCTCGGCCGTCTTTTCTGTGAAGCGTTTGTAGATCATGGGCATAATCTCGTTGAGAATTTGACTGCAGCCTGGTCAGACATCGAAGTGTTCGTACGCAGATGCATGATGGGGTCGTACTAGTTGAATGTTCCAGCGGCAATCTCGTTCATCATGGTGGTGGATGCTCCCCAAGGCTCGTTGTTGGTGGCTTCTCGGACCTGTATGACGGTCAGCGAGAGGTTCAAAGACTGCTACAGTCATAGTCCACTGACCTTGGACTCCATCTCGGTGTAATTCATGACAGCTAACCACATGTTAGTCCCCAACCTCCTGAATCAATCGCTATACCGCTGACATACCATTCTGGACTTTACGGACACCTGCCTTCAGGTCGTAAAGCGTCAGATTGCTGACCTGACTCTTCAAGCTCTCGAAATCCATCTTGCACAAAGGCTTGCTATGACACTGCTGTTCGATACAGGAGTGACACGCTGCTGGTCGCGCTGGACTTATTGACGTCGCGGGCGGCGTCCCCGGATTCGACGGAGGTGCCAAGGCTGGTCAAGGCCAACAAAGCCACCATTTGTTTGTTCATCGATTGGGTTACACCACGATTGAACACTTCCATCTCGAATTCAGAACAGTACAGTAATTCTGCAGGGGGTGAACAAGCTAAACCTCCGTCAGCTGAGATGACTCTTGGAGCCTGTGTGTCTTTTCGATGCTGGCTTGCATACGTGGAAACTGTCAAACTGAGAGTTCTTCCGACAGAATTGCCTGGTTCGATCGACTTACAGTACGTTTTCTCTTGTCATCACCAACGACCAGTCGATGCCAGTATGTCCTGGCTATAACTACTTGATAGACTCGGATGTGATTAGCTAACAGTGTCTTGACTCAGTAAATGTCCCGTTCGATGCAATTATGCTTCTATATTGGATGCTGACAGTACGACCCTGATCAAGCAGCTGCGTCATCGATTCGTGGCAGAAACGTGGAATGGAGCACTGAGCTATGCAGAGCTTGAAGAGGGCTTTTACACATGTTGATATGGGAGCTGCTTAAAATGGTCCGTACAGGCTTCATCAAAAGTTCACAGGAGTAATTATCGAAGTCTGTCTGTGCAGGGTGGCTTAGCTCCCCCTCTTTGTTATGAGCCAAGCTTCGGAGCTGTGAGGACGAGCTGCATCATGCATGTTTCGACGGAGTGAATGAACGAGCCACTCGTGAGGTCAGACAGAATTTAAGATGGAAAGCGAGGCCTCCAGAGATGTGAATAGACCATTACTAGAACTGTTCGAGGTTCATTCTGAGACGTGAGGCCCTCTTGAGCTCGGCGGCAGAAAAGTGATGGACACCACTCAGACAGAAGTGACGAGAATTGCAGACTGGTTACCGGGAAAAAGCCGAGTGGAGATTTTTGAGGTCGTCACTCAAGGAGGGGTTCACCTGGAAACCCCGCCACTTGCAAGCTCCGATTCCTGCACACTTCTTTCCACATGTTCTCTCTCCGAAAGACCCCAACCACTTTCATCAACAACACTCTCAACCAACAATCCAGACTCTTTTCCGCTTCATCCGCAAACATGGTTCAAAAGGTTTACTTCGACTGCACCTGGACCGGTCCTCAGGTCAACGTTGATGGCAACGGCAAGCCCACCAACACCGACCGCGAGGTTAAGCGTACGTCCACCGCCCACCTCTACTCTATCAATTCACATGCAGCCAGCTGACAAGACCTGCAGAGCGCTCCGGCCGCATCAACTTCGAGCTCTTCGACGACGTTGTCCCCAAGACCGTCGAGAACTTCCGCGCTCTCTGCACTGGCGAGAAGGGCTTCGGCTACTCTGGCTCCAAGTTCCACCGTGTCATCCCTGACTTCATGCTCCAGGGTGGTGACTTCACCCGTGGCAACGTGAGTGAACCATCTGTCCATCGCTTCACCTGACGACATACTGACAATGCATGACAGGGCACTGGTGGCAAGTCCATCTACGGCGAGAAGTTCGCCGACGAGAACTTCAAGCTCGCCCACAAGAAGCCTTTCATGCTCTCCATGGCCAACGCCGGCCCCAACACGTATGTCTACACCTATCAATCGTTTACCTGACACGCCAGCTAATCTCATGTCAAACAGCAACGGCTCCCAGTTCTTCATCACCACCGTCGTCACCAGCTGGCTCGACGGCCGTCACGTCGTCTTCGGCCAGGTTCCCGACGGTGACGCTGCTTCCATGTCCGTCATCAAGTCCATCGAGGCTTGCGGTTCCAGCTCCGGTGCCATCCGTGGCGGCGGTGCTCCCCCCACCATCACCGCCGCTGGCGAGCTCTAAGCGTGTCGTTTGATCCCAAAGAGTCCTTTTTGACTTGGCAAAATAGAATACGAGACATGAACCCTTGCAGATAGGAAGGAAAGAAAAGAGAGCTTAGCTCTTTCAAGCACTTGAACTATTCTTGACATATCAAAACGTAGCAAAAGTGCTATCCTTTTTTCTCCTTGATCTTGCTGTCCTACTTTTCGTGATCGTTTACCTATCTATATTGTGATGCCCCACCTTCCACGATGACATCGTTGCTCCTGAATCGATACTAGCAGCTACCATCTCTTGTGTCTTCGCGTCCCATAACCTGCTAATTTCTCAAGCAGTTCCAGCGTCAAACCTCTGTTGAGCTAGATGGTTGCGAGTTTCCAAGTTTGTCTCGAGCACTCGCTACAGACTGACTCTCCCCGGTACAAGCTAGTCACTCACCACGGGAAAGCATGAAATATAATTTGAGCTCCACTTCTTGAAATCAGCTTACGGGATACACCTACATCTAGACCCAACCAATTGTGAGCACACAATCAAGATTGCTCGACAAGTCGATGCTGCGAAACTATTCAAAAGGTCAACACCAGAACTAAGGGGGGGACTCACAGGCTTCCTGGTGGAAAGTAGTGGAGATTGATACTGTAAGGGGAAGAAGGAATGACATTTTAAACTCGCCGTTTATCCCTCATCAAAGGAACAAACTCTCTGGGTACTAAAAAGACTGCTAAAACTGGAAATGGAACGAAACGACAAAAAACGTGGAATAATTCGTTAAGACACAAGCTCCTGGACGTCCTCTTGGCCTCCATTTTCTCAACAATGCCCAGCTTGATTCCATCTATGAGTCGGCATCGTGGAACTCCTCATCAATACCCTCGACGCTATCTTGACGGTGAATGACGGGTTGCAACGGCTCCTTGAGATCGCCAATGGTGTTCAAAGGTGAAGTGTGTTGTTGGCTAGGTTGCTGAGGTGCAGCACCACCTGCATGGCCAAAATCGACCAGGTTGCTGGAGCCTGATGACGAAGAAGGGTTGTATTGTTGGAATTGTTGGGGCTGGTAGGAGGGTTGTGCTTGCTGGATTTGAGGCTGCTGAGGCTGCTGGAACTGCTGTGGTTGCGGTGCAGCGGCAGGGACAGGAGCGGCAGAAGGAGCTTCCTGTCTGGGTTGTGCCTGGACTTGAGATTGTGCTTGAACCTTAGGCTGTGCTGGAGCCTGAGCTTTCTGGCCTGGCAGGACGGGTGCGATGGCGAGAACTTGCTTGACAATCTCATCAGGGGTCTTGCCATCGCTAGAAGTGGAAATGTTAGTAAGCTCCAATGAACAGATGTGACGCAAAGCCAAAACTTACATGGTAGCATCAATGACCCAGTCGAGGTTCTCCTCTCCATCCATGTCTCCTGGACTCTGACTTGCGCCAGCTCTTGTCTTACGGAAGAGCTTGGGGTGCCATTCTCCATGTTCTCCCCGCTCTGCAGCTTCTGCACGCTGGCGGTCTTCGATGAAGGACTTTTCGTCTGTGGCAGTCTTTTGGTCGGCAACCTTGATGGCCTTGGTGACCTTGTCCCAAAGTTTCTGCGACTCGCGATCTCCTTGCTCCTCGAGAGGACGGGCTTTGGGGTACGAAGGTCTGGCGTGGGAGGCATCGAAAATGAGTTCCTTCTTACCGGTCTGCCGCTTGTTAGCATTTGTACACCTTTCCCAGACGCTCCGAGCAGCTTACCGTCAGATTCTTAATGTACATCTCCTTGTCCCAATAACCGCTGAACTCGAACAGATTCTTTCCACTCTTGGTGTCCTTGATGTGGCCTCCGATGGCGTTGTATGTTCCAGTCATCCAGCCCTTGACCTTGAAGTCAATCTCAGCTTCCAGACCCAGCTCCGGGCAGCGGACGTAGGCGTGGTCGCCAAGCTCGTACTTCATCTTGCCGAACAAGATACCCCTGGCGTACATGTTGGGCTGTGTGATGAAGTATCGCTCGTTGCGGTTCAAGAGGCGCATGACTGCAATGCCCTCCATGAAACTGCCGACCGAGTTGCCCAGGAATCTACTGCGTGGTTTGAGAGTACCGTCGACACGGATGTGGTGCTCGGGGGCCATGAAGAAGTAGCTCGACTTGGGAGGGTGGTGCGATGTCTGCTCGGAGATGTAGTATCCACGCGTGTTGTCGGGGTAGTCCCAGTATCCAGTAAAGGTCTCGCCGAGGACGGGGTTGAGAGGCTTCTTGACGCCGCTGTATGTTTGTTAGCTGCTGACTGTCGCTGACTGGAACAAAGACAAACTCACGGAGGCTTGATGTGCCACCCACTGAGGTAGAACTTGGTGACGGCGACAAAGCGCTCGACGGGGTCGTCGATGCCGGGCAGAGTAAGCAGGATCTCAGGGTGTGCCATGAAATTGGTGATGCGTTCGAGCATAGATCGTGGCTCGAGGATGAAGGTAGGCAGCGTCACTCTACTCAGGTCGGCGCCTGGTCGCAGCTGGCTGATAATGTGCGACAGGACATTGCCCTGGTCCTGGTCAACGACTGTCTCATCGTCGGCGGTAGTGTCTGGACGGTCGCCCTCGACAGACGATCTGTTGCCTGCAGTGTTCCTTCTCAGTCCCAGAGTCATTTTGTGAAGATGGAAAAAACTTGTTACGAACTAGCAGCCGAATGGCGTCTATGCGAATGTCCAAGAACCATGGTCGTATTTTGATTAATGTCCCTAGGTCACTCCGGTGCTAAAGGAAGGATCTGTGCACAACGCCGTCGACAAGGCTACCAAGTGCTGATTCGTGCTTTTGAGAGGGACGGGGCTGTAGTCACGCCTTTTGTCTCTGTGAATTCACTGAACAAAAGATCGAGCAATGATATGTGTCGTCGTCAGCCAAAGTTGACCCTGTTACGTATCTATAGAAGAGCAGCTCCCTGGCCATCCGCTTGTTTGTTCACTTTCCTGCTCTTCCGAGGGTTAAAACACCACTCTACGTCACAACGTCTTGGCACTCTTTATGCAGCTTCTCTCAAGCTTCGGCGTGTCGAATCGCGCCGTAATTCTTCATGCCAACGACTCGAGATCGATCCTGTCGATATTCTGATGGCAGTACACTGTACACAGCAGTCTGTTAGACCAACGTACTGCCATCTCACGAACGCATCGGACCGTATTCCATCACAGCTGCAGCTTTCTAACCTGGCACAGCTCAAAGCTGTCGAGCAACAACCCCTCACTCACCGTATTCCGTACTCGTCGTCTCCGACCCAGACTCGCTATAATTTCCTGTCTTATGACAATCTTCCGAAGCCGACACGTATTATCAAGGCTGGCCTGCTGCTTGCTGGATCGTATTGCATTTTGAGTAGATCACGTTCGTGTGTCAGGCACCAATATCGGAATCCCGGATCCATGAGCTGCCGGCGGTCTGAAGGCGTGCCCCTCGTATTGACATGTGATTTGCTTGTGGCCTTCTTCTCAGCCGAGTGGTGAACATGCAGGTTCTTAATGATAATTCGTTCATACGAGCTGGTATAAGTTCATGACTTCGTAGCTTCATCCTCAAGCTTCCCTAGACCTCATTCCTCATGCCTTCTTGGGATCCGAACTGACAAAGGTGTCGACCATCTTTGCGTCCATCTTCTTGCGCTGCTCTTGAAGCTTGCCCATGAAGCCATCGTCGGCAGTCTTGTTGGTCTCATGATCCCATTCTTCAATGTGTTCCTCGATCAAGCCCTGGCTGTTGAGCTTGAAGGTCAACTTGCTGTTGACAGTCTTCTCGGCACCCTCCTTCTTGAATGGAATAGGAGATTTGAAGACATAGTGCTGTGTCAAGTTCAGCTGCAACTGAGAGGGCGTTGACGATGCGAGAACTGCGACTTCTGTAAATGTGTTAGCAATGAGCATGTCACTAAATGAAGTTGTGTGTGTGTGACATACCTTTGGTGTCGCTACGTGCAAAGATCTTGGGCATGCCGTTGAACTGCGACATGACACTGTCCTTGCCCTTGGCGATACTGACAGGGTCGTGGAAGACAGCACTGTCGGCATAGTGTCTATAACTCTGCTCGCTGGGCTCTAGCTGGTACAGCTTGAGGATATCGGTGATGAATGTCTGCTCCTCTGACGTAGCTTCTCTGGTGGCCAGAGTGCCTTGCGAAGACTGAGTAAAAGACATGTTTGTGTATATGATTCGTGACTTTGGTAGGTTGTTTGAGAGTTAGAAGAAGAGCCTCAAGCACTTCGACATGTGTTCATCTGGAATGCAACCAGCACTGAGCAGACGTCATGATCGAGGTGATCGACATGATCTCAGATGGCTTGGACGGGGTTTAGTGGACCCCCTTCTGGTACGAGATTTGCTGGACCCTCCCCAGGCCTCGGCATGTCTCGATTCCGAATCTCAGGAGGCTTCGAAGCATGCCAGATACACAAACATGCATCTTCGCGACAACGCATTGAGAGCTGCTGTAGTGGCAGCTCTGGCCATAACAGTCAGCGCATCGTTAGGCGATCGCTTGCCAGACTTCAAAGAGTGCATCAAGGTACGAATATATCATTTGCGACAGAAGCTCTTCGGCGCATGCAGCGAGCAGTAGCTAACATGAGTCTCGCAGACATGTACGGCGACTAACTGCGTACCCGGCGGTCCCTCGATCTGTAAGCCCTGACCCGACCTTCTGCACTTGAACATCAGGAAGAGCAAGGAGCATCCGAATAGAGAGGGGACATGCAAGAAGCAAGAGACCAGAGCAACAGAAACTCATACCGAGCAAACAGCCCTCCAGCACCGCCTCCTCCTATGGGACTGCCCTTCGGAATGCGACTACTCCTGTCAACACGTCGTCACCGACAAGCGCCTCGCCCGTGACCCCCCGTACCGCGAACCAATCCTCCAATTCCACGGCAAATGGCCCTTCTACCGGTTCCTAGGCATGCAAGAACCCTTCTCTGTGATCTTCTCCCTGCTCAATTTTCTCGCTCATGATCATGGCATGAAAGTCATCCGAGAAAAGATACCTGCGAGCTACCCTCTGAGGAGATTCTATCTGGGCTTTGGATACTTTGGCCTTGCGAGCTGGATCTTCAGCTGTGTCTTCCACACCAGAGACTTTGCGCTGACAGAGAAACTGGATTACTTTGGTGCTGGAGCTAGTGTGCTATACGGCCTTTTCCTGTCTGTGGTGCGCGTCTTCCGCCTCGACAAGGAAACACCCAAACATTCTAGTGTGCTCCGAGCATGGATTGGTCTCTGCATCACCCTATACATTGCTCACATTTCTTACCTCAGTTTCTGGCGCTTCGATTACACCTACAACATGGCTGCCAATGTTGCAGTGGGCATTGTGCAGAATTTGATCTGGAGTTGGTTTAGTGTGAGCAGATATCAAAAGACTAAAAGGATGTGGGCGGCTTGGCCGGGTTTGATTGTCGCGTGGGTTATTCTTGCGATGAGCCTGGAGCTGTTTGATTTCCCGCCTTGGTGGGGTGCGGTGGATGCGCATAGTTTGTGGCATTTGATGACGGTTTTCCCAACGCTTTGGTGGTACAGCTTCTTGATCAAGGATGCGCAGGAAGACATGCAGGGAATGCGCCTCAAGGCGTAGAGCGAGCTTGTGTGATGTTAGTTCTGCATCCACACATCCGTATTTGGACAAAACATCAATCATCATGTCACTCTGACATGCACAAAAAGATAGATTCGAGATGTATCAGAATAGAGTCTTCATCTCCGGCATGGTATCGTACATTCCTCTGTTTTACATACATTTCAGTTCTTCTTGGGTACTTCCATAGATGCCGTCTTTGCCATGAGCAGTTGCCCAACCATATTGATAGCGCCGTCTGGGTCATCCTTGTTGTACAAGAACAGCCCTTGCAAAGCAGCTGTGCTGACTGAGTTGACAAGACCATATTGCTCGACACGCTCCAGGAATAAAACTCTCTTGCTGCCATCAGCGTCCAGCGGTGCATAGAATCTATTCCACATCTGCTCCATTTGCCAGAGTGTTGCTTCGCCGAGACGGAGTGTCATGTCAACTCTACCGGGTCGGATGAGTGCATCGTCGAGGCGTTCAATATGATTGGTCGTCATGAAGGCAATACGTTCCTCGGCACTGGCAACACCATCGAGAGCATTGAGCAGACCGGAGAAGGTAACTGTAGCTCCACTAAAGCCATCTTCGTCGCGTTGTCGTCTGTTGTTGAACGCTGCATCTGCATCTTCCAAGAGAACGAATGTGCGAGGAGGCAAGTTGAGCATCAGTTGGTTCAGCAAATCATCGGTGAGACCACGCTGACTCAGACTGAGCATAGCAATGTTGAAGTCGAGTTCACCGGCCAGTGCTTGTACGAAAGACGTCTTGCCAGTTCCGGGCGGGCCATGTAGAAGATATCCTCTTCGGTAGGGGATGCCGCGGTCCAAGTACCAAGTGCGAGCGTTCAAGAATTCAGTCACATCATCTCTGATCATTTCTGCCATGCCCTCTTCCAGGACAACAGAGTCGAAAGGTCTCTTGCGCTTCGCGTCTCCCAAGGGCATCCATTGCATGTTGCTCAGAGTGTAGACCATAGTCTTGCCTTCAATACTTTGCATAGATAAGGAATGTGCTTCTGAGAACATGTCTTCGAAGATGTGACGGTGTGCGTATAGTGTGGTGAGTTTGATGGTTTCAAAAGGTTGGCCTTGAGCGTCAAAAGACTTTCCTTCGCGTTGTCTGTCCACAGCAATGAAGGCATTTTTGAATCTCAAGATGTGTTTTCCGTGTCCGGGAACCAGAGAGAAGTGCGTATGTGATGCTCCACCAGGAGTCTTCTGACTCGCTGTTTTGATTTGAAGATGATGCAGACCTGGTGTAAAACGTCGTATCAGAGCTTCCATCATACCAGGTTTTCTGTGGAAACGTCAGCATAGTTACATTCTGGGATTCAAGCACATGACATACACATTCTCAGCAGTGTCCGAGAGTGACTTTTGATATTGCCGTGTCATCCAATTAAGAACCCACGGGTAAGATTCATCGTGTCGTGTGATTTCCAGATCCACCAGCATACGCCTCTTCAGCAATTCTCCTCCTCTTCTCAATCCTTGTTGTCCAATTCTCAATACAGCACCCAGACCCGCCAGGCCAAACCCTGCAGTAAAAAATGGATTGCTTGTAAGCTGCTGGAAAATCGAGCCATCGGCACTACCACTTCCCGCAAGTGATTTTAGAGCTTGTTCTTTGGATGGCGGAGCCGGTAGACTGGGCGCCAGTGGCACTGTATTCAGTGCATTTTGTTGATCCATTGAAAAAGAATTGATGTAGTCGAGCAGAGGCCGCTGCCAAAAGTTGGAGGCGGATGGCGCGTTCCCAATTGGGCTTGGTGTCCGTCATCGGCAGAACGTCGTTAATATCCGCATTGACCAATCACCCTCCAGACCATTGGACGACAATCGCTCCTTCTCTTCATCACTTGCCAAGATATTAACACTCTTCTCTGCCGGGAGGCATAGTATTCGCCGCGTGGTAATTGCCTACATACCTATGCATTCGCCTTCTCTGGACCGAATACGCCAACGCCCGCAAACAACCTCATTGTCTCGGTCTGGAGAACAAGCTTGACCAGCGAGATCTATACCTGTAATCTCAGGAGATGCTATCACACATGTGCATGCTGGCTATTCAACATCAAGTCCAGATGACTCGCAAGATATAGAGTCCATAAGAAGGCGAGCTGGGTTCACGATGGAAAGATGCTCTCTCTCATGGCTTTAACAACGAGTATCCGACGTATCAAAATGCACAATGTATTCCTGTATCTGGTCTTGCCCATGGAGAGACCTGGATAGAGTTTCCCTCATTAGAGCCGCCGACCAACTTGACTTCTTTCTGCATTCGGATATCCCTATACAGCGTCGACACTGTGGGCGAGATACGTATTACTCATGTTGGTCCACGCCGGTCACAGGTGTAAAAGGGTGAGTCAAGGGGGTTCCGGCAGCATAGAGCACCAGGTTAGCGATTCCAGTAAGAGTCAACTCTGTGCTCGCGTGGCTTCGACTCATACAAGGTGATGAAACTGTGCTCAAATTCAACTTTTCTCCTTCCATTGCCTAGAGCTGACCTGCCATCTACCTTGATTCTCGACCTCCGCTGGACATCCCCATTAGTCGCATCACAAGTCGTGACATATCCCCGCATCACACCAACTAACGACATGCCCAGACGACTCCCCTTAAGATCACCTCAAAACAAGGGGGCCAAGCTCCTGGTGCTAGCCCCAAAGCCGTCTGGAAGCGGTACAGCAGGGGTCTTTGACCAGATTCTCAATCCGAACGGGAACTCGATCTCGAGGCAGCTCCCTGGACAACCTCAACAGAGTCCGGCAGGGGTTCAGGCTGCGCCATGGACCCCTATGCCGCCTCTCAGTCAATTTTTGAACCACGTTTCACCATCCGGTCTCTCTCAGATGGCCCCAGGGGCTATCGTGTCGGGGGTGGTTATTGACCCATCGCCCGGTCAGGGGCTACCATTCAACCAGGGGCAGAGATCCGACTGGAGGACAGTGTATAATCAAGTCTACTCACAGGCCTTGCAGACGAGGCAGGGTAGACAACAGGGCTCCAACATGTCTCCCCTAATGGCGTCGCCATTTTCAACCAATGGCGGTCCTTCTCACAGCAGTACAGAGGCACAACCACTTGTGCATCACTCCAGAGAGGTAATTGACTTGACTGCGCACGAAGAAAACGACACTCTCCCCTGTCCTCCTGCCGCGGTGCCTGTGGCTCCGTCTCCTGGACCTTACCGCCGAGTGAGAATTCAGCCCGCAATGCGGAATGCACGTGTGCCTGCTGTACCCCTAAATGTTCACATGCCTGGTCAGAATGTCTCGGGCTACCAAGCTCCATACGCTTTACACGGGGAACAACCATCTCCCCACGCTTATAGTCAGGAAGATTACTATTGGGGCAGTTTCACTGGAGCGACAGACAGTGTGGGTAATAGCATTGACCCTCTCCTTGCACCTTCTCCTGCCAGACCTCTCATCCCAGGTGAGGCATTCGACCAGTCTTTCACCAGGGTCATCTCTGAGCCCCCTGCTTCTCTCGCCGAGGCACGCGCTGGCAAACGCCGTTGTGATGCTCCAGAAGCAAGCCTTGGTGTCAATGGCGAGGTATCATCTCGTCAATTCAAAAGACGGCATTATGCTAGGCAAGCTCAGAGTACGGCTGAAGGTGCTCGTGCCGATGCAGAGCGTGTAGCTATCGCTGTCGCGGCAGAGCAGGAGCAATGGACCAGGGAAGAAATCCACAAGGCACCTCCGTCAGAGAGTGGGAGAGCAGAGGAGGTACCCGGAGAGGGGTTGGAAGGGGATGACAAAGACAATGAAGCACAGGGCTCAGATATTGATCACGGAGAACAGAGCTCAAGTGACAACCAAGATTCTGGCTATGCTGAGCAGAGCAGTGACGGTAAAGAAGAGGACAGCGAAGAGAGCATCGAGCCTGAACAAACAGGTCAAGGCAATCAGGAGGCTCCTCATGAGAACGGGGCCACTGCTGAAGACGCCTTCTCCGAGTGGCTGAATCTAGAAATGTTTGGGGAGTAGAACGATCATGTAGTGTTTCAGTATTCAGGAACTTTTCGGGACGGAGGTGAATGGCATGCTTTCCTTATTTTCATCCTCGCTGATTTCTGCAAGTCAACACTCTTCACTGGACACAAGCGGACAGTATATAGAAGTGAAGCCGTATGAGAAAAGCGCGGTGATCAACCACGCATCCTCTTCCTTGTGGCCTCTTTTTTGTTAAATATACCATCCTCAACAGACCAACGAAGGCGACAGATCTGGACTCATTACCATACAAGCACCGTACCCGAGATCAACACTGCATCCAAGGTGTTACAAACAACTTGGTCATACAAATTCTTTATTGCTCCTTGCGCAGACTTTCGCTAACGGTGTCCGAACAGAACACCATGGCTTCCTCATCGTCCAACCAAGAGACAGACTCCAAGATCTCTCGAATCCAGAGGATCTCAAAAAACGAGACTTACAAAGAGCGTCTTCTCAGAAGAATAGCATCAGGAGGTTCCAGCTCTGCTCAAGCCACCAAGCTCTTTTCTGTATGTGGACCCTCTCTATCAACAACAAGATCGTCAAACCCCAGCGCCCCTGTCGTGACCCAAGAGTCGAGAAAGATCTCGCTACCGAACGTCCAGTCAAAGAATCTCAATCACAATACCAACAACAAAGGCCCTGTTACAACCGACACCCCCAAGACGGAACTCAAGTTTTCGAAAATTGTGTCTATGGCGTTCCTCATCGGACCCAATCTTGAATCAAAATCTGGCACACCCTCGTCAACCAAAAACGCTCCTATTTTAGTCGTGAAGAAGACCAAAGACAAGCAAAGAGAGAACGATGCTGTCACTATCTCTGAGCCTACAAAGAAAGATCGTGAGAGCACCGAGAATGCTCCTGCCCAAATCTCAAGCGTCACCACGAAGAATAGAAAGAGGAAATTACCTGTCATACCGGAATCTCCAAACAAGGTTCGCAGGATCGCAGCTGCACCTGAATCTGACAAAGGCCCCATCAACCACAAACTCAGGCTTCGCATCTTGCCTCGTACAAACAAACTTGTTTCCAGCAATGACTCTACGATGCAATCAGATCTAAAAGCCCCTATCAAGAATCCAGGCTCCAATGGCCTGATGGAAACTGCCATGCAGAGCTCAATCATCGACGAGAAGAAAAGAAAGAACGATGCTAAAACCACCTCAGCGACTGCAAAAAGAAGATAGAGTGACAAGATCTAGGAGGTAACTGAGGAGTGCTTCGCGACTTTGGACAAGCTGACGACCAGATCATCGTTTTCTTTTGTCTTTTGCATCCCAAATTTCAGGCGAGCGAGAGCGAAAGAAAATCTGGATCAACCTCAAAGGCAGAACAGGATGGTGAAAAGGTGCCCAGAGCAGATATTGCAAGGCCTTCTCAACACAGTGGAGATCTAGATGTAGCGAAGATCTAAATACAGCGAGAACTTCAACAAGTGTACTCTCTCGCAACAATTCTTCCATTCTCTCATGTTTCCTCTCTTCTCCGATTCCGATATCCCGTAGTCGAAAACCTCTCTCTCATCAGCCACCATATCCTGGAAGAACAGACCCGAGCTATCCTATATTCCCTCCAAAGTAAACATCTTTCGGACGCTGTTAGTTCGCGGCCAAGACCTCAACTCTGAATCACCGTACTTCAGATTCTTGCCTCTCTTGATCATCATCGAATCTTTCGTTTTGGCTGGTGGTCTCGATGTTCTCCAGATCACGCGTGAACCCATAGATAGGAAAAATATCTCTTGGAGAAAAAGAACATGGGATCGGACCTACTGGTCTGAGCGGATACACATCTGTTTGTTGACAGAGCTGTGCATTTCTAGTGTTGCATAGCATGACACATGCAGACGCAGATGTAGTGGTACGAGAGACCGATAATCACATTGCAGCACTCCTGTCCTTACGGTCATGGCATCGAAGCTATAGGTTGCTTATGGGAAGGCAAAGCATTTATCGGGTCAATTGAGTCAAGAGGAAGTCAGAAGCGGGAGTGGAGAGCGAGATCAGTTGATTACACAACTGTGGAATTTCATTTCATGACACTGAAGATCTCTGTATGCCTTGATGGCGGGGTATAGTACAGGATCAGGTCTGTTGAGACTATCTAGACCTCGTAAAGAGGTGGTGGATATCCGAGAAAAGCAAAAAGAGGAAACATGACGGCAACAAGGAAAAGCATCCACCTCTTCGATAACAACGTGTCATGAAGGATGCAGGGATGCAGAAGATGCCATGCGTAGTTCTCGTAAACGCCGCCAAAGTCATGTAGAAGAGACAGGATGTAAGGAAACATCAGACTTTCGTTTGATTGGAACCATTAACTCCCCCATTCCCCGGCGCTTTTGCGTCATGCCATGCAGAAAAACAATCGAGGGCTGAAAAACAGAATGAACGATGAGTCGTAGAAGTGAAGTTGAGTTGAAGAAGTGAGTCTGGATCCAAAGCAGAGCGTTCGCTCGGAATCGATCAGAACAAGGTGGAGCGGGCGCGCTTAGCGGGCAAGTCAGGCTCTGACATGTTGGTACGAGGGCGCTTCTCGCCACGAGCAGCCTTTTCCTCAGCGGTCTTGCTACGAGGCCAGCCAGCGAAGAGAGGACCAGAGGAGGGCTTCTGAGGCATGGGAGTAGTGGATGGCGAGGCGATAGCACGGTTGAGCTCGTTGTGAGGGTCTGCAAAGATGGCGATCTGCTGGGCGGCCGAGCGAGTGTTGCGGTGAGATGAAGGTGGAGTGGCAGGGTGGGCGACTACCTTCTTTGATGAGGGAGTCTTGTCGGTCTGGGCAACGGGAGCGAAGAGAGTTGGCTCGGCGGCAGAGACGTTGTCCTCATCGATGTCGGTCAGAGCCTCCTCCTCATCGGCATCGCCGTCGCTGTTGGCGCTTGGCCAGAGAAGACGAGGCTTGAATGATGAGCGTGTCAAGGGACGAGAAGCAGAGACGCCGGCCTTGCGCTTGAGGCTGTCGATGGAGCTGGACGAAGCATCCGAATCGACATGCTCGTCAGCAGCCTTCTCGAAGCGGCGGAAGATCTTCTTGCCGCGGAAGACGTAGAGAATGCCCTTGTCATCATCAGCATTGTCGTCCTCCATGTCAGCGTCGGTCGATGACGAAGGAGCAGTCTGAGCGCGGGTGCGAGCTCTAGTCTTTCTGGGACCGATGAAAGGGTTGTCTTCGGTGCGGTCGACGGTGGGAATGCGATCCTGAATGTCGGTGAAGACCTGGACCTCCTCATGAACAGCATCATCATCGTCCAGGGTGAGACGCGACTTGGCCTTCTTGCGTGGAGTGGGCATGGTTGACTGGGGCTTGAAGTTGAGAATGCGAGCTGTGGACTGCATGGCATTGGAGTCGCGCTTGAAAGGCGACTTGTTGGGGGTGGGCAACATCGATGCGGGAGTTGGGAGTTGAGCTTGAGGTGCAAAGAAGTCGAAGAGGGTGGTGTTGGGGTTTGGAGTGTTGGTAGGTCTGTTGCGCGTGAAAAGCGATTGACGCACAGGGGTAGGTCTGGCGGGAGTTTGTTGTGGTTCAAGTCGGTCGACGGCAGGAGAAGCTGGAGGCGAGAGGGTGTAGGTTGATGATGAGCGCTGAAGAGTCGACTTGCGTGACGATGAGGATGTTGATTCCTTGTCGTGGATGTTGTGCAGACGCTGAACTCTCTGGGACCTTCTAGGCTCGTATGGGTCGTAGGAATGGTAGCCAGCGCCGTGCTTGGGAGTGGGAGGGGTGCGGAGTCGCGAGGAGGGAGGTGGAGGAGTTGTTGCGTCTTTCATCATGGCGGCGGTGAGAGTGAGTGAAAGCTAGACGTGTCTTGCGGCGACAACAAACGAACAGGCCCGGCCGGTCGACCCAATTGTCCAAGTCGGACCACTCTATCGTCCTGACGATGACCCTGGCGCTGTGACGACCTTGAGGTTTTTGTCTTTTGCGACAACAACAAGATGGAACGCGCCGAAACACGAGAAAGGCGCGACGTCTGCTCAGGCGCGTGGTATTGATCTTTGTAGCGATGTGAATATCCAAGAAAGATCTTGCAGCGGGCTCCGTATGCGTATACAAACGGGCGATGAAGATGGTAAACAAGACAAGACGGGATGAGGTGGAGGTTGTGCAGTTGTGCAAGGGCGGATGTCGCGATATCCCTGGCCTTGCTTCCTTCCGCCGAGCGAAGGGAAACGCGGTGGCTGGAAAGTGGCAGGGACGATCGAGCCTGTGGTCCGTGCGCCCTCGGCTTCTTCCTTGTTTTCCTCGTTGCTATGCTTAGTGCTATGGATGCTACAGACAAGAGGAAAGGGAAAAGAACAGGGTGTATGGTCAATTCGATTAGACCAAAAGTATCGCCAACTGGTTTGCCCTACGAAATGTATGATTTGGAGGAGACGCCCTGTGTGGCTGAGATGTCGGGCAAGAACAGACCGAGTAAATATTGACAGTGCAAACAAGCAATCAAACACCTTGATTCAAATCATACAATTCTCAATCTGGCAGTCGCAACATCGTGACTTCCTCTAGCCAAACATGCCGCAACCACCAGACATGGGCGCTTTGCGTCTGAACGATGATCTAGATCAGGAATACGACGACATGCCTTACGAAGACGAAGATGTCGACTACGACATGGACATCGATCTCGGCCCAACCCCTTCCAAGCCCAGTGCTCCCCGACCAGAAACATCAGAGTCGCGTGAGGCTGCTCTGCGCAAAGAGTTGGAAAGTGTGCGACAGATCAACAAGGTCATCGAAGATGTGGTCACCAGTCTGGAAAAAGCAAAGGGCAACATGGATGTATGCTGAGTATCTCGCTGCGCGTCTCGTTCGATTGTTGACACAAGATAGAACGTCAATCGCACTGTGCACTCGGCCTCGACTCTTCTCGACACATGGACGCGCATTCTCTCTCAGACCGAACATAACCAACGACTACTACTCAACCCGAACTGGCAAGGCGCGACTCAAGATCTTCAGGACATCGAGAACGAATCATTCGTACGCCAACAACAAGCCGAGAGACGTGCTGCCGAAGAGCAAGCCAGAAGAGACGCTGCCCAAAGACGCGCCGAAGAAGAAGAAAGGAAGAAGAATGCTCCACCACCTGCAGCCCGCGGTTCGAAACTCAGGGGTAGGGTCAGTACGGCTTCCAGTCGCTTGACCAGACAGCCTTCCTCAGCCTCGGGTACATCGACATCGACCCCAGGATACGTGGGTGTCGGTGGTCAAGGTGGTCGGGGAAGGGGCGTCTCAAGAGCTGGCAGTGGTATTGGCAGAAGTACTGTGAGAGGCACTACTCGAGGTCGTGCTCTCAAATGATTGTGGAAGTCAGAGTGCACCAAGACATCGACACACAACCAGGCGACACCGATATTTGCATTCTCGGAACAGCCTTCTTGCGCCTTTCTGTCCGAGTCGTGTCAGCTGTCACCAGCAATGACATTAACGCCGATATCCTCAGGACCCCCATCTAAACTACCAGCAGGGTCTCCATGAGCATTACAATTCTCTCACAGAGCTGGTCGGAGTCTGACCGCACAGCCGATCTTGTTAGACTCAGCCATCAGAACTCTCGACAAACTTCATTGAGGAAGCCGCAACTCCACAAACGAGATTGTCCAGCAGAATATTCGAAGCTCGTCACGCCAACGAGACTTGCACGGGCTCAACCAATCGTGTCGTAGTCGCTTTATTTATCGTGGCAATCGCAGAGAATCCACCTTTGTCGAACTTTCTGCGTGCAAAGGCTACGCGCTCTCGCGTACGAAGCAAGCCTGGGATCTGAGTCAACTTCCAGCTGAAGCGATAACCTGGAGAATCACTAAGAAAGACTGGGCGAATGCGTCCGAAGCCAGACAGCGAGCTGAACTGCTCTGGAGATCCGGCCGTACAGAAAAGCGACGGCGACACGTTCTGATGATGCCTCCATGTAGGCGAGTGTCATCAACGAGATTCTCAGCGATCTGGCTGTCGAGAACGACGAAGCCCTACCACCATTATCGTCACAAAGATGATCGAAGAGTGCGCAACAGCTGTCTCGCACAGCTTGTGATATCCAAAGCACCGAGCTCGAGTAGATATAATATGAAAGCAATAGTCAAACTTCACACAATGAACACCTAAACAGACAAAAGGAAAAGAATAAACCAAAACGCCGTGAGTTGGATTCGAACCAACGACCTCCTGACCCTTGAAAGAGTGTGTTTCAAGCAAGCGAACGAATTCAAAGAATGTGGGTAAAGGATCGGGTGTGCTGACCACTGCACCACCACGGCTTTGTTTTCTGGTTGTGAGGACCTGAATGTTTGGGCAATATATGGGTTGGTGCGGGAAGTTGAGGGAGTTTTGAGGATTGGATGATCGAGAGGCTTCGCGGGTGGGCAGGCTTAAGAGTAGTATAACAGAACACATTCAACAAGAAACTTGGATCGGAAGTCATCCAGGGTCTGCATGGATGTAAATTTCGTGATCGTGTGAACTGGTAGTTTGTTGTTTTCTTTGCTGTATACATCTAGGTTTCTATTGGTGACACCTCATCGAATCTCTACTGCGTGCACAACCATTTATTTCCAACAGTAGTACTCAAGGCCTCTTCTTACAACTTCATTTTTTATCGCTGCCGAGTGTAGGTTCTTCCACGCTGTATGAGGGTTGGTGATCGGCGTGGAGAGCAATTCACTGGTGCTGACCTCTGCGGAGCTGCTCCTCGCCAGCTGTTGGAAAGTCAAGCTTGCAATGCGTACTGCAGGAGAATGCCTTGCGCTTGCGAGCAGACTGTGCTTCGCAGTGCGGTCTCCGTTGACTCGAGGCTGCTGACAGAAGCGCATATTGATATTTGAGCAGTTGCTCATATCTTGGATGACTGGCTCTTGGACTTGCCTCGCAGAGTATGCGAAGTCGCTCTTTGGATGGGTCTAGTTGATGGAGTGTGTGCGTCGAGAAGAAGTTGCGGGAAGACAACCTAGTCGTTTTGCTGCAGGAGAGCAAGCATCGGAGTCTGAGCGTCAGAGGTACTGCACAGCGATAGTAGCAGGCACAGATGGCAACAACACGATGGACATCCTAAGGCCCTGGCTCACAAAGCTGGACAAGACTGGGTCGAGGTATTGTGCATTACAAAGTCCAGCAGTGAGCGCTCTTTTAGTTCCTTCCCAAATCAATATCCAGTGCCAAAGCCATGCGTTCTCTCTGCGATGTCTGTTCCTCTTCTGTTGACAAACCGAAGAAGGGTTTGATAGCAACATCGACGACCTCCTCGAAGAGTCCTTGTACGATGCTGTTAAGCTCGTCTCCGGTCTGGGCAAAATCAGGGAAAGCATTGATCTCGAGTAGGTATGGAGTTCCTTCTGCATCCAGCATGAAGTCGACACCAAATAGCTCAAAAGCATTGGGCAAAGGTTGGAAGTGGACCATCATACCCCTAGCGGCTCCTTCAAACACTTCACCGGTGATCTTGCAAATCTGGTCGAAAGTGTTCTGCTTCCAGCTAGATGGCAGGCCATGAACGTTGTCGGGCAGGGACCAGAAAGCATGTACACTGCCTTCACGCTCACCAGTCTGCATACAGGTGTTCGTGAGATGACTTGCCAGTTCTTCGTTGGGATCCTCGCTTTGCCATGGTGCAGTGTAGGTCTTTCCAGCGAACAGAGCAAGCATTGGCTTGTAGACAAAGACCTTCAAAGCCCCTACTGCGAGAACGTAGGTGCGAATGTGGAACTTGCGATCTGCAGAAGCGAAAGGAGCAGGAAGCAATAGCGGCGGGTGAATGTATGGTTGTGCAATGAAATGGCGGAGTTGCGATGTGATCACGCCATTGCCTTGGTCCTCTTCGTCGTCGATCTTTCGCTCTTCTTCATCTCCAGAGTGTTCGGCTTCCTCGTCGTCGCTTTCTTCCTCCCATGACTCGAAGATTGCAGTCAAGTCTTCTTCTGAGTTGAACAGACGAATTCCTTGTCCACGATCACTCATTCCGGGTTTCAGGATCCACCATTGTTTTTCCGAATCTTCCAGTGCTTCGTTCTGCTCGAAGCTTTCTCTCAGCTCAAAAGCCTCGACTAAAGCATCATCGAGGAATTCCGCAAAGTCAAGTTCAAACTCAACACTGGGCTTGACATTCTGTCGCAGGCAAGAATCAGGGTTCTTGGTCAACCAATGAGAGACTGTAGTAGACAGATAATGCTTTCTGATCAAAGCTTTCCTGATGATATAGGAATTCATCAAACTGGTTCGAGAGTTTTCCATCACATGGTCCAGATCCAATGATTCGTACTGTTTCCATTGCAGCAATTTGGCATTTGATGGTGCTTCCGAAATACTTTGCATCAAGACCAGGGCATCGGCGGGCATGCGAGCCTTGATGGCGGCCAAAATCAAGGGTTGAACATAGCGATCTTCGTAGTCAATCAGTGCATGCACCTTTCCGGTAGAGGCCTGTTGTCCAGCCATTCTTTCTATCCAGTGGTAATTTGTATGTGATCAGATGATGCTTGCTATTTTTTCGCGCGTGGTGCAAGAAATTCCCAATTCGTCAGGCGCAATTTGCTTGGCGCGACTTGTCAGCGTCGCGTCTTCTTCCACCATCTTCTTGGTTCTTTCATACAAGACATTACCTTACTGACTCTCACTCCTTGGATCCACTGATTTGACATTCGCTTCTGTAGCGCAGAGCCTACAACCATCTCTTTCAATGGTACGCATCCTTGTCACCGCTGGGTCGCGTCAGGAGAATCCAAACGAAGTCTTGGCCGAAACACGATCTACGTTTGAGATTCAACACATCGGTATACTTGTATCCTAGACCACGACCTTGGCAGCGTGGCGGAGCAGGTCTTGAGTGTTCGCAAAGGGCGAATATATTATTCACTCACCTGACTGCATCTTACCCTAAGATCTTGCTTCTAGGGCATGACTAAGTAAAACTGCATTATCAACACGTTCCAGCAGCCGAATGTGTGACCTAACAACTATACACTGTATGAGCGAGAGAACTGCCATCAGAAGGCGTTCTTAGCATAGGACAAGATTGAGTCCAGGTACAGTGAGAAAGCTATATAAATCTGATGGACAAGCATAATCTCATCTCCTCAGTCTCTCTATCCTTCTTTCTTTTCCTACTCTTGACCTTTCATTCAATTTCTCTATACACTCTTTTCATCTCCGAAAAATGAAGTTCACTTCTTCCATCGCCCTGGCGGCGCTTTCTTCTATGGCTATTGCCGCTCCCCACGACAACATCAACAAGAGAGCTGTTGCCTCTGGTCCCGTCGGATACGCCTCTACCAACGGAGGCACCACTGGTGGTCAGGGCGGAGCAACCACTACCGTCTCTACTCTTGCTCAATTCACCAAAGCTGCCACTCTAAAGGAGCCTACTGTTGTTTACATCTCTGGCAAGATCACTGGCAACACCAAGGTCAAGGTCACCTCAGACACCTCCATCATCGGTTTGAACAGCAACTCTGCTTTGGAGAACACCTTCAAATCAGCGACCAATCAGGATTCTACCTCTATTTCGAGTCTTTGTTCGTACGATGAGTTGCGACAACCGATCAATATGACATTGTAGTGGTTCTTAGAGAACATTGAGGTTCCGTTCATACATATTCGTCAAGTATTCCAAAGGCCGAACTAATACCACAAGCATTGCCAAGATTTCCAATGAAGTGTCCAACATGTATACTATCCTCACCTCAATCCTTGTTGAAGTCGACAACAATGCGACTAGGCACGAGAAGTTAGCACAGTTATCACAAGAATTCTAAGATTCCGGAAACATACCCTGCGACTTGTCCGTTCTTCAATTTCTGCACAGACTCGTTGAACTTGGAAAGACCGACCACGGTGGGTTCGAGACGGAGTTTTCCTGCCAGCGTCGTTAGCACTTGCCTGATTTTGTAGCGTATGTTATCATACCTCGACGCGCAAAATCCATGGTCTCGTCCACATCAGCCATGCCAGCTACGAGCGTACCCTTGATGGACTGGTTGCGGAAGGCGAGTGTTGACGGATTGACTTCCATGTTGTACTTTCCAGCAGGAGGTAGGCCAATGCACATGACTTGTGCTCCCGCGCGGTGGCCGAGGAATCCTTGTGCGATAGGGTACGATTGAACGGCTATGCCAGACTGTCAGCGTGATTACCTATACTTTTAACCACTGTACTCACCAGTGACAAACACGGCATGAGCGCCTCCATTAGTGAGCTCCAGGACTCTCTCAACGGGGCTCTCAACTTCCTTGAAGTCGATGAATTCGTCTGCACCAAACTTCAAGCAAGCTTCTTTTCTTTCAGCTCCGGTGTCAATCACGATTGCTCGCAGACCCATTGCGATGGCCAACTGCACGGCTTGCATACCAACACCACCGCCACCACCAGGGAAAACAGCCCATTGACCAGGTCGAAGACCAGATTCTTTGATAGAGGTGTATGCAGTACTACCAGAGCACATTATAGGTCCAGCAATCTCGTCAGTCACGCCATCGGGGATGAGCGAGGTGTAGCGTTCGGGAGAAACGATGTACTGTTTGTAAGAACCTGATAGCAAGTCAGCAAACGTGTGTCAGAGATCCAAGAAAGGAGCTTCGTACCATCGATATGGAGACCAGTCATCACACAGCTGAGACAGTATGTTTCCTTTCCGGTCTTGCAGTATTCGCAGGTGTGGCAGACATCTTGGATAGGCTTGAGTCCTGCTCTTTGGCCGATCTTGAGGTTCTTTACTCTTTCTCCGACTTTGACGATGACGCCTGCGCCTTCGTGGCCTGCGCACTTGGTGCCGAATTGAGACCTGATGAAGGTCAGTATCTCACTCTATCTGTGCAAATCGGGAGACCTTGCATTGGAGGCAAGCCCCAATCCTCCATCATGAAGTGGACATCTGACATGCAGAGACCCGTGACATTGAGTTTGATCAAAACATCCTCTGGGCCGATCTCTGGTACTGGCAAATCTTGGACTTCAATCTGTTATGATTTTCAGTATGGCTCTCATGATTGATGACGGATATAGGTGGACATACAGTAAAGTCAGGACCAGGATTGCAAACCACGCCGGCCTTGCAAGTCTTGGGTATGATAGGCGTGGTCTCCGCCATGTTCATGATTTTGGTAGTAGACATGTCTGCAATTGTGTGCAAGAGCAAGAAAACTTTGTTGGAACTGTTACACAGAGAAACAAAGGGCACAGAGCTCTAATTATATTCAATCGGACACAAGAGCTTCCCCTCCGGATCCCTCTGATTCCGTTCCACCGGCATTTGACCATGACACTGTGTGCACAGCTTACGCTCCTCTTTTCCGCGATGGCCAGATGTTGGCCAAGAACCTTCCCCTCGCTATAGAGGTGGATCTACACGTACCTTGGGCGGGGTTGACATAAACTGCGGGGTGGTGTATAGGATCGCGGTTTTGTTCCGCACTGGAACATGCCTCTTCCGAGCACCGCCAAACTTCTGACGGTTTCGCTGTGTAGCAAGACTAGTTGTGTCAAAGATTCAACCAGACTTTAGTTTAGAACTGGTTCGTTCAAACTTGTGCTCCACTACTTGCTACTGTTGTGCCTGCCTGACTGATTTGTGATTGTGATGATGCCTAAGCATCTCTCCAGATGCACATCTTGTAAACTCCTGCGGGTCTTTGTTCTTGACTCTTCCTTGAGATACAGAAACATTCCCATTTGATACATGAGCAGCTCGAAAATGGCAATATGTGATTACAGAGCCTATCTATCCTGATCTGTGTGTCTGTTTCCAAATATCGTACTCGACTCTACTCCCCGTCCACCATCTCCTGATCCTCTTCACCCAAAGCAATACTCTCCATCCCCTTGATAATCTCCTCTTGCAAGACCCTCACCGCAGTAGCCGCACCTCTGACCTCCGCCTCTTCTTTGCTCACACACCCTGTCACCTCCACGACCTTCCTCTGGCCCACAAGAATTTTACATCTCCACTGCTCGTCTTCATCATAAGAAGCAAGATACTGCACTTCCTTCTCATTGGCCATCAACCCGAGCCGCTCCCTTGGAAAGCCCACTTGAACGCCTTCATCAAGGAATCTATCGAGCAGTTTAAACAGACCGAGTTTGGAGACGAAGGTGCTGCAGGCAGAGAGGTCGCCGGAGGAATCAATGTAGATGGCACCGAGGACTGACTCGACAATGTCAGAGAGCCACTTACAGGATCTGTGGAGGCCGAGACGCAGCATATCGGGCCACGGGTACTCGTGGCCTTGATCCAATTGTTGCAGGATTGTGCTGCGGAGAGAAGCATATCTATCCAGTGCCGCTTGTCGCTGTTTCTGCACACTGATGCCACAGCGAAGGAAAGAATGTAGATGGTAGATATGTGCAGATTGCTCTAAACCCACCTCGCCGGACTCATTCAGCGTGGGCTCCAAGCGAGACGCAGCAAGAGAATGCTTCAAACAGCAGATTCCGAGTATGTGGGCGTTGGCTAGTGCTTGTCTCATCCTATGCATTTCATGGTTCTTCAACGCCGGTTTTGCGGAGAAGATTGCGGGAACGAGGAGTTGGTCGAGTACGGCATCTCCTAAGAATTCAAGTCTTTCGTAAGAAGGGGCGTCGTTGGAGGAGAATGAAGAGTGGGTTAATGCTTCCAGCAGCAATGAAGAGTTGGCGAATCTGTAGCCGATGAGACCTTCGACTGTGGTCAGGAATGGTGGAATGGAAGGTAGAGAGGGCAATTGAGAGAGTAGAGTTGAGATGCATTTTGGGTGGGACAGCCACTGTTCCTTGGGCAGGAAGATTCGGATGCAAGCCAATGCACCTTCAAGACCTTGATCGATGTAAGAAGCTCCGATCAATGCTTCCACCACATCTGCTAGTGTTTTTGTACTCCTGTCCACTGTTTTGTCCTTGTTCTCTATTTGACCAGTAGACAGCATAGGCGGTTTCCAATGATTGCCGGTGAACTTAGTTGTGTTGATGAATCTGTCCACTCCGCTGCTCAAAGCTGCACGAGAGAGGGAGGCATTACCGTTGGTCCTTCCCTTTTCAGCCGTCAAGTAGCTTTCTGGCCACTCGGAATGTCGGGCTGCTAATTGGACATGCGTGCAGTATTTCAGAACAGCATCGCCTAGATACTCGAGTCTCTCATAGCTGGCAGTGAAGTCGGCATTACCCGATGTGGTGGCTTCGATGATGAGTTGGAGGCTCTTGATACCCACAGGTTTGAGAAGCGTGTTTTGCAGACGTGCAGCGAGAACAGCAGTTTCGACTTTGTGTAGGATTGAAGGAATACAGGCAGCGAAGAACGAATATCTCGCTGGTAGAGTGTTGATTGTGCATTGTGACGTAGCCAGTGCCTCTTGAGTAAGCTGATTCTTCTTGGATTCCTCCAAAGGTCGAGTCAGGAAGTCGCGTTTCTTCGGAAATCTGGTGACTTCAAGAATTTGCTGACTTTGGCCTGAGATACTCTGAAAAACGTAACTGCGCCCCTGTTGTCCGCTTATTTGTACAAGGCCCACGTCTGAGGCGGATTGCACTTTGGAGAGAACCTCGTAAGCTGGCAGACTTTCGCTGCTTGATGGAATGGGAGAATCCAATGGTTCAAATATTGCTGCATATTTGCCCCTTGCATCTGCGATATCGGCAGGTGCGAACACTGAGAGAAGCATAGTCTCCGTATCTCGCTGTTTTTGGTCGATTTCCTTATGGTTCAATGTACATACTTGACCGAGGCCGATGTTTGCAACACCCTTCACCCACATGCTCCAATGTAGAGCAATATCGTCAATCTGAGGACACTCGAAAGGCAAGAACATCGCCATAGAAACACTAGGCTGTCCCTCTATCTCAAGCGCAACCACATGTCTGAACCAAGAATTGGGAGTTTCCGATGACCAAGGATTCATCTTTGGTGCGACTTTAATGAGACCAGGGCGTTCCTGTCGTGCTTGGTCTGCAGTCTGGATATGAGGTGGAAGCAAATGGTCGTTGAGTAGACCTCCACGGTGCAATGCTACACAAGCTTGAAAAGCTGCATCTTTCATGGCTGCCCTTTCCGTCTTCCAGCTATGCGCACTGGTGGCCGTTCGATACTTCCTGTCCACAGAAGACGGTAGAAGTACTTTGGCTGTAACCAGAACTTCTGCATCAGCTCGACACTCGAAGATGGGTCGATGGTTGACGTGGCTACCGGTCTGAAGCGTAGCGCAGAAGTGATTGAGGTGCGACTTTGCGTTGTCAAGAGTAAGAAGAGCTCCAGTAATTGGCACCACATACTTCCTGTCTTCTGACTCGTGAGTTTGCTCTAGTTGAGCTGCCAGCTGAGCATTTCTGTATTCGTCCTCGTATGCCGCCTTCATTCGATCCTCCAGGTGATTCCACTTGGCTGGCTCACCTTTGGAGTCGTCATCGGCGAGCAGAATGATATATTTCGAGTCCTTCTTTCTTGCTCTGCCACGTCTTTGGACGAATGAAACCAGGTTGAGAGGAGCATCGAAGCAAATGACTGTTTGACATGAAGAGATGTCGATGCCTTCCTCGAGCACGCTTGTAGCAATGATCAGGTTCTTCTTACCTATGCGAAAGTCGTCCAGTGTCTGTTGCTGTGCTTTCAAATCGTTGATGTCGCCAATATTTGATTTCTTCTTGGACGAGTTGGAACCTCCAACGAAAGTGCTGACATCGAACGATTTTGATAGTTCCGGCACGGAAGAGAAGTACTCTTCCAGAGCGGCGACAACAGCTCTTTGCTCAACAAAAACGATGCCAGTGAAGGATGGTCCAGACTCTGCCTTTAGGATGTCCAAAAGCAGCTGAAGTTTGGGACTCAGTATGTCGTCTGAGGGAACTGGGTTTACACTCAGATTCGTCATGAGCTTCGCGAGGTGGCTCTTCTCCTTATCTGAGAGATCCGGCATCCAAGACACATCGTTTTGTTGGACACCTGCCAGAAACTTGTCACGACAAGCCTGAATGTATGTTTCGGCCGCGGACGGGCTGATATCTCGAGCAATGACTTCTGCACGCTTTCTAAGCGCGAAAAGCTGTTCTGTACAATAAGTCTTTCGCGACATGAGAATCTGGCTCACTTTGGCTTGCGTGTCAGGACCTCCGGTTTGCACAATTTCGAGGAGGTATGGGTCTTCGCGTATCTTGTAAAGATGTATCAGAGTAGTAAGAGCTTCTCGCAATGTTCCAGGTGAATCGGGTGCTTCTTTACTCTCGAAGGATCGCCTGATGAGTTCCGGAATATGCACATACTGCATCAACTCTGATCTGTGAAGTCGTGGTGTAATTGCATGGCTATCCATATTCGCTTCCAGCACTTCCAGTTCTCCAGCTTTGGCGTTCATTACCGGACTAGCACTCAATCCTAGGATCCGAGGTACTGGCTGGCCAGCACTCTTGGCCGGTCGATAGAACTGCTGCATGATCATGTTGGAAGCATGTTTCTTGGTGCAATGGTGTGCTTCATCGAAGATGCACAGAGAGAGTTTTCGCATCGCAACGAAACCGTGACAGAGAGCGTCGTGGAGGACTCCGTACGTGCTGACAACGATTTTCATATCCTTGAGAACGCCGTCCCAGACTGTTTGATCAGTCCATCGGTCAACGCCATCTTCGCTTGTCAGGAGCCTTGTTTGATATGCCGGCAAGTTTGTCGTGATGGACTTGTGATGTTGATGACAAAGAGCGACTGTGGGTGCAAGAAACCATACAAGCGTGTCTGATTGTTCCAGTTCCAGCTCGGCTCTTGTTCTAGCAAGGGCTCTGTTGTAAAGGGGGTCTTTCGTCAAACCATCTCGATACAATCTGGTTCTCTTCTCTGAACTCAAGACTTACATATGCGTTTTCCCGGCTCCGGTATTCAGCACAATGATGGTGTTTCGCTTTAGACTCTCTGCCAGCATCTCATCCTGGTAGGCTCGTAATTTGAAACCCTCATTGTCATCTTGCTCGTATGAACTGACAACGACAGTATCTTTTTCAGCACTGGGTAAGTCATCTGAGAGCTCGCTCTCGACCGCCGAATCTATGGATACATCGTCCTCAACACGCTTAGCATTGTTGATGCTCGCCGCTGGGGATGGTGGTGCAGACGACGAGTCCGACATCGCCAAATCGCTTTGACTGCCAGCTAGTTGTTGAATGCTAGCAGGACGCGCTCCATACGAATACACGGTTGGGCAGACACGTCACGGGCTGGTGTTGCATGTCGCAGGGATGTGTGAGAGTGGATGAGCTCGGACCTTCGGAGAGATAGATGACCTGCATGAACTTATGAAGCAAGTGCATAAATCAACATGCAAAATAATGAATCGAGCCGACAAAGACAACTTAGTCCAACACTGAAGCAAATGGACACCTCTGCGTGATGGTCAAGAACATGCGACGCGCGCAACGTGTTTGTTATGCAAATTCTGGTATCTACAACATAAAAAGACATCATGATATCTGAACAAATTCATCACTTTCTGCTCCAAGCTCACCAGTCGCCAGCGAAGGTGACAGTCTTGAGCTTCAGGAACTCGTTAAGACCATACTCGTGGTTGAAACGTCCCCAGCCAGACTTCTTAACACCACCATGAGGCAGGCCAGCTTCGTCATGCACAGACATTTGGTTGATGTGAATAGCACCGCTGTCGATCTGTCTGGCGAGTCTGATACCTCTTTGTAAGTCCTTGGTGAAGATGGCACCAGAGAGACCGTACTCGGTGTCGTTGGCATAGTCCACGGCTTCATCGTCTGACTCGACGGTGAGAAGTGATACGGAAGGTCCGAAAGACTCGGTGTAGTAGAGGTCCATCTCCTTGGTCACGTCCTGTACGACGAATGGACGAAGACGGTGTGAGTTTGTCTCCTTGGAGTTCAAGTCACCGTAAAGCAGCTTGGCACCCTTTTCTACAGCATCCTTGACGAGCTTCTGGTTCTTCTCAACTGCAGGTCTAGCAACCAAAATAGGTGCTTCACCAGAGTCGGGGTAAATCTTTGCGATTGCGCCCTTCAGAGCTTCTGAGAAGGGTTCGAGGATGGACTTGTGGACAACAATGCGCTCGGTGGACATGCAGATCTGACCAGCGTGGACGAAAGCTCCCAGGGCGCATTGGAAAGCGGCATTCTCGATGTCTGCATCGTCGAGGACGAGAGCTGATGCTTTGCCGCCTAGCTCCATGAGACAGGGCTTGAGGTTCTCACCGGACTTGGCTGCGATGATGGCACCGACAGCGGTGCTACCGGTGAAGTTGACCTTCTTGATTTCGGGTGCCTCGATAAGCCTGTTGGTAACGGCGGCGGCATCTTGGGGACGGTGGTACAAGACGTTGAGGACACCGGCGGGCAGACCAGCCTCGTGGAAGACACTTCCGATGGCCCAGAAGGAACGAGGAGACAGCTCGCTTCCCTTGAGGATGGCAGTGTTGCCGGTGGCCAGAGCATAAATAACTGCTCTCAAACCAAGGATGTAGGGAGCATTCCAAGGAGCGATACCCAGAATGACGCCGTAAGGCTCCTTGAAGACCAAAGCTCCGCCATCTTGAGTCTGAGGAATCATGCCGACGATACTGCCAATGCGACCAGCAACATCTCTGAACATCTCGACAGTTGTAGGCAAGTTGAAGCTCTTGACAATGAAGTCGGGAGCACCCGTCTCTTCCATTTGGTATCCGGCCAGCTCGTCCAAGCGGCTCTCCATGATATCGGCAGCCTTCAGGAGGATCTTGCGAATCTCGGTGCTCTTGGTCTTCTTCCATGACTTCCAGGCGCGTTGGCACGAGTCTACGGCTTTCTGGGCATCTTCGACCGAGGCTGATGAGCAGCTGTACAGCTTCTTTTCCGTCTTGGGCGAGTTGACATCGAAGGTGGTATCGGTGACGACTTGGTTGCCGTCCAGCCAGAGGGGTCTGTAAGATGAGTGTTAGTCATCTGAGTTTGGAATCTGCGCGACTCTCGTGCCAAGGATAGCACCAAAACCTACACTGTGTAGTCGGCCATTACTGAATGCGTTTGATGTGTATGCGACAAACGATACTATGGACAATGAATAGAAGAATCGCCTTGGGAACAACGAGGGAGACTGCGATAGTATCAATCAAGACATCCATTAATTATGGCCTTCGCCAGATGATGACTAGACCCGAGGGGAAGTGGGCCCTCTTTGTGGGGGCGACTCGGTTTGTCCTGTCGGCATTCTGGCTGTCTACCGTTTTTCTCTCTACTTGTACGAAACATGCCGTCGCGGCACATCACAGTCGTCCTTAACGGCAGATGCGACATAGGAATTAGGCACATGTCGGAATTCACAAGCTGACCATCCGTTCCTCTGCGCGTGTCTGAAGGAGAACCCATGTGCAACCGTGGTCGCCAACTTTCCCTACCGACGGCCCGACCATGTTTTATTTCACTCAGAAGAAGAACAGATCACAGTAAGAATCCATCAAGTCTTTGAAGAGTGTCGTTCAATACTACATCTACTCGCAAGAGCGATTTAGCTATTCCAAATTGCTGTCTTGGCCAGCCAAGTGCCAGTTCCAACTTCTTTCTCTCTTGTCATCAAAGTCATGTAGGTTTATTACAGTATTAATCATCCAAACGTGTCAAGCAATGCACTCAAGAGCGCTTGCCGAAGGCCTTGTCGAAGTTGATAAGGGTGAAGCGGTACTTGATGTCGCCCTTGTCAAGACGCTCGAGAGCGGTCTTGCAACCCTCCTCGCTGACGTCGATGGTCTCGACCCACGACTTGATGTTCTGCTTCGAGGCGAGCTCGAACATGGCCTCCATCTCGGGGCGGTTACCGATGTGAGAGGCACCGATCGAGCAACCGTTGCCGGCGAACTGCTGGGCCATGAGGGTGGGGATAGGCTTGTCACCGAAGCCGACCATGTGGAACTTACCCCAGACCTTGAGGGTGCTGAAGTAGTCGTCGAGGTTGAACTGGTCAATGGCGTCGGCAGTGTTGATGACAAAGTCGAAGGCAAACTTGTAAGGCTCGTTCCAGCCCTTCTCCTTGGTGCAGATGAACTCCTTAGCACCCATCTTGAGGGCATCCTCCTTCTTGTTGGGAGAGTGGGAGATGGCGTAGACCTCAGCACCGAGAGCCTTGGCCCACAGAAGGGCAAAGTGACCAAGACCACCGATACCGATGATACCAACCTTCTTGCCGGGACCGGCGCCGAGGCGGACAAGGGGAGAGTAGACGGTCAGACCAGCGCAGAGCATAGGAGCTGCGATAGAGGTCTCGAGGTTGTCCGGGATCTTGAAAACAAAGTAGTCGTTGGCACGGATGTGCGAGGCGTAACCACCTTGCGAGATGGTGCCATCAGGGTAAGGTGCACCGTATGTGTCGATGGAGTTGGGGCAGTAGTTCTCCTGGTCAGCCTTGCAGTTGTCGCAGGTCAAGTCGGCACCGATTTGAGCACCAACACCGACTGAGACGGTTGTTAGTATGAGACTTTAGATGTGGATCAAGAATCGTTACGAACCTCTGTCGCCGACCTTGCAGTTGGTGACCTTGTCACCGACCTTGACAACCTTGCCAACAACCTCGTGGCCAACGCAAAGAGGGAGGGGAGCATCACCCCAACCTCCAGTGATGGTGTGAAGATCGGACGCGCAAACACCGCAAGCCTCAATGGCAATGTCGACATCGTGCTCTTCGAACTTCTTGAGCTTGAACTCGCCCTTCTTGAAGTCAGACCTGTAGAGGAACGACTGTCAGCATCTTGTTCATATTGCAAACGGATCAATGGGTACTCACCACTTCTTGTGGTCGTGGATCATGAAGCCTTCGGCAGTCTCGGGGTAGCCCATGTTTGCGGTATGTGAATTGGGTAGAAGTTTTGGCAGAGGTGTAGGATGGAGTGTATGTGAGAATCGATCGAGGAGGTGCAGCTCGAAACCTTTTTGTAGGCGGGAAAATATTGGGGCAGCGCCGCAAGAGGAGCTTCCTCTCAAGTGATCTCATGCAGCAGCTACAAGCGTGCTCGACGTAATTGATCAAGCCGTTCTGTCACCGCGGAGACCACGAGGGATAGTCCGTCCTCAGATCGTGCATCTGAGCCGCATCGAAGAAGTCCTCTTCTACTTCACTTCTTCTTCCTCGCCATCTTTTGAGAGCTGTCTGGCAGCTTGACCTGTGTTTCTTTCACGAACTCGTGATGATCAATTGCCCCATCTTGGCCCGATCAGTGTCGGAAGAATAGGAGGGGCACATTTTGCCTGATTAACTCCACCAATCACCGATGATGTAACGAGGGGAATCAGAGGCTCAAATATGTCATCTTGACTTTTCAGCAGATGCGTCCACAGATCTTCGATCGGAGGATCCAGAAACAGATGAACCGCCATACCGCCGGGAAGAAGCCCGACTATGCCGCTTGGAAGCTACATACATCGCATTAGGCGGAATTGCCCAATCCTTCTCTCAGCTCTAAACTGCCAGCAAAGACCGTTAGAAGTTGCCAAAGAACGATCTCAATGATAAATGGCGATGGAGGGGTATAATGGAGTCGGCAATGCACAGTCCATCCTGCGCATCAAGCTCCTTGAGCTTTGCGAGCTCACCCCACGTGCACAAGCAATGCAAACATCGGTGTGATTTCGTTCGTCTTACACTCCTCGACGGCCAACCTACTACTACGATCGAAACACGAGCACAAGTCGTTCAGGGTGCCAACTGTGCAAGAACCTGCATCTAGAGTGTAGAGCGTATGGAAGAGACTCCATCGATGCCACTCGGGCGACCGCCTGTACCTACCGAATCCCTCAACTCCAAACAGGAATCCCGGATGCTTAGCGCCAAGAACGTTCTGCTCTAGAAAATGACATTCCAGAATGTCGGCGAGGTCCTCTCAGTATTCTCAGCTTGAGGCGTTGAGCCATGGCCCAAGAGTGGCTGGTCTGATGGGGTAGGTCTATGTTCGATGGAAAAACCGAATTCCGCGAATCATTCGATCAACACAGACGGGTCCCGCGACGTTGTTCAATTCTCATACTGGCCTACATCAGTCCCCTGAGGCACTCCTGCCTAAAGATTTCCGAAACCAGAAGAGAGAAAGATGATGGATATAACTTTGCTATCCGAGATGCATTGCCCCAGATCTGCAAAGAAGGAAGTGCGGGGATCGAGGGGTCGGCCTCGATAGCCATCTCGGATGTCCAGAGATGGGAACTCCATCCTGCGGAGTAGCATTTGTGACAGTAAGTCGAACGAGCCAGCTACTCACAGTCACATATATCAAGCACAAACACCAGACCTGTATCACGAGAATTTTTACCACATGAACATTTAGTCCTGCAGCCTTCCACCTCATCTCCCATCATGTCTGAACAACTGAGCAAGGTGGACTCTGCCGTCGTACCTCGGTCCAAAACTGGTACGATGAAGGCGCTGCGCATCCACGGCAAAGAGGATCTCCGTCTGGAGGATATTCAGACTCCACCATGTGGTGATGGCCAAATCATGATAAAGCCAGCTTGGTGCGGAATCTGCGGCACTGGTGAGTAGCGCAGTTCAGACACATCACTCGAAACTGACACTCAAATCTCAGATCTCCATGAGTACATGGGCGGTCCTTCGCTGTGTCCAACAACCCCCCATCCGATCACTAATGAGACTGTGCCTTTGACCATTGGCCACGAATTCAGTGGCATCATCGAGGAGCTTGGAAAAGACGTTTCAGACAAATATACACTGGGCCAAAGAGTGGTTGTACAGCCAATCATCTATTGCGGAGAGTGTGGATCTTGCCAGGATGGCATCCCAAACTGCTGCGACAAGAATGGATTTGTAGGACTCTCGGGCTGGGGAGGAGGACTAGTATGTGGATTGTATCCTGTTCACGTCTCTTACTGACGATTTTCTAGGCTGAACACATCGTTGTTCCAGAGTACTGCGTAGTGCCCGTGCCTGACAATGTGTCCTTGGAGATAGCGGCGCTTGTGGAGCCCTTAGCCGTCGCCTGGCACGCGGTCAACATGTCTCCAGTCAAAGACTTCAGAAAAGGCCAATTCGCATTGATCCTTGGTGGAGGTCCGATCGGTCTTTCCGTTATTCAAGCTCTTCGAGCACATGGTGATGGAACCATCATTGTCTCAGAAGTCTCTACCAAACGCAAGGCTTTTGCAGAGGATTTTGGTGCTGATTTTATATTGGATCCCACGAAAGACGATATACCGGAACGTTGCAAGGACATCTGCGGAGGTGTTCGTGGAGTGGATTGTGTGTTTGACGCAGCTGGTGTTCAAGCTGGACTCGATTCTGCGGTGCTTGCGATGAGGGCTCGTGGTACTCTTGTCAACATTGCTATTTGGTGAGGTGTTCCGAGTATGGCTTGGAAGCTTATGCTAACTGAATATTAGGGAGAAAGATGCCAGGATCATTCCTAACCAATTCGTCTTCCGAGAGAAGACGTACAAGGTCGGTGAATCCAGCGAGTCATTTACATTGACTAACTTGACGATAGGGTGTCGCTACATATGTTCTCGGAGATTTCGACGAAGTTCTCCAGGCAATCAGCTCTGGCAGGATGAAGCCAGAAAAGATGATAACGAAAAAGGTCGAGCTCAAAGACGTGATCGCAGAAGGTTTCTTGACCTTGCTGAAAGACAAAGACAACCACGTCAAGGTTCTGATCAAGTCAAATCATGTCGAGTGAGTTGACGCTCCCGGCAATTCGACTGCTTGGGGATTAATTCGATCGCGATGGCTCGGCCGAGAGAAAGACATATATCGCGATTCTTGTTCTTGCAAGAAACTGGCTCTTTACATGTAGTCATGAGGCTCTCGAGCACTTTGGTGAATTTGGATTGAAATCGTCACAAGCTGTGACGACGTTCTCATCAACACAACGTCACGTTTCTTCGCATTCTATGTTCTAGTGAGACCCATACGCGTCGTCTTGACTCTGAGGAATGCGTATGTGGAGATCTGGGCCCGTATGGGTCTACGGATCGATTCGGATGATCTGCGGTGGTCATACCGTGCCGAAAAGAAGCAATTTCGTGGGGTCATGACCACAGGCCGAGGAGTCGATCTTAAGAAGCAAACGGGCATAAAACCCAATCGCGATGTTTGTCCATACCATTTTATTCCCAAGAGACTGGGCTTGTCATCTGCCGGAAAACCTTCAGGCCTCGAGATACATTGCTCCGAGGAATCTCATGGCTTGAAGCCACTCGCGGCAATGGCTTGTAAGGCTGCGCAGCGCCAGTATTGAACAAGGAATTGTGGCTTCAGGGTGTAAATGATATTTTCATGCGTGACGGATGGGCTCGCAGCGATATGCGGGTGATGGAAATGAGATAATATAGGAACTAAACGACTCATCAACAGATTGTGATCGTGTTAATGGAGCAGTGCAAATTGTGTTGCTGTAACCGCTCTTCGCAGCAGCACCACTTCGATGAGTCGACAGAGTACAAGAGCCAAAATCTACGCAGTTCCTGTTTGTCTGGCTCGAATCGACGTAACGTGGCTTGAAGCTTTCGCGATGGAACAAATGGTGAACGCAAGGAACTCTGTCCACCAAGACGACGAACGGTTTGTAAACAAGGATACTTGGCTTTGATTGGTTTATGTATTTGACGAAGGTTTGATCAATGTTGCGAGTCCTGGCGACGCTGTGATGCAGGAGACGACTCTATCGACTGCTGTGCATGAAGTTCCAAATGGCCATGGACCCCGGATTCGTCTGTGGCTTGGTCTGTGGCTTCACCAAGCAAAACTCGACTGTGCTCAAGCATCCCTGTCGTTAATCATTCTTAATAGAACGACATAAGAGTCGACATTGCGCTGACCCGCTCATGCAGACTAGAAAGAAGTGCCATGACCTCTGCATGATGGCAAGAATACCGTTGGCCCATGTTCCCTGTTTCTTGACGACTGACACGCAAAAGGCACGCGGAATACAATCATCAAGTAATTTCGGTGATTCACAGGGTCCCTGCCGCTCCAAGCTAAACTTTATTGGCAGCCACAACCCGTCTGGGAGTGACGTCTTTTTTTGTGATACCTTTTCCCAGGTGACGTCTTGAGGTTTTGCGTAAACGGTCTCGCTGCTGGAGGAAGCACATATTAAGGAGTGCTTCCTTCCCTCGTTGAACAAGATCATCATCAAGCGACTCACTCCAACAACAATCACCAACAGCCAATCTCCTTCTACTCTCCTCTTTCCTTTGAGGACTATCCCTTCTCAGCCACTTCTGTCAAAGCTGATCCTTTAATCGCCATGGGTATCTTCAAGGGAGGCGCCCTCCGTCTGTTGCAGACTGCTCTCTATGCACTCTGCTTCTGCTGTGCCGCCATCATCATCGGCATCTTCAGTTACTTCTTGGCTGTCCTTGCAGACCACAACCTCGATATCCCCACCAAGTGGAAGGCAGTTGAGGGTATCGCTGGTGTCATTACTCTGTACACCATTTGCACTACACTCCTGACCTGCTGCTTGGCTGGTATCGCTTTCCTGTCCGCCCTTGGTCTGCTCTTCGATATTCTCTGCATGGGTGGCATGATTGCCATTGCCGTCTTGACCCGCCAGGGAGCCAAGAGCTGCAGCAACTATGTCAAGACTCCTCTCGGTAACGGACCTGCTGGCAACGCCATTGCCTTCACTGAGGGTAGACACAACTACGACCCCAGCCTCCGCACCGCTTGCAAGCTTAACAAGGCTGTCTTCGCTGTTGCCATTGCCGGTGCTGTTCTCTTCCTTATCACTGCCATCATGCAGCTCGTCCTCATGAAGCACCACAAGAAGGAGAAGAGATTCGGCCCTAGCCCTTCCAACGACTACACCTCCGGTACTGCTCCCAGACGTGGCCTCTTCGTCCGCAAGCCCAAGACTGTTGTTCCCACCGACGACTACGCTGAGAAGGGTGTTATTGGCACTGACCCCAACCCTCTTCCCGTTGGCCACACCATCCGTCCTTCTCACGACACCGCTTACTCTGGCAACACCGCCGTCGGTGCCAACCCCACGGTCATCCAGAAGGAGGGTCTTACCCACGACGGTCACGCTCCTCACGTCGGCTACAACCCTCACGAGCGTGCCATTCCTGCCGTCACCTCTGCCCCTCGCTCTTACGAGAACGAGCGCAGTGTTGGCAACATCCCCGCTACCACTAACGATATTCCTGCTGGCGCTATCCCCAGTGTACACGGTGGCTACTACACCACCCCTGGTGTTGCCAGCACTCGCGATTTCTAAGCAGCTTAAGAGTTGCTCATCGCTCACCCTGTACTTTTAACTCGATACCCTACACACCCTCCACCCGCCTCTAGCTGAATGTCTTTGCCTTAATGTTGATCACGACGGACATCAGTTCAGGTACGACAGCTGTACTTTTATCACGAAGCACGAATTGGCGTTTAATGTATTTCTTTTGTACTCTTCCATGCACTGGTTGGAAAGGGGTTGTCCACCTGAGTGTTATACACAATTATCAGATATCCCTTAATTACACCTAATCCGAATACTTTCAAAACAATCTTCTTCTCTTGCATGATGTGCACAATTCGTCTTTTCTCCATATAACCATCATCTCTCTTAATCTTGAGAAAGATCTAGCGGCCATGTACCATTGATCTACGTTGTGCGCCCCTTGTGTATAGAATTTTGCTGCTGTGGCTCGAACTGGTATTGTCGGATATGTTTTATGAAACTCTACTCCTTCACCATATCTTTCCTCGTGCCGAGAGTTTGAATTGGGAAGTTGGTGCAAATTGCAAACGTCATCTTGGAAGGTTTCCAGATCTCAGACCTGCGAATTCGTTTTACGAACACTTCTCAACAACAACTCCACCTTACATCTCTTAAGCATTGCATCTGGAGCTTTGATACAGGAAGACCACTGTCATCAAATTTGTGAGGGTTTAGAAGTGTTTTGTGTGAGTTGTATCAAATTTGAACCTAGCATCTGTTGAGATGGGTGTGACCCTGGTCAGAGATTCACTTGACGAGAGTCGCAGAGATATATCTTCACCAAAAGGTTCCCGGCAAGTCGCTATTTACACATACATGATAGATGAACTGTGCAGATACAAGGCAAAACAAACTGCATCACTGCGTGATACTAGATACTCAATCACATCATATTCCAGCCAAGTCATTCTCCACTCCGCTCCGCCCAAAGCCAAGCCCACAAAGCTCGCAGGATAACCAAAATCCCACACCTCAGCATTCTTCTTACTCACACCAGCAAAAGCGACAGCAGAAAAACATCAAAAAGATGTCGACGCCCAAGAGATTCGAACTCTTGCCCCCGAAAGGATTTGATAGCTGAAGATGTAGAGTAGAGATCATTCGAGTCAAACGCCTTAACCACTCGGCCAGAGCGCCTGGACCGGATTCGGAAAGGATTCACGAAACTGGTAGGATTCTGAGAGCGTGGTCTATTTGATATAGGTACATTTAATTGCGGATTGAGAAGCAGACGACTGCATCGACTGGAGGAGGAGTCCTAATTGTCATCGAAGAACATGGAAAGATTGCTAGACTCTTTGAAGAAGAGTTGCAGATGAAGAGTCCATACCTACCCTCGCATCTTCAAGATCAATATCAGACCTTGCTTGACGAAGTGGCCTCGTGATTTAGGGGAGCCAAGCAGAACCTTCGGTGTATCAGGCTTCGACTGCGGACAAGTACGCTGCCATGGATCTCTTGAATGCACAGGGACGGTTGTGTTGAGGTTGTCGTGGCAGGAAGACAGGAAGAGACGTCAAAATGGATGCCTGGAAGGCACGGTCCTTGGCAGTCCATGACATCCATGAATCTCCAACGTAAGCTATATACACAATCAGCACGGAAACAAAGTCAACATCATAGTCAGCCTCGAAAGAAATGCAAAACAACCTGACTGTACGTTACAGAGCGTCCATAACCATGCACAGAGCTTAGGATCTAATCTTCAAGGTAGACCAGACAAAGACTCTCTGCGGCGACTGCTTTCTCCACCGCATACTTACTAACAGATTACATCTCCTACAAACAAGATTGGCGACTCACGCGCTCCACAATCTGGCGCCCGTATTTTGAGAATCGAGAGCGGCAAGCTCAGCCATCTGCGCCGAGCCAGCCAAAGTAACGTATATCTCGAGCGGCTCAATCTATTCGTCTACACTCCATCTCCGTTCCCAAAAAGAGCAAGATACGATGCGAAATACTAGAACTGTCAGTCATGATATTCATATCTGACATCAATCTCTCATCTCTTGCAGGTCTGGCAAAGGTTTACGGATGGAATCTTTTTTTCTGCCGCCTACTTGGGATCGGATTATCATCACTACAAGCGGGGCTCGACATTCTTTCGTTCCACTGTTTGGCGCAAACACTTCGAGTACCGCGAGCACAAGGATCAGCGACAGCTGGGACAAGTATAAGACTGTTGGGCGTGATATCCGAAGACGCTGAACCCATTCTATGACTCTATACTGTAAGAGGATAATCACACCTCTACTCAACTTTTTCGAACAAGGCAAGCGAAAGTGTTATAACATGAGGCAACAATAGTGGTTAGAATGAAAGGTTCAGGTGAAGGTCACACTGCCAGAGCAAGACGAGTAAGGTAAAAAGCAAATACATTCTTTATATACAAGTAATTAACATTATCATAGTGAAAAGGACCGTGTAACCTTTTTGCAAGGCAGAACTCTCAAACATCTTCCATCCATATATATCATATCTCACATCCTACTATCTCATCCAACTACTCAATACTTAAGCAACAGTGACAAAGGCACCGAGAGGGCAAGGGTTGTAGTCGTTGAATCCGTTGTAGCTCACAGAGTCGGTGGTGCTGAAAGTGTAGGTAACAGACTGACCAGCGGCGCACTTGCCAGACTCGATGAGGTAGGCGTTGCCGGCAACAGGAGTGAAGGTAGAGACAACCTTGCCATCCTTCATGACGCTAATGGCACCAGCGCCAGTCAAGGTGTAGCTGGTGGTTTCAAGGTCGGACTTGTTGGGGAGGGTGAAGTAGGTGTTGCAAGTCTTGCCGGCATCAGCCTGGGGGATGTCAAAGACAACGTCAGTCTTGGTGTTCTTGTCGACAACGAGGTTGTAGCCATTGACACCGTTGACGCGGAGGCCGTGGGGGTACTCGTAGGCGCCAGCGACGAGGTTAAGAGGGCACTTGCCAGCGGGAGTGGCGGAAGGAGCAGGGGCCGACGAGGCAGGGGCGGAAGAAGCGGGCTTGGAGCTGGCGGGAGCGGACGAAGCGGGCTTGGAGCTAGCGGGGGCAGAGGAAGCAGGCTTGGAGCTCATGGCAGCGGAGGAGGGCTTCTGGGTGGTAGCAGGTGCGCTGGAAGGAGCAGAAGTCTCCTGCTGCTTGGAAACAGTCACGAACTGAGTGACGGTAACAGTCTGAGCAGGGGCACAGACTGTGTTGGAAGCAGCGGGTGCTGAAGAGGCTGGAGGGGCAGCGACGGGGGCTGACGAAGCAGGCTTGGAGCTGGCAGGTGCGGATGAGGCTGGTGCGGAGCTGGCAGGGGCAGAAGGAGCAACAAGGACGGGCTTGGTGACAGTGGCAGTCTTGGTTTGAGGGACGGTCAAAGTGGTGGGTGCGGTCACAGTGATGGTCTTGCTGTCAACCGTGACAACGGTGGGCTTAGGGCAGTAAGTAACGTAGTCAGTGGTGTAGACAGTTGTGGTAGTGGTGTAGCCAGTTGAGCTTGCAGTGGCGGTGTAAGGAATGAAGCTCGAGATGATACCACCGGTAGAGGCGATGGGGTTCTCGCCGAGGCAAGCAGCGTAGTTGGCAATGCACTGAGCCTGGTTGGCGGAGAGGCCATCAGCACCGCGAGTGGTCTGGCAAACGCCCAAGGCAGCGTAGCAAGCGCCTTGGCAAGCTGCGTTGTCGGCAGCGCATTGGGCCTGGTTGGCGGAAAGGCCATCAGGACCACGAGTGGTTCTACAAGTGTTGTACTTGTCGACGCAGTTTCCAGTAGCGCTGGGAGCAGGAGCGCTGCTGGTAGTAGCGGAGATGGGCTTGGTAACGACGGAAGTCTTGACGCAGGTGGGGCAGGCAACGGTCAAAGTTGTGGCAGCGGTGACAGTGATGGTCTTGCTGTTGATAGTGACGACCGTAGGCGAAGGGCAGTAGGTAACGAAGTCAGTGGTGTAGACGGTGGTGTATGTGGTGCTCGCAGGAGGAGTGACCAGAGTCAAAGATCCAGCAGTCGAGATGCAAGAAGCTCCACCAGGGTAAGAGTGGGCAGGGTTGCAAGCGTAGGTAGTAGGTGCCCATGAGCTGCTCGAGGAAGGAGTGACCAGGGTCAAAGAGCCAGCAGTAGAGATGCAAGAGGCTCCGCCAGGGTAGGAGTGAGCAGGGTTGCAAGCATAGCTGGTGGTAGATGCCCAAGAGCTGCTGGGGGAAGGAGTGACGAGGGTCAAAGAGCCAGCAGTAGAAATGCAAGAGGCTCCGCCAGGGTAAGAGTGGGCAGGGTTGCAAGCATAAGTGGTAGTAGCTGACCAGGTGCTGCTAGAAGAGGTGGTGTTCATGGGCCAAGCAGCAGCAGCGCTGGCAAAGAACGAGAGGACTGAAACGGCCTTGATGGAGTTCATCTTGAGCGAGAGAGATGAATTGATAGGCTGTAGAAGATGAAGATGCAAGATGCTGATGAACGAAAAAGATATGATAGCAGGATGAGGATGACTTCTTATATATTACTGACCTCTCGTCTGAAGGAAGACTTGAGCTTGTTCGAGCAAACATGCCACTGGATAATTCGGACCATCAACCGACCGTTCGTATCGACAAGACCCAATCGCTCACGGCTGGCGAATCCATCGAGCCAGTGCATGAGAGCGGAGAAGGTGGATTGTGGCACTCCCGTATTCGTGAAGGTGGGATGAGAAAAGCTTCTTACCATATCAAATCAATCAATGACATCAAGTGAGAGGATTTTTTGGCAGCATGAAGCTATTCTTGTCGACATTGGAAGCCTTTGGCTTTTCCACTTACACACGATGGCGGTTTCCCCAGGTGTTTTTTTTTTGTCGACCCTAAGCCGTTATGATTAGGGTTGCTCGGCTAGGCTTTCGAGCCAAGGGACCATGCCGAACTGTAATTGTCGGAATCGCTATCTTTAGATCAGTGTATGCAGGCCTTGGATGGAAGACTAGCATACATGAGGGATAAATTGATTTAAGCATGTCTTAAGCTCGTCAATGGCGCTGTCTAGTCAGTCTTGAGCATCTGGAAATACGACCGGCCGTAGGCGGCAATCAATCGCGGGGTTGCACCGCCAGTCTCCAACCTGGTGAAAATCTGGTAGATGCGGAGGATGTTCGAGCGACGGGCCGAGGAGGCAGTGGAGAGAGGGGACGTACAGTTGCAGGAACGTGTAGCATTTGGTATCCAATTGGAGATGTTTGCAACTTCCTCCGCTCATCTCTGCACGTTCTTGCTTGGCTGCTCCTCTCTGGAGTGCTGCCCGCACTTGCAGGAAAGCCACTTGGCCATGACGTCGAGTCTGTTCGTGATGGTGGATCTTGCATTTAGCTTACGAGATGGGTCGCCAGGAATTCTGCCAGTTCGATGCATACATCGTATCAATGTGGATTTCATAAAGCATGCAACGCGTGTTGATGAGTGAATCAATCCTTACGGGTTCAACATACTGCGACCTGTCAATCGATCTTGCAAGTTCCTGAAGATCATCATTCTCAGTGAACGTCTGCCTTTTTGTCTCACCTGGCTAGCGAACTTTGGTTGAAGCTGAAGTCTGCCACGTTATTACCGCACTTGCCATTAGGAGCTACATCTGTCAAAACGTGCCCACCACGCATATGGCAAGGTACGCTTTTGCTTTTTGCCTTGGTCCTGCTTGGTGTATTGCTCTCTTTCATCGGCGATACTCACTTGTTTGGTCCTGCATACAGCACCTTCCGTCCATCCAAGCAAGCAATTGTAAAGAATCCTTGGCTCGCGATCCTGGAAAGAATCGAGCCTCTCTAACGACTTGAGACATGTGTTGGAAGAAGCTCTCACCGTTGCCGGCAAGAACGTCATGAGACAACGTTACGACCACGGTTCAACGCAGAATCTCTTCGTTTTGTGTCTCGCAAGCTGCCAGACACGGCGTTGAGTGGCGTGAAGAGCCGTGAATAGCAGACTTTCATTCGAGTGGGCGCGGGTTTTGCTCAGTAATGTAAAAGTAGGGCATGTCTGTCTGTGACATGCTCTGAACACGAGGCAGGATGCAAAGTGAGCGAACGCGTAAAGCTTGGATCTCGCGGAACTCGTGTGCCTCGGCAGTGCCGGATGCCACGACTTTTGGCCAATCTGATCAGTCCGCTTCCGAAAACTTGCCTCTGGTACAACCCTGGTCGTGAGGACAGAACCGTCGCACACCCTCGAAAATGACCTTTTGGATCCGCAAGTGATACAAGATCGAGCTATGACTGGTATACTAACACCCAGAGGCTTATCTTCCGAGCCGGTCGACTGATAGAAGAAGTCATGGCATCTCAATACAAAGATCAAATGCTGGCATCAAAAACACTGGGATGTGGAGCAACATTTAGTTTTGATTATGAAATCTGTCAAACGGTGATATACATGAGTATTCAGGACCAGAACAGTCCCAGAGACTAGCAAATAGCTAGAACAGTCTGTGTGACGAAGCATTAGAAAGTGTAGGAGCAATGTAAGCATGATATCGCTGCTGGGACACAAAACCCAGGGTGACACAAGGAACATCCAGCATGGCCGATCTCGGCAACTCGCGGATTGGGGTCATTTGATCACACCTCTGGATTATTGGGTGCTCTCTTCCTTCGCCCTACCCCTCTCAATAAAGAGTTCACGCCTCCAACCAAACCATTTGGTCATGCGCTTGGCAATGCTACGCAACATGACGGGGTTAATGGTTGGTGACGGATGTGGACGGTGAAAACGATCGTTCGCACACCTTCATGACTCTCCTCCTCCTGTTTGAGGGTAATGGCACTGCCCTGACTCTGCAAGATAGAGAAGCCGGCGTCAATCATGGCACCCAAGAAGTGTTGCCACGAGAAAGAACGCTGTGACTCCTCGCCGCAAGTTGGGAACATGTGGTGGAAGATTGTCATGTTGTCGTGCTTGACGGGAATAAGGCGGAGTGGAGTGCAGGACTTGGGAAGAGTGACCAACGCAGTGGGGGTCGATACTTCTGATGTCTCTGGCTTCCTCTGTCGCTTTGTCTTGTTGTTGTTTTCCACCGATGGTGAAGCGCCATTCTCGTCACCCCACACGGTCTGTGCCTCGACGGGCGTGACAGACTGGTTCTGTGCACTCATGCGACGCTGGTACTCAAGGTGACGAACATTATCTCTTTCAGCCGCAACCTCTGCACGGTATTCCTCGCTCTCATGAGCACGCATCAAGTCGAGGTCTTCAGCAATGCTGCTTGACCAGACTCCGTTCTCGCTCAGCTTTTTTGCCCACTGTGTTCTGAAAGCTTGCCAGAATCGATTCAAGGAGAAACGAGATGCAGTTGCTTGCTTTAGCCACTGCTCGTTCTTCGTTCCCTTAGGCCACGCGTGCTTGGTACAGAAGTCGTCCAAGTGTTTCGCAGTGGCATCTCCGATGGTTGGGCCCTTTGCGCTGTTGGACTTCTTGATCCAGTTTCCTCGTCGCTCGGTCTCCTTGTCAGGCATCTCTTGAGCATACTTGCGGTTGCGAGACATGTGACATTGGATGTTGGTACTGATCGTGTTCAGCGCGGCCATATCGCTTAGCTCGTCGACAAGATTTTGATTCATGCGCGAGGCCTCCTTTGGGTCCGTACGACAGATGTAGTCGATGATTCTGAAGTTCAGAGAGGGATCCATAGTGAAAGGGCGATAATCGTCGTGGCCCATGCACGCGATGCTCCAGTACAGAATATCATCTGGGAACCAGTCCTTGGTGCTGAACCTTCTGTTGAGATGACTGTCTCGACCACTGCCCGTAAACTCGAAGTTGCGCTCGAAGCCACGTTGGTAGATGAGACTAGAGAGATTGATCAAGACGGCAAGCATTTCCACACAGAGGTCTTGAACATAAAGGATGGTCTAGATTGGAAGACACGATTAGCACATTTCCATTCCCGATCACGTCGACTTATCTTACATCGTTGTAGAATGCTCGAGTTGCTTCAGAGGGGGATTTGACAGATACCAGCCACGCACGCTCCATCTTGTCACACTCATACAGCATCTGTCGCCAGTAACACTCTCTGATCAAGGGGTTGACAAAGACCTGGTCGACGATATGAGGCCATCTGTCACCCTGCTTGAATGTCTCGAAGAACAGGACGTTCTTGTATGCACGTGCATGCAGCTGGACGTATGCGGGATCGGTTTGAAGTAATTCGAGGTGATCTTTGAGAACGCGGTGGCGCGACTTGGCAAGTTCGTGGACCTCGACTGGGTCAAACTTTGGCGGACTGCAGAAAGGTCTGGACGACTCAGTAGACCATGCAAAGGTAGGATCGATACGAGTAAAGCCAGTGCGCACGAGCTGATCCCATTTAGGATGAACTTGCAGTACTGGAGGTTCATCTGCTCCGTCAAGCAAACCAGCAATACACTTGCGTAGGAAGGCCATCATTCTCTGCTGAGCTTGCAGGATGTTGTAAGCCTTGGTAAAGCCAATGATCTCGTAACGATGAGCCTGATCGGCGTTCCATTTGACCAGTTTGCCGAAGTCAGGTCCTTGTACAACGACACAATGAGAGTTGAAGGTCTGTGTGATGATACCGAAACGTTCAGCCAAGTCGGCATTCATGTCATCGAAAAGAATCCAGTCCTCAGGTTCGTGAGTAGTGCGGTGGTGCAGCAGAGCGAGCAAGAGCGATGGGTCTTCGGATAGCATGTCGGAGTCGAGATAAGGCAGAAGCCATGTGTCTTGATAACTGGAGATCATCTTGTTGAGCCTGCTGTCATGCAAAGCTCTAGAAAGCCAGTCTTTTTGCTCTGGGTCGTCGATGCCTTGCAGCGACCGCATCAGTTCGGCGTTGAAATCGCAGTTCTCCGGACTGCTGCGCATGTGAAGCAGATGAATAGCGGCGAACTTCTTGTCGAAAATGTCGACGTTTTCCGAGAAGAAGGCGGAACGCTTCTCACGCGACTTCTTCTTCCAGCGCGTAACGATGAAATCAGCATGGTCAGCGAGAATCTGGCGAAGGAAATCCAAGTCCTGGCGGGCATCAACGACCAGAGATGAGGCAAGCTGGCGAGCTTCTTGGTCGGTGACATAGATGGTAGCAGGAAAGTACTGGCCACAGCAAGTCTTACATTGGCAGGTGAAAGGTATCTTAGGTGGCTTTTCAGTCTCGAAGACTTTGCCGATGGCGGGCTTGATTTTCTTCCAGCCCGAACTGGGAAGCACGGCGGCACTTGGTTTGCTGCGCATTAGAGAATGGCGAATACACCAAAGACGGTCGTCTCCTTCCTCTTTGTTCTCACGCAGCTGCTCGAGGATATCTTTCCAAACGTCCTTCGCCGTGGGAATTTTCAATTCGATCCTCTGCATCTTGTAGGAGAGCGAAGCGCCGGCGCGAGGGGAGAGGTCAGGTGAAAGCAGACTTGGTAGATCAGATGGAGGACTTGATGCAGTGATCAGAGAAGTGGCAGTGAGAAGTGACAAGGAACGCGCAAGAACCAACGAGTTGTGTCAGGCGGAAAGTGCAGGCACCCGCTACGCGCCGCCAGCCTGCATAAGGAAGTGACGGCTTACCTTCACAACACCTCGGAAATAACTTCCGTCTAGCAGTAACAGACCGCGCGCACCTTTCTACGAAGTTCCTCATGTATGTTATCTCAAAATCAAATGGGTATATCGCGGCTAGACAAATAATATAAAACCAACATCGAGCCTCACACATCAGAGGTATGGGTCAACCTCCAGTCGGTAATATGCATGCTCCCTCCTCTTCTGCCATGTTTTGTAGCCACGCCAACTCTCGAACACCAGAATCGAGAACATGGTCAAAGACATGGCTGCCATGACCAGTGCCAAGGGCGACATCGTCATGCCTCCTGCATAGAGGGTGTTGCCATCTGAAGTGATGTACACGTTGTTGATCTCGTCACAATGGAATCCCTGGGCGTGTAAGCTAGTAAAAGGATGCAAAGTTGTCAGGAAAAGACACTTACCGATGTAAATGGCAGCTCAACTGCTTCCGAGACACCGAGCACATTATCTGCCATGTCTAGTGCAACAACACGCACGAAGCGCGTCACGCATTTACCGACGACAACCTCTGTTTCAAACCCGTCCTTCTGAGTGATGCTTATGTAGACCCAGTCAGCATAGTCGTTGCCACTATGATCAGTGTGCTGCAGCGCATATGAGACGGTCTCGGTGGCTCCGTTCCAGGAGACGAACAGACTGTCGCGATCGGAGTTGTAGACCGCCGAAATAGGTTCGCTCGGCAGTCCGATCCATGGATATTTCATCACATGGTAAGATTGAACTGATCCGTTGAGGATAGCAGCTTCTGTACCAAAATGGTCCTCGCATATGAGCTTGCCTGAAGATGAATACGAGGACCATACTGATCGTGCGCCCCATCCAATAAGAATGCTAGGGTCTTGGTTGACATCTGTTGAAGGGACAATCTGCAAGCTTCCTTGGCTGTCGGCGATCAACTCGTTTGGGTGAACATACTCGCGAACGATGCGAGCACTATAGTCGTTCTTGTTGATCTTGCTATCAGGTCTGGGATGAGTAGGATATGAGATAGCCAGAAGTAGACCCCTCGAGGCCAACCCCGAATCCCAAGTATCGTCATTGGCGTTGTCGAAGAGACTGATCAAACGTGTAGTGATGTCTGCTTGGCTAGCACCCAAAGAGGCAACCAAACTTGGGAACTCATCGACTGCATGAAATTGAGCGAAATGCTGAGACGAGAAGTTGAACGCATTGTCATCAGATGTGAACATGTTGCGCTTGCCTCCCAACGTCCAGATCAGATCGCCAGTTTGACCGTCGATATAGCTTATGGAATGAGTATACCGGGCCGAGACGAGGTAGTTGCCCAGATCGTCCTTTTCAACCGAATTGAGGTGGTACCAGTCCCAATGCGTGATATTGGTTACCCCTTCTTGTTCGTATCGTGGGTCATGATATGATTCCGAGGTATCGTGATAATCTGACGCACGCCATTGGAAAACGAGGCTGTTGGTCGCTATATCGATCTCCTGGAACAGACAGTCCCAGATGTATTGCAGTCGCCCTCCCTTCTCTTTCTCATATGGCTGGTAGATACTGATGATGGCAGTATCGTCCGGTGTAATACTCAGGGAGTGTAGATCGGCATGTAGGTCGCCCAAGGCGGATATCTTTGCAACCAGGTCGTAAGACGAGTTGAGCATGTAGTAGTCGCCTTCTCCATGACCTCCAATAGTGTCATCACCGAACCAGTAGGTCAAGTGTGGAGTGCCCTGGTACGTTTGTACATCAAGGTTGTAGGGTTGTCCTTCCGTTTTTTGCATCCACACAAGTTCTCCTTCTTCGTCGAGAATGACCATACCACGACTCTCATTGACCGCAGTGCCTCGAGGCGTAAGGAACGTGAACAACCCATCGTGACATGCTGGTGAATCGATTTTATGTGCGACGGCTGGAGGCGTCAGGTCGGTCGATTCGAAGGTTCGATAAGGATAATGGCCGTAGTCATGTTCCCAGGCGGTCACGTCCGTCGGGTCATAGTCGAAGCTGACGTCGTCTGCTAGAGTGTAATATGTCGGGAGTAATAGCTGGACCAGCAGCAAAGCAGCAAAACGCATATCCGGGCCTTCCGTCGGCCGATAACGCTGTCCGAAGTTTGTTCAGTCGCCCTTACGCAAGCACAAGGGGCAGGCTTCAGTCCAGGACAGGGCTCATATCGGTGATACGAATTGACGCAAGAGTCGCAAAGTGATCAGGACCGCACTGAAGAGAGGGCACGCGAGCCTCCTTAACCCCCGTTGGCCCATGATTCAGTGCCAATGATGCCTTGTACCTAAGTTTTGGTCAACGAGTGGTTGGGTCATTGCCAAGGCCAACTCAGCCGCATGTCTGCTCCACTCTTTCTTCCATGCTGTTATAGAAAGACATGTGCGATCAATGCAGCTGTGCACTACATATGTGCTCGACTGCGGGAAGCGAATGGTATAGACAACTACACCCTGCAACGCTCTGGAAATCCTTCATATGCGAATTGCGAGATCCTTGGACCAAGACGCCAAGACCACACCGCTCGCGTCGTGCCGCTGCGGCTTGATCGATCCGATTGATTTGATTCATCAATTTCTGGTCTTCTCTCACAATACACCACCTTCATAGATGAGATAGCTAGGCGTCTACCAATACACAGTGCTCAAGAGTCAGACGATCCATCCTCTGGAAAATATCTTGATACCTCATCCAAATTAATTCTAAATAGCCAACCTCAGAAGCGAATATATTGTTTGCGTTTCAACAGCCGTATCGGAGCGCAACTCCGTAGCCCTTATCGACACTTCATTTGACGCCGTGTCTGGCCTTGATAATGTCGGCAGCCTTCTCGGCGATGGCATAGACCGTTGCCTGCAAATGGGTACCTGGGATAAGAGGCATAATGGAAGCATCGATGATGGTAACCTTCTTGACGCCATAGACTTGAAGACCAGCATCGACCACACCGCCCAAGTTTCTGGGCATCATGGCACAGGTAGAAGCGGGATGAGCAAAGGTCGGGAGAACGAGACCGGACTCGATCTTTGCCTTGAGCTCGTCATCTGTCTGGATGTCGACGCCGGGAGTGAGCTCAACAGGCTCAAAGACGGAGAGTGCAGAAGTGTTGTAAATCTGGCGAGTGTAACGGATACTGGCAAGCACAAGATCCATATCGACAGGGTTCTCGAGACCGTGGTAGTCGATGAGTGGTTCGCCGTGAGGATTCTTAGGATCCAGATAAACTGTACCACGGCTGGTAGGCTTCTGGAGAGCAGCGATTGCAAAACCACCACCCTGGGTCGAAAACTCGTACATTGAGGCATCGTCAGAAGAAAATTGCTCGACCTGGATCTTGCGTTGAGCTTCGTAACCAGCAACCAGTTCTGGGTACTTTGAGTACATCTCAGGAAGGTAGTCGGTGGCATTCTGAGCTGCGAGCTTCTGAGCAATCGTCTTGTATGTCTCCGGCGCAATCTTGGAAAGCGGCAGGAATGCAGCACCGTTGCCGTGAGCTTGAGTGTATGGGCCGGTCTTGTTGGCGACATACTCGTCGTAAGAAGTAGCATTGAACGTGGCGTTGGTGCTCAAAGAGTTCGTGTTGATGGTTGTGTCGTTTTGGAACTCCCACATCAAGTATGCGGCTGCGTGATCCTGGAAGTTGTTTCCCACACCAGGGAGGTCGACCTTGACATCGACACCTGCGGCCTTGAGAACGCTAGCAGGGCCAATTCCACTCAGCTGTAAGATTTGGGGAGTATGAATGGCACCGGCGGCGAGGACGAGCTCCATATCGGCGTATGCAGTGTAGGTCTTGCCAGTAGTCTTATCAAGCAGCTTGATACCCTTGGCAGTCAGAGTGGAGAAGACGATCTCCTGTGCCTGGACACCTGTAACAACTTTGAGATTGGAACGAGAAGCAATAGGATCATAGTAAGCAGTACGAGCGGACGACCTTGTCTGGTACTTGGCATCGGTAGTGGCAGGGACCCAGAAGTATCCAGGTTCGCCAAGAGCACCTTCTTGCACCTTGTTGATCTTCATCTCATCCATGGCGTTCCAGAAGGCAGGCATCTCAGGGTATTGCCACTCAGGCAATGAGACTTGAACAGGTCCATCTCCGTAGGCTGAGAGATCATAGGTGTAGTTGTACTTATCAATAGTCTCCTTGTTGTTGGGGGTGAAGGTGCTGCTCTGTTGGCTTCGTCAGCAAAGTACTGGATCATGAACATGCTCAACTCACCTTCTTGAAATAGGTCAACAGGTTGTCCCAGCTCCAACCATCGTTACCGAGCTCGCCCCAAGCATCATAATCAGGTTGGGTACCGCGGTCATAGCCCATACCGTTCACGATGGAACCACCTCCGAGGACTTTGCCAGCATAGGCGACGAAAGACTGATTGCCAAGGTGCTCCTGAGGAACAGAATTGATCTCGAACATATCAGGGTCATTGTAACTGGTACCGTAGTAAGGCCAAAGGGTCTGAGTGGAATTATCGAAGTCGCCATATTCGACGACAAGAACAGTCTCTGGTCATGGTCAATATGTTTCGTCTCTATCAAGCAAAGCAGACATACTTTGAGATTTCTCAGACAGTCTGTTAGCAACAACTAGACCTGATACACCGCCTCCAACGATAATGTAGTCGTAAGTTCCAGTCAGAGTCTTCTCACGGGTGGTAGCACCAAGTACTGTGTCAGTGGATAGGAGAAGGACAGAAGAGATGACTGCTGTCAAGCGAGTCATTGTAGGCGCCATGATGTTTCAAAAGAGTGTGTGGGCAAAGAACGAGCCTCCCTGTCCAAGCCGTAGGACAAACCAAAGTACTTATGTCTATCACCCTAATATAGTGGTTCACAGTTCGATATGAACTGACCTCCTACCTGCTAGCTTCGCGAACAATGGCTTCGGTAAGGGCAAGCTTCCGCGAAGCTGAAGGGCTAGTAGCCATCGGGTTGTTGCGGTCGGGCGATCGCGTTGTATCTGGCGCAATGAATACCGAGACGATCGCTCGTCAACAAGTCACATGTAAAAAGCCAGGCGTCAGGGGTTTGACAATCTCGTGGTGCATCCATGTCGTTTTTCCGGCAAGGTTTTTGGAAGATGAAGGGCACGTCCAGGGAAAGGCCGCGCGAACATGATTATCTCGATTGAGCAAGAGTTGATGTGGGGAAAGCTTCGAGCGTTGCCAAGAGCTGATCCTCGTGGCAGTCTGAAACAGTGAGCTTGAGTTCTCCCCAGCATCAGTCTCAAGTCTCTCAACTTCACGGCACTTGAGACTTTGGTTCTTTTGTTTTTCTACGACTTCTCTCACCGGAACATGTGGCTTGATGTATCATCATCAAGTAGATGAAATGTCTGGTCGAAATTGAAAGACCTCTCCAAAATGCCGGGGGAGCTCTGTTCGTTTGACGAAACCACCGCTCAACCTTAGACCCAAAGGTTACTCTAGGGCAAACAATCAGTGTTCTCGACTTTTACCGAACGCTTGTTATAGTGCGGCCCATGAACCGTAGGTACGCACGCCTCGCAATCGCATGGCGTTCGTTTTTCTTCATTGGCTCGGTATTAAGCGCGTGCATTGATCCCTCTATGACTTCTTCCATCGGAGCTTGGTCCTCGTTACAGCCCTGTGGATAGCCGCAGATGGCAGTGCCGATAGCTGTCGAAGACACTTGCTGGAGATCCCTCTGTTTCGAAGGGTTGATTAAGCGAGCAGAACGGCACCCACGCCAGTCAGGTGAGACCTGAGATCCCCTAGACTGTGATCGCGGCTGTCTTGAAAGAGGCATCACTCGGGTCGATCAGTCGCTTGACCAGGGCCCTCTCGCAACCTGTGGCTACAAGAACACAGACACACCTCCAGCCTCCATTTATCTGGGAATCTCGCCAAGTGTGAACTCAGGGCTGCCTATTCATATTGGACGGTTCATCGTTTTGTCTGGTCTGCGTAGTTTTAGGTCTTGAACCGCATGGTTTCCCTTTGCACCTGATTCGATGGCCATGGAAAGCCGGCAGAGTGCGATCGTTATCCCGGAGGTCATATTCGCCATCCTGGCCGGATCCCTCGTGTTCTGGAGAATCATCAATAATGTAATTTTGAAGAGGCTGTTCAGGCTTGCTGATTTGCTCATCTTCTTGGCCATGGTAGTGCTTACGTACCGTTTTTCGAAGATATCAGATGCTGACTTTGTATAGGTGAGCAACCTGGTAGCGCTATCATGTAGTTCGTTGTCAACACAATACGGTCTGGGGAGACATATATACGACCCAAAGATCACACCCGACAAGCTTCAAATATGTCTACGATGGATCTGGATCGGAGAAGCAACCAATCTGATATCGATGCTCTTCGCCAAACTCAGTATCGCTGCCTTCCTTTTGTATCTGGACTTCGCGCCTGGATACAAAATTGCCATGTGGATCACTGTTGCAATCGTCGTCGTGTGTAATGGGGCTGTTGCCTTGACGTCGATTTTCGGATCATGCAATCCGATTTCCCTGCACTGGAACATGAATCAGCCTGGTCAATGCTGGGAACCAGTTGTGTCGAAGATATGCACTTACGTTCAATCTGGTAAGGATGTCCAGTCACCTGCCGCATACGAGAACATTGGTTGACTCCTTCTAGGCTCGAACATTGTGACCGATGTATTGTTTACATCAGTACCAATATATTACCTTTCGACAGTCAAGCTAGGGGCGAACGTCCAATGGGGACTGCGAATCGTTCTGCTATTTGGTTTGATGTAAGTTCTCGAGATTGTGCTGTGTTAATGTGCCACTGACAACAGACAGCGCGACCGTCTGCTCAGTCGTGAAAATTGCAGTTGCTGGAAAAATGTTCAACACACAAGACCCTACCTGTATGTTCTCGGATAACAGTGATCCAGTTCTGTACTGACAAGACTTGTAGGGGATGCCGTCGATCTATCCATCTGGAGTACAGCAGAAGTCAACGTATGCATCATCGCAGCTTGTCTGCCACCCCTACGAAGCCAGTTCGACTCTTTCCTGAGACGCTTCTTTGGCATGGCTTTCTCCCGATCAACAAACCGAAGTCGACCGACCTACGGATCACAGTCGATCGCACTCCAAACACAGAGCAAATCCCACCGAACGATCATCGAAGTCGAAGCACAAGATTTCGGCAGCGAACGATCCATCCTCGCGCCCGATGATGTAGAAGACGGGATCATCAGAAAGACACGGCAGGTGCAGGTTGAATATGAAGAGCACGGACACGATGGAACATACACGCTAGATCCCTATACTGCCCGGCAGTAAACACCTCGGAGACGGGCGCAGGGCGTTGCCGAGATTTCATACCATTGAGAAAATATACAACGGACCCTTGACCAACGGCTTTCAGTCAGCCAGCATCATTGCCAAACGGTTTTGCGGAGATGAAAGGATGACGACTACACTCACAAAACCACGGTCTTGAACTTCAAATCGATTTGTAAACAGATCAACAAGATCAACAAAGGTAAAAGTATGGTGATTCCCATTTTGTTCGTTGTATATACGTTAATTGTAGAAAAGGCCCGAAGCCATGTAGAAGGACCTCAAGGATCTTTTGTTGATAATGCGGCTGTGTCGAACTGCATGTGCCTTATGATGCGGTTCGTCGACCCTGATCAAACGTTTGACCGTTTTCTGCCAGTTTTGGCGGTTGCAACGACTAATTATTGCCAAAGCGATCGGCAATAACGCTATTGCCCGAAACAACCCGGATGGCCTATGTCGTCTGCGACACTTCGCATCATTGCGTGGCCCTGTGGGCGATCACCCGTGGCATACCGAGATAGAGAAATCTTCATGTATGTGTGCCGGAAACAGCTTGTAGCAGAGAGTTTATCCCGCCGTGGCCTTGTTGCTTTTCTGCAGGGCAGAGATTGTAGAGAAGAAGAGTCTCATGTAGCTCATTCACTCAACCCCGGGTGCGAGCTTCTTCTCGTCGAGGAAAGCCTCACGCTCATGCTGAGCTTCGATGTCTTGTTGGTCCTGTGCAGGAGTCTTTCTGAAGCGTCTGGCGACGCCGCTCCAACAGGAGGATACGATAGGAGCGACGAGGTAGACAAGAATGGTGCTGAGAGCGACTGCAGTTGTCAAGGCGGCGATAATGGCGGTCGAGTAGATCAGACGCATGACGAACGACTCGGTGGCGTGACCAAAGAGTGGCAGGCCGAAGAAGACAAAGGTGGTGTGGAAGCCGCTGAGCATGGCGGACATGAACAAAGCGGCCGTGTTCTCTTTTGAAGGTACGTCGGACTCATCGTCGACAGGAGTGTCCTTGGGTTCCATGACTGCACCAAAGCCGTAGCAGACCATGAAGGAGAATGCAGTGATGAAGCCGAGGGAGATGAGCAGCTCAGCAGCCCCCCAGATGAAGGTCATGGCGAGGTTGAAGATAGGCATATCGTTGTTGTAGGAAGGAAGAGCGTCGATGGTGTGGGAGTGCATGTTGGGGTGGGCGAAGTAATTATATACTTTTGTCGTAGAGGTCGGACGAGGTGAAGTGGTGTGGTTGACGTTGGAATGCTAAATGGCAGACAAAGGAATGTGGATGGAAAGTTTATAGAAAAAGATGAACGCAGGTGAGCGAGACGACAAGTACGAAATGATCAGCAGCGCTTTCGAGTAGTATACCAATAGTGACTTTTATTGATTTCATGGCGGTTCAGACGGTCTTATATCAGCCAGCCACGCCGTTTGTACATCGGTCTTTTGTCTCTGCCAGGAGAGCTTCCGCCGTTGCACGTTGAACAGTTTCAACAGGGGGAGATTGTTTTTGCTCTGTCCCATGTCGTCGTTGACCTGCAATAGAGTAGCCGCTCCACTTTGAGAGGTGGTCAGGATAACGCGGCTTCAAGGACGGAAAGCTCGCAAGCCATGAACGAAAGTTGTGTGTATACAAAAGAGCTCTTGTCGAGATGAGGCGTTGATGGCTGAACTCTAGACGATCCAGATGCGGGGAAATGCTTGGTATGGCAGCTCGAAAGGGAAAACGGTCCGTGCAAACTGCCACGAGTCCATCGACTTTCGGCTTTTGCAGCGGAGAGCTGAGCAGCCTGAGCTGACCTGTTCTGACTTCGGTCATCTGCGTTGTGGCATTTCGCAATCTCGCTGTTGTTGTCAGCCGTCATGACCTGTTGTGGACGTTTCCCACGAGTCAGACCCTCAGCCTCTTGAAGCATTGCCGTCTTCGATCACGACCGTACGCGGCAAATCTCGTTCCTTGACGTGCTTACAAGAGTCAGTTTGGTGCTTCTACAACATATACCAATTGTTATCCCTGTTCAGTATCTTACAGCAACGGCTTACACGAGGTGAGACTGTGGGGGATAGCGATTCGATTCATCCCCAACAATGAACAGTCATCTTAACGGTAGGTCACGAGCAACAACTACCCGACGAACTCTAGAGCTTGTTATTGAAGAGTCAGACGGCTACAACAGATTGATGTGGAGGAGGCAGGTGAGTGTGACCTAGCCGGCAAGGTAAGTCGAACTTTCTTGAAGCAATCTCAAGTACAGTAACGAACGACGTTGGTATTCAATTGCGTAGCATGTTTAACCCAACAGCACAACAGACAAATTATACCTGTACCTGCATGATCTCCACGCCCGTTGTATATATCGAACGAGCATGTTCAAAAACTCTGCTTCCCGACACCCGTTTACCGCCACGAACGGCTGTCCGGCATTCGAGCTGCCCAGGCAGGTATCCGCATTCTTGTAAACAACATGTATGTCGCCTCTTTGCACTTGACTATCACTACAGGCACGCGACATATACGAAACCATTTCTTGCAAATTTCATCAACATCGATGTGTTCAACACATTCCGAGCCGTTAGAGGAACATGTTTCGCTCATGTCCGAACCATCTCAGCTTCTTTTTAATAGCATTTTCCAGAAAGAGGTCAAAGGAAGACGGCCGAGTCAGCTGCCAAGTATAAACCGCTACTAACGACTTCATATCAAATACAGTTACTTCTTCTACAGCTCGCCTGTACCAAAAAACCGTTTCCACACGCGTGGAGCTCATGTGTCGCCAGGTACGTGTCAGTCACTTGTGTGGTAATCGATCAGAACCGTTCCAGAATTTTGTTCGCATATGAGCTTCCTTCTTCTTGCCATAAATCACTCTACCAAATACAAGTCACTCAAAAGACAGCTCTTGGGTAATAATTCGATTAAAAGACAGCTCTTGAGAACTATCACGCCTGGATATCACGGTATGGAATCTTCCGAACAAAGAATGAACGCCCTCTCTACCAATTCTTCGCTCCGTCCAATAACTCTCATTGACCTGTACTTTGTATGGGAAAGCCTCCAAAGAGTGCCATCTCTACAACTGAAGGTTGCTGGTTTGGAATACTTCGCACATGACGTGTGGCAGAAGAATACTCCAAGCCGGGGAAGTATCCCGGGACGCTGCTACCAGCTGTTCTTGTGTCGGAGGCCAGAGACTACTACGGCAGTGAGAGTGGATATTCGCCGCTGCTGTCAAAGGACAAAAACAGAAGTCATGGACGACTAGGGGATCGAACCCTAGACCTTCAGCATGCAAAGCAGACGCGCTACCACTGCGCCAGACGCCCATATTGATAAACAATGTATGCTCGTGACATATGATAATGTCTCGCGACATCGGGGAAGGCTATGGAAAATCCAAGATCTCGGCTAAATCTATAAGTCACCGTCATACACTAGGAATTCTGAGTAAATAAATTATTTACTAAACGGCCTCTTAGTCTAAGCTTTAGTATCTTAGATTAATATTATTACTATCATAATAAAGATCTTTTACTTCTATATTTAACTTATAAAGAAATCTCTTCTAAAAGGTACTACTTTAAGTACTATAAAAACTAAAGTTATTATTTTTGAGAAGGTCTGATACAGCAGTTCAATTCATAGACTATCGAGCACTAGAGTAAGAGGAGCGCGAGGCTCGAGTCGCTAATAAGCCATGCGTGCGAGCCTCGGTCTTGGCGCTAGCTTCGGCGATAACCGGAGATAAGCCGAAGGTCGCGGGTTCGAATCTGTAAACCGTGTCAATTTTAGCCACTTTAAAAGTAGCTGTTAAAGACTAATTACTACCTTTTAGTAAAAAGGCTATAGTATAAAGAATATACTTCTTTAAAATAGAATAAATTTTATATTACTAAGCTATTTCTAGATTCCTAGATAGAGATGTAACTAAGTAATAAAGACTCTTTATAGAGGTTTAAAAGTTAGGAGAAAGTAGTTTAATCTTGTCCATTACTATAAGCTTTAGGCCTATATTAATATCTTACTAATAACTAAAGGATAAAAAGGATTTAAGAATCCTAAAGATAGAAGAAGAGGAAGAAGAAGAAAGGCATTAACACAATGGAGTGTCTAAAGGAGAAGAAGAAAGAGGAAGAAAGAAGAAGAAGAAGAGAATGAAAAGAAAAACATTAGCGAAAGAGAAGTTTTGCTTCTCTAAAGGACATTACAAGTTAAACGTTATTTCCAAGTCCCAAGATGCTTAGAACAGGAAGATGGAGAAGACGGCTGCAGCCACGGCAACAAGACCGCCTTGGACGCTGATAACAGAAGCAGCGCCGGTGAATGCCATAGGCTTGGAGGGAGTAGCAGTGGCGTAGGCGGAAGTGGTCATGCCTGAAGAGGCAGGACAATGCTCGCCGTTGCACTGAGCAGGGGCGGACTGCTGAGGGATCACAGTGTTGATAGTAATCTTGTAGGTGGTGGTGACTGGGTTTCCGTTGCCAGTGTTGGTAGGGCAATGAATACCATCGCAGGCCTGAGTGATGGTGGCAGTCTTGGTTTGCTGGGGAGTGCCGGTCGAGACAACTATGTATTGAGTGTAGGTGGAAGTTTGGCCAACACTGACTTGCTGCTGGACGTAGACAACAGTCTTGCTGGCATTGGGGCCGGTCATGACGGGGGGAGCACCGCCAGAGCTCTGAGTGATGTGTGTGGTGTAGTATTCAGTGATAGTAGTAGGTTGAGCGGGAACCATCTGGGTTCCAGAGACAGTGATTGTGCTACCGGCGGGACATGAATATACTATAAAAGAGTTAGTTTGTTGCTTTTCTAGTTCATATATTCGTACAACTTACCAGTGCTTGTAACAACATCCTTCTCAGTGACGGCTCCGTAGAGTGCGGTTAATGTGGCAGTATTGGTGGGGTAAGGACAAAGGTAGACCTGAAAAGAGAGTGTCAGTAAGATTGAGAACACATCTACTTAGACAGGGAAGACTCACAGTCTGTGCAACGGGAACCACAGTGGTAATGACTGCAGCGTTCTGGCCGGCTCTGAGAGGGCAATTGGTCTGGTAGAAGGGGTTAGTAAGTTTTACATGGATGTTCGCCGGGGACTGGAGACTCACGACAGTAGGTGCGCAGGAAGAGATGGTCACAACGGTTGTGGAATAAACGGTGGCAGTAGAGTAGGAACCGCCATTGCCAGCGGGCATGCTGGTGACAGCGCATGTAGGGCAAACAGTCTGGACGAGGGTGCTTGTGACAAGGCCAGTCTGCACAGTAGAGCCGCCTTCAATCTGAATGGTCTTGGTCTCGGTGGAAGTGATGGTGGTGGTGACGACAGGAGCGCCGTTGTTCTCAAGGCGAAGAGCGGCATCAATGCCTTCTGCGAAGATGAGGTCGAAGGTGCTGTAGTATGCGCATTGGTTGGTGGCATCATTGTAGGTTGTGGCAACACATGCGTCCTCGGTAGAGCAGATATCGACACAGTTGCTCAAGCTGGCAGGGATGACGGTAGCTTGACGCTTTCTGGAGGCATCAATGGTCAAAGCGGTACCGATAATACCGGTGTTGCACTGAATGGTGAAAGCTACATCGAGGCTGTTGGTGATAACACTTCCGTCCAGCTTGGAGCAAATGAAGTCCTCAAGGCCAGTAGGAGTAGCAGTTGCTGAAGAACCGGTGCTGGAGGCAGTGGAGTTGCGAGTAGAGCTGGAGGTGGTACCGTTGTTGCCGCGAGCGCCAACGACAGTGGCAAAGGTGACTCCAGGAGCGTCGGTGCGGCTGTTCTTGTCGATTTGGCTGTAGTAGGTGCAAGAATCATCAGATGAATCAAAGGCAGTTCCGACACAGGAGGAGTTGCTTGCACAGCCGGCAAGGCAGTCGTCCAAGGTCTGACCAGCTCTCTTGGCGAAATCGAGATCAAGCTCGAATGTGATACCGCTGTAGGTGATGTTGATCTCCAAGCTGAAGGTAACCCCATCGACGGTGGTGAGAGAAGGGGTGGCGGTAGAGGTAGCGGATGAAGCACTTGAGCTTCCAGATCCAGATGTACGGGTTACAGAGCCAGAAGCAGATCCACTGCCAGATCCAGTGGCGGATCCGGAAACCTGGACGCTGCTGGTCTTGGAACGGGAAGCGGTGGAGCTGCTGTTGTAGTTCAACTTGGTCGAACTGCTGATGGTAGGACGGCTCATGGAGCTGCTCGTGACGGTACCGTTAGTAGAACCACCTGAGGGGTTTGATGCATCGACGGGCTTGCCATCGCGCTCGGTGACCTGTGCAAAGTCCGTACCAGGAGCGTTCTGGGCCTGACCAGAGATGCCAGAGAAGTAATTGCACTCGGAGCTTTCAGCAGTGTATGAGGTTGCAACACATCTGGAGTCAGAGGAGCAGGTATTGATACACTCATTCAAGTTGTCGCCACGGGATCTCTTGCCGAGACTTCTCTTCATAATTGTAAGAGGAGTGCCAGCGTAGGTGATGTCGGTCTGAACCTCGAACTTCACGCCATTGACTTCAGGCGTGGCTCCATCAGTGTCTGAGAACAAGGTTAGTAAAATACAAATGCCATTAAAACACTTCCCACGTGCTAAAGTTTGTGGCGTTCTCAGCTATAACAATGCACAGTAGCCTCGAGAAACGGACGAAATCTATCGAGAAGCAACATCACGTCGAATCTCTTTGGAACCGCCCCTGCTCCGGAAGCAATTGCGCATTTGTACAGTGGAGCCTTCGCTCTACACCTCCGTAGGAGGACTGTAGGAGAAGTGTTTACAAACCTCAGCACTCGGGGAGGATACCAGAACTTACAGGTGGGAGTTGCGGAAGAGGAAGTCTTGCTCACGGCAGAGGTGGTTGCAGTGCCGGAGGTCTCGCCAGAGGTGCTGTACATAGTAGTACTGGTAAGATCGACAGAGCGACTGCTCGACGAAATGGTGGTTCCGTTTCCGGAGGTGGTAGTGGAGTTCGGGTACTGTGCCGAGACTGTGCCCATGAGGGCAACAGCCATAGTAACGAATGTGTTCTTCATCGTATCGATGGGTTAGTATGATGCTTAAAAGAGTGACTGAGTTGGAGTGGATGTTTTCGGAAAAGAGGGTCGGCGGGACTGCATATTTATGTCAGAGTTCTTACCATCTCGACCCTTACCGTTATCCAACCTAGAAGTGTGTTGATAGCTGAGTTGTATCGTGGCGTGTGGTTCTGGTGCTGAACAGACGATGAGTATACCGTTCTCATTTCCCACTACGTAGTACGGGGTAGAAAACAGCTGAAGCCTGGGGAACGATTACAGTTGTTGATATCTGTACTAACGCTTCGGTTTGACAACCGCTATGTTGAGCCTTGACCTACTGCTGTGTAGAACTCGTCATCGTCTCTATTACCTTCCATCTTGTGTTGATCGCGGCTGCTCCAGACTTCCCCTAGCCTTGACGGTGTGCTATGCAGTATCGAGAACTTCCATTCAACTCTTTCACAACCGAATCAATATCCTAGCGGTTCGTGTAATGAACAAGACCCCCTCAACAGAGAGTTCTTGAGCCCGTTGTCCCTTGTTGTTATTGTTACCACGATTCAGTAAGCCGGGACGTTGTGGTTGCTATATCAAGGACCACCTGCTGTGCCGGAACTCCCGTAGAGAGGCTGTGCGTCGCAGAGTGGTTGACGTTGTGGTTCACGGTATGGGGGAAATTAGCAGTGGGTGATTGAGTCACCGTTTATCACCTTGATAAAGGAGTTCGAGGGGGAAAGAGCCACAAGCGGCGATGGTTTTCCAACGGTGGAGGGGAAAGAGCGTCAGATCATCGAGCCTTGGTTTTTGATTGACAAGCACCTCCACGCACGATGGAGTGGCCAGCGAGACAGCTAAGTGCTAGAATGTATAGCAGCTCGACACACATGACCAGCAGGGATATCAGCGAGTTACAAAGTCGTGTGTTTCATGTTGTGCGCGAAAAGAGAGGTTCTGTCCACGAACAACGCGTTGAGAAAGAGCTGGGGGTGCGGCCCGTTGCAGCGCTTTGCCGATCCCTAATTTGGACCTTTCTCCTTCTTCGTGCATCACCACCTCCTACAATCTCGGATACCAGAGGCCACTGACGGCAAATCGAACACACAGAGACCAGTAAATTCACGCATGTGTCTTGTCAACGTGGTATTCACTCGACACACGAACTACACTTCAACGGCAGAGCGACCGATTGGTTACTTGGCGTACATGAATACATGGACATCGTAAGGGTGCTGCCTGCCATATGCCCTACCGGCAAGCTGAGGATCGACGATCAAAACAATATCAAGCCGAGTACGGGAGAGACTTGTGTGCAGCAACGAAAAAGACCCGAAAACAGAATCGTATGTATATTCAATTGGATCTGATCATTGGATTCGGTGCGGTACTCAAACATTTTCAGCTCCCTTCTCAGCTCTTGTCCTCTTCCAAATCTCCACCTCACCGCCGCCCAGAATGACCCCAACGCGCATAGTGGACAGCAGGTTATGGGCTGCGTTAGAGTGCTGGTAAACACCACCATTGAACATCGCAGTAGCATCCTTGCCGATAGCCGACAAAATCAGTGCTCTACCACCAGGGTGCTCTCTGATGAACGGAGCTACATCGTGTATCACGCCGCCAATAGCGACGAGAGCCTGGCCGTTACTTCTTGCTTGGGCAACGAACTCTTCCCAGCTGAATACTGGTAACTGTGATATGGGAATGCCCCAATCCAGTTTGGCCCGTTTCTGGTCCACCTTCTTTTGCAGTTGCTGAAGGCGGCCCTTTTCGATCTCATTCCGTCTGAATTGCTTGAGATCGTAGGCCAACCCGAGCCTTTTCCACGTCCAAATCATCCATTTCGTAGGATCATATTGCCACCATTCGATAGCGTTGCGATAGTCCGAGGGAAATTCGTGGTGGAAGTTGTGATAGCCCTCGCCGAGCGTCACAAGGGCGGTGATAACGTGGTCGCGAGGCGAGTTGCGATCATCGAAGGGCTGTTCGCCCAGCCAGTGAGCTAGTGAGTTGACGCAGAAAGTTGCTTGTTGGATGAATCCTGTGCGAAGAATGCCAGCATACACAAACCCGCCATACCAGTCGCCCCATCCTAGACCGCAGACGAGGGTCGGAACGATGAGGGCCATGGTCAGGACCGATTTGATGTAGTGTTTGTGCTGCCATACCACAACTGGATCCTCATTCAAATCGCTGATGTCCGAACGTCCGATTCTCTTGGGATTCTGTTTCATGACCATCCACCCCATGTGGCTATACCAAAATCCTTTACGCACAGAGTAAGGGTCTTTGGATGTATCTGTGTATCGATGATGGGCTCGGTGGCCTCTCGACCACCATCTGATACTCCCTTGGGCAGCACCGGCCCCAGCAGCTGCCAAGTATATCTTGAGCGGGAGGGTTGCTTTGTAGCATGAATGTGCCCAGAGACGGTGATATCCTGCTTGGATGTCAGTATATAGCGAGAGTTTCGTTGTGTTATGATATTCGACATACCGGCTGTGATACCCGAACCGCACATGACATAGTATACAACGGCAAATAATCCTGTGTAGAGCCGTAGCGAGACCTGCGTGGCCGCGACGAGACCCGAGATAGGTACGACTATGATAAAGTAGATGCTCAACCAGTCCAGATGCTGATACCAGTTCCGCCAGGTCATTGGGAGCTCAGTGATGTGAGGTTTATTCGTGTCGTAAGCTCGAGATCTGAGCGGCTGGTAGTCTGTAGTGCCATCAGAAAGGACAGCAACCTTCGTAGGTGAAGCCTGGGGCTTGGACGCCATGATGAATACGAATCGGCGCGTGAAGAACTCTGATCGAAGCTGGCAAGAAAATAAGGGATTCAAGAATGTCGAAGGGAAGAGGTATACTTATAATACAAGTCTTAGCCACAGACAAACAATCAAGGGGTGTTATTTCACAATATCGAAGGACATCAACCGTAGGTCCATGCAGGTCGTGTGTGGAGACATATCAGCAGATTGTGGTGCGACACCCACCATTTCGAAGACATATCGGGCTTCGTTGAGAAGCGCGTGGGAACAAGTCGTTGAGCGAGTCCAGGCAGACAGTTTCTCTCTCTTACCATTGGGGCACTGCCAGGTGCGCGTTTCGAATGCATGGGTCAACCATGGACGCAGAGTGTAGTTTGGGAAGGGCTTGCGAAGAACAGGTTACATGGGAGAGAGGGGTAGCGTCGAATTCTTGACTCGCATATAGGTCGCAAGAATTACCCTTTCCGGCGAACACCTTGCATAGACGTCAGGACAGAAAGTAGATCAGCCCGCCGCCTCTGCCACCAACTAGAACTATCATGATGATCAGGCCATGTATCCTGGGAGTCGGGCAAAAGAACAACAACAATCTGCAGAAAGCTGGAAAACTTGGCCGATATTCAGCCGAATACCATGCAGATAGAGCCACCCTGGTTGAACCTTTTGTCCATCTTCCTTTCCCTTGAAACCTCATTCTTCTGAGTTGTAATCCAGTCCTCTTGAGTTAGTGCACTGTGGATGATAGTACGAGAGAAAAAGGACTCGTGGCTCAAGATCTCAGGACATCCACGCGCTTCCAAGCAAAATCTTGTTGATCGTCTGGCCTAACTCGCAAGATTAATGGAATAGATCAGGCGCTCATTCACTTTACCACGATATTGCTCTAAACAGTTATATCCAGGACCCGGTCCTTGGGTCTTGCCAAACCATTCGACTCGTATCTGTTGGTAATCGAGGACAGGGTCAAAATATCTGATGATCGCTGTTGTTGGTAGTCAGCCGGACGGACTTTGGAACGCACTCCGAGGCCGACAGGACGCGCGGGGTGCGAGACAAACAATCGGCCTTCATTGGTTTCTCTTCATGGTCGGACAATGGGTACAGCGCAATGTTGCCGTTCGTAGGATCCGTGGCGCAGGGACGGCGGACGGAGTAGTACGATAACATGCACACCCGTCTTCAGCTAGTCGCTTGCTATATTTGCATCGACCAACCCTCAGGAAGTCGCTTTTGTTCAACATCAGTCGCAACTTCCTCGATTCTACACACTCCTCATTTCGCCCTTACATACTCAAGCACGAACGTCAATCGACAGTCAAGAAGCAACTTGATTCAAGATGGCAGCCCCTCGAAGACTACTCGCCTCAGTCTCACCTGTGACACTGGGACTGGTAGCAGCGGCTGGTGCTGGTGCCGTTGCTTTCAACATGTCTAAGCCCTCTTCAGACCCGGCAACACTACAGAAGAACCTCGGACAGAGACCCGTTTTTCCAGCTATGGGCTTTGTGAGCCTCACTCTGGAGGAAGCAAGAATGGTCAACCACGACACTAGAGAGTTGAGATTCAAGTTGCCTGGCAATCAAGCCACTAGTGGATTGAGCTCCGTCTGTAAGTGATGCTGCGACGACATCAACTCTAAGAAGCACATGGACTGACATAGTCCAGCATCACTTCTCACTCGTCACACAGCCACCGGATCTTGGTTTCCAACTTTACGTCCCTACACACCCATCAGCACTCCAGATGACACTTACATCACGCTGCTCGTAAAGCAATATCCGAATGGTCGTGCCTCGACACATCTCCACAACCTTGCTCCTGGCCAGACTCTTAGTGTCAAGTCCATCCCCGAGTTTGCTTACAAGCCTAATCAACACAGACATCTGGTTCTCGTGGCTGGTGGTGCAGGCATCACACCCATGTTTCAAACTCTTCGTAGCGTCCTAGACAATCCCAAGGACAAGACCCGTGTGAGTCTGATCTACGCCAACAAGACCGAATCAGACATCTTGTTGAGGAAAGAGCTCGATGCTATGGCAAGTCAGCATTCAGACCAGTTCACGACGACCTACGTGGTAAACGACACCAAATCAAACAACAAAGATCTCGAGAAGGGCTACGTGACCAAGGAGGTCCTGAGCAAGGCACTGCCTGCAAATCTCGAGAATGAAGATGTCAAAGTCTTGGTGTGTGGGCCTCCAGCTATGTTGAACGCGATCGCTGGTGCGAAGGGCGGATTGGGTTGGACACAAGGAAAAGTCGGGGGTATACTCAAGGATCTGGGTTTGACCGAGAAGCAGGTGCACAAGTTCTATGAAGCACTTTCTCGGAAAATGATGTCTCGCATCACATTTGTGGCATCGACAGTTTGAAGTGATTCTAACGGAACAGTAAGCTAAAACGATACCATAAAACTGCACGAAGAACTTCATCTGTGACGGCAGCCAGAGAAACGCAAGCTAGAATACCGTCTCACTGAGATGCTGGGATGCCTTGCAAGTTGTGCTCATTCTTATGGTAGGGCTGTTGTAGATCATCCCAGCGGGGACACAGTAGAGGCAGGTCTGAGAATTGTATCCCACTCTCTGACGCGCTCTCACCATGATGTACGAGCGTTCATGTGGCTATAGAGATGCAGAGTCTTTCAGAGATGGCAGACGAGTCCATAGAGAACCCTTGGTCCCAAGGCTCCCAACGGATGCTCCCTATTTCTCGAAGCGACCATGCATTGTAATAGTTCCTTGCGTGACATACCTTTGCGTACGAGAAAACTTGACAGAATGTGTTCATCGGAGTCGTATATGCTTTTGAGCGAAGTATGTGATACAGACAGGCAAGCACGAACCACACGATTGACAGTTTTCAAAGTGGCTTTGGCATGATATGACTATATACTGTGGTCTATGGGTATCTAAGCGTGATAAGAAAGGCAAAACAGAGACATGATCTAGTGTCTAGAAACATTCTAACAATGCACCTCATTCCAAATATGGAAAGATGAGGATAAGGCTTTGGCGTCACCTTCATACTGACACACCGAAAGATCATACTCGCCCTCTGAAACAACCATTTTACTGGTGCTTGAGTGGAACTGTGCTAACGGGCTCAGCCGACAGGTAATTCCAACCTCGCTGCTTTCCCCAGGATGAATGACTTCTTTTGTAAATCCGATCAGGCTTCTGGAAACAAGACTTGGAGTCGCGCTATCCCTTCGTGCCCTTCTAGAAGCATAGATTTGGATCACTACAGCCGAGGCGCGATTGCCTGTATTCTTGGTTGTGACCATCATGTCGAAAGTGGATTTGACGATTGGGTGTGAGCACCAGAGTGAAGTGAGGGTAAAAGTGGAATAACCGAGTCCGAAACCGAAAGGATAGGCAGGCTTCTGCTGTTCGTGTCGAAGTTTTCTGTAGCCCCACTTGTCATCATATTTGATGTCGTGAGATGATGTGTCCTTTTCCTTTTGCAGCAATTGTTGTTCGGTATCGGGAAGAACAAAAGGTAAACGCCCCGAAGGCTCCTGTTCGCCGAATAGCACATCTCGCAAGCCCTTACCGTATTGTCGGCATCCGTAACTGGAGAACAGGATGGCAGTCGCTTTCTGTCGAATGAAGGTTGGAATTGTGATACTCGTGCCTGCCTCAATCACTACCACAGCTTTGTGACCAGCGACATTCAAGACTGCTTTAGCTAGCTCGAGATCCCGCGGATGAAGCGTGAGGTGACTGCGATCCCGGAAATGTGTCATTCGAGGGTTGTAGACTTGCTTTCGAGGCCTGAAGCGATCGAGGAACCGGCTTTGCTCGCGAGCGCATTCGGATTTTGAAGAAGGTCTGATGAATACAAGGACAGCGTCCGCGGCCATAGCTGACTTTGTTGCTTTCCCGGTCTCGTTTCCTTCCATATACTCGACAGCTAGATTGTGTCTTTTCCGAAGTTCCGTCAGAGGGCTAGTTCCAGGAGGACCTGCAGCATGCGATGCCGGATCGAATTGATACGCTGAGCTGACCCTATCCGCCAGCTCGCCCAAGACAAGCATCTTTATCTGTGAAGGCTTGTTGAATGGAAGAAACATATTGTCGTTCTTGAGAAGGACCATAGATTCGGCGACCGAGCGTCGAGCAAGGCCAATGTGACGCTGACATCTTATCTTCTCCGGATCCGGTATCGACATCTTGATTGTACGGCAGTGATATCGTAGTTGAGCCTTTAAGACTCTGTCGGCCATGACTTCTATGTCAGACCAGTCCAGTGTGTTGTGTTCGAGAGCACTCTCAACGGCTGTGGTTCTTCCTCCTGTCTTGAATGGCATCTCAATGTCCAATCCTGCTTTGATTGATGCCGGTCCGTTTTTGACTGGCCACGTGCAGTCGCTAGCCACGATCAAATCATTCAGGAGCCAGCGTTGCCTCAAGATCCCGTTCAACAGGGATGGGTTCTCTGTACAGGCAACGCCGTTGACACGGTTTCCCGCAGACACGACAAGTTCTGCTCCACTTTGGTAGAGAGTGTCTTTGAAGTGCTGCAAGAACAGCTCGTTCATGGTCTTATCGTCACATGTGATTCTGCCATCTTCTCTCAAGATCTCCATCGAGTTCATCGCGAAATGACGGATGGCGACCATGGCATGTTTTCGTACACCCTTTGCGGCTGCAGTGCCCATGCGGCTGATGACCAAAGGATCCTCTCCATAAGACTCATGAGCTCGTCCCCAATCAGATCGACGTGTGACATTGAGGCATATACCGCTGTAGACGTTGCCGCCATGAGCTCGTACTTCCATACCAATCGCTTCTCCCTTCAGAGCGTATTAGTCTTTGAGTTACCCGGGAATGAGTTTGACACTTACGATGAGCTCTTCCAGTTGTGTGTTGAAGGATGCCGCCCGTCCTAGTGGACTAGGAAACTCTGTGAAAAAGGACTGTTTCGCACCATCGACAAAATGCAACCCGGGAATACCAACCCTTGATATCACTGAAGCCGGATATGGTGAAGCCTTGTTGTCTGAAAGATGCTGCGTAAGAGAGCGGTTGCCCTGTAGCAGAGCAAGATATTCATCATCAGTCATAAGGCTGGAGAGCAAAGCTGCAGCATCGTCAAGTGTCGTCTCGCCATCATTGATCTGTGTGACCAGACGAAAGAAATGTGTGAGCATGGCGGCGAAGGTTGTTAGCCACAAAATCCAAGTAAGGCAGCCATGACTCTTGTACGTTGAATGGTTTGTTCCTCCACAGTGTCCACAACATCTAATGAACCTGGCGCGATACTTTATCGCCTTTAGAGATTTGGAAGCCGGATCGCGTAAAACGTGCAATAAGTCTAACAGCCAGAGCAAGGCATCTAACTCTAAATGTGGTCGTGAAAGACAAGTTGCCCTGATAATCACAACGAAATCGATCTTACATGCTTCCTCACGAACATGATGTTCTTCTCACCCACAGCATAGCGTTGCACACAATATATCCCTAGACAAGGTTGCATATCAACCTGCAAAGAGCTTGATCTCTGTTGTCGAGCGTCGTATAAAGCTGTAACGGCGCGGACGGTAGCTCCGACGTTCAAAGCATAGGAGCCGGGCGGTTGTACCAGGTGCGCGGAATTGACCGAATCTGCGGACCTGGTTCAGTCCCAGGAACAAAACGTGTCTCTCTCCAGGTGATTGGGGCTGTGAGGTGTCTTGGAGCGCATGGCCGTTCCTGGAATCACAAACGAAAGAGCGCTGTCGTGCCAAGCTGCTTCGTGGCTGGCCAAAAGTCGTGATTGCACGTTAGGCTAGGGCTGCCATCAGTGACGACGTAAGAACACCTGCTGATGCACGTATCGCCCTCTATTTTGGGCCAATTCATCTTTTGCGACTGCGAGATAGGTAATCATGCATGGCATTCGGACAAGCGGCGCATTCACACGCGGTCAAGTTGCAGCTGAAGACTCCTCTCGCTCGAAAGCGGGGGTCCAGAACGCCTTTCTCGAAGCCTCAACTCCTTCCCGTGTTATGCAAAAGTTCGTAACGTGCGTAATTGTGAGAATGCACAGTAATTTGAGAAGACCAATAGTTTCTATTGGAAAGCGAAATCATAGCGGATCTTCCCAGACTCGTCTCTACTTAGGAAATGATTGTGCAATTGTATAGTGGGGAGTATTGCTCTACACCTTGGTGGGAGGGGTATGTGAGGTACAGACTTCAGCAGACGAGGGAGTTCTGAGGTCTGACCTCTAGCCGCACAACATGCGGGGTATGTTTACGACTGTGGCCCTTGGGACTCGGCAGGATGAGATATAAAACGGCTGTGATGTTCTAGGTTCGAAGTTGGAATCTCGTTCGAGACATTGTCTTATAACTGCCAATCTGCCAGCAAATACGAGAATGTTTCCATCGCTCTCCAGCTTGACACTATCCTTGCTTGCCCTATCTTCGTATACCCACGCATCTACTTGTACCATGTCTGGAAACCTGACTAGCACCAACGGCATTGGCAGCACGCCTAATCAAGTAATTATACCATCAATGTCCAATACTACCTCTGTTGACTCACAGACCAGCGCCATTACGTCTCCGCAGACCAGGCCACCGCCATAGTCGCAGCAGCAGCAAAGGCCGCGGCCAATATAGTGCCTCAGAATATAGCTGTCACGGATCCCTCGGGCCTTCTGGTCGCTTTCCTGCGCATGGATAACGCGTTCCCAGGCAGCATTGATATATCTATCAAGAAAGCCAGGACGAGTGTACTCTTCAACGGCATCCCTAGCGCTGCTTTGTATAACCAATCCCAGCCCGATCAAGCATTGTATGGCATCCAGGAGACCAATGGAGGTTTGGTAATCTTCGGTGGCGGGTTACCCTTGTTCAAAGACAACTACCTGATTGGTGCCATCGGCGTAAGCGGTGGCACCGTGGCACAGGATATAGAGGTGGCCCAAGCGGGTGTGGACTGGTTGACAAGCTCGTGATGTTCTTATCCAAATCCAAGGCTGATGTTCTTGAGAGATGTTGATTGAAATTCATGTTCAATTGTACTTTTTGTCTGTATCCAAGACGAGTCTTCGTGGCGTAACGAGACCGAGGAGCTGTAACAGGCCGCTTGAAATGCCTAGTATGACAACAACAATGTCGACAATATGTATCGCCCACCAGATGTGCTGTTTACCAAGTGAGCAAGTGGCGTATTTAAACTTCCACACGCCATGAATGTCATCAAACCAGGCAGAGAGCAGACCAGCGTTTCCACCATAGTCACCCATCATGCTACGCACAGTGACCTCTCGGATACCATGTGTGGTTGCGTTGAGTGCAGAGAAACTGGTCGAGTTCCACTGTGCTTGATCGGCCTCGGAGTAGTCATGCCATGTGTCGCATCCTTCATGGTCATGGCCGTTGAGAACAATGCCTGCACGCTTAGATCCAAATAAGCCACTCAGTATCTTTTCACTCGATTGCCGAGAAAGATGATTTTGCTCGCGAATGCCACCACCGTGATGAGGTTCAAAATAGCTGAAAAAAGGAGGATCAACACAAACACCAGCTGGCTTGTACAGGGGGACATGTGTAAGCAATATGACGGCATCTTGAGGGTTGCGTGTGTTGGTATCGTTGATGACGCTGTCCAGATAAAAATGTGTTTCATGGTAGAGATGTTGGTTCCATGCAGGATTATCTAAATTCATGGAATTGAGATTCACAAGATGCAGCTCCGCGGTCAAATTGGACGATGAATCCGATAAGGGGATCCTGATGCGCCAGTTGACTTTGCCAAAGGAACGTTCGAAGCGATCAATACGGTGTTGGTCGATATCACCAGCGTATCCAATGTCATGATTTCCGGCGACGTTGAGCAGAGCGGGCGTCTGGCTGGCTCTCACCTTGTCCACAAAATCCCAAGCAGCAACGTGTTCAGACTCTTGCTCGTGCGCACTATTTTTCCAGGGGTGAGCATCGACGAAAACGCGGTTCCAGAACCTGTTGGCTCGTCGGTCGAACTCGTGGTCGGTGATCCATTGGCTGCCGAGTAGATCGCCCAGCACAGAGACATGGGTTGGCTGTGTCCACCATCTGGTGGCGCGATAGATGTGAGCCAGGTAGTAATCATTGCCCAATAGATCCAATCTCTTTCGGTGGGCTTGCAGCAAGCGTGGAAGGTCGGTCGTGACCATGTCTTTGACAGTGCGTCGCAAGAGACGTGCTGCCACGTCCAGCGGCTCGGTCCACAAGCGGTTGCGCAGGCCTATGAGACCAGGAAACAGCGGCGCGTTGGGATCGGGTAGAGAAGTATCTCCTTCGAGTTGGGGGTCGCCTAGAGCGAGCAGTCGGAAGGGAGCGAGGCCATGTTGCTCAGATGGCGGGAAGTGGCAGTTCTGCGCGACGGGATAAAGATAGAGCCAGAGAGTCGACAAGACGGCCGGCAGGATCAAGGCGAGGAAGGCGTATCGCACGACGCCTGAGAGTCGCATCGAGACTGCATTGTTCTTGTCGCTGTCGCAACAAAACAAGTCGTGCCTTCCAAAGAAATTGCCTCGGAGTTTGCAACCCCCAATCTCCGTCCAAGCCTTCGACCACTCCTTTTCTCATCCCACATCTTCATCCTTGATCACTCTCTTCAACCAGTACAGAATATTCTTGAAATCAGTGAATGAGCAAGTGCCTATCTCTCTTGACGTGTCAAAGCAAACGGACCTATGGCAAGGCATCTGATGGCCATGATTTCTCAACAAAGCATGTAACCTCTGACCCGACCACGTGCATGCTGTGAGTGGCTCTCGTTGAGAAACCCTCTACTGATCGCCCAACCGCGACCCTGTATCGCAACATACATAAACAGTATGCTGTCGACTACCATGCTCTCGAAGCCCCGCAATGTCTGCTACATCTCTACTCACCTCAGCATGTCTCCTGTACGCTCTATCCTCCTTGCCCTTGCTGCTTCTACCGTATCTACTCGTGCGATCCCCATCTTGCAACCCACAGACGTCCTCCGACTAGATTCCGATGGATCGTTCAAGCTCTCTATCTTCAATGATCTGCACTTTGGTGAAGCAGAAGACACACTATGGGGTCCAGAGCAAGATGCCAAGAGCGTCAAAGTCATGAATTCAGTTCTCGATAGCGAGAATACCACTGGCTTGGTCGTTCTGAATGGAGATCTGATCACTGGTGAGAACACTTTCCTCCAGAATTCCACCAAGTACCTGGACGCTGTCGTGGCCCCTCTAGTCAAACGTCGTATCAGTTGGGCTAGCACATATGGCAATCACGACAGCGACTTCAATCTTTCACGCGAAGCCATCTTTGCAGAAGAATCTAAATACTCGCTGAGCCGCACCAAGAACATGGTTCCTGCATCTGACGCCGGTGTGTCCAACTACTACCTGCCTGTGTACGGTCAGGATCCAGCCGTTCCTGAGTTCCTGCTCTGGTTCTTTGATTCCCGCGGCGGCAATTACTTCCAGCAGAAGTCAGCTACTGGGCAACCAGTACCCCAGCCCAATTGGGTTTCCCAAAGCGTGGTTGACTGGTTCACCGAGACTCGATCTGCTCTCGAGAAGAAGCACAAGCGTCTTGTGCCGAGTGTAGCCTTCGTCCATATACCCTCAAATGCCATGGCCGCTTTCCAAGCTACGGGTGTGGACGCACATCGTGAACCTGGCATCGATGACGACAACCCGCTGGCCCAACAAGGTTCAGCTTCGGGCCAGGGCAATGTCAGTGGTGCTGTGTTCAGCTACAACGGTCAAGATATACCCTTCATGCAAGCTCTCCTCGATACGAAGGGACTGAAAGCAGTCTTCTCAGGTCACGACCATGGCGACGACTGGTGCTTCAGGTGGGACTCGAAGTTGAAGGGTATGAACCTGACCGGCAATGGGTTGGACTTATGCTTCGGGAGACACAGCGGATACGGAGGTTATGGATCATGGACAAGAGGAAGCAGACAAGTTGTACTCAAGAAGGGCGATGAAGACGTCGAGACATGGGTGAGATTGGAGGATGGGACGGTCAGTGGCAGGGTTACTTTGAATGGAACATACGGACAAGACTCCTATGCTGCTGTGACTTCATAGAATACAGGAGCATGAACGCCGTTTGTATACTGTGTTGATGAGCGTACAAGAAACTGCTTTGAAAGTCTTGATGGCTGCTTACAATCGTCGCTAATTGATAAGACAGGGCGGATCAAAATGTGCCCCAAGCACGTCATTTGCTCACGGGATTTCTTCATGCTCTGTAGCTTGATGAAGAGCGCTGCTTCTATAATTTGCGGTGAAAACTCATTGCTCGATATTGACCCTGAGATTTATCCATGGGAGATCAGTGGATACTGGAGCTTGTCGAATCATTATCCAAACTTGCGCAATGCTGTTGAATACGAGCAGTCTTGACTACAAAAAAGTCGTAAAGCCTCACCTTTGGCCGTCTTTTTCACCCATCTCACTCAACTGCTATCATGAAAGCTCATTCTCTTACACTTGCCCTTACGGCACTACCATTCGCAGCAGCCAAAGGTCCATTCTTGCAACAGACAAGCAACGATACATGGGTATTGGGTAACGACATCTGGAACATCACTCAAGGACCTATATATGGCACGAAGCTCTATTATCAAGGAAAAGACGCTATAGGCAGTGCTGTTGGACATTACGTCGGAGCAGGTATCAAGGATGTCTCCAGTCCGCAAGATCACAGTACTAACATATTGCAGACGGGGAAAACAATCTGGTCTGGGAGTCAGCAAGCATTGTGAACAAAGGTGGTTCATTCATCGATGTGAGCTTTGTCTCGGAAAAGGGTGATCTCCATTGGGTCATCTATGACGATCTTGCTGGTTCTTACCAGTACTTTGTCAACCGTGCCCTCGGCGACATCAGTATCCTTCGTTCTCTCTTCCGCCTTGACCCCGACAGATTCCCCAATGGTCGCACTTACCTGAAGGATGAACCTCTGCCATCATTCAAGTCGATTCTGAGTGCCACAAAGGTTCAGGACGAGACTTTCGAAACGTCAGATGGAACGTATATCACGAAGTATGACTGGTCGAACTATGTCAGAGACCGAGATTTCAATGGTGTTTATGGACCGTCCACTGGGTCATGGTATATCCATCCTAGTACGGACTACTTCAGTGGTAACCACCTGAAGCAAACTTTGACTGTAAGTTCTGGCAGCTTTCAATCACTCGATCAATCGTATACTGACTGAAATAGGTCCATCGAGAAAGTAGCACCGGCGATGCTGTACAGCTGAATGTTGTGCAAGACACTTCGCACTTCCAGACTCAAGTCACAACTTCCCAGCCCGTTGGCAAGATCTGGGGTCCGTGGCTGTGGTATCTTGTAAGTTGCCGACTTGATGATTACTAGTCTCTTCTGACAACTAAGCAGAACGATGGAGACATTGCAGATGCAGCAAGAAAGCATCAAGAAGAATTGACCAAATGGCCCTATCCATGGATCAATGATACTGCTTACCATTCTCGCGGTTCTGTGTCTGGATCTCTCAAACTCTCCGATGGAAGAGTCGCAGCTGGTGCGGCCGTGTTCCTAGGTGACTCGGATATTCAGGCACCGTTGGCACAGGGGGCCAATTACTACTATACAACCTACGCCGATGTCTCTGGCAAATTCAGCTTCGCCAATGTCCGTACTGGTAAATATGGCATATACGCTTGGTCAAATGGTGGCAAGATCGGCGACGTCTACACCAACTTCACAAAGTCCGGCATCGATGTCAAGGGCAAGACTAACCTATCAACACTGACTTGGTCAGTCCCGACCAACAAGCGCATCTTCCAGATCGGAGACTTTGACAAGAAGACCACCGGCTTCATCAACAGTGGACCATATCACCACGGTCTTGCTGCCGCGTCCCCAGCAAACTTTACCTTTGTCGTCGGCACCACAAACAGCTCCTCCTGGTACTACGCATCCTCCAACCTTGGAACTTGGAATGTGGAGTTTAGCATTGCCGAACTCGAAAAGCCCACCGCTAGACTTATTGTCTCATTGGCCGGATACTCGCAAAGCACCGCTTTGACAGTCTTAGCTAATGGTGCTGTGTTGGGTAGCTTGAGTAAGGATAATATTACCACTGATGCAGCGACTTACAGATCAGGGACCGTTAGCGGAGAGTGGCACCAATTTGAGTATGTGGTTAGCAATCTGAAAAAAGGGAAGAATGTTGTGAGTTTCCAGGTTGATAGATATGTTTTGTGGAGGGGTTTTTTGTGGGATGCGATTACCCTTGAGTGGATTTGATGAAGGCAGCAAGGTGTTTCTCGCAAAGATGGTGATTATCAGTGTCAAGCTGTGATGGAAGGTGCGATCGCCAATGCAGGCTCCAGATAACTTTTCTTTGGTTCCGGGTTCGGTGCATGTCCTTCACTAGCTCCCTTCCACCTACTCTTTCCTTCACTTTCCCACCTACCTATATATCTTATCAAATCTGCCATCAAATTAATCTTCCAGCCCCTTTAGTGCAGTGGTATAGCACGTTCCCATACCTAATGTCTTGCAAAAACAAGCAGAGTAAGGCGAGCACTGTGGGAGCCGAATAGGCACCCGCTTTGCTGGACCTGGACGCTCGTCGGAATGGGAGAGACGTGAGTTCGAATCTCACAGGGGGCGATGTACTTCTCTTTTTGCTCTGTTTGAGGTGATCGAGAGGGAGGATGGTGGTAGAAGACGAAGAAGTTTTGCCTCAACAAAACATTCAACCCTATTTTCCGACAATCTTCCACAGCACCCGTCCTCTTGATGACGACCCTCAAGGCTCATGTTCTCAAGACCTCTATTCTCATCACCAGATCCTCAAAGGCGGCACAAGAGGGGGAAAAATCACTGACGCCCTGGATACAAATCCCACATCTGCTTTGCCCCACCGAACACCTTCCGTCATCTTGGACTCCCCACCTGCAGTTCTTTTGCCTGCTTGAACTCCGCGTCGCAACTATTGTACATGCATAACGGCATCTCTGGACACGGAAAATATTATTCCAGCAACCACTTTCAACACCTGTCTTTCTCACCATCGCCTATCGTACCTTCCTCAGGCTTCCTGGCTAAATCGTGATGAGTGACATGTTGGCAAATTGGCGTCCGGGTGGTAGGCTGTTGTGCTTGCAGATCTGATATGCGTAAAACAAAAGGTGAGGCTGTATAGATTGGCCACAAATACTAGGCTAGGCTGCGTGATCACAATTTATCGTTCTGCTGAAACCCAGGCACTATATCTGAAACCGTCATTGCCGCAATACTTATCACTCGTGTGCAACAAAAAGCTTACAATGAGACTCAATCTATCAGCACTGATCTGTCTGATACCGGCTGTCCTGAGCATCCCATTTGAAGGTCTGTGACAGCTGAACTCTACGAACTTTTTCACGCTAACAGCCGATAGGTTTTACAAAACGACCAAACACATGTCCAAAGACTCCAGTTAACGCGACTCGCTATGATGCAAAACTTCCAGACCCTTTCATGTTTGCCAACGGCAGACCTGTTAAGACCCTTTCTGACTTTGCGTGCCGCCAACGTGAAGTCAGCGAGCTCTTCCAGACCTTTGAGTTGGGGGCAAAACCGGGGAATCCAGATAGCGTATTTGGCTCTATCTCTGGCCCAAACCTGACAGTCACGGTTTGTGTGCATGGCAGGACCGTATCTTTCACACCTACGATTGCATATCCCGCGAACGGAACCGCTCCACACCCAGCCATCATCGCACTCGGAGGCCTTACCATCCCTGCGCCTTCTGGAGTAGCCATCATCATATACAACAACGATGATATCGGCGCTCAACTCGATCAGAGCAGCCGGGATCAAGGAAAGTTTTTCGAGCTCTACCCCGAACTGGGGGCCAATGGTGCCATGGTAGCATGGGCTTGGGGTATAAGCCGCATCCTCGACGTTCTGGAGACTTTACCTGAGGCCAACATCAATACGAAAAAGATTGCCGTCACTGGTTGCTCCAGGAACGGAAAAGGAGCACTGGTCGCGGGTGCACTAGATAGCCGCATAGCTCTCACAATTCCACAGGAAAGTGGTTCTGGTGGAACTGCATGCTGGCGTCTGAGCGACTACGAGAATCACAACGCGTCGACACAGACAGCATCCGAAATCGTCCAAGAAAACGTCTGGTTTGCTACTCAGTTTGATGATTTTGCCAATACCACAGTAGATATGCTGCCAATCGATCACCACATGCTGGCTGGCCTTGTTGCTCCAAGAGGTCTACTGGTGATCGACAACATCGGATACGAATGGCTTGGACCCTGGAGCTCTTATGGATGTATGAAGACCGCTCACAGGATCTTTCAAGCTCTTGGAGTATCTGACCATTTGGGATATTCCATGTCTCCCAGCCATCTTCATTGCTCCTTCCCCTCAAATCAGGGCCCTGAACTCCAAGCCTTCGTCGACAAATTTCTCTTTGACAAAATCTCTGACACAAATTTCTTCAACCCAGCAGGCAATATCACATTCGATGATGCGCAATGGGTAGACTGGTCTACTCCGCACCTGCGTTGATAACCAGTCTTGTTCCACGGCTTTGATCGCTTGCTTTTCTCTCGCACTCCTTTGTGCCAGAACTCATGTCATTCAGTTTCGGCCGCAAGTCTGTTCTCTCTTTACCATTTGATGTTTCCTCCAATCATACAATAGCCGTGTTTAGCCTAACCGAATACACCAAAGAAGCTTTTCGTGTATGCAAATCTTCTGTCGGAGTTCCTGTTCCTGGATGCGGTTACCCCGCGATTGTAGCTCTCCATGGTCTGTGAGTTCGTGATGATCGTCCCCCGTGGGGCCATCCATTTAGCCTGAACATGTCTCGGACGGCATCGTTAGCTCGACGTTGGATCGTGCATGCCATGCCTCCTTTTATATACCGTATGACTTCCTCAAGGGTATCGTGGTGTGACACACAGTGTAAGCTCTGACACACAACATGTTAAACAAGCAATTTGTGGCTTTGGCCGCCTTCTTGGCCTCATCACTCCTTTCTCCAACCAATGCTCTTCCTCTTGATGCATCGATAGAGGCTAGAGCACCTGCTTGTGATCACTGGGTGGACACATGGACTTCCATGCCCCAGCTCACTGAACCGGCCAATCTGCCCAACCCACCTTTCAACCAGACAGGCTCTGTGTTTGTCAACAGTACTATTCGACAGACCCTGCATATGTCAATTGGCGGTCCACAAATCAGGATCCGTCTTTCCAATGCGTTTGGTGCAACTCAACTCAACATCACGGCCGTAACCGTCGCATTGCCCTACAACAACTCGGCGGGGCAGAGCATCATCGAGACCAACACTCTTCAGACTGTCACCTTCTCGGGCAACAATTCTATCATCATTCCCGACGGTTCTCTCGCTGTTTCGGATCCTATCCACTTCCCCATCAATCCTCAGTCTGAGCTCGCTGTATCGATATATCTTGCTGGCGGTCAGCTCGGTAATAGCATTACTTCGCATCCTGGCTCAAGAACGACATCGTTCTACCAGTTCGGCAATGCAGTGAGTGCAGCCAACCTGACCGACGCTTCTGTGCAAAGTGTCGCACATTGGTACTTCCTCTCTGCCATCGAGGTTTGGTCACCACCGCAAGCAAGAGGTTTCGCGATCGTCGGAGATTCCATCACTGATGGTCGTGGTTCGACGACAAATGCCAACAACCGTTGGCCTGATCTCGTCCTCGCACGCATGCAGAAGAACCCCTCTACCAAAGATATTGGTGTTTTGAACCAAGCTGCAGGTGGAAACCGCATCCTTGCTGATGGCCTAGGTCCGAATGCGCTGGGTCGCATTGATCGTGACGTGCTGGCTCAGTCTGGCATCAAGTACTCCATGATCTTCGAGGGTGTAAACGACATTGGAACTGCCGATTCGACTACGGCTGCTCAAGACTTTGTTTACAATCAATTGATCCAAGCCTACGAGCAGATCATCACCCGTATCCACACGTTCGGCATACCGATATTTGGCGCTACGATCACGCCGTTCTCAGCTCCGAACAGCACTATCCAGGCATACAGCACTCCAGAGCGTGAGGTGACGAGACAGCGTGTCAACCAGTGGATCCGCACGAGCGGCAAATTCGACGCAGTTCTAGATTTTGACAAGGTGGTGAGAAGCTCGGCAAACCAGAGCATGTTGCAAGATCAGTACAACTCTGGTGACTACCTGCACCCGAGTCCTGCTGGGTACCAAGCCATTGCGGACAGCTTCGATTTGAACCTGTTCAATCGTTTCGCGGGTGGAGTCAGCAGCTACATGTGATAGGTTTTAGCTTAGCGAGCAAGCAATACCAAGCCTTTTGTTTCAAGCCAAATTCAATTTCATACCATCGAACTTGCGTCATGCAGACATGGAATAAGCCTTGGTGCCATTGGGGTCGGAGTGAAAGTACTTCAAGCTTGGTTCCACGCGATTAATCTATCGCGATCAGCCGTAAGCAGTATTTCCAGCCATTCTGTGAGCGTAGACGAGGCTAGACCCACGTGAGCTGTTGCGTGCAGTCATAATAGGGTGATAGAACAAGCTTCGGACGGGAGGATGCCGTGCGTGAAACAACCTGAAACTTCGCTAAACCCTGGGGTGAGCTGTTGAAACCACTTGACTAGAAGTGGGCCGGTCCATCGGGGCTGAAAACCCATGCCTATTTGACACTAAGGCCTATAAGCATGCTTTCCTAAGTGCGTTCCCTACGTCGATCTTGTAGTTTCTGCCTGGACTTGATTGATTTTGCCTAAAGCATGGACATTTGGATTCGTCAGCATACCTAGCACAACGTCGACTAGACCCATGTGTCCGAACAGGCACCGGGTCAGTCACAGAGATGTGATTGTGGTATAAGTAGACCAGCAGCATCTTGTATCGTAGCTCAAGTACAAACCTCAATTTCAATACTCAAAATCACCATTTCCCAACCATCTCAGACATCATGAAGTCCGTCATCGCCGCTATTCCCTTCATCCTCATGGGCTCCACCACCATGGCTGCTCCTCTCGAGAAGCGTGCATGCCCCAACATCCATGTCTTCGGAGCACGTGAAACTACTGCGCCTGCTGGATATGGATCAGCAGGCACAGTCGTCAACCTCATCCTGAACGCTCACCCCGGCGCAACCGCCGAAGTCATCAACTACCCAGCTGCTGGAGGCAACAGCTACGCATCCTCCGTCCAGGCTGGAGTCAAGGCTGTCACCAACCAAATCAACAGCTTTGCCGCATCTTGCCCCAACACGCAGCTGGTTTATGTTGGATACTCTCAGGGAGCCCAGATCGGTGATGACGCTCTCTGCGGAGGTGGTGACCCCAACCAGGGCATATCCAGCACTGCTGCTCCCATTTCCAGTGCTGTTGGAAGTAAGGTGAAGGCCATCATCTTCATGGGTGACCCTAGAAACATTCCCGGTGGTCCCTACTCTGTCGGCACTGCAAAGAACCCTGGAGTAAGTTCATCTGCTGTTGATATCAGAATGTTTTACTGATCGAGATGGTGTAGTTTGACCCCAGAGCCTCAGGCTTCACTTGCTCTGCATACGCAAGCAGAATCCAGTCTTACTGCGACTCTGCCGATCCTTACTGCTCGAACGGAAACGATGCCAACGTTCACCAAGGATACGGTCAAGAGTATGGTCAGGCTGCCCTCAAGTTTGTCAACAGCAAGCTTACCTGAGCTCGTCTCGCTGGTCGAAACGAGACATGATGCTTGTGTCGCAGAATATGTGCAGGCTTCCATAGTTCATTTCCAAATTCAGAAAACCATTTCCCTCCTTCCAGAGCTCTGCTGCCGATGAGACTCGCATTGCGTACTGATAGCTTGAATGTTGATGGAGTAGATGTCGACAAACATTCGACTCGGTTGAGTGCCGGCAAGTTTGAAAGGCTCGGAGGAGAAACTGCCGATTTGGTGAATACAAGCCGAACTTTTTCCGTATAAAATCGTCATGGTCGAGCTTGCCATCCTTCCTCTCTGTCTACTTCAGAGTTTGGATACGACCTCTTGCTACAACCCGCCGGCCACGCCAAGGGCTGCGCAGCAGTGATCTTCATTCAATGGGCCAATATGAAGAAGATTCCGGCAGAAGAGTCGTTTCCGACACTGATGCATGTTAGACAAATTAACCTGTCTCCCCCAAGCCAAGCATTTCCCTCCGCAATTGCTCGTAAATGCTTGACTTGGCATCGACTCTTCGGTGTGCTTTCATCCGTAAGTCTACAAGTGATCAGCGACCATGCATGATCATATGGCGACTCTCGTGTTCGCGGTGACGAGCAATGCTACTATAAACACTCAGTCTGATGCCTCTCATGCTTCCACAATTGTATTTCTATCCTTCTCGCGATGCGTTCACTATATGTCTTAGCAACCTCGGCTCTAGCTTTCGTAGCCAGCGCTACCCAAAACAGCACTTGTTCAACAGACCTCGAGTCTTTAACTGTCACAAACCTCGATCATGTCCGTGGCAACTTGCACTTACCCACTAACACCGAGAGTGGCCTGAACGTCACATGGAGTAGTGATCGCGAGTCTGTCGTCTCAAGCGATGGTATCGTCAAGAGGCAAAATACAACGAGTCAAGTTGAGTTGACTGCTACGATTGATTGTAGTGGGACGCCAAAAAGTCGACAATTTTCAGCCTTGGTCCATCAGGCAGCTAACATCGGTGCATTTGAAGGCTACGCATTTGCGTACTTCACCAACAACTCCCGCTCGGGCGAGAACATCTATTTTGCGGCTAGTAACGGCAACGACGCCTTGTCGTGGAAAGAGCTCAATGGTGCACAGCCTGTTCTCAAATCGACATATGGCACAACTGGACTGCGCGATCCTTTCATCATTCGTTCTCACGAGGGCGACACTTTCTACCTCATTGCAACTGATCTTTCGATCGGTTCTGGAACCTCTTGGGGCGATTCAGTCAAGTTAGGCAGTCGATATCTTGAAGTATGGGAGTCCCACGACCTCAAGACATGGTCGGAACAACGCCATGTGTTGGTTTCACCTGCTGAAGCTGGCAACACGTGGGCGCCTGAGGCCTACTACGACGAAGGCATTGGTGCTTATGTAGTCTTCTGGGCCTCTTCTCTATACAACTCGACCGATGTTGATCGTACTGGAGCGACCTACCACCGCATGCTGTATGCCACGACACGAGACTTCGTGACGTTTAGCGAGCCCCAGATCTGGCAAGATGTTGGCATGTCACGTATTGATTCCACCGTCTTGAAGTCGGGCGACGTCTACTACCGCTTTACCAAAGACGAAGGTGCTGGCGAGACTGGATGTGTCGACATCATTGAGGAAAGATCAACCTCGCTCAGAGCGACAGCGGACTCTTGGACTACCATCGATACCTGCATCGGCAAGAAGGCTGGTACTCAAGGAGTTGAAGGGCCCACAGCATTTAAATCCAACCCTGGCGATGTGAATGGAGACCACTTTTACCTGTTTGTCGACGAGTTTACTGGTCGCGGCTACATTCCCCTCCAGACCAAGAACATCGCAAGCCCTAATTGGACAGTCCCGGCATCATACAAGCTGCCTCCAAGCCCTAGACATGGAACAGTCCTGCCCATCACTGCTGCCGAGCTCGCTAGCCTTACAACAACCACTGTCAACACTTCATTGAACGCTGGTGCTGTGTATGGTGGTTCTCCAGTACTCAAAGGCTACTTCGCTGATCCTAACATCGCCGTGTTCAACAAGACTTACTACATCTACGCTACCACCGATGGCTTCCCTGGCTGGGGCGGTCAAGTGTTCTATGCCTGGAGCTCACCAAATCTGGTAAACTGGACTCGCAGCGAGCAACCTTTCCTCACGCTGAACGGCACCAACGGCAACGTGCCATGGGCAACTGGTAACGCTTGGGCTCCCACAATCATCGAGAGACGTGGGAAGTACTACTTCTACTTTAGCGGACAGAACCCTACTTACGACACAAAGACTATTGGTGTTGCCATCGCGGACTCCCCTACTGGTCCCTTCACTGCAGAACCCACCGCCATGATTCTTAACAACGAGCGCCTTACCACCGGCCAAGCCATTGACTCGGATGCGTTTCTAGATCCTGTGAGTGGCAAGTACTACCTCCTCTGGGGTAATGGCCAACCTCTCCTCGCTGAGTTGAATGACGACATGATTTCCATAGACTGGCCCACTGCACAGAACATTACAGGCCTGGAAGACTTCCGCGAGGGCCTGTTCATCAACTACCGCAAAGGTCTCTATCACATCACCTACTCCATTGACGATACGGGCTCGGAGAACTACCGCGTCGGCTACGCTACATCCACCTCGATAACCGGAAACTGGACTTATCATGGCGTGGTGCTGCAGAAGGATGTCAGTCAGGGAATCTTAGCCACTGGTCACAACTCGATCATCAATGTGCCTGGAACAGACGAGTGGTATATGGCTTACCACCGTTTTGCCATTCCTGATGGCGACGGCACGCACAGAGAGGTGACCATTGACAAGGTCACTTTTGACGAAGAGACCGGATTGATGAATGCTGTTATTCCCACGCTGAGTAGCGTGGCGGCTTTCCCTGTCCCTGGGAGATGAGGCGTTTGGTTTTTGACAGCATATAGCAGCCTGTAGCTGACCCATGAAGAGACCTGGTTCAACATACAAATTCACTTTTCTCAATGATTCTCACCATATCTGCTGCCTCGCATTCTAACATTGCACGTGGTTCCAAGCATGTAGATCGAATGCGGGGTGAAGAAAAGTACCAGGTACATAGGAGTAGGTTTTCACCTCCTCATGAGGGGAATTCGGGGGAGAGGTCTACAACATATCGTGCGGCTCCTTTGGACCGGACAATCTTTATAGTACAAGAAGGCGTCCAAGGTCCGACCTGGTGTCACCTCTGTGGTACAGTATCTCAAACTCGTGCAAACTACACCACACCATCAATCGTGACTTTATCAATATGTCCAGGACCACCGAATCCGCCTCAGCCCTCTGCACCCTCTCCACCTTCCTTTCCCAGATTTATGACTATATCATCGTCGGTGGCGGCACAGCGGGCCTCTGCGTGGCCGCCCGCCTAACAGAAAATCCAGACGTCTGCGTCGGCGTCCTTGAAGCCGGTGCCAATCGCATGGAAGACCCTCAAGTCTACACACCAAGTCTTTATCCTACACTTATCGGCAGAGAAAAATATGATTGGTGCTATGAGAGTATTCCGCAGGCGGGCGCTGGAGGGAAGAAAATGTCGCAGCCGAGAGGTAAGGTGTTGGGTGGTAGTAGTGCGATCAATTATTTGATGTATGTCAGGGGGAGCAAGGAGGATTATAGTGCTTGGTGAGTCTTGTGGATGGATGGATGAGATATGGTGGTGCGAAGCTAACTTTGTGTCTTGCAGGGAATCTTTGGGTAACAAGGGATGGGGCTGGGAAGGTAAGTGCATTCAACTCGTGAATTTGCAAAGTAGTGCTGATGTGGTCGCAGGAATTGCTCCTTACTTCAAGAAGAGCCAAACGTATGACCCGCCGAAGAAGGAGCACCCGAACAAGCAGTTCATGCCTATTGCCGCCAAGGACGAGTATCATGGTACTAATGGACCTATTCACACATCGTTCAACGATTACTGGGAGGTAGGGCCTCAATAATCATTGTCATAGCCCGATGCCTGACTTACGATGATTCTGCAAGCCGTTTGAAGAAGACTTCTGCAAGGCCGCATATGAAGTCGGTGGCTCGGAAAGCTCGCTCGTTGACGCGTGGTCCGGCGGTGGGTGATACGATCAACTCGCTTCTTCCGTATGCTGACTGCATATGTAAAGATCACTTCGGCTTCTACAGCTCTCTTGCAGCCGTCGACCGATCCAGCGACAAAGGCAGACGTAGTTATGCCGCAACTGGTTACCTGCGACCAAATTTATCTCGGCCAAATCTCAAGGTCTTGACCGAGGCATTAGCCACCAAAGTCATAATTCAAGGCAACACTGCAACCGGTGTCGAGTTCATGCATGACGGCAAGAGATACACCATCAACGCATCCAGAGAAGTCATTCTTTCTGGCGGAACTGTCAACAGTCCCCAGATCCTCGAGCTGAGTGGTATTGGCGATTCCGAAGTTCTGAAGGCAGCTGGAGTGGAATGTCTCGTTGAGAACAAACGCGTGGGTTGCAACTTCCAGGATCACGTACTCGGCGGAATGCTCTACGATCTAAAGGATGGCTTGAAGTCTCTCGACTCTCTCCACGACTCCGAGTACCAGAAGGCCATGGAGAAAGTATATCAAGAAACGGGTGAAGGACCTTATGGTAGCCCTGGTATGCTAATGGGATTCGTGTCGTACGCTTCACTGGTCAGAAAGGATGTATTGGAGGACACCATTGCCGAAATCCGGAAGAACTCACTTGCGGAGACAGACTTTGAGAAGCGTCAGGAAGAGACTATCATCTCGCAGCTCAGCGATCCGAAGTTCGCAAACATACAGACTTTCTGTTCGTCATTCCATCCTTTCCCTTCGTCGTCACTGACAGTCCATTACCTAGGTATCGGCGCTCAGCTAGACGTAAGCAAAGGTGAGAGCCAGATAGGCTTCTTCAGCGCACCTCCCAAAGGCAAAACCCGCGCCTCCCTACTCGTCTGCCTCGAACACCCACTTTCCCGCGGCAGCATCCACATAACATCCTCAGACCCAACACAACACCCCCGTATAGATCCAGGCTACCTCAGAAACGGCGCCGATGCCAAAATTCTCGCCGAAGGCATCAAATGGATGGACAAAGTTGCCAATCAACCCGTCCTCAAGTCATCCCTCGGCGATCGCATCCTTCCACCTCAAGGTGCAAGTATCGAGACTGAGGAAGAACGAATTGAGTATGTGAGAAATCATATCTCGACGCAGTACCATTTGATTGGCACTTGCACTATGGGCGAAGTCGTTGATGATAAGCTCAAGGTGAAGGGTGTTGAGGGTCTGCGTGTCATCGATGCATCGGTGTTCCCTACTCATGTGTCAGGAAACATCATGGCCACGGCTTATGCTGTGGGAGAGAAGGGTGCGGATTTGATCAAAGCAGATGATGGAAGATTCCTGATGAAAGTCGATTCCAAGGCTTGAGCATATCTTAGCATTGTTTAGGCGATCTCGTACCAGAAACCATTGGCTTGCTCAATGTTGCATGCGCTTTATGTCAATGACGATCTCGACGGTGCTTCATCCTTCCAGAGGGATTGAACGAGGTCTACCTCTCTGTCAAACCTCAATCCCAAACGGAAAGACACTCTCCCGCACAAGTTGCAGACGTAACGGCGGCAACCCAGCACCCCTATACTCCACGACCTCCAACATTCCGTCCCCTTCTGTTCTGAACCTCCCACAGACTAGACCGACCTCAAGATATCCAGTGGCCTCAATAACAATTTCCAATATCTTCGCATTCTCAAGTACAACACCCACAGCCACTGATTCCTCAAGCACAATGATAGCATCAGCATAATGACACAACTCTCCACTCCACTGTCCAGCTTCGCGTCTATTGGCGGATCGTAGTAGATGTAATGCTCGTCTCCTGGTTTGCGAATGACGGATCTTGAAGCAGATGGCGAGGAGAGTAGGGACGACTGCGTATTCGAGCGAGAAGCAAGACTCTTGCTTCTGAGGCAAGGGGGTGTACGGGTAGACTCCTTTGTTGCTCGAGTTTGGTCCGTGGTAAGTGCGATATGGTGAAAGAAATTCTTCTATTGAGTCGAGGACTGTAGCTGCTTGGTCGTTGAAACGATCTGTGTATTTCGCATGGGTATCTCTTGCAGTTTCAAGAATAAAAGATGAGTAGAAGAGCTGGATCTGTAGGTGGAGCAGTGCTCGACGATGAATGTGTCCTCGTGTTCTTTGCAATGCTGCAAGCTGCAGTGACCATATTTGGTGAGCATGCAAGAGCTGAGAATGTCGCTGGACCAGGGAGTGTCCGGGTGGCAAAGACAAAGAATGACTGACGCAATGTATAACACACTCCAGAATCGCTGGTCGTTGAGTCGAGATATTCAGAGTTGCGACGTGTTCCGCTGCCAACGTAAGCAATTCGGATCTCCAGTTCGAGGAGGCCGTGGAAAGATAGTCAAGTGCTTGCTTTGTATATTCCAGATCCGAAATTGATGGGCCTGTAAAGGGATGTGTGAGTTTTGCTGATGGTTCTTTCCTTTGTGATTCATCTTTCTCAAAGTCCAAGTCCTGCGCTCCTAGCCAGTCAAATGCAGCAAGAACGTCTTTCTCCGTCCCCTTTGACGAGAATCTTGAACTTCCTGCAGCGACTTCCCCAATAGCTCTCCTTCCGAACCTCAAATGCTGAACAGCAAGCGCATTTTCATCTTGATAAGTTTCATACGCCACAAATAACAAGCAGCAGAGCAAAACGGGTTCAATGGGCCTCTTTCCACAAGCAGCAAAATCAATGTACTTCTGCAGAGCTGCAGCTGCTTTACAATACTGCTTCAGATTTCGCTTTTCTTGGACTGGCGATGGTGGCGTGAAGTAGCAATGATGCTTTCTGGCGAGACGAGCGCTACCGACACTGCCGCAGGCTGCAATGGCGAAGTAGATGCAAGGTTCAGTGCTGGCGAGCTGCAATGATAGAGTAATCCATGCATAATTAGAGAAGATCAACTTCAGACCTGAGACGATATGATGATTAAAGTACTGAAAAGACATTTGATCCTCCGAGGTCGTACTGAAAGCCAAGTTTGATGGTGATCGTGCAATGGTGATGGGCAGCAGAGTCGTGGCTGCCGGAAGCAGCTTTCGGGGCAAAGTCTTGTTGCTGTTGGCGGTTGTGCTCGATACATAGCCATCGCAGGTACGTCCAGTAGAAACACAATTCTTGCAATCAGGTCTTGCCTCATCACATTTTACCCTCCGAATACTGCAAATAGCGGTTGGCGAGTGATACTCCAGTTCTGGGAATCCTGAAAAGTGGTCTACTTACCGACAGGTTCCACATGCATTCTTGCTATACTTGGCACCGGCTATTCGCCGCCGCTTAGCTTTGACTTCCATGGTTACACTCGATTGGCATGTTGTTCGAAGAGGAGCAAAGGTAGGTATTCTCGTGCAGTCGGACGGTCCCTGGTTGTCAGGGCACGGATGATATTGGAAGGATGCATACAGGGAATCCCCACACCTGCTGCAAGCTGATTGGCCGGCTCGATAAATCAACCAACCAGATGATTGGCATGTCAAGCCAAGTGTGTATCAAGAAATGCCCGTGTCAGAATCTTACAGTAGCAGCACAATGACACTCGCTCAGAGTCTTTGTGTTTCGTCTATTGGTCGGCTCGAAAAATCTGCGAATTATATATCCAGAGAAATCGTATGCAGCATGCCATGATGTAGATATGCAGGAGTGAGATTGAAGTATACAAATGTATATAAAGTGGTGTCGGCGACCAGAGATGCGAGCTTCTGGTGCCATATTTCGACCTCGATCAATCTTCCAGACACCAGCTTCGGGTTCAGATTAGGGGACACTAGCACGACTCTCTGACTCGACCCGCTTTGTCGTCTCCCGACCATGGCTCTAACCCCTGGTGCAACCATAGCCGTCGTCATATTCGGTTGCGCAGCTGTCTGTCTCTGTGGCTATGCCATCTGGGCCGTCATGTTCGCAGATAAAATCAACACCATCGACAAGACGAGACCCCAGGGCGAGCAAGCCCAGTACATGCGCGAGATAAGACTCAAGAACCTAGAGGCTTTTGCTCAGGACCTCAGCCTACAAGAGCAGCGTACACCACGCTGGTCTTACAGAAGAGTGAGGAAGTGTCCTTGATCTTGGCCTGTCTTCCACTGACTCAAGAGTACAGTAGATGTAACCTAGTGCTTGCTTGACGCCAGTGCACGCATCCTCGCGAAGCAAGCTTTGCCGAAGAGGACCAGCTGCTATATTCATTGGCTCATAGGGAACCGGGTGGGCATCCCAATGCTGGGAACGGATGCTGTGCGGACCTCTCACAGAATTGGAGTGTGTTGATTGACGAGAGCCAGTATGCGAGGAAGCAGATCCATGACGCGGAAGGGTTTCGTCTGCGTATGTTGTTAGCAGAACATCACGATATCAAGGACTTGTCACAACTTACCACGACCTCATCCATACCAGCCTCAATACACGAGGCAATCTGCTCGACACGAGCATTTGCTGTAATACCGATAATCGGCACATGTCGAACAATTTCCTTCATTTGCTCAAGCTCACGAATGCGTCGTGCACACGTCAATCCATCCATGATAGGCATCTCCACGTCCAGAAGGATAACAGACAGAGGGATCTGCTCCACTCCAGCGGACTTGTGGAACGTTGTCGACGACAGAATCTCAAGAGCATCCAGACCATGGTCAGCAACATGAACCTTCGCACAACCTGTCTTGCGAAGTTGCTGTGCGAGAATCTTCTGGTTGATTGCGTTGTCCTCCACAACTACTGGTTGTCAGCAATGCATCATCTTCATGGGCGATTGTACTCACCCAGAACGTGAAGGTCTGGTGCATGCGTTTTTTGCGCAATTCGACCGTCTACTACTCGCGGTAGATCGCCGTCTGACGTCTGAACTTGTTGTGCAGCCGGCAATTCAACAGGCGTCTCGATGCGAGCAGTCTCCACGTAGAATGCAAATGTCGATCCTTTGCCGAATTCGCTGTGTACGCCAATTTGGCCACCTTGCAGCTCCACAAGCTCACGAGAAATGAAGAGGCCAAGCCCGGAACCTAAATCTTGTTAGTCTGGTGTGGCGCTTCGTCTCAATGACTATATCTGTACGAACCGCCATATTGTTTGTAAGTCTTAGGCGAAGCCTGACTGAACCGGTGGAAAAGATGACCCATCTCAGTGGGCGTCAATCCGCAGCCAGTGTCTCGGACACTGAATATCAAGAAAACATCCTCGCCAATAGGGTCGTCGGTTATCGACATGCGTCGTGCTACCTTGACGGGTTTGTCTCCGCGAGGCTCCACAAGCATGACTCGACAGTCTTCAGCAGTTGGCTTCGTTCGCGATGCAGCTAAACTGATTACGATATTTCGGTTGCTTGAATTCTTGGTAAACTTGATAGCATCTGTAGGATACTGTCAATATACATTCCTTTCTCCCAATTGCAGTCAAAACCTACTGGTCATTAGATTGAGGATGACCTGCGAGAGCCTAAAGAGAAGAGCAGAATCAGCATCCTATGATCTTGAGATTCGCAAACTCGATGCAATTTACCTTCCTGGGTCAAGCAGAACATTATCAATTGCGAGATCAAGGTAGCTCTTCTGTATCTCCACTGAGCCTTGGATCCGATCGTAATCAAGTTCTGCCTTGACCATCTTCAGAACCGACTGCACTGTCTCTAATGGTCGTATCTTCTCAGGTGAAAGAACCAGAAGCTTAGAATCCAGACGACTGAATGTGAGCACTTCTTCGGCAATTTGTTTCATGTGCTTTGCGCAAAGCTGAATGTTAGCTGCAGTATCCAAGAGCGTATGTCGTAGATCAGGTGTCAGAACACTGGCTTGATCACCATCCGGAATGGGAGGTAGTGAGGTAAGAATACCATCGGCGAGTAGCAGGATTGCTCCAAGCGGGTTTCGCATCTCGTGTGATATCCTATGCACCGTTAGCGAATTTTCATCGACCTCATCATCATGGGTGTCATACATGTCAATGAAGATTTCCGATCTTCTCTTGGTCTCTAGAGCGTCTTGCAGTTTTTGTTCGGCAAGTTGCTTTCTGCTTGAGATGTCTCTGAGCCAAACATACAGGTACTCCAGGTTGCCCTCTTTATCATGACGTTGCTGAGCGCTTATTTCAAGCCAGCGAACATCCTGTTCTGAACAGGCTGCTTTGACTCGGAACTCAGCACTTACAGCTGTTCCTTTCTCGATAGCAGAGCTCCAGATTTGACTGACAGCTTCAAAGTCTTCCTCGTGAACAGCGTCTCGCCAGGCTAGCCCGACTTCAGCGGCTTTGTAGAATTCGACTTTGCTCATGCCGAGAAGTTCGAGACATACGTCATTGACGTACACGCAATGGCCGTCTTCTCTATGCATGCACATACCAATAGGTGCATCACGCAACATTCTGCTGAAGTTTTGTTCGCTCTCCTCAGCCTTCAAGGTCATGGTTTCCAATTGTTGAGCGAGAGCTCGTGAGACATCGCGAGATTCGCGATGCTCCGAGGGCAGCGAGTAGAGCGCCGCAGACTTGAAAAGCATGTCGCGAATGGATTCGGCGAACTGACGAATACTAGGACTCAAAGCTCTTCTTGGGTCGAGACCTAGCACCACAATAGCACGAACATGGACACCGTCAAGACCGATGATGGGCAAAACGTAAGCTGTGTCGACAGAGCCAACATCGGGCACGGGTACGGCCAGCGGCAGTGGTAGTGTGTTCTTGCTTCGCTGCAGACTGAAGACCTGACCGTTTGCACTTTCCACGGCTGCAATGATGCCACGCGGGGAATATTGCTCAGGGCTGTCGACGTTGCAAGAAGCCTCCAACTCAAATGTCTCGGGACACTGGTTTCCTGTCGTGGTGTAGACGATTGCATATGAAAGATCTCGGGAGTTGTGGTTGACGGTTTCCACGAATGTTTGCCAAAGCTGGTGCAGATCAGAGACTTTTGAGAAGGACTCCAGCAGAGATTTTGATATTTCCTGGCGATTTCTCTGCAGCACCTTCTCAGTGATCTCATTGAATTCTGTAATAACACCTAGATAGCGTCCATCAGGTGAAGGAATAGGGAGAAAGACAACGTCGAAGAATAAGCTCTCGGGGAAACCATGTCTCGCCAATATCAACTCATGGTTCCTCTGACATATCGGCTTTCCTTTTTTGATACCTGACCTAATCATCTTGGACAGGTCGGCACAGACGGCTTCTCCCCAGACTTGTTCTAGGGGTACGCCAAGAGAGCCAGGGAATGTGTCGCCATAGACAAAACGGGCATGCTCGTTGTAGAGGTTGAGCATGTCGTTTCCCCACAGCAAGACGCGAGGCTCTTCAGAAGAGAGTATGGTAGAAAACATCTGTCTCATCATAGGATCCCAAGACTGAATGGGACCAACAGTGGTATTGGCCCAGTCGAGGCTGTGTAGAGAGTCGAACCAGGCATCTGGAAGTGGTTTTGAAGACAGAAGCCAGTCAACTGTCAACTGCTCGAAAGGCGTGTCAAGATCGAGGGACGATGCGTTTGAGTAATCTGTCGAGCTCGAAATAGTCGAGCCTGTGTCGGACTCTTGACGTTTCAGAGAATTTGCATCTGGAGCAGACGCTCGACCGAAGCCTTGTTGTGGTACTGCAGGTGAAGGACGATTGTGGACTGGCCCGTGGCAAGTGACAGTAACCCATGATGTACCAATTCTCTTTCTTGACCAGACTCTATCGTCAAACGTGGCGAGCGTCTCGGTGGTGCGTGGTGCTGGTCTGGCACCAAGACAAGCTGCGTCAAGTAGCGAGACCAGCCATGAGGGAAAAGAAGAGCTCGGAGGTACGGTAGCTATCAAGGCATCGAAAGCATTGTTGCGGTACACGATATTGGTTGTCGCATGATCGAGGATGAAAGTGGGTCGGTCGTCGTCTGCGACAAAGTCGACGAGGCTATCGAGCTCGATTGGGAGAGGTGCTGAGGCAACAGGGAGAGGAAGCATGCCTACAAATCACCATGAGCCCTACTCTACTACCCTCGGGTTCTTTCCACGTCGTCGCAACATGACTGCATCTGCCATCGCCGGCCGAGTTACGCGGCTAAGGGATCCTCAGCTCGGGATCGCCAAGGCTGTTTTTTTTTCTTTTTTTTTTCTGCTTCTTTATTGCGTCACGGGCTTGAGTCCATCAGTGTTTTGGAAGGGACCTCTTTGGTCTCAAGCATAAAGGCTTCTATTTCGCATGTGAATTAGTCTTGGGTATAATAACGCCTGATGTGAATGCCAGATCTTAATCAAACAAGACCAACCACATTGACCCTCCAACAAGGAACACCACAATCGCAACAGTCAATATCGCGGCCCCTGCTCTATCACCAGTAGTGATCGTCCTCGTAGCAATCGTCGGCTCAAATTTCGCACCAGTACTGCCTGTTCCGGCACTAGGATCGCTTGTACTATTACCACCCGTAGAGCTCGTCAATGGAGGACTGTATTCCGCCTCTTGGTTGACATCGAGCATCAACGATTGGATGACGGCCAACGCAGACATTTCTTGACCAACTCCGTACGTTCCGTCCCACACTGTCGTGTTCCATTCCTGTCCGCAAATATATCCGGTGTCACCGCCATCGCATTGGCCAGCTGCTCCTTGTGCCGAAGCTTGGAGATATGGGTATATCGTGTCCTTCAAAGAGGGAATGAGCTGAGTGGTGACTGCCAGCGAACGAGCCAGATATGACTTGAAGGACAATTGATCAGTGTCGCAGTTTCCGAGCGGTTGACAAGTTATCTCGACCATGATCTTGTCGCCCATAGAGGTTGGAAAGAAGGTCGTGAATGTGGTGTTCACTAAACCTTCGACAATGTCCAGCCAGCTTGCATCAGATGTCTGTCTATTGTGTTAGCGAAGGGGTCTCGATGAAGCTCTTGATGAGCTTACGTGATTGTACATATATGCAGCGCCACTTATTGCCGCTGCATAATTGTACGTCCATTGGAAGTGATCCACAGATGTACAATTACTGTCTGTTGTTGTACCATCGAAAATCTCATAGGTTTCTGCGTCCCAGAGCGAAGCTTGCGAGTACCAGTCCCAGGTCTTCTCGGCCCAACTCACGTAGGTCGAGTTATCGGTATACCTGGCAAGACGTGCGGCCAACTGGAAAAGACCAAGATTCGAAATCGAGTTTTTGTAATCGTAGCCTGCGTTGAACGTGTAGATTTGCCATCGCAAGCCACCTCCACAGGTACCGGTATCCCAACGCGCAGCCATCTCGTTGAAGACTGCTTGAGCCAAAGAAAGCCAAGAAGGCGCATCTGCGCTCGTCGATTCAGGAAAGTTGAGCTCGGCAGCGTCCATGGCTGTGAACGCCCAGAACACCTGATCATCATTGCCTTCGTCTTTTGTCTGATTTGCTGGGAGGAAGTCGTTACCTGTACCGACTTGGAATAGTATGGCCTCGGAGACGATGTCGTTGTAATAGGTATCTCCAGTGTAGTACCAGTAGTTGATCATATGGCCAAACATGCCTCCAGCTTCCCACCAGTAGTAAGGGCCTGGTAATATACCTGGGGTCCCACCCGTATCGTTGCCTTTATACCATGCCATCAAGCCATTGGCGATGGTTTTGGAGGCGTTTCGTACCGAATCTTTGGCGATGGTTAGACCCTGGGCTGCACCTTGGAGGACTTCAACGATCATTCGTACCTGCATCTGTAACGTCAAGTGAAACAGCATTGGTGAGATTTGCGAAAAGAATGGTATAGGTGCAGAACCGCACATATCTCGAAAACGCCCTTAACGCCATTGATGCTGTATTGGGAGGTCGAGATTGGGGGATCTGATGCGAGCCACCAAGATATGGGGAAAGGCGAGATTAGCATACTACAGGCAGTGCTAAGCATTGTCAAGCATTTGGCTATTTCTTGTTTAGTACCGTTGAGACAATGACGACGGGTGGCAGGAGGCTGCCGGGTATCCGATCAGATAGGCTTACGACGACAACAATAGCCCGTCTATTTTCACAAAGGTACGCGGCTGGTGTGCAAACAAACACCCCTGGCGATCCACGCATTCTTACCAACACCAATCACATGTCGAGGTTTGTAAAAGAGAGAAGATCCGCTGTATCGATATGGTCATCGTGCGAGCGGTAGTACAATAGATGGCAGAATATTTTACCTCAAGTTCAAATATTGAGGTTTGACTTTGAAGTTTGGGAAAGCAGATGATACGAGTCCGACGATATGGCCAGCCATGACGCAGGTGCCGTTTACAGGGTGCTCCCTTGTGTGTAGCCGCCTCCAAGGACCGGTATGTGTTGTCCTGGAGTGCTCCACGGGGTTGTCGAGTGTGTCGTCACCCTGGGGCGGTATTTGAATTTTGAGTCCGCCGGCAGTCTCGGCCCGCGTTGCTACGGGAAGGACATCATCACTTTCAAGAATCGATCGTGAGCATCTTGCAAAGTCAATGACACTTCGTAAGAAAACAAATGGAGTTGTGATGACACCGTGTTGGTCCAAAGTCAGACCTGGTTGTTGTGGCTCTCAGAGCAAGAACGCAGCGTGAATTTTGGCGACTTCTTCAACAGGCGCGGGAATAAGCAAAGCCGGATATAAAGACCTGCCACCATATCTCGCAACGGCGGGAAACCTCTCACCATTCACCAGAATGTGGTCCACGATGCATCCATCGGTCTCCTCGACGCTTGCTGTGCCGCAATGTGGGTAAGCGCCAGCTTTGCAATCATTGCATGTTATACAGGACTATAACGAACACGGAGAAGGCAGTGCTTTAGGATCATGCTCTGACACCACTAAACCCGACATGCAGCGGGAAAAATTGCCTGTCATCGTGCGACTGCCCATATGCCGAAAACTGCTGTGTTGTTTCGTACAGCCAGTGCCCTCTTCTTGTTTGCAACTTATCAATTTTGTAACTTGGCACTTCATCAGAACAGAGCATCTGGTATCTCGCTTCCAAAATACTCAATCCCAGCATGTAAGATTTGGCCAGGTTGACGCACAGCTGTTCCAAACAGCATCTCTGCCGGACAGTGGGGTCTAGGGTCCATCCGTACGCCAAGTTCTACGTCGACCCGCAAGGCCCTAAAGCACCCGTCAAAAAGAACGATATCTGGGGCATGGATGGAGAAGCTGGGTTGATAACATTGTCCCCGCTCATCGATCCCATCATATCTCAGAAGCAACAAAAATTCATTGCTTGGGTGGTCAGCGAGTCGACACTTGAGACGTGTTCCCTGTTGCACGGATTGAAAGCGGTCTACATCCCTCACCTAGTGGCCTTCAATCTGGAGTTCCACGCTGAGACACCAGAAGATCAAGGAAAAGAATTGGACAACATGGCAAACAAAGGTCTAGCATGGAACCCTGCTGGTGGCGAGCATGCCGGACTGCTGTGGTGTTCGGATATCGGGCTGCCAGAACACCAGTGGCTGAGTGCGAGTTACTTCTACTGGGCGGGTGATGCACCAAGGCTGTGGTGGGAATATACTAATGGGAGCTGTACTCACCATCTGGTGCTGCATCCTATCAAATCAGACTAACAGAGGTCAAAGCCGTGAGTAATCAGATAGTTCATAGAGTTCAGTACTTGAGAATCAACTGTATAGACTCACTTCACCATTTCTTACAGAGTGGCTATATAAAGTCGCGACATTCTGACTGTTTTGAAGGAGGTCCAATCGTCGAGAAATGGCTTTCATGAACTATAATTACGTATACAGAAGAGAAACTGAACAAGGTAATATTCCAGATCTGATATTCAAGAGTGATGTAGACGGACTCATACGACAGCTGCTCTCAGCCACAATGACCTCGGTCTCAGTGATTAGCGGGCAGCTCATACATTCTACCAGTAGAAGAAAGCTCATGCGTTCCACCAGTGGTAGAAAGCTCGTATATTGTCTGCATCCCTCCTTCCGACTTCCCTGAGAAGTTTGTCCGTTGAGAAGTCGATCTATAGTCGAACGGAAATGCTGATTTGGTGCTGTCCATGTGTTGAGGATAGACATCAAAACTTTGAGGAGGCTGATTGAGCCATTTCCTGTCTGCTTTTGCTTTGCGATGACGGTAGAACCAGAAGGCAAGGGAAGCGAGGAGTATACACACTCCGATGCTTGCACCGACTGCGGTGCCGATTTGGGAAGTTTGGGAGAGACCGGTGGACGATGTTTGATGGGTCGAAGTTGCTGAAGGCATTGCGATGGACGAGGATGGAAGATTCGATGAGGTCGAAGTGCCATCTGACTTGGTCGGATTCGTTGCGTCTGATGATGCTGTCTGAGTCGGTTGCGAAGAGTTTGGAACGCTGTTGATAGTGCTCGATAAATTCAAGCTACTCGATGATGTGGTAGAAGTGGTAGGACTCGATGAAGGATTTATTGTAGTGGGCGATGTTGAGGCAGTTGTCGAACTGGCAGCAGCGTCTCTTTCGTCGAAAGTTGTCTGGAACGCAATGACGGGTGGAGCAGTCGTTGCTTGACAGCTGTAATAATAGTAAGATTGAGTGGATCCAGGACCATATGTCTGGCCATAGAGAACAAGAGTCGAGCAGTACGGAATTAACGAGCCACTGAACAGCAACACAACGTCAGACATGACACAAGTTGATCTTTGCTTTGGATATGATACTCACCACATGAACTTCTGGTTGCCGAGTCCAACACCAGCATAAGTGTTGATGTTTCCTTTTGCTCCATAGTCCAGACATGTCGAAACATAATCACAGCCCTGACCATCGGTGCAGCAGCCGAAGTTCGGAGCATTCGGGACCGCATAGTATGTGCAAGATGCCTGTGGACCGCAGGTCACAGCAGAAGACCACGCACCACTCGTGTAGCCACAGGTCTGATCGTTTGTCAAGACTTCCGAGGAATCATCTCGCCGTACTGCGTGGACGAGAGTGGTGTGCGCGATAGCCGGCAGTGACAGTGAAGGGGATGGGAACAGGGTAAATTGAGCCTCAGAAGCAGTCAACGCAGGAGTGAACATGGCTGAACGGCTTGAGGAAGCAGAGTCTCGAAGGAAAACGATACGCTGACCATGGCAGAGACTGGTATCAGAAACATGTAGTGGTTCTTGTACGAACCTTGATCCTCTCCCAACCATCAATCTCATACTGGCCTTACATGAGTTCTGGAACATGTCATGGAAGATGGCCAATCTTGTGGTGCGTTAAGCGCCCAGCGACATGTTATAGCAATACGAGAAGCAATGCATTCTGCATGTCGCGGCTTTTTTCCCGTGTGATTATGCATCCAGGAATATGCGATGCAGGCGCGTCTTTCTGTCTGATACAATCAGGCATCCAGGAGTATGCGATGTGAACATGTCTATGCCGAGCGATCGGCACATCTGCATGTAGCATGCAGATGCTGTTGGTGTGATCAAGAATTTCTTGCTTGAGAAGAAGGATAGTTAATGTATGCAAGCGCGCGCCAAAATGAACTGACTCGCCACGGGTTTCGAACCAAATTGTCGGGTCAATACCTGCCAAAAATGGCACCCGGAATGTCCAAAACACGTCAAAGCGACGGCAGAGATATTGATCGGGTTTCGTCCTCTCGCAGTAGTGTTTTGGCTTGCGTCTTGAATTACACTCCAACTCCAGCCATCTTTGACTCCCCGCCATCTTCAATCAAACCTTTACTGCTGCCATACTTGAGCATCCCTCGCCCATATCTCCGGAAGCAGAATGGCCTTTTCTCAGTCATACGTGCTTGCCCTAGTGGCCTATGAATATGTCTGGACTGTCGACGACATTTCAAAACAAACGTCAACATACACCACAACCTACTCTACTTGGCCTGGATCGCACACGGCATATGTCCTTGTGGTCAACACTGCTATACCCTCGCCATCGCAGATCGAGACTGTCGGTATACCATACACGGCTGTTCCTGGAGAAACTTCGACGCAATACGTGTTAGCGACAGTGGCTACTCACAGTCCCATGACGCTTGTCTCGAAGACCATTCCTGCTCTCATGACACCGACCACAGGTTCATCTGTTCGGACATCGCCCGAGGCACCAAGTCAGGAAGAAGGTGCAACCTCATCGCACAAGCCTTATTTCAGACATGTCCAGATCGTTCTTATATGCCTGTTCTGTGGTGGCTATCTCTGGTCCCGCTGCCTGAGACATCTTCACAGCCGCAGGCTTCAAGAGCGGCGAAGCGCAGTCCTGAATTACGAAGCATCGGCGATCAAGGAAGCGGCCTGATTGTAGGATCCCAAGTCGCGAGCTAGATAAGGCTCGTCATGCTTTGCTTACGCCACGAGCGGCTGTACTGAACACGAGAAGCTCGAGAGTTGATGGAGGAAGATCAAAGACACCGAAGATGTGAATTCTGCGAACACTTCGCGAGTAGAGATACAAAGTCTGGTGGTGGTTTGTTGCTTCGAGGTTGGCAGTATTTGAAGATGGCGCAAAGTTGGAGGGGTAAGCAAGGTTTGCTGGATACCAAGACCTTTGGCACGCTAATATCACGCACCGAGCCATTTGTCCACGTTCTGTCTCGTCCACTAACTATCAAATCTAACCACACTCCGACCTCTTTGGTCAAGCACATCAAGGCATTGCCATTGTGATGATACACCGATACCCTGGTCAACAAACGAGGGTGCTGACGTACAAACGTGATGAATGCCGTTGAGCCTGGCCACCTCTCATCCCCTGCGCGCGTGTCCTGCTGACCGCACGGCCCTTGTCTCTCCAAGCTCCTTCCGCGAGGGACCCCTGATCACTTTCTTCATAAACACAGCATGCCGCTGCAGCTTTCCCAGTCTTCAGGTCTCGTTCAGCCGTGCGCAGTGTCACCAAAGCCAAATTAATCCTCCGACTCCCACCAAGGCTGCATATCCCATGAAAATCGCGAAAACGGGCAAAGGTCGGTATCTCAGCTGAGGCAAGCTTTTGGGGCTGAGGCATACTGTATATATGCATGACTGCGGTAAGCCACAGAAGATAGCTAAGAAAGCGGTTTCGCATGTGCTGATCCTTTTGAATCGGTCTGAAGATATAAACGCCCTGCCTGGTCTTGTTTCCCTCCTCTTTGTTTGTCTTCGTTTTGTACATACTCAATTGTCATCATTGCAATAACACCCTTCCTTCCAACTGTGCACACTTCTCCATCGAATCATCCTGTCACACGAAGACCGCCATCGGTTCGCATCCTCACAATGCGACCTGCTTCGGAACCTCAGAGACTACTAGTCTTCTGCGACGGAACATGGTGTGGTCCAGAAACTGATACCCGGACCAACATTCAGATACTCGCCGAGATGACAGGTATCGACATGAAGAACGCCAAAGGATCAAGAGAACTCGAAGATCCATCACGAAAACTTCGAGCAAAGTACTTTAACGGTATTGGCCTTGGAAGCACCTTTTTCGCCTACCTCTTCAATGGTGCTACCGCGAACGACATAGGAGAAACCTGCGTGGAAATCTACCAATACATCGCACAATACTACCGCGAAGGAACAGAAGTTTGGGTGTTCGGTCTGAGCAGAGGCGCATACACAGTACGCTGTGTAGTAGGCATGATCAACAACTGCGGCATCGTCAAGAACCCCTCTCGTGATCTTTGTGATCAAGTCTACCGCATCTACTCATCACCATACGACGCGGATAAGCCATCATCGCCCCAGAGCAAAGAGTTTAGAAAAAGAGCAAGCTGGGACGTCGCAACACCAGTCAAGTTCATGGGTCTTCTGGATACTGTCGGTAGCATCGGCATTCCCTCCCTGGACGCTGGCAACGGACCTTCCTACCCCACTCTTTGGGATCAAGTCGTCTCAAGCAGCGTTGATCAAGTCTACCATGCTTGCTGTATCCATGATCGTCTGTCGCTGTTCCAACCATGTCTCACCAAACGCGACCGCGATAATGGCAAGTCAGCACCTCATATTCACGAAACGTGGTTTCCGGGCTGTCACTACGATGTCGGTCGCCAACGCTTCAAGTTTCTGCGTCGTAGAGCAGTCGATGCTCTCGAGCGTCTCATCGTTCTGATACCAAATCTGCTTTCTGGCACTCTGGAACCCAACAATGTCTTGTCTGACGTCGTGTTGAGGTGGATGCTCGAAGGAATCAATCGCGAGATGCCCACTCAAACCGCCATTCCAGACATCAGCACAAAGATTACAAAACTCGAATCACAGATCAAGTCTGGCAATGACAGTATCGGTTCTGGTGACGTCTACTCACCTCAAAAGTCACTTCTGTACGCTCCATTTGGCAGAATCATCTCGTTCTTGCCTCAACCAAAAGCCATCTACGACGCCATATCCGTCCTCATGGCTGTTCGTGACCGACGAATTCCAGACGAAGGTGCGCATGTGTTCCCATACAAAGACAGCTTTGAAGGTGGAAAGAAGAGCATCGAGGAGTTGGGCAAGGTGGCCAAGGAACGATATCCTAGCCGTACCTATGAGAGTTGGCAGGCTTGGAGTGCGTATTTCCCACAAAAGGACGATCCTGTGTTCAGAAATGGTGATGTTCAGGTGCATGGCAAGACTGCTAGAGTTGACGAGGAGCAAGTCGGTGGTAGTGAACAGTGACGGAAGAGTGGAAGGCAGATTGATAGGTATGGCTGTATTTTTTTCAAGATTATTACATCTTGTAGGTAATCATCTCATGACTGTGTATAGATATTTCTTAGTCATCCACCTACTTTATCAAGATGAACCTTATTAGATTGAGGTTCATGTAAATCTCTTGTTTGACGCGTACGGTAAAACCAATGATAAGACTGAAACATTCTCCTTATACAGAGTAATCTATGCAAGATCCTGTTGGCAGCGGATTGATGTATCGTGTGAGGATTTCTGGGTGGTGACTGCGACACATTATCACTTCCTTCCTATTCCAGTTGTATCAATGTGTTTGCTGGATTGCCATGCACAATCGATTCGATAAAAGCAATATCATAACCGTCATCTAGCAATAGCAACATCTCGTTCCTATCACATCAGACTTTGCCACCCAAGCTCCTGTAACCCCCTAATCATCTCATCAACCCCAAGCCTCTGCACCTCTTGCTCTTCTTCTTTTTCCGCCTCCTCGTCTACATCGCTGTCAAGGTCCTCAACAACATTCTGCACCACATATCCACCCAGAATCATATTGTAGCTACGTCGAAACATTTCAATCGCAGCCACGACCCGCATACTCTCCACTTGGAAGCTCGCGAGATCTGTGTTCCAGTTCTTTTGTGGTGCTCTTGCAAGTGAGTCGGAGAGATTGCGCGTGGCAAAGTTCAGTGTGTCTTGCCATGAGCAGTGCACGCTATCGTAAATCTGACCATCAAGCGAGATTGAGATATTCATGTCAGCTGCATCAGGAGCCGTGTCCATGATGCGACGGCTCAACTTGTCACCCAAAGCCATGATACGGTGGAGTAAATTCATCGCGTCGTTAGCCGCGCCTCTTGCCCGGTGGACGTATTCGACAAACGTAAGACTTTGTTCGGCCACATCAAAGATTGCTGCGAGGACTCGTAAACATCCCATGTCTCGCGTCATCATCTGAGGTTGCACAGAGAGGGCGAAGTCTTGTGTCACAGCAAGGACGCAGGTAATAGTATCGACGTCGGTCTTCGTGCTTTCTTCGTCGGCCAGATCGAGATCGTATATCATGGCATGTATGACCATGGCACTAGCCTCGATGAGCGGCGCAGCCAGGATACATCCTTGGTGGAAGGTACTCGAACATTGGATGTAGGCCGGTAGCAAAGCCGTGAGTATCACATTTCTGAGTTCTCGTGACGCTCCTCCAATGAGAGTCTCATACATCTGCTTGATGAGATACGGTTGCTGGTTCTCTGAAGCAGCGCGCTCACTGACTGTTTGCAGAAACACAGCAAGCTGCTTGCGAGCTCGACTATCTCCCAGCTTCGAATCATAACTTTTGAGCTTCGCTTTGACATATGTTGGATCGTCCACTGGTAGAGGGAAAGCGGCAGAGTCCACAAAGAATGGATCAATGGGACAGATGTCGGATGTGTGTTGCTGCATGAGCGAAATTATTGACTGGACAAACTCGACGTAGGCCCCTTTAACGTTCTCGTAAGACGACCCGCCGAGCTGGCCAGACAAGTTCTGTAGCTGTTCGTAAGTGCCACGCATGTGTTGCATAGCAGCCTTGAGCATGTCGACATATTCTCTTTTGCTTCCCGCCGTTGATGAAGAGTCAATTGAGTTCAGTGAGGTATGCATGTTTGCCAGCACGCTACCGATGAGGCTGATTCTTCTCTGACGAAGGTCGGCCAAGGTGATTCGGTACTCGCCAGTCTCCCGGCCTGCAGCAAAGGGCAGATTGTGCAGCAACGGTTCAGAAGTCGCTCTCTCCAGAAGGTTTGCTGTGATGCGGTGCTGGAATTTGAGCATCGACTCTCTCTCAAATAACGACACAAACCATGCCTTGATGAACAGAGCTCGATGATTGGTAAGACTTGCCTTGTCGCTCTTGATGACAGAGGCCAAGAAGTAGCAGGTGTACTTGTGCCTCTGCTCTGTGGTACGAAGCTGGAACCATGAGGTCGAGCTGTAGACGTCCAAGAAGCTTGACCAGTCGTGAGTATCCTCGTTGACGAACTGTTGGGCAGTAGCGGTCCAGACACCAACGAGCTTCTTGAGCAAAGCATCATCAGGACTTTTCTCAGAGCCGAAGCATGTTGATAGAAGAGAAGTAAGAGGTTCTTGCAGGAACGCCACCTCCGATGTCTTTGGCTCCGAGTCGACAGGCTCATCCTCAACGACTTGATCCATGAAGGACCAATCACCATAGTCCTGACTGTCATCACTGCCCGGTTGGCTCTCTTGCTGCTTGGGGACGCGAAGCCTGTTCTTGACGACAAGCAGCTCATTGACAATGTCTAGTGCTTCAATGATTGCAATAGAAAGTCTGGGCTGATCCAAATCGAACAATTTCAGCACTTCGATGACATTTGACTGCTCGACAAGATCACGGACGGTAGACCAAGCTTTGGCAATCTTGACAGCATTCTGCATTGCCAAAAGCAGATCTTGCAGAATCGCAAATATGCTTCGCTGGTTGGCCGTGATAGTCATCTCAAGCATCTCGGGCGATATGTCAGTCGAGCCCGCAGTTTTTGCAGCAGCATATTGTGCTTCTGCCTCAGATCTAGCAAGACGATACTGAGATATGGTAGTCGTAATCATATCCCTATACCATGAAGCCAGGGTATCCAGATCGTTGAATTGCTCGACTTGAGAGAGCTGGTATCGAACGAGTATACCCCAGGCGTGGACGCTAAGGCGACAAGCTTCTCGGTGCGAAGTATCATGGTCTACCAAGTCTCTTATCATTTGTAGTCGAGGTCCACAACCCTGAGGCATGACCCAGTAGAGCGTACATAGCAAGTCGTGATGGTTGCGTAGTGCATTGAGTGCGACGTGAGTGACTTCTTGTTCTTTGTGGTACGTGCGGCCATGGTTAGGAATGAATCTCCATGCAAATCCTCTGACCTTGTTCTCGGGCAGCAACTCTTGCAAACCTCGTAAGCCTACCACAAGCGACTTGAGGAAGATGTGAAAGGCGCAATCAGACGCTTCAAGGTCAATACTCGGGTCCTTGTCAAGATCTTCCAGAAAGCGTGGCGAGCCTTTACCCTCTTCTTTGGGGAGCTGCGAGAGATTGTTACCAGCAAAGAAGTCGTATATCGTGCCCAGTGCAGTCTCACATCTTCGCCAGCCCCAGCGTACGATCAAATGATAGACACGAGTCAGGCAGGCTCGTACATATTCGTTCAGCGTAGGGTTGCGTGCTTTGCTGGTAGCTGGGTACAGCGCGAACATTCGCTGCAACAGCATCTTCACCAGATTCCAGTTGTCATTGGCTGCTTGGAATCTGCTTCTTGGTCGAAATATACCTTGTGCGTCAATCTCGAGGAGAGGTTGAACAGAGAAGAGGTCATACCATATCTGATCAAGAGAATGTATGTTACAGGATTTTGCTATTGCATGCCCCAAATGTGTGGTGAGGATATCAGCGAGCTTGTTGGATGCATCGATGGTTCTGAGCACGTGATTGACAATCACAATGCTTTTGATCGCAATGTCTTGCTCCTGGATACCAGAATCACGTTTGGCGTGTTCTCGATGTGTCTCTAAGAACTCACGGATCGTGGTGAGCCTCGAGGGTAGCGCTGCAGCGATGACCTTCGAACTCAGGCGAACACACTTCTGCATAAAAAGTGTCTGTTGTCTGAGCACAGCAGCAGGGTGTCGTGAGACGACCACAGACTGGGCAGTGATGCAGAGCAGGTACAACAAAGTGTCAACTACAAGCCTGTCGACATGAGCCCGTATATGCGAGTGAGACTTGAGACGGACAATCTCAGCCTCGACCATTTCTTCAAACTCATCAACAAATCGAGAAAGGCGGTCCAAGCTCGAAGATCGATCAATGGGGTCCAGGAAGTGGATACAGCCTGAGAGGTACCTGACGATCGACCGTAAGAAATAGTCGAAACGTGCAATGGTATCTTCAATGGCTGTTTGTCGCATCTCCTCACCCTCGAATTCGCCAACACCATGTAATTCGTTTGCGGAGGCTGACAAGATGGTGCCCAGACCAGCAGAGACTTCTTCGTCCCAGGCACTCCAATGTAACAAACGACCAGTGACCTCAACAGTAATGCGACCAGCAGGCATGTCAAGGTCCCGGTTGCGTAGTGTCAAGCAGTCGCTGAAGTCTCCACTACCCACAAATGTGCTAGTAGCCAGATAGGTACCAACTTCCAGCGGTCTAACATCGAAGTCTGTAGGATATCGAGTACCAAAAGCCCCTAAGCCTGTGAGAGTTTCATGCTCAGGGGTGTCATGCAAATTCGCAGGTTCTGGGCCTTCAGCCGATATAGAAGGTACATTAACAGGTAACGGCTCATTTGGCTGACGAAACTTCGCAGTCTCAACATCGAAGCGTCGAGCAAGTCTTTTGCGAGGCCGTGAAGGCAAAGCGACTTTCTCAGTGCCTGTCATATCGGTGTCATGACCTGGCATCTGATCCGGCACAGCAGCCTCAGCTCGGTCATCCCTGTCATTGAGAAAGCGCTCGAGCCGGAATTTGGAAGCCGGCTGATCAGGTCTGTCTCGAGCAAAGATCTCCATCAGCCGAGACGGAGCTGCAGCGAACGTGGGCGGTTCTAGAACACGATTTGTAACTCGTGCTGCGGTCTCCAATTGAGCGGGCCGCATACGATGATTCCGTTCGAGGATATTCCGTTGGTTTGCTCGAAGTATACCTGGCGCAGTACGCTTCCGTGCATTGTTGCTTCCCTCTCGCAGCTGCTGAGAACGTGTTGGTCTCGCGCCGACGAAAGGTCGTGGTTGTCCGGGTCTGCGGTGTATGGGGGCACCCCTGTCTGCAGATTCTTCCTGCCGGTCGTCTGGTCGGACTGGTTCCGATGCATTGGTGTCATTGCCAACCGCACGGGAATGCTGCGCCGGAGGCTTCCAGCTGCGACTCAGATTGCCTGCTTGCCAGGACATCAATGGCTCGAGGGCATCTTGTGTATCTTCCCTGGTCGCAAGACGAACATCTTTGTTGGTTGGGCTATGTCTGCCATGATCAGGTCTATTCCGTGCTTGACGCGCGGCAAGACGAACGAATTGAGGTTTAGATATTTCTCGTGGCGATTTCGGCTCGTTAGAGGTTGTGACATCCAAGATACTCAGCTTTATCGGCTTCGGCATCCTAGTAGCTGCTTTCGTAATTGTCCTTGGATTGGAATACGACGCGGATGTTCGAGCTGTAGTGTCACCAGTGACCTTTCGTTTTTGACCAGTATGGGCTGCATGCGACGAAGACTTGGTGCGTGTGAATGTGCTTGGAAGCTTAGACTGTCTCTTGTTGCCAGGTAACCTGAAATGAGACCTTCCAACTGTGGGCAACATATCATCGATTTCATCATGTTCATCAACTTCCGGCGTCTCGAAAGGCCTACCTTGCGGGCGTCCGGTGATGGGTGAGGGCAACCTAGTCTGTAACAAGCGTGGAGCTGCGAGCTCTGCATCCGAGCCGTCGGATCCGGAATTGTCAGAGAAGACCACATGGCTGTTTTGGCGAGCGAGAGTGATAGAATTGCTTCCGATCCTGCGCTGGGCCACACCTCTGACGGGAGCCGTCGGTCTCGGTGTCTCGAGCCGGGCTTCCGAAGGAGCCACAGAAGGCGATGGCTGTCGCACTTGTCTGTCAAGCTTGAGGTAAGAAGCGGGTAATACTCCCTTGATCTTGCGGCGCATGCGCATAAGCTGTCTATCGTTTTGGTCTGATTCTGAAGAAGAGCTGACTTGGACACCAGCATTGGCGTTGCTCGGGTCATCGTCGTCGGATGATAGGACTATTTGACGAGAACGTCTGACAGATGTGGAAGGCGGCAATTCAGGAGACGAAGGAAGTGGAGTCTGGACAGCAGCAGACGTCAGGCCATGCGGGAGTCTGAACCGCGGAGGAGCGGCAGGCGTGACTTCGACGTTGGCTGGACTGGATGTCCTCGGAGGCGAAGGCAGCAGCAGATCTTGTCTGAGACCTCCGTTTGTGATTGTCTGTGTCCGATTGAGGTTCAACGACTTTAGTCTTCCCCTGGCTCTTGCTGTCGACGAAGGTAGTTCACGTCCATTGTGGTCGGTGTGAGGCGTCTCAAGAGTCTTGCGGCGCTTGTGGTGAATCTGAGTACCGCCTATAACATGACGACGGATGGCAGCGTCAATATCGGGAAACTCGTCTTGGTCTTCAGCGAGCAGGCTGGACAGGTCAAGACGTGGCGGCTGTTGGCGGACTGGGGAAGCAGAAGAGTCTGGGGGAGTTGACTCTTGAGTGTGCTCCAACTGGTGACGTCGCGGCTGACTTTCTTCTTGATGGAACTCTGCGTCTTGCGAGTCATGCTGATCTCTTGGTCGCTGGCTGTTGGTGGCAATCTGGATAGGCCTCAGACCACGAGCCTTGAGGGTGCGACGATATTGTTCAAGATCGATGAGATATGGGTGCAACTGGATGGCCTTTCGTGTCCGTAGGTTGCGTCGAGGTTGTTGAGCAGCAAGCTCAGCAAGGTGTTGATCTGAGAGAGAGTTGATGGCATCTTCCAGAGCGGTTGCCTCTGGCTGACTGGGAAGTCTGGGTATCGAGTCGGTTGTTCTTGCCGTACTGGTGGGCGGGAGGAAAACGGGTTGTGGAGAGGAGATGAGGTCCATGTCGACGTCCGACAAGTCGGAACTCGAGACCGACAAGCGTCGCCCAGTCTGGGAAGGAGCGAACAAGGGGGCTGACGAAGGCGGGGCTTGTTCTGGCTCACCATTCTCGCTGACCAGCGCATCGATATCCATGAATTCATCGTCTTCCACTCCATCATCTTGCTCGAAGTTCTCAGTCGTCTTGACGGTGCTCTTGATCCTCCTCAACGCCCCAGGTTTGAACTTCTTGCTGTAGGTCCTGGCATTCTTGTTGAACTCTGGCGGTGACTCTGCTCTTCGGGTCTGGGTAATCAAGACTATCGGTTGCCCAGCTGTTGGCTTCTGCACCGCCCTCGGCGTCTCGAGATGCTCTTGAGGTAGTTCGAATGTGGTGTCCTGCGAGGACTGAGGAGAGCTTGTGATGGGTTCCCAGTACTTGGGTATTTTTCTGGTCGACACAGCTCTTTCTGGTACTCCCGAGTCGTCGAATAACTCTTCGGACGCATATCGCTGATTCTCCCTCGTCGGCGATCGTGTTGTTACATGGTCTCCAGCATGATTCCCGCTATTCGTGTGGTCGTTATCGTCCAGAACAATTTCCTCTTCATCCGAGTCCGGGACATAGCCACGCTGTCTCCATTCGCTCATTTGACCCGGTCTTCATCGCAATATCGAAAAAAAAAAAAGATGCTTGTTGCTCACAACGACACTCGACGATGAAGACGCGTCTCGGACGCGATCCAATTCCCGCCCTCGGCACGCGTTGCACCCCACGTCACCGCTGCCAAGATCTTTGCTTCGTGCTCATCATCGAATCTCTAGAGAACCCGAGTGGTTTTCTGCTATACACAAGCATCAGAAACAATGTCGAAAAGATTGATCGCTCCCGCACTAGCCACCGTCTGCGGAATTGCCACAGGTGAGATACCCAGCATTGAACTTTTTCGAGGCAAACGAAAGACATGCAAGAGCTAACCAGTCCATAAAACCTAGGCATCTCGGTATTCCAACCAGAGTTTCAGAAGCAAGCAGCAGAAAGAGAAGGAAAGAATGTAGAGGAATTCCAACAAGCACACGGTGGAGCCATGTAAGCCTTCTCATTGCTTTCCACATTCTTCTCCAACACCTCCACTAACCTCTACCTCACAGCCCACCAACAAAACATGACCCTGCGATTCCAGCCGTAGACAACGACAGATCCATCGGAGCAGAAGTAAAACAACACCTTCAAGAAGCAAAAGAGGAGGCCACATCAACGATACAACACGCTAAGGATCATGCAAAGACAGAAGTTGCTCCCAAGAAGGCTTGGTGGGGCCTAGGTTTCTTTGGAGCCAGTCAAGGTGGTGAGGAGAGTCCGAGGGAGAACGGCAAGACGAATTGAGAGAGAGAGACAAAGACGCAAAAACAACAAAGGTGTAGAAGAATGATTGATGGTGTCGATCGAAGATTAAAGCCATCCACCGAACAAATACTGCAAAGGACTGGATATCAAAAAAAGTTGTAATAACCCAAAAACGCCCGTAGTCATGACCTCGCAACACAAAGCTTCTCTTTCCGTCCTCCACCCTTCTTGCATCTCTTTCTGCCTTCTATTCCCGCCAGAAACCTAAGAGAAATCCTCATCCAGACTCTCAATCTTCTCCTTGATCCTGAGTAGTACGGTAGTCTGCCACTTGTTCAACTTTTGCATCTGATCGAACTGGAACAGACGGTCGGCAAACATGTCCTGGTCTCCTTGCTCCACTGCCTCTTTCAAATCGTTGAGGAGTTGGAACTCGCGGGCTGAGGTGAATTGAGCGTGTTTGGAGCGCCATTCGTCAAAGGCGCGCGAGGTGGCTACCATGTCCTGTCGCATACATTAGCAAGGAGTTGGCAAGAGCAAAGGAAGAAGAACTCACACCAGTAGCCAGATGACAGATACCCGCCTGGAAGAGGTAGTTCTTGATATTCCACGCCAGCAAATTGTTGTTTTGGGCCTTGTCGGCCGCGGCTTCGTAACCTTCAATCGCAGATCTGTAGTCTCCCTCCAAGGCCTGCAAATCTGAGAGTGCCAACGTAATCTTGTTCTCGAGCGCCGGAGCGGGATCTTGCTTGTAGCACTTCAACGTGTCCTTGTAGGCCTCGATAGCTTTGGCATTGTTCCCCAACACCTGCTGGTAATGCTGGGCCAAGCTCTCCGTGTTTGTAGCGGCGGGCCTCCATCGTCCCAGTTGCTTTTGCTTATTGATGGCTTGCTCGAGCATCGCAGCAGCTTTCTCAGGCTGCACCTCATGGTAGAGTTTGAACGCTTCGTTGTAGATGTTTACCGCATCCAGGGGTTCCTCGAGGTTATCGGTGCAGATGCGAGCGGCGGATTCAAGGGCAGAGCCTGCTTGGGAGATTGCGAGAGAGGTGGTTTCCGGGTCGTCGATGGAGGTCAGTTTGACGCGGTAGGCGTTTGCGGCCGTGCGGTACATTTCCACGGCGCGTTCGTATTTTTCTTGCTTGCCGCCGAAGAAGGAGAAGCCGCCTGTGGCGCTCTTTTCTTGCTTGATCGCCTGTGCATGAGGTGTCAGTGGGTGTTCGAGAGATGGGAAAAGGAGACGAGGGAGAAGTACCTTGTTGAGCAGGTCTTGCTCTGCGGCGAGTGAGGAAGCCATGGTGTGTGTATGCAAGTCTGTCTACAGCAGAGAGGGCGAAGCGTATGCGACAGAGAGGAAAGGTGGTGTGTACCTTACAAAAAAGGCGAGTTGTTGGTGTTGGAGGCTCCCGAGCAGCTCGGCCCGCCCGCTGACGTATCCGGACCCTGCCCCGCTGTGATTGGCCGACAACTCCCAATTCATCACCACCACAAAACATTTACTGTCTCTCAAACAAGGCAGCCACTTCAGAATCATCCAAGATGACACCTCTCACACTACGACCACATCTCTCGCGCTGTCTCACCCGCAGCTTCCACACCACGCGATCCACCCGCTCAAAACTCGATGTCGATGCCCTTCTTTCAAATCCAACCTGGTCCTTGGACACACTACTCCCTTCTGCCTCCTCCTCATCCTCAGACACACCAACAATAACCTCCAAACAACTACACCACCTCCTCCGCCTCTCCGCTCTCCCACCACCAAAAGATGCCACCGCCGAGCAAAAAATGCTACACTCTCTCCACTCACACCTGCACTTCGTCACACACATCCGCAGTGTCGATACCACTGGCATCACGCCTCTGCAAAGTCTACGTGATGAAACAAGCACGGCAATCAAGGATCAAGAGATTGGTTTGGACCAACTGAAAGATGCGTTGAGCAGGGAAGAGGTCAAAGGGAAATACTACAAGAGAATTAGAAGGAGGCAGGAAGCTGCTGAAGAGGGTGAAAGTGCGCAGAGTTGGGATGTGCTTGGTCAGGCAACGAAGAAGGTGGGAAGGTATTTTGTTGTCGATGGCGGAAAGGAAGCATAATGGCTGCATAAGGCCAGGGTTGCCCTGAAGACATGCTTTCAACGCTGAACACGAGTGGTATTTCTGCCAAAGAAGGCTCTGTCGCGCTCATATCGCATCGAGTATGTCCTTATGGTTGACTCGATATTTCCTGGGGAAGGAAAGAGGTAAACGTCCTTGTTGTGCCCCTGGACAGACTCTTGCTGCCCAGCCATCGAGGATTTTACTCCGAAGATCATGGATCAACCATCCAACACCTCAGTCTCGAAAAATAAAGCACAAGAGACAGTGGGGGGTTGGGGAAGTGGCGATGTGTCTGAGAAGTCAAGACCATCAGTCAAGCTGAGGGACGAATATCCGTCTCCATCATTTCTGTAGTCAGAGCTGGCACGGTTCATTCGACAGAGATGAAATCGTGCCGTGGATGTTCACGTCAAGCAAAAGCGACTCGAAGGATACCAGATGACACGCGGCTGAACAGATTCAGCGTTCCAAAATCAATGTCAAGATTCCATGTGATTGCATGTGTTTATTATCCAGATATCTGCACACCACTAAGTTCAGGCAAGGTACAAAACCCAGCCACGAATACATCCCACACCTCGCACAACACAGAAACACTCGACAAACTACTTCGATCTCACCGGCAAGTTTCTACTAGTAGAAGGACTCAGCATCGGTCCCAAGTCCTCGTCGCCCTCTTCGTCCCCCTCGGCGATTGCATCACCCCCGCCCCATGGCATCGAAAACCTCGGAGTAGCTGCAGCGCCAGGGCTATTGCTCAATGCATAGTTGCCGAATGGATTGTGCTGATCCTCATTTTCAGCGCTACTGTGAGAAACACTCCTCATCTTCCTGAGCATGTTGCTAAAGTTGGCTCCATGCTGAGACATACGACGTCCCGAGCCATCCTTGGCAGCACCAGAGTTATCGATGGAGTCGAGGGAGGTGCTGATGAAGGCGTCAAAGTCTGCTTCGCGGTCAAAGAGACCGGTGGCAACGGATTGACGGCGCATTTCACTGCTGCTCATGCCTGACATGGTCGACAAGCGTCTCAGAGTCTCGTAGCCAGTGGGATTCGCAGCTGCCCAGTTGAATACGTCGCGGCACATATCCTGCAGATCAAACTCGGCGCGCCAATCGAGGTCAGAGGCTGCTTTGTCTGGAGAGGCAGTCACGGTGCCCAGGTCTCCTGCACGGGCCTCGCCGACGGTAAAGGGGATGGCAGTGCCGGCGGCGTTGCTGAAGGCTTTGATGATCTCGAGGACTGAGTAGCCACGTCCTGTGCCTAGGTTGTAGACGTTGTAGTTTGAGACGGGGTTCTGACCATCGAGTTCTTCGTCTTCGGGGACGGGGTCGGGTTGCTTTGTGGCTTTGCGGAGGGCTGCTAGATGGCCCATGGCAAGGTCGCTGACATGGATATAGTCACGCACACCAGTGCCATCGGAAGTATCGTAGTTGCATCCAAACACGTGGACACGGCTGCGACGACGTTGATATGCCTGGAGGATAACGGGCACAATGTTGTTTGGTGTACCCTTGGGATCTTCACCAATCAACCCGCTTGGATGAGAGCCGGTAGGGTTGAAGTAACGTAGCGATATGGCGTGGAAGTTGGGATCCGCGACGCAGTAGTCATTGATGATCTCTTCCGACATCCACTTGGAGCGTCCGTAAGGGTTGGTGAGAAGACCACCTCCAGAGCCCTTGCCAGCAACTTGAACAGTTTCCTCTGTAATGCCAGCCTCATGGCCAACGCCATAGACCACAGCACTTGAGGAGAAGATGAGATTGTTGACAGAATGAGCTTTCATGGCTTTGAGCAAGACTACAAGTGCGGCGACATTATTTTCGTAGTACTCCAGTGGCTTTGTGATGGACTCTCCAACAGCTTTGAGAGCAGCAAAGTGAATGACAGCCGTGATCTTGCCCCAAGCTGACGGGTCCTTGGCTTGTGGGCTTTGCTGAGCTCTTTTTGCTGGGTTCAGAACACAGTCGAGCATAGGGTATGCCTTGTTTGCAGAGACATCACCAACGCTCACAGGAAAGACAGCTCTCTCGGCATGAGTCTTGTCGGACTGCCAAAACTCGAAGACTTGGTTCATGGATCTCGTGCTCCGAATGTCAACTTGATGGAAAAAGATAGGCGGCACATTGCCCGATTGTTGAAGACGTTGAGACTCAGTCCGAGCAATGTAGTGTACACGACACAGAGACTCCATGTGGCTGTTGCACAGGTTATCGATCACAACCACAGCAACACCTGCATTGAGCAGTTCAAGAACTGTATGCGAGCCGATGTAACCTGCTCCACCAGTAACAAGACATACTGGGAACGATTGTATCTCTGCGCGAAAGCGCTCCGCCTTGTCCTGGAGCGATTCTTCGATGGGCCGACTGTGTGATGGCATTCTGCTGTACGGTAGCATGTGATATGTCGAGTTACAATCGCTTGTTTCGACTTATGAGAAGATGTGTAGCAGCGTGCTCCTCCTCAATTGAAGACCTCAAGGGGAACATCAGCATCATCGAGTCCTGCACAAGACGTTAGACTTCACATGTGGTTTCAGAGCTTCAACACAGGAACCAAGTAGGCCCCCTGTTACATCACGAGCCACATCATCGAGACTCTGGATTTGCAAAAGCACTGCAGCGTTACGACCGTGACATCAGTAGTATTGGACGACCAGCCAACCGTGTTAGGGATGTCGCTCAAAGTCAAGTTGCACGCGGTGAGAAGACAAGAACCGAACGCATCTGCGATGCCTCGCGTCTACGCGAGCATCCTTTTGTCCAGAAGATCCGCAGCTTGAGGTTTTTACGATCCGAGCATATCGACCAAAACTGATCGGCTGATGTCTGATTTGCTCAGGAGTCTCGGCTTCAATGCTCATCCCCGTTGGTTTACCGTCGCAGATTGCACGCAGCGAGAGGGCTTCCTGTAATAGACGCATCGCAGACCTGTTCGACTAACGTGTACAAAGAATCGAGGCAATGTGATTCGCAGGCGTGAGAGGTCCAGAGCATTGGTGGCTGCTTAGGTCAATACAATGTGTAGTGGTGAAGGCCAAAGAAAGCCGCAGCTAATTGGTAGATGCCTTCATCATTGGTCGCGCGAACCGAGGAAGCATCTCCATCCAGCGTTTAGGCGCGTAAAAACATGACCCACTTGTCCAAAGTCAGAGTTGACAGAGTTGAAAGCATGAGATGAATAATCTTGGGGAGGACACTCGATGGAGGGAAGTCGCGAACGACGGCAAGACGCGTCGTCCGAATGAGGAAAGTGAAGCGAGAGCTTCCATCGCCGCTTTGCAGACTTGCACCTTAATTGACAACAACCGCCGTATTGCCGCAGGAAGACGACACCATCCTCGAGATCGTGATGCGGTCAGCAGGTCACCAATGTCGATTCCCCCTTTCCTCACCGACGACTGTCAGACACAAGGACTACACAAACTCGGGAGCAATTGCCTTGATGTGAGGCTTCAATAGTAATATCGATATCAACGACACCATCTGTAGATCCAGACGAAAGTGGATGCTAGTATGATGGCTGTAGATGTGTTCATACATGCTCAGCCGGAATGATGATGCACAGTTTCCTCTAACTCTAACACAGCTATGCCTCACCGACGCTGCCAATCAAAAGTAATATGCCACATAGCTCGGCTGTCCTCGTTGCTGTCAATGCTATGCTTTCAGAACGTCACATCAAAGACTCCATCGTTTGACAGCTTGAGCATTGACATGCCTTCGATGCTTCCTCGTTGCTGCAAAGAAATCGCAATGTTTGCTGGTTTCATGCATAGCAGGCAATCAGGAACCATACAACCATGGCGTCCTTCTTCCAACCCTCTCTAACTGGGCCGAACACTGACAACGCTTCCGGCACCAGGTTCTTGATCAACTGGAATGCGACACTCAAGGGCTCGGAGCTGACGACTTACTGGTACCAAATCCTTGTCATCTCAGTCGGGTGCACATTTTTCGTCCTTGGAGTCTCCAACTTGATCATCCAGCACATTCGGAAGAAGCGCCGCCTGAAGGAGGACCTTTTACCACCGAGTATCAAGAGGTTCCTGGAGCTCCCAGCAAGGTGGACGCAGCCCAAGAGTTCATTCCCCAGAACACAAAAAGATACACAGATCACCAGCGAGAAAGCTACTTCCGAGCCAGTCTTTTCTCCACCCAAGCTATCACTGGTCAAGAGCTTTTGTGTGTCTGAACACGAACTACCTGTACAGAATTTCCGATCCAGCTTCGACCTGCATGTTGTCGGCTTGACCGGAGAAAGAACATCTGGCACAACACCGGAAACTGTTGCTCCGGTACGTAGCTGCGAAGAGCCGCCGCCTTCCGGGTCGAGCACTGCTGAAAGCGCGATCTCGTCTCATCGCTCAACACAGGACTCGCTTGGGCATTCAGAGCCCAACACGGCCCAAGACTCCGTACACCCTCCTCGCAGCTCAGCGGACGTTCAACCAGTGACGAACATTCCGACGCTTTTCTATGGTTTGCTGAAGCCCACCTCGAGATTTTCAGAAGAGAATATTGTGGAAAGGGCCGCCTTCGTTAACAACCTCCGACTCAAACAAGGTCTCCATGGAGTTGTCGTATCATACAGCCAGGGTGACTCAGCCGAAGACATCAACACACTCTTGATAGCGCTCAGAAACCTGCACGTCTCAACGGTTTTGATGGGTGATCCGGATCTTCAGATCGTAGACTCGATCTCCTTCGCACTGATCGACGGTTTCATGATCAAGAATGCCTGTGTCCTAGCCAATGGCCAGCGCCGAGATTTCTTTCGCGCAGTTCAGCTGCGAGAGTGCGTCGCAAGGTGTAAACGTCAAATGAAGAAACGTCCAGAATTCTTTCTGGGATTTCTCGAAGTCTGGACAACCAGACCTTCAGCAGCAACTCTACGTCGAGCATTCAAGCTAGCAGACTTCTTTGGTGCCGTGATTCAAGCTCAAGCGGCGTCGCAACACAATACTCGAACAGACATGAGTCTCAGTGCTTTTGACTGGCTCAAGCGTTCCGAAATTGTATACCTGCAAAAATGCTGGGCACAGAATCCTGCTCTGAAGCCTGCTCCATATTCAGAGCCAGAGGATAACCATTTCAACCTTCAGAAGCTATCCGAGGTACTGGGACCAGCTGAAAGCCTGCTTGCATTGGCTCCTCTGCCTGCCGACGTTCTGGCCCTCCAAAATGAGCGGCTGGAAAGCGTGCCTAGTCCAGATTATGTTTCGAGTGCAGCAAGGAGAGAGAGCTTCTGGGACACAACGGATTGTGGCGCACCGCTCTGCAAGAATGGATGTCACTTTCTTCGTGATCAGATTACAGAGGAGCACTACGGGCGAATTCTACAAACACAACGCCGATTGAGAGAACTGCAAATGTTGCACGTCTACGCAGACATCGAAGTCATGTCAATGTCCAAAGTGCTAAGCACAGCATTGGAGCACTCTTCCTACCCGCACTTGCTGCAAAGGCTGCTTGACCGACTTACCAAGGGACATGTGCGGATCTACAAGGGTCTGGACAGTGGATTTAGCCTCCCAGACGATAGTGGACACATGATCGGACTCTCCGAGAGCCTGCAGGAGGATGATCATGAGATTATCAACATCTACATCTCGCTGAAGAATGCTCATGATACCGCTACGCTCTGGCACATTTTTCTCGCACATCATGGAATACCGCGCTTGCAGCGTTACGAGGAGGAACTCTTGTTCTTTCCAGGTGCACAACTTCCTAAGAGTATTCAGCAAGAACTAAATCAATGCACTGAAGCTGACCTACTGTCCATCATTCAACAAATTCGGCTGAGCAATTTAGATCATCTTCTCCATCAACCAATCATTCATAGATGCGTAGAGATTCTACTCGAAGAGAGTCGAAGTGCCAGCTGGATAGCGTTGCACTCTCGAGCTTGTCTCGATGAATCGCTGAGTACGCGAACGCTTGTCAAGATGCGCCTCGAGCAGTTTGCAAAACAAGGCGCACAACGACTTCCAGAGCTAGAAAAGCTTGCTGAGCTTTCTGAGCTACTCGAACGAAAGTTGCAGGACGCCTTGTTCACTGGCAATCGCTCGACGTTGAACCAGTTGTCAACTCCCCTTGTAGATGCCTACAATGCTATTGGCACTATCCGACCCGCTGGTTGCAGACTAGACATCTACGGGCTGATATACTTCTGTGCTCTACGCAAGCTTGCCTACGAGGACGTGTATCTCGAAACCACAGATCGTTGTCCACTCTTCTTACAACAACATGATCAAGCTGGAGTGTTCTCTGAGTTGTGGGTCCTTGGTTCACAGTGCGAAATATACTTTGGTGTCCAGCCACGAGCCTTGGGAGAGGTAACGTTCAACAAGTATCACGAATATCTGACTTCCCACCCGCCTCCACCTGATTCATGGGACGGCAAGGACGTGTTCACTGCCTATGCCAACACTGAGGCTCGCATAAAGCTGGAGGGGCACGAAGCGATGACAGGTTCTGGTTCACCTGTGGACTTACCTGGACAAGGGGCTGGATTTAAGCTCGATGTAGCAGAATCTACTAAGCGTCTTACCGAGGCTGCCAGTGCGTTCGGTGCCTTATCCATCTTCTGTTTCCCAGCAGTAATAGATGTCACACTACTGTCATTTCTTGGTCGCGGTTTCTATCTGACGGCGTTCATGGACTACAGAGCTGTCACCATGGCTGGCTATGCCATTCTTACTGCTCTTCTGATGACTGGCGGTATCACTGGCTGGGTGGGCAGCACTGGAGGCTTCTATCTCTTCAACGTAAGTCAAGCTAAGTTTACACAATCCAGTCTAGTCACTAAATTGTCTAGTTTGCATTTGACAACATGTCATATTTTCTTGTACAGCGGTTCTCTGCCTCTTTCATCTTGAGCACTATCGTAGCCTTTTGCGGCTTCTTTGCGTTTAGTGCTCGAGTCGGATGGTTTGATGGCTTCATATTCCTGGTATATCTTTATGCTCTGACGACCTTCCTCAATCTGCTAGGTGAGTTTGAGCATCCGGGTCTCGAGCTGAAACTGATATTTTTCCAATAGGCATGTTTGCTACAACGCATCGACTCGGTTGCCCTCTCACATCTGGCCGCACTGCCATGTGGAGGTGCATTCCTATCCTCTTCATCTCTCCAATTCTCACTACCTTCGTCAATGGGCACGATCTGCTCATTTACCTGATTATCATCTACACCTTTGTCATTGCACTCCTTATCAGCTTCCGAAATCTTCTTCACGAATGGACTACCTGGCTGGCTAAAGTGCCGTCGGTGAAAGAGAAGGATTTGATGACCTGGTACAAGTCCAAAAAGGACAAGCAAGATTCCGCGTCTGGAGGTGACTCGCAAGAGCTCGCGTCGCGCGCGCGTCTTGCTCTCCGACTAGCGGTACATGGATATCGAAACAGGAGCCTCTTTCGCAAGATCTTCAGTTCTGAGCCCAACATAGATCCGTTTGTCAAGAAGATGGGTATCGGACATCCGTATGCTCTCTGGTTGCTTGAGAAAGAGGCCGGCGGAGCAGCCCTGCCGGAAATCTATACGACGACCTGGTTTGTGCAACTGGAACTTGCATTCGCCAATCAGCGCCAATTGACCCGGGGTCTTAAAGAGCACAGTCAATTCATTACATTTCGCTACTCAAAATACGACGTGAGTGCTTTGTACTCTACGTGCTCTCACTTGGACTTCGCTAATACTCTCCTAGCTCGGGCAGAACGTAGGCCTGTTTTTAGGCGCTCTTATGGATCGCTGGATCAATATCGTCATGAGCGCGAGACAACCACCGATCGAGATCTACTTTGACGACCGAGCACGTTATGGAATCTGCTTCGGGTTGTTGTACTTCCTTTTTGGTGCAGTTGCAGTGGATGTGGTTCTACAAAGGTTCTGGCCACTCGCAGTCCAGCTTCCAGATCGTAAGATATCCACCTTGGAAGGTTACAGCGAGGTCAAGGTTGATCAGCAGCGGTATGATACGACTGTTTCTCAGAATTAACGAAACGAAGGTGTACTGACAAGCTAAAGTTTGCGCAACAAGCATTACCGAAATGCGCTGATGGAACTATTCACCTATCTGTCTATCATCTTTGGTGTTATGACAATCCTCCTCTGGGTGTTTGTCATTGACCACAGATCTATCATTGTGTACTTTCTGTACGTCTTGGGCTATACAGGAGTGTGTGTATTCCAGGTATTTCAATGTGCTGACCTCATACGTCTTGCAAGCTGACCTTTCGTTAGTTCAATCGCTGCTTTACTCGGGATCCGAAGACACACGTGGTCGCAGTACTCGTATGTTGCGCTGCAGGTTTTGTCGTTGGCTGCGTCCTCCGAGCAGACTCCCACACAGATGCACTCATCTACGACTATGTTATTGGCTTGGATGTTGCCAGCATATCAGCTGCTATATCCACGTTCATATTCACTGGCTATTTCTCGTCAACATCAAATCCAAAGGACAGACCTCAGGTGGCCCCCGAGACAGACAGAAGAAGTACAGAGAAACCGCCGACAAACAACACAAATGCTCAACCATCAAGTTGGGCGACTTTGTTCAAAACTCACACCGATACTTTATGCAATCTGTCGCACAACACCCACCGGCAAATTCTCCAGCATTTGTGTCTTGACATCGACGTCAATGCTCAATGGACCAAACTTCCAGATAATGTTCGATCCCTTGTTATATCGCGCATGTTGGGTGTCACAAGCCACACGACTGCCACTTGCCGCACGTGGTTGGCGGCAAGATCGACAAGAACTCAAGAGTGTGATTCCGAATTGAAAAAATGTCTAGTCGAGTATGAAGAGAAAAAGTCGACCGTCAGCAGAGATGCAGAAAATGCTTTCAACATTGCAGGCTCTTACAAGGAACCAGAGTTAACGTCCTTCTTGGGCAGGAAGTTTACGGTCAAGTCCAAGTTCACACGCCTCGTTACAATCCTGACTCTTACCATTTACGACATTGTAAAGTGGACAGCTCTCATCTCAGGTGGCGCACCAGATGTCAACCGCGAACTTTGGTTCGCGCTGAGAGATCACCTATGGCACAAACCTCTGCTCTGGATACTGCTGAAGGTCTGGAAAATCTGCTGGTTTCTCAAGAACCTCTTCATCTGGCTGTTTCTGATCCTCGGCAGACCCTCATTGTCATCGTTCTTAGAAATGAAGGATCGAGGACTACCACGGACACTTCAAGGTGAAGTCATCACGATAGAAACGCCTTTCTCAAAAGTCAGCGGCTTCCTCTCGCGCGATGCTGATGGTAATCTGGTTGTTGCATCTTTTGATGGTATGCATAGCACTCCACCCGAGTCTTCTCCTCTGAGGAGTATGGCAATCTATGACAGGTCATACCGAGTCATACATTATGAGAGTAATCCAGGAGATCAAAAGACCAAGACTACCTCAACCTTCGAGTACCAAAACAAGAAGTGGAGACGTTGGCCAACCAAAAGAATCACCAAAGAAGAAAATGGCCGCGAGATCACATCTGTTTTTGACAAACATGGTCGCGTGGTCAGTGGAAGGTTGTTTCGTGCGGAGGCAGAATTCTCTTTCGAATATCTTTACAAGAAAAGACCAAAGGGCAATACTGAGATTCTGAAAGCGACATACACTCGGGAAAATGTTGCAGATGACAATCCTCCAGTGATCTCTGTGTTTTGGAGCGTCCAACCACGATCTGGTTCAAAAGATGTCAAGCATTGGACTGCCTCTGACAGAATCAGACGGGTGGTTGCGATCCTGGAAGGTCGGACTTATGAGACTGAGTGGGTTTACAAGCACGCAAGAGATCCTGATCTCGAGACAACATTGACAGATGAGCACGGCACAGTTTTTGCTGGTGTAGCAACTCCTGAAGCAGTCCTGAAAGATGCATTCGGTCTGCTCAAGAAACCAAAAGATCTGTCTTTTGATAACGTCGATCTTTTGATTCATCATCCTTTGGAGTGGCTCGAACGATTTCCCAACCACAGTGCTCAGAGTTCCATGTCTGCTTCATGGTTCATGTCACTCATGCCTTTTGGCTATTCTGAGGCTAAGAAAAAGGTAGTCTACCGCAAACTATCCACTGCCGTTTTGAGAACTGCCTTGTGGACGCTCTGGGGGAAGCCACCTCATCTGGATGCCGTATCAGCGTGTTTTCTGGATGAGATGATACTACGCAAGGAGCCTCTTTTGCAGAAGTACTGGAGGCTGCGGGATGCTGGACACCTGTTAAAAGCTGCACACCATCTCGATGAGAACCTTGATTTGATAATCTCTGCGATCGAGCCATCTGCAGAGGCGTCTCAGACTTGTCCACTTCTTATCAAGATTTCAGACTTGTTCGTCATGGGGCTGGGCAAGGATGCGAATCAAGTCACAGCTCGCCCAGAAGACGCCTATCGCGATACCCAGACTCGGACCTCTGTCATCTTCTCAGACAACGGTTGCTGGCCTGACAATCCTGGCGGTGTCTCCAACTGTCGGCGGGACTTGGTCAATGGACATACGACTATTCGCGGTCACTGTCTAGCTGAGTCTGCTAATGATTTCGGCATCCCCCGATACCAGATCGAACAGAACATCAATTCACTGAAGATTTTGCCTCTTTGGGGCTTGGATGGCAAGACGCCCTATCATGGTGTACTCGACAACTTATTGCAAACCCAAATTGACGAGCGAATCTTCAACACACGAATCGAAGATGATATCAAGGCTATCTTCATCCCTCTGCTGACATCCTTTGTCAAAGGAGCACGAATGAGACGCCATACTCGAAATGACTTGATCACTTTAAGTAACGTGATTCTCCAGATGAACAGATACTTCGAGAAGTGCGACTTCAACAAAACCTGGGACAACAAAGATGTTTGGGACGCATGGATCGAAGCCTGGCTCATAGATTATAACGACCCTAATATTGGCAACCCCCGCGATTACTTTGAGATCGAGCAAGCGACAATGGGCGATTTCAAGAGTGCACTCGGACTGTACGTCTGCTACTTCTTCATCTACTCAGTCGAGCTTCCGCCAGACTGCCCAACTGTCTTCCAGAGTACACATCACGGAATAAGCAGTCTCTATGGTATGCTTCTGAAGTATCGACGTGGTACCACCTGGGGCATCTGGGATCATGCCATTCTGTGGCGAGAGACTTGCTTGAACATCAGTCCAGCGCAATGCTTGCTCCCGATTCCAGTCCAGTCTATGCTACTTGCTGGCATCAAGCTGGCTTGCCATCTGGCGTATACCCATGTCGATATTGTCCTACCATGCACTTCTGTCTTCAATCCCGATTGGGAGATTGATCTAGGCACAGATCAAGGACATCGGGGTAGCAAAAAGCTGTTCGCTCGCAAGATTGATCCTATCGTAAACGGTATTAGCAACATGGACGCTTTCCAGCCAGTCACAGAGACTAGAAGCAAGCTACCGACATGTGTAATGCTGTCAAACGTTCAGTTCATCAAGGATGTCAAGAATGCTGTACTGGCTGCTGATGTAATCGTCAACAAGTACGGCTTCACCGATTATCGTCTGATCGTCTATGGCGCTCAGGACAGACAGCCGAGTTATGCTTTAGAGACGACTACACTCATCAACAGCCGTAATCTGAATGGTAAAGTCATTCTCGCTGGCTTTGGTTCACCGAAGGAAGTTCTCAAAGACGCATGGCTGTTCATGAACTCTTCGCTCTCGGAAGGTCTTCCGTTAGCTATCGGAGAAGCTGCTCTGTCTGGTATTCCTATTGTTGCCACAGAAGTAGGCGCTACGGCTCTGGTGCTTACCGATCCTGATGACTCAACTAAGCGCTATGGCGAAGTCGTGCCTCCCAACGATCCAGAAGCGCTCGCGAGGGCTCAGTTGAGCATTCTCGGCATGTTAGGTCCATGGGCAGAGTACACCACCGACAAAATCAAACCGCCACCACTACCAGACCTTTTCAAGCCCGAAGACGTCAGGTGGATTCTCGCGAGAATGTACGAGAAAGCAGACGATCGTCGTGCTCTAGGTCTCAAACTCCGAGATGTCGTTCTCCGCAGTTTCCACGGACAAAGATATCTTCGTGAGCACGAACAAATGTACTGGATACAGCGTAGCTGGGCAGAGACCCGCCGTTGCGCAACAAAAATCAGCCGACATCCGCCGGCGAACGATGCCTTTGGCGAGTCAAATGATTTTGAGTACGATGACGAGGCTGATACTGGAGAAAATGCCAAGGCACGTTGGCAAGATTTTCAATTGGAGAAGGTTCAGTCGCATAGTCAGCCTGCGCCTCGCAAAGAAAGGTTAGGTACGTACGTGAGAGGCATGTCAACTGTGGGGTGAATCTAGAGGTCAGCAGGGTGGAGTAAGGTGTTCATAGTTTGTCGGAACCCATTATTTTAACCGTTCCGATGTCCGAATATGTCCTCGAACTTGACGTGTAGTCTCGTCTTGTTTTCCAAGCGAAACCCGTTCGTGCTTTGGAAAGTGTATCTCCAAAGGGGTCTCTTGCCCCCGACATTCGAGAACTCAAATCGCAGGAATAGAGAAGCAGTGTTGTTTGATTCGCTGCCTCGAGTAAGTGCACATGGCCGTTTCGACGTAGGTGTCTGCTGGCCAAAACAGTTTCTCCCAATCCGGCCTCTCTTCACAACGGACAACAGCTTTCCAAATTGCAAAGATATTGGCAGATCTTGTTAGAGGCACATACCAGATTGCATATTGTACAAGATGCCGCTGTCAGAGAGAATGTCTTTGTTCATATCAGATCCAAGACTTCGAATTAGAAAGCTGTTCGGAGACAAGCAGAAACCTTCCAAGATGTCCATGAATATGTATGTCGCGCTTCCTCTTTACATGTACCCTTCGGTCGGTGTATGGCAACCGCTCTACGATGCTTTGAACAACAACCCACAAGTTACCTTCAACATCATTATCAATCCACACAATGGACCCAGCGGCTCTCCCCCAGACTCCAACTACATCTCCAACATTTCTCTGATCAACTCATACACCAACGTCAACACACTTGGCTACGTACACACCAGCTACGGCAAACGCTCTCTCTCCGAAATTTCCTCTGATATCGACACTTACGAATCCTGGTCCACATACACGAACTCGAATATTTCGCTCAATGGCATCTTCGTCGACGAAACACCTGCATCATTGGAGTTCCTCGGCTACATGGCGACAATCCACGATAAAGTCAAATCCACAATGACAATCGGCAATCTCGTCTGGACAAACCCCGGGGTCGCTGTCGATGCCTCTTTCTACAAAGTTGCTGATATGATTAATGCTTACGAAAACACATATGATCATTGGATGAATCACGGGGGCAATTCGAGTATCCCACAAGCAAGGAGGTCGAAGAGCACGGTTATGTTGCATAGTTATCCATCAACTACGCATACTATGGCTAGTGATGTTGATGAGTTGGTGGATGCTGGGTATCGTGGGGGTTTGCTGATCGTCAACGATCAGTATTCGAGTTTTGATGCGATGTGGCCGACTTTTACGAAGGAGGTCGGACAGTCGAACGCGAACGTCAAGTGCTGATGGCGTCGATGGTTCTCGGATCACCAGGGTCTTATAGGATGACCTTTGAGTTTGCAATACTGATTTGACGGATATGTTCGACGGCATCGAGGACGGGATTCTGGATGCTGGTCGACACTCATAATTGTTGATGTATGATTGATCAAGGACATGGGAGGTACATATATTCCATAAATAGTGTACAATCTGTGCATCAAACTCACACAAAGCTTGCACAGGCTTCAGCTCTCTCCCCACTCGCGTTTCTCAACTTGACTTCCTTCTTCAGCACTCAAAGCTCCAGACTTGCGTCCATTTTTGCGTCTTTTCGTGCTGTTGCCATCGATGTTGGTCGAACGATATTTTTCCAAAGCGTATCTCGACTGTCTGTCTCTCGATGGGACGAGATCAATTTCGCGTCGCGATGCGATACCCCAACATTCGCGATCGACGTGCACCTTGATGAGGCCTTGATAGTACGGCTTTGAAAATTCGGGAGACATAATCAAGTCGTCTGCACATCACAGTACGACATGCTTTGTCAACTCCATACCAACAACATCATATTTGCCTTATCTAAACATGCACGAATTTGTCGAGTCCATCTCGGTCAATCCAAAGCTGCGCCTCGCACACGTCATCGTATCATCTACGCGACGATTGGCATCAACCCGATTGTGCCTTGTGATCAAGGCTGATGTGTATGGCTGTGTATCAATAGCTTGAAGTGGACTGGAGGATCGCTTTACAACACAGGCCCGACGCTATGTTCAGAGAGAGATTTTGAGCAGCTGTAAAGCCGTTATACTTCAAGAAAGGAGCAAAAATAATCTTGTGTCAGCTATGTGGCGCTAAGGTTCTCGTACGAGCGCAAGCAAGTCTACGTCCGTGTGCGCTGGAAGACAACAAAACCAGCTCTGCACCAAGATCTGAGAGATCTCCATCCCTCAACTCACTACCAGGATGCGTATCGCTATGTTCGAGCGTGCCTTTCTGGCACGCTCGGTGTATATCATCGTTCTTGGTATGCTTAGTCTGATAAGTCTGGCCAGTGCTCAGGTCAGCAACTCCACCGGCGGGCAGACAATTGCCAACACCATCTTGATCTTTGCTCGCAATCTACCATCATCTTATTCGGCAACCTCCGGACTCAATGGCTATGGCATCCCATACCAGCTGCAAATTGTACCCCAAGAAGGTATCACACTGCCAACCCTCAATTCATCTACTACTCAAGGCAATTATGGTGGCTTCATCATCCTCGGCGAAGTGTCCTATGATTACGGAAACAACAGCTGGGCCAGTGCTTTAACCGCCGCTCAATTTGCGACTCTATATGCATATCAATCAGATTTTGGTGTGAGAATGGTCCGTATCGATGTCTATCCTGGACCTTCCTTCGATGTTACTCCTACCATCCCTGGCGCCGGATGCTGCGGTGCCGGTGTCGAGCAATTGCTCAGCTTCACAAACACAAGTGGATTCCCTACTGCCAATCTCGTGCAAGGTGCCACCATTAGCACTCAAGGCATTTGGCACTATCCAGCAACCATCACCAATCCGAATACGACCTGGGAGGTTGCAGGCCTCGGACCAAGTACCGATGGTTATTTCTCCGGACGTGGCTCGGCCGCTGTCATTCACCAGGACGGAAATCGTCAAGAGATGGTCTGGTTTTCGAGCTGGGCGACCAATTGGGCCCTGACGTCAAATTACCTCCAACATGCATACATTGCCTGGCTGACTCGTGGTCTGACGGTTGGCTACCGCCGCATACATCTAAGCACTCAGGTTGACGACGTTATGCTGAACACAGCACTCTACCAGCCATCGGACGCCTTGTTCAGATTGAGAGCAGCAGACCTCCAAGCCATCAAAGACTGGACGCCTCAACTGAACTCAAGACTCCCTGCTGGGTCCAACTATTTCATGGAGCTGGGATACAACGGGAACGGCAACATCGTTGCAGGTATCACATTTGAAAACACGACAATCTGCCAACCTGATCCCGCCATCATTTACACTGGACCCATGTCTTCAACTCCGCTCGAATTCCAGAAGCCACTCGGTACCGGTACGGATATCTGGCCTACTACGCCCACGACATACCGCTGGAGCAAGGCATGTTCTTTGATCGACCCTCTGTACAAATGGCTGTCAGTTCCAGAAAATATGAATGCCTTCGCACATGTTTCTCATACTTTCACTCACGAGTCGTTGAACAACGCAACATTCAATGACACAAACAAAGAGATCACTTTCAATCAGGCTTGGGCGAACGTCACTGGAATCAATCAAGCCACGAGATGGTCACCCAACGGTCTTATTCCTCCTGCCATCACTGGCATGCACAATGGAGATGCTATCAGAGCATGGGTTACCAACGGCATCACGTCAGCGGTGGGCGACAACACTCGAGCCGTGTTGATGAATCGACAAAACGAGTTCTGGCCGTTGATAAGTACAGTGGCCTCGAACGGATACGACGGACTTGAGATTATTCCACGCTGGGCGACAACCATCTTCTTCAATTGCGACCTTCCAGACTGCACCACAGCAGAGTGGGTACAGACCTCTGGTGGAAAAGGTAACTTCACCAATCTTCTCAACGATGCTCGCACAAACAATGTTCGTCACCTGATGGGGCTTCACCATGACCCCTTCATGTTCCATCAGTCCAATCTCCGCAACGCAGATGTCAACTCTACCACCATCGGTTCTGTCACCGGACAGTTTGCACTGATCCAGATCTGGATCGAAGTGGTGACTCAAGAAATGACACGCTTGACTAACTGGCCTATCATCTCTCTCAAGCACGACGATATCGCTATTGCCTTTACCAACCGTGCCGCTCGCGATCAGTGCAACCCCAATCTGACATACAACAAATCTTCCGATGGCAAGAAGATTGTGTCTGTCACTGTCACCGCGAATGGCAATACTTGTGCCGCTCCTATTGCTGTCACCCTTCCTATTGGCGCTACGAGCAACGCTCCTGGTCTTGTCAGAGAGACCATCGGATCCGATCCCTTGGTTATCTGGGTTCCTCTGACTGGAAGTCCCATCACTTTGAATCTGGCATCGCCGGTGTCGGTCTTGTAGGGTGTTGTCAGCAGTGATCAGATCAGACCTCGTTCCGAGGTTTAACCAAAAAAAAAATCGTGAGAGAGTGAGCAAAAGTTGCAATGCAGTATCTGATGTTTCGATTTGTGTGGAGATTTAGCAGGAGTCGCAGCATGCATCTCGAGTCAGATTTTCTATGTATGAGTAACACCAGACAATCGAGTGCCTCATTATACCATATGTCACTGAACTGTTGTCTACTATGGATGGGCAAGCCATTCGTGCCTGCCTGAATAACATCACTGGATGCCGACTCAGGCAAAAACGCAGGACTTCTGTCCACTGCTCCTGCCACCTCGCTCCTGCCAAGAATCTGCAGTCGGAGTTTCTCCTTCATCAGGCTGATCAGGCAGTAACGTAGTAGCACAGAGTCACTGGTTCTTTCCGACTATCGTCTCTGCGTTCTGTTACCACATTTGATGTCACCGCGACTACTCAGCTATTCTCGCATACCTCAGACCATGCCTCACACCACCCAAACGACACTTGCAGCCTCTGCAGATCACATCAGGGCTGAGTCTCTGGCTCGTCCGGACGTGGTGTGATCCGAGAAAAGTAAAATCAAGAAATAAACTCGACTTTTGGATAAGCTTACTTTTTTGACATTGAGAAAGATCAGCAGAGCCTCGCTCTTCTCGCTTACATGTCTTTGTCAGGCAATGCGCTCCAGTCCACAAGAGCTGCTAATCTGGCGAGGGAAGGAACGGGGTTTGTTGTTTTCGTTTTGACGGACTTTTTTCCGATTCCGCGCATAAGATCAAGCAAGAATCGATAGCTCCCAGATGGGGCTAAGCTGGTGACTATCGGTACCGCCCACTAGTCTGCCGAGTGCGCGGTAGCCGCTTGAAGGGCTGTAGAGATGCAAGACATGCTGATGGTCTGGAGAAAGGGGATCATCGATGGAAAAGCGGATGTCTCTGATGGCCTTGTGTAGAAGCGGAGGACGGGATTGTGGAGGGTCGATGATGCGATATGGTGGAGACATATCGGACGCGAGATGTGATGTGATGGAGTATGCTGAACGAAGGGAGGGCCATAGCTGCGTAAGCAGGCCAGTCGTTACCTGGAGATCGAGATCAGGAGTCGCTGCAACGTTCAGAGTGCACTTTCAAAGAGTATAGTTGGTTATACGTCGACATCATTGCGATGGGAGATGATATCTGGTATATACAGGGTTACCTCTGGCACTTGAATCACTGCGAGTCCTGTTATCCAAGATGTCATGTCGAATGAACGAGATCCTGTGCTTGAGTAGACGAATATCCATTGGTCATTTTGCACAAGGATGATAGAAACTGTCAAAGCTGATGGTTTTGCACATTCAGACCAACTCACCAGCATTCATCGAATGTTGTGGCACACAATATTGGAGGACGATGGGAATATTCGATGTTGTTCTCATTACATATATCGACGATAATCTCTTCTTCTGTCCCATTTGTCTCTCAGCTCTATGTGTATGTTGGAGTATTGAACACAGTGCCATCACAATACTCGACCCAGCCACCCAACTCTTTGCTCTTGATCACTTCCGAGAATCCAATATTTCGATTGATCTTACAGCTTTGCTTCAACGCTTGGGTGCTCACGAATCCAGGAGCACCCAGAGGATATTCGATCTGGAAGACTGGTTTGCCAGCTGTGATGAAGTTTTGATAGATGGCGCATTCGGCGTGAGCAATATCTGATAGAACTTTGTGAGTAACCAAGTTTGAGGGGAGAGTTGTGGAAGCGAGAGGGATGCTTACATGATTCCACGATGGCGAATTCGACCATGCAAGTAGCGTTTGCAGCGATTGAACCGGCGTTCTTGAGACCGATGGCCATGTTGTATTTTGCAGCTGTCAAGGAGAGAAAGGAGAGATAGTCCAGTGCGGTGTTTGCGTTGAGCGGGAAGCCTGTGTTTGTTTCCTCACGATACAGGATCAGTATTTCGATACAGAAGATGTGGTCAAGCGAGAACTGGAACTCACAAAGCCGTCCATATTATCCGGATCAACAGCATCACAACCCTTTTCAGCCGCCAACCTGATCCTTTCTGCCATAATGTCTCGTACATTCTTACTATCAGTGTTCACCCATCTCTCACCCGGCCAACCACTGAGATCACGCCCAAGGTCTTGAGGTGGAAAGAGTCCGGCATCGGGTCTCCAAACCTCCCAGCTACCAGCCGAGAAGTAACAGATGACCTTGATGCCTTGAAGGTGCATTTGTTGAATGTTCAAAGCATTGTTCCCATACATATCGATATCATAGATCGATAGAGCAGGCACCATAGGCTTCCAAGCATTGACAGGACTGCTGAGTACAATCTGCCATGGTGTACCGGGAAGAGGTTGCCAGAGCGGGGTGCTGTTTGCATAGACATTGACTCCGCCTAGTACACTCAGCACTCCAGGTTTGCAAACTGATGCTGGAGATGCTGAAGCGACGGCAGGAGCAGATCGTTTGGCGGAGACGATGGTGGGAGAAGATTCTGGTGCATCTCCAGAATTTGTGAGTCCGACACTCAACCCTACTCCCAGGGTGATGCCGAGGAGAGCGATAGTCCCTGCCACGGCGCCGAGGGTGCGGTATGGGTGACGGCGAATCCAAGGAATCTTGCGGGGTGGTAGCTTCTCTTCGTCGCAGAGGCGAGTGGATGAGGATGTCTCGTGGATCTCCTCCATACGTAGGAAGAGAAGATTGACTGTTGTAGTATGCGTTGAGTATGATGAGGCAATGGGAAATATACGAAGTCAAGGAGTATGGTGCTCGAGCAAGATCAAAGCCGTCACTGCGTGATAAAAACAATGATATGGAAAGTACGTCAAATGCAACATGGCGATCAATCAACTTTTGTTTTCTCAAAGCCTCCACGGCTACTCGTCGTTTTCTAGCTCTATGTGTCTAAGTTTCAGAGGTTTTTTTGGCAGGACCAATGACCTCGCCACTTGCTAGACGTCGTTTTTGCGTACGAGAGATCTCACCGAAATTTGTCAAGCGTGATAGTTGGCGCTTTTGTTTCTCACAGTAAGTGCATCTTCATGGACGAATCCATCGTGATCGTCGCGCGATATCTATACGTACTGCTGCGACCTTAGTTTCGTGTATGATCGCTATTTCCAATGATTCTCGAGATCTGTTCGAAAGTCCGTGAGAAGTTGACGCTGAACGCGTTTGTGTAGAGGACAAAATCAGAGGCGATACCAAACGTCACGATAACAGCTTCTTTGAGCAGATGTTGCTTCATTGACCCTGCTATATCCAGCTCACGACCACATACTTACGTTAGACCTAACACAATACATCCTGCATCATTTCGCTATCTCACCATGCCCTCTCTCGGATTTCTTACTGTCCAGATCTTTACTCAATCGGTTGGGGACGGTTCCATCGCCCAGAGGGCAAGCCTTCGATGCTGACGATATGACGAGAGGTTTGAGTCACCCACCACTGTACCTGTTGTCACATCTATATAAACTGGCTCTCCAGCCACCATGGCCATCTACATGCAACTAGCCATCAGAAAGAATTCATCAACGAGCACTGTGTCTCTCGGCATCAACTCGGTGGAGCGTGCTGCTTGCAACGCTGACCTGCCCAGACTGAGAGCAGACTAACACAGGAGGTCCGTTTAACTACTTGTCATTGTTCTTCTCTCTTTAGCTGCTGGTTACTACCATAGTCTTAGCCTGGGCAAGGCGTGTGAAGGAAGCTACAGATTAAGGGAAGTCACGGACCTGAATCCTTCTCTACCAGAATTCGGTACCTTCAAGACCCACATCACTGCAAATTGACCGCCTTGCAATCGTGAGAAGCCCGTCTCTCGCGGCATATGACAGACGATCACAAAATCTGCTCGGGCGGTTGAAGAACTAGGTCAGTGATCCTCAGATGTCAATGATCCTCAGATGTCAGTGATCCTCAGATGTCAGAGTCGCTCCCTTTACACGCCGGGTTTCAGTCTCATGGACGATACCTAGGGAGGACCAGAGTGGAGAATATGTGTCATGGACCCCGTCTGTTACCTTCCTGCGTATATGAGCTAGGCTAGAGCAGTGATCACAGGCCGATGTGCTGCTGCTGTTCTTGCTGCTGTCTCTGCTGTCTCTGCTGTTTCTGCTGTTGCGATTGTTGCTGTCATTGTTCTCGTTGTTGTGGTCTTTGTCACCGTCATGTTGGCAGTTGCTATGATAGTATGATAGCTATTTTCGAACTGGAACGGGAGCAGTTGTCGATGATCTAAGGGAGGAAGAGGTGTCACTAGACAAAGTAGCATGATATGGTTGGCAGGAACCACATGGACGTAGTAGAGATAGGAGCCCCAACTATAAATTGATATCTCCACCCCAACTAGTACATCATCAGTGAAGCCAGCAACGCCGTTCCAAGGATCGATTCTCTTCCGCCTCTGGATACTATCAAATGCAGATATCCTGAGTCCTACGAGACGACAGCCTATTGTGACAATGTGCTCAGTGGATCAGAGAACCAGGTCAGTGATCTTTAAGGACCAGCTTCGCTCTCTGAACATCCGGGGCATTGCATCCCTCGAAAGACGCTCGTCGTTCGATCACGGAGAGAGCGAATTGGAGAGTGGGAATTATGAACCTCCTTTGGTCTTCTGTACGTACACTGGTCAAGAGCGACAACAATCGGGTCGGTAGTCCGCCATTGGTCTTGCTGGTGCTTGTGCTTCTGTTGTTACTGCTGTTGCTGTTACTGTTTGAGCGGGTTTCCAGCTATCGAGAGCGCCGACAAGTGGTACCGCAGCACGAATGTCTCTGTACGTCAAAGGTGGGTGAGATCTTAGAGCCAACAGAGAATGTTATGGTTGGTCAATGATTGCATGGGTATAAAGCTATATCAGCGTGTGTCTGTATGAACCGTCGGAGCGGACATGCTGTGGTGCATGGTCCAATCTAGAACCAAGCTAGAGTCCACAGAGCAGGATGATGGGGCCATCTTTCCTGCCACTCTCCTAAGATGATGGGAACCCTTGCATCAAACCCGTCTCTTGAACCTCCAGTAGCAGCATCGAAGCCTTCAGTACTGCCCGTCTTCTCAGCGTGGATCTTCCTCTCGTCTTGTGCAGCAGCATTCAGCTCATCAGCAAGCTCAAGAATAGCCCTGCCGCCGACCAAAGATTCTTCGTGATTATCCTTAATATCGACGTTGAAGACGTGGACAGGGCGATTGAGCGGACTTCCTCGTGATAGTAGATCATCAACAACGGCTTCCCAGCAGCGGTCTTCGCAGGTTATGACGATGTCCACTGTGCCTGACTCTGTACCTTGGGCGCCCATGTCATTGGTGTAGACAGGGTCGCCAGGAATGGGTGCGTTGGCGTATCTCTTGCCTACACGCGGGTATCCAATCCTCCAATCTTGCCAACGTTCAGGACCCCATTTGATGTTTCTGTTGCGATCGAGCATGGGTAGGATACCGTTTGCGCGGTAGAGACGAGCGTCTTTGCCTTCAAGCTCGCGGTACATGCTGTCGTATGAGGTGTTGTTGAAGTTGTAGATGTTTGGCTGTGTGATTGAAGGGCCAGGCAGACGGACTAGCGAGCCAGTGCCGAAGGAGATGGTGGGATATTGTTGGGCGCTGCCGGCGAGGCGTAGATGTGCTTCCATCGATCTGCATGACCGTATTAGTACGGTGTTTGGGTCGAGAAGAGCAGTATCATGACGACGACGATGCAGGAGAGAGATGGACAAGCAGAGGCTTTGTATTGCGGCGAGTATATACATTTATGCAGAGAGGAAGGTAGAAGCAAGACATGGCGTGTGACACGGCGTGTTGGAGGACATGACGACAAAGAGGCACATGAATGGCACACAGCATCACAGACATACCTGTTGTTGTTACTGGCACATACGGTGCAGAAGCGCAGCTTGAAGCTCTCCTCAGCTTTGGCCTCTTGTGCTGTGTTTTGATCACTGACGCCGTCCACCCTCTGTACAGATGAGTCTGGTTGAGCGTCGGCTGGAGGAGGAGGCGGTGGAGGTGGTGGTGGAGGTGCAGACTGAGCAGGCGCCGGTCGTCTCCGAGGATCGGCAGACATGATTATGTGGTGTGGTATGCGATAGGAAGGACGGAGTAGCTTTGACAGATAGGCGCAGGTCAGGTAGACCAAGAGCTATAGTCGAGAGTGAAACGCGTAGGCGAAGCTTTCGGAACGGCCGAATCGATCTGGCAGGAGCAAATAGAGTACTGCGACGCGTTAGTCCGAATGGTCTTGATTGCCGAGGGGCGTGATTGGTATAGAGTGAAGGAGGGGTTGTTTCAGGTGTTTGCGTATAAGGTAATAAGTTGTCTCGACAGTCTCCGAAGAGTCCGACAGCTCCAATAATTATAATCTCATCATGTGATTGTGCTTGCAGAGGAAGGTGTGATGGAGTCGAAAACTTACGGAGAGAGAGGCCGGAGATGCGAGGTCGCCCTTTGCGTGTGAAGCAGTTTGGACCAGACGCGTGTGTGTGATGGGATTGGAGGAAAGAGCGTTGGCAGCCCACGGACCGAGAGAAGTTGCAAAAGAAAGCGGCTGCCGAACTGCCGCCAAGCTCATGACGCCTTCCCAATCAGGCAGCTCCGTCTCTTGCTTTCACCATTTTCGTCCACCGCGCAACTCCGTCTATTTTCATTATGCCCTTAGCATATCTCCGACATCGCTCATGTACAACCATCATGTTGCTCTTCCTCTACTCCATCCGGCTCGTAGCTTGACCACGCCTGCCGTTTCTTACCTTCTACTTCCGTCCAAGTGCTGATCGCTGCCTACCACTTCTTCACGATGATGTGCTATACCCGTCTCGACATCTCTGACTCGTGCCTTTGTCCCGTCCTATAAAGCTAGCTTGGCACCTTCCTCCCTTTCCTGATATACTCTTCCACTCTCGCATGTCGACTGTCTAGAAACCATGAGCTCATCTGCCGGTACCGTTGTTGCCTTGTTAAAAACTCTGCCCGCACCTTCAAAGACAGAAAAGGTCGCTTTCAAAGTCCCAGGAACTGATGTCGAAGCCGAGACCTGGTATGCTCTGTATGGAAAGCTCTCTAAAGATGTCACTCCCCTAATCTGTCTGCATGGTGGACCTGGAATGGCTCATAACTACATCCTGCCTTGCGCCCATCTATCCTCGGCACCTTTTTCACGCCCCGTCATTCTCTACGACCAAATTGGTTGCGGAAACTCGACACATCTGCGCGAGAAGAAAGGAGATACTGACTTCTGGACTACCGATCTCTTTATTGCTGAATTGGAGAATCTGTTATCGCATCTGAATATCAAGAAATTCGATCTTTTTGGCCAGAGCTGGGGCGGTATGCTTGGAGCAGTTTACGCCACGACACGTCCGGCTGGATTGTACCGTCTCATAATTGCAAATTCTCCCGCAAGCTTGATCACTTGGGTCGAAGTCGCCAACAAGCTACGAACAGAATTGCCCAAAGACATCCAGGAGACTTTGACGCGATGTGAGGAGGAGGGATCGACAGACTCAGAAGAGTATGAGCACGCCATGATGGCTTTCTACGTGAAGCATGTCTGCCGTGTCATACCTTTCCCGGATGAGCTGAATCAAACCCTGGCCCAAGTCAAGGAGGATGACACTGTTTACATGACAATGTAAGTCAAGGCTGGCTCAAGCTAGATATGTACCTACTGACAACAATTCAGGAACGGACCTTCCGAATTCAATGTCATTGGTTCACTCAAGAACTGGGATATCACATCCGAACTTCACAAGATCAATGTCCCGACACTGCTGATCAACGGCAACTACGATGAAGCTCAAGACATCACCATGGAGCCCTTCTTCCGTGAGATCCCAGGCAAGGTCAAATGGGTCCGTTTCCCGGAAAGCAGTCATTGTCCTCATCTCGAAGAGACAGAGAAGTTCGTCGATGCTGTCGGCAACTTTCTGACCTCTGAGTCTTGATGTGATAATTTTGCACGATTATGTTTTTCATTCGCTCTCTGTTTCTGTTCATTCATCTGTTCTGTTCCTTTTGGTCTTACCACAGTTTCCGTAATATACCCCTGTTCCACTTCTTGCACAACTTTTTCTGGGTTACAAAGCTTCTGCCAGGCTGTGGGAATTTTGTGCTCAGCCACTGACTTGTAAAAGTGGCATCAAAGCCACTGGCAGGCTCAGTATGCAACAATGTGCGTTGCGTAGACGAGCTGACTGAAGTAACATGCCCCTTCGGATGTGTGAGCGCGCGAGATTTTGTGAAGTTCAGCTAGATCATGCGCAATGTGCAAGGAACTTTGCAAGAAGATAGTCATGTTCATGGACTTGATGCTCAGAGAAGGGTCGTCGTCGCCGTGCCGTCCCGCCGTCAATGTACGTTGATGTCCGACTGTCGTGTATGCGTTCTAGATGAGATATCGGGAGAGGTAGCGGCGTCATTGACCTTGTCCGCGATAGTCGTTCGCGATAGTCATTTATCAGAGACGACCATGATGAGATTGTCTACGTAAGTAGAGAGATATAGGCTAGGAATAATGAGCGAACAACTTGGTTCGAAGGATGTAGTATATACGACCCTGGTTTCTATATATTATCACTGGCAATGTTGTGCATATAAACAGCAAGATCGTTCCCAACCATCGTCACTTATACTGGGCTTTTCGCCATCCACTGGACTAAACTTAACATCAAGCTATCGGAAGATACTGTCTCTTACTAAGTAGCTGGCATATGGAGTTAGAAAGAAGTGGTCACATATACGAACGCAATTCCTAATCAATTCCCCGAAGACCTCGTCTACCTTCGTCATTAAAGCCAGACCGTTAGGCTTAGTAAGAGACCCCATCTCTTTAGAGCAGTCTCTCAGTGTCTGATAGTTCTCGGAAGTGACCCATGTCTTGGGGCTTCATAGTAACATGCAAAGTCATTGTTATCGATTAAAGGTTCCACGAAAGTCTCTCGTACAGCGAGTGATTGATCCAAAAAGAAGGTACTCTAGTCAAGAAGATTATGCAGTGAGTGCGAACTCACAGTCTCTGAGCGTGCAAAGAACTATCGTCCAGATACTACTGATCATAGCCACTGGGCCAGCCGCTCATCTCCGTTGCGAATTAGGGAGGGCAACCGAGGGGTGGCAGTGATTGGTTGTTCTGGTACAGTCAACCTCTGTTCTCATACAATATATCACACAAGAGCAACAGCTGATAGAAGTACATGGATTTTTTGGTGGAGACTTCCAAAGGGGCAATATCGGTCTGCTTAGCTACAATGGACTTCTGCTCTGCTAAATCTGTGCTAGAAGAAACATCTTGAATGTAGCGCTTCCCTAGCTCCACATGAGACATAGACCGTATAATGTGTTTTTTGTTATCGACTAGCCGCTCTTGCGCTTGAGATCGCAGTCTGTATGCCTAAGGGTATGCTCCTCTGATTCACGGATCAAGTTTGACTAACGTGTCGATAATCGGTCACGGATTGAAGTAGTGCTCTCGCTTTAGTGGTAAGTGTGGCTATCTATACTTCTCCACATGCAATACCATATGGTTGCCAGAGCATGTCTGATCAAGGTTAGACAACTATTATTCAATTTTGTATGTTTGCCTTTCGCGACCAAACATGCAGGAGGGAAGAGAGTATGCTCTTCTGTTCTGTTCCTTTTCGTTTCTAGCTGACTTTTTCATGCTATGACTTGAGTTAGGAGTTTGATTAGTGGGTTTTCATGTGAGATGGGGTCCCAAAATCTCCCATCTAGATCCACTGGATCATCGTGCTTGCTAAGAAAGAAGTCAGAAGAAGTGCTAGTTCTATGTGTAGGATTGCCATGTCTCAAAGTTCCTTGCATGTGAGAAACCGAGACCTTGCACGATGACGATTCTGTTACTTTTGTACAAGAACGTGATAGCAATGTTACGCCCTCTCCAAACGACAACCTCTGTTTTCTTATACCCATCAAGATTCACAGTACGATTGAGAAAACGCACAAATGTCCAAGAAGAGTTTGTTTACGTTGGATTGTCCTTGCGTAAACATCGCTGATCTGGGCAGCTAGCCGATTGCACAATATGTTCAAGAAAACATAACGATATGAGAAGAGACACATATATCTCGCTCTGCCTGTGTAGCCATCTTCGTTTAAGACAGCTTCGAGAACGCACGGGATGAACAAGAAACAGAAGAATGTCTAAATGGAATCATACCTCTCGCTCTCCCTGTGCAACCGTCTTTCTGGCTGGACGGCCATCACAATGCACACAACATTCCAGAGACGAAGCTGTGCCCATGGAGAGACGTTCCTTCCCCGAGCTAAGGTCAAGGCATCCATCTCACATGACCATGTCGAATGATTTCGATGGTCATGCTCCAAATGACGATTCGTGTCGTTGACGTTGAAACAAGGGTTCCGGGAACAAAGAAAGCCGGGACGACTGGGCTAGCGGGTAGCTTCGGCACATCTCGGCTTTTGTCGGCTAGACTCGGTGTAACAAGCAATGCGAAGCTCATGGACCGAAATTTGAGATTTTGTTTTGTTTCCATCTGCCATGAGGTTAGTGATATGATAAATGATCCATCAAAGCAATCGTGAGAGATGGACCATTCCAAGTCGCGGAGAAAATAGCAAAGTCGAGTGATCACAAAGGACTTGAACTCGGAGAGGATGAGAAGTTTTGTGACTTTTGTGGATTTTTTGGTTCAAGTAGTATGCTCTAGAAGGGTATCTGGTATCGCGAAGCAAACTGCCCATGAGGGTCAGAAAGAAGCATCTATGAGTTGTTGTGAAGAACAAAAAGTGGAATAAATCATATCCCAATCTTGGGAGTCGTGAACGCCAGCCCATCGCTAAAAACGCCAGAAATGCTTTGTGGTAGGAAAAGAAGAATCATCATCGCTGTGCGGGTCGCCGTCGTAATCATTGTCGAAAGGTCGAGAAAAGGGTCGAAAGAGAGAGCGGAAGGAAGAAGCTTAAGCAAGACCGAAAGTGGCTCTCATGCGACGCCAGATTTCGCTGCGCATGGCATCTCTGCTCTCAACAGTGCGAGTAGCGGCATCCTTGTTCTCAGCAGCACGACGGAGGAGGTAGTTGAGGCAGTCGGTCATGGAGCCCCAAGCAGTCAACTTGTAGGCACGGGGAATATCAACCATCTCCTCAGGCTTGGCTTGAGTAGCGCTGATGAGCTCGCAGCTGACTTCGTCGGCCATACCCTGGAGTTGAGCGTAGGCGCATGGAACTCTCTCCTCGCCGGAACGAAGCTGGTTGGTGCGGATTGCTTGGGCCTTGCGGACAGAGTCGGCGTTGTGGGTTGCGAGGACGAGACCAACGTTGCGAGGGAAGACACCATCGTCAGAAGAGATAGGCTTGACGACGTCGTTGTAGGTACGGGTAAGAACTGCTTCGGCCATACCGTCGTAGGCGCGGTGGGTATCCTGGATGGTGTCCCAGATCTTCTCGCGAGGCTCGGAGTGCAGGTAGGCGCCACGGACGAGCTTGACACCGAGAGTGAAGCCTTCAGTCTTGGCCTGGTGGAGGTGGTTGGAGAGAGATGCGGGTGCACCCTTGAGGTAGCATTGGTAAGTGTTGTAGAGAACGATGTTATCGGGCTTGTTGTAGATCTTTTGCAAGTTCAAGGTCCAGGCGTCAATCATGGGGTTGGTAGTCGTTTCTTCGGCAGAAGGAACGAGAGCGATGCGCTTGGCCGAGGCGGCATCGCAGATCTCCTTCATGGCCTTGTCCATGATATCGATGGGCTGCTTTCCCTGCTTGAGGAGCTGCATGGCGTAGCCACCCATACCAGACCACTTCAGACCGATAATGTCGCCAGACTGGGCAGCCTCGACAGTGTCCATAAGTCCCTTTCTCCACAGCTCGACATCGCCGGCAGTGTCGTCGGAGGGGACGTCGGAAAGGATTTCGCGAGCATACTCGAAAATGACACCAGAGTATCCCAAGCTTTGCAACTGAGCGCGAGTCGCACGGACTTCGGCCTTGGTCTCACCTCCACAGAATTGCTTGTAGAAAGTCTCTCTCAAGACCATCTTAAGAAGAGGGTTGCGCTCGACGTTGAAGATGGGACCCTTTGCGTGGATCATGGCGGTAAGAGCCTTGAAGCAGACGGACAAAAGTGCGGGCTTGCATGAAATTGAGGTAATCATGTAGGTTCTCAGGACGGTCGAAAGAGGCAGAACGGCAAGAGCAGGAGTCTTGTTGGTCTTAGTGACCTTTGAACCAGGAACATGCTTGGGGAGGGTAGCCACCTGAGGAACAGTCATGGAGTGTTGCTCGGCCGGAGTGCTGTGCATGTGTCTGGCAGACATCAAGAAGGGTGTTGCGACGCGGCCATCCAGGCGGCGTGCCATGTTGGAGCGCAGCTTGAGAGACATGTCGTTGCCGTGTATGCGATGATGTCTTTCTGAGGGCTGCGAAAAGAGTCGATGAGTTCACTTAGACCTCTCTCAGCAGAGGGCCATCTGCCTTTAATACTGAAACCCATGATCCTTATGCCGCCGTTCTCCTTGTTCACTTGCCTCCGGCTACCTTCGGTCTTGAGAGTTGACGTTGATAAGCGCAAGTTCGCGGTCTTTGTGTTTCCGCCCACGCCATACCCGATCAGGACTGTTCCCCAGATTACGCTAACCGACCTTTGCTTCGCTCGGCTACGGTTTGCTGTCGCACCACGAGTCGAGACCGAGTGGAAAAGCTCTCTCCACCAAAACTCGAAGTGATTTTTATCGTGTTGGTCATCATACCTTCGGCTCTCCAGACTTTCATCTCGGTATTGTTGAACGGCCTGTTTCGGTCTTGACTGCAAGAGTCCATCTTTGCTTCATCTCCGCGCCCTGCTCCTTCTCCAATTTTCTGTTGCGAGTTCGGAGAAAGCTGATCGTGATGATTTGAAACTGCTGAGTATCCACCTCTTTCATCGACTTCTCTACCGTCGATATCCGAGCATCCCTCGCTTTGTGTCTCGATGCGTGATGGAAAGGGAATGAAGGAGTGATTGACGTCTGCAGTCGTGCCTTCTCAGCATGCAGCGTCCTCGTCTGACAACTCCCGTGACTCTCGCATGAGTTCAGCTCGACACCATTCACGTCTTTACGCAGGAGCATTCGCAGCTTCACAGACGCATATCGAGGCAGCACTGCGAGATCGTCGTAGCTGCGAATGCTGGCTCGACAATTTGTCCTTCAACGTGTGCTCAAGCTGAAGGACCTCCATGATCTCGACGCACATCATGTGCGTCAGATCTCCTGACAGTCCATCAAAAACAACAATGCCGTGGTTTCTCAACAACTCCTACCTTTCGAGCACATGAACTCCGGGTCGTCTGCAAAAGTGTTCAGAGTCCAAGGACGAACAGATATGAGCATTGGCAATCTTCACCACCACCACCACCAACATGTTTGCTTCATCTCTGGAGTGTTACCAACACGCACCAATCTCGGGAGTGGTTCAGAGTATTCGTATCGTCAAGCGTCGCTCTCGCCGCAGGCGTGCGTCAACCACGCAGCTGACGCCTGTGACCAACCGCAATCTCTCTCATCAGCTTACCTTCACCCGCACCAGGAAGTGGCAGCACTCCGAAATGTATGCTGTTGCTTGGTCGCCTCCTCAACGACGGGAGATCTTCAGAGCGTCCAACCGCGGTCGATCATGACTTCGACGCGGTGCTTGACTCGGTCTGCGGGCCTTTGGAGACACCTTCAACGCCGACTTCGATGCAGACAGCGGTCCTCCTCAGATATCGCCTTCTCGACGACGTCATACTCAAACCTTGCGTAACAAACGTCCGCCAGAGTCGAAGTCGGGCGAAGCAGCCTCTATTGGCATTGGCTGGGAAGCGTCTGTCCAAATATCCAACAGTTGTTTGGCCATCGGAAGAGGTTCGGCCGAGTGTGGATTTTCTGTATGCCCGTCAGCTATCTCCATCAAGTCACAACGACGCCGGTTAATCTATCGACACTAATAAGTACTTCCAACCGCTCATCGCATCAATCTGCACTTCGGAGCTATCTGGTTTGCCAACTCGATGGAAAGCGCGGGTCCTCGGACTTCTGCATTGGCTAATGGTCGCGGCGTCTTCATCAGTCACGTTGCTGTCCCACCGCTGGAGCGCTTCTTCCGCCTGTCCGATCCTCCGCATTCTACTCATGATACACGGCCTTTGTTGACTCATCGACAAGGACATGTCAATCACGAACGCTGGAGGCAGTCCCCGCTCGCCAGCGGTTTTGAGGCACGGTCCCCTAGTTTGTGTGGTTTATCTTTCTCTATGCCCAGGCATGTCGCAATTTGTCAAGTAGACCTTGTGTTACGACTCAAAACACGAAGGCTGTTCATCATTGCTTTTGTTCTTAGAGTGCAACAGGATCAGGAGCTGTCAAAATTATCCAGTCGCATCAACGCGACTGGAAAGACAGCCTCTTGGGAGACGCAGTGTTGATCAACTCAACGTCCGCATCTTTCTGCTCATCCGTTGTTTACGAAAAAGGTGTTTTCCAGCTAACAGCTGTGGCACTCGGTCAGTCGCGGCTCGAGATCTGAAAGACTTCTAGCACATGGAATGCTGCTGCCGCGCAGATGGTGCTCAGGCATTTGCTGGTTCTTTCTTATCCCTTGCGAATCACTCAGGACTGGTGTCTTGCTCGAGAAACCAGAAGCGACTGCCACAGTGTCCGAGACGATAGGCTCTCTGACAATTGCCTCCTCTTTCAACATTGCAGTCTACGGGCAGCAACGGAACGAAAAGCAACTTTACTTCTACCCGACATCGACTACTTGATCCCAAGCTCGCAGACCTGAAACTTGCTCTCGTAGAACTGTCGAGGCAGAAAGGTAGTTAGTAAGACTCCTTTCTCAAATGACTGCTGAAAAGGTCGAGGGAAGAACGCTGCATCAGATAAAGTCGTTCCATGTAGACTTTTTAGATCTCATGGATGATCAATACTTTGCTTCTTTCATCATGCAACAAGGAAAAAGAACCGCAACTTTGACTCACCGCATTTTGCATTAGATCATCACGTTTCGTCTCAGACTCAGGGTGGCCATCACGTTCTGTCTAGAGGAAGGTAAAGGATAACTCATCAGCAAAGTCCCCGAGACGCTGTCGAAAGTTCTGCCAACCCGAAAATACTGTCAGCAATGATACCCCTGACGGATCGATAAAAGATATGTGGAAGAATTTGCGGCGTCAGGCAAATTTTGTCACCGAAGGTTGTTCTCAATCTTGTTCAATTGATGAACTTCGTCTGTTCTCATCACGCAGAGGAAAATGAAAAGCATCTTCGACTTACCGCGCATGGATCCAAACAACACATGCCCTTGCCCGAAGCTCAGACTTGTCTGAAGCTCAAAACATAACCACCGCTGGATCTGGAGGAGGAAGCGTCTTTTCTTCACCTGCAAGACATACTCCAGTGTCAGCAGCATACTCGCAAGGATTTGATGCATCAAAAGAGTATATGAGGTTGCTCAGCAGTGCGAAAAAGCTTTTTGTTGTCGTCATTGGGTTCAGACAACGGACAAGGTAATTTTTGTCATCATCGCTTCGAAAAGACATCTCAAGATCAGCACACTTACCGAAGCTTTGTTCCATCCAGGCCTTGAGCTGTGCCTGCGTTCGATATATGTCCTGCGATGGTTTGCCAGGTGTTTTGTTCTCCTGGTATGAATGCGACCATACTACTCAAGCATCCCTTCATGTTAGCGTTGTTCTTCCAGAGGATGAAAGAAATCGTGGTAAAAGCAGAGAGACAGCTCAGAATCGTCGAAAGGCTATCCGTTGATATCGTCCACCGAGTCATCGAAAGAGCAAGAAAGATTGTGTTCATCATCACTGTTGAGGCATCTTGAAGTGAGGAGACTTACTAGAAACAATTGCCGCATATGCCGAGCTATACTGTGGTAATCGCATGCGTCAAGGAAGCAGTCTCGCTGACTGATATATCGCGTTGCTGCTCAAAGCATCAGCCAAGCTCTCTCTACTTCGCTTATGGGATGGAAGAGGGCGATGAAGATTGTCAGAGTTGTGCTCGTTGTTCTCATTCCCAAGGTCGAAAGAACATGAAGAAAAGCTTGTGTTCATCATCGTCAGAGTTTTGCGCTCAGTCTACACACTTACCGAAGTGTTTGTGTCCGGTGGTGCTGGATTCTGGTCTTGCATGCAAACCTACAGGCAAGTGTCAGTCAAATTCTTCGAGCAAGTCGATGGTCAACAGAAGATGTGATAAAGCGAATCAGAAGGGGCCCGAGGGCTGGTGTTCTCATCACTCCCACGTCTAAAGAAAGACTATGTTTTCTGACATCATTTCGGCTGCTGAAACACTGCATGGAAAAGATTGCGGACTTACCAAAGCTCTCGGCCTATGCCACAAGTCTGAAATGACTGCAAGGGTTGATGAGAGAATACTCTTTTAAACTTGTTTTCCAGCAGCGTTTCGAGCATGCAGCCAGACAACTGAGGGAAACCAGAAGGTTTTCCTTCAGAAACGACGAGTCGTCTTGGTTCATCATGCATGATGCACAGGGCGCAAAGGGCAGAGCGTTTGGCCTGCCTGTTGCATTGCCCTGGAGACAGGCATGGCAGATGCCGAAGCAGAAAGCTCTGACGGACACGCAAGGCAGTGCAAACAACACAGTTGACATGAGTCTGGCACAGCATGAAGGCGGAGTGGCAGTGGCCAGCCTGTCCTTGCGAGCCTGAGCACACACGAGCTTGAGCACACGCCTCTCGCCAAGGGATCACTGTGTTTTTGTTTCCACTTATTACACTCCATTTGATTTTCCACCTCTTCGATTGTTGAGATCCTCGTTGCCGTCTTGTATCGACAGTTCGGCTTGGGTTGGGACGGTGACGGGGCGGGCAGCCGCTCTGCACGATGATGAAGGTCAGCACCTGTTCGCCGCCGGATACCAGAAAGAATGCTCCACTAACAAAGAGCAGACTGGGGAGGGAAAGGTCGACTTGTCTGGTGCTGTTGTCGGTAAAGACAAGCAAGCTGATCTGTGGCCATCACGAAAGCTTTTCCCCTTGCGCAAGATGCCGACGGACCGGCGCCTCATTCGTTGAGAGATCGACCTGGGTCATACAGAAAGAGTCAGCAATCAAGTTCTCTACAGAGAAGTTGTACGATCATGGTATGAGCAGCTGTTCATCAGTTTGCGACCAGGCCGTCGCAAGTGGTTTTTTGTCTTCAACAATGTCTCCGTGACAGGGTTCAGCAGAAAGGCAGAATTGTTTGTTCATCATTTAGGCAATCTGGGCTCTGGAAAAGAATCTCACTTGCCTTGTTGATGTTTGTTGGGTTCTTGGCGCGCCACGAAGGACTTTCGAATGGATTGCGATCTTCCTGGAACCAGAGTATTAGCTCTTTTCAACAAAAAACTTTGGACGAACAGAGAGGAGATTCCAGCAGTCAGCGGGGAGATATGATCGAAGATAAAGTGTAATGCTGGCTATACAAGCCGGCTGAAGATGTTTTCATCCTCTGTCAGAGGTTACCATCCTTCGAGGTTACCATAAGGTCAGATGTTTTTCACAAGACGTCATCATGAAGCAAGGAGTGGTTTGGATACTGTTCCATGCTTACCCTGTCGAAGAAGATGGCACCAAAAACTTCCTGTCATATTGGCTGGCTTGAGCAACTCGCCACTTCGAGTCAAGACCATGCTGGGGTGTGCCATCAGAATGCTGCAAAGAGCTGTTTGTTTTCTTCAAAAGTCAGAAGTCCAACGATTTCATCGCGCGGCAAAGCATGGTCTTGACATCGAGGAGCTCGTTGTCTAGCCGGTTCTCACAGGACCATGCTGAGCGGTTGCTAAAGGCGGTAGTGTTTCTGTATGAGGCAAGCTGTCAGCCAAGAACCTCTCAGCATGAAAAGAAGTGGTACGGAATCAAGGGTGCTTCTCAGAACTCTTTCTTGATTTTTGTAATCCTCATGGCGATTCAGAATTGAAATGAGTATGAATACTGTCATCTTGGAGCGGGGGTGCTGTGCAGGATTTCAAGGACACTTACGAAAGTTTGTGGTCGTGGGTTCGCAGCAAGCCAGCACTCGAGACCGCGGAGTCAACTCAGCGCGTCGAAACGATACGGAAGAGCCCCGAGACCTTCGAACTTCGATCAAGTCAGCAACCTTCTCAAAGATCGTTGAACAAAATCAAAGCAACATTGATGGAATGTATGCTCATCAACCCGGCTAGGCCATAAGACCTTATCTAGAGAGACAAAGACCATGGAGGTACAGAGTCCGGCATCTTTGGGTGCAATGGCAAGCTAGCCACCGAAGCACATCATAGCCGTGAAGGTGTTGTGTGGAAGGGAAAGGCCTGACTTATTTGGATGGTGTGCGCTAAAGAGTGATGAAGATCTGCCATCACCGACTCAAGCGAGAGTCATCGCCGGCGCACAGCACGAACTCTGGCATTACCTTGCGCGCGGTGGAGATGGCTGCAATAGCACGCATGATGAATGCCGCCGCCAGGAAAAATGGTCCCACCATGGCCCAGAGCAGAAGATGGCGTAAAGTCATGGTTCTGTTGAGCTATCAGGTTCTGCTCGCACGAGACGCGTCAGTAGAGGATGATGGTGCTTACCTGGTCGTCTTCGATGATGGCTGAGATGATGCTGTCGTCGGTGGTTGCAAAACTCAATGTGTGTTAAGTTGAGTTGTGATGGGGAAAGGCGCAAGAAAAGCTGAACAGCTCAAGTCAAGATTCACATACCACCCCTCGCCCCGCGCAACCACTCTCAGCTTGGCGACATCATCGCGACACCACTGAGAGGGCAGACAGTCTTTGCGGCTGCCGCAGGGCCTTCTACATCACCACTATTAGCTCCAAGAAACGTGCAAGTCTCTATCAAGGCGTCAGAGGCGTCAGAAGCATTGGGCGTCGAACAAGACCCGATCGAGGGGTTGTCTGGGTTGGCAAGCTGACTGAATCCGTAAAGACCATCCTCGAGTCAGATGGAGCATCCCGCGAGAAGCTTTGGACGTCTATCATGCCTTCTCTTGCCGTAGCAGATGTGCGTGCTCTACAGAAGAGGCAAGCGTCAACGTCACAAAGCTTCTGCCCTAAGCAAGAACGAACGACTTCGTCCAGAGTCACTTATACACAATGTTGTTCTTGCTCGCAAGGAAAGTGCGTAACTCTACCCTTCCACATCAACATAAAGTCACGACATCTACTTGATTGTACAGCTTGATGTCACTACTGACTTATCCACCCATTTTTGAAGCGTTGAAAGTCACGTGTCGTAGTAACCTGAGGCCTCATGTTGCTGCAAAGGACTACATGTTCATCACGTGCCGCTCCTACTCCCAACTGTGTTCGACGACAGCTGCCTAGAAGAGTCTACCAAGACTGTTCCGGCAACGGAAAAAAAGTGCCTTGCAATACCTAGAGCTAGAGCTCGATGCGTATAGCTTCTACCCATCCGACAGGTGTTTGATTTCCAATGAAAGACGTCCTGCCCCCAGTTGCTCATGACTGTTTGTGGCAGCAAACTCCTGACTCTTGGTTCGGTGTGTATGGATCTTTCATGTGATCAAGGAAATGCAGAATGCTTCTTATTCCCACATACCGATCAAGGCAGTAACTTCGCCAGGTCTCAGCTGCAACACCTGTGCACGTCGTTCGGTCACTATAGCGGATTGGTCCGAGAATTTGCCGAGGTTCTTGGTCGCTGAGCATTGGCTCAATAGAAGCGGACTGCCACGCCGACACTTTGATGTCAAAGTGCATCCAGAAGAAGCAAGAGAAACAACGCAAGAAAAAAGAGATTGAAGTCGCTTCCGGCATCTATCATGCTTGCCTCTTGCCTCAACCACTGCATGCAAAGGCAGTCGAGCACGACAATGGCGTCTGTGACCGTGCAAATTACAGTCGTGTTCTCCAAGGTCACTTGCCTGTGCCGAAAGTCTTGCCTTTATGCAACGGTGTTGTGAAGTCCCAGGATTTCCATAGAGAGTCGCAGATACATCTCAGACCTTTGTCCTGACTGCTGAGATGCAGCGACAGTCGCAAACGTATTGCAATTTTTGCTCTGCCCAGTGAGATGTTAAAACTTCTGTATGGCATGGCCTCAACACCAAGGATCGATCGTTTTTCAACTACTTCTGATCTTTCCAATACGTATAGCGATACTCGCAAACCTTTCGCAGATCTTGTCCTATCCGCTGAGACGTCTGGTACAAGTACAAAGGAGATGTAGAAAAGGACGTTCGACGATCTCTCAACTGTGATTTACTCTACTTCTACACGCAGCGAAACTCGCAAACGTGTCCCAGCACCTTTTGTATCCGCTGAGACGTCTTCGGAAGTACATACCTGCCACTGTTAATCCTGATCTCACGTGCAGCGATACTCGCAAAGATGTCCCCAACAATATATCATCCACTGAGACGTCTGCTGGCAACAAAAGTTGAGGATTGTTAATTACATTCCTATGTTCCGCAACTCTGCTTTCACGTACAGCGACGGGCGCAAAAGTATCACAAACGGTGCATTGCCCGCTGAGACGACTGTTACAAGTACAAAGAGGCTTGGAAAAAAGGACGTTTGATGACATCTCGATTGGTATTCTACCCTGCTTCCACGCCCAGCGATACTCGCAAACGCCTAAATATCCCTGCTCTACCTGCTGAGAATATGCTGCTCCTTCCTTTGTCGTCTTGCCTGATCGATCGAGTTGCATTGGTATTTGCTCGATGATCGACAGAGCCGCTAAGAAAGAGTATCCTCTTGATTCTCAGAATTTGCTACGTTTCTCTGGATGCACTTCTGCCAGATATCTTTGCCGAATCCTTCTTGCGTCTGTTGCCTCTTGCCATCCCCTGCTCCTTCTTTGACCTTCTCTTTCACCCGCACAATTCTCTCTTGCCTCTCGCGAACGCTCAGGGGGCGATCTTCCCTGAGGTTGTACGTGCTGCCAGTAAGCATGTTGCCGCTAGGGCTCCTGACTTGCAGGCTGTCGAGTTGAGTAGGATCGAGGAGTTCCGAGTAGCGGCGGATGAGAGGTCTTGCGGGCTTCGGGTGCGTCATACCGGACTCGGGCTCGTCGCCAGCAAAAGACGTGACTGTGACTTCTCTTGGGCCACGGGAGTCTTGCGGGCTTTGGGCGTGTGATGCCGGACTCCCGCAGCCCCAGAGAAGTCGGTATCGTTTGGTTTTGCTGTGAATGGCGGGGTCCCAGGCCAGACCACCTCTTCAATTGCCTGGACCTAGGACCCGCCGCCTTCAAGATCTGCAGCTTGCAACTTCCAATGCTGAGAATGTACTGGATTAGTTGCAGTTGCAAGCTGCAGATCTTGAAATAATGTTGCCCATTTGTTGTTTGGTAGGGGTCCCAGGCCAAGCCACCTCTTCAATTGCCTGGACCTAGGACCCCACCATCAGATCGTATGTCCACAAGGAACCAAAGTGTGACTTGGGTTGGAGTCGCAATCAGAGCACTGTGTGTCGCCGACACGCAGCCACACTTTGGTTCCTTGCGGACAGATCGCCAGCCCCATACGCCCCCGCCAGCTCTGAGACTTGCTGCACGTCCAGAGTCGACTGTGCTGGCGAGGGGTATGTCTGTTGCGATGCGGCCTGCTGCTGCTGCTGCTTTCGCAGTAGATTTTGCAATCACACTCAACGGAAGGTAAGCACGCACACACCTGACTAAGGCGGTGATGCTACCTCGGTGCACATATCCAGCTCTCCCGGCCCAAGCTACCTATTCGATTGCCCGGAGCCAGGAGGCTTCTGTGTGTGTTTCCTTTCCCCTCAACCCCAATGTGGAGGTGCTGGCAAAGCGAGCTCTAAACGGGCTTTGCGCAGCTTGGGTTTGAAGGGAAGAGAGACCTGAATATGTGCACCATCCCAGGCCAGCCACCTATTCGATTGCCTGGACCTAGGATCCGCATGGTGATGCATAGTGACTGCTAACCCCTGATGGCTTTGGGATTTGCAGATGTCATCATTGCATGACCCGAGGAGCGACTCTGGACGAAGCCGAGTGTAGAAGACAACGAGTTTCGGACAAAGCAAGACAGCGATTTTGCGGTGATTTGGCCGAGACATGCGTAAACGCACGTAGGTTAGGGTGTTGGCTGCGTTGACTCGGAGAACGGCAAGGGTAAACGAGGCTTCGACCCGAGGCGTGACTCCGGATGGACCCGAGTGTCGACTTGACACAAGCTTTGCTGTTGTGGAAGTCTGGGCAGTAACGTTGTCGAGATGAGTAAGGACACTTTCAGTGTTGTGGTCACCCTTCTCCATGGCCCAGACAATGGTGGGATGAAGACGCTCAACAACTTTGTCCACAAGAAGGTCAAGCTTCTCGTTGTCAACGCCGTGCTCGGCCAGATCAAAAACAGACTGGTGCTTGTGCTCCTTCGACTTGCGACGTTGCGAAGGACTGCCGTTGAAGCCCGACTTCTTGAGATAGAAGCCGGGCGATCTCATGTTGATCATGTCGCGGCGTCCCTCAAAGTTGCTGTCGCCATCGACACCAAGGGTGGTGCCGTTGTCGAGGGCGTAGATGTTCGACTTCTCGCTGAGTTCGATGCCCAAGCCGCCAGCTTCGTGGTAGCCGTCGCGGAGAGAGCGACCAGATGAAGAGCGGCTGGAGCTGTAGCCCGAAACACGACGGAGAGGACGAGGCTTAGCGCTGGGGTGCTCGTAGGCATCGTACTGCAGATTGCCGTAACCGTTGGTCCTGTTGGCAGGAGTGTCAACGTTGATCAATGGCTTGTCGAGGTTGATGATATCAGTCACCAAGCACACCCGCCTCGGTACACGATGTCTGCCGACCCGGCCCAAGCTACCTCTTCGATTGCCTGGAGCCGGGTGGCTGTAGTGTGGACATCGTGCACCGTCCCAGGCCAAGCTACCTATTCGTTCGCCTGGACCTAGGACCCGTATGGCGGTGTCTGCGAAGACACCAGCGTTGTTGACGACGAAAGACTCGTTGCCTCGATCGACAGCATCGGCGATGACGGGATCGTTCAAGCTCGTCGAGGTCAGAAGCGGGCTCTATGGCGGCACGCTTGAGAGCATTGGTGTCAGCGGCGGGCTCCTGGGTGTTTTGATCAGCTTGGAATTGTGCAATCAGAGTGGAAGAAGGCATACCTCAGCGCCGGCAGCCATTGGCCCTGGGCTCAGCCTTAGGCTTGACAGTGGCAGCCTTGGGCTCTCATCGTCTTCGTCGGTCATAGGCTCCTCGGCCTTGACAGCGGCGGCCTTCTTGCCACGAGCCTTCTTGACGACAGAAGCAGGAGTGTCGGCTCAGGGGTGCCGGCTTTGACAGCCGAAGCTCTAAAGGCTTCTTTGGTAGGGTCCCAGGCCAGACTACCTCTTCAATTGCCTGGACCTAGGACCCACCATATCTTGACTCGAAGCTTGTGAAAAGCAGTGTCAGCGGAGGTCTTGGTCCCGGGCCAGCCACATATTCAATTGCCCGGACCCAGGACCAAAATTGCACAAGAAGATGTGCAAAGATAGTGACTTCTAACCCCTGATGACTTGCTGTAATCATCCATCTTCTCGCCCGGGATCTTGCAAGTGTGGGCCGAGTTCCTCCATCGAGATCTTGTTTTTTGAGCTGGCGCTGCGGCAGCCACGATCTCAAGACTACTTCCGGTCAGTACAGATGATTAACCATGCAAGCAGCAGCAGACATACCGAAAAGGAGGATGAAGGCTGCCACACACTGCAAGACAGTTGAGCATCTTGAAGTGTGGGATGTTGTAAAGTCACAAGAAAAGCCGCATGAGTTGACGTGCTTTTTACTTCCGAAGAGCATAACAGAAGAGGAGCTCTGACAGAAGCTTGAACAAGAACAGATCTTGTCCCAGTCGAAAGTCTTGTGGCAATGGTATGCTGAACTGGGCTGGGGTTACTCGAGTCCAAAGTGGAGCAGCACATGAGTCTCCAAGAAGCTGTCGTGGAGCATTGGAATGATCAGACACGTGCATGGTCGTGAGGCATGACGTTGAGCGCAAGTGCATCTGATTGGATGCCGGAAGCGGCACTCATCCCCCGTGTCTTGGATCGAGTGCTGTTCATCTTGGTATCAAGTCAGCAAAGACTCGACCAAAACATGTTACAAAGACATACCAACATCACTCTGAACATGAGTTGGTGTGAAGAGGGAAGAGCCCTTGCGAAGAGGCTGGCAGAGCATGCCGACCGCCCAGCGCAAGGCACAAGTACTTCAAGAACTCAGAGAGATCCGCTAAGAGCTGAGAGTGGATACTGGTTGGTCAGGTCAGTTGAAGTTGAAGATCTTATCGAGCAGAGACGCATACCTGGACAGAAGACGCAAGCCTCCACCAAGCTTGAATGGAAGAACAAAGCAAAGAGAAGTCAAGTCAGACTGAAGATCTTGTAAAGACCAGCGCAGAGACGCATGATCTGACAGACTCTTGTGCAATGACTGATGGTGCTGCTATGACAAGTCAGTCGAGGTGCGCGATGAAGTTCTCATCAAGCAAAGACGCAACCTGGACTAAATACTTGGAGACTGCAAGACTAGATGAACAGATCAAAGAGGACTTAAGTCAAGGAAAGATCTTGAAGAACTAGCGCCGTGGCACATGGCCCTTCCGACTTCTGAGTGACGATTGCTGCCGCCGGCAAGTCGAGTCAGTTGACGTGCGCGGTGAAGAGGACGAAGAAGAGGTCTTACCTTCAGCCGTAGGGATAAGACGTGCGCGTTCGTGCTCTGGGCAGTAGGGTGAAGCGCATGCGGCTGTGGTGATGAGTGGAAGGTCTTGCGATGATTCGAACCACGGGCATCATGCGCTTTGCAGATGACTTTGCCACGGACAGACACATCATCTGACCGCAGGGAAGAGCAGGCTACAGTGACGTCTGGTTCATCAAAAACAAAAAAGAAGGAAGCAGGAGCTGAAAGAGTGCTTGGTTGTGGAACAAGAAAGCAGAATTCGCAAGTCAAAGGTGAGGAAACAGCAGCTGCGTTCCTCCGGCTTTGCGATGATGGCCGAAGCTCAACGCACCCTACGGACGCCTAGCAATGCTACAGCCAGCTTCACGTTCACGTCCAAGCAAGGATTCAAGAGTTATCTATACTGGTAATCGCTGCTTCCTCAGATGTGCGTTGTAAAGCTTCACAACCGGAAGGAGTGACGACGGCAAGATCTGATCAGTGTTTCTTCACACCAAGGATACCTAGTCTTCATCAGATCAAGAGTACGGCAGCACAGCGACCAGATTCTTCCAAGAGCTCTTCGGTAGTAGAGGAGATTATCACCGATCTTATCACGCTACTTTGACACCATCCACACGCAGCTAGTCTGACAGGATAGTACCGACTTGTCTACTTGGACTATCTTCCCTAGCCATTCGAAATCAAGCGTTTCGGCTTTTGCTATAGCCTCTGCAACAGTGAGCTTGGAGAAGACGCTGGAAAGCCCGTTGATAGGCCAAAGTCTTGCTCTCTGCCATGACAAAGAGCTTCGTGAATAGGTGGCAACTGTAGAAAGCACGAAGCTTTTCGTTGTCATGAAAGCAAGACGGGCTAGCAGCAAGTATTTCTATATCCTTCTGTGAATCCTGGTCGGAAGCTGAAAGACGCTAATGAGAGAGGCGTTTGCCAACAGGGATTAAACTCTGTGTTAAGATTCGTGTTCCAACGAGCGCTCAAAAGCTCTACAGATCTCACCAGAGCGTCAAGTTGAGGAAAAAGACAAGGTAGGTTAAATCTGACTTTTGAAAATTGCTGACTGGAGAGTCAGATTGTTTTGAGCACGAGTGGGTTTCGTATTTCCACTTGTTGTTAGTACCACCCTGTTAGTATAAATTCTTCAAGTCATATTCCATTAATAACCACTACCTTTCACAACACTGAGAACGCCTATCAAAGACCATCATAAGAACACCAGTCTCATTAGGAGCGTGATTTTCTCACTATTAGAAATCATGCACACAGTCTTTGGTTGTCTCCAAACGCTGGTAAGAAGATAGAACACGAGTCCCAACCGACATTTCGCTTAGCTCTATGATGTCAAACTCAAACAAATCTAACTATCTGCTCCTGTCTACTCAAATTTGTACCATTGTGACATAAATGCTCAAGAAGAGAGTCCATGACAAAGCAGAACGTTAAGCTGAAGTTTGAGCATCAGGACCACCAAAGCCACCAGCAAGACTATGGTTACAGTTCAGATTGCAAAGTGATGCTTGTCTTGTCACAATAATGGAAAACTTGAGAAGATTTCTAGAAGTACAATTTATGCTTGTCTTTCGTGAGAACTATAAACTATTTACAGAAAACGCCATGCTGATTTCATCATGCCTATTGCATACCAAAAAAAAAAGTAAAACACCTCACCCAACCCCGATCTCATCATTTCTCTAGGCCAAATTGTCAGATCTATCAACCCAGACGTCTTCCAGCTCAGCAAAGTTTTGGAAGTGAACAGGTCTATGCACATCATCATAGAATCTCTTGGGTACGCCAACATCCACATAGATGCGGCCTTTCTCCTTGTCGCCAAAGCCTGAGCCCATGAATGACCAGTTCCATCTCTCGTCGTCGGGAACAAAGAACATTCCTCTGATGCGGTCCGAAAGAAGAAGTTGAGACTTCTCGCCGAAGCCGGCACCAGGGTTGAAGCCAGAGGGTTGGTCGGAAGACATGTCCTTGTTCTCAGCACCCCAGGTGTATCCTGATGGAGTCAGCGACCAGGCAGACAGCGAGACTGAACCAGGAGTGAAAGAGACGGTCATGGTGACTGTCTTCTTGTCCCAAGTGTCGTGCTGGTTCATGAGGCGGGCGTGCTGAGTGACGTCCTGTGCAGTCATGTAGCTGGTCTCGTTGCCGGCGCTGGTGTGGATCCATCCTAGAGGCTCAAGAGAGTTAAGGATATCGTTCTCAGGCAGGTTCCGAGGCAACTGAATGTCACGAGTGTTACCGACTTGAGGTACCATAACGATAGCCTTGACTTCCTTGATTTGCTTGTTATCCGGCGGCGATGAACCGTACAAGTAACCAGCAACCTGTACACGGAGATCGGCGATGGTGATGAAACGCTTGAGGATGTTCTTGGGCATGATGTAGGTGAAGTGCTCCTCATCATCACGGATATCCTCAGAAGAGATGTAAATGTTGTTGGCGCGAGTGCGAAGGTTGGACGTAGCAATTGCACGTGTTCTCCACTCGGTCTTTGAGGCGAAGGTTTGCTGCTCGAACTGAGATGTGGTTGTGACGACAATGTCTTCGCCATTCACGTTCTGCGTCTTTGTTGTGACAGCAGTGAGCTGAGCTTGTTCCTCTTGTTGCTTCTCAATCTCTGCAGCCTGTTGTCTCTGCATACTGGGGGCACTGATCTCCATACCCAGAATGATATCTCTGACTTCGCTCTGTGTCAGAGAAGAGACGTTGACGTTGTTCTTTTTGCCGTAATCGTTCAGGATCAGATCACGTAACTGCGTTTCGACCTTAATCCAATCATCGTCAGACAACGTCGGCCAGATGTGATGCTCCTGTGTGATGACAGTCTTATCAGGACGAAGCAACAACTTGGTCTTGTCCTGATTGACGTGCAGAGCACGCAAGATCAAGATGAGACGCGAGAAGGCGGTGTAAGAAGAGATGGACTTGAGCCACTCATCATACAAGTTGAAGAGCACCATCTGAGGCTCGGTAGCACGCAAGATCATGTCGCCAAGCTTCTCCACCTTCATCGCAGCCTGGAAGGGCAGCTGCAGTTCCGAGGCACGAATGGAGATGTTGGGGAAATCGAGCAAGTGAACCTCGAGAGGATCAAGCAGACCCTTTCTTGTGACAATCAACTGCTTGGGCTGTTCTTCAACGGGCAACGATCGAATGAGAGCCGCAACTTCTTCTGCCGTCTTCCATTTCGCCAGCTGACCGAGACGTTTCTGACCTGCCCAAACACTAGTGTGAATGATCTTCAAGAACAGCTGACCAGTCCTGGGGTTGAAGATGAAGATGGCACCGTTGATAGGCTTGGTGGTCAAATTACCTTCGAAAGTCTTGTGAATGGTGACACGGTAGACGTTAGTGTCATCAATGAAGAGCTGGATCTGGTTGCTGAACAACTCAGAGTAGTTCTGAGAGTTGAGGAACTCTTGGTTGCTCTCGGAAGCGTAGAGCTGCAGACCCTTGCGAATACGCTCGCGAAGAACGTAGAGCGCGGGGTTGGCCTTCATAACCTTGGCCATAGCCTGCTGAACGAGCTGCTTGAGACCAGGGAAGTACTGTCCGTAGGCGGAGTACAAGTTGTAGGCAAGATCGATACCAATCATCAAACCAGTGGCAGATGGGTAGATACTCATACTGTCGGAAGTGTAGTCGAGGTACTTGGCTCGAACGTAACGTTCGATGTCGTGAGAATCGTAGTCACCGTAACGGAGCTGGACGTCGACCCAGAACTTGTTGGTTGTAGTTTGGCCCATATTGTCCTTGGTGTCGTAGAGCAAGCTGGGTGTGCTAACACTCCACTTGTGACTGGCAAACAGAAGGATGTCGGCGCAAGAAGAATTCATCTTGTAACTCTTTCTGGGATGGATGGTCTCCTTCTGCACTGTCTCGATACCAAGAGCCTCAAGCTCCTGATCGAAGACTTGACACAGATCCATAACCACGGACTCGCTGCGACGTAGTTAGCTAGTGTTATCAGAATGTGACTGGATTTTTTGCCATACTGAATTTTTTGCCACAAATGGGCACGGAAGATCTGGATGAGTGAGATTTTGAGGGTGGGGATCTTGCCGTGCAAGAAAATACCGGTCAAATCGAGCTGGACCTGGAAACCAACGTAGACGTTGGCACGGTTGATCTGTAGAAACAAAGTCAGCAATGTTCTCACTAACAACATGACACGGACTAGCTAGTCACTTCCAACAGCCTTGCATTGTCAAAGGAACCCATCAAAATGCACAACGCTTTACGATATGGACCTTTGTCCAAGGAGAGTGCCGATTTTTTAGGCTCTCAATGGAAGCGCTTTCAAACGCAAAAGACTTGTGCATTTTGATAGGCAGTTCAATGACAAGGCAGGCTGTGGGAAGGAGGAGATAGTGGTAAATAGGGGTGGAACTTACTGTTGGTGACCACCACAAGGTGAAGCGACGATTGGGAATTTGGTTAAGACCCGATCTTTGGGCGTTTGTCAACTTCTTGAATTTCATGGATTCTTCGAAGCCGCTAGCTCTTTCCCAAAAGAGTCCTTCCCATGAGGGGAAAGCAGTGGCCTTGAACAAGGTGTGCTCAAGAATGGTCTCAACACCACCAAGAGCCTGGATGACATCGGTTCTGTATGCGTTGAGGTTCCAGAGCTTACCATCGTGACGCTGAGATGTCCACCAGAAGGGGTTGCTCTTCATCTGCTGGTAAATCTTGAACTCGGTGCGAGCTCTGAAACCCTTGTCGAAACTGAGCGTACTTCTGTCCTTCTGGAAAAGCGTGTTGATACGAGGAAGACCACGGTCCCAGCTGTCCTCGAGATCCTCAAGAGTTAGACGACGATTCTGCTGCTGAGCCTCGAGGCGCTTCTGCGAGTACTCGGTCCAGACACGTTGGGAGTCGACAAACTCGGCTTCCCACGGGATGATGTAGCGGAAGATGTTGGGGATAAGAGTCTCCTCATCGTGCGACATACCTGCACGGTAGTGGGTGACGCCGGTGTCGGTCTGTTTTGACCAACGCTTGTCGCTGGCAGGAATGAGGATGTGAGAACCCGATATCATACCTAGACCACCAAGCTCTTTCGGTGTGTAGAAGACGGCAGGAGGAAAACGACTGGGCATCTTGGAATCCGTATGGACGTTAGCGAGGTTCAGGAGGTATAGGAGTGAGGTAGGAGGTCAGAGGGGAAGATTTGGAATGAAAACAGGGCGATAAAGTCGAAAACGACGAAAATCCGGGGTAACGACGGCGTGGTCGAACGCCGACATGATCAGGATGTGCTATGTAGGTGGATAATACATTGGGAGTGTTTGACTGAAGGTGAGAAGGGAAGGGGTCAAAAAAAGGTACTTACTGAGGCCGATTTTCACGCGAGTCTGAATCTTGGTCTCACACTTGACGATAGTATCGAGCAGGTCGACGGTGCTGACAGCAGCCTCACGGTAGTATGTGAAGAGTGCAATCAAAGCTGTGTTCCACTTGTTGGCAATCTTGGTGAAGGTGGTAGATCCAGAAGACATCAGAATTTGACGGATGCGGTTATTGAACTTGGCAATGTCCTCCTCAGTAACCTGCAAGAAGGCGTGTGCTGTTCTCTCCTTGGTCGAGTTGTCCACAAGAGACCAGACACTGTCCTTTGTAGGGAACTCTTCGTTCTGGTTGCGCATCTTGGGCAAGATACGGACTTCGAAACCGCACATGGAGAAGAGCAGGTTGGGGTTGTCTCTGCTGTATACAGAGGCGAAAGTGTCGTCCCACTCGATAGTGGTGACTGATCTAGGCAGACGGTTCTTCATATCCCAGAAGACGGCTCTACCCAGGTTGACATCGTGGCGCATCAATCTCATACGAGAGTCACGCGGCCAGCACTTCTTGTTCTTGTACCCAATGACATTCTCGAAGTTCGGATCAGGCTGTTCAGTCAGAAAGCGTTGAATCAAGTCGCGAGACTCGTCTGCGCTGAAACGGAAGAAGACCCAAATTCTGTCGACATATCTTGTGTAGAGACGAATGGGATGTCTAGTTTCGGCAGCACGGTCTCTGAATTGCAGAAAGTCGTTTGGTGCATTCGGAGGACCCGCAATCTCGCTGGCTCGTTGCAAACCTAGCAACAACAAATCGATGACCAAACCGTAGTATTGGAAGACGAAAGCAGAGAATTGAAGACCACGAACCATACCATAACTGTTGGTGTGGTTCATATCCTTGTAGTTGAGCTGAACGTTGTTCTTGGATGAAATGTAATCTGCCAAGTTGTGGTCCATGATTAGACGAAGAAGGCGGTTGAGCAGAGTCAAATCAATCTTCTCGTACACCTTGGAAAGCTGAGTCTCAATCATGACGTTGCACTCTCCATCAGCAGTCTCCCAAACCTTGTCCAGGTTGTTGATACCCTGAGCCCACTTGTAGGTGAGCAGTGGCGGCACTTCAGAGTCTGAAGGCTTGATCCAGGCAGGGAAAAGATGTCTCTGATCTGCTTGGTACCAGAGGTACTGGTCAAGATAGGCGTCTGTGATCTTCTCGATAGGCTCGATGTCGTAGACTGGGTTGATGGTCGAGTAGTTGTCGTTCATGTCAATGCCTACTTCCTTGAAAGCACGCTGTGTGAGCAAGAAACGCTTGATACGTGCAAGAGTAGTTCCAGGTGAGTCGTAAGCCTGCTCAATCAGAGCCAACTCCTCACGCTGACTCTGGTTGAGACGGCCCTTGACTGAGTAAGCCTCGCGCAGACGCTCGAGGGCAAGAATGAGGATCTTGGTGTCGTGCTTGTACGATACACTTGGGAAGGGGATAGGCTGGAACTTTCTCGACTCGAGCCAGTGAACAGTAGTAGTGTAGATGGCAACAGCCTCTTCAGAGGAGACGTAAGGACCGTCCTTCATGTAGTTGTGCTGGCGTTCCTGCTCAGCCTTCAACCACAGACGAGTCAGACGACCAAGGTTCTTCTTGGCGACGGTCTTGTCGACGGTGGCACCTCTTCGGATACGCTCGCGGTTGTAATGAGCGACTGAGATCCACCAGTCGGCTTTGCTCTTGACGTAACGCAGAATGATGTTTTCAATGGGTGCAGGGAGACCAGGAACCTTCCAAGGAATGTTGGACTTCCAGCATCTCCAAGCCTCAGACAGATGTGAAAGCACAAGGTTGACCTTGTTCTGCTTGATACCCTCGGGCATCATATCCATCAGATCAGCCATGACTGAGGCACGCAATTCAAGATCGAAGTGAGATTCGACTCTTTGCTTGGTGACTGTCTTGGCGACACCCTTACTGTGACGACCCTCGAACTGTCTCGAGAGCAGATTGCCCAACCAGCGCTCAAGAAGAGGAATGATACCTCTCATGAAGAATAGCCAGACTCTCCAGGCAGGAGCCCAGAAACCACAACCAGGACCCTTACCGACGGGGCCGGAGTTGAATCTGTAGTAAATCAAATGCTTCAAGTCCTTGCAAGTACGAATCTGGTGCATAAGCTTGTACTTGTAACGGTACATACCAGTAAGTTGACCAACGTGGTTGAACGCATACAAGATACCGTCGGCAAGTTGGAAGGCATCAATGTTACCCAGTCTGTACTGTACCTGAGCATCCACAATGAGCTTGGTGAGGCGGAGGATTTCACGCATCAGGTGGAAGGCGTTACCGAAGCGCGACTTCTTGCGCTCCTTGGTGGTCAGAGTCTTGATGGGCTTCAAGTTGAAGTTGTAATCGAGATGCAGGTAAGTCAAGTTCTTGCGGTGAATCAACAGGTTGAGCATGTTGAAGCCCTGTCTGCAAACTTGAAGACCTGCCTCAACCCAATCAATGGTGGTCTGCTGGAAGAACTTTGTCTGCTTGAGAGTGCTCATCAAGTTTTGCCTGTTCTGAGCCTTCGGGGGCTTCTTGTGCAACTCATTGAGAACGTAACTCTTCAGCAGCTTCTGGTAAGAGACTCGGACCTTGACAGGCTGACCGCCGGGAACGTGCTCGAGATACCACTGCTTGACAAGAGGGACATCCTCAGCACGAACCATCTTGCCTGAACGGCGATCGAAGGGGTAAGGTGCCCACCACAGCTGGATAGCGGCAGCAGTCTCGTCGTTGTAAAGGTCCTCGTCAGACATGAAAGGTTCAATCTCACCAGGCATCTCGAAATCGTCGTCCTCGTTGTTGCCAGGGCCGAAGATCTCATCCTCGTGGCTGACGGTCAAATTCTTGGGAGCAACGGCTCTTGAAGAGATGGGGTTGATGACAGGATCGAAGTAGAATGCAGGAAGACTGGGGTCTGTCGTCCTTTGGTAGACTGTCTGAGGGTGTGAGTATGTGCTCAGCTTGACGCTGCGGGGTAGAGAATTGTAGAGGAAGGGGAAGTCGACACGGTATTCGGTCTTGATAGGAGCACGGAAGATGATGCGGTCAATGGCGTTGAATTCGCCAAAGTCCTCGTCGTTGGGGTCGATATCCTTGTACAGAGGCTCGAAGCGGGGACCACCAGGGATGGCGACGTTGAGAGCCTTTGCGGTCTGGAAACTGGGCAGGTCGAAGAGATGGAAGTAATTCTTGTCGACCAGATCGCTGAGAAGAGGAGTGCTCATACGGTGAAGAGCAGCCATCTGCGGCAGTGACAGGTTCCACTTCTTGTATCCAGGTCCACTGACATGTGATGTGTCCAAGAGAGGGCGGGGGTCGTAGAACCACTCGTAGATGGCGGCATCATCGTCCTCGTCCAGTTCCAGCTGAATAGGCTCAAGCGGCTCGACATCCTCAATGTTCTCGGACCATGAAAGTGGCGGCTCCTCATCGTCGAAGGGGGGGAAGCGCATACGCTTGAAGTGTCTTCTGTCACTCTTCTCTCTTCTCATGGCGACCCACATGGAAGCCCATTGCGCATGGAAGACTGGCTCGATGACACGAGGAATCTCGTTGACCAGCGTCAAGCATCCATTGACGTGGTACAAGACCTTGACTTCGCGCACACTCTCCCAAGGCATGGGCATATTCTCCAAAAGCTTCAAGACAGCATGCGGCATGAACTTGAGAGCACCCAGATAACTTCTCTTGTCTGAACTGAACTTCTTTTGCGAAACATCACCAATGTCCTTTACAATCTTTCGCAAATGCTCCGGTGGCATGTCGGCCTTCTGTGTCTCAACAAAACCTCCACGTCTCTTCTCTCCGAAGCGCTGTCTCTGCATGCGCAACCATTTTTGCTTCTTGTCGGCGAATTTTGCGATTTGAGGGTCGACTTGAGGTTTGTAACCGGGCGGAGGAGGGGCAAGGGCGTCGGGAGGAGCAGCTCCAGGTGGTGGCGGGGGAGGGGCGTCCCAGCCTGGAGGAGGTGGCGGTGGTGCGGACATGTCGATGATGGTGTATGTCTGTTGGCGAATATGTAGATGGTCGTAGCGATGGGGGGTGGTGATCTAATCACGGCAGCTGGTGCTGCTTCCCCGACCGCGATGTCTGTAAGATGGCGTGCTCGGATGGATGGATCCGGAGTGAGACCAGTGAACAAATGCGCAGTGACACGTCAAGATGAAAGCTCCAGTCGTGTCAATCGTTGGCGCAGTGATGCCGATGGCTCCAACTGCTCGAGATGTAAAAGTCGTGGCGACGCTCTCTACTTTGCGCTATGAACCTCCAGCTCCAACTTTCGACGAAGCCGCGACCGAAAAGGTCTTGGCGGATTCGCGCCTGCCTCTTGCGGTTAAACCCCGGAGTTAGCCGAAGTCGCACCTGCCTTCGCACACGTTGGCAAATTTCAGCTTGATCGATTGAGATTCCGCGAGACGAGACAATTCATCACCCAGCGACACATCCAACACCGTCAAGATGCCCTCCAACAGACTCACCTACGTACGTCCTGGAGATATGCTGTCGACTGAAATTTTGACATACTGACCCTCTTCGCAGCGCCGCAGGCAACCGTAAGTCGACATCGCGCAATCTTGCACAAATCCACACGACGCACCCTCACACCGAACGACCGCGCAAAACCTCCCATCTACGATCGCTCTATCATTCTTCGAAAACCGCACACATCTACAATATATCTGGCAGATTCAGACGCGCTGACATGAGCTGCTTCCAGCTACAACACCAAGTCCAACAAGGTCAGAGTCATCAAGACTCCCGGTGGCGAGCTCCGTTACCTTCACATCAAGAAGAAGGGTACCGCTCCCAAGTGCGGTGACTGTGGTGTCAAGCTTGCCGGCGTAAGTTGATGTCCAATCGTCCAAGAGATTCTCGAACACTCCCTCCTCGACCTACCTACTTGCCTGGAGTAACATACGACTTGTCAACCTCAACCCAACCTCTACAACAATAATCACAACCTACAACACTCTCGACGAATCTCTTGGACATGAATACAACAAAATACCAAGACTAACACTGGTCTCTCTTCAGGTTCCCGCCCTCCGTCCCCGCGAGTACGCTACCATCTCGCGCCCCAAGAAGACCGTCCAGCGTGCCTACGGTGGTTCCCGCTGCGCCAACTGCGTCAAGGACCGCGTCGTCCGCGCCTTCCTGATCGAGGAGCAGAAGATCGTCAAGAAGGTTCTCAAGGAGAACTCGGCCCGCCGTTAAACGATTCCCCCACCTTGTTCTTTTTGAAATGAAAAATCTTTTCTTCGGTTGAATGCTGGCGCAAAGTCTCGACGGAAGTTCAAAAGACGAGTTTTGTGACTTGAGAAAAGGCAAAAATGCATGTGGAGATTTTAAAAGGGCTCGGCGTCTAAGTCTACGCTTTCTTGCTCTGGCTGGGACTTCGTCGATATCATCTGTCGTCAAGGTCAAAGGGACGGCCGCGGAGGGCAGAAAAGGTCATGTTAGCATGCGATGAATCAAAAACTCGTTCAAATCGATTGGCCAGTCTACCACATGTTGCGATTGCTGCAACCGACTATACGGAAATGACGAGACACGCAAACAGCGTAATGCGCAGTACGGCAACATTGGTCTATCAATCTCAGGTAGGTCTAGACCTCGGCCACGAGGAGACTCTGCCGCAGCACAGCCTATAATATTCACGTGGAGGTAAGCCATCTATGACAGAATTTGGGTAGCAGAACATGAGACCCCAGAAACAGTATATCCTTAGACCTCCAACTTCTGCACAGCCATAGCATTAGAAGGACGAAAGCGCGTTCCGTTCGAGGCGCATGCTCGTTGCTCATTGAAACAATGTCCAAGCTTTGAGACCAGGGTGCTACCAGCAGCCAGCATGTTCATCAATGTTGAGAGCGAGTAGGACGTCTAGGGATTCCATAACAACGTTAGAATGGATGCCAGATAGATGAGAATGTGGTAAGGTTGGCGAGGATGCATGTATGGAACTTTTGCTGCAGTTCTGATAGGTCAATCGCTTTCAGATTATCTTGTGACTCCAAAACCATCGAGACGACCTTGATTTACATTTTCGGCATGGGGAAAACACAGAAAATGGCTATTTCGACCAAAGATCACACTTCCAATCATGGATGAATTGCTTGTGCCTTATTCACAGACCCTACCTCGTCCGCAGCAGTGTTCCCAGGCTGCTGTGTATATCGATGGAAGAGAAGAACCATGAACGAGCCCTGATCTCTCCGCGTTTCGCCAAAAGGAAGGAGCGGACTCAGCGGAGTGACGTTGGTGCTTTCCCAAAAAGCTGGCGCGAGCGCGGGTTCCAACTCTTGATTTATTCTCGCGTCTTCCTGTCTTACGTGCAGTGCCTTCCTGTCTCGCTGCCAGGGCTCGAGGCTGCTGGCTGTATAGTTCCTTCCTATCCAGTCAAAAACAGTGACGTTTCGGTGTGCAAGATCCCGGACTCTGGTGCATGGCTTAGCCGAATGATTTGCTGTGCATGCGCTTCGCGTTCGCTGTCTGCCAACCAACCAATCCTTTCCCACTCGGCCACCCTCTCTGTGTTAAGTGACCGTGGGCCGCGCGTGTAACCGACGACTGTGATCGTTGTCGCTGCACATTTGCGTTTGCATCTGCGCAGACTTGTATCCAGCCTCTGCTCGTCACAGGCTTCAATCCGACATACCTAACCTTGACCTTCTTTCCGTCTACGATTTGCACTGAGCGTGCCAATGACCACCCACCGCCATCTGTACAAAGCGACGGCTTCATGTTTTTACGACCACTCGACTACGAATCACCCCTCGATATGCCTACCTCTCATTTTGACAAGGCATTCGCTCTACTAGAGCAATCCTTTAGGGATGGCAACTTCCTGCAAGCCTACAAATCACTGCCATCGCGACAAACCACCGAAAAGGCCGAATCATCTAGACATGCCGACTTCTCGGACGACGATGACGACGACTCGGACCTCTCGGATGGTGATATGCACGAAGGATACCGGCCCAGAGACGCACCATCCATATCCCTTATGCGCCGCAACTCGACACTCCCTCCCACACCGCCTACACAATCGCGCAATGTGAGCGCAACATATGCGCATCTTGTGCCCTTGCCACGAGAAGCAGCAGGCACCAGTACACCACCAAACCAACAGAGGCCTCCAACACCCGACTTGACCCCACCCAATATTCGTACCAAAGCACTTGCGCCGCCACGACCTGCCATACCACACTCTGCCTCTTCGCGCGCCGAGTCTTTCATGACTGCAAGAGAGACTCAAAGTCAAGCCAGTGCCAGCACGAGCCAGGCCAGTCTTCCACTGCGGTCCGAGGCAGGGCATAGGTGGTTGGACGCGACAAGAGGCATGCGACTGAGCAGTCTGCCGCTGGGCATCCCGGAGAGGCCGAACTCGCTGGGAGAATCTATGTCTGGCTCTGGAGAGACAACACCGACACAAGAACCCCTTCGACCCTTCCCCGCACCTGCCGTTTCTTCTCATTTGGTCGAACACATGACTCCGGAAGACTTGGGCGGAGAAGCTTCATCCACTCCCGACTCTGAGGCCGGCAATTTCATGAGGTATGTGACCATCCGAAAGAAGCGCGCAGCTGAACCTCAGCAACAAACAACACCCAGTCAGAGGATGTCGACTAGTAACCAACAAAGATCAGCATCTGCAGTCATGCCGCTTTCTGAAGGAGCTAATGGAAGCCCTTCTACAGTCAAGCATGGAGAGACGCTTGATTGGCTGGAGGCAGATAACGGTCCCTTGTATCAACATATGCGAAACGAAAAGTCGAAGCGTCTGTCTGCTGCATCCACCACGTCGACCGTCATTGAAGCCTTTGTACTCACGGCTCCACATCAGCAAAAACAGCCAGCTCTACGACGAGTCAGTAGGGTCGACACTCTGCGCGATGATGCTTCTTCAAGGCGTAGCTCGCTCGAGTCTCAACACGTCTTGAATCCGAAGATAGTACCCCCGCGTGTACGCAAACACCTGGTCAACGGAGATGTCGATGCAGCGCGATCTGTGTCCAATCCCGAGACTGGTCGCGTTTCCAAAGTGCCGGTAATTGTCATACCCGAGCGTCGCTCGTCTCGCTCTTCTTCATCGAGTGACACAAATGACAAGACCCATTCACTCACGTCTCGGCAGAACCGACTCCATCATTCGAAGAACCATGTTTCTCTCAAGCGGGGCTACATCGAAGGCGAGACTCCACGCACGTCTCTGGACCAAGAAGTGGACCTCAACAGTGATATCTGGCTCGACTATGCATCTCCAGAGCAAGAGCAACCAACACCGCGAACAAGACTGCGCCATGTGTCCGCACCTGTCCATACTAATACAGATTCTTCCGAGATTGTGTCGAGGAACTCGTTCCATCGCGTGAACGGCCAAGATGCAAAGATCAAGCTCAGCTCGCAGCAAGGCTGGAAAAGACACTCTATTGACGCCGAACTCGAATCGCCTGAGCTGGAACGTCCGCCGAGGTCTTCTGTGGAACGTGTTAGGCCCACCGACCACAGACTCTTGTTGCCATCACAGCAGAAGAATCTGTCAACGCAAGCATTGTCTGACTATCCTCAGCAGACCTCGCCGCGTAAATCCTCAGACTCCAGAGACATCCGCAACCTTCACTCGAGCACAAGTCCTTTTTCGCAACTTTCAGACCGCACAGATTCAATGGAGTTGAATGAGGCCAAAGCCGTCAATCTGTATCCTCATGGCAACAGATCCCTGCTCATGGTCCAACACGTTGCTAAAAGGCGTCTGGCCGAAGCCCAGAACGCAGATGAGGACGGAATCATTGACGCTCTTACCACACCCGACAGTGAAGACGAGCCTACCATCCGACCCTCCCATCCCAAGTTTTCTACCGTCCTCGACGCACCGACGCCTCACACCTTCGAAGACCTCAGCCGTGCCGAAGTCGACTCACCTCTCCGAAACCCACGCACCGCCCCTCAGCCTCCTCGTCTCCCTGCTGTGATCATCAGCCCTGCGACTCCCTCTTCGCAATTCCGTGAAACGCCGGCTCCTCCCTCACCACCACTTCGCCGACCATCACTGGTCGAAAAAGCTCGAAGATATTCCGAAACTCTCATTCAGCCATTCCTTACCCCTTCCCTGTCTCGCCGTAACAGCACATCATCACAACGGCCAAAGAGTCAACACGACAGAGATACCACACTTCACCCCTTCTGGCGACCTCGAGGCTTCTGGGATGATTTCACGGATAGTGAGGAAGAGTATTCAGATGACGAGTTACCATCGGGCGGAGATACGTCTGATGTTCAAAGTCTGGACTCCTTTGAGCAGAACAGGCATTGGAGACCTAAACGCTTGAGTGTGCGACTACCTGGTTTCCGAGGCCAAGGTGGCTTCATGCTAGGCAACTCTCTCGGGATCGACCGCCATGGCACGAATGTCCGTCGTCATCATGTTTCCATGACTCCTGCCAACAACCAGCGTTTGCTGCATTCCCAGCAAAAAGACAAGCGAAGTCTTCTCACCAGGCTGTTTGTTTCGTTCCCAACTCTCAGAAAGAGACAAAGCAGTGATTTGTTGAGGATGGCTGCACAGAGTACGGAGAGCTTGAGACGATTGAGTCAGAGACACAAAAGAAGATGGGATTTCGGCGGGTTGAGAAGTAAGATGGCGAGAAGGAGGGAGAGGAAGGAGCAGGTCAAGAGAGACAGATATCGAGAAAGTATCAAGGGTAGGATTGGTGCGCCTGTTTATGTGGGGACTTAGGTCGAGGGTGTATGAGGAAGGACGGGATGAGAAGCATGAGAACGAGGATGAGGATGAGGATGATGTTATATGATGATACCATGGCATTACGGCTTGTGTTTTTTTTCTCTTTCTTCTTTCCTCACATAGCTATGTTCTGCACTAGATACCATTTTGGCCTTGCGATTTTGCTGCTGGCTGCTTTACTCAAGTTTAATTTTACCTTCATTGCTTCCTCTTTGGTCTGTTCTCTGCTATCTCATCAGTTGCTCTTGTATCACTCATCCCCAAACTTCTCATTCATCTCCACACTCTGCCTCGCAAACCGACTCTTCTCACGCATACTCTCTCCACGCCTAAAGAACACAAACGGCATGACACAAAACAGCGCAGCCACTGCCGCAACGACGGAATCCGCAACGACGGAACCCGCAACATTAGATCCCAAACCCGTAAACATCTGATGTGCAAACAATGGCATCACACCCGTTGGACTTCAGCAAGGATTTGGGTGCACCCATGGGAGCTATGCTGCTAGGCAGCGAAGCCCTGCTATGCCAAGAAAGAAGAATAAGAAAGAATATCGGTGGTGGGATGAGACAAGCAGGAGTCTTGACTGCAGCAGCACAAGTCGCCGTGGACGAGCAGTTTGGAGACGGCGAATGGGGATCTAGGAGCGGAAAACTGAGAAACGTACACGAACTCGCGAAACGAGTAGGGAAAATGTGGGAACTCAAAGGCGGCAAGTTGCAAAAGCCTGTGGAAACAAACCAGGTCTGGATGAACTTGGATCGGTTCGGAGTGACCGCTGAAGAATGGGATGCGACAGGAGAGCGTAGAGGTTTGTTGCTGGATGGACCTAGGCTTGTACTCCACCATCGAATAACCGAAGACGCATTGAGTCGGCTGGATGCGGCATTTGCTAATTTGTTCCAAACCAAAGATTAGTTGATCAAAGTTACATAGAGGAGTTGTATACTGGATAGAGCGTATAGACCTCGCATTCTGCCGCTGCCGAGGACCATAGTTCGAACAGGGTTGAGATCGTGTCAGGAGTAGATAGCCTGTCTGAGGGTTCGAGTGAATGTGCAATGCTGTGTTCGTTGATTCTGGGGAGTGATCAGCAAGGGTGATGAGTGTCGATGGAGTCGAGGATGGTTGAGTATGTAAACGAACGACGGGCTCTGTTTCGAGGGCCTCTCGCATACTGTGGAGGTGGTTCATGCAGATATCTATCCATGAGCCAAGTCGGTGGTGAAATCAGACATGTGGATCAGTGTCATGTCGATGGTGATTACGGCAGGCTTGCAGACGGGAAGTGGCGGTTGTGACAGCGGTTCTCGTGACAGCGAAGGCAGCCACTTGGCGCTAGCCAACCATGCAGTGTGAGGTGTAAGCAAGGCTGAAAAGAGACAATGGGAGTGTGATCCGATTTGAGCTGAAAGTCAGAGGCCACGCAGGCACCTGGTCACGATTCTATCTGGATGAAGCATTTGACACGAGGTTCTTTGCGCCAGTGATGTTGGAGTCTAACAAGGGCGATGGGAAAGCCAAGGCGTCAAAGGTCTTTACTTTGACTTGAAAAGGTTTTGGGTCAAGCATCAAGACAAGGTCACCACGGGCTGAAGGGGACCCGGAGTGTGTGGCCGAGGAGTGGAGGAGGGGAACAAGAGGGCCTTTTGGGCGCATTCTTACGATCTGAAGATTCGGGTGATGAGGTGGATGACGGTTGGACGGGTCGTGGTGGATTTTGGGCGCTGCAATGAGAGCGACGATCTCTGCTCGATTGGGCGGGAACAGACAACTGGTGACGTTGACGCCGAGCTTCTCCAGACTTTCTGTAACCAAGCCGTCAGCAACAATCACGAAGGCGACACTACAGTAAACACACCAAGCCTATTGAACTGTACAGATCGTTATCGTCACACACATACACCAGCTCGACATGGCCGGCATCTTCAGACCCGCGGGCGCTTGCTTGCGCGCTTCCCTCGAACAGCTTCCTGCCGCTCGCACAATGCTTCGACAGCCAAACCAAAGACTATGCAGACACTTGCACTCGACGACGAGGACAATGGCATCCAATAGAGGCCCCATAGGTCCGCCAAAGACAAAAGATCGCGGTCCGCCCAGCAAAGAAGACACCCAGACCGACTTTGGTGCCATGGACGTCCTCGGTGCTACGCCCACTCCCACAACCGCCATTGACGCTTGCGCACACGACGGCTTTGCTCTCAATTCTGGGCTCAAGATTGCTGGGTCTGGAGTTTTGCTTGTCGGTGGCGACGCCTTCAACTGGAAGCCCTGGATCAGAGAGGGTCGAAAGGAGGGCACAATCGGTCAAGGCGCATTGGGCGATGACAACAAGGGCGTCTCGAGCGTTGGAGGCTTCTTGCGCAACAACAAGGGTCAATGGGAGGTGGCTGAACACAGCTGGGGACTGCTCGACGCCGTGTGGCCCAAGCCTGGTGAGTTCAAAGAGAACCCCTTTATCACGACAAGTACCGAGTACCTACAGCCTACTGACGCCGCGCCTAGATCTCCTTATCCTGGGTACTGGTCCAACAATCATCCCAGTCTCGCCCGAGACGCGAAAGCACATCAGCGATCTGGGCATTCGTCTCGAAGTTGCAGACACGCGTAATGCCGCTTCTCAATTCAATCTTTTGGCTACCGAGCGCGGTGTCCAGCAGGTCGCTGCCGCTTTGATACCCATTGGTTGGAAGGAGGGCACTTACTGAAGTAGCTCCCATCATCTTTCTCCACTCTGTTGCCCTACGAGCTGAACCGAGCTTGGACCATTCAACCATGTGTCCTTGTCCCATCATGATATGCAGACGGAAGGCGGCGCGGCACGCTTAACCATTGCGCTGTCATCGCTGCATGTGAGGAACATCTGGACGTGCTGCCGCATATGGCGTCTTGTACTCGTGAGAACCCAAGTTCCCCAGTCTGTACTAATTACCCAAATGCACACTGCGAGACATGAGACTTGACTCTTTCCCAAAGAGAAGCCCTTGCAATCATCTTCCCAATCTGTCTGCCTGTCTTCTGCTCTGTTATCGTGCTTTGCATGAGCCCGGCGCTTTTGTCGGGTTGGACCTTATCGGAGCCCATCGCGTTTGAAGCTTCATTCCGCGACCGCCGACCGTTTAGGCGGAAGGATTCCCTGCTAGACCTTATTCGCACGTTGCACGTTTGCTTTTATCGCTGCCCGTCAAGCGCCACTTCTGTTCCTCTGGCGAGCTGTGACTCCGTGAGAGCAACCAAAGATCCTTGGCCAAAGGCGTGATGTGATGGATGACCCTTTGTCTCTGATTCGGCCAAGTGTAGGGCTTCTTTCGTTTACCACTTGCAAAGCCTTCTAGCACATGCATCCAAGCAAGCACGAGCTCCATCGGACATGGTACGTCATGAGGAGACGTGCGATCGTGCGGACGAGGATGATCTTTGCATGTTTGCACGAGATGATGGCAAGCGCACGCGTGCGATTGAAAGAGACTCTCGGAACCCATGTGACATGCAGCAGCAACCGCTGCTGGTGCCAGCTTGCAGGCCGTGAAAAACGAAAAGGCTTCGCGTACGGCGACGAATCAGAGCCGCCAGCGCCGTCCCAGACAAGCAAGCCATGGCACGGAGCGGGCGGTTTCCCCGCAAAATGTTGTCTTGCCCCCCACACATGGCCGTGATTCAGGATGATCACGACGCTTCTCATCCTGCAAGCCGCATACGACACTGCGGCCAGTCTTGGAGGGCGCTGACTGTGCTCAGCATGCACGCTGAGCGCTGCTTTCCTGAGAAAGGATCAAGGCCTCATGCCGCCCCCGCGGCCAAGATGGGCCTGGCTATTAGCTACCGTAGGCGCAGCCAGTGCGTCGGTTGCCGGCCCTGTCCTTGCCCCCCCACCCTCTGAGCTCACCATACCACTGACTCCTGCCCCGTTTCCGTTTTCCTTTTCCCTTTCTCGAGCACCGTGAAGTCGTTGTGACAGATACATTACTACAAGCTCAAGTATTGTCGTCTCGCAACCTGCCAAGTTGGTTTCTTGAATCTATCCAAAACTCGACCCCATATTCCCATCTATCCTCTTTTGCGACCACGAATATCGGTTTGCCCTTTATTGTTATCGCAGTCTTTTGCGGCTGTTGCTTTCACCTTTTTTGACGCGCACGCGCGCCGGCCCCAGCCAAAAAGCTTGCATATCCTACCGCTCTCGTCAATCACCTCGCCTTGTCGTGGGCCTGCCTGCAGCCAGCCCACTTTCTCCTTGCACGCTTCCCTTTCTCGCAGCGCTTTTTCTTTGCGCGAGCAAACAGACGTCCATGACTCAAATACATCCTCTCCACCCCAGCAACTGTACATACCTGGACCTTGTACCTAACCATCACGACCAGTTCAACATGTCGTAAGTTCCACACCCACATGTTCCCCTTTCCCCCCAAGCTTAAGCTTTCGATACCTCTCCACGTAGCGTCGCGCCTGTACGGCCGTATACTTGCATGTCATGGACCGCAAAGATACCTTGACGACTGACATATATACCTTTCTTCCATCACATAGTAACCAACAACCAAAGCGAGGCCTACAACAATTGCCGCTGTCGGCGTCACCACAGCAGTTGTCGCTGACGGCTGGACTACTACCTCCCTCTTCCTATGCCAACCCATATCACTCATCACCATACACGACAAACACGTCGCCGTTCGGCTATCCTCACCCACCTCCTCTTCTACACCATCAGCAACACAGTCCCTTCCAGCAACACCCTCTCGCTCCACCACCACAGATTCTTCAATCACCACTGAATCCACGAAAGCGACGTGCAAGCGAACTCGACCCTCATCCTCTATCTGGATCTTCTCTCAGCAGCTATGGCCTCGATCAGCACGTTGTATTTGGCAACCCTGACCGTTCAAACAGCGACCAGAGCAATTATGTCTTGAGTGGCCCATCAGGTAGCGGTCCAGGACCTGGTGATCAGGGGATCCCTCGACACGATACACCGCCCTCGCGACCAAAGAAAGGACGAACCAACACACCCTGGACGCCAGCGGAAGAGCAGAGGTTGAAGGTGATGAGAGATGCCGGTAACAGTTGGAGCGAGATCGCAAAGACGTTTCCCACGCGGACCGAGGGCAGCGTCAAGAAGCACTGGTACAAGGTATGTGATGCTTGCTTCTCATCACCCCCTTCTCATGACCCCTGTCATGTACATTCACCATCATACATCAGAACATCGATTGCTAACTACTCCTTCTCCTCTACACAGGACATGCACTACGCAGAGTTTGCGGAAGACGAGGTCAGCCATTTCGTCCGCCTCTCTATTCCTTGTACCATAATACCGACCCGCTAACACCTCACTCAGAGCGCGGCACTACTCGCTGCCATCAAGGAATACGAACAAAGCAAATGGAAGGTTATTGGACAGAAAGTCGGCAAACCCGCCAAGGTGAGTAGACAGCATCTGAATCCGCTGTTCGTCCTCTTCAATTCTATATCGAGTCAGGGTGGTGTTGTGATATGTTTCTGACAGTGTCCAATAGGCTTGCGAACAATATGCCAAAGAGCATTTCGGCACCAAAGGCTAACGACTCGATGGTCTGTCACTTTGGAGAGACACGTTGTGTCCAAGATTGAAGAGACGGAATGTGCATGAATTGCTTTTATTTTGCCGACATTTGGGAAGGATAGCGACATTGGATGGGAATCAACAGGACAAATTATGGGACATGACTTACAGATGATCATATTTTTTCGGGACTTTTGAGGGGATCTTTGTCACGGGAAGGCACGACTATGTGGATAGCCTTCCATTGGCTCAGGAGGTGGACGACTCTTTTTTCGTTGCAAATGTTGCAGTTGCGCCTCTTTTGTATCGATGCTTGGGAGGAAAGTTCGTTTGGGGCCTTAAACCCTCAGACAACAGCATGGGGTGTGCTACTCTTTCTTCTCATATCTTTACCTTATCACTTGTCATTTTTTTCTTCTCCTCTCAATCACTTCACTTCAATTCTTTGTTTTATTGCAAGACTGGAAAGAAAATTCTAATCATTCTTTTTTCCTTGATCCCTCGTCAATCATGGCTCTCCTCCCTTACTCTTGTGATATCACCATTGAGGCCATTAGATGGCCCAGAGGAATAGCATGTTGAACTCGAGCGAGCTGAAAAATGGTGATCGGTGTATGTCACCATCCAGATCACTACCACACCCCATTTTGCACTACACACCACACCATCTGATGAATTTTGGTTCCACTCCCTATCCTGCATGAATCAAGACCATGGATACAAATGCGCCTCTCTCAGCTTTCTTGTTCTTCCCTTTGTGCAGGTTCCGCAATCGATGACATATTGACTCCCAAGCCACTGAACAAGTACTTGTATACAGCCACTGACAAAGAAAGCCACTGACATGTACACGGAAAATACAACGGACGCAGGCACCTGTATCTCTCCTGCAGGAGAAAATGTCTTGACGGACATTTTTTTTTAATTCTCCTTGGGGAAGCTCAAGTCTGCGAAACACCATTCATACCACCTGAACAATCCACTTCAGCGTCTCAGCAGAGTGTGGTTGTTTGCAGTCCAAAAGCATCCAGAAACCTGAAACGCAAACAAACGCTACGAAAACCCCTCTTTTTGTCACCCGATCTCTCAAAGACCTACAGCTTTCCGTTCTTGCTGCGGCCATTTTCTGCTCTCTTCGCACCTTTTTACCAGATCTTCCCAATGACTCTTCCAACACCATTTCCAGATCATCCGCCATCTTATGTAACCCACTCTTCCTGGAAAACTCAATGGAATGTGCCTTTTCTTGCTCCTCTTGAAACCTCTTCCACTCCTCCAAAGCAGTGGTGGGATAGAAGCGACCGGTAAAAACTCTATACTAAACTCTATCGCAAAAGTTGAACAGCCACGATCGTGAGCCTCGAGCTGAAACTTGGATTGTGGCTTTTGGGTTCGTGTTTGGTCCGGGACGCCTAAAAGTCCATTTGGGGCCGTGTGTTTCTGGGTTTGGGATCTTGGATTTTGGGTTTCTGAGTAAAACTGCCGAGACAACCGGGGGTCGCCGATGGGGGTCAACCTTGAGGGTGTTGTAGATCTTTTGGGTAGATCTGTTGCTCGAAGAGGAAGGGAGGTTGCGAGGTTCGTGATGGGAGGTTGTTGTGAGATACGAGGCTTGATTGGAGAGAGATGACTTGGTTGATGACGGAGGAGGTATGAGGCAAGGTTAGGCTCAGGCGAGCTTAGTAGAGGGTGAAGGGTGCGAAGTGGTATGCTGTCCGAGTTCCTCCGGTTGGGAGATGCAGAGGTGATTTGTATATGTCGATTTCTGTTTCAGCCTTTTGTGTCGTGTCTCGTCAAGGAGTGAAATTTGGTATGATATCTTTATGCTGCTTTCTCAAGTGTCACTCATGATGTCTAGCTTCCACAGACACATGATTCAAGAGGGAGACTAGGCGTTGCATCAAGTATATCAGTTTCAGCCTGCATTACTCGCCTTCCTCGCCTCCTCCCTTCCCCCGTCTCCTTCTCCCTTGTCGCCCTTTCTCTCTTTCAACTCCATCTACAATCTATACCTAAACTCCGCATTCTTCCTATCCGTGACATCCGCAAACTCAATATCCGTCTTGTGTCCTTGACCCCTTTCGCTCGCCACTCTATCCCTCCTCTTATTCTCCCACTGATAGTATACCCTGAGTATAAGCACCAAAACTGCAGCTGTAGCGCAAGTTACAATGATGGTGATTTTGGCGGGGATGTAGGTGGGCGCGTCGGCGGCGCGGAAGGTCAAGGGTCCGATTATGTTGCCCAAGCAGAAGGAGATGAGGAGGATGGCGTTCATGGTGACCTGTTGAGTTGGAGTGTTAGCAGAAGAAAGAGGAGTGGGGGAGGGGTTTAGGGAGAGCAAGGGTGGACATGCCTTTTTCGTGTGACCGGCGTAGTTCGCTCCTACCCATGAATACAGCAAAGGCAGACTTGCTCCAATGCAGTTTGTCAAGTAGTTGCCGATGAGCTTGCCTGCTTTGTTTTCCTCTGGTAAGAACGCCATCAGAGCACCTCCAAGGATACCAGGAATGAGTAGAGTAACGATATTCAAGCCTCTCTGATCAAATCTTCCAGCCAAGTAGGTCGCAATGAGAATGGAAACCACACTGCAGACGCCTCCAGGAATTTGGAGCAGAGCAGTCTCCTTGCTGTTGTAGCCAAAGCCTTTGATCAAGGTCGCTTGGAACGAGGAAACCGCGCCGTTAGGAACCGAGGAAGAGATGGTAATCAACGATAACAACCAAGTCTGTGGATCCATAAAGCATTCGGCCACTTGATTAGACTTGAAATGCTTATTCTCGATACCAGTCTGGTTTTCTCTGAGTCTCTCAATCGCCCAGATCTTTTCTTGGTGCGAAAGACGAGAAGTCATTGGGTTATCAGGGAACACAAGCACCACGGTGATACCAATACAGATAGTAAGCAATCCCACCACCAAGAAGAGAATTTGCCAGGAGTAGAGAGATGCGCTGTGCACATGTTGGAATGCGTATGACAGTAAGGAGCCAATGATTGTGCCGGTGCCAGTGCCTAGGTACCAGATGCCAGTGCGAGGAGGTTGCTCATTCTTCTTGTACCACATTGTGGTGATGAGCATGAGTGAAGGTGCAACTGCAGCTTCGAAGCAACCCAGAAGAACACGGGTGGTGATGAGACCAGCGTAGGAGTGGCAAGCCGCGGTGACTGTGACAATGGTGCCCCAGAGCAATACCATGACTCCGAGATATTTGGCAGTGGGGAAGCGCTGCATACCGTAGCCATGAGGGAATTCGAAGGCCAAATATGAGACATAGAAGATCCAAGCCTGCACTCGTCAGCGATCAAGCCTCGTCTCCAAGAGTTCCGCAGAAGCAGCTTACCAAGTTCGAAAAATCAGCTTTGGTGATGTTGGCATCTTCATACAATCCCATCACAGCCGCGTAATTGATCAACGTCTTGTCCAAGTATTGCGCAACATAACAACACCACATCAATGGCATAATCATCCAATCAATCTTCCTGACCAAAGCCTTTTCATCTTCCGCCGTCATCTCCACACCGTCGCCTTCGAACCGCAGAAAATCGAGTGCAGCATCTGCATTCTTGACATCTTTGACTTCTCCGACTTCAACTTCCGGTATCTCTTCTGGCTGTGTGGTGTGCAGAGCTTTCTCTTTGTCCTGAGCCTCGAACATTGTGGCCATGATGTGTGAAGAAGAAGAGAAAGATGGGCGGGAAAGCAGATGAAATGTAGATCGGAGTAGCACCTACTAGATATATATCAAGGTGTGGTCAACCCTATATCTCTCGCTGGCAACTCCGCCTCGTTCGACGAGACATAAGACAATAGCCGATATTGGCCAAATTATCAACCGCCTATTAGATATGCGACTTACTACTCATGACGATAATATGAAGAGAGACAAGAGGGGCAAAGTGACATCCCGACTCATGCCTATCTTATCAGAAGAGCAGAGGATATGCAGTTGCATGTCGCATGTGCATTATCGCCCTATCAGTTGGAGACCTCAGACACGGCAGATGGGGTCGAAGTCCTTATCAGTACGGACAAAGTAGCAAAGAGAGGCCTTCTATCCAATGGACTTGCATGGATGAAGCTGCCGAGAAAATGCGGACGGTTGCTTCTGTTGATCATGGGTTAAGTCCGCGGGGATCTCGTGGTTAAGATAAGAAAGTTGGAGACGTACAACTACCGTTTGTTGGAGTCGTGTTTGTTCGGTTTCGCAAAGAGCGATAGACGGCGGTTGGAGGCCACATGAAGTTCGGAGATGCCATCCTGGTTCTCTTGATTGGTCAAGGTAGCCTTTTGGTGATGGAAAGAACGGGGGAGAGCTGTACGTCTCAATCAGGAAGGCGGGCTGTTGATGATAAGCGACTGCTCATGCTCTATGGCCAAAACACCTGGCCAGTACTTTGTCTCTCGACAACAACCACATGCTTTACTTACTGCTCTGATATTTTACACTAATCGGGGTTTTACAGTCGATGATGGCACTCGAAATCTGCCTCATACTATCTCCAAATCTTTTGGCTTATTCACAAAGAGAAGAAAATGGAGGAAGATTCAACAAGAAGCAAGGCCGTCAAGAGAACGTGGTGATAAAGTCCTGGATAGAACAGATATCTAGGCCATATGCTTTGAATCAAAACTGCGGAGTAAATAGAAGAAACCTTCGTCGATTGTAAAACCTGTCACTTATATCTGCTTGCTTGTCTGGTAATGGAAATCGTTATTCGAAGTGTTGTGAATAGACGAATTTTCTCATGACTTTTGCACACGAGAGAATGCACGTGCTTCTCCACATGCGAGAAGGGCAAAAATCAAGCTCTCCAAAGGTCAGCGACGACAGGTAGCATCCAATACATCGGCGTGGACCAGAGAATCAAGACCAGATTGATGGCTGATGCATGATGTAGCTTTTCTAGTATGAGCACGACCCAGGGAGATATCGGTGTAGGGCTCCATGGACGCCCCGCCTTCTTTCGCATACCGACATGAGCTCCGAGACGACAGCAAGCACATGTGTCTTCATCGAGAGAACTGGCGGACCATCAAAGAAACGCTCTGTCGATGATGACGGTGACGACGAGAGTAGGCACTTCAGCCATACTGTAACGACACCAGCTTCGAGGTGCCGACCAGATTAATCATCCGAAGAGTCGGGAGGGTATCGAGGTGCCGACATTCGACAGGTGGGCGCTTGTGAGCCGCGGGCTCTCGTCGCATCTGCAATCCTGCTCTTCACCTTCTGTATCCTCTTCTCTATCGCTTCCCAAGAACTCTCCAGTAAAAGAACTCAGCCTTCGCAAGGCACGAAGTTGTTGAGCTGATCCATAGCGTCTAGAGAGAGCTCGAGCCCCGGGGGCATCTCTCTGGACATGCTGTCCCGCCAGTCAAGTTCTTGCCTTGCGACAGATACCCGAGGATTGGATCACGTTCGCTTGGAGCGACGCAAGCGTGGTCTCCGGATCATTTGCCTGTAACTTATCCCCATGCTGTGCAGGTCTGCGATAATAAGTCGCTCAGACAATCCTGATGGAGACACAAACCTAGGATACCTCTTGTTGGGCCCCTGTTTCTTGCCGCTTGGAGAACCCACTTTGCGTCCGGCCACTCCCCCATGGCCGCCACTCAACAGTACACCGCTGTTGATAGACTCTGCTACCTTGATCAGTAGCAACGTGCCGTTGGGCACACTGCCTGTTGCGGCAGCGTTGGTGGCAGGAGCTGTCGTGGTGGTATCTCTGATACTTGACCCCGAGGAGAATGTAATCTTGCGGTGTGCCTCGCAAATCTCGACCTTCTCTTTCCAGTTGCCCTCCTTCTCACGTTGGCCGCTCTTCATCTTGTTCCATTCGCTCCTGAGAGCTTGATTGCTTCGCTCCAGCAATTGGGCCACAGGCTCCCACGTCTCGTGGAGAGTATGCTCGTCGACCAGTATCTGTCGCGATGCGTTATCCCAGGGGCGACTGCCCAGGCTTGCGAGGTTCTTGGCCTTGTTGATGACCACGCGTGGTCCTTTCTGCACCCTCTTGACTGGGCCCGGTCGGCCCAGAGTGCTTGGGGCTCGGGCGAATGTGTTGGCGATCTCGCCAGAAGCGACTACCTCGTTTGGTGTGATGATGGAAGTCATGATGTCTTTCCACGATTCGACGGTACGTGCGGGATGTTTGTTATATCTGATTTGCGATGGATATACTCGAAACGCGATGGGGCCACTGAGTTTCCGATGGAAAACACGCCAAATACGACCGGGAAACGCGATGTTAGTGCAAAACACTTGGTGTGCGACACAAACTGGATCAAACGCGATGAATACTTGATGAAGATCGTGGTATTTGATGGTCGATTCGCGTTGCAGGCAGTCAGTGTGATTCTGGTCCGGATTGCGGATGTCAAGGAGAAACTCACAAGAAATGACGATGTCATTTTATGAGGACTGTGTCGAGTCATCGGTGACTGGCAACAGCATTTGACTCTCTCAAATGTGCTCCATGTTGGCAGGCGCCCGCGAGGGAGTTTCGTCAAGATTTAGCGGCGATGACTCCCAGGCATGTGGTTGATGTCAGGATTGATTGGCAACCTGATGCGCCGATCAGCACTGGCCTCTGACCTACATGGCTACCCTAACCCAGACGATACCCTGGCGACGCTGAGACACGGGCGATCAATAGAGTTATCTGGGGAATCGTGAGTATCATACCATGACACGGTCTGTTGGATGTTACAGGAGTGCCAAAGTGTCCTTGCAGGCGGGGATGAAAGTCGCAAAGCAAAGCAGTCTGCAAAGCGCTTATACATCGGAAAGTCTTGCGAAATTGCACGTGTTGCATGAGCGAAAGAGCCATTGTGCATTCTTGTCAAAGAGCGTAGCATCATCACATCCGTCGAAGCAAGACTGTCTGGTCATTCACAAGAGCTTGCACGACGATGAATCTGGTTGTGGAGAACGATGCATCAGAAGGGTGGCTGCGTATAACAGCGTGCTGGGACTTGTGCGGCAGGAATACAATAGCTGCGCTTCGCACTCACAGCGACGGAACATCTATCTACAAAACATAGAAAGAGCCTCCGCAACTCGGCTCAGAGTCAGGAGAACATCAGTATCACAGGAAGGAGCAACAGCATTGAAGAAGGAAGGTGCAACTATCAACGCACTTTCCCTGCAAAGTTCTTCTCTACCCTTATATACTAAAAAAAAAAGAGGTCCCATCAGCGGCAACCTACCATCGGGTTCTCTGGCCTGACGGTTCAACACCAGTTTGGCGCAACGGTACTAGCTCACAACAAAAACCACGTGGCATGGCGGCGATCATAGCAATAGGGAGGGGAGAACCTACCTACTAACGCGTCACGTTGTTCTGAGAAATCAGTTTTGCTCCGTCGTTGGAGGTCATCTTTTTTCTGAGCTGGTCATCCTCTCCAAAGTAGGAGGACCTGTTGTGTTGTGATGAGTTACCACTGCTGTATCGAAAAGCATTGAATACGCTGCGTTGTAGCTGAGGTCAGGGTTCAATTCTCGTCAGGGGCTTGGAGCTTTATACCGCACTGAGAGCCGGCAGCGTGAGAATAGCGATCGACCTCTCCATGCTCTCCGAGGTTGTTCTGCACTCGCGATCTACGACATGAAGAGCGTCTGTCTTTGTCCATCAAAGGTCAAAGGAAATAGTTTCCTACCGGAGGGACTGTTACGCCGACTACAAGCAAACTTCACGGATCGCGACGCGCTTCTCAAGACGCTCTGAGCTGCTTTCCGACTGTGTCAAGACAGCGCCTTCCTTTGTCTCGTCATAGCAACGAGCTAATCCGCCGAGACGACGACTCCGTTCAGCAAACACACTCCTCCAAAGTACTGTTGTGCATTGCGATAGCTACTTGCTACTATACATTCGCAGGCTGAGATGAAAGAACAAACCAACGCCGAACTCCCAAAACCAAGCCTCCATAACTCCGTACTCCGAATATCCTTAAATCGTTTCCATGACCACGAGAGCGGGCACGTATGGTGCTTTCCTGCCAGCGTCAAGAGGAGGGAGCTGCCTCTCCGGGTTTCGGGCGCGCATGGCGCTAGCAGCGGCCAAGACATGCATTGGCGACATGTTCTGATCATCCTTCGAAGATGCAGTATCACTGTCTGACCCGGGTCTCCACAAAGCGGTTTCGCTACGAACCTGGTCAGAATGTAGAGACGAACCGGAGCAGCCATGCACACAATGGCCAGAAAGCTGTCCTTGGGCTGCGGCAAATTGCGCCTCCAGACTTGTCTGTGTTGGAGAATGGAGGAGCTCCGGTCTGTCGAGTTGTCCCACAGAGGAAGAGAGAGTGGGAGCTGGTACTGCATCCTGTGCAGACTCTTGCGCAGTAGCCTGTTGAGCAGCCTCTTGTACAGCAGCTTCTTGTGCAGCAGCTTCTTGTGCAGCGTGTTCTTCAGCAGCCTGTGCAGTGCGCCGTTCCAGAGCTTGTCCAGCGTGTTGGTCAACAGTCTGTCCATCGCCCGCCCGTGCTGCCGCCCGTGCTGCAAGCTCGATCTTCGCATGGTGCATTATCAAGCGCGACGCCTGCTCTGAGCGCCCAATGCAGGCAGCTATCTTGCCGTGCGACCAACGACTATTCTGCTTAGCACAATAGACAAAGTCAGAAGTAGCAGCATCTCGTTTGCTCGTTTGAAGGGACAGAGCATCCGGTACGTCCGCTGGTTTCTTGATCTTGGCAACCACGACATTGCCAGCTGTAAGGCCTAGAGGCCATCTGAAGTTTTCACCTTCTCGCTCAAGCTCGAGCTTCAGGTCTTCGATATGCTTTCGCATGATCTCGGGATTTGCCCCTTTTGCCGGCTTGCGCTGTGTCTTCACAGCGCGTTGGATGGGACCTGTTACCGCGGGCCCCTGGGATTGTACTCGAGCCCGGGCAGCAGCTGCTCCACAGGTTGACGCTCCTGCGTTAATGGAGGTGAATTTAGGGGCCATCTTTTAAGTTATAAGAGTTATCGGTGATCACAAGGTAAGAGTAAGGGGTACAGGTAAGGTAAAATAGAGGGTAAGTATAACAAAAGTGTGAGTCTGTGTTCTCTCTTGTATCATTCGAAATCGGTTGAAGAGAAAAAGTCCAGAAGAGAAGAACATTTCACAGCTATTTATAAGCCCGATGCCACGAGGTCATGACTGACAACCCTAGCCCAAAGTGGAATTCGCAAACTACTTCTGGATAGGAGCCTCAGCGACGACTTCTGGTCGGCTGTCGCATATGCGAAACCCCTGAGGACACTCTCGGAATCAATCACGCTAGGCTCTCCTTGGACTCCTCTCGCTCTCTCACAACACCGTGACATTCTACACTCATCCACACTCGCTTACTGCTTGTCTGGAGCGCCTCTTCTCCATCGTACTTCGCAAACTGGTGACGGGTTTGCCAGATGAATGATAGCAGCAAGGCAGCCACTGAGCAAATAACCAGTCACTTGCACACGAGCAAAGTTTCGACCGAGCTCCAGTCATTCACGTCTTCGACTCGCAGCCAGTCATTCTACCTACTTTTGGGCTTGTCCGTGTTGGGTGATCCGCGGCACTGAAAGCAGCTTCGGGAGCTCGTCAACGCGCTTGGCAGCTGCATGTTTTTTTTTGGTAGCGAGTCTTGCGATTTCTACAACAATCTGCATGTTTGAGTGTGAATCACTGCGCGATAGCAGCTCATCTTGTCGGAAGAGAAGTTGCACTCACTCTACAGAGGAGGAAGACAGACGGAAAGGCGTTGGCTGAGCGAAAACACCATGCATATACTTCGGTCGCGATGACTACAGAATTCTTCTCTTCTTACATACAGAATACGTTCATCTAATCTCTGCAATGTAGAATGTTGTTCTCATAATCCTAGGAAATTCAAAGAAATTGCGCACCAAAACAACAATTCTGATATCAGACTCATCAAACTTTTCCTTATCTTATCTCCAAAGGATCGCGGATCTTTTTGCTGAGGTGTAACCCAATTTCACTCACACACCCAGAACACAAATACACATTCTCTGCTTATTTCCATTTTTATCTCCTTCACAGAGAACTGGGACTGGCTTACAAAGAACTCAAGTTTACACACGAAAGATCCAGTCTCAGATGAGTATTGCAATTAATCAGAGTTTCAAGCTGTGGGATGAGCGAAAAGGTTAATTGATGGGTTAGGTTTTGGGCAAAGCTTGAGATTGAGAGAGTTTGAGTGAAAAGAGTGCCAAGGGTCCTTCGACATAGATGGAAAGGGCGTAGGCGGCAGTGAGCTCGGAGTTGGACTGTTTGGTGCAAGGAAAGATTCAAGAAGTCAGCGAAAAGTCACGGATTCATTTCCACTTTGGAAAATTGCGGTGTTTGGTTGGAGAGTTCCGTTTGTTCTGGTGTATGTGGTTCTCCTCTTGACTTCTGACTATGCAGCTTTTCTACAGCCCAGAGGTGCCTTCTATGCCAAGCGTATGTAGGTACAGACAGGTGTCGTACACCGATGAGCGACAGCCAAGATCGATCCCCTCCAGTTGAGGAAGGAGCTATGCAGCAATCGAGCGCGCTTGCTCCAGACAGCTGAAGTGCGGCATCTGCGACTGGAACCTCAGATGATCGGCGGTGATTTTCCCTGTGTGTGCCAGTGTGGCGCGCAAACTCCGGCGACTGCTCAGGTGCTCCTGCTGTGTTGAAATCCCAAGCTTTGGCCTCGGCTTCGGCTTCAGAGCAGGAGACCCTGAGGCTCTAGTGTATCGGAAGACCCGATGGCGAGAAAGGAAAGCAGTATCATACAGTCCTCCCACTTCATCTCACATGGTCAGGTATGTGTGTCCCGCTCTTTCTCGGATCCTTCCTTCCTTGTTCAATTCTTGTGGAGGCCCGAGGGTCATGTCTCAGCGTGTCTCTTTGCATCCTCCTCTTCGAGACCATCACCATCCACGAGATCTTGCTGGTCGTCATCCGAGGCAGAGGAGGCACCGTCATCTTCTCGCATATCTTCAGCTTCTATCTCTTCTGCTTTTGCTTTGCATGCGGCTGCTGAGAAGCCGCTGCCGACTTTGCTCGAGATGAACCGCCAGCGGTCGTTGTCGTAGTCTTGGATCGCCGTGCGTAGACGTTGGATCTGGGTTAACGTTAGCATTTGTTGCATGGTAAAGCTTATTCATTGCATTGGTGAGCTCCGGCATGTCCTCATGTGGTTGGTAGGATCTGCTAAAGGGGTTCGAAGGCATGGTGCACCGGTGAGTCCATGTGGAAGAGAGCCGGTGGTTTGGTACCGCCGTCGACGGTGGTCTGGTGTGGATTGGCGACGCTGTGTAATTCTGTCGAAAGGATACCCAAATAGGAAGGAGACGAGATAGTTAACGTGCACGTCCTTGGGCAGCATTACACGTCACGATTGTGCGTGGAGACAGGTCGAACTCCAGAAGATTCGCGCGTGCCAGACAAATGGATATACCGGCTAGGGCCGCCACTTGCACAGGTTCTCTTCCTATTCGAGGGCTACCTTTCGGTGCCACGATCGACCAGTGTTCGTAGATGCGCATAAGGTTGACAGACGTCCATGATTCGGCGGGCATGTTGAGCATCGTCTCAAGCAAGACGCATTTTGGAAAACCTCTGGAAGTAAGGTCCGTATCGATCTCCAGCTCTCCATGTAGTCCAGTGGTTCGATCCAGGGGCCAGTGCTGAGAAGGAAACGAGAATGCGTCACTTACCATATCGTCATTCCACAGAGTGGTCTTCGCCTTGAGTTTGGTGCAGTATCTGACCTGTAACGTGCCTGCACTGCGACCTGGGAAGAACTCGGCGATCTGCTTCCAGGTCAAGTTCTTGGACTCTTTCAGTCGTACCAGTAGTGCATCGTCTTCTCGGGTGAATTTGAGCTTCGGGCCTTTCGGTCTTGGTGCAGGTTGCGGCATTCCCTCTTTTCCAACCATACTGGGCGGCCCTGGATCGTTCAAGAGCTCGTCTTCGCCATGTCTGGTTCTTTTAAGCGTGGGAGAGTGGGGCGGTAGATGATGGTGGTGGTGTTGATTGGTGTTCAAAGCTTTGTCGGGATTGTATGCTTGCTGTAATTGTAGCTGGTGTGTGTCGCTCACAGGCGAACGATCTGTAGAAGACCCTTGTGGGAGCTGTGGAGGGCGGAACTGGAACGGAGATATCTGGTTCGAAGACTGATGCCCGTCCGACGACATTATGGCGGGAATATTAATGTTTAGGTGGGTGTTGTATATGGGAGACTCTTGCGTGCTCGATTGGAAATCGTCGGCGCGGCTTCTCTTGCGTGATGATGGTTCCGAGTGGCCATATTCTGAGGGTCTCCTGGAATCTTCGTATCGAGTCGAACCGCTCAGGTGGCTCGAGGTCGACGTCGCGACGCTGTTCCTTTCCTGAGTATGGTGTGGTATGCTGGTGTTCGGCTGCGTGATCATAGTAGACTGTAACTGTTGATGAAGAAGATGGTAGTCTGACTGCATCGATAGCGGGAAGTAGGAAGGCTGTAATGTCGGGTATTCATGATTCAAGTATGTGTGTCCGTACATTGAGCCTGTTGTTTGGTCCTGCTCCTGGCCATCTTGCCCTTCAGACGCCGAGCCTCCATACTGGAATGAGTAATTGTCGTATGGATTCGCCAGGGTTGCGGTAGTGGTCGAGCCACGGAAGTGAAAAGGATCAATCAAACGTGCCCCGGCTTCGTCTACCCCCGGTGGTCTTTGAAGAAGCGCCAGAATGTCGGATGAGAATGGTCGCTATGTCTTGCCCCTCGCCTCGGTGAAGAAGGTTTATGGTCTGTACAGGGAGGGGGGTAAATAAGGTTGAGTCCAGACATAAGGCTTGCTGGACAGCTTGACAGCCCTAGGGAGAGCGCCGCTCACCTTAATACTTGAGAAAGCTTGCAGACCTAGATTCAAATGCCGATCCTGAGTTCAATCAAATGTGGCTAAGCGGTGCAGTAATTGCCACAATCGTGGGGCCTTTATATCGGTAAGGATGTGGTGCAAAAGCGGATTGGTTGACGCGAGAAAGTAGAAGGACTGACCCTTAGAAAGATACCGAGGAAGCATGCACAATGAAGTATGAGCCGATAATTTGCTTGGTTCGAGGACTGCTCAGACGGCAAATTCATTTCGGCCATGCGCCGCTCTTGCCCTGGACAGTGCCAATGGCTAGAGGATTTTGACTTTGCTGCTATACTCGGCGCGTTGTGGCCGCTGCGAGCATCATACCCTGGCTGACCGTCCTTGTGGGAAGGTGAAACATGTGCACAAACGGGCATTGTGCTGCAACTGAGCCACGCAGGACAGCGGCTCGGTTGTGCTGCCACACGACAATCATCATGTTGTGATTCGAGAACACGACGAGCCCAGTCCAGGTTGTGTGGAGAAGCTTAAGAAGCGAAAATGTGGCTGTGACGGCGACTATGACGGTACAGAAAATAGAAAGACGAACATGCCCCTTTGACATGCGAACAGCTAGTCCCAAGACTTACATGATCGACTCGGCGTGTACGGATTCCAGGCCTTGAGCTCGCGGATCCCGAGTGGCCCTCACCCTAGGCGGTGCTAAGTGCCTATGACATGGTGATCCAAAGTTTCCCTGGTCGGTCGGACCTGGCAGCGGTCGGCCTACACCTGCCCAGTGGTCCATCCCATCGGCACAACCAAGATTGGAGGCAGAGACGGAAGAGAATTGACGATTATGCAGATACCCGAATCAGATCACCCCATGTGTCGCACCGTGATCGGAGCGGGAAGATCTGGGAGCCAATGGCGGCGAGGATGGCGCCATGACGGTAGGCATCACAACGAACTGGGAGATACAAGTGGACAAGACGAGTCGCCAAGTCTGGAACAGGAATATGGCCCGTGATAGTTCTGTCAAGAGAGGCAATGTGGCTGCTTTGATCGCGTGGCAACGAAGCTCTCAAGGGAACAAGACGGGAGAGCCCCAAGTCGCGTGGCCGGCGACGTCGTCTCGCTTGGGATTTTCCCGGGCCCTTCGGCAGCCACGACCACGACCTTTACCGACCATACCGAAATGATTCTCAGACATTGATTGCCTGCTGCAACCATGGCCTCGTGGGCAAAGCATCGAGCGATACTTCTGTTTCGCCACGACATGGTAATCTAAATTGCCCATGCGATATCTGCCGTGTCGCATCTTCCAAGGATTAACGGCTGACCTGCAGACGCAATTTTTCGGCAGCTTCTCCGTGCGTCGTCCTGGCCGTTTTCTGCTCGGCACATAACGCGAACCTCTTTTGTGTCTGTCACCCAACCAGACCAGTGCCAATCGTTCCCGTCAACCGACCCTCTTTTTCGGTCCTCTCCATTGCGCTCTGCAGCTACAGACGCTGACCCTGACTAGATTTGCGCCTCCCAAGGGTAATGTGATCACCAAGACCATCGAAGCTTACCTTTGATTAATCCGACGGGTCCAGGCACACGGCCGGTTGACCAATGTTCGAGTAATGGTTCATGCGACATCGCGATTCGCTAGCATCGTTTCCCTGCTGTGGCTAGGTAATTGGGTGAGCCTAAGTGCACGAGCAGAGGTTTCGTCCATATCATCTTCTCACTCTGATGACGGACATCACCAGATACTAATATGAGCTAATGCCGAGGCCATCTCCGCCACGGCCCCCAGCTCCGCGTACCTCGTATACCATGTTAATGTACCACTCTCTGCATAATCACTACAATTACTCAGTCACCGAGCTTGTATGTAACAGAGATCAGCAGTATCCACACCAAGTCACGCACCGACAGGCCCGCACAATGCCGTTACAGGAAATGAGCCATAATTTCTTGACTGATTGGAACTGTTTCCAAGGTGTGAATCAAAACAGATCCAGGACTTTTTTCCAGTATCCGGTTGCGGACAGCACTGAAATCGTCGATGAGATGTCGACAGCTTGGCAACACGGAACATGTTCACCGGTCGATGGAGGCGCTGCGGTGGAGCTGGCGCTGGAGCTAACGAACAACAAGCCCCTGCAAAACCACACTTGACTTCCTGGCTGTCGTACTCAGAGCATGCTGTCGGACCTTGAGCAAATTTACTATCGATGCTACTAACCTGAGGGCTTCGAAGGATCTGTTCATGAGACTATCGGATCTTTTGGTGTCAGGGCAGCTATGCACGTCGCTGACCAACAGACCGATTTCGACAAACTTACATGTCGTTGCGACAAAGTTTGTAGCCAAGTTTGGGCCTGCAGAGAGCGACCCAGGCTGGTGAGAGGCTCTCAGACTGGCGACGTTTCTCCAGCGAAAGACGCCTGAAAGTTTGTCTTCCGAAAGTCAAAGTGATCGCATCCCGAAACTATACTCCAGCAAAACGGCTTGCTGTGGTCTAGACTTTTTCAAGGAGGCTGTCAACTGGATTCCTTGTCTCCTGCTGAACAGCAGCTCCGGACAACTGCACGAGGACCTCATGACATTTACTAAGGTTGATCAGCCCCTGTATTCAGCAAACCCTGACAAAGCTTGTCCTCGCATACACTCCTACGCTCTTCCGAGGGTCCAACCTTCGACTCTTTGTACCGCAACCATAGTTTCAAGCGTTCAGCCTGGAAATCACCGTCTGCCTATGAGTCTCGAGTACTTGCCTTTTTCGACCATGCGGTGAAGATCAAGTTGATTAGTTCTTGGCAGGAGTGACTATGTTGGCAAGGGTGCCCCAGAACGTCTAAATACGACATAGGGTACGTCTTGGACGTATCACGCACTTCACAGCGTGTCGCGTCATGATCACCAGTTTCGCCTCTTCCGTTTATTCCAAAAACTCAAGAATGTCTCGGTAGTCGCGTTTCGTGACCACACTCATCAACATTCTGTTGCCACACGATTCGCCCTCTCGAGTCCGGTATATATTCTTCTCGACATCTCTGTTCTCTCGCGCGAGGAGACCGATGTGTCTTAGCCCTACTCCCGTACCAACAATGTTCATGCACGCAATCCAGACCGACTCGCGACTTCGGAGAATTAGGGCTATCTTCCACTAGTCGCCAGCAGTCTTCAAGAAGAGTCGGCGGGTATCTTAAAGAAGCATAGCGCTGGCCATTTCATACTTTCGGAAGCCTCGTTGGGCTTGCAACAGCTGGGAAAGAGCAAGTACAAGCAACACGCGTCTGTCGGTCGCGAGACGTCTTGAATGCTCATGACTGTCCTCTGTGATCATCATCATACGAGCCACAAGGTATCCTTGCTATCTGCCAGAGATGTAGAAGGAAGGAGAATTCGACAAAGTCTCTTTTGTCTATGTCGGGCATGTCAAGTTGACGGGATATCTCGAATATCAGCGGTTGATACTGACAGCTGATACTCAGTACCGACAGGTGACACTCCGGCTGCCGCCAGATCCTTCGAGGAAACCTACAACCCCATCGTACCGCTCGCTATCGCATCATGTGCACTGAACTCGTCCATCCGTCATACTGTCTGTCTCGACTCTCGACTCTCGTACAACACCTCGAGTCTGGACATTTCCACTTAAGGAAGGCACTCGGCTTCTCTCTCGGGGAGATATTCCGCTTTACTTGTTTCGCAGGTATCGATTAACTCGCAGTGTTCATTCACGCGGCATCGCTGCCTTGAGGAGAAGTCGGAAATTTGGTCTCGCCCATGACCAGCGACAGCAGAAGTGGCTGGTTCATCTTGTTACCTGCTAACTAGCACCGTTCCTTCGGCTGTGATACATACGTAATCCTAATCGATTCTTGCTGATGATCAAAGTCCTGCTGCTGTCACATCGCAGACGCAATCCATGTCCACTCTCTCATCGTTGTGTCCGTCGCCGCCATCGTCGCCACTTTTGTCTTCTCCAGAAAGCATACCCATCGTGTAATGCGTCATTAGTGTTGAGCATCACGCTCCACCGACCATGCATATTCAGTCAAGAAGGATTGCTGCATCTCAGCTCTCGATTCCCGATCCTTGATCCTGGACCCTCGGCAACCGCTCACCGCCACGCAGAGGTCTACTCGTGACCAGGCATGAGACTCTTGCATGCTTTCGTAGAACAACAGCATTCACAGTCAGGCTGAAAGAACAGACTCGCTCTGGTCCACATTGTCCCCCTCTGGGAGCTCTGGTTGATCACAGGCTGAGGCCCTGGGTCTGTGAGACGACTGCGCTACCGCAAACTTGGGTAAATGAATTAGCCGGATGTACGGCTTCAGTATACACATGACTTCAGAGGCTCTTTGTGACACCGTTGAGTGATTTCAAGTATCAAGCATCGGTCCCGGAAGTCACTCGAGAGTCTCTCTGCGAGAGCACGGCAGAGAGTATCTCTTCGTTGATGGAGAGATCTTACGACTCACCCCAAGACTCTTCATGATAATCTTGTCTTTGTGATTCGCTGAGAGTGCATCGTCTGGGTGGTTCTGTCGAGCCCGACATGATCTTCCGTGAGGTTGGCTGTAAATCACCTCCCCAATCTCTCTAAGAAAAGAAAGAACGCCTGTTTTCATCGAGGTAACGAGTCGTCTTCTGCCATGATGATCTTGTCTTTCTACAAGATACTAGTTATCTTGGATCAAAGGCCGACAGAAGGCTCCTCGCCCATACACGATCAAAGTCACGTTCTCACTCTGGATATTAACACACACGCGATATGGTATTCGCTTCCGCCTCATGCACGCCGCTCACATGCAGTCCTCCATCAATGACCAAACCCCTCATTCTATAGATTCTTCTCTATGTGCTTCTCTTTCTTGTTTTGAGTTGAGAACTCTTCCTCCCGACAGTGTGACCGCCATATCCTCCTTTTGGATGATCATCACCCAGTGTAAGTCAAGCTCTCATACTCGTCCACTACTTGTTCCAATATACACGTCACGAAGAGAAAAGCTATGATAGCCGCAGGTGGACCTCCTTCTTCATTCTATCCTTTACTTTATGCATGAGCTTTGCGCCATTAAACAGCGGTGTGTTCTTTCAATGCATCATCTTCTTTCTCACGCCATGGGATTTTCTTATAAGACTCCCACATTAAACAAAGCGGAAGTAGATGATTCTGTTCTATCTTTTTAGGTGTCAAGGTTATACTGCTAACACTATACAAAAACGTCCTCTTCTTTTGTCTTTGCCCTATCGGAGTTCCATTCCTTGAAAGTATATGCTTATTGTCTATAAATCAGTGCTCGAAAGAAGGCTGGGGTTTTGAATGCAGTATAGAAGATGATATACATGATCAACAGTTTCCTTAAATTTATATCTACAGGTCGTGTTCCGATTCATAGCTAATGTCGCACTCAATCATCATAATACCTGCTCTACTAATCTCCTTGTTACAGTAGAGATGTTTGTCCAGCACGAGTATACAATCACACCCAATAGACAATGAATGACATGTCTATTAAGCAGGACACTCATGCTTCGAACTGTTACCGCAGACACCTAGACGCTCGCTCATCCTCCCGGTCAATTTGCAGTCTTCATGTACCTCCCTTGCCCATCTCGCTCCCATCAATCTGCAGTTCAAACAAACAGACCTTGCCGGGGTAGCTCAATCGGTAGAGCGTGTGGCTCTTATCATTCTCTGATATTCCAAACCTCAAGGTCGTGGGTTCGAGCCCCACCTTCGGCTATTCCTATCATCACAACTGCAGTTGATTGTCTTTTTGTTGGTTGTCCTGGATATAATAATTTTTGGTTGTGGAAGTTTTTTTTGCGCTAGTGAAATTGATAGGGCTGAGGCGTCGCGTGGCGTTGAACCAAGACGGGACGGGCTGAGGTTCGTGCGCGAAGCGTGGCAGACAGGGTGAGAGGTGTGACAATGGAATTTTTGAAGGCAGAGGCGGTAACGATGCCTATTGGATGTATTCTTGGGCTATAAGTTGATCATACTACTTCTTGGGATGTTCGATAGACGATTTGTCAGTTTGAAGGCAATTGAACTCGTGGTCACTGTGATATCGAAGAAGTTGTATTTTGAGATAGTGATTCTCAAGAAATGGGTATGCAACACTCTAGTCCCTGCCTGTCACCAGCTTTATGAGGGAAGCATTTCTTCGGATAATGGTGACGATACTCGGATAGACCTGGGAGGCGCAGTAAATACTCTGCTCTACCAGTTCACTGTGTTATTATATGCATCCGATGATCGCGAGATGATAGAAAAGCATACCGACCAGCAGATGACCACTCTCGTCCTGGGATTTCGCACTAACTTATGCCACCCAAGCACAACTATGCAAGTATACAAAATCACACACACAAGAAATTATTTCCCACACTCCTCAAAAACATCCCCATGATCTGACCCGAGAGACAGACCCAGCCACATCAAAGACAGACCTCCACCGTCCCTGACCGGCATCCCCGATGCGAACGGGTATCGGCGCGTAGAATGTCACCAACAGTTTGTGGCTTTCTGTCTCCGTTGTATAGTGTAGAGCAAGCATAACCGGGAACGAGCATTGAAACGTTGGAGCTGAAACCAGCGAAGCGTTGATTCAGCTCTGCTTGTGCCAATCTCCGAATTTGCATCAAACCGTGCCATCGGGAATGTAAAAGATGCATTTGCCAAAAGCCACCTACGACGTGAGCGGTGATTGACCAATTTGACCATTGATCCGTCAGGAGGCTGTACTGGAAAAAGTCAACATCCAGAGCGCATTATCGGTTGGCGGAATGACCGATTAGATCGAAGTGGAGGGTGAAAAGAGTAGAGAGAAGAAAGGGTGTTGGATTGAAATTTCGCCAACATTAGACAAAGGTCAGCATTATTCTACGACATATTCCCAGTCCCGAAGATCTCGAGCTTTATTCTCTGTTCCTCAACTCCAAAGCTCTTCAATCGATCTCCCATATCGCGCATGAAGCCTCCAGGGCCACAAATATAGTAGACAGCCTCTTCATCGTCTAGACACAAATCCTTGTTCTTGTCAACCTTATCCAGATCCATTCGGCAAGCAAAGTTGTAGTCTGTGTCTTGCTTGACATCCGCAGCGGGATGCTTGTTGAAGATGACAGAAGTGATGTGAGGGTGTGTTGATGTAGTGTCCTGGATATAAGATCCAAAGGCCTGGACATCCGATGATCGCGTAGCGTGCATGAAACTAATTCGTCGCTCTTGCTTTTCTTGGACAAAAGTGTCGAGGATGGAAACCATGGGTGTGATGCCCACGCCTGCAGATATCAAAACTAAAGCTCCGTTGTTTTGCTCCTTGGAATCTGCGTAAAACTTGCCAAACGGATGCGAGACTTGGAGTATGTCGCCTTCCTTTTTGTCGGCGTGCAGGATGTTGGATATGTAGGCTGGGTGAGTGGTATCTCCTGTCCGCACAGAGGATTCGCGCTTCACACTGATACGATAGTGATCAGGAGATGGAGCCGCAGAAAGTGAGTATTGCCGATTTTGATCATGGTGGAGTGAGGGGACTGAAGTGGAGACGCTGATGTATTGGCCAGGATGATATGAAGGCAATGGTTTTCCATCCACGGGAGAGAGATAGAAAGAAGTGGTCTGCGAAGACTCGGGAATCTTCTTCGAGATGCGGAAGTCGCGCCAGGATGTCCATGGGCCAGCAGATTTGTAGAGTGAGTCTTCTTGCTTGATCATCTACAGTGGTGTTAGTGAATAGAGCCTGTGGCAGAAGTGCAAAAGAGGTACTGCTTACGATATTCGCCAGTTGCCAATAGGCTTGTCCCCAAGCCTCCAATATTTCAGGTGTCAATGCTTCACCGAGCACATCACCCATAGCACGCAGCAGGTACGTGCCCACCACATCGTAATGCTCAGGTCGCACATACATGCTCGCATGCTTGTGACATATCTTCTCGACAGCTGGAGACAGCACACCTAGATCGTCGATATGCGAGGCGTATGCGTACAAGCTACCCGCCAATGCTCCAGCTTGGTGTCCAGTCTTCTGATTTGTTTGGTTGAAGATACCGTTCAAAGATGGATTTTCTTTGAGCAGCACGGCGTAGAAGTGTGCGGTGATTGCGGTGCCGTGTTCCTTCAAGACAGGCACGGTTGCTTTGATCAGCTTGACTTGGTCCGGTGTCAATGACATATTGTTGCGGTTGCTTGTATCGTGCTCAAGAGTCGGGTAAAGGAGCGAGTAAGGGAAATGGAAGAGAAAGCGATGATGAGAAAAAAACAACCTAGCTGTACAAAACCAACGTAGATATGACACTTTTATAGCAGGCAGGAGCAAACTCCACCCAGGCTGCAGGGACAGACCGCAGCACCCGCAACATCCCTAAAATTGCCCTGTGTAACAAAGACTCTTACACTTTGCGACTCTGACAGCTCCGATCAGACCCAGTAGCACCTTGTGCTTTAGTAATGGAAAAGGCGAGAAGATGTCGAGCGTGACGCGGAAGCGGATGGCTCGTTGTTTCCTCGTCGCGATTTCTTCCCGAGAGCGACAAGGTATTTCCGAGGAAACGGACAGGGAAGCTGCAGGTCGAGATCTACTCGTTTTTTCTGCATGGATAGATTCAAATGATAGTGCGCTGATCGTTCACTCAGTGCTGCTGTTCTGATAGAGTCTCAAGTGTTGATTTGATGGCTTGTCGTTGGAAGAAAGATATACGCTTTCTCGCTCGAGACGTGTTCGCACTCAAATCAGCCGCGGAGATGCTGCTGAGCCGCCAGACCACCAAAACGCCTCATCAGGTGAGCATGTCAACATCACATCCCCTGCCCATTCATTTTACGAGGGATTTGGATTTCTTCAGTATACATGGACGTTTACTCAAGCGAGAACATGCACATGTGCGTTGGATTGTCGGGAAGCATCGGGATTTCAAAAGTTGATCGTCAAGTCATGTGTATCTGGTTTCGTCCTCCCATCATCCATCATCTACCCATCTCATCAAGCCGCGGTATTATCAATAGCTGTTGAAGCAATAACATGAAGAAGAGCAAGTCGCTGCTGCAAATAAAGAAGACACCTTACCTCCTCCTTGCACACCAGAAAAAAACAGAGCCCAAACTTTTTCGTATCTACTAAGCCATGAAACCTTCCGGCATATCCAAGAACCCATCCAATGCCCAGCCCAAAGAATCGAACGGTGCGTTCGCTGCAAAGTTTAGATTCTCCCAGTTTTCGAGTCCGCTCAGAGTCAAGTCTTGGTCGGGCGCCATGGTTGACGGCGGCAGCGCATCACTGGTAGTGGTAGTGTCTGCGTTGGGGATAGCAGTAGGGATGGTGGGATGTTGAATAGCGCGATCGAGGTTCTTGGATGCACCAGCACCAACGTGATCCTTCCATCTCCAGACGCTGTCATAAAGCAGACTCATGCTCATTCTACAGCGTACCTTGAGTTGGAGCGATTGTTCTGGATCTTGGATGAAGTTTGGTGAGTCAGGGTAGAGCTTGTTGGTTGAGCCTCCGCCGTTGGCTTGCCATAGTTGAGCGAGGACTTCTGCAAGACGTTGAGGAAGGTCGTTGGGTGCGACAGATAAATTACGAAGGGCGGCGACTGTCTGTAGGAACAAAGTTCTTCCGCTGGTGACATCGACCTTGTTAGAGAAGAAAGAGTTGAGCAATTTCATCAGAGTGAAGCCAGCCGCCAAGAGCATCTGCATCATGTAGTTGGTCGCAAAGCATTGGTAAGGCCCTGAGAGGTGCTCACCGCCGGGAGTATGTACTCCGACATTAGGAGGGAGAGCCAAGAAAGACTTGAGTACTGTGGTGGCAGCAATATACAAGGCTGAGAGATCAGACTTGTACGTCGGTGCTGAAGGAGAACCAAAGAAGGCTGTCAAACGCAGATGCAGGCATGCGATCTGCGCGTTGAGGAGATCGATGTGTGAAGCATGGTTTGCACGAAGAGAAGTTTCCAGCTCTTCATACTCTCTTCCCAGAGTGTCGATAAGAAGCCATCGTTGAGCCTCATCACCAGCAACAAATTCATCCCGTTGCATGATGTAGCACGTACGTGTGACCTTATCAACGAATCTCTCAATCTGGATGCGGTTGCGGAAAGCACCAGAGATGCGATCGAGGTGCAAGCCGTGGGTGTACCAGTTCCAGCGCGAGATTTGGGGCATGCCATAACCAGTGGATGTGTTCTGTGCGATCAAATTGACAGCAACCCATGTGTGCATACGATCCTGGATGTCCTCGTCGCGCAATTCGATGCGATTGCGTGAAAAGTCTTGAGCATGCGAGGGGCGATGAAGACCAAACTGCATGGCGAGTTGAACCATGGTTCCACAAAGCATCATGCTCGGATCGTGCGATGTCGAACTGCTAGGCATGGGCCATGTGCAGATGAGTACCAGAGCCTTGACGACGTGGTAGGACTGAGGGTCCGAAGCAATTGTAGACCACATCAAGTCGGTAAAGGAGCGACGGAGTTCTTGCAAGAGGCCTGGACGACCCTCGTAGCGGCGCATGGCAATCGCAAGGATGGTCCAGTGTAGCAAGGGGCACATTGCGAAGAAGGCCGTGTAGGGCGTGTCGGGTGACAACAAAGGGAGGTATGGATGGTAGCGCGCAAAGTAGATGCCAACAAGGTCCATGACTTCATTCTCGGTCAGAGTGACTCTTCCAAGCGTGTGTAACGTCGGCTCTCGCATCGGATAGTCGATGCCGCCTTGTGCCAGGTCGAGCAACGAACGTGATGCGGCTGCTTCGTTGGGACCAGGGAAGGGGTTGTTCGCGCTCGCGTTCGTGTACGGCGGTTGCGGCGGGAAGGCGGAAGGCTGTGTAGAGTCACCGGCGGTGTTGGGCATGGCTCCTCGTGTGATGAGCAGTCGCAAATTCGCATTCTCGTTCTTGAGCGTGTCGAGCTCGCGTTCCATCTCGGCATGTCGCTGTCGTTTCTCCTGTCTCTTGAAGCCCGGGTCGATGGCGCACGTCAGGTGGTGCTTGATGCATCGTCCGCATGGCTGGAACTCTGGCTCGGTCTGGATGTTGCATCGTAGCTGCGCTTGGTGTCAGTCTCTCAACCAAACGCGTCGAGTCGCGCGTAGGCCCTGACCTTTTGCTGGCGACACTGGTTGCACGCTCTCTTGACTGGATGCGCCTTTGCCAGCCCTCCTGACGTGTCTGCTTGCGGACTCGTGTCATCGTGGATCTCGCTCTTCTTCCTCTTCCTCGGTGGGCCTGCTGCCGTCGACGATGTGGGCGTGAGCTGTTGTTGCTGCTGCTGCTGCTGCTGCTGTTGTTGGATATGCTGCAGCGCGGGCGGGACGTCTCCATTGAAGGGAGTCGACGTCGGGGACTGTTGGAGACCCGAGAAGTCGGTACTGCCTGGCCATGCCATGACTGCTGCTGAGTGCGGATGAGTTGCAGTATAATCCTCCGGTACCGCACACAAGAGACAACTCAGTAGTATAAATGTCACCGAAACCGCCGTGACTCATGGAGGCACTGAATTTTTGTTTGTCAGGATGCGGGGTGGTCGGTCTTGACTTGCTACTGTTGAGCCTTGGCACTTGGAATCTGCATTTTCTTGATCTCTCTCCCCCAGCACTTTTTCGACAATTGGTTCTGTGGTGTAGTTGGTTATCACTTCTGTCTAACACACAGGCGGTCCCCGGTTCGAGCCCGGGCGGAATCATTTCTTTTGCCATCCTATGGATCACATCTTGTCCAAGAATGATCGTGGTATAGGCATTTTTGAGGCAGCTCGAACTTTGGGATGTTGCTTGCGCAAATCACGTGGAACGCCGACGCCGACTCCCACAATTTGAATCACTCCTTCCTCAATCTCAGAGCGTTAGACCTTGTCCCCATCTACAACATCCCACATCAAGGAGAACTACCTCAAATTCTCTCACCCTTTCTCCTCTTACCATACCTCCCTGCTCTTTCCACCTACCCTTATATGCTCTGAACAAAATGTCCTTGTAACCAGAAAAGCCGTGGTGGTGCAGTGGTCAGCACACCCGATCCCCCATACAGTCGCTTTATACGCTCGTTCACACAATACACTCTCTCCAGGATCGGGAGGTCGTTGGTTCGAATCCAACCCATGGTGCATACTATTCTTTTTGGTTGTGTCTGATGAACAAAGGTGTGTGGTTCCTTTGATGATGAAAAGTCATTACATATGGCTTTGTATCTGCATATCTGATGCCCCTCATGCTCTGATCCGTCGTCATTCAGCAGGGACTCCGCACAGAACTACGACTGTTGAAGTAATTCACTCTACGAACAGGCCGATAGAAGATTTCGAACCGAGCCAGAGTCAAAGAACGAGCGAACACGCTGAGGAAAAGTATGTCCACGCTCAACAAAGAGGCCGTCTCAGAAGAAATGCCTCCAAAGAGTCAAGCATGCACCTGGAGACCAGATCGACAGAAGTCAACATTGCAGTCACTCCATACGCTTTGTGTCTGGGTTGCCGGCGCTCACGCGCACTGAATGCCGCGTCAAAGCACATCAACAAAGCACAAAGGGAAAGCACACCAAAACAAATCATGGAATTGAACTTTCTATGTACAGCGAAAAAAATGTTCATCCTTTGCAAAAAGCCACCCTCCGAAGAAGAGTGTCTCTGAAAGCAAAGAGTGTCCTCCCCTCGCAGAAAAGGATTGATCTAGGCAGGCTTATCATCAGAACACTGTCATGAAACAAAGACAGTGCTGATTTTCTGACCTGCCGCGCATTGGCAAAAAAAAGAGGTAGAAGGAGAACTTCGAGGACGTTTATATAATCCCTGGAGCGTCACATCGCTTACATCAGTAAGGCAGCGAAGCGGTCAGCGCTTTGGAAGCCGGAAGCATCTATCACAGACCTTGGAAGCCGTAGGAAAATCGAGCTTCACGAGTGGCCGATGGAAGCGAAGCTAGGGTACGACAACTCATACGGGGCTGGAATCACTTTGGACACAACTGAGTGCTGAGTGCGCAGCTGAAGCCGGTTCATTGAACGTATCTGACCTTGATTGACAATTGGGAACATGTTGCTAGCTAAAGATGAATACTCAGGCCTCCAGATCTTGAACAGTGGTTGTCTCTTCCACCAAGTGTAGGGCGCTTTTCATGGAAAGGTTGATGGATTTGTGCTTACCACGAAGTCAAAATACCAGCGTCAAGTATAGATGAAGGACGAAAGAACTGCAAGTGATATTCATTCTAGGTAGGAAGAGTGATTCATGTGGTGTTCCAACTGTCATGTTATGAAGAAACGCCCCTGAACAGAGACACATTCAGGAAGAGGGAAGAAACGATGTCAAGACCAATCTGCAAGTCAATGGAGGCTTGACATTTCTGCCGAGCCTTCCCATCGGACATGCTAGACGGCTTGATGAAATTTCCCCGTCGAAGAGACAGGCCGTCATACTGGCACACAGATCCTTCCACTTGATTACGCAATCGCGAGCATCGGAACTCGACAACAACAAAGATGGATCAACACGCTGTCGGTACATGACGCTTTCATCATCAGAGGTTGCTTGCTAACAGTCGATCAGGGAGATGGCGCTGGACAGCTCCCTAACCAGAATGATGAACAGCCCCCTAACCAGAACGATGGACATCTCCCTGGCCACGACTATGCACAGTTTCCTCAACATATTGAGGCAAGACATGTTGATCCAGCCTTGGGACAATTCAACTTTGGAGTACTTGTACTGTATACCACGTGGTAGGATCTAGTAGCTGACAGCTCGATAGGCCACCGAGAATCTCTTTGGTACTCCTCGCGAAGGACAGTTTCAAATCGTAAGTTCTACATAGTTCAGCTTCGGTGATGTCCATTCAGGACATGCTGACTCTCATCAGGACAACAACACTACATGGGCCTCTGCTTTTGGAAGAGATCAGTATGATTTCGTAAGTTTGTTCGATATTGATCGCCGTGATTGCACATACAGATCAATCCGAGATAACCAAGCTACATTGATGTTAACCCAGAGCAGGGTCATGAGAATCAGGGTATGGACTTGCCTCAAGAACAGTTCGGCCCTGTAAGTAGAGCCTGCGTACACCATTGCACGCTCGGACCTCGAGTCCAGCTGACAAATACTAGATGTACCACAGTGGTCCTGTCCTCAACTATGACCCGGCTCTACAGCAGTATCCTGTGAGCTATCCCCGCGACAGTACAAGACTTTGTTGTGTATCATGGCAAAGCGTATGATGTGTGGTTGGTGAAAATACTAATAAGGGTCCAGAACGATCAGCTAAACAGCTGGAGGATGCCTCTCACAGCTACACAACCCTTCTTTGTGAGTGCTCGTCATTCGATGTGTAGCAAAGGAATCAAAGCACGGGTCTAATCTCGAGTAGGGAAACAACAACTACCAGGCTGCAAACCAGCAGCAAACTCAGTACCCTGGTGTAAGTCTCTAGTCTCTTCATCATACTAGTGCATACACATAAGATCTCGAGATCAGATCACTCATCACAAGGAGGTGTCGCATGCAATTTATCAAAGTCTCAGACTTTGGGCCACTTAGACTGACAAGATCGACTTCAGGGAAATCACCAGGACTACACTGGAGGCTACAGTCAGGTCCCACATCAGCAAGGCAACAACGATTATCAGGCTGCAAACGAACAGCAATCTCAATACCTCGGCGTAAGTATATGTCTCTCAACCACAATCGTGCGTGGACGCAAGCCTCCTGAACAACACAGTCGTCTGCAAGGAGATCTCGCATGAAATTCATTGACACGCTAGACTTTAGGTTGCTTAAGCTAACCAAATCAACAGAGAGGCTACCACAGACACCCTGGAAGCCTTCATCAGGCTCTTCCTTCTGTACGACCTTTCTCAACTCTTTGTATAAACCTCTCTGACACGACTCAGGATCACAGAACCGATTTCCCTGGCCTTCCAAATTCGCAGCAGTACAACAACCCTTCCCAAGAGCAAGCATCACCTGGTTATCTTCCCATGTATAGCACACCACGCACTTCCGCTGCCTATGGTGTCCCCCTTTCCGCTGCCTCTGGTCACCAGCATGTTCTAACCAGCACTGAGTCGGTCAGCACCGAACCAGCCAGCACTGAGCCGGTCCAGAAGTCAAAGCGAAAGTCAACAAACCACAAGTCAACAAACCACAAGTCAGCAACGCGCAAGTCAACAAACCGCAAGAAAGGTGACGCCGAGCACGAAGAGAATCAGGAAGAGAAAGATAAGGAAGACAAGGATGCCGAAAAGAAGAACAAAGGTGATAAAGGCGTCCAAACAAAGGAAAGAAAGCAGCAGGACATAAGAGATAGACAAACTCTCAGCCGCCTTCGCGATGAGGCAGCTTCCAGAGCGTTTGAGATGGCCTCTCAATACGTCCCTGCTGGTGCAGCAAGGATTGCTCTTCAACAGCAATTCGATCTAGTTGGGGAGTTGGGCGGAGAGACCGATCGCAACACTGAAGCGTACATCATCTGGAACTCTACCAGAGCAGATCTCAGAAAGACCGATCGAGCTGTGCCTGAACGCAAGAAGGACGACTGAGGTGCGAAATGGTCCTGAATCGGAGAGCGAAGCAACAAACCGATCATAGGAGAACAGGCGAATGCATGAAAGCATGGGAAAGAAAGAATTTCGAACTCTCTCCAAGCTACACAGGTATCCACTACGATGTTGCACGAGACAATGGATGACACTGGCATTTTGGAAACAGAGGCTTTCCTTTCAGCTCTTGCATCATGTCATGTCCATCGAAATGCACAAGTTACACGACGATGACTGGTTGCCAAAGAGATTAGGTGTCCACCGAACATCTCACTGGCCACCGTAAGAAATATAACCAACTTTCTGTATCTCGATGGCTACAAAGATAGAGCCCTATAGACAGAGGAAGAAGTTTGAGCTTGCTCGCTACAAGGATGTCCTCCACCGGCTCTCTCTGCTCATCTTCGAGCTTGTCAAGTCTGATCTCAAGGTGGAGACTGCTGACGGCAAGGAAGACGTCGGCGCTGAGGAGCAGGAGTATGGTGTGGAAGTCGATTGAGGACACTGTCGAGACGTCAGTCAGGGGTAGTATGAACGACTCAGATCGAGACATGCCACCTCAGTTACATCAACGCTTTTCAGTATGGTGGAGGAGACGCATCGACTACCTGCCACTCCGGAAGCCACGAGAGCAAGTAAGAAGAAACCTCATGGCAATAATGGAAACTCACACTTCTCATGTCTATATGACCACTTTCCCATGATATCCTGTGACAACGAGCGCAGTGAGATGTACGCTGCCTGTTGCTCCTGATAGCTTCTGTATAGCATTTTCCAGCGTAACGTGTCTCCAGTCGATTCCGCGTGGGTCCAGAGCAGGTATCCCAAGGGAGTGGTATTCATGGATAGAGTTATGTTGGGCTCTCTCTGTGGCCTTGCCCGTGATATGGTAAGCATCGCGCAGTATGGCAGGAATCAAGTACTCAAGACACGAAGAGGGAGATGGTTGCTCGGCGGAAGTGAAGCGAGTAAACGAAGCCGCACCATTCGGTCGAAGTGATGATCTTGAAGACAACTTCACTCACCACTGTTACATAACCGCGACCAGATTCAGCGCTCTGGCAATACCTCCAAAGCTCATCACCTACCAAACACAAAACAATTACCCACCGACCAGACCATAGCCTCATCTACCCACACACCAAAACAACCAGATACCATGGCCACCAACGACCTCGCCTGGCTGGATCCTGCTCTACAGCCTCAAGCACCTGTCGAGATGGAGACAGCCAACAATGACAAAGTCCCTCCCCCCGACTACTCTCAAGTCCTTGATCCCAACAAGCTCTCCGAGTTGTGGGTTGTAAGTCTACGATCATCGACATCATCCCTGGACCCGTGTACTGACGTAATACCAGGCCTACCAAAACTCGGAACTGAATCTTATCGGCGCCATGAACGGTGTTCAGTCCCACTACGACGGCACCACTTTCTGGGACCGTGACAATAGAAACGGCTACACCAACCACCAGATCGGAGACCCTCAGGCCTGCTACATTGCTCGCCAGAAGAGTATGGACAACATCCACAACAACAACAAGATGTACGAAGACATGGCCGACTTTGAAGCCGAGAAGCAGAAGGCTTTTGACAAGCTGTCCGCCTACAACTCGAGCAAGTTCTCAAAGGAGACTATCCAAGGAGCCTATCGCCAAAAGGCCGCCAAGAGGGGTGCCGCTAACCGCAAGGCCAACAATGTCAAGCGCCATGGGGAGAATGTTGTGGCCATCGTCGACGAACTTGTTGCTCTGAGAGATTACTCCGGTGTTGTGGACGAGAAGTACAAGAAGCGTTTCGACAGACTCGCCAAGGAGGTTTTGGCTGCTACCAAGGTCAAGATGACCCCAGAGATTGACGCCAAACTCGCCGTTGGAATTGCTCCTGGTGTCCAAGGTTAAGCATGGTCTGGCAAACATTCGGTATGGAACAGAAAGGCAGATAGGATGAGTGGAGGATCCCAGAAGTCTTTCCCCATTAGCAGTCCTCATGTATCTGATTTTGATTCATCGTCGAGTCGGAGGTGGATTGCGAGAAGAGTGACTGGAGGTGCATTCTGCACAACGAAGGCAAAGAACAGTCTCAAGGTGAGGAGGCTGAAGCGGACCACAAAGGTCTTGTATCACAGAGCAATCGAAAAAATTGGATGTTCAAGTGCATCTTCCTTGTTTTCTATTGTATCATCGTGATCATCAAGCCGAGTCTTACAAGCAGCTTCAAGGAAGGCGCGAAGCTCGCCTTGTCGGTTCTCAATCAAGGAAACCACATCTGTTTTCTTTGCGCAAGACAAACCATCAACATCCCTTCCGAATCATTCTCATTGTCCGCTTAATTCTTGTTCCTATCGTTAAATATTTCCTGTCCGCGGATATGGACGAGCCCGTTCAGCGTGTCGACAGAATCTTCAACTACGATGACGGTCATACACAACAGGTCTTTCATGTGAGTGTTTCCACTATCTTGCCCACCGGTATCTCATTTGACATGCTTCACACAGTACAACCATGACCGCGATAGAGATATCGTCACAAGACTGAATATCATTCAAGAACGCCATGCCAATGAAAGGGGCACATCTACCGTCTGGCAGTGCGACCAAATCGGTCACTACTGGGGCATTGACCTCGATGACGAACGCTACATGGACATCACATTTGGAGACCAGCCTCACGACCGTATGGTCTACCATCTTGCCGTCGTAGCAGCCAACGCCCGCAACCCCAGAGACTATTCCGATGATTTCATGCAGGATGATGAACATTTTGCCGAGTACACCAGAGCCTTCACCAACCTGGCTTTCCACAACAAGCAGATCAATGAGCACTAGGAGGCAACCAGAATCTTCCGCGAACAAATGGAACTCGCCGCCTGGGACCCTGACAGGTTGCAATGGTTCCCAGACGCAGAAGAGGCATCGGTTGATGAAGATTTCGACGCCAGGAGTATCTCGGACTATTCGCCATGGGAGCGTGTTTAGTATTATTCTCAAAGGCTCAGCTTCCTCGAGACTCGTCGAAAAAAGGATACCAAGCTCTACAGGAGTCTACAACAGAATCTACTCGCCGCCCTCGAACTCGATGTCACCGTAACACAAGGAAGAGATCCAAAGGCTCAGACCATGCGAGAAGCGCTTGCCGTACAGAAGAAGACTGCTGAGGAAATGGAGCGTGTCCGATTGAGGAAACGTGCTGAAGAGCGTCGAAAGGAGCGTGACCGACAAAGGGAGCTCGACACGCTAGCTGCACGAGAACAATCGTCGCATGCTCACGTGTTGATGTTACAGCGAGAACTGGAGCTTGAAAGGCAACAGACGCGTATCCGACGGATGGAACGTAAACGGGAACTCAAGGCATTTGGATGGAAGGTGGCCGCATCTTGCTTGCACATGCTCATAGCCGGTGGTCGATGGACCTTGGAGATGACAAAGATCTCTTCGCAATGGTGCTGGGAGATGACCAAGGTCTGCATTCGATGGTCCTTCGACATGCTCGAGATCTGCGCCAAATGGTGCTAGGAGACACTGGAGGACTGCAGCGAATTATGCTGGGAGGTATTGAAGCGCTGTGCACGATGGTGCTGGCAGACTTTCAAGTCTTGCAGTCAATGGTGTTGGACGATGCTGAAGATTTGCGTCGAATGGTCCTGGGAGCTACTAGTGTTCTGCGGCCAATGGTTCTTGGATAAAGCCATGGTGCTCGGACGATGGTGCTGGAGAGTACTGAAGGATTGTCGTCGGTGGTGCCGGGAAATGATGAAGGTCTGCCGTCGACTGTGCTGGCGGTTCCTGAAGTACATATTCATTGGCGACTTCCGCAAAGACCTCTGGAAATGCTGCCTTGCATTGTGGGATTGGTGGTTCATGGGCGACTGCGCCAGGGAAAAAATAGCAAGTGGGGTGATTGTCGGCATCATGGAGCAATGAGCTTTGGGAGTTACAGGTGGCGGCGTCGTTCATGGTTGTCTTTCGCCAGTGGGCTACACATGGGCCAGTGAAGGTACTCTACAGTCTTTACAGTGAAGGAATTGGAAAAGACACACTCACTCACGTATACAGCTTTCTCTCAACAACGCCTCATGTTCCAGCTCCTGCTCTCTTCACTTGACTCTCTACCGGAACACCTCCCAGTCAGGTAACGGAATCTGATTCAGTTCAGAATGGCGCACACCTTCAATTCACATCGTGAAGTGGAAGAGATTGACTTGACCGATGATCCAGCTACCAGAAGATCTCAGAACCAGGTGAGAGTTCTGAAGCTTCTGCTCTATGAAAGATCTCAGAGCTGACTTCTGCTTGATAGAGTTCTCACTCCAATATACAGCCCTGTGCGCAAGATCGCCCACTGAGTCGGAAGAACAAGGCCACAGTCTGTCACATCAACGGAGACAATTCATCTCGAGCCATGGACCAACTCAGCGTTCCTGTTGATCCAGAAGACGGCACGTGCTACTCAAACAGAGATGATCAGGCCAATTCAGAACACGCTGAACAAGACTCTCATCCTGATATGGACGACATTGGAACGTACGAAGACCCTGATCTTGTGAACGAAGCCCTGGAGAACATGAAGAAGATTCTGCTTGATGAAGATACCACTATCAAGGGCATCGAGACAGAGATCGATTCGGCTCAAAAGACGATTTATTCTTTGCTGATAAAATACCCGGTAGTCAAGACTTTTGGACGACGTCCCGAGCCCACACCGCTCGATATTTGCCGCGGAAGTCTTCACGAGCTGATCAATGAGATGGATGTCTTGGAGGGCATCAGAAACTCCTTGGACTCCGTTGAGAAATCTCATCAAGAAGCAAAGCAAGAGCTAGACTTCCTGAAGCGCTCTGTTAGATCATTGGTACACTTCTCACTCTTTCCTTCCCCAAACAATACTGACCCTTCTGTGCACCCACAGTTCAGAAGCAAGACCGTATCTGCAGAGTCCCAGCAAAGAAGAATAGCTGCCAACGAGAATATGCTCGATTCGGTCAAATTCCTCAAGGAGTGTCTGAACAATCATGCCAGACTCGTCGAAATCGTGCTTGGAAGACCTGAGCCTCTGGTCAAGCAGGGCACGGAGCTTATGCAAGCGTTGTTGTCTGAGATGTTCGGATTGCCTGGACCTGACGTGCAAGAACACACGCAAGATCCTCTGCCTGACGCCATGGAAGTCTCAGAAACCGAGGCAGAAGTTGAGGACAGACTTGAAATCGAGCTTGCCTCAGAGTCAGAATCAGAGGCCGAATCTCTCTGGGAGTATACCCAAGCTGAAGATCTTATGGACGTTGAAGCCAGCGAAGCTTCTGAATCAGAATCTGGAGAAGACGACAGTGACAATATCAGCGAAGTGTTCGACGACTATGACGACAACATGAGCGAATGCTCCGACTACTCAACAACAAACAAGAACGAAAGATTGCTGAAAACGGAAAAACGCGAGAAAGCCAAACAGAACAGAGATGCCTTGTGGAGAAGATTCGGCTTGACGGTCGAACAAGTCAATCAAGGTCAAGGCGATGTACAGCAAGAAGGACGCAGCAGCATTAAACGTCAAAAGAGAAGCCGTGACGCTATAGAGGAGGAACCAATCGAAGATAACCCAACTACCCACCACCAGTCTCAAGCCCTGAAGCAGACGACTCTCAACTTCAACAAAGTCACCAAAAACCGAAGACTGTTCTCACGCAAAGAGTTGAAGGAGCAAGGCGTCTTCGGAACCGAAGAACCGGAAGAAGTTGAGGAAGGAGTCGAGATATCAAAACCCAGAGGGAAGATCGCCAAGAGGATGCTTGCTTACTGGTCGCGGAACTGACTGGTGATGATGCGAAAAGGGTGAATAAGAATAGACAGTGCATAGTGATCGTGGAGAAAGAGGATGTGAAGTAATGGTAAGGGGGAGGAATGCTGAGTATGTGAAAGAGGAGAGGGACGAAGAATGTATAAGGAAAGAGAAGCGCGGGGTGTACAAAGGAAGAGAGGCGAAGAGTGTACAAGAGGAAAGAGAGCCAAGTATGATTTCGATACAAGGAAGTTAGCTATCAAACAATCGTCATTAATCAGATTTGAAGCAAAAGTTACCCTATCATTTGTCCCTCGCGTCTTTCTATCTCAAACACCAATTATCCAACAAGTAGACTCGTATCTTCTCATGGAGTGTATGCATTAGGTTGTAGCGTACTGTTAGTGAAACTGTTGTACACTATACCAGTCCCACTGATTGCATCTCCAGCAGTGTCAACCAAGATTCCAGGTGCATCCATAAAGTAAGCATATCTAGCCACATCCGGCTGCTGATCCAACCATGGCATGACTGTTTGTAAGAATGACTGCAGCTCAGCATCGGTATAGCTGAACGTATTGTCCAAACCAAACTCAGTGATCCATATAGGTCGTCCTCCAGCAACGGCACGTGCAGAATTGATGTAGTATTCAAAGTAAGAGGCACCTGCGTACTTGTTACTGTACCAATGCAAATTGATAAAGTCGATATCGCAGCCTGTGCAGTTACCAAGGAAGTACTGAAGATATTGTAGGCCCATAGGGTTGGCATCTGTGCCACCAGAGTTCGTGATGGCAGGGGCGCCAATCAAAGCTTTGCCAGCGAAAGGCTGCAGATACTGTTGATGATAGTGTACAGCTGTTGACACGTTCATGCAGGCACTACCAGAGATGCAAAAGTCGGGCTCGTTGAAGGACATAAGAGCTGTGGAGCCATTGTCGATAGCGATCTGAGCGGCACTTGGCCACTGCGCCAAAAGGTTGGGATCGCTGTTGTAGAGTAGAGGAATGAACTCAAGAGCCGGGTTGAAGTTGCAGTCGTTGACGCCCGGGGTGGTGCATGGAGCGTAGAACCAATCATAGGCCCAGGAGACTTGGCTGTTCTGGCCATCGATTGAAAAAGGCATGGTGAGATTTGCCTGGTTGTAGGACAAACCACGTTTGCCAGTGTTACGGACTGGTGTGGCTATCACAGATGCTGTAGAGCTTGTGCTGGACGAAGTAGCGACGACAGATGACGAGCTAGAGCTTGTTCGTATACTGGACGAGCTTCGAGTAGAGGATAATATCGACGCTCGACTTGTGGTAGAAGCAGTCGATCTGGCGTTGCTCGTGCTTGGCAAAGGGGAAGAAGGTGATGAAGATGAGCTGGCAGCTGCAGAGCCGCTCGGTGAAATGCTTGACGATGCAGTCGCAACGGAAGAGACAGTGATTGGAATATCCAAGGAAGACGAACTAGCAGGACTGCTCGAGACAACGGGCGAGATTGATGTGCTAGCACTGTTCGTCTTATTAGAAGGCTTGCTCTCTAGACGTTCGAGTATACTTACATGCTTGAGGCCACAGAATTGGTCGAGAAAACGATACTCGGAAACGTGATCTGCGATGAGACCGCTGCTGCCGATGATGCTACTGACGACGCCAGCCCAGAAATGGACGAGGCGGCAGAGACAGACACACTGGAAGACGAACTGTCAGTCAGGCTACTCAAGCCACTGCTAGAGAGCTCATGAGCGAATGAGGTCGCACTGGTGATATAGACAACGGTATCGGGTCCAGTAGCACTTGGTGCGTACACTGACAGGTGTTGCGAGATGTAGTCCGAGATTTGCGATGAGAAGGGCGGTGCGGAACTGCTGCTTGTCGGTGTGGCCATGCTCGGGGTCACGTAGACTACAGTGTTGTCGCTTGTTGGAACTGGCGCGTTGTCTGAGATCTTCTGAGACAGATGGTCCCTAATGGCGGATGAGTAGCCTTCGGTGGCGGTGCTCACAGTAGGGCCTGGTGCTGTTGCTGTCGTGGCAGTGCTGGGACTTGCAAGAGCGGCGAGAACAGCGACATAGTCGGCTCTGATAGCCGCGACGGCTCCTTGAGTGTTGGCAATGGAGTTGATGGCCGACAGTAGAGTACATTCACCAATCAAGAAGGTAGAAGCCACACACTCGGGTAAACTTGCACAAGAGGCGATGCATGCCTCAAAGGAGGAATCACCTTGCTGGCGTTTACGATTGAGTGTGCTCGGCGGTGGTGTAATGATGTCTCCGCCATAGGTCTGTCCGCAAGCAATCTGGTAATCTGTGCCATTGCCTGCGGTGTAGATCTGTCCACAGACTGGCACTGTAGACGGTGTCGTGGAAGCTGAGCTGGTTGGTGACACGGAGGAGGTCGATACCGATGTAGGTGTGCTAGACGGTGAAAGGCTCCCCAGAGTCACGGAGCCTGAGGATCCGGTTGAAGAAAGAACGAAGCCTGATGGGATCAAATTTTGCGACGAAGAGAAGGCTGAAGCTGCAGAACTTGTGCTAAACAAGCCAGCAGGGTTTGAGGCAGTACATGCAGATACATGAGTTGTGATAACGATGGTTGGTGTAACAATTGCTAGTGGGCGGTCAGTTCCTGTATCAGTCCTGCATGTCAACGAGGCATACTTTGACCAGAAGCATCTTGCAGCAAGGCGGTAGACAGTATAAGAGCGGCTGATAGAGCCCTCATCTTCGAACACGAGGAAGACTGTTTGGCTCTAGAGAGTCAAAGCTGAAGATGCAACGGCGATTACAGACAGATATTGGTACCAATGCTGAAGAGCTGGTCGATTGGTGAAACGAGTGTCGTGGTCAGGTACAGAAACGAGTGTGATGAGCACGCGCACGAAGGACTGGGGGTTTTGACAAGGGTACGATCAAAGCCATCATGGCTATGTTGGTGGTAGAGCTGGACGTGTGGAATGTAAACAGCATGATTGGAGTTGGAATGCATTGGAATTGCAGCCGAGGGCTGGCGTTCTAGAATTGTGACAGAACAAATTCTGGATAGAGAAGCGATCTGGAAGGGTTCATGAAATCGAAAGATGATTGTGCAGATTACCTAGGGAGGAAGGAGTGCTTGGAAAGGAAGTGGGATCGGTCTGCCACGTGTGGCCCAAGTATGGCTGATGGCTCGGAGTTGCCAGAAGAGTCGACCAACCTGCAGACGCTGACAAAAGAGTCGCCACGCGCGCGCGCTGCAACGCCAGGAAAGCCGACGACGAGCTCGACATCTGGAGAACGTCACATATTATCCTCGCCCATACTCAGCGCATCCATCTCGAAAACATCAACATGGCCAACTATCTCGCCTCCATCTTCGGTACCGAGCAGGACAAGGTGCGCATTCTCCATCCTCTCCAACCACGCGCTGAACCTGCGACTAACAAGCTGCCTCACAGGTCAACTGCTCCTTCTACTACAAAATTGGCGCATGCCGTCACGGAGACCGCTGCTCGCGCAAACACGTCAAGCCCTCATACTCGCAAACCATCCTCCTCCCCAACCTCTACCAGAACCCCGCATACGACCCCAAGGCCAACATGAACCCTCAACAACTGCAGAACCACTTTGACGCCTTCTACGAGGATTTCTGGTGCGAGATGTGCAAGTACGGCGAGATCGAGGAGGTGGTCGTTTGCGACAACAACAACGACCGTATGTGTCTTGGATATAACACCATGCTACATCTAGTACTAACCTGCAAACAGATCTCATCGGCAACGTATACGCTCGCTTCAAGTACGAAGAATCCGCCCAAGCCGCTTGCGACGCCCTAAACTCGCGCTGGTACGCCGGTCGTCCCATTTACTGCGAACTATCCCCCGTCACCGATTTCAGAGAAGCCTGTTGCCGTCTCAACTCAGGGGAAGGCTGTGTACGTGGTGGTTTCTGCAATTTCATCCATCGCAAGGACCCGTCTCCCGAACTGGACCGCGAGATTGAGCTGGCCACAAAGAAGTGGTTGAGGCAGAGAGGAAGAGACGAGAAGAGCGCCAGCAGATCCCCCACACCCGAGCCCAGCAGAAAGAGATTCTAGGAGGTGCGCGCCGCAGTCGAATCCAGCAGAAACAAGTCTACGACATGTGCTCCGCATCCAGCGCGACCCAGCAGAAGAGTCTAGAATACATCTCCCGCACTCGAGGTCAGCAGCGAGAGCGTTCATGCGATATCCTTGACAGCCTCCATTCGGAGACAAAGGGCATTCAAACGGCGTTAATGGCGAGTTATTGGGTGTTATGAGGGACAGATACCATCGCTTTGGTTATGCATTTTCATGCAGCAAAAGAAAGAGGCTACGATCATGCAACGTCTCGTTACGCTATATACGCATCCAAAAATCTTCGCATAAAGAAGATTATCATTCCATCTTCAAACATTGTGTCCCATGCTGACTCCAGTGAAATATGCTCTCATTTTCAATCACTATTGAGACTATCGCCCAATCTTGTGTACAAAGCCTATATTTTTGCTGTCCGGGTTTGCTTCTACGCTTTCCAACTCAACCTCGTTCCAAACTCATGAGAAGATCACGGAAGAGTAAAGAAGAGCGTTTTGCAGACGACGATCTTTTTCTCTGTATCTGACCTCTCAACACTCTATCTCCTTTCATAAGAAATCAAAATCGAGCAAGATTGATTCAACTCGCGAGAAGCACAGGGTCCCTCTCCCGCAAAGCCAGAACACTGAAACAAGAAAAGAAGCGACGATCACTCTCGGCGAACAACCTCACCTCCTCAATATATCCCTTCCATGTCTATAGCATGCAATGTCCATCAGTAGAATCCAAGTTCCCGATTCCTCAGATCTTCCTTGCCCCTGCAGTCTACAGCATGAAGTCAACCAAAGGACATGTCGCGGTGTAATTTGAGCATTCGGGCGTTTCAGAAATGCTTCACGAACGACACTTGCGACATAGGAGCCGTAGAACAACCAACAACCCACCATAAAGCAACTTCTCCTTTCGCAAGGATGACAAACTAGCATGACTCTGCAAATATCAAAGGGAGTTGGAGGTAAGTCGCAGGTTAGCGTTGATGAAGATGACTTTTGCGACTCTAAACTCTTCAACTATGCAACATTCCCATGTTTCTTTCCCGTTCATCTTTTCCTTGATACTGGTCATCACTTCTACAATATTCTTGAATTTCAGAGATCCGATTGATTCGCGATTCTCGTCCATTAGTTTCATTGAGGCCTCCAAGTTCAAACATACACAAACGTCACGACATCACCGATTCACGACCGCATTTGCTTCTTGCATTCCTTAGGCCTCTGTTCGGAGCTCTGCTAATTTCATCCACTCAACGTGACGCGACAATCAAGCTTCTACATCACCGCAACCACTTTCTTGACGATTACGATTACTTGCTTGGGGGTACCATACGTCACATACTACGAGGCCTGCCATAAAGAAACAAACAACAAGGATATCAGACCTGTACAAGATTAGAGCATACACTGTCGCTTCAAGAACTATACGACATACTCAACCTACCAACAACACCTCAACTCACCATACTCTGGCATACACATCAGAGAGACATTATACCCAAAATCAACCACACCAGATCACACTACGACTTCTCATCTGAAAACAAATAACACAGATCACTCTTTCCACCATCTATCAAGCCATTCTATCGTTACCAGAACGAGTATCACCTACATCAGGCTCAAGGAGCAAAAGGAGCAACAGAGTCCATAATCACAAACATGGCAGTCCCGCAAGACCCATACTTTTGGAAGCGCTTCAGCACAGCAGTACACCTAGACGAAGAAGCAGCACAAGTCCCTCGAAAGCGAGTCTCATCCCTCATCCCTCCTCTCTTCTCTCTCCTCCTCCCCTCTGTCCTGATCCCACCTCCTCTCCCCCAGCCTCCATCTTGTCTCACTGCCACTCGCCCATTTCCCCAATTTCCTCACCAAGCTAACCTCCATCTCCCTCATAGACCAGAATCATGGCACGCCAGCACCGTACGAAAAAACCGCGGTTCCCACTTGCGCATCTGTCTTACCTTCTGGATCCTCCTCTTCGCCATAATCGCCATCATAGTAGTCGTATGTCTAGTACTCGTCAAAACCGGAGTGTTGAAAAAGATACACATAGGAGGTGATGGACATAGAATCGACACAGGCGGGTTCCAAGGGTGGCTGAACAAGATTTTCGGGACTGGTGGCGACAATGAGAAAAGCAGCTCTGGAAGCGGACAAGCGGGGAGTGCGAGGAGGAGGGATATATGGTAGGAGTGGAGAGAATCAGTAATGGGTGTGGTAATGGGATACGGATATAATACTCGAAAAGGAGCTGGTACTCGTCGAGCACTGAGCAAGGACGAAACCACATGAGGATGAAGATCATGTTTAAACCTTTATGTATAGTTGTCGAATCGGAGCTGAGGCACCAACAACCTTACTCACGTGGTTTACGTCGTCGTGTCTGTCTCTTGCCGATAAAGCAAGAAATATCTCTTCGAGATCTGATTCTTTGAGTCGAGACATCGATGTCGCCGACTTGATAGCCCCAGCTCCATGAACCACCCAGGTCGATACTTTTAGAATCCGCACCACCAAATCCTTAACAACCAAAAGACCATACGGATACCATCATCACAAGTCTATAGCAATTTCTATACATCACGGAGTCCTATTCGAAACCAGGACTGGTAGTAGTCTCGACGAATATTGTGTATCGCGATAGTTTCGTGCGAAACCTTGACAGACTGTATGAACTCGAAAGACATCCTTCCCCTCCTTGCGCAAAAGTGCCGTCACGCTGACACCCACGGAAATGCACAATCCTCTTGAGGGAAAAGAAAGTATCCATAGAGAGCCCACGAGAGAACTATCTTATTAGGGGCTCTCAGTGGCTTTCGTCATCATCTAACAAAGAACTGTGCATCGTGATGGCTCCAAGTCCGCCTTATGGTTGATACGGGAGTAGGTAGTAGTGACAGAATTTAACACATGGTAAGGGTAGTACCACCGAGTTATACCACTGGCTCTATACTACCAACACCACCCGCGTAAATAAAGTCACGTCCATTAGCAACACGAAAAGAATTCAAGCAAAGACACTATGATTGAAGCTAAAGACAGTATCTACCATCCCAAAGGAGGAACGCCACCTTTTCTCACACTTCCAGTCTGGTCTTCATGCTCAATTAAGTTTTGGGAAGGACACAGCAAGAAGACCAAAGCCCTGTTTTCCTTCATGTCCAGAAAGACGACCTAGAGAGTCTGAATACCCTGGATGAATCGCAGAGTATCCGAGCACGGTATGCGTCTCTCTTTCTCACCGGCGGCGAGGGTTCTCAGCAACAGCAAAGAGATCACACTTCTCGCTGTCGCACTTGCCACACTTCAAGATCAAGCGGTCATCTTCGATGTGCTCGACAATGCCTCTGAACTGAGCGTTGAAGTTGATGCCGCAGTCGTTGCAAGCCCTGTGGTCGACACAGTAATCCTTCAGTGCCTCCAAGACCTTCTTGAGACGGTTGTCGTTACCTGCATTGGAAGAGCCATGAGCAGGTCTGGTCTGAGCGGTACTTCCAGGACCTGCGAATGTTAGCATCAGAAAGAGTAGAACGATGCGAATGACTCACCGTTACGACGGTCGTTCAACTGACCTTGGAAGTATTGTACTTGTCTCTGCAGCTTCCTGATGATCTCGTCTCTGCCATCAGGTGCGCCATTGCCATTGGTTGCAGTAACAGGTGGTGCGACAAAAGCAGTACGCATAGCGGCAGGAGCAGTAGGAGCAATGGGAGCGTCTGCACGAGCGACAGGAACAGCCCTGGCAGGGTCAACGATGGGAACGGCAGCATTGCCATTAGTACGAGGAGCCACATGCTGAGTGGTGCCGTTGGCACGAGGTTGGCCAGCATCGCCGGTTGTCGGAGAAGGGCCGTGGGCACTTCCGTTATTCTGCTGAGCATGGGGACCAACAATGCGGCGACCGAGAGTGGCATGAGGGCCAGGAGGACCACCGTTGGCACGAGAATGAGTGCTAGTCATCGAAGCAGCAGGGCTGGGCGAGCGGTTGTCGTTCCCAGGGAAGGAGAAAATGCTCTCACGACGGGGAGCCACAGGCATGCCGGATGGAGCATCAACATCAGCTTCTCCGCCGTAAATTCCCGCAGCTGCACGACGTTTCTTCATCTCCATCTTTTGGTAAAAGGTCAGCGCTCCACCAGTAAGAGGAGCCGGTGAAGCAAGAGCGGGAATAGCCGGGAGAGACGGAGTGGTCAGTGGTGAAGGAGGGTGAGCGGGCGGAACGGAAGAGGGGGCGTTCATGGCGTTAACCGAGTTGGCCATGCTACCAAAGCCTTCGACACGTCTGGGCTCGATGGCCTGTGGGGGTTGTGCAGACTGCAGAGGACGAGAGTGCTGGATACCGTTGCTCTCGGGTGGCTGAGGAGCAGAAGCAGTCTCGAAAACGATGGATTGTTGGGCGTGAGCAGCCATTTGACCCTCAAGCTCCTTGATCTTGTCTTCGAACTCAGTGACACGGGCTTGCAGCTTTCTAGCATTCTCAACAGCCTCGTTACGCTCTAGAAGGAAGTTGATGTTGTCGGGTTTGCCGACACGCTGTTCGTTGATCTGTTTGGACAGCGTAGTATTGAGGCCGTTTGTGTTGCTGAGATTGCGGTCGAGCTCAGCAATCTTTCGATCCTTCTCCTCAAGTTGGTGCTCAAGATTGTCGATAACGGCATCCTTGGTGTTCTTTTGAGCCAACAACTTCTGGATCTGAGCCTCCAGGCCGATCGATGCCTTTTGAGGAGCACTCTCCTTGAGACGGGCGGCCTCTAGCTCAAGAGCGTTGATGCGTTCCTGCTTGGTAGAATTGGAGGCCGTAACCTCGGCACAAGTCTTCTCGAGACGAGCAATCTCCTGCTTGAGAGTATCGATCTGCTCTTGTTTGTAAGTAGCAATGTCGAGAGCCTCGTCAAGCTGGCTCTGGAGCAGAGTGACAGCCGAAGAGTCGACAGCAGAGGCAGTGCCAGCAGGCTGAGGAACCGAAGAAACGTAAGACACATCGGCGTTGTTGCCGTAACCGAGAGAGGCTTGAAGAGCAGCGAGCTTCTCGTAGAGATGGACGGCAAGCTTGCCGTTATGTTCCAGAGCGGTGATGAATTTTTCGTTGTTGACGAGGTCCTGGCAGTGAGAGAAGCATTCCTGAACGAGATGGCCGTAGAGCATGCAGTGAGGATCGATAACCGAGTTGAAAACAGGAGCGATGATCTGTGGGAACTCAGGCTGGTTGAAAGCGCCAGAAATGAATTGGCCAAATCTGTGTGCGGCCTCGACCATCAAACGGTCAAGGTTCCATGTGAAGGCGACGCGGAATACTTTGACACTGTTCAAGGCCTTGACCAAGACCTCAGACCTGCAGGACTGTGAGGTGATGTGAAGGTTGTGTAGGCTCCTGATAAGTTCAACCTCCTGATGCTCGAGAGGCTCGTCGTTCGATGCGTTGGCCGAAGGAGGGAAGTCAAGAGGCTCAATCTTGGGAAAGGTCAAGTCCTTGTCTTCGTCTTGGTAGGTGCCATCGTAGATGAAGCAGAGAACCCTCCAAACCGTCTGAGCGTCGAAAAGGAGAGGGATAGGTGTCTGGAGAGTTCACGAAAAGTCAGCGATCTGACCAAGAGCGGACACATTGAATGGGTGCACCTTAGCATCTTGGTAATGGCTGTTGATGTACAGCTCAAATGCACAGCCTGCAAGCTGTCTGTCCTGGGGGGCGATGCGAAATATGATCCTGTGGAAGGGAATGACAAAGCCATCCAAGGCCACCAGACGGGCGTCGGCCAGGACGGAGTCACCACAAAGGTTGGCGAACGACATCTTGTGGTGGTGAATTGCTCAGCGCAGAGAGAAGCGGTGCCTAAAGGAAGACTAGATCTGCGCACACTCGTTAGTTGAGTACTCAAGAAGGAGGACAGCATAAGTGAGTCAAGAAGGCTTACCTTGAAGGACAAGTGACTGAAGATATGAAGACCGAAAGAGGAAGTCGCGAGCTCGACCAGGTGGTGACGGTGGGAGAGGAAAGAGCAGATCGCAGCTCAAACCCAGAGTTTTAATTCGTGATTGACGCAGTGGGGATGCCGAGCACGACTAAGCAGAGATCTTGGAAGGCAGGCGGTATCGACGGTTTGGCGACGAGCTTGGTGTGCAATGGAGATTTTGGTTTACAGCGGTAGGTGTAGAGCTGTCAGAGACTGGATGCAACAGAATCAGCAAGGCTGCCAGAGTAAAGAGACCGATGATGGCAACGTCGCTGATACTGACCAGTATGTCACTGCGTTGAAGAAAACAGAGAACGTGCTGCCGAAGAAGCTGGATAGACCTCAGCATCAATTCAAGCGCTACTTACCCACCGCCAACAAATAAAGTCAGGTGAGGTGGCTTTGTTAGTGATAGAGAATATGTACCAAGGGCAGAACAGTGCAGCTATGTTCCTTGAAGATTGTTGAGCATTCAGGTTTGAGAGAGTGAGGACAGCATGGGTCACAAAGAGGCAGCTTTTGTTGCTTCTTGCTCTGCTTTACCTTTATGGAAGGAGCTTTGCGTGGTAACTGCCTCTTTCTACAGGTTGATCATACACTTGCCCTGTGAAGTCAAAACTGTGTGAACTGTTCTCTCATCTGACATACTCGGACAGAAGACATCTGAACCACCAGACACACACCGACTAAACATTTGATGGAGCTGTGGGTGAGGCTTGTCAGGTTTGCACTCGTCCTGAGCTCTGTTGAGCAAGCGTAACGAACCCAGCAGCGAAGACAACAGCCCCCATGCTTGTTAAGTTCACCAGTACGAAGACTTCGCATTTACATGCCGCCTCAAGACCGAGTGCTGTCTGCAGGAAAGCATGAGAAGCAAACTGCGCAGGTGGAAGCCAACAGCTGTTCAACCCCCGAGGTTCTGCCTTTTCCAGCATTTTGAAAACAACTCTCATCCTCAGCACGTCCCTATTGTGTGTCAGAAAGACAAACACACTGGGGGCTCGGAGCCTTCTGTTTTCGGCATTCCAGAGTATGTAGGAGGAGTCGCTACCGACTTGACGTTTCGATTGTGGTTGTATCCCTGACCCGCTTCTTCTATATAACCCAGCACCCATCCGAGAAAAATCAGACATAGTCAATTGGCAATAGGGATATGCATACGATGCACGCATGAGTTGTTGGAGGGATATGTATTGGCCACAACTCAGTACAGTCTATCATGTATATCGTTTGCAAGTCTGCATTTCAACCTCTCAAGCGTCTTCAAGAACAGCCTTGAATGCTGCAAGAAGATCTTGCTTCAGATCTTCCACATTCTCAACACCGACACTGACTCTCAGCACCCTAGGATCGATCTTTGCATCGCTCATGCGACGCCATTCGATCAAACTTTCCACACCGCCAAGACTGGTGGCATGGTGGAAAAGGTGCAGTTTGCTGGGCAAGCACCTTGCAAACTTCTCCTCAGCCATCCAGATGGCAAACACAGGGTTGTAACCTCCAGGCATCTGCTTCTTCAGCCAATGCATATCGTCTTTCTGCAGACTTGTGTGTTGAACGTGTGACAGTGCTTTCTGAACAATGGCGACCTCTTCTCTATCTCCTTCGCCAGCCTGGAGAGAGCTGAGCCATTGGACCAGAGCTGTGGTAGTTTCAGACTGGCGTTGCACGCGTAGCTCGAGAGTACGAATGCTGCGAACACCAAGCCAACCTTCAAGACTTCCCATGACGCCGCCCAAGAACACTCGGTCGTCCCACATGCCCCAGTACTCTTTCGTTGCATTAGGACGAGCAGGGTTGACGGCGAGAACACCACAGAGCATATCGCTGTGGCCTCCAAAGTACTTGGTTCCGCTGTGCAAGACAAAGTCTGCGCCACATGCAAAGGGATCCATGAGTGGCGGCGGCGCGAAGGTAGCATCGACTGTCAAGACAGCACCCCTCTCATGTGCCCACTTAGCGTACTTCTCGATCTCGTAAGCCTCGCCGGTAGGATTCAGCGGTGTCTCCAAGTGCACGACATCGCCTTCGCCCAAATCTTCCCACGTGTCTGGGTTGTGTACATCGACAATCTTGCAGTGTGTGAGCTTTTGGAAAATCTTCAGCACGCCGTGGCAGCCGTGGTATCCATCTCCAATTGCAACGACTTTGGGATTGAGGGCGACAAGCAGAGCATGGAAGGCGGCGAGACCGGAGCTGTAGGTCAAAGCGGGACCTTTGAGGAGGTGCGAAAGGATGGCTTCGAAGCGAGAAGTATTGGGAGCAGCTTCGCGGCTGTAAATCAGAGGATCGGAACCGCTTCCTGGCTTCAGTGGGTCACGACCAGCCACCTGTGAGGTGGGTCAGTTACTGGCGGCTGACTTTGCCGTATACAATAGCAACGTACCACATCATCCATGCTGAAAGGTACCAGCTTCTCCGGGTCCTCGGGGTATCGGTAGGTGGTCGAGACGTGCATGGCGGGTGCGACATCTGTAGAGTCGTTGAGAGGGTCATCGCCATGAACGGCCAGCGTCGAGGCTGAGTATTTGGAGTATTCCATGTTGGTTAAGGTGGTTGTGTAGAAGGAAGAAAGAAAGAGACGGGAAGATGGATGTAGTAACAAGAAGCAGGGTCTACTCGTGGTTTCCGAATGCCTACCTCGAGACAAGATCTGACGACTCGTCCGACTATTGGTTTTATTAGGAGGTGATGCTGGCCTTCTCGGAATTCTGTTGAACCAGTCTTTGAGCCCGATATGAGCCTTCCCGGCTGTGCAGAATGTCCTTACAATGTTGATGTACATGTCAAAATCACGCCCTTCGAGCTGTCACCGAAGCTTGAAGTGTTCTCGAAAAGGAAGGTGTGACGGTCTCGCCAAGTCTAGGAACACCACTTCAACGTATCTCACATTCACAGTTTTGTTGCGAACCAATTTTGTTCATGATGATAAGAATTTCAATTTTGGTTGGTGTCTGCTGCTGTTCTCGCTGAACTAATGCCAATGCTATTTTGATGATAGTGACTTGTCCGCGACCACCTCTTCAAATGCACCATGCTATGGTCAAACAATCCTCGTAAAAATAATGAGGCCCAAATACGCCTCGCTCGCCTGTGGTAATCAAGACCCGCTTGAAAAACGCTTTGAAAACCCATGGGTATAAACCTGTAAAATGCACAAATGTTCTCGTCACTGCGACAATAATGAGTCGCTATCGTCTCACTGGCCATAAGCACCGGCTTGGTGAGGGAACTTGGTCGTAGCCTTGGTGATGGTCTTCTCGCGACCATAGGTATCGACGATAGGGAAGCGAGCACGGCGCTCAAGATCGTCAAGGTCCATGTGCGAGCGGATGTACATGTTTCTGCTGTCATCAGGAACCTGGTAGTCCCAGCTGTGGAACTCGCCAGTCTTGAGGGCGCCCCAGACGAAGCGGCGACGGCGCTGCTGGGCAAAGACATCCTTGGTGATGGCGTCAAAGTCCCACTTCGCAGCTGCTTCCTTCTCGAAACCCTCGAACATGGACTTGGTCTCGGGATCATCGCTGGTGGCCAGATTGGTGAGCTCCTTGGGGTCGGTAGAGAGATTGAAGAGTTGTGGCGGGTCAGCAGGGCAGGTGATGTACTTCCAAGGACCACGACGGATCATCATAAGAGGGGCAATGGTGCCTTCGCCCATGTACTCGGCAAAGACGGTGTCGTTACCCTTCTTGCCTCTGAGGTGGGGCATCATTGAGTGACCATCCATAGGCAGACCTGGGACAAGCTTAGTGCCAACCATGTCGCAGACGGTGGCGGGAAGGTCGAGAGTGGAGACGTTCTCCTGGACACGATGAGGAGTGTATGCCTTGGGGTAGCTGATGAGCATAGGCACACGGACTGAGCTCTCAAAGTACGACATCTTGTACCACAGACCACGCTCGCCAAGCATGTCACCGTGGTCGCCACTGAAGATGATGATGGTGTTGTCGCGTAGCTTGCACTTGTCCAACACCTCGAGAAGCTTGCCAATGCAGTCGTCGACATATGAGCAGGCACCATAGTAGGCACGCTTGGCCTTCTTGATCTGCTCGGGGGTGAAGTCGTAGTCTTGAAGGTCGCAGACGTGCTGCAGACGCTTGCTGTGAGGATCCTGATCCTCCTTGTTGATCTGAACATCAGGCATGTCAATGTCGACATCCTCGTACATATCCCAGTACTTGTCTTCAATGGTGTAAGGGTCGTGAGGGTGGGTCAGGGAGACGGTCAAGGCAAAGGGTCTGGCATCGGGACCCTGGCGAACGTAGTCGTACAGGTATTGAGTACTCTTGTGCATGCTGGCCTCGTCGTAGTCAAGCTGGTTGCTGCGAACGCAAGGGCCTGCCTGGAGGATGGAGCTGCTGTTGTGGTACCACTCGAGGCGAGTGTCGGGCTCGTCCCAGTTGACTGCCCAACCATAGTCGCCGGGGTAGATGTCGGCAGTCAATCTCTTCTCCCATCCGTGCAGTTGGTCACCAATGAAGTGCATTTTGCCAGCCAATACTGTCTCGTAGCCGGCGTGGCGAAGGTAGTGTGAGAAGGTGGGAGTGTCTGAGCTGATTGACGAGGCATTGTCGTATGCGCCGATCTTGGAGGGGAGTTGGCCAGTCACCAATGACATGCGGGAGGGTGCGCAAAGTGGAGAGGGGCAGTATGCCGAGTCGAAGATGACCGACTTCTCAGCGAGCTTGTCGAGGTTGGGAGTCTTGATCTGCGACTTGTCGTTCCAAATCTTGAGTTGAGGAGCAGCCAGTTGGTCGGCCATGATGAAGAGGATGTTGGGGGTTTCGGGCACTTGGGGAGTAGATGCGCCATTCTGGCCCAGGAAACCAGGAGGTGGGGTCTCTGGTGGTGTTGAAGTCATGACTGCGGTTGTGTTGTGGTAGGAGAAGATAGAATGGAGAGGCACGCGATGTCCTGGGAGAAAGACCAAAGCTGTTTATGAAGACCCTCTGAGTTCTTGCGACGTCGTCTTTTCAGAAGTAGCGGTGATGATAAGGCAGATTCGATTGAATTCCTCCGAAGACTTTGTGATAGATAATAATTCGAAACAGTATAGGGCGCGCGTGCTCAAATTTGGGTCTTGATTGATAGCGAGTTCTCTTTCATGTGAAAGTCAGGAGTTTTTGATGAAATTGTTAAGAACGTGTGGCTGAAATGTATGATTGCCGATCAAGATTGATTGACTTGCAGGCAGCAGAATGAGGAGACAAACAAGATGTAAATTGAAAAGACAAAGGATTGTAAACGGACACGAGAGCTTCTAAGTAGTTTCGCTGGCTCGATTACGAGTCGGAGGAGGCAATGAGCGCTTGGGTGATGTGAGGTCCAAATTGCGTGCTTTCACACCATCGCTTTGAAATCGAGACGAAACCGCTGCCAAATCGACTGTGTCATAATCTGTTGCCCACAACCCCGGATGGTCACCGGCTCTACCCCGTGTATGCAGGTCCGGGGGACTGCTTCACTAGCGCGCCGGCTACCAGGATTGCGATATATCACACCATCGATGTCCTCCTTTCTGTCCAGTGATTTTGCTGAAAATGAGCCGCCATGCACAAAACGGCATCCTCGCACGCGAGTGAAAAAGTTGTAAATTCTGGGGGATCTCTGGCCTGCTTATAGCTACTCAAAGTGGACGTGACATGTCTCAAAGTACCTTGAGATAGATAAGATCCGACACTCGTGCATGGGAATGTAGGACAGAATGTCATGCCGCACGGGCCACAGTCAGGAATTTTGCCATCCGGCGTGCACGCGAGGCAACCAACGCCAGACCGTGTTGATCGTTCCAGCCAACGCAACAAAGCAAAAAGAGGAGAAAGGAGAACAATGGAGTCACGCGCTACAGAGATGCCCTCAGTCTGGGCCGTTGCATTCGGCGCTTCCGTCGTAGCAGGTCTCGCAGGTTACTTCTTGGGCACTGCCTCATCCATCGGTCTGTTTGGCAGCAATACCCAGCAGCGCGTCGTCAGCAGCAATGGTGCTCAGCATGAAAAGGGACACGACGCCAGCGAGAGCGAAGACGACAACGCATCCGAGTCCGATTTCGAGGACTCCGAAGACGATCAGGAGATCAATGGGTTTGAGGATTCGACCGAGGAATGCAAACTCGTTCTCGTTGTACGCACTGATCTAGGCATGACAAAGGGTACGTATCACATTTTCTTCGCTATCAATCAACATCACACGCTCTTTCTTTCCCCTCACATTCTGCCCTATCGACGATATACACGCTGTGTATCTTCAGCTACCTGCTTTTCATGGTTTTCATGCCCCAAAAGAGGAAAATAATGCATACGATGATTACCACAATCTGACAAATCGATTCATTTTTTGCTGCGTAACAGGCAAGATAGCAGCCCAATGCTCACATGCCACCCTCGCATGCTACAAGACACTTTTGCGCCAGAACTCGCCAATCCTCAAGCGCTGGGAAGGCTACGGTCAGGCAAAGGTCGCCGTGCAGGTCAAGAGCGAGGAGGACTTGTTGATCCTTCAAGCTCAGGCTATCAGCTTGGGTATCTGTGGACAGATCATCCACGATGCCGGTCGCACACAGATTGCCAGTGGCAGTGCTACTGTGCTCGGAGTTGGTCCTGCTCCCAGGTCTATGGTCGACAAAGTCACCAGCCATCTCAAGCTGTTGTAAAACAGCTGCCAAAACATGGCAAACGTCATAAAAGCACATGCTCTTCACAGTATTCGAACTCAGCGGATACTCGCGATCGTGGAGGGCATGCACCACATCTACCTGTGGGGTAGCAATATCGCAAACCAAAAGTATACCTTCTCTCCGGAACGTACGTAACGGCAAGCATCATTTACACCATAAAACTCGTATGACAGAGGCTCGACACGAAGCCAAGCATCAAGTTGCCCGCCGTCAAATATGGGCATGTACAAAAGCAGACTACCAGTAAGCATGGTATACCACTTTTGCCTTCAAACAATACCACTTCAAGTGTAAAATAAGCTCTTCTCCTGTCCCTTCACGTGCTAAACGTACCTATCAAAATGCACGATGCTTTTTAGAAAAAGACCATGTCCACGGAGAGAGAACCAACTATTGTAAGTCAAGTATGCACGTCGTTTCACTCTAGACACCAGTATTCCCGATCGGCAAGTCGCATCATTTACACTCACGTCTACCCATCGAAAGCAACTTTCTTCTGCTTTCAATCCTGTTCTACTACACCAACAGTCGGCATGCCAGCCTCAATCGACATCATCGAGACCTCGGACTCATCCGACACAGAAATGCCAAGTTATTCCGACATCATCGAGATCTCGGACTCGTCTGACTCGGACATGCCAGCCTCAATCCACAATGTCCAAAATCTCCCGGTCACAACTTGGATCTCTGCGTGCTCGGACTGCTACAATGCCACTATAGAAATGCATGATACTCTCCCCAGGGAACCCATAGCCAAAGAGAGGCCCCTTCGTCGAGCATCTCCTTGGGCCCACTCGTACTTTGGAAGCGACTGTGCAATTTTATGGTACACACCACCGCGATAAGTACAGAAGCATCAGTCTTCAGAGTACCGGTAGGATGTGCTCATCCTTCCTTAGCACGGAATCGATTTTCTGCATGCTGGAGCTGGTATGATCATCTATAAAAATGCACAAAGCTCTTCAGAATGAAGCTGTGTCCATGGAAAGACGTTGATTATGACTTGGTAGATACGTTGAGTTATATGCCACAGCTACACGCGGGATCAAACCTATGTGTAAAGCGAGGAGATTGGTTTGGTTGTGTACTTCACAAAGAGGAAGTTGTCTGTGAGCTATGTATGAAAGAACGAGCAAGGGGAAACTGTAAAAAGCAATGCAAAGCAGTTGAAAGCAATATCATGAAAACACGCCATTGTCCCACGCAACTTTGTGCCCGAGGCGTCTCAGTTCATTCAAGCGGTGAACTCCTTGCTCCAGTAGGCTGGCAGATCAATGCGACCTGCAGTAGCTCTTTTCGAGTTGAACATCTCCAGATCAAAGGGACCGATGTTGCTCTTGTCCTTGGATCTGGCAGCAGGCAACTGTGGACGCAGCCAGAAGGCTTCTTCAGGTTCATCCCAAGCAACACAAAAATGACCAGTGTTCCAACAAGTCTTGCATGCGTAGCAACCTTCTTTCTCGACGGTGAGATAACACTTGCTTGCGTTCCACAGGATAGAACGAACGCAGCCAGCGGTTCTCGCCTTGACAAACCAATCTGGGTTCTTCTTGTTGAACTCCTTGAGCTGCTTTCTCCATTCCTCGCGGAGTCTTCCACCATCTTTCTTCCAAGCTGCCGAGGTCGCCTCGTCCTCGTCCTCATAGATCTCGAGTTCGTGATCTCCAGGGTCCAGCCAGATGGTGACGTCGAGCTTGTCCTGAGGTTCAGCATCGATGGAGCGAGGGTGCTTGATGGTAGGGTTGGGCTCAGGCGTGTCAACGACCATATCTGCTTTCAAATCTTCGTTCGGTACCAGCTGTGGGCTTTCGGTCTTGAGGCGACGTGCAGCATTGCCAGTGTCTATATCCATATCAGTGAAGTGATTGAAGCAGAGGCAGATTAGACCTACTGTCATTGACGGCAGCCTTGCGCTTGTTCATAGAGCTAGTGGGACGCACGGTCCTGCTACTAGGAGTACTACCACAAGGTTAGAAGGTGAATACTGACTCTGATGGAATACCTACGGGGTAGAGTCTGGTGCATCCTCGCCAGCGAAGACGCCAGAGTTCGTTTGGAGAAGTTGCTTTTCGGCTTTCAAGCTGTTGATCTCTTGGATGTAGTTCTCGGACTTGATAGCGTTCAGCTTTTTCAACAGGTTTCGCTGTGATTCCTGTAAAGCATCCAGCCTCTGCGAGATGTTGCGCTGCATGTTCTGGAAAAGTGTTAGAAATGATTGGGTGTGCACGCTTGAGGGGGTTCAACTCACCTTGATGTATGAGATCTCATCAGTGTTGGACTCGATTAGTGATTGAATGGAGGCAAGGTCGGCTGGCTCTTGGAGCAGTGGCGCGATCGGTGGAGGCATGATGAGCTGTAATAATTGTCTGTGGAGTTGGTGTGTGTTGAGTAGAAGAGAGGGGGAAGGATAACGACTAAAGAAGAAAGACGAGCGAACGGTTGGAGGGCAAGGCAGCTCGAGTGAGGGAAGTGCTGGTCGGGAAGTCGCGTTCCAGTATACTGTCGTGTTGGGGGAAGCCCCGGAGAAGAATAGCTTCTGGGCAGGCGATTGAAGCCAACCAAGATACCAGAAGCTTGAAACGCTGCGAGAAGAACGTACCTATAATATCGGTTCCGCAGACATGCTTCGTCTTATGTACTGATTGACTTTGGCTGCTCTACAAACGCTGGATTCTGCCACCCTCACTTTTTTTGTACACCGAAGAGCGATAGTTCAGTTATTGAGTGTATGACACCTTATAAGATCTCAGCTTCCTCAACCTCAATGTACAAGGCTCTGTATCACAAGAATTTGGTGTGTTTCTACAGCTGTACTTGTGACAATATCTCGTATCGGAATCCCGACAGATCATCCATTGTATTGGTTGAGCAAGCTTCTGACATGGTCCTCATCGTTCGCCGGGATCGTCACTCCCATCTCGTGCTCATCTATATGTTGTATCGCATTGGAGGGGTCTGATATCGAAGCCGTATTCATATTCGATCTCATACGACAGACGTCATCATACTACGACTGGTCAGCAGAGAAACGGTGCAGTGTTGCTTGGGTACTCACCAAGATCTTGGCCTTTGGGAATATATCTTTCAGTGGCTCGATCATCATCTGGCAGACGTACACAGCGGTGGCTCTGTTCTCTTCCGTATAGCCGACTTGCACAGGCATGAGACTCAAGATTTTTGCACATTGATGTGCACAGCCAGATATGGCTGCATCATGCACTGGTTTCGCGAGGTTCAGGTCTAGCACTTCTGCCCACATGTTCGTCAACTCGATGGCATGCAGCAGACATTTCGATCTCAATTCCTGAGCGAAAGCCAAAGGCGTATTTCGCAGCGCTACTTCCGATATGCATTCTTTGTTTCCCAACATGGTGAGACGATGTAGGTCGAGTTTGCATTGCAGACGCCAAGTGTGCAGCATGATGTAGCTAGAGAGACCTGGAGCATACATCCGTTTCTGGAGGTGCATCTTGTTCCATCTGAGGTCTTGTGGTATCTGTCGGTCGATCGCGTCAATTGCCGAGTCTAGAGCAAGAATCTTTTGTGCTGATGTATATAAACTCTCATTCATGGAAAGAACGTGCTTGGTGAATCTGCCTCGTGTCAGTGGTGCTCCGATTCGTATCTTGAAACCATACTTGTGTATCTTATTGCGCAGTAGGTCTATCAGACGAATGGTATAGGCAAACTCATCCATACCCTTTGCGTTACTGTTTGGCACGCCCTCTTGGGGTTGAGGGCGAAGAACCTCTGTGTCAGTGCGCCGTCCAAAACCAAAAGCACGTTCGATCGTGGGAAGGCGAATCTCCATGCGTTCGGCAGAAACCAGAGTCAGCTCAGCGACACCGCCGGAACAGAACTTATCGAGGACAAAGATAGTCCACATGAGACGTCTTCTGGACTCCTGCTCAACTACCAACAAGGTATGGTCTTCGTAGTTGAGACGCTTTGCTAAGGCTAGACGGGCTGCTAACCCTAGTAACATGAGAGCTTTTGTTGAGTGTATGTGGAAGGTGAATTCGAAGAAAGCGAGCAGCGTCAGGGCCTGCAGGCGAGGGATGGTCAGATCTCCCAGGTTTTGGAGTGCGTCTAGCTCGGCTTCATGTATCCAATGTGCTGCTCTATCGTTGTCTGCTTCAGTTGTAGGGAAGACGCGAAGAGCACACGCACAGACGACTTTCAGCAGCGATACATTGACGGTATGAGTGTGCCATTGGCGTAAAAACGTCGGTTGATGTAAGAAGCTCATGCAACTGACAGGATATACAAAGCGGAAGAAGGCTTCTATGTACTCTGCAATGAGTTCTTTGTCCGTATCTAGACTGGAAAAGACTTAACAAGGATCGCCACGGTTATCAAGCGATCAGAGAGACTTACTAGTAGTCGCGTTTGATGGTGTCTGGCACTTTTCTAGAAATACGTAGACGAGGCACAGGAGCTGGAGCTTGGTAGATGTCGCCGGGCTGCATATTCAATGACGGTGAGGCATTTGAAGGGCCGTGACCAGGGACAGATTGCCAACCATGAGCAGCAGGAGTGACATGGTTGGCTTGTCGTCTGCTGACAGAAGGATACACGCATGCTTGATCACGTACAGCGCACGCACTACATGGCGAATCCCCAGAGCAACGGACTTTTTGTCGGCGACACCAGTCGCAAGCTATCCGCTTGGGAGCGCGATCTTTCGCCTTTTGCACTCGATTTTGCGGTGCAGAGCGTGATGATTGTGGAGCGGAGGCAGTACTTGTCAAATGAGAGCAAATATATCCATTCCGCACGCAACTTCCGCAGGCCTGGCGAGGATGTGCAGCGTCCGTCTCACAGTGTAATCGGCGAGTGCGACACTCGACACAGCCAACAAAAGGGGTAGGGGTGGCATCCAGGGTTCTTTCGGTTTGTGCCGGACCGTGGTCGGTAGACATGATGGTGGGAGATGGTTGTTTAGCAGGCAGGACGGCGTTGATTACCAATGGCCCAGCAGGAGAGGCGGGCGCCAAGAATGTGGCTGGGGAACACCTCATGGCCGATGGCTTTCTTCAAGCGACACTGTACAATCGCAATCCATCACATCTTCCAATGCCCCGGCACGAACGATGCTTTCGACTGTTTGGAGAGGGATGAGTGCCCTTCTCAACCAAACATCCGCTCATTCACTCCAATCCTCGCGCTCCCAGTCCAGAACTCTAGACGACGAGGCGCGAGCGGCCCTATAGAGAGAAAGGAGCAAGATATCTTCGATCTCGCTGCTTGGACCCTGTCTACCGCCAGGAGCATTACAGAAGAACTCGCCTTTTATATAAGGAGAATAAGCGTAGCCAGAGAGGTTATCACCTTTATCCGTGGTGCACCAAGTGATGCCTGCTGGCTATGGTGATATCCGGAAAATCAAAGACATCGCGGCGAGAAGTAAGCATCTTGGTCACACAGCACCCACCAGTGACCTGACTTTGAAAGCCACACGCATTGTTTCATCTGGCACAACAAATGTCTCTAATTCATAGAAGACGCAAACGCCTATGAAGATCTGGCACGTCTGTGTGTGAGAGCTAAGAGCGATCCAACACACGGGCACCCCGCATACTGTATTGTTCACCCTGCAACACAATCCCGTCTTCCTCTTGATGCCGAGGATACTTAAGCTGGCCAACATGCAGCACTCCTCCTTGTTCACCATTTTCGAACCTCGCTCGGAACTTCAATCAGATATCATACCTCTCGAGATCAAAGTTCAAGGCGAAGCCATCGCCAGTCGCATGGCTGACATGGTTGAAATCCACATTGCTTTCAAATCCAAGGGCCTCTACCGCAACGAAGCCAGTACCGCCCTCTCCAAAGCCGTCGAAGCTCTCATCGATACACTCCAGAAACTCTCACCAACTCTCAAGAATCAGCACTCGTCGTTCCAAGCTACCCCTGAAGGGCCAATCACCTTCTGGAGCGTCGGAGCCCAGCATGTTCAAACTCAGTCTGTCCCAATCTCGCAAACCAAAACTTATCAAGAGAACCATATGGTCACGGCATCTCTGGTTATCAACATCTGTGATTTCCAGATCCTTGGACAAGTCTCAAAAGCCATCACCAGAACCTCTTGCGTTGCCAGCGTAAAGACGATCTGGTCACTGACTGACTCAGTCGTCACTCGTCTGAAGACTGAGGTGCATGAGTTGGCCGCCAAAGATGCACTTCTCAAAGCTACCGCCATTGCTTCGAGTATTGGTTTCCACGCAGTCACAGCAGAAGACGTCGCCTTACAGGCTTCCAAACAGGATCTCCTCCGCTCGGATGATCATTACTCCGATGGAAATTGTATTCGCTCATCGCCGGTCAGACATCGCATGGGCGGCTGTCTTTCCTATAACAGCTACGACTACGGAGGTGGATCCTTCGAATGCAGCGATAGCAAGTGGACAAGTCGTGATGAGGCTGGCAACCTGGATACCTGGACGCTGGTGATGGTTCCCAAACAGGTCGCCCTCACTGCTACGGTGGATGCCAAGTTCTCTGCAACCAGCTCAGCTGGATGGGTCTACGAAGAGATCAACCAGCATCGATTCCTTACTAGCTGATTAACCGTGTTCTATCTCTCACCTGTACCAACAACTCGACGACAGCATATTGAGCTCTTTTTCACTGCGCCAGCTTTCAGACTCCTTCTACTCCTTCCGCAGCGGTCAGCCACTGGCTGATAAGGGTTTCGTTGCGGTTTTGTTCTCATATTGGAGGTTGTTACGGACTTGAGCATTCTCTGTATCTTGCGCATCTTCTTCTGCCTGGTTTGATCCATCTGTGTTTCTCATTCATGGACCCATGGGACATGCAATCTGACCCTCGAAAATGGTCATCCTCCCATCTAAGTAGATTCCGTGATTCCATATCCGAATTCCTCGTTATCCCTGGCTCTGCTCTTCTCAACCCTCTACTGCTGATAGAAGCTTAGACTGGAAGGACTTACCAGTCGAAAAGCTGCAAACCCATTTGCAGTTCCTGACGCAAATCTTCCACCATCTTCACGCAACAATAACAAGCGTACAAACCAAGAAGATGCCGAAACCCATCAAGCTGCCGAAAAGAGCAGGCAAGACATGAACAGAGAGCTGGAAACCCTTGTCGATGAACTTCAGTCTCTGCGTAGACTTGTCAATGAGAAGTTGGGCACGGTGGATCTCGAGATCAGAAAGAGCCTTCACAAGCTCGAGGGAAGACTTCTAGACCTAATGGCAACTGAGATCTGAGTGTTTGAGATCGTGGGGGGTTCTTGATGGGTATGAGGAGGATATTGGCTTCCGACAGGGACAGTTCTGGGACGTCTATAGAGCATTTGAAATACTTGCTGAAGGCCTTTTTGTGGATTTGATCCTTCTTGCAACGGCATCGTGCATTCCATATCTGGATTATGCCAGTCTTGATACTCTGGATGGCAGAAGTCTGGAGCTTGAGAGATGCATGTTGAAATCTATGCTCGTGCTTCTGGTGGATCTTCCTGGATCCCGTATGCAGATGTTTGTGCCCCATGTTACAGCCGAATCATCTCTTTGGACATCATTCCATCTTTGACAGTACTGTGCCTTGTTATAGCCGCAACTTGGCAGTACTAGCATATCGAGAGAAGATCGAAGTAACCTCCTGGCTATTCCCAAACCACACCCAATCGGCACCATAGCCATCGAAATGCACAGTTCCTTGCAGATGAGACATGAGTACAAAGAGAGCCCCTCTCTTCACAACTCTCAATGGACACTCTCCACCCTCCCGCAGGAATTATGCATTTCTATAGATCTTTAATGATACACATGTGCATGTGGAGAAGCTGTTCTCTAGATCCCACTTGTTCCACGAATACGAACTGACCATCTATATCCTACTTCTTGGCCGGTGCCTTAGTAAAGAAACTAGGTACTTGACCTCATCATGTCTGACGTATTGACCTTGCCTACCTAGCTGCTTAACACCCTTGCTCATGTTTTTTTTCCTTCTGCTCTTCCTCTTCCTTTCTCCTTCTCATAGTTGCTTCTCTTTCTTCGGCTTCTTCATCATTTATAGTGCTATGTTTGCAGAAATGCTGTGAAGGACATGAGAGGACGCGACTGTTGACATTAGACTTCCCAAAGCAGACCAAAGTGCAGACGCGTGTCACGTTCTCTTGGCAGACCCCTGTGGACCCTGGCTGTGTTGATTGGCCTGCTATGGCAGTTCATGCACCGGCTCTGCATGCGTAAATTGCTGTGAATATCATCATTACTGTACGAAATTCCATCTGATCATCTCATTGCTTTCCACCGAGGATTGCGCAAAGCCCAATTCTGAAAGACTCCAGATTAGGTTGAACAAGATCCTCCGGTGGCTTCGAAGGAGCCGAAAAATAGAGGCTTCCCCAGGACAACATCCCGGCGCATCGTGTACCACAGAAGATCCCTGTTACACTAATGGTCGACCTTGCATCTTTGTCCGACCGTTGTCTATCTATGTCATGACGACCGTCTTGCACTCTGCTAGTATTTCCTTAGCTACTCCCTAACAATGCAGGTCCGCCAGTCCCCCAAAGGCAAAGGTATTCAAGCTCCAAACAAACCCTGTCGTCGTTCGATCATAATGAACTGCGTCAGTGCTGACCACACCGCAGCCTCTTCGCAAAACAACATGAACTGGCCACCACAATCCCCCCTCGACGCTCTCCTCAGCTCTCCCAAAGGTCAGAAACGCTGGCAGGAACACAGAGACCGCATGAGCCAAGAACGCGACCGTGACATCTCTCCTTCTCCTCGCAAACAACCGCTTTCGTCCAGCCGGGCCCTCCAAGACGTCATCATGTCCGACAACGACGACTGTGACGACGATGAGGAAATCCTCCAACTTCAACTTCAAGCTATCCAAGCAAAGCTCAGATTGAAGAAGCTGCAAAAACAAAAGTCGTCGCAGAACACACACAATGACGATTCACGACCGAGTTCGGAGAATTCAGACTCGCCGCGGAAGAGACAGAAGACGCACTCCGCTGCCTTAGATGCTGCCGTCCAAGTTAGTGTATCACCCATCAAGAGCCACATGCCACCCCCCGCAGCGCCTGAACCAATATCACCAGCCCGCGTGCGTCTCGGCATCGACAAGGGCCTCAAGGCCTCAGACGTCTCGTTGAAAAGAGCTAGGAATGGTTCGACCCTGGCAAGCAAGAGTACGCAAAGAACAACACTACCTGCTGAAATTGAACGACCGAAGCAAAGTTTCAGCGACCGCATCGCTGCCAACCGTCTGTCGGCGGAGGAACAACAAGCTAAACACGCAAGGATCGAGAGGAACAGGTCACAAGGCTTTGGACTTGCCGCACAGTCTACGCCTCGACCCTCTCGAGAAACAACGCAACCAAGACCGCAGCTAGCACGTACACAGAGTGATAGAGCAACCAGACAATTACCCTCCGAGAGCAGCACCAGCAGCTTCAGTCGTTCAATCCCCACTTCTTCAGCTTCACAAAGCCCCTTCGTGTCCCAGCGTGTCGCCCAGCCACCGTCATCGACAGAAGTAAGAGGCCGCTCCTTCCGTCCCACTGTAGGCTTCTCCCACGACGACACTCCCACATCCACCGAGCCTGCCACAGACAGCTCTTGTTTCGAAAGCTTCTCATCGCTTCATCTCTCCAAGCGATTGCTGCCGCACACCACTCTGGCTCGAGCTTTGGACGGGAAAGAAATCTACACCCTACCTCGCCTGTTGAAAGAGATCAAAGCACCGATATACGAGCCCCCGGATTGTGAGACAGACTTTGTTGTTTTGGCTATCATTGCTGCCAAGTCCACTCCTTACGACACTCGCCCGAAACACAAGCAAACTTCGTCTGTCGAGGATGACAATGCTGGTCCGACGAAGTTCATGGTCATGACATTGACTGATCTGAAGTGGGAAGTCGACTTGTTTCTCTTCGATACAGCCTTCGAAGCTTTCTGGAAGATGACGCCTGGAACAGTTGTTGCCATGCTGAATCCGACAATCATGCCTCCCAAGACGAATCAACACTCGGGCAAGTTCAGTCTCAAGCTTGCTAGTTCCGAAGATTCTGTCATGGAGATCGGCTCTGCCAGAGATCTTGGCTTCTGCACGTCGTTGAAGAAGAACGGTCAAGAATGCCACTCCTGGGTCAACACACGCAAGACTAAACACTGCGATTTCCACCTCGAGATGGCCATCAACAAGACGCGATCAGCACGTATGGAGGTCAACACCATGTATCGTCCCAACAGTGAGTTCAAGAAGAACTCGCGTGTCTTGCCGAATGGTTCTTTTGAGCGCAGACAAGATCCCTCAAGACGGGATGCTGAAAGCCACGAGCGATACTATATGGTTCCTGGCTCACGTACCGCTGCTTCCCTTCTTGACGCAGATGACTTGGGAAAGGCAGATGCCATGCGCCGCCGCCTGAAAGATAAAGAGAAGGATCGTCTACTTGCTGAGAAGCTGGGACAGCTGGGCAATGGCATTGGAGCAGAGTACTTGAGACAGACGACCGGTGCCATCAATGCCGCCAAGAATACAGCTCTGGATAACTCCAACGAAGATGCGCCTCTGTACAAACCCTCCGCTGCCGAGCTTGGTCTGGTCAACAAGGACGCTTCCAAAGTCCGCCTCAGCCCAGCCAAGAACCGACGGAAACTTTTCTCTATTCTTCCAGGTGGCACAAAAAGTACAGCCGCAGGTCCCGAAGCTATGGGCTGGGGAGGATATGCGAAAAGAGGCTTGGGTGAATCGTCTCGTCCACGCAACCTCGGTCCAGAAAAGGGACAGACGAAGATCAGTACGCATACACGACCCAGCTCGATTGCTTCTTCAATAGCTGGCACCAGTGCTAGTGCTGGGGAGAAGAGTCCGAAGAAAGCTAGGTTTCAGCTGGCGAAAGGCATCAGAGAGCCGGGGAGGGATAGCCTGGGTGGCGAAGGCACGGTGCCTCTTGATGATAGTAGCGATGATTTGGAGATCATCTAAACCTGAATACTCCATTTATCTGAACTCTTCGTGGTCTCCCTCCACGGTCGGTCTGGTGTTTTTTCCTTGTTTCTTTCGTATTCTCATACCCCTCTTAGTTTTGTAAGATTTTTACATACGATTGCTGATGATGCTGTCTTCCCACGTATTACCGATCAGATGTAACGATTGAGAGCTCCACATCGTCCTTCAACTATTCCAAGAGTCTTAGGGTCGTGTCTTCGGCAAGCGGAGACACTAGAATCAAAATCCGATGTTCAAAATCCGGAGCCGATTATGGTGACCCTGGCATGACGTGGGTTCGACCTCAATCCAAGTGCAGCTATAACCACCTTCGGTTGTCCTGCCACCAACTCGTCAACAAAAAAGCAGCGCATTTCACATATCAGAAGAAGACCAGAACCCAAACAAACGGCACCAAACTACTGCTTGCTTGGGGATCATCGAAGCGGTTGCAATTCGTTCCACGTCACAAAATACCACCATCCACAATCGTCACAGCTATATCGACGTGTTTTTTCCAGACGTTTCGAAACGAAACATTGTCATCAGCATGGATACCACGACTACATTGACCGTAGTTAGAATCCTCGGTCCTGCCACCTCTCTCGCAACAGCCGGAGCGATCCTCAGCATCTCGTTCCTCTACACACCTTTGCTCTCTTCCTCCGCTCGCTCCCAGTCTTCCTCCAAACCAGCACCATCCTCGACTCTCCCAGCTATTCGCTTCATTTTCTCTCGTGGCAGCCATTTCTTCCCTCAAGCTGCTGTCTTTGCAGCCACGAATTTTGGATATCTGGCATATCATTGTGATGGAGGTATTGTGAGGATTGTAGGATTGGAGCTGCAGAAGAGGACGGGGTTGGTGATGGCAGGAATGTTGAGCATGGCTATTGGACCCATCACGGGGGTCATGTTGCCGGTGTGCAATAATGCTTTGAGAGAGATGGGAGCGTTGGAAGCGAAGGGGAGAGGAGAAGAGGTTGATGAGTTGAGACTGAAGGAATTGGTCAAGCGGTTCGAAGTGTTAAACTATGTTAGAGGGGCGGTCATGCTTGCAGGAGGTGTCTTAGGATTGGCTGTTGTTGCCGCCTGAAGATGGCAGTCAGTTGGGCATTATCACGAGTTTGAGCGGTCTGCTGAATGTGCTTTCAGATGTAGACTCTACTGTGTGGGGGGTTCGGGATCCACAATATCAAGCATGTAATTTGCGGCATGCTTGATCGTTGTCTGATAAACCGTACAAACCATGGGCGATGAAGGTTGTCGGAAAGACATATAGAAAACGCAAGGTAGAAGCGAGGCTGTGGGAGGGTTTCGCAGGCTGCGAGTCTGTGGTGACAGTCATTCGCCTTGCGATTATCAGCAGCAAACATTGGTCACGACGGCCCTTTCCACTGGACTGCCACTATCAATTACCAAATATCACGGAATCAGGCGATGCCAATCGGGGGGTTGAGTGTATGCATTGTTGCGTCTCGAGTCGCGACGCATCACTTTGCAGGAAGGAAGGTGCGAATAACACGTTAGTACTTTCCTTCGAAACGACTCTTGACTTTTTGCATGTGACAGTCTCTACTTTCGTTCCATTCTCACTCCGACTCTTTCTTCTCTTTCTCCAACTCACCAAATAAGCTGGCGGATCTCGTCGGCGTCACATACTACATTCAGATCTCAGCCCTCGATCGCTTTTTCTCACACTCGCCATCCCGCCTTCACTCGCAATCATGGCAGATCCAGAAGTTGGCGGTTCGGCAGCTAACGCGATGAACTTGCTTCGTATCAAAGCAGACATCAAAGAGCTCGTGAAGGAACAAGACAAGCACAAGGAATCTGTCGACTCGATCAACGCCAAGATTGAATCCCAAGGGCCAAATGTCACTCTGGAAGGACTTTTGAAGTCACTCATCGAGAAACAACATTCAGCATTCACGAGGACATGTCTCGCTGTCTCAGTGATCGGCCAGTCTATCGAGGATCTGACCACGTTCTCTCGAAACCCACCAAGCATAATGGCAATCAAGGACCTACTGGATTCCCTGAACAACTTCACCGACGAGGATTCGATCGAGACACTCTCAGGATCTCTAGTCATCGTCCAGGATGGCACCAAATTCACGTGCGCTGATGTTGTGGAGGATCTGGAAGAGGCGTACAAGTCGCTATCAGAAGAACACCAGTCCAGAACCACTGAGATTCTGCGAGCAACACAGCTTGCCGTCAGAGACCTCGCCACAAACCCTTTCAAGCGGACTCTCAACCGCAGATCTCGACTTCTAGCCATTCGCAACGAAAATCTCACGTCTGAATCTGCTGGTGTCTTGTCAGTCACGCAAGAGGTCCACGGTACAACCCATCTCGAAGCCTCGACACAACCAAATCGGACGACCCAGACTTCACAGGATCCTGCTCAAATCTTGGACGCGCCTAGTCTCCACAGATATATTGACTCTGTATTCCCACTAGTCCCAATCAAACGTATCGTTGAAGCAGTTCAGAATGTGGTCATGGAATTCGCATCCGGTCACAAGAGTCCGGATGAACATGGACCTGGAATCTTCCAGGAGATCACCTCAAACAGCAAGAAGGAGCTGAAAGAACTTGGCGTACGAGTTCAGGCTTTGGAAGACTTCATCAAATTGAGGTATGCAGGTGGAGCAGACAAGGAAGTCAAGGAAGAAGAAACCTCACTGCAGAAAGAAGCATCTCTTCACCCGCACAAAAGACCATCTCTGGGATTTGAGGATAAGATGGACGTCAAGAGATCTCGTTCTTGATACCGAGAGTCTAGTCTTGTGAGGTATCGACTTGATTCGTGGCGTTGGAAGGTTGACAACGGTGGAGGGCGATCACAGAAGAGCAGATATGATTAGTTGCTCGCGGGATCGATTGACAGAAGGAGCGGATTGCTAAGTATGAGAGACGAAGATCAGACAAGTCGCTCAGGTGAACAAGCGTCCAGATCACATATCTAATCATCTGTATTCCAACACGCTCGTTTTGAGATCTGGTGTGCATGCAGTAAGAGTACCCGGGAAGGACATTCCGATGGCTCTCGAGATATTTGACAGGATCTCCGATCGATATCACCGGTAAAGATCAAGAGACTCTACAAGAGTATTCGATCTGTCCTTTGATGGAAGAGAATGGGAATGAAATAGCTATCCATAGCTAAATCCTAGCTCTCAGTATTCCAAAGTGATTGTGACCTTGAGAGCCTTCTTCTGGGTACCCTGAGGTCTCTCATCGCGGATCTCAAGGTCAATAAATTCATCCTGGTCTGCGTTGGAAGCTTGCTCTGCATCATCTCTGTTTCCCAGATTCTCATCGATGAGCTCTACGTTCACGAAATCTTCCTCAAGAACGACCTCATCCTCCAGATCTCTTTGCTGGCCTGCCAGATCTTCGGCTCCGTCATCCAACGCGTCGAGGTCTGTGACCTCTTCGGGGTTGATCTGAGAGACGAAAACAGGTTGTTCGCTGACGTGGAAGCGGCCGTTGTCGTCCCAAGTAAGCCTGGGAGGGACCGCCTTGACAGCAGCTCTGTAGTTGTCCCTGAACCGGTCACCATCGGGCATGGTCTTGTAAGCTTCGCCCAAGATTTCGTTGAGGCGCACGCATCTGTCATAGAATCTTTTCAACCAAAGATTGCTGATTTTGATCTTACCACGCAGAGACTAGGCAATGTAGGTGATAGTGAACAGTGACTCACGTTGTAAGCCTTCATCTCGTAGAAGACAGTGTGGTTGTAGACGGCCTCCTGGACAACGGGATGTTGACATGTGACAAAGCTCTCGTGGAAAGCTTCAGCTGCAGTGGCCTGCTTCACGAGTTCGCCGTAGTTGACAGTGTATCGTTTCACGATCTCAATAGGGTCGCCTCCGTATTTGGCCTCTCTCGCCTCAATGCGAGCTTCAAGCACCCGAATCTTTTCAAGAAGCTTAGCTCTCAAGGCGTCCTCATCAGCATCAGATCCAGTGGAACTCTTGGGATCGTCAGAGCGAGTCTCTGGCTTCTTGCCAGCTTTGGCGCGAGCGAGAGTGGCCTGATAGGCGGCATTGCCAGGATCCGAGGCGCCGCCGGGGTTGGAAGGTCCGCCGGCTGAGATCTCGCCGTCGGAAGTACTCTTGGCTGAAGACGGCTTGACTGGCATCTTGTTGCCAGCGGATGCGGCATTGGTGGCAGAGCCAGAAGCGACAGGATCGATTTTTCTCTTCTTAGTTGCGGACTCTGGTGTAGACTGGGCGCCGGGAGTTGGGGAAGCCGAGATCTGATCAGATGGTCTCTTCTGTGTTTCGGCGAGTTTGTCTGGGGTCTTGGGAGCCGCGGATCTGGCGACGTGAGGGGGCTGATGTCCAGCGGGAGCATCGTTCGTGTTGGCCATAGTGCTGACTTCCAAAGGATCGTTCTGAGGATTGGATTGACCAGTCTGAGAGCTCGAGCTGGTAGGAGGCTGAGGTCTGATACTGCGCAACATAGCAGCGATCCTAGCGATTTGGGCTGGTGGCAAAACCCTGTGAGACCTTGTGAGCGAGGATTGGATGCTCAAAGTTGGCATACATACATGCCGGCAAGATGTTTGAGCTGAGATCTTGAGTTGAAGGCTAGGAAGTGGTGGAATCTTGGATGACAGGCCAAGGGGTTATCGGAAATGGATGAGATCCACCAGGTAGTTGCTGTATGGCTGCGTGGAGGAAAGAAAGATACGAAGAGAGGGAGAAAAGAAGAAAGTGGAAGGCTGAAGGAAGCGAAGCTTTATCAAGTCGGCTGGAGTGAGGAGAACGGCGAGTGGCTGTAAAGTGTGATATTTCTCCAGTGATTGTAGGCTCACTTACAATCTTAGTGCTGATCTCTGGCACTGCGACGGTGTGCTGTTCGCGATGCCTGTTCGAAAGACACGTATGGAGATTTCAGAGAAAACAGAGATTTGAGACACTCGGCAAGTAGCTGTTAACTGTCATGGTTCACCAGTGATTGTTATTGAGCACTCGCTTACCATCCAGGCGCAGATAGTTTCTATTCTGCAATCCGTCTGGGTGGACCTATTGACTATCATAGCGCTGGCAGCAAGCACGTTGGTAGCCGCCAGCCTCAATTGCAAAAGGAAAACACCTTTTAGAGTGCAGAGTGGTCTCGAGCAATAGGACAGTATCCATGAAACAGCGACACATTCGGGGCTCTCTTTGGAATGACTCGACAATTGTGCCTTTTTATAGTGAGAAGACCGACGAGACCTTTGGAGGAGGCAGGTGAGCATGACCAGCTATCGGCCTTTTCTGGACACATGTCTCGTTGAGGAAGCCATGATGCCTTGATATAGCGACATGGCTCTATGTTGTAGTGAATGAGGGGCAATTGACAGACTTGAGTATGTGAGTGCAAGATGCAAGAGCGATGGAGGTTGTCAGAAGTGAATGGCCATGGCGCCTTCCCAATGCGGGGCTGGTGCACGCGGGGCATGACGCGCATCAACCGGCATCTTTCTTTCCATCTCAGGCTGCCGCATACTCAGTCACTTTACACACGAACCACTCTCAGTCGCAAGGATGGAGTCCATGTCACGCCGTCCGTCGCAGCGCCAGAACCACGAGCAGAACGATCAAGGAGCCACAGCCCAAGACACGTCCACTCTCCAAGAATCCAGCGTACTCGTCGACCATCCGTCACCCGAAGCACGATCAACGCCACAGATACCCGACGATAACGACCTCAAAAAATGCTGGATCTGTTTCTCAGATGAGAGTGAAGATGGTCCCGACACATCGGTCTGGAGAGACCCTTGCCCTTGTGCCCTGGTAGCACACGAAGCATGTCTCCTCGACTGGATCGCCGACATGGAGTCTCCTACAACCCGCAAACGCACTCTCGGCCCTCCCGCCATCCTGTGTCCGCAATGCAAGTCTAGCATTCAGCTCGTCCGCCCGCGCGACCCCATCGTCGAAGTCGTCAGAGCACTCGAAAGAGTCGCTGCCAAAGCCGTAGCCCCAGCCGCCTTGACTGTAGCCTTCAGTGCCGTCGTCCACGCCTGTGCAGTCCACGGTCTCTACACCATCACCTCCGTCTTCGGCCCGCAAGACTCAAGACGCATTCTCCAACCTCTGATTGACAACATCTGGACGGCTTCCCGGCCCATGGATCAACTGCGCAACTTCATGCAGCACTGGCGCCTCCGCATCGGTCTCCCGCTCATCACTCCTCTCCTCATCCTCTCCCGCACCACCCTCGCCGACTCCATCCTCCCCGTACTTCCCATCGTCTTCTTCGCGACTCAGGGCGACACCTCCGATACCCTCGACATGATCTCCTGGCCTCCATCAGCAAGCATGACCTTTGCAGTCCTTCCCTACATCAGATCAGCCTACAATACCTACCACCAACGCGTCTGGGCTGAGCGTGAGAAGAAGTGGCTCAAGGAAATTCAGCCAAGAAGTGGCCAGCAGGATGACAATGCTCAAGTCGCTGTTGACGCGGAGATGGAGGCCGCCGAGGGAGACAATAACTTTGAAATCAGAGTAGATGCCAATATCTGGGAAGACTGGGCAGGTGCCGACGACGATGATCTGTTGTTGGAGGTTCAAGATGGCGGTCAAGCCCATCCATTCAACGCACCACCTTTGCCTGACAATGCTCCTCTACATCAGGGCCAACAATTACCGCAACAACCTCGACCACAGCAAAACCCTGCCCCTCCGCCGCCACAGGATAGAGAAGAACGCTTGCTATCCTTCAGCACGAATTCTCTTGCTCAAACAGTCATGTCCGCCATCATCTTCCCTACAATCGCCTCAGTATCCGGAGACTTACTCACGTACATTCTACCACAGTCATGGACAACACTTCCTGTGTCAAAGTGGGGTATAGGCAGAGGTAGAGCAACAGGATTGCTACAAAACAAATGGGGTCGAAGTGTTGTAGGAGGATGTCTATTCGTCGTCGTCAAGGATGCTGTGATGCTTTACGTCAGATGGAAGATGGCAAGACAGCACCAGAGAAGACACGTTGTTGACTACGACAGGAAGAACAAGAGGTAGGCAGAGGATTTCTTGCGGTGTCAGGTATACTCCCCATGGCCACGGGTAATTTATCACGCTCCACAAGCAGCTTCAGCGCACAGCACCTGATAAATTATTCATGGCCGCACTGAGTACTCTTAAACCTAGAACAAGACCGTCTCCAGCGTCTTGTACGACTATTTAATGACTCTTTTGCTGTTTTTAAACGCTCTCCTCTTCATCACACTCCTCTAGCGGATCTCGACATGATTTCAACTACAAAAAAACACTCAAAAACATCCAAATCCTTTGTCGAACCCTTACGATCAAAATGGCCAATCTCGAATCCACAGAGCTAGCATGGGCTCAGATCGAGTATCAGCATCAAATCCCAGATTTGTGTCACGAGAAGATGAAATCCAAGATGCAGGAGATTAACGAAAGCTCAGACTCGAAGACTGTCTCGCTATACCACATGCTCCACGGGGACCAGCGAGAGAAGCCTCAAAGCTTGCCCTACGCACGCCAGATCCCGTGTAACTTTGCTGCGGCAAACAACAAGGCGAAGTCTCCTGCTTGGTACTCCTTGACTGTCGAGGGAGATCCCGGTCAAGAATTCCCAGATTCTAACGAGATGCATACACTCGGACCTGATGGAGAATATGAAGAGCATCCTGATATTCGTTATATGCTCGAGATCAGAAACGGTCTTGTCAAGAGAGCCTCAATCCAGGACGTCGAGAACCTGAAACTTCTCCATGATCTCGTCCTCAAGGTGGAAGCGATCGAGAAGCAAAATCTCGAGAAGCAAATCCGTCCAGCATCTGAAATCCTCGATGACGAGAAGATCGAAGTTGGGACCTCGGGTACCTTCACAGAAAAGTCCATTGCCGGCCTTCGTCATGTGCTTTTTGAATTCGTCCACTACGACTGGGAGCACAAGAAAATAAGATTTTACTGCACCACACACCTGGGTGAGCAGTGGCTGAGCGTGGAGGCCAAGTCTGGATCTCATCACGCCTACAAACTCATACAAAAGTTGGAAGAAGTCGCAGGACTCCGCCCACAAGCAAGGCTTACGATCCCAGTGGGTTCTGGTAGAAGTCTAGAGAACGAAGTTTTCGTGACTTTCAACATTGTTCATCCCCTGCCACACCTCGTTGAGAGCCCACGCTGCAAGATCTCATACTTCGTCGAGCTCTGGGAGGTCACTGATCTGGCGACCGACTACATCAAAGACTGGCGACCAAATCCTACCGACTACTCTGATATCATCACCTTCCTGGACCGCCTGTCAGATGTCTGGTTCCAGGACCTCTCTTTGCTTTACGAGAAGCACAGTTGCCTTTTCCAGGATCCAAAGAAAAAAGTCGCTACCCAAGTCGCAAGCATTAAAGTCATCAAGGCTCAAGTACCTACCTTCTGCAGTCTGGCAGTGCTTCCCCGCTGGCATGGCATTCCTCATCTGTATGCCCAACTCAAGCACAAGTGGGGTGTTACTGATGAGGAAGCCGAGGATCTGGATGGGCATCTCCATGTGGCCTACGACGAAATCCTCACAAAGCTCACCGGCGAGGATCTGGAGCTGGACAATTGAGATAGATAGGATATTGGGAAGACAATGGCAGATCACAGATTTGAGAAGGAGATTTTGATATTCGGGCTGGCATTCTTCGACACTTTTGATCTTTTGCTTTTAAATATACATCAACCAAATCACAAAGAAAAAAACTTGTAAAACTGTAAATCGATCTCCCGGATTATGAACTTGTCTTCTCACTGTGATATCGAAAGATACAGGCCACGTTCCAGGGAATCCGTTTACACCTTGCCATTATGAGACCCTACATAAGGAGCTATGTTAATATATGCCAATTTAGGTAGAGCGATGATAGGATAATCGCCCTAGAAGAAATATGTATCAGGTGACTACATATTATTAGCTACAGATAGTATAGCATATGACTAGTATGTGTGCGCGTGTATATGTGTTTGCGTTTTTGATGTATCTAGGGATAGCATTTCTAGTTTTCGAGCAGCAAAACCATCCTGTTCAAGTCACTACACACATTGACACTAGTCTTATTGATTAGAGGCTATACGAAGGAATCGTAATCAAAGGCACTGATAGAGACATCGTCGACCGCTACTACGAAAATGTTGTACATAGTACACCCTTCTGAGGATACAAACAAACAGTCACCAATTCACTTGCAAAGCTCGTCTGGTTGAACACCAAAGTCAGACCATTCATCCCCAAAATGTGTCGTGCATGCACATAGATTTTGTTTCTTCAAACGCTTAGGGAGACCGATATAAAAGCGAGTAGAGTCTAACGGCATACCAACGTGTCATTTGCAAATGCGACGTGCGTTTTCGTTCGATACGGATGAGACAATAGAATGATGGAAGAATAGAAGTTGTTTGCGCATGAATAGTAAGTGAATGCTCAATAACAATCACTAGTGAAACAACACAGTCTACTATCAACCGCCGTGTTTCTCAAAGCTCGCACTTTCTCCAACCTTCCACTTTCCTTTCTTCCTTCCACACGTCCAAACAGTAAACGCGTGGCGGATCTGTGATTGCCTGGCAGATCTCATTCAAAACAGTAATCACCTGGCAGATCTTGTTGACGGATTTCCAGCCTCTCGTCCAGATCTCGCCCACTTCTTACCGAGCATCTCCACATCCAGATCTTGTCAACATGTAACTACAATCAACCGGAGGTGAAGACACTCGCTCACACGTTTCTACAGGGCTCCCAAAGACCGAGACCAAGACCTGACTAAATCAGCACTCGCCGCTGACTCCAAGGCCGCGAGCAAGATCCCCGACCCTGCTACTCAGACCAAAACTCCGAAGACTGCCACTGGATCTTCTGGATAAACCCCCACTCTTCCCAAGACCGTTTACGCTGCTACCCAGAGCAGTGATGCAAAGGCTGCCCCTGCATCTCCTCGCCAGGACCTCGCTGGCAAGATTTCTACCACTACTACCCAGCGCAATGCTCCGAAGGCTACCCCTGCATCTTCTCGCCAGAGTCTCGTTGCCAGGAGTCCCCCCACTGCTATTCCCGAGCCCAGCTCCGGCAAGCCCGTGAAGAACAAGATCCAGCCCGAGACCGGTAGCGCACGCCAGGCCTTGGATCCCGGACACAGCTCAACCAAGAAGGATAAATTGCAAACCAGAGCGAGACTCCCTTCCCAGCTGAAGAGCTCCCCTCCCGGATCTCAGCCCATGAAATCACCCATCGACAAGTTCTCGGCTGGCCGCTCGCTCGTCACCACGCCTACCGGACCTCCCGCCAAATCCAAGAGAAAGTCTGGTGAGTTACTCACACCTCCTGGCGCCAATGCCAAATCCACTTCAGAGTCTTTACACAAGAGAAGAAGATCTGGTCAGGTCCCGCTCACAAGTGTGACCGATACTGGAAGTCCAACCACCAAGGGCTCGGCCAAGAAGGCTGCAGTCAAGAGAGCTACGAATATCCCGACACCCATCAACCAGACTTCGTCCAATGCTAGCCCAGTTTCTGGATCTGCCAACACCAGCACTGATCTTGCTGCTGCTAGAGCTGGAAAGGCCATAGAAGCTAATCAGGACCAGGACAACGCTAAGGCACTCGAGACTAAGAGAATGAGCCTCATCGCACGCTGCAGAGAATTGGCCATTCAAGAACAACAGGACTTGGACCAGCGTGGAACACAGTTGGAAGAGGCGGAAAATCTCGTAAAGACTCATGGATTCTTTCAAGAGAACTATATTCAAGCATGGGAGGACATGGCCGCACTTCGCGCTGAGGGCGGGCAGATCATAACGTGCACTCACTCCGTCATGCAAGAGATTGTCTACAACTTCGTTAAGCTCAAGGAGCTACAAGAGTACAAGGTGAGTTCATTTTTTTTGGATCCCATGGCGTAACTCCGACTGACAAGGTCCAGAGCGTTCTCGTACACCTTACCAAACTTGCCGCTCCTGGCTCAATCAAGGCCGAGATCGCCGAGAACAAGGAATGCATGGACTCAGTCGAGCCTACACTGTTCAAGCTTCGTCGCAGAGTCAATGTTTTCAACTCTAATATGACAAAGGCGTTCAGAGATCCTGTCTGGGGTGCAGAGTATCGCGACAACTTCGATCGCGCTATCCAAGCCCACCCCTACACGATGCAGCATTTCGACACGGGTTTCCTGCTCGGTAGAGAATTCATCCCCCAATGGGACGCCTCCAAAGTCACAAACCCTGGCTTGTCCGACGACGAAGTTGAGGATCCCGAGCCACAGTCTGTCGAACCTGTTGAAGACACTGAGGCGCACATGGACGAAGGTCTTGGAGCTGAGGTCGCCGCCGAGGCAGAAACCATCGACGATCTCGAAGTTGACGTCGCTGCTGAACAGGACCCGTCTCAGAAGATCCCAGAGGAGGGACCAGACCACGAGGCCAGAGGTAATGTGGGAAGGAACGTTCGCCCAGAACGTGAGCCATGCACCATCCATATACACCTTGAAATACACGGTCTTTCTCATTGACCTTACTCCTGAAGTTTGAGCCAAAACGGCTCGTTGAGCGCTTGGTCCAAGGAGATATCGATCTGGCTGGTCGCACTGCCATGTGGAGCATCATGGTTGTCTCGACCTCTCGGTTCATGCGAAACTTCTCCTGCGCCAGTTACTAGGTTATTCACTGTCGTCGTGCCCATTGTGGTCTTAGACTTATCCATCCATGATCACGACCAAAACGTCTTGGTAGAAGAAGGAGGGTCTTGAAGACACTCAAGAAACCTTGAGGCACCCACTGGTGAAGGCTCGGCATACCCCGTCTTCCAGAGATCTTCAGCCTTTTGGTAAACAACATCTACAGATCACTCGATTAGTTTATTGAATTCGAACACAACTATTAGTCCAACAGAGATTGAAAATCGTTTCATTTCAGATATCGTACGTAGCATCAATGTCACCCAGCCTCGGCCCCTTATAGAGTACCAAAGTGAGAAAAACTCAGTGCTTGACTCTATACTTTTTTATCATCATTGTAAGAAAGCGATTTGTTCTGTGTATGCCATGTTTCCTTGCTCGTTCCTCCATGTCTGGCTATGTAGTGTTGTTGACCTACCATGATGTCTGACTCACAGTTCCTCGATTGTGACGAACTGAATGTTTGGCATGCAACTTTGAAGCAATGATCAACTGTGAGTAAGTCAGATTCTGCCTCATTGCCCAAGCTTTTGTGGAAAGTCGAGTGGTTGGTTGAAGGTCAGGGTAAAAGGGTGTAATCGTCAGGTCGCCAGAGTAATAATCATAACAACCCTCAGGGATTTTGATTTTCGTTTTGTGTAAAACATCATGTTAGGGGGCGGCTGGAGGGGAAGGAGCAACCACATACCTGTTTTGAGATCGGACCTGACAAGTCTACTTCAGGTCTCTGACCTTTGCGACTTCAGGTCCATCCACAGCCACCATTGTGACATTGTGCTCTTTTAGCTCTTCAACGAGCTTTTTGTCAGCCTCATCACCTTGCTCAACACCTTTTGTACCCTCTCGGATGACAAAGGTTTCAAAGCCTTCTTTCGCAGCATCAACAGCAGTGGCCTTGACGCAAAAGTCTGCAGCCAATCCCACACAAAACACATGCGTGATATCCCTTTCCCTGAGCGTATCTGCCAACCCAGTCTCGACGATCTTGGGGTTGAGAAAAGGTGTGCAGAAGGCCGAGTACATCTCCAATCTCTTGTCTTGTCCTTTCTCGACGACGTGGTCGATGTGACCGACATCGAGTTCAGGGATGAGTTCACTGCCCGGCGAGCCAGCGATGCAGTGGACGGGCCAGAGTCGCGTGGATTGTGTCTCGTCAGGGTTATGAGGATTCGAGATGGTAATGGAGGATTCGAAGGGTTTGTTGTTCGGCGGAGGATGGTTGGATGCGAAGGAGATGTGGTCCTTGGGGTGCATGTCCTTTGTTGCTACGCGAAGGGCCCATGGCAATTGTAGAAGCTTGTTGATGACAGGCGCAATAGAGCGGCCGTCAGTCACCGCCAAACTGCCATTCTGCACACAAAGTCAGAAATTTCCAAAGACAAAGACATGGTTTCATCGAGAGAAGATCAAAGGATGAGTTTGGCGCAGAGAAGTTTTTTGTGTGCCTGGGTAACGCCGCGCGCGGGTCTGAGCGCGCTTGGATGGTGGGGACGGAACTCACTGGTGGGCAGAAGTCTTCTTGCAGGTCGACGACGATGAGGGCCGCTTTAAAGGCTTTGTCTAAGGTCATGCTGATGTGAAAGTTGTAAATGAGCAATCCGGTAGTGTTATGCAGGGACAGAGCTTGCTCTAAATAAGTGGTGCGCGTCCTCTCCCATGTGCCTAGGCATTACGATAGTAACGATATTAAATCTAAGACGCTTACCTTAGTATCCCTAGCCTACCTTATAACGTTAAGCATATGATAATTTAATTTTACCAAAGGTCATTAAAGAGGTTTTAAGGACACATTATATAGTAATAACGTATTAAGTACATATATAGAACTAGTATAATAATTATAACTATATTAAAAGTAAAAAAGTACTAAGCTATATCTATGAAACTAGAGTAGTAGTTATATATGACTAGCTATATTTATATTAAATTATATCTATCTTTAAAAGGTCTTAAGTAAATAGATACTAACTTTAAATTACTTTTTAAGCTTAATAATACTATTTTTACATTAAAAGTTATTATAAATAATACGAAATAAAAAGCTCTCTAGTTTTAGATTATTAAGGTACTTTACTAGATATAAAGCTTATAGTAATGGACAAAATCAAACTACTTTCTCCCTACTTTTAAACCTCTATAACGAGTCTTAGTTGCCTACAACTCTATCTACTCATGTTGCAAAAACATGTAAAAGTCAAGTAGCTATAACGATGCATAAAACTTTCGGGAAACCAAGAAGCTCCCACTGAGAGTCGTGACGTCGTTAGCTCTCCTTAGACTACGCCTCCAAACTAAACGATACCATGCTTTTTCGCAGCGAATCGCTTCGTAAACTAGTATTAGAGTAAGCGATGGCAAATCATGAACTCTACGGCTTAATTCCCTGCTCACAACTCTCTGTCTACAGAGGGTTAGATACTATGCAAGAGCATGAGAGCTTTCAAAAGAAAAAGACTGTCTCTATAGAGAGCGGACAATGTCACGATCCTCGGTAGATGCTTCCTGCTGACGAAACAGACTTTGCATTTTCACGGCTGCACATTCTACAGAATTTCGCGCATGCGAAGCAAAAGCTTAGGTTGATCGTTCTTTTCTCTATGCTTGGAACTTTGTCGATCATGACTTTCACAAGAGGACGGCCTCCTGTGGTTTTTGCTAGAAGTCCAAGCAGTGACAATGTCCAAGGGATGGGGAAACAAGCCGTTCGAGATGAGAAAGCACAGGGCAATGTTTGCTTCACTGGGAACTCACAGAATGAGATTTGTATGAAACGAGTCGAGGAAGGAAACAGCAATCACCGTCATTCATTGCGAACTCGTAAATATATAGACACCTTCCAGAATTCAGCAGCGGAAAGCTTTCAGTACCAGACAGAGCCCCCTTTGCTTCACGGTGTTCAGCCAGAAAAACACCTTCAACGCGTACAGAACAACATCGAACTTCTGGTAGGTCTACAGTGGCCATGTCTCCCTCCTAAAGTCCACCATACACGGCTAACGCCTTTTGAGCCAGAGCGCCGAAGTCGAGCTTGCCTTGATCTGCCGGCATAAATTCTCCACTTGCAATACAGTGGACCTTCATGTTTGGATGGTATGTCAAGTTCGGCAGCAACTTTGGCGTGATAAGGAAGTATTGCGAAGTGTGTGTTGCACAAGCAATATCAACCATGCGTGAGTGTACCATTCGTTCGTTGCGAGGGTCCATTCCTTGGTTGATTTCGTCGACGACACGGAATGGTGCTCGGGCTAGACTTTGCAGGGCCATGAGGTAGAAGATGGTCGAAACAGCGCGTTCACCACCAGATTGACGATGGGAGTCGAGCACAGACAGCTGTTCGTTTTCTCTGTAGTGTTGTCAGCGTGATACTCTTGCGAAGAAGAACCCTGCTGTTGCTTACCTGAACTTCACTTGAATCTGGATTGCCCATTTGTTGAAATCATCTTCCTCTTTGTAAACTTCGACTTGACCGGCGCAATTGATCTTCGCAAAGTTCTCACTGAAAGCATCGCTGATCTGACCAATGAGTTGGTCTAGCTCGGGCTCCCATTTCTGGCGAATCTCGTCGATGTTCTGTTGCAACTCGGCGAGCTCGCGCTCGATGTTTTCCAGTTTCCGCTTAGCCTTCTCAATATCGCCTGCTCGCTTTTCGTATTCGAGAAGGATCTGAGGGTTACCTCCGTGCACCATTTCAAGTCGCGCCTTGGTACTGTCGATTTCAGCCTCGTATTCATCCAGGTTCATCGCGTTGAATTCAGAGTAAATTTCTGATTCTCTTTCTGAAAGGTCTTGGAGCAATTCGTTGCATGCTCTGAGTCCAGCTGTTGCGATTTTCTTCAAATTGTCCCTCTCGGTGATCAATACCCGGACATCTTGTTCTCTCTGAGCGAGGTTCTGTCGCACTTCCTCGCTGTGCGCCTTGAGTATCTGGAAGTCCGACTCGCCTTCGATCAGCGCAAGAGTCGCCTGAAGGTGGTCCGTCTCTAGCTTCTGCAAACTCTGCACCGACGAGACGAGCGTTAAAGCATCCTGAGCTCGATCCAAAGCAAGCTTGTCTTGCTTGTCCTTAATCTGTTGAACTCGGGCTCGGTAACTTGCGTGACGCTCGTCCAGAGCATCGCGTTTAGTGACATGGCCTGCAATCTTGACGGGCAACTTCTGCCACTCGGATCGCGCGTCTTGAGCTTGCTTCTTCTCGGCTTCGAGTTCTTTCTTCTGTGTGGCGAGTTGTCTGTGTTCTTGCCCATAGCGTGCACTCGTAGCCCTGTGAGCTTCAGCTTGACGTTGAGTCTCCTGCAATTCGTCCTTGAGTCCAGCGATTGTATTCTTGTACTCTTGCTCTGCATGCGTATCCACAGGCTGGGAAGTGAAGAAGCGGGCCGTCTTGATACGCGCCGTGCGAGTTGATATACCGGCGTCACCGTATTCTCTTCTCCTTGATACTTGGTACGTCTCTGTAGGTGTTGCCCAGCTTGTGATATTGCTTGACATCATTCCATCGAATTGTTGCGAGCTCAACTCTTGGAACGCAACACCATACATGTGAATATTTCTGTTGTCACAAAGCATGCTGAGAACTTCGTCAGGTCCGTCGAGAAGGTCCAGGACGTAGGTATTGAGGCCAAGCTGACGTAGGTCGCCTTCCGAATAGGGCTTTCTCCATTGGCTAAGAGGCGCGTCCATCACCCTCAAATTAATATCAGACAGCCTCTGTGTGCCCAAGAGCTCGCGCTGAAGTAGATTGAAATCTTCTTTGTGGGTCACTGTGATACAGACCATGTCTGCCTGGCCTAGTACTGACTCGATCAGATTGGCATACCTCGTGTCCTTGACAGAGCATTCGAGAATTGCTGGACCAAAGACTTCGCCGGTGAATACCTGTCTGTTTTTTTGAATCCAGTCCCAGGCCTTGGCAGTATCGGGAGAGGCGCTGTTGAGTTTGTTGACTTGTTGTCCAGCCTTGGACCGCAGCTGGTTCAGACTTGCTTCCGCTGCGGTGATACGTTGCTGAAGTGATCTGCCTTGAGCAACTCTGTCGTCTTGTTTAGCGTTCTCTTCGCCTGCAGCATCGTCTTTCTCTCGTTGCTGGCGCGAAAGCTCTCTGGTCTTCTCGTTGAGCGCGGCAATATCGATCGTAGGCGGCTCATTCTCGAGTTGACGTTCTAAGCTCTTAATCTGGGCGTCAATGCGAAGGCGTTCTTGCTTGTGTGCCTTGGCACCCTTCTTCTCGGTCTCGAGCTCGATATCACAAGCCTTGTGCTGCTCTGAAGCCGTGTTTTGCTTCTTGATTTTCTGTCTGATGTCTTCTTGCGCACGCGTGACGAGGCGTTGGCGGCGCTTGACAACGGCATCAACAGCTTTGACGTATTCGTCCTTTGCATTGACAGCAGCCAGCGCGGGCTCACACTCGCGTTGAAGGGCGGCAAGCTCGTTGTTGGCTTCTTTGGTGCGTTCCTTGGACGCGAGGTAGTTGTCCCTTGCGACGTTGTATACAGGAAAAGGTCGCAGACGCTCCAGAGCTGCAAGCTTTTCTTGCTGTTCAGCACGCTCACGCAGACGCTCGACATCACCACGCTGCATATTCTGTCGGCCTTCGAGGTTCTTCAGGTTCTCGGTGCGTTCAATCTGGTCGGCCTGATGCTTGCGCTGATCGCTACGCATGGTTTTGAGTTGATCATGCCATTCGCTCATGTAATCGGGGGCGGCAGCTCTTTGAGTCTGGACAAGAAGCTCAATGGGATCCAGTGCAGCAAATTCAACAACGCGGTCTTGAGGCAGGAATTGACACAGATTGTCGACTTGAATGGAGAAGGATCGACAGAGTTCGGCAACAGCCTTCTGGGTGCTATTTCTGCCATCGATCATGAAAAAGGTCTTGTTGCCGGCGTCTCGTTTGATAATGCGCTTGATGACGGGGTTGGTGCGATGTCGAGCAGGGTCGCGCTCGAGTTCAATCTCAATCTCGGCCTCTTTCTGGCCATGTTTGACGAATTCCGAGGGATCCTTGGCTCGACCAAGAACGTCTGGTTTGGCACCCAGACCTAGACAGATGGCGCAGACCAAAGTACTTTTTCCAGTGCCGTTGGGGCCAATGATCATGTTCAAGCTGGGTCCAGGAAGAAATTCGGCCGAGGTGTATGTGACAAAGTCCTTCATGGCAACCCTGACGATGGAGCCGGGTGAATGTGTGAGGGGTTCTGCATCGGTCTGATCATTCTCGTAGCTCGATGGCAGTAGAGGAGGCTGCGACGGAGCATCAGCGACGGTACGAGATGGGATAGTGTTGGAGGATACCTGTGAAGCATGGCCGTTCAAGCGTGGGCGTTTGTCCGAAGAGGGCGACGAGGCATCGATATCACTGTCGTCGTCGGCATCGTCGCGCGGCCTTCGCATAGGCACCACTCCGGGCATGTTTGCAGTTGCGACGGCGATAGCGATGTACAATCGAGTCGTTGGTTTCGAATATGCAGGTGCTGCCTGACGCTTTGGCAAGAGGGTGACGCGTTTGCCGACGCGCCGGAAAGTGGAAGGCGCGATGCTTTCGTTCGCTCAAAGCCCATTATTTACACAACACTATTTGTTCGTCCACTCGACCAAACTTGATTGATTGAATACATCTATCCGGTCGTGTCAGAGAATTCTTCTCTTCGCACCGAATCCCCCTGTCCCAACGCCTCATAGTGGTATCAAATGCATCCGTCATAACCCGACCACCCAAGCCTTGAGACTGTGAGCCTCCTCAATCGTCGCCGCTGTCGTTGTCATCTACAAAACTTCCGTCGATGCTCTCCTCGCCAGCGATGCTGGTCTGCAAGCTTGCTGTACTACCGACTCTCTGCAGCTTCATACGTTTTCGCAGAGGCGTGTTGTCTTCATCGTCTCCCAGCTCATCTCTTTCTCTCTTATCCGTCTTGGAATCAGACTTGCCTGGACGCTTCCCAAGCTTTGATCCCTTTACATCCTTCTTCATGCTTTCTTTCAGTCCGCGTTTGAGCACCTTCTTACGCACTCCTCCAGACTTGTCATCGTCTTCGTCCTCGTCGTCATCTCCGTTTTTGGAACCGCGTGAGTTTGGTGTCGGTGTACCGCCTCTGCTGCCGAGCGGAGATGCTCCGTTTGCATTATTAAGCCGGGCAGCTCGAGCTCCTCTGCCTCCAATTCCGAGACACTTTTCCAGATGTTGCGCAAAACGTGTGATGAGTAGACTGCGCTTGCACGACGGACATGTGTGCCACGGGATATATGTGCCGCCCTTGAGTCTTTCGCCGACCTTTGCAGCCTTTTTGTCAACAGGACCACCAGTGTTGGGTTGATCTGCCGAGGGTGAAGGAGGTGCAGTGCCATGCTCCTTGGATGCATTTGATTCTGCCTTCATTCTCTCACGCTCTTTTTTGGTCGGCGGTTTATCGCTGCCAGCAACCGGGAATGGATTGCCATAGATGTCGTGTCCTGGTCGCGTCGACCAGGGGATATGTGTGCAGTACTGTATCTTCTTGGGAGGGTTCGCATTCGCTAGAGGAGGATCCAGAAGTCGTGGGAGGTTGCATGACGGGCAGATTGGCAGACCTGTAGTGGGGTCCACAGTTCGTAAAAGTAGTTTCTCGCGTCGATGAGTCTGCAGTACCAGGTCGTGGATAACCGTATACAAGCAGTCGTTGATGATGCTTTGGGTCTGTCAAAGTCAGTACCAGACTTGGTCGACACAGACTCCGGCGCATACTAGAGACCCAAGGTCGACCTTCGCATCCTTGTCCGAAGACATGGCCACAGTCTTGACTCCAAGAACTTGCGCCCGGGCTCACACCACTATTTACGATTCGGTGACGGATGGCGCGATGCTGCCCACTCGACAAGCTCTTCTGGTGCGCGACGATAGATGACAGTGCCTATTCGACGGGGTGCAAGTAGCAAGGTGCGAGTTGCGGCTCCAGGAACCGACCAACGAGTCGCTTCCCCAGATGGCAATTTTAGCTCCCGCCTCGTCGTCTTTGTGGGGACTCGTTGCATGTGAAGATGAATTGTATATTGGACGCCCAAAGAGAAGCAAAATCATGTACATTTAATAAACCATGTCATTCTACATATCTGGGTGGCCAAGTCTGTTCGAGTGCTTATCTTTCACCCTGTCCAACAGCTTCTATGTGCGCAAAACACAAAACCCCTTGTATTGTTACACCGCCATCACCTAGTCTGTCCACTATGACAGAGGGATACCCTCGTACTCAGCGTAGCCTAGAGCAAGGTTCATGTTCTGCAAGCACTGCGTGGCAGCACCCTTGAGCAAGTTGTCGATAGTGGCGTTGATGACAACACGCTTGCCACTGCTGTGCACAGCGAACCCACCAATCTCAACACCGTGCTTGCCAGAGATGTTCTTGACCAGAGGGCTCTCGCCAATCACCTTGACGAGCTTCTCGCCGTTGTAACGGTCCTGGTAGAGCTGACGAATGTCACGAGAAGCCATCGACTCGGCCAGAGGAATCGAGATGGTGTGGTGGATACCGGCGAACCAAACAGCGACGTGAGGGATGAAGCCAATCTCACGTCCGAGTTGAGCGCTGATTTCACGCTCGTGAATGTGATCGGTCAAACTATAAGGAATGAGGTTGTTGGTGAGGTTGTCTACGTCGTTCTTGGGGCTGGGTTTGGTGCCGGCTCCTGAGTAACCAGAGACACCGAAAACGGTGGGGTTGGCAGGAGCTGCAGCAAGGTAGGGAACTAAAGGAGCGATACCGAGCTGAGCAGCAGTAGCATAACATCCGGGGTTGGCGATACGGGTAGCGCCTGCGATCTTGCTACGCTTGACGAGCTCAGGCAAACCGTAAGTCCATGATGAGTCAAAGCGGTAATCGGCAGAGAGATCGACAATGACAGACTCCTTGTGGCTGGAGGCCTCAATGGCATCAACGAAAGGCTTGCAGACACCGTTAGGCAGAGCCATGACCCAGCAGTCAATCTCACCAGCATCAGCCATGCGACGAACATCATCAGGAGAGAGGTTCTCGTATGTGATATCGCGTTTGGTGTAACCAGCAAGCTTCTTGCCCTTCAGCTCACGCGATGAGACGTGGCGGAGGTCCATGTTGGGGTGACGGTTCAGGAGGTCAATCAGAGCCTGGCCAGTGTAGCCACGGGCGCCAATGAGAGCGATCTTTGATGGGTAGTCCTTGTCCTGGTTCTTGATACCAAGAGGAGGGTTGGGGTTAGTGGTAGTGGCGTAGCCACGTCTGGTGGGAGTGCCAAAGGTGCTGGAAATCGTTAGTAAGTACTATTATCACAAGTCCAGCACGACTCACCTGCGAACACGCTGCATGTTGCGGGAGGAGAAAGAGCTGGTAGAGAAAGATCTGGTCTGCTGTCCAAGCGACTCCCTGTGCTGCTGCAGCTTCTGTGCGACATCCTTGATTCTAAGAGCGCCGGATGCAGCGCGGTGGAGCTGGCTCTCAAGATTGTTGTCGCCAAACATCTGTCTGCCATGTTGGATGAACTCGGCCATCAACTCGCGGACTTCCTCAGGTGTCTCAATGCCGTACCAGAAGAGAACTTCACCCTGGCGAGCAATGCTGCCATCGGCCTTCTCGGAAAACCAGGTCAAGTTCTCATCATCCTGCTTGACGGTCCAAGCAAGCTTGGGGTAGTCGTTCTTCAAGTGCTGGAAAACGTTGTCGGCAATGTTGGAAAGCCATGCGGAACGGGTCATGGTTAGAGTAGCCAAGTGTGCCAGGCCGCTGGGAGACGACGAGTCAGGAGGAAGGACAACTGCGAGAGCCTCCATACCCTCATCGTGGTAGGCAGCGAAAGTCTTGCCCTTGAGGCTGTCGAGGTAGCGATCAACAACAGCCTCTGCGTCGAGACCCTCACGGTCACGAACAAGGACCTCCTTGAGCTTGTGCACGTCGGAGAATTCAGAGAGCGATGAAGCCTTGTGGAGCTTGGTACCGCGGCGAATCAGGGTTCCGGCGCCGGTATGGGTGAACAACTCACGCTCGAGACTCTCAGGGTGGATGATGGCGACACTGGAGGAGCGAGGCAGATGGTCAAGAAGATCCTTGATGTCTCTGATCTTGGAACGAGTGCCATGGATGACCCAGGGCATGTTCATGTAGCGGTCGTACTCTTCATCGAGGTTAATGGCCTCGATCAACTTGCCCGTGTCCTTGTTGTGCAGACCGCCCTTCTCGGACAGGTAGACAATCTTGAGAGGAACAAGGGCCTTGGCCAGCTCAGCAGCGGCCTTATCGGCATTGACGTTGAGGAGTTGACCCTCGTTGTTCTCGGCCATGCAGGTGAGGACGGGGATGTAGTTGTCGGCGATGGCGGCATTGATGGGGTCGGTGTTGACCTTGTTGACCTCACCAACAAACTTCCATGTGTCCTTATCTTTGTAGTCGGCCATGAGCACGCCCGAGGTAATGGGACGAGCACGAACTCCCCATGATTCAAGAGCCTCGACGAGCTTGAGGTTCTCCTCGAGGAACAGCTTGCGCGCAACGCCCAGGGTAGGGCCGTCGGTGATACGGATGCCCTCGCTGTATTGAGGCTCGATTCCAGCTTCTCCGAGCAGCTTGTTCATCTGGGGGCCAGCTCCGTGGATGATGACGGGGAACAAGCCCATCTGGTTGAGGTTGCGCAGCGAGCTGCAGAGGACATCGATGTAGTCGGTAAGGATGGCACCGCCAACCTTGATGACGGCGAACTTTTGCGACGAGACGGACTGGAACTGCGAGAGGTATTGCTGCACCTCACCTGACGGGACCCAGCTGCGTCAGTGTCTGTCGGTCCATGTCTCTCTCGAGCAGCAGCTATTACTCACGCTTGCTTCCAAGGTTCTGCAGCACATTGATGACGGCCGAGCGGGCCGACGTCTCTTCATGACGAGTGCCCTTGGACACAGTGGCATAGCCGCTGGCAAGGGCTGGGCGGACGGCTGCTCTACATACTGCTGCCGCCGACACGCGAGCGGGCCTGGCCCTGCCGAGCGCGCGCATACAAGGACGAGCCAACATAGCGAAGTCTTTGTTTCGGGTTTGTCGTCGGGGGGGTTCGGAGTTCACACGCCTACAACATGCAGCAGCCCAATGAGTAACAGAGCAAAAGCACAACAGTCCGCTTTGCAAAAGGATGAGAAAGTAGGTACCAATGACAGGCAGGGTAGTTGCGGGTCTTGACTCGACGCCGATATTCGGCACGGCCGTATCGCGACCGCTGGTCTTATCTCAACCAATTTTCATCAAAATCTAATCAGATTCTTCACCTACCCCTCCTTCACGACTCGCGCACCTGTTCGTCCGGTGAACATGTTTCATCGTCCTTTTCGTTGCTTGGGGTTCCTGATTCGAGTCTATAGGCCGACGCTCCGTGCCATACAGAGACAAGCATTCCTTCTTTCTGCTGCTCCGTGATACAGTGCACCGCACGTCTGTACGTATGTACTTATGCGCACTTATATTACATTCTGTCAGAGATCCACTTTATGTGCAAGCTATCGCTGTTGACCGACAGCAATGACTCCTTCCCGACAACGCCGTCGCTGAAATCACAATTTGTACTGCCTTGTATCTACACCTCTTCCTCTTCAGATGAAGCATCGTCGTCTCCATCGCTCTCGTCCCAGCCTTCGGCCTCGAGACTGGACGATCGAATACCGAAGCTCAAGGCGAATCCCAAGAGACTGATACCACCAAAGATTCCAAAGGCAAGAGCTTCGCCCTTGGGCCGCACATGTGTTGCTGCAGTGAACAATGATCCAGATATGAAAGGCCCGGCAGCACGTCCGGCAGCTGAGAGGGTTTGAGCAAGGCCATTAAGCGTGCCCAAGACTGAGTGGTTTGGCGCTGAGTTTGTAATCTGTTCTCATGATTAGCACTTGATAAGAGATGCGTGGAACACTTGGTCTTACCAGAAGCAAGGCACTTGTAAGCCCGCCAACCGCTGCCACGGTCTTGACGATAAGCACCGCCCCGAGCTCAATCCACAACCAAATCTTGCCAGCTTGGGTACTGTGGCCAGATCCATCCTTGCCATCCTTATAACCCACCCAGGGCATGAGCAGAAATGCAATGACGAATCCAAATAGGCCAACGCGATAAGTGGTCTTGTTTCCCACCTTCTCGCGAAGCTTGCCAAAGACGCCGACTTGGAATATGATGGTGACTAGCCCAGCAAAGCCCAGCGATAGACCAATTTCCTCAGGTGACAAACCACGACCGGTTGGAGGTACTGCCTGCGCGAAGATGGGATAGAGTGAGTTGTACGAAATGTTGGACAACTGGAAGATGAGGAAAGTGATGAGTAGGAGGATGGTGTCACGGTTGAAAACAGCGGAGCTGCTGAGTGTTTCATGATTACCAGCACCCAACAAGTGGGTAGATTCTCCGTCGCTCTCATCGTCCGTTGTGTCTTCTTCAGCGCCATCATTACGGGCGCTGACAGCTGAATTGGCGTGATGCTCGTGGCGCCGGACATACGAAGGCTTTCTAGCATTCCCGGTAAATTGCCAAAGCCACGCAAAGAGGTTGGAGACACGTTTGTTGAGAGGCGGCAGATCTTTGGCTTCCTCCAGAGATTCTTCGAGGAAGATAATGGTAAGGACAAAATCAACGAGCAGAACTCCGGCGCTAAGCAGATTCGGAGCCAGATAAGGGTATGGGTTAGGCTTGCCGCTCCAGGGAATGGTCTCGAACACCAGCAATCCACCAACAAGAGGACCGGTGATGCCGCCAATACCGTAGACGACAGGAAGGTAGGTAAAGGCTCTACTCTGGTTGCTTCGGTCGGTGATCTCACCCAGACAGGTACTAATGACACCCTGGTTTCCATTGACCAAGCCCATGAGAGTTTGAGCGAAGATGGCCTGCCACAAGGTTCGGCTGAAGCCAAAGACAACAAAACAGACGGCAGTTAATAAAGTACCCATGAGAACAACGGGTTTCCTTCCGATCCTGTCGCTTAGCCAGCCCCAGAAGAAATTGGTAGCGAACTGTGCCAAAGCAAAGCTCGAAGCTATCAGACCGACGTACAAGCCAACCTGGCCGTTCTTGACTTCTGGGAAGGTAGAAGCCATGGCAGGCAGATAGGGCGAGATGGAGTTCAGGGCAGTCTGCTCGGCGAGGGCTATGACGGCAAGGATGGCCAATTGGGCCTTGGGAAGCGGGGTCTCATTGTGCGTGTCATCTTGCGGGCCGGACTGGGCATCGGCGGGGAGGTTGGACGACGAGGGATTGGGCGAAGAGGGAGGTTTTCCGCGACTTGTGGGTGGTGAGGTGGGAAAGGTCTGGTAGTGTAATGTCGACGATTGTCGTTGACGGAGCGTAGGCTTGTCGGCGGGAGCCATGGAAGAGGGCGGCAGAAGGTAGCGGAGGATGAAGCCTCCTCGTGCGCTTTAGAGTCGCGCAAGGCGAACAGAGTGGTGGAAGCTAAGACGGCGAGATTTGATGGCGACAATGTTTTGTCCAAGGCACGCGAGAAGTTGCAACCTGCAGACGGTGCTTTGTGCCTGCCAAAAGACGATCGTTTTTCCCACCGACGCTGCTGTGACGCGCATTCCCGTTTTTTCCCACCTTCCTACCTCGGTCGCCGTTCCTCTGTACAGGTCCACCGCATTCGTACCTGCAGTAGGTTCACGCTTGCACGACATCCCACGAGAATCGAAACAAAATACCATTTTACATGGTGTGAAAAATTGAGAGGTGACATGACGCGCAGCCAGATATACATACAAATGTCCATAAACGCCTCGCTATGCTGCATAGCATATCACCTCAATGCCAGATGCAAGTAGTACAACCGTCAAATCATATCCCGCCAGACCATACTCACTCTACAGCGGCTCAGAAGAGCCTTCCTGCATCTTGCCCATGCGCTGATCTTGTTTCCATCGAACAGTCCGGTCGACTCTGCTTTCGCCCGACAACTGGCTCTGTGGTTCGATCTCTCTCCAACTGCCTCGTCCACGGCGGTTCGAGTTCTCTGGTGACAGACTTCCGCTCTCACCCCACATGCTGAGTCGTTGTACCTTTCGAAGCTTCCTGAGACCCCAGACTATGGCAATCATACAGAAGACGCCGCAAGATATGCTGACCAGCGGGAACCCAAAGTCGGTTTCTTCGATGAAGTTCTTCAAGTTCATGCCGTAGAGACCAGCAAAGAAGGTGCCTACACCGATACCAAGTGCCAGAATCGTGAACTGTAGATCCAAGAGCATCAACGAGTTGCGATTTGCATCCAAGATCGCTTTGACGCTGTTTGGGAGGTCAGCCTGAATTTGGCAATCCCCGTTGGTCAAACTTACATTTCTTCGGTATTGCGAATGTTGCTGACCAAGTTACTACTCGCCTGCACAATTTCGTCGCATACCTTGTAGTATGATTCGAGCAACATCTCGACTTCGGTGTGGTCGTCCTCTTCGCGTATCACCCCATTCGCGTTCTCGGTCAGGTACATGTCTGACAGATCGTCATCTGCCTCGAGAAGATCATCAATGGCATCACGAACTAAGCGCGCTTTCTGCTCGAATGTACCCAGCTTTTTCGAATAGATCAACAGGTGACGCAGCTTGTTGCGATCAATGTCTTCTTCAAGCTCTCTCAGAACTTGTACCACAGGCTCGCGCACGCCTTCAAATTCTCCCTCGAGCGCCGAAGTGACGCTTATCAAAACAGCTTCCAGCGCGCGAAACTCGTATGGTAGGGTGTCGGCAGATCGGCCTTCTCGCAGCTGAAGTTTGCCTTCCAGATCGTACATGAAGATGGACTGGGTATGCGAATCGGTTGTTCCGTAGGCATCAAACACCAGAACTCGGTTGTGGTTGATGAGACAGCTTATATGTAGAATTTTTATCAGAATGGCCGAAGGGCGTACGAGAATGTGCGGCAGCGAAGCAGAGTCGATTTTTCGAAGATCACGAGGCAGAAGACCACACTATTGCGCTCAAGTGTCAGATAGAGCTTCGCGTCATGGTGGTTGTAAAGTGATACCTTGGCTATAAGCTCGCTCTTCTTGAATGCGCCGTTGACCAGTGTGACTTTGCCATCACCGTCGAATTCAGTACATCGCATCCTAAGCTCGTTTGTCGGTTTGACGATACGTCCCAGACTAGCAGCTCCTGCATCGTCAAGTAACCTTGGTAGAGGTGGAAGGTCATTCGGCTGTAAGGGAGCTGTCTTCTTTGGCCGAGCCTGCTGCCATGGCCTTTGCCATCTTGACTTTGTCGCACTGTTCCAGAATCCGCGACATGAGGAGTCCACCGTCTGCTTTTCTACTACTCTTGAGAAAGTCCTACGTTGTGTGCTCGTCAAGAGATGTGTTCGAGCGGTATGCGGCGTAGCATGGTGGTGGTTCCGGCGGACTTGTGAGTGCGATGCAAGGAACGGCAAACATTCGGCTTGGATCCTCAGGAAGTTCAGAACTGCATGCGATGGCACAGGCGCGCGTACGAATGGCAGCGCTTGCATGTTCTGTCCGTGGTTGGTATTGTCGATTCCGCCTTACAACTTTGATGAATCTTTTCGCTGTTGCAGGACCGCGACGACGTCAGATGCTGCTTGGCGGCGTTTCGTGTTTTTTTCTTCTTCTTCTTCAAGTCGATCTAGTGGCTCTGGTAACCCTGGTCTGGCTCATGAGCTTCGAGAGATGACCGAAATCAAGCTATCAAATCACTAGACCAAGTATCCATGATCATAGCCGTCTCCATTTTATTTGTAATCAAACTCTAGCCGAGATATCACTGTTCTGAAGATGAAACATGGTGTTGCTGATTCTTTGTGAAATCCTACCACGAACATCAATTGGATGATGTCAACCTTTCTTTATCAAGCAGTAAACATTCGAAGATCAACACATCAAGCTGATGTTGTATATACTGTGTTAGATGAGACTCTCGGTATCGACTCGAACACTGAACGTACAACACACGAATCACGATAGCTTTGGCTTGTGAATATGTAGTTGGATATAAAGTCGACCATGGCACGTGGCGGTACAGAGGACCCAAGCGCCACACAACCCTGAGTGGCGCTGTGTGAGACAAAACGCCCGGACATCGTCAGAGATCGCAGGCTCTCTGCATCGGTGAGATTCGAAGCACGATTACCTACGATCTGCAGCCGACGGGTGCGTGTGGCCTCGATCTGGACTGGCGCAACAGCGTGTCGGAGCATGAGCTGCACACAGATTACCGCAAGCGTGAGTTGCTCGACGTGGAAACGTCCGCAGGGCCCCTCTCTCCCGCAACGTCAATGTCATGGCTCCCATGAGAAATCTCTCCGATCCCATCGGCCCTCTCGTGTCTGTTCAGATCAGATTCACCATTCCCCTTTCAGACACAGTTCACCCTGTTTTCCGGTACTATCGCATCGCCAGTCGTTGCTTGGATCTTGATGCTCTGCTGTTTTGCGTCCATGTTGGCCCACGATCGCTCTTCGCTTTCCTCGCCAGTACCAACTCGTCTGCTTCTTGAGACTGATGACATAGGCTCGCCTCACAAACTTTCATCTTACTCTACCGCTAACCGTTCGCCGTGTTCTGACGATGACATCGTCTCCTCTCTAGAGCATACTCTCAGCGCTAGCCTCTCAATACTCTTAATATCATCGATTTGTGTCCGACAACCCTTCGCTCTCTGTGCCATAGGACTTAATACATCCCATCTTGTCTTTCCCACCGCTCTCCCATCTTACACAGCACGCGTGGACAGAACATCATGTCTCCTAAAGCACGAGTGCTCATCTACGTGCTACGCCGCGACCTGCGACTTGCCGACAACCCTGTTTTCCACGAGGTGTCACGACTGTCCCAGCAATCACAGCACCCCTTCACTCACTTCCTTCCCGTCTTCACATTCCCAGCCAACCAGGTCGAGGTTTCTGGCTTCGTATCCGATTCCGCCAAAAAGTCGCCATACCCGGAAGCCAGAGCCCCAGTCAGTGGCTTCTGGCGATGTGGTAAGCTCCGGGCAAAATTCCTGGCCGAAAGTGTGTGGGATCTGAAAAAGGACTTGGAGAGGATTGGAAGCGATCTTCAGCTACGCGTCGGTACCGTTCACGATGCGGTCCAGAGCATACTACAAGGCTACAAGGAGAACAACCAAGTCGACATTGCAGGTGTCTGGATGACCAACGAGGAGGGTGTCGAAGAGAAGAGAGAAGAGAAGGACGTCAGGAAGTTGTGCAAAGAGTTTGATGCTGAGTTCAAGCTCTGGCAGGACGAAAAATACTTTGTCGACGAGTACGTTCATTTCTACAAAATTGTTGCTCCACACAAGACTGACAGAACACTCTAGCCGCGATATCCCGCTCGACGACCCGCATAAGCTGAGCGACGTGTTCACTGCGTACAGGAAGACCGTCGAGCCTCTGCGATCTGCTCCGCGCAAGATCATCCCGGCCCCTTCTACCCTGCCGCCTCTCCCCGAACACATTCCTGCACAATCCGAGCCCTTCGAGATCCCAGACTCCTTGAAAGGCATCATGTCAGCCTTGACAAAACCGCTTGGAGACGATATGGGCATTCCGAATATGCCAAGCTGGCCGAAAGGAGCAGAATCGGCCCACCCATACGTGGGAGGCTCTAAATCAGGTCACGAACGCATTGATCATCTCATTGAAAGCGGTAGCATGTCCGCGTACAAGGATACTCGTAATGGACTACTAGGCCAGGATTTCAGCACAAAACTATCGGCATGGTTGGCTCTCGGATGTTGCACAGCTCGCGAAATACACTGGAAGCTGATCGACTTCGAAGACGGAAAGACACCAGTTGGAAAGAACGCTCCAGGATATGGCAAGGGCGAAAACAAGGGCACAGCCGCTGTACGCTTTGAACTTTTATGGCGAGATTATATGCGCCTGTGTACACGCAAGTTCGGACCTCGCCTTTTCCGTGTGGAAGGCTTTAGAAACGACCAGAACGCCTCATGGAAATACATCTCTAGCCCCTTCAGCGATTCGACCGACAAGAAGAACAAAGGCGGCAGCAATGATGACGCAACTGCAGCAGCTGTGATGCGATTCGTCACAGGCCGAACAGGCACCGGACTCATCGATGCTAGTCAGCGCGAACTTTTCTTGACCGGATACACCTCGAACCGTGCAAGACAGAACGTCGCCAGCTACTTATCTAAGCACCTTGGAGTGGATTGGCGTATCGGTGCTGAGTGGTACGAGTGCAATCTGATCGATTACGATCTCTCCAGCAACTGGGGCAACTGGCAGTACGTGGCTGGAGTAGGCAACGATCCTCGCGGCGAATCGCGCGTTTTCAATCCCATCAAGCAAGCTCTGGACTACGACTCGCAAGGCGACTACATCCGCACCTGGGTCGAAGAGCTCAAGGACGTAAAAGTGGGATCTCAAAGCGAAGGTACACAAGACTCGCAGAACTTGATGGGTGTCTTCCAGGCATGGAAGTTGCCAGAGGAGGAGAAGAAGAGATTGGACATACAGTCTGTAGAGTGGGTGCAGAAGCCTTTGGTAAAGATTGACTTCTCACTCAACAGAAGAGGTGGTGGCAGCAAACGCGGTCGCGGTAATGGACGTGGTGAGCGTGGAGGAGGCCGTGGAGGAAAGTCTGACCGAAGAAGCACGCCTGAGAAGGCACATGCATAAGCGTTTGTATTTGCTATAAGCGAACACTCGACTATATCCTTAATTCCATTAACAGTTTGATCTTCCAGAACCTCTTATGGTCATTCAAAATGTAGTGTCGCTTCCGTGGCTCTGGCATAATATATCATGGCGCGGTGTTCGTCGTCGTATGACATAGCATTCTGTGGAAAGTAAGTGGCGCCACTGAGCCATTATGCCGATGCTCTGCAGAACCGCACAATCTTTTGCTGTTCCTCGCTCACAGACGAGTCGACAAGAGAGAGCTCCTTAGATGGCTACATAAAATCGATTCGGGCACCGGTGGCCGCGAGTGATCCTGCCAACTCTACTGTGCGGGAGAAAGTCTTGGGAACCAAGCACATGAGCGGTGTTTGATAGCCCTCGGAATGGAAGAGACAAATTCGGTCTTGCGATAATTATCTAAGAGTGTAGTTATGCCTACTTGTAGTAAAAGCTCAGAGCTATGATATGTAGGTAGGTATGACTGCGGGGTTGATCGCCACAGATGGCAACTCTGAGGGAGGATGGACATCTCAAGCAAAGTCACTAGGCAGCCGAATAAAGAGGATTTCTCAGCATCATCATTCAAATACGGTTGATCGTATGGCAGCAGCGTATTCGGGACCGTCACCCCGTGGGATCCGGAGCATCTGATGATGGATGCAAGCCGCGCGGAGACGGGAACGTCAAATCTCGTCATCGCTTGGCTCCTATTACGCTGACATTCCGCCTTCTCTGCAAGTAGCTAAATAGGCAGCCAGACCTCTGCTGTTTGAAAGCTCTCCATCCCACCAGCAAACATGAGGTTCTCACACATCCTTCCTCTGGCTGCTTTGAGCGCTGCATTTGTTGTTCCCAACGAGCAAGTCTTCAGCGAACTCTCCATCGATGACACAACCCACGCTCGTGCAAACCAGGGAGCCTGGTCGGAGCAGGTTCTCTCTGAGCTGAAGAACGACTTTGCTGAAGCCGAGAAGGGCATCAAGGAGGCGTCAAACAATGCCAAGCATGCTCTCGATGAGGCCTTCAGCTCTGCTTCGGACATTGGAAACGCAATGACGACCAAGTTCCAAGAGACTGCTTTTGATGCCAAGTCATGGTTCGAGTCTGCTGCCAACAGTGCATACGATGCTCTGGACAGCCATGAGCACCCCCACCCTCCTCACCACGGGGACGACCCTCACCACGGTGGTCCCCACCACGGCCACAAGCCTAACGAGACCGTCTGGCAATTGCTTAGCTCTTCCAAGTACACTGAGAAGTTCTCTAAGCTCATCAGCGAATACCCCGACCTGGTCGAGAAGCTTAACTCCACCAAATCTGGAAACTTGACTGTGTTCGCTCCAAAGGATACTGCATTCCCTGACCACCATCCCCACCACAAGCCATCAAAGGAAATGATCAAGAAGTTCATCGAGTATCACATCAGTGACGACTTCTATCCTGCTGGCAGAGTTCTAATCACCCACACCATCCCTACTCTCATGGAGGGTGAGAACTTGCCTGGAAAGGCTGCTCAGAGACTCAGCGTCCACCTCGGTCTCAGAGGCCTGACCATCAACTTCTACTCTCGCATCGTTGCCGTCAACATTTTCGGTACCAACGGAGTCATCCACGGAGTCGACAGCCTCCTCATTCCTCCTCCCAGAGCCTTCAAGATCATTGACCTCCTGCCTTCCGAGTTCTCCACCTTCGAGTTGGCTCTTGGCAAGACTGGTCTCCTTGACGCTTACAACAGCACCGATCACCCCAGCGGTACTTTGTTCGCTCCTTCCAACTTCGCCTTCCAGAAGCTCGGCCCCAAGATCAACGGATTCCTGTTCAGCGAGTACGGCCGCAAGTATCTCAAGGCCTTGATCCTCTACCACGTAAGTAAACCAGATCTGTGAAGCTTACCTGACGATGCTGACTGAATGTAGACTGTTCCCGACAATGTTCTGTACAGTGATGCATTCATCAAGGCCGAGGGACATGATGGCATCCCTAAGGGTCACTGGCATGTTGACCTTCCTACCGCCCTGGAGGATCACTCGTTGTCGGTCGACGTAGGAAGATATGGCGGTTTGATTGATATCAAGGTTAACGCCTTCTCTCGCGTCAGCGTGCAGGATGGCATCGCCTCAGATGGAGTGATTCAGGTCGTCAGCGACGTCTTGATTCCTCCAAAGAAGCTTGGTAGCGCTAAGCTCAGAAGCACCAACTGGTTCGGATCTGAGAAGGAGCTTAGCCTCGAGGAGTTCAAGGCCCGCTTCGAGCCTTACGTCGAGAGAATGGTTGACCTCTAAAGTAGAGGCGAGAATATTATCCGTGTAATATGACCATACGATCCTTTATGATTAGTTAGTTAGTCGGTTGTCAGTATCCACCAGGGCACTCGATATCCAGAATAAAGCCAAGCTTTCCTTTCTGATCCTTGTCCATAATGTCATTAATAGTGTCTTGCCGACGCTTGAATGTCTCCCCGAAGTCAGTAGAGCATAGTCTGCCATGCAGGTTCAACATGACTTGTTTTGCGCACACTTTCCAGAGTAATACCGGGCACATGACGGTGAATCTCGTACATAGATGTTGTCTTGACAGGCTCGATAGACGAGCAATCAGGTATGAGAGTGAAGAAGGTTGGGGCTGGCCAGGTGTTGCGGCGGAGCGAGCGGCTCCGCAAATGGCGACGCGTGATTGGCCAGTTGCACCGGAAGTCAAGACAGCACAGCGCTTCAAGTTTTGTCCAGCAGCAGCTGCAACACCAACAGCGTCCAGACTCGTCGTCTTCAGTCTAGTCTGGCAAGCAGAGCCGCTCAGCATCTCTGTCGCCAAGCCAATCGTTTCACACTCGCGGTGTAGATACCACAAGGCCTACCGGTGAACCCACAATGGTCGCCCACCTTCACCCGCGTTCGCGGTCCACCATGTCGCTCTTCAGCGGCTGCCTCGCCATCTGCTTTGCTGTTGTTGCAGCTCCTCACGTCCTCCCATGTCCCGTCGACAAGACGCAGCTGGCCGATAGTGCTGCTTCACCAGATGGCGAGCCCCGACGCCGCAGACGCCGCAAGCAGTCCGCTGCGCCTCTCGACTCCGACCGACCAGACGACGACGATACCACCAACATCAACGACATGGGCCGTCCCAAGCGCGAATGCCCTGTACCCAAGCCCAGCGGTCTCATAGGCCAAGTCATGGGCTTCAAGCCTCACGAGCAACGCCAAAATCCCACAATCATCATCCAGACATTGCGAAACCGACACAACGCACAAGACGCAGACTCGAGCGACAAGTCTTTGTAAAAATTCCGTATGGGATAGCCTCAGCATATACACTATGCTGGACGCTCCGCCAATGTCTACGAGCAACCACTTCCCGACAGGCCATGCACTCCTCCAGCCGAGACATAGCTACAACTGCCAGTCCCTGTGCTCGTCGACCTCTCCGCCGTCGTCAGCGTGACATTGTCGAAACTGATGTTGAAGCACGGGTGTACCTTCGAGCAACTGACGCTCGCTGTGCGGTTCTTCGACTCTTTGCCCGACAGCCAACCCGTGAAATTGGCGAAAGCAATGTTACTCACATCCATCAAGCTCGTCCCTGCGTAGCTGCCATTGTCGCCAGAGTTCTGACTGATGGTCGGCCCTGCATCTGCGCCCTCGACTTGGAAGTTTGAGAAGACAACGTTGCGGACAGATCCCCACCCTCCTCCTCGTGGTTGTCCGGCGTTTTCATAGAAGCCATTCGCCGATGGATCTTGTGGAACCAAGGCTCCAACCCACGTCTTGATCAGCACCGAGCCATGCATGTCTTCGTTCCATCGAATGATCTAGCTTAAATTTAGTCGCTTCCTTGTTCCGCTCCACGAACTCGCGACTTACCTTCACATCGTCCACGACCACGTTCTCGACCGTGTTGTCCTCGAGGTATTGTCCCACACTGCCAATGGCCATACCATTTCCACCTCTGCAGGTAGCGTTCTGGACAAAAATGTTGGAAGACCTGGGTTTGATCGCGATGCAGTCATCACCCCCTGAAGGTTATATTACAGTTAGCCACGCCGACTGCTGCATGAGCTGGCCAAATCTCTTGGGCACTCACCTTGATAGACAAAATTCGTCAGACGAATGTTCTTCGAGTCCATTGTATCTTCAGCAAAGTCAGCACGATCTCTTGTACTTACAAAACCTTTTCACTCTCACCAAATCCATCTGTGTTTTGCACCCAGTTCTGACTTGCATTGGCTTTTGTTGCAGTCGCGTTACAGTATAACTCGTCCACCCATACATCTGTACCATTCATTATGTTGAACGACCAGAGTGGCGGGTCGATGACGAAGAATTTCTTCAGCGTCACGTCCGAGACGTTCCAGAGGACGAACGGCATTGGTCGCCCAGGCAAGGTGTGTCCTGCTTCTGCCGTGTACCTGTTTCGAAATGAGCAAAACAACTTGAGCACTTCAGCACAGTGAAAGTCACCAGATATCACCATTTCCGTGTATTCCTCCTGTTCCATACCCATTGATGCGTATATGGTCGCCGGTCAGGATGAACGAAGCAGCGTGGTTCTGGAACGCAATTGGATAGGTAGAACTATTCTGTCTCCAATAGTCGATATCAGGAGAAAACTAGTATCTTATCAGCACTTCATCCTTTCCATCACCCATGCAGTATATCGCTTACAGTCCAGATGCCTCCCCAATTGATATTCACGTCTTCAACGATAGGATTGAGCTTTGAAGCGATGTAGTAATTCTGCCCTTGAGGAAATATAATGTCGCCTCCATAACCACATTTATCAAATGCTTTGAGGATGTTGGGGACATCGTTGGTGGTACCTCCATTGGCGAGGACGGTGCATTGAGGTCGGTTGCCGAGTTTTGAGTAATGGACGCCTCCTCCTCCACCAAGTGCAGCAGATGTCAACAAAGGGATGAGTGCAAGAGCTCTCCAGAACCTGATGGCGATCATCTTAGTAGGAACAAGAGACGAGGTAAGTTGTGTCAGCTATTCTCAGGAACTGCTTTGTACTTATTATATACTTCGAATCTGCTGCGACTCCTCACAGAGGACGGCTCACACGAGGAGATGTAATTTTTGCTCCAATCATTTCGAATGCCATTCTGCAGCATTCTCGTAGATCCCTTGCGGAGAAGTGCTTGCGAAGAGACAAGATCTTCATACATACGAACAAGCCTCGAGGGTGCAAGCCTCTTGCTCGGCGTGAAACACACCGAGCTGCTGACAAGGGAGCATCAGCGGCTCAAAAGGGAAGGAATTGATTGCGGGGGAATGTCCTATGACGTCGGTGTTTTTCCTGCTGCAAGGTACCACGACTTTGAGCATCTCCATGATTTACATCTTGTTCAGCACCCAGTTCTACATACCAATATACTCAAATTGATCCACCCACGCAATATGGTAGCTGCACCGCTAACGAGATCGCGATTCGTGGCGACCCTACCACGAAGCTACATCCAATCCTTCACCCGTTCATACACAGCCACAGCACCCAAGAAGGCAGCAAAGAATCGTCTCTACAACTCGTAAACATTGATCCCAGACTCCATCTACTACAACGCGGAGTATCTAACTGAAGAACAGCGTACGATACGAAGATGAATTCGAAACCCTAAACTTGCTTTCGGCGAGCAGCCGTATTCCTCTCATTACCCTCTGGTCCGCATCATGGTGCCCATCCTGCAAAGTCATCTCACCACTACTCAAAGAGCTCATCAACGAAGGCGTTGGGGAGGCTCAAGGTGGTGTTTCTTATGCCGAGATTGAGCTCGATTCGCCAACTCTGGGCGGGCTGGCCCTTAGATATCAGGTCAGTTTGATCTGTCATTTACTAGCAAGGGTAGATCGATTGTACTGACAATGATACAGGTCAATTCATTACCTACGTTGCTGGCCTTCGATAGACAGGAGGCACAACTGGAGACCAAAGTTCACAAGGTGGATGACATGAAGAACAGGCAGTTTTTGATCAATTGGATCGAGACCGAGGCCAAGCGTCATGGTGAAGGAGGTGCTGGAGGAAGCAGCTTGTTTGGCTTGTTTGGACGTCGCTAAATGCCAGGACCAAGCAACGTGAAATTCGCATCAGACTTGACCAATGGTACACGACCTAAAGAGCTTGATTAACATTGATGGAGTTACAATGACTTGCTGAGATGATGCAAGGGTCTGACAGTCCTTGCTTATGAAGATCAAACGGTATTGTTTGTCCCAAGTTCGAGGAGCCATGGCTGCAACCAATTTAGACAACATACTTTTGGAGAAAGACATCAAGGGTATATATATGGTCTATTAATCGAGCAAGGAGTTTGCAATCAGCGAAAAGCAGCCGACGAGCGAGAAGACGAATATCACTAATGCACCACAGAGAAAACGCCGCATGAACGAACCAAGTCATCCCTACTTTTTCTTTCGTCAGACATGATTCAGATGCTTTTTGCACCATTCTTCCAGCAAAACAACCATCAGCAAGACATTACGCAATCTTCGGCAACAATCGTGCAGAACGGTTATGAAAAGACACAATTAGAGGCAGATGTGGGTATCAACACGCAATCCAAACCAACATGGAGAGCGCCTAGACTTCTCCCACACGAGACGTCGAGAACTAGGCCTGATAATACAGTGCAGATTGATTGGTGACGGGGTTTGGTGCCACATAGACGTTTTGGTAAGGATGCGATGGCATGGTGAAATCAGCGTTAGCAAACATGGGGTTGACCATACCAGCTGGTGGTCGTCGAGAAGGCGCTGGGGCCGGTGCAGGTGCAGGCGCAGCGACGGGTGTGATGGCGGTCGAATACTGTCCGTATGGTTGTTGCATTGGCACAGGACTCGTAAGCAGCGATGTGGAGTGAACAGAAGCAATAGGTTGGGCAGGCGGCTGTGGTTCGTCTTGCCAGCCCCATTTCTCCTTGAGTTCCTTGAAGACGAATGCAATACGCCACCCTGTCTCCTTGTTGATTTTCTGGAAGATTTGGAGCACTTCTTCCTGCTCACGTCTGTCGGTCAAGCACTCAGCGGCATGGGCCAAGGAACGGATAGCTACACTAGCGACTCCCCTACGAGTTTGATTAGCACAAAGGCTGGTTTAATACTAGTGGGAAATTTGCTTACCTGTCCTTGACATGAGCAGTAATGCCACAAATCATTTGCGAATGGCGATGCTGCATGTCGTGCATCTCGGGATTATCAAGGCCAAAGTAAGGGTGTATCTGTGAAAGAAGGACCATGACAGTGTGGTAGAATAGACGAGCGACAATGGTTGTACGCTTAATTAACCACACCTCGGGGAAACAAGATTTGGAAGACGTGTGTTGAGGGTAGAGATAGGCCATGGGATGCATGGTGCGAGGTATGTTGTCGTTCCAAGCATCTGTCCACGACTTGAGCTTTTGCCATTCACCGTAGCGGTTCTGTCGGCGCATTTCCTCGTCGCGCTGGTCCGGTTCCTGATGTCTGGGAATGGTGGCCCTAAAGTTCGCGACCTTCGCAACGATGTATAACATACGATGAGTCCAGATTTCTTCTCGGCCGTTGTGGATCTCGCGGTTGAAGTCCATGTCAATACCCCAGTCATCAGGGTCCCAAGCAACTTGCCAATTGAAATGCAGGCAACTCAGAACTTCAAGTCCAACGTTGAGCCAGAAACAGGCGGCACCAATACCTTGAGAGCGCGCATTCCACCCGCATTCTTTGATAAGAGCGCGAGCGCCTGCGATATGATTCATCCTCTGCAAGGCGCGCTCACTCATGATCTCATAAACGTTCAAGATGACGGCGGTGGTAGCACACACAATGGTATCGCGGTTAGGGTTCTGGAGGTTCTTGAGCAGATATCTTGTTGCAGTGTCGTAATAGTGCAGAGCCTTCTCTTCACTGTAAGCAGAGTTGACAAGCACTAGATGCCGGGCACCACAGGCCAGGAATGCATTCAGGAGCATAGGCTCGCCTAACGAATGGAACGGTAGCAAGCGTGAGAACTGGGAACGATTAGGCGTTGCTTAGAAGTCGAGATCCGCAAGAGGTACTTACATGTTTCATGGGGTCCATGCTATCCATCCAAAGACCCACCTCTTCGACAAAGACCTGCATGAATAGCGTCTCTTCTTGTGTAGTGAGAAATTCGCGCCTTCCCTCAGCAACGTCGTCTTGGTCTTGTTGTTGACTGTATGCTGATATCGAGTTTCTCTGCTGATTTGAAAAAGGGGAATCCTGGGTGGCGTGGGCGGATGTGTTGTATGCGTCGTACTTGTGATCTTCGGTCGAGGGATATGACTCGGGAAGTATGCCTTGGATCGGAGGTAATGGTTGATACGACATGTTTGGAGCAGACGGAGGATTTCCTTGAGCCTGTGCCTGAGCGTGAGCTTGCGCCTGAGCATGAGCTTGCGCTTGAGCTTGGGCATGTGCTTGAGCCTGTGCATGTGCGTGAGCCTGCGCCTGGGCTTGAGCCTGTGCGTGAGCATGTTGTGCTTGAGCATGTGCCTGAGCCTGAGCCTGGGCATGTGCGTGGGCCACGGCAGCTGGATTGTATTCAAACATGGGCATTCCAGTCATGTCGGTAGGTTGCAACTGCGGCTGGACGATCGAGGGCCGTGAAGGACGCGCATCCTTTGCACCGTACTTTTCCAGACCTCCGACATACTCGGAAGCAATGTCGCGGGACTCGTCCATGAAGTCCACCTTCCATTCTAGGGTGGGCGCTTTCTGCGGCGGACCTTGGCAGTTGGTGTCGATGAAGTTGAGGCGCAGACCGCGTTTGCACTGGCGGTTCGACTTGCGACAATTCTGGCAGATGGGAGCCCCCTCGTCGCACTTGAGATGGCGCTCGCGACACGTCAAGCATCCGGTGCGGACGCGCTTTGGTTTGGACACGACGGCCGCTGCTGCATCCGGCACAGGCACATCGCCATTGCCTGTTGGCGCAGTCATGAAAGTAGAGTGGTCTTATCGCCTACCAGCTGGAGCTGGGATTGGAGCCGGAGCTGGACTCGGTCGGCTGGTCGTGAGCGTCGCTGAGTCGAGTCGTCGAGCCGAGCGGGAAGCAGTTGGCGACCTTGTCCTGGGCGAAGGCAGACGCGTAGTTTTCCTACTCGATCAAGTCGCGTCAACTGGCCGGTACTGTTCGCACCACGGCGCCCGCTATGAAGTCGATTGGGTCAAACGAGATGGAAGCAGACCATAAAGGTGATGATGAACTCAAAAGCGCGACGCAAAGGCGGAAGTCGCTGCCGACGAAGCACGTCTGCGCATGCCTTGTTCACGCGCTTGGACCACCCGGCTGCATTGCTCCTTCCCAATCTTCTCTGCCGCTATGGAGCACCTTCCTTTTCGTGACTCGCTCCCCTCTTGTATGCATATATCCAAGTATTTCAATTGTGATACTGCCTACTCGACTTGTCTGCTCATGCAGTCTGCCTAGTCATTGCTTGGACGTAGGAACCCTCTCCTCCAAAACGCCAGCTTGCTGGCTCTTCTCGGCCGCTTGTGCAGAACGGACCTTTAGCTGGCCCAGTTGGCAATCCGAGCCTGCTCGCGAGCGCCTTCCCGCTGTCACCTGTCACTTTGTACCAACCACCCCTCATGATCTGTACCTGAAACCCTTCTGAAGCCCACCTCGGTCTGCACATGGCTCTCCTACAGGCTGCTGCTCTGCCTCCTGCACAGCCATCCTATGTGCTCAGAGGTCACAATGCACAAATTCACAGTGTTTGCTTTGTACGCCATAACACCCGCCTATTGACTGGTGACGCCGAAGGCTGGCTCGTCCTGTGGAATCTTGCTTCCAAGCGACCTGTCGCTGTATGGAGGGGTCATTCTGCTGCTATTCTAGCCGTGTCGACTTGGACAGATGACAGGCTGATTACGTGAGTCACAGGCACATGTCGTTATCTTTCGTTGCTACTGTGCTAATGAGGACTACAAGACATGGGAGGGACAGTAAGTTGCGTGTCTGGCAGCTGAAAGCTTCGGATGAGTCCACCTTTTCTATTGTTCTACCCATAGAAGATCCTGTCACACCTCGCCATGAGCCATGGCTGCTGCATACCATCTCGGTGAACACTCTCAACTTCTGTTCATTTTCTGCCTGCGAGGCCTCTCCATCAGAGGCTGCCCAACTGTCCATCGAAGTCGTTGATACCACCCTACTTGTTGCTGTCCCAGGAGACACGGAAGGTGACATTGACGTCTATTCCTTGCCCTCGAAAGCAAAGCTCACTACGGTCTGCCCTCCAAGGACCACTAAGCTAGGTAAGTTCTTGCCACTTTGTTCTTTCTCTTGATTGTGACTGACGTTGCATGCAGGCATGGCTATGTGCGTCAAGATATTAATCCAGGACGGACAACTCATATCGATAGCAGGCTATGAAGGTGGCCATTGTTGCTTGTGGCGATTCGACCATGTCCAACAACAATGGGTTTTGCTCTCTACTACCAAGAGTCACACTCAGCCGATACTCTCGCTAGATGTCGCGAAATCTCTTCGAAAATACTACACATCTGCTGCAGACGCTACCATCGCTAGCCACTCTCTCACGGACCTGACAGCATCTCGGCCCATCAAGACAACTGAAACCAAGCACTCTGGCCAGCAGTCCCTTCATGTTAGGTCCGATGACAAGATCTTCGCCACAGCTGGATGGGATGGGTGTGTGCGTGTCTATTCAGCAAAGACGATGCGTGAACTCGCTGTGCTGAAGTGGCACAAGCAAGGCTGCTATGCCCTCGCATTTGCAGATCTGTCCTCGCAACAGACCGAAACTTTCGAAAGCGAAAACAAACATTCCGGGGACGAACAAGCTTCTACAACACTTCAAACAGTTGGACAGAGGCGAGAGACCAGAGCTCAAACAACGCACTGGATAGCTGCTGGTTCAAAAGATGGAAAGGTTTCGCTATGGGATATCTATTGATGAAGAGGAAGGAAAGAAACTAGCACTTAGCCCAAGTTGAACTCCGAAGCACCGCCACCCATCATGGCCTTTGTCTTTGCCCGCATGATTCTGGCTGCTTCCTGAGCATCAGTCACCTGGGGACCATCGTCACCATCAGGTGCAGATCTCTTTTCGCCAGAGCTCTTTGCACCCTTGACATTAGCTTTGTGACGAGAGTCTTTGGACTTCTTGGCGTCTTCTTTGCCTGGACGTAGACCTGGGACCTTGATGCTACCAGGCTTGTCTCTAAGCGCGAACGCCTTCGCCAAGTGACCGAGGTGAAGGGTCTTGATGTTGAAAATCCCTCTCTCTGCTGCCACATGGGTAGCGTAAGCTCTGATGTGACTCTGATATGCGCGACGAGCCTGCTCGAGATGTTTCGGAGTCTCGAGAGCCCATCTCTCGACATCAAGTTGCCAGTCTGTTGCCTTCTCTTCCCACTCGCGGCCGGAAGACACTGTGCCCGAAGTTGGCGTCAGACCCTTCTTCAACAGCTCAACAGCGTCGTGCCGAGTGAGACCATGTCCTGCGTCTCTTCGGCCTTCTTTCAGAATGTCGACATAACCTTCCTCGTTGCCGGGTTGGAGGAAGATCAAGGCTCTCCCGTCACGTCCTGCACGAGCGGTACGTCCAATACGATGGAGGTGGTCATCTTTGCTGAATGCCGGATCGTATTCGATGACAAAGTCGACGTTGGGAAGATCCAGACCACGAGAGGCAACATCAGTACAAATCATGACCGAAGCATCCTTGTTGTTGGTGAAGGCCTTGAGTGTAGAAGTACGAATGTTTTGAGGAAGCGAACCGTGCATACGGAAAATGGAGACATCGTTGTCCTTGCCCGAGATGATGGGTGAGATGGCCTCGGTGCATGCGTCGTCAATCGAACCTCCTTGTCTGATCTTTCCAGGAGCTAGCTTCTTTTCGTAGTTTGACAGTTCCTTCTCTTTCTCCTTTCTCGCAGTAGTCGTGATAGGATTCATCTTGTCCAGTTCGGATAACTCGGGGTTCTTTTTCCTTTCCTCCTTGGCTTCAGATCCAGTAATCTTCTTCTCTCCGCCACGCGTCAGAACTTCGAAGTGGAAATCAACAGAGTCGGCGCATGACATGAACACGATAGTCTTCATGACCGATCCCTTCCTAGTAAATGATCGCCGGAGAATGGCGGCAAGTGTTACCAGTCTTAGCTTGGCGGGTACGACAGCATATGATTGCTTCAACTGGGCGGGCGCCGAGAAGGCATGGCCACTCTTTTCTGCATCTTCGGCACTCCTAGGCTTCTCGGCAGAGATTGATACGGCCTCCTTCAGAGTGATGTTGCCCAATCTTTCGACGTCCATCTTGATGGTAGCAGAACACAAGACAGTCGTTCTCTTCTCAGGCAATCCCGGGATTGGTGTTTGCTGCACCTTGCGCATACGCAGATTCATCAGGGAGACGATTTTCTGAATGTCGTTTTCGAAACCAAGCTCCATCAAGCGATCACCTTCATCCAGCACTAGCCATCTTACATTACTGACATCCAGTCTCTCAGTGTGTTCCAGGTGATCGACCAGACGACCAGGTGTTGCTACCAGGATGTTCAGGCCTTTTCTCAGTCTCGCCTTCTCGGATTGTTTCTTCTCTCCACCAATAACGGTACCAGCGACGATCCAGTGGGCGGCTCCCAGTAATGACTCAAGAACAGTAGAGATCTGCTTGCTGAGTTCTCGCGTAGGGGCCAGGATGATGGCAAACAGTCCAGAGTCTCGATTGAGACCACCAGTACCACCGTTTTCTTTCCTCGCAGTCTCGGACATGGTGACCAAGCGTTGTACAATGGGAAGAAGGTAGGCCAATGTTTTACCGGAACCAGTCTCTGCTTGGATGAAAGCGTCCGAGTCGTCCTTTACCAGTTGTGCAACAGCCTTTGCTTGAATAGCTGTAGGAGCCTTGATTCCCATCTTCTCGAGCAGGTGGCGAGCGACGTTCGGTGACAGGCCCAAGGAGGTGAAAGTGTCGAGTTCGGAGCTTAGGGGGGCGTTGGAAGGCTGTATAGGTTCGGCATCGTCTGCCTCTTCGTCTTCTTCAACAGGAGCGGTTGTGGCAGTAGGGTTGTATGTGAACAGAGAGGAGATGACCTCCTTGGGGCGTTGTCTGGGAGGGTTGTTGCTGTCCCTTGGGCCGGTGCGGCCGGTGGTATGTGTAGGCTTGTATTCGCCAGTGTCGGTCTTTTGGCGCTTGAAGGGACGAGGTTCCGAGTTGGAGCCTGATCGCACATCATTTCTTGCATCATTTTCCTTCTTGTAGTCTGGATTGCTCTTGTTCTGGCCGTATTGCAAGGCCTTTTTTGCGGTCAAACGATCCTTCCAGCGACCGCCCTTGTATGCGGTAGTCTTGGGAGCCCACGGTTGGTCACCAACCGCGAAGTTGAGAAGCATTCCATCGTCGGCCATGGTGAGTATAATATGTGTCGACACAAGAAGCCGATGCAGACTTGGGAAATTTTCCAGACTGACCAACGGCAAGGCTCAAGAAACTCTTCGCAGATCTGGGGTAGTAGTCAAGCTTGGACCAAGCGGTGTTCCGCAGTCTCCCCCGAGCTGCCTCGGTGCCTCAGTACCTCAGTCATCTCCAATCTCTCTATCACGACAGACATAGGGGCCGACAAATCTTCGCAATCCGCATCGAGCTACCGCTGTTGTTACCTATGCTCGAATTCTGTAGGACCATGATTGATATCAACCGACTTCGTATCTCTGGGTGAGTAGCCAGCACACGGCTTCACACTTCCGTTGGCTGCTGGACATTGCTCCGCAGCCACGCGCAGCTCTCTGATCAGAACGTGCCCTTTCAGCTAAGTCTTGCAAGCCTGCACGCCAGTCTTTGCCGTAATTGACTATCTGGCGTCGCTCATCACCGAGCAGCTGTGATTCACATGTCCCATGGCTTGCTGATCTTCGTACGTGGCAGCGCTGAGACAAGAGAAACCGTTGAACCATGACGTCTGCTGGAGTCCAACATGCTTCGGCGCTTCCTGTCCCGCTGGACCTGCATATCAAAAAAATCCAACTCCCTGATCTCTTTCACAATAGTACACTCAATCCTTCAATATGGCCCAGCGAATGCGAGCTGTACAGTACACCTCTGTCCAGGGTGGCCTCGAGAAGAACCTCACCTATACCGAACAAGCCTTGGCCCCGCAACACGATGAGCAGATGCAGCGCGGCGATCACATCATGGTCGAAGTGATTTCTGCTTCCATCAACCCACTGGATTGGAAGATGCCCGAGACTCCTGTCATTGGAAAGGCCCTGACCTATTCTTTCACGTCTTCCGCCACGATACCCGGTATGGACTACTGTGGAAGAATAAAGTCAACCGGCTCTACCATCGACAGCTTGAGCATTGGCGAACTTGTATATGGACGACTCACCAGGCCCACATCCTCGGGCACACTCGCTCAATACGTAAGTTTCCAAGACCAACGGCAATGGCCCAAAACTCATGTCTATCAGGTCAATATCGACCCCGGCACCTGTATACCCCTTCCAGAGGGAGTCAACCCAGATGACGCTGCCACGATCGGTCTAGCTGGTGAAACAGCTTATCGTAGTATCGTTCCAAATGTGCAGGCTGGTGACAGAGTTTTCATCAATGGGGGCAGTTCAGGCACAGGTACTTTTGGAATCCAGATCGCAAAGCTTCTCGGCTGTCACGTCACCGTATCCTGCTCAACATCCGCCATCGAACTCTGCAAGGAGCTGGGTGCAGACGAAGTCTTCGACTACACAAAAACAGACTTGATTGCCGAACTGATCGAGAGTGGAAAGACCGAACCGTTTGACCTGCTAGTAGACGACGTCGGTACACCTGCGGATCTCTACAACGAATCACATCTGTATCTCAATCCCCAAGGCAAATTCATCTCGATCGGCAGCAAGAACGACATCTCCTCACTCGCGGCACGTACGCTCCCGACCTTCTTGGGCGGTGGCAGACGCAAGTCGGTGCAAGTTCACGCTTTGCTCGGAACAAATCGCGATGATCTGGTGCAGCTTGGAAGATGGATGGCTCAAGGCAAGATCAAGGCCGTCATCGACTCGACCTATCCTTTGCAGGATGCCGCAGAAGCGTATGCAAAGTTGAGAGGTGGTCATACCCATGGAAAGATTGTAATTCGGGTGGGTGCGAAGCACTGAGTCAGACTGCAGAATCTCCCAGGCATTCGATAATTAGATTACATACAGTTTTCAATTAATATCCTGACGATCCCGTGATGCGGTGCAAAAACATGAGGCTGTTGTATAATCAAAGGTTAGGCGTATTTTGAAGCACAAACGTGTGTATCGCCCATACTCAAAAGCACCGCGTACTGTACATACTCGACGACAGACAGTTGCAATTTCCACATGCCAAAATGCTCACCATGGATTGAAAAAAACACGGTCGATCTCGCAGCGCGGGGACAAGCAATTCTCCAAGACCAAGCAAGACTGCCATTATATATTCTGCGCACTCAAGCAGCAACGTCGCGACAGGATGGCCTTCCCGGGGTTCCGCTCCTTCCAAGGTATACACTGCTGTTCCTGGCGCTCTTTTGAGAAGGCATTGTCTTACATGTCATAGCCGTGTCAACATGTGTCCCACATATACCGAATGTCGCCAGACGTACGATACACACGTTTCGCGAAGTGCAGTCCCTCCGCACGTTTAGGAAAGAGCTTCGGTCAGGCCAACGGACAGTAGGCTTTGTGCCCACCATGGGCGCGCTGCACGAGGGCCACATCTCGTTGATGCGTCAAGCGGCCGCTGAAAACACCGATGTCTTTGTGAGCATCTACGTCAATCCCACACAATTCGGCGTCCACGAGGATCTCGACAGTTACCCAAAGACATGGCAAGAAGATATGGACAAGCTACAAGCTCTCAACAAGGAACTGCAAGGTGACACTAGCTCTGGACGCATCACTGCTGTCTTTGCACCCATCACCAAGGTCATGTATCCCACACTGCCGCCATCGTCCGAGATCACAGGCTCAGGATCATTCGTCACAATCACGCCCTTGGGAAGCCTGCTTGAAGGTGCATCGCGCCCAGTCTTCTTCCGTGGTGTTGCTACCGTCTGTATGAAGCTGTTCAACATCGTCATGCCCGAAAGGGTCTACTTTGGCCAGAAAGACATCCAACAGACGGTCGTCATCAAGCGCATGGTAAAGGACTTTCACCTCGACACCGAAGTCAAGATTGGGCCTACAGAGCGCGAGGCCGATGGCTTGGCTATGAGCTCCAGAAACGTATACCTAGGCGCAAGGAGAAGGGAGGTGGGTGTGGTCTTGTCGCGTGCTCTCAGAGCTGCCGAGAAGAAGTACCTGCAAGGAAAACGTCTTCGTGCCGACATCTTGTGGCCAGCTAACGAGGTCTCATCAAGTAAGATGATGGAACAAGACGACTTGCCTCCGTCAAAGCGTGCCAGAGTCGAAGTGGACTACATATCACTGGCCGACCCAGACACTATGGAGGAGATTGAGGTTGTGGATACCTCGAAGGGTGCTATTCTCAGTGGAGCTATCAAGTTGCTGCCTCTCGAAGAGCCTCAAGAAGGAGAGGACTGTGGTCTGGGCGGAGGCGCTGTTCCTGTCAGACTGATCGATAACATCATCTTGAAGCCGATAAACTAGACCAAAATACAGAGCAATAGTCCAAGGACGACTTCAATGTCCAAGAACAAAAGGCCCCTGCCCAGAGGATAAAGATGTGTCTAGGCTGTTCCTAACGTGTTGGCTCCCTCATGACCAAAGATAGATTGACAGACCCGATCCGCAAACAGCCTTGTACTCTTCTCGGAGTGCTTGACATGCTGAGACGATCAGATCAACAAAACAACGGCATGTCGGTGATAGATGTGGCCGGCGATTGTTGATGGTTCGTCGATCCCTGCCGACTTCTCAAAGTCCGTAGCGGGGAAGCCTTTTTCAACACCTCATGACGATGATGCTGCATACCTGCATGCTCAATCCTTGGTTACGCTGCCGTCTGACTGCGAAAACAACGAGGCTTTCATCGTGTTGTTTGCGCGGCTCACTGCCTAATGTTACACCACTGATCCTGTAAGTCGCAAGCCGCGAGGCGGAAATGGACGCCTGTCTCGAGCGCTCGAAAAGCTGAACATCGCATTCTGGCTTGAGCTCGAGAAGAGACTGGATAGAAAGAATAACAGCAAGTCAAGACTTCTTTGAGAAGCACTGTCAGGTACGAGGCCCACAGAAGCAGTAGTGATCCTGGTCAACATCGTCCACAGTGCATGACTCTTACGTACGTCGGCTCTCCAATTCGAGCACCTCGACCACGGGGCAACGTCAATGATGCCACTGCCCGTGCTACCCTCCCTTAGCAAAAGCCCAACTCTGTTGGTATACTTCCTCTCTGGGCAAGTCTAGTAAGTCGGACAACCGGCATGAACGTCCTACCGATGGGAGCCTTCCATGCGATGCGTAAGTGTGGTGGAGCAAGCATGTAGTGGATGTTCTGACCTTGATTTGCCCTCTCGCTCGCGTGGCTGTATGTTTTTCTTCTTCATCTCTCCCCAGCCACTGCTTTTTCTTCTCCTGCATTCTTGACAGCTCTAGTTATCGATGGTAAGTCATGTCCGAAACGTTTCTGCATTCGCCTGTGCAGGAATGACAATCTTGAATGCGATGAGCGGGTCTAATGGATAAGTCAGGCTTCTACTCATGAGAGTGCGCCATATCGGCCAGAAGTTCAGGCTCTGGGTGGCACACCAACGAAGATTGTCGACATACCAGTATGCGCTGTCTTCATGGTTCTATACATTATCGCCGGTGCCTTGCACATGGGAACTTTCACAAAGAACAAGAAGGTTGGAAAGAAGTTTATCTTCGGTGGAATGATGTTTGGTAAGTTCTATCAGCACCAATACCCGACAGCATAGCTGACTCCAAGGTCCTAGGTCTTTGCAAGATCCGCATCGTAACACTAAGTCTTCGGATGGCATGGGCATGCTACCCTCGCAACATCAAGCTGGGCATCGCCGCCCAGGTCTTTGTTAACATTGGTGTTGTCCTGCTGTACTTTGTCAACCTCTTCTTCACACAACGCATTGTCAGAGCCCAACATCCCAACTTTGGCTGGAGCAAGTTCTTCTCGCCACTGATCCCCATGGTGTGCGCCATCACTGTCTTGACAATCATTGCTCTGATCGTTGGCGTAATTCAATCATTCTACACCCTCGACACCAACATCCATCGCATCGACCGGATCATCGAACTATACGGATCAACAGCGTTCTCTGTTATTGCTTTCATCCCTATCCTCATCGTCACTTTATCAACACTCTTGCGACTGATCCCAGGCGTTCGCGGTCAGAAAGCACTCGACAAGTTCGGTTCCGGCAAGATGAGCACAAAGATTATCATTGTACTGGCCAGCTCAGCCCTTCTAACCCTTGCCGCGTCGCTAAAGGCCGGCACTGGTTACCTGCCGTCCATTCCTCTTGTGAACGATAACAATCCACCAACACCCGAACCGACTCCCTGGTACTTCAACCGCGGCATCTTCTACGGCTTTGGCTTTGGAGTGGAGGTCATCATCTTGTTCTTCTTCATGGCTGTAAGAGTAGACAAGCGCTTCATCATCCCCGACGGCGCCAAGGGACCTTACAGTTACGCCGGAGGCTTCGTCTTTGCAGGCGAGAGCGGCAACGAGAAGTCAAGATTGGGCCAACGCGATTCTACTCGCAATCTTACAGGCAGCTCACAATCGTTGCAATCATGGGGTGGGTCGACTCGTCGTGGCAGGAGCAAGGCTCCATCTGTCATCAGTTGGGGTGGTATCAGCCAGGCAGATACAGAGATGGGTGTTGGCGAAGACGGTGTTGAGCCTGTACCGTACGTGACGGTTGAGGACGGCGAGATCGCCAGGCCCCCGAGCATTGGAGGTGCTGGGCAAGAGATGGGCTGGGATTCGAAGAGTGGCAAGTGGAAGCTGAGACCCGTTTCCACAATGTCTGCCGTCTCGACGGCGATGCCAGTCGCGGCCAGAGAAGACGTCTAAACGACGGGTATGTTATCGTAGAGGAAGTTGATCAGAACATTCAACCAAGAGGATGTTTTGCAACAGTTTGAAGCAAGTTGTGTTTTGGAGAGGCCGAGCGAGGAGTTTTTGCTTGTCATTATGTCGTTTTATGATTCATGTAAATAAGCACCATGTTCTTGATGATTTTACATTCTCGATCTTCTCAATCCTTTCTGATGGTTTTGATGCCGTTGTCGTCTTGGGCTGACTGCTTCTTGAGGAAAGCAGCCTGCATGGCCTCTAAGTCTTCGTCTTCGTCTTCGTCGTGGTCGAGATCTTTGCTGGAATTGGAAGCATCCTTCTCTGATGGCGGATTCTGAGGAGGTACGCGGCGCACTTCAGGTTGGCCTGCTTGACGGGCGTATCCTGCTTTCTGGTCCTCAACCTGCTGAGCCTCCATTTGGTCGAACTCGTCGCGTCTGTCGATCCAGCGTTCCTGGACGTCCCTGACATCAATCTTGCCGCCCCATCCTTCTTGCATGGCGACCTGCCAGACCGAGTCGTTGGTGCCCTTGTCTGTACCAAAAACGTAACCACTGGCGCGATCTACGGCATGTAGCAGATTTGTCATGGAGACCTTGTCCTCGACAGCGAGCGTCTCGAAGGCGACAAGACCGAAATCACCGATGAGTTGAATCAGAGCTTCGTTGAGGGCGGTGAACTTGGACTCTGGCAATCTAGGAATGTCCTTATTTCCAGCACGATCTTCAAGATTCTGTACAGAGGTGTTGTTTTGTTCAGCCTCGAGATGGGGCAATAGGTAATCCAGATCTTGAACTTCGGTATAGTAATCTAGATTGAAGGGCAGAGGCTCAGAGTTCTTTGCAAGGTTGTCGATCTTGGTCAAGACATTGACAAGGGGGAACGGCAGATGGAGCATGCTGCGCAGACAGAGTAGTAAGGAGGAGATATACAGGGTAGGGCGGGATAGAGTGAGCGAGTCGAGGAGGTGGACAACGATCAGCTGTTGGCGGTTAGTTTGACGCAGACATGCAGAAGGGAACGAAGACGGACTCTGTAACCGATTTTCTCGAGACGGTGGAACAAGTTGGGCATTGTATTGTGATGTGTAAATAACTCGACCTGGCCAGGGCAGTCGAAGAGAATGTACGGGTCGCTGAGCTCTTTCAAGCCTTCCTCGAGCCATTCAAAGTTCTCTTGCAACTCCTCGAGGGCATACATGACGCCACCATTAGGACCCAACTCTTCCTGGTCCATGACTTCTTCGAGCGAGACCAGATCCCGTATGTCGAGGGCGCATGGATATGAAGTTTTGTCGTTGGCAGGGTCGAGGTTGACGACAGCACATTTGCGATCGATGGCGGTGAGGAACTGGTACATGCCATCGCAGTAGGTCGACTTACCCGCGCCCGGCGGACCAATGACTAGTTGTGCGAAAGGCATGTTGGTGAAAGATGAGAGGAGTCAGTAGCATGCATGGCGCGAGCGAGAAAGTGATGATAATTGTTTGCAATGACGGAGTACAATCTTGCCCCGCAAAAGCTTCGAGGCCGAGAAGCTCCTGCCCGCTGCTTGTTGCCTTTGCTCATTGCCGTCGCATCCACACTATCATCACGCAACAATGAGTGGTAACTATATCCCCTTCTACGCCGGTTCTCTTGTTCTCTTACTAACCCCTCTCGCAGCCCAAATAGAACTCGCGAATGCGCCGTCCGACGCCATCTCGGCCGTCCGCTTTGCTCCCGATTCGCCAAACCGTCTACTTGTCGCCTCGTGGGATCGCAATGTCTACCTCTACGACACCAACAATCGAGACCACGGTAGTCTGCTGAAAAAAGTAGAGCACCGCGCTCCTGTCTTGGATGTTTGCTTCGGCCACGACGACAACACCGCCTTCAGTGCCGGCCTCGACTGGGACGTCAATCGCATCAACCTCGAAACCGGCGACAAGACCGTCATATCATCACACCAAGCCGGTGTCAAGTCTATCGTCTACTCACAATCTCACCACCTGCTCATCTCGGCCTCGTGGGATAGCACTCTCCATGTTCACATACTCAAAGACGCCAATCTTGCCCACCCTCCCTCGACCATCCCTCTTCCTTCCAAACCATTCTCCATCTCCTTGACTCCCACAAAACTCGTCGTCGCCATGGCCTCACGCCACATCTTCATCTACGACTTGGCCGCCCTAAAGATGCTCACCTCGCAATCTGCCCCCTCTCAAGAATCTGGAAACCAGAGCATTCTCGAGGTCCAGCCCTGGCAACAGCGTGAAAGCAGTCTGAAGTTCATGACCCGTGCCGTCTGCTGCATGCCCAACGATCAGGGCTACGCACTGTCTTCAATCGAGGGCCGCGTTGGTGTCGAGTGGTTCGATCCTTCGACCGAGTCTCAGAGCCGCAAGTACGCCTTCAAGTGCCACAGACAAGCAGACGACGGCGTCGATGTCGTCTATCCCGTCAACGCTTTGGCCTTCCACCCTGTGCACCAAGGAACCTTCGTCAGTGGAGGTGGTGACGGTTTTGTTGTGCTGTGGGATGGCGTTACCAAGCGCAGGATCAGACAGTACCAGGCATACCCTTCCAGTGTCTCTAGTGTTTCATGGAGCTCTGACGGCAAATATCTGGCCATCGCAATCAGCCCTGGCTTCGAGGACGGAAAAGAGGTCATCGATGAGGGCCAAGTCAAGTTGTACATCAGAGAACTTGCAGATGGTGAAGCAAAGGGCAAGAGCGCCAAATAGAACTGAGGAGAGGCTTTGGAACAATTTAGAAATTTTTGATACATTAGCGTAGGCGTTTTCGTCCTTGTATTCCCCTGGACGCCTTGGTATGGAAATTCATGTCCTTCTATTTCTCTCTGTCCTCTCAATCCTCGTCCATGTCATCATCATCGTCATCATCGTGGCTCTCAATGCCCATCGAGGCCCCTGCTCTTGTGTTGGCGGACGCGCCCTCAGCTACAAGCAATTTGTCGAGTGAATAGTCCGAGGCCTTTCCTTGGGCCGATGCCCGTAGTATAGCAGATTTTGCTCTTCTGATAGCCTCCTCTTCTGCTTTGCGAATGGTTCCAGACACTCTAACGACCTGGATGACACAGGCTTGGTCCACGGGCTTCGGAAGGCGTGTGGCGAAACTCAGGGCGGCCCAGACGAGACGGTAATGCGCGCGTGAAACTCGAACAATGGCCGTGGATGTGGCAGGAGAAAAATATTTGACTAACTCTGGTCAGCTCCTTTCGCGTCGTAGATTTCGAGGTAGATGAACTCACCAACAAGACTACTGGCAATCATGCCACTGCCATAGTCTCCAAAGAACTCTGTCACGCCATCTCTGATCATACGTGCCAGTAATTGTGCGTTGAGTTTATCCGATGAGGGTCGGCGGAACGAAACGACATCGGGGACTTGGCCATCTTTTGTCGTGGGCTTTGTAGGAGTGTCCGAGTCGGGATATAGGATGTTGACCAGCAGGTAGCGGTGCTTCAATCGGACCATGATGACGGGTCTTGTCGCGTGTGATGAGCGCTGGGGTTTGCGATGTTTGATAATGCGATCCGCATTTTATGTGCAATCAAGTCATGGTTAAGAAGAGAAATGGTTGCTTCAAATACTGACAAAGGTTTTGGTTCAAGTCAACTTCGACGCTTGGCGTGTGGTGCATCCCAATGCCTTTCTTGGACCAGTTTAGATTCTGTGTTCCAATTTGTGATATGACTACAAGATCCAGACTTGGGTAGACTCCCACTGCATCTTCCACCCCTCTACAGAGGCCTAGACGCTATGGAAAGGCACAAGAACTACCCAGATGGTAGACAGATCCATAGAGAGACGAGTACTGTAACGTGCTCTGACAATGGGGGTATCTATGCTATGTCGCTTCTTGAAAAAGTCTGCTTATGCGCGCTTGGTTCTCTTCTTGCGCTTCTTGTTCTTCTTTGACTTTTTGCTCTTCTTTACGGCGGGCGCAATCACATTGCCGTCGTTGTCCAACTGTTCCTCGTCTTCGTTGTCGGATTCGTCTTCATCCTCGTCCGAGTCAGAGCCTTCGGCATTCTCCTTTGCTTGTCTCTGCTCTTCCTTTCTAGCCTTCTTGTCCTCGGCTTGCTGCTTCAGCTTCTCTTCCCTTCTGATGGCGGCTCCATACTTTTGCTTGACTTCCTTCTCGAACGCCTCCTTTTCGAGCTTGAACAACATCATGGTCGCTCTTGCATCCTCGACAGAACTGTGCTCTCCGCCTTGAATCTCCATGCCGAGGAATTCCTTGGCCAATTTACGCAACGCAGGTGCTCTTCCCATGGACATTTTGCGGAATGTCGAGTGTCTGGATGTATCGCGAACATCTCTCTTTGGGTGTGAGAGTAGTAACACGTCCAAATCATTCTTGAGTGCGTGTCCAATCAAAATCTTGCCCTCCAACAATGCGGCAACTTCTCTCTGTACTTCGGAAAAGGTACGAGCGACATCTGGTTTCAGGTGATGGGGTCGAATACCACTGACAAAGGTGCGGTAATCTGTGACTTCGACGCCGGGTACAGGTTGGACAAAACTATCGTAAATTTGTTCTCCGTGGAAGTTGACGATCGAGACGCGCGCGAGGACGTTGTCGTCGAGTGGACCAGTGCCAACCATCTCGCAATCGATGGCTAGAAACTTTCCGGGTTTGTGAGTCGGGTGAAGGCCTTGGTTGACGAGGGAGTCGGTCGAGGTGCGATTCGAAACGACGTCGTCGGCTGGAGTCGTGGTTCCGACATTTGATGCAGTCCTTGGTGTCGAGGTGTAGGATTTTGAGGGAGCAGTGCCCATGTTGGTCTTTCTCTGAGCAAAAGAAGGCTTGTTCAGCTCCGTCCTCGGTCTTTTTGTTCCATTCGCAGAGCCCTGGAATCTCTTGAACCTTTCGTCTTGCGATTCGGACGTTCTCTTGCGTTTCACGCTCGGATTCGAATCATCAGACTTGGGCTTCGGCTTGAGTGTTTGCTGTAGTCTCTTCCAGTTGCTCGACAGATTTGCAGCAGCGACTTGAGCCATGGTTTCTTGTTGCTTCGGTGCTTTGCTTTGCTGGTCTGGGGAATCCATCTGGCACTTTTTTCTCCAGCGCCCGCGCGCCGGCTGCCGGGCCGAACGTGTGTGGCTCAACGCCGGCTTGCATCTCTATCACATGCCAGATCTTGCGAGATCATCAGGCACCAAATCCATGGAACTGTGTATAGGTCAGACTAATTTACGCCAATTCGACTCAACTCAGGCGGAGCTTCTTGAAGACAGATGAGGTCTTGTGCGAAATCAGTCGCCTTGTGACATGAACGAGAAGACACCCGCTCCTGACCATGATTCTGGTCACAACTGCTCAGCATGTGCAAAGCTCAATCTTCACATGCCAATTTCGACGTCATGATTGTCACATTCTTGTTCAACAAATGCTTGCTGCGTGAAGGTCACCAAGCGTGGCCCTTGGTCGATATATCTGCTTCTCTTGCCCTCTATCCCCTACGGTGGTTCTACCACGTACAGCTATGCCTTCCATCATTGAACTTGGTGCTCCTGACCGTAAGAATGGCCATCTGACTGCCACTGGCGACTCAAACGCGCTTTTGTCTCTCCTCAAGGACCAAATCAGTGATTTCCCCCCATGCAAGCAGTACAACATCGCCATCAGCGAAGTCCCTGTGACCGTCGAGCGTCTGCCTTACTATCCAAAGGAAGGAGATCGTCTGCAAGACCCTGGAACTGCCAGAGCCAATATAGCTGCCTCCAATGAGAGCCCAAACGGAACGTTGCAGGACGACTGGGCTGAGAAGCACAAACATCAGACTGTACGTCTATTCCCTTTCCGAACCAGTCATTCTTGCTAACCCTCTATCAGGTCGTACAACAGCACGTCGTTTACTGGGACAAGGACCAAGACGGCATCATCTGGCCTCTGGACACCTACAGAGGCTGCCGTGCCTGGGGCTGGAACCCACTTCTCTGTTTGATCGCTACCTTTCTCATCAACGTCAACCTCTCCTATCCTACTTTGCCCTCCTGGATTCCCGACCCATTCTTCCGCATCCATATCTCGAACCTACACAAAGATAAGCACGGCAGTGACTCGATGACTTATGACAACGAAGGCAGATTCAGTGAGTTCTCGGTAATCAGACGTGTTCCCTCTCAAGCCTTACTGACTCTTTGCAGGACCTCAGAACTTCGAAGATATCTTCTCAAAGTACGATCGCGGTAACAAAGGCGGCCTTGACGTTTATGATCTTGTTAGACTCCACAAAGGCAATAGAATGGCGCTCGATATTTTTGGCATGTCGGCTTCTTTCCTGGAGTGGTTGGCCACGTATCTCTTGCTCTGGCCAGAAGATGGTATCATGCGCAAGGACGATGTTCGCAGAATCTACGACGGCAGCATCTTCCAATTCAAGGCCGACGAGTATGCTGAGAAGAAGAGACATCACGGCCGGACCAACAGGAACATTGAGAGCAGAAAGAAGCTGGCTTAGATGCTGCCGTAGCTGTTGAAAGAGGCAGAACCGCAAGAAAATTGACCTGGGCAAGACCAGAGGTGTTGCAGATCAAGGTCAAACTCTACGATTGTATGACATAGACAACAACAGATATAAGGTTGATGAATTACCTAAACTGATTACATTCAGTCCAAGGTATTGACCCTTCCTCCATCACATGGTTTCATATCCTGCATTTGCATGCATCTTGGACTCTACCACCTGTTCACACACGCCTACTTTTGTATCCCGATTTTTCTCACTCTCTTCGCTAATGCCAGTATACATCACCAACATGCGTACCGAATTAATTATTCAGGGTATCAGAGACCAACTTCCTAGTGCCAAGTACAGACGCCATGCCGTTCGAAGACTCATCAGAGACATCGACCAAGCACACGATCAAGAGGAAGGCTCACAGGATCATCGAGGCACACATCCAGTACATCGTCTACTGCCCTTCACATGGACGAAATCACTGACATTCGCATAGATAACGAAGAGAGCAGGCCCAGAAGAAGCCATCCTCCAAGCGCAAGCGCAAGCGTCGTTCAATGCAATCCTCCTCACCACCCAGTTCAGACGACGAGCATCATCGTTTCCGCGAGAGAAAGCCATCCTCCAAGGGCAAGCCTCGTGACGCCCAGAAACCTGAAGAGAGGTCGCCTATCCTGACCGTTAGCACTGGAGGTCATGTAGTTCCTCAAACTCAACCAGACTCCGTTCTTCACCTAATGGGCGAGGCGGAAAACTACTGTCTTCCCGTAGACGACGAGCAATCCTTTACACAACAGAATCCCACCTACGACAAGCCAAAGAAGCCTCCTGTTCGTTATGATGCCTCGACTGACGCTGACTTTTCACTCGACCGTCCTTATAGCCAACCTCCCATCTGTGGCAAGCCCTCCACAGACAAAGCCTCTCTCTCTCTAATAATCATTCTACCAGCAAGCTCGTGGACCGCGCCAACGCTTCTACGGACGAAGGTGTTCACGCAACCAGCTACTCCAACGTCCATCATCTCAAGTCACGGTCACAAGTCCTCTTCAAAGCAAAAGCGCTATCACGGCACATATTCAGCCAGCTCGATTTCCTGATCTCTTTTAAAACCTGTATCTGATAGGTCAGATTATAATATTGAACCATTGATACGACGCCTCGTTTGGCCTTCTATGTTGTCTCTATGAAATAGGAAGGTATCAGTGCACGCTTGTAAACCTCTTCTAATTCCAGTCGGGAACCACTCGCTTTGCATAACGCATGAATTTCCAGAAACCCACAGCCCATTCCACGCTACCTTCAGGATCAGTGACTCTCTCGGGCCAAGCAATGCCCGCACCAAAGAGTCCGGGGATCTGCTTCCCGTCTACGTTCTTGAAGGAGCCTGTGTCAGGCTGGTAGTTGTAGGTGATGTCGGAACCTGTTGCATCTTTGAGCCCTGGCAAAGGATCTCTAGCGTAGCCAATGGCCTGCACGTAGCGATCGCAACCCGAGAGATGTTTCTCATAGGTCTGGGTTTCGTTTTCTTTCTCATAAGCGATTTTGGCAACAAACTTGCTGACCGGGGATGCTTCGAACTTGGCGGACTCTAGGTTTTCCTTGGCCCATGCTGCTGCAGCACCCTTGAGACCGGTGTTGTCGCGTCTAATCCAGCCGTCCATGAATTCGGCATATCGGAGATCGTGTCTAGTGAACCATTTGATCCGGAGATCGGGGTGGGTACTGGAGGCAAGTTTGTATAGGTTGATGAGCACGAGGACCGCGCTGTGGGATGCTCCAATCACGGCAACAGTCGTAGGCTCCTTTGGAATCTCATTCGCCAGAAGCTTTGGACTGAGAGCGTGATCCAATTCCAAAGGGGAGGTGTTTGAAATCGAACCGGGAAGTTGCTGGGTTGTAGGCGAAGATCCGGTACAAAGGATTACTCTTGAAGCGATGGCTTTACTCATCTCACCGTTCGACAGCTTTACGCTCACGACCCAGTCATTTGTCTCGCCGAGACTTGCTTCAGTGACCCGACCTTGACGGGCTTCGACGCCAGGTGCCTTCTTCAAGCCTTCGGTGAGCATGAGGCACATGTCTGCGGCATAACCAAGATCGCATCCGGTGTCTTGGGGGAGATCTCGCAGATAGTCGACTGCATGTGGTGATGGAGTGTCCTCCAATATTTTCTGGAAAGGTGACACGGCCTCTGCAAAGTCCACGAACAGCTTGACCTTTGTGTTTCTGCCTTGATTAGTGGTTGCATCTAGATGGTTGAGCTAGACGTATAACTCACGACGGCACCTCTCTGTACGATTTGTTCACTCTGCCAGCCTCGAACAGATCATCCACCCACAACACAGGGCCAACCTTTCTTTCAAGAAGGTTCCCAAGGACAGTAATTCCTGCAGGTCCACCACCACAAACCACTGCGGCATACTTTGTTCTGTGAACTGACATGTCTGACCTGAAGCGTGGTGAACTGAATGGCGTCAGAGAACGGCCATAAGACGTGCTATCTTTCAAGCATTGCAATGGGAGCATCCCCGAAGAACCCCTCAATGCTCGCCGAGGAATCGATCCTCCAGGAACGCGCCCTGCTGTGTTGTATGCGCGACATATTGGCCTCGTCAGCTGCAATCGAGGGCATGCGCATGTAGCGAGCACAGCCGCATGTGACAATGTCGGTGACATGGGGGTGAATAGTATAAGTGTGCAGGCGAAAGACGAGACTTTGTCTGACTGGTCGATAGAGATGATGATATCCAAGGGTCCACCAGCAATGGCCAAAAGTCTCGCCACGAGTTTCCAGATTTGCTTCCGACCGCGTATGTTTTTGAGACTCGCTCACTGCATCTGACAATCCCAGACGTGAGTTTATCTAGCATTTTGTGTAGATTGGTCACCTTATGAGACAATCCACCGGATAGGTTGTCGTGTCTGCATCGCCGAAGTTCATTCGTAGGTTCTACACGGGATTCGTTCCGCTATCACTCGGCTTCACTCCACGACCGAGTCTCGGCGACCTTTCTTTTTTGCATCGATTTGAAGCGATAGAGGAACCAATTCCAACCAATGATCACTTGCATATGAGTTCTATGTAATCAACAGGACTAGCAAGACGATACTAGCGTTCCGGACAAAACTTGAACATGCAACTCTGCACACTTATATGCCACTTACACTATCCGGCCGAGCAGCTGCAGCACAGAGCTCCTATCGGTTGTTTGCATAGAAGAGCCGCGTAATCAGCGATATCGATATGTAATCAGGAGCAGAAAAAAGAACAGATGAGATTTTGAGTCCAAGCCGCTGGATCAACACAGAACCAACTCGAACCGCGCGGATCAGGTGACCAAATCACGAGACTAGCCGCAATAGGTAGTACACGGGAGATCTAGTTCTCGCTGAGTCTTGTGTTCCTGATTGATAGACGAGAAGAAAGTCATACTGTCTCCTAGGCGTCTGCATCGACTCTTCTACTGTGATTGCTTCCTCTACATTCTGACGAGAGAATACTTCCGCCCTGACCGTGCTGTGGTGACAGGATTGGATCGTAGATCTAGAGGACACTTTTGGTCCGAAACATCCAAGAACCGTCGAACGACCAGCTGGTATAAGTCTACTTTACTGGAAGTGGACCTTGGGGTATGCAGAGGCTGGTCCAGATGCAGCATCGTCCGACCAATGATACACGAATCAAAGTCAGGCTCGAGCGACTCAAGTAGTGCCAGCCATGATAGCTTGCCTTCTTTCGAAGGGAGAGACGATCAGTACTCTAGTTTGCAAGTTAGTGATCCGAACGTGCTGATCGTTGCCCCGAGACATTGCGTTTCGACTGCAATCCGAGATTTATTTGGAAGTCGAGGCTCGAGCCAGAGCAAACGATGTGAGAGTTACGAGAAACCATACACTGGCCGCGAGTGTCTGATGTTCTCTGGACTCGTCTGAGACAACCTTGCAAGGGGCGATCTTCGAAGTGGTTTCGGTCCAAAGCTCTGATAGATCTACAACTGTGTCATACCACAACCCAGTGTGCCGAGCGTGGTTGCGAGAGCAGCCGTGAGGATCTATCAGGGTCCGGATTTCACAGGGCTCACAATGCTTGAAGAGTCAGTCGGATCCTGACCTGATGGAGTATCCATAGCTCCGGATTGCGATATCTCGCGCGTCGTGCCGCTACTGCCTTGTCCTTGTGGGCGAAGGAGTGTCTGTATGACATGTCCGAATCCTGCCACAGGGTTTCAGGGTGACGGCAGCCTCCCCCGCGGACACAGTATCTGTGTCCAGTCGAGACAAGTAGAATAGATTCGCTGCTCTTCAGGCAACAGCAGCACTCAATGAGCTGTTGTTATGACCAAGGGAAAGTGGTTGTCAGACTCCACGAGCGACCCACCTCTTAGGACGGTGGCCCTTGTCGGTCCCTCAGCACCGCATTCTTATGTAACATAGAAGTGCAGATGTGATAACAGTCATGTCAGAGTGTGTTATTCGTTCGGTCTCGGTCCCTCGAGGGTTGGTCAAGGCATGGCCAGAATTCGAGTGGTGAAACTCTCCTTAGCTATGCATTGCCATGCCACACATGAAGTATGAAGAAAACATTCTTGATACTCGCCAAAGCTGTGCGAACAGTTGCATCTTGCGTCTAAATTACTCGAGCTATCTCCCAGGTCTCGATTGTAGACATTTCTGCTTTCCAGCAGACCCTTGGAATCCATGACATAGCGTGCCCCACGTTTCGTGATAAGGCGATAAGCGCGCGACGGCGACAACGGAGTGAGCTCCCATTGACTTGTTCTCTTCTTTTTCTTGCTTCTGCGTACTTTCCAACCCACACATTATCCACCATGGCTGAAACAATCACTACAATCTCACCCATCACCAACAAGGGCATCATTGAGCGCAAGGGACTCAGCGACTCGGAGCTCAGCGACTTGGCCAGCAGATCGGCTGAAGCTTTCAAGTCTTACAAGAAGACATCCCTGGAGGACCGCAAGAACTATGTCAAGAAGGCTCTGGAAGTCATCACATCCAAGCAAGATGAGCTCGCAAAGGAGATTACCGAACAGATGGGACGACCAATCGCCTACACGGCTGTCGAGGTGAAGACAGCCGTTGCTCGTGGCGAGTACCTGCTCAAGATTGCCGAGGATGCTCTGTCAGACACTCCTGGTGAGCCCCAGGAAGGCTTCAGGCGTTTCGTTCGCAAGGTGCCTCTGGGCCCTGTTCTTGTTCTCTTCCCCTGGAACGTAAGCCTTGCTCATGTCTTTGAACTCTCACAGCATCATGCTGACAACTCACTCATTTCTAGTACCCTTACCTCACTCTTGTCAACTCGATCGTTCCCGCTCTCCTCTCCGGCAACAGTGTCATCATCAAGCCTTCGCCGCAAACACCAACCATCGCTGAACAGGTCGTGGCTGCCTTTAACGAAGCTGGTCTTCCCAAGGACGTCATCCAGTTTTTCCACTGCGGTGACTTCCAAAAGATTGAGAAACTTGTCAAGAACCCCAACGTTCAGCTAGTTTGTTTTACCGGATCCGTTGCTGGTGGTCTTGCTGTACAGAAGGCTGCAAGCGAAAGAGTCGACTCTAGAGTTGGACTCGAGCTAGGTGGAAAGGACCCTGCATACATCAGGCCCGATGTGGATCTGGCGTGGGCTGCAGAAGAGATTGTCGATGGTGCCGTCTTCAATTCTGGCCAGAGTTGTTGCAGCATTGAGCGTGTCTATGTCAACGAAAAGGTCCACGATGACTTTGTCAAGGAGGTCCAAAAAGTTCTGGCCAACTACAAGCTGGGTGATCCGTTCGACAAATCTACGCATGTTGGGCCTGTTGTCTCCAAACGCTCCGCCGAAACCATTCGGGCTCACGTCAAGGATGCTATCTCCAAGGGCGCTCAGGATATGACTCCCAAGAACTCGTCCTTCGAGTCCCCGCCGGCCGACGGAAACTACGTGGCTCCTGTGCTACTAACCAATGTCTCGCACAAAATGCATGTCATGACCGAGGAGACTTTCGGTCCGGTCATCCCTGTCATGAAGGTCAAGGATGATGCCGAAGCCATCAAGTGGATGAATGACAGCCAATTCGGTCTCACTGCCAGTATCTGGACAAAGGAGACCGAAAGGGGTTATGAGCTTGCCGACGACGTCGAGGCTGGAACCGTCTTTGTCAACAGATGCGACTACCCTGCGCCTGACCTTGCATGGGTCGGCTGGAAAGAGTCTGGCAAGGGACAGACCCTGTCAAAATTCGGCTTCGATCAGTTTTCTAGACTCAAGAGCTATCACATCAAAAATTACCCTAAATAGATGCATAGTTCCCACGTGGGACCATGGCATTTGATATATGCAATACAAAAGGCCATGTGAATCTCTTATCTTGAAACTTTACCGAGACGTTGTAAGAAGGAATGGACGCACGTCCACATTCTCATGCGCATAGGTAGCACAGGAAACCTGAGCTGAGACACCATCCCTATCGTCGGCATGAAGCATAATCTCAGGAACAAAGCGAGCGCCATCAAGCTGGAGGAAACTTTTCCTGTCGACCTCGGTCAGTAACCATGTAGACTACCTTGGTCTACTCTCTCGTCTGATGCAATACTCGGATATCAGTCATTGCATTCCTCAGCATGCCGAAGCATTCCACATGTATTGTTCGGCAAGGTTGTCTCGGAAAGGAAAGGAAAGAATGTACCAACCATGGCTGTATGTGTAAAAGATTGACACAAGCAAGGCGAGCAAAGCTTGTCAGCCTTCGACCTCTGCCAGTGATTGGACTTTTGGGAAGCTCGCCAGGTCAACGCAATCTTCTGCAAGATACTACAATCTCCATCTTGCAGCAGGCCTGCTGATTTTGTTGGTCCTTTGGGTCGAGCAAGCTCGATACGGCCTTGCTCGCCCTCCGCTTGACCTTTCTTTCTTTCCTGTGGCTTCTGGTTGTATGATTGCACACTGCCTGACACTACTTCGCTTGTCATTGAGAAACAATCTCATGTTCTGTTGTTGTTCTTGACTTTGGTTTCATCTTTGGCGTGTCCTTTGTTCTTCGTCTTGGTCGTGCTGAAATTGCTTGCGTGCTTCTTTGTCTTGTCCGGAACTGTCTTGTTTGCGTCGAGAGAGCATCATCATCTCTCCTCGACGAGATCACGGCAATTCTTCTCCAGTACCCGGTCCATCAGAGACAGTTTCTCGGCGTTCGCGAACACGCTCACTTTGCGTGAGCGTACATAATCCTTGCGACTTTTCGGTCCCACGCTCTTTACCACCACGAACACGCACAAATGTACAACCTCTGGCACAAGATCAAGGCCTTCCTCTGCTGCGGCGAGGAGGAAGAAGAAGAAGAAGAAGAAGAAGAAGAAGAAGCAAGACCTGTGCTCGTTATTGTAAGTTATACACTACTGCGTACTGATTGCAACTTGACTGACGCCCCGATGCAAAAGGGCGAGCCTTTCGGCTTCAAACATGTCAACGTCGATCTGGCCGGACTTAGCGAGCAAGAGTCAGTCTCGCTGCCCTAGCTGATCCAATAAAGACCTACCTGCTGACTTTGGAGGGCTAGACAAACCATGATTAACACCAGACCCGTTCCTGCAACTTATCCCCTCAACGTCGACGAAACTTCGCCTACCGCTCGGCTGGACCGGGCTAAAGCTCACACCAGAGCTCTCAGCAACTCGTTCAAGACTGTCACAAACAATGCCATGAGCGTCGGTGCTAAGGGCTCCGGCTACTCAGCATTGCCTAATGGCAGTCCTTCAATGATACAGCCACTCGCAGCCCGAGACGACGACACTCCCCTCAAAATGAAGGAGTTGCTCCCTCGCGGCACTCATGGCCCCGAAGCCAACGACAGCGTCGAGACTGCCACGGCAGGCTGCGAGGAAGAGGAAAGCTTTGCCCACACCAAGTGAGATCAGGGAGAAGAGAGTCAGTACAGGTAGACGGACATGTGCGAGAGCCAAAGAGCTGCAATGTATCAGATACAGATTCTAAAAAGAAGAGGGAACAGAGCTGGCTGAATATGCCGAGCTCTAGTATAAAAACCAACTGATGGTAACTGCTTTTCCATGGTTATGCCACAACTTCCTCCCAGGTGCCTGTGCTCGGTATAACAAGGAGTTGCTTTTGGGTAAACTCATGGTTCACGTAGTGCGATGGCTGTTCATGTGACGCCAAAGTGATAGTGGTGTACGATAGGTCCAGTAGAAACCCGAATATTGCTCCAACACTCATGAAGTATCCATGGAATCGTCGAGGACACCTGCCGGTATTCTTCCTTCATTAAGAGCCTTTTCCAGACGAGTAATCTCAGCGAGGGTCTTCGCATTTCTGATCAATTCCTCAATGCGCTTTCTTTCCTTGTCGGACAACTTGACGCGAGAGATCTTGTCGGTACCGTTGGCATTGGCCGTCGAGGCAGTATTGAGTGACCTTGATGAGCGAGAGGAGAGAAGCTTCTTGGCAAGATCGGTAGGTTCGGCGAGGGTTCCAAAGAGCTCGGCGGCTTTACTGCGTTCTGCGTCCTTGACCTTCTGGAAGTCGAGGAATCTGACAGATGGACATGTCGCAATGACCCAATAGCGGTAGTTCTGTGTCGAGTTAGATCAAAGATTCATTGGCATCTTGAACGTGGGCATGGCTGACTTCTCTCGAGGCGACGGGATTCTCCAACAGAGTCAGATGTGTCAACTTCTTCAGGGCGGCCAGGGGCTCGAGATCGGCGAGTTCGGATAACGAATTTTGCGTCAAGACAAGCGTGTCAAGGTTCGGGATGGAGTTGTTGAGGGCTGGGGCGATGGCGGTGATGCGGTTCCGTGCGAGATACAGAGCCTTCAGCCTGTGATTCTTGGGGAAGTTTGCCAGAGCGGGAATATCGTTGTCTGTGAGATCGATGGCATCTTCGTTCTTTTGGCGCATTCACATCAGCACCAAGCGTGGGCAGGTGTAGACCGAGTGGGCTTGAACGTACGGTGATGAGACCCAAGTTCTCCAAAGCAGGAATTTTATGACCTTTTGTATGCCTATGAATCAGCTAGTTCAAGTATAATATCTGTCCTTCTCTTGACAAGGGGTGGCAATACCTCGTAGGTCAAGTTCGCGCTCCTTGAGCGGATTGAGGTATGAGAGCGAGTTGTGCACGAGCTCGGCTGTGAGTCTCATCGTGTTGTAGGCGTGTGTGATGGCGGTGTCTACGCGACGCTGTTACAGCTGCGACAAGTGGATTAGATGTGGTGAGCGGGTCGAGTTGATGTCGTCGTCTGCGTCTCTGCACTTGTTGTACCTTATGCCTCCAGCCTGCGCGCAAAAGTGACGGGCGCGCTTGGAGTACCAATCTCTTGGCGTTTCTTGACGTGTTCGCCATTTAAGTCGATTCGTCTGTACATGGCTTCATTGTCTTTCTATCTAACTCGTGAGTATCCTGCCATTGGCGCATGCCTCTCTTCACTTCCCCATCCTCGCGCCGTCCACGCCGTCAGTCCGACTCTTACAACTCATGCGACCAACCATGTCGCTTGCATATCCATTGCTTATGTACATTTCCACTTCTTGGACCACTTTTCGCTGCCATCCGCTGTGCTCCTCGAGCCCGGCTCCGAAGTGTGCGTCTGATGCGCTTCGTTGCTTGGTTGTTTCGCCGCATTGTCGCATTGTCTCTAGACCTGTTCAGCTCCCCACCCTGCGTCGGCGTCCCTGTTGTCGCGTGAGCACTCGTACGATTCAAGACTGTTTCTGAAGCCTACCTCATGTTGGCCGGCGGCTCGATGCTGGGTACGTATTCGAGGGCGACATAGCTGATACCGACAAGTATGATGATGCCACCAATGATGTACTTGGTCCAGTGCCCTGAGAAGCAAAGTCCTCCGATGAAGATGTAGACTGTTCCGTCTTGGTTAGCCTATGCCTTTGTGAGATCAAAGAGCTCGTGTGTCGTACAAACGCCGCGTCCGATGAACGAGAACATGAAGGATGCATATCTGGCGACTTGAGGAGGAATCTGGAACTCAAGAAGAGCATTGCCGAGACCGAACAGGATAATGTAGATGGCGCAGATTGTGCCTCGAACGCTGACTTCGGGGAAGAATTGACTGACTCCTCCAAGAACCATCAAGGCTCCAGTAGCCAGGTTGACAATGCGAAAGATATCCGAGAAATCCATGGTGACGGTGTTACAACAACAAGATGCGAGTTGTGCAATCGAGAAGCTGTCAAACGGTAGTATGAAGAGGACAAAGGACTGGCAGCCTGGAAGCTGTCAATAGAGCTCGAGGCTGCCAAGCTGCAACTTTGTGCCATGTGCGTTCCCGATCCCCGATCCGGGGGCCCAGCTTCGGTCTTGAGGCTCCCGCTTTCTTTGGTGAAACTGCTGCGACTTTACAATCACAACCGACGCAGCTGTCATCGTTACAATACTAGGTAGAGCATACACCGCAGGACCATGAAGATAGTTCATTCGTGTGTCATGTGTTTCATGATCTGTCTTGCTGCCCATACCGGGTCATGGATATTAATAATTCTGTTCCAACTAAACCTCGCCTACAAACGAGCCTTCTCTGTCAAGGACTGGTCAACAAGCTGCACCACAGCAGCAGCACAGCCCCATGAGGTCTGGTATCCATAACCACCATGGCCGATGCTGTGCACAACCTTGACAGCGTTTCCGTCCGGACCCATGATCGTTTCCTTTTCGGTTCTGATACCGCCCTTGCGCATCGGTCTCAAGCCTACACCATGTCTGATGATGTCCAGTGCTTCGATGCCTTGCCCCTCGGGTACAAGCTTAGGTGTCAGGGCAATCGCACGTTTCATGATGCGGGTGGCAAGGTTGGGGTCTACCGCCGAGTCCCACCTGTCTGCTTGCAAACAACCACCCAGTATACAACCACCTCCGGCCGCACGATGCATGATATAGACTGCTTCGTCCTCGCCATCGTCGGTTCCCGAAGTCGTGGCCATGATTCCAGGATCGTTGCGAACCAGCACAATCTGCCCACGAGCCGGGTACATGTTCTTGTCTTGAACTCCCTCCATGAAGAGGGAAAAGAGTCCAGTTGCATTCACCACCAAGTCGGCCGGTTTTCCAGAGTGATGAAGTGAGGTGGCGTCTGCAATGTGCCTCACCACGCCTCGCCTGAAGACGACACCGTTCTTGAGGCATTGTGAGACCAGCCACGGGAGATAGATCGCTGTGTTGATGCAGACGGAAGTGAACGAGGTACCGCCATCCATGCCTTCAGGTAGCTCCTCTTTGCTGAGGACTCTGAACTGCACATCAAGTGATTAGTATAGTCCTAGCAACGAGGGAGACACAGAGACAGCTCACGTTAGGCACAACCTTGCTGAACCATGCGTCTTCGCGAATGAGTTCCCCAAACCACTCGCTGACAGGGCCCTTGTCCTTCTTCCTTCGATAAACGACCGTATCTGGACACTGTGGTTAGCCGAATGCTCAAGTGCATGTCTTGTCCCATCTGATACCTTGGAAGTGAATGCCTGCTTCGGGGTGTTCTTGGGCGAGTTTTGCTAGTTCGGGCCATGTGCTCCTTTCATATTCTTGCGATGGGGTGCCTTCCTTGCCAACACTTTAGAGGTTAGCTTAAGTAATGGATTCTAGTTGCTCGTATGGATCATGACAGGTAGAGTTGTGCAAGTGTGCTGACGCACGGCAAGTAGTTAGCACCAGCCCATGGCGAGGCGTATTCAATGTCATAGTCTCCTGGCATATGCTTTGCTGCAACGGTGATGGTGTAGTTCTTGTTCTTGGACAGTATAAAGGCCGCCGTCAGGCCCGAGACTCCAGCTCTGCAGACTGGTCAGCTGTATTCATCATTCATGAATTCGGTGTGGACGCGGACCCCAATACGACCACACGATGTTGAGGGGCCATGGCTGATGGTACTTGACAGAGTGACTGGTGGAGCGGGTGCTGCCTGCTTCTTGGAATTGACTAAATCTGCCGCAACAATGATTCACGGGTGAGGCCAATAAAACGACGGACCACAGTCATAGGCGGACACGCTTTTATAATTGCAGTCTCACTCGGCAGCCTGCTTACTTGTATCTTGTTATCCTGGACTAGGTCAACAGTTTCCCGCCCCACACCAGCAGATATATCTCCACTGCACGCAAGCCGTGATCGGCTCCGATAGACTTTAGCACTTGGCCGGCGTCGACGACCCGCGACACGGCCAATCAGACAGAGGTAAGCGATCAGATAACGGCCTCTCGGGCAAGCAGGAATCAGAGGGAGCTGGGCGGCTCTCGTGAATGGAGTTAGGCCACGGCAATAAGCGACGTGGCAGAAGCCAGTGCATGCGCTCATGATGTGGTGCTTTTTGGATTGTGATGCAGTGCCAAGAGGCCGGTCCAGCTTTCCAATTCTGCTCCTTGTTCTTCACTCACTCCTGAGCACCGAGCGGGCCCTACTCCTACCCTTCACCTGTCATGTCTTTCTGATTTGCTGATCAACTCGCACCCATGCCTGTCTGCTGTGTTGTTGACTCTGGTTCGCTGATAAACCCTCGCTTGCAGCACAATGGGTGGCAGTCAAGAAGAATTTCCACTCTTGAACAGCCTTGGCTTGTATGCTTCCAACATACTCGGTGATGGTATGGAGCCTTCCATATTCTGCCCCTTCACCCACTAATATACCCAGGAAACTGCCTGTTTCACGCTCTTAGTGACCAGCTGTACGGCCACCAGAAAGAACACCACGTCATCCGTGAAAAAGTCATTGCCTACATGCGAGACCATGCCGACTACTACAAGCAATTCATAGACGCTCAGCCCGGAGGTGGCACCCGGAGGAATCCCAAGAGGAAGAATGTCGGCTCTTTCTCAGCCGTCGCTGCTGCTCCCTCCGAGGCCGACATAGACCACACCTTTCAGAACCACTTGGGCAGGATGGCAAAAGGTGGCACATATGGTGACAACATGGAGATTTCGGCTTTTAGCTCCGCCTACAACGTCGACGTCAAGATCTACCAGCGAGACTTTGCCTACATGATCTCGGGCTCTGGCCATGCCCAAGACCGCGAGATAGCTCATATTGCTTACCACGTCGGTACCTACCCGCTGGTCAAACCGTACCTCTGCTGACCTTTGTAGGCTTGGGAGCACTATTCATCCATCCGAAACCTCGACGGCCCCCACTCTGGCCCGCCCAAAGTCACTGTCAAGGCCTTGTCGCCTGACGAAGAGCAGAAGCAGAAAGAGAGGCTAGCACAAACACCTCACGTGCTCCCCTGGATGGTCGATGTTGTTTCGTCCTCTCTTCCATTTCTTGCCGACAAACCTACCATCAAACGCACCCTCGAAGAATGCAAAGGCAATATCGATGCTGCCGTCGATAAGCTCATGGGCGCCGAAGAAAACGGCAGCCTTTCATCTGCACAAGAGAGCTCCAGCGTCGAGCGTGAACCTGATAGTGATGAGGAATACCCAGGCAAAGACGGGCCCAACAAGAAGCGAGACCGCAGGCCGTCATCACGGCAGCAGTCCGGAGAAGTCAACTCTGACGAAATGCGAGCCAAGTTCGAGACCCACAACGATTCTTCTGAATCCGTCAAGTCGGAACCTTCGGATCCTTCAAGTTCGCAACCCGACAAGAAGGGCGAGCCTCTTCCTGACACACGACCAAGGCCTACCATCAGACTCAAGTTCAACTCGCAAAAGCCATCTTCGCCCGCCCCTGCGTCGGCCAAAGGGCCTCCACGACAGACTGCCCGGGACAAGAGAGACATCAAGAAGCAAGCACAAAAGGCTGCCCGCAAAGAGCGTGAGCAGGCAGCAGCTGGCGGCGATCGACCCGAAAGTCCAAACACATCCGGCATGAAGCTTCGCAGCAAAGGCATGGTGAACACCCCTCCGATTGAGTCTGGCTTCCGCACCCTCTTCATCTGATGTTCAATTCCCCCTTCGCTAATGACCTTTGGCATGGGATGGAAGGATCGTCATGCGGGTACATGAACGAGACGCCCTGACATTTTCTTCCTCTTTCTTTTTATGGCTCTCAATGATGCATAGCGTGGGCACTTTGACGGCGGGCAATCTTTGATTTTCTTATACCATCATGAGCATGGCGACGGCGTACAACAGGAGTATCGGTGGTAGAATTGGGATACGAATTGGCATTTGACCTGCCAGAAGCATGGCATGATGACACTAGATGGGCGATGGGCCCAGATCTTCTAATCGTTTTGCTTTCGTAGCAATTAACAACTCGGTAGACGGGATGCAAAATAATACAACTGTTTCCCTACGCTTATCCTCCGTGTCAGCTATAAATCTTAGTAAATCTCTGTCACTTCGTCCTCCGTTTAGGAGTAGCTTCGATGACACACCATCACACAGCCCTCCTTTAGAACTTGATATCAGCAGATCATTCTTGTTAGGCCTTTTCGAGATGAGTACGTTACCGCCCACTCGCAGATTCCATATGTGAATCTGATCTATTCATCGTGTAAGTATCATTGACTTTCCGCCTCTGGCCACGCCTAGCGTGACAACATAACACTCTCTGCTGCGCTCGTGCGCAGTCTCTTTAATCACATAGCTACGAGAGTGCATAGCTGCTTCGCCCAACAGGATGCATGACTTGAGAGTGATGTACATGTCGGCTCTCTATGGGTTCGTCTACCATTGATGAAGGTCTGTTCATATATACAGCCCTCACTCTCTGCCATGTGCAGTCGTGAGAGGGGGAATAAATCAAGCTACGAAATGGACCCGCCTCCTACAAGAGCTTGAAGTAGTACCCTCACGATCAAAAGGCATATTGATCCTTCAAAACCAAAGATATTCCCAAAGAGATCCGAGGACATGTTGCTTCTCAATGATACTAGCCTCCTTCCCGAACCCGTGGTGCATCTTTCTAGCTGCACGCTTTTCAAACTTTGGCACATAGAAGAATGATCATAGGTGCAGCAGCTATACACAACTTCTACAGTGATCGTACTAATCTACACAGCCACAGCCTGTCCAAGCTTCATGTAATTCCAACAGACTACATCTCCGGTCAGAATGGTCAAGGTCTGGGTCATACTTTGATGGTACTTACTAGAATTTGCCAGGTCATTGCCAAAGTAAGCGGCCATCTGGTCTTCTCCAGAAGCAGTTCCGTTCGTCGAGTCAAAGACAACAGCTTTCTTCCCTACTGCTAAGCCCATGATGTTTGGGAAGAATGACAGCTCCTTGTAGGTTGGTATCTGCCCGTAGCGATTCTTGAGCATGTCTTGATGAATGTTGATAGCACAATAATGACCCATATGCATGGCTCCTCCACAACGCTTGATGCCAGACCAAGATGCGATATCTCCCGCCGCGAAGTGGCTGCTTGCATTTGGCACATCGCTATTGAATCGCAGGCTAGGATGATGTTAGCAGAGTCCAGCTGAGTTAGACGATCGTTCTTACGAAGCATCAATCTTGACATAGCCGTCCTTGTCCAGAGCTGCGGGTGGGAGATAGCTTGATGTAGGTGTGCTTCTTGATATGGCTGCAATGACGTGTCCAGCGGTGATGTGCTGCCCACTGGACAAGGTGAGATTCCACGAGGTGGGCTCACCGTCAGACTGTACAGCGGTGGTTTCGGTCACCCTCTGTCCCAGAATTACCTCTACACCGGTCTCCCTGAGCGTCTCAAGGCTTCGATCTTTGAAGTCGTCTGGCAAGGGCTCCGCGGATAGAAGCTTGTCTCTAGAATGTACAAGAGTTACCTTTTGCCAGGGTTCGATTGTCTTGATTTCGCTAGCCATCTCAATTCCAACAGCCCCTTGGGTAGAAATATCAGCCTGAGGTCTGGTACAGAGTGTACGACTTGTACTCACCTCCACCTATCACCACTACACCCTCCTTTGCATCTCTAACTGCTTTGGTATGTGACTTGGCCTCGGCAAGGAACTGGTCTCTGTTCAATGCTTGGGGCACTACGGGTGAAGTCCTTCGAAGGCCGGAAGCAACCAGAAGGTAGTCATACTTTCCTTGACGGTATTGCTTGGTGACAGTATCTACTATCGACACGGCTTTGTTCTCACAGTCGATACTCGCAACACTGCCCTGCAAGAAATTTACATTGGGCAACTTCAATGCTGGGATGTCTTGAAACCTTGTCCAACTCTTGGAGGCGGCGTCATCCGAAGCGAAGGCCAACGGGTTTCCGATCAGATGGTCTATGGTCAGATTAGTGTACTGAAGCAATCTTGTACGTCGTGACACATACAATAGCCGTCACGCTCGTCAACGATGGTGATATCGACAGGCAATTTGCTCTTGGAAGACACAACATCCGAAGGTGTCGAAGTGAACCGAGGCTGCTTTCCATTGCATAGGTCTATGAGGTTAACGGTGGCTGCGAGGCCAGAGTAAGAGCCTCCAATGACAAGAACTCTCGGGACTGCTTGGAGAACGTGAGGGCCTTCGTTGGATGGCATGGCTGAGAATCGAGCAGAATGTAGAAAAGAGGAATGTAAGGGGGAGGGCGAGGAAGAAGTTCTGGGAAAGAACGAAACTGCCACGGTTGCCGAGCAGGAAGTCTTGGTCGTTTTGCTACGCAGGAGAATGGGTCTCAAGGATCGTGCAATATCCATGTCGACTGAGAGCCGGCACGTTCGGACCCCAGCCGGCCGTACACACCTACTTATCGTGTGGGCCGCCAGCCCATGGTACGATTTTAATCCTTCTTCAGCGCCGATTCGGCCGCGTAGGCAAAACTATACGCCCTGTGGGACCGAGAGATTGAAAGTGATAGGTCGAGAAACCGGAGGGACCCGCACTAAGGTGATAGCTCCAATTTGATCCGGCGCCTTATCTGATTGATAATTTGGCTTGGCATAGGCATCCCCTACGATCTGTTCTGTCTTTTGGCCTTGGGTCCACATCAGCGAACTCGAGACTGACGCCTCAGAATGTACAAGACACAACAGATTATAATCGACTTCCTAGCTGAACCTGCAGAATACATGTGTTGCAGATGTCAGGTCTAGGAGCAATTGGTTCTCCCAGCTACGAATGAGGCCTGTGCGTGATCAATGATCAGGTCAAAGCGTAGAACGCTCAAGCTCGGATCAATGAGTCCCAGGTTATCAGAAGGCATCAAGCCTCATACAATTGCGGAATCCAATCACTTTCTCCATGTCAACCTCCATGAACTACCTCATAACCGGCGCGGGTAGAGGCATCGGCAGAGGGCTGACTCGAAATCTTCTCACGCGGCCTGGAAACCGAGTCTTTCTCTTGGACAGTAACGAGAGTGAGCTACAAAACACTCTTTCGCTCGCATCAACATGGACACAGTCATCAGACACCGACAAAAGCTCTTTTCGAGGCAAAGTTGTTGACTTGAGAAACCGCGACGAGATCAAGACCCTCGTGGGTGAGGTGGACGAATTCTTCGGAGGTCGCTTGCATGCCCTCTTGAACAATGCTTTCGCTACTCCCCATACGTGGAAAGACGATAAGGGCATGGAAGATGACCTCTCATCTGATGAAATTATGGATCAATGGGATGTCAAGATTGCTGTTGGTCTGACCGCACCATTCCTTCTCTCAAGACTCTGCGTACCCATGCTCAAACGCCAGGACGGAGAGCAGAGTGCCGGGTGCATCATCAACATCTCCTCCACCCGAGCGAAACAGGCGGAAGACAATCACGAAGCCTATAGCGCGGCAAAAGGCGGACTTCTTGGTCTTACGCAGAGCATGTCGCAAAGTCTAGGGCATAGGCACAACATCCGCGTCAATGTTATCATTCCTGGCTGGATCAACGTGGAGAACGAGAACAAGGCAGCAGATGAAGCATCGACAAAGTGGGAAGATGGTATGACGGAGCAAGATCACTCTTATCACCCTGCTGGTCGAGTCGGAAAGGTCGAAGACATTTACAAAGCGGTCAAGTTCCTTGTCGAGTCAGACTTCGTCACTGGTGAAGAAATTGTCGTCGATGGTGGTGTAACGAGGAAAATGTATTATCCAGAATAAGTTGTCTAACGTCATCGAGCTCTGAATTTTTCCCACTTCGAAATTCTGTGTGGTAAACTGACCACATCAAGGACCGACTGGGGGAACCAAAAGTTGCAGGGCGGAGCAACAGGGTATCGTATGTATATTGAACTAAACAACTTCATTTCAAGGCGTTGGCCTTAATCCAGGTACTCTCACATAACCACGCACTCAGCCTCATCTCTCTTCTGATTGCTTCTCGTCAAACGTCCCTGGTTGGGCTGCGGTCTGGCTGCTTTGCCCTTCCGAATTTCTTCGAGCCTCTCGACAGCCTTGGGAAACTTGTATGAAGCGGCCCTTGTGTACCACTTCTTTCCTTCCTCAAGACTGGCAGGACAGCCAATGCCGTTCTCGATGTAGTAGCCTAGAGCATACATGGCCTTTGCAAGAGGAGGTTCACTCATCGCAGCTTTCCGTGCCCAAAGGTATGCCTCTGTATCTGATTGGTTCAGGATACCCTCGGCGCCTGTAAGGTACCAGCCCGAGAGTGCCAGCTCAGCATTGTGCTCTCCCTGGGCAGCGGCCTTTGAGTACCATGCAATTGAGTTTCGCGAATCGACCGGTAGACCCAACGATCCGTACTCGAAGGCTTGACCAAGTCTAAATTGCGATTGTTTGTAGCCCATCTTGGCTGCTTGCATGTACATCTTCTGTGCATATTTTTCATCCGGCTTCACTGCTGCACTGATGGCAGGATCGGGATTGCCTTCTTCATGAAGACGAGCAAGTTCGTGAATGGCGTGAGGGTTAGTGGCATCGGCGTTGTCGGCGGCTCTTTTAAGGTACACCACTGATTGCCCTACATTTCTCTGCTGACCGAGCAGGCCTCTGAGCAAAATCATTCCCATCTTGTACATGGCAGCCACATCCTGAAGCTGAGAGGCACGTTGATACCATTGCACCGCTTTATGATAGTCTCGCTTCGTGCCACCTCCTTCTTCAGCTCCCATCTCGCAACACATCGCCGTGCGATAAGCTGCAGCGCCATGACCGGCTTTGGCAGCACCCTGATACAGCGAGAAGGCCTGCTTGGGATCGGGATCTAGACCCAGATCTCCGGACCCGTAGCAGTCCGCAAGGTAAAACATTGCTTCCGAGTAATTGGCTGCTGCGAGCTTTTTAACACGCTTATGAGCATCAAGAACATAACGTTCACTGTTTTTCGCAGTTGACTTCGCGTCCAAGCGGCCGTTCTCCGATGCTAGAACGGTGGATGCTTCGACAAGTTTTCTGACCAGGACCATTGCCGTCTTCATATCATCGGGATTTGCATCAACCTTTGAGCGCAACAGATCAAGCTCGCCTCTCGTGACTGGGCCAGAACTGCTGCCCTCGTCAATCGAAGGAGACTTGGGCTGCGATTGAAGCCGATTTTTTGATGATGTATCCGGATTGTTGGCATAGTTGCGCACGGGCGCGGGCTTTGGTGCAGGTGGACCATTGTTGAGACCAGGTCTGACTGGGATGGGGTGGCCGGGAAGTGCATCAGGATTAGCGGGCTGGTTGTGGCCGTGATGCTGGGCACCTGGTACCGTTTGTGGAGCAGATCGCTGTTTGGCAAGCGGAGCGCCAAATGAACGATCCGACGAGGGCGCAGCAAAGCCGTTCTGCATGGCAGGCGCACTTGGGGAGCGGTCTTCCATGGCAAAGCGTTGGTCGGGCGCCCTCCCAAATGCTGTCGGATCAGGGCCATAGCCGTAATCAGCCTGTCTAGCAGGGGGAGGTGCAAAGCCATTGGATGTTGCAGGGGCACTCGGGGCCCTGTCACCTGAAGGCTGACGCTGCGGAGGTAAACGATTGTCCATTGGCATTCCTGTTCTGAAGTCCTGCTGTGCAGGTACTGGTCTTCTGGATTGTGGGCCTCGAGACTGCGATCGGGGTCCGCCATTCAAAGGCCCAGAATGCATGGGTCTTTGCGGCGTTGAATCTGGATGCACAGGTCGGGGAGGCGGCGGACCACGACGGGCTTGTCCATTGGGTGAGAAGCCTTGAGGCATGCCGCCCATCGGCCCCTGGTGAGGTATGGGGCCTCGCATAGGTGGCCCTCGAGGCATATAATCTTCAGGGCCCAGATTGGGCGCGTGAGCGTTTGGCATGGGGCCGCGTTGCATGGCAGGGTTCTGCATGGATCTGTTCTGTTGCATGGGTGTTTGCGTATTATATGGCTGTCCGTGATATGGTTTCTGATCGTCCGAAGTAAAAGCCCTTTGCTGTTGGTGCGGCCTTGGTGGCCCTAGGCTAGGGTCGTCGTAGCTCTGACTTCGTTGTTGATTAGGAGGTAGCATGTTCATGTCTTGTTGAGCATAACCTTGGTCATAGAGCTGCTCCCTCACTGATCTACCCGAGTGATCTGCACGCACATCGTAAGCTTCGGTACGCAGCTGACTATGAACAGGCGGTTCCGGCATGGAGACCTGGGCATTGTAGCCGTGGTTGTGCTGTGCGGATTGTGGTTGGCGGTTCGTGGAGGACGCAGGTGTGGAGGACTGGCCGCGGTAGTTGTAATCGTGCTGCGGTGGTTGCGGTGGCCTCGAAGAAGCAGAATATTGATCACGAGTATTACGATTCCATTGCTGCTCTTGTTGTGGCTGGTTGCGGTGATACAGAGCTTGTGCGGGGTGTTGGGGGAGATGATCGGAGTAGTGAGGCTCGGGAGACTGGGTAATATGCTGGCCCTGGAAGCCAAAGTCAAAAGCGTTGACTTCATCCTGTACAGGGGTCCGTTGACGCAAATCAGGCTGCGATTTGGCGGATTTCAACTTGCTAGAGGCAGTCTGATATCCTGGCTGAGCTTGGGCAGGTTGGGGACTGTTATTCAGCTGCATGTTATTCAGATGTTCGTCGATGGTCTGTTGACGCTTATGTGCGGCAGGTCCGTCAAAGTCGGGCATGGCAGCTTCTATCTCGTCCTCGCGATTCATGGGACGAGGAGGGTCATGGTAATAGTCGTCATAGACACCTCCCAGACTCTCGTGCTTATCCGCATGATGATTCCATGGCTGTTGATGATGAGCAAAATCGTCTTGATAAGCCGAAGCGTTGGAAAGATGAGCAGCTTGGGAAATACGTGCTTCGTAGGGAACGTGGGTGACAGGAACAATGGCCGGACGATGGCGTGCGGACACACTGCTCAACTGAGGCGACTCTTGACTATGGGGATCGCCAGCGACCTGAGTATCGAGAGGGGCGAGGAAGGGACGTTCGCGGTCATGGACAGAGTCGCTGGTCGAGGGACGAGAAGAGGACGAATAGGGAGGGCTGAAGGTAGGGAGAGGAGCGAGCTGTGCCGGGGCCTGTCGTGGGGTAGTACGGACGGGGTGGCGCTGGTCTCGGGCTTGTGGTGGCCGGGCGTCTCGGCCAGCAGACCTTGGACCTTGGAGGTGGGGCTGTGGAGGGTGATGAGGTTGCGAGGGAGCGTGTGGAAGCGGATGGGCGGTTTCTTGGTCGCGGAAGTGTGGTACGGCGTTTGGAGGGCCTTGGGAGCGCGAGTGGGGTGGAGGGCGCGGTGCAGCGGCTGTCGACGGTCTTGGATGCGAGATATTGGACGAGTGTAGACGACCGGGCTGGGGTGGTTTTGAACTCGCGGTGGCAGCGGACGGGGGTGGACGATCACGCGGCCTGGATGTGTCGCGCGGCGGTCGTACTTGTTGTTGTTGTTGCTGTTGCTGTTGCTGCTGCTGCTGCTGCTGAGCAGCGACAGAGCGCTTTGTGGGAAAGACGGGAAAGGCGTTGTCCTGAGCCATTGGACTCTCTCCAGGCGATGGTGGATTGAGTAGGGGTTTGCGCGCTTCTTTGGACCGTCAGTGTCTGCAGCAGGATGCGAGTAGGGGCACGAGCACGAGCACGTCGTGATCAAGTCTTGTCTCACCTGGGCGTGATGGCTCTCGTCGGCGCGACTCGTCTCTCCCTGTCCTCCCTCTGTGTGCTTGTGCTTGGTTGTCTGCTACCGGCTGCGACCGTGTGCCTTGCTCTTGCTCCAAGTAGTCGTCGTGCGCTCTGGGTAAAGATTCGTATCCGTTTTGGTCTGCTCGTCGTTCTCGGTATGCCGGCGACTGTGCCCTCTCGACCAGATAGCCCCGCGTGGGTGGAACGTAGGCATTGAGGTCATATGCCATTCTGCCACAATTCCGTTGCACCCGGCATGAATCTTCTCTTGATACTGTCTACAATCGAAACTTGAAAGCGACAAAACCCCGACGAGCCTCAATCTCTTGAACTTTCAGGAGGGTCAGAGACGAATGATATCTGATGACAACACATCAGTCAATCCACAACACAGACGACTCGGATCTCCTGGTCTGCTCCAGCATCGGCGGCGCGAGGTTTCACGTCAGCTGCCCATGGTTTCGAAGCTCACAATTTACGCGCCCGAAGCTCGGACGACCCATCTTGTCGCAGACCACAGAGACTCACCCATCTCTGCAGAAACATTCTGTGGCTTCATGAAACCCCTTTCCACTTAGTCGTGTCCATTCCTCTATTTCTCATGCAACATTCTCTAACATTCAGGCACCCAAAGACCGTGCTGCTATGATCGTCAGTGGCTTGCCGAGGTCTGTCCTTGCAGAACGCTTGGCCTGTGTTGGGCCGCATGTCTTGACTTGGTGCCTCCCTTGTCATGACCTTTCCCATGGTAGCACACCCGGTCGCTGCCAGCTGCCTAGAGCGATGCTTATCATCGGTTCTGCTGCTTATTGCATCTTTATGATATGTGCTTTAGTCCTGTCTACCACCTGAAGTCTGTTACATGGTAGCCGAGACATCACCCTAGCACCAAGGCTTTCCAGCATAGAGCTCTCATCTTTGTCTTGTCAATTCTCAACATGTACACACCGCATTCTCTCGTACAGAGCTATGTAACAACGTCTACAGCAGCTTGTCAGGTCCACTTTCTTGCTACATAGTGACCATTCTTCAGCTCCTTGCCAACCACCCTAGTAGACCCCGCTCCATATTTACGGCCGACTGCTGATAAGTCAGCCGGCCGAGGGCCAAGGGTGAATGTACAAAGCACGCTGGCTGTTGGACAAACTGTTCCACCAAACGTCGTGCCTCTTTTCTATCCTGATTTCTGTTCAGCTTCTTCAAACACTATGGATCTAGGTAGATAACATTGCGTCTTGTACAACTTTTTGGTCTACTTACGCTGCAACAGGCACCGCTACTATCGCTGGCGCTGCCGTCGCTGCTGCTGCATACATCGATGGCAAACTCCAGGTTAGCAAAGATCTGCGGGATCTTTGGAACGTCAAGAGAGCCCAGTTCGAATGGAACCGAGCAGGTAACCGACCAAGAGGGTCAAATCTACTCAATCAAAGCTCTAACAGATATCAACTTCGATAGTCAAGAGAGGAGAAGCCTCACTCTGGTCCCAATTCGAGCAACAAGTAGAACGTCTACCTGCCTCGACACGATGCATCTGGTCCAGAACGGGGTGCTATACCTGGTCAGAGACTCACGTGCAAGCCTGCCAGTATGCAGAGTTTTTCCTGAGCAAAGGAGTCCGGTCCAGTGAGCCAGTTGCCATATATCTCCAAAATTCGCCAGAATTCATGTTCACCTTACTTGCCACATGGGGTCTCGGCACAGCCCCGGCAATGATCAATTACAATCTTACTGGTGATGCGCTGCTACATTGCCTCAAGATCAGCAACAGCAAAGTCCTTGTTGTAGATGAGGATGCTGGGTGCCGCCAGCGAGTCGAGCAGTGCCGTGAGAGAATCGAGCAAGAACTTGGTATCCAGATTATCGTCCTCGAATCGTCGACAAAGGCATCGATCGCTGCAATCAGCCCAAAAAGACCAGAGTCGCATTACAGAGACCACGTGAATGGAGAAACACCTGTCTTGGGAATCTACACCTCGGGTACGACTGGTCTTCCAAAGGCAAGTCATTTTCACCTCGAAAGAATCTGGTTCTTGGGTGACTATCGTCGACGTCTAACGCATCAAACCTCGGGCCCAAACGGAGACGTGTTTTACAACTGTATGCCCTTGTATCACGGCACTGGCGGCGTGCTGGCTGCTGGTTGCATGGCGTCTGGTATGACACTGGCCATTGGGCGCAAATTTTCAACTTCTGGGTTCTGGGACGAGATTAGGGATTCCGGAGCCACTGCTTTCGTCTACGTGGGAGAAACCGCACGGTATTTGCTCTCCGCACCACCCTCGCCCCGAGATAAAGATCACAAAGTCCGTCTAATGCATGGCAATGGTATGAGACCAGACGTCTGGAGGAAATTCCAAGACAGATTCGGCGTGACAGACGTCATGGAGTTCTTTAACAGCACTGAGGGTGTCTTTACTCTGAACAACTATAGCCGGAACGACCATTTCGCAGACGCAGTCGGACATCATGGAGCAATCTTCCGTACGGTGTTCAAGAACACATATGTTCCAGTGAAGTTGGACTACGAGACAGGTGAGATCTGGCGTCACCCGAAGACCGGATTCGCACAGCGCCAGCCGTACGAGGAAGGCGGAGAGATGTTGGTCAAGGTCGAAGATGAGAATGTTTTCAAAGGGTACTGGAATGCACCCGAAGCCACAGCAAAGAAATATGCCAGGAATGTCTTCGCGAAAGGGGATTTGTATTACAGATCTGGCGATGCACTACGAAGATCCTCAGATGGAAATTGGTTCTTCATGGATCGTCTCGGAGACACCTTCCGTTGGAAGGGCGAGAACTGTAGCACGGCTGAGGTTGCAGAGTGCCTAGGCAGATTTCCGTCCATCAAGGAAGCCAATGTCTATGGTGTTGAAGTTCCAGGCAAGTCTCTTTCGAATCGGTGACAATTATGTGCTAACGATCGCGGCAGGCCATGATGGTAGAGCATGTTGCGCCGCCATATACATCGAGCCAACAGATCGTGCTTCGTTCGACTTCAAGGCTTTCCTAGCTCACTCGCAACGATCGCTTCCCAAGTATGCTGTCCCACTATTCTTGCGATTCATACAAGACGACCAAGCACACACCATGCACAACAACAAGCAGAACAAGACGCAACTCCGCCGTGAGGGCGTAGATCCCGAGAAGGTCTCTCATGGAACCGCAGGCTCCAAGGACACGCTTTACTGGCTACCACCAAGAGGCAACACTTATGAGCCATTTGGCGAGGCAGAGTGGCGCAGTATAGTAGCAGGCAAGGCAAAGTTGTGAGTTTGCGTGGAATGAGAGGAAAACGTATGAAGCAGTTGATTCTGGTGCTCAGAACTTCACTTCTGTCACGCCTGGATGTATGTTTCTGAATCATATAATATACAATGTATGTATACCAGGAGTGTGCTAGACGAGGATGGGGCAACAGCTGCGTCCAAAGAGATGCAAGGTACCAGTAATGTCGAGGGTAGCTAATTATGGCTCAGCCTCCCCATGTGCAAAGGGTTGTAGGTAATGTGTGTAACTGTATAAATGCACAGCACTTTTGACAAACGCGAAAGTATTTATCGAGGCATGGTATCATCTGAGCTCTCTTTGGTCGTATGCTCGGCCCAGAAACTACTCTGCATTTCCACGGTGAGCATCGCACTCTATACCCTGGTGGGAGGGAGGAGAGTAGGCAGGAGTTACCACCAACTTCAATACGGTCGTTGCTAAGTTTCTATTGTTGCTTTGTGCGTATGTTTCAAAGAAATAGGCACCCACACCTGCCACACGAACCTGCATGGGCGAATTTGGATTATAGACCAAAGGAAAAAACAGCCTTCCAAGCTGTCGCGAGAGTGATGGACAATCAACAAAAAGTGCAACGCCCGACCAGAGGCTCGAACTCTGAACCTTGAGATGAACATTTTTTGAATGTAAAAGTCTCACGCGCTGACCAATTGTGCCAGCCGGGCAGAAGATGAAGACTTGCTCGCCAATATATAATATATAACCTATACATCTTGAGCTATCACGATCTGCCATCCGTTGCACCCTCGTCTACATCGTGTTTACGACGATAGCCAATCTACACACGCGAGATCGGGAGTATATCGGTGAGCTCAGGTAGACTCAGGCTATCATCCATAGCATCGCTAGGCTGTTTTTGCGTACAAACTTGACTGAATGATCTGTGAAACATGTTAGCTCGGCCACCCTGGTCACGAAACGGTATAGAGCACCAAAATTTGATTTTATCACTAGACCCAGGTCGCAGATTGTACTTGAAAGACCACTTGCTGCATAAACTGCTGCTATCAAGAGTTGACGTGTACATATGAACTCGACGAAACAAAAGTGCTGTCCGCGTTATAACATGGTAAGGAGTGACGAGGTTGGCCAGACGCATCGATAATCTTTGATCGCGACAAGAGATCGAAAACTCAAGCCGTGAGTGTGGCGCCCAGAAGAAGCTTGTTTGTGTCAAGCGCTACTTCCAAGTTCCAAAATATCGGTATCATTACCACCCCAGCTGTAATTCCGGTCCTCCTTCAATCTCGCACGCAGGCTTCGGATGGCTGCGGAACACACGAATACCATGGTGACGGCACTGAAGGGGTTCATTGTCTTCCACAAATCAGTCCCATCTCGTGATATACCGAAGCTTGTGACACGAATGGTAAAGAAAGCTACTCATGGAAACACGTAGTTGTTACCGTGTAATAGACAAGCTCAGGAATGAGCCGATGACTCCCAGCCCTGTGTACAGCAGGCATTGTAGATCCCCATGGCTACATGCTTGCCTACGTTGCATATCTTGCACATGAAGACAGTCTTTGTTGGAAAGAGCGTATCGATCACCGCACCTGTTGCTTGCGGCTGGCGCGTTGCCGTCTGCGTATTTATACGGCGATCCAGGCGGCCACGTGTGCAACCCAACCTTGCGACAGAAGTCGTCATGGTGGCTGTCGGGCTGAGGGAGCAACGGATCGAATAAATAATTCGTAGTCCACTTCTGCCTGCTGCAGCTGTCACAACTCGTATTGTATAAGCAAAGAAATACAAAGTCGTGCATCTCACGGTATCAGACGCCACTCACCAAGATGGACACGCAAGGCCACGAGAAATACATGAAGCCAACTTCAGCATCGCCGGAGTACTACGAACAGGCACCACCACTGCCCCCTCGTACCGCTAGCTCCTCGAACACCCTCCTTGAACAACCATCATATCCAGCTCCTCCTCGGCGAACGAACAGTGTCAGGTCCTCGAATGAAGACATCTCTTCAGCAGTGCATTACACTCGAGATCCACACAAACTGGTGGCTTATCTTATTCCATTTCCGAAGCCAAGTCTCCACGGCATTCCACCTGATGCTATCCCGACCAGATACCTGATCTACACACCTCCGCCTCCTCCTTTGAAAGCACCTCAAGAAGGAGAAAAGGAAGCGAAGATCCACAAGTTGCAACGCAAATGGCAAGAAGAAGTGCGCGCAGCGAAAACATCAACCGCCAAAACCGCGAGCTGGCAGGGTGTGAAAGGCAAAGCCACGAAAGCAATCGACACGGCCATGGGCTGGACGAAGAGCTCCAACCTCGAGTTCATCAACAGGATCGATGTTGACAGCGACAAGGGATCAAAGTCGGATGGAAATGCTGAAGGCGGAGAAACTCACCGTACCGTCGGTCTCGAGGAGATGATCCTGGTCTACAACGCTAGCCTCAAAACCAGTCCAGATCAGCTCAAAGTCGAGTTCGTCGAATCCATGATGCGCAGTAAGAGCAAGGCTCAGCGAGATTCGATCGTCGCCACCGGACTGCTGCCTGTATCTGCCGCGATAGACATCATGCTGACATTGATCTGGCCGTTCGGGGGACTTTTGGAAATCGATGCGGTCTGGGCAACTGCTTCGATCAGAGGCGCAAAAATCTCTCGAAACGTCACCAAACGACTCCACTCCACTTCTACCGGCGGCAAGCATGACGAAGACACTTTGAGACTTTCGTTCCAACCTTCGTCTCGTCTCGAAGTACTGGATAGCTATCTGAAAGCGAGATGCCACGAGAAGGATGCTAAACTTTTCCCATCCTTCGGTATTGCACCGAGCGAGACAGAGTGCCTCCAGGCAATTGGCTGGGCTCCGAGTCAGACTGGTGGCGAGACGAGGAACTGGGAGGATGATCACTGGGAGACTGCAGAGGTCAAGGACGATCTAAAGACCGTCGTAGCCAAGGCAGCAAATGAGTGGAGCAAATGGTGCAAAGCTTACGAGAAGAATCCTGAGAAGGCAGTGAAGAAGTGAAGAGGGACACGTGCTAGCTTCCATGTATTAGTTGCGTAGTTAGTGGGTATCAGACTGACTAGAGATCTTGGCTCGTAGTTTACGCAAGGAGACAAGGTGATAGATACTTCAGTCTTTTATCAGCTCGGACAGCCACTGTAACGCGGCACACACAATGATTCGTGTCGAGTCCAGGTGATTTGTGCCCCAAAAGTCTGCCGGGCGAAAATGGTGGGTTTCAAGTGTTTGGGAATTCAAAGCGAGTGTCCCTATGTCGTTCTCACAGAACCTCCATGAGTGCAAAGGCTGGTCGCGCGTATACTTAGCTATAGCAATGCACAATGTTCTCAACAGCTGGATCGTATCCATCGAGATGCCGATTTGTCCAGGCTCTCTTCGATGGAGCTCGAACTTGAAATTTGTGTCTTTCTACAGCGAGGTCGCCGCTTTAGTCTTTGGAGGATGAGCGTGGGTGTTTCATACTTGAGCACATGGGTAGGAGATGTCATCCAAGTTCCGAGTGCAGGGTTGAGCATTGTTGCGTGTCTAACAGTGGTTCCAGATCAACGATTCCAAGTCTAATAGAACGAATCTATAATACGCTTCTTCCAAGGTAGAGCTCCAGCAGATTTCGAAGGCCGCTAGATCTGGATCTAAATTTCTGTACGTTTGGACGAAAAGTACCGAGAACGGCTATTGTTTCTGAGCCTCAATCACCTAACCTGCAGTTCCTTTCCCATGGCTATTTCGGCGTACGTGAATTTACGCGACTCTCGATGCTTGACTGTGCGATGGAGTATTGGCGATGGAGGCATTACTATTAGAACGTTGGTGACCAAGAAGAGTGTCCAAGAACGAAGGAAAGCCTTCTTGTAAGATGCCAGAAGAGTCGATAGAGATTCGAGTGCAGACATGACATGTGGTATGCCATCATAGTTCACAAATCCCTGGGCCATGGGTGCATTGTTTCCGGTATTTCCTTGCATCGTTGTGGCCAGAAGAATCGACATGATCCACGAGATGATATCCTGCTAGCGTCTGTATCTCTTCTGACCAGACCCGATGTCATTAACCTTGTTAATCCCCTCGTCGGCAGGTTGAATCTGCGTTATTCTGTGGTTGTTGGGAAGTCCAGGACCTCTTTGGTATCCTGCTTTGTTGTACGGGAAGGACTTGAGTGAATCATGGTTGCAAGTTGATGCCCGACTAGAGATCGAAAGGCTTGCTCGACACAGAAGTAGGATGAAGCGGATTCATAACTGTTTGCAAAAGTAGCTCACTGTTGGGGGCGGGGACGATTCTTTGTAGTCATAGAAATGCGCATCGCGTGATTTAGACAGCCACTTGCGGGATGACCTTGTTGGCCACGAGGTGTCAGCTTCCCGAACCTTTCTGGAATGCTTGTTTTATGTTCAAGATCTGTTACCGAGTTACCCACTTACCACCTACCCTAATCGCTAGATAAGAGAGGTTTGACCTGCATATTCAGACGAGCAAAAGCCATGCACTGATAACGCCATCGCAGATAAGCACCAAGACAGCAGGTGCAAGTAGAAGGTTGCGACATCGATGCCTGATAGCAGTGTCTATCTATCTATCCTAGGGGTCATTCTTATCATGTTGTGCTCCGACGCATATATATCAGTAGGCACCGCACGTCTACAACCGCCAACCTTTCCAGAACTCGGTCCTCCCAGAACACGCCACCTTTCTGTCCGAATCAGAAACTGCCCCTAGGATTCAACCAGTAGCCATCGCTAGAGGCAATTCTCAAACGAAACCCCAAGAACCTTGCTCGTTGACATCGAACCACACATCCGCCATTGACTTGGGATCTGGACTGCCTATGCCAAATATCACTGGCTGGCCGCATCCGCGGCCGCATGCAAGCGAACAGCTGCAGCGCGGCCGTCTTGCATGAGCGGAAGCCCACTTTCACATGCCTCGTGTTGCACATTAATCGGATCAGCCACTTCTGTTCAGCCCTTGCCCCAGTCTTTAGAAAGCCAATGTCCACTGACCACACTTGCAAATGGCTACACAAACTCAAGATTGCTATATTGTCGTAGGCGAAAGGGGACGATCAACCCAACTGGTAAGCATCGGCCGGAGCAACCATGTCGCCCGGGTGAAGAGAGGCCACTGCGCAGTTGCGTACAACAACGAATGCGAACGCCTGGCTCCACGCGGCGTCCTGCAGCAAGCACAGGCTAATATCGCCGCGACTGTTTTTCCGATCCACTGTTCCAGGCTTCTCGCCGAGGTAAACGAACGTACGTGCGTGGAACTGCCATGGTTTCATTCGTACGTGACTGACCACAAGGCACGCGAGCAAATCAACAACAAGACAATGACCCTTCCAGCGTCAGTGACCCATTTTGCGACCTACCACCTTATTTTCACCGCATCTCGCCGGCTCAAGGTTTCGAGCTGTCCCTGGACCTGGACTCTGGAGGATGCGAGACCCACTCACCTTATCACGGAGGCTGAAGTAAACGCCATGACAAGCCACGGTTCTTCTTTCTTTCTTCCTTCTTCATTTTTCCTTTTGTTCTCGAGCTTGGGCACTACCAAGAGAGCACCCAGACGTGCCCCCATCCTGCTCCAGTAAGTCGTCGAGTAACACAGAAGACATGACAATGTTGTTTCTGGGGTTCGAAGACATCTCGGGTTCACCGAGCGGATACCGCCCAAGCAGATTACCTATTTCTGGAGAAATTGTAGGTTGAGTTGTCGCGTTTCCTAGCGCCCTCATCCACATGGTTCGGGCGCGGCCATCTCAGAATCACGGGGAAAGAGATCCACATGGTCGTGTGCAAACAAACCTCAGTCAATATAGAGGAATTGTCGTTCCTGAACCGACTGGCGCACTACTCTGGACATGGCGCGTTTCAATGTCAAAGGCCGGACCTTCCGGATTGAAGCGCGTTGACACACTTGAGGGTAAGGAGATGGCAGAGATGGCGAGCGAGTTTCCTAAAACTCGGAACACTCGCGGAAAATTCACATGCGAGAAGTCAAAACGGAAGCGACACACGTAGAGCAAACGGTGGTGGAGCTTGTCTCGTGCATATGCATTTTTTGCTTGTTCGCTTCGCAGGACCATGAAGCATGGTGATCGGCTAGCCATTCACAAGGCATGGCATCGGTAGTTGCGCATGCAAAGGTACTTGGTAAATAGTCGAGTGCTATTGGTGCTAGACAAACTCTTGAGAGTCATGAAGACTAAACATTAAGTATTCAGGCGGAGATTCGGTCAATTCCAGCTTGTACGGCTGCATCCGTCACGAGTCGGAGGATACCAAATCGCTCGTGCCCTGACACTGACAGGATGGAGCAAGGTTCTCAATCCCCAAAGAAATGAACCGAAGATCAGGGTCCATCTCGGGATATCACGGATGGCTCAGCGATGGGTCGATGTGGGGAGTTTAAAGTATCACGCACGGGTCGCAAGGACGTGTCGAGTCAAGAGATGAGCGGGGCGATGGGGGAAAACAGAAGAGAAAGGATAGACAAGAGGATGGCATCAAGGTAAGCCGGTAGAGTGGTGAGTACTGGTTGTACAGGGGCAGTGGGCACAGATGAAAGGGTAGATTGATGGATTGCATGTCGGATATATTGAGAGGCAGGCGATGGACGGGCCTTCCGAGTAGAGTAGAGGGTGAGTTCTCAACCGAGCGGAGCTACAACGGCAAAAAGGGTTGCAGACTCGCAGCGGATAGGGAGTGGGAGGACAAGGTTGAGCCGCAGAGGTGGGTCGGAGCTTGGAGCCTGTCAACGCTGTTACCGTCGTCATTGGGCGTGTTTTGCGACGAGGACATGCAGCGACCCGAGGCGTGGGGGGCTTCATGTCGGCGCTGGATCTGAGCAGGAAAAAGCGTGTCAGCTCAGCAGCAATGCAGGCAGAAGAAAGACAGACTTTGGGGATAGCGGGTGGTCAAAAGGGCAAGTGCATAGCAGGTGTCAAAAGGTGGCAAGGATGCGCGAGACGAGGACGCTCAGATGGAATATAATGATGATAATAAGGGAGAAGTTACAGGATGCGACGGCAGGGACAAGGGCAAGGCGAGAAGGGCTGAGCATGTGGCAGATCCCTGCCCGTCGGTCGGCGCGCGTGGGCGAAGCTAACGGATTGAATCAGCCACATTCAGAGTGCAGGGAGACTAAGTTGACGAAGCGCAAAACAGGCGACCAAGTCGGAGGAGCAAGCGGGTTCGCCCCTAGCAGTAGTGGTGGTGGTAGCAGGAGAAGGCTACTCATGTGCCGGCCCAGTGCTGACCGAGCTCGAATTCGACGTCGAGCCAACCATCATTAGACATACCCACATCCCACCACCCTCGCCCTTTCCCAGCGCGTCATTCGCAACCACAGCTGCTTTACCCTTGGACTTTTGGTCGTTGGCGGTCGATAATTCTTCGAGACAGCGTGTATACACAGCGAACAAGTTGCTCGGACTTGGCCCTACCTGCCTCTCTCTCTCGGTGCGAGAGCCTATGTATTAAACGACAGCCGCGCATCCAACCAAGAGCGTGGGGGCCACCCAAACATGACATCGCCGCGTGCCTTTGCTTCCAACACGGTCGAAACCATGGCACCTTCTTCTTCGACGACCTCTTCGGCCGTCCATTCCCTCACCAGCGCCAGCACGCTGGATTCACCAACAGAGTCGTCGGCGCGGAGGGCGCTGCGGGACAGTGTCTTTGAGAGTGCGACATGGCGGGAACCTGACGCCGAGACGCCTGAGGAACTGCAGCGAAAAGATCCCCTCGGCACGCAGATCTGGAAGCTGTATTCCAAGACCAGGAACACGCTGCCCAACTCGGAGCGCATGGAGAACCTGACCTGGCGAATGATGTCGATGAACCTGAGGCGCGCCCAGCACCAGAGGTATGCCCTCCCCGCCCCGCCCAACAATAAACGAAATGACTCTGACAAGCTCCCACAGCCGCCTAGCCCACGCATACCAGCAGCGTGCCAATGCTCCCAGCGGCATTGCACAGTTAAGACAGTCAGCCGAGGCCCAGTCGCAGTCACAGTCGCACTCGCACTTCCCCATCCCCACCAACGATCACATGAATCTGGACGACTTTATTGTCCCCTCGTCCATTGCCTCCCCCATCAGCCAGCCCTCGCCGCCCGCCTCGTTCGACCCCTCGACGACCACCGTCGACCCCAAGGCCACCCCGACCGGCATTCCTATTCGCCGTCATCAGCAGCTGCAGGACGAGGCCCAGGACGACTTTGTCGTGCGTGCCTCGGCCCCGTCGGTAGCTCCCACAGCCATCAACAAGACGACGGATGAGTTCGGCTACATCCAACGCCATGTGCGCAAGACTAGCATTGACGAACGCAGGGTAACCTACGCCTCCCACTGCTTCCGATACCTATCTCGTTACTGACTTGACTCGAACAGCCACCCAAGCGACGTGCCGATTGCTCACCCCAAGTTCCCCCCGTCACCACTGGCATGCACAACGATGCTCTCCTCAACAACTATTCGCTCGACTCGACCGCCTTCAACCCAGACATGACCCAATCTCAAGTGCCTTTTGGCCTTGACACTTTCGCTTTCGACACGGGTGCCAGCTCGATCCACAACGATCCCTTGCTAACATCGGCCGGCCCTTTCCAGGCCAACTTCAACTTCTCGCCTGTTGGCTCGCCCATGATGAACAACGGCCCCTATGCCAACATGTTCAACCAGTCCGTCATGTCCAACAACTACTGCTCGCCGCCCCAGTCGTCCTACCAGTCTCGTGTCTCGACTCCTCAGCCCATCCCCGAGCACGAGCCTGTCTTCTTCAACACTTCGAGCAGTGTTGATCTCAGGCACCATGCTCACATGAGCAGCTATACCAGCCAGCAGCCCACCCCTGTCGCCAGCATGCAGCCCCAGTACATCTTCAGTCCCAACAACGACAACATGTTCAGTCAGATCTCGGCTCCCGATTCATCCACTTCCTTTACCCAGCCCTCGTCCTTCTCTATGTCGGGCCATGTTGACCCGACCGAGGTCTTGTCGACAGCCATGTCTTTGCCGCGAGGCGACAACATGTTCACCTTCGGTGCTGATTCGGATAATGAAGACGATGAAACCAATATTGCCGACCGCAACAACTTCATGATGCAGACCGACTTCTCGCCTATGGAAGACCCTTCGATGGGCGAGTACAAATGGGAGAGCGGTCTTGCTTCGGGCCAGTATAACTCGCTACCAGCTCGCTACGCTGGACCTCCGGCTCGCAAGGGCGTCACGATTGGCCATACCGAGATGATTCCCTCGCCGCAAGATTGGAGTGTGGGTAGTTTGGGACGTACGCATGGCTCGGCCGCCTCTGTCAGCGAGATTCGCAACCGCGGCAACGACCCCCGTCTCAAGAAGATTCCTCGCACCAGCTCGACTCCAAACGCGGCTGCAATGGCCGCCCAGCATGGCATTTTCTCTGCCCGACCGCAATCTTCACCCTCGTCGCCGCCCGAGTCATCGACAGGCTTCAGCTCCGTTGCACCTTCTCGCCTGGGAAGCCCAAAACCTGGTGACAACAACGGCTTGCCTACAACATGCACAAACTGCTTCACTCAGACCACTCCCTTGTGGCGCCGCAACCCTGAAGGACATCCGCTGTGTAACGCATGTGGCTTGTTCCTTAAGCTCCACGGTGTCGTACGTCCGCTGAGTCTCAAGACAGATGTCATCAAGAAGCGTAACCGCGGCGGAGCGGGCTCTGCAACCATTGGGCCCTCCTCAAGTCGTTCGAAGAAGGTCGCTAGCAGGAAGAACTCGGTCGCTCAAACTCCCGCGACTACTCCCAAACCCATACACGATGCCGATTCTCCCAACACTGCTGGTGGTTCCTCTTCTACAGCCAACACTCCTATTACTCTGACCAATCCTGTTATTGCGCCCAAGACTACTGTAGTGCCTATTGCTCCTGGTCCACCAAAGCCGCAGTTGCCAGCCACAGGACCTGCTCCTACACGCATGGTTGCACCGAAACGCCAGCGCAAACAGAGCAAGGTTGGTAGCTCTCCCCAAGAAATCGAGATGGGCGAGGCGGACGATATCCACACTGCCAACAAACCGAAGGAACTCGCCCAGGCACCTCCGCCTGCCTTCATGTCTACTCAACAGCCAAACATGACCATGAACAATGGTCCTTCTGGATCTTTGGCCAGCACTCCTTCTGGCATGCCCGCCGGTCCCCAAGAATGGGAATGGCTCACCATGAGTCTGTAAGGTGATGAATGCTGGTAACATTGCCAGCCAGCAATTTTCCTGAGAAGTCAACTTTTTTCACTACAAGCAAGACCTGGGCCTGCAAGGGTCAGCGCCCTTGATCAGGCTGCGTCCGGCTGGCATTCTTTTCTGCTTTTGAATTCGATCATATACCCGCCCATATATCGGGCACTGGGCATCCGACCAGGATTGTACCGACGGTCTCTGATGTTTTTGGGATGATCAGGCCGCCATGCACGCGGCCTGCTATGTTGCTTCTTTCTTGGTTTTCAGTTAGGCGTTACGTTTGGGAAGAGGTGGCGCACTGTCTCTGTTTTATTTCTGCGAATGATTCCCTTGTTAGATTGGTGGGCAGGTTTCGGATTGCTATCTCGCGGGATTATCAGATCCTTATGGGTTCTATCTACCCTTAATGAGCCAAGGAAGGGCGTGTTTGCAAGACGATTTGGAGATACTGCCCCGGGCAATGATGGTACCAACACGACTCTGATCTCTTTCACTTCGTCGCCCGGTCGTGTACATGGCCGAACTTCTAGACATGACTTGTTCTGTTTTGTGCGTCACTCAATAGTCAGATAATTTATCTCGTCTATACTTTTACTCCTTGCCGTGCCAGTTTATATGCAATGCTTTGTGTTCAAACTGTATGTCCCTACAGCCTAACTATTGACTGCTGAGACATCATAAGAAGCATATTCCGGTTTGAGTATGGGATCAGAACGGCTTACCAAGAGGTACCTTGAGGGATCCAGATGTAAAGGGCAGTTTCACCGGATTGGAGAGCAGGTTTCATACCATGCTGAATTCTTCCTGGGGTCTCGCTGACTTCGTGCATCAACACATCATAATTCGCTGAAGCTCAAAGACATGCACTCCCGAAGTTCCATACATTGAAGCATCAAGTCTTGCCATGATTACTGCATCATCTTACTCTCCTCTCTAAGGCCTCTACCCGACTTCTGAAAGCCGCTACGATGTCGCGGATGCGTCTTATCTTGTCGAACTCTGCCTCGAGCTCATCGATTTGTCTGAGTAGACTGTGAACCCGAGCGATCTCTGCATTTGCGGCCTGAATAGAGGAGACTGCTCTCGAGCTCTGTCTCTGTACCGACGCTTGCGTTTGACGAGTCAACTCCAAAACACAGTTTTGTCAGTAGATGCTCTCTAAGCATGCCTAATCGCAACGACCAAGAACTGAGCAGCAACAAACAGGATGGAAGACGCAAACACCCCAGCATACATCGAGAGAACACACACGAGAGCAGAACATGTACACAAAAGATGAGAAAGTTTACTCGACGGGTACTTACCAGATCAGCCCTCTGTTGTATACCAGCCATGACATGGTCAAAATAGTTGGCCAGCAGCATCAAGTTACTCGCATCTACCAACACCCTTCCGTTTGCAGCTGCAGTACGCGCAATGCTATTGTTTGCTCTAGACAGTGCGACTTGCTGGTGTCGCTGGAAGGTTGCAATCTCTTCGCCGTTCGTCAAACCCAACTGCGACGGGGCAACCGTGGATGATGCTGTAGGCGCCGCTGCTCGAGACGACGAGGACGAGGGTTTCTTGGACACCATAGACGGAGGCTCATTTTTTGACTTGCATGCGACTGACTATGCTTGGGGATCGGAAGGTTTCGGATACGACTAGATTGCTGATTCAGGTGGTTTGCTCGATGTGTCGATGTCGATGGCTGGGCAACAAGAAAGATGATGATGGCGATGCACGCCCTACAAACTACTGTGGAGCGTGGCATTGCGGCCTCGGTCGTGGGGGTACATACTGCCCTAATCACCACGAACTTCGAAATCAAGAACCAAAGTCCTCCGTGTTGATGCGAATGATCGTCGGTATGACATGTTTGGTGAGTATGTTACACTTGTGAAATTGGGCAACAACATTAGTTGCAATCCTTCCGGCACTGGCAACATGTCCAGAGGTTGAGCAGAGTACTGCAAGCCTCTGTCAGTTGGTTGAGCGATATCCACCCACCGAACCCAACCCACCAGCCACTCCACCACCGTCTCCTTTGTGGGTCAATGTGGATCTAGACATGATTTAAAGAAAACCAGCTATCGATTTATTGCGTGTGTAGCTTTGTAGCCCGAGTGAATTTCATTCTACTTTAGCAACGACAATAATGCTCCTCTTTCCTGCATCTCTATACGAAGGGTGAAATGTAACCTCAGCGCCCGAAACGCCAACCTTGTCTCCTGTTTCTGAAATCCTCCTACCGTTCCAAACGGGGAGTCCCACCAATCCATCATTTAATAATCGTTCAAGTTGTGCAAAGACACATCCTGGCTACCGCGGTGCATCAGACCACCTTTCGGTCTCTTCTCCTCGTCCTCGCCTTCGGCAGTGATCTTGCTGGCAGCTTTGACTTGTTCTTGGTTGCCCTCGTTGGCAGGGACCACGTTGCCCTGGCGGTCGACTTTGACGCCGCCCGCTGCCATGCGCACTTCCTCCTCGCCGGCGGTGCCTTGTCTGACAGCCTCGCGTGCGCTCTCCATAACCTTGAGCTTCTTGGCATCTCCGCGCATGCGTTCAAGATGCTCGAAGTAGTCGTTGTTGACCGGTGTGACATAGGTACCGCAGAAGACGCCAACCTCGAATTTTTGATTCGGGCGTGGACTGGCCTCTGCGCAAGACTCCTCAAGATCTTTGAGCGATTGGTAAACGACGGCATCGGCACCAATCTTTTTGGCAATATCCTGGGAAGTGCTGTGGTGGGCAATGAGCTCCGAAGACGAGGCAAGATCGATACCGTAGATGTGAGCATATGTGATCGGGGGAGCACAACTGGCAAAGAAGACCTGTTTGGCACCGGCCTCCTTGGCCATGAGAACGATCTCGCGACTGGTAGTACCTCTGACGATGCTGTCATCGACGAGAAGCACATTCTTGTCTTGGAACTCAATGGGGATGGCATTGAGCTTGGCACGGACACCCTTTTGACGAGCCTTCTGGTTTGGCATAATGAAAGTGCGGAAAATGTAGCGGTTCTTAACGAAGCCCTGGCAGTAGGGGATCTTGAGGTGTTTGGAAACAGCGTAGGCAGAGATCAGACTGGTCTCGGGAATGGGAATGACGGCATCGATGCTTGCGAGTTGCTCAGGCGAGAGCTGTTGCTTGATGGTCTCGGCGAGGCGGTAGCCCATGAGTTGACGGCTGCGATGGACCGAGATGCCATCAATGACGGACTCGGGGCGGGCGAAGTAGACGTATTCGAAAATGTCGGGAGCGTAATTCAACTCCTTTGCGACTTGAGAGAAGACGGGCTCCTTGCCCTTCTCGATGATGACGGCCTGGCCGGGCTTGATGTCAACAATGTTTTTGTAGCCACATTGCGACAAGGCGACAGATTCGGAGGCCATCATGTAGTCAGTGCCAACGCCGTCGTCCGAAGGCTTGGAGCCGAGAACCATAGGACGAATGCCATAGGCGTCACGGAAACCGATGAGACCGAAACCGGCAAGCATGGCTGTACAGGCCCAGCCACCGGAACAGCGCTTGTACATGCGCTCGAGTGCGGCAAAACAATCGCTGGCGTTGACTCTGGCCTTCTTGGTCTCGTTCAACTCGTTGGCGAAGATGTTCAGCATCAGCTCGCTGTCACTGTCGGTGTTGATGTGTCTGTGAGCGACCTGATCAAGGTACTCTCTCAATTCGGGGGCGTTGATCAGATTGCCGTTGTGGGTGAGGGCAATGCCGTAGGGACTGTTGACGTAGAAAGGCTGGGCTTCCGAGTTTGCGCTGCTACCAGCAGTGGGGTATCTCAAGTGACCAATGCCCATGAAGCCAGGCAGGTCGGCGACGCGCGAGCCGTCGTGGAAGACCTTTGCGGCGAGACCGTTTCCCTTGCACTGGTAGATGCGACCGTTGCGGGTACAGGCGGCAATACCACAGGCATCTTGGCCGCGATGTTGCAGGTAATAAAGAGCCTGGTGGATCTCAGCGGCAGCGTCGAGCGACGAGGGGTTGCCGTGGATAACGCCGAGGATGCCACACATGTTGGTCGGCTATATGATAGAGGGGTGGTGAGGTATAGGGAACGAGGGGTGCTGCAAGAGACTCGAGGTTAGCTAGACTGAAGCAAGTAGACAAGAGTCGTGCTAGGTCGTGTGCTCAAGGTGTTGCTCAGTTCTAGAAAATGTGTTCATGAAAGATCACTAGTCTAACATCTATTTTTTACTTCTGATCTCATCCGTGCAAGGTGATTGGCGATAAGGGAAAAAGTCTGCAACTTACGAGTCAAGGCGGGCTTGCGGGACAGTCGATGAACAAGCGTAAGAGTGGCGACGAAGTCAGTGTTGACTGGACATGGGCCTGACCAGAGGTACAGGAAAAAGAAGAGGGCGGATGCCTTGAAGGGGCACTTGGAGACGACATTTGTGTAGGAAAGAAGAAGCTTCCAAAGCGAAAAAAATGGTTCACCCAGCGAGCGTTGCCGGAGCCCCCGCCAATCCTCTCGGACCCTCCCGTCTCTCTTGGCTCTTTCCGACACCGGGTCCACGGTCCGCGCACGTGGGGTCTGCTCTTCACTTTGTCCTAGACTCCTAGCACTTCGTCTCTCAGACACATCCCTTTCATTGATTCCGTGACACGTCTCCATGTATACGAGAATGCTGATCCGGTTCAGTCTGCAGATGGTAGGTGTCTGGCTTTCGTACAAAGCGCTTGTGAAAGCACTTGACCTCTAGGGCTCTAATGAGACAAAAGCCGAGAGAAGAGTATCATGTCGATAGTCGGTTTATATGGTGTCAATGAAAGATGCTTCTTCCTTCACTTGATTCTATCAAAGTCTCCGTACCTCTCCTTCTCTAGAGTATCCCTCCTTTCGGTCTTCTCTTTTGGATCCCGTATCTCCACCATAGTCCCTCCGCTCCATCTCTTTCCACAACACTCATCCTTTCAAGCTTTCCACACCTTGTCTTCTTTCTCCCTCAGAGCCTGCCTCTTGCAGACTTCCCCTTCTTCCTTTTCACCTCTGCGCGTACGCACCCTTTTACCTGTTTCGAAGCATCAGCAATCCTTTGAAAGCGTGCCTGTCCGCAAGCCTCTTTCTTCGACAACTGCTAGCTGGACGACCTTTCGGTCTCTGTCATCTGCAAACTTCACTTTACCATCTCTTGTTCTGCCTCTTCTTTTTAAGTCAATCCAACGCGCTCCATAAAGTTCCGCCTCTCTCCTCAACCACACTCTGCCATCAACTCCCGTCCACCTTCAACGACCGCTTCCAATCGTCAAGCACTCCTGGTCCTATCTTCACAGCTGTCAGCTATGCGCAGACCGTCTGCCGCCCCTAGCCGTCCCGGCACTTCGGACCGTGAGTGAATCTCACAGATCTTGTGCTTGCCTTCACTAACAACCATAACAGAGCCAATCATGATCGATGGTGATGATGATATCGACTACCTAGGCACGACCGTCTATGATGCAATCACCGTTGACGACGTCGAAGTTGATGTTGAGGACGACGTACATTTCATCTCTGAGCGAGGACCCGTTGTCGACAATGAGGTCCGCTGGGGTGCGCCCAAACCCCCACGTCCTCGCAGAACTACCAAGAGACAGGTGAGACCTTTCGTTGCCTACGAGCCTAGAATCAAGCCCGTCATCAACGCGTCCTTCCTTGAAGGACATTGGATCACAGACACTTTCTGTCTCGTTCCTGGTCTCGTTGTCGAGCTCAGAGAAGATCCTAGCGCACCTTTCAAATGCGGAGACTTTCTCAAGATCACAAAGATCTATGAAGATCTGGACACTCACGCAATCTATCTTAGAGGTCTTCTATACCGTCGTTCAAAAACTCTAGACGGTATGCTCCCAAAGAAGCTCAATGAAGTCTACCAGGTGCTGCAACAGAACATGGAAGATTCTCGTAGCATTCACATGCAATCTCTTCACGATGTTTCTGCGAGTCTAGTCGTCCGCACCCGTTGTTTAAAACACACCAACACTCCGTTCCCAGAGAACAGCTTTCGCAAGCTTGAGGATATGCATGGACAGTCAAAGGATTTTGTTCTAGACCATGCACAGCTCACATGCCGTTGGAAGAGACTGTTCCAATACACCTCTCACGTGGATCTCATGACTGGTCATCAACAGATGCAGGCTATTCAAAGACTCGACTACACCGAATGTGACAAGGGACTTCGTGTACCAGATGCTGTGCTACGTGCAGCTGTCCCCCGAGTTGAATCAGACCTTACCGTTGTCGATCTGACTGCGGAAGAAGCAGCAGATCAAGGTAATCAACAGCTCTCAAAGCTATCAAGCATGCTTAACAACATGCATATCTCAAGTACCGACACGGCATATACATTTGGTGACTATTACTGCGGAGCAGGAGGTATCTCTGTCGGAGCCAGAGAGGCGGGCTTCAAGGTCGTTTACGGAGTCGACCACGACCCAGATGCTTGCGCCACGTATCGACTGAACTTCCCTGGTACGAGAGTCTATGAGGAGGATGTTCATGACAATCTTACGGCTAGATCACACGAGACCGCCCATGTACGCTGCGTGCATATGTCCACTGTGTGTAAGACCGTGTCTTGTGCCTATACCGTAAGAGGCAGGAACCACGACGCCAACGAGGCAACTCTCTTCACCATCTCGGACATCCTTCGTAAAGCTACGCCTATGGTTGCTACACTCGAGCAGACCTTTGGCGCTCTCCACAAGGGCAAGATGCAGCTCTTTAACGCCTTCGTCTGGCAATTTACTTCCATGAATTATTCGGTCAAGTGGGCTCTCCATACTCTCTCTGAGTACGGCGTACCTCAAGCACGCAAGCGCCTTATCATGATTGCTGCGTGTCCCGGACATCCCTTACCCGAATTTCCCATGCCTACGCACGCAATGACGCCCGAATGCCCTGTTCCCGGCTTGAAGCCTTCGGTGACCATTGCCGATGCACTCAGACAAATTCGTCGTGGCACCCCGAATCACAACCCCGACGATCACACCGACAGGAACTTTGCGCCGTACAGTCCCGACCAACTGGTTAGAGGTTGCATTACCACCAGTGGTGGTCAAAATAACTGGCACCCAAGTGGTAAGCGCTTTCTCACCGAGCGCGAGTACGCATGTCTCCAAACCTTCCCTCTGGATCACATATTCGTTGGTAACAGATCTTCTGTCATTCGACAGGTCGGAAATGCCGTTCCACCAGCTTTCTCGCAGAAGCTCTTCGCCAGCATCCGCAAATGTTTCGAAGAAGTGGACAGAATGGACCGCGAGCATGCTAGAGCCATTCAGCTGGATGACGACGAGGACATGGATGACGGCAGAATTGTTGTGGATCTGACTTGATCGGTCTCCATCTCGAATACCAACACGAACGTACTACTGACCAACCCATTTCTTTACTTGCCTATTTCCTTCCTCCGCGATCCAAGACCACTGACAAAAACTCGAAACACGAAAAACAGAGACCACACGGTCAAATTGCTCTTCCATAATTGCACGTTTTCCTTTGTTCACCACTGCTGCAATTCCATGCAATGATTTTTTTTCCAGCCAAGAGCCATAATTACTGTTGCTGCCGTCGGGAGTGTGAAGGGGGAACCGTGAATAGCAATGAAATCATTTCCTTCCCTTTAAAAGTGCCAAAGTCTGTAATTATCGTTTCCACCACGAAAGTATCAAGGCACACATGCGCTACAAAAAGACATAAAGCTTTCTCAGTCCTCATAGACGAAAGAATCTTCTTTATCTGTGATTGCAGGGCAACGGGCATGAATGACTCAGTGCAGTGTCATTGACTGACAATTGGCTATACATGCACTTTGCAAAAGGCCGCAGTTACGTAAGGTATGTGCTCGTAACTGACCACATGGAGGATTATATGAGGTGGAGGAACGGTCCCAATGCACAAAGCCATGAGCACCAGCTCGCAACTTACAAGATGATCCCAGGGGTATAATATGTGACAGGCCTTAGCAACGTCGATTGTTGGGACGCCGTCTGGTGGTCTTTATGAACAAAAGCCATCCTTCTGGAATGACTAGCACTTGCTCATGCGTCGCAAACATGAGCTCGAGATTGCACCAATACAATAGCAAATAGACTATACGCTATCGTGTTGGTCTCTGGCGGGAAAACACATTCTTCCGCAGAATCGAGCTGCAGATATGCCGCACATCTTGTACCGAAGCAGTGAGTGCAGGTGGGAGAATAGTAATGGCCAAGGCACCAGTAAGCGGCGACTTCAGCCTGGAAGGGACAAGAGGTTCACCCCACCTGTTGAAGCCAGAGTTCTTCAACTCATCTATGAGGGTGTCGCGAAACCTTCTGGTGACCCAAGAACGTATGGTGCGTTTCTTTGAGATGGAGAGCGGGGTCCTGATGATCCAGTGCAATCGCTTTGGATTCCATTCGTCAAGGCGGCGTGAGAAGGGAATATTCAAAGGGTGACGTTCGTCTTTGACAATGGTATCGGTAGCAGTAAACGTGGTGCAATTGACGGGCCTGGGAAAGGGCTCGAAGCGAGCGCTGAACAGGGTGTTGAGATTTCGCTGCGGTGGTATGCGCGACATTGAGTTGACGAGTGTGAAAGAAGCGATAGGAAATGTTGAACAATGAATGAGCGAATTGAAAGAGCAAGTCGACAACGACGGGAGTGATTGTTAGGCGCTGGCCAAGAGATTTGGCAGACTCTGAATCCCCCACGCCCATGCGACTTCAGATGCGTCACAGCGACCGCCCCTCCTTCTTTTCCACAACCACACAACACTCTATCCTCGACTTTTTCCCGCTCTCTCACACCCAGGCAACGAAGCCGCACTAGACACGCTCCAGATACTCCAGCGACACATTCGCCATGCCCAAGAACAAGGGAAAGGTATGCGCGCCGCAAACACTGAGAAAAAAACGCCCGCTGACTGGCCTGTGCCATATAGGGTGGTAAGAACCGCAGAAGAGGAAAGAACGAGAACGACAACGAGAAGCGCGAGCTCACCTTTAAGGAGGAGGGTCAGGGTATGTCACACGGGACGAGCGACAAGGCGCACAGGACACGAGACTGACCCAAGAGTGCAGAGTATGCCCAAGTCGTCAAGATGCTGGGCAACGGCAGACTGGAAGCACAGTGTTTCGACGGCGAGAAGAGACTAGGACACATCCGCGGCAAGCTGCGAAAGAAGGTGTGGATCAACCAGGGCGACATCATCCTCCTGTCGCTGCGCGACTACCAGGACGAAAAGGGCGACGTCATCCTCAAGTACAACGCCGACGAAGCACGAAGCTTGAAGGCATACGGCGAGCTGCCCGAGTCGGCCAAGATCAACGAGACCGACACATACGGCGGCGAGGAGGAGGGCATCGGCTTCGACTTTGGCGAGGACGAGAGCGAGAGCGGCGGCGAGGTCGACATTGACGACATCTAGGGGCTCGACCAGGGCTCTGAGAGCCAGCTGGCGGGCGGCCATAACATGGCTGGATGGAGTGGCCAGGCGACTTTCACCATTTCAAGCAGCGTTGGGCGTCTTTTTTGTTTTCACGAGCATCTTCCTTCAAACTGGGTCTCTGACGCCGCCGCCGGGCTGGCAAAAATGAAGTTTCTTTTACTACCTGATTCTACTAGCTGACGAATGCAATGCCATGACAAGACAAGACCAAACAAGCATGTGAAGATTTGATCATATCCATAACAACTGATGTACAAAACAGACACCTCAGGAATAATCGCAGACAGTCGACACGCGATTGGGCGGCAAGTCGCAGCAGGGCAAAATTGGAGTGCGGAAGCGGCGGGGCTCGGCGGTCGACGCGTGGAAAGAGAGGCTGGTGCTCTGGTCGGTCCTCCGCGACTGACGTACCGCTGCTCTACCACTTGACTGTGTCGAGTTTCACCATCTTTCCACAACCCGTGCCTGTCACTGCCGACTGACACATGCCCATCCTCCCATCCTGACCATGCCCTCCATCCTAAACGACGATGACAAGCAGAATGTCAAGCGACAGGTCCCCAAGGCGTCCAACAAGATCCACGCCGTCGCTGTCGCCAAACTGTACATTGCATATCCAAACCACAACAGATGGCAGTATACCGGTCTGCAGGGCGCTATAGTCCTCGCCAACGACCTCGTCGGCAACACCTTCTGGATCAAGATGGTCGACGTCTCGGTACGCTGTCTCCCATTCAGCATGCCATCTCTCGCGACTAACCATCTCTCAGCCCTCGAACCGCGGCGTCGTCTGGGACCAGGAAATCTACGACACCTTCCAGTACAACCAGGACCGTACCTTCTTCCACACGTTCGAGCTCGAAGACTGTCTGGCCGGCCTGTCGTTTTCAGATGAGAAGGAAGCCAAGCAGTTCAAGAAGAAGATGGACGAACGCGAGAAGAATGCACACAAGAACACAAAGAACAAGCCATTTGGCAGTGGGGGCGGCACGAACAAGGATTATGCTGCTGCCAGTGGACCTGGTGCTGGCTCGACTAGATCCCGTTTCGGACTCAGCAGTCTGCTACCCGGACACCGCCATTCGCAGGCTCCTCAGCCTCCAGCTCAATCCATTATTCCACCACGCGAAATGACTATCACTCACGCTGCACCTGCTCGGTCTACGCCATCTCACAATCTGGACCTGTCGGATCCTGCCGTACAGGAAGTGCTCAACCAGCTGCTGTCCATGGGCATTACCGAGGACCAGCTGGAGGAGCACGCTGGCTTCATCCAGACCTACCTCGAGCAACACAAGGCTAGCGCCGCTGCCGAGGAAGAACGCAAGGCTCGGGCACCGCCACCACCTCCGCCTGTAGCTGCACAAATGTCCCCCCAAACCACTGGAGGAAGTGGAAGCAATTCGAGACGTGGGCCTCCGCCTGCGCCGCCACAACCTAGGAGGGGCGCCGCACCAGCGAGGCCACCGTCTCCCTCTCCTTCACCGCCACGCGCTCCCTCGCCGCCTCGACCCATGTTCCGTGCTCCTCCTCCGATCGCCGACGCCGGAAAGTACGCCAATACTCCTGCACCGCCTGCCAGATCCAGGGCGTCGTCTTCTGTTGCTCCTCCGCCCCCACCACGTGTACCCACGAAGACACCCGCAGACGAAGCCTCATCGTCCAGATTCGGCGTTCCTCCTCCTTTCGCTGGCTCTCGTGTTCCTTCTGGCCCTCCTCCTACCCCTGCTCGAGGTTCTGTGCCACCACCCCCTCCTGCGAGGAACAATATCGCCTCTCCCGGTATTCCTATGCCGCCACCATTACCTCCCAAAACTCCAAATTCGGCCGCTCCTCCTCCACCGCCGCTCCCCCCACCGTCAGCTCGTCCCGTTCCGCCTCCTCCAGGAGCTGGCAGTCTGCCACCTCCCCCTCCTCCTCTCCCTCCGTCTTCTGGAAGCGCTCCCCCGCCTCCGCCACCAATGCCTCCAATGGGCGGTGCTCCTCCACCTCCCCCATTGCCTCCAGGCCGTGCTCCTCCCGGCGGAGATGCTCCGGCACCCCCACCATTGCCTCCTGTTGGTGGTGGCGGCGGTAGAGACGATCTTTTGGCTTCCATCCGAGGCGGTGCCCGTCTCAAGAAGGTATCTGATCAAGAGAAGAAGGACCGCAGCGCTGCAGCAGTACCGGGCGGTGAACCTGCTGCGTCGAGCGGTCCAAGTAGTAATGGTGGCGGCGGCGATGCTGCTGGTGGTGGTCTTGCTGGTGCTTTGGCCAGTGCGCTTGCTGCCAGGAAGTCTAAAGTCAGCCATAGTGGTAAGTGTTGCTTGTGATATGTTGGTGGTGACCATATGCTAACGATTTGCAGATGATGAAGACGACAAGGATGACTGGTAAATTATGCCTACACCACCATCAGACAGTTAGCATCAATCAAGCTCATTCTGGTATCATCTCCGAGGCCTTTCACTGAATCGTGGCCGTATATGTTACCAATGGGCAGTCAGCATCGTTCTACACACTTCAGAATCGAGTATCCTTACAATGTCTCGGTTGGCCGGAACTCTAGTATACTGAAGAAATCGGCACCCTGAAGCAAAGTATAGTTAGCATGATGCATAAAAATGCATGGCAAGCACATCTTACACTATATGTGTGTGCGCTTTATTGCTCATATGCAATGTGTTTCATCGGTCTACTATATATCACGGCTCTGGTAGCAATCTCAGACGGTACAAACATCTTACCAGTGATGGTGCAAAATCACAATTCTTTTTCAAGACAAATAGTGGTCTATGTCCTGTGGATGTAACGGCTCCATTTTGGTTCTGCTCTCTTATAGGACGTATACGTTACGGGCACTTTGAATATATCTTATATGCTTGATGTGTCAAAACTCCAAATGTTTCTCCGACTTTGCTAAGAAATCATTCCACGCGGGAGGGATGTAATCTACCATCGAGCATAAGCTCCTACTGGCTGTATATCATGTGCTACCCGACCAATATCAGTAGATTACAAGTGATTGAATAATCTAGACGATATCTCATAGAGCTATTAAAGGTTGATGTTGGAGTCAGGGTGGCCCTACCGACATGAGATGGGTTGAGCACAACTCAGCTCAAGATATTCCTGCCAGAACGCGCTCACTCCATCACAACGTACACAAACGATGAACAACCTAAGGAACAGTCTGACGCGGAATCTGCGATCCATCCGCCAAACAAGGAATGCATCCACATCCAACCCGAATCCCAATGCAGCGCCGTCCATGCTTCGCAAATACCGCGGCGTCATACTGTGGACATCAGTCGGCCTGGCGGTAGGCGGCACAACCGGCACAATGGTCTCGCACACGATCGCCCCTCCACCGCATCCGCTACCAGGAACACACGAAGATGGCATCCTCATGCAAGACCTCAACACCCGTATCGACTCCGAATTCAAAGTCAAGGTGCTGCGAGGAAAGTGCACAGCCGTGGCGGCGAGCTTGCGCGGCGACGAAGGCGTTTGGCGCGAACTGGATCCCAAGACCTTGGACGGCTCGCTCGTAAAAGATTCGTTGGCCGGAGCTCGTTCGCTGGGTGTTCAACGTGTCTTCTGGAATGAGAAGGAGCATGAGTTGGTTGCTGTGGTCTGGTTTGGGGGTGCCATGTCTGGATGGCCCGGCGTGACACACGGTGGAGGTATTGCGACTGTCCTCGCAGATAAGATGACATTGGCTGCTCGTCTCACAAAAGGCATTGCTCCTGCTCAGGACTCTTCTCACGGTCCCTCGGAGCCGACGCGTCTTGACTTGACATACAAAAAGCCTACGTATGCTAATGCCTTTTACGTCGTGCGTGCAGTGCCCAGGTACGGTGCCTTCGAGACACTATCGCCCAACGACATGGAGGTTGATGCCCAGCTCGAGACTTTGGACGGCACCGTATGTGTGCAGGTCAAGGGTGTTGTCCCTGTCTCCGAGGGGAAAAGTGCCATCAAATCTTCCATCCAGAGCCTGACTCCAGCAAAGTCGTGGCTAGGCTGGACCTCTCGCTCAGACACATGAGCACAAGTCTAAGATTCAGAGCAATACCAATTCTAACACGAGACTCAGCACTCTGATGTAACACATCTGAACCCCGATTACTACAGTCGATTCGGAAATGCGCTTCACCTCGACATTTACAACTTCGGTTTGGATTGCAAATCGACTGTAGCAGTGGAGATTGGCTCTCGATAATCTGTGGCTGAATACATGGACCCAACCCCAGCATGGCTTGATCGCGGAAATCAAGGCATTGTAGAGGATCGGAACAAATTGGTATGGTAGAAGGGAAGAAGAAACTCCTAAATGCAACCTTCCACCCACTCCAGAACGCCCCATTACCTCATAGTTAATCCAGATAAAAATGTTCCGTTGAAAACCCTAGGACCCGTGTCGCATTATCGTACATAATATGCATGTACTGTAAGACCTGTTTCGGCGTCAATCATGCAATCATCCACCTAGATAATAATGTTAGCCGACCGAATCATCACACTTGTATTGTTCTGAACTTACCATGCGCCTCCAACGAGAGCCACAAGAATCAGCGCTTTGAGACGACATTAGCATTCTCACGTGGAGCTTCAGATATTCTGTGGACCAACCTGTAACGATACCAGCACCAGCCCTGTCACTCGTTTCGATGGCTGCGGGCATAGCAATCGGATTCGAGTCACCTCCGCTTCCAGCACTGGAGGAAACTGGTCAGCTGCCAGTAACTGTTTCTGAGAGTCGTTACTTACTTGGGATTGCCTTGCGAGGTTCCACCAGTGGAGTTGGACACAGGCCCTTGAACCTGGGGAATATTAGCACGGAATTCTCAATAGACTTGTAGACAGAGGACGTACTCTATCAATCAGGTTGGACTGAATGACCTCGAGAGCGGACATTTGCTGGCCAACACCAGTAGCGCCATCCCAGACCCCGTTGTTCCACCAGCGGGTTCCGCACGTCGTGCCATCGTCTCCACCGCTGCAGGACAGAGCCGCAGCTTGGGCGGATGCCGCGAGATAAGGCTTGATGTCATCATAGAGCCATGGTGCTACCTTGGTAGAAGCGGCCATCCAGCGTGACAAGTAGGCTTTGAAACTGCTCACGGTCAGTACATGTAACACCTAGACGCGACAAAGACAGGTCTTACCTGAGTTGATCAACGTTGCAGTTGTTGTTCGGTTCACAGGCTACCTCGAACATGATCTGTCCAGCAGCCTGACCACCCTGGCTGGTGAAGAAGACATGGGTTGCGTTCCAGATGCCAAGAGTGCGCTCTCTCCAGAGATCGCTTTGAGTGACATTCCACATGGTGGCAGCTCCCAGAAGGAAAACACCAGCGTTGTAAGACCATTGGATATGGTTGAGCTCGGTGCAGTTGATCGTGTCGTCGCTACCATCGTAGAAATAGTAGTCATCGCTCATCAGACCGACGGCGCGAGTCCACTCGAAAGTCTTTTCAGCCCACTCGGCATAGGTCTGGTTACCGGTGTAAGCAGCGAGACGTGCAGCGATGTTGAAGAAAGCGCCGTTGGAGATTGTGTTTTTGTAGTCGTAGCCGTTGTTGAAGGTGAAGATCTGCCACCTCAAACCTCCGCCACATGTCGAGGGATCCCAACGCAAAGCTTGACTGTTGAAGACGGCCTGAGCAAGAGCAAGCCATTGAGGCTGGTCGGAAGGGGGATTCGGAAACTTGAGCTCGGCTGCAGACATGGCAGCCATTCCCCAGAAGGCTTGATCATCGTTACCGAGCGACTTGCTCTGGTTGCTGGGCATGTAGTTGTCCTTGTCACCGACCTGGAAGAGCAGAGCCTGAGTAGTGACATCGTTGTAGCTCGTGTCACCAGTATAGTACCAGTAGTCGATCAGAGAGCCGAACATGGCGCCTGCTTCCCACCAGTAGTATGGACCGGGAAGCAATCCAGGAATGCCACCAGTGACGTTTCCAGAGTAGAATTTCATCATGCCATTAGCAATGGTAGAGGCGGCTGACTTGATTGAGTCTGTCGCGGTTAGTGGATTCGTGAGTGCATGGCGGCGGGGAGCCCTCACCTTCGCTAGTCAGATCGACGGTGATGGCGGCACATGGCAGTATTGCGAAGGCGGCGCAAGATAGGCCGGACAGTATGGATGAAGGACGCATGGTTGTTGTTGCAGCAATGTGTAGTATGCAGATAGATTAGACTCGGCACGCGCCGTGGGCAGGCGGCTGAAGATGAAGCTGATGTGGGTGATGAATGTTGGGTATAGTGCCAATGATGGAGGACGGAGTTGTTGCAGCACGACAAGAGAATTGACTAGACTAGTATCCGGGGCATCCAATAACGGTTAACCAAGCTTGCGGTTTGGATGGTGACGTCGATCGAAGAGAGGGAGAGCTGAGGGCGGCAAACGCTGGGAGGCGCACCACCGTACGGCAGATGGCTCGATCGAGAGCGGAGAAAGGACTGATGCCACGGAGGCAAGAGAAATGGATGGTTAGCGAGAGTGGTGTCGGTGGTGGATAGGATGGCGGAGAAGAAGGAAAGGAAACAAAGCAGCATGCACATGAGCATGAGCGTGATGCATCTATTAGTCTAGCCATCACGCGGCGCACGGATGGAGATGGCTTTTCTGGGCGCCGATTGCCAGAACCCCACGCTGGACTGGCCGCTCTCCACACTCTAGTGACAGATCGACCACCATATCCGCCATTTGTGCATTTTCTTTTCTGCGTCAGGCCAGACCCTCTATTCAATCTATCTTGAACCAGCTGTCGAATCCTACTGCAAACATTTCGCACATCTACAGACTGTATTCTCGAATTCCACGATTCCTGGGAGCGCCAAACATGGACGCGTATGGACCCAAGGCTCACACGAGAGGATTGCAGGTGGCGCCGAGGCTGACAAGAAGAATTCTGGTAGAAGCCAAGCACCCGGCACCTTCAACACAAAGAGTTTTCGTGTCATTTGCTGTTGCCAATGCCCGACGCAATAATGCGCGACTCGCAGTCCATAGAGGCAGTGCACATATTCCCCTGAGACTCATATTGGACAGAAGATCCAAGGACTGTTTTGACCTTCATGTGTTGGGACAGCAACCAGCATTGGCACGTGATGTACCTAAGCCTGCCGGGATCTTGTTGCAACCGTGAGCCGGTTACGGCATTTCTTACCGTGGTGGTTGCTGCCGTCAGCGGCTTGTCTCTTTACAACATGTGCAAAGAAGCACATGGTAGACGAGAAAGCGCCCTGATTGCTCCAAGCCGACAATGGAATGGTGTTTGATCCATGTTATCGGATGATGGGTGCGGCCTGGAGTGGAACAAAGCACAGAACTGTTCAAAGCACTGGAAATCAATAGCAGACGACGTTGGGCGTCGAGCCATGAGCAGGGTAGTGGGAGATGCGAGCTGAGCTGCGAGCTGAATAGATGGAGAGGAGCAAGGTAGTGGCAGGACGTGTAGACACAAAATAGTAGGGCGAATTGGTGGGCGCTGTGTCCGAGGCGTGGTACCAGGCAGCGAGATTGTTCGATGGTCCGACGGGTTTTGGCTTTGGTTTTGTCGTCGTTGGACCGCACAGCCACATCGTGATCGCGGCGGTTTGAGCTTCTGTCAACCTCCGCCGGCCGACTCTCGTCTCTCTCTCTCGTCACAATCTCAATAAACACTTCTTTGCTCTTCCACAACTTTGCTCTACAAGATCCTGATATCTGCTGCCTGCGCTCTCGCTTCGTTTCCTACAAGTCAGCCAACACCACCTCGCCGCCAACTACACGCCCAACGTCGCCACAATGTCTGAGCAGCCCTACGACCCCTACATTCCCTCTGGCCAGACCGGCGGCGCCAGCAGAGATGGCAACCAGCGTACCGCTGCCCTCCAAGCCGTACGTCGCCCATGAGGTTCCATCCCATGCGTGCGCTCAGCGACTGACTGTTTATGCAGGAAATCGACTCGACCGTCAATGTCATGCGCAACAACATCAACAAGGTCTCGGAGCGCGGCGAGCGCCTCGATAGTCTGCAAGACAAGACCGACAACCTGGCCGTCTCGGCGCAGGGCTTCAGACGCGGCGCCAACAGAGTCAGAAAGCAGATGTGGTGGAAGGACATGAAGATGAGAATGTGCCTGATTGTCGGCATCATCCTCTTGCTCGTCATCATCATCGTCCCCAGTGGTGTGTTTTCTTTGTCCTCACTCTCTGTCTTGCAGGATTCCCGACTAACACGAAACAGTCGTCGCAACAAAACATCACTAGAGCGACCCGTCCTCGACACGTTTTGATGAAATGATCCTCCAAGTCTGCGAGGCCTCTGATTGAGAGGCTTGCCTATTATACCACCCTGCCATGATTCCCTCGTCTGTTCGAATCCACTCCGATACCACGACATGCCCCGACTGCACTTAACGAATTGGCGCATCAAGGAGCATCTGCTGATCTGTTTCTTGACTTTACGATTGTTTTCCTGCCTCTGCACTAGCCATGGGTCTTTATACGTGTAGTAATATGATTGTTTTTCTTATTCACTTCTCCCGTCTCTCGTCTCTCTGCTGTAAAACTCGACGTCTCAAAGTGATCACGAGCTTCCTCGTAAAGCGCTGATGTATTGCTTCCAGAAGACACTCCCTCCCCATGTGCTAGATCCTGTCACTGCTACATACAACTTTTTACATCAAAACTTAGGCGGAGCTGAAGCTAACAGAATGCATGGTTCTTTATATATTGTAGCAAAGGCTCTAACGTTTAGATGAAATTTGCATTTGAATGGCTTCAGCTCCGCATGTAGGTTGTCGTAAAGGAGTCGCGTGTATCTCGCCCGTCAATCGCACGCGAGCATCTAGTCCTGGAAAATGGCACTTGGAGCAATTGGTGCTCCAAGTGAACAATCCTGCCAAGTTTTACTCTGCTAACGATCTGTGTGATTACGGCAGGGTCTACCATGATCATGAGTGGGAGTGTCGAAAGGATCTGCCTGGTCTTCATCCCCGAAAGACGAACCATGAGTATATCACTCATGGTATAGTCGAATATCCCAAAGATGACAGATTGCAGCAAGCCGCATGGGGTGACCTTGTGGTTGCTGGTATATTCGAGCTCATCCCTGAGCTAAAGGTCTGCTTCTGTTCCAGGGCAGCAGGTCTTTATACAGTTCTACGCCACATCCGCACTTCTAACTATAACGAAGCTCGCACAACCACTACTCGTGAGCTTGTGGTTGCGCAGGAGATAGCCTGGCTACACACGCGTTTGCAGCCAGGTGAAGTAAGAGAACAAAGCAGGCCGAATCTCTGGATGCTCCTATATGCACTGACTTTTCACAGAGACTTGCAGGCGATAAATTGTTCCAGGAGCTCATTCTCAGGCTCGGCTACACTCGTAAGTTGGTCTAAGATGTCATGCTTGAACGTGCTTGTATTAATTGGTAACGCAGGACAAGATCTAGATGAAAACCTGTATGCAGGTTTTGGAGTGTTTCCTTCCAACTTGCCAGAGATGCGGTCTCTATATTACCTAGCAATCAACGTCCAGACTGTGTTTGGTGGCCAGCCGCTAAGCGCTTTGGTGCGGACAAGTACTTACTCGAGATCACCACTTCCCGAGATTCTTGGGGGAGATGATGCATACTACGATGCATCGTCCAAGCCTAGACTGACCGAAGTCAATAACGATGGCTATGAGATTAAGCGCAGCTGTGGTCTGCCCTGTCGTTGCAGCATCTGGGCGAAAACTCGCAAGCGCAAGCAGATTGGGGAAGAGGCCGAGGAGGACGGGGAGGACGGGGATAACGACGAGGCGAAGAAACCCCATCAGTCTGCAGCCACAGGCACTTCCACGAACGACGACCATGCGGGAGCCTCAGTCTTAACGGAAAGCAACAGCTTCGAGGGGTCCGATCGCCAGGCTCAAGACGTCTCAAGCGCGCAAGAGCACCACATCATGTTGCTCACATACAAATGCTCTACTAGAGCCACTTACTAGAGTTTTCAGAGATTGACCAGATGCAGATGGATACCAATGGAGCCTTCATAACCAACGATATGAGAATAACTTTTACGATTTATTGAATACTGTCTTGACCCTTGCATAGGTGCATACACGAACCAGCAGTTGCAACGCAACGTCGTTGTGAGCCAGAGCGGCATTGACTACCTAAGGAGCATACTTGCTTTTTCTTGATCTGTAGCTATAAAAATGCACCGTAGTCTCGAAAACCACGACAGTATCCATTGGGATGTCTCCTTGGATACGTCTTGGACCCTGAAACCATCGTGCATTTTTATGGCGATAGTTCCACTTGTACCTTTGTGAGGAGAGCGTGGAAGCTACAATCTTTGAAGGGGGCCTCATGAGCCGGGCGCGGACGACTGTACCTACGAGTAAACAGCTCTCCGCGTGAGCGTACCTGCTCTCAAACACTTGCGTGTTTTTATAGCTCGATCTGACACGTAGTGAGTATGTGGCCAAGTTTGACAAGAGACAGCGGCTATGAACTGCACATCTATTTGGATACGAGGAGCGTCCACGGACGTGGGTTGTCTGACGTTCTTTCACTGGCAGTGTGAATCGTTCGGAGATTCCTGTCCAGTCACAATGTTCGAGTGTCATTAGACGCAGTCGAGACAGGAAGATCCGTGTTATACAAATGTGTTCGGAGATGCCGTGGTTGCTATGAAGGTCTTTGACAGTTCAAGCAGATACTTTGCTCGTGTCGAGTCATGTCACTGCTGCGTCAGAACAGGGTCCAAAATCGAGTTTCAGTATTGTGAACAGACATCTTTATGCGTTCAGTTTCCGATGGGATCCACGCTGCCGCTGGATATTTGAGCCGAATCTGCATGCTCGTGTTCCAGGCATATCTCCGAAGACGTGTCAATCGATGCAAGCAGCAATACATCAGATGTACAATTCAGCTGCGAAAAGAGACCAGCTTCTCCACGACCAATTGCGGAAAGGAGGCTCAATAAATTGCAAGGACGCTAAAAAGCCAGTGATCAACCTCGTGCCGGCAAATGTCAGATTGATGACGAGGGAATTGTTTGGGAGCGCTTTCTCACGAGGGAAGAGAGAATTCGTCAATATTCTCTTGCTCACAAGTAGCTCGATGCCCAAGCCGTGCTTTCTTGCCGGGAGAGCAGCAAGCCGAGTTATGTGTGCACGCCGGCCAAGAATGTGGGTCACGTACCGGCATCCAGCCATGCAAGAAGCGATCAACGCGAAAAGTTCGTGTTCAGTTGCGACGGTAGGTTAAAACATGCCAAGCGGATTGCCGCGTTTGATGAGATCTTATTTCATGGGCCGCAGAAAACGTTCTAGCTGAGGGGCCAGCACAGGGAGAGATATGGAGCAGTCATAGCAGCGAGCAGATAATGCTCCGAGATTTCTTATTATCTGATCAAGAAGGAATCGTAACGAGCGGAAAGGCGGATCTGGAAGCGAATGGCAGTTTGCAGCAATTGCTAAAGTCGTCAGAACCCAGGGCTCTCGTAAGCATCGGCGTTAAAGATGGCCGCAGGATTCGGATTCGGAAGGTCCGAGAGCCGTGCCCGTTAGGTAGGAGGTGGGAGGAGGAGCAATCGGCCAAGCAGCCCCTACTCAGCAAGCAACAATTTCAATAATACCTCCCTGAGACAGACGTGTGAGCGTAGACATCTGTCTGACAAAGCGCAAAGTCTCGTCGGTCGTCAGGAGAAAAAAAGCTCGTTCGACCGAAGATCGTTCATCGAGTGGAGCGCAGTTTGGACAGTCGTACAGCGAAAGTCGTCATTACATTTCTTTCGACTCTCGCGTTTCGAGACGTTCTGCCGCGTTGGACGCATCCGCCGCTTTCCTTGCCGTCCACAACACTCATTGCCCTTCTTCCCAGCCCGACACCATCTGGGCAGATAATTCCCGACTCCTGTCGCCTCTCTCGCTCGCTCGCTCACTCTGTATCGCATGCTTGTAGCCTCTCCGCAACGAGCCTGATCCCGGCTCCTGAGGCTCACCTGGACGCCTCGGCGCCCACCTTTTATGGTCAACACCGGTCAACAATCTTCTATCTTGCCTCGTCTATCTATACCTCACCATGGCCATCCAACCCTACCAGGAAGACAATGAGGCTTCCTCGGGTCCTCACGACACGGCCCCCGCGAAACGATTACGCTGGGCTACGCAGAGAGTGACCGGCTCGCAAGGGGGTACAAAACGCCAATCCATCCTCAGACGTCTCTCGCATAAAAAGCGCTCCACCGACGACTCGACTAAGCGAGAGTCAAATGGGACTGATCTCGAATCCGTGCCCGAGGGATCCGAGGCCTCGGTGGAACAAGCTGGGGCCGGTCGCCGTGTCTTCTTCAACATGCCACTGCCCGAAGATGCACGCGACGAGGAAGGCCATCCTACCACCCAATTTGTGCGAAACAAGATCCGCACTGCCAAGTACACACCTATCAGTTTCATCCCCAAGAACTTGTGGTTCCAATTCCACAACATCGCCAACATCTACTTCTTGTTCATCATTATCCTCTCGGTATGCAACTCGCCATCAAGCTTGCTTCTGCTCCCAAAGCTGTACTAACCAGCCCTTGTCAGATTTTCCCCATCTTCGGCGCCACCAATCCCGGATTGAGTGCTGTACCGCTAATCGTCATCGTCTTCATCACAGCAGTCAAGGATGCAATCGAAGATTGGAGACGAACTGTTCTTGACAATGAGCTCAACAACGCACCTGCCCACCGCCTTGTCGACTGGGAAAACGTCAACACAGCCGAGGACCGAATCTCGCTGTGGCGAAAGTTCAAGAAAGCAAACACTCGAGCCATCACATATGTATGGCGCCTCTGGAAGAACCGCAAGGAGCCAAAAGATGAGAAACGTAACTCCCCGAAAGACAAAGCCTTGGACGAGGGCAGACCTTCTGCAGATACCCGACGACCATCCATGCATTCTCAGCGCATGTCTGCGATGACCATGGCTACCGAAGAGCCTGGTGCTATGGAGATGACTCCGGTACACTCGCCGATGCCCGCTCCTTCTATGGAAGGGAGCAAAGAGATGGATTTGGGCGATCACGTCAGCATATCCCTCAAAAACGATGCTCTCAGACCAGGCGACGCGCACCAAGTCGTTGAAGTCGCAAAGGATCCTACTGACACTAGCGCGCCTATATCGAAGCGATTCTATGGCAACATTATCAACCCCAGCAAACCCACCGGCAAAGCGCGATTCAAGAAAGATTGCTGGAAAAACGTCCAGGTTGGAGACTTTGTAAGGCTCTACAACGAAGAGTCCATCCCCGCAGACATTGTCGTTCTATCGACTTCAGATCCTGACGGTGCTTGTTATGTGGAAACAAAGAACTTGGATGGAGAGACCAACCTCAAGGTGCGCCAGGCTCTGCACTGCAGTCAGAAGGTCAAGAGAGCTCGTGACTGTGAACGTGCCGAGTTTACTCTGGAAAGTGAGCCGCCCCATGCCAACCTTTACTCTTACAGCGGAGCTGTTCGATGGAAGCAACACGGCAGCAAGAACTCTGAGGTTGAAGCTGCGGAGATGGCCGAACCAGTCTCTATTAACAACATGTTGCTTAGAGGCTGTTCTATCCGCAACACCGAGTGGGTCTTGGGTATCGTCGTCTTCACTGGAGAGGAAACCAAGATCATGCTCAACTCTGGTATCACCCCAACGAAACGCGCACAAATCTCGAAGGACCTGAACTGGAACGTCATCTACAATTTCATCATCCTGTTCTTCATGTGTCTCATTTCCGCTCTTGTCCAAGGTACTACCTGGGGCAAGGGCAATGAATCGCTTGATTTTTTCGAGTTTGGCTCCTACGGTGGCACGCCAGGCCTCAACGGCTTCATCACATTCTGGGCTGCCATTATTCTCTTCCAAAACTTGGTACCCATCTCTCTTTATATCACTCTGGAGATTATCCGCACTGCTCAGGCTTTCTTCATCTACAGTGACACTTTCATGTACTACGCGCCTGTCGATTATCCCTGCACTCCAAAGTCGTGGAATATCTCCGACGATCTTGGTCAAATTGAATACATCTTCTCTGACAAGACTGGCACGCTCACCCAAAACGTCATGGAGTTCAAAAAAGTCACAATCAACGGCGTGCCCTACGGAGAAGCATACACTGAAGCTCTGGCGGGAATGCAGAAACGACAAGGAATCGACACGGACGCCGAAGGAGCTAAAGCCCGTATACAAATAGCTCGCGGCAAAGTTAAGATGCTCGAGGATCTACGCAAGCTACACGACAACCCCTATCTTCTGGACGAAAACGTGACCTTTGTGGCGCCTGATTATGTTTCCGACTTGACTGGAGCTTCTGGACCTGAACAAAAAGCAGCAAACGAATATTTCATGCTCGTGCTCGCGCTTTGTCATACAGTAATTACTGAGCGCACTCCTGGTGATCCGCCGAAATTGGAATTCAAAGCACAATCCCCTGACGAGGCTGCGCTCGTCGCAACAGCCAGAGATTGTGGCTTCACCGTCCTGGGTCGTTCAAACGATGGTATCATCGTTAACGTCCTTGGTGACGAGCGTGAGTACACTGTGCTCAATATCTTGGAGTTCAACTCATCCAGAAAACGCATGAGTGCCATTGTACGCATGCCCAATGGAAAGATTGTCCTTTTCTGCAAAGGTGCCGATAGTATCATCTACTCTAGACTCAGGAAGGGAGAACAGCAAGAGTTGAGAAAAACAACTGCTGATCATCTTGAGATGTTCGCTCGGGAGGGTCTTCGTACTCTCTGTATCGCTCAGAGAGAACTCGGGGAAGAAGAGTACCAGACCTGGAACAAACAGCACGATATTGCTGCAGCGGCTATCCAGAACCGTGAAGAGAAGCTCGAAGAGGTTTCAGACGCCATCGAACGCGACCTTTCGCTTCTGGGAGGAACCGCTATTGAGGACAGACTCCAGGATGGTGTACCCGATGCAATTCAGCTCCTTGCCCAGGCAGGGATCAAGCTGTGGGTCCTGACTGGCGACAAGGTCGAAACAGCTATTAACATCGGATTCTCCTGCAATCTGCTAGGTAATGATATGGACCTGATTGTCTTGAATGTTCAAGATGAAAACCTGGCCAGCGCTGAGGCAGAGCTTGACAAGAATCTGGCCATCTTCGGCAAAACTGGATCTGACGAAGAACTCAAGGCTGCAAAGAAGAACCACGAACCACCAGCACCGACTCACGCCGTAGTCATCGATGGAGAGACGCTGAAGCTGATGCTTGACGACAAGTTGAGGCAGAAGTTTTTGCTCTTGTGCAAGGAGTGCAAGTCGGTTCTTTGTTGTCGTGTCAGTCCCAGTCAGAAAGCTGCCGTTGTTGGCATGGTTAAGAATGGGCTCGACGTCATGACTTTGGCTATTGGCGATGGTGCTAACGACGTCGCCATGATTCAAAAAGCTCATGTTGGAGTTGGTATCGCTGGTGAGGAAGGCAGACAAGCAGTCATGTCTTCTGATTACGCGATTGGTCAATTCAGATTCCTCACAAGGTTGGTATTAGTCCACGGACGTTGGTCGTACCGCAGACTCGCAGAGACCATCGCAAACTTCTTCTACAAGGTATGCTATTTGCTTCTGTTGATTTACATCGAATCATCGCTGACATCACTCAGAACATCATCTGGACTTTCGCTCTCTTCTGGTACCAGATCTTCGCCAACTTCGATTGTTCATACATCTTCGACTACTCGTACATTCTACTTTACAACCTAGCGTTCACCTCTTTGCCGGTCATATTGATGGGTATCCTGGATCAGGATGTCGATGATAAAGTGTCGCTTGCAGTTCCCCAGCTTTACAGGCGTGGTATCGAGAGAAAGGAATGGACACAAATCAAGTTCTGGTACGTTGGGATGACTCTGAGCTATATACTTGAGCTGACACACATTCAGGACATATATGATTGACGGACTGTACCAGTCACTCGTTTGCTTTTTCCTTCCCTACCTGCTTTTCCGACCAGCAAACTTCAACACAGAGTCAGGTCAGAACGTTAATGATTACCAGCGCATTGGTGTCTACATTGCGAACTCCATTGTGGTGGTGGCCAATGTTTACATTTTGATGAACGCCTACCGCTGGGATTGGTTCTTTACCCTCATCACGACGATCTCTATCCTGCTTATCTGGACATGGACCGGCATCTACTCTTCGTTCACGGTCGGCTTTACTTTCTACAAGGCGGGAGCCGAAGCTTACGGATCTTTGAGCTTCTGGGCGCTAACGATGATGGTCATCATCATTGCTTTGCTTCCTCGCTTCGCCGCAAAGTCCTTCCAGAAGATCTTCATGCCTCGTGACATTGATGTTATTCGTGAGCAGGTCAGACAAGGCAAATTCGACTACCTCAAGAACGTGGATCCGGAAGGGCCGGACAACGTCTCACCACCACCTCCAGAGAAAGTGTCAGATTCTACCTCGAGTTCGGAGATAAGCAAGCCTTCGGGGGCGCAGAGACTTGCTCACAAGTTGTCTCATAACAGGGTTCCCACCGAAGATGAACGGCCAATCTATCCACCCTCGATAGCAGCGACAGCAACGACACGCAACGCCAGATCGCACAATGGCAGTGATGGTACCGATTATACTGGACATCGATCTTCGACAGAGCGGACATTCCCTGCGTTTGGGCAGGTGACGTCTCGCCCGTCTGAGGACTTTGGGCACAGCCCGATAGATTTCTCTCGACCTCCGATCATTGCTGGTGGATTCGAGTCACCTGCACCACGACCAAGTTACGATCGACCAAGACCTTCGTTCGACCGGTTGAGGGCTAGCATGGACTTTGAAAGAACCCGTCCGTCCTTTGAAAGCTCGCGAGACTTCACCAGTGCAGCATATTTGTCGCGGGTGGAAAGTAGTCATACACCTGCTGGTACACCTGCCGCGGAGCGGAAAGACATTGGTTATGCCATGTAATAAGAGTGTGTTGTGATGATTGTCTGTACAAAAGGCCAGGAGCGAGGGCGTCCTGTCTCGGTTGTCTTGATTAATGTCTGTTTCACGTGGTGTCTTGGCCATGGTTTTTGATGAATTTGATTTTTTGCATAGATTTGATTCAAGTTAGTTAGGATTCCCTGCTGTCATTCTTTGAGACAAAGCGGTTGCCTTTGGCTGTTGATAGGTTTTGAATATCATTGAGTTTATCGTTCTGTCTGATACTTGGTGTGGAATGCGCATGCGTGTCTTGGCGTTTTGGTGCCAACTCGGCGAGACAAGAGGCAACGTGACTTAAGAGCATGCCACAGCAGCAATTGATTCTTTCACTTTCTCCCCTTTCCCAGCAGCTCAAAGTTGCATGAGTAAAAGAAGGTAAACCCTGTTGCGATCTTACCAGCTCTGCACACAACAACAGCATCAGCATGGCCACCAACGGCGGCGACACCGGCCCTGGACCGGTTAGCGAAATGCTAGGCATGTTGGCCTACACATTCGCTCAAGTACAACCGATGCTTCCCCTCTATACCCATCTCGTTCTGTCGGCGCTATTCCCCATAGTCACAGGTGCTTACTCTTCCCTTTCACGCCCTTCATCAGCAGCAAAACCCATCAAGGATACAAAACTTGAGCATCAAGCCGATGAGCAAGACGACCAAGATGATGACGAGGATGGCATCCAGAAGATGGAGGGACTGAGTCCCAGTGACGCTATCATCTTTCCCCTTCTCGCTGGATGCACACTGGGCGGTCTTTACCTACTTATCAAGTACATGGGTGCTTCGCTCTTGAACAAGGTCCTACGTTGGTACTTCTCTGCAATGGCCATTTTCAGCGTCGCCAAACTCATCAATGACGGTCTTGGTGTGGTCGAGTCTTTCTGCTTCCCTCATTACTACACTGAAGGAGGAGTCTTGTGGAAAGTCAGCCAACCTGAAAGAAAGGCAATCCACTCAGCCATCTGCACCAGACCATCTCCTCTACCAGGAGTCCTCGGTCGCATCATTCTCCCTGAACGCATTATCGAAGGTTTCTGGACATTGCGCGGTCTTCTTAGACGCAAGTACCGCTTGCAACTCCATCTGTCCAGCTTGATCTCGTTCAAGGTCACTCTTACTCTTCGCACAATCCTCTCGACTGTCCTCGCACTCGCAACCATCTTCTATGTCAACTTTGTATCTGATGCGTGGTGGCTCACCAACCTACAAGGCTTTGCCTTCTCGTACAGCGCGCTTCAGCTCATGTCGCCTACCACCTTTGGAACCGGTTCCCTCATTTTGAGCGCCTTGTTCTTTTACGACATCTACTTCGTTTTCTACACTCCTCTGATGGTCACTGTAGCCACCAAACTCGATGTACCCATCAAGCTGCTTTTCCCTCGTCCCCTTGAAGAAGGACAGGTCACTGCGGACAGAAAGCTGGCTATGCTTGGTCTGGGAGATATTGTGATTCCCGGCATGATGATCGGACTGGCTCTCAGATTTGATCTCTACATGTTCTATCTGAAGAGACAGACGAAGCGCTTGAGTTCTGCTACTCCCGATGCCGACAACAAGGACAAGAGCACGAACAAGGCCGAGGAAGATGTTCACAAGGAACCCTATCGCCCTGTCACCGGACATTGGGGCAACAAGTTCTGGACCACTTCCTGGATTGGCCGCTCCTTGCTACCCAAATACGATCCTACCAAGAAAGCCACGCGTAACCCCATCCCTACGTTCGCGAAACCATACTTCTATGCTTCCATTGTGGGCTACATTCTTGGAATGTGCGTCACACTGGGAATCATGCACATCTTCCAGCACGCGCAGCCTGCTCTTCTCTACCTGGTCCCTGGTGTTCTGGGCAGCCTGTGGTCGACTGCATTGGTTCGAGGCGAGATCAAGCAGATGTGGGACTTCACGGAAGCAAGCGATGAGGAAGAGGAAGCAGGCGAGGATAAGGACAAGAAGAAGGAGGAAACCAAAAAAGATACAGAGGAAAAGACCGAAGACGAGAAAGAGGCCACTTCTTGGTGGGGCAATAGTTTCTTCTCGGCTGAAAAGACAGAGCGCAATGCAAAGAAACTCGAAAAGAGAATCGCAAAGAGCGTGGGCCACGATGAGAAGGATGGTGGGGAAGGCAAGAGTAGTGGCATGAAGACCACTAAGAAGGAAAAGGACAACAAGGGCTTCTTCCATTTCTCCTTGACCCCCGCCGTTCCCAAGAGCTCACTGCCAAACGATGGAAAGAAACGCCCACCATTTGATACGGACAGCGCTACCTTGATCAGCGATTCGCAAGCACTTGGACAAGGTCCCAGATGGAGAGGAGCAGGCCCCCAAGAAACTGAAGAGGAGCGAGCCGGCAAGAGACGACGCATCTAATGATGCTTAGCGATTTGATAACGATTGGCAGAGTAGATACTACAAGGAGTAGTCAACGGAAATGGAAAATGCCATGACAATTCATTACAAGTCCTCTCGTTGGATCGAGAAGCAGCAGTTGTAACTGAGAAGGTACGACACCCAGCTTACTTGAAGGAGTTAGTGTGTCTGGTTGCTCCCTCCCTCCTTCCTCCTTCTTGCAGTCGGTCATCAAGTCCAATCTTACAAGTCACATTCATTAGCTGTGGTATTTCGCTGTGAAATATGTCCCAGACAACTTCGTGACAGGGATGCGAGTGGAGGGGTCTTAAGATTCTTCTTCATAGCGTGATATCATAGGTATCGTTTCGTATCGTAGCACATGCACGTAGCTGGTTCAAGCATCGAACCGGTTACTTGTCGTTAGCCATCAGACTCAGGAAAACTCCCCAACCAATGCCAATGACGCCGCCAAAGACTGTACGGTGCTCGAAGGGAACAAGGGTGAAGCTAATGATCGAGACAAGAGGCCAGAGCTTCTGACCGGCGAACAGAAGCGGGAAGAGGTCCTGCGTAAATGTCAGTGAAACATGTCACTACGTGCGTTGATGTAGAGCAACACATACCGTGTGCAGAGCAGAGAGAGCAGTATCAAGCGACTGGCCCTTCAATAAAGCAATGCCGACAATGAACAAGGCGTTGTTGACAACGGCACCGAAGGTCTGGTCCAGAGCGAACTTGATAGCGGTGTTCTTGATGCTCAAAGCTCTGGGGTTTGCCGAAGCAGGGGGCTGAGCAAAGGTGGTGTCGATCTTCTTCTCGATAGCTTGACCATCGTGGGTGCTGAAGGTCTGGGCGCGAGTGGGAGGTTTGGCCAAAGGGGACTGGTTGATGCCAGCACGAGCCTCGAGCTCCTTTGCCTTTGCCTTGACAGTATCGACGCCCTCGCTGGCACGACGTCTAGCGTTCTTGACAGCATCACCGTCTGCTAGAGCAGTGGTGGCTGCCGAGGCCTTTTCCAGGACGGGGGCTGCCGTCTCTTCAATGCGCTGCAAGGTGGGAGCAGCGGCGTCGAGGGCGGCCTTGACTTGGGGCTGTTGAGCGATGCTTGCGACGGTACCGGCATCATCGGGCGAGGTGTAGCTGGGGAAGGTGGATTCCATCCATGACTGCCAGAGGAAGTTGGGTGGGCACGAGAGGAGCGTGAATGCTACGAAGGTGACCAACGGGCCAGTGTCGAGGCTGTAGCCATGCTGCACCGACAAGTCAGTCCAGTGCAACAACAATTGCAAGAGCTTTGCAAGGCCCCGTGGAAGTACTTACGCCTCGGCGGTAGCAAGAGATGAGCTGAGCGAGAATGTTCGAGATGGCGCTCAGGACGCAAGCTTGAATGGTTGCTTTGACGATTGGCTCCATGTCGACGCGCTGCGGATGACGAAATGCTGCCGTGTCTTTGTTACTTAGTCGAGTTACTGCGAGGTACGAAGAACGCAGGCCGAGGTGATGAATAGTGGAAAGCAGTGAGATAGAATTGAGAATTGAACACTTCGAGCCCTTTTTTGACAAAGGTGAGGACGTTTAGTTATTTCATATGAAAAAGGAAGGTGCCCCTTCGTCATTCACTTTCGCGTGGGTGAAGCTGTTCAAACCACAACCACGTCCTCTCCAAAAAAATCTCACAAAATTCTCTAGCGACAACACTCGCTTGAAACACATACTGTCGACACACCGATCACATTGGAGATTACCCGTACATTGCTAAAATGATCTTGAGTTTGATTTAGGAGGATTGTTGAGAGTTGATTGGTGCAGGACTGTAGATGTTGTCGAATAATGATGATCTGCCCTGGTCCGCTCATTCTCGTTCTTGACCGACGCGTCCTTTCTACTTTGAAACATGTGACTCTCAGATTGCCCTTGATGGCATAGTACGGGACATACGCGCGAAGCAAAGGCCAGGAAGAGGCTAGATCACGGAGTTGATTGATCGTGGCGTAGCCCAGATAAGCCGCCCTTTGGTTCTTGTTCTCGTTGCAAGATAAGAAGGACGTGGGATCCTTGGGGTCACCAGCCTGTTACCTCGATTTGGGTTTGAAAGAGGTCTGCTATTGAGATCGCCAGCGAAACCGAAGAGGTGAAGATGTCAGTGTGTGTACCGTGGTCTTCTTCGACGCAGACATCTATAAGTCTGGATGAGAAGCGACTTCGGACTCTGTGAAGGAAGGGCTTCAATGGCAGGAAGTACTTCCTCAGAGAGGGTACTGCCGCGGAGAAAGCGTCGCGCCAGAGGAAGCACTTCGGCGAGAGAACGGCTTGAAAAGAGCAAATGCGTGAACGGTGGAAGAGCTTCGGTAGCAGAGACTCAAGGATCTCAAGGCCAGTGATTGTAAGAGTGAGACTGATGGAGGAAGGCGATGCGAGCGATGTATCAAAAGGTAAGAAGGTTTGGTGAGCGGTGTTGGTGAGGGGTCGTGGTAACAGGTGATGAGTTGGTGTTTTGTGTATGCGGAAAAAAAGGTTGGTCGGAAGTGGATGTTTGGCAAAGAAGGCAAGTACTGGACGAATATGGGGTTGACAATAGTCTGCCTCTACAAAGGCTGAATTTGTACATTGAAGTAACTCATAACAGTCTCCCGTTGCAGAACCACAGTTGTCCGGCGGATCGTCTCTTGCTCCACTTGAAACGAACATGGATAGCAGTCCAAGAGCGAGCGATTCAATCAGCCCACAATAAGACACTAATTAGGTTTGATATGTCGAGATTCATCAAGAACGCAGTTGTACTAGTGCATAACAACAGCGACGTGGTCGTCCACTGAAGAGAGTCAGCTCAAGAACGCTCAATCGATACCCTGGGCGACACTCACTGTACTTGTTGATATCTCCCAAGAAGCAGGCTGCGATGATGGATACGGCTCCGAACGCAATCGACACGTAGTAGACGTACTTGTATGCTTCCGCGTAAGCCATTTGCCCTGCAAATACAACCATTTCATAGGCTCCGGGCACCCCTTTGATACCCGGGAGTGTTTCCAGTTCCGTTAGCAAGCTTGCCCCTGTGAGCTCAATGGCCGCCTTAATCACAGCCGGACTTGTGATGTTCAGCTTGTATACCATCGTTCCTCCGATGTACTTAGTCGCGGAGGGGACGAACTTGTTAATAAAAACATTGTAATATACGGTGTAACCAATCGATCCGCCGATCACGCGAATGGCCAGAGTCAGTGCTGCTACTGTTGCCTACAGATCTTGTCAGCTGGGATTGGTCCGATCGGATTGTGTGAACGAACGATTAGATCGTCAGGGCAAATAATCGTGGTGATGATCGAGGCGGGAACGACAATGCCACCAATACCGAGGCCGGCGACCACGAGAACTCCCCAGAGCTGGCCGAGGTTGTCAACACGAGCGATCGAGAGTGCTCCACAGCCGGCTGTCATGAGAACCGAGGAGACGATCATCAACGCCTTGTTGTGGCCACGGAAAACCGAAAGAAGCCAAAGGACGATACAAGCTCCTGCCAGGATGGAGAAACCAACAGGAAGTCCACGAATACCTACACCACTATCAGATAGTCAGCATTCACTACACTCACTCTGAGGTCGTCCTCGAAGCCTTACACAGGATCGTGGCCATATATGTTACTACCAGGCAGTCAGCATCGTTCTACACGCTTTAGAATCGTGGCATCTTACAATGCCATCGTGGGCCAAAACATCAGGATACTAAAGAAATTGGCACCCTAAAGCAATGTATAGTTAGCACGATGCACGAAAATGTATGGTAAGCACATCTTACACTGATGAATGTGATGAGTAGAGTCAGAGACAAGATTCGAGGCTCTTGGCGGAGTCGCTTCGGGAACATCGGGTACTTGGCTCCATAGGCCTCCCAGAAGCCAAAGGCGACAAGAAGTACAGCTCCGAGAATGAGCGGTGCCAGCACGTGAGCACTGCCCCACGAGTATTGGTAACCACCCCATTCTGCAGTATATTAGCTTGATTGGAGGCATCAAGGACTCGAGAACTTACGCATGCCAGCCATGAATAGAATCATACCGCTAATGCTAAGGAGACCGCCGACAAAGTCGATTTGCTTGAGGATTTCTGCTTTCGAGAGTCCTTGGGAGTTGACTCTAGGAGGCGGGAAGTAAAAAACGGCTGTCAGAACGACTGTCGAATGGTCAGTCACAGTCTCTCAGGGCGGATGCACAATATATCTTACGGCCAATGAATGCCCAGATGGCGCAGAGTGCGCCAACCCATCGCCACGAGGAATGGGCAGCTATCAGTTGTCCCCAAAGGACACTGGGGCAGAATGGTAGGATGGTGAAGATTAGTATCGCCACATACTTTCCCCTCTTTGCGGTAGGAGCAAGTTCACTTGTGGCAGCCAGAGCGGTAAGCTCGTTGATACCAGCGCCAATTCCTGCGAAGACCATGCCGCCGATGAAGACATTCATGCTGTGAGCAGTAGAGCAGATGATCATGCCAATGACGATAGCAGCTGCTCCAACGAGAGCGACGTATCTTCGACCAAAGATGTCGCTGAGTGAGCCAACAAAAGGACAGACTGCTGCTAGGGACAAGAGGTTCGCCAGGACGAGCCAGATCCAACGATCAGCACCACCAATGTCTGCGTAAATATAAGGAGGGATCTGAAAATCAGCACAGCACATTTTCACTAGAGCGCTAGGTGGCTTACTCCTCCAAATAGATAGACGGGAATCTGAGAGCCAGTCCAGAGGAACGCCATGGCAATAAGACTCATCATACGGTTGAAGGACATGGGAGGTTCAGTGTAATGATCTAGACTGATTAGCCATGATAAACCTCATCGAGTTAGGAGGGACCTACCCTGCTCATCATTGTCGACACGGAGGCCATCTTTGTCAAGGTAACCAGCATTGCCGTGCTCAGAGTCTCTTGTCTGGACTAGCTCAATGTGTTGGGTGGCTTCTTTGCCTCCAGGAAGGGACACAGACTCATTGGAGCCTGTGCCAACCTCGGTGTGGCGAGCCATGGTACTATGGAGAGGGTGTATAGAATAAAGAGAGGATCGGTGTTGTTTACAGGAATGAAGCGTGCATGAATATCGAGATGCACCTACCTTTTTATGTTCGAAGTAGAGATCTGAGTCTGGCTTTGAAGCTACTGCGAGGGCATACCTGTGTGACAAGGAAAGATGGACCGATATGCGGGGATGCAATTCATGATTGGTAGATCAGTAGCAATAGTGTCAATTGACGCCGTTGTGGGTAATGTCCAAGGTCGAAGCCGAGGCTTGATTGGGCCAAGAGGATTCTGTCGCTCGTAGTAGAAGCTTATTTCTAGTGAAGACTTGGTAGAATCAGCGCCACCAAAACATCTAGCAGAGCAGCAGGTACACGCATGTTTCACGAGTCCAGGACAACCTCGATCACACATGTCAATGCTGCCAGTTTTTCGGGAGGCCATACGTTCGACAACCTCATCAATCACACATGCGAACTCACTACTTCAATTGTAGCTTAGGGCGAGAGCCAGAAGGCAGAGGATTGTTGATCAAGTACTTGAGTAGAAGTAGCTGTTTATCAAGCCGAGCGAGACGAGCGGCATACTGCACAGACCAGGTTTCCCCGCGGACCAGATGGAGAGTTTGTGGAGAACTGGGGCGGGCTCGTGCCTCGGTCCACTCTGGTCCTCGACTCAAGAGTCAGTCAAGAGTCAGGAGTCATGAAGGTCTCATGTTCTTGATAGATGATATGCATGCTGTACGAATCCGTCTAAACCAACAACAATTGTCTGTTTGAATACTTATGCTTGTCCATCGATCCGAGTCCTCGATTCAAGACTGTCCGTGGCCATACGGTATGAGAATAGTGTTGGAGTTGAGATAACCACAGTAAGTGGTATGTCCTCAGAGCAAGCTTGCAGTCCTGAACAATCTCAGTAGGGTACCAAAGTCTACAACGCCTTTGAGCAAGAGGAAAACTCAAAACTTTGCCTTTCCCAATCTCGACGGCATGTCCGTGAACGGCTCTGCACAATGCGGAGGCAGGAGAGTCGAGACGATATCGTTGAAGGCTCCGAGCATATCAAACTTTCGTATAGATCATGCTGATCAAACTGTTGAAACTTCCACCGGGTACGCATAACAGTCAGATAGTATGTTTACTACCTAGGTAGGTAGACTGGATTGCGATGACACTCTAAAGCTTGGCAGGATTGACGAATCGACGTCGGATCCTGGCAAAGCAGCGATCTACTCCACACGCACCATAATACCACTTCAATCCCGTCCGACTTTTCACACATACTTGCATAAAGATGGCCAGCGACAAGCAGCTCTCAGCACTCGTTCTCATCGCAGATGGCTCCGAGGAGATCGAGACGGTAACCCCCCTGGAGTAAGCGGCTGCATCTTGATATGAGCACATAGTGCCGCGGCTGACTTGGAATGAAGTGTCTTGGTACGAGCCGGATTTGCAACAGTCAAATCTGTGGGTGTCAACCTTAAGAATCCTCTTTACGCCGAGTAAGTCAATATGGCGTTGCCACTCTGTCGATCCGTTGTCCAAGTTGGTTCGTGAACATCTGGAAGCCGCAGAGCTTTCATCAAGAGACGAGGATCGTAGAAGCACCCCGACCAATGACCATGGATGGCTCAGTACGTACAAGTCTCCCGAGATTTGAAGGGCGAGTCAAACCATGGTAAGGAAGCTTCATACCGATAAGATTCCGTACTTGACTGGAAGCAACTCAGCCGTCTGATTGCACCCGTTGAGGTTCTCAAGAGACAACGAATTCGGCTGTCAGATTTGTTCACTACTCCCCATGGGCTGGATCCTATCACTCCCACTCCGCTCTTCCAGACAACATGCAGGCGGAGCTGGAGCCATCAGAATACACAGTTCTTTCTCGATAGCAACAGAGACTACAGAGAGACGATGTAACTACGACTCTCGATGGATACCTCGTAGTTGCTGGAAGGACTGTGCACTTCTATGGGCCCGCATGACATAACTCTGCACATGGGGAGGTACGAGATGCTGTTCATAGCAGGGGGAATTCAGGTACTGCCTATTCGGCATGAGATATCACAGGGCACGCGTGGTAATATTCCATGGGCGAGCTCCCATATCATGTTTGATCATGCGAAAGCCATTGATGTTCACTGATTCAGCACGAGATCGACTTGCTTGGCTTCAGATCTCTAACACGTCTTGCAGATGCTCCCGCGGAATCAAGATCATCCCTGATATCCCATCACCACACGAGATTCCTGATCGTCTCGTCGATGCGGCAGACATTCTGATCCTACCAGGAGGCGCACCCGGAGCCAAAACCTTCTGTCAGAGCGAGGAAGTTCTACGCCTGATTCGCGAGTTTCGAAACGAAGGGAAATGGGTGGCAGCAATCTGTGCCGGAACCACAGCGCTGGTCGAGAGTGTCAAATCGCTACGTGCTGAGGGCGAGGCTGCTAAGAAGTGCAAGGTCACATCGCACCCGTCAGTCAAGCAGGAGATTGTCGATGCCGGCTGGAGCTACGCGGACGATCATGAAAGAGTTGTGGTTGACGGCAAGATCATCACAAGCAGAGGCCCTGGTACTGCATTGCTCTTCTCGTTGACAATTGTCGAAAACTTGGCCGGCAAGGCGAAGAGGGACGAGATCCAAGGACCAATGATGTGCGCCGAGGCCCTGTGAGAGAGAGGCAATGAAGAGTCCTGTAGAGTTAGCAATATGAGTATGGGATAGAGGTTCAGAAATGCCTATCTGAAGTCGATGGTCATAAGTTCACGTCAAAGCAATCACCCTGATGGTCACTGTAGAGAATGGCCGATAGAGTGAACAGAAACATGGGAGTCATTTAATTTTCGAAATGCATTTCAGAGGCCTATCATGAACGCATTGTGGGTGCGCCTCCAGACGTGTGCGGGGGCGGCTTTTTGATAAATTCCCTAAGGCATGAGAAGTGCGAAAAAAGTCGGTATAAGTAACGAAGATGCATTTTCCCATGCCGTGCCTCAGCCTGCGCCTAAACGACAATCAAACCACATCAACCGCAAGAATCCAGCTGCTTAACGGGACTTGGCGGCGACCTTGACGGCGGGGCCCTTGGCGCCCTGCTTGCTGGCAATCTTGCCGGCCTGGCCCTTTGCGGCAGAGGCGGCGTTCTTTGCCTTGTTGGCCTTCTTCTCGGACTCGGACTCGGACTTCTTGGCCTTGCCCTCCTTGATGGCGGCGGCGCGGGCGGCGGCACGGGCCTCGGGGCGCTGCGAACGGCGCTCCTTGATCACATCGAGCGAGGCACCAACGATGGCACGCTGGTTCTTGACGGTGCGGCGAGTGCGCTTCTTGGCGACCTCCTGTATAACGAAAGTCCATCAGTCACTGTTCTTGGTTTCGTTCGGTGTATGTTTGCGCAATTCAAGCAGCGGCGGCGATTGTTGAATGTCGGGTTCATGGCGATCGAAGTTGCGCGCGCGCTGGCTTGCTGGCTGGCGGAGATGGCGACGGGTGGATGGGCGACTGACCTCTGAGATACCCTTCTTGTGCTGTCTGCGGTAAAGGACGGTCCAGGAGATCTTGCGGGGGTTCTTGCGCTGGAGGAAGAGCGACTCGGACTTGCCGTTCTGGAAACGGAAGATTTTGCTGTCACCACGGACGTAGAGCTTGCCCTGTTGCACGTAACCCAATCAGCCTCGCGTTCTTGTCCAGGCTCTCGTTGTGTGTATTCTTCTGCTTCTTCTTCATCGTGGTGGTCGTCGTCGTCGTTGGCGGGGAGGGGAGGGGGCGGCGATTCGCACCTTGCCAGGGTAGATCTTCTGGCCGGAGAAACTGTCCTCGTAGACTCTCATTTTGTCGGTTGTGTCGTTGGGTGGATTCTTGTCGTCTCGTCGATTAACGCGGCAGCGGTGTTGCAAAGCTGCTCAATTGAAAATGGCAGCGGCGTTTGTGGGCTAGCCGAGGATTTCCCACAGCTTTCCTTGGCGTTGTGTGCCTTCCGCTTCCGCCAGCTTTGCTGCACTTTCCCCCACCATGCCTGCGTCGCTCTCTTGCTGTACATTAACGAACATCAAACGTGCATGGCTAACTGCCTACAGCCTGTCGCGCCTCATCTGCACTCCAGTCACTACCACTTCACTGAAGACTTTACAAGCAAAAGGTCCAAGGAATGCAACAACAAATCCGAAAAGTGCATACATATATCTAACAGCCATCATCTCATCTTATCATCATGCATCCCATTCCCTTCATCATCTCCCCCTTGTGCTTAGATACACGTCCAGCGCGCTTGATACATTGCTGGCAGAGCTGACTCTACTGCGTACACTTCCTCGCGCAACCAACGCCTCGTTGGTCGCTGCTTCCTCACACCCGAGTCCAGGTGCGTGCGATGCCTGGCAAGGGCAACCGTTGAGCATGCCTCCAGTCTTGAGCACTGCCGACAGAGCAGCTTCCAACAACTTGTTTCTGCGCTCAAGTGCCTCCATCCGTGCTTCGATGCCTATAGGGCTGCTCTCGCCCGGCTGCAACTTGAATCTGGCCGTCTTTGCACTCGACGGTGGCGATGGGAACACCATACCACGTCCATTCTCATCGAATGGTGGTGCAGGTAAGGCTTTGGTCGAGACGGTCCTTGCTAAATCAATGTCTGCTGTGTCCTCTGATCTCGAGTGGCCATCGTTCTTGGTACACGGAGTGGGCGGCAGTTCTTTCTTGGGCGGTGGTGAAGGCAGTTCAGGTGTAGTTGATTGTCGAGTCTTCTTTGATGGACTGCCTGCTCGTGAAGGCGTCGAAGTCACACTCTTCGGCCCTCGACCGCGCTTACTTGTTTTGCCTCGTGGCACTGGACTGAGCCTGCCTTTTGCACTCGAAGCTGTGCGCACATGGCTGATCCTGGGCGAGGGCGAGGCGGTGGTGGCAATGATCCGGTAATTCTCTGAAGCTTCGCCTATGCTCGTTGCGCGCTTAGCGGACAGCGGACTCGTACAGTAGCCGTTCGGTCTGACCTCTCGTTCGAGGGAGTCTTGCGAATGCGAGCTGCGAACATCGAGCGGCCGCGGTCCCTCAGGCCTGGCTCTACGAAGACGACGGCGCGATGTGTTTTGCTGTGATGCTTTGACCATGGCATCGATGAGTTCGAGCGGCTTCGAAGAACTTGGCTTCGTTTGACTTGCGTTTGTGCAAAAGACATCACTGCTTGTTCCACTGCTGCCTGGTCGGAAGAAGGAAGGTAGGTCGTCGTCTCTCTGCTCTCGAGCAGCATATACCACAGCCGCCTCTTTCGTCACCCGAATTGCTTGTTCTTCGTTGACTTGCTTCTTGTCCTTCCCATGCGCATCGGGGCTGCTTTCCGCAGTCGACATGCCGAGCATCTCCCCCAGAGATTCAGACGGTATCGACAATCGTAAAGGACTACGTGGTGGCGGAGGCCCAGGGCTGTTCGAGACTGACCTCACACCCTCTCGGAACGAGTGATGCGTGAACTGAAGTCCAGTAACATCACTAGAGGTTCTTTGAACAACTGGCGAATCAGTGTTCAATCGGCGAGGGCTCAGTTGGACAAAGGCTGCTGATTTGGTAGGTTCGGCAACTGGTGAGCCGATTCTATGCTCTGGCAGAGCTGGGGGTGGTATGCTCGGTACTGGTCCTGGAGTTACAGGGTGGCTTCGAAGAGGTGCTGTTCTCCCGCGTATCACTCGAACGTGCCTTTCGCCTCCCGATGCCATCGTACGAGCCTTTGTACCAAGGAATAATGGACGCACTGGTATGGCTTTGCGATTCAGGACTCGAATGGTTTCTTCATGTGGCAGCGTCTGAGATATGCGTTTGATCGGCCAGCCCCTGAGTGCTTCCGGTCCTTCGTGCATTTGGGTGGCGGTACTAGGTGCAGGACTTTCGAAGCCCAAAACCCAATCGTGAAGGCTATCTGTACTGAGCTGATCGGTGACTAGAACGGAGACTTTGGACTCGGCTATCTCAGGACTGGTAATATGTCAATCGTTTGTCGATGTATCGTGGATGTCAAACATACCTCTTCGGTGGCGTATCGATCTTGTTCTTCTGGCCGGCTGTCTCGATCTCGAAATACCTCTTGCCTGCAAGCTGGTAAGCTCAGATCGTAATATCCTTGTCTGTCCTTGACCCACCAGTCTTAGACACCTTTGGGATGACGACGTCCGGCAGTCTTTGCCCCGGTGGCAACAATGGCCTTTTCGACGTTTGGGAAGCGTCATCTGCTGGCTGCGTCTCAAACTCTGGGACATCTTTTTCTTCAGAGATGATATTATTGAGCCTACGTGTAATCAGTATTTGTAGAGTTTGTATGTATCCCGGCTTCACGAACCTCATGTGGGCTGCAGTCGTTGATTCTGAGGGACGTCTGCTGCTGTTCTTGAAGATACGCATAGCAGAGGATATCCTCCTGGATTTCTGTGCTCTGATCGGAGGCTCCTTGACTGGCCCAGTTGTTTTGAGGAAGTAAGCCATCTGGTAAGATGGATTCGATGGGGGCAAGACCAGAAGATTTGTTTGGGTCATCATTTTGTCAACGAATGGACTTCTGGCTTCGTCGCTGTGATCAATTTCAGAGGACGTCGGACGAGTACCTTCATACGATTTTGCATCTGCTTGAGAGCTAGCATGGCTGACGCTGTCACCCGTACTGCTCCTCTCGTTCTCAGGTACATCAGGTTTTACAGGTTTGGCTGAGGGAGCTGGCAGCATGACAGGGACCACCATACCAGTTGGGCCGAACATTGCTGAAGACTGATGTAACTTGCCGGCCTTTTGAAACTCATAAGCTTTGGGCGTGTGGTTGACAAATGGAGGTACAGGCCTGCGTCGTGGAATAGCGGAAAGGTGCATCTAAGATGGCAAAAGGTAGGGCTGGGAGAAGAGCTCGGAGACTTTATTCACGACCATACACACAGGTGAGACCGATCGGAGAAATGGTAACCACAGAGCAATTGAAGACGAAAGCAGAGATCTCATGGGTCGAACCGGCAAGGTAAATATCAACAATCACGGTTCACACAAGTAGTGGTGCAAGGGAAAAGCACAAGATCCTTACAGCAACGACGTACGACGATCACTACCAGGAGACAGGATGCAGCAACCATTGAACTACTGGACGCTATGCGTCTCTGAATTGGCGCGGCGCTTGTCATGCAAGGATTCGCTTTGGGATTGGTCGTGACAGCAACCTCGATCACTCGAGCCGAATATCTCAATCTGTACGAGAATTCGGAGCGCATAGAATTAAATGCACGCCGTCTTACAAGGCGACAGTCAAACAAAATAAAACATCATCTGCGACAAGAAAGGTAGCCTTGAAACGAATAGCCAGATTTGCGGCACTGTTTGCCAAGGGCCATTGTCGCCCTGACAATGTGGCTGGCGCACTCGTGATGCTCATGATGTTCGGGGTTTTGCAGGCGTGCATGTGCATGTAAGATGCCGTTACAATGAACGCAAGGACCGTAGAAGACTGGTCCGGGAGTCACCCATGGGTATTACAACAGGAGCAGACCATCGACTGACAGGGCACAATGTTCTCAGTGCCTCGAACAAAGGTCACCGTCAAGTGGCACACGTGGAAGCAAGGGTGGAATCTGAGGTGGAGCCAATACACAATCCACTTACCTATCTCCAGACCTTGTGAGTCAAATTCGTGTAATGCAAGAAAAAGTTACATATCGAAAGGACTAACGCCGTGCTAGCCTTGTCACGCCAAAAATGCTCCGTGCCGTCAGATCCTTCAACCTTTCCTCTGCTTTCTGTTTTGCTGAGGCATGAAGGGGTCGGCGGGCTTTTTCCTCTTGCGTATAATCTGAGGTGTCGTCGTGGTTGGTAACATGTATGTTTTGGGCTTGGCAGCAGCTGCCGGTCCCGATGAGACAGATGCTGAAGCAGAAACAGGCTCGCTGTTCACTGTCGGCGTGGAAGCACCACTCCGAGCGGAGTCTGCATCAGCCATCTCAACATCTCCATCGCCCTTTTTTGTGCGCATACTGGCAAGCTTATCCTCCAACTTGACACGCACGCCTTCCATGGCTTGAATGCCATTTTCCTTCTTGACCTTCTGACCATCAGCTTCATGTTTGACCCTTAGACTGTTGCCTTGCCCCTTGTCAGCAGTGACTCCAGTGTATCCGTTCTGCTTGGCGGATCCATTGTTGTTCGAGACAGATGATTTTGAGTTCTTGGTCAGAGAATGTGCCTTTGCGGGATACTTTGAAGAGTGTGCTTTGAGCATTCCATGGAGATTGCCTGTTATGTAGCTTTGGCGATCCCGAGCATCATCCAGAAGTGTCTTCCAGACCGCGCCCCTCATCAAACTGTCCGAGTTACCGAGGATCCACAGACTGGACTTCGCACGAGTGATACCAACGTTCAAGCGACGAACATCGGACAAGAATCCGACGCTACCCGTAGCAGATGCACGAACGCAAGAGAAGATGATGATCTCGCTCTCTCGACCCTGAAAGGCGTCTGTGGTATTGAATTCGATGTTCTCTATAATCTCAGGGCCATAACGACCGGAGAAGCGTTGCTTCAACTCCCGCAACTGTGACTTGTAAGGCGTGATGATACCGATCTTGTTCTTGAAATCGTAATCACGGTAATCACTGATAAGTCTCTCGTACAGAAGCATGGAAATTTCGATCTCCGCCAGGTTGATGAGAGAGTGACCTTTAGGTGCGGCTTGGTGCTGGCCTTGAACGTCGAAGAATCGGTATGGTGCAAGCAAGTCGCTGGCGTGCCATGGCTGTTTCCGAAGACCTGCCATGTTATCTCCATCCAATAGACGACCTTCGTAGAAAGCTGCGCTGGGAAAGGCACTGATGTCGGGGTGCATGCGGTATTGAGTGTCCAGCAGATGGACCGCTTCTGGGTGGTTGTTCTGCATTCGAACAAACAAACTTTGCTCATATTTGTTGGCAGAGGCGGCTTTGGAGAAAACCGTTGGGGGCAGTTGTCTGGGATCTCCAACAAGAATGCACTTGGCACATCCATATTTCAAAGGAATCAGAGCGCTCATCTCCACGCATTGGGCGGCTTCATCAACCACGACAGTCTCGAACTCGATGTTCAGACTCTGGAACATGTCATGACCACTACCACTCAAGGTAGCGCAGATGATGTGAGCATCGTCCAAGATAGACTGTTGCACTCTCTTACGATTGAGCTCTGCAGCTCGACCGGCCGAGTTTTCGTTGTCTTTGGCGTTGTCAATCTGAGTTCCCAATTTAGTCTTGCGATTGCGAAGAGCATTGAATTGGTCTTGGAGCTCTGAGAGCTCTTTGCCCTTGACCTCGCCACTGTCAAGCTTTGAGCGAGTCAACCGGACCTGTTCAGACACGTTCTGGTGTTCTTTCATGAGTTGCTGAGTCTGCTCCCTTGCCTGCTTGTCGTTATTGGTGGAACCCAAGCGTTTGTTGACAAGCTCCTCCATCGTCACGTCGACGACAGAGCTGTTGACAGCCTCGCTACGACCGACACGAACCACATTCACCTTTCGGTGAACACCTCTGAGTGTCTTGACACCTTCCTTGAATCTCATCACCAGCTCGTCTACTGCTGCGTTACTGGGCGCGCACACTAGAAGCTTTTTTGACACGCCCGTGTTGGTAGGGAAAGTGCCACCTCCTCGTGGAACCTCGATCTTACTGCCCAGTTGCTTGTCCGAAAGACTGTCACTAAGCAAGGCACCCACAATCGCTACAATCGTCTTGGTCTTGCCAGAGCCTGGAGGACCCTGAATTAGAGTGAAAGCATCATTCTGCACTGCAGACTGAACAGCCTTGGCTTGTGCTTTATTGAGCGTGTAGTTGCTGACGATGGGCGCTAACTGCTTATCAGTATACTCCAGTAGTGGCGAAGGTCTGGCTTTGGTGATCTCGTCGCACAAGTCGTAATACTGCAGACCGAGCAGGGCTCCATACTCGCGTTCCAGGGGTGTAATCGATTGGACCTTAGTACCGTGTATGACACTGCCAGGCAAAAGATGAGCTATCATAGTGTTGTTGTTTCCCGGCATCACACGATACGTGACCTCTATGTGTTGCTTCTGGCGGCGTGTACGATACACTTGGGCAAAACAATGAGCAGCGTCGGCATCTGCCGTGGGATTGTTGGACATCGAGAAGAGTATGATGTCGCTCTCCGAGATTTGTATCTCCCTATTCTCGGCGTGTGTGACAGAGCTGCTGACCTCGATGAAAGCGTCAACACTTGATCTGTTTACGATCTTTATCTCGTAGGGCTTGAAGGAGCCTTCTTCCCTCGATTTCATGAAGCCTTGCCAAGCTTCGAGAACAAGTAGTGGACGGAACGTCTCTTGATAATCGGCAACATGGCGGAAGGAGTTGGCGACCTTTTGGAATTGCCAGTCTTTGGAGTTGGGGGGGTAGTCGCCTTCGTAGAAGAAGTCCCAGCCCAGAATCGTCTTGTGTAGGGGTGCAAGGTCTGGAGCAAGTCGAGCTCGCATATCCTTGGCAGAACGAACTCGCCTCTCGATTCGAATGGGCTGATTACGTTGTTCGCGTTTCAAGCCAATGGCGCCTGCAGCATCGCTTTTCGCAGTGTTTACTCGCTTCTTGGTGGGCTTGACGCCGAAAAGTTCTGCGTCCAGCTGGTCGTCTTCGTCCTCGCTGCTCTCATCCGAGGAGACCATGACACCTTGACCCTTGGTTGAGTGGTCCTTGCCTTCGAGACCGATGCCTTGTAGGCCTGAACCACCTTCCCTCTTGGCAGCAGCAATCGCCGCAAGATCTCTCTTGCGTTTAGCTTCTTGTTCTTGCTGACGTTTAACCCTGAAGTTGTTGGGGTCCTGCTGTACAACTGGAGTCCTGGTTGGTAGTATGGACTTCTTAGCAAAGTCGCCACGTGCTTTGAGCATCTCAGCGGTTGGCGAAACGCTCGAGATGGCCCTCTTGAGAGCAGACTCGTCAGCGGCAGCTCTCCAAGTTTCCATATCCAAAGTTCTCTTGGGTTTGCTGGCTGGAGTTGTGTTTGTCGCATCTGGTCCAGACGTAACCCAAGATGCAAGCGAACCTTGCCTCTGAGGCTTGGATATCTCAGTTGCGCTCTGCTCTTGGACCTCGGACCCGACACCAATATGTGTCTCTAGTGCCCGACGCAATTCGGCCTTCTGGGACATGCTGAGCCTCGTCTTGACGGTGCCATTCAGCACGTCGTCGACATAGATTGTAGAGTCCTCGGGCAGTCGCAGATCAACTGATTCAAGACGCTTCATGATTTCAGAGGTAATGGTCACGGCTTTGTTGATCAGATACTCATCTCTGAGTCGGAGCCATTTTGTAACATGGCCCGATGCATCTCTGGGCATCTGCAGTAGGCCTTGTTCGACTTCTTGAAACGTTTTGTTGTCACCCGAAGCAACATTTGCGTCGCGCAGCGCTCCTGCAATGACACTGTACTGGTTGAATGCGTAATCTGCAAAATCCATAGCGTCTCGGCAGAATTCAATCATCATGTTCTTGTCGTGCCCAGCAAGACTCCATTGCTCTGTGTACTTGAACATGCATCCTATTACGCTCCACAGGGCTTGCCACGTGTTCTCAATGGCCTGGACTTCTTCTGCGTTGAGCTTACGGGACCGCAAGATACCATCTTGCGTGCTGCAGAGGCAGTCAAGGATGTCCCTTCCCAGCTTGAGTAGAGTTCTGCATGGTGAAAACATGTGGCTCCGAGACATACCGCGGAGAGTCGAAGCGATGGTTTGAAGCGCCACCACGAAGTAATTTTCCACAAGATATTTTACGCCATCTCTACGCGAGTCCTGAGATCCCATGCTCTTGATAATGGTGGCCGCAGATTGTTGGATTTCAGCATGGCCAGAGAAAACCGCATAGAAAAGACTCTGTGCTGCACCAGGGCTACTCATCAATCCTTGAAGCTCTTTGGGGTCGAAGTCCTGCAAGCTGTTGAAGAGCTCGGTGATGTAGCCCGAAGCGCGTTCAAACCCATTGTTCCAGCTTTCAGCATGCTTGGAAGCATTGGCAGACTCTTTGGGCGCAAGCGGTTCCAGAAGCATGAGACGGCTGGCGCCGATCAAGATTGCTGATGCAAGAGAGATATCACCTGGCTTGACGCTCCTTACTGCAGCCTTCCAAATGGCCAATGATGAGACGTTGAGATCGAATCCGAGAGACTTCTGTTGCAATATTGCATCGCGTGTTGATGCTAGGGAATGGCAGTCAAGGGAAAGGGCATTGCGCACAACATCGAGACCAAGGTCGGTCTCGCGGGAGTGTGCTGGGGAATCTTTGAAGCTATGAAGATTCTCCAAGATCGTGAAGACATGGACGCGAACTAGCTCAAGCAAGTCTGCCACAGTGGCACTGCCTGCACTCGCCTGATTCATGATCTCCATCGTAGTGTTCATGACCTGTAAGCCTTTATGCCAACAGACAGTCTGAGCATATCGGGAGTATTTGTCCGATTGTAGCCTCGTCATCAATTGCTGCAGAACGGCACGACACGCAGGGGCCAGGTTCGCGGGCTTGATGGACTGCACAAAAGGATCGACCCACTCCAGAAGTGCTTCGAGTTGCAGTGGTTTGTCTTCCTCGGTGGTCATCATCGGCCCGTCAATGGAGGGGCTGTTGAGGATCTGTTCTGCGACGGCCTGTGGAGGGACAGCAGCCAAAGCCTCCCAGACATCCTTCGGGGATTTCTTCAGTAGAGCACTGAAACTACTGACAATGTTTCCATAGCCATCGAAGGAGAGCTGGAAATGGTCAAGAGCTAGCTTGTAAATATCCATATCCAGAGCTCGAAGGTGATGTGTGATGAGGTTTTTGTCGAGTCTTTCAAGAATGACTTTGGCGCCATCCCAGAAGATGGGCAAGAAGTCGCGATCGATGTTCATAGGGGTGACACGAAGCATAGCCGCATTGAAAGTATCGCGAACTGTCCAGTCGAACTCGACGCCAGTGATAGGTCGCTTGAACTTTGTCCAGCCTCTGAGAGCCCAGGTACGTCTCTCCTTGTTGTGACTGAACAGAAAGGAAGTCAAAGCCGGTGTGTATTCAGGCAGGGTAATTTTCCTCTTGGTTTGAACGAGCTTGAAGGGTTGGTCGAAGTGGTCGCGAAGAAGCGACTCGTTTTGTAGGAATGCTGTGCAATGCATCGACTCAAAGAGGGCGTACATCTCTTCTTGAGGCAGATTGGCGATAGAGCGTTCTTCGGGAGCGAGATCGAGAAGGGTGTTTCTAACGCCGTCCAAGCCGGCGGCGATACGTTCGGTGTTCATCTGGTCGAAGACTTGCATGAAGGAAGCTACCAGATCGGCATCATATTGCAGTTCAAGGTCGTGCTTCACGTCTTGTCTTCCACGGTGGTACTCGCGTACGCAGACAGTGCAGCGTTGGAGCTGGTGTTTGAGCAGGCTCTTGAAGTCAGAGCCCAATTGTAGTGCCGTCTCTCCGTCGAAAGCAAAGATCTGGCAGGCCTGTAGCACCTTCTTCTTCAACAGTCGCGACTCTTCAATCTTTTCATGCCTGGCCTCCTTTTCTGCCTCTGTTTCCTGGGTAGGCGCATTGAGGATGTCTTCGTCGAAATATACGGAGCCGTCGTCGTCGGATGAGCGTGGGCAGAACCAGTGCTGGCCACTGGGAAGAGCTTTGAGCTCCCTGGACGACCAAGTCAGTATACAACGACAGCACAGGGTAGTTGTGTTGTGTGTCTTACTCGATTTCCGCCACGACATCGGCCATTGCGTAATTCACGGCAAGTCGTCCTAACTACGCATCTGACGCTGATGGTTCCTCGAGGCGAGTGTTGGTCAAGATCTCATAACCACGCGAAGGTACGTGGGTCGCGCCTGTCCTATCTGGGGAGAGAGTAGAGGTAAGTGAGGGTTGAATTGTCGGTAGTATTGACGGAAAGTTTGGTCTGAGAGAGGGCGCGTGGAGGGTTGTGAGAACAAGAGGTGTATCGTCAAAAGTTGTTGTCCGTCTCGTCGACAATCACTTGCGTCGTCCAGGGTCTTTGCTACCACAGACGGACAGCAATGGAAGAAGGAACACGATAGGCGCACGTCTTTCTGGCCGTGACGCGCTCTCACTAATAAAGTGTCCGCTTTGAGCACAACTGCATGCTACCCAAGCACAAATTCGGTCCGATGACGATTCGACGCTTGCACTTTGACGATGTATTGATATGTGATTGATGTTCGCGATGCAAAGAGCACGTCTATCCGGTTGTCGCACCTGGAAGGAAGGGATTCAGTTGTCGATGCTACTCTCGATGGCACCTGCTTCAAGATCTTAAACTTCATGCACTCTCGCAGTGAGCAGCCACGGGGGCCTTGGACCCAGAAGCAGGACATTATATTATTGCTACATGCATGCCCAGGGCGACTCGTACTCCGGTAGTAATTGTGCATTTCTATAGTAGAGAACAAACGCGCTCTACACCTTCGCAGAGGGAGTGTCAGAGACGCAGAGAGTCTATAAGCTCTAGCGCATAGGAAGGGCACGTTGATGTGTCCTTGTTTCACAGACTTTCCATTTACGATTTGCGCCGCTTGAATGTTGCCTTGGAGTGTTGCACGGGCATTTTGCCACAAGTGAGTGGCGTCTGGGCAGGAGGACGAGTCCTTGGTACGGGCAGCGATGTGTTCGCAGATGCTGAACATCGACCATGGCAGAAGAACTACAGGGAACTGGCTAGGTTAGGTACTGTATTCCGAGTAGTACGTAGATCAGTACCTAGAAAGTGTTTCGGCCGGCCCTCGAGGTGTTTGTACGAGCCGATGGTTTTACGGGGGTTACGGAGGAATGAGAACCTCATGTGCCCTACGAGTAGTGCGTGAAAGTTAAGCTCGGACCACGCATTCCGGCAGCCCTTAAGGAGGAAAGAGCTTCTCTTCCCAATGTGCGCTCAGACTAAACTCCTTTCATCACCACCTCCGCAATACCAAACCCGACCAACTCAAAGATACCCGCCATGGCAGATCAAATCACAGACCCTCAGGACGGCAATTCGCCCTCTGCCCACGACGACAGCATTGCCCCCGAACAGAGAGGCATCAAGAGACAGCGCACCTCCAACGCTGCGCCCGCCGACGACGATGACGACGACGACGACAAGCCCGGTCGCGAGAGAAGAAAGATTGAGATCAAGTTCATCCAGGACAAGTCGCGTCGTCACATCACCTTCTCCAAGAGAAAGGCCGGCATCATGAAGAAGGTATGTCGTTGCTCGTCCTCACCACACGCGACGCGACGTGTCGTTCGGCTTCGCTTCCGATCGCGCCTTTTACTGACAGTGTGCGCGCCAGGCCTACGAACTGTCCGTCCTCACTGGCACCCAAGTCCTTCTGCTCGTTGTTTCCGAGACTGGTCTCGTCTATACCTTCACCACTCCCAAGCTCCAGCCTCTGGTGACCAAGGCCGAGGGCAAGAACTTGATCCAGGTGCGCTCATTCCAACGACACCCCGTCTGTCATTGCCATTACTGACGCTGTCATCAGGCATGTCTCAACGCCCCCGAGCCCGCCGACTCGAACGGTGTCGACGGTGAATCCACTGTCGAGTCTCCCGAGGACACACACGCCAATGTCCCCGCTCCCGCAGCCGGCATGCAACCTCGTGCTGCTGGCATGCCCCCAAACCAATACGCCATGACACCCGACCAGCAGCAAGCTCTGCACTACCAGGCATATCTCCAGCAGCAGCAGTCCGGTGCCTATCCCATGTCTGGTGCCCCCATCCCTGGTCGTCACCCTGGACACCAATAGAGGAGACGTTTGAGAGACCACAGACAGACCGTCAGCTCTCTTATCCTTGCTCAGACATAACGACACGTGCGACGCGGAAACCGAAGAGTGATTTTATTGGTGCCATGGGTTGATGGAACGAAATGCCATGCTCGGAGAGCTGGTTGGGCGAGGCGAACTGCGGCGTAGCATCGGGATGGTTTCTTTTAATTTCTGTTTTATCCCCCCTTTTCCTTCTCTCTTCGCTTCATGACTTGCTTCTTAAAAAAGACTCGATCAAGCTCGGTCCTTGCACGGGAAAAGGCAGAAGGGCGTCGTTTTCTCCGTCTGCACGACTGACTCTTGATTTTCTTTGCTTTTCGTTTACCAAAATCAAGAGACAGGTCAGATTGCACCTTCACGTCGGTTTCAAAGCTTTGTATTATAGTCAGATTCCAGATCTTAAGATTTCATCATAGCTGCTGATACCACTTGCACATGTGGTGGAAGGTGTCAAATCTTCAAAGTCAACAGTTCAAGAGCCCTGACAGCCAAAGATGATGCAAGAATCCAATCAACAGAGATGAACCAAGACCAGCACTTGTTGCACCGTATATGAATTCCTTCGTAAAGAACACCATTAAATCATCTATGTGGCACGAGGACTGTCTACATGACTCTCCTCCTGCGGCTCCGGACCTCTCCATCGCGTGCGCCACCAATCCACGAGCTGCTTGGATATGCTTTCGTGCCTGTACGCCGTTACATCGAGTTGTAGCGGCTCGGAACGGCTTCTAAAATGTGCGTGGTTTGGAGGATCGGTGATAGATCTCGTCATTTGGGGAGGCGCCGGCCGTCGATTGTCGAGTAGTGGAGTGGCCTCTGAGTCCGAGCCTAGAGACTCACGGCGAGCAACAGTACCGTAATACCGTTCCTCGTCTCCCAACTCATCCCAGATGTCTTCCACTTCTCGATCATTACTGCCACGTCTTCGTTTCTTGCCAATCATCAAGGCAGAGTCCCGTAGCGTATGCCTGCGCATCAACGGCGCAGTCTCGGAAGCGCGTCTAGAGCCATCATCATGTTCATGATCATCCACGAAGCCCATTCCGGGAGCCAGAGCAGAGTGAGGGATTTCAGCTCCTGCGGTCGTTGCGGCGGCGTCCTCTTCACTGAGACGCCAGCTGAGCGCCAACACACCGGCCAACAGAATAACAGTGCCCAAGGCTATGAGACCGGCATATAGTGGCGATAGTTGGTCGGCTTGGCGGAAATAGATGAGCCCGTCGAGAATTGCGATGATATTGTAGACGCAAAACACGAAAGGATACAGGATACTCGTGCTGACCAGCTTCAATCCGAGGTGGAGATAATAGAGCTGAGTGAGAGCAAACAGGAGGAAGAGTAGGAGTAGCACCCAAGACTGGTATCTGTCGAACTGGTTCTTGTGATCGACAATGGTACGCACGAGTAGTTCGACGGCGCTTTTGGCCAAGAGCAAAGCATGAGCAGACAGAACACCAGATACAAGGCCATAGGCCATGCCACGCAACAATCTGAAGCGCGGCCTTTGAATTTGCTGAGGAGTCATGAAGAAGGCGGTAGCAGAGTCGGCGAGCAAGATGGCAACAACCAGAAACAATGTCAGGGTCATCCAGACAACAAAGTTAGGATAGCCGAGCAGCTTCAGGAGCTGATCGAGGGAATGCGAGGGCTCTGGGAGAGCAGAGAAGCGAGATATTAGGACGGCACCAGCTGCGACGAGAAGAGTGCCCAGGGCAGTACGACGGGTGAAAGGTTCGTGGAGGAGCAGCGTGGCCATGAGAGCATTAAAAACAAGGCCCGAGGCCTGTAGAGTACTGAGTAGAGGAAGAGGAAGGGTGGTGATTTGGATGGAGGAGCCGACGATGTTGCTGAGGAGGAAGAGCAGCATGCCGAGCTGCCATCGTCGACGGCGGTAGGGGGCGCGGCGGGGGAGGTGTTTGTCCTTTTCGTCCTCGAGCATGTGTGACTTGCGCTGCAAGGTGAGGCCGACGGATTGAACGCATGTCGATATGAGGCCGACGACGACTCCCAGCTAGACTTGTGAATCAGACGAGCAGCAAGAGTGTCTAGAGTCGTGACTTACGCCAAGAGTGGCACCGGGCGACAATGAGGCCATGGTTACGAGAGGGGGGACGGCGAGGGTCGAAGAGACGGAATGTGGATTATCAGGACGGTCGGCGAGACATGTTGGAGCGAGGGACTCGTGGTTGTTATAGACTCGCGGCCGTGTTTAACCTCGGAGTCGTGGCTGGAGGCGTTGCAGGTGGCCTTGCCTTTGGACGGCGCACGCGCGACCTGCTGGCTGCTGCCTCTGGATTGCGGAGAGACGGCGCCGGCTTCAACGTCACTTCCCTGGATACTGCATATCCACACTTCGACCTTCTGCAGCCCTTTGACACACTCTCTCTCTACCCGCACACACCACCCGCAATCTCACCGCCGCCATGTCGCAAACTCACGCCATGTCCGACGACCAGGTATCTCTCCCGTCTGCATGTCAACCTGCGACACGTCCTAACAAGCTCGTCGCCTACAGGTCGCCTCGGAGCTGCGCAAGATGACTGCCTTCATCCGTCAAGAAGCCCTGGAAAAGGCCCGCGAGATCCACCTCAAGGCCGACGAGGAGTTTGCCATTGAGAAGTCGCAGCTCGTGCGCAACGACACTCAGTCCATCGACTCGCAGTACGAGAAGAAGTTCAAGCAGGCCGCCATGTCCCAACAAATCACAAAGTCTACCCTTTCCAACAAGACGAGACTGCGCCTGCTGAGCGCCCGCCAGGAGTTGCTCGACGACTTGTTTGAGCAAGCCAACAACAAGCTCGCCGACATTACCACCGACGAGGCCAAGTACCAGGACATCCTCAAGAACCTCATCCTCGAGGGTCTCTACGCTTTGAACGAATCAAAGGTTTCCGTCCGTTGCAGGTCAAAGGACGACGCCGTTGTTCGCAAGGCTGCCGATGCTGCCCAGGAAGAGTACAAGGACAAGATGAACGGCCGCGAGACTGAAATCAAGATTGACGAAAAGGACAAGCTGCCGGAAGAGACGTACGTGCCGATAAAGCCATGTTCCCACTGCTCGCTAACCACTCACTCCCAGATCCGGTGGTGTCACCATCGTCAACTCTACCGGTAGAATTGACATCAACAACACCTTCGAGGAGCGTCTTCGTCTGCTCCAAACCGAGTCTCTTCCCAGCGTGCGAGCCACCCTCTTCGGCGAGAACAAGAACAGAAAGTTCAAGGATTGATTCTCTTTGTCTTGTCCCCCTCTAATCACCGTCCAACCTCCTGTTTTGCATACTCGAGTACCCGGAGCCAGCGCCATCTGTAGATATCGCTTTTCTTTGCTTTCTGTCCTCTACGCAATATACCTCGTTACCTCTCAACGTCTCGTCTTTTGTTCCTACTGTCCATGCTCGTGCCAACAACCTCGCCCAAATGCTACTGCTCTCCGCCTCGGTTTTCGTTATTCGTGTCCTGCTCACGTCTTGTGACAAAGCTTCTAATCACATCGCTCGTGCCCTCGGCCGTGCCGAATATGCCTCTCTTGGGCTTCGGCCTGGTCCTTGCTGCGAACTCGAGTCTGTAAGATAGCTTTTCGATCGCTGTCTTGCACTCGGTCCTTCGCATATGCGTGGCTCCTGAATCTCGGATGTTGAAAGCTATCGATCGCAACTCTGTCACTACCTCGTCTATGGCCGAGTTGAAGTTGCTCTCTTCTACCGACGGCGCTGACCTCGATGCCACTGTGCTTGTGTTGACTGGACTGTCTGTTTTAATCGTGGTTGCCTCGCTGCAGAACTCGAATCTTGACAACCCAGCCCCGATAGCTACGTCCAGCGTATCAAATCGAGCTGCCATTTTGTGGAAGTCGGTGTTGTCTCTGATCTTGAATGTCTTGTTCTCGTGCAGCCACGTCGTTAACACATTCATGGTCGCCGGGTCCTCAAGGTCGTCAGTGAGGTATGTGTTGGACTTCAAGAATGATGCCAACGCTAATCGCCGTTTGAATACATGGGAGGCGCCCATGTATGAGGGAAGAGATCCGATCAGATGCTGAATCAAGATCGGATTCGATATGTGTGCGCGAATGCGTTGTCCAACGTTTTCGGTCTGGAGTTCCGGTTAGCATGAGCCTGAATGTGCGACCATGAGTGGAGTAGAGACATACTGTTGTGGCTCGGATATGAGATCCAGAATCGGCTTCGAGCAAGTCCGCGATACAACTTTGGAGAGCTAGCTGGGTATCAAGTTTCTGTTCCACTTGCCGATCCACAAGCAAGAGCATCAAAGGTGCCAGCCAGCTCCTCCTTTCGGCAACATGCAGTCTGCAAGTTACAGTCAGTCAATGTTTGTTGGGGGAAGCCATCGGCATTCTTACCTCATCGCAAGCCTGCTCAAAAGCACACATGCCCAGTCGACATGTAAAGGCATCGTCTCCACGTGAGGTCTTTGGTGAGCAGGAGGAGGCATCGTTGCCATGTTGGAAAACAAACCCAGTTCGAGATCCTCTCTACCTGCTCGCAGAAGAAATTGTCTACGCAGGTGGACGGTTGTGAAGGGGTTGTTGGAAAACGAATGCTCCAAGGCATCCACGTAGGCATTAGCCAGACTGCCTTCGAGATCCTGCAGTAGTTCGGAGAGCATCCATTGAACATGTCCATCAGGTAGAGCGGATACGCGAGCCATATCTGCCACAAAACCACATCTGAACAATTCTTCCCTGGCGTCCTGGTCTTGTAATGTGCTTGTCCAGTCTTCTAGGGTAAGACTCGCGGTTGGGAATGGCTTAGACAGGTGTGCTCGAGGGTCGGCATGTCTGAAGAAAGGGTACTGAACCTTCTTTTCCAGGACGTCGTTGCGCTCGATAGCTCGCACGACGCGTTCCCTCGTCTCATCGTCGCCGTCGTCTGCCTGCAGCCTAGCGGCAAATTCTGCAGCATTCATGTCAGACGCCTGCCTGAGCTCTTGCTCGTGGCGTGCTGTAAGATCCATCTCTTGCCTGTATTCTTCCTCGTATTCTTGGATTTTCTGCATCGACCGAGCGTCTTTGTTGTGCGAGGCAACCAGCGAAGCCATACTAAACTTGTATTTCTTACGGGGAGGTTGAGCTAACTTGGATCTGGTAGTGGATGTCCTGTCGCGACGAGTGGCACTCCTCAACTCGCGCGCAGGATTGGATTGGCTTTGAGGTGTCTCTGAAGAGGTGGTGGGTGGTGTCATCTTCATGCGCTTTCGTCGGATCAACTCGTCGATGTCGTCCAAGGGGTCCGAATCGGCATCGATACTGTCGGAGTCCGAGTTTGTCACAGCTAGCATGCCGTCTCGAACGATACGTTTACTCGATGATTGAGAGCTAATCGGAAGGCTGGATAGTGACGACGAAGACACGGAGGGATCCATAGCTGGCTGCTTCTTGGAGAGGGTGGGCGGAGGCGAGGGAGGGCTGGGGCTGGACTCGTGCGATGTGAGAGGGCTCAGCTCTCGCGGGATGTGTGAAGCAGGTGCATGGTACACGGGTGGACTCGAAGATATTGGCGTAGGAATGGGATCGTCTATTCTTGGTTCTTTGGATGGCAAAACGTGAATAGCGCGAACACTTGGGATGGCATGTCTTTTGGATGGCATGGATGAAGCAGAAGGCGCACTCTGCTGTTGCTGTTGTTGCACCTTGGTGGCTGTGGCAGGCGCGTTTTGAGGCTCAGACACGCTCCTTCCCTCTCGGGCAGTTGTGTGCTTGACTTTTGGCTGGGCGAATGGTTTGAAGAAGTCGGTTATGTCACGGTTCGGCCTGGGGGCCATTTGTTAACAATGCTATCGAGTCGGCCGTGCTGGGCTGTATGATGTGAAGGTCGGATAAGAAAGTTAAGGCTACACTTGGGTGCCCGCGTCTCGCGACTGCCAAATTGAAAAGTGACGCGTGCCGAGCCGACGACGCGCTGCTGTCGGCTGGTGCTCTATAACAAAGCTGGGACGTTTGCTTTCTGGTCTTGATGTTTCCATGTCAGCTCTATCAATTCACTCGGCCACGACAATTTGACATTTTCTCATAAACAACATCGCCATCTGAATTCTGATCATTGCATCGAGACGTCACCACTACTACATGGATCATGGACGCATCAAATCGCACGTCTGGTCGCAGAAGGCTGCCTAGTAAGAGATATACCGTCGATGCCTTTGAAGGGCTTGATATTGACGATGGTGCCTCTCTCCCCATCGAGACGCTTGATGACAACGAAGACGATGATTTCCATGTGGACCCCAATGCATCTCCTGAACCACCGGATGACGACCTCTCGATTGATGGCGCTGCCGAGGAAGAAGAAGAAGATGATGAAGGAGAAGATGAAGGAGAAGATTATCAATTCCGTCGCGACCTCGTTTCCGACGACGAGTCAATTGCTGGAGGTCCCGAAATTGATGCTCCAACCATAACCCGTGGTTTCAAGAGAGTCAAGTTCGACGAGATCGCAAAAATGAAGGGCGACCCTAGGTACAACCCCCGTGGGTTGCTTGAGCCCGCTGCACGTGGCTCTAAAGAGCTACAACGATTGTTCTTCTTCGGCCCTGCCAAGCATGATCAGATGCCCGCCCTCAAGTCTCATTACAGATGGGGCGCTGAGCTTACTATCCCAAGTCATGAAGAGAACGCTGGTGGATTCGGTGGCTTCAAGGCGAGTTACTACCACGGCGATGCAGCCATGAAAACCGAGTCGGAAGAGGGCTGGGAGTGGTATGAGAAAGAAGGTGGTAAAGAAAGCTTCAAGTATCACCAGCAGTCCATTTCCTTGTCTCCACAAAAGGCTCAAGTATACATATCGCCTGCTGCCCTTCAGATCTGCAGACTGCTCATGGGCCCATACAAACGCCAGTCTCTCTATGAGCTCAGGCTACACGAAAGCCTCAACCTGAACGATCCATGGGTACCAGGGAGCCCATCTGCTGACACACCAGCACCGGCTCAAGATGTTAAATCGCTCAGGAATGGATGGATGCTCAACCTAGGCGAAAAGGTGCAGCATCTCGAATGGGTCCCAAACATTGAAGGTCCAAGACAGTTTTTGACTGTCACAACTTCGCCCTTGATGGGCTCAGACCCGGAAGAACAAAAGTTTGCCGCACCTTATGCACCAGCCTTCGCTCCACGTCCGCCATCGAAGTCTTCCATACAGATCTGGGAATTCCGCGCCACTCCTCAAGGACATATTGACGCTGCTTTTGCCCCCTTTCTCCAAAAGGTCATCTGCTCTGAATGGGGAGACGTCAAGACGTTCAAGTGGTGCCCGATGCCTCGCAAACTATCCCCAGAACAGCCATTAGCACGTATGAGCCTCGGCATGCTGGCTGGAATCTGGGCAGATGGTGCTTTGAGAGTACTGGACGTCTTTGTCCAGGACAAAGACAATGAGGAAACCGAGTATGAGTTGGTCAAATCTGCTGCATTTACTGCTCAACCACCGAACACGATATGCACATGCTTGACGTGGCTCAGTTCAACCAGTGTTATTGCTGGATGCGCCAACGGATGTATCGGTGTCTGGAATATTCCTTCTTCGCTTCCAATCGCATCGGCGGAAGACCAGCGAAGCTCAAATGCCGAGCCTGTTCTGTTTACCCCAATATCACCCACCTACATACTCAACGTGACCACCTGTTATCCGTCACGCCCGAACATCATGATCTCATCTTCGATGTCGGGCCATATTCAAATGACTGACCTGATGGATACGACTTCCAAAGCAACCATGACTCCTGCAGCGACAGTAAGAGCTAGTCGCTCCCGTGTTGGAAGATCCGTCCTCGTGTGGCATGAGTTCGCTCAGGTCATCCTCACAGTCGATGATAATTTTACTCTCGTCGCATTTCCCATCCGGCGATTCTTTCGTCAGATCTCATTCACACGCTACCTAAGCTCGGTGGCGTGTCTTGCTTATAGCCCTGTTCACCCATTCGTAATGGCCGGATGCGTTGGTGGTGAGGCTATTAGCAACAACCCTCTGCGTCGTGCTTATGAGAACAAGGTTCCTATCTGGAACCAGACCTGGTTTACGCATGAATGGAGACAAATCGGCACTAGAGAGTCTATAGTCGCTGGCGCTTCCGATAGTGATCAAGTCATGGGAGGTGTACCGAATGAGCTTAGAAGCCAGGTGACAAGCACAGAGAGCAGAGCAAAGGGCGATTCACAAGAAATCAGTCGGGTGCTGGAAGGGTTCAAGTGCAAGGAGATCAAACTGTTCAACACCGAAGACGCATTCACTCATCGGGAAAACGGAGCGGTATACTCGACCGTTTACGATCTAAAGACATCAATCAAGTCGATGGCATGGAACCCAAATCTCCATGTTGGTGGGTGGATCGCTGCAGGTATGGCGAATGGTCTCGTCAGAGTGGAAGATGTTGCATCGTGAGGACTCTGCGAGGTGAAAGGCGTAACGGTTTTCCTTTAAGATACCCCTGTACGCTAGATTTGTGGCGTTGCTGATGACATACGCATGTTTTCCTCCGTTGACGCCTATAATCTCTCCATGCGCTACATCGACAAGGCTGCACAGTGATGTTTGGATCTCTATACGGAGAGGTGAGACAAAACAGGCCCTTTTTAGTTGCGCTATTCTTGTCTCTATCTTGTGGTAAGATGAAGAAGAAGTGAAGAGGTATACTATCCGAACGCACAGTAGTTCTCTGAATACAAGTGTGGCCGTGGAAACACCTTTAGAACAATCTGTCTCCACAGATATTACTCTTTATTGAACAATACTGTGCATTCTTGTACTGAGGCGTGCTGATTCCTCAGATAGGGATCTTTTGTGCCACACTTCTCCAGTAGTCACACCGTTGAGTCAGTTGTGCAGTTGACACGTCAGAAAACCCATCCTGCGCGATCACGAATTGATTTTCCGACTGCAGTTCTGGCACACCCGCCACCGAGTCGTTCGTTAACTTGTGAGCATTAGGGTCGCCTGTCTCGAGGAACGAAGCAAAGGCTCCGGCATATCCTTGGTATATAAAAGAGTCAGTCTGCTGGATTGAATTGACCTGGTTCCACTGCATAGTATATCAGCAGTTAGCCCTGAGAGGGGGTGATTTTAGACTTACATAGATGGTGTCTGATGCGTGCTTTGCAGGTGCAATGGTGTATTCGCCAAGGTATGACTTTTTATGGGCAGCGCTAGCCATCCAGTATGCTGGACAAGCCAGGACGGTGTCCCGAAAGATGAGACCCGCCCGAACATGGGTCGTGTCATAGCTAGGTAGACCTTCTGCCGATCCTCGTGCCGGATACAAGGACAGCACCCGTGATCTATCGCGATCAGATAAGCCTGGCAGATAACCCTTCAACCATGCAGTGAGGGATTTGACTGATGAGTTAAAAGGTGGTGAGCCTGAGCTCTCTGTGTGCTGGAAGCCCGGAGGAATAAAGTTCTCGCCCTCACGCAGATTGTACATGCCGAATCCATAATCAACGTTGACTTGGCCTTTAGCTGTAGCAGAAGAGAGTGGTTGAGTCAGGAAAGTACCATCAATGACAGGTGACCAAGTATAAGATGATGTGTTGTATGTATGGGATCCCGCGATGGTCAGTGAAGCATCCCTAATAGCTTGCACGTCTACCGTCTTCAGACACTGCAGAGAGTTTGGTCCGGAGCAACCAGTGAGATTGGCAAGAGAGTCGTAAAGAGCCTGAGCCTGAGGTGCGTTGTACTTGTAGGTCTTTGGCCAGAATGGAGACGAGGCCAAAGCCTTGGAAAACAGCGATGGACTGGTCTTGCCATTCTGAGCTATGACCTGGGCCACCACACTACCTGCGCCGGCAGATTGACCCCAAATGGACACATTGCTAGGGTCGCCTCCAAACTCCGAGACGTATTTGTTGGTCCATTTCAACGCAGCGTGTTGGTCCAAGAGCCCAGGGTTCAAGTCAGACATTGCATCTGCAGCAATCTCCTTGCCTGGAAGAAGGCCAAAAGCATTGACTCTGTAGTTAGTGTAAACAAAGACTAGGTCGTTGGAACTGGACACATTAAGCACCGGGTAGCCTTGAGGAGAGTTAGCTCGCACTTGGACCAATAAAACACAAGATGATAAACTCACCTGACGGCGGAATGGAAAAGTAAGCACTGCCTTGGATAAACCCTCCGCCATAGAATACCACAACAACCGGGCGAAGTGGCTGTCCTCTACTCCAAGGTCTGGAGTACAGACCGAGGTACAAGCAGTCTTCGGATCCATTGACTGTTCGTTGGGGGCACATGTCGAAAGACTGTGTGGAGTCATACGTTCCATTGACGATAGATGTGGGTGGCTGCGGCCCTCTGAAGCGATTTTGTCCAGTTGGAGGAGCGGCGAATGGAATCTTCTGCCAGTAGCTTAGGTTATATCTTGCTGAGTATGACCCTTGGAAAGTCCCGTAGTCCAGCTCAGCCTCCAATGCAGGCGTACAAGTACATAGCGAGATGAACACTAGCAGTACGCAAAGATATGCCTCAAGTCGCAAGGTCGTCATATTCTGCTATCAGTTTCAAGTAGGATGGGATGAGGCCCTTGTACGTCGTTGATGTTGCAACATATATTCACAGGTGTTCGGGGTTCGGATGAATAACTCTTACAACCCCTCTTTCTGAGCCATCATCGCCTCCCTTTCCGCAGAAGCATGCCTCGAACATAGCTACGAGAATGTACGATGGCTTTGGAACTGGAAGCTTTTCCGCAGAGAGACGCCGTTTCGATAAGATTTCCATGGACACCACTTTGCCTTGCAAAAGCATTGCGCATTTGTATAGCTGACGACATCAGTGTGTATCTCCGTAGAAGCGAGCTCGAGTATGAGGATGTGTCTAAATTTTAGCATACGGGAGAGGGGTTGATGTGCGATTTTCAGTGGCTGTGATGAAAGATGGGGTAGCATGGAGCAAGGCTCGGTTGAATTGAAGCCGAAACTAACAATTTCGCGACCTACTCGACTGCTTGGATCCGGAGAAATTGCAAAGAGGGCGTACCATATCACAAGCATACCGGCGATTGTGTCAAATACCGACTTTGAGATCTCCAGCGACATGACTCCAGAGCTCTTCAATGAAAGCGTTCTGGCGCTCACCCTTTCTAACTGCGAGATATCGTCTCTCGTCGATCCTTGGGTGCCAATTACCCTTGTTAGCATCGACAATTTGACCGCCGGCTTCTTCTAGGATCACCCAACCAGCACAGACGTCCCAAGCCCAGCACCCTGCTTCCCAGTAGGCATCTAAGTGCCCAGCAGCAACACCACACAAATTCAGAGCAGCAGAACCGAATGACCGGATGCCGTGTACCATGGCACCACCTTCCTCCGGACTGGCGCATAGGTTGCGGAAAGTTTCGACTTTGATGTCGTAGTCGTGGCCGGCTCGATCGCTTCCCCATTCGACGGCTACGAGAGCCTTGTCAAGAGCGAGAGGCTCTGGGTCCTTCAATGGCAGACGTACGTGATCATGGGAGGGATCAGTCAAGAAGGAGCCAATACCTTTGGCTGCAGAGAACAAGGTCTGCGTGAAGGGGTTGTATACGACGCCGACTACAGGCTTTCGATCGATGGCGAGACCCAAGGAGATACTGACATATGGGTATCTGTGGACCAGGTTGGTAGTTCCATCGACAGGGTCACAGATCAGGGTTGGTCGAGGAGACAAAGAATCACCAGGTTGGTATGTCTCTTCTCCCATGAATCTGAGTTAAGCTTGTAAGCCCTGTGACGAGTCAAGGTAGATTGGTGAAGCGCACTCGAAGTGGGGATACCTCTGGTGAACAAGATCGGTGATGAGGCGTTCAGTAGCCTGATCAGTCTCTGTTACCAGATCAACTGAATTCTTCTTCTCACCTGCCGCTGTGGTTGACGGACGAGCAGCAGTAACGATACGGCCTGCTTGTTTTGCAACGTCGACCAAGTAGTCATGGACCTCCTGAAGATTGATGTCTGACATGATCAGTATCTCAACGTACTGACAGCTAGACTTGCTTGAGGTTTGGGGCAAACAAGAAGGATAGCACACACGGAAGGAATGGGTGGGAGAAGAGGGTTGAAGCAATCGATCGACATGACGATGCCTCCCGTGTGCTAAAGTTTGTAACTTGCCAACTCCGCCCACAGTCCTCCCACGAAGGCATAGGCGTGAACGGTGCTGTAGAGACGCGCAATCATCTCTAGAATGTGGAAAGGGCACAAAGGGAGCTACAGATTTCGCAGCCCTCAGTGGATCACTCCTAGTCCTCGAGACTATTGTGCATCTGTACAGCTGCGCGCGTTACAAACTTTAGCCCATGGGGAGGCAGGGTCCAAGTATGTGGAGTTTGCGGAGCTAAGTGACATGGCTAACCACGAAGTGAAGTGGCGCACAGACCTGTTTCCAGAACGCGACGAGCAAACACGTCCACCTCGAGCAGCTTTCCAATCTTCCAACACGCCCGACTGCACCAATGGCGCCTTTCAAAGACGAGCAGATCTTGGTAAGCTTCCTCCGCGTTTGCTCAATTCCCATCTCCACCCACTCACTCTCGTACGCCTACCAGATCATCGCGCCTGGCTCGCGAACAACTCTTGCCCAGCTCGGCCTCCCCGAATCTCTGACCCCGGCACGTTTTCGAGTGCGCTCATGCATGTTCCCTGCCGAAAAGCCTGGCGAGTTTGAACCAAATAAAGTCCGCCGGAAAGAATCCCCTCCCACCCAAGCCGATAGTGATCCCGAGTACGAAGAGGATGTCCTGTCCGAGCAGGGCGCCGTCTGGCCAATTCAACAAGGTCGCATTGTCGACTGGGACTGTTTCTTCGCCTTGATCGACAATGTCCACCGCAACATCAACCCCCCCTTCCACACTGCGATCCTACTCATCGCCCAGCCGATATGGACTCCCAAGGAACACGAGAAGATTGCTCAGTTCATTTTTGAAAAACTAAAGCCCCCAGCCTTTGGCTTGATGGACGCTGCCTCGGCCACATTGTACGCCTATGGTGTGCCCACAGCCACCGTTGTCGACGTGGGCTACGAAAAGGCCGACGTCACTGCCATCTACGACTATCTAATCCACGATACAGGCCGCGCCCTGAGCGTGCCTGAGTGCGGTGGAGAAGCCCTGACTGAGCGTCTCTTCCAACTCCTCTCCTCGAGGGGTTTCTCCAGAGAAGTTTGCGATCAGCTGAAGAAGAGTCCCATCTGCGAGATCCTAGACGGCGACCTCCCAACCGAGAATGCCGCTGCTGCCTCAGATCAACCATCCAACCCTGCTGCCGCTGCCAGTACTGGCGCAGAAGGCTCAGGCCCCGACCAGCGAACGACTACCGCTGCTCTTGGTGAAACTCCTCTAGGACCAGGCCCCGGCACTCAAGTTGGCAGCGAACAGAAAGATGGTGAGGACAACGAGGGTGTGCTCGATATAGCCAGCATCGTCACAGGCGGAAACATGAGTGAATTCCTGGAACGCAAAGAGAAAGAAAAGGCTGAAAGGCTAGCCGCAAAAAAGAAGGGCACCGAAGCTGGTCCGGTTGGCGCAAAGCCCGCAAGACTTCCCAACTCGAAGAGGGTTAAGAACACCTTCATATATGAGGATCACAACTTGCGCAATGCCATGAAACAACAAAACTATAGCGACCAGCAGATTGCAGATATGCAAGCCGCTGTCGATGTTGGCCCTGCAAAGAAGAATGACGCAGATGCTGGTGATGCAGACCGACCCATGACTGACGGTACTCAGGACGAACAGCATCTACATGGCGGAGCTATCCGTCGAGAAGCTGAGGTCGGTATCGAGCGGTTCCAAGCTGCTAGTGGTGGTATGCTGGACAGGCTGGTCGATGTCATCTATCGCACTGTTTCTTCTGTGGAGGAGGTGGGCAAGAGAAGCGAGCTGTGGGATTCACTGATCATCGTCGGCAATGGATCAAAGGTTCGTGGCTTTAAGGAAGCTCTCTTGAGCACGCTGCAGACAAAGTACCTGATCTCACCATCATCGGCCACTATCTTCACATCAGAGCTCCCGTCTAACCTCTCAACGCCAATGGCAACCGGTGCCAACACGCCCCAGCCATCAATACCCCCACACTTGAGCTCTGGTGTCAACCCTCTCCTCTACGCTGCAACTACGGCACAGAACCCGCAGCTGAACCCTTTGAACGGTGGAATGCCGGGCGGACACATGCCTCACAGCTTGCACACCTCGCATGCGCAATCGCCTACAAGCTTGAAACTCGCCAAGATGCCAGAATACTTCCCGGAGTGGAAGGACGCGGGTTATGAAGAAGCAGTATTCCTCGGAGCTCAGGTGGCTGCAAAAGTGCTCTTCATGGTAGATCAAGGGTTGAGCAAGGGATATATGACGAGGACAGATTACAATGAACAAGGACCTCAGGGAATTCACGATTGCAGCATGTAACGAGACTTGGATAGTGGTATATCTGATTGTTGGCAAGGCTTTGACGGGTCAAACAAGTCTAGCATGTCGTTCAGTTCAAGAGCATGAGATTGAGACATCTCGCTTAGTAGGAATGTGACCCATTTATCACTACATCAATCATCAATCAAAATATATTGTCTCTCTCCATGGAGGACAGGAGTCGATACTAAGTGTGTTGAGAAGCTTATCCGGTGTTCTTCAGGTACCTTCGACGAGAGACAGGCACTCTCTGGTCGTCGGCATCCTCGTGGCTGGAGGGCCTGGACCAAATCGTGCGTCCGGAACGGAAGCGTTGAATAGTAGTTCCCTAGGCCTTTGTATCAAGTGGTGGCATCCCGTATTGCGCCGAGAAGCTTTACCCCACTAGTAGAATCATGTGGTGTGGGTTTTGTCTGAAGAATGACTCGAGTTGTTTCATTGGCCATGGGTCACAAGCCATAGATGATTGTTCATCCAACGAAGCCAAGCGCGCGGGCAATGCTACCAGCTACACGGATGGGACGTGAACCTTGTCGTTGCATAGAGGCATATGGCGGGAAGAAGGGCGTGGCCGTCGGGCCGGTGTGTTGGGGGTTGTGGCTCTGTTCAACAAGGTGGCTCTATTATTTCCACGATCTGCGCAGACTGCGGGTGGATCGTGCAGCCACAGGGGCCCGAAACGAGCTTCTGAATACAGTAGCAGCATTCATCGTTTTGGCGTCTTCAGGTTTGCAATTTTTCCTTTCTATTCCTCCCTCTCGTTCCTCTTTTATTCTTTTGCACTCGTCTGCCGAGGTTGCCGCAGCAGTTTAGCCGACTACGAGTATCGCGCACATCGCATCCCGCTGGCAGGTGCACATCCACTCTCTCGCTCAGCGTGATAGACTCGGTCGGGGTAACAGTACCTCGAGCCCGTACTCGGACGCGTAACTTAAAGCTACTCGATCGCCTTCGAGAAGGTTTTGCGTCTGCCGCCGCCATCAAAGTTTTGGCCTCTTCAGACTTCATCCATCCGAGTCCTGAGTCCTGAGTCCTGAGTCCTGACGCGGCCAGTCCGAGCTAGAGAAAAAGTGCTGTCTGTTCGCATCTGAACCCCACGCTCGTCCTCTCAAACCCGACCATTGTTCTAGAACAGAAGTCGGCTCGCCGAGGAAGCCGTCGGAAAACGTTTCGACGTTGCCATCTTCTCCATCCTTGGTTTCTCGTCCTCTCGGCCCTCCCTGCACTGGTTTCTTCGTGCGTTTCAACCTGTCGAACTGTTGCAACTCCCGGCATCACCAGTCCCGACGCTCCCTGTTGCTACATCAAAGAGACGGATAGACACCACTACCCTAGACCCGACGCATACATCGTCCCTTTCCACCCTGAACCTACTGCGACTGGCGATACGACCTGCGCGCGACGACTCAACACGACACTGCTGCCGCGCATCTTGACATGACGACTCTTGAGCAGCCCGCTCGCCATATCCACTTCAGCTCAAACTACTCGACACAATCCTCAGCCAGGCCGATTCCCGTCCTCACCACCAGCGCTCCCGACTCGGACGCTTCTCCCGACCCAATGGATACCAGTTCCGACATCGCCGCCCGCGATTCCCAGAATGCCAGTCCTAGAGGGGATAAGCAACACATGCAATCTGGAAACCCCCTCGACCAAGACACACAATCCAGCCTGCGCAATGGAGCCATTGGCCAGCACGCAGTCGGCGCTGCTGCTGCCGCACAACAACCAAAGGCTATCAGCGCAGCCTTCATCCACAAGTTATACAGGTAGCCCTCTCTCCTGCTCCTTGCGCTCTGCAGTGACTGATCCTCTGTGCAGCATGCTCGAAGACCAGAGTATACAGCATTTGATTTCCTGGTCCAGCACTAACGAAAGCTTTGTCATGTCACCTTCCACTGAATTCTCCAAAGTTCTTGCGTAAGCAATTCCCCTCAAACGATGGGCAGTCATAGACAGCTGACTCTTGACCAGATCATATTTTAAACACACCAATATTTCATCTTTCGTCCGTCAATTAAACATGTACGGCTTCCATAAAGGTAATACTGCGGGACCGTATTGTTAAGTACAAAGCTAATGGTGACAACAATAGTGAGCGATGTTTTTCATACAGGATCGCCCGATTCGCCTTTGTGGGAATTCAAACATGGCGCCAACAATTTCAGGAGAGGCGACTTGAATGGCTTGAGAGACATCAAACGCCGAGCTTCCAGGCACACTTTGATACATCGTGATTCTTTCTCAAATGCGACACCCAAGATGACGCTTCAGCCACCTCCTCCTCCGCCTCCTCCCGGTGCACCAATGGAGCAATCAATGCCAGATCCTGTCGAGGCCCGGCTGAGCATGCTAGAGTTCAATCTTCAGGACGTTTACGCGAGGTTGGCTAGGTCAGAGGATGCATATGCAAATCTTAGCGCCAAATGCCAGATGTTGTCAGACGGATTGGCAAGATGCCACTATGTAAGTTTCGTGCGAGCACTGACTGTGCGTATCAATTATTGACTTGAAATCAGTGGAGTGGCGAGTTGTCGTCTCAACTTCTAGGAATGGCACCTGACCCGGATACGCCTATTCACAGAGATGTATCAGCCTTGCGCGCCGAGATCAACAGAAATGCCGATATTCTGAGATCACACGAAGTGCCCCACGAAATTCTGCAGCCGACTCGTCCTCCATACATGAGTGCGCCTTCTTACGATCACGGTGGTCCTGTTTCGCCGCGCCAACAAGCAATGGATGCTTCTCGTAGACCTTCTTTGCAACCCAATTCTCGCACTTCTTCCTTCAGAACACCCATGCCTCCGCATATGACAGCATCGCCTCACAAATTTGGTTCTCTCAGCGGACCGTCTGGTCCGCCATCGCCTTCGTCCAGGCAACCTGCACCGCCACCACCACCGCCGCCAACTTACACGACGCTTCCGCCTCCGCCGGCGCCAGCGAACGCGGCACAAGCCTCCCTGCAACATCGCCCAGCATCACCTCCTATGAACCTTTCACGACGCCATACTTCGGCAGACATCAGGCTCCAAGGATGGAACGGCCCGCCGCACGCAATTCCTCCACCACCGCCCCCACATGGAGGCTCACCTTTCACGACAGTAGGACAGAATTCTGCACAGTGGCCGACGTCTCCCTTCCGCCAAGGCAACAACGAAGGCCAGCAGATTAGGGATACTTTGGCACAATATGAGCTGCCACGCGCGACATCTAGACTCGGCTCTAGGCAGACAACACCGCCCGACGCAGGCCCTCCATCGTACGCCAACAACAGTGGCGAGGCGGGATGGCAGCTCCCCGGGCCAAAGTTCTCGTTCAAGGGCGTTGAAGCTTCAGCACCAGGAACTCGACGCAGTAGCATGGCTAGTAACGTGCACTCACTGCTCAACCCTACGGCAGATTCAAACCATGAACGAGATGGAGAAGACGGGCCCGAAGACAGGAAGCGCAAAAGACTAGGATAGAAATTTGATATGGAGCAATCCAGCCATTTATGCATAGCGTTCTAGAAGAATTTAGGTATAGAAGTTGAACATGTCCCACAAGCAGTATATGGCCTTTGAACGAAAGTGGCATGTGCAGGAAAATAGGACCGAGTCAGCGAGCGGTCAAAGGTTCGCTCGGGACCGGCCGCAGCGATGGCAGTCCCTGGGTTTGCGGGTCTGGCCTCGGCGGGCAGCAATGGACTTGAGTGGGTGCGGAAAAATAAAAATTATTGTTGGACCGACGACGCAGTTTGTGGTTGTCGCATATTCCTACCTCCACTTGCATTCTTATCGCACACGCGCAAACCCACTGGGCCAAGATGGTGCAAAAAGTCTATGTCACGTACAACGATGTATGAACGCCAGCTCGAGGCGCGGGCACATGTCGCAGAGTGTCGACGCTTGACTGACAGGTGGGCAGGTACACAAGCTCTGCCAGAACTCGGCTGAGCGCATTCTGAACGACTGCAAGCCCAACCTCATCATCGCCATCGGTGGCGGCGGCTACGTGCCTGCCCGTATCCTGCGTTCCTTCCTCAAGAAGCCCGGCAGCCCCAACATCCCCATCCAGGCCATTGGCCTCTCCTTGTACGAGACGCTCGGCACAGAGACCCCCGAAGAGGTTCCCGGCACAAAGGTCACTCGCACACAATGGCTGGATCTGTCCGCTCTCGAGATGGCCAACCTGATCGGCAAGAACATTCTCATCGTTGACGAGGTCGACGACACACGCACAACCCTCGAGTACGCCGTGCGCGAGCTGCAGAAGGATGTCGATGCTGCTACCGAAAAGCTTGGCCGCACCACCGAGAAGACCACCTTCTCCATCTTCGTCCTGCACAACAAGGACAAGACCAAGAGGGGTACTCTCCCCGAGGACATGGTCAAGCCCGACCACTACGTCGCTGCCGTCACTCTTCCTGACTACTGGATCTGCTATCCTTGGGAAGCTCAGTACGTTTCTTGCTCTTGCTCTTCTCGTTGCTCCATGGCTAACCACTCTCATCACAGGGACATTGACGAGCACGACCGCAACGCTGCCGAGCAGGCCAAGCAACAATAGATCTTCACGAACAATCCGGCGGATGGGGAAAACATAATACGGCGTTTAGGGTAGAGCTCGTCAAGTTCATGAATCCAAACTTTAGAAATCTTCCAAATCTTGCATCACCCGTTTCTCCCCATGTCGTCTTGCTGGGCGGAGCACCCTGGCTCAAGAGATATCTTCCAACATACCACTATTCCACACTCATGTTCGAGTCTCTCAGTCCGTCGCTATAATCAGTGAGATCTTCGTGGCCATTCCTACCTATTGGGATGGTTGTTATTGTGATAGCCAACTGCCACGTTCGATTTCTGCAATTCAGAATACTCCGATCAGAAGAACGCCTGGCTTTCCCATTCCTGCCATGCGCCGGGATCACGAGACCTCCACCTAAGCAAAGGCGTGTAACGCGGACAGCTACAGAAACTCTTTATCAGAAAGGAGGCATCAACCAAGAGCCATGGTTTTGTCGGTATCAACCTTGCTACCGTCCTCAAAGAACCATGCATTTTTCTGAGCGCGGGGTAACAGAATTCAGCACAAGGGGGGGAAGCATCGTGATGTCAATCACATTGTTGATAGTGAATCACAGGCTATAAGCGAAGATAGTCTCAGTGACTCTATAAGTCAACTCAAATTGGCTCTCTGTGGTAAGATCGAGTAGGAGCAATCTCTACTTCAGCTAAAGCGATGATGCATGAGTTGTGTCTAGGAACGCAAAGTCACGATCTGCACGGATTGCACCGCATCCCGATATTGCTGTGTTGTATGACAGCCATAACGAGGAAAAATTTCTGGTAGAAGGAGAGGTGGTATGGATTTAAATCCATTATTCGTGATGATGTTATCTTTGAATACCAAACTCAGGTCGTCGCAAAGTCCGTAGCAGCAATGTCTGAGATTCCATATCAGCTCTGTGCATTGTTGTACGCGTGACATGCTATTCCTTACATGGCGAGGAGGGCCCGTTGCCTTCGAATCATCGTCTAGTTCACACGAGCGCCAGCTACGGGAGCGGGCATGGTGCCATAGCCGCGACCTCCGGTCTGCACGTTGTCGCTGTAGACGCCTGGAGCGTGGCTGTTGTCGAAGACGCCCGCGTTGCCCTGCTCCTGTCTGTTGTAGTAGACGTACTCGAGGTAGAAGGCGTGGATATGGCCAGGGAAGAAGCTACACCGTTGTCAGTACTTGTCACAAAGTGAATAAACAGAGACGCATACCCCAACAGTGTAAGCGCGATGTTAATAAGGAGGTCTGCGCCGCAGCCCGCGATCATGAACACGCCTACAGGGGGCAAAAATACGGTCAAAATGATCAGGAGAACCTGCGAAATCATGATGGCTGTTGTCTTGGTTGAGTTATGGGCGTCGGCGATGTCGTCGATAAGAAAGGATGAATGGTTGTTACTTGGACGCGCGGTATACAAGGTCACCAAACATTCACTTGCGTCATGGTCAACACTCAGCAGGATTTCGGCTTGGCTAAGTTGATTGAATTCAAGCTCGAGCCACCACTGTCCACTGTGCCCGTCTGCCCCATGTGCTTCTGAGAATCATGTCATGCCAACACAGAGAGCTCATGAGGAAATCATGATATTAGGGGCTCTCAGTGGCTGTCGCTATCGTCTAATAACAATCCTGCATTGCAATAGCTTCAATTCTGCCTTGTCGTCCATATGAGAGCAGGTAAGTAGGTAGGGTGTGCTAAAGTTCGTAACCCCCCAACCCTACAAAGGCACACTCGTTCCTAGCCTGGAGCAGTGTCCATATAGAGCCAATATCACATTGCGTTCTGATGAATACTGTCATAGTGCTCGAAAGCCTTGTGCATTTTTGATCGCTTTGTACATACAGACCTCGACGCAGGGAATTGGTCACTGGCAGACTTCAAAAAAAGCCGTGAACCATGTCAATTATTGGACCGCGCGTTCCTAATGCTACTCATCGCAGAAGTGATGTCCCAGTGGTCCGACATGCGACTGGTTCATATAGCTCGACCAGGATATGCGTCCGAAGCGTACAGCCCAGGATTTCTTCACCCTCTTCTGCGCAAAAGTGTCTCGACATCTCACATTCTGCCCGGAAGCAGACATAAGCCTCTGGAATATGATGTCGAGCTGTGATGCGCTTTGAGACACGCGTATTCCAGCACAAAGTCAGTGTGTATACGAGTACACATCAAACAGCAGTCATACAATATAGAGCTGTCAAGGATAGTCTGTTAGACTACGAGTTACGCATTCGAATGTAGAGTCAACTGAGCTGTAGACCTAGTAAGCATTGACCGATCAAAAATACACCAGAGCTGCCCACTCTCCCCTTGCCTTTTTCTCTACCTGTGGGTTTGACCTGACCGTCGTGAGACCTGAATTTACAGGCCCGCTTTCTTCTACACATTGGCAAGCTGACCTGCTCATTAGAGATACCAGCCGTATCACTTTTCTTATTGTGCATATTGAATAATACACGGCTTACAGACCTTTGCGCACGCAAGAAGTAGAAGAATCAAGGACTTTACCAAGGATTGTTCTCTTAAGAGCATCTTGACACGAACGTGACCGATTGCAAAATCAAAAGACCGTTGAAGGGGAAAAAGCTGGCCCGGACGTAGTACTACTCTCTGCTGTCAGAGCGACGCTAGGTAAGAGGATCGATAGAGGTTCATGGACGTCTACATCACACATCTCACGTGACATTACCGAGCTAGCTTGATTTGTTCAGAGAGCTCTCGAGCAAGTGATAAAATAGCCAGAGCCCATAGAACATCGTATTGTAACGTCGAGAAGAAGACGACTCCGATGAATGCTTGAAGAAAAGTCACTTGGAGTATTGTATCATTGAGACGCATGTCATCGTTGCTATATCTACCGAACGTATGTCCTTTGGTGCGACAGGATCCGCCATACCAGACTCTATGCCATTTTCAATCTTTTGACTCCATCGGCGCGAAAGCACTACTTTCGAAGGGTCAATTGCACGAAGGGAATCTCCACGTCTTCTTCCGTGGTATCCTCAGCAGTGATCTCGAAGATGACGTTCTTCTGGTGCTCGGGGATGGGCTTCTTGCTGATGGTTTCGACGAGTTCGCTCAGCCTAGCAATTTCATATTAGCAACTGTCACAGCATCACGCCTGGCTAGAGACTTACCTGAGAGGCAGCCTGTCCTTGTTCTTGGCAGCTGGGTAGAAGCTGGCGTATAGCAAGCTCACTCCAGAGCTGATCATAGTGATTTCCAGACCCTTATCAGCAAAGTCCTTGAGGAACTGCTCAAGAGTAACGTCCTCGGTGTCGAAGCGGTCCCAGAGCTTGTCAATCACAACTTCGCCGTTCTTTCCCTGGTATTTGCCCTTGGGTGAGGCAATGGGCTCGGAGAAGCCGAAGAATGGTAGGGCCAGGTTGATGAAGCCATTCTTGTATTGCTCAATGTCGTCCTTGCCATCGATGATCTTGAACAGCTCCAGAACCACGAGACCAGTCACCAGAGCGGTGGTGGTTGCAATGGCGGGGATAATCTTGCCTGCAATGAACTTGGTCTTGTGGCGGTCAGCGTTCACAATCTTGTAGTTCTCAGCACGCAAATTGCTGGCAGCAGTGATGAAGTCGATGTGGAAGTTTGAGTCGTCATCCTTCTCGAATTCAACAGGGGTCAGCTTGAAGTCACCCAGAGTCTTCGGCGAAGGCAGTGACTTGACAATCTGATCAAGCTCGTCGTTGTCGTCCATCGATGCTGCAGGACCGTTCGGGTCAGGCTCGTTCTCATTGGCTTGGATCTTGACATTCGCATCGGGCTTGAAGTCCTCAATGATCATGTCGTTGACGAGCTGATCAATCTCGGCCTTGTCCTTGGTTCCCTTCTGAGGGATACCGTAGTTGAAGGCATGGAGATTGGCAGCGGAGAGGATGAAGGTGAAGTGAGTGTCGTTATTTGGGTCGTACTTCAACGGGTCGGGAGCGCGCTTGGGTCCTGACCAGAAGGGCTGACCACTGGAAGTCTTTGCGTCCTTGGGAAAGTTGTACAAGAGCTGCTGGATTGCGTTGTTGTACTGCTTCTCGAATTGCGATCTGGCCCACTTGATACAATCCTCGTAGGTTTCGGGCTTGTCGGTCACAAGGAACTCCTTCAAGGTTTCAAGAGTTTGCTTCTCGTTACCAGACTGCTTCAACGCGGCGCCAAGGTAGTCAGGCTGAGTGATGTATGCGTTGACAATTTCGGCGGGTCCAGCGAAGTATGTGTGGAAGAGATCCTTCGCCCAAGCGATGGTGTGCTCGATGCGGTTGGGGAAACTGCGCAGGGTACACATGGGGAAGGACTGCTCAGGTGGATCTTGCGAGCTGGAGTAGGATTCCGTGATTCTGGGAAGAACAACCTGAGTGTTGCCCTTTGTACCGAGAGTGCCGCTGTCCAAAAGGGGCTTCTGGAAGAAGACGCATCTGCGGTCGACATAGGTACGAGCATCGACGTTGTCGAGGGCGTTGGTCACACCGTCGAGACCGTTCCAGAAGTCCTCGTTGAACAAGTGCTCGGTATCCTGACCAACACGATCCTTCATGGACTCGATCTTGCCCTTGAGGTCGGGGTTCATGGCCTGGACGGCTCTTGTGGCAGACTCGCTCTTGAGCTGACCGACATCCTTTGATCTGAAGAGGAACTGTCTGTTCAGGTTGCTACGTTCGATTTGATCCATGTCTGTGACGGTGATCTTGCCCTTGGGTCCAGTTGCGAGACCAATCATCGCCCAGTTCTTCAGCATCTCGCAGCCAATGGCTCCAGCACCGACCAGGAATTGTTGGTTGTTGGCGAGCTTCTCTTGAAACTCCTTACCAAACACGGCGATTTGGCCATCATAACGAGTACCAGTAGGCTTGCAAAGCTCTTCGGAACGCTTGACAGAGGTAGGGACAGCTTCCAGAGCATCAAAGTAGAGCCACTGAACGATAGGGTGGAACTTTCCAGAGACAGACTTGAGGACTTCCTGAGCAGCGAGACCACCGAAGAAGGCGGCCATAGGACTGAGATCACCCTGAGCCTGGTATGACAACTCACGGATGACCTTCTCGTCCAGCTCGACCTTCTCATCACCGGAGCCTGCCAATTCCTGTGCGAGCTTGAGGAGCTCAGCGGCGTCCTGTTCGTTGTGAGGCTTGGGGAAGTGGCCGTGCTTGTCGTTGAAAGCGTGGAGGGCTTGGAAGCCAACGTGGAGCTGGGCGGGGCGGTCGAATTTGGCAAAGTCGGACATCATCAGCTCAGGCTTCTTCAATTGCTGGCTGAGAGGCTCGAAGTCGAGGAATTTGGGCATTTTGACCTGAGTGTAAAGGCCGCCACGCTTGTAGTTACCAAGATCAGAGACATCTCCGATGGAGAAGGTGTAGGGGCCCTTGACGGTGATCTTGCGAGGGGCCGAGTCGTTCAGGGCGTCCATGCCCTCGACTTCGGTGAAGGTAACAAAGTCGCCATCTTCCAGACCGTGTCTTGTCTCATCCAGAGCCGAGACGATGCCGTCCGAGTCAATGTCGGCAACGATGCCGCTGACAGGATTCTCGCCGTTGTAGTCGCCAATTGTGAAGTTCTTACCAAAGTCGGTGAAGATGGTACCAAACAGACCGAACGTGTCGGCCACGACGAGGTAGATGCCATTCTTGTGGCAGTAATCTGAGATGAGGAGCTGGTCCTTGAGAGGGGTATCGGTGAGGACAATGCATTGGAAGTCCTTGAGTTGATCGAGGTCGTCGGTGATGGAGGATGACTTGAGAGGGTTCACAGGGGTGTAAGGGTTGAGCTCGGAGACGCGAGGAACGGTGACTTGGGCACGCGGCTTGCCGACGTCTTCGGGGTGGAGGAAGAACTGCGACGACAAGTCCTGGATCTGGGTGGGCTTAGGGTCGTAAAGGGTCAAGCTCTTGACACCTGCGAGAGCAATGTTCTTTGCGATCTCAACGCCAAGGCCGCGCAGGCCAACGACGAGGATGTTGGACGAGCCCATGCGCTTCATGGCCTCATGGCCCAGAACGTAGAGCTGTCTGCTGTATAGCGACTCATCAATCTCCCCGTTCGCCTCCTTCAGCTGCTCGACTGCAGCAGCGGGGCTGTCGACTTGCATCTTTGAGTCCTGTGTCAGTGTCAGTCCAGCCAGCATCGTACGGGTCCAATCCCTCTCACAGTCATAGCTTTCTTGGACGGACTGGCCTCGGCCTCGCCGGACAAGCGCCTTTTACCCAGTTTGACTGTCGACGAAGGAATCTTGAAGGCGGAACTGGCGTTCGGGTGGAGGATTGCGCGCAGTAGAAAGGACAGACGATGACCGCGATGGATGGAGAGTGAGGACGGAGCGATAGGTGGGTGGTTTGCACGACGTGTACAAGGAGTGGTAGAGGCGAGAGTCTGTTTGTCGGCCGTCTCGCTGTCTTGCCTGCGTGCCAAGTCTCACGTCACATGCGATGAATAATGCCCCGCCATCTGGAGCTCGCAAGCTCGCCGTCTGCTTTCGAACTCCGTAGAAACCACCCGTGTGGTCAGCCAAGACACACTACAAACTGGCACAAAATGAGTCCACAAAAATCACTTTCTTTGGCATAGCTGCATAGCGTGGTAGCACGAGAGCTCCGGGTATAGTGCCAATGAAACAGGAAAAACACAATGGCGCAAAAAGAATAGCCACCATCCCTCATCGTCCTTGCTCATCCACCGCCTTAGAAACAGTTCAACATTCCCTTCTTCTTCTTCTGTCCAGCATTCAACTCCCGCATACGTTCCTCAAGCGCCTGTCTCGCGCGCTCTGCACGATGTCTCATCTCTCTCTCCTCCTCGACTTGTTGCATGCTCGCCCTGGAATTCGTGCGCTCCTTGCGCAGTCCTACCAGCTCGTCCTCCAAGTTTGAGCACTTCTTCCTCCATGACTCAAGATCTTGTCTGGTCTTGTTCTGTGATGTTTCGAGATCGACAAGAGCCTCTTCCAGTGTAGCCGTTAGTTGCTTCTCGGCAAACAAGTGCTTCTCGATAGTACGAATGCGGGATTCTTGTTCTTCAATCACCTGCGCATATCCGGCATCAACTTGCACCGTTGAAGGTGCAGTCGATGGCGGTTGGGGAAAGGAGCTGTGATGGGGTGTGCCGGGTGGAGACGAGGCCGTGAAAGTAGTTGTCGGTGCAGGGCTCGAAGTACGAGCATCGATACCCAGACCCATGGGTATGCTGCTGCTATGGCTCAAGAAAGGACTCAACCCACTGAGACCCGGAGTAGGGATAGGCGGCAAAGGAATTGCAGGCGGCGGAGAGGGGAGACCCGAAGTGGTGTTCGTGGCATTGGACTTTGGACGTGTCATTAGAGACGTCTGCGAACTCGTTCGAGCAAGTGCAAATGCTGCAGCTTCTGGTGACAGTGACTCGCGAGCATAATTCAGCGAGTCGCGAGAGGTAGAAGCCATTGAACGACGTTGTAGCTCGGCGAGCTGAGACTCAAGCAAAGATACCTTCAGCTTGGCATCCTCGAGTTCTTTCTTCATCTCGTTCTTTGCACTTGTCGCCTCCTCAAGCTGTGTGTGGCGCTCGCTTTGTATGGCGGACAATCTCTTGGTGGTGTCTTGATGCAAATCATATGTTGAGTTGAGCTGATCCTCCAATTCTTGCACCAGAGTCGCACTCTTACGTTCGTTCTCCACTGCACGCTCCATGTTAGACACAAGTTCCTGGTTGCTCGTCTTCAGTTGCACCATCTCGGCCTCAAGATCCGCGACCTTGGTCGATGTGACCACGGTGTCCTTGTCAGAACCAATGTCTCGACTCTGTCCAACGAAGTCGGTCAGATGAGAGTGGAATCGCCCAACGTCAGTCTCGTGACCAAGAATGGCTGATGCTTCAGCAAGCAGCTCCTCCAGATCAACTTGAGACCTTTTGAGGTCCTGCTGCACGGACTTGTGTCGTGCCTCTAAAGCCGCATGTCTCTCAGCGAAGTTGTTCTCAGCTGTCGTCAAAGCAGTCTTGACACTGTCGAGCTCTTCTGTATGCGATGCCTTGAGGGTCTCCAGATTCTGCTCATGAATTTCGATTGCGGACTTGTGGCCTTCGATTTGACTCTCCAAATTAGACACCAGATTGCGATGAGTTTGTAGCTCCTTCTCTGTAAGCTCTCTGCCTTTGCTGTCCTCATCGACCTGCTGCCTAATACTTGCGTAGGACTGCTCCAGCAGCGAAAGCTTCTGGTTGTGTTCATGACTAGCTGTTTGGTGATTGTCAATCTGCTTCTGCAATGAGTTGACAAGCTCTTGGTGTTGAGCTCGCTCTTGATCAAGATTCGCAACTGCTGCATCGTATTCGGCATCGCGACTAGCAACCGACTTGTGTGCCTCAGAAAGGGATGTCTCAAGAGTCGCGATAGTAGCGAGCAGCTTGGTTTCAGACTCTTTCGATGAAGTCATCGTGTGAGCGTGTTTTGACACCCAGCTGGACAACTGCTTTTGCAGATTCGCAACGTGATCGTCTCTATCATCATGAGCCTGCTCGCCACCAGCGACCACATCTTTTTCGGCGTGTTGCTGTAACTGTGATTTGAGTTCATCGACTTGAAATTGTAGTTCCTTCTCCCGGCTTTCGTGGGACTCACGAAGGAGGAGCACCTGCTGTTCGCTTCTCATGAGTTGGTCACGCATGTGCCCAACAACAGTGAAGTCGACAGTATTGGCAGCCGATACACTGGCCCTCTCGCGAGTCAAGCCTGTGATGATGGCGGTCTTGGCGTCAAGATCTCTGCGAGCTGCCATGACTTCTGCATCGAGTGCTTGCATTTTCTCCGTCCGGTCATGCAGATCGCCCATGATGGTGTTGAGATGAATCTCAAAGTTTTGGCGAACGTCAATATTCGATTCGAAGTTATCCAGCGCGATGTTTCGCAGTGATGCAAACGAACGCATAGCTCGATCGTTGTTGGTAGTGGTATTGGCCATGAGATCCTGGCTGGGCTTGCGGCGAATGATGGGCTTGACAAGCGAAGGAGAAGACTGTCTGTTGGTTGCCAATTGTGCCCGCTGTACTTCGCGCTTGAGGTTTTCAACCTGACTCAAAGCGTTCTTGTGCTCTTCGGATAGTCTCATATAGTTGTCCGAGATCTCCTTCAAGCTTGATTCTCGCTGAACGTGCAGCTGCCTCAATGTTTCCATCTCGTGCGCAAGTACTTGCTGTTGAGGAGGATGGGAAACCTCATTCTCATTGACGACAGTGCTTCCTTCATCGCTCTCAATATCTCTCAGAGGTCTGCCTTGACTCCCAATTGTTTCGTCCGGCCCCTCGTCCATTGAAGTGAACGAGTGTCGCGAGAACGACCCCGATGACAACTCCGCTGCTAATGAACGCGAGGATGCGGCCGGTTGTCCATTCTCCTTCATGCCATTCACCCCCGCGCCCTCTAAAAAAGACTCTGGCTTGTCTGAGTTCCTCGAGTCTGGTCTGGTCTCCTCTTCGTTTGTCTCGTGCATCTTGGCGAGTGCTTGTAGTGCGGTTTCATACTTGCGTTGAAGGTTGTCGTAATCGTTGATAGTCGTTTCGTGCTCGCTACGAAGGTCGAAGAGTTCTTGCGTCATGGTCTCAAGTTTGTCGGCCATGAATCTGGACTGCGCCGCATTCTGCTCATCCTTCTTGCACAAGTCTTCAACATCTTGATTTTGATCAGTAGCGGCTGTGGTTGGTCCATCAGTCTCTAGAAGATGTGTCGTTGAGTTTTTAGACTGCTCAGTCACTTGGTCGCCAACAGCAACTCCTCTGGAAGCTGTGCTTGACTCTTTGACGAATGGGTCGTGGCCATTGACATCACTTGCGTGACCGTCAAGCTGCTGGTGACGTCCGTTTTGTTCGCCATGACGGATGTTGTCAAGCTCTGCAAGGAGGTTATCCAGTCTACCGATACTTCTTTGACGTTCGATAACGTTCTCGAGACGATCGAGCTCGCGCTGCATTATTTCTCGGTCCTGCTCTGCTTCTGCCAACTTCTCTTCGATCGTTGCGATGTACTGTTCGGAGTTGTTCTCAGTGTCTTTGACTCGACCCAGCTCTTTTCGTAGGCTGGCGATCATCGTGGAGCTCTTCTCCTCGCTGGTGGTCGCACCCTCTATCTGGGTCTCCAAGTCTCGCAGATAGGCATCGTTGTTGGCTTCACGCTCGCCAGCTTTCTGCAGCCTTACTTGTAGTTGGTGAGCTTGCGACTCCATGTAGGCTATCCTGGCCTCACGCTCCATAAGTGAGCTTTCGCTTGTAGAAAGCGTGGATCGTGTGTTGGACAAGGAGGCCTCGAGCGATTGAATCGTCTTTTCATACTCCATGACAACCTGTTCCACAGCTTCGGCAAACGAATTGGAGCGCTTGAGTCTTTCCATTGCCGACTCTCCTACAGCATCTCTGAGAGTGGGTGTATCCTCGTGACTGCTCTCCTTGGCCTTTGAGATTTCGGAAATGAGCTTTGCATGGCGTCCGCTAAGGGCGTTGTAACTCTCTTGCATGTCCATTAGCTGGTCCTGTAGTTCGCTCTCGCGACGCTCTTTATGATCTCCGGCAGCCAGGATGCGTTGCTCGCCTTTCTCGTTGTTTTTGTTGACCTGTTCTCGGAGGAAAGCCACCTCTGCTTGTAATCGAGCGATGATGGAAGCTTTGTCAGCCTCCTCAGTTGTCTGTTGAATCTCGGGCTTGCTCTGGATGGCACGAGCGCGTTGAGCGTAGGTAACGGTATTAAGCGTTTCGCTAAGATGAAACTCGGCGGGATTCACGCAGGCGACCATGTAAGTGATGGCGGTTCCGCCTAGCGAATCTTGCAGAATCCGAGTCAGTCGAGAATCGCGGTAGGATATGTAGCCGCCCTGCTTTGCAGTAGACAGCTGCGAAATGACCTTCCCCAAGCTAGCGAGACCGGCATTGATCGATATACCCTCTTTTGCTCTATCGCCCTGGGCGCCTGTATTCTTCAAACGTTCGCTGCCTGCAAGATCGACAAAGTGGAGCTTGCTCTCGGTCGTCACAACAGCATCGTTTGAGGTCGAGTTGTCGACCTGAACAGAAGCACGCCTGTTGACCGAGGGACCTTTCTTCAGAGTAAGGTTCAGACTGAGAATGGCGTGGGAGCGCGAAGACTTGGCGTTGATGGCGGTCGAATCGGTCTGGCGGATATTGGAACCAAAACTCAGAGCTTCCAGAAGGTCGTCTGCCGAGTTGATAGGTTTCTGAACCAGGCCAATGAGTAGAATGCGACCTTTGGTATCTTCACGAATCGAGACTTGAGGACGATCGGCTTCAGGCACGGTGCTGGGAACAAGCAGGTCGCGGAGCTGTTCATTGTAGATCTCAGCATAGGTTGCTGTCAATGTCCAGGACTTGTCGCTGCACGTTTGGCGGTGCAAATTGGAGAGGCTGGACACGGCCGAGACGGAGTAGCGTGCGGGAGAACGAAGGCCCGACTTGCTCGGGGTCAGAGGGGCCGAGGAGGTTGGAGTAGCGTTGAGTTTTTCGAAAAGAGCGGCGGCGGCACGTGGCACGATTCCTGTATCCTAATCAGTATATCGCAACACACAACAGCTGAGCGATGCGACTGACCGGCGTGGACAGGGTCAAAGGCGCCTTCGGAGTCAGCAGTACCCATGGTATATGACTTTCCGGCGCCGGATTGACCGTATGCAAGGATGGATACATTGTAGCCCTGGATGAAAGAATCGACGCTGCCGCTGACGTATTCCCAGACACCTTGTTGGGTTGTTTCTTCGCCGAAGACGCGATCAAAGACGAACAGTTTCTTTCCCTGGGTTGACTGGATGGCGAGGTTGGTTGCAGAAGAGACGTCACAGGTCGAGGCGCGGAAGCGCTGAGGAATTAGATCGTAGCCAGGGTCGGAGGATTGCAGAGGAGGGCGGACTCGAACGGCTATACAAAAGTGAGCCAAAGAAGGCGACGATAAGGGGCAGGGCAGATGGGCACTCACCCACTTTCACCGCCGTTTTGGAGTCTTCATCGGATGCGCGACTGCTTCCTCGACGACCACCAAGACTCAGGCGGCTAGAACTTCTCGGAGTGCGCAGAGCGCTTGCTATTGAAGCGCGGTGCGGGTGGCCGCTCATGGGCGAGGTGGGAGGGGTGGACATCGAGTCCATGTTGGGTGGTGGTGCCAGAGAGTTGGAGCACCTGTGGCACTGGCGGCCAGGCGGAGAGGATGTCGAGTGAGATTCACGTCGTACACGGATCACGAGAAACAGAGGGCGACCGCGATGTTCTGCGATGCTGGTCCCCGACTTCTTGGGCTCGCGCTGTTGTCCAACCGTCAAGGCGCAAGGGCCACTCGATTCGATTCGCAAGCTGCTGTCGATCGCTCACTCGCTTCTTCAGCCTTTCACTCGGACATGGAAAGCCCGTCTTCTGCCCCGGTGGTGACGAAATGACAATGTGAGCCGACTATCTGCAGGATCAAAGTGAGCGACGGTCGAGCAGAGCAAGTGTTGCAAATATTGATTCAGTCCGAAACGGTGCTGCTCGGTACCTGAGCAGCGTTCAACGCCAAGGGACTATGCTGCGGCGCGTTAGACTCGCAGCTTGCAGCGCCGCCGAACAGTTAGCCAGCCTTTTGACTTTCGGATCTATGCTTCCCCATGCGCCTATCAACGAATACATGCCAGTACGGACTAGGGACAGTCTTGTCTGCTTCTTTGTGCCTTCCCTCGTTCCATGCAGCTGAGGATTAGCGCTCCCGTCTCGTCACTCAATCCATCTTCACATCCGGGTTTGCGGTTTCTCGTGCCTGCACTTGGGCTGCGCCGCCAGAAGGCCCGCAGGGTACCGACTTCCGACTAAGTTTTGGAACATGGAAGGTCACGAAGATCGACTACCGAAACCTTTCAGCTTTGCTGATCCAAAGCCTTATGGGACCGGGGAAAGGGGACAGCACAGCAGCGGCCATGTCTTTGGTTGATCAAGCGCATGACACTGCATGCATGGCATAGAAGTGGTAGGTGGTTGTACATCTAAGTCGACCAACGGTATTTGCGCTGGCGCAAGATACAGCCAGTCTCTCCATGTTCCAGCCCCAACGCGACGAGGTCGTGGACAATGTGGAAAGCAAGATAGGGGAGATTGCTAGTCGACCCGTGATAAGTCGGAGCGATAGGCACGTCAGTTCTAAGCGGGTTGGCGGTCGCACTTGGACACTGGTCGGACGGCAAACAAGCTTTGTGATAGAGCAAGTGTGAGTGTTCAAGCAAGATAGAAGACAGCAGTGGCAGCGGAGAGTGGGCCAATGGAGAGCGGAAAGTGCAGTGATTGTCAGGGGGTACAGAGGTATCGGGAAGATATTAGAGGATTGTTTGATAGAAAAAGCAGGCATGGCGATAGACGGGCATGGCCCATGGGCGAGGCTCCAGCAGCGAGACTTCAGCGTTCGCAATCGCTCTCAGCCAGACTGACGACGCACGTTTTTGCACCCAACCTATCACCGTCAAACACCCGCACACACGCTGCCCTGTCTGACGGCCACTACTGCCAACCCAGGTGCTTCCATCAGTGCGATAACGACTCCATCGGCATCGCGGCAGCCGTCCAACCAATGTCTTGGGCCTCCTCATGCAGACGACTCGCTCAAACCTGGCTCGCTCCAAGACCAGCCCTGCGGATCCTGTCCTCGCGCGCTCCAGCACAGCTTCTCTGCAACATGTCTCGCACTCTACCAATGTCCCGCTGTCTGAGCGCGACAGCATCTTTGCCACGAGCTACCAGGGCGACACCCCCGTAACTTCTCCCCATCACCCTCGCAAAGACCCGCCGAACGAAAGGCCCGGTCTGATATCGCAAGCTCTTCAGCGTAACCAATTGCAACAACAAGACTTTGGCCACCCCACCGACCAACCCACCCAACCTCGAGACAACTCGCCCGCACAAACCTACGACCAAGGACCAAGCCTGCGTCACCATCAGACCTCGCTCGCCCACGACGCTGCCATGTCGGCCTCGTCGCTCTCGACCATGCAACCCACCATGACCGACATGTCTATGTTTTTCCATACCCTACCGCACACTGATCTCAATCGTCTTCCCTACCAACTTAGCTCCCAATCCAACCGACACTCGCTCTATGATCCGCAATTGCCGCCTGCCCTCGAACGACCTGTCACGCCAAATCTCGCCGACAAGTCGAATCCACCAAATGGAACAACCGTCGAAGACCTTCAGTCAAGTGCTCACCGTTCATCCTACAGAGCTTGGCGACAAGGCCAAGGTCGCATGGCTGGAAAATCTATCGCTGAATCCCAGGGCAGGAACCTCAATTCGGAAGATAACGATGTTGATCGCAAAATCGACGCCAAAATGCCAAAGATCGACCAGGGCCTCAATGTCCGCAGCAGGAAGACCAGTCACTACCTCGGCCTCTTCAAGGACCACGACTCTGAACACGAAAAGCGTCGCGAAAAGAAAGATAAAGCAAAGCATACCGAAGAGCCACAGGATAGGGACCAACAAGCCCTGTCCGCCATCAATGAACATCACGAACATGACGCCCATGCTACCACCGGTACGCCTGAACCACATCTCACTTTTGCTGGCCGCACATCTGACTGTGCATCAGAACTGCCTCCGTCGTTTGTTGTTAATGATAATTTGTCCGCGAAGCCATCAACCGACGACGATGTCGTCAGCATACCTCTGCCTACTCCAAGCACTTTCGAAAGAGAGGCCGAACAGGAGCCTGCGACCACAGATAACCCTGAAGGTCGCCTTGCACATCAAATTCCACCTAGTTTGCTCGAGGAGATCCGCAACCACCACATCATTCTAGGTCCCTCAAACAACAAGGCCCCATCTGATCATACGCCCGTGTCCGAGTCGTGTGAAAAGGTCAGTCGACAATCTCTCACTCATTTACTGGCCACCTTTGATGATGCCAATCTGCAAAGAGCCCATCCAAGACATGTTCTAATGCTGACTCGTGTAGGAGCTCCCACAAGAAACACGTCATACGTCGCTTTTGACGAGTCAGGCACGACTGCTTCAACAAGAAGTAGCAAAGGAGGTGGAGGACGAGGAATCAGACCAGGAACAGATTTCTTCTGCTCAGTACATCCCCCATCGTGGCAAGTCTACACGTGCTGCTACTGCATTACCCTTGTCCACCTCCGCCACTCAAGATGAGGAAAAGGAGATTCTAGCCTCGTCTCCTGTGGTCCAGCACAATGTTCATCCTCCTATGAAGAATTCTCTCGAGGCTGGCGTCGATATTCCGCAGAGCAACGTTGAGATTGCGTTACTGTCAGAGGACGAGAGTCAAGTATTGCATGGTGAAATTCCACTCTCCGACAATCGTCATTCCAATGTGATTCCTGCTGTTCAACCTTCAGAGTCCGAATATGACACCGAGTCTTCGGCCTACTCGCAAGATCAAGAAGACGAAGAAGACGTTACCCCAACTCCTACTCCTACCAACAAGAGCGCGTTGCACAATCGACCTCCGGCGAACAGCCATGCACCCGAAGCTCAATCGCAACCTCCTCCACTCGGTGCTGTCGAGCTGAAACCCTACAACCATCAGGTGGGAGGTCACAGCACTGTCTACAGCTTCTCTCGTCAGGCTGTTTGCAAACAACTCAACAGTAAAGAAAACGAGTTTTACGAGATCGTCGAACAATACCATCCAGATCTGCTTGACTTTCTCCCTAGGTACATCGGCGTTCTCAATGTCACGTACAAGAAGCCAAACAAGAAGAAAAAGGACAATCTCGACAAATCAAAGTCTCCCGACATGCAACCTCAGGACTTACAGTCTCCCAAAAAGGGAACAGCTATGCTCGAAGATAAGAAGGACACACCTCGCATTGTCAGCCACTCACAGTCGCAATCAAATGCGGTGCCGGAGGTCAGTCTGATCAACAATCGTCATATACTGCCAGACTTTTTGAAGCGCACTCTGCCACCGAGACCTGCAACAGCCATTCCTGCCCATGTCAGCCAACCCAGTCGGCAGTCTCGTCCTCACTCTATCAGCGAGATGATGAGCGACCGACGGCCCTCATACTCTCCCGAAACAAACCATAAAGATCGTCCACCTTTGCGTCAACAAGCCAGCTGGGGCGCCACTAGCGTTAATCAAGACTTGAAGCTGCAGGTATTCCGAGATGTCTTCTCGCCTCCTCTTATTCATCGCCATGATCGACGGAGCAGGAACCATCATGGTAGAAACATCAGGAGAATTCAACAACGCGAGTCGATGCCGTCGCTGCCAGATACCGAAATAGCGAGCAATCCCCAGAGCTTACACGAACGCCGTAACAGCGCCGATGTCTCGGCCATGCAAACACCTCCATCACCTGCCGATGCTACGCGTAGACTTGCAATCAAAAACCATCGAGAGCTCAAATCACCGCACAACAGCGTGCAATCCCTCGACAATTATATAATCAGTCCGCGTAAAGAGCAGCCGTTGAGTAGCGAAAGCAAGAGTATGGAGAATTCAGAAGCAGATAATCATCTAGTACAGGCCTACAAGACGCCCAGACGTCGTCACTCTGGAAGTGGTCTGCGTAGAAAGAAGGCCGACATAGATGCTTCTCGGGGTGATCTCGAGTATCACGAGGATGAGGGCTACCGTGGTGATGGCGAGGACGTCTTTGCAATGGATGACCTCGAAGGATCTCCGACCAAGACGACCAGGTCTACTGGTGCGCCTGAAAAGCTTCAGAATGATCCTAACTTCAATATCAACCCGGCTTTGAACGCCCCGGTCCTGGGCAACCCAATCGATTTGGGACAAGTATCACGTAGCCCTGACCAAGGCGTTGAAGACCCCGGACGTATCGCACACTTCATCTTGCTTGAAGATCTCACAGCAGGCATGGTACATCCGTGTGTACTGGATTTGAAAATGGGCACTCGTCAGTACGGTCTTTTTGCTGATGAAAAGAAGCAAAAATCTCAAGGACGCAAGTGCAAAATGACCACATCCCGCGAGCTGGGTGTTCGCGTGTGTGGCATGCAAGTCTGGAATGTCAAGACTCAATCCAACATCTTCGAAGACAAATACTTCGGCCGAGATCTCAAGGCTGGCAGCGAGTTCCAGGCCGCACTGACACGCTTCTTCTTTGATGGTATCAGCCATGGCAGAGCGCTCAAGCACATCCCGGTTGTTCTGGACAAGATTACTCAACTCGAGCGCATCGTGCGAAAACTGCCCGGATACCGCCTGTATGCAAGCTCACTACTGATGATATACGATCGTGGCGATGTAGATGAACAGGGCAAGCCTCGCCAAGCTCCACAGCAACAAACTGATGGTGAGAGTGGTACCGGTTCGCCAAGCACAAAGAACCAAATTCTGCTCAAGATTGTCGACTTTGCCAACTGCGTAACGGCTGAAGACATTGAAACCAAGGCTTCTGCCACTTGTCCTCCCCGAGATCCTGACGGCGTAGACAGAGGATACCTACGTGGGCTGCGTACACTCAGATTGTACTTCCAGCGTATCTACGAACAACTGGTTGCCGAAAAGGGTGGATTTGTCGAGAGGGGTGAAGGTGAGGGCATGGCTACTCAGTCCAATGGCGGTGCTGGATTTGGAGGAGGCGCTGGCTTGGATGCCCACAGCAGCTTTGCATGGAGCGATGCCTTGGTTGAAGAGGATCCAGGTGAGGTCAGCGCTTGATGATGGTTGACAGATTAATCAGGGTCGCAGTCACTTTTTTTTTGCCTCTGCTGGGAAGAGAAGATTTGGCAAGCGTACCTACAGAATGCCTCTTCCTCTCTCAGCTTTCAGGTGCGGACATTTTTTATCCTTCTTCTCGTTATTAGCATGGCGTTTGGTTGTGTTCTGTATCTTCTGTTCTCTAGTAATCAACATGGCATTGTTTGTACACACAAGAATTGTTTCCGTCGAGAATGATTGGTTCTTTTGTTCTGCTTCTGATGGTGTAAGCCAGACACAGGACGACTACATCAAGCTAGCTTTCCCGGCACAAATGGCAGGCCGGCACTCAAGCCTCCGTCAACAGCCCACGCTTGTCCATTGACGTAGCTACTCTCGTTGGTCGCCAAAAACAAGGCGACTCTTGCGACCTCGTCGGCTACTGCACCTCTCATCAAGGGATTCAGCTGGCCAATCTTGCCCTCGCTGCCTCTTGCTCTTGCTGCCTTGTACATCTGTGCGGTCATGCCCGTCTCGATGATGCCGGGACAGATGGCGTTGCAGCGGATGCTGGTGCCGGCGAGTTGGTAGGCAGATGTTTGGGTTATACTGATGACGGCGGCTTTGGAGGCGGAGTAGTCTGTAGGTCCAGCGTTTGATCGTAGACCAGCTACCGAGGCTGTGTTGATGATGGAGCCGCTAGGGCTAGGTTTGTTCTGCATCATGGCATTGGCTGCATGCTTGGTTGCTAGGAAGACGCTGGTTGGAAATGGTCAGCCAGAGGGTCTCGAGGCTGGAGGAGGAGGAGGGAAGACAAAGCCTACTGACCTCAATGCATTCACTTTCATGGTTCTCATAAACTCTTCCTCCGACTTGCCTTCCTTCTTACCGACCTCGTATACTCTCTCCATGGTACCTCCGATACCAGCATTCGCAAAGAAGACATCTAGCCTTCCCCACTTGTCCACTGCCAGCTTCACGACTGCCTTGACATGCTCCTCATTCCCAGCATCGACCTTTTGTACCACAACCTGTGTCCCCGGATACAGCTTCTCGATATCTTGCTTCCAGTTGTTGAGATTCGAAGTGTCGAAATCAGATAGAACCAATGCTTGTGCGCCTGCAGAAGCGAATTCGTAGGCTGAAGCCCTACCAATGCCCAGAGCACTGTTGCAACCGGTGATGATGCAGACCTTGTCCTTGAGGCGAGGAGAACTGGGAGGAGAGGCGATGGTGGGTATGCCTGGGTATGAGGAATCTCCGCCGATGGTTTGTGGAATCGGGGGAGGTGAGAGGGCGAGCGATTTCTTAGGTGCGGCTGTCATTGCGTGGTCAAGTATGGTCTGTCAGAGTATAGCAGTACAAGTGTTATGAGAAGAAAGCTTCCTGATGATGGTGCTAGATACCTCCAATCATCCCCCGCATAAGATGACCACCGAGGTGGATGGTTCTTGAGCGAGCCGAGGCTCCCCACGTCAAGGCCGATCAGGAACAGGGTACCCTCACCTCCTATGCTAAAGACATCCATTTCTCTACAGTCTCGGTTACGAATGCCATGCGTCGAGCCATCTAGCTCTGCAATTCGAGAAAACAAATTGATCAACACTAAACTGTTCTAAATGAGCTGCATGTAGTCGCAAGAATGTAGAACGATCATCAACATCGATACGACCAAACAATCTGACAGAACCATCCCTTCCACCATTATACTAGCGCAACTCTCATGTCATCTCACTCTAGTCCAGAGCTGCAGAAGAAGTGGGTGCAGCACTAGTTGTATAGGTAAATGTGGCACAACCAGCAGGACACTCAGTAGCACATGTCGCGAGTTCGGTCTCTGTAACAGGAGTACCACAATTGGGAACCGTGGTCGTCGTCTCGATGACACACAGCGGTCTGATGCATTCCGACGTGTCGAATGTGCATGCTGGGTTGTCAGCAGTAGTCGTGACAGTAAACGGAGCACAATCTTGAGATGCACTTGTCGTAGACGCATCGGTAGGAAGAATGACAATCGGACCGCCTGGGTTGGCAGTAGTGTTGGGATCAGTGGTCGGCTGGCCCACGGCAGGATCTTCTTGCTCGGTGACGGTTTCGGTAGAGCAAGGGGCGCAGGAACGGGGACATGCTGTGCGAGTCTTTGTGCTACAGTAGGATGTTGGGATGGTTGTTGTGGTTGTTACGGTACAGGTAGGTTGGAGGCAGTTCAGAGCAACACAGCCACTGGGGGTAGTGTAGGTGATTGAGACTGGACAGCGTGAGCAGGCTGCAGCATTGGCGGCGCTGTACGTCTTGTCAGTCTTACGTCGTGATGGAGCCGGCGATCAGGGTGTGTACCTGGCGAGCAGAGCCAGGATAGCAATGGGGGCGAGCAGGCGATACATTGTAATTGTTCGGATTCAATATGGCAAAACCAAACCAAGCTTGTGACTTGACAGCCGAGTTGTTGGAGCGAAATGCGTGAAAGAAAGCCGCTTATATATCTAAGGATGACATATGCGTGAACAGGTCCAGAAATAAAGACCTAAACCGTTTCTTGAAAGCTACGCTTGAGAAAGGAACGCAGGAGGTGTGGAACCTCGTATCGATAGTAACTATCACATACCAAGAGACATGCAAGGTAGAGGTATGCAGTATAGTGGGGATGGCGCAGCAGAAGACACGAGACGTTGTGTGCAATAGTCGAGTTTCTCTTGAAACAATCGTCATAGGTTAAGAAGGAGCATCAATTGGTGATCATAATGTAGCCAGCTGGGCATCAATAGTTCTAGCTGATCATTTCTGTAGAGAGTGGTGCCTTTCATACGAGAGGCAGGCAGATCTTTCGCCGAATTCTTGATGCTCATCAAAGCTCTTCTCCTTTCTCTGAATCTCATTCCCAGTAGTATACAGAAAATTACACACCATTGAACGCCGCCATGCATATGCACCTGACCAGATTCAAGGCAATGGAAAGAGCAAAAGGCGATGGTAAGTACAAGAAGATGGTTGAAAAGAGATGGTTGGCGGGGTGCAGCAGAATGGAATGCTTGGAGCAAGTCATGGCGCCAAGCACTGGTTGCAGCACGACGATGAGACAGTTGGGAGGGTTGGCCTCATGACTTGCAGACGATCCCTAGAGCGCAGTCCAGGAATAGTAGGGAGTGAGAGTGTGGTGTGATGTCGTAAGGTGTGAAGATCGTCTAGGCAGCCTTAGGCTTCTTGGTGCCGTACTTTGATCGCGAGGTGATTCTGTTACCGACACCACCCTGCAGGGGAATTAGTACGGCTATGGGAGAAAAGGTCGAAGGAGTAACACACCAAGTCCAAAGCACCTCTGACAAGATGGTACTTGACACCGGGGCAATCCTGCGAACGACCACCACGAACCAAGACAACTGAATGCTGCTGCACATTGTGACCTGCGAGGCTCGTGTTAGCCATGATGTGTTCCAGTTCACATGCTCGTCTTCCACACGCAGTCTCTGTTCCATCCTTCTTCTTCCTCTTCTTCTTCTCGCGGCAAGCAACAACGCACCTTCACCAGGAATATAGGCGGTAACGACCCTGCCGTTACTCAATCTGACTCTTGCAACCTTGCGCTCTCCCGAGTTGGGCTTCTTGGGCTTGGTTATGCCCACACGCACACACACGCCCTTCATCTCAGGTCTGTCCTTCAATTGTGGCGACGTAGGTTTGCGAGCTCTCTGGGCGACACGGCAGCCGCGCATGACTTGGTTGTAGGTGGCCGAGAATGGTGACGAGGTGCTGAAAGCGCGTGGTGATGGGGCAATTTGTGGGCGAAGGGTTGTGCTGAGGGCCGCAAAGTCGGGGCGCACTGCGGTTGGTAGCCTGAACAGGCGGGTGAAGAGGTTGAGCGCCATAGTTGTCGTATATGGCAGGTGTATGTGCAATGATTCAACTTTCTGGTCCGTCGCACTGTTCGAATGTTCAATTGCGCGGCATTCGGGAAAGCCAAGCACCCACCGCTTGGCACTGTGCTTTTTCCTTTTTCCTCCCAGGCAATCAAATCGTGATTTGTAACAAGGAATCGAGACTTTTAGGTAACTAGGTTCATTTCAAAGGACTCATGATGCTTGCGATTGTCGACTGTGTCTTACTCCCTTCTTTTGACCCGAGGCTTCCCACACGCGAAATACTAGTATTATAAAGTGTCGAATAGTGGTTTGGTCAAATCTATTCTCATGGATGTAGTATTTTTCAAAATCAGTGACTAGCCTGACCTGATTGCTAACCAAACTTCTTCTATCTTCTTTGATCCTCTATATTAAATCGAACCGGTCCAATGTAGTCCGTTCTATGGGAGAACTCTGATTTTCATGTCGCTTGATCTAAGCAGTGGGCTTGACGCCAGCCTGACCCTTCTCGTATGCCTCAACACCTAGAACGGATGTACAGTTAGTGTAGTTCCACGAATTTATTAGACAATGACACCACAGTCTGGGTGAAGTGGTGTCTCTACGTCCGATTTGACATACCCTGCTTTGCAGCGTCGTGTACGGTAACCTTGCCCTCACTATAAACACAGAAGTCAGATGGCGGTCACAGACGAACCAATGCAAAGATGACTTACACAACTTCTTGGACCTTTGCCTTGATCTGGCTCCAGTCCTCAAAGACGGTGAAGGGAATGTCGTCTCTGACACAGAACTGGATGAGGTCTGCATCTGCTGTTAGCTTTCCTGCTCACGGAACGCAACATAGTTCAAACTCACCATGTCCAGACTTTGCGAACAGAAGGTCGGTCTCCTTGGCAGCACTCAGGTCCGAAACACCGTCACCAGCGTAGAACAGAGTAGGACGTTGGTCAGCAGGAAGCTGGGCGTAAGGACGAATAGTCAAGCTCTTGTCGTGACCGAAGTGAGAGTCATCGTGGTAGACAAGCTCCCAACCACCCTCCTCGTTGACCTGCTTGCCGGGTCTTGCCTGGATGTTGTTGCAGATGACGTCGATGTACTTTGCGTTCTCACCGACGAGCTTCTCGAGGATGGCGCGGATGATAGGCTCCATACCAGATGAGAGAACAACAGTGGGGATGTTGTTCTTGATGGCCCACTGCAAGTAGTCGTTGAAACCAGGGTCAAGCTTGACGTTCTCTGAGACGTACTTGATGCACTCGTCGTAAGGCATCTTGACGCTGTCCATCATGCGCTTGAAAGAGTCTCTGCGTCGTTCTTTAGGACAAAAGCAAACCTGATCGATAGGGGTGCAACGTACCTGAAGCTCTCAGTGCCGTTCAGGACGTTCATGTTACCCTCACGTCTCTTCTCGTAGCCGAATCCGACATTGTCAGTCTGGTGAAAAAGTCAGACTCGCGATCTTCCAAAAGGTATTCAGATGTCGAATTATTGTTTCGACCTTGCTAGCCTGTTTACCATGAAGTCGTTGCCTACGATACTGTTAGCGTCGTGTAGCAAGCAGAAGAATTTATCTATGTCTGTCCGGAAGATATCTCAAATGTACTCGAATGATATTAAAGTATACTGGAACCTCCAGCAGAAGGCTTCTAACGCTCTCCCACCAACCAAGGCCCGAATTGTAGAAGGTATGATTGCGACTATTGTGCAACAAGTACAGAGAAGGGAAAAATACTCACTGTCAAAGAGGGTGATGGTTCCATCAAAATCAGTAAAGAAGATGAACTTGGGGTTCGTCTTCATGGCAGGGAGTGATTGGGCCATGATGTGCAATGTGTGAGATGTAGAATATTCAGATGAAGAAAAGAAGTGGCAGAGACGGGCGATACTGAACACCAAATGTTGATAAGCAGGGTCAAAAGAGAGACTCGAATGACTGAGATGCGTTGAGAGAGGCCAAAAAAGTTCGGTGAACCAAGCAATCGAAGCACATGGCAGATGAGCAACGCACCTGCCGCATACGTCAAGGGTAAACAGACGGGCAAGATTCGGCGCCGATCTGCGTCAGAGTCCGGCTCCACCGAAAAGCGTCCGCTGCCATTTCGAGACGTAGACTTTCCACTGGATACAAGCTCCAACCAGGACTATCTGAAACAGTTGGAATCACTCTAGGAGGATGAGGTAGAAGCGGGAAAGACTCTGAGGAAATGAGCACACCAACCCGGCCGTATGCATTGCTACGCAACTTTGTCGCCTCTGCGAGCTCGAGCTCGAGCTCCATCATAATCCGCCCACTTGCACCACATTGCCGACCTCTGCCAAAGCCACACTGTCCGTCAAACACTCAATGGATCAACAAAAGACAATGGGCGTCCTCAGCGCGTAGAGCTGCGTCCCCACCAGATCGCTACGATCCTGAGGCCAAGCATGACCAGACGAAAGCTGCCGAGCCTCAAAAGCCAGATGAAAGGTTCTACATGCCACCGCCGCCTGAGGATGTCCAACAGAGAATCGATGCAGCTATCCTCGACGCGGCAAGGGCAAGCCGCCCCGCTCCCCCTCGTGAAGCAGCACCCGAGCTGAAGCCTGCGCCTGCACCTGCACCTGCACCTGCAGTGGAAAAGCAGCTCCCAGAACAAGCTGCGACAGACACACTCCAAGACACTCCACAAGAAACTCCCGTCGAAGAGGAACACCCCAAGACACAAGCAGAAGTGGTGGCGGAGAAGGTCATGAAGGAGGAAGCGATTGCTGAGGAGGCACTGCCGTCAAAGCATCAAGAGCAGAGATGGCATCTGTCCAAGCGGGTACAAGAGCGTATGGACGAGCTGCTGGCCAAGGCCGCAGTCGTCAGTCACAAGGTCAACAACTACACGGGAACCGACTACTCGGGCATCGAACGCTTGCGTCGCGACATCATCGACCAAGGTACTTCTTGTCAAACTCCTATCTATCCTGTATGTCATCTAACTTTGAAGCAGAACAACTTGTCAAGGCTGCCCATGCCGACGTCAACGCCGCAAAGGTCGCCTATACCACATCCTACAGTCAACAAGCTGCCTCGCAGAAAGAAGTCGTCGGCCTCCTCGAACGCAAACATTCATGGTCAGCCGCCGATCTTGAGCGCTACATGTCTCTGATCCGCTCCGAGCACTTGAACGAACAGGCCGTGCAGGCTGCGAAAGAGCATCTTGCAAACACCGAACGCCACCTCGAAGACGCCAGAGGAAAGCTCGAGAAAAAGGAACGCAAACAATATCACGAGGAGCAGATCTGGAGTGACACAATCCGTCGCAACAGTACTTGGGTGACATTCGGGCTAATGGGTCTGAACATCTTCTTGTTATTGGCCAACTTGGTCATCTTCGAACCCTGGAGAAGGCGAAGGATTGTCAGAGAGATCAAGACTGCTCTGGACGAGAAGACGACGCAGGTACCATCGCTAGCGCCTGTTGCCGAAGCTGAGATTGACAAGGTTGTCGAGCCAGTCCAGCAACCTCTGGAGAAGATCGAAGAGCACATCGTCGGAACAATCCAGGCAGCTGCTGCAGAAGTCATGCCCGAGACGGCGATAGAGGTAGCCCCCGACGCACAGCCTGAAGCCGCGGCTGGCAGCGAGGTCACGGTCGGAGAAACACCGCTCGCAGCTGGAGAAGTCCTACCCGAAGAAGCCGTTGAAGTCAGCGATCCGGCTGCAGCGATCAACGAGTCCGTCGAGAAAGCAGTCGAAGAGCCGATGCAACGGGCGGAGCCCGAGAACTGGGAGGAGAGACTCGCTCTTTGGAAGGAGGTGATACATGTCAAGTTGACTTTGTACAAAGCCAAGTTGCAAGACCTGTTCTCGGAGCGTCAAGTCACAGTCAAGCGGATTGACGTAACGATGATAGCTCTCGAGGGCGCTGCAGCCGGTGTGGCAGTAGTCGGACTCGTGTGGGCGCTGCTCAACGCCCGATCATGATGATGAAATCCTTTTCCATGTAAATAAAGCATAACCTGTACATCAAGCATCTGTATTATTACTCATTGGAACTCGCCAAATTCACCATCGTCGAAGCCCAGATCTTGAGCGTTCTGATGAGAGTGATGCTGTGATTGCTGTCTCGCAGGCGAAGGACTCTTAGAGGCGGCCTTGACATGAGCAGCTGATGGCGGAGGGGCGAGCGAAGGAAGAGCAAAGTCGTTAGCAGAAGCAGGCGGCGGTGGGGGTCGGATGGAAAACAGGGCGCTACCATCGTCATTGGATGCAGAAGTCGATTGCTGCTGTCTCCTGCCGCGACCTCCAATCTCGACGTGTATGCTTTGCCCCTCCTTCAAGCTGAAATCCTTCTTGGGCTCCTCGACCGTCTTTCTGCTCAGATGCTGGGGTTGTGCGTGGCCGGAAGCAGGATCCAGGCCCAGGAGCTTCCTGGCTTCGGATAGTGTGATGCTGAAATCGAAGGCATCTGGTCTCTCTTCAAAGCCCATACCCAGAGTGGCTTTCATGCCCCCTTCACCCACGACACGGATGGCAAAAAAACGACTACTATCGTTGGCTTGCTCGACTACAGCGGGTGAGGTATAAGGGCAAGCGGCGAAGAGATCACCAGTCTTTGGATCCTCGAGTACGATGTCGGTCTTTATTTGATTCGAGAGCGATGTTTCAATGATGCGTAAGCGGGCAGTGAAAATCATCTGGGCAGTCGGGCGCGGTGGAGCGGTCCAAGTACCGGCGGAGAAGCCTTTGTTGGAAGTGAGAGGAGGGATCTGGTAGACATGGACGCGGGGGCAGATGAACAGAACTCGCTGGATGGCAGAGTCGGCCAAGGGACGGCCGGTGGCAGGATCGAGAGTTGTCATTGTTTCGGGCAGCGACTTTGTTGTTGGATGTACTGTACAGCGGTCAGGAAAGTGCTGAGGGGCAGTCGAACAAGGCAGCGCTAATTAGCATGTGAAGTCAGCCGGCTTGGCGGAATGTTTTGAGGCATGAGGCAGGATGCAATCACGGTTACGCCAGATCAAGACAGATACTTGGCGACTTGATGGGGCAGATGTTGCCTGTTGCTTTCTTGTCTACCATCCATACGTTTGATGCATAGCAGCAAAGGAAGCCGTACACGATCAAGCAAGACGATGGAAGCAAAGAAGGAACGACCGGTCTTTGACCTCGAGCAGATGCAAATGCGGGCTACTGACGCGCTAGCCAAAGCTTCTTCTCGTGCAGCCGGTGGGCAGAACGAGTCACAGTCCAGAGTCCAAGCCGAGTCCAAATATCAGAAAGCACCACTGCACGTCCAACTCGTCCCTCCCACACCCGTGTCGCCTGTACAATCTCAGCCTCCTGCTCGCCCTTCGGTCCTGCGCCTCTCGCTGCTCGACAGCTACTACCTCGAAAACATGGTCACCACAAACAAGCAGCAAAATTTTGATGTCGTCGACACATATAAGCGTCTGCTGGCCGACGACCCAGACTTGACCATGCCCGTCGCCGCCATCGAAGCCCTTGTCCTTGCACTTGCTCATACTCCCGCCACCACTGTCTCGGAAACTCTGGACCTGCTGTCCACCCTCACCGCAGAGTTGAAGGCTCGCATCCCCAACCCCATCTCTCTGTCAGCCGGTACAGACTTGTTCCAGCGCTATATCATCACCACACTGCAGAAGCCCACCGCTGGTCGCAACAGCGACTTCGACACAATCCGCACTCATCTGGTTCAGAACGGTCGCTTGTTCGTCGAGCGCGCAAAGGAGGCTCGTGACAAGATTGCTGGTTTTGGTAGACACTTTGTTCGCGACGGCAATACTGTCTTGACAAACGGTGGTTCGCGTGTCGTCGGTGCTCTCTTACGCTCAGCCGCTGAGACGAGCGCTGGCTTTGGTGCCCAAGGCAGCATCCGTTTCCGTGTCATCTATGTCGTTTCCGACTCGTCAGATGCAGAGAGCAGTGACAACATCGCTCAGTTGCGCAAGCTCGGCATTCCCGTCGCCACAATTCCTCCCACCGCCATTGCATACAGCTTGAACCAGGTCTCGCAATGCTTCGTTGGTGCCGAGGGTGTCGTTGAAAACGGAGGTATCATTAGCAGGTTGGGCACCTATCAGATCGCAATGCTGGCCAAAGCTGCCAACAAGCCCTTCTACGTTGTCTCCGAGAGCCACAAGTTTGTCAGACTATACCCACTCGGTCAGACAGATTTAGGCATCGACCAGAACATTGTCGAGTTCAAGACAACCGAGGACGCTAATAGCATTAACGGAAGCGTTTCTGCAAAGGACGAGGGTGTTGCCGACATGGATGTCCAGTCTGATGCAGGCGTTTCAGATAGCGTCGCCAACACTGATGCTGTTGACTTTACAGTACGTATATTTCCACTCTCCGGATAGCGACTTGAACTTACGTGTTTTCAACAGCCCCCTAACCTGATTTCTGGCATTATTACCGAATCTGGTGTTTTGCTGCCATCCGCAGTCAGCGAGGAGCTCATCAAGATCTGGTTCTAAGCGTTCAGCCTTTTTGAAGCTCGACTTCCAAGCTTAATCAAACGCAGACGTGCGTGCAGGGGCAGTACAAGTGTCTTTTCAGATGCTTCTCTCTGGGCTTGAGAATCACTTCCCAGCTGTAACAGAGACGGACTGTTGAGAGAGTGCGACATCAACTTGACCTATGCACAGTCGCACTAAACAGAGAAAAGTGCTGCGACGAGAGTCATGATGATCATGATACTTACGAACTCAAAAGGAGACGGGCTGCATTGGGTATAGAGGTTCTCGAAAACGCGGAACGGGATGAGGATCAGTTGATCTGAGGGCAGTCAGAGGACACGATAGTTGTACATTGTATAGGAGAGGAAGACATGTGAAAACATCGTTTTCGAACAAATCTCTCCTATATAGAGTAAGACCGACCCCCGCTTGAGACCATTGAGAGAAGATTCAGCTTTGTTCTCGAGGAACTTGGCGCCATCTGGGTATCATTCTGGTTCAAGAAGCGCTTATGCATTTCAATGACTTTGCTAGGGTCTATAGGTCCAGAGGTCTTTCACAAAGTCATACTCGATGCAACAGATTCTATGACTGTGCACTCGATCGGTCGTGTTTTCCCTACTCGTGTACAAAGTCTGTAGGTTTCACGCTCTTTCATGAACTTGTAGAGTGATTTTTGTGCTATGAAAAGACACGGTGATTTCTGGACGAGGCATCTATCCAAAGAGATTCCAAATCATAACGCGTCTCGATGGACGCGATCCAATTTTCGAGAAGACTGTGCATCTTGACAGTCACACACGTCTAAGACCCTTGCGCACGGAGAAGTTGCAATGGAGGAAGGGCCATCCGATATCAGGAAGAGACATTCGAGACCCTACCACGTGCTTAACCCTGTCACTCCTTCCTACTCTCGCGACAAGCGTTCATGGCCAGTATTGTTCAAGCCAAGCACAGCCTTCCTTGACCCACTCTGCGTCCATGGTCACTGCGCCATCGAAACCATGCTCGCCAGGTTGTATCGTGTATCTCAACGGCGTCCCAGGATGTGTTTGCTTGAGCTTATCCACAAAGTTGTTCGAGGCTTCAATGGGCACCTAATCATTCTGTCAGCGAACTTGATGTGTAGTCGGTTTCCACTTCACAATAAACTTACCAGCGAATCTTCCTTGCCATGGACGATCCAGCAAGCAGGGACGTTCTTAGCTGTCTCAAGATTGTCAATCGCATGCACGCCTTCTGCATCACCCAAAAACTCCAGATAACGGCCGGCCTGAACGACAGCACAGATAAACAACCACAGCTCCCAAGGATGAGTTTCCGTCCTGACTGCTCCTTTCTTCATATCCCTGATGTAATCATCAACTTCAGACTCGGGTTGCTGAGGCGCCCCAGCCATGTGCTTTTCTCCCTTTTGCGTAAAGTGTGCGATTTTGTTGTCAAGCATGCCGTATTGTGATATCACTGCTTTGATGCCTGCATCCGGGTGCAGCAGTGCTGATTGAATAGCTAGGTATCCACCTGCAGACTCTCCTGCGGCAAGTACATTGTCTGTGTCCGCTACTACTCCGGTCGCCATATTTGCTACTTCTCTTGGCAAAGACGTCTTTACCCACGACCAAAAGTCCGAGATGTCGTCGAGCACTTGTCTGCCGTTTGCTTCGGGCAATAGACGATAGTTTGGTGTGACTAGGATAGCATTCTTCTGTGCTGCTAGTTGGATCGTCCATGTTGCGTGCCATTCTTCGTAAAGTTTAGAGCCGCATATCAGAAATCCGCCGTGGAAATGGACAAGCAAAGGGTGTTTTCCAGGCTTGAGGTTCTTTGGGAGGAGGACAGTAGTGGAAATCTCGTGGTTGTTGACAGTTTTGTAGACAAAGTCCTTCTGGTCAAAGTCGACATACTTCGAGTCAGCCATCATGAAGGTCTGCTCTTCTCAAGTCTTTGATGTGATCAAGAAGATCTTACTTGGAAGAGTTGGTATATATAAGCTCGTTGTATTAGACTCGGACATAATGATAATCCCGAGCCATTATCACCGACTTCTCTTCGAACGTCACTTCCCTGTATCGGACGTTCCTTGCTCCCCAACCGCATAATTATGTCACGCGGGTAATAGAAATTAGGTAGACGAGAAGCACCCACCGAGGATCGTGATACTATCAGCTCTCTATGACCTTTGCCATCTTCGAAGAAGGAATGAACATTCTGATGGATAGACATCTGCAAGCCATGTCATTGCATACAATATGTGCTGTGTGCCGCGAATGCTAGAAACAGAATAGGGTATCTGAGAAGGAAAGAGCAGAGAAAAGAAGAACAAAAACCAAATGGGCTTCGTACACGCAGCCAAACCCATATACCACATGACTTCGTTGTTGCTGTTTAGAATCACTTTTGAGTTAGACCTCGAGACTGCCGTCAGTCTACAACGCCAACCCAGAACCATCCCCTGTCCACCTGTATAGTGCAAGCACCTCCCTGCGGCGTTGCTGTTGCTCGCCAAAGTCTTCAAGACTGCGTCCACGGACTTGACTCAAAGCGCTGCGCATGACCTTGCGGAAATTTCTCTGTGTACGATGTTAGTTGGAGTTGTAAAGTATCGATGTTAGAGAACGAACCTGATACTCTGTGTTCAGAGTCACGACACAGACTTCATGCGCTCGGACAATCTGCTCACACGCTTTGACGACACTAGCGCTCGCCTCTCCTTGTAGCTTGTCGGCGATCAACAGCAGCAGGAAACTACCCTGGAGAAGATATATGCCGAAGAAGAATGGCATGAAACTGAGGTCCGGGTCGTAGTCGAGGATACCACTAATGGCGTCGGCAGCCGAGACAGCATGCCCAGTAGCCGAAACAAACGATTGTGAGGATATCCACAAGTCGTTGTCGTCTAGGAGAGATATCGGATCCCACTTGCCATTCAGAAGAATGTGCAATGTGTGCATTAGATGTGTTCCGTAAGCCACAATCGTCTTGGTAAGAAGAATGGTTTCGGTAATGCGATTACTACTCGTGGATTGGTTCGACGGACTAGCATTGTCGACATGCGCGCCATCGGGATTTGTGCCATCAGCAGGAATGAAGCGCGCTTCAAATGCTTCCAAGCTCCGTCCGTACGAATCCAGCTGGAGACTGATTTCGTGAGCCATATCGTCCAGATCCGTGCCGTTTCTGAACCGCATGCCGAATCGTGGATGGTTACGCGTATGATTCAAATCCACAATTTCTCCCAGAATGGTCATCAATGGCAGGAAGTAACCGAAGATACTGTGTCCAGTACACTCTAGTGGCGGACCTCTCCGTCGGTAGTAGGTTTCAGGCATGTTCTCGGTCGTGTAATACTCGCCTGCCTGGTAGAAGGACTCGTCTTCGGGTTGCAGCAAGCCTTCGCACTCAGCATCCAGAAGGAAAAGCGGTCTGTTGTAGCAAAGTGCAAGATGCCTGTCAACAATGTATAGTAGCCACCAAGCTCTTCTTCTCTCTTCTCTTTCTTCCTCAGTCACGGATCCGGGTTGCGACATTGACGCCGGCATGCCGCTGAACCTTCGAGAGTTAAAGCCTTGTTGGCCGTTTATGCCCATGTCGTTTTCAGCGTTCCCATCGGCGATTGCGTTCTCATCCTGTTGCAATGAGGGATCCGGATTGGGTGGAAGTTCTCTGCCTAGTTTGAGCTCCCGAGCCAGAGACCAAGCTGCGTTCCACCAGCGTAAACTAGCAGCTTTGTACTCGCTTGCTGATACCACGGTAGCAAGGTTGATGTAGGTCGCGACATCATCCAAAGCTCCTGCAGCGCCTGTAGAACCACCTTCGCTGTCGTGTCTAGCAGTATGCAATGCCACGCCAAAGCCTCCGAGTGCAACACCATTAACGACGGGGTTCGCTGCTTGAGTAGAACCCTCAGTCGGGGTATGAATGAGCGGTCGCAAGAGGCTAACGGTAAGCTCCAGGAGTTTCTGGCAGACTTTGCCCCTTGCTGACGGAGGGGAAGTCAAGAAAGCAGATTCACTAGTTTGAGCACCAACCCAGAGCATACTTGCAAGCAGAGCAGGGCTGCATGTGCGAGGGTTGTTTTGGCGTAAGAAAGAGTGTTTGCGGAAGATGATGCCTAGAACGTAGGGGGAGGCAGGCTGAATGAACTTGCTATACGAGCTAGAGAAGTAGATCTCCAGAAGATCGCAAGCAAGGCTGATTGGTATGATGGCCGAGATCCTTGAGAGAATAGGTTTCAGCACGGGGTAGCGCAAGGTCTGGTTGTTGGGTTGTTGGAAATTGGTATACAGAGCAGCAGAAGGAGACGGTAGCTGTAGCCATCCGGGGGAACCAGCGTGTGGTGAGGTGCCCATTAAGCCATGTGCAGAGATAGGCGACTCCCCCATGCGGAAATTTGTGTTGAAATTGTTGTTTTGACTCTGCGGACTCGGTACAGCATAAGGACTTTCGGGGTTGAAAGTCATGCCGTTTGGATAACTTAGCGGAGCAGAGAGGGGAGCAGCATTGGCAGGCATCATGGGGTGGTGAGCTACGGCAGATGGAGGTTGTTGCAGCACACCCCGGTGATAATCGTCCATCGGAGCTGTGTAGTTAGTGACGCCGACGGGAGTTCGGTCGGGCATAGCTGCGTGATTTGCGCGAGGAGTGGGTAGAATTCCAGGCTGGGTCTGGCCATCGACAGAAGCTCGGACATTGGAATAGCGATCGTTTGGAGCACCAGGGACGGCATCTTTGTTCAGATTCAGCGGGGGTAGGTGGTGCTGAGGCTGTGGTTGCGGCTGAGGCTGAGGCTGTGGTTGTTGTGCTTGAGTGGGCTGGTGAGGAGGAGGTAGAGGTGCGGCCAAGGTCTGAGGGTTCGGTACAGCTATCGAGGCACGTCTTGGGGGTGGTGGAGGGATGTGGTGAATGCTCGACCTCCGTCGCTTGAGCGAGTTCTGGGCGATTTCGATGGCGTTTTCCGGGGGAGCGGAGTGCTCATTGCTCGACTTGGGACTGTCGTTGGCGCCATTGTCTGAGCCAGCTGTCGCGGGATTCTGAGACTGGGCAGCAATGTCCTTGCGCGAAGCCTTGCCTCGCTTCTTGCGCTCGCGGTTGTATTCGCACGTAAGTCCAAATTCTACATGTCATGACGCGTTAGTCCGGGCTGGCGTCTCGGCTGGGCATGGGGTTGAGTCGAGAGTGTCAACATACCCACACAATGGGCGCAAGGAGTCTTGCCATCACACTTTGTTCTCAGCTGGTTGCATTGGTCGCACGCCCGGCTGATTCTTCGTCGCACGGGCGCTCCGTTGCTGCTGGCCTTGTTGCCAGCGCTCTGGTCTTGTGCACTCTGGGGCTGGCTGAAGGCATCGTGCTCCTGGGGAGCTGGGTTGAGGTGCGAGTCGTGGAGCTGCTGCAGAGCGTACTGCGATCCCTGGGCCAGAGCATCCAGTCCAGACATGGGAGGTTGGTTGTGGTCGTGGTGTGTTACCATGTTAGCACTCGACATGCGGCCGAAGCCTTGGGGATAATGCATGCCGCCGGCTGACAGCATTTCGGTGAGTGCTGGATGGTCGCGTCCTCCGGCGTCAGGTCGAGGAGTGTCGAGTTTTTCTCATGCAAGACGAGGGGCAAATTGAAGCAGAACGGAAGGTTTCGAAAGCCTCTCGAAGTTCAAGTGCGGGCAAGTTTGGGGTCCGTCCAGGATCGTTTGCGGGATGGCTCATGATGCAGCCCGGGGAATCCGCCAAGACTTCTTTTCTCCACACCGTCCACACCTCGGCCTTTTAACCATGCATGCACCTACCTGCCTGCCATTTCCGCCGCTCTGCCCGAACCTTGAATCTCCCCAGTCCCTGATCAATTTCCAATTACCCGCAGATATGCTTTGTGTCAAGCCTGTGCGCCCTGCTGCTCTTTCTTGCACCCTTGTCGCCAGCTGCAACATGTCCATTGTCCGCAGTCCTCGACAGTCTCCACCTGCCGAGTCCGAGGTACGCTCTGTAGCGAGTAGCGAGCATGCAGGTGGCGTACGTCTTAGCCATGCTAGCTTGTCCTGATGACCCGCTCAGGACGAGGACCTGATGTGGGCTTCATCTCCACGTGACACGCCCGTGTCCTGTGCCGAACCCATTTTCGCCCTCCATTTGCCCAACTTGTTTGATGATCCCTTCTACTTTTCCACGCGCAACCTCTCAGCGCTGCCACTTCTCGCATCTGACGTGTCTATAGCCTGCCTTTTATCCACCGAAGCTTGTTCGAATTACGGCGAACTGCATCCACGTGCATTTTGATTAAACATCTCCCGAACAATCCTGTCTCGGGCCTATTCCAATTACTGTGATTCAAGCCCGTTTCGCACGGTCACTGCATTTGCTGTGGATCGAGACCGCCTCCAGAACAACCCCCCACCTTCACCCCGGCCACCCCCGGCACTCTGTTCATCTTACTCCATCTCTTCGCATCCGCTCTCTGTTTTGCTGGCACTATTTCGGTCTCAATTTCGTGCTGACATGCTGTGACCTCATAACTCGTCTATCACATCGAAGGATTAATGCAGACGCTTCTCGCGTCACGTCAAGCCATGACAGCAGAAGCCTTGCAGTCAGATCCGCACCCGTGACCATGTATTGAAGAGCTTCCTCGTCCCGAAACACTTCCTCTTGACCGACCTTGGATGAGAATAGCCATGCTGCCACAGTGGCTGCTTCATAGACCGCCCACGTAATCCATCTCGAACCGTTTGCGCAACCATGCGTCCTGGCGCTTCCCATATCGAGAAACCCCATCGTTCAGACTTCCAGCCAAATCAACTCAGGCAGGTCATTCCAGACTTCTGTCCTTGACTTCGTTGATTAGCATGGCCTCTCAGCCTCCATATGCCTCTCTTGTCCAAACTTATCTCGACAGACATCTACCGAAATTCTGATGTCTTGATGCCGCTTGGATCTACACCTACTTCTCCGTTCTTTCCTTCAATTAGCCCTAGCTTTAAGCTTCCAGCCAAGATGCTTATTCTGACATACCAGTGCTAAGGTCCATCATAGCCTGAATATCTTCTCTCGCCGATCAGCATTCTTGTCCGGTGTCGAAAGCATAATGCTTTACGGTGAAATTCCTTCCCCATGTGCCAAATTTTGCAACGGATCACGCCATAGGGTGTGGGCTCTTAAACCGAACCAGGTTATAGAGACTCCAGACTCGAGCTGGCGGCTTCACTAAAGTCACACCAAGATGCGTCTAAAATGTCATGCAGATCTAAAGGCCCAACTCTACTAAGCATCGTTTGGCACGGTTCAATCATCGGCGTCGCAACTTCTGGAAGTTCATGAGCAGGAGTCGCTTACCTCCACGACCTGGATTTGACGCGCCAACAAAACTGCGGCTACATCACCCGTCAAGTCCATTCTGATGCAAGTGCCACATAGAGAGCGAAGATGACCTAACATTTTCCACGTAAAGTCCAAGCTATGTCAATGACAGTTATAGTTACTGGCTTGAGGATTTGCCCAAGAGTTGTACTCAACCGCTAAAGACACGAACTCGACAATATGTCGGAAGTAAGAGCAAGCATCTCGAAGACTGTCGAAAGAAATATCACGTGCCATGCTTGCCTTTCACTCAACCACTATGGCCATTGAGGGAATGCTCGACACGTGGAGTGCTGATTCCACCGTCATCTGGTTGCATTTTAGCTCACGCCTTGCTTTGCGGTTTATTGAGTGAGTTGTCAAAGTTTGCTAAGAGTCATCGTCATGGGCTCACGCATACATAAACTGCTGTCTACGAACACCTCTTCATCTCCCCAAACCCTGCAAGACACTTTGCCAACATGCAATTCTGGAACTGGTTTCTTCTCGCAACTGCAGTCTTGGCCACTGCAAAGCCCCCCAAGCAGTTGGTCGATATTAGCACATTGCCCGAGTGCATGGTAAGCATGATAGTTAGTTCCTTACGTTGTTCTCGACAAGCTGATATCATCTGGAAGCAATATTGTATGCGTCAGGAGAAGAAACACTTCGATATTGATAAAGCACCCAAAAAACGGGTGTGCAAGGAGACCAGTTCCAAAATCGTCCCATTCTGGAAATGGCTCTACAAAATTGGGCCATGTGTGCGTAGAGAATGTGACGAGACGCCAGACGAGACATCAGATGGTAAGATATGGTTGACACTCGGGTTATGACTATAATGACGCTCCGCTTCGTAGCCTTCGATGCTTGGTATTACGACCTTTGCGGACATCACTTCTCGAAAGACAGTAAAGACTATGACGATGACTAGTCTGAGAGATAATGCACTCTTAATGGCTGTAGAGGAAGAAATAAAGTACAATGGTTTCTAAATCCTGCTCGTGAGGATGAGAAAGATGAGACTCTCGAGAACGCTGAGGCCGGAGGAGAAGAAACTGTCGATTAGTCTGGGGCTGGGGGCCGAGAAGGAGGAGGCTGCCCACTGTTAAAGAGGGAGAGGTCGAGACGAATGTGGAAACCGTCGAAGCTTAGACCGAGCATTGGGGTGACCTACTACAAGACTATGCAGATACTACGAAAGTTGAAGCCAGTCTCGTCTATGATAAATCCAAACATGAGAGTGATCAAACGACTGTCCAGACGCCTGTCTAGAGTCTCCTGACTAGGCTTCAACTCTTCTGACGATGCTAACCAAAAGAAGTTATTGCACTTCTTGCCTCTTGATGTTTCGAATACCCCCTACGCATATAAACTCCATCTGATCTCCGATGTGTTCTCTCTAATAGTGATTCTGTCCACATGTCAGTGTGTGAATGTGGCGCGGAGAGTAATTGACCGAAGTGGTCAAAGATTGATAGCTGATAGAGAGAAGAAAGTCTTGTAGAAGTCGAAGAAGCATTGATAGCGTTCTCTAGATCGTACATGAATGTCTCACTACTAATGTTTCGGTGAAGAGTATCTTTCGAGCTTCATCATTATCTCTCCCTGAGGGGAATAAGGAGATTGGAAGGGGGCTAGCGATTTGATGCTTCTCGATGGTAACCATCATATATCTCAATCATACTATACATGCAATATATCTCTCATGTTTCGTAACCAGCCCCTTTCATATGGCGACAAATAGCTTTTGATACAAGCGAACCATGACAATCATACAAGCCATTAAGCAGTCGAGTTACCCTTGGAGATCAAAAGAGTACCAAAGACGTTCGAGTTGGGTACGGCCTTGCCAACCTTGCTCTTGAGGTAGCAAGCCGAGCCAGAAAACGAAGCATCAATACAGCCGGGTGTCTGATCGCAAGCAGCAGCACAGCCCTTAATGCCACCGGTGATATACACTTGCTTCAAGTCACCGCCTTGATGATCGACACCACACTCGACAAAGTATTTGGAGCCGGAGGTCGTGTTGTAAATTGTGTTGTTCCAGCTGGGGCATGAGACAGTCGTCGTCAACTGAGCATGGAGACCGACAGGTTGAGAAATAAGGCGAGCACCGACGGCGCCAGGCTTCGAAACTGCGGTTCCAACTGCGCCTTTGAGGTAACAGGTGGTACCGGAGAGCTGGACATCGATGCAGCCAGCGGTACCTTCACAAGCCATGATGCAGTTGTTCAGTCTGTCTGTGCCGTTGACATAAACTTGCGAGAAGACACCTCCAGCGTGATCGGTACCGCACTCGATCTTGTAGGTGCTTCCGGTTGAGGGGGTGTATTCGAGGGTGTTCCAAGATGGACACGACGGAGTGTCAGTTTTGTTATACGCACTGAGGCCCAGAGTGTCAAGCAATACTCCGAAATTAGGCAAACCTAAGCCTGTAACGCTATCCCAACCGACTGTTGCGTTCCAGGTAGCCCAGGGAATAATGGAGGCACCAGGGATTTTAGCTCCGGTTTGACCATTGACACCATTGCAGCCGGTGGAAGCGCCCTGAGTCACGTCCAAGAAGCCAGACTTCAGGGAATAGAAGAGAGGATTGACGAAACCAAGGGCAGGCTGACCGGCCTTGAGACGAGCATCATTAAGCATACCGATCATGGCGGCCCAAGCAGGAGCCGCGGCAGAGGTTCCAGAATAGAGAGCAAGAACGCCCTAGATGATGTCCGTTAGTACCAACTCTCGAACTAGTAAGGCAATCGGACACTCACATTAGCGAAAACAGGCCAGTATGGGTTACTGCTATGAGCTGAGACATCCGGGAACCCACGTCCGCTGAAGTTAGTGAAGGGCGTGTAGTACTCCTGGACGGATTTGCTGATATAGGAGCCCAGGTAAGTCTCGATGGCAGCTTCCTGGTACCACGCACGTGGGAAGTAATTGCTAAATCCACCCGTCGAACCATCCCACGCGATTTCGGGATCTATACCTTGAGTACCGCCAACTGCGGTGACGTACGGGCAGGTACCTGTCAAGGAAAGAGTGGAGTTAGCATGCTTTGTTTGTATAGACAACGATAAACGACCACAGAGTCAGGACAGGCACCAAATCTCTCTAGTCGCAGTACATGAGCACTATCCCAGACGAGCAAGATGCCGATGGAGTATGCCGAGCATCTCAATGGAAACGTCTAGTTACTCGGATAGCACTCTGCGTCGCGACAGGGAAACTTTGGTGTCTGTATGCCTTCGGGGAGTCGTTAACTCGTGCTGTGTGTTTTTTGCACTTACCAGGAAAGGCAGGGGTAAACTGAGGTGTCTTCTTGCCGTCGTTGCTTTGGCAAGGAGCGCCAACTCCGGTGTCGCCCGAGGACTCAAGGATCGTGATGCCGCGAAGACCCATCATACCGATCTGGTTGCAGACATAAGTGGCATAGTCGATGGGCACAGTCTGCTCATCATCTCCATACGAGTTCGAGATGACTTGGGGCAGAGCTTCGTTGGGCTGTGAAAGGAGGTATGCGTAGTAGTCCAAGTAAGGCTCGTTCGAGTTGTCTGCCTCAGTAGGTTCATCCAAGTTGGGGATGAAAGGAGGAGACCCTCCAGTGATAAATTCAGTAACGGGCAGTGGGTGAGCCAGACCGAAGATGTTTTGGGCATCGAGGTTGGCCTCGCCGATGGTTGTGTACTCAGGCTCTTGGTGATTGACACCGCCGTTGATCAGAGTGACGTTGAACGACTGTTTGGGGATGTTGTACTTCTGTTCATAAAGGAAGAGGTCGGCTTCGATGGCCGATTCGTTCAAGAAACTGCCAAAGCCAATACGACTGCCACTGGATGCGTCTGGAACATAGGTGATGTTAAGAACCTGTTTCCAACAATCAGGACCCAGGTAGGCAGTACCGCGAGCCGAGTGTGAGATACAGGTGGTCACACGCTTTGCCAGGTCCGATTGTGGCTCCGACTCTGACGCACGTCTCTCGATGCCAACGGTTTCCGGCAGTCTGAGAGCACTCTGCGCGTTGGTACGCCCAAAGAAGGTGGTGGGCGAGACAAAGTCGATGTGGTTGGAGATCTCGTCGGGAACTGAGTACGAGAGCGTTCTCAACTTCTCAACGCCAGTGGAATCGTCCTTGAAAGTTGTGAAATTTGCTCCAAAAACCTTGTTGGCTTCGCCGATGGTCGTCTTGATGGCGACATGCAGACCACGGTCAAGACTGTTCTCCAGTCCTGATGACTGGGCCCACGAAGTCACGGCATCAACAGAGCCGGTCGATGGTCCAAACAGAGCGTTGACCTGATCAGCGGTGTAGTATTTGCCGTAATTTGAGCTTGATGGGTCGGAAACTGATCTCAAGAGGCCCTCGAGCTGGTCGATGTTCTGTTGCTTGACTGCAAGCTTCAAAGTGATTGACTGGGAGGCATCAGGTGTACCCGAGACGGACCATCCTGCTGGTACTCCTGGAAGTTGGTCACGGAGCGAAGCTGCCAGAACACTAGGGACGGTTAGAGCCGCAATTGAAAGGAGAGATGCCGACAACATGTTGACCAGTACAAGACAATCACAGCTGGATGAAGAGACTGGGAAGAAGTTGGGAGGGGTATTGCCCTGTTTATACCTATCTATAGCCCCTCACGGGTAGCTGCTGAGCCCTCTTGACTCTCCAGTGGCACCTGTACTGTACAAACACCGCCTCGCAAGATAGTAGAGTACAATGGGGAAATTGCAGAACACGAGACCTGCAGATAGCGTCCAGTCTACTGCGAGAACTTAGATAGTGATCATGGGGGCATGTGCTAAGAGTGTGGGCCGTAGCACGGCAAATGCTTAGACTCATGCTTAAGTCGCTGATGGCCATGCAGAATGGTGGAATACGAACCAGTCCTTGGATCCAGGGGCTTCTAGAGGAAGATCAGTACATGTTCGCCATCCTTCACCTGCCTATTTAGAGAGGGTAGTCGCGTCGGAGAACTTTACGGCCGCAGATCGTATACAAGCTCGTAGCCACAACTTCGGTTAGATAAGACGTAGAGTAGCATCCAGGAGATGGACAGATGAACTTTGTAATTTGTAGACAAAGTACGCGGGGCACACGACATAGCTTGCAACAAGAGGCGATGGCGAAAGAGGAAGGTGAAAGGTGGGTGGAGTTCTGTGTGAAATACGAAGCGCGACTGGCGGCATCGGCCAAGCGCGTTCCAGCGGCCGTCCAAGAAGCTTGTTTGTCTGACAAGTTTCGACCTTCAATCCTAGATAGCATCAAGTAAATTATGGCTCTGAGCGGGCACGTTCGGTCTATCCTCTGTAGCCGCAGCCTCGGTGGGTGCACCGCGATACCGAGCAGAGATTACTGATGGTATCACTACTTGATGCCCTCCGTGTGCTAAAGTTTGCACAAGATGCCGAGCACCCAGTAGCGATCTACAGTGTGACACGGGACAGTCGCGTCCGCCCTCCCTCCTCCCTGTGTGTAAAGGCATGTCACGCGTAAAGCATATGGAGAGATATCGGAAGACCTCATGATATCGGGTGCAATGGCATGAACGGAGCTTGCTAGGTCCAAGGAGCGGCATCTTATCTTTGGCACTGTACATTGCGGGATGCGGTTCATTTGGTAGATTGATCGTCAGGTACCGCCGCTTTGCTGCATAAAATACTCTACGCTTAATACGCTGCTATTATGAGTTGTACCGTAGCTACAGCCCTGTGTACACATATAAATATAGTCCTGTCCATCGACTGCTGCAAGTCGAGCTTGGAAGCAAAAATGAGCCGAGGTGACCTCTCAAGCGTGCGCTTAGCGTACCCTTGCTACGCCGAAAGTACAGATATGATAAAGCGACCGAGAAACCATCCCATGCAGGAGAAATGAAAGTGAGTCGTAAAATTTCGTGATTGGATTAGTCGCTCAACTCAGCCATCTCTCGTTCTTTGGCTAGAAGCGCTTCCCTCATCATGGCCATCTCTTGTTCCAATCGCGCTCTTTTATCCCGTCGCGATGATTGGCCAGCTGGCGAAAAGTCTTCGGCATTCATCACAGCCAGTGGAGCTTTGTATTCTTGAACCATAGTAGTAGATCCAGATACAGGAGGACCGGAAGAGAGCGAAGGGTCTATGTTCTCGGCTTCGCTTCTGTGACTACGATCGCTGCGAGGATATGCTGGCGAAAGAGGTTGACGCGCCTGGTCCGAGGTATTGCTGATCGAGAAGGATCGTTTACGTGAGACTGGTGGATTTGAAGGCTGTGCGGGTTCGGGCTGTTCGGCCGATGTCGGACGTAAAGGCTTGCCGAAATGCGTAAAGTCGACAGCGATAGGCGCGCGGGGAAGACGAGCGGGCTCGAAGGAAGAATGAGGAGGAACGATTTGATGGGAGTGCGAGTGGTCGGCGTGCTGGTGTTGTTGTTGATGTTGCGACTGGGGATAGAAGGGAGGTACGGATCTGGGGGCAGCAGGCTCTGGAGGAGGCGAGATTGGTTGTGTGTTGTTGACGGAGAAAGGAGCGAGGTGCTGGTCGCTAGTAGCAGGCATGACTCTGCGGCGACGCTTGATCTCCGACTTCTTCATGCCAGAGGGGCGGTGGACACCGTGGAGCTTGTAGTAGAGACCTGCAGATGGGAATCAGATTTGATCAAGATTAGATAAGAAGTGGTCGCAAAACATACCGCAAGCATTGCAGATTGTGTGTCCGTTGTCGTCGCGTCTCCACAATGGCGTAATTGTCGTACCGCAATTCTGGCAGGCCACCGTGACGTTGGCCGCCGGCGCTTGGCTGGGTCCGGGGCTGTTCTGTGCCTGAGGGTACGGGCTCTGGCTAGCTGCGTGTTGGCCTTGGGGTTGGCCTGGTGCCCGGCTGTCGTTTGCTTGTGCCAGAGCAATCTGCGCCGTCTTGCTGACCCGGTTGTTGTAAGCCGGGCATCCATTGCATCCATCGTGGCCTCCGGTACCGTTGCAACGACCTCCACCAGGGCATGTACCATTCGACGTCGTATCGGTGACATAGGTAGCTCCTCCAAGCTGTTTGGCTGATGCCGAGGGCGATGAGCTCTTTCTGTTGCCCGAGGCAGTCGTCTGTTGGTCTTGTTGCTGCTGTTGGCTGGCTGGCGATGCTTGGGCTCCACGTTTTAGGTTAACGGGTCGCATTTGATTTCGAGCCTTGAGGTAGAGTCCGCAGGCGTTGCATATCGTGTCGCCAGCTGGAGAGCGTCGCCATAGTGGTGTTCTCGTTGTACCGCAGTTACTGGGACTTGGTCAGCATGTGAAAGTCAAGTGGTGTAAAGACACAAGTTACCTGCACACTTGACCCGCTCCACCCATGCCCGTGTTGAAGGGTTTCCTTTGTTTGACCCATGTGAGTTCGTGGATGGATGGCAGTTGCAGATTCTGTTGTTGCTGGTGATGCGAGTGTTGTGGAGTGAGCTGTTGTTGTTGCGCCGAGAGACTCGTCTCGCTGCCGCCGTCGTCGGACTGGCGTTCAACATCACCACCGCTTCTGCTGCCGCCGTCTGCTGTCGACGGAGTGGTGCGACGATCGACTATCGGCGGCGCATGCTGGATGCCTTGTGAGTGTTCGATCAAGCGTTCGGCGAGTTCCAGTTCTTCCTTGGAGCGTTCGTTGGACAGGCGTGGGCCGGCGACAGGAGACGGCGCAAGTGTCGATGCTGGGTTGGACATGGTCGGAGATGGACTCGATAATCACACTCGTCCTGGACAGAAAGCGCAACACGACCTTCGGTGCAGAAGGCGATGAGCGAAAGGGTCGCGCCAAGCCAGAAGTCCTCAGAGAGCACGCAACTCGCTGCAGCCTATCCAGCTAGGTTATCGTTCCTGGGGGAGATGGTCCTTCTTGGCGACGTGATAGCTAGCACCAGGTATACAAGTCGATGGAACTCTTCAACAACCCGCTTCGAAAATTCCGCGCTGGTGATCCGATGATGTCTCCGGAGGGTGTACGGCCGCGTAGGTCTGGTCTGCGTGCGAGACCGAAGGGAGCAGCAGGAGACTGAAAGTACGAGATCACGGTTGATGACAATGCCTCTGATCTCATTGGCTCATAGCACCAGGACATTTCTTGACTTGCAATGCTGATCTGGAAGCCTTCCGACTGGCCCGTCGACTCCACTCTACCGCTTTACTTTTAGGCAATCGAACCTTCTGCGTGCTTTCGCTTAACTTGGCATTCCCGGTGACATTTCGTCCATCTCTCACGCCTTCGCCATAGACTCTCGTAACCACGCCGACGTGTCCCCGTAGCCAACGGATCCGATGCCACCTTCTGCACCATCATGGCCATCTTCCTCGGGCCGGCGACCCTTGCGCAGAAGCGAGCCACTTTACCAATATCATCAGTGCTTCCCGCGGCGCTCAGGGTCCTTCTGCTCTGCCATCCGTCGTGGACACCGTGCTGATCCACAGTTGTACCGTCCCTCGTTGCAAGTCTTCCCTGTATGCTCAAAACTATTACAATCAATGTAGCTATGAAATGTACAATCTTTCCCGAATTCAAAGGTGTGGCCCTGGAAGTATTTCAAGGCAGTCTCCTCTCCGTGACACCGCAGATGGCGTAGCGCGTCCCGATGACTGATTTCATCGCTGCGTGTCACCGAATGGAAGAGGCAGTCGATCGAGACATCGTAGAGTAGAAAGGCTATGTTAATGTAGTCTGCATGGAGCATTACTAGATATGTATTCGCCGACTTGTCGCGTCTTGGTCCACTATTCGGCGACAAAAGTGCCCTTTGGTGGGATCGTCACCCTGCCTCTAGCTTCTTTAGTTCGCCATTGGATCGCTTGGAGGAGATGGTAGAGGACCTGTAATGTCGGCATTGGGACGCCCAGAGCAGTACCTACCCTCAATGGCTCTCCTACAATGTTTTCAAACTCGGTGAAGTTGCCCTGAAATCGTCAGCTCCTGGTCGGGTCATTTTTTCAGGTTGTAGTTCGCAAACCTTTCTGATGTCTCCCAGCATGCTGGGAGGAAGATACATAGTCAACGGATCAATGTTGATCATGAAATCGCAGACATCTGGAGGAAGGTGCACGCCCACTGCTTTCGCTGCAGCTCTGATCTCTTCCATGGCAGGTTTGACCAGTCCGTCGATGGCGCCATCTGCAAGTCGAATACGACCAGTGTCAAGCCCAGTGAGAGCACAGATTGAGTTCAAACAAGCATTATACACCAACTTTCTCCATCTTGCAAAGTTGACATCCAGTTGCAGTTCACAATCGGTCTTTCCACCGGCAGAGTAAATCCGGACAAAGTCCCTCGCTGCAGCCTCCTCGTCCTTTGTGGATAGATTTTTGTTGTGGAAGGGCCCGATCAATACTCGATCATTGTCATCGTGCTCGATCACACCAGGTTCGGTTTCATGAGATCCAATCATGCTTACGCCAGACAGAACGATGTTGTTTGGGAATGCCTCGAACACTGGCTTCTCAATGTTGAGCCCATTCTGGATGAGCACAATCACAGTACGGCCAGGTTGTACAGCGGGAGCAATGAGGTCCGTGAGAGCAGGTGGGCAATCTGGCTGATTTTTGGTTGTGCAGACAATGTAGTCGAATTGCTTCTCCGAAGCCTTAGGTACATGGTCCACGACTGGAGACTTTAGTATCATTGACCTTCAACTGGTAATATGTGGACTAACCCTCGGTTGGTCGCCATCCTTTCAGTGTGCCGTGATCACAAGATGCAATCTCGAAGCCCCTCTCTTTGACAGCCTTGTAGTTCGAACGCAACACAGCTGTCACTTCTGCGTGACCACCGACTTCGAGGTTTAGTGCTGCGATCGTGCCAACTCCACCACTACCGAAAAGAAGAACCTTGGATCTGTCGGTATGCATCTTGAATTATGGATTATGAGCCGTGGTATTTGTCTTGCAATTGTAGGTAAACAGATTGTGTGAGGACAGCTATCTATATCTGGCTGGAGTAACGTCAAGAGGAGGTGGTGTTAAGATATCCCTATCGCGGCCAACATGATTCCCAAAAAGAGCAAGTGTTGGCCGAGGAAAGAGGAGACCGCTGCTCGGCCATCTGAGAGAAGCCTTTCGCCGACAAGAAGGACAGGGAGAATTTGAACACGCCGGTCTGTCCGAAGACGCCGATGTCACAAGGAGAAAAGCCAACTTCAGCCTTGACCTCTTGCGCAAACTCGGCGGAGAACGCAGCCTCGATGCTAGAGAACGTCGTATGGCCGATGTCAGCTGCATATGTTCTATAACGAGCTCACTGTGTTCTCCGATCATATGCATTGCCGTCGGGTTTCGACTTCCAATTTGCCGTTGAGTGTGTTTCCCCCCGAAGCACGACACTTTTACTCCGAGTAGCAGTTCACCGGTATGAGCAAAACGAGAGGCCTTCGGCCTTCGTGGCCTCGCATATTTTCCTATCTGGTGACTCGGTCTTGCCTTCTTCTTTCTGTGATTTTTGCAGCAGATCAATAAGAAAACAATGAGTCCGCGATCAAACGCGTGTTCCACCTGCCGTTCGCGCAAGGTCAAGTGTGATAGGACCCTACCAAAATGCTCGGCCTGCAGGCGACTAAACCTGGACTGTGTTCAACAAGGCGCCGTTCAAGGATTAATCTGGCTCGACCCTGGGGTGCCTAACAAAACAACTTCTCGGAAGTGCAGCACAGAGTCGCCGGAAAGAGAAATGGGTCTTCGTAGGAAACCACTCTTCTCGGGTAAGTCTGGAAAGCAACTACGCATTTAGTCCAGGACTAATCCAGTGCCAGATCGTGAGCGAATTGCAGAATGCTCCCGGATGACAAGACAGATCTCAGAGCATCAGGTTGAGGGCCTTTTACTACATCTTGATACGGAGGCCGAAACGCTGGATTATGATGCGCCGATTAACCATGGACCTTTTGGGGTCTTCTCTCTGCACAAGCCGAAGTCCCCTTCACTCACACCTTCATCTCCACCTGTGCCTGAGCCGGAAGCCCTGCCAATTATCAACTCACTGCCCGAGGACGACTGGTACGGCATTGACTTCATGAACATTGAGCAACCATCGCATGACTTCCAGCCCGTCGTGACAAAAAGCCCTCTACCTCTATCATGGGCCACCTCATCACCCATGCTCAACTTTGGCGATGGCATGGACGAAGCTTTCAACATGAATTTCAGTGGAGTCGAGGATCCTTCTGGTATCACGGATTTGACTCGATTCTTCCCTCTCAGCCCACGTCTACCTACGCCCGTTACCTTGACCTTCTCCCAGGATGTTGCGGGAATGGCACCTGGAGTTATGCGCACTTTGCTGGATCATTACCAAACCTCGATGATGGGGTGCTTCACACCGTTGCATCACGAAAAGCCCCCATGGAAAATCCTCCATCTGCCTTGCGCGATTTCAGCTTACGGAGAACTGTCTCTTCTTGGAGACTCGAACAATGCCAAAATGACATTGCTGTTTGCAGTCCTGGCTATGAGTGCCTTCAACCTGAAGCATTTACAGACCGACCCGTCGGAGGCCGACAACTGGCAATCCATTGCCGAGTCATACCGTGAAAAGGCAAAGGCACGCCTGAAGCTTTGTCTTCGCGAGCAGAGCGAGGAGCAGAAGAAGTCAAAGTACAAAGAGGTCTTGATGGCTCTGACAAGCATGGTAACAGTCTGTGTAGTCAGTGGACAGATGCAAGAAGCGAGATGCTACCTTCTGGATGCCGAACGATTCATTTACATGCAAAGTTTGAAGAAGCCCAAGCAATCACGAAAGGTAAACATGCTCCACAGCATCTACCTCTACCTACGGATTATTGAGGAAAGCACATTTACTCCAGTCGAGGATACCCAACCTCACCTGATCGATCATTCATACGCTATGACAAGCGAGGCACCAAGCGCAATCTGTCGCTACCCTTCGCTGTGGACCGACCGTGTGAAGCTGGGCTCGGACATGGACTTTCAGGACCTGGAGGCACGACTAGTTTCGTTCCCAGCCGACCACGACGAACCGACTATGTTTGAGCAGATCTACGGCATCCCCGAGTCACTCTTCCGTTTGATCTCGCATGCCACTCACCTCGCTGACGAGGTCCGTCGAAGCCGCTCTGTTTATCCCGGAGGCATGTCCCAGGACCTCGCACAAAGGGCCAAGATCATTGAGGCAAAGATCTGCAATTGGAAGAATCCTTACAAACTGTTGGCTGAGAAGCAAACACTGATCGTTTACGGGCCAGCAGAAAGGTCCAACAAGATCGAGGTGCGAACGGATCTACTTTACAACTTTCTGGAAGCGATGCACTGCGCGTTAATCATCTACTTCTACCGCCGAGTGAGAGACACGAACGCAACGGCCTTGCAACACTATGTCGGCAAGACGATCCATCATCTTCTGGAGCACGAACAGAAGAAGAACATGTATGGCGACACGTCGGCCTATGTCGCTTGGCCTGGTTTCATCGCCGCTTGCGAGGCCTTGGACCCTGTTCAGCGTGAGCAGATCTCTGCGTTTATGTTCAGAGCTGGTCAACAGTCTGGCGTAGGCAGTCTCTTTGTGGCCGCTGATGTAGCCACAAAGGTGTGGGCTGCAAGAGACGACACGGGCTGTCTTGACGTGTCGTGGAGTGACATTCTGGCTACCAGCAAGAATGGGTTGATAGTTACGTGAAAGAGATGGATCGTGTCAAGGGAATTATGACTGATGATGGCTTACGATATTACGAACTCTAGCAAAAGCTGCAATACCTAATCATGAATTATTTGTCTATACCTTCTGGTTGCTTCGAATCTACGAGCGACGATCATGTCATGGAGATATCGGTGTTGATGGCCTTGACGGACCATGACGCGTTATATTCTTGTTACCCCACACGTCGAGCTCTCGTTTCTACCCGGGTGGTTCCTCGGGTGGAGCTCTCTCGAGCTGATCAACGATTGACAAATGCCTCTGGCCGTTGCTCGTTCTCTGTGCTTCAAACCAAGTTCAACTTTCTCCTTCTTCCGCTACACAACGTATACCCAATTCATCAGATACAATCACACGATGCAGTCTCAAGCTTGCTGTACCGTTCCTCCCGTCATCAGCAAGGGCTACAATGCCAAGGGCACTTACACGACCATCGATGGCATGAAGACCTATACCACTGGTCCCAGCGACGCAAAGAAAGCTCTCCTGGTCGTCTACGACATCTTTGGCTTCAAGAACCAGACCATCCAGGGTGCTGATATCCTCGCAACCAGCGACAAGGAGAACCACTACCAAGTCTTCATGCCCGATTTTTTCGAGGGCAAGCCCGTCGACATTAGTGACTACCCTCCTGACACTGTATGCATTGCTTGTCGCATTTCAAACCGAGAAACGGATAACTGACAACCAAAACAGAAGGAGAAGGGCGAGCGCCTCGGTCAATTCTTCCAGACCACTGGCGCCCCACCCAAGACCGTCAGCCGTCTTCCCAAGGTCATCGAGGAAATCAAGAGTCAGAACAAGAACATTACATCCTTTGGCATTGTCGGTTTCTGCTGGGGCGGCAAGATTGTGAATCTGTCTTCGCAGAAGGACTCACTCTTCAAGGCTGCTGCTGCATGCCATCCCGCCATGGTTGACCCCAACGATGCAGCTGGCATCACCATTCCCATTGCCATGTTGCCCAGCAAAGACGAGGACAAGGAGGCCGTCGAGAAGTGGGAGCAGGGTGTCAAGACCAAGCACATCGTCAAGTGGTACAACGACCAGGTCCATGGATTCATGGCTGCTCGGCAAGTCTTTTCTACGTCATACTTGAGAGAAGGTATGCTGACTCACTTCACAGTGCCGACCTCGAGGACGAGAATGTCAAGAAGAACTACATGGACGCTTACGGTGTGCTACTGAGCTTCCTCCACGAGCACCTGTAAGTGCCTTTTCACCACTCTGCAATGAGATGCAATCCTCTTGGTAAGCGAATTGTCGTTGGTGTTGCAAGTCTCGGTGATGCATTGGTGCTGACAGCTCGTCTACAGGGCCTCTTCCAACGCGCCCAAGCTATGAAAGAGCATAGTGCCGACGAATACAGCAGTCCATAGTACATGAATCATGAATGAATCCTTTTCGTCACCTCATGAGGGTCGTGAATATGGTTGTGTGCAAGTGTCTGTGACTCCATCAGATACCTTCGTCTTCAACCTCCTCCATCTCGACGTGCCTTAAGGCTTTGTCGACTGCTTGCTCCCCACCCTCCCCACGGCTCATCATCTCGAATTCAGCCTCCTTCTCCATTTCATTGGCAATGTTGCGCGCATCGTTGTATCCAGCCTTCTCGAGCTTATCTGCCTCTTCGGGCTCGAGCAAGCGTCCGCCTTGACCCTTTTGTCTCGCAATATTCTGAGCGACAGCAGCAGGCACGAAGCGTTTCGACTCTTCGGTGAGGTTGCGCAACACAGGCGCAGAACTGTATGTCGTTTGTGCTGGTACTGGAGCAGCAGCGGCGGCGGGCTTGTTGGGTAATTGATGGGGCTGGTTTCTGCGCGGGATGGGCGGCGGTGTGTCCCTCGGCATAGGAATCTTCCTTACGTCCTCGTCCGTCTGGTCGTCTTCATCGTCGTCTTGTCTTCTTCTCTTCCTTTGCTCGTTGCCATGTTGGTCTCCTTCCCTCCTCTGCTTATACACCGGAGCCTTCTCTCCCAAGACGTCTCTGGCTTTCTTTACAGCGCGCAGATCTTTTTCTAGTTGGTCCAAGGTAGCTTGGTCTTTTGGTCGCAGTTGCTGGGTTGTGGCTAGCGATTTGAGGTCGTCGATTTGTCGTTGAAGGCGTTCTGGATTGCGGCGGGCGAGCTTTTCGTTTCTTTGTGCTTGGACATTGGCTTTTGATTTCTTGAGGGCTTGCTTCTTGTCTGCTTTGTGCTGGGCTGCGACGGGGTTGAGGCTGCGTTCTTTGGGCATGGTCGGTCTGCTGTTTCTGATCTAGAGATTTGCTGTGTCTTGTATGTTGAAGCTATGGCGATAATGGAAGTCTTTCGATTGGTATGTTAAGTAGCTCGTCTCCTGTAGAAGGTGTATGTGATTTGAATGAAACGCAACGAGAGATTCCGAATTCTGACGCAGCAGGAAAGGTGTGAGAGCTGTGTTTGCCCTGTTTGACTCGTCCGTCACCGATTTCCTCCCGTCATGCAGCCCCTCGAACCATCAAGGTACACAGCACAATCAACACGATATCACATTCGGGCGCTGCTTGTAAGATACTCTGTGTTTTTAATTGCCATGTGTCACTATGGTTATCTGCTGCTATGACACCCTTGTGCCTTGACCGATTTCACATCAACATCAAATTCACTGCTTGTCTGTTGCTCATATAATCAGCACTTTACTTCCTCAGCCCCAGAGGAGAACAAAACTTACTGTGGTGGTCGCTCGAGAAGGTGTCGCTGACGGTGTCCTTGGCTTGCTGGAACATGCTCTGGCCCTTGTCACCAGCCTTCTGCGAGTCCGATTTCATGCTGTCGGGCTGCATCGAGCCCATGGCGCTGTCCATGCCGCCGGATGCCTTGTCCTTGGTCCTCTGCGTGTCCGACTTGCTGCTGTCGGGCTGCATGGCCTTGGAGGCTTTGTCGGTGAAAGATTCGCGTCTGTATACAACAGGACATTGTTAGATCGAGGCACGTTTTGTAAAGTACTCTCGAGCACCGTACCCTTGGTCAGACATGATTGCTGATTATCGAGTGGATGTTCTGTCTTTTTGTTTGTCTGACAAGCAAGTACGAGAATGGTATGCTGATGGTTATTTATTTCTGCAGATTCACCTACGAGTGCTTGCCTTTATATTTCGCTGGACGAGGGGTCTCCTATGGCTGTACAGTGCAACGATAGAGTGCTCTCTCACCCTGCACCCCTCTTTCTCTATCACCAACGTCACTTGGGTCTGGTGGTGTTATCTTCTTTGCTACTCAGCCTTGGAAAATGTTCTACGATTTCCTTGTGACTAGATCTTGATTGGCCTTGCTGATAGGAGGCACTCTGGAACTATGTACGGCATGTGGTTGAAGGAGGACGAAACCCCTGTTCCTCGACAGCAAACCAGTGGGCGAGTGATGAGGGACGTCATACTGATGGAGACGTTGGAACCTTTTCATATGACAGACGTATTCTTCATCTGGGCTCGTCTCACATGAAGAGACTGATATCCCAGGGCTTGAGGGGTTTGTGGACTCAACCAAGATGGCATGACGTGCAATAAAGATGCTGTGAGCGTGCAACGGAGGGCTCTCTCTCTGATCTCGTTGCACTCGCTCCGCCCTAGCCATGATGCGGTGTTGTCACAATGCGATCTCTTGCGTGCCCTCTCTCTCGGCTTTTGTTTTCACTGATGTTATTGCCGGCTGTATGATATGATGCGCTCTTTTTGTTATGCTATTGCTTTCTGACATATTGTTATTGATCCAACATGGTGCGGGTCTCACTATGTATTCGCTTGATCGCTTCCTCTCTTGGTCAACCGCGGCTCTCACGCCCCTCCATTTGTTACCATCGCCGATTTCAGTATGCAGCATCAAAGCACAAGCGTGCCTTACGTTACGCCCGCCGAGCATAGCCGTCCGGCAGACCACTTGCCTGCGAGACTCAGAAAGCCTCTGGCATCGAACCCGACTCGTTATACTTTCCCAGCCCTCGAGTCTTTGCTCGGTGACATGCTGTCGGTGGTGTTTCAAGATCTAGCTGTCTTGAGACAGCGTCGCAAAACGGCCAAAGAAGGATCAGTAGAGAACCCACTTTTCGAGACGTAGATTCTGTGGTTCAGTCTTGCTCGGCCCCCGACGACATGAGCCAAAACCAGAGACTGGATGGTAAGCAAGACGCAGGAGCACGCACCCCGACAGGCTTGCGCACACACCACAACGGTCACGCCCTTTGGCGCATAAGAGATCTGCGGTTTCGCTCTCGGGTTTTTTGCGTGCGTCAGGGGGGTGTCATTACCCCACGCTCTGCTGCTTTTCCCAACACACAAGGCTGTGTCTCCATCTTGTTGGGTTCGTGAGAGCGTGGCTGTGTTGCCAGATGCAAAAGGCAAAATCGGAAGGCAGAGGAGAGGGCTTTCCGGACCGAATGTCATTGGGCGATCGAGTTCTCAAGATCTGTTGCAACGTTGTGTCGCATGGCTGTTCGAATTTGCTTGGAACCACATTTTCGGAGCTGTGGTTAGTTCCCCACTTTCGCAGTGACATGCGTTTTTTGCTTCCTTTGCATAATTATCCATAGGCTATATCAGCGTGCTGATATGGGATTCCGGGCATGCAGAGTCCGTTTGCAAGTCGTGTCTATGGAATTGGAACGAGAAACAAGGCTGCAATGTGCAATTTCCAGCATCTCAGATCGTTACCCGAACTTCTCCGCAATATCACATCGCAACAATAACATGTCGATGTTGATAATTTGGGTCGGTGGTTGATCAGTCACGTTATGGTGATGTCGCCGGCATGCGATGATGGACCCAACCTCCGGATCTTGTGTTGCCCACGGCGGCGCGTCAGCAAGCATCCAACCAGCAAGCTCGGACGACATCCACGTTGGAGCGACGGTTTCCCATGCTGGTTGTTGCCAACGAAACATCCGTAGGAGAGCTGTCAAGTCCACAAGGCCAGCCTATGGCGCATGTGGACCCCCTTCGTTTTGCGTTTAATCGTCGTGTGCTGGACGCACCGGACGACGAGTCTTGCGATATCAGCACCAATCCTACCTATTGACGAACATCATGATCGCTGCTGATGCAGGCGTTGGGCCCATGGCAATATCTGCGTGTCAATAACCGGAACTCTTTTCCACGGACAAACGCCATCTCAAAGACAAAGTCGTAGATCATCAATGTAGAGCTGACGGAGGAATTGTATCCCCGAATATCGATGTGGACACTCGCAGTTTGTTGGTCGTCTTGCGCGTACTCCGTACATGTCGGGCTGAACCGATGTACATTACTCTATCAAAGGATTACTGATCATACCCGATGATACGTCTGTGGTTCTTGCCCTTGCTTTTAGACTGAATCCTTCCTTTCCTTGCGTCGCAAAACTGATTCGCAACCCACGCTAAGGTCTAGAGAAGCACACCATCATGGCAGGCCTCGAGGAGGAGAAATCGAGGCCCCCGTGGAAAAACAGTCGTGTATTCATGCATCAATGTTGATCTTAATCGTTAGCATGTCATTTGTGGCGTCCAATCGCGCGCGGCTCCACATTGTCTCAGGGTTGGACAGGGCAAGAGGTCGCGCTTGTGTAGGTTTGGATGGTCGTGGAAGTGAGCAAAACATGACTCAACGAGACGGCGAGAACACTGCAGAAAGCAGAGAGATTGAAGAAAGAACATGAACAAGATTCTTGTGTACTGGTTTCAACCCTGAGAAGCGAAATACTGTATGTGCATCGCGGTCCTTGCCAGAATTGGTCTCCCCCTGATGCCATTAACTCCGCCCGATTGAACAAAGAGAACTCCAAGTCTTCTGTTCGAAAGCTACCTCCCGTGTTGTATGCTGTCGATGAGTCTTGTAAACGCCTGATCAATTAGAAAGTCCTATCCCCCAATTTTATACACCATCCGAAACGCCCATAGTAAATGCCAGAGAAAGAATGTCGTTGAGAAGGTCAAAACAGAAAAGCGCGTCAAAGTTGGTCGACACTAAATCTTGAGAGGCCAGGTGCAATCTCGCTAAGGTCTTTTGGCATATGCGCCTCCAGGAGCTTGGGTCATGGGATGCTGATGCTGATGATGCAAATCATGCTCCGTCATGGCTGGCCCCAAGTGTTGGGGATGGTACCACTGCGTAGGGAGAGAATCATGTCTAGATGAATAGTCCATACCCATTGGTGGTTGTTGCTGCTGCTGATAGAATCCCCATTGTGGGGGATACATGCCGACTGGAGTCATGGTAGGCTCACTGGTGACGGGGGTTGACAGGGCGGCCTCTGAGATAGTACCAACTGGCGGTGCTCCTGTGTCGAGAGGTGTGAGATTGTAGTGTGATGAGCCTGGTCTTGTGTATTCGATCGGATTTGCAGCCGGCGCAAAGCCTTGTAACTGAGGTTCAATATGTCCGTATGACATGGAACGCATGGGAGGCTGCTGGAGACTGTACTCGTCCCTTTGCGGCGGAAATGAGAACGACGGGTATACGTTCGGAGAGTGTTCGGCCGTGGTGGAGTAGTTTGAATAATCACCCATCTGCGACGAATTCCAGTGCACAGGGGTGGGAGGCTCAGTACCTGACATATCGTTTGTGTAGATAGCAGGATAACCAGGACGAGCAAATGCGAACTCGGACGCGACAGGTGCTGGAGGATTGATTAGTATAGAGCTCATCACGCTTATGCTGTGAATCTCCTTACTGCCTGTGGAGATGCCTAACCCCGTACTGGGATCAACCGATCCGTACTCTGGAGGCGCGTTGGATGCAAGATGGGGGAACCGGCTCATTTCATGGTCATGCTCGAGCTTCGAACCTGGAGGATGCATTTCTGGCGGCGAGTTAGAGATTACTGAGGAGTCTTTGGATCCCTTTGTCTGCGCACGACTTTCTGGGCCCCCTGCAGAATCTACAGGGTAGAACACGCACTCCTTCTTCAAGCGGATGCAGTTGTTGCAGCGACCCATGTCATCAGCCTCCGCAAGTACGCATCTGATCTTCCTGCGTCTGCAATGAGCTGTTGGTGGTCAGCATGTATATCCCTAGAGCGCATCTGATTAACATATACTTACAGCAAGCGATAGATATGCGCTGATAGCCCAATTTGTTCCTTCTCTTGTCGAGGGCACTGGGTGATAGACCCCCTGACTCTTGTACAGAGAGCCCGTTCAATTGTGGAGTCGACGCGGCGCGTTTGAGTGTAGGGCTCATCTTGACTTTTGAGTTCTTCCTTCGTTTCGCGATGCCGGCAGATGAGTGTGGTAGAGTTGGGGTGTGGTAGTAACTCGCCGAGGGTGCAGAGTCTGTAGGAGATGTTGATTCGAAGTCGGAGTGGCCGTCGTGCATGTCGATTTCCGGCATGTCTATGTCTTCAAAGGGAGAAGTTTTCGGGGATAGCACAAGGTCAAGAGACCCGGTAGAAGTAACCAGTAGACCTTGTAGTGGAAACGAATGAGCTCAAGTGAGGAACACTAGACAGCTCGATATCAAAAGCTTTGGCAAGCGCCGGCCATTACTCAGAGAAGGAAAATAGAATGGATTGGAAGGACGCGACTATTCAGAAGATTTCCAGTCCCTCGATGGAGTATGCGCCGTGACACCAAGACACAGATGCGGTGTTAGATCCAATGCAAGGATGAAAAGCTCGAGTGTAAGCGTAGGATGCGAGATGATATGATGATGAACAAGTGACAAGGTTGAATCCGAGCTCGAAGTAGTTGGATGCGGTGGCCGGGACTGTCAGTTCGCAGATCAATGAGAAAGCAGTAACGAGCGAATGAATGAGGACGAGTACAAGAGGAAGTTCAAGAGGAAAAGAAGGCTACCGAAGGGCTACAGGACCTAGAGACAGCAGGCTCGGGCCTTGATACGGAGTTACCGGTTTCTGGGGGAAGAGACCCATGCCTTCTGGATGCAGTAGAAGAGTCGGTTACGAGATTGGCCATTGCTCAAGTGGCGAATGGAAAACAGCGCCCTCGAGTTGTTGCATTTTTGGTTCCAATCCTTGCATTGGGCTGGGCATTATGGATGGTGGCTGTTCTGCCCAGTTCAACGGCGGAGATGACACTCATGATCCATGCCTGGCTTTTGCGCTAGCCGTGCTCGGGCCCAGTGATGTACGTGGGTTCAAAGGAGCGCCTTCTAGACCTGGAAACCACATGGCCAATCTACCGAGGCTACCTCTGTCGTCTTGCAGTCCCTCCTCGAGCGTTGCGCGCACGGCACTTTCCTGACAGAGGCGCCCTGCAAGAGCGACATTGATATCCACAACGACAGCCATCTCCGCGCACAGCCTGCGCGACAACCTGGGTTTTCCTCTGCGAAGGGGGGGCCAGGAATTGTAAGCAATGCGCTGCTGATCTCCTGCTCGCAGTCACCACGAACATAGCCTAAACACATCGTTGGGCCACTCACAGCGCCACCTGCTTCGACGGAACTTGCCTCGTTGAGAGGGATTGACAGTGTCAAGGAGTTTGGCGTTGTCATCTCCGCTGACCATCGCCACGAAGTGCGCCGCGTATCACCTCTGGTAGTGCTGTTTCATAAGGACCTTCCGAATGTGTGGCCAACGAGTGTCGCTCAGTTGTCATCGATGACGCAGCCGGATGTGCGCGCGCTTGCTTGCAGCAGGCGTGGTTGAACCGATTAGCTCAAGGACCGCGCGCCACATTGGCCCCACCGCTTGCTTTGCGGCTCTGGTGGGGTGCTGGTAGATCCAGTAGAAGATGTGCATGATGAAGTGGATGACTAAAAATCAACCACTGGGGCTTTGCAACAACGCTGCTCGAACAGGAACTGCGTCTCAGAGCTACCAGATGTTCTTCTCCAAACATCAATTTCGCACGACGCACGATTTCTCGGTGGTGAACCTTCAATTTCAAGGGTTGAAGGGCGTGGTCTAAGACCAACCTTGACATTCAGCCACACAGAAAGGCGTTCGAACGCCTCAACAGCTGTGGTACCGAACGGAACCCCAGTGCCACGTTTTATAGTTGCCGGCAATCGATGCAAGCATGAGAAGAGCTATACTCTGAATTCGTCGGGTCCTTACAAGGTTCATTTCTTTGGGAACGTCTAATGTATCAGGCTGCTTGGAAGAACATGTGCCGGATCCGATTATATTGGCTCCAATGCGCATGTTCCACTTCCATACCAGTGGTTCCAGAGATCGCATAAGATAGCCACTTTTATCCAGCGGAGCGAACCTAGTACTCCGTACAGAACTGATCCCACCTTGAGCGTGGCGATCAATACGTGCTTCGCCTCCCCGAGAGTCTATCGCCACGTGAGATGCCCACTTCAGCACGTTGATTGTCGGTCAATCGCATGGCCTGTTGCAGCTCGCCATCATCCCGAACGTGCAAATGTTGCGTGCTCGCATGCAACGATCCGAGCTCTGAACAAGAACATCGAGAGAAGCAAGCGAACCTTCTATCAAAGTAGCCAGACGGTTTCGGATGACTCGTGGTGACTCGTGTCTCGCACCACTCGCCTACATGGTCATTCACTTTGCTCGTGTAACATCTCGTACTAGCGAATTCGAAATCGAAGTCGAGTCCAGATGCATGTCAGCACTCATATTCGGCAGGCGTGCTATTAGGCCTCGTTCACTTTGTCTTTACTAGCAGCGTTGTCTGATGATTCTCGGAGCCATGGTTGGCAGAGGAAGCGCAATCTCGCATGTGTCGATGAGAAAGTCAGGCCTTCGACTTCTTGCCCAAGCGAGATATCTGTTTTCCACGCGAGGTTCTCATCTGGTCAACAGCTTACAAATATTGCACAGGGAGCTCTAGGAGCGATATACGATGTACGATTGTATGCCTACATCTCTTTTCTGCGTCCAGGTGTTCGGGTTTTGCATGTGAAGACTTCAACCTTGGTCAGTCGTCTTCAGCCACTATTCCATTTCTTGCCTTTTCTTCTTTTCATCTCCCCTTTTTCTTCGCTTTTATCTTTTATCTTTCTTTTATCTTTTCCTTTCTCTTTCTCTTTGTCCTTTTTTTTTTATCGTTCGTTAATCTCTTTTCTCTTTCTTTCACTACGCTTTCACGATAATACACATGCAGAGCTGGAAGGTATAGTAACGCACAGCGACTCACAGAAGGTAGTAAAGTCTATAGAGAGCCGATAACACCACAGCTCTTAGTGGAGCTACTTATCAACTAAAGGAACTGTGCATACCTATGCTATCCGGGTAGCATATTATTACACATGGAGAGATGTCATCTCTACTCCTGCCTTACGACGGCGATGAGTGATAGGTATGAAACCAACAGGAAAGAGAGCGAGGGTTTTATTGAATATGACTGTTTCTCGGGACGTCGGCCCTTCTCACAGCTATACATCTGCGACTGACCAGGAGAGGTTCCCGCTCTCGTTCATGCGTCTTTCCACCCCTCTCTCGTTGCTCTCCAGTTGTTCATCCAAGTCAAAATTCGGCCTCCCTCTCTTTTCAGTCTATCGTTCGTCGCGCAGCGACATCACAACACACAAACTCTTCCGTATGACACGTCGGTAAGGTATATCATACCTTCACAAGGACTTCTTACCGGCGGCCCAATGCCGTATCAACTTTTGCATAAATTCCGGGGTAAGCAGCGCCCGAGATCGGAACGCCTAGAGCCGGCGATACTAAACTTCTTGTATTTCCGAGACTTCCCCACATAGGACATGGCGCCGCTATCTTTTGGTCACATGGAGGTAAGAGTGCGCGTTGGCGCCTCGTACGAGCAAGCTGTTGCAACTTACAGAATTTGGAACAAATCCATACCAAGACGTCTGGCGAAAGCGCTTCAGAATTGTATACGTGCATTGCCTGTGGCTTCCCACAAGGCGGTCAAAGTCGTCCCGAACTTTTGCGAGACTCTTATTGGTTTATCTGAAGCCGTAATCTTCCTTGACGGCCAACGTTCTAGATAACCTGCAGCTGAGGGTTGCGATAGCGTAGTCATACTGACCAATGGCGGCGCTGATGATGCAACGCCAGGTCGTGTCCCAGGCCTTTTATCTCTTGGACTCCGCGTTCCGTGCGGGGTATCTTGCGGTATCTCGAGGGAACATTGTCAGGAAAAGAACTGCCAACCCCTTCTCATAGCATGTCCTATTGCGTCTTCTTCAGTTAACCCTGTCGAGAGCACATCATCAACATGGCGGATACAATCACAATCCCATCTCCGTCTGTCTTTCTCCGCGCCTCGCCAGACCCTGTCCCCCGGCTTGATACCAGTCAACAAGTACTCGACGACGAGCAAAACAAGGCGGGTCCCGTCAAGAAGCGAAACACTACAAGGAAAAAGTCTACCGCCTCGGCCAGTAAACCACGTCGTGACGGTGCCGCTGTAGCTAAGCCCAAGCAGTCGAAGAGTCGTAATGGTATGCTGCAACCTCATCACGAATACTGATAGTTCTTACCTCTCTTGTGTCGTATACTGAGCAAAATAACGTTCAGGTTGTGTCACCTGCAAAGCCAAGCGCCTGAAATGCGATGAGAAGAAACCCGGTTGCGAGCAATGCAAAAAGAGAAACGTCGACTGTGGAGGGTACAAGAAGGACTTCAAGTGGAGGCCCTTCGAAGAGACCAACGTCGCCACGAACATCGCCAGACAGAACAACGGATGTGAGTGTTCCAGCAAAGAGACTTGACACGTTGGAGTGTCGAAGCCTCAGGACTTCCCTGTCTTTGACCGCCTGTGCAAGTGATTGTTGCTAACGCATGTTTCCGACAGCTTTAATCGTGCTGAGCAGTGCAGCCGACAGTTCTGGAAAGCGAAGTCCAGCATCACCGCCAGCTAGAGCGCCGTCAACAGAAGCACCCACACAACTGTCTTCTTCATTTGTACAACAGATGTTCACAACCGCTCCGGTCCCTTCGAAAGTTCCGCGGGCTACCTCTGCCGATAAAGAGCACTCGGTTCAGAACTCGTCAAGAACATCACCAGCTGAAGTACAAGCCGAACGAGGTGCATCCCCTACAGACTCCGCCAACGATGCAGGGACATCGTCCCAAGCGTCACCCCATGACAACCCCATCGTCGGCGGTACACCCAAAGAGAATGACATGGTGACGACAAGCATGACGCCCGGCACCAGAGAGGTCTTCGACTTCGACATGCACTTCATGGACGAGTTCCTGAACATGACAGACCCTCCACTAATGGAGGATATGAAAATGGACTTCGGAAACGTTGAGGAACTTACCCCGATCGTGCCAGACTACGACGCCTGGGCATTGCAGCTCTCTCACGCCCCAACGTTCCAGGATGACAGCACCATGTCAAGCCCGCCAGCTATGGTTTTTCCTCAACGAATTACTTACATGTACGAGCAGCCTTCGCTCGCTCAGACCAGTCCAGAGATGTTGATGCTGCGCTTCGATCGACTGACCTGTGGCATCCTTTCGATCAAAGATGGACCAAACGAGAACCCTTGGCGTACGTTGATTTGGCCCATGGCTCAGACTTCACCAGCACTGTACCATGCCATCTCCTCCATGACCGCATTCCACTCCTCTCGTGATATTCCCGCTTTGCGTGTGGCAGGACATGAGCACAAGAGTGAGAGCGTACGAAACTTGCTGGAGGGCATCGAGGAGAGTACCATGAACCTTGACACAGCCATTGCTACCACGTTGGCCTTGGCCTTCGCAGAGACTTGGGATCAACACCTGTCGAGTGGCAACGACCATATTCAAGGTGCCCGTGCCATGATCAACATCGCCTTGAACCAGCATAAGCAGTCGGCTCTGACAGGCTTGAATCTTGCCAGACTCAAGTTCCTTGCTAACGCCTGGATTTATCTGGATGTTCTCTCCCGCGTGACTACTGCAGACGAGGATACATCTGACGACTACGACAACCTTTGGTGCCTTTACAGTACACCAGACAGTCCTAGTGTGGGTCCATCAGGTCATGCAGGTTTCGGAATCGACTTTGGTATGCCCATCGACTCCAATCTTGATCCTCTGATGGGTTGTGCAAGCACTCTGTTCCCGTTGATCGGTCGTACAGCGAACCTTATCCGTCGAGTGTATCGCGCGGAGTCCAACTCGCCTCCCATGATTAGTCAAGCCATGGAACTCAAGCTTATGCTTGAGACGTGGGAACCGCCAGCTTTTGTTGAGCCGCCAGAGGATCCCACATGTGACGTCCGTCATGCTTTGCAAACGGCAGAGGCATATCGATGGGCCACTCTTCTGTACCTGCACCAAGCACTACCCGAAATCCCCGAACGCCTCACAACGGCAGACATGGCAAAGAAGGTGCTCGTGTTCTTGGCCACCGTTCCTCTCGCCAGTCGCTGTGTCATCATCCATGTCTACCCTCTCTTCATGGCAGGCTGTGAAGCCGACGTGGAGGAGGATAGGCAGTGGATCAAAAGCCGCTGGGCTGCCATGTCACAACGCATGAGAATCGGCATCATTGACAAGTGTGTCGATGTCATGGAAGAGGTTTGGCGCAGAAGGGACGAGTACAAGAACAAGGTCCTTCCCAACAAGACCGTGCCTGTGAAACGAAATCTGGCTGCAAATGCAAACTTGCATTCGGCTGCAGGCAATAGTCGACCAGCATCAAACAGGCGTGGCTCATCCTTCAACAGCATCGCAGGTGCAAGCGAGGGCACTATGGCTTGGGCGAACAAACTGCGCCGAATGACTGCGAGTGATCCGGATCAAATGGATTCAGCGTCCATCTCATGCCGAGGATCTCGCGACGCAGTGAATGGTGCGACAGGCACACTGCTCACAGTTCGCGGAAGGTTGCATTGGATTGGTGTGATGAAAGATTGGGGTTGGGAAGGTAAGTTTTCTCGCAAGGAAAGTCCGAGTCTCCGCATGAGCTGACCATTCCGTAGTGTTGCTTGGATAGTAATGTTGCATGGATAATGAAGTTGCATGGATGAATAGTGCTGGGACCAAAATTGCATGAGATGGCCACCCGAAAATTGGTATAGGCCGCATAACCAGATTGCTGCATGGAATGTTTTCGATTGGTGTTGGTAGGCGCTTGGAGGAGTTGAACAGGTTTCAGGGACTGCCTCTCAAAGAAACAACCATGTAGAGTGCGTAACAAAGTCTTTCAAAATCAAGTGCCCGTCCTGGTGAGATGTCGCTTGGTTGAAGCGTGTTGCTTGGACCGGTATCGGACGATTTATGTGCTGCTTGAATCGATATCGGATGGTGTTGCTCAAGGATGTCGTGCAAGTGTCGCAATGGATTTGTCGCTATGGATAGGTCTCATTTGTCGAATTGATATCCTGTCAGTTCATTATTCAGGCAGCATTGCCGAGACTGCATCAACACTGCTTGGATGGATGTTGTTGCTTGGACAGGGTATTGATGACGTGTCGATTCCTGGAGTGTCGGCAAGGGCATGTCGCTAGGAAGTGTCGATGGAAGATGTCGAAAGGGTCGCTCAGGAAAGAGCAGGATGGGACGCTCTGGAGATGCTGCTTTGGTAGTTATGATCGCTCAGGAAGTGTCGCTTTGGTTTGGTGGTCGAGCATGAAGATGGGTATCTTTCACACATGGCTGCTTTGGAGTGTTGTAGTCGATAACAAACTGATTATCATGACATGACAAGTCTTGAATGATTCGAACTCGGAAATAACAAATGGTGTTGAAGTTATGGGTTTGATTTTCTCTTCTCTGCGGTTGTTTGGATGTGGATTTAGTCAACGTACACTGTATTCTCCTGAGGTTTTGGTGGACCATGTTCTGCTTTCAATGAGCTCCAAAAAGAAACGCAACCTCGGGTGTGGGAGGCAGAGCGTTTTATGAGGACCTCGAGCCGCACGCCATAGCGGGGTTACATGACTCTAGGGACAGACCTTCTGAATTGGGCGACACACACACACGGCCGGTCTCCACCTCCGCGGGTCCAACAGGCGGGGTCTATCCAAGCCCAATACGGCGGCTTATCTGCAGGCCTATCGCTGCAGACCAGTGTTCTCTCTTAGGATATCTATTCCTCTGTCAACTCTATGAGATGTTGCAATTCGACAAGTCCAGAACACAGAAGTCGTGCTGAACTACCTTGGAGAGACTGAGTGTCGGCCACTGTATGTGTTTATCCAAGCAGACGAAAGGTGGTGGATTCATCTGCTCTGACTGCATCAAATTGCTCATTACTCAATCCGATATTGTCATACATTGTGTCTGTGCCACATACGACATAGCTACTACCCCTGTCGCCGTGGAGCTCTTCGCGACTGTCCGGACAGAGTGACATACCTCCACCGACTGCCGATTGGAATCATTTACTTGGCGATGTACACAGCAGTGGTCTATCCCGTTTGTATATACTTGAGGAGGTTACGATTTCCGTCAATCGATTGCTCATAAAAGAAGGCTTCCTATTCGTCTGTACATACGGAGCATATGACGAGATGAGGATCCTTGTCGAAGACGTGCTACCCTTGGCGTTTCCAGCCATAGTGACTGATGTCAGCACAACTCCACATATCATTTCGAAAGAGATAGGCAACAGAGCGGGGACAAAGCCCGGTGATATGTTCCTCGGTTCCAGAGGCTCGAGGTGCCCGTGTCGGTAAGAATGACTCCGTGACGATGGTTCATTGTTGTAGCCAGGGTCATACAGCCAGCCAGTCTACATGGGAACAAAATGGAAATGTCTGCGAGTTGTCCGCGACCAAGACGTACTTTATACTACCGTATGATAGTGGTGGGCTGAATTCAGCGTGAAGACTTCGTTCACAGCCATGCTCATATCATTGGATGTTGTCAAAGACACAGCGTCGACCAGACAGGATATGGACTCTATACCATGCAAATGGAGGAAGGAGTGCTTCGGGCTTGGCAAGGCAGCAACCTCATTCCTGCCTCCTGTTGAAACAATCTACCTACACGACATCCAGACAAACTCCCAGAATCCAGCAGTCATGTCTAGCAGAGACTCAAACGAGGCGCACATGAAACAGAAGCGTGCCAGGTCGCAACTGAGTTGTACAGCCTGCCGCCATGGGAAACTTCGCTGCAACCGTGCCGCGCCATGCGACCAATGTATCAAGCGAAGCAAAGAGTCAGCATGTTCCTACTTGCCTCCAGCAGCCAAAGCAAGAGCCCCACAGGATGTCAAGGGCCGTATTCAGCATCTTGAACAGCTAGTGGTTGATCTGATGAATTCGAGGTCGTCAGATGGTACCGGCACTACAACCAATAGTGGAAGGTCAAATAGCACCGCTGCCAGTATCGGGGAACTTCCCACTACCTCCCGGTCTGATTTCTCGCGGTCCGACACACAAGGCTCGTCTGAAGCAGAGAAGGCTCAAAACAGGGTAACACCACCATACAGTGAGGATAATTCGCCAGCTAGGCAACATCTGTCAGAGGCACACGTAGAATCTTTGGGACATCTACGGATCAGTAAGGAGGGCACAAGGTACGTGGTCGGTGTACATATGGCTCAAGCTTGCAGTCGTCAAATGGCGGTTCACTTCGAACACCGCAACGTGTCATCCATGTTGCAGAGTCGTCCAGGGTCAAGTAATCTTCTATCGAAGCCATGCTACTACCTCCGAAAGAACGCGCTTACCATGGAAGTCTTGCACATGTAGATGACCCTCAACAATGCGACAACTGCGAGGGCGCACCATTCTTCAAGTCGGGACCACGCTAACTGTATCTTCGAAATTGCAGCTATGTCGGATCATCTCACTGGGCGACAATTTTGGACAGTATCTCTGAGATAAAACGAGACCTGGAAGACTCCGGTGATGAGACTTTCGACAACGAATACGATGCGTGGCGCAATGAAGAGCCACTCGATGTGTACGATGAAGAGCTGCCAGGACTTTTGCGTTCCCCTCGCCGAGTCACGAAAGCCGAGCTGCTATCATTCGTACCACCTAAGGCTGAAGCAGATGCTCTTGTGTCGCTATGGTTTAGATCCTATCATCCGTACAGACCCATCATCCACGCCCCTCAATTCCAGAACGAATACCGGCAGTTCTGGCGATCGCAAACGAGCGCGCCAGTCATGTGGCTGGGCGTTCTGTTTGGAATGTTCGGGATGTCAAGCTTATTCAAGATCCGTGCTCTGAGGATTCCAGATACACCAGATATTCGAGCTACCATAAAGAAAGCAGATCTCTATCAGGAGCTGGCAGCATCAGCGGCTGTACTGGGTAACTACATGAAGCCGAAAGCTTACACCATAGAATGCTTGTTACTACATTCAGGAGCCAACAGGATGATCAACTACACTGACATCTGGGTCTTGATGGGCATCCTCCTTAGGTTGGCTTTATACATGGGATACCACCGAGACCCAAGTCACTACAGTAACGTGTCAGTGCTCGATGGGGAGATGCGACGAAGGGTGTGGCACCTGCTATACATGTTCGATACTTTATTGTCGTTTCAACTGGGGTTACCTGCTATGACACGTATAGTGCAGAGCGACACGAGGCCTCCGCACAATCTCTACGATCAAGATTTCTCCATACACAGTAAAACTTTACCGCCCCCGAGGCCGATCGAACAGCTCACCCCCTCGGCTTACGGAGCCTGCAAAACCAGCTTGTGTCAAATATTTGCTTTGGCAGCGGACATGTCACATGCACCAGTATCACCTTCATACGCCGAAGTCATGGAACTGGATGCGAAACTGGAGGCAGCGAAGGCTTCCATACCACCGGAATTACGATTCCAAGATCTGGGATCGTTTCTTATAGAAGATCAGGAGTCGTTGATGTGTCGCTTTAGTCTTGACCTGCTCTGCCTCAAAGCGAAGACAGTACTCCACCGTCGATTCATGGTGGCCACTGTATCCCAAGCTGCAGCGCCATATTCCCGGATTTGCGTCATCAGCTCGGCGATGAAAACACTCGAGCACCATCAGACAATTTACTGGGCGTCTCGCCCTGGCGGACAACTCGAAAGCGTCTCTTGGTACTTTTGCTCTATCGGCACGTATGACTTCTTGCTCGCAAGTATGATCATATGCCTCGAATTAGCACGCCAACTCAACAAACAACCCGACCCAGAAACGGATAAGGTTGCGACACGTGAAGATATGATAGCGGCACTCGAAGCGTCGAAGAAAATATGGGAGGAAGCGGGCAAAGAAGAATGTTTTTCCGAGCCTGCGTTCGGCACGGGCAGGTATGACCAGATCATCGACAACACTGCCGTGACAGAAATCAGAAAGGCATGCAAAGCCATGACGGTCATGCTGGAGAAGGTCAGAAAGGATCAGGCCACGAACAACCTACCCACGACCATGTCTGAGGAGTCGATGAGAGTGCCTGTTGCCTTTTCTGAAAAGAACGATTGGCCTGCGACAGACCATTGGATCTCCCAAAACGACTTCTCATCTCTAGACAATATCATGGACGTGTCCAACGATATTGATTGGGTATGTGAATAAATAAGATGTTCGATCGCACACGCAACTGACACGCACATCAATAGGAAATGTGGGATCAACATCTCTCTCAACAGCAAGCGGTGAATCCGCAACCGCAACCAGACCAGTTCAATTGGACCATGGAAGACATGCTAGCAGCCAGCGCACCTAGCATTCCAGAACCGGATATGACATTTCCCGCCTTTCCATAGATCTCCCATCGCTACCGACGGCATAGACCACCGGCGTAGCTATGCAAACGCACTCATAGTCTAGACCCATATCATGTTGACAGACAGTGATTGGGAAAATAATTCTCGCAGACGGTGCTTCGTGTCTAGACAATACGGCGCTGTCTCATAGCTGACCGTTTTTTGACCAACTTCCAGAGAATCCACGAAGGATCAACAGGAACATTGGCTGGAAAAAGTGAACTTGATCTGGTATTCAGAGACGGAAGCAGCGACCGAATAATATCAAGATGGCAAGACCATCCAATGACAAGGAAGGGAAGGATTAGTCGAGACATGTTCATGCCATGGTTTGCCAAACAGTTTCATCGAACTCGTAAAGTGGGGGCCTCGCAACAATCATCGGAACCCGGCAACCGAACCTACGTACGTACTGAGACAACACTTTTGAGAAATTTGTGCATACAACTAACACTCACATTGCTCAGATACGAGGGGGGGAAAAACTGAAGAGCAAGAATGATGTTTGTGTTGTACGAATGTATCATCGGAACAGAAAAGTTTGAATTTTAGAGAAACTCCAAGCGGGTATATCGAACAAGAACAAAGGCCAAGACCATTCCAAACAACCTTCTCCAGCGCCAATCGAGTAACAACACGGTTCATCAAAAGACACCGTTCTGATTATATACATTAAACCACTTTCCATAGGCATGACATGAGTGAATCGTTACGAGCAAAGGTCAAGACATTCATCCAGTTCTGGCTCTCTTTCTTCCGAGCTCGCCGGCGGCAGCGTTCATCATGCTTTGTCTTAGCATCTCGTTCTCTTCTTCGAGTTGTCTGATGTAATCGGAAGCTGCAGCAAGCACCTCGGCTTTTGAGGGCTTGGGTGGCTGTCCGCTTCTTGCAGGTTGCAGAGTAGCGATCTCGGGTACTGCATTGCGCAGACGGTCAAAGTTCAGTTGAAGGTTCTCGCGGTATCTCTGCTCCACTTTCTGGTGGGGAACTCTGGCGTTGTTCTTGGGTCGTCCGAGGGCGGGTGATGAGGGAGTCTCTACCGAGTCCTCTTCTTGCTGGAGGTGGTACTGTTGATTCGATGTGGTTGAGCGAGGAGGTGATTGTGAGAAAGTACTGAAACGCTGAGGTTGAGAAGCACTGGTGTTGTGGTAGGCGGCGGTGAGCATAGAGTCGATGTCGCAGTAGCCAGTCATGGATGTGATGCCAGCGTCGATGGAAAGCTTCTTAACACTCAAGCCGAGACTCTCATAGGGGTTCCAGCGGGCCTCGTAGTTTGAAGATGTGCATAGCGAGTCTGCGTACTCAAAGGGACTGTCGTGATGACCATTGCTTGACGACTCTGAGGACGATGAATCGGAGAAGGCGGACATTGGTGTTTGTTGGTTCATGTGGTGTGATGAGACTTGGGGAATGCTTGGGAGTTGTGACTCGAAAGCCTTGTCGAAGAGGTTGTGGTCGTCACTGGCATAACCTGAGTCTTTTGGTTGTTGTAGTAGCCATTGGCTGTGGGCCATAGCCGATGTGTTGTAGAAGGCTTGTTGAGGGAAGGCACCCATAGTGTTGGGGTATGTAAAGTTCATATTATATGTGTGATTTCTTGATGAGAATTGTGTTGGTGTGTTGGTGTGCTGATGGAAAGATGTGAGGTTGATGTGAGATATATGTATAGGTCCAAAGTTCAAGAAGTGGGCATGAGATATATGTATTCAAGGTCGAACTAGAGGATTGACCACTTTGAGCAGTGATCAGCAATGTCAACAATAAGCTTCTCCAGGGCTCTCTCAGGGGGATCGAACTGGACCTAGCAAACTCTAAACTCTTTCGGAGCAGTGTCAATTTTTAGTCGTTGCGACTGTCCGGTTGCTGGTGCGAACGGTAACACGTCGGTGGACCTGTTTGGCCGGGACTTTGAGACACCATGGACCTGGACTGAGGTACAACCAAGTATGCGTTTGGGTCGACTGGAGCTGATCCTCCAAAACATCGTCAAAGATGCATTGTACCTCTAACCCCTGAATCTGCAGGGCTCATTGACAGCTCGAATGCATTGCGCAAGATACATCGCGACCACCGAGATTTCAGCAGACGAGGGCGAAGCCACAGGAATTTTCACCATACTAAAGCGCCCAACTCCACCTGCCTGGTACATATGCGGTCAATGGTTGAAGCCACATACAGATGGGGTGTTTTCTGGCTCGGTTTCGCCGGTTCGTGCTGTGCAAGAGGCTTGAGCTTGCTGTGATTTTGTCACGATATTATTTCTTGCGCAAGCCACAGGTCTAGACTGGTGCTGAGTCGCTGACAGATTGGCGAAGCCACGTGAAGTCCCATCCGTTCGCGCGGACCGTGGACATTTTCGAACGCGTCGTTGGAAGAAGGAAGTGGCTCCAACCAATCAGCTTTACATCTCGGAAGGCCAGCCGAAACGTTTCCCTGCATTCGGGACAACTATACTTTATCGGAAGTTCGGTGGCTTGCAGAGGACTTCGTTAGGTCGGTAGAACCTGCGCAACAGTACGAGCACAAGCGTACTTCAGGGACTCTCATCGCCGATCTACCACGAAGACTGTGATGCACAGAATTTCCCATGCACAACGTTGGTGAAACACCCTCGAAGAACAACCCAGATCTCTGCCAGATGCCAGGTTGACGATCCAAGTACCGCCGATCTTCAGAAATCCTGCGGCCCGCTGCCGTCAATGGTCGCAGTCTGCAGATGTCTTCCATTCCAGATCAATATCGCCCTGTAGGGCTCCAAACGTGCAGAATACCAAGGCCAAGCACCAAGTCGTACCTGCCGAGCGATCTGAAGACACGCGAAGAGCGATAGGAGCCCCTTTGAAAGCTCTGCGCGCTCCAAGTGGGTCGTAGGCGCTCAACTACAATGTCAGCTGAAGACCTGAAGTCCTCTGCAAAGGACATTTGCAACGACGGCAAGCGGCAGTGTCATTAACCTTTTGAGGTCGAAGCGACCGGCCCTTTGATTTTGCTGCCGTCGGATCGGAGTCAGGACTGATCAGAAATCACTCCGACCGATATGTCAGAGTAATAAGGCCTTGGCATCAGCATAAAGGTCTAGAGCGCTCGTAGTTTAATTGTGAAGCCTCCAATTAACCTTACCAATGAACCTTCAATATGACATGCTTTCATTCGTGAATTCTACTCGCAGCGCGCTCCGAGATGATCCACAAATCTCGACATCCGAGACACAGGCACAACCGAGACTCGTGACGAGTGGTAGGCCTGGTCGAGTTTGGAAGTCCATCGGGAAACGGCATTATTATCCACACTCGTTCTTCCAAGTTTCCGGCTTCGCTTGCAGGTTACGGCTGATAAGCTTTCGTGACAATGAATAATGCTTGTTCAAAGAAAATGGAGACAGCCAAAGAAACAATATGTCAACATCTGTCATCGTGCCCTCACAGTTGTTGCGGCCCAGTTCGGGAAGCATAACACTGCATACTATACTCTTCACCTCAGGCCAGGCCTGGCCAGACCACTTGTCTGCCTTGATCTCGAGTCAAACACAACGTCATTTGAGCAAGAATCGACGAGAGAATATATAACGGCGCATTGGTTTTGAACACGAGGTCAGGAATCACGATTCATTTGCTCGTAAGGTGTGATTTCTACCATGTTTGGCATAGGAAGACTGTCGAGACTGCTAGCGTACATCAACAAGCCCCCGATCAATACATCCCTTTACTGGTTCGTCGTACGAATGGCAGCAGCAGCGGCGGGAACATCCTGATCGAGAGGCAGGATATCGGGGACTGGACCAACTGGCGTGATCGAGAATGGGTTGATCTGCTTGTGCGACTTTGTGTAGTGGTTCTTGATGTGAGTGAACTCGGTAGTGCTCTTGAACGCATCATCATTCCAGTACAAGTTGCGCATCCACCTAAACGGATATTCGTTAGATTGATTCTCTATGCTGATCGCAGATTTGAACATACTTGTGCAGGTTGGGGTAGCCACTACGAATGTCGCGGATGTTGCACTTGAAGTGCTGAACGTAGACGGCGTCGAAGCGGATGATCGTTGTGTAGAGGCGCACATCGAGCTCGGTTAGCTTGTCACCAAGGTAGAAAGGACCGCCCGATCTGGCAAGATCCTCCTCTGCACGATCGAGTGACTTGAAAAGAGTCTTGACATTCTTCTCGTAAGCTTCTTGTGTGCTGAGAACAGGTCAGTAAGTGATCAAACGGATGGTGAGAGTCACATACGTAGCAAAGCCAGACTTGTAAACACCGTTGTTGATGTCGTTGTAAGTCCATTCGTTAGTCTCCTCGATTTGCTTCTCAAGATCGGAAGGCAGGAGATCGACCTTCTTGAACTTCTCAGGGAGCAAATCATCGAAGGTGTGGTACATCATTCTGATGATCTCACTGCTCTCATTGTTGACGATGCGCTTTTGCTTCTTGTCGTATAGAGTAGGGACGGTGAAGCGGCCCTCATAGTCCTTGTTGTTTGCGAAGTAGATGTCACGAAGATGGGTGTAGCCATCATGGAGAGGATCGGGAGTGGTGTTGGCTCCAGGAACGTCTTCGTCAGGCTTTGCAAATCGCCAACCCTTCTCGAGCATCTCCCAATGGACCGAAGTGTATGAGATGATATCCTCAAGACCCTTGAGCTTGCGGACGATCAAAGCACGGTGTGCCCAAGGGCATGCATACGACACGTAGAGATGATATCTGTCTTTCTCGACAGGGAACTCTGCATTGGGCTCGTTCTTGATGAAGTCACGGAAAACAGATTGTTGTCTTTTGAACTCTCCAGACTTGTCTTTGGGATCCACCCAGTTGAGGATGTCCTTCTTCTTGTCTTGGGTCTAGCATGTAATCAGTAAGCCGTGACAGGCGAATGAGCGTCTGAACAACTCACGGCCATTGTGCGAATGCGTATGGGCGTCAGATGGGTGTTGATTAGTTGTGAGCGTCTTAGCAAGGAGAACATGCGATATAGTCAAGATCAACAAGCAACGAGTTGTTATATATCTGATTGCCCAATGTCAAGAGAAGTCGAATAGCTTGTAAGCTGCTGACCTCATCGAGAGCGACGCGCGAAGTGATGACCGAATGATACGATTAATCGTCGTTAATGCTGGCTAAGTCTGCATAAATAGCACTAATTAGCGGTCAAAAGCTCCTCGACAGCCTCGGGCGGCCTGTCCTGCAGGCGTGATCATCCCGCCTCCCTTCCCGCATGGCCGCAGGAACCGAATCCATGGGCTGAAAAAAATACAAGTAGTTGGAACCAAAGTCTCTCGAAGCACTCCCTTCACAGGCAGTATCAAACCAGGTAAACACACGCAGAGCATCTGCTTGCAAAGAGACGGACCGAGAAGTGGTAGCTCAGCGATACCGCACTCAACAAAAGGAACCTCTTTGTTCCAACGGCCTGACTCGGCGACCACTTGGGTGTAGAAACTTTTTGCACGCTATATGCAGGTCGAAGGCCCCTCGAGCTTCGTGTGACCAGCGCTACATCTGCAGACACAACCGTAGCACTGCACTTCACTCTCAGCTCGTCCAAGTGATGCAGGTTTCTCAGTTCACAGCTGAGCAGCGTCCTTCTCGGTCTTCCTGCAATCTCCAGGAGAAACATTGACCATTCGAGTGACGTGAGCGGGCGAAGACGCACGCACGTTCATCAGCGCGGGGACACACAGCTTTGGCGCGCCAAGACCCTGGAGACAATTTTTCAATTGTCCAATTCACTTCTTCCTCCCTCCTTGTGACATCAGTTCAAACTGGCCTCGTCTTGCACAATGGCTGGTCACACTGGAGATAAGCTCATCGCCCTCGAGGCAAGAGAAGGCACCGAGTGTGTCCGTCTCGCCCAAGGCAAATCCTTTGGTGCTGAGAAGAGTGTCGCCGGCGAGCTGGTCTTCTCGACTGGTATGGTCGGCTACGAGGAGTCCATCACTGATCCCTCATACAAAGGCCAGATCCTGGTTCTCACCTACCCTCTGATCGGCAACTACGGTGTGCCCGACAGAAACGAACTCGACCCTCTCTTGAAGGACCTCCCTGCCCACTTCGAGGCATCCCAGATCCACATTGCCGGTCTGATCGTTGCTTCTTACTGCGGCGAAGCATACTCACACTACCTGGCCACCTCTTCATTGGGCAAATGGCTCAAGGAGCAAGGCGTGCCTGCTCTGTGCGGCGTCGACACTCGCGCACTCACAAAGATCATCCGCGAGAAGGGTAGCATGCTCGGCCGCATGAGACTGCAAAAGTCTGGCCCCACTGCTGCTGCTCCCATCACCAACGGCATCACACCCAGCAACGGCGAGTACGAGGAGAAGCCCGAGTTCGAGGAGATTGAGTGGTCCAACCCTAACAACCAGAACCTGGTCGCAGATGGTGAGACTGCCTGACAGCATCGAGTATGAAGCCGCTGCTGACACGGTCTAGTTTCTATCAAGGAGCCCAAAATCTACTCTCCCGACCCGTCAAACGCCTTGAAGCACCCCTCAGGCAGACCCATCCGCATTGTCTGCGTTGACGTCGGTCTCAAGTACAACCAGCTTAGATGCCTCGTCAAGCGTGGTGTAGAGGTCCAGGTCGTCCCCTGGGACTACGACTTCCCTTCCTTGGCTGGCAAGGAGTACGATGGTCTCTTCATCTCCAACGGTCCTGGTGACCCGGCATTGATGGAGAAGACTGTCAAGAACATTCAGGCCAACATCCGCGAGGCCAGAGTTCCCATCTTCGGTATCTGTTTGGGACACCAGCTGCTCGCCCGCGCCTCCGGTGCCGAGACGGTCAAGATGAAGTACGGTAACAGAGGCCACAACATCCCTGCCACAAACTTGATTTCTGGCAAGTGTTACATCACATCGCAAAACCACGGTTACGCTGTCGACTCGCGCACCCTCACCCAGGACTGGTCCGAACTCTTCGTCAACGCCAACGACGGCTCCAACGAGGGTATCAGACACATCAACCGCCCCTACTTCAGTGTCCAGTTCCACCCCGAAAGTGCCCCTGGTCCCCAGGACACCGAGTTCCTCTTCGACGTCTTCCTGGATGCTGTCCAGAAGGTCATTCAGGACTCTAGCATGATGCACCAGCCCATCAAGTTCCCTGGTGGTGATCTTGCTGAGAACCAGAAGGCCAACCCCAGAGTCACCGTCAAGAAGGTTCTGGTTCTTGGTAGTGGTGGTCTCTCCATCGGTCAGGCCGGTGAGTTCGATTACTCTGGTTCGCAAGCCATCAAGGCTCTTAAGGAGGAGGGCATCTACACAATCTTGATCAACCCCAATATCGCCACCATCCAGACTTCCAAGGGTCTGGCCGACAAGGTCTACTTCCTCCCTGTCAACGCCGACTTTGTTCGCAAGGTCATCAAGCAGGAGAAGCCTGACGGTATCTACTGTACTTTCGGTGGACAAACTGCTCTGTCAGTCGGTATTCAGCTCAAGGACGAATTTGAAGGTCTCGGCGTCAAGGTCCTCGGTACTCAAATCGACACTGTCATCACCACTGAGGATCGTGAGCTCTTTGCCCGTGCCATGGAGTCCATTGGCGAGAAGTGCGCTACCTCTGCCTCTGCCAACAACATGGAGGAGGCTATGGCCGCCGGTAAGAAGATCGGCTTCCCCTTGATCATTCGTGCCGCATACGCTCTCGGTGGTCTGGGCAGTGGTTTCGCCGATAACGAGGAGCAACTTCGCGAGCTCTGCAACAAGGCTTTCGCTGCCAGTCCCCAAGTACTCATCGAGCGCAGTATGAAGGGCTGGAAGGAGATCGAGTACGAAGTCGTCCGCGATTGCCAGGACAACTGCATTACTGTCTGTAACATGGAGAACTTCGATCCTCTGGGCATTCACACTGGTGACTCTATCGTCGTTGCCCCTTCGCAGACTCTGTCCGACAAGGACTTCATGATGCTGAGACGCACTGCTGTCAACGTCATCCGTCACCTCGGCGTTGTCGGTGAGTGCAACATCCAATACGCTCTCAACCCCGACTCAAGAGAGTACTGCATTATCGAGGTCAACGCTCGTCTCTCGCGTTCCTCAGCTCTTGCCTCCAAGGCTACCGGATACCCCTTGGCTTTCGTCGCTGCCAAGCTTGGTCTCGGTATCCCTTTGAACGAGATCAAGAACACTGTCACCAAGGTTACCTGCGCCTGCTTCGAGCCTTCCCTCGACTACGTTGTCGTCAAGATTCCTCGTTGGGATCTGAAAAAGTTCACTCGCGTCTCCACTCTCCTCGGCTCCGCCATGAAGAGTGTTGGTGAAGTCATGAGCATTGGAAGAACATTCGAAGAAGCCATTCAAAAGGCTATCCGTGCTGTCGATGTTAGCAACCTCGGCTTCCAGGAGACCAACGCTCTCATGTCTATCGACCAGGAGTTGCAGACTCCTTCTGACCAGAGAATGTTTGCCATCGCTAATGCCATGCACTCTGGCTACACCGTCGACAAGATCTGGGAGTTGACCAAGATTGACAAGTGGTTCCTGAGCAAGCTCAAGGGACTGAGCGAGTTTGGCAAGCTGATGAGCACCAAGAAGGTCGGCGATGTTTCCTCGCCGCTCTTCAGACAAGCCAAGGAGCTTGGTTTCTCAGACAAGCAATTGAGTATCTTCTGGTCAACCAACGAGCAGACCGTTCGCAAGCACAGACTTGACTACGATATCATGCCCGTCGTCAAGCAGATTGACACCGTCGCGGGTGAATTTCCTGCATTCACGAGTGAGTCGGATTGATTGAGAGTTACTTACAAATGTTGACGATTGTGCTCAGATTACCTCTACACAACTTACAATGCGTCCGAGAGCGACATCGACTTCAATGACAATGGTGTGATGGTATTGGGATCTGGCGTCTATCGTTCGTTACCCCCTTGATGTTTCCCTCGACGAAACATGCTAATTGTCCATAGGTATCGGTTCCTCCGTCGAGTTCGATTGGTGCTCCGTCCGCACTGTCCGCACTCTTCGTGAGAACAATTTCAAAACTGTTATGGTCAACTACAACCCGGAGACTGTCTCGACTGATTACGACGAGGCCGACCGCCTGTACTTCGAGAACATCACCCTCGAGACTGTCCTCGATATCTACCAGCTCGAGAACTCCAGCGGTGTCATTCTCTCCATGGGTGGTCAGACCCCCAACAACATCTCCCTGCCTCTCCACCGTCTCAACGTCAAGATTCTTGGTACCTCCCCGGAGATGATCGATTCCGCTGAGAACAGATACAAGTTCTCGCGTATGCTTGACAGAATCGGTGTCGACCAGCCTCAATGGAAGGAGCTTACCAGCATCGATGAAGCTAAGAAGTTCTGCGACGCTGTCTCCTACCCTGTACTTGTCCGTCCTTCATATGTTCTTTCTGGAGCAGCCATGAACACCGTCTACTCGGAGCACGATCTTGCCAATTACCTTAACCAGGCCGCCGAGGTGTCTAAGGACCACCCCGTTGTCATTACCAAGTACATTGAGGGCGCCAAGGAAATTGAGATGGATGCTGTTGCCCGTAACGGTACCATGATCGGTCACTTCATCTCGGAGCACGTTGAGAACGCTGGTGTTCACTCTGGTGACGCTACCTTGATCCAGCCCCCTCAGGACTTGGATTCCGAGACCGTCAGGCGTATTGAAGAGGCTACTAAGAAGATTGGTGAGGCTCTCAACATCACCGGTCCTTACAACATTCAGTTCATCGCCAAGGACAACGATATCAAGGTCATTGAGTGCAACGTCAGAGCCTCGAGATCTTTCCCCTTCGTTTCCAAGGTCACTGGTGTTGACTTGATCGAGTTGGCCACCAAGGCTATGACTGGCCTCCCCCTCCAGGAGTACCCCCCTACCACCATGCCCCCAGACTACATTGGTGTCAAGGTTCCCCAGTTCTCATTCTCGCGTCTCTCCGGTGCTGATCCCGTTACTGGTGTCGAGATGGCTTCAACTGGTGAGGTTGCTTGCTTTGGTCGTACCAAGTACGAGGCTTATATGAAGGCCCTCGTCGCCACTGGCTTCCGTCTTCCCAAGAAGAACATCCTCCTGTCTGTCGGAGCTTACAAGGACAAGCAAGAGTTGTTGCCTTCTATCGAGAAGCTCCACAAGCTTGGCTACAACTTGTACGCCACTGCCGGTACTGCCGACTTCCTCGAGGAGCACGGTGTTCCTTGCAAGTTCTTGGAGGCTCTCCAGGATGACGAGCAGAGAACGGAGTACTCGTTGACTCACGCTCTTGCCAACAACTTGATTGACTTGTACATCAACCTGCCTTCAAGCAACCGCTTCCGTCGTCCTGCCAACTACATGTCTAAGGGTTACCGTACTCGCAGAATGGCTGTCGACTACCAGACTCCTCTGGTCACCAACGTCAAGAATGCAAAGATCCTGATCGAGGCCATCGCTCGCGACTACGACATGGCTATCAGCAGCATTGACTACCAGACCTTTGCCGAACTTCCCTCGACCTCTCTCGAACAGCCTGTTGCCAAGCAGACTCCCTCTCTTCAAGAACTCCTCCACAACTCACCCTTCAAGGGTAGAGACATCACCTCTGTCAACCAGTTCACCAGAAAGGAGTTGCATCTTCTCATGACTGTCGCCTCGGAGATGCGTCTTGGTGTGGAGAGAGATGGCATTCTTGACATCCTCAAGAACAAGCTCCTCTGCTTGATGTTCTACGAGCCTTCCACTCGCACTTCATCTTCCTTCGATGCTGCCATGAAGCGTCTTGGTGGCCAGTGCATCATGATCAACGAGGCTCACTCGAGCACAAAGAAGGGCGAGACCCTGTCGGACACCATCCGCACTCTTGACCAGTACGCTGACGCTATCGTCCTCCGCCACCCTGAGGATGACAGCGCCGAGGTTGCTGCTGACGCTGCTGACCACCCTGTCATCAACGCCGGTAACGGCTCGCGCGAGCACCCTACTCAGGCCTTCCTCGATCTCTTCACCATTCGTGAGGAGGTTGGTACTGCCAACGGCCTCACCATCACCTTCGTTGGTGATCTCAAGTACGGCCGCACTGTGCACTCTCTTTGCGAGCTGTTGAAGCACTACAACTGCACAATCAACCTTGTCGCACCCAAGCAGATCGAGCTTCCTGAGAAGGTCCGCAGTGCCCTTCAGGGCCGTGGTCAGGTCGGTATCGAGTCCCACGAGCTTACTCCCGAGATCGTTGCCTCGTCCGACGTCATCTACTGCACCCGTGTGCAGAAGGAGCGCTTCGAGGACCTGTCTCTGTACGAGAAGGTCAAGGATGGTCTTGTTGTCAGCGCTGCTACACTCAAGCACGCTAAGAAGAACATGATTGTCATGCACCCCTTGCCTCGCAACATGGAGCTCAGCCCTGAGGTCGACAACGACCCCAGAGCTGCTTACTTCAGACAGGTAAGTTTCACACCCTCCGACAATTCGATAGGTTTACTGACAATATTTACAGATGAAGTACGGCATGTTCGTCCGCATGGCTCTCTTGGCTCTGGTCATGGCCTCGTAATCAGTAATCGGAACCAAAACATAAAATGGGAAAATCTGGCGTTGTCTGCTCTTTTGGCTATTATAGACTTTCGTCGAAGCGATGTCTTTTTCGGTGGATTTTGGTTTTGTTTTTTCCTTTTCGTTGTATACAGCCTTCCATACCTCACCATTTCCAAAAATCGGGTTCGACATGCATTTGCGTTCAGTATTATCTATTTAATCTGTTCGTCATCGCCGATCCGTCTCGTCAATCACGTATCCGAGCCTGGATTGCTCTGCGTGTTTTTACGTGTTATGCTTTTACGTCGTTCACGTCGTTACGTCTGTTACGTTCATTCATGTATATACTTTTTTCTACTTTGTATATAGAGAATTTATTCCAATTTATTTTCACCGTCGTTCTTTCTTCTCGCTTCCTTCGTTAGTCGTTGCTTCCTTTGCCTTTTCAATCGTTGCTTCCCTTCCCTTACATGGATACCTCCTCTAGTGATTGCTCCTCCCAGTCCTTTCCTTGGTTTGTACTCTCTTTAACCCTGGTCTCTCCTCGTACATCGCTCTTCTCAATTGTTGCTTCTCTCATCTTTGTTTTCCTTGATCGAACTTCTCTGTTATCCATGGCTCGCTTCCCATCTGGTCCCTTCCGTCTTCCTTCTTCGCCACCGAGACGCTTCTTCGGAAAAAATCAGGAGAATGAGAATAATTGAACATGCGGATGGTGTGCATTCCCTATTCATTCGTATTGGTAAGTCTGATGGACCCTATGATATGACCCATCGCAAGAGTCTGGAGAAGTGCTTGCTCCTTCTCGTTCCTCTTCGTGTTCCTAACTCTTCGATCGTAAATTGCAGTTTACCTCAACTTTTTCTCTCTCTCTGGCTACTGGTGCTATTTTAGACTAGCCATTACAAGCTTGCGATACGAGTAAAGTCTGACTTCGTCCTTGACAGCTGATGTCTCTCTGGATTCGTAGAAGCTCGAGATTGCTTTCTGCATTTCTATGCTGCTTGCCTTCTTCTCGTTCCGATCTGGGAGAACGCAATCTTAGAATTTGGAAGAAGCAGGAAGCTTGTGTCGAACGTCAAAATGATGATGATGATAATTGGGACGTCCAGGTAGGCAAGCAAATGACTTGTGGTTTTGAAAAACCCTTGCGATATCACTTACCGGGCTGTCGGATGTTATGTATACTTCAACCAGGCTCAATCTGCTGAATATACTCTGATAGATGACAGACTAGGACTGAAGGTCACTATAAGAATGCATGAAAAAGTTTGATGTAAAACAAGTGTCCACAGAGAGCTGTTTTGATGGTGTCTCTCAATGGAATTCTTTATGAGCTCTGGAAAGTACCATGCTTTTCTCCAGCCGAGTTGTATCTACAATGGATAGTCGATAGGAGACAATAAGCAGCTTTTGTCTCGCCCCCCCGATGCTTTAGTGAGCCGAATTACTGCAACTGGTCCAGCTTGGCAGAAAGCTCAGCGCCAGAACTTTCCTTGTACTCTTCAACCAGAACTGCTTTGACGGCTGCTTTGATCATAGCAACATAGTCTCCTGAAGTGACACCTTCCGTCTTCTCCTGAACCTTCTGAGCAATGTGCTCTTTGTAGGATTGATCGGCAGGCTTGAGGATTTTGTTGATCTGGGCATCGATAGAGGGAGTATGCTTGGAGACTGAACACCAAAGTTGGCCCATGATGTGCTTGACTTCGTGTTTGATCTGAGCTGAGATGAGATCGTCAACGGACTTGGATGTGCTAATTCAAAGTTAGAAGATGAGCGATGGTAGAAACTGGACGAAAGCATACTCGACGGTCTTTTTCTGCATACTCTCAAAAATGCGCGTGAGCTCCTCAGTGGCGATTTGGTTGGCAGCAGAGGTCTTTGAGTCCGTACCATCCTCGACCCCATGGCGCAGCTGAGCAGTAAGAGTGCTAGCACGCTTGAGTTGTTCTTGGATGTCGAGGCGTGGTTTCTTGCTGGCCTCAGTGGGTGGGAGCTCGGTAGGATCGTCGGGTTCGCTGCGCTTCGACATGTTGCGCAGTGTCTTCGTTGGTGAAGAAGAAGGAAAGTTGATCTGGAAGGCTGGCGGTGCAGTGGAAGCCGTGTGCGAAGCTGCGAGACTCGTAGAGAGGTCACGGACGAAAGCTTGACGACGAAGGGGAAGTGAGGCGAGAATGGGTAGATGTAAACGAAACACGAAGCGAAGTGAAAGCAGAATGTTAAATACCACAAGGTGCGTCGATGATCTACGGAGAGTAGCGCGCGTTGGAAACGCCATCCATCACTAGACCTTAGCTCTCGCTGTCGATTAAAAGCAGCTATACATATGCGCATAGCAATGAGTGTCTTCTCAAGGTCTCGTGTAGAAGATGTAGCGCCAATGGCTCCAACTGGCCTTCCCACACTTCCCATGTTGATGTCAAGCAATTCCGATCAGCCCAACTTCATGTTATTGATGTCGAACGATTTCGCTCAATTCAAAGCGTTCTCGAGGATGCCGACAAACTTCTTCTTCGCAGCTGCTTTGTATGCGCTCTTCGTCTCTGCCTGCACCTTCTCGATGGTTTCGTCCACAGTCAGATCTTTCAGCGTCTGCTTGAGTTGCTTCTTCACATCACGCGTGATGTCGTGCTGCCACTTCTGTACTCCTTCTAGGATGCTGGCCTCTGGCTGCTCATAGGCTTCTTCCCATATTTCACTATACTTTTCCAACGCCGTGATCATAGCCCTGACCTCGCTCTCTATAAGTGCATCGATCAGATTCTCCACTGCGTTAGAAGCACTGCAGTATAAGTTAGTTTCTGGACATTTTAGTTCTGGAGAGCACGTTGACTTGCTCTTTGACCTTTGACTCAAGCTTTTCGTGGGAACTGATCAAGGACTCTGCTTTCTTGATGCTTGCCATTGTGTCGTCACGGCAGGTAGTATGACCCCACTGAACGGCAGCCTTCTGAGCCTTCAATGAGTCGAGGAGCTGGATGCCCTGAGTCTTGACTTCGGTCACGGTGTCGTCAATGTCGATTCGAGACTTTTTGGCGGCGGGGGCATTGGCGGCATTGTTGTTGGTAGGAGGTCGTTTGGACATGATGATGATCAGAAAGAAGGTGTTTGGTGGGATGTGGTGTGTGACGAAGGAAAATTGAAGATCGAAAGGAAAGGTTGAGGGGTTGACAGGCGCAGCAGGTCATGCTCAGATTGAGAGGTCGCGACTACCTCAGATCAAAAGGCCAACTTTCTGCATGTGACAATCCAGTCACAGCTGCGACTACCTTTACGGCGCTAGTATCAAGAAGCACAATATTCTCGAGAGCCAGGATAATCTCGCAATTCGCCATTTAGTGCGCAGTAGTCACAGAGGCCTGGTGTATTGAATATTCCTGTCACGCCTACCGCCGACATGAACAGAAATCGTGTAACTGTGATCAGACTACTTCTCTTCCACCACTCTCCGCAAAAAGAAAATCACAGGTCTGATGGCTGGAGGGAGTTTCACTTACTTCTCTCATTCCCTTTTCTCCTCCTCCTTCTCCTTCTTCCTCTTCTCCTCCAACCTCTGATAGTGACCAGACCACCTTTCCGCAGGGGCGCGTCTATCAAGAGATAAGTTGTTGCTGTTGAAAAGTGCTGAGAGCGGAAGTATTAGCTGATCATGCAGAGGCTCGAACTCGAGCAAGTTGTTGTTGTTGATGCTTGGTGGCATGGTTGTTGTTTACGAGAGTGACTGCCGAATTGGGTTAGCTTGATAAGGCGACAGTGAGGTGGTGCTAGCCACCAGACCATTGGGGGTGTGATTGTGTTTATTGCAGCTTGACTGGGATATAGACCTTCACATATGCTCAACTAGAGGTCTGAAAGAGGATCGGCTTGCATGTCGAGGCACCTTGGTCTTACCGAGGACATATTTTCCTACCTCCTGAACATGTTTACAAGTCATCGGTAATCTGGAGTCTCGTGCTTCAATCGGTCCCATATCAACGAGCAACTTTGGTAATGGGTCAGTGATTACGAAGACATGCGGAAGCAGATCTGAACAAACAACAGGCGAGCAGTGTTCAAGCGCATTTGACCTTTTGGAGCAAGGAGTGGAAATTCAAGACAAAGAGACGGGGAAACGCAGTATCCAATGACGAATACTATCGATGTACTTTGGTATCTTTTGGCATGAACAGATGGCAAGTATGACATGAGAGGTTGCAAGCAGAGAAGAGATCAACACCACCTTATTTGGGAGGGTCTGCCTCCTTGACACTAACAGAACCGTCCTCGTTACCAAAGTAAGCGGCAACGGGCTTCTGACCTCCCTGGCCGCCAGCAGCCTGGACCTCGTAACCGTTGGGGCCGAAGAAGAGACCAACCTCGAGAACACCAGAAATGGACTTGATCTTGTGGGCAAGAGCAGTGACCTCCCATTGACCATCCTTGCCAGAGCCGTCCTTGCCGTTCTTGATGTCATCCTGGGTAAGGAGGGGCTTGAAGGGAGCGTCGATGATATAGAAGCCTTGGTCTGTCTGGACGGGACCGGTCTTTGCAAGGGTGTGTTCACGAAGTACGGGCTCGATGGACCCAATGAGCTTGAGCTGGCGCATAACGGTGGCATGGGCGATGGGAGCGACTTCAATGGGTATTGAGGGCCACTTTGTCACCAGGCGGGTCTGGTTCTTGCGGTAGTCTGAGTGCAGAGGTCAGTACAGAGAGAGAGGAAGAGAAGAGTTCAGAGTATGATACCAGCAATGCAGACAAACTTTTTTGCGCGGGTCGCAACCAGCTTCTCCTGGAACAAGCAAGCACCACCACCCTTGATGCAGTTTAGGTCGTCGTCAACCTCGTCGGCACCGTCAAAGGCAACATCCAACATGACGTTCTCGGGCAAACTGTCGAAGCCCATAGGCATCAGGCCAGCCTGCTCGATGACCTTTCTCGATTGGAAGCCGGTAGGGATGAAGAAGATGTAGCGACCGTTCTTGGGAGGGTTCTTGGCCAGACAGTCCTTGATAGCCTCGACACCGTAGATGATTGTGCTTCCAGAGCCAATGCCAACAAACTGCATATCGGAATTGAAGTGGTCGGCGACAGCGCGGTAGGCGGCCTTGCGCTTGGCCTGCTCGATCATGTCGACGGCAGCAGCGACTGCAGCACCAGGCCCTGCGGTAGTAACAGACATGTTGCGGGAAGATTGGTATGCTCGATACAGAGGGCGGAGGGAGCGTAGAGTCGAGACGGAAGAAGACGACGACAGCAGACGGATGAATGTTTGTTGGGACGAAGCTGGCCGGTATGAGCAATCAAGACGTCAATGACAATGGCAAAAGAAGTCGCGACTTACCAGCAAACATGCACAGCGGATGGGTGGATGAATGGGTGGAGATGATGGTGAGCTCTCAAGTGCTATTAATTAGCCGCAATGGAATTGTAGCGGGGTCTTTTGGCCTTGACGGGCGCGTGCAAAAGCCTGGCCGGCATCGCATCGGCCGCCGAGTGCCCCGCCATCGCCAACACGTCATGGATCAAACGCCGATCATGCGCCGTAGCTTCCTGATTCGGAGCTTGCTTTCGACCTAAGCCATCAAATCACCATTCACTCCACCATGGCAGCCAATGCAGACGTGACACCGCCCCCGCTCCAGGGAGTGCCTACGTCCAAGGAGAAGAGATATGACAGACAGCTGCGTCTCTGGGCTGCCAGCGGACAAGCCGCCCTCGAAGAAGCTCACATCCTGCTCATCAACAACGGCCCCGGCGTCGTCGGCGTCGAGACTCTCAAGAACCTGATTCTTCCTGGCATTGGACGCTTCACCATACTGGACTCGACTCTGGTGTCGGAACAAGATCTGGGCGTCAACTTCTTTCTAGACGAGAGCACTCTGGGCACCTTCCGCGCTGAGTCGAGCCGTCGTCTCCTGCAAGAGTTGAATCCTGATGTTGAGGGACATGCCATCACCGAGCCCTTACAGGCTTTCGTCGCCAGAGAGGGCGCTCTCAATCCGTACACTCTGGTGCTACTCACGGCTCCCACTACGCCAGACGTGCTCGAAGTCATCTCAACCCACTGCCAGACCCACGCCGTACCTCTGTTCTACATCCATTGCTCCGGCTTCTACTCACACTTCTCCCTCTCGCTGCCACCAGCATTCCCCATTGTCGACACTCATCCCGACCCTGTCTCGACGACAGACTTGCGCCTGCTCGCTCCATGGCCTGAACTCGTCCAATTCCAAAAGGAAAAGACAAGCAACCTCCAAGCACTGTCGCCCGAAGACATTGGTCATGTTCCATACCTTCTGCTTCTACTGCACTTCCTGGATGAATGGCGTGCATCTCACGACGGCCAGCCCCCTCAGTCCTACCAGGAAAAGACTGACTTCCGAAACATGGTCGCGAAGGCTTCTCCTCCCGATGAAGAGAACTTCGCTGAAGCTACTGCCGCCATTATCAAGTCTCTCAACCCTCCAACCGCTCCAGGCTCAGTCCTGACCGTTCTGGACGCCCCAGAGACAAATTCTTTGGCTCCCACCTCTTCCGCCTTCTGGTTTATCGCTAACGCTATCCGCACCTTCTACTCTGCGAATAACCAACTTCCTCTCCCGGGTGCCGTACCAGATATGAAGGCCAGAAGTGCCGACTATATCCAACTGCAGAACATCTACAAGTCCAAAGCCCGCAAGGATGCTGCCGAGGTACTGCAAACTGTCCGCTCACTTGAGGCCTCGGTTGGTCGCAGGGATCCCATCGATGAGAAGGAAGTCGAGGCTTTTTGCAAAGGTGCTGCTCACATCAAGCTCGTCCGTGGCAAGCCTCTTCGTGTTGCACGCGGTGATATTCCCCTCCTTTGGGGTGAAGACGCTGCCAAATCTGCTGTTGAACAACTCAACAACTTGACTTTCGGAATGGACAGCGGTATACTGCATTACATTGCCTTTGTCGCGTGGGACACATTTGTCGCTAGTCACAACGTCGATGGACTTGGTGGCGAGCCCAGAGTGCCTGGCTCGAATGATACCGACATCGACACCGATGCTGAAAAGATGGTCGGCATCGCTTTGAACATCATGGATTCTCTCATCAACGAGGCTGGCACTTTCATCGAGAATCCTGGATACGATGACCTCAAAGCAAAGTGTGCCAATATCGTGCGCGAGCTGTAAGTCGTTCTTGATGATATATTTTCAGCGTTACTGACAAATGACCAGTGTTCGTGCCGGTGCGTCCGAGCTTCACAACATCGGCTCCTTGACCGGCGGCTTGGTGGCTCAAGAAGTCATCAAGGTCATCACAAAGCAATACGTGCCTATCGACAACACTTGCGTCTTCGATGGCATTGAGAGCAAGGCTTCCGTCCTTCGCATTTGAGGTGCACGACCATTTCACGATTTACAAAAGAGGAGGCGTTTGCAAGATATCTCATGGCTATCAAGACGGCATAGCGAGGCGTTTTTCCATTTTCGTTTTCCTGCTATTCGTTCAATGGCTCTTCTCGATGCTTCTAGATTCAAGCTAGGCTGACAGCTGTATGCTAGTTTTGCAGACTTTCCACAAGACACGACTCTCAGTAAATGCCATCTCTTGTCTCGAAAGTGATATCTGTATATGCCGCAATGCGAAAGGTTTCTGGACAGGGCTAGACTCGGGAACGTTCCATCGAGCACGCGCTTTCCAAGAGCGAAGTGCCTAGAAGGTGCGCGGTTGCCTGCTCATCGAATCTGCGGAAGGCGCGACTGCCGACCTCTTTCTCACCTTCGGCGAGCTCCATGCTCCCAACTCTCAAACGTTTCATTCATCGCGCTACCCTTCAACATCATCGGCGCTCGGATCGTTTTCATCATCGCACCGTCTGCCTTCTGTGTGAACTGATCTTCGAAAGCATCGCCAAGATGTCGGACCTCTGTTACAACTGCCACAAGAGTATGTCGTTTGCTCTCGAGCATTCCTCCTACGTTGCTGATAGCTGCAGTCCACCTACCTCGCATATGCCAGGAGCCTCTCAAAGAATGCACAAATTGCGGCGCTCTTGGCCACACCTGGAACTTCTGTCATAAAGGCGCCATCAGAATCAAGCCCGACTACCTGTACTACGCCCTCTGTCACAACTGTCAGAAATGGCACCTTCCTATCCCCTGCCAAGAGGAGTTGGTCCGGTGCGGTGGCTGCATGCAACTCGGCCATGCACAAGAGTACTGCGCCCTCAATCCATCTCCCAGCATGGCGTTCACCGAGAGCATGAGCAATTTCATCTCGCACGACCTCACCACCAACAACGCTCAATGGATCATGCACAATGCTGCTCTGGCTGATGAGATCTACAAGATCAAGATGGGAGCAGTCACAGACACACTCCAGCTCGTCGCAGCCAAAAACCGTGAAGAAGTTCGTGCTCATCTGGCCAGTGTCTACCGTGGCCATGGTCATCCTTCTGTCACCGCATCCTACCGTCCCGTGTCTACAAAGTCATCGGTGTCCAAGCAGCTTCCTACACCTGCTGCTTTCAGAGCCGAGGTTGACTCTCGTTTACCTCTACCGCGCCCAGCCATTCCACCAGCTCATGTCCACGATCATTCGTATGAAGGACATAACACGCTAGCTCCTCTCCAACTCCAAAGCGATAGAGAGTTATACCAACACACTGCTCGAGTCTTCAGTCGTAACAACTCTTCGATCCCAGCCAAGAACCACGAGCCCAACACAACTCCTGGTGTACAGAAGACACCCGCAGAACCCCAATCCATTCTCAACTTTCGCACATACGACGCAAGTGCTGATCAGGACCAAGTGAAAGTTGGCGGAGACAGCTCGGGCAACGTAAGTCTTGCACCAAGAAGCTCTCCCTGTGATGACCGCGCCAACTCGGCGGACAGCAAGGCCGAGACAGAGCAGGAACGCGAGTTCTTTGACGGAGCACTATACTAGGACTTTCTGCAGAGCTCGCTCGAGCAACGCCTGCACAGAGGATCGGTCGATGAGAGCAAGGGGAGGGTCGAAACAGCGAATCCGAGGGTGGACAATGCATGACATGACAGAGCATAGCTAGGGGTAGTCACATTGCTGAGTCGTAAAATAAGAATGTGTGTGTTTTGATCCGTGGCTCTGGGTTCCAAGTGCCGTAGCCTATCATCGATGCAAACTCAATCTGGACCTGGGGAACATGACAGCGCAGAGCAGCGCAGCGCCTAGATCTCTGCTCGTAAGACTACAGTCAAAAAATCTACACGCCGGACCGGTGGAGAGTCTGGAACCTGAGGCCGTAAGAAGGGCGACGTCTGGCAGCGAGATCTGCCCTATCAGCTACAAATCCACATGCCGTCACTACAAACATGCAACCATAACAGGAAGGTGTCTTCCTATCCCGTCGGACGAGAGGGAATTCAAGTCCAAATCACGACATGACGCTGAGAGATATCATGCAGATTCCACAATATGATCAAGGAAAGTGATGATACCCTTGCTTGGACTGACGGCACAACCAGGTACTTGGTGTAAATGACATGCCATGAGACGTCAAGGTCGCATCCCCAGTCGGAACAAGGCAATCCGCAGGGCGATCTGGTATGCGTGTGCAACAGAGGCCACATAGGACCTCGGCCTGGATCCGGGGCAGACGTTGACAGGGAGCAGCCGCGCGCGAGAAATGGTCGAATAAAGCGCGGGGTCCGGTAGGTTTTTGTACGAGATTCCGGCAGATGGAGTTACACAAAGGCCACCCCAGACAATCGGCCTGGATAAATCTGAGAAAGCTGACTGGGCGGGAAATCGCCCGAGAAGGAATTGCCGAATCACAGGCACGATGGAGCCGGTTTGGCGGGATAGGTACGCGGTTAAGCAGGCCAACCGGAGCCAGGAATGCGGCTATAGAAAGGTAGGAGTAACAACGACATCAGAAGAGATGGTCGTTGGATCAGGGCTTGACAGAAAGCAGCAAGTTGACACGGTAGAAAGAGTCGGGAGTTGTTGGAAGTGACATGGACACGGCAACGGTGCTACGAGACACAGAAAAGGCAGCGCGAGTAATATCACATGTCAGAGAAAAGGGCTTGGATCAACTGCTCGGGCGGCTCTCGGGTCTGGGATGTGGAGAAGGACAAAATCGGACCGTCACGTCGGCCGGCTTAATTACCTACTTCAAGAGGTGATATGAGCAGCCTGTAACTCGGAGCAGCATGTCTCCCACCGTCCCACGGCTCAAGAGGGACCAGATGCCCGGCTCCCCTTTCTCATCCTTTCTCCTTCTCTCCTCTTCCCCGAACGACACTCATTCCCCACGCATGATAGCTGTTTCCAAGCCACTGATCTTGCAGTCTCTCTTTTTGTTGCGGGTGCTTTGATAACAGTTACTCCGCAAAGTCGACTATCTTCGCTTTCCCTCGGCTGATCTGAGCTCTATCGCCGAGCTAGTAGCCGACGGTATTGGAGATATTATTCCTTTGATCCGTCTTTGCGTGCAGCACTTTCCCAGTGCCTCGTCGGGCTACTGTATACAAGTCGTGAGATTCTCACGCAAGCCGCAACCATTACTTCCTCAGTCGCCCTATCCAATCTGCTGTCGGGGCCCTCGGCACCGTCGCCAAAGCGCCGTTTCTCCGTCTCTCCCGACGGCAGCGACGACTACGATGGCAGGCCCCGTAAGAGTCCTCGTCCTGATATGAGCTCGACCATAACTCCAGCTCGTCCTGTTCCGGCTTCGACAGGCTTCCCACAACCATCACCAGTGGCAGCTCCGGGCTCGGATCAATCATCCCGGCAGCAAGCCGGCAACGCTCAACAAACACGGCATGCTCAGGCACGCATGCGCTCCTCAATCGCGTGTGCTCGCTGTCGTCGGTCCAAGGTCAAATGTGTCAACAGTGGTGTCGGTACTCCTTGTCGGTCTTGCGAGGCCGGCAATCGGGAATGCACATATCCGGTTCCTGTCACGGGTGGACGCAAGCGGGAGAACAGTTTGACCGGGCCTGCTCCCAAGGTCGACCCCATGGGTGAAGAGGTAGATAAGCCAGCCTCTCAACTATCGGATCAGAAATACTGACCATACACCAGATCCGGAAACAACGGCAGCAGCGTAAAAGCAATGCCGGCTTGCCAGGGCAGCCTATGCCCGCCTTTGTCGAGCCTTCTATCTCACCAGTCGATGCTCTGGATCCGAACCTCTTGACGCCGGCTGTCTGGAAAGAGCTGGTAAGAAGCCTCGAAGATGTCGTTTCTGAGCCTGGCTAACAATTTGCTTAGTTTGACATATTCCAACTACACTTCTCTGCCGACCTCCCCTTCATTCACCCTCCTACCTTTCTCAAGCCTCTTCGCCAAGCTGGCTCGCAAGCTCAGGCACCTCAATACCGTCCATATACAAATACTCTTGTTCCTCCAGTCCAGCCTCCTGCGCCTACCGAGTTCTTGTTAGCATTCTTGGCCTTGACCTCCCGCTTTCACCCTACACTGGTTACCCACCATTCACCACGGAGTGCCAATCGTTCTAGCGATCCCCTCATCGCTGCCGAGTTCTACGCTTCTGCTGCGTCCGCGCAGCTCAATACCGCTACCGACCGATCAGGCGTCTGCGACATCTCGACCATCCAAGCTATGCTCATGCTAGCATTGCATGAGTGGGGCATGAACCGGGGTCCCAAGGCATGGGATCACCTCGGTATTGTCATTCGTTCTGCTCAAGCAATGGGACTGCATTACGAAGAAGAATTGGACGATCAACCTCTATCACGCTCACTGCCATCTCGAGCGAACGATCAACAAAGCTTTGCCAGCGCTGGTAACACTTCGCCTGATGCATCTTGCCAAAATGATGCATTTGTCAAACAGGAAATCCGCCGCCGCACCTTGTGGACTTGCTTCATCCTAGATCGCTACTTTAGCAACGGCAAATTCAGACCCCAGGCACTAAACGCGAGAGATTTGCGCATCCAACTGCCAGCTGGTGAACACGCTTTCCTGTTCGGCGAGAAAGTTCGTACTCTACTCTTGAGCGAGGAAAACACTTCCAGAGCCGAAGTGCAAAGTCAGCGCCGCGCTTCCTTGGCTACTGACCCATCAAATCCTCATCATAAAAGATCTTCGATTCATGATAGTGCAACTGGAAGATCCTCACCTCAAGATCCTGAAGGTCGGTGGGAGGTTGGCTCGGATGAGGGTCTGATCAGTCGATACATCAAGATGTTAGATATTCACGGAAAAGTCATGCGGTGGGCATGTGGTGGAGGCAGAAAGTGAGTCGATCACTCACACACGTTGACACAATCAGTACTAATCAGTTCTAGGCGTGATGCTTTGCCACCATGGAATCCACAATCTGAATGGTACGGCTTACGAAAGACGCTTGAGGATTTCAAGGTCGGCCTTCCGAGACACCACTCTTTGACGGCGCAGAATACATCCGTCCACATCAACCTCAAGTCCTCGACGCCCTACGCTCTTGTGCATCTCACCTTCCTTCTCTCTCAACTCCTTCTTACTCGCGACTTCCTCCCGTTCATTCCGTTCCGACATGGCAAGCCTTCAGGTCCGCTCGACGGCACGCGGTTTGATACGATACCTTCACCTCACGGTTTCTGGGATGACAGTGCTCGCGAATGCTTTGCTGCCGCTCGGGACATTGTTGACCTAGTCAGCTCTTTCCTAGAGTGGGGTGTCGTGGTCGAGACTCCTCTGGTCGGTTTCGCCCTTTATAACGTTGCCTTGCTTGGTGTCTATGTCACAAACTTTCCTTGGATGGACACTCACGGCTACCTTCGTCGAACTGCGAAGGACGACGGCGTGCCTTCTGGCGCAGACGCTGCTCGCAAAGCCATCGAACTGCTTGCTTCGATGAAGAATCGTTTATACATGGCCAGCGGATGGTTCCAGACCGTCAAACGCTCGCACAAGTACTTCTCACGCTTGAGGAAAACTTGGGTGGATTCTGCAGCCAGACTGCCAGGCGTCTTCCACGACCAAAGTATCGCTACTGCTCAATTGCACCCACCAAACGCTGAGAGCACACGTGTGCTGTTGGAAAGAGCTCTGAGAGACTCGGACGACTCCGGAGATTCTGATGTCGACATGTCAGAAACTCTGGCAACTTCCGATCTTCTCAATGGTGCACCCGCCCCACCTCGATCTGATATCAGCAGTCCTCGAATGGGTACCACGCCGCCCAAACAATTCTCAACCCCGGCGGAGCAGGCACAAGCTCACGCACAGCAAGAAGAGCGTTGGAATGCGATCAATAGTGTTGCGGCAGCAGCCTCTGCCGTGGCTTCTGGCAAAAGTCTCACACAATCGGCTCCCCAGAATAACAGTAATAACCCAGGCTTCCGATTCTACAGCGCCTTCCCTCCTGTCTCGACTTCATCGACACCAGGCGGCAGCTACCCAGCCCATGGTTTCCGTGCTGGCCATCCTGATGCGTCACCTCAGTCATACCCACAAACACCATCCTGGACACCATCGAACGGCAACTCAAGAGAGCCTCTGCAAGGCATTCGTGCGTTTACAGGCGACCGCCGCCGGGAGAGCGAAGCATTGGCTGGCGCAGCTGTGGCGGCCCATGCCGCTCATCATCATCGCTCATCTTCGGATCGTGAGATCAAGGACGTCGACGCATGGCTATCTGCCTTGGAGAAGTCGTTTGGCGCCGATGATGTCGCAGCATTCGTTGACGGTGTCGAGTTCGCCGAGTATGCTGCCCGTGGTTTACGATTGTCGCGCACACCTGGCTGGCTAGCTGCAGTCTGGGCCAGGTAATGTGTCCCTTACTCTATGTTTCTTGACCGAAGTCTGTATAACGGGTTCGAGGGTTTCCATTTGTCTCAGCAAAAAACGATGTTATGATTTCATTCTTTTGTCTTTTTGGAGGACTTTGGACACAACCATACTCCTGGCATTAGCGGTGTGCTTATCTTTTCTTTTGTCATATGGTTGCATCTCCTCTACTCTACATAGTTCAGAGCAAGACACCTCTTTCCTCGCGGCTTGAATTCTCCGTCACAACTTGTTCTCATGTGAGAATACGTTATGCGCGTAGCTTTGGCGATGCAAGGTTCCTCTAATAGGCAGGAAACATCCACCAGAACTGATCTCCAACGAAGGTCTGGATGTTGAGAACAAGCATGATACTTTCTAGACCAGGGATGCATCTAGAGAGTAGAGTGAGTCGAATCTCGATGGACATCTTCCTTGCTCACAACTATTGTGCCACTCTGCCACTCTGCGACTCTGCAGCTCCCGTGTGATATCCCGCTGCATCTAAGTAGGGAGTAAGAATGAGCGAAAGTGAAAGTGAGAGGAGCAGAGTCCAACACGATCGTCGTTACCCTTCTCGGCGCCATCTGGGCGGCTAATTCAGCCTTACCCGCCGCTTTCACTCCGCTCGACTCAGTCCAGTTCACTCCACGCGATCACTTCCTCCATCTTGATTCTTTGTCGAATTACTCTCCATTTCTTGTACGGTATCTTTGTTAGCGCTACATCACTATGGCTCGTCTATCTGACGTTGCCCGTCCAGCCGGGCTGGGTAAAGATGCCACGGGTACTGGAGGAAAGGGATTGGGAAAGTCTTTCGCAAAGCGACACCGGTACGTATTCACTATCATTGCCAGGTGGGCAACCCTGCTAACATATGACAGAAAGATCTTGCGCGACAACATCCAAGGTATCACCAAAGGAAGCATTCGGTATGTAAACAGATACACGGGTAGATATCTCTGCTGACGAGATGTTTCGCCGCCTAGCTCGTCGCGGTGGTGTCAAGCGTATATCGGCTACGATCTACGAAGAAGTGCGCGCCGCACTCAAAACCCGATTGACAATGGTAAGTTATCGACCTCTGCCTCGTCCTTATCTACAAAAGACTGACGCGCCCCCTAGCTCATGAAGGATATCTGTGCCATTCTTGGTGATTACTGTGTGACTTCCTATCGGTCTCCTTATCGCTAATAAGTTATACAGAGTCCGGTCATCGCAAGACCATTACCGTTCCAGACGTTGTGTTCGTTCTCAACCGACATGGCAACCCAATCTACGTGAGCTAGATCATCAATCACTCCCTCTGTCGCTCTTTCTAACCTCCAACAGGGATTCGACGCTCCTTTCCGCACCCGTGTGTAAACACATTGATACAAAAATCCTTATCCACAGCTTGGATTGTAATGAGACATGATGGGAACCGGAGTCAAGGCATTTGGGGGTGATTGTTCCGGAACGTCTTTACGGCATTCTAAAAAAGCAAGGAAACATTCAAACGAATTCGGATTACGAGAATGAGAAGGCCCAAAGGAGTTGTCACACATCCAATCACCAATAATTTTGATGCAGAGGCACCGTGAGATGATTGGCGTCAGAAGATCAGAATGTCGTGCAGTGCTTGCGATGCGGCGCCAAAACGCCGCCTGTTTGTGGAGAGATGGCGATCATCTTCAGGTTTTCCGTGGGGAAGAACAAGTTCCTGGACCACTCCTTGCAATGACGGATAGTGGCTGCCAGCATGCGCAAGCAGGACCTATCAACCCCCTGGTCAGGCTGCAGTGTAAGAGCAGTGAACACACTGTGCGTAGAAGTGATGGGTGAAACGCTTTCGCGCGCTGCCAAACGTTTCATGTTTTAGGTGCATGACAACCAACACTGCAGATGCTTGGTTGCTGAGACTCACACAGAGGCAAGTGGTTTTGGAGCAATTCTCATTTTCCATTCACGTCTGCATCTCGTATTCTCCCTTGTTGTGATAATTGGACCGATCCTTCGCGCCTGCTTTCCCGTTCTTCGGACTTCCGTCTTGCACACTCCTTTGTACAAACGCACCAGCATTTAACTGCTGCCATCACGCTCATCCTGCCACTCTTCTCTTCTCAGAACCAACTCACGCTCTTTTCAACCCCTTTTCGTATTCTCTTTGCTGCTTTTACAGTTCTTTTGTTTTCTCCTCTTCGCACACCATGAAGATCTCTTCGGTCGTTCCTGTGCTCGCCTTGATGGCTGCACAGAGCGTCAACGCACACACGCTCTTTTCCGAACTCTATGTCGATGGCCAGGCTCAAGGCGATGGCACCTGCGTTCGCATGCCCACTGATCCCAACACCGCCACCGATCCCATTCCCAGCCTTGACAGCAGCGACATGGCCTGCGGTGTCGATGGCACCAAGGGCGTTGCTCGCGTCTGTTCGATCAACAGCGGTTCCACCCTCAGCTTCGAGATCCGCGACTGGCCCGACAACCCTTCGATTGGCAGCATCGACATCTCTCACAAGGGACCCTGCGCTGTTTATCTCAAGAAAGTCGACTCTGCTATCGACGACCAAGGCACTGGCGATGGCTGGTTCAAGATCTGGGATGAGGGATATGACGAGTCCGCTGGCAAGTGGTGTACCGAGAAGTTGATCACCAACAACGGCCATCTCAGCGTCAACATGCCCAATGGTCTCCAAGGCGGCTACTACCTCGTCCGTCCCGAACTTCTTGCTCTTCACCAGGCCGACAAGGGCGATCCTCAGTTCTACGCTGGTTGCGCCCAAGTCTGGCTCAACTCTACCGGCAACCAGCTCCCTCAGCAAACCGTCTCAATCCCCGGCTATGTCAAGAACGGCCAGCCTTCTACCTCCTTCAACATCTACAACGAGCCCATGGCATTGCCCTATCCTATGCCCGGCCCTTCCGTCTACGTTCCATCGTCTCCGTCCAACCTTGGCAATCAGAAGATGAAGGTCGTTCAACAGACGCAGACCGAAGGTCTCGCCCCTAGCGACTGCATCATCACCAATGGCAACTGGGACGGTATCGAGCTCGACAAGTACAGCGATCAAGCCGGCTGCTGGAATGCCAGTACCGCATGCTGGGCCCAGGCTAAGACATGCTACGACACCGCACCTCCCACTGGCAACACTGGCTGCAAGACCTGGGAAGCCAAGTGTCAGAACATCAACGATCAGTGCAGTGCTGGCAACTACAACGGTCCTCCCGATTACATGAAGAACCTCAATCCTCCTGTCAAGCAGGTCTCGCTGCCTTCTCCCGACGCTGCTCAGCAAGGCGATGGTTCTTATCTCCCTGCCACTGCCAACAGTGCGCCTGCCGCCACTACATTCACGACTTCAGCTCTCGTCGCCAAGGCTACCTCTGCTCCTTCCAACAGTAATTCGCTCACCATTTCCACCGAAGGCAGCTGCGGCAACGGTGTGACTTGCAAGGGATCGAGCTTCGGCGACTGCTGCTCCAGCCACGGCTACTGCGGCTCGAGCGATGAGTACTGCAAGGCTGGCTGCAACAGCGCTTTCGGCACTTGCGGCGGACCGTACAAGAGAGAGGAGCACAGTCACATGCGCGTCCACAAGTACAAGCGTGCTGTTCGTGTTGGCGGCGATGCCAGAATGATGCCATGATTCTCTTGATTCTCTATGTCCAACTCAGGACCAAACAGAAAAAGAAAACCAGAGAGCATGGGATGGGGAGTTTGATTGTCTTTTTTCTTTCTGCTTTGACGATCTGCATGGTTGCATTGAGGATGGAGCGTGCTATCAAGGATGCTGCGCGTCCTTTTCTTTTCTCCGTGGGTCTTTTTGGCTTGCTTTTACCTTTTTTTTCGCTTCTTCTCGTTCTCTTCTCTTAGGGGATGATGTCTCATCACAGCTGTTATTCTGCCGTGCAGGATGTTAGTCGTTTATGAGAATTTACCGAAACCACGAATTGCTCTAAGCATGACCCCTTTGATCATGATGTGATGTAGTGATACGTACTTGGGAGTAGAAACGCACAAGTGAGAATAAGACGAGTGCGTAAAGTATTGATCGATGGAAACAGTAAAAGGGGTATCTTTGCGACTAACAAAAACGCCAGACGTCCTTGACGCAGTTTCTCAGCAAAGATCCTCGTCGAAAAAAAAAAAGCAGAATAGAAAAGAAAACAGGCCCCTTGGAGATCACAAAGCAGAAACAGCAGAGGAAAAAAACAAACGAAAAGCAACATCCCCATCAAAGCAGCAAGAACTATTCACCATCCCCACTTCCTCCTCTTCAGCCAGCAAAACCTCCTCATCTATCAGGATCACTCTTCGGACTCAACTGTCTAGGCCACCGATCCTTGACACCTTCTCTCCTTCTCCCGCATCCTCTCATCGTACCCTCACCCTTTACATGCACGACCAGCAACGCCAACGCCAAGCTCGTCCAAACATCATACCCCAAGACGTTGAAATCGAACACACCCACCGTGCGTAGATATCCTATCGAATCACTGTTTTCTGCGCCGGGGACGAAAATGACGATTCCGACCAACGTGTGCGAGACCAAAATGCCGTAGAGGGGAGGAGGCTCATCATCGTCGTCACGGCGGGGTGCGCCGATGAACGGAGCAGGACGTTTTGGAGCATTGGGGTTGGTAGGGGCATCGAGCCACAACTTATGCAGGGTAGCCAGGCGAGAGAGCAAAGTATCTTGCATGGCATTCACATCTTCATCCACCGTCCCCTGATAGATTTCCACAAAAGGAAAGTCTGGGAATTGGTTGCGAGAATCCCAGTCTGCCCACTCCATGTAGCGTTTTATCTCCTTGACTATCAATGCTTCGGGCGCTAAACCCACGGTTATCTTATCTCTGACTTTTGGGCCTAGTTGCATGAGATTGCCGAATGCGTGTTTGGCGCGGAAATTGCGGTTGCGCGTTGAGTAGATGTAACCGGGGTGTTCGTGGCCAGGAGGCAAAAACATGCCTTCGGGCATCATGGGGAAATCGTAGTGCCAGTGGGAGGCAAATACTGGTTCGCGGCCGCGGTTGTGGATGCGTTGGATGAGACTGACGGTGTTTGGTGGCCAGCCGCGGGCGAGGAGTTGGTCCTTGGATACGCGCTCGTCTTCGAGACTACCGACGCGGGCGCGTGAGTCGAGGAGAATGGTGTCCTCGCCGTCTGCGGCTTCTTCGAGGAAGGAGCCATAGAGAGAAGCAGATTTGTGGGAGGTTGCGAGTATAGAGGAGGGGGTGTCGTCTGTGTGGCCGATCTCTAGAGCGGAGTTGTCGCTGGCAGGTGTGGAGGCAAAGACGATGTGATCTTCATCGTCACGGCCATAGATTGGAGGAGTTTTTGGAGGAAGAACGTTGATGATAACGTCGTTGGATTCATCTTCTTCTGTACTGTCAATGACGATCTGAGGAACCGTGATACGCCCAGAGAGAGTGTCTGCAACAAGTGGCCTTAGTACAGGTAGAGGCAAGTCGGAGCGAAGAGTCGGATTGTAAATGTTATAATCGTAATGGATTCCATCATCCTCATCTCCAATCCTCTCATCCTCATACTCGTCTTGACTGTCATACTCGATGGGCGTAAAAAACAGGTCACCGATCTGGTACTCTTCTTCTTTTGCTCTTGCAGTTTGTTCGAGTAATTTGTCTTCGCGACGGAGAGCTTCATCCTCGAGTTTGTTCTGGAGCTTGACTTGCAGCTCTTCGTATTTGCTTCTCTTGACGTAGCCTGGAATTTCGGCACCGCGCTTTCTTTTTGAGCCGGTGTTGGTGTCGGCGGGTGTGAGGGGCAAGTAGCCACCAGAGCGTCGAGGGGTGACAGGACTGGGCTGAGAGCGGCGCGAAGGTCGAGCATGCCGAGTGGAAGTGGTTTTTCTCTTTGTGGTGACAGGGTCTGGCGAGACATAGCCCCAAAAGGCGGCCGAAAGGCGTTCGAACAGTCGCAGTGGCATGGTGGAAGGTGCTGTAGGAGTTCCGATTCAAAGGTTCGATCGAGTGTGCGCGAGTGACTGCCGCGACTGTGCGTTCAGGCAAGCGCCCTGGTCAAGAGTTGGGAAGGCGTGATTCAAGATGCGAGGAAAGCGCGACTAGTGGTCGAGAATCGAGTATTGTCGAGGTCAAAGAGTGAATGCACACTCATCTCGACATTGAGCCTATTCATAATCGTTCCAGTGGATTGTCCTTCTTTGTCGCTGCTTTGCTGCCTTCTGACAATCATGAACGCAATTTCCCCGCATGCGGTATACGGAGCTCGGACGCTCTTTCCGCTTTCGGATGCTTATCTTATCGGGCAGCCACCTTGATGATTGAGATTCTGAGAGCCATCATGCGAACTAAACCAAGGGGGTATCATTAAAACAAAAAAGCAGTATAGCTATGAAACGCATGACCCAAGACCACTCCTTCTCTTCTCACGTAGTCAACTGTGCCTTCTTCTTGGTCGCTCTCATGCCCAATATCGTTCCATCCCTGCCAAGCCCTCTGCCACATTCCAGGACAATCATACGAACAAAGTCCTTGAGAAGCCAGTAGCTGCTGTGTGCACCAAGCATCGTCAAGTACTGAATCTCCAACGGTCCACCTCCATACTTGAGGAAGTAGTCGATCTGCCCATTGTCGTTTAGCAGTAGCATACGCTGCTCGGCAATCTCTTCGCGGGAGAAGTTGTGTGTCTCAAGTTCCACGTTCGAAGGTAGTCTGGGCAGCTGATCTGGTCGAGTGGTAGATGCTCCCTCAGGTGATGAGTAAAACCATGATCCAGAAGATGAGAACCATCCCGAGCTAGCTGTTGGCACCCATGCCGATTTGAGCGATGCCGCGTATGAAGCATCGACTGTGGCGTTGAGACGGTACGAGACTGGATCGTAGGGGTTGATGATATTGTAGATATTGTCTACAGGCAGACAGCCATATGTTCCATGGCTTCCACAAATCGGCTTTCTGATTGATGACAAATTCGCTCCAGGTTTCTGTTTACCCAGGCGTGGAATCAGAGAAGCTCGCTTGAGGAGTAAGAAGAAGCCAGTTGGCGAGCCACACAAGAACAGCCCAGAAGTGTTGAAAAGGAAGTGATCCAGGATTGGCGAAGAGTTCAAATCAACCGTGGTAGGGTCAGCCAGCTCAGGGGGTATCGAGGTTGGTTGCTTCGACAGAATGTCGACCGCCATGACACTACCGAGCGAGTGCGCGATAATATGCACACGTCCATATTGAGCGAAGCCTGGATTGTTGATGCACCACAGCTTGTAGATGCGATTGGCCTCAGCGATGACAGCTGCAATCATCTTGGGCTGGTGATCTGATAGATAGTAAGGCACATCAAGCATAACATCAGACACGATGTTGCGCACAGATGGCAACGTCTCTGGCGTGATGTCCTTTAGTCCAAAATCATTCATTGCCGGATCATCAGGCACATCTCTCTGGCCATCCTCGAAAGATAAGCTTTGACGCCAGTTGACGGGTAGGACCATGATACCACCCATATTCTTCCTGAGATGAGCTTTCACACTGTCTGTGCCTAGCTCAACACTGACCTCTCGGCGAAATGCGTTGATCGCGTGGGTGAAATGAAAACTCTCCATACGTTCTGAGAGCTTCTGGCCAATACCATGAATTACAAGAATCAACTCAGTGACCTTTGGGCGCTCAGCATGAGCAAGAGCAGGATCAGACTTTTGTCGTCGATTGGGAGGTGCACCGGACTGCGATGTAGACACGCCTTCTTCAGCCTTCGCTGCAGTAGAGGTCTTCTTGACGGGGTACATGCGATCGTAAGCCGCTTGGTCAAAGCCACGAACAACAGGTATACCAAGCTTACGACCTTTACGAATGTAATTCGCCAATGGACGACGACCGTGATAGGCTGATGGCTGCAAATTGGGTTTCAAGATATGGGCATCGGTCGCATTCGCGTATACGACACCAGCTGTAGGGTACCATCTGGGCAGACCGCCGCCAGAGGAGTACGCTGATGTACCAGAAGCTTTGTTATCAGGTCCATCCACGCCTGCGGCAATATCGATAATGTCGCAGGCGACCTCGACGACATGTTCACGCTCCTTCTCGGCTGAGAATGGCTCCTCGTCGAAGTTGGTAGAGGTCATACTACCCATCTCAGTCCTGGCAGGATTAGGCCTACTCTCAAGCCTCTTGAACAGATCAGGCCAGAGTTTGTGCAGAATCTTGGCTTCTCCTGCGGCACCAACCTCGATAGCGCTGTTGAGCTCATCGTTCCAAGTTTCAGTCCAAGGCTGCAACTCGGTGTAACCTGCCTCAAGCATGTTGGCAACAGGAGGCTCGACCGGTAGCATGGTGTCCTTGTAGAACCAAGTTGCTCGCACTACCGGAGAAACATCGTTGACCGGACGCCAGTAGATGGGCTCCAAGTTGAGATCCGGCATGGCTACATGGTGCAGTCGCGATACGCCAACAGCTATCTTTGCCGAAGGTGCTTCTGGATCGGGACGTGGCTGTGGAGGCTGTTTGTCTTCTTCCGGGGGATCGTCCCACTGATAGCTGTCTCTTAGCCGAGTCGGAGGTCTGGACGAGATCTGGTTGACCCGTCGCATCGAAGGAGCGCGAATGAAAGGAGTGCCGGTGGTATCATGAGTCTCTGCTTCCGGTGGGACAGCGGGTGGCTCGTATATGTCGGCAAGTGTGTTGCTCCTCGTCGATGCATCACTCTTGGAGGCTGGCCGGCGAGCGGAAGGAGAGGTACTGAGGTAAGCAGAAGGAGAAGTGCTCAAATCCAGTTCCACCTTCTTTCCCTTCTCTTGTCTGGTAGCTGGCTGAGGGTCTGCCGGCTTCTGCTTCTCGCCTCGCACCTCGTTGTATCGGAGCAGCTTGTGCCGGAGATCATGCCATGCCTTGTCGAGAGCGGTATTATCGAATTCGGAGAATGGTCTGGGTGGTAGTTTCGCATACGTCGTCTGAGCAGTTTGAGCCGAGGGTGGTAGAGGTGACAGCGGATCGTCTATCGTCAGCGGTGAGGTGTAGAAAAAGCGGGCTTTTACTGGAGGCGGTGCCTCGCTATGATGCAGGATCTGGCGAATGTATTGATTTGTTGACGATGCCATTGTGTCGCCTTGCATACTTCATCTTCAGGCAGACAGTTTGCGTCTTTGCAGGCGTGTTTTTGCTCAACTGTCCGCCTGAGCATGACCCACCGTCAACTTCAACATGATCAAAACGTCATTGGTCCGAGCTTGACATGTGAAATCGACCGCAAACATCACCATCCCGCTGCCTTCCTGATCAAGTGGAATGTCTTTAAGATGCTTTCATTTCTCTGTATAAAGTCTTCTGATACTTTCATTGCAGGCGTGTACCTATATCGTCTTTCCTTCCTTCTTATCATGGAGCAGAACAATTCAGCCCTTGAAGAGTCCTCGAATGCAAATGCAACCGCCCAAACTCCTTGAAATGCTTGCTTTCCCTTCTTGCCGCTGAAACAAAGGGTATCATATGCGAAAATCCACAATGCTGCCGTCCGAACTCTTGATCCTGACCTTCCGATGCTGTGTATTCTCTTGACTTTATGCTTCGCTTCGCTCTTTGCTTGAGCTCAAACCTCCTTCCTTGCTTCCTTCTTTTCATGCTTGTCGTTTGTTCAATTCTGTGGCCCGTGTTAGTTTCTTCCCATGGCTGAGGATCTGCATCATGACCTACCTACCTTTGTTTGAGTTGTTGTGTCGTTGTGTTGTGTATGTGATGGGACATGCTGCTGCCCTTTCAATGTGTCCCTATATAGGCCCTTGTCTGTATGAGAGTGTGTTGGGCGGTAGCGTGTATGGGATTAGCAGCCTGCGGCCTCCTGGCTGAGTGTGTTTTGTGTGTGTGTGTGTGTGTGTGTGTGTGTGCCAAGGTGTGGTGGAGGACCACAGGCTGCAGGGGCAGCAGCATGTCGAATGGTTTCTGAGTCTGGGAAAGAGAATCTGTCGCTATGGCCTGCAAACTTGATTCTCTGCAGCTCGTTTGAGAAACTGGCAAAGCGCTTGACTCAGTCTACATTCGCTGAGTTGTAGCCGAGCAAACTCGATTCAGACAAGGTGCACTTTTGGAGGCTGTGTGCGCTTGAAGATTCAGAGTATCTTGTTTTGGTGCGAGGTTCTTGATGTGGCTTGTGGTATGTCTTGCGGTTTGCCATGTCTCATTATGCGATTTTCGAATGATTTGTGGTATGATTCGAGGCGTATTGTGGTGAAGGTGTATTTCGGATGTTTTTGAGACAGGTCAAGATCAATAGGGAAAAGCTCAAAGCTCGAAGTGCTTGTTGAAGCCGCCGAGGTTGAACAAAGAAACCATTGCGCGTCTAGCGTAGGGAATTTGCTCAGGACCAAACTCGTTGGTTGGATTGCTGAGCTCAAGGGCAGAGGCGAAGCCGTTGAGACAGGTGAAGACACCGCAGTCTGAGCCGTTGTTTTGGATGGCGCTGCGGCGGTCGACTTCCTTCCACTGGTCTGCGACGTAGTCTTTGCCAAGCTCCATCTCGAGCCATTGGCGTGCCAGCTTGATGTATCGAGCACTCTTGCGGTTGGTGTCTGAGTAGCCGACGTCCAGACTGTCGAGGTATTCGATGGTATGAGTGTCAGGGCGGACGACAAGCAGGGACCAGTGATTGCCAGGGTTGACGGGGAAGAAGATGCGCTTGCATTGCAGCAACTTGTCTCCCTTGATGCCCTTGCGGCGTGACCATCTCTCGATGGCTTTGATGCCGTTCTTGGTGACTGAAGAGTACCATCCGGTTATATAGGAGGCGTATGGTGGTACCTTGCCTTTGGTGTGACCGGCTTTGTCGTTCATGCCATTGCACAGAGCGGTGAAGAAGCCATTGATGATTTCGTCGTTGAGCCATCCTTCGGGCTCGCCGGTGTGGTAGTTTGCGGAATGGAGGAGAGTAGCAAAGTCTTTGCGAGTCAAGTCGTTGCCTTCAGGAGACTTGACGATTGCTCTGCCAGGATTGGTGACGTTGAGAACTTCTGTGACCTTCTGGTCCAGTTCTGGAGGGAGGTCGGAGAGGAAGAGGGCGAGCTTGGCTCTCAGAGGAGCTTCCTGGTCTTCCTCGACTTCCTCGGTAAGTGAGATTTGGTTGACTTGATCAGCAAAGGAAGTGGCTTCTTCTTCCGATGCGGCAATGCTCTTCTTCCAGTCAATGAGAGAGATTGCTATGTGAATGTTTGAGCCTCGGCCAGACTTGATCTTTCCTTCGGCGTAAGACTCTGCCTGGATGCTGCGGCAGGCCCAGTAATGCTTCTCAGCGGAGTTGGTTGCATTTGCTTGGTTGGTTGCGAAAGTGAGAGCCTCCTGTGTCCAGTGTTCGGAAGGAAGAGAAGATGGCTTTGGCCAGGATGATTCCCAATGCTCCAGCGCAGCCTGAAGACGAAGCTTTTCGGCATGGAAACCATCGTCAAAGCTGATGATAAGATGGTCGGTGTAGAGGATTTCGTCATTGTCTTGATCAGACTCATCGTCGGCAACAGAATCAACGTCAGGCGCTTCATCGTAGAGCATGCGGGTGTTTTGGATCTTGCGACGCGATTCATTGATTAATTTGGCTCTTCTGATGTCTTCGTCGCGTAGTTTGCGGATCCTGTCGCGAGAATAGTTCTGGGCGGGAAGGTCGTCTTCGCTGTCAACATCCATGTGGTCAAGATCTCCCATACAGATGCGCAGGAAGTCAATGTCGTCCTCATCGGGACCTTTGACCGGGTCAACGGCCATGATTTGTTGTGTTTCCTCCTCAATGTGAGCAGAGGTTGATGTAATGGGAGCGGATGGAATGGACGCGTCTGGTTTGTGGGGGCGGCTTGACGCACGGTCCACCTTTCTTCTGACAGTCTGGACGACCTTTGACTTCACCTCCTCTCCATTCACTTCGTTGTGCACTTGCTTTGCAAACCAGTTTCTGCGGTCGCTTGCGTATTTTTCGAGCTCGAATAAGAGTTGCTGTGACGGTGCATCCATGATACCCGGCTGTGATGGTGCATTCATGCTAACCGACTTCGAGATTCCAGAAAACTTCTTTGAAGGTGAGCGCTTTGTAGGTGAACGTCTTGAAGGTGCACGCTTCGTAGGTGATTTCTTTGCTGGTAAAGAGCGCTTTGCTGGAGAACGCTGCTTGACTGTCGAAGTTGTGCTGTGAAGCTCAGGAGCTGATGGCATAGCCCTCTGAACTTTGGTGCCCTCCACGGACTCGATGCTGGCCTCCTTGATCGGCGACAAGGTAGGATCGAAGCCCTTTGTGGTAGCGGCGACGGTGGGAGCGGTATCCATGGCTGTGACAGGGCCAAGACCGCTGGCTGAGGTACTGGTATATCCAGGCTCCCTCGCCGATTGCTGCTGTGCCTCGGAACGATGTTGGATCGTTGCGGGAGCTTGAGCGATGAAGCCCGAGAACCTGCTTCGCAGCGGTTGAGGGCTTTCGACATCACTCTCGCTTCCGCTGCTGTCGGCACGAGCGAGCTTGTAACGAGCCACAGGACTCAGAGAGACGGTAGAGGCCAATCGGGAATCCAGAGATGACCAAACAGCAGGCCTGGTGGTTGAAGCAGCTTCGTACACGCCATTGCCAGCAACGACGGTGTACTCACCACCACTTTTCACAGTCTCAGGAGCGCTGTGATGACTCGAGCCGACCTGGTGCTCGATGCCATGGTCGGTCTCAATTGATGCCATCGCAGTCTCCGTCAACTCCTGACCCTCCTGGAAGTGATCGGCAGGAGAAGGGTTCATGGCAGACTCCTGAAGGGATGCCACTTCCTCCAGGTTGCTGTTGGCATGCTGGCCGATGGTAGTGACCTCCTCCTCGTCACTCTCGTAGTCCGGAAGCTCCTCGACCTCCACGGAGCCGGCACTCTGGTTGAAGGCAGAGGCCGCGTCGAACTTACCACGTAGACCGCTCTGCGATGGAGAACGGGATCTACTTGCTGCAGCCTCCTGTCTTCGGCTGCGAGGAAATCTTAGCCAGCTAGCCCTGCGAAGGACTGCTGCTTGGTCGTCGAGTTCAGTGACCGAAGTCATCTGCCTCTTCGAAGGAGACTGAGCGTCGGCGTCGTCCGACGGCTCGCGAGAGCGCTTGGCGCGCGGAGGCGAGGTTGCTGAGAAAGAAGGCCTTTGGGTATAGGTAGGCGAGACCTGGGCGGTGGTGCTGCTGGTGTTACTGCCAACAGGCCCGGACGAACGGGACTTCTTCACGGGTCTCCTGGAAGGGAATTCCCACGTGTCGCCGGACTCGGTCACAAAGGACTCGAGTTTGCGCTTCTCGCGCCGAGGGTTGCTGTTGCTGCTGCCGGAAGGCGAGACAGCGCGCGAGGGGGAGGCGGAAGAGTGCTCCATCGTGCAACGCTTTCGCTTGTTCAAGGCTACGGCGTGCGTGTTGGAGACACTCGTGTTGGAGACGCAGGGCAGAGGAAGCAGTTGGTGGTGCTTGGTTGTCGTCGAGAAAAGAAAAATCTGACTGGTTGCGGTGCGCTGAGGAAAGAAAGAAAGGAGGCTGTGAGAAGTCGAGAATTGTTTTGATACTGAACAAACGCGGCTTTTTCGAAAAACCACTTGTCGACGCACTTCACTTTGACTTGCTTGTTACTTTCACTCGAGTCCAATCACTGTAGCGATGCATGGTTTTCGAATTGTCCGTGTCGGCAACAGTCGAGTCGCAGTTTGTTCAAGTCGACCTTGTACACTACGCCGAGTCGACCTTTTCGACAAAGGAGACCAGGCTCTCTCCCCTGAGGAACTCCTGTAATATACACCCTGTTGATACTCAAAGTACTACTGCTCAGATTGGTGCAGGTCTTGAGAAAGATTGTTTGCTACAGACAAACATACATCTCTCTGGAGAAGCTAGCTATGACATTTCCTTCTTGCATTCTCATGGGCCATATTTCGCTACGCTTGCGAGCAATTTGTTTCAATACTAAGCTAGCTATATGTTACTATATCTAATACCAAGGTTTCTCATGGTCGCAGGTCTCGGCATACGTCTTCCAGGATTTTGGTGGTGGGATGTCTGGTTCGAGGCAATCCTCTCCTGTAGCTCAGCGAGTCTCAACTCCAGAGGGCATAGTTGAGTCGTGGCCGTACTGATTGAGAGATGGTGTCTGCAGGAAGTCTGGCGACGTGGGACTGTCTGTGTGAAGTCCAGAGGGCTTGCTTTGGTCGTAGCCGTATCGATTGACAGACGGCAACTGCAGGAAGTCTCGCGATGTGAAACTGCCTGTGTGAAGTCCAGAGGGCTTGGTTTGGTCGTGGCCGTACTGCATGGAAGGAGGTGGACCACTGAAGGCAGACGGCATTGGTAGGAAGTCTCGTGATGTGAAACTGCCTTGACCAGAGCCGAGGGGCATGGTTAGGCCGTAGCCGTACGTGCTTTTTGGCTGACTGTGTGGATTGTGTAGATTGTGTGGTGTATGTGGTGATGGACCGTTGAAGGCATGCGGTGCGTTGTGCATGTTTGGCGACGTGAAACTGTCTGAACCGAAGCCAGAGGGCATGGGATTGAAGCCACCAGTGGGTGTTGAAGCGTCTCGGGGGGTTTGGTAGTTGTTTGGATAGTTGATGAAGAAGCGCGCGTTGGTGTCCTCTTGGACTCGTGCGACAAGGTTGGCAATCCATTCAGCTGTAACACCATCAGGCATCGAAGGAGCTGGGAGTGAGGCGGCCGGCGCTGAGGACGATGTGACGGTGGCGGTATGATGCTGCTTCTCGTGTGCTGACTTGGATGACTTCTTCGTCTTCAGGTTGGAGGTCCTCTTGTTGGGTGGTGCTTTGCCAGGTCCAGTGGCAGCAGCGGTGTCAGCGTCGCTTGCCCTCTTTGCCGCTCCGGTCTGAGCGAGAGTGGGCTCGGCGACTGGCTCTCTGTGTACATGGTCAGTGAGCGCAAGGCGGCGGTGATGGGGATGTCAGATAGCGCACCCTTTGATGCAAGCGAGGACGAACTTGCACCGCTTCTTGAGCTGGTTCTTCGAGAGCTGGTTACCAGAACCATCTGGGAGGCTGTAGTTTGGAAGAGCCTCGATGAGTCGCTGAACGCGCACGTGTGTGACCGACCCTGCTGGGGGCAGTTTGTCCTTGATCTTGTCGTAAACTGAAGAGTTGCTCTACTCATCTTCAGTACGCTCCATCGTGAAGGCCAATATAGACGAATCTGAGAAGGCGGGGGAGGGAAAGGGTGTGGTGTGAAGTTTGAGGTGTAAGGCATGGAAGATGGAAGCTGCGTCTTGCGTGAAGTATGAGGTTTAAGGCATGGAAGAGGAAGCTGCGTCTTGTGATCAGAGTTGAAGTGACGTGTTGCGTTGGGAAGGTGCACTTTCCCATTTCGTTTCGCTAAGAGGATATCTCCCGTCCTCGCTCCTTCGGTTGTTGGGATGTCTTATGCCCGTCCAAGGGGTGGCTTCACCTGGCTGTTTAATGTTACTCTCTCTGCGCCTTCTATTGTATTCAAAGTATGATGGTGTGTTTCCATTGAGATACAGGGTGGATATGCCAGCGGAGAACAGAAAGAAAGAAAGCAAAGGCAAGGCGAGGCAAAGCGGATCGAAGGATACAACAACCGAAACTAGACCAACCACTAACAGACAGTATTGCAAGCAATAATGAATCCTCTCCCCCATCAAACATACTTCTTCATCGCGGCCTCGTACTTCAGAACTCTAAAGTTGGGCCCAATCATCCGGCACACCTCTTCCCTGGCATGCGACAATCTGTTGTCTGTAAGACTCGCAGGAGCGGAGTTGGCCAGCCATTCGTAGAGGTGCAGCTTGACATCAATGCGACGATTGGCGTCGAGCTGGACGCTAATAGCTTCATCGCGGACACCTTTAAGAACTCGACTGATCGCAGTCTTGTCCGACTCGTAGGCCTCTTCGACGACATCGAAGATAAGTTTGTACTGAGATGGGTTTGGAGGTCCAGTTCCAAAGCCGGTCTCGATGCTTGCGAGCTTTCGCTACGACAGAGGACCGTCGTAGAACAGCCGGAACCACTGCAGGAGAGATGTAAAAGTCAGACCGTTCTCGACGTCGCGAGCATGTGATGTCATGTTTTGGTTTTCATATCGCTGTCCGCCTGCATTGGCTCCTGCTGGCTATGAGTCTGGACAGATGTGGCATACGAAGCGCCTATGAAGAAAGTAGAGGATGCATGACACAACTGTAAGGATGGAGCAACAAAAACGTATCGAAAACCTTAATGACACCCAAGCGAACAATGAGAGCCCGTCTAGAAGCACTGTTCTGAGCAAGATGGTTGATGTTGGAGAAGCGTGTGAAACGCGGACGGAAATGTGGTTGAGGTCGGCGGCATGGTTGGCGGTGGAGCGGCGGAGCAAGCACCTAAGCACAACTTTCTCCTGTTTGACAAGGCGCAATCACAGAACAATCATCGCTGCAATCTCCTACTGCTCCCAGCTCATTCCTAGACCCCATCAAGCTACCGTGCCTACTCGAATCAACATTGTCCTCGTCCACTCGGCGATCTTCTTAGCGAGCGAAGCAGCTGACTGACGTCTTTCTCCGACCGACTCGGGCGCCATAACGCTCATCGGGCGACCGACAAGACACATCTCGCCAACAACCTCCAGACGCCGCCATCCCACGCTAACAAGAGTCAATTCGCTATCACATCCCAGACCTGAGCTTCACCATCGCTTAGTACGCCTGCGAGGCTATTTCTTCCTATCTCACACCCATCGCTCCGACCAGCCGCTGCCCCTCACTTCCGCAACAACATGGCCGTCTACGGCGCGCGCTACACGTTAGAGCAATTGAAAGCTCTGCGTGAGTCGCCTCTAGTCCGCAAACCAGACGAACTGCCCTCGATAGATGAGTGGATAGAGTAAGCCCTTCCCTCTGACCCACTCCTACCAAGTCATTTTGCTCAACAAAGAAAAGAGGTACTCAGCAATCGCAACAAGAGAATGGCGGTCGCAAGCCACGCAACCAGGCCCAACGACCCGAAGAGCCTGCTCCCATGGGCAACTTCTCGTCACAGAGACCATCATTACTACAGACCAGACACACCTCACGCTCTACTCAACAGCCTGGTACGTTGTTCGCCTCGTCCAAACCAGCCAATAGCTTACATTTTCCAGACGAAATCGTACTCGGCCCACCAAAGACATCTTTCGCATCATCCCGAAACATCAACAAGCTCGAAGACCGCGAACAAGAACAAGAGTCACCCGCCGCCAATCAGCGCTCCCGCTTCTTCCGTGACAGAGATACTGCAAAGACTGGCAACAACAGAGACTGGCGCTCATCCAAGCAACAACAAGAGGACGACGATGCTTTCACTATCGAACCCAGATCTACACCGCGCCAGCCGCGCGAAGGCAACGGCAATGGTTTCGGTCAGCGCTTTGACCAACGCTGGGCTCGCGACAACGTCGACCGTGATCGTAACGGTGACCGCGAGCGCGAACGTGAGCGTGAACGTGAGCGAGAAAGACCCAGCCAGCGCGGTGGCTGGAGAGACAAGGCACGCAACGAACGCCAGCAAGATGCTCCCGAGAAGGAGCCCGAATGGATGGACGAGCCATTGGAGAAGGAGAACAAGAACCAGATGCATACACAGGAAGACTTTGAACACTGGAAGGAACGCATGAGGGCTGCTGCTAACGGCGGAAATGCTCCCGAGACCAAGCAAGACACCTTTGCCGATGAGGTCGCCACTCCTGTCAAGTCGACACCAGCACATTCGAAACCACAAACTCCGCTGGTGACAGACGCACCCGGTTTCGACAAGAGCATTTTCGGATCGTGGGGAGAGAGCAAGAGACTCGAGAGTCCCGTTGATACTCGCGCAACCAAGGCGCCAACCGCAGCCAAGGGAAAGTCTTCTCGCTTCGCGTCCATGTTTGTCGCCAAAGAGGAGCCTCGGCCTGTTGTTGAAGAGGCTGACAGCCCTGCCACACTCGATTCAAGCGAAGACAAGCAAGGCTTCCTCAGGATCATGGCTGGTCTTCGTAGAGGACCGTCCTACTCCAACGGTGGTGTTGACTCACCTGTCAGAGAGCAAGAAGGAAGAGGTCCCCCTGCTGGTCCCCCGCCCGGCTTTGGCCTTCAACCATCTCAGGATCCTCTGGCCGCAATGTTTGACAAGGCTCCTACATCTACCCAGTCTCCTCGACCTCTGTCTGGCTTTGCTTCCGACTCTTTTCTGCCACCTCCACCTTCTCAGTTCAGCCGGCCCACTAGTAATGTCGCTTCCCCTGATCCTGTGTCGATGAGAACAAACAACTCTGTTTCACACCTCCCTCAGCAAATGCAGAACATCTTCCTCGACCAAGCCCCTCGCAACGGTCCGACACCCGAGAACTTCAACCAACAGCACTCACGCAAGCCAAACTCGCTGAACAAGGATTCCGAGTTTTTGCTGAACCTGATTCAAGCCAAGAACGCCAACAGAGCTGCTCCTCCACCTCGTAACCAACACGAGCCCGAGCCCTTCCAGCTCTTCCTCGACCAGCCACCAAAGTCTCAACCCCAGACCGTCGCTCCCAAGCCACAAGCTCCCCGCCCTACTGAGTCAATCGAGGAGCAGCTATTCCGTGGCAACCAGCACATGGACCAAGGCCGTCCTCGTGCTCCTCCTGGCTTCGTCGAAGACCCTTCTATTGTCTTGCAGCAAGCTCAGCGCAGCTATCCCAACGGACCTCTCCAGCCACGTCGTCAGAGCGCTGCTCAGCAGATGCCGAACGCTGGTCCCGGTGCTCCTCAAGACTTCCCTCCCAACTTCCCATATATGGCAGGTGGCCCTCCACCACCTGGTCCTGGCGACCGCATGCCTCCTGGCTTCAACCCTAACATGCGCCATCCTCCTGGATTTGCCAACATGCCCAACATCTTCCAGCAGCCTAATTCGCAGCCTCCTCCGCAGCAAGGCGCAGGTATGCAAGGCCCTCCTCCTGGCTTCCCATCGGGTATGGGCCCGCCACCTCCTGGGTTTGGAGCCCACGGTCCACCCCGTCCTGGCTTCTTCAACAACCCTAACCACATCCCTGGCGTTCCTCCCGGTTTCGCTCCACCAGGCATGGTGATGATGCCCGGTTCGAATGTGAGAAGCCCTGACGGCACACCTGGCATGAGAAGTCCTCAAGAAGGACCTGGTATGGGCATGCCTATGCTCCAAGGCATGGGTGCTGCTTACGGTGGTAGACGTTAGGTATCGTCTTTGAGGAGTGCAGGTCACCAGCCATGATCTATGGCCGATTGTGAATAGTTCAAGAGACAAGAAGATGAAGGAAAGTGTCAATGAATAGAAAAAAGGTATCCTTTTTCGGTTTGGTGTCCGAGACCACCATGAATAAGACCATAGGCACTCGAGCCTGACTTGCTATCTCTCAACGCCTCTCCCGTCATTGTGCTTAATTGTGCTCTTGTGTCAGCTCCCAGTAGATTGTTTGAGTTGAATGTGTTCTATTCGATGCAATGCGTATCGAACCTGGAAATAAGGACGGTATGTCACAAATAGTAGGTGTCACAAAATAAAGATTCTGATTTCTTTCAACGTGCATAACAGCACAACCACAGACCCAATTTGAATCAACACCTCCCATGAGAAATATAAGGTGTACAAGAACTGTCTTACAAAGTGCCGAGAGCCTGACAGTCGATCTGGGCGAGTTATTAGAAAAAAGCTTCGTTGGATGGTTGTAATCGGTATGACCCTGTCAGAAAGGGCTAATGCCAAGATCGGCGAAGCGTGGCTAAAGTCCGAAGCCGTGTAGAAAAAAGTCACCTTTCTACCATTTTCTTGCAACCAACCAAACAGACCAAATACTGTTCGCATACAAGATCCGATACATTCAAGCCAATCGCCAATAGCAAATATTCATACCGGATCGACCTTCGCAACTTCCGACCGCCAATATGCCAGCCCAGGGCAAAGCAAAGGGCAGTCGCCGCAATGAAGGCGCCTCCTCTTCTGCTGCTGCGAGTATGTTTGATGTACCAATGAAAAGAAGAGTGGCATACTGACATGTATACACAGGTGATCCTCGTTTCTCATCCATGACCACAGATCCCCGTTTCCGTCTTCCCTCGGCACGACACAGCAAAGTAGGCGTCGACAAGCGTTTCACCAGCATGTTCAAGGACGACGACTTCTCAAAGAAAGCCACTGTCGACAAGTACGGTCGCAAGGTTGCAAAGGGCAATGCCAAGAAAGAGTTGGAACGCTTTTACAAGATCGAGGGAGATGAGGAAGATGAGGATGAGGAGTCAGAGGAAGAGATGGGAAAAGCACAGAAAGTCAAGGCTAAGAAGAGCAAGAAGCCGGCGAGAGAGGTTGTGGGTAGCGATGAGGAAAGCGAAGAGGAGGTTGCTGATGATGATGAGATTGAGGCTGAGCTCGAGAGACTGGACGGCAGAGTCAGGGATCCCGCACGAGAGGGTGGTTTCTCTTCTTCTGAAGATGACAGCAGCTCCGAGGACGATAGCGAAGAGGAGGAAGAGATTGAGGAGGATGCAGTAGAGTTCCCTAACGAGGGTGCTGCTGATGTGCCTCTTGGTGACGTCTCGTCTCGTCTGGCTGTCGTCAATCTTGACTGGGACAACATTCGCGCAGAAGATCTTATGGCTGTCGCACAGAGTTTCGCTTCCACTGGCCGCGTCTCCAGGGTCGTCGTATACCCCAGCGAATTTGGCAAGGAGCGCATGGAGAAGGAGGAGCTCGAAGGCCCACCTAGAGACATTTTCGCCAGCGCAACAAAGGAGGTGGACGAGGACGAGGACACCGATGACGAGGAAGAGAGAATCAAGAAAGAGCTGTTGAAGGGAGACACAGGCGAGGAATTCGACTCTGCGAAGCTGCGCCAATACCAGCTGGACCGCCTAAAGTACTACTACGCCGTCATCACCTGCGACTCCAAGGACACAGCAAAGGCGCTTTATGATGGCATGGACGGCCGTGAATACCTCTCCACAGCAAACTTTTTCGATCTACGATTCATCCCTGACGAGGTTGACTTTGACACTGACACACCTCGCGACGAGTGCACAAAGATAGCCTCAGGCTACAAGCCCAATGAATTCGTCACCGATGCCCTTACCCACAGTAAAGTCCGCTTGACGTGGGACGCCGATGATACGACAAGAAAAGAAGTTCAGAAACGTGCCTTTTCACGCGCCGAGATCGACGAGAACGATCTGCAAGCGTACATTGGCAGCGACAGCAGCGATGATGAAGAGAATGACACAGGCTTGACAAAGGCAGAGCAACAGAGACAAAAGATGCGCGCTGCATTGGGTCTGTCTTCTGAAGCAGTAAAGACAAAGTCCAAGGATGATGGCCCAGTGGGAGACATGCAAATCACCTTTACATCTGGTCTGTCAAATGCCGCTGCATCAAAGGGTGCCAACGGCGTCTTTGAAAACACCCCCATTATCGAAGAAACCACACGCGAGAAGTACGTCCGCAAGGAAAAAGAACGCAAAGCTCGCCGCAAGGAAAAAATGAAGGCAGCCCGCAACGGCGAAACCATCGAAGAAGCAGCCTCAGACAACGACACCATTGTAGAGAAGCCATCGTCTGCAAAGGCCTCATCAGCACCCGCAGCCGATGACGAAGACCCCTTCAACGACCCCTTCTTCAACGACACTGCAACAGCCCAAAAAGCAGAAAAGCTAGCCCGCAAAGCCGACCGTCAGAAGAAGCGCGAGGCCCGCGAAGCAGCAGATGCCGCCACCGCCGCCAAACGCGCCGAACTGGAATTACTCATGGTAGACGAAAACACGGCTTCAGAAAACATCCGTCACTTCAACATGAATGAAATCGCCAAAGCCGAGAAAGTGCTCAAGAAGAAGAGCAAGAATAACAAGAAAGCCAAGGATGCAAAAGAAATCTTGGAACAGGATGATTTCAGCATGGAAACTCAGGATCCGAGATTTGCGCAGTTGTTTGAGAGTCACGAGTTTGCCATTGATCCCACGAATCCGAGATACAAGAACACGCAGGGTATGAAGGCTTTGTTGGAGGAGGGAAGGAGGAAGAGAAAGGGTAGAAGTGATGAAGATGGTGAGAGGGCTGATGCGCCGCCGGTGGAGAAGAGGGAAAAGAAGGTCAAGACCGAGGCTTCCTCTGCTGGTGGTGAGGATCTGAACTCGTTGCTTGCTAGAGTCAAGGCAAAGACAAAGAGCAGATGATTGGAGATTGAAAATATTACAAGGATAATGGAAATGGTATATTAGCAGTCAGTGCAAATTCGCAAACAAAAATGATCGACGACTCAGTCAGCTTGAATCCTTCCTGCGGCACCTCCGCTTTTCTGTCCATTGCACATCCCATCTCTCCATCAACGACTACGAAGACTCATGTTTGCTAATCTTTTTGGTATCTCAACTCACACGACATCTCGAGAATACACAAGACCATGACCTCAAATGCTCCTGAAACTCGCGGCACCATAAACCTAACCAACAGCACCATACAGCTCCCCACAAAAACAACCTCCCACCTCAGCTACACTTTCTCGCCTGGAACACCAACAACAAAAACCCTGGTAGTCTTCCTCAACGGTCTGATACTCCCAAAGTCATCCTGGAAGCCCACAATCATAGCGACACAAACCAAATGCTTTGAGAACAACATTCCGCAACCGCATTTACTTTCGTATGATCGATATGGGCAAGGAGACTCTGATGCACACCCAGATGATACACACGATACTGGCTCTGTGGTGAATGACTTGCATACTTTCCTTACCACCTTCTGCGAGCAAGAACTACGCTCTGCACTTTCCGCTTTTCGCATGGTGCTGGTATGCAATTCCATCGGCTGCGCTATTGCTCGCCTCTACTGTGCTTCTCACCCCAGCACCAATATTTCTGGCCTCATATTCCTGGACTCTATGATGGCGCATGTGGATTTAGTTTCTCTATGGCCTGATGTTGACGCTCCTGGTTTCGATAAGTCTACATTGTCTGAGGGAACGACAATCGAGGAAATACGAAATGTCAGGCAGCAATACGAACAGCGCTTCCACGTCTCTGCGCCAAACTCCGAAAACCTGGATCGAAGCGACCTAGCTCAATTACTGCCACAAGCTGGAAGTCCGAAGTTGCAAGGGAACCCTTTTCTTATCATCGTGCGTCATGACGCAGAAACTTTTGCCGAGGAGAATGAGGTCAGTGCCTTTGTTTTCGCTACAAAAAGCAGATTGACAAGTACTCAATGACCCAAAAACAGAAAAGCTTCAATGTGAGAAAAGAACTGGTGACAGACTACGTCCAGCCAGTTTGGGATGAATATAACAAGCAACTTTCTCTACTGACTAGTGCAGAGAGAAGCAAAGGTCCGATTGTTGCAAAAGGATGTGGGCATTTCATTCAAAGGGACGATCCGCAATTTGTTGCTAGGGAGATATGCGAGATGTTGCAAAAGTTGGAGGGAAAAGAGTAAAAGGACGTTATGATGGATCGTTGCTTTCTTTCATTCTTCTTCTATGATATACAAGCAGTGATTGAAGAGCTATCCAAAGGCACAGTCGAGTTCCGAATCAGAGGTATGTCTAAAGAAAGTCCAACAACTCTCACCTCTTCTCTCACCGGACATGCCTTCTCTCCTCAAGAACACTATGCATTGCCATAGCCACATATATACCAGCTCGACCCAAAGAAGTACATCACCCAATATCACCTCCACTTCAACTTCCTTCCGGCACTTCTCTCAAACAATCAACTGCACTGGAAACGGCAAGCACATGTAAATCGACATCACCGCCCTCTTCATTCCAAGATTCTAAACTACAGCGAAGGATACGACCTGGTGTCAGACACCAAGAAGAAATCTCTGATGTGGGGAGAAGATTACCGACGAGCTCGTAAAGTGTTTGGAGGCTTGGTTGGTCTCGAACTGGTCGGTTTCGACTTGCTCGACTTTGATTTGGGCAGTAATAAGGCTGCCGGCTGGTTCGTACTTGACTAGGTCAATTTGAACTTGATGATCTTCGACTTGGTCGGTCGGTCCTGAGGCGGGTTATTTTGGTCTGGCTGAACATGATTTGGTCAATCTGAACTTGATCAATTCTGGCTTGGTGGATGAGGAGTTGGCTTGGCCCATCCTCGATGTTTGTGGATCATCGTCGAGAAGGGCGATGAGAATGGTAAAATGAGATCTGAAGTTTGAAGTTCCTCAGTGTGGCATTCGAAAGCAGAACGGTCACAGGTTATGTAACCACCTTAAACTTGTTCTTTACTTTTCGGCTTTCACCACCAAAGAGTTCCCGCCCCACGTCATTCTGGTTGAAATACTTTCGTCATCCACAGGTCGGCTGGGATCAGTTTTTCTGGTCTCTCCAAGTCTGTGCAAATTTCCACTGGATCAAGGCACCCAACAACGCGACCCCTTGCGCCAGAACACAGATGCTGAGAGCCCATCCTGCGCCTGCAGCTCTGATCAAGGGTAACACAAAGCTTGTACCCGCCGCAGCACACAAGCATCTGGCAAGATTCAGAGCGGCACTTCCGGCAGCGCTGCGGTCTTGGAATATGTCGACCAAGTAGGTCATGACGAGCGATTGTGCAGAGACAGCACACCAACCCGTGAAGAAAGTCGTGATGATAGGGACAGAGATGTGCACATGGTATCGAATCGTCCAGCCAAAGACCAGAATGGCGATAGCTTGGAGAAGGGAAAAGAGAGGAATAAGGCGCAGGCGAGCTTTCTCGATCGGGAAGCTTGGCTTTCTGTCTGTGGTTTCAAGTATCTCGGTTCGTGATGCGTAGTCTTGCTTGACGCGTTTGTAGTCCATGTTGAGAACTTTGCCTGTGGTTAGAGTACCGAGTATGGAACCAACACCGTTGGCGAGAAATGTAAGCCCAATCTGGGTTTCAGACAAATTGTAAACTTCGAGGAAGAGCGTTGACATTGCAGTGATGCTCATCTGCCAGACTGCGTAGTGGATTGCCAGGCAGATAATGATAGGGCTGGCCTGCTTGCTGAAGAGTATGCGCAATGGCTGAGTAATGTCGACGCTCTTCTTTGATTCGTTCTCTGTTAGTGCCATTGGTTCACAATCCCAACGCATCTGACTCGTTTTCTGATAGAACGTCAAGGGATATCTTGCGAATAGTTCTACAGTCTCCCGACTCCCATTACCGACTTTATGCCTCAATGTCTCGGGCAACAGGAGTATCAAGAACACCAGAAAAGCGCCACAATAGATGGTCAAGAACCAGAAGATACTTCTCCATCCTAATGCTGCGGCCAGACCACCACCAATTATGGGACCTATGGCAACCGGCGCCAGTAACCCAGCTTGGAACACAGCCATGTAGCCTCCGCGATTTTCACGAGTGGTGATATCCCCAATAACACCAGAACCGATGGCGATAGTACTCGCACTTCCAGTACTCTGTAAGCACCGTAGAACAATAAGAGTCGCATAGTTGCGAGTAAGAGCCAGTCCGATACAAGAGCCGAGGAAGACTAAGAACGTTCCGACGTAAGCAACTCGGCGACCCTTGACGTCGGAGATAGGTCCCCATATACTCGGTGCTAGACCTTGGAATATCAGGTATGCCGTGACGCTGAGGTTGACGAGCTCGATGGACACATTCAGATCGTGAGCTATTGTTGGAAGGGCTGGGAAGTAGATGTTGGACGCGAAACCTGAGACTGTGTCGTGTATATGTGATTAGAATGATGAGTGATATTTTGATCATTAGCTCACGTGAAGAGAAGAACATACACGTCGCTGCGATGGAGATAATGGCTACGATTAGCACTTTCTGTCGTTTATCGAATATGCTGTGGAGCGTAGTGGCGGGTTCGGCGATATGCGACGACGTACTTGGTGCCATATTGTGTTTTTATTGACACTGTAGGCGATGGTAACAGGAATTGACATTGTGTTGAGAAATTGGAGAGATGCTGAGATATAAGTATCAAGATGGAAGTTGACAAAAGGTACGCCTCCCGGAGTTGAGGAAGGAGCTGAGCTTCTCAACTCCGGCGCTTGCTCAACTCAACTCCGACCTATCGTCCCTCCCTCGACAAAGAGTTCCGGAATGTCTGATTTACGTCCTCCAAAGTACACAGCAGTGTTATTTTCTTCCTCGTTGCGAGACTGGAACCAGCTTTAACGCAATGCTTCGAATTAGCTCTTGTTACACTGGTCGCACCGAGAGCTCTGACTTGCAAGAGCTGAATATGCCTTGATATGCAGTTTAGAGAAGGAAGAAGCTGCGAGCTCTCCTTCCTCATCCCTCCAAACCCCCACTTCCCATCTCTGAGCTACATGATTGATTAGATCTGCCATATGAATATTATTTCAGCCCCTTTGGTGCAGCGGTTTAGCACATTCCAAACTTGATGTCTTGCAAACACAAGCAGAGTAGGGAAGTTTAACTTGAAACAAGCTAACCCGTGGTCTTCTCGAACTGGAAAGACGTGAGTTCGACTCTTACAGGGGGCACTGAGCCTTTTGCTGCTTAGGCGGGGTTGTGCTTTTGCTGGAGGATGGGGGGTGTAGTGTCAACCCAGGCGGCATCTAACCATCCAGCAGACGATAAAGCCTCCTCGTTCGTCAATCATACTCGATCATGCGTGTGCGACGGGAAGAAATCCGTCGGGATACTAGGTACCATGCGTACAACTGGTGACCGCATATATCATCATCCCAAACTCATCGAGATCTTCCATCCACTGCTCGACCCTAGATCGTCTTCTTGCAATTTCAATATCACCCAGCTCAGATGGCATCGCCCACAACTCATCAATGCAAAGCCCTCCGTCAGGCCAATCCGCCAAATGAAGATTATACATCTTCTGCCACTCTGGTCTTGAATTTGCAAACCATAGAGACTTACTTCCCGGTGCCGGCAGTCCTACCAATTCGATTCCCAGAAAAGTAGGAATACCTTCTTGTTTCGAAATCACATCGTCAAACATGTACATGACATACAAAGTGCGGCGTTTCGCTTCCACCACGATCCACTCCTCCCATCTTGGACGCGAATGTTGTTGCTCGGCCACACTAACGATTCCTTGTCGAGTTGTCATCCAAGCCAGATCTTGGAGGTTCATCATCGCTTGACGCAGGAAGAGTGTAGAGGCCTGTTCCAGTCGCAGAACCAAGGTCATCGCATATACCAGATAAGCTTGGAAAGTAGCCAAGAGTTCCATGTGATTGCATTGTATTCGTCTCTGGTAGATCGTCGACATTTCCCGTTGCAGGACTTCTGCTGCGGTGGCTTCCCTGCCTAGAGCAGGGTTTTGGCATATGCGTACCATGTTCAGGCAGGTTGCGAGTGGTACAGACGATGAATCATCTATCTGGGCTGGATGGATAAAGGGAGGCAGACTGGTATGGCCACGGACTGCTGAAGCGACGTATGATTTCAGAACTCGGCGGATTAGCGCCGAGATACTGAGTGGATAGTCATTGATGACTTGGCCTGCGACTGGCACGTAGGTATTGAGCCATCGTGATGTAATGTCATCAACATTGATGGTGCAAGCGAGTCTGAGTTCCGAGAAATCAAAGTTTGCCTGTCTGCTTGTATCGTCGAACAAGATTGTTGACTCGTCCCTAGCCGGCGTTGACGCTACAACCGTGTTGTTAGAAGATAGCCTCTCCGATTGTGATGGTTGATCACCCGGTATAACTGCCAATGACGCACTACTTCCTTGTGACACTGCTCTCAAGTCACTGACCTCGTCGATGGAAGCTGTTGAGACCTGAGCCATTGCATCTTGCGGATCTATACACAGCAGTCCTCGTTGAACACATCTGGAGCAGCCCGAAGGTCCCTTTTGGCACCTGGTCTTCCCTCTCGTGCAATTATTACAAGCCTTCTGTCTCGATGCCGAATACCTCGGGGCCTTCATATTGGGCCATGCGGGCGGCAAGACATCTATCTGACGACGTCGCAGTAACGAAGAAATGCAAAAAACGGAAGTGCTTATTGTATGTTGTTGAAAGGAAGACGGCGCAAGAAGCTCTGTACCCGGGTACATGGATAAAATTCGGAGAAACAATTAAGCTTGCCGATTATGCTCACGAGAGCCAGAGTCAACTTGACTTTGCCAAACAAACTTCTAAATCATGACGACTGCGAGCACATCAACTTGATAGAATGATGTGACCGTATCTCCGAAGAGCTTCGAGATTCAGGGACCATGTCGAAGTTCATCAGCCGATAAGCTGTGACAGACAGCAGATTTGGAGGTAGGAACGAAATAGTTTCAGTCGTGAAGCAGTCGACTGATCTCTAAGGCTGATGGGAGACGAACAAGGAATGTGAGCATGGCCATAGTGATGGTCTGATGTCGAAAACTTGCTCTTGATTAAATGACAAAGGGTCCTGCTTCCATGGAGATCAATAAAGCGAAGCCTCACCTGTCCTCTTCCCACATCTTTGCTCGCCTACACATTCGACTTAGCCAAGTAACAGATTTCCTGCCAAAGATGATGGCATACGAGGACTACTACAAACGATCATGGAAGATTCCGCCAAAGAATCGAGCACCATCTCGATACACACCCACCAACCGCCGCAATGACTGGAAAACGAGCATCTCAAAATGGACAGCAGAAGTGCAACACAACCCCATAAACGAAGAACAACCAACCCCGAAACCTGAAACCACAGACTCTCCGATTGTTCCTGTGACGATCACAAGCACTACAGATATTCCTCCAGCGATCACAAGCACTCCAGACATTCCCACATCTTTGTCCTATGCAGATGGCGTGCACCACGACAGATGGACGATGAAGTTCAAGGATGCATTTACACGCAAGTCCTATATTGGCGAAAACATCGAAGGACATCACTACGGCGTCAGCGAAAAGGGTGCAAGCAATCCTGACAGCTTCTTCGTATGCAAGAGAAAAAAGGTCAAATCCACGCTGCTATGGGGCAAGGATATGAAGAGGATGGACGAACGCTGTTGGGAGGTGGTCAAAGCACTTTTGAGACACCGAGCCAGCCACGAGCGTGACTGCCACTGTGATTTCGAGTGGATCAGGAGTGGCTGGACTAGACGCGATACTTCGAGGTTGTGTGAGTGGAAGGCGGGCAAGACTGCCAAGTCGGTGTTGAAGGCAATGGAAAGTCATGATGAGCAATGTTGTTGTGGTGCTTTTAGTTTTCCGAATAGCAGAGCCATGGCTAGAAGGCAGCAAGAGGAGGCTCTTCAGAACAAGAATACATGAAGAGACAAAGAATATTGGATGAAGAAACAACGAGAACGCCTAGAGAAGCAACTGTTTACGTAAATCTAGCAAAACTCGAAACCTGGGTATACCATCATCCTAGTCCTCCTTCGCAGCAACCAAACTCTCATAAGCACTCTTCACCTTCTCTTCCATGAACTTCCACAAAACAGCATCAGCATATGGCTTCTCAAACTCAGGCTTTGCAGAATCAGGAGGGTGAAACCAATAGTTGAGTGCGATGTGCACATTATCAGCGCTATCCTCGTCGCTGAAACTCGTGACCTCGTGGAACCAAGAGGTAGGCAAGTAGAGCATATCTCCAGCTTTGAGGTCAACAATGTATGGTTTCCCTGCCTGTTCCAAGGCTGCAGAGTGTGTGTGGGGTGTTGTGAGGGAGAGGTGAGAGTGCAGGTCTTGAGTGGAAATTTTGGAGAAGGAGAGGGGTTCAGAGGGTGCGTCTGAGCCTTGGGCAAATGCAAAAGCATCTTCGAGGTCGGAGGCGTCCGAGTCGCCGTCGTCGAAGTCGTCGCGTTGGCCATTTTGTGCGCGTTCGAGTGCTGCCATTAGTTCGGCGTCCGAATCATCGTCGTCGTCGTTGGCTTCAGAGTCGTCGTCGTCGTCGTCCTGGTCTTCAGCTCCAGCTTTTGCAGTTTTGGAAGCCTTGGAGCCGGCTAAGTCGTCGGTGGCTTTACGCTTCAAGATGAGGTTATCGCGTAGAACCTGATCTTTGAGTTCTTCGGGCTCGGATTCTTCGGCCGAGGATACCTCGTCAAAGTCATCTTCGCCCAACTCGCCAAAGTCGGCGGCTTGGTATTTCATGAGTCGCTCGACGGCGTCACCGTATTCCTTCTGAATCTTATCGAGGCCCTTTTTCTCGCCGCTCTCTTCAAGTTTGTCCATTGCTTCCTCTAGGGCTTGGACTTTTAGGGCGGCTGCGTCGCGCTCGACTAGACCATCAGATCTGATTTGGTCGGCTTCGTTGTCTTCTTCGGTGATGTCTTCGTCATCTTCTTCGCCGGGCTGCTTGTAGACGATCAAGCCGTTGGGGTGAATCTTCTGCGGTTTGCCGTAGGTGTCGAGGTGGTGAACTGCCGAAGGAGGATACAGGACGAATCGTTTGCGACCCTTGAGCAAAATGTAGAGGTTGTCGTGGAAGTCGTGGTGAAGGCCAGAGCTAGTGCCTGACTTTGTCTTGCCGAGCCAGATATTCATCTGTTGGATAACGAGATTGCCCATCACTCCGGGGCGCATTGGCACCTCTTCGCGCAAGAGAGCACGCACGGGTTGTGGGAATGTGCCGTTCTTGATCTCGTTGTTTTGTCCATGTTCCTTTTCTTCGTCTTCGTCGTCGTCGTCGTCGTCGTCGTCGTCATCGTCATCTTCACTGTCCATGTCGTCTTCATCGTCTGAGTATTGAGTGGTGAGGTAGTCGTATTCCTCCTTGTCCTCCTTCAGCGAGTCGAGGAAAGCGCCGAAGGTGGTATCGACACGCTCGACATCAGTGCCATATCGCTTCTTCTCCTGGTGCATTGGCTCGACCTTGACGGGAGCATCGCCAGCTGTTTCGCGCAGGTAGTCGACATTGGACCAGTTCTTTGTGACAAAGTCGAGATCGTCGAGTTTTCCTTGGATGACAACGGGTTGGCGCTTGTGAACGAATCTCGAGTAAAAGTCTTTGGGCTGGCCGAGCTTCCATTGAGGAATCTTGCCGTGGGTCATTTTTGGTGCTTCGTATGTCTTCGGTTTGGAGATGTCCTTTTTCTGCGAGGCAGCCTTGGCTGCGCTCTGCTTGGATCCGTTTCCAGGCTTGTTCTTCTTGGTGCGTGTCATATTGAGTCTGCGAACGTGAATGTGACGATTGAAGACTCGAAGCTCAAGGTGGATTTTGTGCTACGGGTATAAACTTTTCTTATCCCCGCGTCAGCTCAATCTCATCTCGCGGATTTGCTGCTTGATTGAGGTCCATTCTCGACTCTGGACACTATTACTCCGGAGCTGCTCTCTGTACCTATGTTTTCGTTCTGAAGAGCTTGATGGGTTTGAGGCGCAAAGGACTCTGATTGAACGTGGTCGAGCCTTGCATGCTTGAGCAGCAACATGAAGCAAGAATTTGCAGCAAGGTCATGACAAGATGGCGCTGACGAAATGTTGATCTTCACGAAGCACAGGAAAGATTGAAGATGAAGGACAAGTAGTGGAGAGAAGAAGAAATATGTTGTTGAAATGTATGTACAGTCGGCAACGAGCTTTCTAGCAGCCCATATACCTGTTCTCAACCCATCTCTCTTCATAGTCGTCGACGACTCTGCAAGCGACGACGTGGATGTCAGGAAAGACGGTCATCAACCTATTCAGACCTCTCTTGCCAGCGATATATGTGACAAAGACAATCCTGCTTTCTTCCACGCCGTGGTCCAGCAAGACACGAACAGCCATCAGAGCGGCACCACCGCTAGACATTTGCGGATCCAGCAGCAAGACCTTATTATGCGTCGCGATGTCACCACCCATCTTGAAGTAATGCAGCTCAGGCTCGCCAGTGCGGTGCGAAGTCTGGATAAGCATGCGACCAGTGCGGCAGTCGGGAATGACACGTCTCAGACCAGTCTCCAGGATGCTTCCACCACGGAGAATGACAACGGCACTAACCTCGCCAGACATGCGCAAGCCATTGTATGTGTGTTGCTGAGGCTTAGGTGTTTGCACAGTGACGGCGTTGAACTCGGCATTCTCAGTAGCACGTTCAACAAGCAGAGCGGCGAGACGGTCGAAGTAAAAGACAAAGTCCTCACGGGTCGTGTTGTCACTGCTGAGGAGTGTGTTGATGCCTGTGATTTGCGAGGGTCCGTCCAAGATGGAAACGTTTGGCGATAGAGGAAGGTCCTTGGCTTCTTTGCCTAGGCGCTTCAACTCTGCCCGGTGCTCCTCAGACTTTGTGTCCAACGTCTTGTGGATGCGGTCAGCCACCATATCGATGGCAATCTTGTTCTCGATGCCGCGAGGCACGATGATATCTATACTCAATAGTCAGCATCGGTCGATTCTAGTGAATGACTGAAGTGTGTGGTTTGAGTGTATGAGATCAGATAGGAGCGAAAGATGATGGTATGGTTTATCAACACGAGTATTCTGTTGAACTATGCTATGGTTGTTGTATCATCATGAAAAGGAGAAGAAGAGAAAGGAAAGAGTTGAACACATACCAGCTACGTTTCGTTGAGGTTCCACGAATTTGTGGAAGTTTGGCTTGACGAAAGTGAACCACTGTTTGATACAGCCTTCCATGTCGCGACCACGCTCTCTGATGTCTCGAACGATTCTTCGCGAAAGACAGAGGTCTCCATCTGCCTCACAGAAGATTCTCAGATCGAGAAGATCAAGCACGCGCTGATCATGAAGAGCAAAGATGCCTTCTAGGATGAGCACGTGGGGAGAGTATATTGTTGTGGTCTTGTCCAAGCGAGAATGTTTTTCGAAAGAATAGACAGGAATCTCAGCCTTTTTGCTGCGAGGATAGTCAGAAAGGGTTGACAAGAAGAAATGCAAAGATACACACCCTTCCTTGATGTCTCTCAGTTTTTCAACCAAGACATCAAAGTCGATAGCATCAGGAGAGTCGAAATCGTACTCGTTCCTGTGTGCAGCAGCGATCTGATCCGGGGTGAGGGGGCGATAGAACGAATCCTGGATGGAGTTGGTATAACGAGGACGCACTCAAGGGCCAGACAAACGAACCATCGACAGAATGACAACCCAAGGGAGGCTCATTTGCTTGATGATAGCCAGAGCAAGCGACGTCTTGCCCGAACCCGAGCTGCCGGCAACGCCAATGATGCTCGTGTTGGCCCATGGCGGAGAGTAGTGGGAGCGCTCCATTCTCTGGAGAGAGTTGGGGGCGGCCATATTCAGTCGTTGACGAAGAATCGTGACTCGACCATGGCGAAGCAAGCAAAGGAGATAGCTTGAGCAAGCTTGGGAGTGAAGGGTGACGGTTGTGAAGAAAAGGAAATCTGCCAAATTCTGGGTGGAAGATGCCGTGGCAGCGCCGGGTCCGAGCACAACCGAGCGTTGGAAGAGCTCTTTTCTTCGCCAGCTTCACGCTGCTTCTTTCTCTCACTCCATTCGCAATCTCTGCATCTTTCTGAGTTTCGCACATCTGCTTGCCAAAACAACGAAAGACCGATTGTGAATTGTAGTTGCTCCAGTTCGTCATCCAACCTGATGGACCATCGCAGCTCGACTCGTCTATAACAATGGTACGTCACGACATGCCCATGTCGCAATGTGCACCCCTCCACCCATGACCAACAGCGGCTAACGTTCTCTGCGCAGAGCTCTTCTCTTTTTCCACCACCTCCGTCCTTGCGGCATCCATTTGATCGCCGTGTGGACGAGGTCAAGCCCTCCAAAGCGTAAGTCTCTTCTACGTCAACACTGCCCACTCTCCCTTCCATCGAATGATGTTGATTACACTCAAAATGGGAATCTCTCCGAAATCTATGTGGAGAACTACAGAATTTTGTCCTTCTGACTCGACCCCCTCACACTACCATACTATCAAGACTTCTTGCATAGAGTGTTGTTGACTAACACTCAACAACAGAGACTTGAACTTCCTCATCATGGACTATTTGATCAATGAAGGCTATCCTGACGCTGCCATGAACTTCGCCAAAGAAGCAAGCATCGTTCCATCGGCCGACGGTGAAGCCATCCAAGAAAGAGTAGACATCCGTAACGCCATCCATACCGGTGACATGCAGCTTGCCATTGAGCGCATCAATGAACTCAATCCACAGGTTAGTCATATCCATCCTACACCCACCCTCCACATTATGTTGTTATGATTATACGGTTTTTTCATGCACCACGCATAGCTTCGGGCATTGATGATACAAACCTCACACACTTCAGTCCTCAGTATGACCCAACAACCATACTTTCATCTCATCATCACATCATCTCCTCTTCGAGACATTGATGCTAACAGATATTTGTACAGATTCTTGACAATGACCCGACTCTGCACTTCCAGTTGTTACGCCTGCAGCTGATCGAACTTATTCGTGAAATCGTGAATGCGCCGGGTCCTCCATCACAGACTGCCTTCACGCCTGCTCTCGAGTTTGCGACTTCACAACTCGCTCCACGGGCCCCAACTTCGCCTGCCTTCTTGCAAGATCTTGAACGCACAATGGCCCTGTTGATCTTCCCGTCGGACAAGCTCACCCCTCAACTCAAACAACTTCTCGATCTCAGTTTGAGACAGACAGTGGCTAGTCATGTCAATGAAGCCATCCTGTCTTCTCAAGGCCAGAGACGTGAGGCGCGCATACGCAATCTTGTTCGCCTCAGAGCATGGGCCGAGCAGAGGGCGCGTGAGACCAAGAGCTCCGAGTTGCCTGAAAAGATCAGCTTGGGCTTGGACACTCAACCCGACGACTATATCAACGGCGAGGCTATGATTACGTGAAAACATGATGACTTTTCGATTTGCTTTAATTTAGCGTAGGCGCCGGGGACTCAGGACTGCATCTGCATGGCAAACATAGCATTAATAATGAACATTTTCGCACAATACTCTTCACGAATTCTCAGTTACCTTTTCTCTCCTTCCTGAGTGTTGTCTGTATTGTCTCCTGCCAGGTCGTCCACACAGAGTTCTTGACTGTATTCACGCTCACGATTTCCCATCAAGGAATCAGGGCACTCCAGGCGCGTACGCAGTAAGTCATGAGTTTTGCTTCACCGTCAATCCGCTCACGGCTACCCACATTGAAGCCATCGCAATGTACAGCTCCCTCAGGATGGTATAAAACTTGATTGAGAGCCGATGACAGTATGACTCCCAGTAGATGCTTCCTGCCCACAGTACGAATTTTGCGCTGTTATAGCTGCCTCGTGACATTCTTTTGCCTATGGGAAAGTATGATGGATCTGTCTTTTTTCTTTTTCCTTTTTGTCTTTAAATCGGATCAGGTCGTACGCTGTCGACCATCCACCCTCTACCACTCCTTATAACACTGAAAATTCTGGACGAAACCATGTCACTTGCAGCTTCCTTAGCCAGTCAATCCATCGCCTGCATTTGAAGCTCTTTTCATGCAGCAAGTCCTTGTTTCAGCATTCGGCAGCACGAATATTACATCGGTCATGAGGCAGGTGGCGTCCAAAAGTCAATATCGATATTCAACCGCGCTGCACGAGGCCTCCGACGTCACACACGCCCAAACTTCATGCCGTATACCATAAACTCAGTCCTCGAAGGATCCTGATCGTCCTGTAGACGCGTTGCAGGCACGTGGCTGGTTAAACAGAATCTCCAACTCGTGTTCGGACTCACGATTGCGGTCCGATTTCAAGCGCTCGGAAATACTGCATCTGTCCACCCAATTTTGAATATAACGGACGCTATTCCACGGAGGACAAGTCCCTGCTGATCACCATGTCTTCCTCCATGTCGCAACCCCACGGTTCATGCCTCTCCACAACCGCTGGCCCCGCACCCCACGGGTCAGGATGCAGATCTGTACTCTTGTACCACTCAAGCACGTAGATGGCGAGCCAGATTGCCTGATTCATACATTGAGACAGTGGAAATCAACCGGATCTGCCGATGCTGTAGGCTTGCAACCAATAGATAGGCTCGAAGTATTGAACGCCGGAGAGTTGTGCGGCAGCACAAGTGTTTATATGTAAGTCGTGTACTGCATCCGATCTGCGGACCTTTAGTCGGTCCTCTTCTTCGCTTTCGTTCCAACTTGTTGCTGTCTACAGTAGACAGATTGACATACCCCATCATGGTTCATCTCAAACTGTTCGGGCGCGGCAGACCGCTGCAGATAGCAATCATGGTTACTTGCCAGGTAAGTATATCATCTAACATGCAGAACCTATACTGACATGGAACAGCTTGCGTTCATCCTGTTCGGCTGTATGCGAACTATCGCTACCGTCGAAACCTTCGGAAAAGCTAACAACGAGCAGACGATCAAGGAGTCTTCTCTGGCATTGTTGGAAATGCAGATTGGCGCGAGACTTTCGGCTACCCTGGCAGTTCACTCGAAGGCATCATCGTTTCAATATACAATCTTGTACTAGCCCCACCTGTCGGCAAAATGTTCACCAACTGACATGGTGTAGGGAGCCTTCAGTGGATGTATCGTGGCCTTCTTCGTTGGCGAGAAGCTCGGGAGGCGAAAGAGCATGTGGCTAGCGATGATATTCATCGTGAGTTCCAGCAAATAGGCATGAGCCATTGAACCTGCGTACTGATTGATCTAGATCATTGGTGCTATCCTGCAAACAACGTCCTACGGCGTCCCACAAATTCTAGTCGCTCGTTACATCACTGGAATCGGAACGGGCATCGAGACTAGCACTGTCCCCATGTACCAGAGCGAATTGGTCGAAGCACACAAGCGCGGTCGCGTCGTCAGTTCCGAACCTCTTTTCGTCGGTGTCGGTATCGTCATCGCCTACTTCTTCGACTATGGCATTTCATTCGCGAGCACAGGGCCGCTCGCATGGCGCCTGCCAATCGCTTGCCAGATTCTATTTGCCATCGTGCGTATTTCCGAGCCGAGTCTTGGCTGCAGCAGCTAATGTAATACAGGTCGTCGTTATCATGGTCTGCGGCGTTCCTGAGTCACCCAGATACCTTTACGCCAAGGGTCGCAATGACGAGGCTATGCAAGTCCTATGCGATGTGTACAACGGCACACCAGACGACCCAAAGATTGCACGTGAGCAGAAAGATATCCTCGATGCGCTGAGACTCGAACGTATGCACGGCGAGTACAAGTATGTTCACAATTCTGCTCACTGGTCGAGATCGCAAGTGCTGACGAATATTCCCGCAGATGGAGCCAGATCTTCAAGCGAGATGAGGTGCAGACTGGTAGACGTGTTCTCCTTGCCTATGGCATGCAGTTCATGAACCAGATCGGAGGTATCAATCTGGTTGTGTAAGTGCCATCTCAAACACCGGTTGCAGTTAACGTCCACTGACACTCAAGAAGTTACTATGTCCCAACCGCACTACAGCTTAATGTCGGTCTCACTCGCAACTTGTCTCTTCTTATCGGTAAGTTACTACCTTATGCATCGGAAAACAAGAAAAAGCTGACAAAAAGCAAGGTGGTTTCGTACAAACAATGTTCTTCTTCGGCTCCTTGGTCCCAACATTCCTCCTCGACAGGATGGGACGCAGACGTGTGAGTCCTTTTACGTGGAAACGCTACTGGTGACTGAGACTGACAAACATCGTAGCCTATGATGTGGGGATCCTTCGGTCTTGCCATTTCCATGATGCTGATCTCAGTTCTGCTGAGTTTCACCGAAGCTCGTGGATACACGCAAAAACTCAACAAGGCCACTTCTAGTGCAAGTGTTGCATTCTTCTTCACATACGTAAGTTTTGTGGCACTCGATCTCGGTCAACGAAGCACTGACAATGTTTCAGATGTTCATCTTCGGAGCATCGGCAAACTGTATTCCATGGTGAGACCGCTCTATACACCGGCAGCATCTACAGACAACTGACATATCCAGGGTATACGTGCCGGAGATCCTTCCTCTGCACGCCAGAGCAAAGGGCACAGCCATCGGAATTTCGTCGAACTGGCTTTGGGTATGCTTCTACCCACTGTTCTTGCAAGGGTCATCCACTGACAATTATTCAGAACTTTGTAGTCGTCATGATCACACCGACCCTCATCAACAAACTCCAATGGCAAGCCTACCTCATTTTCATGTGCACAAACCTTGCCTTTGTGCCTCTAGTCTATTTCTGGTACGTTGACCTCTTATTTCCTCTTGCGCCCTCCACCTCTCCCCTTCCCCGTTTCTCTTCCGTCCACCCCACTAACACTACAAACAGCTATCCAGAAACCAGCAACCTCACACTCGAGGAAGTCGATTACCTCTTCGTCAAGGACGGAAGCCACGGTATCCACAAATTCACGAGTAAAAGTCAGCCTGTCAAGATTTCTCTCAGTGGAGATGTTGAGCATGGTGCTGAGAAGATGAGTGAAGAGAAGAGGGGCAGTGAGGGTGGTGCTGCGTTTGTGGAGGACGTGAATAAGGTTGAGAAGTAAGGAGGTGCTGTCACATAGATGAATGGGAGATGTGTTATATGCATAAAAGACTTCCCCCAGTTGACAAAACATTCATCGCCAAAGATGAGGACACCCCCGACCCAGAGTCCTCGTGAAGCAGAATCATATGAACGTGGCTTGAGAGTAGTGACCCAGGCGAAGCGAACGACAAGGTGAAGGCAAGGTCACCAACAGCTTGACCCTGGATACAATCTCCTTCGTGACGAACTCATACTCTAAACCCCTCTGCACCACATCAAGCCACAGGGTCAGTTTCAGGAGTAATTCCTATCTATATGCCAGAAAGGAGCCCCATGTTCACCTGTTCCTCGTGGGTGAATGGAGCGAGCTCCATGGTCTTCAGGCCTGCGAGCGCCTCATCTGCTACCGAGTAACCAGAACCGTCCACGGAACTGATGTTGCCCACCTCGAGGCCAGCAGGGTCGGGTCACAGTACCGGTGATCAGGTCAACATGTCCAGACACTTTGTTTTTTGTGGTGAGAGAATCGTGGCAAAAGCACAATTCGCTAGGGCGATATTGTATAGAGGAATCTTCTCGTTCACCAGAGTACCCAAGTGCCGGTGGTACATCACTCTGCGGATCCCCATATCGCTAGTTGCCGTTTGAGCGGTGGGAAATGTCTGCCGACGAGCGGAGATCAGTTGCCCTTTGCTTCATGCATACCAACGATAGCACCGCTGGTGGTGCGGAAGGTACTGTCGGAACGGGCATAACCAGTCTCCCCGTTGACAATAGATGCTTGCCTGTAAAAACTGAGTCTCGACCAGCGACGTCGTTTGCTACAAGGTGTGCGTAATCGGTTGGAGTGGGTTTCAGCTAAGAAGTGTGGAAACTTATGTGTGTGGCTCGTCACGATCTGCGGGGATTTCACGGAAGATGGCGGGGAGGTCGAAGAAAGAGGTGATGTGATCGAACCTGAAGGCTCTTCTCTGTTGTTCCTCTTCGCTCTCCAGTTCCCAGTCTCGAATCGGTTCAACGTTCAAGCCTAGGTCCTTGATCCTGACCTGTAGATACTCTTCCAGTTTGGTTGGGAGGGAAGAGGGATAAGTGCTGGAGTTTGTCCAACGTTGATCGAGTCACTAGTCTGGCATCTCTTGAGGATAGGATATTGACATTGAGGTTGCATGAAAGTAGGTGATAAGAAGAGGACTTGACGTTGTCTTCAGCAGGATCAACTTGTGGACAAGCAGAGTCGGTAGTCTGTGGTGTCTCAGCAAGCAGCTCATTCAAGAGAATCGACCCGTTTATTTGTAGGAACAAAAGCTAGACCACACTCTCCAAAATGGCCGTGGAGACACTGAAAGAGCTAAATAGACCAATGGATGTGAGTATGGCCGAGTCTTTCTACTGCCCAAGAGTCAGCGAGCTTCGCCGGTTCGACTATGATGTGCTGAGTATACCATAGGTGTTTCTCCCCTATAAAGGCTCGTTCTGGTGAACAATGTCGCGACGGCTGTACTCACGATCGAAGCTACACGCCGAGTTTTACCGCTAAGCACATGAAAGATCTTCCATCGCATCTTTTCCGTCATTACCGATATACAAAGATGGAAGATCGCCAAAGCCAGCTGGTGATGAGGGATGAGCAGTGGAAGACTATACAGGCCCAACAGCTGTTCAACGTCAAGGACATCTTGGTCAACGTTTTTGCTGATATTGCTCTCCAAGAGCCAGATCTGGTATTCCCAAAGCAAGACACAAGAGAAGAGCAAGGTCCGAAAATAGTCATCTCGAAGGTACGTCCTCCTGATCGAGGGTATGGTTGTCAAAAGCTTTCTGCATTGTATCGACATGGTGACGGTAAGACTCTGCCACGATAGTCTCTGGCCTAATTATGTTCTTTCAGGCCCATCTGGAAAGAAAGATGCCCTGTCTCTATGCCCATTGTATTTCTAGCCAGTGTGCAGTGCGACTGCTTCAACCTCTCCCTGGCCTCAGCGGTGCCGAGATTCAATCGAGTGAGGATCTCAACCAATGCCGCATATAGGATATCGATGTTGCCGTCTTCGATCTTGACTGCAATTCCCAAGCCACCCTCCGCACCCAGATCTCTTGTTTGCTGGCTATCTCGGATGCCAACGCCATAGCAGCCTTCTGCGCCGAGTTTGCCAACCCAAAACCCAGGACAGGAACGCATGAAGTCGGTACAGAAGCGAGAGTCTCCACCAATCATGTCTGGGTGATCTGCCATTGCATGGTAAAGTCGTCTCTGATTTCGGATGATGGATGGGTCGTCATGATCCTCGCCAAGCTCTGAGGCATGTCCTAATTTTGCATATATCAAGGCCATGTTCTGTAGAGGCAATGCCGGCGAGGGTGCATTACAGCCATCGATTACCCAGCGAAGCTCATCGGGCTTGAGACCGGCGAGTTGCTCGTGTACTTGTTTGATCTTCAACTGTACAGGATGCGTTGGAAGGTGATAGTTTTCAATTCCGACACCGAGAGCCTTTGCAGCGGCCAACATGCCCACATGTTTGGCAGAACAATTGCTATAAACCGCCGTAGGTACAAAGTTGGATTTAATCCATCCAGTGTTGATGACTTTCGAGAGCGAAGGGTGACCGCCACAGTTCATATCCTGCTCTGTGACACCGACTTTTTGTAACATTGCTTTGACGCGAGAGATGTGCTTTTGTTCGCAGTTGTGTGAGCCAGAGATCAGTGCTACATCGGCGTCGTCGAATCCGAACTTTTCAGCAGCTCCGGTCTCGAGGATCGCAAGTGCCTGAAAGGGCTTTGCGGCTGAGCGGGCAAGTGTTAGGCGAGAATGGTCGCCGAGAGAGTAGAGAAGATTGTTGTTGCTGTCGACGATGGCAGCATGGACTATGTGACTGTTCTCAATCACGTCGCCTCGCCAGTTGATGACCAGATCGTGGACCGTCATGTTATGTAGTAGAGAATGATGGCCAGAATGCACGCAGGTACTTTCCGTCGACCAATTTTGGATAAAGCCAAAGTTTTGATATACAAATAGGTAGAAGTCGGTACGCCCTACCTTTGACAGACTTGCGAGGGGATTAGCAATCGACCACGGTGTCTGTTTTGACCTGCTCAAAGCGGAAAGGTTGAGTCATGACGAGCCTGAGAGCTGGATAAACACAATCGCAGCGAGCGGCTGACCAAAGACTCGTGCTATCGGAAGGCGCGATAATCAAACATGCCGAGCAGCTACGTCGCCTTCAATGTTTGAGCATGTTCCTGCTCGTGACACAGATGAATGTGTATAGCAGAGCAGAGGCTGGCGGAGCTTCACGACCTCGTCCGGTCCTCGGCTTTTATCGGGAGGATCGGCAGCAGATGCCCCATGTCCCGCGATTTATTCATAAGTTGACAGGAAGCAATTGGCATCTGATCAAGCCATTCCATCGTGTTTCCTTCGTGTGTTTCTTGACCAATCCCGTAAGCCGACGACTTCAGCATGTTCAGAACCGGATCGGCAGCTGTGAAGAGGGGTAGCTCCTTCGCTGGAGCTGCTCTGCGCGCCCGCAACCAGACCTCTCGTCTTGTAACCCTCCGCCAATTCTCCACCACCCTCCACATGGCCCAACAAACCAGAGCCGAGAGCGATGCCTTTGGCGAGATCCCTGTCGCTGCCGACAGATACTGGGGTGCTCAGACCGAGCGCTCTCTGTCCAACTTCAAGATCAACCAGCCTCATGACCGCATGCCTCCACAGGTCGTCCGCGCCTTTGGTATCCTCAAGGGCGCTGCTGCCACCGTCAACATGAAGTTCGGCCTCGGTATGCCATGACCAACTCTCCGAAACGACACTCCAGACTGACGCCCTTCTCTCCGCGCAGACGCAAAGGTCGGTGAGGCCATTCAGAAGGCCGCCGCCGAGGTCGCATCAGGCAAGCTCGACGACCACTTCCCTCTGGTCGTCTGGCAGACTGGCTCCGGTACCCAGTCCAACATGAACGCCAACGAAGTCATCTCGAACCGCGCCATCGAGATTCTGGGCGGTGAGATGGGCTCCAAGAAGCCTGTCCACCCCAACGACCACGTCAACATGTCCGCCTCGTCCAACGACACCTTCCCCACCGCCATGCACATTGCTGCCGTTCTCGAGATCGAGGAGGAGCTTCTCCCTGCCCTGAAGAGCCTGAAGGACGCCATGTACAAGAAGCAGCAGACTTTCGACAAGATCATCAAGATTGGCCGTACCCACTTGCAGGATGCCACTCCCTTGACCCTCGGCCAGGAGTTCTCTGGCTACGTTACTCAGCTCGAGTACGGTATTCTGCGTGTTGAGTCTGCTCTTCCCCGTCTGCGCTACCTTGCTCAGGGTGGTACCGCTGTCGGCACTGGTCTTAACACCTTCAAGGGCTTTGCCGAGGACATTGCTACCGAGGTCAGCAAGCTCACCGGCCACGACTTCGTTACCGCCCCCAACAAGTTCGAGGCCCTTGCCGCCCACGACGCCATTGTCGAGGCCCATGGTCAGTTGAACACCCTGGCTTCTTCTCTGTTCAAGATCGCTCAGGACATCCGTTTCCTCGGTTCTGGTCCTCGTTGCGGTCTTGGTGAGCTCAAGCTCCCCGAGAACGAGCCCGGTTCGTCCATCATGCCCGGCAAGGTCAACCCCACTCAGTGTGAGTCTTTGACCATGCTCTGCTGCCAAGTCTTCGGTAACCAGGCCGCCGTCACCTTCGCTGGTTCGCAAGGCAACTTCGAGCTCAACGTCTTCAAGCCTGTCATGATCCGCAACCTTCTCCACAGCTCCCGTCTGTTGAGCGACGGTATGCGTTCATTCGAAAAGAACCTGGTTGAGGGTCTCGAGGCTGATGAGAAGAGAATCGATGCTCTTCTCCACGAGTCTCTTATGCTTGTCACCTGCCTTAACCCCGTCATTGGCTACGACATGGCCTCCAAGGTTGCAAAGAACGCTCACAAGAAGGGTCTTACCCTCAAGGAGAGTGCTATGGAGCTCAAGGCTTTGAGCGAGGAGGACTTTGACAAGAACGTCCGTCCTGAGCTCATGCTTGCCCCCAAGGAGAAGAAGTAAATGTAGATCATGAAGCGAATTGTATATTATTTTATTTTTTGACATCATTCTGTGACTTGAGGAAGTCCTTGTTGATATACTGTGTCTAACGTATTTCGATGCTTGTATATTGTATTGCTCATGCCTTCTTGAAATGGTTTGAGAAATGATAATCCAATTTGACGCACGGACGCCTGCATCTCCTTTTGCGGCTTTTCAGCCTCTAACCTCCGAGCATCTCTGAGTACAATACTCGACAAATCCAGTTCAACAAACAATCATGGAAGAGGCATTGGACTGGGTATCCGAGAATCAAGGCATCGCTGCCTTGACTTGGGTTGCTCTGGTGTTTGCCACTGCTGTGTTTTGGTTCACCACCAAAGGAGATTCGGAGGCTGCGGTCGACTTTGAAGTTCCTTTGCCTAAGCAACTGGAAGATGGATGGCAAGGAGAGGTGTTGAGGGAGCCGAGTTTGAAGGTTTGTTTCTTTTCTTTTCAAGTCTCTCCATTTTCTTCTTCGAGACATTGTCTTTTGTTGTTTCTTTTGCTTCATCCATCCAGGAGGAGTTCAGTTGATTATTCTGCGAAAGTAGAATATCTCGAAGTCGTTGGGGGAGCTTCAGAATACAACCTTGACAACTGTTTGTCAAGTTGCAGATACATTTCTGATGTCTTGGTGACGGGATATCACGATTGTTGCATATATTCAGAGACCACAATGATTGACATGAACTTGAACAGATTTCGGGCTCCTCAGCTGTCCAGTGCTACTGCCCAGCAACAGGCCAACTCCTCGGTGTCATCAATCCCTCCACTCCTGACGGGATCGACAGATCCATTGCGCGTGCTCAAGAAGCCCAGCATACCTGGGCACTAACGACATTCTCGCAACGCAGAAAAGTGCTCAAGACGCTGTTGAAGTATGTCATCCTTGACTACCACTTGTTACATGTCATACTGATCTAGCACAAAGATACGTTCTCACCCACCAAGACGAAATCGCCACAGCAGCATGTCTAGACTCTGGCAAAACACGCGTAGACGCCCTCTTCGGTGAACTGCTTGTCACAGCAGAGAAGCTTAAATGGACCATCGATCACGGCGAAAAAGCACTCAAACCATCTTCTCGACCTACTAATCTGCTGATGATGTACAAATCCAACTCTGTCGTCTACGAACCTCTAGGTGTCGTTGCCGCATGCGTTAGCTGGAACTACCCTTTCCACAATCTGATCGGCCCTATCATCTCGGCGCTGTTTACAGGCAATGCAATCATTGTCAAGGGATCTGAGCAGTCGGCTTGGTGTTCGGTATTTTTTGCTGATATTGTGAAGCAAGCATTGGTCGCTTGTGGGCATAGTGCTGAGTTGGTGCATGCGGTCACTTGTTGGCCGACCACTGCCGAACACCTTACTTCTCACCCTGGAATCTCGCATCTCACGTTCATCGGCAGCAAACCCGTGGCTCACCATGTCTGCACTTCAGCCGCCAAGTCCTTGACGCCTGTGGTGGTGGAGTTGGGAGGTAAAGATGCTGCTATAATTCTCGATGCACCCAATGGAAAATCCATGGCCAGATCTGAATTGCAGAGGATCGAAAGCATCATCATGCGTGGAGTCTTCCAATCTGCAGGTCAAAACTGCATCGGTATTGAACGCGTGGTCGCCATGCCTTTGGCCTACGAGTACCTTCTCTCCGTACTGCCTTCTCGCATCCGCTCTTTGCGTCTCGGCAACGCCCTTGCCTCCTCTGATGTCGACGTCGGCGCCCAAGTCAGCCCTGCCAATTTCGGGAAACTTGAATCTCTCATTGCGGAAGCTGTAGCTCAAGGCGCAACTCTGCTTGCAGGCGGCAAACGACACATCCACCCCGAGTATCCACAGGGCCATTACTTCACTCCTACTCTGCTTGCAAACGTAACGACAGACATGCGTATTGCGCAGGAGGAATGCTTTGCCCCCATCTGCTTACTCATGCCCGCCTCTTCCCCCAGCGACGCCACCACCATCACAAACTCCACAATCTACGGTCTCGGCTGCAGTATCTTCGGCCCTGCCTCCTCTCCTCTGCAACAAGTCGCTGCAGCCGTAAAAACAGGCATGGTAGCCATCAACGACTTTGCAGCATACTATGCCGTTCAACTTCCCTTCGGCGGTGTCGGAGGCAGTGGCTACGGACGATTTGCAGGTGAAGAAGGACTAAGGGGTTTGTGTAATGCAAAGAGTATTTGTGTGGACCGATGGCCTTGGGGTGTCAAGACTGCTATTCCTAAAGGGTTGGATTATCCAATGAGAGAGACGGCGTGGGAGATGGGTAAGGGGGTTGTGGAGCTGGGGTATGGAGAGACGGCTTGGAGGAAGGTGAGGGGGTTGAAGAGGATGATTGGTGGTATGTGAGAAGTACAGGGTGATGGGAAGGTGGGTGGTGCTTGAGACAGTGGCTCAAGTAACCCAAGCCGTGCGAACAACCATAAATTCACATCTTATGCACTCAAGGCATATCGGGACTGGCGGAGTTGTGTATGAATGGGATTTGATGCATAAACATTCCGTTCCCATGAGGTTTACATCATGGGCTTTTCGTCTTGTGAATGTGTTTGTATGGGCTTGATCTCAAGGATGGCAGCCAGTGATGCGGAAGCGGATCCCAGGTGGTATATTTGCTTGCAACAAAATTTGTAGTATACAATGGTTGTATAGTGTAATGGTTAGCACATCGGATTCTGATTCCGGTAATCCAAGTTCGATCCCTGGTACGACCTTCTCTTTTTGACAATTCCCACCCGCAATCTCTTTTCGTTTTATCCTCTCATTCTTTTGTTCAGCGCTACTGTGACACCTATAACATTGTCGCCATGATCGCTATACGACACGGGAAGAGCGGGTAGAGGATGTGCAGGCTCGATGTGCTTGACAAGTTCTCCAGCCTTTCGGGCTTGGCACCGCCTCGTCACTGCGCTGGGCCGTCCTATGCCGACTTCTCAAAGCCGGAGGAAATCATCGACATGGTTCCTCTTGATCCCTCCGAGATCCGTAAGGCCAACCAATCCATCCCATAGGATGCTGATGAGGATCGAAGACGCCCGCCATTTGTCGACCTTCGCAAGGGCCTTTGGGGTGTACACGTTGACATCGTCAAGCCTACCTCCGGTACCAAGGAGGGTCAGGGATCTTCTGCCAACGATAATTGAGCTGACGATGCTTCTATTCGAGGGAGAAAGAGAGGGCTTGGATATTCAGCGCGGAGATGCACTCGTAGTATAGCACCATTAAATTCAGCAGCTGGGTTTTGACCAGTGTTGCTACGACAATGGAACTCCTTTGCATTGACCACACTCCAATCTTTGTAGTACAGTAGCAACTCTCAAGCGACCCAAACCTGATTCCTACGCAATTCCTCCTTGCGAGTCTTGTACTTTGTAATCGAGAACCAGTTCGTAGTACCATTATCAAGCATGTTCATGGCGTAGTCTTGCTCTGTATCCCATCCTTCCATGTAGAAAGCATATTCCCTGTTTTTCCTCATGTCAGCAATGCTCTCTTCAATTATCTTTTACTCCTCCAGCACCACAAAAAGAAAAGGAGATGCAAGACTTACGCTTTCTCACTCAACCCCTTGGGAATATCCCAAAACACCCATTCTCCATGACCAGCGTCTAATCTCAATCTGATGAAATCAGACTGCGACTCCACGAAGCTGAAGCCTAGAGGCCAGTGTTTGGTATCTGCCTCTTTTTTGACGAGGAACAGGGCCAAGTCGAGTTTTTGAGAGGTTTCCCAGATTACGCGGGGTTGGTCCAAAGGGTGGATTGTGGTGTTGTCGGGGGAGGAGGGGTTGGTGTAGGTTAGGTTCATTGCGGTGGTGAAGGAAGCGAGACTGGCGAGGCCGGTAAAGATGGTGGTGGGTTTCATTGTTGATGTTGAAGTTGGGACTGAGTTTGGTGGATGAAGGTGATGCAGAGAGATGGAGGCGCAGGTAGATCGAATTAGGTCTTCTGAGAGCTGAAGGTAAAAGTCAAAAGGTTATCTACTTATACCATACTCGAAAGGATCTATTTCGATGCCTCGATATGTGGAGCGGATATCCCAAGACCCTAAATTTATTCTGCTGCCTTGAGAGGGCTGCAGGGGAGGTGCTAATCTTGCTGCCTTAGGAACGGGACATTCTCCGAGTCATGCACAACGTTTATAGTCTGCATCCTTCATGACGCTGCGGTAATTGCATATGGTCTTGGCTACTTTTGATGATCACTTTGATTGTCCCTGCATGCCACAGCATGAGACTTCGCGCATAGGAGTTTGTCGAGACTCCAGCAGATTTCAAGACCAAAAACGACAATCATCCGACCTAGGCTATTTCGACGTCTCAAGTGCGGGATATATTCTTCGGCGACTTTGGGATCAACCAGCAATTCGGCATTCAAGACCTCCGCATTTTTCGCAACTAGAACTTTGTGGATGCATGCGATCATACTCGAGCTGTCGGTTCCATTCCTCTTCGATCACTTGAAGTTCGCCTTCCCATATATCCCCAATCGACCTCAGATCGAGCTCCGCTATCTCCGCTTTCTTGTTGGTAATCAATAGATCAAGCTCGCGCATAGGCCCTGGCAACATAGAAGCCACAGTCATCTCAAACAGATGTTCGTAGCCAGAAACCGTAGATTTATCGTGAACGTCGCGTTTTCTTTTCTTGGTTGCTACGAACATGTCGTCCAAATTTTCGACGGGTGTCAGATTGTGTTTGATCAACTGCGTAACAAGAGTGCTCCTATCTGTAGACATGTCAAGATCACCTTGCAGAAGCAACTTGACAAATCTTGATTGATCATCCAACTTTGTCAATTCTCGTTTTATAGCCAGGAGCTGACATGTTTTGTTCCATGTATAAGATTTCAACTTGGACAGGTAGAAATCTTCCAGGATATCGAGCTCTGTAGCGTATCTCTGGACATTCCCAAGCCCGTCCAAAGCGATCATGCTGTCGGTCGAAATATTCTTGTGGAGTTGTAGCGTCGTTTCCAGGCTTCCTTGGGTCACGATGTCTGTGGTACAGGTGTCTAGATGGATCTCAAACCGGACACCCTGGTTTATTGGGTGCTCAGTATAGCTCTTGAACATTGGCGGCGAGTGTTCGGAGATGTGTTTGTCCAACTCGGACCTAAAGTCTTGTGTCCATAGACGAGGCGGTAGTTCGGTGACCTCCAAAACATTCTCGGAGATTTTACACGTCGTTCCCCGAAAAGAGTGATGAGTCTGACCCAGTGTTTTCACTTGGCCAGTCCAGTTGCGGAACCAGGGCTGCATCGGTTGCATGTCACTCTTTGAGGCTCCCCTGACTCTACGTCGAAGGTTTGCAATGACATCCTTGGGATTGTAGGGAGGGATGTAAGTCTGCCAGTCTTGGCCACGAGCCTCGTATCCGTTGACAAGGATCATGGGTATGGCTGGATTGTATGTTCTCGGCTCTCCCAACTTGCCTTTGCGCACGCGACGTGCCAGACCCATGTCTCCGCCTTCAGAGAGTATCGTACGTGTGATGTTAGATAATTTGGTGTAGATAAATCTTCCCTCTGCAGCATCTTTACCGCCGTCTCTTCGGGAGCCAAACCATCCATTCGGTTCCAGGTAGTTGATATTGTTTGCTCCGACAAAGTTTTGTGCAAGTTGGATAATGCTCTGCTCGATTTCAAGCCGGTCGGGGTCTTGTGTGTAGAGTATAGCTACCTTGTTTGCGAGTTCGTTGACTTTTATCTCCTTTTGGGTTTTTGGCTGCAGCAGAGTGTGGAGGATCTTGCGCTGTGAGGAAATGAGGCCATCTATGATTGATGGCAGCACCCTCCAGGGTTGTGTCTCGGCTATGTTGAACTGTTCCTTCTCCACATTAGTCATGTTTGCTACTTCTTGGGACCATGAGCTTGAGTGTTTGGGAGGTTGTTGGGTCGGGAGTCCTCCGAACGGCAGAATTTCGGTTGACACCTGAGCTTGAAAACAATAACTTCCGTGCCTGCTGTACACGGTGCACCGCGCTTTCTCATGCAATGGAAGCACTTCGAGTTCCTAGGCGATTCCCGAACCCTCGCCCGCTCATGATGGAAAAATCTCCCACCAACGACCTTCCATAATCGGATAATGTGGTAGAGTCAAGGCGCAAATCGATGCCTCGGTCTGCCAGGACAACCCAGTACGCATGGACATGATTCTATTGTATCTGCGCAGACCAGCCGTGTAGAGCGCCCAAACAAGCACACGGCACGAACTTGGCAAGATCCACGATATGGCCAATCGACAGAGGCGACTCCCGACACGATGTGAAGATAAGAGGAGAACAACTTGCATGCCAAGTCTCATGCCAAGGTTTGCCATGGCCGCGAGATCGACCACATCTTTCTAGTCCTCTGCACTTGCCATTTATTGCTCCAATCATGATCGACCGTTCCTGAAAACGTGTTGAAGATGCACATCAACTCGTGCGTATCAGCCGTGCCGATATTATTTCACCACCGCTGCAATGTCAAGGAGGTCAAGAAAATGCGTGGTATAACATAGAGCTTCACGCGACCGATATGTCTCACAACACTCCACTTCTGCCCTTCGTTATTCCACAAATATGAAGACTCATTGTGTCTATGTCCAATTATTGGCAGCAGCTTCTTTCTGTGGTCAACTCGTCTCAGGCGAGACCGTCAGTGAGATCAACGGCAACAAGTACCTCTCTCCATACAACGGGAAGAACGTAACATACGTCGATGGTCTCATCACCGCCAAAGGACCAAACGGTATCTGGATCCGATCTACTACACCTGACAAGGATGACAGAACTTCAGAATCTGTCTATGTCTTCGACAAGAACTTTGGCAAGAACCTGACAGTGGGCGATGTCATTCAGCTCAACGGTACCGTTTCTGAATACAGATCAAGCAAGGCTTACGTCTACTTGACTGAGATTGTCAATCCCAAGCTCGTGAGGAAAGTATCCTCTGGACATGCTGCAACTCCGCTGGTCATCGGAAAGGACACCATCAACCCTCCCACAAAGGCTTTCTCCGCATTGGACGACGGTGATGTGTTTGCTGTTCCCAATAACGCCAGTCTGATCTCTTCAACGAATCCAACTTTGATTCCTCGAAATTATGGAATGGACTTTTGGGAAAGTTTGAGTGGGGAGCTTGTCACTGTGAAGGGTGCGCATGCATTGACGAAGCCAAACAATTACGGCGACACCTGGGTTATCGGAGACTGGAAAGTCACTGGCCTCAATAGCCGTGGGGGTCTGACCACAGTTGACAAAGGTATGCATTTGACGACTGAGGTGAACGAGGATCAAAGCATTGACGTCGGTTTGTAGATGCCAACCCTGAGGCTATCATTATTGGATCGCCCCTTGATGGCTCGAAAAACCCTGTGATCACTAGAGTTGGTGACGTGCTCGGCGATATCACCGGAGTCGTCAGTTATTCGTTTGGATACTACACCATTCTCCCTCTTACCGCCCTGAAGATCGCCAAGGGTGTCGAGCCCGCACTTCCTCCGCCTACCAGTCTTGTGTCTGACGGCGACTGTGGTGGCATCACCGTGGGTTCCTATAACGTGGAGAACCTTTGGGCTGGTTCAGATCACCTTGTCAACATGTCCGCACACATTGTCGACTACCTTCGCGGTCCCGACCTCGTCTTTGTCCAGGAGATCCAGGATAACAATGGAGAAAAGAATGACGCAGTTGTATCCGCGAATTTGACCCTGAGCACCCTGACTTCAGCAATCAGCAGTCTGGGTGGGCCTGAGTATGAGTTTGCTCAGATTGACCCTGTTGACGACAAAAACGGCGGTGCACCGGGTGGCAACATTCGTACCGCTTATCTCTACAATCCAGAGATCCTACGACTGCGCAACCCCAACTTCGGGTCAAGTACTGAAGCCAATCAGGTCTTGTCTGGTCCCGAGCTCAAGTACAACCCTGGTCTTATCGACCCTACGAACTCAGCATGGACCGCTAGTCGCAAGCCACTGGTCGCTGCTTTTGAAACACTGGACGGCAAGAACTCTTTTTTCACCATCAACGTCCATTATGGAAGCAAGGGAGGTTCCTCTTCCATCGAAGGTGATGCTCGTCCTCCTGTGAACGGTGGCGTTGATGACCGCCAAGATCAGATGCAATTGACCGCCGTAAGTCACCCAAGATGATCCCATGCGAGACTCGTTACTCATCAAGCATAGGAGTTTGTTGCCGACATCCTTGCCGAGGATAAGAACGCCAAGGTTATCGTCGCTGGCGACTTCAACGAGTTCGCGTTTGTCGAGCCTCTCGAGAACTTCAAGAAGATCTCCAATCTCAAAGATCTCGACGAGGCTGCGAATGTCCCCGAGCTCGAGAGATTCACGTACCTCTTCGACATGAACAGCCAAGAGCTTGATCATATGTTCATCAGCCAGGCTCTCAAGCCAAAGGCACAGTACGAGCATGTTCATATCAACACTTGGGTGACTGCAGCTCAGCAGATTTCGGACCACGACCCTTCGGTTGCTAAATTCAATATTTGTAAGAGATGATACCAATGCAAGACTGTGTGACATATTACACGGTGTGTTACATCGGCAACGTGAATGCTTAGAGCAATGAGGTCCTGATAGCTGCTGATCGAGAGGAAAAGAGACGATGGATCCTGTAGACATATCAAAAGTCATAGAACTGATAACTCTCCTACATTCCAAAACCCCAGTCTTTCTTTATGTCACTCATCGACACCTTGACAGATCGATCGCTTGGGGAACTCCATGGATCCAATGCCAAGTTATTGGCAGCATGGTTGAACCTGTAGATCAGTCCTTGGCGAACTCTTTCAGCACGTCATGGCCGAAACACCACTCGCTCGTTCCCCCGATCAATAACTCGAACATGCACTTCTCCAAAACAATCACTATTTTCGCCATCATGTGTGATTTATGAGCTTTCATACAATGGCACACACTGCTCATGCTTCTAGGAGCTATAACAAAAGCAGCGTGAAGATGCGATCAGCATCGTCACCGGTACAAGAAGCAATACGGTAGGAGCTGCATGGCTTGATTTGCCAAGCGAACTACATACCCATACCGGCGTATTGATGTCTACACGTGCAAGATCCGGCTTCAGGATGCCCGGGATCAGCGATGTATGGCTGGGTATAAGTTCAGTGGCTTATCTCCCGAGGACGAATAGTCAGTCTCACCTCTGGCTTTGAGTCTGTCTCTGTCGTTTGCTGTTGTATTGTATCTTGGAACACTCCTCATTATGGCACCCACTATCGCTCTTATCGCCGGTCTTGCGGCTTTCAGCACTGTCAATGCAATGCCTTTCACCATCCCATACCTGGACAAGACCGGCCGAGTGGAAGTCCAAGGTCACCGAGGTGGTCTAAGTATGAGGACTGAGGAGTCACTCTGGGCATTCGCACACGCCTTGGTATACCATTATCCATGCTCAAGTAGTAATCCCGCAGCTCACAACAGCGTAGGAAGTCGGTGTTGATGTGCTCGAGATGGATACTGTCTTCACCAAAGACGGCGTTCCAGTGATTTGGCACGATCACTGGATCTACCCAACCAAGTGTACTGGTGACTACGTGGGTGATTATATCGCCAACTTGACGCTCGCACAAGTCAAGACGCTTGATTGTTCTCTTCAACTCGAAGAACATCCTCAGCAAGAGCGTCAGTGAATCCGATCAAATCGGTTGTAGATGTGGCTGACCTGAGACACAGTACATCCAGGAACCACCATTGCGACCCTTGAGGAGGTGCTGGAACTGGTAAACTGCTACGGAGACAAGGGCGTTACAATCAACCTCGAGACAAAACTGTCTCCCACTGCTCCCAACGAGACCCTCCCAATCGACACATATATCACCGACCTGATTCCTATTCTCCAGAAGCACGGCTTTGAGTCTCGCACTTCTATCCAGTCGTTTGACTGGCGTACCCTCATCGGTATTCATGCTGCATATCCTGCTGTACCGATCGTGGCTCTACTCGACGAAACAACAGTCGTGCCTGATGAGACCAACCAAACTTACCCCTGGCTCGAAAACAGCAAGTACCCTTGGCTTGGCGGCCTTGATCTGGATGACTTCTCTGGCGACTGGGTAGCCGCAGCACACTCGATCGGTTCCTCTATCCTGTCTCCCAACCACGGTACCGGCAACTCTAGTGATGCCACTGTAAACAGTCCTCTATACGTACCATTTACTACCAAGGATGTGGTGAACAGAGCACATGCTTTGGGCATGCAGGTCATTCCTTGGACTGTGGATGCTGAGGTTACGATCAGTAAGCTGCTTGATGATGGTGTCGATGCCATTATCAGTAATTACCCTGAGAGAGTCATGTATGTGGGTAGACAGAGAGGGTTGAGCGTGGGAAGAGCTAGAAACCATAGTAGGCCGGAGTGTTTGGTCAACGCATCTGCATGATGATAATAACTATGATGATTGAATATTCTCGGATTGATCAGCAAATGTCTTGGTACTGATGAGCGAAAGGAGTATGTCGCGTATATGGCCCCGAGACCTGATAATCTCACAACGACGGAACACGAGGCAAGAGCGACTTGATCCATACAACTCAGGTCCTGTCCTGAGCCTAAACTTCTCGCTTGCTTTGTCGTCGGGAAAGTACTTTTCGCTTCCGACCGGGAAACCACGCTTCACTTCGAGTTGATTTTGCTTTCTAGGGAACAAGCAGCTCTGGAGGCAACAACGATACTTCCTCTGCTTCATCCGATGACGTGACTGTGCGCTGCATCACTGGCGTGATCAAAGATCAGAGATGTTGACGAAGACTAATCAGCGGTAATGGGGCGAAAGGCGCGGAGATTGAATCTGGCGTGTAAAGGGCGACTCTACCAGCCTAAGGATGACGCTGATGGAGCGCGGAAGTCCTTTCTCTGGCCGGAAAAGGTTGTTGGCCATCGTCACTGGCATGGCGAGAATGGCTTTTCTTCGCTGGCGGAACGTTGAAGACCATCGATGGGTGAAAGATGAGCTGCTTGATATCGTCGCTGACGCAGGGAGATAAATGCTGGTGTAGCGCGGAATTACTTCCCATGGGCGAAGGAATGGCGAAGCGCGGAAGTTCTTCGCACGAGTTAGAGTAATCTTCTACTATCATAGCTCCGCACAGAGACGTTCAAATCATCGTATCTGCCTTGATGAGGGAGTCTTGGGTTTCTGCCTGCTCATATGTACTCAATATCGACACATCATTCACGTTGGCAAGTGTTCTTTGTGATAGCAGGTTATTTCATTGTTCTGTGAGCTCACGTTACTACCAGTCCTGCTATACACCGCGTAGTACTACATCTCTTCTATCACAAGTAGCACTTCCTCAGTCATTGACGGCAACAGCCTCGTTGGCAGCATGCGTGGCAGGATAGTCAACATCGGTGGTTTTGTCAGCAGCCATCAAAGGCTCAACAGCACTGCTGGTGCTCTTGACCTTGTACCAACATTTGTTCTTCTTGGCATACTCAAAGTGGTGATTGATAGGACCACCGACTTGGTACTGGTAGTTGGGCTTGCTCTTAACATGGAAATTCGTCATGACTGTCGTACTCTCACGAGAGAGCTTGGTCAGAGGCCCGGTGATGATGATCTGGTAGTTCCGCGCACGGGAGGCCATCAGACAGTCGCGGCGAGGGTTCTTTGTGAAACCAAGACTATCTTCGACTGTCAGATCATTGATTACGAAATCAGCTTCTCCGCCGATTCCACTATCAATGGTCTTGACATTGGGGAATCGATCTCTTGACCAGCCCCATTCAAGGCCAAGCTTGGAAATCATCGCCTTGTATGCTTTGAGCTGAGCACGGTAAGGGACTTGAATAAGCACCTTAGCTATAGTATTGGGGCCGTAGTACTTTTGAATGCCTTCTAGGCGAGCTCTCTGCATGACAAAGTCAATGTGAGGCTGGTTCATGTAAGAGTTACTGCCAGGAGGGTGGGTCTGGGTCGAGTCGATGATGGTGATGTAAGCATATCTGCGTTTGATCTGCTCATGAGTAGTGCCTCTACATAGGCCCAGGAAGTCGACCAGGACGTTCTCGCGTTCGGGTTTCAAGTCTTCCAACAGTCGAGGGTCAGTCGTCAAGTTGCTCTTTTGGTAATGTAGCCCATTCACCGGCTCGTGGATCAGCTTGTGCTGGCGCCTTTGAACCACAAAGTGGTTCGAAGGAAAACCGTTGTAGAGAAGACGCTCGAACCAACTGATCCACGGGTCATCATAAGATTCACTCATGGTTCTTTCGACGTCAGTGCCAGCAACGAGATTGGCATTCAGCTGTCGAGTGTCTCCAAACATGTAAATGCCCTTGATCTTGTGAGCATACATCGTCTGCAAAAGCACCAAAGCGAGAGCTGGGTTAATCTCGGTAGCCTCATCCATGAAAAGGACAATCCGATCATTGTCTTTACACGCAAACTCGGCCAGCTCTCTGGATCCGCTTACGACATTGGTACAGACAGCGACCTGAGTGTTGTGAATGACGTTGTGGCGACAAAAGCGAAGGCATTGACAGAGCTTGCGCTTCTCTTCGAGAGGCCAGAGAGCGCCGTCGTGGAAGTTGGAGGTCTTAGGATCTTCCAAGCGCTTGAGTAAAGCACGGAGCTCAGCGTGCATATCAACTTGGTCGCCCACCGGGATAGGATCCTTGTTCTCATCGACACCGTCGGTGTAAAAGCCCATGAGACGGTTGTTCTTGTCGGTCAGGTATTCGAGAACGTGGGCGTAAACCGAGTGGTCAGGCATAACTCTACGCTTGCTCTTGAATGTATCCTCAGCAACCTTCCATGCAGCAAACAGGTTCGCCATGTATATGTCCTCTTCGACCTCCGATTGTGGGCCGATACGGTCGGTGTTTGGATGGACCGCAAAGTCAGGGGCAGTGGAGTGCACGCGGGTAACCATCTTCTTGGGATTGGGACCAAGGACAGCAACAAGAGTTTGAGTAAGCAAGTCTAGAGACTTGTTTTGATTGCCCACGACGAGGCACTTGATCCCCAAAAAGACAATCATCTGTTGTATGCGGGACATGACAAGGCTCTTGCCGGTGCCTACGGCGCCCGTGAAAAGCTGTATGCCAGCCATGGGGTGCTGGATGTCTTTGATGGCGGCTCTCTGGGCGGAGTTCCATTTTTCATGGGAGTAGGAGAGCTTCTTCCAGGCATTTTTGACAGCCTCAGCGTCGATGGAGTCAAAATGTTTCGATGGGGGAGTTTCTCGCCGCTGTAAAGGAGCGGCCACGTAAACATAGCAGGGACATAGTCAGGGTCGTCTGGCTTGTTTTCGATGCTGAAGGCGGAGTTGACTGCGTTCATGCCCATCTTGGTGGTGAGGTCGCTCAACAATGGCTTGACATGGACTTTAAGAATCTTTTGCTCATCTCTACGAGCATCTCGATGATCCATGATGAGGGAGGACAGGTCTTCGCGTGAACGGTCCAGTATAAGGACAAACAAGTCACTGTTAAATCCGTAGAAATCGGCCTGCACGACACCAGTGGCATGCCACTTCTTCATTTCATTGGACTCGCCGTACATGGTGAGCTTGACGATCGTGTCGACAGGAATCTTAAGCTTCTCATTTACCTCTACATTCGGTAAGTCGGAAGCAAGGAGGTGGCTTAGCTTGATCGAAGCAACAGCGAAGTTCCCAGCAGCGAAGACCATAACGCGGTGGTCATTCTTGACGATGGCATCGCAGTATGTCCTCTGCTCCTTTTTGATCATTTCGAGGCCAATAGAGAGATGAAGAGCATACTCCTCATGGTCTTCGTAAACCACTGGAGCGCGAATGGGAGCTCCAGGATGGGGCGAGCGAAAGACCCTAGCACCAGTAGAGCTCTGATCGAACTGCAGGTCAGAGCCACCAGGCTTGTTGCGGTAAGTAGAGTAAGCGTGACCCTGGAAGGAGGGATCGACTCTGCCGTTGCTTTTGGATGGGATCATGTCTGCGAGTTGCATGATGGGTGTCTTCTTGTCGCGCTTCTGCTGATGTTCGACATTGAAGTCCTCGATGAGCTTGATGTTGATTGTACAGGTCTTTCCGGGCTCAAGTTTGGCGACTCTCTCCACGATGCCCAACACCCACAGTTGCTCGGCCTCAAGGCGGTCTCTAGAAATGACTTGGCGGGGGCGACTGGCGAACTGGGTGTAACAATAAACGTCGTGTGCACGACCGCCTTCGCTCGTGAAAGAAATCTGGGCATCATCGCCAGTAAGGATCATGTCAAGATCTGAGATCTCATGGCGATCGATCAGTCTGTCTTCGAGCTTGTCGGCAGGTTTGGGAGAGATGGCCGTGGTCTTGTTAAAAGCAAACTCAAGACGAGACTTGGCCTTGTAAAGACCTGTACGAGACTCAGTCCCAAAGTGGTACTCAAGAACAAGTCTGGGTGCTGTGCCCAAGTGCTCGACAAAGAACATGACGTTCCCTGCGACTTTGTTCTCGTCGGGAACAGGGCCTTGGTGTTCTTTGTCGAACGAGACAGTAAACTCGGCATCAACCTCGCACCAAGGAAGATGATACATGATGACGCGGAGGCAGCAGTAGGGAGGAGGCAGCGGCGGCGGCGCAGACAAGGCGCGAAAACAAACTGAGGATGAAGTAGATGAAAAAACCAGATTGCAGATAGGAATTTTGATGTGGAGTGTCAGTGAAAGTTGAAGAGTAAGTGAGATTTGGAGAGCTAGTAAAAGTTGATAAGCGAGTCGCGGAAAATTCCAGAGAGCAGAGCGCGAGAGGAAGCAGTGCTTTCTCTCGTATTATAAAGAGCAGTACACCTTGCCATGGAAACATACAATGATCTCGAGATCCGAGTGGTGCCCACAGAGAGAAAGTATCTCAAGCAGTTTCTCTGGCCGTGCTCGAAAGTGATAAGCGACTGTGCATCTCTATAGTAGAGTCATTCGTCCTTCCTCGAGAACGCAGATGGGCTACATTCGCCATCGCCTATACTCAAGCCTTCTTTGTATCAATGACAAATTCATGCAGCAATCCCGATGCACAATGCTTATCAATAACGAACAATATGCACGGAGAAGTGGTGACTTGATGTGTTCCCTGTGGCCACACGCGTGCTTGTCAAGATGACTGTGCATTATCGTTACCTGTATTGAGAAGTGCTCTACAATCGGGAAACACTGCAATCGTCTATTACAATCTGGTGTTTCTCTCCACCGATCTTGTCTCGACTACTCTTGTGCAGACTGGCAGCTCTTCTTCGCCTCCCGAAAGGTTACGGAAAGCCTGAAGGGGCCGCGCCTGTAAGAACTAGACTGTGATCTGGCTCTCTCTTGCTGCCGAAGGCGCTCCATGGCTGATGGTCCCGTCGAGGAGGTGCGATGTTATGTGAGCCTTGGGTTCATGGGGTGAGCGTGATTGGCGGACTGGCTCTTTACAGCGAGCCAGTGCGGTATGTCTGGATATGATAGGCGATGGCCTGAGATGCGAGTGGTCGTGGTTTTGCCATGTTCGCAATCAGCCGAGACAAATACCTAGAGCCGAGAGTTGTGTGCGTGAGTGTATCCTTACACGGCGTATCTCAGCCTGTAATTTGCCTGAGTGTTTGAATCACACTTTCCTCTTTGTACTCGGGATCTTCGAGCCCACATCTCGCATCAGCACAAAGCTCTGCGATGGCACATCAGCAAACAATCCCTTCTAAATCACGACTCTCTGACTCACCATCAAGCAATGGCTCGACGTCCGCACTCACTTCACCCCCTGATCTCCTCCTCATGATCAATTTGTCCTGCGCTTCATCAAACCATCCCCCTTGGGCCAGCACAAACCCGGCGACCTGCAACGAAGACCACCAACCCTTTGCACTACCAGTCAAGGTATCGAAACAACTCCACACCACTCTTCGCTCGAACATTTGCGTGACATTGTACTTGACCTGCTCGTCTGATTCGCCGCAGAAGAAAAGGGCAAAGATGCGGCGGAACAACGGACTAGGCGGCCCGGAATCATAGACGACGGAAAAGCCTTTGGTTACCGTCGAGTGGTATATACGACCGGCTAGAGCGTAGTGATTTGAGATTGCTGTTGCGGGGGTGAGGGAGCGGGCAAGGGTGGAAGCGGGGTGGTGAGGTGGTGCTGTTGTTGGTGTGAGGCCGAGGAATGTAGGGCCAGAGAATGGTATGACTGCTAGATCTTTGTCGGTAAAGATCTTTTGTTGAGGTCGAGGTTGAGGTTGGGTCTGTTGTAGGGGTATGTCGCAGCCAGAGCTAGCTGATGGCGAAGGATAGAACTGCTGTGCGGGCAAGGAATGGTCCTTGTCATTCGGTCTCAGGGGGACTGCTTTGTCGCCTCTCTGTGCTTCAGTGATGTTCGCTGACGCATCTTCACCTTCAACAATCTCCTTGAACTCTTTCATTGCATCTCTGATGCCCCCGGCCAGCGCTGCAGACCCTGGATCATTTCTTCCCTCTATTGTCCCGAGATATTCGAAGACTCTATCATTCAAACCCAGAAAACAACAACTCAGTCTTTCTATCGTAAGTTCCAAGTCTGAGATTTGAGTTGTTAATGTAGCAATGGTGTCTTCTTTTCGTTGTCGGTATGCTCGTTGGGCTTTGCAGCTCTGCGCTCTTCGATGTGTTGCAGCTACATCGTCCAATTGTGAGATGGGCGGTTTGGCTTTGTATTTGCGTGGTTTCGTCATTTTTGTCCTTGTGCCTTGCAGCAAGTTGGGAATGTGAATGTCAAGGTCAGGAGTGAAGGATTCGTGGTCGTCGTATATAGAATTACTGATGGTCGGGTGGTGTTACTCAGACCACGCCAAACCTTAAATTCCAATTGGGTAACCGTTGCTCCGCGAGCCCTGCTGACGTGCTTCAACCTAATCTCGATGCCTTATCTTCGGTTTTTTATTCTCAGGAGTGTCTGTATCGCGTGAATAGCAGAAGGCGCGACAAAGCCATACACCATCGTATGAGTAAGGCTTCGTGGCAACAGATTTGCATGTCTAGGAACAATTCTTCGAGAACGATCTGATGCCCTTTACCGATCGCGCTGAAGTGTTGGGCACATCTTTCAGCTTGCGCGATCAGATGAGATCGAAAGAGCAGACTGATGGGTCTTGAGATACAGATTTATCCAAAGTCTTGTTGCCTTGACATCACCGCGAAAGCAGGGTCGCCCTCTCGATGTGATTGATCAGCAGACGATCGTGCTTTCCTCGACCAGGCATGCACTTAAGACCAGTGACAGCGACCTTCGACAGCGACCTTCGACAGCGACCTTCGAGCACGCAGTCCTATGTCAAGCCAAAACTCTGAGAAGACCCAAAATGAACGAACCGTCTCGGCAGTGGCTTTCGCCGCCCTTGTGGTTGCCAGATATGCAGAACGCAATGATCAAATCTCGATGCGGACAAAGGTGAATCATGCATTGCAGATGACAGTCATGAAATCTACATTACACTTGTCTACACAGACGCATGTCAAGTCAGAAACAAGGCAAGAGACTATGTAAGGCTGGATGGCGGCTAAAAGTGAGATCCTTAACCTGGGTCGGATATTGTGTCGGGTACCCAGATCTCGCATTAGACAAGGCATATCGCATAATGCAGTCTGCCAGTCTGCATGTTGAAGTCTGCTCAAAATTTGGTGAGTTGTACGACTGGTCAGAGTAAAGTATGATATTCGTTGTATGATGGTGGGTATTTGATGAAGAAAGGAGAGGGAAGGACAGAAAAGTGACCTGTTCTTTTTGAGCCTTTAAGAAAAAGATCAGGTCGTCTAGACCGAAACGCCAGAGTCATGCAAACCTCCAAACCTGAGTCAGAAACGCCGTAGATGCGATAAGAAAAGGCGAGTGAGAAAGAAAAGGGTGGAAAGGAGGAAACCGAAATCAAGAGTCCTCCATCTTGACATCCTCGTAACCGTCTTCGTCATCTTCATCGTCGTCGTCTTCGTCATCGTCCTCGACCTCGTCTGCGACTTCTTCCTTGACGTTTGTTGGGTCGATGTTGACAGTCCTCTCGTACTCAGGGTTAAGTTTGTAGTTCATGGCAAACTTACCACTGCGCATAAGAGTAGCAATCTTTTCGACATTCTGTTTGATGAAAGCCTCGGGCTGATGCAAGCGCTGTTTGAGAGCTTTGAGAGACCAGTAGCGGTACTGCTTGAAGCAGTCTGTAAGGAGATCGAACAGCTCTTCCTGGCTGACACGGACAGCCTTCTCTTGTTGCTTCTTGACAGGCTTCTTTGCTTGGGTGGCCTTGATGAAACTGCTGAAGGCTTGGTTGGCCTGGGTGTTGGAGTGGACGGTTGCGTCGGCGCCAGATTCGAAGCGAGTGGTGCGTTTGGGCTGGAACATTTCCATGAAGCGGCGATCGGTCAGACGGCGGTATTCGTCGTTCTCGACGGCGGTGACGGCCATTTCGGCCTTGACGAAGCCTGCGAGGGCGGTTTGTTCTGCACAAGTCAGCAGAGCGCCATGAGCGAGAGTGATTCAAGGTGGGGCATACTGGGAATGGATGAAGTGTAGGGCTTGTTCTTGTTGACTTTGTAGTTGATTCCTCTGGTATCTTTCCTGACACGGTTCGGATTCCAAGCTTTGAAGCCAGGCTGATCGCGCTCGGAGAAGACGACGGTGTTGTTGTACTGGCCTCGCGAGCTGCTCAGATCGTAGAGTTTGGGGACATTCTGGTGCTTGGGCAGGTCGTGCAACTTCATCTGAATCTTCTGGCTGCCGTCGGGATTTGGCTGGTGGTATACACGGACCTTGCCAATCTCGATCTCGTCGTCGTCGGCAATGTCAGCCCAGGCAGTCCAGAGCCACTTGGGCAGTCTGCAGAGCCAGGCCTGTTGCTCTTCCTCTGACCGCGGCATCTGACACTCGCCCGTGTCCTCGAACTCGTCGGCCTCATGTTCGGGCTTGATGTTGGCGCCATCCTCGGCCTTGATCCCGTTGGACGACATGATGTGACGATGCGCGACGGAAGACAAGAAAGGTGGGCACTCGCTGTCGCCCTTGGTGCATTCCTATCGATTGTCGACGCACAGACCCTTCACGATCCCCACATTCCGTCACCGACATCAATCAACACTCGCGCCTTCCTTAGCCCGTCACTCAAACAACTTGCACCTTCCTCTGCACAAAAACTTTATTGTACAGATTGGCAGGAACCATGACTGCCGACCGAGTGACCGAAGCACTCCTGGCGCTGGAGGACGCTCAAGCGAGCACCAAGATCCAAGGCTACAACGACCTGCTCGACAAGATACTCGCACAACCCGATCAACTCTCCTCAAATCTCGTCGCCTACGTCCAGTCCATCCTCGGAGACTCTGTCGGTATCGTCACTTCTCGCCCTCTACTTGCCTCGTTTGTCGACAAGCTCGCCTCTCTCCCCGATGCCGACATCAAGGTCGCCGTCGGCACTCAAGCCATTGACGCCCTCGCTCCCAAAGTCGTCTCGTTCGAAGAACAGGACAGCGCTCTCAAACTCATGCTAGCCAATAGCTACGAACAGAACGAGGACTTCACTTCGTCCGCAAAGGTCTTGCAGCAAATCACCCTCGACTCATCCCAACGCCACGTCACCGACGACGACAAGGCAAAGATCTGGATTCGCATCACCCGCTGCTACCTCGAAGAGGACGACCCTACAAACGCTCTCTCCTATCTCAACAGAGTCAAGAACGTCATCTACAATGTCCAAGACCAACCCACAAAACTGCAATTCCAGCTCTCCCAAGCCCGCATCTCCGACTCTCAGCGCAACTTCCTCGACGCTTCCAACAGCTATCTGAACCTGTCACTGGAACCGGTCATCGACGAGGAAGAACGTCTACAAGCTCTATCGGCCGCAATCGTCTGTGCCGTCCTCGCTCCTGCAGGTCCCAAACGCGCACGTCAACTCGCTCGTCTCTACAAGGATGATCGCACACCACAATGCGACGAGTTTGCAATTCTCGAAAACATCTTTTTGGACCGTGTCCTCTCGCCGGCCGAAGTCAAGGCATTTGCTGAAAAGCTGCAGCCCCATCAGATGGCAAAGACTGCTGATGGCAGCACCGTGCTCGACAAGGCCGTCTTGGAACACAATCTTCTTGGTGTCTCGAGACTTTACTCCAACATTCCTGTCACAAATCTTGGTAGCATGTTGGGTGTTGATGCCGACCGCGCCGAAGCATATGCCGCACAGATGATCGAGCAAGGACGTCTCTCTGGTTACATCGACCAGATTGACGCTTTGATCCACTTCAGCAACGAGACAAGCAACAGTGAAGTCGCAAAGACGAGTGGTGCTAGTGTTGGTACCAGAGAGCTGAGAATGTGGGATGCCAATGTGCAGGGTCTGACCGAGGAGGTTGAGCGTGTTACTACCATGATCCAAACAACTCACCCCGAGTTCTACGAGTTGAAAATGGGCGCTTGAAGGATAAGAAAGACATAACGACATTGCATTTTGCTAGAGGTTCATGGAGTCAGGGCATTAGCGGGAGTTCACATGGGCGTTTTCTCTTTCCTTCACGCGGGACGTACTAGACGTAGAGCTATGTATATAGCTCATGATCATCACACGAACGGTATACTCCACCACCACAGAACTCACTTGGCAACAAAGCTGAGGTTGATATGATCCTCCTCCGGTGCATGCCAAGGGAAGATCAGCTCGTATCACCCCAGCACCGTAGAGCATGAAAGATCCAAAAGCCATGTACGTTGCAATCTTTCACACGAGGCAACGGAATACGGACCCATGCCATCCAGATACCAGAGTAGATCTCTCTGCCCCCAAGGCTGCCAGTACTCGACCGGCGCTTGGGACCGTATTTCTGCCCATTATATGAAGGGATACGATGTAAAGGATCGAGTGTATGGGACCACGTTGTTGAATAGGGGGGTTACGGAGTGGTTCGATATTGTGAAGGAGTAGTCCAGTAAAGGGCTAAAGAAATCCGAAGCATGAAGTCTTAAACATGGATTGCTGTGGATGGAGAATGGACTGTCGAAGGCTCTTGTTCTTTACAGGTCTACCCACGAGCTTTTACGATAAGAGCATGTTTTGGGCCATTCTCACAACTGTAATGCCATTGAGTGAAGCAATATTGAGGAGATGATCAGGCAATACTCGCGACAATACCTACCTTGCTGTCCAATAGCAATTCTGCAAATGATTGATTCGATGCTTCGCGACATGCTTCTATCCAGATTTCGAAAATGGCAATCTTTGTCGTATGTATGTTACCCGTACCGTGTCTTTCCACTGTCTGTACGACTGGCCTGTCAACTGTCAACCATGTCTATAGCCGTGATGCTCGATATGCTGCTTTCCGACGGTTCGGGCCCCCGGACCTATCTACTTCCGCGACAGAACTGGTGCTCTTGTTGTGCTTTGGATGTGTATCAGTGATCAATATCGAGCTTCCATGACGGTACCACTCAGTTTACCTTGTCTCAAGTCGGTGATATGTCCGCGGGATAGAAGCTAATGACAAGCATACAATCTGGAGTTGAGAGGTCAAGTGCCTTGTGCCACTGAATGTCGCAGCAATCTGCTTGTTTGTCGAGCCTCTTTGACAGCTCGGTGGTACACAACCCGTGGCTTTGCGTGGTAACGTGATGAAGCGTATCGTATCACCTTGCTCATGTGCTTGATCATCTGAGCTCGCACCTGAACGACCTCCACAATCTCCATCCAGGCATGACTGAACTCAACAGAGCCCAACCATACTTGCCTTGACCAAGCCCATCTCTGTCGTGCCGCGTGAACATCGCAAGCAAAAAAGGCAAGCGAGCAACCAAGCAAAGCAAAACAAACAAAGGCCGTAGTGGAAGGATCATATGTATATGCTTGGGCTTCGAGATGGCAGTTCTCTTGCACCACAAAACCTGTAGCGTACCAGATGTCGAGCCCACCAAGATCTGTTGCACAAAAAACAGAAAGGGGGTATCCAAGTATTCACAAAAGAAAAAATGAAGCGGGTTTCTATACCGAGCATCCAATCAAATTATCGCATCTCCAAAACACAACATCAGGGTAACCTTGCGATTGGCGGAGGCAAAGGTCATGCAAAGCATTTCGGGGGACAAAGGAAAGTCTGGTTTCGTGATAAGGGCACTTTTTCGAGTCATGGGGATATTCTTTTGGGCATCAACAGATGAAGCAAAAGACTCGAAGGATGGTAAGCGAAAAGAGGCTGAATATATCCTCAAGCTCGATGGAGACGGTCTCGCGTCAGCAAGTAGACAGGAACAAGGGGATGTTGCAAGATGCGTGCTTCAAGGTTTCGGGCGGGAAGGGAAGGGAGCGGGCCTTTCCATCCAACCAAAAACTTAGAAAACAGATGCCTTTTTCTCCTTTTTTGCTTTCGCGTTTGACCCCAAAAGGGTGGCGGATGATATGCGCGTTCTCGACTTGTCTGTTCTTTTTTGCGTACGGAACGCTGTACGCACCCGAAGAGATGCGCACCGATCGTGGCTGATGCGATACCAAGCTCGGGAACACCGAAGGCAGCGCTGCAGCGGGCAGAAGACCATGACTCTGATTTGAAGGGGGTCTTCTGTCCTTGCATCCGGCGCGGTTGAATGGTGAGCACGGAAGACTGTATTTAGCGGTTCTTGACGCTTACTGCCCAACCTGCTCGCTTGCTGCGCGCGGCTAAAGAGTCGCTCGAGTGGACGGTCGAACGGCAGCCGCCGTGTCAGGGTCAGGTGGTGAGGTTCAGGACATCCTTCAAGATTTAGACATGCAGCAAGAGGTCTTGCATGATGTTTGGGATCGACGGAACTCATGGCAAATATGCAGGTGCTGCCTGCGCATTCTCAACGTGCGAGTAAAGCCGAAGCCTCGGATCTGATTGTCTCAGTAACGATCCTTGCAAATTGCCGCCGCGCGGACGGCAATCCTTCAAGAGGACAACAAGGGATGCACAATGGACGAATGGCAAGTTCGCAGAACTCGTGATCTCGGTTGAGGATCTTGTTTTGCAGGATGATATCGCCATGGAGTGGCTGGTCGCTTTGACCTGCTGCGAACCTGCTCTGGCCAATCGCCAGCCGGCCCGCACCGCCCCTTCTCATGCAAACATGCCCGATTCACGAGGCGCACTACGCATGCCCGCATTACTCGACTGCCTTCTGATCTTGTCGGGACAGGGCTTGCTATGCTTGTGGATGACACTTGCGCCGCGGCCTGAAAGGAGCGTGTGTGAGGGCCTCGTCTCCAAGCAGTCACAGGTATATTCGCGACCCGCGTGCCGTGTCACGGTCTTGGGGGAAGGAGAGCCTGATGGATGCGGCGGCTCGGTCAAGGCAAGGTAGTATCATCATTGTTGTTGCAATCGCACGAACCGGCATGCTCCCGCATCGGTGCGTGCTTTCCTCCAAGACACTACTCATCTTCCTGAGCTCCCAACCGCTTCGAGGGTGCAGTCTCCATTTCGGTCTTTCCTATTGATCAAAATCAAATAAATCCCATAATTTCCTGGTTACGTGGGGCAGCAGCGACAGGCATAATATGCACACTTGGATCGGGTCATGACAGCCTCATCGTGCTTGTGCATAAGCTACCTACCTACTTATCCAACCTGCCTTCATATGCTGATAACCTCTCTGCCCTTTTGACGCCCGTCACTCACCACATGAAGCTATCTTTATGAAAGCACGCTCTTTAATTCTTGACGACTCACACGATAAGCACGTTGCGCTCTACAAATATTCTTCTGCACTCGACATCACCGCGTCTTCGCTGCCTCAACATCCCCATCATCGTTACACCCTAGTCTCAAGTCTCACCGCCTCTTCCTTGCACAAAGTTCGCATCTGCAGCACAGATATTAACTGGAAGCCCTACCATGGATTTTCACTCTTCTCGACCTCATCCTTTCGGTTACGACATGAATGCCAACCAACTAAATTACGACACGGCTCAACAACCTGATCAACCTCCAGAATACTATCGAGACAGTAAACTCAACCAGGATCAGACACTCAACAATGTCGCGATGATGCCAACCACTTCTTCTACTCACAATCCCCGCAAAGATTCTGTTGCGACAAACTCTGGCGCTGTCAACGATGCTTCATCATGGGATCACAAACAAATCTACTCCGGATCCGGATTCAACCCATCACATGTCTACCGTGCTGGCGACAACGCTGTCTATACTCAACATGACCATGCACAAGTCTATACACCTCAGGGCTGGATGATGTCGCCAACGGGCTCTGTGGACGTGACAGCCTTCGATGCCTACTCCGGCGCCAAATACGAAAACTCTCCCTTCCCTGGTAGTCTACCGTCCGATCGTGCCTCCTTCCCGCCCCATCTTCTATCTCAAGCACATAATGCGTCGAGTTCGCCACAAGCCTCTTTGTCACCACCTCCTCATGCTGACTGGATGGACATGACTGGACCAAACAAGCCACTCAGGTCAGCAGACGTCAAGCCCATTAAGCCTCGTCACCAGCCTCTTCTCAGACGCGATACTCGCGATGGCATCCGCAAGAAGAACGCGAAGATTCCCATCCCGGCCGAGATCACACTGGACAATATCGATGATTTGATTGAGGGGTGCACGGATGAGGATGAGATGAAGCAACTCAAAGCACAGAAGCGTCTTCTTAGGAACAGGGAGGCAGCGTAAGGTTTCCTTGTGTGTCCACTGATATAGCTTGCTGACGCGGACCACAGACTCGCATCTCGCCAACGAAAGAAGAAGCATACGGAAATCCTCGAGCAGAAGGAGAAGCATCTCGAGACCAAACTCCACACCCTTCACCAGCAAGTCGAGCAACTCCGACACCAACTGGAGACAGCCGAAGACCAGAAACAGTTCTTCATCTCCGAACACAGCAAAGCGCACACCAGAATCCAAGCTATACAGCTGGAAAAGGAAGACTTGATCTGTAGCCACACAAAAGAGACGACTTATCTACGTGGTCAGATCAACTGGTACCGCGAACACTTCGAGGCTACAAGCCCCGCCGCTCCAGCTATGAGTGCCGCACCTAGCAGTACCGGTTTCACCGATTTCAACCTGGAGATGGACCACCTGGCGATTGGAGATCAACCATGGGATCGATACATCAATGTGCAAGGACCTGAGGATGCTGACTATCTCGGCGACGCAGCCGAGTCTTTCGCCACAATCCACCCAGCGAAGCAACTAGGTCAACAGCATCAAGACATCGCAAGCAAAAACAGCGCTGAGCAACCGGTGGCCTCGGGCATACTATTCATGCTGCTACTATGTGGAGCCTTCGTAGCTTCCAGATCTCAATCAGCAACACGAGATAGCGCACAGAACAACCTCATCCCAAAAATTCCCGACGAAGTCAGAGCAGCAAGTACCGAAGTACTCAACAATCTACTCAAGGACAATCCGCAAGAAGCCTCACTGTTCCTACCGGACCTCGTCTCTACCCACCGCTACCCACAATCCAGTCACTCAACATGGCCACAATCCAACAACCTTGACAGCTTGCACAAACACCTGATATCTCCCACCGCATTCCAAGAAGCAGAGCAAGCATTTGCCATGACACCCGAACAATACAATGCTTTGACCACCTACCAACACATGGATACCATAGCCTCAGCCCCTGCCTCTGCAAGCCTTCGTCCCAATCTTGCAGAAACACTAGGCAGAATGCGAGAGGCTAGAGGTCCGAGTGCGGCAGAGGTATACACTAGAAGCTTACTCTGGGACACCGTGCCTGAAGATGTGGTCAGAGCTTTCAAGAGAGCTGTCGCGCAACGACAAGGAGATGATGAGCAGATGAACGATGAGAATGATGGCTTATGAAAAGGTGCCACTACACGACAGTACGATATGGCGTAACAGCTGCCATGAGCAATGAGTGATGATGACGATTATGAATGATGGAGTTTTCTTGTCTCTTGTATCTTTCATTTTTCCTTTCACTTATTTTGCCTTCTGGTATTGGAAGGACATGATGGCTATGGTGGATGGAGAGAATGATCCCGAATGACGACACGAACCCCAGCATTTATGGAAACGAGGACAGTGCTTCTTTGGAACGCAACCACGACACTACGAATAACACTATACACGCGAAACTACGACATATGATGATGCATATGCGCACTCATACGGCCCTACACACGAACCACGATAATGACACGACCTCAACCGTCACAATTTTCTTCGCTCTGTTTTCTCCCCCTCTCCCTGCCTTGCTCACTTTATCTTTCTTCTGTAGTTTCCTCCATGATTCTCCTCTGTTGTTTTGCGATAGTATGGCTGTGGCGTAAGAGCGGTCGAGAGCCAGAGGCAGATATGTCTCACGACCTCTCTTGTTTCTTTGGCTTGGACTCAATTTGTTCTTATGTACTCAAGCAAGATATTGGAAGTCTAAGTACAAATGTGAGGAATTCGAGACGGCTGTATACCCTGCTCATGATCCTTTGGGATACAATTTGATCCAGTCACTGCTGTGCCTCCGAAGATGACAACCTTCCATGTTTAATCTGGAAAATTTACGGCATTGAATTCACATATCTCGAGAGTAAATTCGACTATACAGTGGTCTAGATGTTCCGTGCGGAGGATATCGCCGATCAGATGGAATTTTCTGCTTGCCCGAGATGCTCGGAGAATCTTTTCGGTCAAATGCCCATTGTGATGGTTCTGGTAGACCGTCCGAGCCGTACCAGTCGTCTTGTTTCGCGACCTTGCGACCACGCTTGGACCATATCGTTCTTGATGCATTTCCAGAAGCTCCAGCTTGGTGGAAGATTGCAAAAAGAGGGACACTTCTTACAGTGCAGCCAATCTCGCGAGCAAGTTGAGCACCTTCTATCCATCTGGCAGCAGGACCGCAAACAGTCTGAAAAACAAACAGGAAAACAAGATACAATTTTGGTTTGTTCTATCTAGCTACATCTCAGTCGCCCGGCTGTACTGTGCCGGACAGTGCAGTGTAGTGCAGCAATCAAACTATGTGGCAGAGCATCAATGCAGCAGCAACTGCGATAATTTGAGATCTGCCAAATCCAATCATGCTAGCTGCTGAGACGTGGTCTACAGAGACAGAGGGAGTGGCATCCGCACTACTACCAGCGGTCTGAGTTGCAGGCTTCGCTCCGATGGTTCCGGAAGATTCAGAAGTAGCCATCGAGATAATTCCAGTCGATTGTGATGAGTTGACTGGAATACCAGTAGTGGAAGCAGTCTTGGTCGACGAGGACGAAACCTGAGGTGTCGAAGTCAAGGGAGAAATGCTAGGCTCAACATCCGCAGAAGACGACAGCTCTCCATCAGCAAGAGCCGCTTCATCTTCTCCCGCCGCCCGCGGGATGCACACCACTAAACCCGCCCGGAAGTTATCGCAGTCTGCTGGCCACTTTTCGGCTGCGTATCGCATAGCATATGATGCGCGAATATCCTCTGCTGTTAGGTTGTACTTCTCGGCAACGGAAGCACATGTGTCACCTTCTTGAATCTTGTAAGCCTCATAGAAGCAGCCAAGGTCTAGTGCTCTTGGAGGTTCCGGAGGAAAAGAGATGTCGGTTGGGATATCCAAGCCGCATTTTTCGTTGATTTTTTGAAGCTCGCGCTGGAAGAATTCGTCGTAGGCGGAGTATGGAGAGTTTTGCATCATCCTGTAGTGCTCGACTTGGCAGTAGGAACAAATCTCATCCTGCTCTTGGTCAGCAGGCCGGAGGCCAGAGGTGATGGATTATGGCTTACATAAGGCATATGTTCAATGTCATCGACTTCAGCGAAATCGTTAATGATCTCTATGATAAATCGTTAGCAAGAATTCGCGAATGTTCAGATCGAGTCGAGTTACCATTACAGTTACGACCGCTGTCTGGGTCATAGTAACAAGTCTCATTCCATGCCTCCCACAAACGTCCAGCACCAATGGTAATGGTCGTATTACTACTGAAGTTGTGGCCAGCACACTCCTCGACGATACCATCCCAGTAGGAGCGGATAGAAGCACCACATGAAGCATCACAGACAGATTCATACGTCGTCTCGTTCGTGTCAACATATCCTCTCCATCTGGGTTCGCCGCCGAAGTCATAGACATAAGCGTCGCAATAGATCATCTGTGTCAGAGCATTTATGCAGGAGGCAGGCAGTCCCCGAGAGTCCAGATATCCAGCCTCCTCAAGTTGAAAACCATAAAACTCCGATCCTTCGGTCAAGCTGGTGGCATCCGCATTCGACTCCGACACAAGAGCATTGAGAGTTGGCAAAGAACATGTCGCAAGAAGCGGAATGCTTGCAAGCGACGTCGATAGAGCGGTAAAAGCTCGAGGAAAAAACATAATGACGTTGAACGCAGGATTATACGTACAAGGGAAGCCTTACCTTATGAACCAACCCCATTTCCACGAGAGCTATCAGCACCGTGACATCCTTGGCGAACATATCTCAACTGAGCTTGGTATTGAGCTTGAGGAGATTAGAATTACCACATCCTTGGGGATTGGAGCTTTCGTGGCGTCTGGCAGCCGGCGCTATGTCGCCAAGTATGCTTCTGCCTGAATCAGGTAAAGGAGAGAATTTTGTAAAGCTATGCTTGTGTGCAAGATAAAGACATCCTCGGGGTTCACAAATAGCAAGAAGCGACCCTTCCCGGAACTTGAAAAGGATTAGGAAAATATCTAGACAATGCGAGGTCTGAGCAGAAAGTGTGGTGAGGAGACGAAGTCTGGATGGTCTTTGTTCTGCAGGTCGTCAAAGCGTACATTGCCGCCAAGGCGCTTGGTAATTGACCACAAGCCTCCCAGCTACGCGACATCTACGCGACCTTCAAGGCCTAAGCCTTTCTCAAAACTTACCACGTTGCTGTATCTAGCATGAGTCATCGGCGTATCTTCCGAAGGCTCTCGAGCGCTACCTGGCAGCTTGCAACTTCCAAGGACCTCAGAATCGAGAATGTCTATGCTACGGGAACAGGGTTGCGCCTACTACAACCGTGTTCGTCACGAAACCCACCCTATCGACAGCGATACCAGAGATTTGGATGCTCAAGTACTATTCTTATATGAGACGAATATTCGGCGTAAGATGGCGGTGAAGAGAAGGCTGTCACGTCACGATGTGGTCGTCAAACATCGAAGTCTTCAATCCTGGAGCGGCTTCGGGAGAAATGTCCCCACCCGCTCCTCGCAGTCGAGACTTCAGATCTCGTGACAATCGAAATGCAAACAATGCTTTTTGTTGGCTGGTTGCAGGTCAAAGACACCATCAACTGTGCTATTCTTTACGTTTGTCTCGCACTCGCCAGCAAAGAGCAAATGGTGTAGCGATTGTAATTGTTGTTATACACATCAGCTCCAGAACTCAAAAGCTAGCAGTCCTCATTCCCCTTAAAACCGCTGCTGCCCGTGCCTGTTCAATCTCAAGCGAAGTTTGTTTGGTTTTAACACTCTTCTGCGCCATCTCTTCAGACTCCAGAACGTCCTTCTAGAAGTTCATCATCTCCTCGTCATCTCCACCAATATCGAACTCGTCGGTACCATAGACCTCGTCATCAACGTAGCCGCTATACTCTTCTTCCTGCTCTTCTGTCTGTGGTGGTTCTTCGGGTTCGAAATGTTGGAACATGCCTTCCTCTTGCTCCACGTCCATCATGGTGCCTCCCTCGCCATAGTCTTCCACTTTGGCATACTTGGCGCGTTCAGCTCTAGTAGCGAGGCGAGGGGTTGGGTCATGAAGTAGTAGACGAGTGCTCTTCCTGATGCATTGTGCCGATTCCTCATCTTCGTGTTGAGTAACGAATATCGGCAGGCAGATAATTGTGCCACCACCTACATCGACGAGCTCAACATTTGCATCCTCAGGCTTGTCAGACAGAGGAACAAGGTCACACAACGGGTGTAAGCGACCAAACAAAGGGCTCTCGTCCTGTTCGACGTGACTCTCGTATGAGCAAGGATATGTCTGTTCATGGTAACCATCCTCATCAAAAGTCTTCGTCCAGAGAATCTTGTCGCTGATGACGATATGGCGTTGAATGAGGCTGATGATCGTGTTGATGATGCGGCCATCAGAGTAGTCGGGGTTACTGACAGACTTAGGGGCACCTCCGCGACCATCCATGGCCTGATAGATCTGGTAGGGGCGCATGACGTTGCTGTAGAACGACCATGGGATCGGTGGTCCATCCTTCAACGATGGATGGCGAGGAGACGCCATGAACATCTGCAAGACAGGTAGATCCAGAGGGTCAGTAGATGTAGCGTACGCCCATCCAAGCATGCGCACAAGGAGTAGCAGGACGAGCTTTTGGTTATCAACGCTTGGGAGTTCAATATCTTCAACCGTGATGATTGATTTGCGTAGATAGTCCTCAATGTGAGCCCCGCAGATGCTGTCATGGTAGGTGGCTTTTGCCATGTCGTAGCAGTCGACTGAGCAGAAGGAGAAATTCTCACGTTGCTTCTCTTTACCATAACGACAAATCTGAATGTCAGAGGTTTCGAAAATACCAGGTCTGGAGTTCGTCCTTCCGCGGTCTGGTGTGTCAGGGGCTGAATGTTCCGCAAATGCGTCAGTGTCATCACTCGACGACTCAGAATCCCAGTCATCGTCAGAGTCACTCCGACGGTCTTCAGCGTCTTCTTCTTCGTCTGAACAGGAGACCATCTGCTCATGACTTTTCAACCCATCGTTGGCGTTGTCACCGGCTTCTGAGCTAGGCGGCGTACTTTGTGGAGTATCAACCGCATTTGAACGGCGGTGATGTGGCGCAGGAGGCTCAGTGCGAGCTCCCCTTGCTGCTATTGCGTTCTTCTTCTCATCCAGCTCAGCTTCTGCGTGCTTCAATTCTTCTATGAGGACTCGAAGAACAAACGGTGATGGCATCTGCAAGTCCGTGCCGCAAGCATCACAGAAGGTGGCGAGTTCTGATTGATCTGTAGTGTTTGCTGTAGAAACAACAAATGGAAGGCTCTCTGTAAACAAGACCATGCCTGGAAAGACGTCTTGAGAAGCCACGAGGGATGGGGGCATGCCAAACTTGTACTCGTAACAGGCGATGGAATCAGCATCTACTGAGAGTATGCAGTTGTTGAGCAGATTGTAGTTGACTGGTCGTTCATCGAACCCATAGTTTGCACGACTCAAGAGTGCAAAGCCGGTCTGTGTTGATCGCAGGTTTGAGGAAGAGACCTTGCCATCAATGATGTCGTAATATAACTTGTCTTGTATGTGTTCGGCGAGTGACTCGAGCTCACGACCGACGGAAGGTGGAAAAGCTTTCTTGTTTGCAGCTGACATGAGGACATCGGACAGAATGTGTAGAGCGGTGTATGATGGACCCCGTCCACATCTGGAAAGCGCATCGACCAAGCGAAACAGAGCTTTGTGTTTCAGATCATAGACAGCTGGCGTAAACATCTTCTTGCCAGCCTCCTGCTTTTCCAGCTCTTCGACCAGCGTCATTCTTACCAGCTTGAAGTTTTGGTGCTTGTGATCAAACATTGTGGACGGCGCTGTGCACCATTTCTCTTTGCGAGACAAAGCATCAGCACAATCGTCTGACAAACAAAATCAGCTCAGTGTTACAACAGAAGCGTTATGTATTCCCAGCAGATTGGAATCGACAATGATTTAAGCACTGTCTAGGAGACGTCTCCAGTGGCGGTGTTTTTGGGAAATTTTGACTTGCCGTTGTAAGTGATGATGTGAGCGTCGACTCTTCGGACGTGATCGTTTGCATCTCCGTCGTTTCGGACGGCATCTATGACAGACTGTGCCATCATAAATGCTCTAAGAGCATCGTTGACAGCAAGGTGCGGCTGATCTGTCGCGACGAAGCACAAAGCGCGATTGAGATAGTAGGCTGGATGGCACCTCTCCTCAAGAAGTCTGTTGTACAGGCGCATCGCAGCGGTATAGTCTCCATTGTAGACAAGTCTGTTGGCATCCATGATTGCGTGTTCGGTCTTAATCCGCTTGGGACGAAGCTCCAGTCTTGGTGACGATTGCGTCGATGTATCCATTATTTTGAAAAAAAGCCGAGACGTGAAAGAAAGAATAAAAAATGGTCGTTGATAGTGTGGTGTTGTTGGTTCTGTGCCGAGTTGGCATGCTCCTGCCTCATGAGTGAAATCCGACATTCAACTCCCGCAAACGCTCTTGCTTTCGAAACTCTCAATCCTTCAACACTGACCACCTATGCCGTGAATCTAGTTCTTGTCGACCTCGACGTCAATCCTGACGACGAACTCGCTGGGTTCCCATGACCAATGGCTTATTTAGAAGTCGCAACAGGCTGATACGCGTCTGGCACAACACTGTGCTTCGTGTACCGGACGAGCTACAAATGCTACATGACATTGAAACTCATCCGTCCACGCCAATGCCCTATAACGGACAGGTCAATTGGCCGACCTGTGTATGATGTACTGCCGACCCTGAAAACTTGCTCCAGTCTGGAAGTCTTAGACATTGAATCATGTAGGAACTACGGCATCATACCATCACATCTGCTTCGAGGCCATGCGTATGCAACTCTTCGAAACGTGGCTTTGGACGCGATATCTTCCGCCACCCCTTCGTACTGGATGTTGACGGCGATGCGTGCTGATGCTGCAATGGTCGGTCGGGAAGGCCTGCGGGGCTCTTCTCTTGTTTGAATCGTTCAATATGTGACAAGAGCCTCGAAGTGTGTCCCTTCGAGCCAGCATGATTTCTAGGCTCGTCAGTCTACTACCAACACCAAGCAAAGAGGTCAACATAGAGTTGTATAGTAGGTTTCTACTGAGCGACAAGGTTAGCGATAGACTTGTGCCACCAAACGCCGGGCGGTGAACCACGCTCTTGCTGGACGGACCAATGATGTCCCGACTGACGGCTCGACCGAAGATTCCCGTTCGTGTCGAGCGGTATTCGGTTGGCTTGGCATGACGCGAAATCGCTACTATCTCGTTGCCAACAGTACCAGTCTCACAACTTTCTTTTGGTCCAGGGCCATCTTCCCTACCACTTTCCTACCATAATCATGTGTTATTCTGTTGCACATACCACACCACGTTCGGGCTGCGCGTCGGAAGCACATTGTTCGACATACCCATGTGCACAACTTCGCAACCCTTAGCCTCCTCCCACGGAGGTGCAATGTAACGTCCTTACTGTACAAAGGCAGAATGGTTTCTTGATCGCAGGTTCAACCAAAGAGAGCCTGAAAATTTTCGCATCTTGATGGACATTGTCGCATTTGTCGAGACTGTCGTGCATCATTATAGCTACGCACGTTGCAAAGTTTTGCACATGAGGAACCATTTGGCGCCAAGTGCAGCAACGAAGAGGCTTCATCACCCCACTAATCTGGGAGGATTAGGAAACGTCGTTGTTTAATGGTCTAACATCTTTGCATGGACCTGTCTGCTGTCGATACTGGCAATCACGCTGCATCAACCCATTGATGAGCGTAGAACGGTCGTTCACACCTTGATCTCGATCTCGCGGAGGACGGCATGCTAATCTAGTGGATGCACTTCCTGACAATGACTATCTACATCATTTTGATTCAAGACGTCGGCGATGTGGACGGTTTGAGACAACAAACGTTGAACACGCAAGACACAACTAATCCATCCGACAGTTCCGTACCAAACGTTTTCTCGGCGTGCATATATGGATCAGCACTGACTCAACGAACTATGACCGGAATGGACTCCAACCTACAATGCTTTGTCTGACTTGACAAATTGATCACTACTCTACAATCTTTCCACAAGTCGCAAAAGGCCCGCTACCGCCATACAGCCATGGAAGAGCATGACGACTCACACTGATGTCACAGACTATGCCTCAACTATGCCTCGAAAAGTCATGTCAAAAAGCCAAGAGAATCCTTCCAACGAACTTTGGTGACTGATCTGCCCATGGGTTCCGATCACACAAACCGACGTTGATCCGCAACGGTAATCCTGCTTCGACTGAGTCTGTGTTGTCTGTCGTGCAATCATATTCTCGAGCATATCACGTGTTGGCTGGTCAGAGCGAAGTGTCAGCCACGAAACTGCAGGCATCCTTCGGGGTCCTCTACTTACCTAGTCAGGCGTGCCAAGGACGAGATCAAGCTTGATTAGGATCTGGATAGAGGAAAAGCACGCGAAGTACCTTGCATCATATCGTCCGATAGTACTACTGTTGGAGTTCCAACCACATTATCCAATTCGCCAAGAAGAATACCGTACCAGAACCAGCTCAGATTGGAAGGTCTATGATGGAGTCGCGAGTGCCATACCTTGACGGATCTGTTCAGTCCGGATTTGCTTCGATCAAGACGTAGTAGCAGATGAGGAGCATCATGGTTAATCTGGATGGTAATCGACAGAAGCAGTTTCCAATGATCATCATTCATTCATCTTCCGGCAAACCTTCTTCTTGTGCATAATGCAAGCCTTGATGCCTAATGGAGGCACAGATGCTCGAATCGTAACGTAGCAATAGCTTGCGCTTCACCATCGCCAAGTCCGCATTGCATCTCCAGATGGTGCTATATGGCGATGGTCTCGTAAGAATCATCGGGTACCTGTAAGTCTCATCCTCTGGCGATCTCCTCTTGGCTATATCGCGATGCTGCTTGTCTTTTCTTCTTCTGGATCTGGTCTCCGACGAGCGATATATATCTTCGCGTACGATCAGCTCAATCAGTGTCAACATCAATGAGCGAGACTTGTTTCTTGCCTTGACTGGTCCTTTGCTCTTTTACCGAATCTCACCATGCGGTTCATAATTGTAACCACTTTGACCGCTTTGGCGGTGACCACTGTCGCCGCCCCTGCAGGTCCATACATCGCACCGAACAAAGACCATGAGGAGCACCTAGAGAAACGTGCACTTATTGGTGGCAATTCTGGAACAACACTACTTGGAGCCCTTGGGATTGGAGTCGCTCAAAGCTCCGCTCTCCTGTCCATCGGCCTGGGAGGTGCAGGGGTGTCATCGACCGCAACTTCGACTAGCCGTGCATCGTCCAGCGCTGTATTGCCAGTTGCAAGTTCTGTCAGCAACGTTCTGTCTGTTGCATCTCCTGCTACTCGTGTGTCCACTGCCGCGGTTCCGTCCCTCTCTTCTGCTGTCCAATCTCTAGGCTCCGTCAGTGTGTCGATTGGTGCATCGCTCAGTGTCCCATCACTTTCTGCCTCACTGCCCGTGAGCTCGATTAGCTTATCGGCTGGCGCATCTCTCAGCGTCTCTCCGACCGGTATCTCCTCTGTTGCTGCTGTAGTCAGTGCTCATACATCGAGCGTCGCATCTCTGCTGTCAAGCATTCTCGCAAACCCTGTGGCAACCAGCAACACCCAGGCAGTCTCGTCTCTGAACTCGGTTTTGAGTCAGGCTACTGCATTGCCTACTAGTCTCGGCTTCCATATTTCTGAGGCCCTTAGTGGTGTCACAGGGGGCAGCTCGAACACTGCCGCCATCTCATCTCTGCTTACTGCATCTTCAATACGGACGGATCCTGCTGCAGTAGCCTCACTTGCGTCTCACGTGAGTGTGATCGCTAATCAGCCCCAATCATCTCTGGTATCCTTGGCCAGCGTTCTTTCAAATGCTGCCGCCATACCCGGCAATGTCAATTCTATGCTGTCCTCGATGGCATCTGCAATAACTTCAGGGGAAAGTGCAACTCTCTCGGGTCATGTAAACTCCGTCATCTCCTCGTTCGCGGCAGCTGCATCAACCAGCTCAGCCGCCGCGAAATCCGCAACTACGACGTGCTCAGATCTTCTCTGTCTGAACGCACAGATTGGCGGACTAGGACTGGGAGTTAGTGCTCTGCCATCATCGAGTGGCGGTCTCGTGGGCCTGTCTCTTGGTCTCGGTGGCACTCAAGCATCCAGTACACTGTCTAGACCAGTTGTAGTGTCTACGAATGGAGTTCAGACCACCTGCACTGATCTGGTCTGCCTTAATGTCGCGGCAACAGGACTGGTGAGTGCTAGTCTAGGTTTGATACCTACTGCCTCGATCACCCGAGCTGCCACTACATTGGCTACGCCTGTGACCATCTCTGGTAGCAGTGGAGGGCCTACTTCGACTTGCACCGATGTCGTCTGCCTTTCAGTTGCGGCTTCCAACCTGCTCTCTGTCTCCGTCGGACTCATTCCCACTAGTGTCCTTGGTGGAAATAATCTGGCCACTCTCTCTCTTGGCGTGACTGCCGCGCCTACTGCGACTATGCTGTCTGAATACGTCACCGTCGTTGCGACTGATGGTAAAACGACAACCGTGTGTACAGACATTATGTGTGTTCATGATGCAGCGTCCTCCTTGCTAGGCATCAATGCAGGACTCATTCCAACCAGTGTGCTTGGAAACAATCTGGAAACGCTTGTTGTACCGTCTCAGACCGGCTTTGCAGAGCCTGTCGTCATAACAGCCACTGATGGATCTCGTACCACTACATGCTCAGACGTCTTCTGTCTGCACACAGCGGCAACTTCCCTCCTGGGTCTCAGTAGTGCTGGAGCTTTGCCAACGTCGCTACTAGGTAACAACAACATGGGTTCGCTAGCTCTTGGTGCCAGTCTGGCGGGTGCTCCCACTGCAACCAGTCTTGCTCAGCCTATCACAATCACAGCCTCCAATGGCCGTACTACCACGACATGTTCAGATGTACTCTGTCTGAACGTGGCCGCGACTAGTTTGCTCGGAGTCAATGTAGGCCTCTTGCCCACATCAATCCTTGGATCTAACGACCTCGCCACCTTGTCTTTGGCACATGGAGCTGCTGCTGCCAGTGAGACGGCCTTGGTCGCGCCTGTCATTGTTACCGGTACCAACGGAGCCCGTACAACTTGTACAGATGTTCTTTGCCTCGGAATCGCCGCTACCGGTCTGCTTAGTGTAGACGCTGGACTGATTCCCACAGCAATGTTAGGTAACAACGGCGCAAGTGCGACTGCGATCGTGT